AACCTAAACCTAAACCTAAACCTAAACCTAAACCTAAACCTAACCTAACCTAAAAAACCTAAACCCTAAACCCTAAACCCTAAACCCTAAACCTAAACCTAAACCTAAACCCTAAACCCTAAACCCTAAACCCTAAACCTAAACCTAAACCCTAAACCTAAACCTAAACCTAAACCTAAACCCTAAACCTAAACCTAAACCTAAACCTAAACCTAAACCTAAACCTAAACCCTAAACCTAAACCTAAACCTAAACCTAAACCTAAACCTAAACCTAAACCTAAACCTAAACCTAAACTAAACCTAAACCCTAAACCTAAACCTAAACCTAAACCCTAAACCTAAACCTAAACCTAAACCTAAACCTAAACCTAAACCCTAAACCTAAACCTAAACCTAAACCTAAACCCTAAACCCTAAACCTAAACCTAAACCTAAACCCTAAACCTAACAGCCCTAAGAACCTAATTTCCTAATCCGCGAACCTCTAGACCCTTATTTTCTAGGATCGTGTGGCCTGCATCGTAATTCTGTCCTCCCAAGCCCTCAATTGCGCCATACGCCCTATTTTACCAGCCGCCTTGCTTTGCAACAGCATATGAACCTATTTCCACAATATCAGTTCACTACAGACTGTCCATTCATTGATCTGCCACCGCTGCTCATCCCTTCTCCCATCTTTTGCCTAGCCAATCTCATCTGCCGCTAGTCGCTGTCGCTCCCTGTCTGCCTTGCCACCCTCCTCTCCCTCCGGTCGCTTCGCTCCCTGTCTGCCGCTACTCTACTCCGTCACCGTCCCCTACCAGACCTTTTGTTTCCCCTTCCACCTCCCTCAGCTCCTTTCTTCATCTTCCCTTCATCCCTGAATCACCCTATTTACCTGGTACCTGACTCTACTTACTCTTCATCTCTGTACAGGTTGTCGTCGCTGCCGCTCCTCCAGCATTTCCACCTTCACTCGCCTTCTTTTATATGGTCGCCTTATCTTCAGTCGTCGTCGTCGCAAGCTCCTCCTCCAGTCGCCTTCGCTTCCCTCGGCTCCAGATACACCTAATTTCCTAACCCCCATCTCACCAAACCCTAATCCTGGCGAATTAGGGTTTGTCTATGTGCTTTCCTGCTTCCCGTAGCTTTATCCGCGCCTCTCTCACGCTGCTTTGCCTGTTGCTAAGCTTTTAATTCATCCTCCAGTCGTATTTCTGTATTGTCAGTCTTCTATAGGCAAATTTATTTGCCTTGCCGCAGTTCGTACCTTATTTCACCTGTTCCATGACTCTTCTCTCTCTCCACCCTCCCCTCCCTCTCGTCGCTGTCGCTCCCTGCCTTCTTTCACCGCCTCCCTTCATCCCCCTCCCAACTTCCCTCACTCCCCTTACTGCCCTTGATCATCTCAAATGACGCCCCTCATGGCGTCTCTCAATCTCCCTTACTGCCGACCATCATCCCAATCCATCACTCTCCTCTCCCTTCCACTACCTCCTTCGTCAATCTCCCTCACCTCCCTAATTGCCCTTTAACCTTTTTCAATATCTACCAAGTTCTCGTTTTTTTTCTCCTCACTCTGGTCGCTTCGCTCCCCGTCTGTTATCTCCACTCGCTGATCAGTCTCTCCCTACCTCATCCCATCCCTCATTTAACCCCTCTCTCGCCTTGCCACTTTCCTCCTATCCCTCTGGTCGCTGTCGCTCCCTGCCCTTCATCACCGACTCCTGGCTAAATCGCCTTCTCCCACCGCCTTACTTCCACCACCCACTTATTCATAACACAATTATCTCCTCACTCCCTCACCTTACTTTCCTCTCCCACTGCCTCCTCCGTCGGCCTTCTCCACCTCTCATGGCCCCTGTGACCTCTCATACTCCCCTAACCTCGCCTTTTTACCCTCCTTCATCACCGTCACAGCAGTCTGTCTCCCACCTCGTCGTACCTCCTCGGTGATGCCGTCATCATCCTCTTTCCACGTGCTCTTGACCCTCATTTTCTGGGATCAGGCTCCTCAGTCGCCTTCGCTCCGCTCGGCTCCTCAAATCGCGTCGTCTCTCACCTCGTTAACTCCGTCTTCTAGCCATCCTCATGTCGCCATCTTCCCTTTATCCTTACGTCGCCTTCTCTTCGTTCGGCTCCTTTTGTCGTCGCAAGCTCCTCCAAATAATGTCGCAATCACTACTACCTGAATTTCATTTCCGCGCCGTGCTCCTGTAATTCATCATCAGTAGTCGTCGCAAGCTCCTCCTCAGTCGCCTTCGCTTCGCTCGCCTCCTTCTTTTTTGTCCTACTTTCGTCGGCTTTCGCCTCCTCAAATCGCGTTGTCTCTCACCTCGTTACCTCGGCCTCATCTAATATGGTCGTCGTCGCTTCGCTCCTTCTCCAGTCGCCTTCGCTTCCCTCGGCTCCCTCTCGTTAGCCGTCCTACAAATAATCTTGTAATTACGTCGGCTGCGTTACACTCCGCCTCCTTTTGTCGTCGCAAGCTCCTCCTCCTTAGTCGCCCTCGCTTCCCTCGGCTCCTTTTGTCGTTCTTTCGTCGGCTACCGCCTTCTCAAATCGCGTTATTACTCGACTCGTTACCTCGTTGCATCCACTTACGTCGTCGTCGCTACGCTCCTCCTTAGTCGGCTGTCGCCTCCAGATAAGCCTATGTAGTGGCCTCGTTACCTCGGTGATGCAGTCTTAATCACGCATCCGCCATGTTTTGTAATGTTGACGTTGTCGTCGCCAAGCTACTACATCAGTCGGCTTTCGCCTCCATCCACCTGTTTTTGTTGTCGTCGCTACTGACGTCGCTCCTCCAACTCTTGGTACAGCTCCCTCCCTGTTTTGTTGTCGCTGCGCTCCTCCTCCAGTCGCCTTCACTCCGCTCGGCTCCAGATACACTTGTTTCTCACCTCGTTACCTCGGCCTCATTCTACCTCCTTACGTCGGCTCCGTTTCACTCCGTCTCCCCAACACATCTTTCATCACCATCCAAATACACCTTTCCACGGCCCTACCTATCCACATTGGCACTGTACACACATTAAGCTGCTGCCGTCGTTGCGCCTCGTACATCTTTTCGTCGGTGGTATTTGGATGACTTTGTATCTGACGTGGCTAGAGTGTGCTATGTGGGCTGGCTGTGGGTGGCAGTATGGTTATATGGAACAGCACCGACAAGACTCTCAACTACATAAAAAAGCAGGTAACTGTCAATCTCATTCAGCCGCTACTCTATAACGACCACCACAAGTAAACCACCACGCAGCACCTAACGCACCAATCTGGCAAAGGGGAACATACATTAACAAAAACAGTTAATGCGACATCTAAATGACATCTATTGCGATGCCATTCAACGTGTGTTATATAAAGCTACATTAGGCCCTTGAACGGGAAGGCGGAGTATTCATCAGTGTCCATCTCCTCGTGAATCCTTCCACCGGCGAGATTTGTGGATGCGCCGGAGCTTTTAAACGATTTAGCAAACGTAGCACTTAGTTGGTAAAACACCTTGCGGAATGGATCAGGATACAAACGACAGACGAAAACAATTGCCACTGATACTAGAAGTATGGGGACTCCAATATAGCACCCTCGCCTAAATGCATCTTGGGAACATAACTTGCCGCAGTTTTTGCATTTGAAACGGCATCTTCGGCCGAGGTAGGCATATGCGTGGCCCTTTTTGTCGATGATGTCAACAGGGTTGCCTTCCTTATCAAAATAGTAGCCGATGACGTTGCAGCTGCATTCGCAGACGCAGACGCATTTGCCAATTGTTTTGCTAGATTCGCAATATAAATTGGTGCAAGCATCACCATGTACGGATTTTGTGCACTTTGCTCTGTGGCATTTGATTCTGGGACATGTGCCTTTACACGTGCATTTGCAGGGGCATGGTCCGCTGGGCTTTCTGGCGCCGGTAGTACCGTCGCATTTGCATATGAGTTCGGTGCATCCGCCAGGGTTTACGCCGCAGACGCCTTTAGGACATTCTTTTTCGTCGTGTGTATCGTCGCGGTCGCATTGACCCTCCCCCGGGCACCTGCTGTACGGATTACACCATTTACAGCACTGACAATTCACGCCATCACAGTGGTCTCCACAGTTGCAGAGGTAACATGAACATCTGTCACCTGCTTGTAAATCTTTGCATCTTACTACGCAGCGCTTACAACCGGACTCACTACACTTCTTCTTTTTCTTATCTTCCTCCTGACATCCGCAAATACAGTTATAACATTCACATTTTTTACCATCTGTACCTGGCTTGCATTTCTTCTCGCAGAATGGACATTCCGGGGGGCAACACGCTTCGCACAGCATACAATTAGCATCATAGCAAGTTTCGCCTTTCTTTTTATGACATGCTGATATATCGCATCCACAGGGATTTTTGGCCTTTACTTTCGGTTCCGCCATCTTGCTCCCCCTGATACAATATGAGCCTATTCAGCGTCTAACACCCTACTGCGACCGGCACATGGCAGCCTCCAGCGTCCCAGTGATACGGCGATGCGGCACCTTAACCGGTGCCCCTAACATATGGCCTACCCGCTGCGCAGGTGAGCACTAATGACAACATCGTTGAATGTATATAGCGAATACTTTAGCGTACCGCTTTCGCGGCCGCATCCGGAGTACCAGGGTAGTAGCGTCACCCAGGCGCTCGATCCACAGCGTCATCGGGTATAACACAAAAGCATGCGCATGTAGATGTCTAGCTAGTGCCAGCATTGTACCTTACCGAGACTTTCAAGTCTACAATTATGCAATAATCGCTGCCCGCAGTTTAGACGAAGTATTACTGTAACGTGAGTGCTTTGTCCGTGATTGTCGCGCATTGTAATCAAATCGCTGACATTTCCAAGTACGGCTTCATAACAGCTGTTCACTCAGCCTTACATGTTCTTCACTACTATCAGGGTTCCACTTGTTCCGCCTCCATACGTATCACGGAGGCTTCGGCCTTGACGCCTCCCTGAGGTGGACATGTTGCTTACGCTAAATGTCGTTAGTCCGCCCGATGCTGTGCTACAGATGTACGTCCAGTGTAGATATCATTTTAAAGTTCCGACATTGTCATCACCATAAAACCTGGGCACTCCGCGGATCATTTTACGACGCCGGCGTCCTAACCTGCGTCTCATATAGCCTCTCCGCCGCTTGCACGGCCCTTGTGATCGAGTCAATGTTTTTGTCTTTGATGTTCCCAGTACTCCCCGTATTCCGTCAAATGTTATCGCAATTCCCATTCAACGTTTCCTGCGTCACCTGTATTTTCCTCTCGATTTGCTTTTCCACCTCAATGTGCTGCCTAGTGAGCTTATCACCCAGCTGCCTTACTGAATTTTTTCACCCTGGGATCATTATTGGCGGCGCCAGTATTTGTCGACATATTCTTTGAATACCATATTTTACACGATATCACATCTCCAACATTTTTGTCAACTCCACCCAACGCCTTTTCTGCTTCCTCGGCCTCTTCAAGGTACCGGCCGGCAATCACCTCCCAATATCCCACCTGATCGGTCATTGACTTAGATAACATACTAACCGGCATGTTACCATACGTCACGCTTGCAGCATCATTCAAGGGCGTTGTACCATTTCCATCTTTCCTTTCCACACCCTGCAGCCAAGCTCTGACACCCTCACTGACGTGGACGATCAATCGTTAATAAATCTCCAAAGGAGACTCTGACATAACCAATCATGATGCAATCTAGTCGTCATCTCATCTAACATTGCCAGCACTAGGTCCTTTTCATGAACCCCCACCCCACCTATAACTTGCCTGTCTATGGCGCCCGTTCACCTTGTCCGTCATACCTTTCAGCCCCGTCTTCATCCCACTTCACGCAACTCTTTTTGTTCGAAATATGGTCTCCACAGCCTTCATACTCCGCTTTTTGCTCATTTAACATCCCCCACAAGACCCCATCCAGTTCATCAGATGCATGTTTCACCTCTTTTTACGATTACCATTGTGTAAAGCACATGGCAATTTTTGTAAAAAAATGCGCCTCTAGTAAACCTCATTTCACAGTCTGTATTGAGTATTATGTGCCACGTGAGCGGTATTGTCAGCCTCGTTTGTGTCATCTGAAAAGATAGCCGTAAGTTGGAGATATCCATGGACTAAGGGAGTGAGCAGTGTGCCTTAACATGTGGCCACGACGGTATGACTCTATGTGAACTACGCTATGAATACGTGATCTAATGACCGCATTGGTGGCAATTACTAAGCTATTTGTGCTGTCATTTAGTGGAGCTAGTGTGGCACCGCTGCAACTCCCACCCCTGGCCGACATAAATAATCACGAAAAACGGCACACAGCGACACGTGTATATTTAACCGCTATATTCTTATCTGATGTCCAGTACCTCTAAAGGGTCATCGTCGAAGTAGTCTACGTCCTTGTAGAGTGAGAGCATCCTGCGGCTGCCGGCGAGTAAAGCCTTGACGTCGATGAGGTGCGAGGCCCTGGTGGTGAGGAGGTGGGAGCGGAAGCGCAACACGTCCATGCGGTATATCATAGTGTAGGTGACTAGGAAGAAAATAGCGACAGACCAGAGCGTAAACACAGTGAAGAGGAAAGGCATCCGGATGTCGTAGAGGAAGGTATCCATACAGGTCATAAGACTTGCAATAGGCTTTCCCTTGACCACTTCCTCCAGCTTGTAGATGAGCCCGGAGCACGTGAGTGACGGCTTTGATGTGCCCTCGGACGGTATTATGCCGTGCTGGTAGAGGAGGGGCATGGCCTTGTCACACTGGTGGAGTGATGCGCACTTGGAGCCGGGGCATTGAAGGTCCTCGAGATCACCGTGCAGCTTGATCAGCGAGTCCCACAGTCTGTCTGGTAGGTACACCGTCCAGCTGAGATAGTGGTGGACGAAGGCGTGAGAGTACAGGGCGTAGGCCCGGTAGGTGATGGGCTTCATATGCTGTGGGCAGTTGGACTTATCGATGTCGCAACCCACTAGTGCGGACAGGGTCTTGGGATGGTCGTGGGTGTGGTTGGCGGTGGGAGGGGCGGGGCCTCGGATGCCCTGGACGGCATGGAGGTCGGCGTCACCAAGGCAGTCCCAGTCGGGGCAGTGTCGATGTGGCTCGGAGAGGGCGGAGCCCAGTGGAGACAACTTGAGAGACACATCATGAAGCTCATTCCCGAAATTGTGGAAGAAGGATACAAGCTCCCCCGTGGTACGCGGCGTCCGCCTGGTGAGGCAGGTGAGGTAAGAGGACAGCGTCAGCAGGGGATCCTCGCCGCCGCAAGTGGGAGTGAGGATGGTGGAAATACACTTTCCAGTTTCGTGAGATCTAGGCAAATCATTATCCCCGAATCCCATCCTAACACGGCTCTTGAGGCATATGTTGCACGGGTCGAAGGGGTGCGTCTCGAACTTGGATGTGGAGGCGTCAGTCAGGAAGGCCTGGAGGGGGGAGTTGGAGGTTACATCACGGCCGTAGTGGCACTCCTGCCAACCACCTTGTTTGCTATCCCGAGAACACTGCGACTTAAGGAACTCCAACTGGTGGCAGCAGGCGTAGGCGTAGTCCCGCAGCTGGCAGAGGAGAGCGCAGCAATCAGGGTCCTTGGATTGGTCGGAGCCCTTGGGTTTTAATGTCGCAGATAATGCGACGTTGTCTTTCCATTCAGGCGCAACGGCGGATAATACTGACGCTGCGAACACGGCGGCAAGTTTAATGGTGTCGATGACATTATCGGCGGTGATACTAGAATCGTTGACTGGGAGTCGAAGATCTGAAGGGTCATCATCTCCGCGCTTAAATGCTTTCTCAATACACTTCTGCAGAGTCTCTTCATGCTTCGTGTGTTGCAGTCCCGCCAGCCAAGTGAGCATCTCCCTGACTGTACGCGGAGCCTCGGCGGGGAACAGCTCCGTCTCGGGGATATCGGTAGAGTTGTCAGTCGGTTGCTGATTCATCCAGGGAGCGACGCACATTTTTACTGCATCAGGAGTGTGAATATACTTGGCCGGAACACTATCCGGGAGTTTCGGCAAAGCCTCGATTGGCGGGAAGTTGAGAGCAATGGCGGTGGTGGATGGGCCGATGAGCTCAAGTGGCTCTGCGGCTGGGGGAAGTGGAGAATCATACTCTATGTTTAAGTCGTATGAAGGGTCCTGAGGTGCAAGTTTGGGAACGTATACATCCACGTCCAAATGGTCGGAACTTTGGCGGATCAGTGACGATATGGGCGTAGCATCAACTGTTATACCTTCCGGCTGATAGGCGTCTCTGCCTTTCATTACCTTATCGAAGTATTTGCTGAGTTCTCTGTCATACTCTCTCTGTTTCTGCTCCGCATACATTTTTGCCAAATCACTCTGAGCTTTGAGTTTCCTCTCACCCTCTCTCAAAATATCCGTAGTGTCTGGAACTGCTTCACCAGTGAAGGGGAAATCTGTAATTTCACCACGGAGTATGACATCGTTCTGAACACCTTCCAAGAATTTTACATGTTGCGCCTCCTTTTGTGCGGCCTCCATATCTCTCTTTCGCTCTTCATCCACGTACTTTGATATCAGTTTCAGCTTCTGAAATTCACGCTCACGTTCCGCATTGTCGGAATATATTTTGCGTTCGGCATCGTGAATTTCCATAAGCGTCTTGTCTTGTCGCTCAATTGCAGAATTATCCTGTACTACTTGTCCCACCAGATAGTCCACATCTTCTCCGCCCAACGGAGCTTGGGGGATGGCATTAAACCCTTCCAATCTGGGCATTTCATCCTCGCCAAAAGGGGAAAACCCTATCGGCGTGTGCGTCGGAATTTTAAAGTATTCATTCTGGTAATGGTGGTACGCATCGCTGACCGGGACAATCGGATGCTGCGATCTAATTTCACTAAGTTTTTTGCGCTCATTTTCTTCCTCTTGTCTCCTACGCTCTTCTGCCTCTCTCAATTGCGCCATGAGTTTCTCTTCTTCCAATTTCTGAAGTTCTTCCTCTTGCTTTCGGCGCTGATCTACTGTTTTTATCAAGTTTGAAATTTTTGTTACGGCTTCCCTCCGTTTCTCCTGCTGCCGTATTGCATAGTCATCGGACTTTTTTAGGCGGTCTCCTTCTGCCTGTCGTTTTTTCCATTCTTCACCTGCTTTTTCTAATGTCTCAACTTCTTTTGTCCATTCTTCTTGCTGTTTTTGTAGAAATTTCTGCTCCTCCGCTCGTCTGATCCATTTTATACGGTTTTTATCGGCTTCAAACTTTTTTCTTATTTGCTCTTGTTTTTCATCGGACATATCTGGAACGGCAAACCCCCAAAATTCGTCAGGCGGCAGATCCGTCACATCCATCCCCCCCTGCCTGCCCCTCCCATATCCCGGATCATAGTAAGGCTTCACAGGGCGATTATGAACACCGGTAGGCTGACGGGCAGGAACGGGATCAGTACGGCTGGGCTGAGTTGGAAGCCTGCGAGGACTCGGCGCTGGGGAAGTAATCCTTTTTTTAGGGGCCTTCGGTGAATAGTTCCGCGGACCTATATCATTAAGTTTTGTAAGCAGGTCGTCAGACAGAGGACGATAAGGCATCTTAGGCTTAGAATAACACACTGACTTGCCATTCATAAACATCGATACACCATCACAGTTATTAATATTATTAGACGGATCCTGTGGAGACATCCCTCCACTTCCACTGCTTGGTCCTCCACCGCTACCTGGATCAGACGCCGGGGCAGCCGGCAAAGTAGTGACACTGCTTACATCTTGACCAACATCTTGCCTAGCTCCACCACCTTGTGACCCAGCCCCCCGACCACCAGCTGACCCAGCGCCTGACCCTGAAACACTCGGAGACTGAGTAACCACAGTGACTGGAAGGAGAATAGGCTGTGGAGCTGGAGGAACAACAGACGGTAAACCCGCACTTGGGACATCTGGCTTACCAGCGCCTCCAGGAGCACTGGGGGGAGATGGTGAAGGGGGAGACGCTTCCGGGCCTGGAGCAGAGTGTTGAACTTGAACAACTTGTTGATCTGTTCGAACTCGAGTCGAAGAAGGCACCGAAGTCACTGGACCAGGAGGCCCTGGCGGGCCTGGAGCTCCTGTATCACCGGAAGGCTGAGGTAGAACAACAGAGTTGACAACTGGTGAAGTTGCAGACGCATCTCTACTCTGATTTGGAGTTCCATCCGCTTTCTTGCCTTGGTTCTGTGCTCCCTCCGCTTTCTTGCTATCATCTTCTGGACATGAATCTCTTACTTTACCTTCCAAAATCTCCACAAGCCTATCCAAATCGCGTTGATTTTCCTGAAGCTGTTTGCTAACAGTGGACAAATCTTTCATCAAAGCCTGCACATCTGCTCTCGACTTTATAGAGCGATAGTCTCCACTAAATGTGAATCCGTAGGGGAAAAGATTTTTAGTAAAATAATCTCCAAGATGCTGTCCGTCCTTGTGTTGCTGAATATCCCTCAATTTCCCTCGCACATTGACCAGATTCGTTCTCAACCAATCCGCTGTTTTCTGCGCAAGCGCTGTCTTATTAAGGTCTCCCGTACCCGTCACCTGTCCGGTGAAGTCGAAGCGTTTCTTAGTGTTGAAGAGTTTGTGGAGTTTTTCTCTAAGCTGAATGCAATGCGTTTTTAGGTCGGCCCAGCATATGAAGTTATTGTTTGATCTCACTTGTTGGCGTAAGCCTTCATTCAATTCATGTATTAATGTGCCGCCGTTATTACTTTTCTTTGCCTCCTCTAAGACAATATCGCAGAACGTTCTCATCAATACGATAGCGTTCGCGGCGTTCTCTCTACGTTTCGCTGAATCTGCGATAACGGACGTGACAAATACGCTGCGGAAAAAATTGTAGAACTCTTTGCTCACAATCTTATCAAGGTCCCTAGCCATGCTATAACCTTGGGGATAGCCACGGTCCCACACATTTGCGTTATATATCACCTCATCGTCAGACGTGAACCCACCTGGGATGACGCCGTGCTTTGAGTCGCCGGATTTCGCGAAGAGATATTGGTCGAGATCACCGCCGCTATTTTTGTGCCAGTAACTCCCCGTTAATGCCCCAGTCCAGTTCTGTTTCCAACCACCGCCATGAAGTTGTGAGAAACTCGGATCCACATTGTACCACAAAAAGTACATAACGGTGAGGAACTTGGGCGTACACTCTAGGAGAGCGTTGCATATTTGGTCCGGCCTTTCCCCTCTATGTGACCAAGGCTGCGCATTGTAGCATAGCCTCGTATAAAACCCAGACGCGTTCTCAAGGAATTTGGACAGTGCGGATTTAACGTTATTTAATGTGAATTTGGGCGGTTTAAAATACTTATCAATACGTTTTTCCAGATTTTGGGCCACCTTATCCTGCATACCACTATCACTATTTAACCACATCAAGAACTGCAGACACTCCTTAAGAGTGCCAAGCGGAATACCGTGCCCCTCCATCTTGCTTACGAAGGCACTAAGCACAATGACACTAACAAATGGGCACTAGGCTGGTGGTACAAAAGTACAAGTGAAAGCGTTTTAATGGTTAACCAGGAGACACTGAAGTGATAACACGTCTAAGGTGAAGTCACTGCTTCCAGTTAACCAAGACACTGCAATGTTGCTTGCAGCTGTAGTGATTGCGATGTAATGTTTATGCTTACATATCCTCTTTTATGAGGTTGTGCGTATATTTTCTTAACCATGTTCACGTGTATTGCAATAATGTCATCATCCTCACTGATCCACTTATGAAACTTCACAAAATGGCTGTACAGCGTGTTACTAACTTGCTCAAGCTGAGCTAAGAGGTTGCCAACCAAGGCTTCAAAGTGTCGAGGAAGTGAGTAAGTGCCTTGCGAAACTGTGAGTTGATGTCGTCTCTAAGGTTGATGAGAGCGTGCTTAATAAAGGCGTGGCAGGTGAGTGATGGCCGGCATCCAACGAAGTGATGGGAGCGGCGTAACGTGTGGTCAAAAAGGTGAGAATGGAAGTTAGCTGCGCTACGAATTGATGAGCTAGGGGATTGGTTTCTAGGCGTTTTGCTTTTAATGTTTACAGGAGCCAGATGATGTGGGTTGTGGATGGACGAGGTGAGGATGGTGAAGATGGTAGTAGCAAAATTAGAAAATGTTTTTGAGTCAACTCCCCAAGGTGTACGTCAAAATATGAGGAGCCGGTGGACTCTATTAAGATGACTTTGGATGTGACGCGGCAAAAGGAGGCCATGTTGGCTCGTGGTAAGTGAGAGAATATGTAAAATAAAACAGCACTGAGATACCCTTACGTATGCACCAATATAACACGTTGCCGACACTGGTAGATGACTGTCAACTCTCAAAAGGTGTGGAGCATCACCAGCTCCACTCAGCCACTACACGACAGTGAGCATCAGATGTCAAAGCCCAGCTTGCAACGGGATAACTAAGCAGGGAATAAATCAAGTGCACTAAAACCAGACGGTTGCCACGATATCTAAAATATGCGTCGACTACGTGAAGCCACATTATTTCCTCCGAAGGGAAGCCGTCGCAACGATGTCACATTCTCAAACACACCAACTACAGCAGTCACGAACTGCATAACTACATTTACAGCTACATTGAAGCATACGTTCTTCATTTAATGGCAACGAAGACAACCGGCATTACAGCACGTGATGCCCAGCATACAAGATGCGTTAGCTGCACGTCGGCTAAGGCACGCTCGCACAGCAGCGTCGCCCAGGGCCTTCTTCGTGTTAGTGCAACCGCTAGCGTTTGCGTTGCCGTGAAGGATGCACGCTCCTTGTTCCTACTGGTACGCAACTAAGGTGTCCGATGTTCTCGTGTGTTCGAAACTCAAGTAATCTGCATGTATTTATAGATATATTCCTATTCCACCGCCACTTACATGGGCCATGACGTTTAATTTTAAAACACTTCCTCTTCCTCTGGAAGCACTGCCACTTCCACTGGGTCCTCTGGTATTTCTGTGATTGGCTGCTCCTCCATCGTTTTCTTACTCAATTGTCTGTCTACCCTTTCCTTTTGCCACACTACATTTTTTTCCTCAACAACCTTCTTATCCTCCTTGTATCTGCCAAACAAAGCGCCATAGCAAGCGATGTTGAGCAGTGAGCCTATTACGATGATGTACATGGTCGACTTCCTCAGGGCCTCGGTGTTTCTATCTTTCATACCATCATCCATGGCTTCGAGTGGCTTGTTAGAGGGGACGTAACCGTGCAGCTTCTCTGACACCCAAGCGAAGATCTCGACGAAGCTGACGCTAATCGAGATGCCGGATATGCACTGGATTATGGCGGATGCGGTGGCCTGGTACTTGTCCTCGATTGCTTTCTTCATAATTGGTCTATCTACACCGCCGACGGTAACTAAGGTTGCACCGAGAATCGCAAATTCTATGTAGTGATACCACAGCAAACGTCCGTCCGGCGCCGGGGACATGAAGAACAACAGGCACACGATCAATCGGACGCCCATCACGACGATGCCGGCAATCAGTTCGCCATAGTCCTCATGAGTACTTGTAATGTTGTCAATAACTATTCCTCCAGCCGCAGTTCCTGCTGCCCCGCCGATCGTTGTGACCACAATCGCAATGCCCACCTTGAGGTCAGACACACCCAAGTACTCGAGGTACGTGATCATGTACGGCAGAGTGCACATCGGAGCCTCCGCGATCAGCATCGTAAATATAGACAGAAATGCCGACCACGACGTAAAAACCGCTTGAAAGGCCCCGGATATTTGGCTGATGAATTTTTCTATGGACTCATAAGGAGTGCTGAGGTCCTGTGTAGTTCTCATTCCAAATATAATTGCAATACCAATTGAGATCCAGACGTATCCCAACACGATGTACGAGACACGCCAGCCAATATATCCCAGCAAGATGTTCTGGGCAGCCTCTGTAGTCAAGACGGCGCAAAGCATACGGCCGATGGTATTTAGAGCGTGAAGGCGGGTGAACGTGCTGCTGCTGTTTTGATCTTCATCGGATTCTGCGACAATCTTCTGTTGCACTGGGTACACGCAACCGAATGCGGCGCCGTGCAAGAAGCGCAGGAAAAGGATCTGTAAACACATAAGCAGTGTACTTATCGCAACCTACCGCGGAGTAGTGCGACGCGGAGCTCAGAAATATTGAGGCGATGCCCATGAACAACAACCCAGCAGCCAACACGAGGTTAGTCTCAAACGCGTCCGCCAGCAGTCCCCAAACTAAGGAGCAGCACATGCGCGACATGATAGACACGGTCACCAACATCGTCAGCTGCCGCTTGGAGAACTTCAAAGTCGACTTGAAGGTCCTAACACACATGTACAACACCTGCTGCTCGTAGCCCTCCGTGAACGACACCAGGTGGTACAGGACCTGACCAAAGATGCCATAGTCCGCTTTTACTTTCTTTGTTGCTGTAGGTTCTGCAGAACCTGAAGCGTTCTTGCCTTCTTGAGTTTGTGGCGCAGACATTGTTAGAGACTAATGTTGGCCAAGCACCCTTCGGACCTTTTAAGAAAATGTGCAGCGCGCAAAATGTGGATCAAAACTTGAACAGCTACATTAGACATGCATGGCATCATCTTGCACGGCCTTCACTGCGATACGGATACCCTGAATGAAATTGACGAGAATCTATCACATGTGACACATAACGCAACTGTCACAAACGACATGGTTATCTGCACATTGCCTCAGACCCCCAAAACAACGCACGGATATCTACCTGAAACTAAGGGTCCTACAGCAGTGACTCGTCATCGTGTGTGAGTAGAATGTGTACATGTGGATTCGTGCAACCTATGCCCATCCAAGTCTACGAACTGCTCCAATTGACGCCACAATGTTTCCGTCGCCGCCACTGCCAAAGCGTGTGATGTGAATTCAGTGACAGTCGACGAATCTCTGTGGCCATTAGATGACGGTGTCTGGCAAACACATCGGCGCGGATGGAAGCTCTGCTTAAGCGCCTCGATGGTTGCTGCGGTAGGTGGGCGACGCACTCGTGATTAGTCAGCGCCGCGCTCACCATGTGCGACGTCACGCACGTGCTATGAACATCAATTACTGTGTTAGGCGCCGCTTTTCCTTTGCGTCCTGCGACTCTCTGCCGGGAAAACTTGTGAGAGAGGCGCATGTGTATAGTATCTGCGCCGTGGCATGCAGAGCAACTGGCATCACAGCTGCGCAGTCAACTACACCTGACACGGACCGTTGCACCTCGTCTACGCCTGTTAGTGCCGTTATATTGGTGCGCTAGTGAGTGGCTAGATGAGCTGCAGTGCGCGTTTTGTATGATAATGAACGCCGCAACGTTTTCGACAAATGCCACTTAACTACGCCGTACATCGGCAATCAGGTCGAAAAGTCCTGGCCACATTCATTGTCAAGCCATATGCTCAATCAGTAACATGGTTCACTCGTCTATGAGATGATGCAACACCTCGACCTGACCGCGCATGCACCAGTTGGTGGAGGAACATAAATAGCAGTAGATGGGCACTTCTCACGCCAATTGTTGTGTTATAACGGTCGCATTAGACGAGTCACTTCATAGCGTTAATTAACGCTTTTCATCTATTGTAGAGATGAATCAATGCCACGTAGTTCATACACAGGGCACATCGCTCATCCCAAATAGCAACTTTCGTGCCATTCCAGTGCGTCGTATTTTTCAGTTACAATCATCACTACACTACCCAACCAGACGGTCTTAAAGTTAGTTACACTGATCTTTGCCAAATCTGCTACCATGCTGAACACGACATCGGCAGCTGCGGGTGGGTAACCACAGGGGTATCAAGAAAAACCCTGATGTGACAAAATTGGTTCGCAGATGATTGAAAAGTTGTTTTACCAATATGCTTAATAGATCTCACACAATATTGCCTATGAACTAAGATATCGAAATGATATGCTGCGTGCCAACAGCACTGAGAACACCGGGGCATCGGCACCAGCTCAGCGACGCAGCATTCAACGATAGGAAGCACAGTACCACTAAACGCCACCCAATCTACATTTCGCCATCTTTAAATGGGAATATGCGTTGAAAGCGCTCATACTACAATCCCGAGTGTCACTTCAGAGCTTGTTGCTGCCACCGATGTGGCGAAGCCTGCATTGAGATTGATAATGACGGGCCAGGCGATTGAAGACAGAGGGATCGTGATCTCCCGCATGTCTTACAATGACACGTCATAGGTAGTTGGATCCACGGAATGGGCGTCCCAGAGGGAAGCAACGAACTCGAATAAGGGACTTCCTTACGGCGGCCTTGAAGAGAAGATTTCACGAAATTTTTGGAACGACATACTCTCAACCTGGCGAATGATTTGTAACATATTGGTCTACGATTACCCTTCCCAATAGCGGTGATCGTAGCAGGCAACCTGGACGTAGCTCCGAATACGTCGGTTGAGAAACCGCCGGAAGACTTGATTAGACGTGATACTGTGCGATAAAACACATCAATATTGGATAATGCAGCGTAAGATCGTAAAGTCGCACTGCTTGGAGAACGAATAACTCCACCGCTTGCGAATATAGGAGTTAAAGTTGCAACCATGTTCCGCCTTCTGGAGGCAGCGTTAGGCACTAGACTCTCGGACAATCGGCGGCCAGACCGATCACTCCGCAAATTCATGGTTCCCATTTGCATTCTCTAAGACAGCAGAGGCGTTCGTTGTGTCGATTACGCATGCTATGTAATTAATGCCTCACGCTGCTGTTGTTGGTTGCGGGATCCATGCCGAGTTATCGTACACTACAGGTATCATCCATTGTGGCATCCATCCTGTTTGGGCGAGAGGGTCATTCACAGAGTCATAATCCTCCCTGGGTTTCCTGTCCCTCAACACTAGCTTTTGTGTTTCTTGGATCACTACCCGTTGTATATGGGCTTCTAAGCGATCCGATATACCCAGGTCCCGCCTACTGTTGTAGCTTATGTAGTTAAACACATTAAAACACAGGATATAACCTTGATGCTTGCCTGTTGGCGAAGTGGTTTCCCTCGTAGTACCGTTGGGTACGTAATCGTGTATACGTTTCCATATCCCCTGATGTTTTCAAGGTGTGTCGACCAAAATTTGCTTTTGTAGTAAAAACCCCATTCATACTTACGATAAACAACTTCATTATTCAGGTCTTTGTCTGTAGAACGAACCAACAGTGTAATGCACTGTCCTCGCCCTTTGTTGTGGTTGAGTTGGCTGCGATTATTGATAGGCCGCGGTGTGATCACCGGGGTACTTCAGATACTTGGCAATTCTGGGATTATTTGAGAGAATTATGGCGGTATTCAGGTGCTCCATGTTAGTCGTTTCGTCCCATTTGTGTATCTGCCCGTATTGCTGGAGATATACGGTGTTGCCTCGTTGCCTTGTGTCTAGAAGCACCTGCACAATATGATCACTCGTGACTAGAGGCTTACGACAGCATATATCTCCACGACCTGCATAGTTTGGAGGGTTGCCTGCTGGTTGAGCGCGCATAGCACCTTCGCTCCTGTTAGTAATTGTTCAAACGCTGGGGCTAAGGCTAACCGTCTGGCGTTTGTATGATAAGGTTATTCTTGTCGATGGAGATGATTCTTCCCACCACCCGTACAGTACTTCCGATGCGATTCCTCAGCATTTCATAATTACACAACCTGTCGCAGTATATTAACATCATCGATAAGATTGTGAAGTGATTTGTTGCAATAAACGCACCGCGGTATTTGTGATCGCGTGTCTATGTCAAGAAAGCCTTCCGTCATCTTTGTAATATAATTAAGGCAGTTAAAATCCTAATAAGTCAGACATTCTTAGCAACATAAAATCTCAAGCAAGCTAGTCGCGTCACGTTACTAGTAAGTGCGGTAGCCGTATTTTCGCCGCCTTTTTTGCGCAATACATTGTACAATGTACGTCTATTTCAATTATGTGACAACACTGTGCAATTTTCCATTGTGTAGCATGCAATGGCCTCGTGGTATGTGTGTTCCACAAGCGTCACGAATGCCCAAGGGTGTTTATTTACCATGGCACACTAGTCAGGATGATACCTGTGAATTTCAAACAACAACACCATATACATTTACCAAACAAGATAACAACAGCGCGTGCATCTTGCCTTTATTGTCTTGTCTGGTAGTCCCGTTCGTATGTGCACCAATGCAGGTTGCTCGCCTGCTCCTCTTCAGCACACATTAGTCACACATAAATTCCAGCGGGTTGTAGGTTCTTAGATCGATAACATTTTCGGCATTGGCGCCCTTTCTCGATCGCCGTTGCCTCTCGAAAGGGGTCTCGTATCTTGCTTGTCTACGGAATAAAACGCCGGTAAAAGATTGCCAAATCAAGTAGACACATCACAATTTCATTGTGTTGCTATGTATGAAATGGTCTGATTCGTCCGCAACTGTCAGCTGCGGGTTGCTCAGTGTTAGTTGCGATGGCTCTACCGAAGGTATTGGTGGTGGCTGAGAAGCCTAAGATTGCGGAGGTACTTGCCAGCAGTCTGTGCACGGATGCAGGGTCGCTGCATAAACGCAAAGGGGTTAGTATTACGTGGTATTGAACGTGATATGTTCGTCGCCGCTCAATAACGAACGGCATACATTCGTGTCATTAACATTGAAAGCGGTCTGATTGAACCCTCGTAATTTGCTTTGTCTGTTCAATGAGAATGCTGCATGGAGTTGTGCTTTATGCGTTTCGCATGCATACTGGATTCTGCTTAATTTTGTTGATGGCCTTTGTTTTGTTGCTTGTAGGCCGTTATCAGTATTTTGATGCATTTCTCCTTTCATATGCCTTATATCAAGTATGTTACGAAACAAATCATTCATCAGAAATCTAATGCCTGCATGACATGGGAGTGTCGTGGCCGCTTCTTGTCCTCAGCGGCCGACTTTTTGGTGACTTCGACGGCAGGTCACGTGTACTCCGCCGCTTTCGCTTCACGCTACAACAATTGGTCATCCACCGACCCGCTGGATTTGTTTGATGCAGATATCGTGTTTGAGGAGGCGACTCCCGAGAACCATATTCCGCAGCACCTGGCTTACGAAGCTAAGGGATGCAGTTACCTGTTGCTATGTCTGGACAACGACAGGGAAGGGGAGAATATCGCCTTCGAGGTCATTGGCATCTGCCGCCCGCATCTGGTTGATTTGGGTCGTAAACAGGTTGGTTTACTTTTTTGAGTGTTATAATCGAGGTCAGATTTATCGCGCTCGTTTCTCAGCTTTGAGCAAGGAGGACATTCTACGTGCCATGGGCAGCTTAGGCGCCCCTAACAAGCTTGAGTCCGACGCAGTGCATGCCCGCCAGATCATTGACCTGCGAGTTGGCTGCGCATTCACACGTTACCAGACGAAGTTTTTCCAGGTAATTGCGCGCATCTGACCCTAACTGCCTGCAGGAGAAATATGGAGATTTGGATTCGTCCTGCATATCGTATGGTCCATGTCAGACCCCTACATTATTCTTTTGCGTGGATCGGTACAACGCAATACTGCGGTTCCAGCCGGAGCCCTATTACAAGGTATGTCTGTGGATGAGTTGTTCTGACCCATATGCAAGCTCACTGGAGAGGCGTTGTGCAAAGGTACAAGGGTGCGTCTCACATGGTCCCGAGGTCATGTCTTCGACAAGTCGGTGATCCAGATTTTCCACAAGGCGGTATGTGCTATTCACTTGTCCATGACGCTTGAGCAGTTACGAGACGCCACTCACGGCAAGGTTACCGCTGTGAGCGTTAAAAAATCGAGTCATGCGCCACCTAAGGCCCTGAACACCGTGACCATGTTGAAGGAAGCGTCATCTCGTTTGGGTATGGGTCCGCAGAAGGCCATGCACACTGCTGAGCACCTATACTTGTCTGGATACACTTCGTATCCCAGAACCGAGACAGACAGCTATCCAAATTCTTTTGACTGGGAAGACCTGCTGCGCAAATGCCGGTCAACTCCCGAGTACGGGAATTTGGTGGAAACTCTCATGAAGGTTGGTGCTACCATGGTGATTTCATCAATGCTCAGTCCGGCACTCCGTTGGGACCTCATGGCGGACGTGACGCCGGAGACCACCCTCCTATCACGCCGGTTCGTCTCGTCTCCCAGGGAGTGTTGACAGGTGACGACTGGCGTTTGTACGACTTTATCGTTCGTCACTTCCTGGCATCAATCGCCGGCCCATGCAAGGTGGAGACCACGACCTATACTATTAATGTGAACGATGAACTTTTCAGCTTCAGCACATCGAGGAAGCTGGAACGCGGCTACACCATAGTATCGCCTTCATCGGATGATAATGTAGTGAGTGCAGTATCGCTGGCCAAGGGCGACCAATGCGAGGTGGCGAACTTTAGCATAGAGGTAAGCAGTTATAGAACCCCGTTATCGCTGCACGTGTTACAGGAGGGCGTTACGTCAGCTCCACCGCTGCTGTCCGAGTCTGATCTGCTGGACTCCATGGAGAAGAAGGGCATTGGCACGGACGCCTCGATGGCCACCCACGTTCACAACATCATAGCTCGTAACTTCGTGAAGCTCGTTGGAAATCGCCAAGTGGAACCTACTAAGCTTGGCAAATCGCTACTGGATGGGTACATGCAGATCGACCCTGAGCTCGTCCTTCCGAGCGTGCGTGCCACCATCGAGAGTTACTGCAACATGATCGCCGAAGGTTGGTCGCCGACTTTTGCAATGATCAATACCTATTAGGCAAGGCCGAATGTGCCGATGTTATCCGCCATGTTTGCCGCATGTTCCGTCTGAAGTTCGAGTATTACACAAGCAAGGTTTGTTTGCTGTGTCATGCCAAGCACGTGCTTCAGATCGATGTCATGAACTCTCTGTTTGAGACCCATTTCACCCGTGTGGAAAATTTCGGCACTCCCATGAGCCGCTGTGGTATCTGCAATCGTTACATGTTGTTTCTGAACAAGGCGCCAATGCGCCTGTTTTGCAGGAACTGCTCGCGAGAGTACTCGCTGCCAAGCGGCGGCACCATCCGCTTGTACAAGGGCCTGAAGTGCCCTCTGGATAACTTCGAGTTGGTCCAGTTTCAGAGTCGCAACCGCGCATTTTCGCTCTGCCCGATGTGTTTCAACGATCCCCCATTCGAGGAGTTCGGCAAAAAAGGTTAGTTCCTCAGCATCGCCGACAACTGTTCCTCAGGCATGAACTGCATCGATTGTGCGCATCCTACCTGCGCGAATGGTCCTCGGTCCTTGGTGTTGACGTGTTGCCCCGAGGAATGTGATGGGAAGTTGGTCCTCGATGTCATAAACGGCGCGCCTAATTGGAGGTTCTTCTGCACCCTCTGCGTGTACAAATTGCACATATCGGACAATGCTAAGAGTATGTCTGCATATATACTGCGTTTAAACAGCGTTATCAGAGATTTCAATACTCCCCGAATCGGAGTGCGACGAGTGCGGCAGCCACTACGCGAAGTTCGAACTAAAGGATGGGAACTCGCTGGAGGGCTGCTTGTTCTGCAGTGATGGCATGAAGAGATATCTGGTGAACCCGTTAGTTAGAACAGCGTGTGAAGTCACAGTTGCTTAGGCCCAAGAAGTTCAACCACCACCGGAAGTTCAGGCGCGGAGGCCGTCCCAGCCGTGGTCGAGGCCGCCACTGACAATTGGTTGCAACACCAATGTTAAAATGTACGTGATTTAAAGATGGTCACAAACCCGACTAATAAATCACGCGAACAAAAGGTATGGATTACTGTGGCACGTAACTTAATAATGGCACAAGTTCCTATCTTGTGGCGGCAGTGTCTTCTGACACAGGTACCATGTACGGTAACGAGTGTCACACAACACATTATATTTTGATGGATCACTCTGCCTCACGTTCCAGCGCCTCCAGATCTAGGATGAGTGGCTCTGCCACGTGCTTGTAGTCCTCGTCATCCATTGGCACAAATTGTATTTGCCTTTTCTCGTATTTGCGATGTTGCATGTTTTGTACGCAGGCAAGCAGCGATTCGCGGTCCACGAACTCCACAATGACGTCTCCCGGCTTGAGATTGGGGGCGATGTCCTTGTGCCTGGGTGTGACTATAGCGCACGTTTTGATTTTGCCGTGCTTTTCGAATGCCTCTATGACGTCTGTGAGTACGTCCAGATACTCGACTTCCTTCTGCACGCTTTCCGGCAGCACTATCTGCGCCACCTTGAGGCAGCTGCCCTTGAAGGCGTCCAGAGGTAGAATGTTCTGCAGCTGCATACCAGGTATGGGCTGCTTGGCGCCCGACGTTGAGTAGTCGTTTGGCCTCGAGACACGCAATTGTGCACCCATACAGTTCATTCCGTCCATGGTCAGTGCCCTCTCAGTCTCCTCGACCGTCGCGAACTCAACAAAACCGTAGTTGCCCTTGTCCTTGGCGAACCAGACATAGAGCACTGGTGACACATTGGGGTCGTTACAGAAGTTACGCGTCCTCATTTCATTCCACACGATGTTTTGGAACGCGTTTTCAGTAAGTCCTGCGGCCAACGGCAAATTACCGAAGTACAATCTCCTCAACTTCCTGGTGGAGTTCATGTACGCCGAGTCGGTGTTCATCATGAGCGCGGCCTGCCCGGTCTTTGCCACCCACTGGAACCCGTCCCAGAAGAGTCGCACGGTTTCATGACCTTCTTGGTCTGCGAGCTTTTGGAAACCTCCAGCACGCCTAATGCAATCCGCCTGCGCCTTCCTCCTGCGGCGCTCCGCTGCCCTGGACCTGGCATGGCTCGGCGACAGGTTTGGGTTCAGCGCCACTGCGTCAGCGTCTTCCTCACGCTTTTCCTCACGTAAATCCTTGCCTTCCGGCTCTTGGCGATCGTACCGCCGCGGCCTATCATCCCTGCCGCGCGAGTACCTCGACCTACCGCGGTGTGAGCTCCTCGGCGACGGGCTTCTCCTGTCTCTGCTCCTCGACCTGCTTCTCCTACTGTACCTGGAGCGGCGGTCACGCCTGCCCTCATGGCGATAAGAATCCCGACCGTAGTCGTGCCGCGAGTCGGATTCCCTTCTGCCGTCTGCAGCGTACCGTCGCGGCGGATCGGCGTCGTACCCTTCGCCGTGCATTTGTGAATCGTCTGCGGCTATCCGTTTGCCAAGAAGCTAGAGCGACGCGCGACGGGAATTGTCTACAGTGTACGCAACCTGACCCCCCACCCCGGCAGTGCCTTCCACAGCGCGGGACCGATTGCTGGAATCTTAGCGGCTGTAATGCGTGCGCGCGATGCGCTTAATAAGTTTCAGAATGTGTTGAGGCGGAATGCGTCCTCATTGGTCTATAAACGAGGGCAGGAAGTCGCGTTCTACGCGCGTGTTATTCGGGACGGTGTGGTCAGGTGCCACGACAACGTGCTTCAGCTGCGTGTCTATATAACGGCGCGAATGCATTTCTTACCGTCGCTTTGCTGGACACTGTTGCGCCCTGTCCGATGATACACCTGTCGAGGTTTACGTTATCCTGGAGTGTGACGTCGTTCATGATGACACACTTGGACAGCTTGCAATTTTTGCCAATGGTCACGTTTTCGCCTGGGTTATGTTTGTCACATAGGAACGTCTTCACTCACCCATAACACATCCCCTAGCATTCGTTCCCTCGCCTATGTTGCAACCCGTTGCGATAATGACATCGCGCATCTGCGTGATGATAGTACTTGTGCAGGATAGCCTACCTTCACACCTGCCGGCAGTGCCGCCTGGCCAGCCTGCTTTTGCGCGCCGTCTGCAGCCTTCTGCATGTTAACGTTCATGAGCGCCTCCAGGCTGTTGACCCTGCCGCACTTCATTGAGTCCCCGATATCCATGTAGTGGAAGACCCTCATGGCATCGTTAGCGTCACTTCGCTCGATATCCTTGACGTACACCCTTTCCTCTTGGGCTCCGTTGCTCGTTGGTTCGCGAGTGGGCCATGATGCAGCATCGGGTACTTCTTGCATCTTCACAATGTGCGGGATTAGGTCAAGCTGCAGACATTGTTTCAGATTCAAAGTTGCCTTACCCTGATGGACGTGTGAGCCATGCACGGCAGCTCAGCGATGTTGCGTATATGCTTAGAGAAGACGTATATGTGCGCATCGTATAAGTCGTTTCGAATGACGCACTTCGGGTGCCTCCTCGCAGTCCACTTGTCAACGGTGTAGGTCTCCCCGCTGTTGAGCGTGAGCACGTCCGCTATTCCAAGCAATTGCGAGTTGTCGGTATCCATTGTCACCATGACCCTATATTTGTATCCCCATCCCTTCACGGGGTCCCCTCCTGGTGCGATTTGGTCATCTGGCGTCTGCTTGGTTTTCTTGGTCTCCTGCGGGTTGCGTTTGTCTTCAATGAGTGCAACTGTGCAGAGCCTTTTGGTTGACAGATGGTTTTCCACGAGTCCACGAATGTTTAATGCGCCGAACAGATCACACGGAACAACCAGAAAGTCCGTCTCCAGGCGCTCCGCAGCATACCTGAGTACGTCGGTTGTGGTTGAGATTTGTTCATCTCTGTCCACAATAGCGTGTATCGATATATCCAGCTTGTCACGTCCGCAGTTACGTGTCCCATAAGTACCCTCTGCTGCGAACTCTGACCGCACGTGGTCCTCGATGCACTGCTGGTCGTCGACGCTGACGATGATGTGGATGTTGTGTATTCCGGCCGCCACGAGGTTGTCTATCGTCCCGCATATGAGAGATCTGTGCCCAACTTTGATTAGCGCCTTTGGCGTTGCGTTCGTTAGCGGAAGCAGGTTGTCACAGGCTCCTGCTGCCAAGACCACCGCCGGCACACTAAGGGCGTTCACCGGTTCTGCGATTCGTTCGTTGTCAACAGACATCTTCATGTGCACTCTGACACTGTCAAATGTGTCTACCATATCTGCAATTTCAGATGGATGGCCTGAGGTAGTAAGATTTTGCTTCGCCTCCTGCCGCGTCCTACGACTGCCGGATTTCTCGGCACAACGGGTCAGGAATAGGTGTTTCTTCCTCAGTATTATAAAGTCCTATTACGTATGCGCAATATTAGGGCACCCAGTAGGCTACACATCAGGTTCGTGTACGTTCGCTCGGAATGCGATGTATACTTCGCGCACAGTTCGGAGCATAAACAACATCCAGTGAACCAATCCACCGTTTTACATTAAGCCACAACCACACGTGCCCATGGATGTCCAGGAAAGTGCCTGTCCGGGTGGGATGTTGTTATGCGGTATGTGTTAGACGTCAGTGTTGGTTGGGGGATTCTGTATCGTACCACCAGCATTCACCTATTATCAACCGTCGCACAGCAGTTACACTTATACATATATTGTTCGTCTATATTTGGTATATTATTTTGAGCCGGCAACTATGATACTAGTCTGTCTTGATTACGATGTGTATGCATTGAGACTCCCGATTCCCCCTTTTACCGCTGCCGGTTGCATATAGGATAGTTTATATAAAGGCTTAAATATGGGTAGCAGTAGGGTTTATTGTCTGTGCCAAATGTGTCGCAGTGTGATGTGTCGTTTTAAATGTCGTTGCGTTGACGTGAATCCGCTCGCTTATTTAGCCCCTCAGCATCACTTCTGGCACATCAACAGCCATCTGATAGATCTACAATGATTGGATAATCGCTGCAGTGCCGGTGGTAGCACCCATTTGTATTTGCTGCTGCTTCCACTACGTCTCGTCTTATGCGTCTACTTGAGTCACATTGCCGCTGTTACGGTATCAACGTAACTGTTTCACCTGTATTATACGGCATTAAAAGTTTTAGTGCAGCCAATTGAGACGGATTTAATTCCTGTCGTCCTGAGTCACATTGCTCCTCCTAGAATCCGTTGCCAAGAACCGGTTCTATAAAAGCGCTCTGCGTCTTTACTCGCGCAACAAGACATCTGAACTGTGTGTTTCCGACGCCAGGCAATTCAGGATCTACCTCTACCCGGGCGCCTAGTTTATGTTGTTTTGTTGATATCATGTGGCAATGTTGTGTCCGTTGTGAAAGATCCGAGTAGATTCCCGGCGCTCAGGTTCACATAGTTTCTCGCGTTGAACCGATACAGCATCTGGAGTCTGTCGGATGCCGTAGCATTTGTATTTCTCGTATTTATTTACCATACTGTCGTGCTTGCATGATGGCATCGATCAATCGCGGTTCTACTAGCTCCGCGGGCACCGCCAACACAGAGACCACTGCGGGCGTACCTGATGCATCAGAAGCTTCCAACTCAGCGAAAGGCAAATCGCAGCCGAAGCTGCCGCGCACTTATACGGTAGGTGTTATCCACTTTTATTGCCATGTCTGTGTAGCACCAGGTTCTCGTGGGCTTTCTGAACGACGTATTTTCAAGCTGCACCTTCATTACACGACCATCCATTACCGGTAATTTGGTGGATCTCCTGAAAGATTCGCCTGCAACCGACGGTCGTCACATGCTGGTTATGCGTTTGGAGAAAAAGGGCCTAGTGTACGAAGTTGTGAGACACGACTTTGATTCGGAGCTTGAAGGTAATTATTTCATAACTGGAACTTCCATAACGTAGCTTTTGTCTCTGCACGTGTACTGCCTATTTGTTACAGTTATCGTTGAAGTGCGTTATCTATGTCGCATAGCTGCCTTATATATATATATATATATATATATATATATGCCTTGTGTTACGGCTACGAACTGCCTAGTAATATCTCCGGCATATTCAGATGATGCCGCTTTGTTGTTTTGTAGTTTAACTGTGCGTTACACCCACGAGTAAATTTGTGCGCACCCATGTTTCATCGCTTTAATTTAATACTCAGAAGATGCGTCGCCTGATGACACGTTAAACACGAAGGCTGAGGTCCTGGTGAACGGATTGGCGTTAGCGTTTCGTAAAAACATGAGCGGTCCGACGCTTTTGAACCAGGTGCCGACGTCGATATTGAAGAGCTTCGTTGACAAGCCGCTAAACCGAGGCGGGTTATGGGCGTACATGTCACTGCCGTGTTTTCTGGGATCCGAATCCGCCGACCCAGCGACGCTTAAGGAGCGTCGTGAACGCATCCTCAGCAATGCAGCGGAAGGAATGCCGCCCATCAGCGACATCACCATCGTGTCGCTGTTGCGCGTGCTTTTCTACCTCAAGGCCGCACAGTTTTTGCGACCCCTGTGTGCCGTTCTTTGCCAGGAGTACCTGAAGAATTACTCGGACGCGAGTGACCTGATACACGTGTTTTACTTCGGTTACTCCTGTGGCGTCTTGTCCGGGGAGTACCTGTCTCGTCACGTGAACAGCGGCTTCAACGCGGTTAACGTGCTTTCCAGCCTGGCCAGCAGTGAGCTTGTGTTGTTGCTGTCTTGCTTCAGCGACCCCGCTGCGTTGGAGATGCTGCCTTTGAAGAAGGTGATGATGATTCTGACCGAGGCCGTCGAGACGTTATCAGCCACCTGTGCACTGTGCCTTATCTGCGTGTTGGTGAAATTGGAGTACAACTTTGAAGCAAACAGCCACTTTTCGAGGTCGCTGTTGGCCAGGCTGGCAATGTCGTTCGACAATGTGCCGCTGCATGCGGTTCCGCTGGTGAGCGCCCTGGGTTTCGTGGGCCTTGACTTTCCTCACTTCAACCAGGTGCTGGACAATGTCTTGGTAAAATTCCACCTCATTGAACACAAGAACTTGGTGTTGACTGGCGCCTCCTACGCCTTTGCGCACCGTCTTATGACTGACGGCGAGCTTCTGAAGCTGGATGCCCCTCGCAGCAACCACGTCAGCCACTGCTTGGAATTTTACGTGAAGAATGTTCTTGCGAAAACGTTGTCCGACAACTATCACCTCGTCGGTTACTACAGCGATGTGTTGGAGGAGTTATCAACTTTCCCAAATACTCCGAAAGGTGTGGATGTTGCGTCGTTGAACAGCAGAGCCTCGCCAAGGCAACTCTCCAAACCCGGGCCTCCTACTATTTCTTCGCCGGGTTTTCTAGGGCATACAACTACCAATTCAGGCTCGTATTCCGAAATGTCCACTTCTGTGCACTCGTCCAAGCTGTTTTATTTGAACCTGTTTGAAGACTGCTGCCTTCGGTACGAAGAGCTCGACTTCGACTCGCTCTGCCTGTTTCTGTTTTCGTTGCTCACCTTCCACATCGACATTTCTCCGCTTCACGAGGTACTGTTTTTGCGTTTTACAACAAACTCTACCCCAGGCAATGTTGGTAGCGCAGGACCTAATGCTGCGTAAGGGCCATAACCCGGTGAAGATCCAGGTGGTTCCGGAGTCCGAAATTAACCGTCAGCACATCATGTGCTACGCAATATTGCAGTATTCTCAGAATCCGGCTGATGGCACGGCTGCATTGGAATTTGGCGACGTACGATCGTATTGCCCTGAAGAGGTGGTTGAGGTGGCGCCCCCTGCCCCTTCCCCGGAGTCTACCCCGGAACCCGCTCCAGCTATATCGATCGAAACTGCCGCGCCGGCGCCCCCAGAGCCTCCACAAGTGGATGTGAAGCCACCGGCAGATATAGCTCCCGACGCATCACCGGCCAAGTCGACCCCTGCAACGCCCTCTGCTGACACACCCGAAGCAGAATCGACGGCGGTCAAACGTAAGTATCCATATCATAACACTGCCGTATGTTCACGACAAGTGCCGTGTGTTTCTGGCGAGCAAAAGTTTGCACGAAGTGGGATTTGAACCCACGAGGACTCTCGCCCACCAGAACTTGAGTCTGGCGCCTTTGACCGCTCGGCCATCCGTGCTGCTTGAGAGGTGTTGATTTTATTCGTCTTAATGTGCTTTCAGCGGATGACTCGGTGAGCAAAGCGCTCCAGGCTCTCGGCATAACATTAGACGCCAGCTCACCCGCAAAGAATCTGACCGTGGAAGGGCTGCTGGGGGCTCTCACGTTGCTGGCGTCCCCAGTAGCCCCGCCAAATACTCCGGCTGTTAGAAAACCGGCCAGAAAAGCTAAAGGTGTATCACGTGAAAAGGTGGTTGCTAGAGCATCGGAGCCGCCAAAAGCTCCCGCGCGGGAACCAAGCGTCAAGCGCGAGGTTGCGAAGAACGCCAGCGACTCCGTTACCGACCAGCATGGTGTGCAGCAGGCCGACCTGGGAGTCCCCGGTGTGCTTCTATACGCGATTAGACGCCAGTACCGCTACCGAGCGACACTGGTGAAGCATCGCGTATCGATTCATTACTCGTTCGAGAAGGTCCAGCGCCGTGCGCGCTAGAGCGTCAATTTTCGCCGCGTTAATGCGGCTACATTAAACGCTAGTGTAAATAATAAACATTCTATCTCAACTGGTGTGTAGAGAGCGCGGGAATGCTGCGCTATCGGGCGGCTGTTCGCGTATGTGTAGTCATCGGTAGCCTTCTAAGACGCGTGCCGTGCGTCTGAACCTGCCAAGTTCCGTTTTAAATGTTGTTGTTTCCCATGTATTTCTAAAGGCATAAAAAGCTGCCTGTTTTTGTTGCGGATACTGTTTGTCCGTAAATAGTTTCAAAGTACACCCTGGTGGCGCCGTGCTTCGCTTGCTTCTAGGAGCGCTGCCGGAATTCATTATGTGCAGAGTAGATCCTTGCATCAGATAGGTCTCGATGTTGCGTTAATTTTGCGCGTTGTTGAGTTCTCCGCGTCTCGGAGGCCTCCGTCGTCACGGGGTGCCGAAAAGGTTTCGCCATTGCTGCGAGCCATCCGTGACATTGTATCACACCGTCAGGCATCGCGTAGGCAACGATGGTGTTGTTCACTACCGTCCACTTCCGATGCCGCGCCGTGCTCGAGTTCGGGCAGCGGCTGGCCGTCGTCGGAGACCACAGCGCTCTCGGCGCCTGGGAGCCGGCTGAGTGCCACGAGCTTCGTCAGAGCGCCACTGTGGACGACGTATGGATTTCCCACTCTCCGGCGCACTTGCCGTTGAACGAGCGAAGGGAATACCGCTACGCCGTGCTTGATGATTTGGGCGAATTCGTGCGATGGCACGATGAAACTGTGAGGGTCCTGGAGCCTACAGGCAACGAGATGCTGGTTGAGGATGACGACGGTTACTATCGCGACGAGTGCTCTAAAATGTCCAATTCGGGTGACGAGTACGGCGGTCCGCAGGCGGCTGAGAACAATATCGACAGCAAGAGTTCGCTGCAGATGATCCAGGCGTTGCGCGGTCTCGACGTGGACCCGAACCTCACAGTGTACTTCGTTACATCTCGCCTTCCCATTCAGATTAAGCGTGGCACGGATGGTTCGTTTTCCATTCGGCAGTCGAACACTCCTTTGACCACCACACTGTGGAAGACTCGCAACCGTTGCCGCAATAAGATGCGGTTTATAGGTGCCTGCTTGATAACTCCTGAGACTGATGGCGATGATGTGGACGGCGCGGAATCCCCTCCTGCGTCCAAGTCTGGGGACACCAAAAAGGAGGACTCCGGGGACAGTTTCACCGACGCTGAAAAGGAGGAGATACGCATCCTGCTGCTTGAGCACGACTGCATCCCGGTGTTCGTACCATCTGCAGAGTTGAATGCCTCGTTGCGCTTTTGTAAGGAGCACCTGTGGAACCTGTTTTACAACATCGGCCTGTGGGATGTGAACGAGCAACGCGAGTTCAGGTGGGACCTCTGGACTTCCTACGTCAGCGTGAACCGCCAGTACGCCTCCGTCGCCGCCATCAACGCTTCAGAAAGTGACTTCTTCTGGGTCCACGATTACAAGCTGTTGATGGTTCCCCATTTCATCACGCGCCGAATAAAGCGTGCCAATATTGGTATTTTCATGCACGCGATGTTTCCCCCTTGTAGCTTATTTATATGCCTGGCTGTGCGTGAGATAATTTTGCGCAGCATGTTGTGCGCCGACCTGATCGGATTCCAGTTTTACGATTACGCCCGTCACTTCCTGACGTGCTGCAAGCGTTTGCTCGGGTTGGACCACACTTCCAAGCCGGGTGGTATGCTCGACATTGAGTACAATGGTCGAGAGGTGATGATCCTGCTGTCGCACAGCCACATCCAGCCCGACCTGCTAGCTACCATGCTGGAGGAGAACAATGGCGTCCCAGCGCTGGTTGAGTCGTTCCGTAAACAGTGGCCCGACCGTTTCGTGTTTGGTTCGTTGGACCGTGATATCCGTCTTTCCGGTTTGTTTCTGAAGCTGAAGGCGTTCCGTAAGTTCCTGGAACAGACCAGTTCTGCTCGCAACAAGGTGCTGCTGGTGCAGTACGTGTCCGCCAAGGACACGCTCTGGGAGTGTCGGCGTGACGTGGCGGAGCGATTGCAGTCGATTGTGGACAGCATAAACGAAGATTATGGCGGTGTGCACGTCGTGCTGGAATTTAACGTGAGTATAGAGCGCAAATACGCCCTGTTTGTTTCTGCTGACTGCTTCCTGGACACGTCGATTCGTGGCGGTATTAACATGCGTGCGTTGGAATACATCTACTGCCGTAAGGGCAAACCAGCGTGCGCTATATTGAGTGAGTTTGTGGGCTTCAGCAAGATGCTTCTGTCTGCGATCCGTGTTAACCCGTGGCACATCGAGAGCGTGGTAGAGGCTATGCGAACAGCTATGTCGTCCAAGTCCGAGGAGAGGGTCGAAGTGTGCCGTCGCGACTTCGAGTACATCGTGAGCAGCGACACAGTGAGCTGGGCCGACCACTTCGTGCGTGAGTTGTTCTTCGCACGCAAGCGCCAGGACATGCTTCACCTCACCTGGGGCTTTGGCAAGACCCTCAAGACTTATTCGCTGGCCAACTCGTTCCAGCGTCTGAACACGGATTTCGTGCTTAACTGCTACCATGCTGCGCGTCGTCGTCTGATATTCTTGGATTGCGAAGGCACACTGTCGCCCAGTCTGTGGGACACCCCTCCGCGCTCTCCTCAAGACTGTGAGCAAAGCATCCGTATGCGGATCGCCCCCCTCGAGTGCAACGTGAAGAGCATCGAGACGCTTGCTGACGATCCCCTGAACGTAGTGGTCGTTATAAGCGGCCGAAGTCGCGAATGTATGGAGAAGTTGTGGTTCCCCGATCAGCCGAAGCTGGGTCTGTGTTCGGGCTACGGGCTGTACTACAAGGTGCCTACCATCACGGGTAACGAGTGGTGCTGCATGCTGGATACGGTCGACGAGGGTTGGAAGGAGCCCGTGATTCAGATAATGGAGCAGTACGCGCACCGTACTCCCGGCAGCTACATCGAGGTAATGGACTCGGTGGTGGTGTTCCAGTACCACAACTCCGACCCCGAGTTCGGCGCCACGCAGTCTGGTGAGCTCTACACTGTGCTGAAGGGCACCATGGCCACGTATCCCGTGGAGGTCCAACTGTGCAAGTGGAACGTGATGGTTCGTCTCAAGGGCGTCTGCAAAGGCACTGCGCTGCTCAACGTTGCCAAGCGTTATTCCGCTTTGCATGGCGAGCTGGACTTCGTGCTGTGCATCGGTGACCACAGGTCTGACGAGGACACCTTCAAGGCACTTGACACCATGACCCTCTGGTCCAAGAAGGGCGACGGTGCCACGTCGTCCGAAGATCGTTCGCGCAGCTACATTTCGGTTACCGTGGGCATGAAGCCGAGCAAGGCGAAGTATTACCTTAACGATCACACTGAGGTTTCTGAGCTGCTGGGCGCGCTTACGAAGCATTGATCACACGGCTCCATAATTTTTCAGAAGCTGCGTAGCCCTGTGCTCGTACTTGTGTTTGTCGAGTTCGTGTATGATTGCGCGTGCCGAGAGGTGTGGCGTGAGGTCCTTCATCATGCGTTGTATTTCATCCTGGTTCGCTTGGAGTAGCTTGTGCTGCACGTTGTTGCGGCGTCGGTGTTCTGCGGCGCGCCTACCTCCAGCAGCTTTAGTATGATGATGGCGATGGGCAGTATGCAGTTGCCCTCCCTGGCGAGTATCACGTCCCACAGCAGCGCTGCCGCTTCCAGGGAGAGGCTGTACGTGAACAGGGTGAGGAACCACTGCGTTGCGATAATCGTGGTGTCCACATCCTGTGCCCGCATGTGGCAGTACAGCTTGTGCATTTTGCGCTTGACGTAGCCATCCAGCACGGAGCAGTACCTCACTAGGAGCGGCATTTGCGGCAGGAACAGGCTCTTGATGTCGTGTTTTTCCATGAGGCCCACCTATACTAGGATGAATCACGTGTGACACCTGTCGGTACCATGGTGAAGAAAGCGTCCTCCTCGTCCATATACAGGACGAGCATTCCTGCGATGAAAGACATTCCTTGGCAGTACCCTGGGACCCATGAGAAGCTCTCTCCGTTGCCTAAACATACCAACATCCGGATTGTAGAGGGCGTACGCCTTCAACACGTTGAACAACGCAGTTTGCGCGTATTTAGCGTCCGTGAAAATGGCATGCTGCGGGAACGTTCGGTGGATATCGTTCCTAATCGCTGCGTCGAACTCCGGCATGTCGAAGGCAACCAGATGGAGGTATATGCCCTTCGGGAGCGCCGCCTTGTGATGTTCGGTCTTGATCCATCTCTTCCATAGGGCTCCGCGTTCGTAGTTGGACACGCAGTTCAGCATGCGTTGCGTAACCTTCGTTTTCTCCCTCCGGCGATTTTTCTGCTGCTTCACACACTCTTGTTGTCTCTCTGCGACTAGTATTACGCATGCCACAGTTCTATGACTGCCGCCAGTGCTCCATGGCAACCTCATTTTTTTCCAACAGGTCATGCAGGCAGTATTATACATATATGGAGCGTCGGTTCGCATTCCACTCTGTCTATTGCGATTCTTCTGTACGCTGCGAAGCTCAGGGATGTACCGTGAGCGCACACCGGCTGTGTCTAATTGCACTTTCGTGAGGGATACCACGGCGTCAGGCATTTATGAGGGAGGCAGGTACGGGCCCCGAATAACATAATGTGTATTTATTGTGGCTACTGAGAAACCGTTTCCACGGCCTATATCTACAGGAAAACTGGAGCGTCGATGAGCTCTGTTTTTTTTTCGCGTCTTTCTCCGCGTTCGTACCATTTCCGCGGTCAAAATTCCTTGCTCGTCGAAACCAGTAAGCAATATAAACGTCATACTGTATAGGCATTGTGTGTATGACCCTTATTCAGGTGCTGTGTTCGCTGTGAGTCTACGCGGTCATTCTATCGGCTATATAAACTCAACGTCCTGCATAGTTCCCGGGAACTTTCGTCGTCAACCGCCGAAATATTGGCGAAATTGCTGTCTAACTTCTACCAAACACCTTTTAATATTTTTGTGACAAAAATAGCACATGACGCGGTCTCTCGTCTGTGTGTAATAGAACCACGTCGCCGTGTCTACGTTGGAGCGGTGTCTCTAAGCACACGACTTCCACCAACCTAGTACGCCAGCGCAATTTAGAAGATACTATTGAACATTTTCCAGATCTCAAACGCCCTGTATGTGTTCGTGGAGTGATACCACGCGCATACGCCACGTTGTTCATGGTCGTTGATTCCCACGCAACTCCACGCCCGTAACTTTTACGCTCGTTGACAGCCGCCACGATGGGCGACCGCAAGGAGCGTTGTTTGTCGAGCGTGTCTGACACCGTAAACTGCCTTTTTAGCAGCTGCATTCCCACCGTCGAGCGCGAGGAGGTACGCTTTGCATTCCTCTCTACTACAAACGTTAATCAGGCTCCAAGCTCTTATACGGGCCTGCACGATGCTGCGTACCGCAAGGAGGAGTTAAAGCAGCTGGTAGGTGCAGCACAGTGTGTGTTTTGAGTGTGTAGGTCGGCATTTTCGCCTCTCGGGCACAGAAATACCTGACGTGTACCCGCGTTGACTTAGACAAGTCTGAGTTCAAGAAGGCTCGTTACAAGCTTGACTGCAAGTTGCAGGTGTGTTGCCTGTTTGTTTTGCGCCTCAAACGCTTCTCAGACGTTGCGAGTGGAAAGCGACGAAGCTCCGGTTGAGATACCTTTGTCGAAGGTACGATAACGGTAATCTTTCGGCACTGAACCTGTTCAGGTGAAGGCAGTGTACGGCTTCGAAGACCTTCAGCTGCTGGATTCCTACGCATCTTTTTTGGTATGCCATTTTTGATGTCGTGCATGGACGTGTCAGAACCAAGAGATAATACAAAACCTGGGCCAGGAGGAGCGTGATCGTCTGTCAGTTCTTGTGGTAATTTGCAATTCGACACCAGCATTCCGTGCAGTACACCACCGAAAGCGGGGCGGACGCCCAGCTCGTCCTCATGGAGCATGAAATCGAGACCAGCGACGCCTTTATCACCGTTCTTCGCATTTTGCAAATGTACGCCCAGGGCAAACAGTGATGCTCATCGGCGTTGCCACTAAAACCCGTTTGTTGCTGTCAGCGTTCTCCCGACGCTCGCTACAACAGCCGCCAAGTAGCGCCATGCGCTCCATTGATCTTACAACGTACACGACGGCATAGTGTGCAGCGGAAGTGTTACACTAATCATAAAGTTATTATTAGCTGTTTACTTGGAGCTGGGGGTTGTGTCACACCTCTTCCACGTCAGAGTCGTCGTATTCACTGTCCGATGAATCGCTGTCTCCCTGTTTTGCCACCTGTTTATTTCCAGGCTGCCCAGCTTTGTTTTCGCTTCTTTGCAAAATAAGCTGCTCGTATGAGTCTATGCGTTCCACAATTCTCCCTTTCTTCGGCGCAAGGAGATGTACCTCAATTTTGACCTTGGTGTTCAATGCCATGAACTTTCTTCTGCGATACAGCGACCCCGCCAGCTCACAGTGCACCTGAAGCATACGTATACGCTTAAAACGCTACTTACTGTGGTCTCCGAATTCTCTATCTGCACGAGATACGAGCTCCCTCCCCTGCATTCGACAATGCGCCCGGACGCCAATATCTTGTTCCCCTTGACGATATTGCCGATGCTTGAAGACGCGGCGCCAACGGGCGTCGTCCACCTCTGTATATTGCGAACGCCAGCGATGGCGGATGTCCTGAAAGCGTCCGCTGCGTTTGCAAAGGCAAGTATCGTGACCAGCACCGACAGATGTATCCCCGCGGTTGACACGCGGATCATGAGAGACCGTTTACCGCGGCTCGTGGAGCGGCATTACGCGCTCCACTGTGTCGGCGCAATAGAAAACATCGGTGACTTCCGTCTCGTCGCGCCCATCGCGCGCGCCGTCCACCGTAAACGAGGGCAGGCCGCGCTGCCTTCCACAGCATCCGGAGCCCCAAACGCGAGTATCAAACACGCAAACATACACCTTACGTATGAAATACGCCACTTAGGCGGTCTGCCGTTTCTATGCCACGATAGCGACCGTAATGTGCAGCCGTCCCGGGCTCGCAGTGTGTCTATGCCGTACCGAAAACCTCGGTCGGAGCGATCGGTGTTGATTGTGGGCACACATTGTGCCTGAATAGTCGCATGTGTATCATATTTGGCGAGTCTTATCGTCTTTTCCTCCATCCGTGTCACACATCAGCATGACCGAGTTGCTGAGGAGTTTGGTGAGCCGCCTCGAGCGGCAGGAGGAGGCGATTCTCTCCGAGCTGAACGATATGGAGGTGCCAACGATGTCGAGTCTCGATGGCTGCAAGGAGGCGCTGCGCACATCCGAGATTGCCCAGAAGGCCTTTAACCTGAATGAGAATTTCGAGCGAACGGAGAGCTTCAGCGAGCGTCTGCTTACCGCTGCTGAGACCAGCTCGTCGGTTTTGGACAAGCTGCAGTGCTCGTTGAAGGTAGTTGACTCTGTGTCGCAGTTGTACGAGCTGGGTTCACGAGTCCTTTCAAGTTACGAATCCGGCGATACAACACGTGGAGGGGAGGACATAAGTCGTTTCGTCACCGTCATGGAAGAAGCCAAACGTGACGGCCACTGGGACGAGCTGCTGAAGGTCATCAGCTGCGGCCACGTGAAGGAGGTGATGAGCGGCCTGCGTGCATTTGTGATCGAGCAGTTGCGCGATGAGCGTCCATCTGAACACTCGCAGCTGTTTACACGTCTAGCTGTCACCCTCCAGGCCGGTAGTGAGGCTTACGAATCGTATTTGAAAACAATTCGGGAGAAGACTGTTGGCCTTGGGTCTGGTATGTTAAGCATGCGTCGCTTGTTCATGACCCTCAGCATCGCATGAAGGCAGTGACCGTGTGAAGCTGGAGCGGTTGGTGAAGAACGCCAGCAGTTTGTTGCTTGGCAAAGCGCAGGCGGTACACTCCGAATTGGGATCGGCAGATTACATCCGTATCTGCCGTGAGATCCACTCGTTGACTTCGACTGAGGCTTGCGAAATCCTGCGTTCATTCTTGCTGTCGGATTTCGCGCTCTTCATTAAGGACACCGAAGGCGACATCGATTCGCTATTATCGCAGGTTGAGAGCGGGTTTGACGATGGCGACCTGTTTGGACGGTTCCTGGTCGACCTGAAGACCGTGGACCACGTCTTGGACAACATCGCAACTCTGAGTTCGCTCTGGTTGGATTACGAATTTTCGTTCCGATCGGTTCTGGGGCCGGTATATCAAACGTTGCTGGTTCAGGGCGATTTGCAGTCGGAATTAGGGAATGACTGCCTGGGCTCCGTTAGTCCCGCTACTCGCGCGATGCAGTCCGTGCTATCGTTCTACGTTCGTTTGGAGCACGCCTCTGTCACACGGGCTCTGATGCACGCCCTAAATTGCGACTCCATTTATGTGTCATCGCCTGAAGACGGCTTCACAGTAGCAACCAGCACCTTGGTTGACGACTCGTTCTTCGTGCTCCAGAAGGCCCAGCAGCGAGCAGTAGCTACTGGCGACGTGCAGGCTGCGTGTGCTACTCTGAATCAGGTGATTGGCATAATTCAGAGCTCTTTGAAGGAGGGTCTGGTTGGCAACCTGCTAGCCAGTCAGAACATATACAAGGTGTTTATTGAGGTATGTTAGCATTTCTCCGCCGATCATAGGTCTCAGAACGCTGACAACTTGGTGAAGGGTTCGTGGTACATTATGTTGCAAGAGCATTTTGAGCGGTCCAAGCAACCGTTCCCCGAATCCATCCCTTCCCGCTTCAGCTTCATTCACTGTGTGAACAACATCGAGGAATGCGTCAACTTTTTGGGCAAGTTCAAGTCCGAGATTTCCGCCAGCTTCGAGCGGGAGTTCGTGCAGTTGGACAACAACAAGCTGCTCGTTGAGAGCACTTTGGAGTCCTTGGATGGTGTTTTGGCCGAGTTCGACGAATTGCTAGAGATGGCCTGCAAGTGTTCCTTGAACATCATAAAGGTACGGTTGTTTGCCAGTGAAGCGCTAATTACATCGCAGTTCCACATTGCTGACCCTTTGAACCGCTTCAACGACATCAATTTCAACCTGGACGAGGAATCCTACAAGACTTATATGGTAGGTGCTTTCTCTATAATTTGACACGTCGCAGTCTGAGAACCCATTTGTAGAGGAGTTCATCGTTGTCTTGCGCGGCGTGTTTGGACACCTGTCGACCTTCTACTCTCCCACTACTCGTTCGCGCTGCATGGACTTGCTGATCGAACGCATCTGCAAGTTCATGGAGCAGAACGTGCTGGCGAAGCGCTTCACAATGTATGGTGCAGTGTACCTCGACGGCGTGGTGCGTTCGCTGATGAAGCTCTGCACGTCGTATGACTCGAACATTCGGCACCAGTTCACCTCCTTGCTGCTGATAAGCGACGTGCTGAACTGCGGCAGCATTGAGGAGTTGGTTCAATTCGAAGGTAGGTGCAGTTGCAGTCGTGATAATGCGTGTCAGGCAAACAACAATCCGAATACGTGGAGCGCTATTTCGCTCTCCGAACCGATCTCCCGCAGGAGACACAAGCCCCTCAGTGACTGCGTCACCCAGTCGGGGTGCAATACCTCACATGGTCTAAGGATTTTGCGCATCTGTATTACGCTACATTTGTGTTTTGCTGTTGGAAACAAAATAGCACAACCACCTAATACGCCATTTATGATAATTGCTGAGTGGTGGTATATTTTCTTATAATTTATACTGTCATTTACGGTTCGGTCGTTGCTGTTGGCACGTCGCGTTGCATTCTTAGCAACCCGTCGAGGTTGTTGAACATGGAATACAGTCTCTCCAGCACCTGGTCTTCTGGTACTACATCGATCCCCTGCAAGTCATGTAGTAGGCACACAATTACTGTCCCTACCTCATCCTTCAGGAGTTGAGCGTCGTGGCCTTTGCTGATGACGTTGATCCACGGCCTGTGCGGAAATCGAGCTTCTAATGTGCGATATAGTTTAATCTGACTGTCCAATTTCTTCTTGTCGGAAACATCGAAGCAGTATATGACTCCCGATGGCAAGTCCTTGAGCGTGGCATACTGTGTTGATTATGACTCTTGTGAAGTAAAACGCTTACCGTAAGCTTTTCGTATGGGTTAGTTTTGGGTTTGTCGCGCCATAGAAGTCCCGGCGTATCCAAGAGCTGCGCTTCGTCGATGAAGTTGTCGACCTTGTACTGGACATTGGCCAGATTGAGCGACTTGGTGGTGAAGTTGTAGTCTGCAATCTTGACCTCCTTTTGGGAGACTTTGACTGGAGGAGAACTATTTTCCTGCCACTTTAGCCCCAACACGTCTGAAATGAGCCCCAGTGGGTTGGGAAGCTCCTCTCCGACGTCGATGCTCGACACGGTTGGTATGGGCTGGTTACACAACTTCTGGAAAAGGGTGCTCTTCCCCACGTTGACGTATCCGACGATTGCCACCACAGGCTTTGCGTTGTTAATAATGGGCAGTTTCCTGAAATGGGTGGCGAACTTGCGATAGATATTGATGTACGGTTCCGCCTCCTTGTATGATTCGTCCAGCTGCAGTATGAACGCCTTGGCCAGAGCGAATGCCTCTCTGCACTTTTTGATGCTGCCAATTTTTGAGTTGAAGTTGTTCGCCCGCGTGACTATGCTTGTTTTGAGCGTCTTCAATGCATCCATGAGGTGGTCAAAAGGCAGTTTGATCTCTCTCGTATGGTGAAGCTCGTATATGGCGGTCATGAGCATCTGGTACTGGAAGGGGTGTATGTACCTGAGAAGCTGCTCATAGAAGGTGGTCACATTCTTGATTTGGTGCGTGATGCTGTGCGCGTACCAATCAACTTTGACCTTGATTTCTCTGAGTACTCGCTTCTTGGTATGTTTCTGCGGAGTGAGTCCGTTGTACACGCCGGCGTATAACGGCTTTCCGTCATACACAGGCTCTTCAGGTGTGTCCACCGTTTTGATTTTATTAGAGTTCCCCATTGCCAGATCACTTCGCGAACCTACTTTGCCTTTCACATGCGCCTTTGACCTAACTAGCACGCTGGTGGTGTCTCCAATTTGCGGTATGCGCCTGAATAGTTTTTTGACATACAGTCGTTGCGATAGCAGGTTCTTCACTTTGTCACCGGTCGTAATTATGCGGAATGGAACGGGTTCTCTTTCGTCGCTAGCATCTTCTTCGTCAGGTGGAGTTGTATAGGACAGTTCTTGGTCCTGGACCGTCCGGTTGCTTGCCACCGTACCTGCTTCATTCGGACGATCAGCTTTCAGTTCACCATCAAAGCCATATTGAGGACGAGCTATAGACGATATCACTGCATCTTGGGAAGTTTCGTCCGTAACCTCGGGGTTTTCATCACTGCTTCCATCGACGAATTCGTCGTAGCTTCCAGCGTCAGAATCGGCTGTATTCTCGAATTCATCGTATATGTCTACTGCGTTCTCCTCATCCGACTCCCATCCTCCGCATGCTTCTATAAACCTTTCTATTTCAAGTTCCGAGTCTTCTGCTATATCTTCGTTCTCGGTGTCAGTAGCATCCGTGCTCAGATCGCCCCTGTGGGCTGACAATCCTCTCCTTATGCGAAAACCGGCTTCCAACGTGCTACTAGAACATCCATTTTGCGATAAAGTGACGCCAAGTACGCCATCATAGGTTTCGGAGCTGATTCGGGACAACGGTATGTGCACCCTGCCTTCGTCGACTTGATGTCTAAACGTCGAATTCCAAGGATTCAACCCAGCCACCGACCCATTTGTCAGCTGATACGCCTCACAAGTGCTTAACACGGCCAAGATGAGTGGGAGAAGCAGGAACCGAATGTGGAAGGCTACACATTTTACACAACTGCTGCCGTCCTTCCTCGGCTTCCCGGCGCTTCTCCCCTCTCGGCAAGCTTTAATAGCTTCGGGATGTTGCTCAGGCATATACCGATGCCATGATACTCAACAATGAGAATGGCGCGCTGTCTGCCGCGTGATTCTGTGGCGCTGCTGCCGTTATGGTGGCCGCGGTAGTAGGCGATTGATGCAGCTCATAAAGCTCACTGGCTACTTTAATTTCACTAATCCCTTATCGCATATGTCGTCATCGTAATGTGTTCATTATCGCATTAATTTCTGCTTTGCGTTCGCTGCCGGTCGTCGCGATGCAGAAGCTACAGTCGGTTGGCCGGCCCGTGTCGTCCAGCGCGCTCATGTCGCTTCTGGAAGTATACGACTCGTCGGAATGGCACGAAATTGCCAGCCAGGATCTACCGTCCTTACCTTCCAAGGCGAAGTCCACAGGCACCGTGGACAACGCCAAGCTGCTTCGCAGCGGCAAGGAATTGTTGGCGGTGTTCGCTCGCGCATATTCGCGTCACGTCTGCGACACAGACACTGAGAAGGCCTGGATGCGTGCCGTAGCCAAGGATCCCTTCATCCCTCCGGGTTGGTTTGCATTGTGGTAGTTTTGCAATCGCGTTCAGACAAGAAAAATGCCGCGACCTTATGCGACTCTCTGGATGCCATGGCAGTCCTCGCAAGCGAGAGCTGCGCGTTGAACTACAAGTTCTTCACATCGCTGCTGAGCATGTGCCAGAACAAGGCAGTCCGTGTGATGCTGTGTTCGATGGAGCGTATGCACGCCCTGTTCATGGAGGTGCTGCCCGGACGAAAACTGCGCTACATCGACCAACAGGACGCTTCCAGGCAACGGTATCTACAGCATCACATGTCAGCTTGGGAGAAAGGCGGCGCCGTAACGTGGGACAGCTTGGACTTGCTCGCTCGCGTGGTGTTGCATGTGGTGTGTTTTGAGGATTTCCTCAAGGGCGCTTACGCTGCCTTCATCCAGGTACTATTTGGTGTTAAATCGCGTCATCACTATTTCAGGTGGTCACCGATCAGCTGGATGGCGGCCTGCCGTTCGTGCAGCGTAAGATGCTTCATTATGTGTTCGAGATGCTGGCCAAGAAGCCGGAGCAGGAGGCGCTGCTTCTGGACATCCTTGTAGGCCGACTGTTTTCTAACGATCTGAAACTATCCGCTATGGCTTCTGCGAAGTTGACTTCTCTCTTGGAGTGTCACGGTGCAATGAAGGACATCGTTGTGCGCCGTGTAGGCGCAACGCTGATGGGCTCCATTGGCAAGGTCCACACTACCTTCTCATCGCACAATGACGCTGCTGCCACCAAGAAAAAAAAGAAGCGTCGATCGAAAGCACTGCGTATGTTTCGGAGTATAGGTGACCACATCATCCTTCAGCGAGCGAGTTGATTCCCACCCTGCGGAGTATCCATCGCGGCGTTCTGTTCCTGACCGAGATCCACTTCACCCGCAAAGACACGAAGGCCACATCTGAGGCTCTCAAGTGCTACATGTGCGTCCTGTCGTTCATTTTCAAACCGTCCACCGGTGACAAGCGGTCACGACTGCTTCCATCTTACGAGTACGAGGAGTTTTCGCGCATCATCCGTTGCATCTCTAGCGGCCTAGAGCGCTGCATCAGTTTGGTGCGTCATCGCGAAGGAAGCTTCAACATCTTTGACTACGGTTCTGGGGAGGGAGAGTCGTCGCGCGAGACGATGGAAAAGAACATCGCATCACTCTTCCGCGCTGCGCGTAAACCCATCTCCTGCTCCACTAACATCGGACTACTTTCGTTGATTGCCCAGATACAACGTTCAGAGTGCGTTTATTTTGCATCTTACCGTTCAATATGTGCCAGGGATCGATTCTACAACCTGCTGTACGAGCGCATACTTGACATCCGCATGTACGCCGCGGTAAACCGTCGTGCGCTGCTAACGTTGGCAGCTAACTGCATGGCAAACGACAATGATATGTGTCGAGTGGCGGCCTTTGTGAAGCGTCTACTTCAGGTTTGTTGTATTTTGCGTGGTCGCTCACATTTGGCAGGTTGTGTCGTCTATCGTGGGTGCTGGAGTCTGTACCGTCATTTCCCGCATCTGCCGTGGCGCAATATGCGCCAATGTTCCGCTTCATGCGATGATAAAGTCTACGGGTGAGGAGTGCTACAAACCGAAGAGTGCCGACCCCAGCGAGAGTGAGGTAAGCATCTCCGCCTGTTACTTATAAGCTGTTATCAGGCGGACAAATCGCATTTGTGGGAGCGCCATCTTAATGGACTGTCGTACCACCCCTCGGTGGCTGCCGAGAGCCGGGACATGCTCAAGGAACTTCCAGACGGAGTTGTTGATTTCGAGGCGCCTAGCCTTTTCGAGGAGCTAGGGGCAGTATCCGGCCAGCTGAGCAGCGGCGACTTCCTATACACACAGCGATCTTACTGGACCGCCAACCGCAAGGCATTGCCACACCAGGAGGTTTTCAAGCAGTTTTTCCTGCACCGTGCGTCGTGCGATGTCTCTAAGGTGAAACGCAGGGACAGGAGGTCCGATGAAGTGGACGATATTGACGTGAGCGACGAAGAGGAAGAGTTGCGTGATATCGATGGTATGAGCGATGAGTCTGGGTTGGGTGATGAGCGCATGCTGGATGATGTATCGGACGCTGAGGAGTTTGACGAGATCTCTGATTCCGATGACGAGTTGGATGAAGTCTCAGATTCAGATGAGGAATTAGACGAAGTATATGACTCCGATGAAGAGTTAGATGAAGTGTCCGACTCCGACGAAGATATGGATGACGTGCCTGATTCTGATGACGCCACCGATTCTGAAGAAGAAATGGATGAAGTATCAGATTCCGACGACGACGATGATGATGAGGATAGCGCGTCTTCGGATAAATCTGAGCATGAGGTTGTCCCTACCAGCAAACTGAAGTCCCCCAAGGCAAAGGAGCGCAAAACCAAGTCGCAGCCATCAGAGGCGGAAGGTGTAGCCAAACGTGAACCCAAGGCCACAAAGGAGCGACCTTCCAAGGTTAAGGCTTCGGAAGAGAAGACGCCTAAAAAGCCGACGCCGAAATTAGAGGCGCCAAAGAGCGTGAAACCCAAGGTCCCGGAAGTGAAAGGCGCTGTTGCCAAGCCCGGCAAAGTAGATGCAAAAATGGGCAAGGCACCCAAACCGGAAGATCACAGTGCAGAAAAACAGAAGAAGAAGGAAGCCAGAGTGACATTTGCGGATGATGTGATCGATAATAGTAGCAAGCAGTCTCTGGCCAAACGTGTCGGCTTAACTGCAGCTGTGCCATCTGGCAAGAAGCAGGGCAAATCCGTTGCAGAAAAAGCTACTAAGGAGAAACCGTCCACTAAGGAACTAAATGCAGCAAAGAACAAGAAAAGGAAGGAATCGTCATCAGCTGTAGCCTCCAAGGCCAAGCCGTCTCGCGGAAGCGGTGCATCTACGGAGCCTATCCCTGTTGTAGTGGAAAGCAACAGGCAGAAACGCAAGCGTGAGGCTCGTGAACGGGAGGAAGCGCATCCGGGTTTGTTTTGTTTTTTATACGTGCAAATGTATTTAGACTACGAGAAGCGTAAGAAGGTATCCCTGTTGCTGCAGAAGGCCACTAAAGGGAGTTTCGCGGACGTTTCAGGTTAGTTACACGCTTGTGATTCCTCAGCGTGTTCAGACATCCCCGGGATGGAGGAGTTTCTTTGAGTGTGTGTATGCCGTGGTCTGTACCCGCAAACTGTACCGCTGCATGCGCATCTCTTCAGACATCCGCCGGGCTAGCGCATACAGTTACACATCGATGATGTGTATAGGTACACTGGTGCCGTAATGTGTCAGTAACTTAATGGTTGAGGTGTGTGCTCCATGGGGGCGTAATACGGTCTCCTCGACTCGCCTATCTCTCGCCCATAATTCCTATTACACTTCTTAACTCTTTCTCTAAACACTCTCTTCCTATCTTGCGATCGTCAAAATGCTGTTCAACAAGCTTGAGGAATCCGCGCGCTTCAAGTCGCTGCTCGCCTCCTCCAGCGCTGCGAAAAATGCGGAATTGGCTGAGCTGCTGCGCGACCGCTCGCGCTGTGACCGTCTTATCAAGAGTTACAATGGTGTGTAAAGTTTGTTCGATTCCTCATATGTTCCAGGGGTTACTTTGGACCTCTCCAGGCAGCTGATAGATTCTGAGACGTTGGACGTCCTGCTATCTCTATCGCGGGAGATGGGTGTGCCCGAGAAGATCGAAATGCTGTTCAATGGTGGAATTTTGAATGGCACCGAGGGTCGTTCTGTGCTGCACAGCGCCCTGCGTGCCCCTCGTGGTACGTCCCTAACTGTGGACGGCAGCGACGTGGTTGCCGATGTTTACAGCGTGCTTGACAGCATCAAGGAGTTCTCCAATCGCGTCCGCAAAGGTTCCATCGTCGCCTCTGACGGAAAGCCCTTTGACTCCCTGCTTTGCATAGGCATTGGCGGTTCCTACCTCGGTATCGCATTCGCGGCCCAGGCGTTCATGGCCTCGTCATCGGCACGTAGGGAATCCGAGGGCCGCAAGATCCGCTTCCTAGCCAACGTGGACCCAGCTGGTTTCCGTATTGCAACTGAGGGCCTCGACGCCAACAGGACGATGGTAAGTGCCACTTCATATTTTGTTGTTGCATAAGACGCCTATTAAAACCTGTGTGTTCCACGGAGATGTGTACCATCTGCCGTTTTTTTGCACAGGGACACTAATGGTTGCCGCGTTGCTTGTTGGCTCTTGCTGTGCTGAGCTGCGTCGCTGCAATCAACATATTGCGACCACATTCTGACAATGTGCCGCCATAGCGAGAGGAACACTCCTTTCCATGCGTAGTTTACCGTGCATACACATCGGTTTGTTTACGCAGCATTAATTGTTATCTTTGATGTGACTCATTCAATCTATCGTGTGGCTCATCCCTAATTAGGTTATCGTAATTTCAAAGACGTTCACGACGGCTGAAACCATGAAGAATGCAGTCATAGCTCGCGACTGGCTCCAGTCCAACATCAGCGACCCTTCCAAATTTGGTGGGTTGTAAAATTGTACCATCGTCAGTTTGCGCAGGCGACCACCTCTGCGCCATCAGCACCAACCTCAAGTTGACCAAGGACTTCGGTATTGACGACTCGCATGTATTCGGTTTCTGGGACTGGGTGGTACGTTGGTTATGTGTAGCAGTCATCTTTGTTAGGGTGGCCGTTTCAGCGTATCTTCCGCTGTCGGCATGCTCCCCCTCGCGATCCACTTCGGTTTCGACATCGCTGAGCAATTCTTGTCCGGCGCACGCATGATGGATGAGCATTTCCGCCAAACCCCGCTCGAGGACAACATGCCCGTGCTACTCGCTCTCGCCAGCTTCTACAACTCCACCGTGCTAGGCATGGACTGCGTCGCTCTTTTGCCGTACAGCGAGGACCTGTGCCTGTTCCCTCGCTACATCCAGCAACTCTGCATGGAAAGCAACGGGAAGTCCGTGCGCATGAACGGCGACAAGCTGAGTTACGGCACTGGCGAGATCTATTTCGGCGAGAGTGGCACCAACGGTCAGCACAGCTTCTACCAGCTGCTGCACCAGGGCCGCGTGGTCCCCTCCGAGTTCATCGGGTTCATCCGTAGCGACAACCGCGACGTAGCTGAGAATGGTGTGACGTTCCATGAGGAGCTGATGGCCAACTTCTTCGCACAGCCCGACGCACTGGCCTACGGCAGAACCCCTGAGCAGCTGAAATCCGCAGGATGTGCTGACAACTTGGTGTCGCACAAGGTCTGCAGCGGCAACCGCCCCTCTGCAGTGATGCTGTTCGAGGAGGCCACCCCCTACACGGTTGGCGCCCTAGTCGCGCTCTACGAGCACCGCGTGGCCGTCCAGGGCTTCCTCTGGGGCATCAACTCCTTCGACCAGATGGGCGTCGAGCTGGGCAAGGTGCTAGCCAGCGACATCCGCGGCTACTTCAAGGCCAGGCACTCCGACTGGGCCTCCGTGGAGAAGGACGGGCAAATTTCGTACTCCACTACGAGGCTGCTTTCGCTATTTTCGGGCTCCGCCTAAGCCGCTTGTAACCGAGAGGTGTGCACCCGGGGTATACCCGGCCAGATTTTAAGCCGTAATTGCGGCAAACTGTGTTAACGCTGCAAAATGCCGCGAAGTCTGGAGGCTGCACCCGTAAGCGCCTTAGACCCCTACCACCCCTGCTAAACACAGAGTTGCTACCACTAACAATGTTGGAAATTTATGTTACTTGGCGTTATATATTACGGCGTTTTACGCGATGAAACGGTCGGCGGCATGGGTCAGGACCTTGTTGGTGAGCTTGTCGTATGCGTGGATGTCCATGGGCGTTACGATGCTTTTGTGAGGCATGCACATGATGGGCATGTAGACTGCGAACTTGTAGGGCGTAAGTTCCCACAGTGCCGTAAGCAGAACCTCCTGGTAGAGCAGGTCGGTCTTGCTGAGCAGCCTTTCCACCAGCTTGTCGGAGGCCTTGACTACAAGGTCTGATATGATCTTCGTGAAGGCCTTGATGTCCTCCTCGGTGAACACCTGGCGGCAGACGGAGTCGTCATCGCCTTCTATGATCGGCTTGTCCGAGTCGAACATAAGTTTGTTGACGTGGGAAGTTTTGAGGATAACCTTGGCCACCCTTGCGTAGAAGGCCTTGATAAGTTTCTCGGCAGCTTCCTCCCTGTTTACTGACGACTCCACTCCGTCACCAACATCGTCCTCCGGCCTCGGGCCTTCGTACTTGGACATGAGGTCTAATATGGCGTGTGGCTCGCCGGGGTCTTCTTCCCCATTCTTGGTGAAGGCCTTGATCATTGTGGAGTTTATTCTGTACCTCGGCAGCAGCATAGACGTGCGCGGCGCGACCAGGTGGTCGCCCCAGAGGTTTCCGTAGACGATCATGTTTTGGAACTGCTTTATGGACTCCAGACCTTGCTCGCTTACCAGCAACAAGAGGTCAACCGACTGGTTGTCCAGTTCATCGATCGATTTGGAGCCAGCAAGACTTATAACCTTCCTAAACGCTGCGTTGTTTTCATATATACCGGAATGCGGGGACGCGAAACTGATGTAGTTGCACCACTGGATCTCCGGAGGCTCATAGGGCCCGGCTAAAGGCTCATTTTGCGCCTCAGGCGCACCCTCCTTCTTCTCTTCGTCTTGAGCAGGTTCCTTTGGTATGTAAACTCCGGGCGTTTTGCGGTGGTAGTAGAACAGCCACGTGCGCAGAATGATACCTCCGAACGAGTGTCCAATGACACTGAGCTTGATCTGTTTCGGTATCTTGACGAACAGCTCATGCAGCTCTGACGAGTACATCTGGAGCACCAGCTCCAATCCAACGAGACTCTTTCCGGCAATTTTGTGCGGGAAGTAGATAAACAGGTTCGGGTAATTGGCCAGCAACGCCTGCGCCACGTACGCCATGCAAAAGGGTTCGGCGATAACGCCGTGCATGAGAATGACGTAGTGGCTGCGGTAGTCCTCGCCCATGCATTTTTTGCAGTGGCACTTGGCCTTTCTGGAGAAGAAGCAGTGGCATTCCGAGCACATGCGGATGCTCTCGGGCATGGCGAACAGGTCGGCCTGGACCTCGGTGCTGTGCTCTATGTCGAGGGGCATATCGACGAAGGCATTGCCTAGGAACTTCACTATTTCCATAACTTTCGAGGAGACAATAGACGCTAAGGCCTGGGCGCGGTTCTTTTCCTTGACCACCTGATCACTGATCACCTGCCAGAACGCCTTGGCCTGTTCGATATGCTCGGCATCATAATAAACGTCATCCTCGTCCGCAAAGCACGTCTTTTCACCCTGCCGCACTCTGCAGTGGAAGCAGAGGCAAGCCGACTGCTGCTTCGGTTCCTTGCTGCTCATTGTGCCTTTTAGTGCCCGGAGTGCAGGTCGGATCGCCTGTTTCACGCTGGTATTGATGTCCACCGCACTCGGCCGGTGTAAGCTCCCACTCCCGAAGAGTAGAAGGGGTTTAAACTTTGTTGCCTTCAATTTGAAGTGAGGTGTGAGGGACGTGGCAATCCTGAGGAGCTTCAGTCTCGCTTCTCGAATATCCCTTTGTAATTGGTGTACCTTCAGAGCGGAATGCGTGCGCACTTCCACGAATTTCACGAGGTACCTACGGAGCAGATCTCGTATTCACACACGAGTCTGCAGTTCGTCGCTGATATGTGCACGTTGCGGGGCGTCAGCTGACAACTTCAATCAAGGAATTGCGACTCCCCAACGTTATTTCATGAGTTTATTAATTCGTCATGCAGCAAAATACAATTCCACCGTTAACCAGTACCGTGATCCGTTCGTATCCACCGGTCGTCGCGAGTAGAGCTCCGTCTGAGTCGATCACCGACTGAGACGTTGAACGTCTGATGGCGCCCAGTATCGCTGGCGAAAAGAACGACGCTAATTTAGTTGCTGTGACTCATTGTAAGCAGGGCAGTTCGGCTAGTGCGTTTCGGGAGGCTCGTGCTATGGGGAATTGCGCGGACCATCCGAGTCTGTTGTCTCAGCATTTACAACTCCCGGCTGGTGTAGAGCTGCCAGACGAAATGTGTGTGCAGCAAAACCGCGCAAGCGTGGTGTCTACGGCTAGATCCCGATACCCTGCTCGCCCTCGCCGTTCACACGGTAAACTCTGACTACCCAGTTCTCAGACGTCATGACTTCCGTGAAATGTGTTAATTCTATGGGCTCTTGGGACAACGGTTTGTCCCGTACGTTGTCTTTTGCCGCAACCTGCGCCACTCCGTGGTAACACAGCTTGTATAGCAGTGTGCGTCTCCAGTATTTGTCTCCCTGTTCACCCTTGAATCTGGAATGAGGGACCTGAGGGAACTCCTTCGACGCTATGCGCGTCATCCACCCGAACTTGCTCACGTCGTCCATGGCATACTTGGCGACACCGCCGTACACTACCATCACGTAATGCACGTTGAGGTCACGCAGCATTTTGTGTGCATGCGCCTCCTCTGACGCGAATATCTGCGATAGATGTAGCGCGATGCCTCATAACCTACCATCGCCGTGAGCGCGATCTGGTGATAGTTGGACGTGTTGTTGTCGGTGAGGACGGTGCGGTTGGCCATCTGCCGCAGCTGGTAGCCGTAGTCCCACCACGCCATGACCACCGCATCACGGGGCGTGTTGTGTCTAATCCAGCTGTACGCGTCCCTGAAGTCATCGGCTACCAGCCTCTCTCCGGTTGGTGAGCGCCAGGAAGCGACTACATTTGGGTTTGAGTATATCGTGGATGCCACCCATGTGCAATGGGTGACGTAGCTCATCATGATCATGCCGGTAACGACAGCCATTGCTATTGAAGCAGCACAATTCTGCATGAGTATTGGTACAAGTACAGGGCGCCGTTACCTTTTTGCGGAGCGCGCATCCCTCCATCGTGTAGGAGACACCCAATCCGCTGAGTATTGCAGCTGCCGGCGCGAATATGAGCCCCAGTCTCACCATGGCGGCCGCGAAATACGAAGACACTACTCCATATATAGCGAGCGCGAGGTATCCTATTTCGATCCCGTTTCTGAAGCATGCGAAAAGTCCGATCGGGTTGTATATTAGTGTGACCCAGAAGTCCAACACCATGCTCTTCCTGAAAATTTTACATGAAGCCGAAGCGTTCGATCATACCATTTGGTTGGCTGGTGCTCAGATATAGACGCCACCAGCGGATTTGTGGATGTGGCTTTGCCTGGATTGATGAGTGCGAGCAGCCTGGCTGTGAGGGAGGACTCGCTTTCGTGAAATTTCCCGATAACCAACAACCAGATGACGGCTGCAACTGGCGCTAATATCATAGCCCAGTTGATAACCTTGCGATAACCAACAAAATCCGACATTTCCACATCTTCCCTCGCGTCGTGCGTGTTTTCCCCTGACTTGGGTGGTGGTTGCTCTCCATTCTCTACTTTGAATTGCCGGTATCTACGCCATCGTTTCGTTGAATAGGAAACGCTGAGTTGTGTGATTGCCAGAGAAAACACTATGTGTGGTAGCTTCATTTCCATTGTGCCTAATACGGCATTCGAGATCATGGGTACGGAGAAACAGAGCGCAACGGTCAGAGCGTGGTAAACGGTGTAGAAGGCGCATACGCGTTCGGCAGCCTCGCGCAGCAGCATTGCTGCCAACGTGAAGGCGGCTATGGCGTTCACTACGAAGACATATCCACCCCACGATAACGCCATGAGGAACGTGGTTGCTGCCGCCACCGCCGACCTCGCTATCGATGCGCCACGTACCGCCCGCAACCAGGCGTATAGCGACATCACCATAAGCATGATGGCTACGGCTTCGTTGTCGAAGGCGCCTGAGGTTAGTGAGTTATGTTGGGTCCGCTGGTTGCGTACCTGCCGTTGTGCGTGACACCAGCGCCGGCATGGGTCCGACGAAAAACGCGCTGGCGACAGCGACGCACTCGTCATGCGATATTTCCTTTGCCAGGAGGTACACTGCATAGACAGTGCCTACGCTGAACACTGCAGGCAGGAAGACACATACTCTCTTGAGATCAACATCTAGGCCGATGTACTGCAGCGCTTGGTGGGCGGCGTAGGCTGTTAGCATGAGCCCGGGGTACACCGTCTGTCCCACCGCCCGCCCGAATGGATACCAGCTGCCTGAGCAAGTCTGTGGATCGCTGGGCCGGTTCACCCACCCTCGTCGAACGACTTCCAGAAGTTGCGTACGCCATGTCTAAGCATGAACTTGGCGCACTGGTAGTTGAAATAGGGGTCGTATTCGTGCAGCACCACCTCGTGCTTCACCGCTGAGAATAGCCGCAGGAGGAATCCTTGCAGCGCTACGAGAGCGAGCAAGGTACGGGAGTCGGTGGCCCATCGTGGCGCAAGCCGAGAGCGCCGATCCTCGCTCATCGCGTGCCACTAAGCCGTGACGGCTTTATCGACACGCATTTTGCGCACACCAAGTGGTGAAACTGCACACATCTACCGATTTATGCAGCTTTGCAGTGCCCGAGGGGATGATTGCGTTACTGAGGTAACGACAGCATCGGCTCCTGTTCACCCTCTATACTCCTCAGCGGTAGCATAAGGAGGCTACAGACCCATATTTCACACTAAATTATAACAAGAATCTTTGCACATTTTAATATTGTGAGAGTTTGCACATCCCCCGTGTTGCTCTTGGGGTGTAGGCTAAGCCGCGCGTCGGAAAATTTGCGGCACCTGTTCACCTGTGTTAGTCCACTGTCACATTTTTAAAAGGTTGACATTACTGGGATGGCAACGTGCCCATGTTGACCGTCTTTTAGGTGCAATCTGTGACAGTGCGTTGTCTTTAGCGCTAAGGCGCTATTTGCGTCCTTAGTCGGCCGAAATTGTCGCCATATAGGGGCTAATTAGCATCTGTAGTTTAGTCACGATGGGCACTGTTAAGCTGCTGTCTTACCCCGTCTACTCGGTAGGTGCTCCGCATGGCTCTTTGACACGACGCAGATGGCGACGGACGGATGCTACCTCGTAACTTCCGGCGGCGGCGGCGGCAAGGAGTACGGCATCAAGGACTGCGTGGTTCGTTCGGCCCATATGTTGCCATAACGTGTCTTATTAGGAGTTCCACAAAGTGACCGATGCTGGAGGTAAAACCGACATGAGCCTGGTGGCCTCGAGCAACGACCAAATGGGCATATTTGACACCGTACAGTACATCCCAATGGTAAGAGTTTGACAGATGGTGTTTACATGCCGCAGCATGACATGTGGATGGGTGCCTCTGGTAACAGCACCGTGTTCTTCACGCACTGCCAAAAAAAGGGCGTGCGTATTTACGGCCGAGTCATCGTCGCTCGTAGCAAGAATGACCCTCAACAAACAGCAGCCCGCTTTTGTACGGGTATGGACATCTTCGTCACTGGGAGCAGCGACGGGACCGTTCGCGTCTGGAGCCTGACTGACAGCTTCTTCGAGAAGGTGGAAGAAATGGAAGACGACCCGGAGGGCAATAAACACCCTCCGCTTGGTTACACTGACGATTACGTGCTTACGTACGACTTGACTCCCGCGGACCCGGACTATGGCATGTACCTATTGAGCAGTGACAGCGCACGCTCATCACATCCCTCGACAATGACAGGGGGTTCCTCGTCAGCATTTAACTCTCCGACACCTGGAGAAATAACCAGGATCAACGACTCCAATCTGTCCACTGGCACTGCTGAGGATTCTGCCCGTAATACGGGCGTTGAGCACGACTTGGTGTGCTCGGCATTGGCGGGCGTCACACCCGTGGACGGTGACGCCTCGGCGTCGGCCGATATCTCGAGGAGTGAAACGTCATCCGGAGATGTATCTTCCAACGCCGGCGAAAGCTCTATTGTACCCGATGCCAATTCGGTGGAGGAAGAAAACGAGGCGAATAGCCCTTCTGCGTCGGATGAGCAGGGGCCAGTCGAGGAATCGGCTTCAGCTGAAGGAAGCTCCCTCCCCAATGAAGATTTGAGGGGTGATGAAGAGCCACCTGTTGACGAAAACCAGTCAGATGCAGCCAGTGACACGCAGGCTGATGCCGACGCCCCTGCAACCGGTGAACACACCCTTATCGCCCAGGATGACAACTCCAACGAGCCGAGCACGTCTTCCGGAGAATCGCCAAATGGAGCCGATCAAACTGATTTTTACACGGACTCCGACACTCCGCAGCGCCGTAGCGACAGCCCGCAACAGCACAACGTGGCTCGGAAGCTGGTGGAGTACAAGTGCCACGATAACGAGATCAGCGACTGTGACATCGCCCACGACGGAAGGGTAGCTCTGTCGATCTCACGCGAACAGATGGTGCTGTATCAGCTTGCGCCGCCTAAATTCTTGTGCAAACGCCGCAGTTCCATGCGGTTCAAGTTCGGCCGGTTCGTCAACTCCAACTGCAGTGATGGCCATTACCAGATCTTGACGGTGGAGTGGGAACCCCGTAAACCAACGGACTGTATTGTCAGCATGTGGCGCTACACGGCCGACACGGGTGACCTGATGCTTGTGAAAAGTGCAAGCGTCGGTAGTGCCGCCTGCAGCTGCATGTCCTTGAGAACGGACGACAGCCACTTCGCACTTGGGTTTGGCACCGGGGCAGTAGGGGTGTACAATTCGCGGTCGCTGCAGTGCGTCATGCACGAGCAGCGGCACCAGCTGCCGGTCACCGACGTCGTGTTTTTAGACGACAAGCTGGCGTCCAGTGGCGCCGATTTTTACGTCATCATCAAGAGCTTCAAGCGGTGGCCGGTGGCCACGGTGTTGATGGTCCTCGTACCGATAATCGCGTACATTGTGCACATTTTGCGTCAGCGCATTTTTTAATGTTATATGTTTTTCTACAGCAATACGTGCCTGTGATGCCGTCATCCGTGTAGCTTGTTCCGTCCTAATATACGTGGTTACTGTGCATCAGGATCCACAACTGATCGTGGACATGTATTGCCATGTTTCTGTTGCCAGTAACGCATGAGAATGCTGATGCAACACGAACTCGATGCGCAATACGCTTTTCACAGAGGTAACAGACATCACAACTGGCTGAAGTCCGAAATCTCAATAACTATTGCGATGAACATTAGGTAACAGGCTTGTGTTCATGGGCAACACTGTGGCTAGAGCCAGCAGTGATATTGGCAGCCGTTGTTGCATGTGCCAACTCCATTCAATTAGTTTCCTCCAAAGCTTCACTCTCTGCGATTGGGTTGGCGTGAATAGTGACCTTCTGTATGGTAATAGGGTTGGTGGGCCGATACTTTTCTCCAACGGGTTCTGCGCTCATTGCAGTTGCGTGTTGCCGTAACCTACCGTCCTCCATCTTGGCAAGTGCATCCATCCCGTCTATAACCCTGCATACAAGTTATCGCTCGATTGTATAGCCTGTTACCTTCCAAACACCGTATACGCTCCGTTGAGTTGGGGCTGCTTGGCGTACGTGATGAAGAACTGTGAGCCGTTGGTGTTAGGCTTCCCAAGATTTGCCATGGAGACAACGCCCCTCTTGTCATGCTGCGCAATGTTAGATACATCTGCTATTGCGTACCTTGAGGTGCCCTACTATCTCGTCCTCGAAAAGTCCGCCATATATGCTCTCGCCGCCCTTCCCCTTGCCGGTAGGATCCCCGCCCTGGACAAGGAATCCCTTGATATTCCTGTGGCAAACTGACTCTCTTGCACTGTATAGGCGGCTTACCTGTGGAATGTGAGCCCTGTGTAATAGTCCGATGCACAGAGCGCCAGGAAGTTCTGCAGGCTGTTGGCTGAAAATGCTAGATTCTAACCTTGCAAGTCTTCGGCGTCTCGCTACAATACAGCTCTAGCTTGATGTTTCCGTGCGATGTGTGTAGCGTTACCGCCATCTTGGCGACGTCGACTGCCGCGGCCGCGCTGCGTGCTGTGCCCTGTACCGATGTGGTGAGCGTTTAGAGGCACTTCCGGTATGTCTTCCACGGACGACGCCGTAGAAAAATTCAGGATTCGTGCTCTGCAATCCTTAGAGCTGACTGAGCTGCTGCGGAGCGACGAAGTCGACCTCATCTGTCGCATCTGCACCTGCCTCAACGAGCCGAATGTGAAACTGATCGAACGCGTGGTCCATCGTAAGGGTGTGGACTTCTGCCAGCAGCTGCTGGACGATACGCTCGTAGGTGTAAGCTTTACGGCGGTCAATGCTCTCAGGTGGCCCTGGAAGGCGGCGGTCAGCGAAAGTCTGACGGGGAGCGGCGGTCGCCAGGTGGCGTTTTCCTTAACATCCTGAAGAGCCGGTGCACGAAGGCGGAGATCAAGTTCATATGGAGTGAGCAGTCGCGTCGTCAGCGCATGAGGAAGCGGTCTCGCACCGTAGAGCGAAAGCGTACCCCTGCGAACACCCCGCCTTCAGAGTGGGCGCAATGAACGACGACGAGCGCCAGCAGCGCGCAGTGGAGCTCTCGCAGCAGGCAATCGACTTGGACAATGCTGGCAACTACCGTGCAGCGTTCGAATGCTACCTCCGCGCTCTGGACCAATGGGCGGTTGTCTGCAAGTACCAGAGGAACCCAGTCCTGCAGGAGCGCTTTTGCGCCAAGATGAAGGAGTACCTGGAGCGTGCAGAGACACTAAAGCGTATGCTCAACGACAATGCACCTGTTGACGAATATGCGAAAACCGGTGATGCTGGTGGTGGAGCAGGGGGCTCTGCATTCAGTGAGCAGGTGGATCAGCTATCTAAAATCCAGAGACCCAACGTTAAGTGGTCGGACATTGCGGGCCTCGAAGCAGCGAAGGAGTCGCTGCAGGAGGCTGTCGTGCTCCCGTTGCGTTTTCCAAACCTGTTCACGGGCGCTCTCAAGCCGTGGCGTGGCATTTTGCTCTACGGGCCGCCTGGCACAGGAAAGACGTACCTGGCCCAGGCTTGTGCCACCGAAATAGCCGCCACATTCTTGCCAGTGTCTTCGTCCGACATCATGAGCAAGTGGCAGGGTGAAAGTGAGAAGTTTGTGAAGTCGCTGTTCCAAACGGCGAGGGAGCGAACGCCGTGTGTCATTTTCATTGACGAGATAGACTCCCTGTGCAGCACCCGTAGCGAGGGTGATAATGAGTCGGGCCGTCGGGTAAAAACGGAGTTTCTGGTGCAAATGCAAGGCGTATCAGAGGGCGGAAATGGCGTCCTGGTCCTTGCCGCTACCAACCTTCCGTGGAGCTTGGACTCGGCCATCATTAGGCGGTGAGTGTTATTCGACTATTTCTCTCATGTGTTGCAGATTCGACCGCCGCATTTACATACCCCTGCCAGATATGCGTGCCCGACGCACCCTCGTAGAGCTGGGTATGCGGGGTTGCGAACACGAGCTTAAAAGTGAGGACTTCGACGAGATTGCACGTAAGACCGAAGGGTGAGTGAGCTGTGTGGTTTTGTTGTGTTCATCTGTGCTCAGGTTCAGCGGTTCAGATCTCAACGTGGTTGTGCGCGATGCCCGCATGCAGCCGCTTCGGAAGTGCAAGGACGCCACCCATTTCAAGAAGGTGGTACGCAAGTCTCAGACGTACTACGTACCCTGTTCACCTGGTGAGTGGCTAACCACGTTTCTCATTCAAACGTGACCAGGTGACCCAGACAAGAGCAAGCGGGAGTGTAACATTATGTCAATAGAGCCCAACATGCTAGTGCTGCCGCCCGTGACCCGAGTAAGGTGTATTGTATTTTGCTTCACAATTAACAGATGGACTTTATGACCATCCTTTCACGTTCTAAGCCGTCGCTGGCGGCGAACGACATAGCGGCGTACGTGGAGTGGACCAACAAGTACGGCCAACAGGGCTAACTATTGCGTGAAACGTCGCTTGGCCTCGAGGAGGCAGTGCTTGATGAGGTTGAATTTGGACCCGCAACGGCTGCAGCTGCAGTCGTGTGTGAGCACGTGCCGCACAACATGCCTTGCCTCCGGGTCCTTGAGGATAACCTGCGAGACGGCAACGAAGTTGCGGCAGGCAATGGCGATAGCTATTGCCGGCACGAACAGATTTTGTGCGATAAATACGTCGTAGAAATAGCTGCACATTGTGGTACCTGCGTAAGGTGACACCTTAACTGGTATTTTGCGCTGCTCACGCATTATGTCGTTGCGTGCCTTGATATGGGCGTCGCTCACTCGGGCCTCTTCCCTCTCGCCCAGGAGACTGAGGTGTGCCTGCAAGGCAACTACCATCTGGGCCACGTCAACCACGTGCTTGCTACCACTTTCAGCAGCAGTGTGTGATGATCGTTCCTCTCTGTCCACAGGCTGATCTGTATCTTGAGCGCACGCTGCAAAACTCGGCGCCTCTTTCGCGCAGCTGATAATTTTCACATGTGCCGTATCAGTTGTATGGTCATCATCTTGCTGCATGTCATCTGAATCGACTTCGGTTGAATGAAGATCAGAGCTTTCGATGCTTAGACCCTCGATCTTAACGCGGCTCACATCTTCGTATTCCGCTTCTGTATGCTCCGGATAAATCGGCTCCGACGCTTCTTGATCTTCATTGCCATCTTCTGTTGTATCATGTTTCATATCTGCATTTTCCGCTGCTGTGACACCGGTTTGTCGGCGCTGCCGACCCACAAGTTGCATGTCGCGGCACTGCGGCCGGCATATGCCCCAAACAAACATATCGGCGAGTTCTTCTCTCATAGATTGGATAAGAGACGATGGTTCGACGATGAGCAGTTGACACAACTTGTACACTCCCATGAAGTTGCACTCACTGAACAAAGCCTTCACCAGTTCCCTGACGTTCAAACCCTGCACATTTTCCACATGGTTTTGAAAACTCAACAACGAGTTGAATAGCTGGGTCAAATTGTCCTTAGTCTTCTGTGTGGAAAACTCTTTGGCCAGCATATGAAGCAATTTCACGTTGTACGTGTTGCGCACCGTCAGGGGGTCCGTGACGGACTGCAATGCCAGCAGCATGAAGCTGGCTTCAGCGACACGTTTGGAGCTCAGCATCCCCTCAAATACACTTGCGATAGAACACCCGAAAGCGCTTTCGAGCTTCTCGATATCCTCCTTGACGTAATGTTTCCTGGATTGCCTGGCAAGCAGCCGCCGCTGCACATCACCGGGCAGCTTGGCGAACCTTTCCTTGAATTCAGGTTCTACCTCAGCGCCTGCAGCCGTTGCAACAGTTAACATCATGTCGAGCAGATCGATGTGGAAGGGACTTAGAAGCGCATCGTCAACATCATCAATGGGCAACATCAGTTTTGCAATTCGCACCTTTTGGACGCTGTCGTCAGCATCGAAAGCATTCAGGAGGTACGCAACTACACCCTCGTTAACGAGAGCCGCGGGAGTTATTTGAGCTTCAATAACAACCACCCGATCAGCAGTTACCATGACCACCTGCTCACGGAATCGCAGACTGCAGAGCAACACCACCTTCTCCGCAGCGCCAGATACATGTGTAGCTGAGGTAATGCTGCTGCATTGATCGATTACTCTCGTCAGTTCGCCCTTTAGCACTCGGTAGACGATGCCTCTGTCGTCCAGCAACGCGAAGTGGTTCTCTTCCAGGCAATGCAGTTCCCTGATATTTCCCTGCGCTTTACCTTTTATCCTCGCCCTTAGCACCTCATCAAACTTGTAACTGCCAGTGTCGTATCTTAGATGGTACCCAGCGATAATATTTGCGTCGTCGACGACGTACAGCGTCTCGCCGTAGACTGTGCAGCTTAGCGGCGAGGTCCGGATCGGCAAAACCTCAATCGCTTTTGTTAGGTCGTCAACGTGGTAGAAGTGGCAATACGACGTCCCCCAGCCCCCAATATCGATGTAGTCACCGCTGCTATCAACACTTTCGAAGGTCCTGTTGGCAATAACAAACGGCATGGTTAGCTTCACCACCACAAAACATATGTTGTCGTTGATCCATCCCGTGGCGATCGTCGGGCCGAGGTCATCCCCGAACCATCGCCATTCTCCGTCGTAGATTGCCGACGCATTTGGCGTCGAGCACAGCAAGCAGCTGCCACTTGGGTTAGGGGCTACGTGCATCAACGGCCATCCCCCAATACCGGTGTCCAGTGCACTCAGTGACACTGCGTGCAGCGTGCAGTCCAGATCACCGAGTAGGTCGTTGTTGTCATATGCGTGGTTATTTCTGTCTTCGGCGAGCACCTTGCTCGGTATGCCATAGGTGCCCTCCAACGCTCTGGTGTGGAAGATCAGGATATCCGACTCCCCAACAAAAGCCATGCTGTTGTTCTTCGGGTTAGAGCAATGCATCTCGTTGTACCCCGTATTGTACAGACGGTACTTGATGAACGAGGAATCTCCGGTTGCGATTAATGCTAGCCCCTGGGCGGCAACGCAGGCCGACATGGGCGCAGCACATTTAGTACGGCTTCTGCGGTGCGCGAGTATAGCACCCAACGTATTAAAGCAAACGAACCCATCGGTGTTGTATAGGGCAACAATAACATCGTTATGCGCGGCTAGGCCTCGGACGTTTTCCAGCTTGTACGACCAATGTTCTTTGATCCCACTGTCTGTCCAGGACGCAACGACTATTTCCCCGTTCACGTGAATGACAACATTGGATCCCACTGCAGCCACCCGTTCCACCCCCTCCCTATATACCAGCTGTCCTATATGGTCCGATTTTACTCGTGCGATATGAAGCGCTACCAGCGCCCCGCTTTCCGTGACTATGAGGCAGCTGTTTGAGTTCCGTGCCATGATCACCTGCCGGAACTTAACATCGTCAATGAGCTCATCCAAGGTGTACTTTCCAGGTAATACGCTGTTCTCCAGATCGTTTAGCAAGGAGTCGGCGCTAAACCTGTTCAGGGCGAACTCCGGCGGCAAGAGCCCCGTACCCTGCCTGAAGCATGTCATGGTTACCCAATGCACGAGGCTGCTGATGGGGGCTCCTGTAGTGTTATATAGGACCTCCAAGTCCGCCGGACCCTGAGTGGCGTCATCGATCTTGGCGTAGAGCGAGTCGCCGAATGCGAGGTAGCAGAGCCCGTGCGATGGTGACACTGTGCCGTTAACGGCCATGTCTTGCACCAGGTTTGTTCCATGCAGCTCCAGACTCACTTCTCCAGGCTCATCATCTGCCGTCCTGCAGGCGAGGTAGTTCACGAACCCCTCCGGGCTTAGCGTGACGTACATCCCCGGTTGCTCGGTCGTCCAGAAGTACATCTGCCCCTCGGCGAAAGTGACATCGCTAACTGGAGACGGCAGAGTGAGCACCAGCAACGGCTTAATGCGGATAGGCGTGAGCGCTTTGTCATACTGCGCCCTCAACTGCTTGATGGAGGTCGTCTCCTGACTGCTCTTCCTGCGCAGACTTGCGTCCACCACTATCCTTGGCGGCACACGTAACGGCGATCCTGGAAGTGAAGGCGCGCTCATGGGCGTGCTACGCCCATTTAGCGGCGTGCCGTGGCTGGAAGAAGTTCCGTGTCTCCCATAATCGGATCCGTTGCTTCCCTCCAGACCGAGCTGGGCGTCGTATGCGCATACGAGTACCCGGTCCCTCCTCTCCAAAAGCAGGCACAATGTCCGCAGGCCAGGGACCATTTGCATGCCACAGAACGATCCATAACGCGCGTACCACTCCTTGCTGAGCGCCAGGTGACCAACATGGATATTCGGCTCGAAGTTGTTGTAGACATGGAGCACCCTGGAAGTGAGCACAAAGAGGTACTGGTTACAGTTGCTTGCGCATACGCCTATAACCGCCTCCGACGAAGCATCTGGCGCGCTGTAACGCGCCGTCAGCTGCCGGGCGAATCCGGCCTGCTCTGCTGACGGCGACTTCGCAACTCCCGTGTCGACAGCTGCATCTCGAGGGTACGGCTGGAGCTGGAACACCTCCGGTGCGCCTATGCAAAGCAGCATAGCGTACGAAAGGCGCTGATGCCCTTATCTCGTCCCTTGGCATCGACCAGTAGACATCCGTAACAGGAAACGAGCAGCCGTGTTTTCTTCACCAAGTCATGGCATTAAACGCCACTTCTTACACATCTTGCGCATAGGTGTTGTTTTTGACGAAACATTCGATTCCCGTGAAACAGCCGCCTAGTGTGTCGCGCGTCTACTCAACATCATCGGGACACATATACAATGTGGAATGTACACATTTCACGCCTTATCACATTATGCGGTTATTTACCACATATGATGACTATATAATGAGTTAGAGCCGCTGTCGACGCTCGGTGGGCCACGATGCAGACACTAAGGTATGTGTCCTTCTATGCCGACTTCATTGCCATCAGCCACCTGTCCTACTACTCGATTTGTGGACTCGTGTTCTGCGTGTTGGCTGCGGGCGTGTATAATGCCTGGGACTACTACGGAATACGAATTCAGGACCAGATAGTCTGCCCAGCCCACTTCAACGTACAACTGCTGTGTCTACTGTGGCTCTGCGAGGTTAGATTAGCGTTTGGGTCTACAATTATGCCAGGGTGTGGGACTGCTGGCGTGTTTTGCTGCGCTGTGGTCGTTCACTGGGCGTGAACATCAACTGCAGGACAGGTCGCCGTTATCGAGCTACGTCTGCGTTTTCCTGAAGGTGTGCCCGCTGGTTGTGAAGATTCTCCAGCTGTTCAATTTGTGCCAACTGTCCACTATCTGCATAGACCTCTTGCTGTTGCACGAGTGCAATGACGCCAACGTCCGACTTATCTTCGGTGAGGATTCCCCGTCAGTTACACATGGCGTTCAGCGATCGCGATACCGTTGCAATGGCTGGTGTGTATTGTGGGTTTGGTGGCGAGTGCTGAGGTTTTTCTTCCGCCGTACCTGTACGATCCGTCGTCGACGACTCGCAGCTACTGGATGCACCTGAAGGTCAGAATCGCGCTTTCCTCATTAACACATTTGCAGGACTTCATTTTTCCTTTAGGACTGTAGCCTTGAGCACGCTGCTGGGCAGCAGCACCCTCGTGGAGAAGCGGTCGGCGCGGCCCTGGTTCTTCTCCGCCAACTGTCGGTGTTCCAAAGCGAACAGGTTCTGTAGGGCCTCCGCGTAAGCGGCGTTGGCCTTGATTAACTTTTCGTATCGCATATCGCAGAAACTAATATTAAAGGCGTCAATAATGGTAGTGGATGTCGTGGAGTCGGGCGTCTGCAGGGGCCTGTTTAAATCGGGAGAGGTCGGGGTCGACGAAAACTGCTTCACTTTCTACGCCGAAGACGTTCTTTCCGCGCTCGATCTTGAAGTAGCCTTCCTCTCCCCAGTCGGCACCCCAGCTGTTGCGGCAGAGCCAGTACTTGACCATCTTTCCCTGTTCAAGTTGCTGACCCCAGCCGACAATAGCCACGGCGTGCGAGGTGTATTCCCATCCTGTGAGTATGGGGTGCTGTTCGATGTCGCAAACGCCCGAGTTATGCTCGGAACCAACGGCAGATATGACGCTTCCATCGTATTCGGTGTTTAGGATGGCCGCGTCGACGGCGGTGACTACGGGCCCATTTGCGTAAATTTCTCGCATAATGAGCTCTTCTCCCTGGCAAGCGGTGCACTGCGAGCATCCGCTTACGTATCCGTAGTCCTTGGCGAAGTAACGACGCTCGGCGGTTAGGATGGCGCATTGCTTTTTGTCCCCCTTGACAACCGAAATTCCCAGCTCATGCATCTGCTTGCCCATCAAGTACGGGTAGCCGCCCTTGCAACCTTGGTTAAACATGCTGCAATCAGAAGTGTCCTCGGGGTCGAAGTGGTTGTGGGATAGCTCCTCCAGGGCCTTGTCCTGCTCGGGAGTGCGGTCGTTGCTTCTTTCCAGGGCGATGAGGAAACGTGCCTGCAGCACGTATCTCGTGGCTATGGCGTAGCAGCTGCCGCATTGCTCCTGGTTGACGACGGGGATACTGGCTTGGGTGTGCCACGCGAAGGATTCGGGGACGTCATCATCAAAATCCAGACGGTCTCTGCTGGAACAGTCACACGGGTAGGGCCCCTTCTTGGGTGAAATTTTGTGCGCGGCCGCACTTCCAATTCCACCCGTGTAGTGGCTGATGAATCGTGTGATCTGCCTATACTTGTTCTTTACGTCGTTGCTTTGCAGTTGGACTATGGTGGTCACACTCGGTTTCGTCCCGTCAATTCTGGCAGCATAAGCACATCTACGCGTTGCATGTTCGTCGGAGGGCCCGTTGGTTTCGTACACCCATCCAATCTGCGTCTTAGTCACATCTGTCTCGTACTGATCTCCGTCCCTCTTCGTGTAATGCAGATAGAAAAAGTAACGCGCATTGTTGCGGAATATTATTTCAAAACCTGAATTACATTGAGTGCTACATGACAATGGTGATTTTATCACAACTTAAAAGGCATGCGGTCAGACTGGAGTCCGCCACACCATATAATGATGCACTTTATAGACTGAGAAGTCAACGTACCCTGGTCGCTAACCGCAGTCCATCTGCCCACAACGTTTCCTACTTTGTCCTTTACAGCTAAGGCACGCCAGACGTTCCTATTCGGCGCATTCGTGTTGTCGCTATAGGCGGTCACGTCCAGCGAGAGGTGGACATCCGTAGATTTATCGAGACCTAACAACGCTTAACTTAGTCGATAGACGACTCACAGTAATGGGTCTTCAGGTGTTCCAGGTAGTTTCCCAAATGCAGATTGCCCTCCGGCGAATTTGGAACGTCTGAACCGCATGCCACATCCGGCCCGCCGACAGCCCGCGATTGGAAGATTCGCCTACACATCATATACACATCGACATTTTAAGCCAACCATTCTCCGGAGATATCGTTTACCAACGCGTGGATAGGCAGGTCAGCTCGTACTTGCAGAACGCTGACCAGCAGGTGTATCAAGCACAGTAGCGGCAACATCGTGGACCCATAATATTGACTAAGCACGCCCTCCAAGCGTAGACTACTTGAAGGACGCTTTACGCATCTGTGTGTATATTGTGATCGAACCACCGCGCCGTCGTTTCCGCTTTGCTGCACATCAATGCGCAGTGTCGGCAGCGAGTGGATGCCGACTAGTGGCACCAAGTACGATTTATGCTCTATTATACAGGTCAAGGAGTCTGTAAAATTTGTTGTTTTAATGTCCGCAACTAACCCGCCTAATGTGTCTGGAGGTATTTCGTCGGTGTCACTGGACTTCGACATTGTCACCGAGTAGGTCAACGCCATGTTCACTGTATCTGTGCCATTCGACGCCACGAGCTGCTGTTTGTGACTCGACACGGTGCCGCATGAGTCAAGAAGGATCGGTTTGGTTAACCCGTACCCCTTTAAGTCCAAATCACGTGATCCATCCGGTGTTGTTTTGTTGATAACGTACGATGCATATAGCATCAGGTGCTTTTTTCCGGCACATGGTAACACAATCTGCAAGTTTTTAGGCGATGTGTAAGCGTCCTACTTGCTGATCGAATTGACATGTGTAGGAGTCGTAGCAGTACACACCCCTTGTTGGCTTACATGACTGCCTCATGTGTTGGAACGCCTGCAATGTACTTAGTCACGCCACTTTGTATCTCACTTCTTCGATCTTTTCGTCGTCGAAGAACACTGTTATCACGAAGTCCGTACTGACGGGAGGCTTTGTTTCTGGTAGATTAATATTCCTGCTCCACATAAAGCTTTTTATAATGCCACTAACGTAGCGCTTCGAAGATCAACAACCACCACCTCCGGCGGACCCTCGGGAGTTTTCGGGACTACGGTCGGCTTCTTTAATTTTACATTTCCAATGCTAGCCTCCTCGCGTATGGCTTGAAAGCCTATGAACGTGCCTCCGTAGCTGTTTACCATGGTGCTAAAGTATGTCGACTGTTGTGTGAGTGCCTTATGTTGGACGTAGAGTCAAGGGATGTACACTGTTGCGGGGTGTCGAGTCAATGATGTTGCTCTCATTTCCACAATGGTGCGTCTTAAACATTATTCATATGACATTATTTTATCAGGATTAGAATCTAATTAATAGATAATTACTTTTATTTGGTCTGACGTGCGGACTTTTTTGTGTTATTGTCGTGATATACCGCACCGGTGTATCGGGATTCCAATCAAATTCCAACCTTCTTCTGTGATATGCCTCATGATGTGTAAACTTCATAATGTGTAACTACTTGTCACAGGGGTGATAATATCAACCAGAGTGGCACGTTGAATCATTGTGATGTCCTATCTGATCCGTTTTGCATGCTCAACCACTATTTGGTCCATTATAAAAATGCAATTTTCCTTCATCTTAACATGTTAGTAACGAGTTATATACGCCTACAAGGCCTGATGTTAGGCAGCAAAAAGGCTGTTTAGCGGCACGGACTGAATCTGTTAGTATGTGGCCCTTTCGGTTCACCGTGTCCCATATCCACCGCTACAAAGGATCTTGTAACCAACGTAGTATAGTATGTATTCGTACGCAAAACCATACTGTGTTTATCATTTGACAGTTTCTTAAGCGTTCCGGCGAGAGATGCTACGCCGACATTGTATCTTAAGTGTCAACGTCGATGTCATCCCTTGCAGTCACCAATGCAATATATTTACGATTAATTAGTGTCTGTTGAATTTTCTGGACTCCACACTTTAAAAAATGCTTGCAGGTATATCTTGCCACACGTATATGACCAGGCATGCAGCTGTATCACATTGTAGTTCAATGGAATCGCAATATGATGTAATTAGATGTGGTAATTACGCAATTTGGCAACATTCGGAGGTCTCGTATGACAATAACCGATACATATTACAACTTGTGTTTTATGGTAGATTCAACAGTGACCGGCGGCCATGGTTGATCATTCTGAGACACCACAGTCGTTACCGAATCTCGATACGTGTGGCACGCTCGTTACATTGCGAGTCCCCCTGGCCGAGAAATTGCTCGTCAGGTCGTCATACAGCTGGATGCATCGCTGCTTGGCTGGGTACACGCAGTTTCGCACGCAGCGGTTAGCCTCCACAAAAGTCGAACGCATGGTCGACCCTACAGCCTGCGGAATTTGCACATTTAATTGCCACATTCACATACCGTTACAGCTTCCATGAACATCTCGCCTATGGTCTGATCGGCGTTGTCAGCGTCATTTTGTGGCACATTGGCCGCAGGGGCATCGTCAGCCTGGTCAACCGGCATCCTTCCCGTTGCAATAGCTCCTCACGGCTATGTGTGCCTTCTAACGAGGTTCTCAAACATGAATACTACCCGTGATAGTTGTTGTTTGTCAATCGCCACTATTAGCGCTAAGTCCCAGCGCCTGCAATCAAACCGCGTCGCCGACAGGGTGAAGCCTGGCGATGGACATCTATTGTGAGTAATTGGCGTTCAGTTTAAGTATTGATAGCGATTGAAGTCAGTGTGTGAGGGTGCACTGCGTTTGTTTGCGCAGAGTACGGCGATTGCGTCTGCCGCTAAGGCTTATTCATTAGGTGCTTGAGAACCTCGTACATCACAAACTGCAGCGCACCGGACGGTAGCGACTTCAGTAGAGACGGGAAAAGGCCGTAGTAGAAGGCCAAGATTCCTGCGGCATATGGAATGGCGGCCGATATCACCCACCTTCGTTGCGAAAGATGTACTTGACGCAGTGTCGTGCATTTCTGTAGAGCCTTTTCTCGTCGGATATAGCGTTGTTCATCATCCGCTTTCGCACGGTGTCGCCTGAAAGTGGTTATAAATTAAAACGACATGACTATGGACGGTGTGGAGCAGGACACACAACGGTAGCGGCTCATTGCCTATGGGAACAATTTGGCGGGCATCATGCCGTTCACCATTGGGTTCAACAACCCAATGAACGCGACGCTTTTATGCGCATGTGGTGAACGATGATGATCAAAATGCATAAAACACGTTAGAACCACGTACACATGATAGCAACGTTTTTAGACACACTAAAAATGGTGCAAGAATACCGCACACGTGCCAGTCAATCAGTATGCATGCTCACCTGGAAATACGATACACAACGCGGAGAAGCCAGCGGCTGATCCGGCAAGCGACGAAATAAACGCCACCTGCTTTATGTTAAGATGCTCCTTATCAAATCCGCATGCGGCGGTGAGCTTCTTCTTGTAAAAGTCGAAAAATGACATCTGTAGCGCCACGTAAGGCACGCCTGTGCACAGTGTGGGGAAGAACCCTTTAAAAAATCCGCGGATGCCTTCAGAGCGTAGAATCTTAAAGAAGCAGTCGGGGATGCTGTTGTACGTGCAGTTGTTGCTCAGCACCTTCGTGTTGACCCCCAGCGCCATCCGCACGCTCATAACGTCGAGCGGATACGATAAACATTTCTGCAGCATGCCAGCGGATGCTCCAGACAGTAGCGATAGAATGACCGTGTTCTGCGCCTTCGTTCGTGCGGGGTTTTCCGACCGCTCCACACGCAGATCAAACCAGTTTTGCAGCACAGCCAGAGTCCTAAGCCGCTCCTTAGCGCCGTCGTTGATGCCGAACTTGGTAGCGTAACACAGACCACCGCGAATCGTATTCATCAAGTTACCGCGCCAGAGGCCGCATATACCTTCCTCCCCAATGATCTTCTGTGCAGTACGTATCACGCCCTGGTATTTGAAGGATCCTGGATGCTGTCCGCTGTTGGCATTCACCTGCGCAAACATCGGTTGCACCTGGTACAACAGCCTAATCCTGTCGAAGGGAGCGCAAATAGTCTTCGTGATCACACCAGAGAGCATCCCACATAAGACATAGCTGTTGTTTCTCGATCCCTTCGATGTGGCGCCTCCGGGCTCTGGATCCGCTCCCTTTTCGGGGCAGCGCTCCACGGAGGTGGCTGCGCGCGACATCGCGACTGTCACCTTGTCTTCCGCGGTCTGCGGTGCCCTCTGCAGGGCGGGGACACGTCGTTAGGTCTGCACAGGCGTCTTCCACCGCGCCACTACCACGGTTATATGCGAGATTCTATGCGTGGCAGCTTTCTGGCGCCGATTCGCCACATACTTTTGGGTGGCCGCACACATCACGATATTTAGCCGCGATGGCGCCCTGCAGGTAGGGCGCGATCAGTATTATTTATTTCGGAGGACGAGTGGCAGCTGTCGCGTGTGATATTCCGCTCTTCTAGGTGACGGCTCGCAGCCGTGCACATCTCACGCCGGCAACATGATTCCGCCGTCACTCCCGCTGACGCTGGAGGAAGCCGACGAAAATGTAGTCTATATGTGCTTTGAGGACCATGTCTTTGCCGATAATGCTGCATTTGGCGCCATTCGCAACCTATCATGCGGTCGGCGAGATGATATAGAATTCTGCGATGAAGTCACGTTGACGACAGCAGACGCTGTGGATATAGATGAAAGTGACTTCTCAGCTGAATCTTCAAGTGAGGCGCCCACCGGCGGTGCGGCTGAAAGGGAGCCGCATGTGTCAACACCAGTAAGAACTCCCCAAAGAGGGACTGGTAGCCGGCAGCCCCGTACGAGTGTCAGGACGCCTGAAAGGGTCAGGACTCCTACCTCTAGCAGGAAAAATGCTGTATTCGGCGCAGATGCGTCAGGAACGAGGGCTCTCAGTTCGCCATACGGTGAGACTGCCACCCCAACCAGGCCGGCCTCACTCCACAGGGATGACCCTGCAACCGTGTACACAGAGTCGCCCATCCGTCGGTCCCGTTTCCTTACTGCTTACGATGTGGCTAGCCAGCTGTCGTCATCTTCAAGCTCTGCCGGCGGCGACTCGCCGCCTCATCGTCCACTGGTGCCACCCTCGAAGGTGGCGACGGGGCCCGGTGATTCCGTCGCCACATCGCTCGAAAAGGCTATGTATGATGCCAGTGCATATACGGTTGAAAGTATAGACCCCGAGTTCCAGCAGTCCTATGCCCCAGCTCCAGCTGTTGTAATGGGCTTCGGTAGCGTCGTTACCCCAGCTCGCAACGAGCTGAACATGTACGACGCACTGTCGAACCTGGGTGACTTGGAAGGTCGCGCGGGATTTGAGAAGTCGATGTATCAGACATGTGTGCTCCGTTCACGTGCATTCAGCTTATCGTGGGCGAGGTTCATGCACCGCATCAACGATATCATACGCGTGTCGGTCCAAGAAGGGGTTAAAGCGGTTTTAGAGCTTCTGGAGCTGAATTCCGTGTCTGACACGATGCTGCCTATAATCCTGGTCGACGTGGGGGTGGTTAGCAACGACCAGAGAATTGTACTGGACAAGTTGTTTGTCTCTTTGTCATCCTCGGGACAGCAAGAGCATCTATTCATCAAGGTTAACTTGCTAGGCAACGTCCAACAATCGCTAGAAGGTATATACACGTCAATGAAGAGCAGCATGCCCAATGCTAGACACAATACAAGCGATGCGCCTGCACTGGATCTTAACACACGCAAGAATATCATGGAGCATATTGCAGAGCTTCACCGGTCGTCCTTCAAAACACGTAATCTGGTTTTCGTTATGGAGAAAATGACCCACAACCTGAACGAATTGTTGTATATTTTCGAGATGTTAAAGAGCCACGAGGGTGTGTCGATCAGTTGCATCTTGTGCTCCAACTGCTGGGAGACGAACTTGGAGCATCATGTCTCGCCTCGAGTCTACGCCGGACTCTCCATTGTCAATTGCGACGTCGTATCTGTGAATACACTGTCGGATGATGTACTGAAGCTTTTGCTGTTCGAGCCAGAAATTCAATGTTTCCTTCCCCATATGCACATGTTACAGCAGTTTTGGGATATCCTCTACAATGAAGAAATGTCAGTTAGCTCTTTGATCAGGCGCATATATGGTATGTATGACGTGTTTTACAGAAACGCGCAATTTAGCTTCGTTTGTATGCCCGATATTGTCGACATACGCTCCACTGTGCATGTGTCTAACACTGAACCGTATTTTGAAGTGCACAAGAATGAAAGCATGATAAAGGAGCTATTCGCCAAATTAGGGCTGTTGTTCTGTGGCTGCAATCTCTCCGAATCGCACGTGGCGTACCTGCAGGTTATATTGGATAAACAGTCGTCGATGGAAGCGTTTTGCCTGCAGGTAATGCCTTACGAGGCCATGAAACTCATTGAGCGCCGAATATCACTGCAGCTAGCGATGTACCTCTTGAACACGCTAATGACGCTCCTGCCCGATTCCGACCGGCCGAGGAGCCGTCTTAGTGTGTTGGTCAAGATACTGTGCAGCGAACACGTCGCGATACGGATTAATGACCTCATCAAACGCATCTCACGAGTCATTCAAACAAAGCACGGTCAGAGTCTGTCTGACCTAGTAGGAAAGATGAAGGAGTTGGGTACTCACTTTTTGACGTTTTACCCCGCAGCCGAGTCGATGATGCGATTCTTGGGAAAACAACCAAAATACGACCTTGTGGCAGAATACCTGGATATGATGCGCACTAATGCGAGCAGTGCGACGCTGTCAACCTTCGTGGAGCACGCGCTGGGGATGCTGATGCTCCCAACTGTCCAGTCAAGCAGTAAGCTCGCTTACCAAATGGTGGTAGCCAAGTACACTCCGTTTAGAAGTGAATGGCACATTCTGCGCGACTTGTTGGAGCCAAAGGAGTGCACTGCATTCGCTGAAGATATTAGGCATCTGATTCTATTGTCTCGTACCATTGCTTCACGTGATGTGAATTTGTGGCACTTGTTTTGCCTCTTCCACGCGAAATTTGCGGCCGACCCGATTTCAAAGACGTTTATCCGATTCAGCATGGCCCTGGAGACGGCAATTAACATTTTGGGTTACTACACACTGTCAGCCTCGAAGGTCGTTAATCTTATCTCCCCTGATATTGAATCCTGCACATCCACTTCTGTCAGATTGGCGCACGTGATCAAAGGGCGTCTATCTCGCTTTAAAGTGCGGCGCATTCACCTGGGACGATGACGCAAAAGGTTAAATATTGGTGAACCTCTTTAAGTGTAGTCTTCTGTTTAATCGTTAGTGTGTAGCGTTTGACGGATTTTGTGGGTTTATAACCCCCCAAAGCAACGGCTATAGCAGTGTAACACAACTCAGATAATGTAGACTCCCGTAGTTCATGAGTGCTTGAAATGGCAAATTGCTCTCCATGATGGTGGTAGATTTTTTTTATCGGGCATTGCAGAAGCGTGTTATCTGCTTAGTCAAACGTTCTGTCTGTATTTAGACTTGTCTAGCGTTATATAACACTCCGCATACACCCGTAGCCGCTCATATTCCGCAAACAAACCTACATTTATGTTACATTGTTGCATGCCCGCAGCAACGCTACGTGGATGCAGTGGAGCTATTTTGCGCTCTGGTCCTGAAGTTTGGAGTAAGACGTGGACGGAGGCGTATCGTCAACAAAGTAAGCGCGCATCTTCTTGAAGCCGGGGATTGGATGCCAAGCGAATAAGTAGAGGAGGGCACCGATGACTAGGAATGCGACAACGACGGTGAAAACAATGCGTATGGGTTTCATACATTCATTACATAGGTAGCCTCTGTCTTTACAAGTCGTGCATTTTGCACATTGATTGCAACACCACGAGCAGTGCTTACACTTTCCGTACTGACAGTCTCCGCTTGTGCAACACGAACAGTTAACCATTTTTAGCTCAACTCACTTAACAGACAACCCTGAACAACGATAAGCAACTCAACCAGGTAATAACGGTAGACTGATGCGCTGCGTTAATTATTGCAGCTCAGCTGCAGAGAATTGTATTTGGTATACAGTTTTTTGCAGGAACCAAAAATGCTTTTCAGGGCCCAGTGTTGAATACGCATGGTGCAGAGGGTAAACATGGACCCGCCACACACTCTATTACATCTAATGTGTAACATAGTTCGTCATTTCATGCAATATTCGATATAGTAATACGTTTCGTCATCATCCGAAATAGTTGCTGCCATTGCAGCGCTTGGTCCGCCTTACGCAAGATAGGAAATTCCCTATATGCTTTATTTGTGCCAAGAGCAACGTTCCTACATTGAATGCTACAATTGTAGGCGCGTGAATTATCGGTTTAATTGTGAATTGCCGATTATCATGATTTCGAACTATGCTTTTAAGCTCATCCTCGCGTCCGGGAGTAAAATGCCACCCCGGACATTGACATTTCCTGGCAGTTACAACGCTTATATCTCTAACAACGAAATATGTGTCATCAATCACCGCATGCTTCGACAATGCTGCCATCTGCGTCGATAACGAGCGCGTTGCAACGTTTTTGGATTTCCGGTGCAGTTGCTTGGCATCGCATCACCAGCTGCTTTCATCTGCTGCAATCATCACAGACCAGATAGGCAGCGAATGTAAATGGTCTTGACAAACATTTAGCTAAGAGCCCTTGTTCCGGGTTAAGAAATGTTTTAACCATCGCTGATGAAAGCCATGCAGTCAGTCCCCTTAATCGTGATGCTACCGTTGATGCTGCAAGGCTGTTGCCAGCCAATCACTGGTGAATCATGACTCATCGGTTTAAAACATCCGAATCATTGCATTATTTATTGTCTTCAATCCTTCGAATTGTCAACACCATATATCAACTAATGTTTTGCCACAAGTTTGCAGCAGCAAGGCTTGAAATAATGCCTTCCGAATAATTTCGCATAGACGCTTCACCCTCCGCAGTTGCAACATAATTGCTTATATGTCGTTTGTTCAATACCGCCAGAATGTACCTCAGAGTGTTTAATTACCCATCTCTGGACGAGTGCCTTTGTGGGGTAGTGCTCAGTCCGGTTATTAGGCGCTATTAATATTTTTATAAGATCGTAATCAGATATTCTAGCTGATAATGTGCATTAATATCGACTATGTTAACGAGATAACGATTTTTTTGGCAAATAATTCAGTCACCAGGATTTGACATGACCCCGTGGCACCCACCCGTGACCATCCATCTAGTGTGATCCCTCGTAACATGCTCAAAAAGTTGGATGTGACCGTGTTATAAGGTTTATAAATGACAATGGTATTGTAGCAAAAGGCTTGTCAAGGTATGCGGTTGGCCCTTAACTTAGGCAGCTGACGAGTGCTGTGCTGGATGAGATGGTCATCTGTTAGGTGAGTGGTTGACATGTCAGTTATCACATATGTTGCGAGGCAGTGAATGTCGCCGGAACTCTCCGACGCGACGGCCACTGCACAGCCTAGTTAAGCGATATTTGTGGACAACATTTTGGCGATCGCTAATATAGTACTATCGCGCCGTAGCTTAGCTAGACAGTCATCAGCGCTGCCATAAGGGACATGTACAGTGCATATTGTGCATGAAATAGGAAGGGAAGGGCGTCCGTAGCGCGCTGCATGTATACCGTGGTATCGCCGGCAGTGGGTCGCAGAACGCTCATCGGAGACGGATTGGAGGCCGTGCTGTTCGGGGCTGAAGGTGCGCGTTTTATGGTTGCGTATGTTTATGGCAAGTGAGCTAGAGGGAAATGTCGGCGGAGAACTTGGAGTCGGGCAATGGTTGTGACTGTATGCCCTATTGGACAGATGAAAGCTGTGGCAAAAAATGTAATGAATGCCCACGTTTGGACTGCAATTGTAATTGTTGCCAGCCCCGCAGAGCCGTAATATTTACTGTCATCGTCATCCTCATAATCCTCACCGTCGTATGCGTTATGATAGTGTTTCGCATTCGGCCGTTCCACAAGGTCCGCGATTGTTTCGTCCGCAAATGAACGTTCTGTATCGCATTCTGTAATCACTTCCAGCATTCATTATAATCACACTTATCGCACCGTTTTAGACAATACTGATACATCGCCAATGTAATAACGTCTTATTTAGTGTTTCAAGATCATGCACCGGCAGGTACGCAGTGAACGCGTTCATGAATTAGATGGTGGCAGCGCATCACGTGCGCATTAGTTAAAAGAGCAGTATTAACACGGCTCGATGTAGTATGCGTATCCGCTCCCACCTCCACCAGACGGCGTGGCACCCGGCGCAGCAGTGACGCTGCTTGGAGTTTGACCGGGAGCTTGACTACCTGGTTGACCACCTTGTGCAACAGCCACCTTACCACCAGTTGGCCCAATCATTGACCCTGTAACACCCGGAGTCTGAGTGAGCACGGCGACTGGAGATACAGCAGGCTGTAGACCTTGAGTATCACCGCCCGGTGAACCCGCACCCGGGATACCTTGCTGACTAGGGGTGCCAGGAGAATTGCCGGTAGCTAGGGGAGGGGGAGGAACTGGCGGGGCTTGAGGTGCAGGTTGATGAGGTTGTACAGTTTGCTTAGCTGATGTATCTTGAGTCGAAGAAGACGCCGGAGCTACGGGACCAGGAGGCCCTTTTGAGCCTTTCTCTCCGGTGGGCCCTTTCAGGCCTGCAGCTCCATCCTTACCGGCAGATAGAGTTGTAGCAGAGTCTCCACTTGCTGAACCTGAAGACGCATCTCGACTTTGACTGGTATTCTGACATGGAGGTGCGTCACCCTTCTTACCCTGGTTCTGTGCTCCCTCAGCTTTCGTGCCTTCCTCGTCTTCATCTTCTTTTTTCTCCGGTGGACACACTTCACCATCCAAAATTGTTTTAAGCCTTTCCAATCCGTCACCCTTCTGACGAAGCACATTAATTACATTGGCCCAATTCTCTTGCAAAACATTTTGCTGAGCCTTCTGTCTTTCGAAGTTATATCTGTCAAATGTGAAGCCATATGGGAAGAGATTTTTGGTGAAATAGTCTGCGGTACTTTTCATCGTGTTATCTATTTTAATCTTCTCCAAATTAGCCTTCACTTGGCCCAAATTATCTCTCAACCATTTTGCAGTTACCTTTGCGAACTCTTCTTTCATAAGGTCTTTAGTATCCCTACCGAAGCCGGTGAATGAAAAACGCTGGTTGGTGAAAATTTTTCTAAATTCAGACTTAAGCTTCTCACAATGTTCTTTTAAATTATTCCAACAAATGGATTTTCCGTACATTGTGATCTCCTCATCCAATTTACTTTTTATCTGTCCGCCATCCCTACCATCTTCTCCTCCTACTATTAAGCAAAACGTTCTCACCAGCGCCAGGGCGTTGGCTGTATTCGGAAGATCTGTGCCATGTTGTCCGAGCACTGAAGTGGAATACACGTCGAGGAAATAATTTCGTATATTTGGCATATGGGAATATTTTTCACAAATTTGTTCAAGGTCATCGGTCATATAAGAACCCTGGCGATAACCACGTTTCAACTCTTGTTTACCGAATCCTCCAGGAACAACACCATACTTTTTAGAGCTGGGCGGTTCAGTGAGATATGTCTGCAGCTCACCGCCAAGTATACCTACACCAACCTGCAGGCCCGCCCACTTCCCTCCACCCAGCTTATTGAACTTATCGTCCACCTGGTAGCGCAGAAAGTACATCACGGCTAAGAACTTGGGTATACATTCTAAAAGAGCATCTAGTACGGCGATGGGATCTTGTTTGCCATTATTAACGGCATTAGCATTCCTGCACAATTTCTTATGGAATTTGGACACGCTGATAAGGAAAGTGGTGAGTGCGTCGCCACTTTTTGACGGATTAACGTCTTGGTATTTGCCTTTAAGGCGGTTAGACAGTTCTTTGGCCACCAGGCTTCGCGTCTTCTTATCATTGTTCAACCACGCCAGGAACTCAAGACACTCCTTGAGTGTGCCAAGCGGAACTCCGTGCTTATCCATCTTAGTTACAAAGGCACTCAGCACAGAGACACTAATAAATGGGAACTCGGCTAATGGCACAAAAGTACAAGTGAAAGCGTTTTAATGGTTAACCAGGAGACACTAAAACGATAAAACCTCTAAGGTGACGTCACTGATTGCAGGTCAACAAGACACTCCCAAGTTGCTTGCGATGATTGTAATTGCGATGTTAGTAGGTGACACAGTGAAGGTGTTAGTGGCGATAAGTGGCCTATTTTAGAGGCCCTAGAGGGGCGTGGTGAGAGGCGTCCGCAGCCTCAGTCCACCGACAAGGTGGGACGACCTAGACACGTCCACGAGTAAGGCACAACGCAACGTAACAAAAAACAACGAACATCTTAACAGAGCTTGTACATTACTTAGTAGGTTACACGTTTAATGAGCAAGGTTAGTAAGGCTAAGCAGGATGTTGGATTGAAAGTCAAATCGGCTTTGGAGGTTGTTGTGGACATGGACAAATCTCTTAAGGTAGATTTGAGGACTGTGAGAGATAAGATTAAAAGTGAGATAGGGAGGGTGATTAGGGATTTGGGAGTTTTGACGTTGAATGAGAAAGTGAAGAATGATTTGGAGACGTTGAAGGAGAGGATTAGTAGGCTTGCAAATGGTATGGAACAAGATGACCCTAAGAATGCCCTTGTTAAAGAAGCCTTGGAAAAGCTTGGGAATGCGAAAACGCCACTGCATAGTCTTGCTGGTCATAAAAGTGCTACGATTCAGACAAAGTTGACGGAGATGGATGGATTGTTTGAGACGCATATCAGGGATAAGCTTCAAACAGCGGTCACTGCAGTTGGCACGGCGATTGGGGAGCTTGGAGAGAATTTTGATAAAAGTACTAATATTAGCGGTATTATTGAAAATATTAAAAATAAGGTTGGGGAGATTAAGGGGAAGGGAGGTCAAAAGAAAAATGGGAAATGGGAAAATAACTCAGGCCTAGATGGGATTGTTGAGAGAGTGAAGGATCTTGCTAATGCGTTTGTTAATAGTGGGTACGGGAAAGGGCTTAATGCTAGAGTAGGCGGTTGGGTGGAAGGTGTGATAGGAAACGGGAAGCAGCCAAGGGAAAATGGTTATAAGCCCGGCATGAAAGCCGTGACGTCTTGGCTTCAGGCGTATCAGAATGCGACTACGAGGGGAGGGCATAGGGAAAGCGATTTTAAAGATCAAGTTAAGAACAAGATTATGCAACAGGCACAAATCTCACAAGCCATTGCTGCAGCTCAGCTGAAGTTTAATGATGTAAGGGGGAGAAATGACCAATCTAAAATTACCGGAAATCTTAAGGCAATCGTCGACGCTTGCGAGGAGTTTGTCGAAGAGCTTGATAAGCAGATTTCTAAATCGGGAATTGACACGCCTGTCAATAACATAGCCGGAGGTATTCAGCATTGGATGCAGGGGCTGGTTCTTTGGAAGCATGGGTTCACCGACTCCGATCTCAAGTCTGCCGTACGCTTCACCCTCGTTGCGCTCTGCGCTTCTGTGAGGCAGGTTGGCAATGAGATAAATTCACTAGGTACCGACAAGTTTGGCAACATCCTGGACGAAATAAAGCCGACGGTTGATCATCTTGATGCTGCGCTTAAAAATGCGACACAGAAGCCCAGACCCAGCCAAGGTACTGGCCAAAAGGATAGCCCCGCCAAGGTTGTGGACACTAAGTTGGAGGCGGTGAGGGATTTCGTGAGTGAAGATAAGCTTACTCAAAACTTTAAAGATAACGTCATAAAAGAACTGAAAACTCAGGTTGACAATCTTCCCACCGCCGTTAAAGAGTTCGACGAGAAAGCTCAAGAACAGATCAGGGAAGCCGCCAAGACGGCGATTGAGAAGGCGGCTGAGCAGATTAGTGAGGGTGATATAATAACACTTAGTGAAGGTGGCCTAATGTCTGATTTCGAAAAGGCCCACAAGCTGATCAGAGAGAAGCTCGACGGAGACCTTAAGAAGCCAGTTGATGACAACATTGGGAAGGATGATCCGCCGGGTGGTCAAGCAGATAAAGTCACGCTTGCTAATGGAAGTTTTACGACTTACAATGATCACGTTAAACAAGACAAAGTTGTGACTGGTACCCTAACCGGCATTAAAGACGAAGGCGCACTTTCAGAGGCGATCGGGAACATCAAGGCTCAGGTGTACGATACTTTGAAAATGATCGATCCACATTATAGTGCCAGTGTTGGTATCAGAGACAAAATTGACGATAAAACATTTACCGGTCCGTTCGAAAATATTAAGACAGAGCTTGACGAGATCAAGAAATTGGTTGATAGTAAGGGGGGAAGCAAATACCTTGGTGATTATAACGAAAACAAAAAAGGAGTTAAAACGTTGTTGACAGACTTACAAAATGCGCTTAGTAAACCAACGTGGGAATTCGACAGTAAACAATACAATGGCCTTGATGCAATCAGGGAGGCGATTCACAACCTGAAAACAGGGAAGTATGATAAAAGCAGCAGTGAAATCGACTCAGCCGTCAAAGCAATTAAGACGCAGCTTGGAGAGCTTAGAGGGAAGTTGAAGAAAGACGGTGATAGTGATAAAACTGCCGTTGTCAACGCTTTGCAAGATTTGAAAGAGAAGGGGCTTGGTGGCCATTGGACGGACAATAATAATGGAGATTGGAAAGGTACAAAAGGTTTAACAGCAATACAACACCGACTTGAAATTCAAAATGCTGAATTGCCCAGACAAACCAAACAAATAACCAAAGCAATTGTCAACATTAAATGGGAGCTTGCAAAAGTCGGACTCAAGTTTCAAAATATATTCACCGACAATGTCATCTTTGACCGGTTGGAAAAACTGAAAGAGAAGATTGGTCAAGGTAAAAAAAATGGTGACCACCTTCAAGGAATTCATGACGTGATTAGTCAGCTGCAAAAGGCGCAATTTACTGATCATCCCAATCAAATCGGCAGCGCAAAGGACCAAATTGCAAGTGAACTTAATACCCTCAGAACTACGCTGGAAAGCAAAAACGGGGAGGATGTCATTACCACGCTGACCGATTTACAGACCAAGGGGCTGAGTGACAATCGGTGGGATGAGAAAAATGTAAATGGTTTTCAAAAAATCCAAAATGATCTTAACACTCAACAAAGGACGTTGACCACACAGCCCGAACAAATTAACCAAGGCGTCAACCAGATCACCAGGGAGCTTGACGATCTCCAGAAGCAGTTGCAGGGTGAGCAAGGCGGTGAGCCACAAAAAAGAGGCGTGATAAGGAATATGGATTTTATCATCAAAGAGATAAGTAAAGACTCTGAGTCGCATGGGCTTCATAAAATCACAAAGGACATTGAAGAGCTCAACAAGCAAACAGTCCCGGACGTCGACAAATATCTCGCCGCACTTTGCAGTGTAATTTCAAACAATGCCGCACGCGGCGAGTGGCAACTCGAACACTTCAAAAACGATAACATCGACAAAGCACTCGAAAAAATCAAGAGTGACATCCACACCCTCTCCACCGGTGACCTCCACGAGGCCATCGAGGCGTGCGACCAGTTCCTCAGAGACGCCGACGAAATAGAGAGGAACACTGTGAGATCCCTCTAGAAATTCGTCGACTACGAGGTGGACGACGCAATCGCCGCGTTGACAAAGCAGGCGCGGCGGGACTACGTGGAGTCCGCCAGGGACGCGCTAAAACACTTCGCCGACAAGGTGGAAGAGGAATTGAATCCCTTACCTCCGTTAATAAACGGGGATCTGCAGATGGGGTATAAAGGGTTCATGAAGGCATTTGAAGGCGAAAAAAGCGTGAACATTAATAGGCTCAAAAACGTGAAAAGCAGAGAGCTTCAAGCATTGTCCTCCGCGTTCGCGCACTTTTTCGGGCCACTCAATGAGCATCTCCGTAGGGAGATTGAGAAAATGAAGAAGCATGGTGACGACGAGAAAAATCCCTCACCGCCTGCAACGTTCTGTCCACAGCTTGGGCGGGGCTTTCAGTTTGGCCGGGGGGAGTGGTAGTCGCGTTGTTAAGCTTGTCATCAAGTTCCTTAGCAATCGGCGTGATTGTGTCCAGGATGGATGCTATGTTGGCGTCTTCGGGACTGAGAAACACCGAATTCAGTTCGTTGCCCACCTGGCGGGACACGGCGGTGAGTGTGCAGAGGATGGCAGCGAGGAAAGCCTTTTCCTTACAATCGGTTCCGTGGTTATTCCCTCGACCATTACACTTTGTACAGCCTACGCTTTCGCAGATGCATTTTGAGGGTGTGAAACTGTTATTCTGCATCTTATCCTTGACCGCGTCGAATATTTTACTGAACCCATTCCCATTGCGCAGCTTCCCATCAAGCGCATCGGCGAATGTTTCGCAACCTTGTTTCACAGCATTGACGTATCCATGAATCTTTTGGGTGCCGCCGCCCGCTCCTTTGTTTCCGTTTACAACCTTTTCACCGGCTGCAGTTGCGTCGCTCATAAGCTGTTTCTTAAACTCATTTGCGACGTTGGTGAATACATCTTTCTCACTGTTATCGTCATACGCAAATTTCTTATCAAGCATCTTCCTCACCGCGCCGTTATGCTTCAAAATGGTCTCTTCAATCCAGCCTTTGACAATTTCGTGTCCGAATTTAGGCCCGCTGAACGCTTTAAAATAAAAATCCACCTTACTCTTAATCCCAAGCAGACCTTTGCCACCTTCATTTTTCCAACCCGAACCTCCCTTCCCCTTGATCTCCCCAACCTTATCTTTAATATGCTCGAAAATCTTATCAATAGTCTTCAACGTACTGCCTTGATCAAACTTCCCGCCAAGCACCTTAATCGCCGTGTCAACATCATTGACCTTTTGGCTAAGTGGAGTTTGGATCTGCTCCTTAAACTTACTTTCAAGCCCATTCGTCAGCGACACGATCGACTTATTAACATCCTTGACAGTAATCTTATCAAGCTCACTCTTCTGCTTTTCAAGCGTTTTCAAAGGTTCTCTCACAAGATCATTATCTTGTGGTTTGCTGTCAACAGTTGCAGAAAGATTCTCAATCCTTTGCTTCAACGTCCCCAAATCCTTTTTCACAAAACTATCCAAGGTCTTAACCTGCAACGTATCAATCACCCTCCCTATCTCACTTTTAATCTTATCTCTCACAGTCCTCAAATCTACCTTAAGAGATTTGTCCATGTCCACAACAACCTCCAAAGCCGCAGTGACTTTCTGCTCCACAGTATCCTTGGCCGTCTTCGCAGCATTAAAAAGCTTTTTACCCTGATCTTGTAACATATTAGCGTAGAGGAAAATCTTACCTTCAGGGCCTTTTTGACTAACTTTCTGAAGTATCTCATCACACTTCCCATCTGCCTTGGCAATAACACTCCCGGCCGCAGACTTCCAACTCGTCAAATCCTTAAAATGTCCACCAAGTTGTGAGCTCTCATATTCAGCGTTGTCTGTCGTCGTTTTCAGAGTTTTCTCGTCCTTAGCGAGGATCTTTAAAACGTAAACGCAGAGCCTGTATTGGATGTTGATGCATTGAGAGGGGTGCCAATGAAATTATGGACGCCAACTGACGAGTTACCAATGATCAGTGTCAGATAGCATATTACAAGTCAGCTGAACGTGGCGTCGCCGTCCTTTATGGGACGAGAAAACGGCGTCACATATGAAGGTGGGTGATGACCGAAATAATGAGAGGCGTGGCGTAATAACTGTTCAAGACGCTAAAATTTGACATAAACTACGTTGTGTACAGGTGAGATGAAGTTAGAGTTGCTGTTGCGTTTTCAGGTGTTTTGTCTTAAATGTTTGAAGAAACCAGGTGGTGTGGAATGTAGACGGATAAGTCCAGAGGACGAGCATGGTAAAATCAGAATCGGATATTAAACTACACGTCAATTCACGACACTGAAACCGAAGAATGAAATGGTGGACACTAGAACGATACCGTTGGCCCTCATCTTGTTATATGAGGCTATGTAGGCTGGGTGGGGGTGAGGATGCTTAAAATTACCACCTACAAATTGATGAAATAGGCACCCTAAGCCCCAAACAGTTATTGCACGTTGACTATATACACTGTCCGTGGCCATACATGATGGGTGCAATGCACCTAGTGAGGAGGGAAGCGTGGTGCAACTTATCGTAGAACTGACATACCGTGAAGGATGCGCTGATAAGGCGCATTACCTACATCATGACGACACTCAGCCATATAAAATTGAGCAACACCACCAACGCCACTCAACCGCTACGCCTTAGAGACCATCACAAGTAAATCACCAGCTGGAAGTCAGATCATTGATCAAGCAACGAAAACAATATACATTTTAAACAATTGATATAAAATGGCAATTGGCGAAATATTTAAATGATATCTATTACGATATTAAAAAAATATGCGTCCACTACGTGAAGCTACATTAGACCCTTAAACTGGAAGGCGGAGTATTCATCAGTGTCCATCTCCTCGTGAATCCTTCCACCGACAAGATTATTCGTGGATGCGCCGGAACTTTTAAACGAGTTAGCAAATGAAGCACGTAGTCCGTAATACACCTTGCGGAATGGACCAGGATACACACGCCAGAAGGAAACCATGACCGCTACGATTAAGAGTATGGGGACTCCGATATAGCACAGGCGAAGAAACGCATCTTGGGAACATAGCTTTCCACAGTTTGTGCACTTGAAACGGCATCTACCAGCATAATAGAACATTGCCTCGCAGTCTTTGACGTTGCATTCGTCATCTTTTTTGCCGTGTTTGCACAAATACTGGGCGTAGGAAGTGCAGCTGCAAGTGCATTCGCATACACATTTGCCGGCGGGTTTGCCGCAGTTGCCTGACTTGCTGAGATTTATTGCCTTGACACACACGGCTCTTGGGCATTTTCCTAGACACTTGCAGTTGCATTTGTCGCAATTGTTGCCAACGACCTTCGGTTTGCAAGTGCATTGGAGTTTAGCGCAGTCACCGGGGTTTTTAGCACACTTGCCTATTGCGCATTCTCTTTCGTCATGTTCGTCCTCTTGTCTATCGCAATTTTCCGGACCCTTGCAATCCGTGTATGGATTACACCATCTACAACACTGGCAATTCACTCCATTGCAGTATATTCCACAGCCGCACATGTAACATTTACATCGCTCGCCTTTTTGTACGTCTTTACATTTTTCCTTACATCGCTCACACTTTTGGGAATCCTTGCACGCCATGCTGCCTTCCTTCACCTTAGGATCTTCCTGGCATCCACAGACACAAATATAACACTTACATGTCTCTCCCTGCTGGCAGACATTCTTGCAGAGTGGGCATCCGGGGTCGCAGCATGACTTAAAGTCCGTACAGCTGGCGTCAACGCAAGGATACACGTGGTGTTTACTACATTTTTGTTTCTCACATCCACACTTGTTCTTTCCCTCCCCCCCTTCCATCTTTCTCCCTGACTCCATTTACAAGGCTCTGAACTTCATCAAACACCCTAGCGTAACCGGCAGATCGCAGCCTCCAGCGTCCCGGCGATTTGACGCCACGCCACTAAAGCAACCAGCGCTACACAGCTATGGAGTACGTACGCCATGACGCTGTCATATTCTGACTAATCAAATGCATAGGGGGATGATGTCCACACAGGCAAGGCCCCGTGTACCCCGTGCTTTGGCAAGCGTAGTCGCAGATCCCGTCTCTGACACATCACTGCATGCAATGACGAGTCAAACGGCCCAAATAATAACGATGGAATCATGCTCCATTACATACGATATAAGAATAGGGCTTGATCTCAACCAGGATCCGGCCACGCCACCTCACTGCTGCCTCTGTTTTGGTACCACCACGTTAGCATGTAAACGCATGTGGCAAGCATATATTCGTGGGAAAGATTGAGTCACCGAATACTCCATGTAGACTCCATATGTTGCCAAGGGAGGCGCATATTGTTAACCTTTCCTATCCAAATGTTGCTAGCTCACTTCGTATCTTTGTTTTGCTTTTGTTTAGTGTGCTATGTGGCTACGTGTGGCTTGGACCGTTTTGCGCTCATTTGGGGAGCTCTTTTCCCGCAGGATATCGGCATTCAATGCTCGATGCCCACATGCCTATCGGGTATGTGACCATCGATAGGTGTGACATTGGTAGAATAACCCGCCACATGACGTCATGAACGAGATTAAAAAGAAATTAAGAACTATATTTGCCCTCATTAACGGTGGTAGTGTAATGGAACAAGACCGTATCCACAAAGCCGGTCATCACCAAATTTCAAGATTGGAAATGCCTCAAGAAATCTAACGCTTCTAAATCACTCAGGACACGGAGTCAGAACCTGTTTTGTTGATCTGCTTTACCAGCTTAACCCCCTTTTTTGTTATACCTTTTTTACTTTGTTATGTCTTTTAGGTTTCTTAGCTTCCACAGGTTATGCAGATTGCTCCAGTTCCACAGCTTCTACAGCATTTACGGCTCCTGCAATATCAGTGCTCAATAAAAGGCCCAGAATGCAGCGAAATCGTATATGATATCCAATACGTCTTTATCCACACCTCTCGAGACCTTGAGGACATCTGAACCACTCGTGCCAGCACGGCATTCCGGCTCCTTGTAACCAACGGCTTCCAATACACTTCCCACACGATTTTCCTCCATGGGATCTACCGCATAGACTGTGGCAAATTTGCCCACGTCCTTCAAAGGCCTTACGCTCGCGTACAACATTGGCGCAATGCCCACCAAAATCACTACGCAAGCTTCTGGTTCCTTCGAGCACGATGCCTCCCACGTCGCCTCCGAACTGTAAGCAGACTCGTACTGGTCAGGGGCTTTTATATCATCTAAGAACTTTTCATACGCATCCACTACTTTACCTAAGTTCTTTGCGATTGCTTCAGGCTTGGTACCTCGGGCCTTTACGACGTTCTTGTAATCGCTTTCCTCGACACCTTTTATTACATTGCCGATCTTTTTCGGGCTTTTGTCCATAGGCTTATTAAACCTCTGCAGCAGCTCTTTTACGAATGGCTGATCCCTGATACCCTGCCGCCTTAGGAACACCTCGGAAACATGTTTTACCTTCTCGAGAGCTGGCACCTCCGTAAAGCCAACAAGCTTGTCTGCGAGCAAACCGTAAAGCGCTTTGCCCATAGCCTTCAAGTTGTTTTCAGCATCATCTCCCTTGAGTGCTATTAACCAGTCAATGCACTCCTTGAGGTTGCGAGGAACCTCAGTCAACGAATTGTATACCATTTTGTAGAGATAAGTTAAAACCAGCAACTAATAAAGGTGTAGATGTAAGTTCGATTTACAGGCCGAGCCTTTAAACAGCTCGATTTCAACCGAGGATACACAGAATAGTGCTCTTGCCTGCTAAGATATACCAGCTTGCGTGAAACTAGCGAACCCGCATGTACACTAAACAAGTAAACGCCGGAGGAGCGACAAGGCTGCCCCATCGCATACAGGTCCATATCATTGGCGTGGCAGGCAGTATCCACAATGCATGTCGTTGTCGTATGTCGGTTTCAGACACCAGTGACACATGCTGAAGTAATTTGCAGCGTAGCATCAACGTTTGTAATGTTACAATGGATTGCGATTAGGAGATTGCACTCCTCTGGCCCATGGTTGTCACGTCAATCTCCAGAGATGCTTTTTTGTCTCGACCGTAATCAGGGCACTCCACAACACGGAATGTAACCGCACTGTGTTGCCTTACACTTACCTATCAGGCGATGCACTAGCTTCTCTATGATGGCACCTCTTGTCCGCTACCTTGGATGATCACCCACTCCTCTTGAACATCATTTTGACGCCATACTATTGCCATGAACGCTTTATAAATTACCAATAAAGCCTAGAGTCTCGGGAAATCCGGAAGGAGTTTGCAGCATATTAGTACTAGATTCATGTTCTAGCAAAATCGTATTGTATGCGACCCTATTATTTCGCATATGACTGCAAGCATGCTATCAATATCATGCCATATATCGTTTCCCGAGGAGTAGTTTGCACAACTATGTTATGAGTATGTTAAATCAGCGTAACATCCGGCCTGTCAAAATCTGGATTTTGGCTCCCACCCAGCCATGGCGAGGCCTACAGCATGCTACATATTACGGCGACGGACGTCAGATGACTGAACAGTAGTGACTCCCCAACCGAGCCAAGAGCTTCGAAGTGTGGGTATGATAATGCTCGGTGAGCTATAAGTGAAGCGACGCTGCCGTACTGCACGTGGGAAAACCCCGATATAGAGCGTCATTGAAACATTGAACGGCTGAAGTACACAGGCAATACAACCCCAGGAATGCCTAGAAATAGCAAATGGCGATGTTTTTGTAAAGACGTGAAACGTCACACCTATGGGCAACGCATACAGTTGAAGGGGATCCCCTGCAGGGCCGTGAAAGCCACTGCTTAAAACATAAACATCTCGAACAATGCGTGATTGTTAAATGCTTTATTGGATCATTGAGCTTCACCGTTTGATCGTCCCTTCCCGCTTGGGACGGCGAAAGCCAGCTGGCGATGCGGGCCAAGCAACTCCACTGGCAGCCAAGGGATTAACATAAACCTAATGAATGGAAATGCACGAAAAAAATTTCTGGTATGCGACGAAAAATGAAAACAAAGTCACTTTTGGAGAACGAAGCCATAAATTGCCTGTCTACGCCGATGGCCATCGGCGCAAATCAATACCAGCTCATGGAAAGCACATTGATCGTTCCCCTGTTAAGTTCTTAGAGAGTAGAACAATTATGACGCACTTTCATGCGCTTATTATTGCCTCAACAAATACCCTAATGCCATCTGACGTATCAATCGCGCGTCCAGCATAAACGGTTGCGACACAAAATCCAGAGTATTGTATTTTGATGAGAGATATTAAAGCATTATATTACCATTTTACATGATCTCCTGCGGGATATACTGGATACGGCAGAATGCTCGGCGAATCTACGCTTACCCAACGTGCCGTGCATGGTAGATAAAGCACTGCCATTACATTTGTTAGCGGTACACATCTTGAGTCAATCAAGATATATAGTGAGATCTAGGGTTGTATTATTTGTGCAGCACTGAGGTTTCGCATCCCAACTGCCACCACCTACTCGGTAGGCTGTTCACCGTCTCTAAGGGTTGTTTACTTAGCTTTTAGCGAAAAATGAAGGTCAACGCAGGCGCCATTTTTGGCACCCTTGCCTTTGTATTTATTTCCATCGTCCCACATGTTCAGGCTGGTGAAGAAGACGACGCAGTGACATGGGAGAAAATCATGAAGAAGAGACATGGCTTCTGGTACTGGGGACCGTTTCCGGTACCAGGGGTTGACTACCGCGTTGAGATGGAGCCGTTGCCCCCCAGGTACCCGCCGGGGCACCCTAAGGCGCTTCGCGGACGTGCTGCTGCCCCTGCTCCCGCTCCTGCTAGCTGCGACAAGGTTAAAGCTCCCGTTGCACCCGCACCGGCTAAACCCGCCGCCGTCGTAGAAGATGTTGCTGCCAAAACGGACAAGGTTGACGAAGTTGTTGAGCCCACGCCCAAGGATGAGGAGGCCGAAGTTGAAGAGACTGATGCTAATGAGGATGCCGTTGAGTCTTCTGAGGATCAGAACTCTGCCGTGGAGGACGATGCCACCGCCGATGAGGATGATGATGCTTCTGTGGAAGACGATGATGCCGATTCCGATGAGGACGCCGATGCCGCTGAACCCACATCTGAGGACCAGGATGCTGAAGTAGAAGAGGCTGAGCCTACATCTGAGGATCAGGAGGCCGCCGTGGAGGACGATGCCAACACCGATGACGTCGAGGAGCCCATTGAGTCAACATTTGTGAGCAAGGACTCCGCCTCATATGGCGATGATGCCAACACCGATGACGTCGAGGAGCCCATTGTGCCAACATATGTGAGCAGGGACTCCGCCTCATATGGCGATGATGCCAACTCCGATGAGGACGCCGATGCTGCTGAACCCACATCTGAGGACCAGGATGCTGAAGTAGAAGAGACTGTTGCTCCCCCCGAGGAGGTTAAAGCTCCAGTTGAGCCCGCACCGGCGAAGAAGGGCGGCTTCTTCTCAAGATTGTTCGGCAGATCTAAGTGAATCGTGTCAAATGCATGTAACTGTCTTTGAAGCCTTAAATTCATATTAGCCTAATTCATTGCACACAGCATCCAATTAACCATGTACACCTATAGCAATGCAGCGTATTGCCGTACGTGTACTTCGTTGTTCCGGAGGCGCCGTATAGTGTTGCCCAATGGCCTCAGCACATCCAAGTCCGCTTTACGCTGATCTCTCACACCCTCAGCCAATGTGGCTGCATCCATGTTGTGTAAATGAAGTAGCATCGGACAACCAAAAGCGGCCTTCTCCTTCTGTATCCACTCGGCGCACCGGCCAGATAGACAGCAAACGTATGCCCCTGGTTAATGGTTTATTACGTTAATAGACCTAAATTCATTCCCGGCTCCCTATAGCTTCTTAATCGTTGCCCCCATACCTTCGAATAATTGTTTCACGTGGTAATTGCTTGCGCAGCATTGCGATATATGGTGCTATGTTTCTCACGGGAGATCCACACGCCTCTCTTAATCAGGGCATCCGGGTGCTGTTGCGTGATCCGAGCGAAGAATTCGTGTAGTGCTTGTTCGACATACATGACGTATTTTCCGTCCATGTCGTTGTGTGATGCACCTTTGATCCATCTGCAATACACTTCCGATATTTTGAGTGCCATCTGCTGCGATGCGGCCAGCGGTACGGTTTCGTCCTCTGTGCCGTGTAATATGAGTGTTGGCACCTTTAAGTTTTGCACCTTGTCTATATTGCGGAAAATATCCCCTGGTATGGAGAAGGGTAGCCGGTGGAACCTGACTCGATAGACGGAAGCCACTGGGCTTTGGAGGATAAGAGCAAGCACTGGCCGGTGGAGCGCAATGTGGACCGCAGGTCCGCTACCAATGCTTCTCCCATACGCCACAATACTATGTGGATTCACACCTGACGTACACTTTGGAAAATTACTTGCGACCACTCACCAAGGACCTGCGTGAGGTAGTCGTATGCAGCCTCCACATCCATGTACAGGTTGCGCTCTGACGGCTTTCCTTCGCTAACGCCGTATCCTGACTTGTATGAAGGACACTATGCTCCACATACCCGAGTAGTCATATATGAAGAGGTCAGCATCCCAATTGGCGACTCGGTCCATTAATGCGTGGAACACATTCCCGATGTCCTCCGCATTTCCGTGGCTATATAGGATGGTAAACCTGGATCGCCTGAACAAACTACATGAAATGGTTGCAATCACACACCTGTGTCTGACGTAAAAAGCCGCTATAGAATGCCCGCATTTTGTGGGCAGCATGTGCAGGTGTGGGTCCTCTCGGCTGTACGTTGGTTTTGGGGGGTGGAAAACCATGGAATTAAGTGAGTTCCCCATTTACACACGCAATACATCTCAAGATCGCGCTACGGTAGGATGAAGGTAGACCTAGTTGTAAGTCTTTTGTGTGCGCCGTCTGCCTTTCGCGGTTTCAGATCACGGCACGAAATTTTGAATACATGTGATATCTAACACACACCGTTTGAATAGCACATGTTTAGTATACGTTTCATTTAACAGATTGTTCCACAAAGTTCAAACGATTCGCCGCTGCAACGGGTGAAAAATTTTCGCTGCTTGGATTTTTCGTGTCTTTTATGTGCGCCGACATTTCTCGGCTTATTCTCGAAACAAACACCCTCATCCTGTCATTTTCATGGATGAAACAAGCTGCATTTTGGTTGACGTCATTGTTTAGTCTAGGCTTGCTGAATACGAGTCGTTGCCTTCCGCGTATAGCGTCAAAGTTAAGTGCGGAAAATTCGTTGACCGGATCACATCGTGCATCATATGGCTCATATGACTCAACGCGTGTTCCATGTTACACATAGGTACGCCGGTGTGATTTTAAACAGCAACAACATCACGGTACACGTGAGTCACGGTCGGTGTGTATGAAGGCAAAATATAATTTTCACCAACTAGACACGCAAATCTACCACGAATGTGACGTATAACGCACTCCATTTTCGTCTGGCGTTAATCTAAATAATATGATTGAAAGTCGTTGTCGTTACTTCGCGACACTCTGTGTAAAACAGTCACTCCGCATGGCTGACGCCCACACACATTACATTTACAAATTGCAATATAACGCACAAATGCAGCGGAATAGCCTTCCTTGCACGTGGCGCCACTCATCAATAGTTGCAGATACATGGTGTGTTGACATAGCGTGACACGCTCTCAACAATGCGCGATCGGAACCCCTAGTCGCGAACTTGTACTAACATTTGATTGTTGATACAATAGAATTATCGATTCCAAATGGTTACTGAGGGCCCTGAGGATGCGTACGCGCAGTTTATGTTCTCTGAGCATCAAACGGCAGCTACGCTGCCGGATTCTGTGACACCCGGGAGTCCAACGCTAACACCAGCGAGCACCAGCAAGTATGAACACGATATAAGGGATCATGTGAGTAATTATTGTCGCGTTGCGTTGACTCCTGCCGTTTTTGGCCATTCTATATTATTCGCAGGAAAAGAGTCGTATCTTGCGACTGATTGTCCGCCTGCTGTTGCATAGAGCGCCATTTGTGACGCGTTACGATGAGATACGCGCTGTCGTTAAAACGTATCTACACGACAATGCGAACCATGCTATCGTCAACTGCTTTATTGGTGAGTATCTTGCGTCGCCGCAAATTTCATACTGGCACAGAGGACGCCAAGAAATTGGTCAGCAAAACGCTAGGGCTGATTCTATGCGACATAAAACTAGGAGGTTGGTTTGCCGCAGCTCTTTACGACAGTTAGCAGCGAGGCGTGAATTCTTCTTGAAGCAGTCGCTAGCCTTCCAGCCGCATGACCTGAAACTACTCGGGGAAGGTATGTGCAATTCTACGTTTTGATAAAACGCCGCAGGAGACCACGAATTGCGCGGTTTTCTGCTCCTGATGCTACCATGTTTCAAGGCCTACACAGCTGGGATTCCGCTGGGTAATTCGGCAGAGCCGTGTTGACAAAACCGTTCAGATCGTTTGTGTGAAGTGTTTACTCGAGTTGGCAAAGCGGATATGGTACCACGGGATCAGGAGTCGGAGGAGGCTCTGAAAGCGACCCTCCGCGGCATGCGCCGAAAAAGGACTGTGAAAATTGCCGCTTCTGGTGTGTCCCCTTCTCTAACTTCTACATATAGTACAGAATTCAAGGGCATTGCGGACTACCTGCTGTATGCGAAAGAGCTGGGCTACTTGAACGTGGTTATTGACCCGAAAAAGGTAGGGATGTAAACCACGTGCATACGCCGCGGTGTTGCGGCATTTAGTGCACCAGCGGCTCGTTGGATAGGTTCCATGTACCACGTTGATAAAATCAGCGATGTTGATAGTCGAATTAGTAGTGCGAATCTATTTCATTGTAGACCCTGTGGTTTTTGCAACGCTTCACATTGTGCCAGAGTTGTTCATATTTCGGTGCATTGGATTTCTCATTTTTTTTTATTCATGCGCTTTATCATATTTTCAGGGCGACACATTGGCTGTGATAACAGTTGTACCCGGATACAGGCTGCTTTTCGAGCGTAGGTGACTTTGTTCGAGTTTTAAATCGATGCAGTGGATCAGGAGTCATACGTGAAACAGTTCAGCACCCTGGAGCTCGACGAAAGCCTCAAGCGTACCCTAGAAGCTTTCTTTGATCGTTGACCGTTCTGTGTGCTGAGGCATGGCATGTAAACTATCGCAACTGTTGTTAAAATTCCTATGCATTATATTACGAGGAAGTTTATCGTTGGCGCTATTCACGCTAATACAATGCATACGTTACGTTTGTTGGCATGTTTGCCATCGATGCGATATAGCTGCGATCGACTACATTCCAATAGTAATCGAAATGATGCATTTAAGGATCCCTCTATTGCTTCTGGCTTCATTCCTCGTGGTCACCCTTGAATCTGAACTGGCTGAGTTCCTCCCATAGCCGCTCCCTCTCCTCTCCCGTCTGCAGGGTTTTACAACATATAATATGGCAGGCACATGCGGTTGCCAGTTCAATAATATGGAAAATCGATTCAATGGCTGACCCAAGTGCTACTTACCACGCTACCTTCAAGTTTTGCCGACAGCGGAACTTGCTGACCCATGTCGAACAACGCATATACCTCCCGCTTTTCGGCCAGTGGAAAACCCAAGTGGTCGGATATGTTGACAGGGGGTCCACGTTCCAGCAGGGCACGTTGTTCCTTGGCACAATTGGTCGTACGCAGCGATGTGATGTACCTCTCGTACTGACACAACGTGATCTCCGGATGTCAACCACTCACCTGTGTAGCAAGCAGTTGCTTGATGCAGTCGATGCAGAAAGTGGAGAGTGCCCAGTCGGCGTCCTCAGTAGCCTTGTAGGCAACAGCGTTGCTCAATATAAGGTCCTCGTAGCAGATTAGACAGTTCGTTCCATCGGGTATTTCGATGTTAGGTTGCGATACTGATGGCTCCGCTTCCATTTTTGATATATGTTGTTGATGTGTACGATCGGCCTTTTCCGTGAGGCGCCACGACAGAGGCAGATTAGGCAAGTTGCTGCGTTTTAAAGAACATATACAGTGTATAGACAACGGCACATATACACACTAATTTGTATACTCCTAGGAACATACACGGGTGTGACGCACGGTGTCTATGCCGTAAGGTCGACACATCAGTGCGGATCACGCGTAGGCGCGCATGGCCGCGGCTTTACTATCGCACATCATCGCAATCATCATCTTCCACCTATGTACAAGTTCTAACACGGTCGCTTTTCGCCTCCGGCCGTCCCAATATGCTTATGCTGACGCGATCCGGGAGCTTCCGGCCCACGCACTGCAGAGCGTGTCTGATGCCAGTCGAGCCACTTCGCAATACAGAGTAGGTCTCGGTTACGACATACACCGTCTAGTTGGTCCCAATAACGGCGGTAAGCCGTTCAAGCTTGGCGGCATTGACGTGGAAGGTTCCGGTGTCTTCGTCGTAGGCCACAGCGACGGTGACGCTGTTTTGCATGCCATTGCGGATGCAGTGCTGGGCGCAGTAGGCCGAGGGGATATCGGGGAACACTTTTCGGATCTCGAGGCTGCCAATGGGAACCTGGATTCTAGCGTGATTCTGCACTTCGCGCTATCAGAGGCACGTAACCTCGGCTACCGCCCGTGCAACGTGGACGTGAACATCGTGCTGCAGCGTCCTCGCCTCGGCGCAGAGCTAAAGCGCCGCATAACAGCCAGTATCAGGGAGTTACTTGGTCTGGGCGTATGCGTGAATGTGAAGGCTAAGACCAACGAGGGGCTTGACGCACTGGGTCGTGGTGAGGCCGTTGCGTGCCAGTCCGTGGTACTGCTAGAACGCATATAATATTTTCCTATGGCATTCATGTTTACATAGAGTGTGGAAATGTTGTCGTGCGTATCTTGGTCCCATTAAAGGGGCGCAGAAAATTGCACCTACAACATAATGTCGCCGGCGTCGCACGTATCAGGTAGAAAAAACAACATTGAGGATTAAGTTCCGTCTGCCGTACAGCGGGGGAGACATCTCTACAATACAAGGCATTCCGCCCTAACTTATGGTGCTAAATCTTTGTTCCACGAGGGATTGCGACAATTGGAGCCGTGGCGCAATTTGCTGCTGTCGGATCCTGAAGTTCCAGTGCAAGTGTTCCCTGAGCGACCTAATCCACTCGTCACCGGTGTGCGTGTTGTTTGGCAGGACCAGTGGGAACGCCTGGGCGGCGGGCGTGATGCGCACGTAAGACCCCTGCTTGAGGCTGCAGTGGTAGTTTCCGTCCACGCACAGCCTGACGTCACCCCGGTTGTCTGGCGGCACAATGATGTCCAGTACGGCCTCTCTCTGTAATATAACCGGCCTGTAGGAAATAGAATGCGGGCATATGACGGTGAACAGCATGGACGGCACCGCCGGATGCACAATTGGTCCGCCAGCCGCCATGGAGTAGGCCGTGGACCCGCTGGGTGTGCTGATGAGCACACCGTCCCCTATCACTGTCGTGAAATATGCCCCTTGGTAGTACACGTCGAGCGTTGTGATGCATGGCGAGAGCCCCCGGTCGATGACACACTCGTTGAGTGCGTTTCTGCGTGCTATTAGTTCACCTGTGTCACTGAAAACCTCCACGCGCAACAGGCTGCGTCTAGACACCGTGATGCCGGCATCACAAATGCTCATGAGAGTTTCCTTGACCTCCGCCATGTTGAACTTGGCCATGTAACCCATGGAGCCCATTGAGAGGCCGATAACTGGCGGTATCACGTGCGGGAACATCTTGATGACCTTCAGGATGGTTCCGTCGCCTCCTATTGCGATTATCAGTTCCACGTCATCGACTTCGAGTTCTCTATACTCCACCCGACTCGAATCGTCCTGGTTCCTAGAGGCAGCAGGGCCAGAGCGTGGATTGTGTACCTCACCCCAAAGCTGATCAGTCTCGGCCTTGACGGAGGGGAGAAGACGGTCGTGAACCATGACTACGCAGTCATACTTCTCCTTTATGAGCTCAACAAGCTCCTCTCGCGCTTTCCGTATCGATTCATCGGTCTTAGACGAGCATATCATTACCTTCTTCGGCGCACGGTTGTAGACAACGACAACATCGTGCATCTCAGAGTTGTTCCACGCATTGCCGACTACGGAGAGGCGCTTGGCAACGTCCGCTGGATCCAGCGTGAGTGTGTGCTCTACGCTGCCGGAAGGCGCCATGGCGTCGCCGCTTACGCGCTTACGGTGTGTTCGGCGCTGTTACCGCTTCCGGATGCGTTCCTATACCACCTACGTATTCAGCGCATTTACTATTTCGTCAGGCTGTGCCGGTTGCAGAGTTCGTGCGCGGTTCGGCTGTAACGGTTTCTGGCCTTGTGCGGCGACGTTGAGTAGAGCCGTCGTCTCGTCGGCCGTTGTGCATTAAGAAATCCTACACACGAAGGTAGTCTTCAAGCATACACGTTTGAAGGCGCAAACACGCGGCCTTATCGCATTCAACGCAGCGTTGGAGCGCGGAATCGTACCCCGCGTCCGCTTCACGTACCAGCTCTAGAAGTCTACGGTTAGAAGAACGGAAGAACCCGTTCAGCGGGCCAATGTTGGCGTATATACACATATTATAGCAGCATATCGCGACGATTTTTATGCTTCGGTAAGTCCCGCCGTGTCGCAAGCTTGGCTTGCGCTCTTACTCTGTCTCTTGAGGGAGCGCCGCGCCAGCAGATGCGAGGAATCCTCCGCAGGTCGGCATGTGTATGCGATGTTATGAGTGCTTCGCTATATCGCCGACGTCTGGGTACCTCCAGGAATTTTTTGGTAAGCGTCGCGGTCGCCATTGCCTGTCCAGGTCTTCACCCGTCAGCTTTGCAGCCTTGTTCAGTGCACGGCCGAGCTGCAGGCACCTTCACATTGAACAAGGCGTTTGAAATGTTTTCTTTGCAGCAAGAGAACGGTAGCGACGATGGCGACGCGTAATTTGTTCGATAACGATGATGCGGCGGGAGAAGAGAGCGATGACTCGTTCATCGCAGATTCCGAGGCGGAGTCAGACGGCTCTCTCGCTTCTGTCAGAGGCGCAGCCGAGAGTGCCGACTCCGATTTCGAGTTCCTGTTCGGTTCTGCGCCGAAACAGGAGCCCAAGAAGACAAAGAAAACCGCTTCGAAATGGCAGAAAGAGCTCGACCGCCGTATGCGTGAGGCCAGTGCGCAGTACGCTGATATCGAGAATGTGGAGTCCGAAGTAGCGTTCAATCTGGAGCATCTCTCCGCCCACTTTGAGCGTCGCCAAGGTGTGGAGTCGGAGATGCTGACGCTGTTCAGCGGTCTCCTTACACGAGAGCAGTTCACGGTAGACTCGACTTCGCCGAGTAACGATGCCTCCAAAGCTGAGGATACTGCCGCAACTCAGGATGCGTCGCAGGAAACCGATCGCGCGCTGAACAAGTTGATGAAGAAGCTCATCCGAAGCACATTCCGTGGCAAAACACCTGAGGGTCGATTTGGCAATCTCGTTAAGCCTAACTCGGAGGCACCTAAACCGTCTGTACCGGGCAAAGTCAGCACTGTGGTCTCAATCGGCCGTGAGGCTTTGTCTAACCTCCAGGATCTTAACACCCTGCTCAGCAGGGAGCGCGAAGGCGACTACATGGAGCTAGACGGCGTGCCCCTTTACAAACACACGCGTTATGGCACGCTGTATGTCTTCGAGAGCGGGTTTGTCACCACGCACCTCATACCACTCTGTTCGAAGTTGCTGCACGAGGCCTCCAGTAACGATCACGACTTCCAGGCCCTCACCCAGGAGGTGCTATATTTGCTCTATCAGCTGTCCCAACCCCCGTCGTCAGCGTGGTACAACTACTGGACTGAAGCGCAACCTCACTACAAAGCCTTCGCCGTCTCCAAGGAGTATGATCACGACCCAAACGTGGCATCAGAGCTGAAGCGCCGCGCTCGCATTGTATTTCACTATCTGAATGGTCTGGTTGCACTTCGTTCGTCGCTTATGTCAAGCGACTTATGGACCCTCATTGGCGAATTCCGAATGAAGCTGGAGAATTTTGAGCGCGCTGGCCACCGCACTCCGGAGCAAAAGCAACGTGTTGAGATGTTGCAACGGCAGCAGGATTCGTTGGCAAACGAAAGGGATGCACTGTTGGCCGAGGCTGCGGATAGCGACGATGACGAGGATGAAAAGGATGAGGATGGCCATACCACCGGCCGAGGCCGATTGCGTAAGGACCGGAGCACGGCCGAAGCGCGAAAAAAGCGCGTGCAAGAGATCCGCAACCAGCTATACGAGGTGAACGACGAGCTCGCCAAGGAACGCCAGGCACACATGGAGGCGCAGCAGCAGACACGTATCCACTGCAAGACCGTTAGGCTACTGATAACACACACGCTAACCATACCAGGTGACGGTCTCGGGCTGTTGTGCATGCTCCAAGAAGGAGGTCTGATATCGTTACTCAGGGATGAGGTGGTATCATGCTTCAATTTGTGCAAGCGTGGATTCACGGTGTCGGAGTCTGATGACATACATGCCCACCCAGCTTACCTCAGTGAGGCGCAGCGTGAATCTCTATGGGAATATGTGCGTCTGGTACACGCAATACTGGTCTGTGTGGATGTCAATAGGTTTCTCGGTCTGGCATACACCGGAATTCGGCCTGCTGAAATGCAGGTGGATGATGTGTTGCTGAGGTCGACTGACGAACAGGCCGACCGGTCTGTCGACAACGAAGCTATTCTTGACCTGATTCGGCTGAACCCCAAACTTGCTCGTATGACCCTGCGAGGACCCGCTAACCTGGGCAAATTTACGATAAACGAACGGTTCCAAGGCACACGGAGCCACGCGAGCTACGAACACTGGTTCAGGTTCCCGTCGCTAACCCACCTGCAAACGCCCTTCGAGGTATCATCGGGCGTGTCAAATTCGACGTCAGGATCACGAGTGGCTGCTTCATTCTCGGCTGCCGTGGTTAAGGCACTGCAGTCTGAGGTACACCAGCTCATCGGTATTGATGCCGACTTTGAACACTGCCACTGGTCAGATGCGGCAGCTGTATCTGGGATCTATTACGAGCTGGGGTTGCTCTTGTCTATGTGTTTCGGAGACCTGATGAGGGAGGCGCAAGACCGGTATTACCAACAGAGTGATTACCAGGTTGTGCTCGACCTGCATACTTGGGTCGTAACGTATTACCGCTGCATGTATCTGTACCTTCGCGAACAATGCCGCGTGGAAGAGAAGCAGGCTCCGCCCGAGGCGTACGTGTTGCTGGCACTCAGGCGCTACATAGGAGCCGACTCCTCTTGCGCCAAGGTAGCCTGCGCCTACGTGTGGCAGTTGATCCGCAAGCACTCATTGTCCAAGGCATCTCATTTCGGAGCGACTAGCGCATTGAGGGCGCTTTTTGCAGATTTGAACCTCTTTCATATGCTTGACGACATACAAAGCAACGTGCACGTGATGAGCATTTGTCAGGAGACGCTCGCAGCTTATTTCACGGCCAACATTCGCGCCATCCTGTTTTGGATTTTGCGTTACTTCAAGCTGCTATCTCAACCTGTCAACCTGTTCTGCTTCGCATTGGCTAACCTCCACCTGCTTCGACGAGTAGTGCGTGATGTGGGCTCGGTGTCATTCACGCAGGAGAATTCGCGCTATGACTCCGTAGGACGCGATTCCGATTCTGACTTCAGTGACGACGGCTCATCGATAACGAAGACTGTGATTGTGACGGCTGACTCTGTGTTCAGCTCTCGCAACCGCAACACCGCCAATGACGACATTCTGTACAACGGACGCGTGGTATACAACTGTGTTGCAATGCTTGCCAACTTTCGGACCAACTCGCCGCATCTCAACGACATGCTGGTCACTCACCTGGAGACAGTGCCGTTGCCGATTCTTTACGACATCAAGTACTTTTACGTCTTTCGGGATATTGTGGGCGACCGACGTGTGTGGCAGAATGCGAAGTGGCGTTGGATCGGCGACTACTGCGTGAGAGTGATGGAATCGTTTTTCGACAGCTGGCTTGGACGTGGAAACAGGTTCCTGCCGCTAGAGCTCTTCTTCAACAAATGCTCTCCCGCCACGAAGGGTCCCTTCCGTCCCTGCGCCCCTGACAACATCGCTCCAATAATACGCGGCTACGAGCATTGTGGACTGCTGACGGAGCTGCTACAACGTCCCGAAGCTACCGTGTACGAGGTGGTCCGGGAGAAGCGTGGCGTCACTGGCAGCGGCGCGTGGGATCCCGAAGAGGATGCGGCGCTGCTCAAGTACCACAAGCAATTCCGCTTCTTGGCCGACCCTGTGGCATACATCGCCGAGCTGTTGGGTCGCCGTGAGGCCGACGTGCAGCGTCGGTTGCAGGAGTTGAGGGTGCCAACGTCAGAGCCGAAAGGTGCGAAGGGAGGGAACACATCGGCGCTGCAGAAGCTGCTGCGCAACCTCGTCTCCTTGTTCGCCGACGAAGCGATAAAGGTGTGCGCAGAGCTGCATGAGAACATTTCCGAATCTATGGAGATGCAGCGCCTCGGCGGAGAGGATGCGGTTTGCGAGGTGATGGAACCCCTGTCAGCGTCGCCGCGTCTATTGGAATCCGCCGAGTTCCAGGCAGTGCTCCACTGCCTCGGCATATCGCAAAATTGGTTACTGCCGAAGAATACGGCAGCATTGGGCCCACTAATGGCTGTTTTGGATGACCCGTCCAGCTACATCGTTGTGGGCAAGGAACGTGCAGAAAGCGCTGAGCAGTCGACACCCGAGGCACGTGCAACGGCGACATCAGTTGCGACAGGAGAACCCATCCCTGAGGATACACATATGGATATGGATGCGGGCGGTTATGAGCCCGCAGTGGTAACGAGTAAGGATATTGCGGAATTAGTTTTGGGTCTGATACGCTGTCTGGAGGAGCACAGCGAACCACCGAATGCAAGTGATATAATTCAGTCTGCCATAAATCTAGTTGAATCAGCTTCCGTTGTGGGCCGCGCAGAAGCGGTTTGCAACTACCTTCCACAGCGGGAGGAATGCCTGTCACATGTCCGCGGCCTGTTACGGCTGGCCGAGGTCGAGGTTCGACCACCGATGATCGCATGTGACCGTTTGCCAAATGCAGTTATTGCCGTCGACAGGCTGCGAGTCGCCATAAATTTGAGCAGGCTCCCAGCGAACCGCCTGGAAATGATAGTGCAAGCGCATGTGCAGCAACCCACTGTCCCATCCAAGCGTCCTCCATCTTCCATGGTCATGGACACCGATTTCGAGGATTCATTTGAAAAGCATGTGCCAGGTGCCTATGATGATCCGCATGAGGACCACCTTGATCTAGATGCTCCCGTAGACTTCAATATATTCGGGTTTAGACCTGGCAGAGGGAAGAAGAAAGGCACCAGCCAACGCTCCGTTGCACGTTCGGGTGCAGGTACAGTTGACAACGTGCGACGCAAGACCTTCACCGATTCGGATGGCCTAGCGGATACCCCAGTGGACCATTTGATAACCACGCCAGATGAACACGGTGGCGAGTTGCGTGCAGTGCTGGATGAACTTCGGCGGAGGCTTTTGCTGGGTCACACCCGCATCGATGCCGCAGATCTCATGGGCACTGGCATATTTGATAATTGGGATTCTGCGTTCGATATGCTGCGCCGTCACTGCGGGTCGCTCGGCGCCGCTGAGGAGTTCGTGAACAACACCTTGTGGCTTGTATGGCCACATGACAACGTAGATTCGGCCGTTACAATGCTCTCCGCCACTCCGACAAACGCTATACAACCAGATGACTTAACTTCGGACGACATGGATTTGCACCCCATTAGAAGTGCACCGGGCCGCCGGAAACTACGCCGCAGACTCGACCAGTCGCCGCCGGTATTCGGAGTGCAGTGCCAGGGAGAGGAGCCAGCCCCGATAGACCTCGAATCGCTCGAACGTCTCGAGGTCAACCCGGACCTGGTTACTTCGATCTACGAAGAGTCGCTGAGGCTCGCCAGGGAGGGCCGCCTCCAAAACACAGTAGCGTCTAGGGAAGACCTGGAACGACTCCTGGAGTAGCTCAGGGGTTTTACACGAGTATCGCAATTGGATCCGCCGCTACATCTATTTTTAAAAGTCTGAATGCTCTAGCTAATGCAGCGCCGTACGCCAGTCTGGAGCCGCATAATATTTGGCGGCTACCTACCGTAATATTTTTAGTGTCCTACGCACGCGAGACACGTCAGTTTTATAAGTTTAACGTACGCTAAATCTTAAGTCACGAACAGTGTTAATTTAAGCGAGCCTGTGCTTTTCTTCCGCGTTTTTGCGGTACAACTCGCTGAACAGGTTGCGGGGCACGAGGTTCTGCCAGAACGAGTGCTTCACTGGGCACGAGGGTATGTCGCTCAGGTCGATGGTTTCGTAGACCGGCACGACGTTGGGCGCTATGTGGAGCAGGATCGGCGGAACGAATACGAGGCAGATCAGGCAGACCCAGATCAGGATGGTGACCCACTGCCATCCATTGGGGATGTTGTTGACCTGCACGTCTACGCGATGGGGCGCCACTATCTCCTCGAATACGTCCGCTATGGTGTTGCTCATCATGCAGGGCACGAACCACTTGATGCAGATGGACCAGAACACCTTCATGGGCAGGCCGCCGACGTTGCTCAGCGGGCTGACTCGGCACAGCTCCAGCCGGAGCTGCTCCACGTTGCCACAGCACAGCCACCACGCGCACTCTTTGAACGGTTTGGTGTGCTCGGGGTCATTCTGGTTGACGTAGGAGGCTGCGAACAGCGCCACACCAATGCCGATCACCCGCATTATCCACCATACAATCGCCCACACAGTTTCGTCGAACGTCTCGCATAGGAATGCGACAAAGTTGAACGCCCAGAATATCGCATTGAACGTGTATACCGTCTTCCACCCGAGCGCCTCCTTCTGCTTGTCGCACCCGTGGAGCCAGCCGACAACAATCGACGCTATGAACACAGTGAACGCTCGACCCAGGTCTCCAATGGCGATTTCGAGGAACCAGACGACGCGCTTGCCCGTCTTTGAACAGAGCATCAGCGACGAAAACATGAGCATGAGTATGATGCAGAAGCTGGTCCACCGCCTGTGTATCTTGTTGATTCCTAGCAACGGCAGGTCCTTGATGTTAGCAACCGCCACCTCAATTTGAATGGCGAGCGTCGAGCAGAGCATGACCACGCAGCAGCTGAACTGCAGCATGCACAGCGTGCGTTCCATGTTCTCCGTGGATTTGAAACCCAGCGGCAACAGGATGTAGCTGCAGTCCTGCCCGAGCATCCACATGATATCGACAGGCTTCAGGCGCACAACCTTCGCGTAATGGCCGATGAGCGCGCACGCGGTGCCAAACAGCAGCATCGTCACGTATCCCGAGAATATTCCCACACCAACAGTCTCCTTGGATATGTCGTACCCAATCCGCGACTTGGCCGCCAGGGTGGTGTATATACCGCTTCCCACAATGTACTCGTACATGCAGGACCGCACGGAATGCGACCATATGCGGCTGCTTCGGTAAAGATTGCTCCAGTTCAGGCTCCTAAAACTCTCCCAGAGGAAGTCGGTGCCTCCTTCCAGCGTGATCGCCGTGAATGCCTGCGCATTGTGACACGTGACAACAACGGACCACCAACCTGTATATGCGTGACGAAGAATGCGATAATGATGACCAAGGACGCCGAGAACGTGAAGTTCCCCATGCCCGCAAACTGGAAAACGGAGACTATGCCGTACGTGGTCACGATGGCCCACGCAAGCGACGGCTCGAAGTTAAGCACCTCATTGGTCGTTGAGTAAAACTTGTTCTGATACGCCTGGTAGGCCTTCCCCAACGCGCTGGCGACGCACAGGTCCTCTGCGTAGTAGCACATGGGCACCCTTTGCATGCAAAGTTCTCGATCGGTGATCTCTGCGCAGACGGCGATTTCTTCGGGCGTGAGCTTCCACGGCACCTGCCGCTTGAATATGTCCAAAATGTACAGAATATACTCGGCCGCACACCTCGCACACGCGAAGCACCCTGAGCAGAGGCATATAACTACAATGGCTGTACCGAGTCCGCTGCATCCCCGACGCAGCTTGTCATATATGGCGCTTTGGCCGCCTCGGTAAAGCTGCCCCAGCATGAGCTCGAGACAGATCATGGGCTGCACAACTAGGATGTAGGAGAAGAAATACGGCACCAGGAATACCATCCCATCCCAGGTGGCGTTGAGCTTGAAGAGGGTCTCGACGTTGCCGACGCTGATGGCCATGGTGACGCACAGCACGAACAGCGCGGCCTCATTTCTCCAGTATCCCTTTTCCGTCTGTTCCTTTATCCACGGTATGAACGACATTTCTACTGATTTCAGGCATGATGGGTACTCGAAGAGGTCGGACAACTTCGCGACCTCACCCGGTGAAACTCCCCGCGACACCAGCTCCTCTACAACGCCACGCTTGCGCGGCTTCGGAGCCGCCACAGTGCAGCTACGCAGCGGTATCGCAATACGTATCTCGTGAGAATCCTCTTCGCTGAACGAGGGCGTTGGCGACCCTTCATCGAACTCTTCTGGGTCGTAGTGTACATAATCTGCAAAGTTGGCCTCTCTGCAGTCTTCAAGTTGCAGCGCCATGTTTGCATCACGTTGTATCATGGCTCGTTCCCAGTGACGATCGTGCTTGGCCATCACACGCCCTCCTAGATGCGACAGGTTCCGGTACCCGTTGGCGTTAGTGAACTGCAGCGCCTGATCCAGCATGGAGTTACGCGCCAGCATTTTGGCCACGCTGAACTTCGCAGGCGACGGCAGCCCCCCTGTTGACAACGATTTGAGGTCGACGATGGTTGAGGCCAAGTGTAGCGGGAGATTGGGCAAGTACCTGTTATCGTCAGTTTGTATAGTCTTGGATACTGTTCGCTGCATGCCCCTCGGGATCATGATGCTGAACTCCTCCCTCTCCGAGGTGATGGCTCCGCTATCGTCCATCGGGCCAGACAGGTATGAGCCCGGCGAGGATAGCTCGGACATTAGGGAGCTCGTACGCGGCATCATCTTGGCGATGTGTGTCGGTGTCTATGGCAGAACGCTTTAATGTCTGGCGACGTCACAAGATGTACCAGACACCTCCCTTGTGCTTATTATGCGCACAGCACACATAGGCGGCGATGAACTGTCAGATAATCGGCGCGCGAGATTGCGCACATAGGTTCACGCTGGCTCAGACCCTGCTGCCCAGCAATTGCGGCAGCGAATTCAGCCGGACGCATCCGGCGCCTCTCTAAGGTGTGTAGCAGCAACACAGTTGCCAACACACAAATCAATGTGTATTCTGTATCGCGTTGAAACGCATAACATCGCGGCGTGCGCGGGATGTGCAGCAACGCTCCATGCCACAGAGCACTTAATGGAGCCATACAAGCGTAATTTGCGATAAATGTTATCGTCGGTGAACAGTTATAATGAGCTTGGCTCGGTGTGTAATGCGGCTTAGATGCTGAGACTATAATTAGCATCGTTCCAGCTCCGGTGGAGATAGCGTTGCCATTAGGGCGCCCTAATACGATCAGATGGTGTTAGCATGCCCACAACACATGGCGTACTTTCTTACGGGGTGTACCTAGAGCTAAATAGGTCTAATATGCGTTCAATTGTGTGCGCCTCTGGAACCGGTAATGGGTGGCCACTACACACCTTCTGGAAATAGTATCTGGTGGCAGTGCCTGCATATAACACAATTATAAAACATCCCCTAGAGTGTAAGAGTGCGTTACCACCGTTGTTTTAAGTGCTCGTCACTGCTGGCTCCCGGCCCCATCTATCACCTCGGGCACGTGTCGGCTAAGCGCCGGAGGGATCACACATCGTTCCACTTGTTTTTCAACTTTTCCATCGCCCGGCAAAGCCTAGGGCCTTGTCGCTGATACACATCTTATCTTGCGGCATCTTGCGTTTGGAGCAGAGGGAGCGCCGACGGCGGCCCTGCGTTGCCATTATGAAGCTGCAAGTCCCGAATTTCTTGCTGGATCCCAGCAACCCCGCTGGGTACACCGTTCGCACGGTGACGGATTTCATTAACGACAGCACACGTCTCGTCCGCAAGTGCACGAAACCAGACAAGAAGGAGTATACGCGCATCCTGCGTGCCTGCTCGGTCGGATTCTTCATCATGGGAATTATCGGTTACATGGTGAAGCTTATGTTCATCCCCGTGAACAACATTTTGGTTGGTATGCCGTCCTGAGCTGACGGTTCAGAACCGCCATTGCTGTTTCTAACACGCTCCCTTTAATAGATAGAGCAAATGTACTTCGTAAGTGAATGGTGTCTCTGATATTCTCCTTGTTGGCGCATTGGTTGGTTTTATTTTTTAGACGTTTTGATATACTGTTGGCGGTGTTGCGTGTGCTGCTGAAGTGACGTTTCAATGCCGAAACATGTATAAAAAGCGAGGGTGTGTTGAGTTAGATAAAAGTGTTGCTTATGAAACATTTGGGATTTCCCTTACGCCATTACTTTACAACACAGTGACGTTCACTGTGTATCAGCGGCTGATGCTGCTCAGATTGCGCACATTTTAAGTAAAACAACGTCAACACCATAATTTGTAATATTAATATTGCATCTGTGTCATCAAATAGCCGTTTGTATTCTACTTGTATGTGTTCGGCCCTAGGAGTTCGTTGCCCCCACGACGCGGTCGTGGCCCACTTCGAGCGCGCCGGCGGTAAATAGCATTACAAAATCGCTCCAGGCGCTCGCACCATTATCTGCGGACGTTTGCGGAACTTAGAGCGAGTTCAAGCCGCCCAGATTGGACCGTGGTGTCTTGCATTGCCGAGCCCACCACCACACTGGCCTATTGGAGCTCCATCGCTGCTCACTTTGGCCCATTATCGCGTATCACGTTTTTCAAGAGATAATTTAGAAAATGTCCAAGCGTACGAAGAAGGTAGTTGTGGATTGCGACGGTTCCATCCGTTTCAGGTCGGCGTTACCGGCAAGTACGGTGTCCGTTACGGCGCGTCTTTGAGGAAGCAGGCCCGCAAGATCCTGCTGTTGCAGCACACGGCGTACAACTGCCCGTTCTGTGGAAAGGTATTGTTGTGAAACGCTTGTTACATTGGTTTCAGGACGCCACCCGCTGGAAGGCCGTCGGCATCTGGGAATGCAAGCGCTGCAAAAGGCGAGTTGCCGGAGGTGCGTGGTCGTTGGGCACTTCAACCGGTGCGACCATCAAATCCACCATCGAACGTCTCTACAAGCAGAACGTTGAGGCGCAGTAACTTCGTCGATCGGGACTAATGTGTTATGCATTCCACACCCTATTGAGCTTCCGTGTGCATTTTTTTGGCGTGCTTAATGTGGTGTTTGTGGTATTTGGTCACATTTGTGTGCCATTTGATGGCGTGTGTCTTCGGATGGCGACTCTGGCGAGATGACTTCTTGCCGAGCTGAATAGGATGATACCCACTGCTTCGGGACAGTGTTTGGCATCTGGGATGATACATTTGCGTTCAGTTTAGGTGCTCAGTCAGGCATGAAGCTGGTCATTATTACTTTAAAAAGCTGCTAATGGTAATGAGATGGCGTCTGGGGTTGTTATATCACGCATGGTTTCTAGATGCGTTGCCGTGTGTTACTTCTGATTGAGGTTTTACCGTTGAGTTGCGGCCATTGTGGTTAAGAAACGCTCGCACACTGGGATGGGCGTGAACGTCCTGAGATTTGCCACTTTCAGCGTTCACGGGTACCAGTGGCATATGTCGATCAGAAGCCCGTAATGGTGACCGAAATACTGTCACGCATGACAACTGTACGGTATTGTGGTACGGCCCAATGCCATTTATCTGGTGTAACGAATAGATCGTACAACATCATAGCGACATTACTGTATAAATACTGCTACTACATTGACATACGATGTCACGTGTCCGCAGGGACGTTACACTGGCTACGTGAAGCTACGTTAACTTATTGTAGAGAACGCTTGGAGTTAGTTGACGGCATCCCGTTATACCAGTAGTCACGTAATGTTTTGAAGTCAGGGATATATATCGTAGCGATGAAAAACATGATGACGCAGGCAAGTAGTATGATGAAGATGATGATGGAGAAGTATACAATGCCTGAGCGAGGCTTACACTTTGGACAACCCTTTGTCCAGTAATCTATGCATTGCGCACAGTCCTCTTCCTCGCAGCTATCTTTATTGTGTTTTTTTCTGGTTTCTTCACATATAGGGCATTTTTCCGCCTTAGTCTTCTTTTTACATACTTGACAACAAAATCTACAACAGTTACAATACTTATCCTTGAGACATTTCGTCTTCTCTTCGGTCCAGCAGTTACAACAACATTTACATGGTTCTCCCTCTTTGCAATTACTTTTACTGCAGCAACCACCTTTTCCTTTCAAACAATTTGCTTTTTCACATTTGCATAGCTTGGCTTCCGTCATTGCCTGTGGAGCCATTTTAATCAACCCTAAGAAGCAATGAACAACGTGCCCAAAAGGTGGTAGCCGTTGCGATTCCACCCTTACGTGCCTCACGAACAATACAACCCCAGACGTCACTGTATATCTTGAGTAACACAAGATATTTACCGCTTACGGTTGTAATGGCAGTGCTTCATTTACCATGCATGGTACATTGGGTAAGCATGGATTCGCCGAGCATTCTGCCGTATCCCGTATATCCCCGCAGGAGATCTTGTAAAATGGCAATATAATGCTTTAATATCTCTCATCAAAAAACAACACTCTGGATTCCGTGTCGCATCCTTCTGTGCTGGACGCGAGGTAACGAAGGTAGAAAGTGCGTAATGGAGGTGACAACTGGCATTGCTAAGTTGAATACTACAATTAGCAGAGCAATGACTCCCGGATTACTTGTGAGTTGCCGGTTTTCATGTCATACCATGCTTTGAGCCAGAGCTGGAAATGAAGGGGGACCCCGAACGCCCGCATTATCGCCATGCTGCGCTGCTTCGTTATGCAACAACCAAATAGTTGTCAAATATCGCATGCTAGAACATTGCCGCTGTATGCTTTTGGTAACGAGCACGTTGTTACGTCTTTGGATTGTCGTGTAGTTGCCTCGTCCCGCATCACCAACGGATTTTCTCTGTTGCAGGCACCGTGAAACCTGTGAACAATGAAGCTGGAAAATGTTGAAATACGTTGCCTGAGAAGGAATGATTCTGGTTCAGAAAGGGTCTAAGCAGTGCTTCTCACGGCCCTGCGATCGATCTCCCTATTCCGGATTCGATTTTGGAGTGGGGCATGATTGCCCTACTCATACAAATGTTTCATTATTTGCCCTTCCGGAGCATCGTGTTTCCGGTCTTCCAAGTGATATTGAGCCGTAAATAGTCATCATAGCTTTCCAATGTGGGATGCCCCACAACGGTGGCAGCGGCAAGGCTTCAAGCGGTGTTCACGCCCTGTCAAAAGCGCTGACATGTTATACATTCGCCTGAAACCGATCAACGAATGGCGAAGTCACGTGTTCTTAACGAATCTATCCAAAATCCTGTCGGATGTCCACTTACTACTACCTGCTATATCAATCACGCCAGCATGCTGAGCAATTGCAGCATGCGAGAATAACATGAGAGCTGTAGGCGGCTTTAATACAGTAGCGATGCGATTTTAGTATTGATGCACCCAAAATTGTAATGCTTGATGCTTGCTTTGCGATGCAGGGCAATAGTAAACAGCGACATAGGATACCCATGTTAGCATTAGATGAGACGCACAGGTAAACGCGATATACTGGTATATTATTGTGTAAAATGCGACTACAAATTCAAGAACACTACACCTCAATAAATACCGATATGCGTCAAATATATTTGCTTTAAAATTTTCGTGAAATATCCAAGGTTAGAACACTAGATGTTACATACTGGAGCAATAGGGTAGGCGGACAATATGCCGATAGCCGCATGCGGCGACGTAGTATCCTGTTATGTTTAACAGAGCAATGTTCGTCAACTGCACGAAGCATTTTCAAAGCTGCCTTTCTACATCCGTACAAATCTCGATAAAGTTCTGTTTGTTAAAGCTGGTTGCAGGTGCATCGTTCCAAGGCACTCTGCTGCAGTTAAGTTGCTAATCGTTTTGCAGAGTTCGTAAAAATGGGTTTGAAAACAATTCAGTCGCAGCAGCCGTGCCAATGTAAGCCGCGATACGATTGTTCGCGCGAGGAAAAATGTAATTGCTGTCCCAAGTGCTGTGAAGGATGCCAGGACAGAAAGTGCGGAGGCTGTAATGGGTCAGCAAAACAAAAGGCAGCTAGCTCTGAAGGATATAAGAACTGTAAAAGCTGGTGGACGTGTAAATGTGTGCGCTGTGCTCGCTACGCTGGCATTACGGCTTTCTCCCTCACATTATTTGCCTTCCTAATCGTCGGTCTCATCATGTATTTCCTCGCTTGGAACTCGATTCCCGACTTCAAGACGTTCCGTGACTACTGGTATAACGGGATGCCGTCAACTAACTCCAATCGTTCTCTACAATAAGTTAACGTAGCTTCACGTAGCCAGTGTAACGTCCCTGCGGACACGTGACATCGCAGTGTAAATGTAATAGGATGAAACTATGTTGCTAGAGTGTTTTCCGATTGATATTGTGGTGGAAGAGGACACAGGCATTAGAAAGAACCATTGTGATACGCTAGAGACCCAATTTCCAATGTTACTTCATTCTTGTTTACACCGCAAACACAGCTTGGCATCTACAGTTCACGTACATAACACATCCTACAAGCATTGATGGTTCGTATTGCAATCAATTATGAAATACGACATGATTCATGTGTGCATAAACAAGATGTGTTATCTTTTCGCCACATTAAAATTGATGAGCAAAAATTCACTGTATCGGGTTCATATAGCATTGACACTTGTCTACCTCAACCATCTACCTATCGGCGTATTGTCTGTGAACCGTGCCCATTAGGAGAAGCCTGTGTAGATATGTGTGTTCTTTGCCGTCCTGGTTGTCTACGACGAACATTTGCAGGCTGGTGACCCTGTCAAACTTTGTACCCTTTAGCAACTGCTTTTCTCGTAACAAAACTTCATTAAAGACGATTTCTTGATGTGGTATAACTGAATCCGATTCGCTGAAGTCGAACTCCGGCCGGTTGGCGTACAGCTGAAGAAGATGTTACAATTACATGCAGACCCACCCGCACAGTTTTGGGTTTCGAAGCTTCTACGTCATCAGGTGGCCCATCGCAGCATAGCTGGATTGATGTGATGCTTACTGGGTCCAGGAAGAAGACATTCAGTATGAATTGCTCGTCAACGTCGGATACCATCGGAGGGGTAGTTGGCGCCGTGGACACCAGTACTTCAGTTAGCTGCCCGAATCCGTCCAGTGAATTGAGCGCCGCTGAAGTGGCATAGTCGACACACCTACCTACAATAGCAAGGTTGACCGGCTCGCATCCGCTGGCATACCCTTTTTTGAAGAGGCGACTCATTTCTTTATGCCAGAGCATCTGCTCATTGAATGGTCCAGTGCGAGATTGCACCATTGGACTAAAACTACTGTGAATATGAGAAGTGAAAATGTGTAGCTGCTGCAGCGAGCTACAGAGCGGCAACGGCCGCCTTGTCAGACCTCCGATCAAACGCGGGAGAACGGTGAACCCGGAATGTCTGGTAATAATTGCGCACCACAGCAATTAATCGGCAACAAATAATCACCATTCGGCTTATTCATACCTCGAATGTGTCCATTGTGTCAGTTGCCTATATTCCGTTCGAGCGCTGTTGGCATGCCCGACTGGGCATGCCACTGCACACCGCCATTGCTAATGGCGGTTAATCAGAGGTATAATTAGCCGAGATCACTGAAAAATGGCGCAACAACGTATACACACCTTCATTATGTCGTTTCAATGTCTTCCAATCAACTACACAGAACCGACGTTGCTCAATACCGCAGAATTCCAGACGAGTTGCAAAGCCAAATAAGGCAAACGCCACCGCGGTACTGTATATCTGCGATTGTCGCGCTTAAACGCCCATAAATGCTGATTCGATGGTGCGCGTTGAGCACACACATAGGTAACGCCGAAGACACGGTCAGACAGCGATGATTATCTGCCTTCGGGCACACGAGAGGCTTCAATAGTGATTCTTTATTGATTTGTGCCGTACTCCCCAGACCACCAGGTCCAGTTATGCCCGTTGACAGCATCGCCTTTGCACAGCTGCTGACGCATCGCGCAACATCTGACAGACGGCTTATTGGCAAAGGTGGACGCAATAGCACCCGGAGGACAGCATTTATTTATCTCTAGTAGGCGCGCCTGTATGTGCCGCTATCGATGGTGGAAGGCCCCTGTGTGTGAACACGTATGACCGTGATGTCGTGCTGTGGGGTCATGGGAACTGCCGTGCACAGCAGCGGAATCCATCGCTTATCCTTTCACACACGGCCGCAGAGCCCTTTATATCGCCGGGCTCTAGCAGTGTTTGAAAAATTGCACCGATCGTAAAAATGACGAAGGGTAAGGGCGCCGTGCCGGCGGAGGACTTGGTGGACTATGAGGAGCAAGAAGCCGGCCAGGTCTCCACGCGCACGGTGATTAAATCGGCCACGGCCGCAAAAACCGGTCGCGATGACGGTACTATGGGCCGCGGCAGTTATGTCGCCATTCACGCAAGCGGTTTCCGTGACTTTTTCCTGAAGCCTGAGATTTTGCGAGCCATCGGTGACGCCGGTTTCGAGCATCCGTCGGAGGTCCAGCACGAGACTATTCCGCACGCCATCACTGGTGTAGACATTTTGTGCCAGGCCAAGTCTGGTATGGGAAAGACAGCCGTGTTTGTTCTGTCGGTTCTGCAGCAGCTAGATGTGCAAGAAGATGGAACACTCGCGGGCGGTGTAAAGCGTGACGCTGGAGGTGAGGCCATTTCTCCGGGTGGTGATCGTGTTGCCTGCCTCGGAATCAGCCACACGCGTGAGCTAGCCTACCAAATCAAGAACGAGTTTGACCGTTTCGCCAAGTACATGACTGGTGTGCGCTGTGAAGTTGTCTACGGAGGTGTGCCCATCGCTCGCGATATTGCGATGCTTAAGGACCCCTCCAAGTGCCCTCACATCCTTGTCGGCACTCCAGGTCGTCTGGTTGCCCTCATCCGCGGTAAGCATCTGAGCATGGAGGGCATCCGCCACTTCGTGCTCGACGAGTGCGACAAATGTCTCGAGAAGCTGGATATGCGTTCTGATGTCCAGGCTATCTTCATGTCAACCCCTAAAAAGAAGCAGGTTATGTTCTTCTCCGCCACCATGAACAACGAGGTACGTGACGTGTGCAAGCGCTTTGTGCAGTCGCCCGTGGAGGTCTTCGTGGACGACGAGTCTAAGCTGACTCTCCACGGCCTGCTCCAGTACTACATCAAGCTTTCTGAGAGCGACAAGAATCGCAAGCTGAATGACCTGCTCGACACTCTGGAATTCAACCAGGTCATTATTTTCGTGAAGTCCATTTCGAGGGCTCAAACGCTCGACAACCTGCTCAACGAGTGCAACTTCCCGTCTATCGCCATACACGCTGGGCTTGAGCAGACCGAGCGCATTGCTCGCTACACTCAGTTCAAAAACTTCGACAAGCGCATCATGGTCTCGACTGACCTGTTCGGTAGGGGCATCGACGTTGAGCGTGTGAACATCGTTATCAACTACGACATGCCCGACTCCACCGATTCTTACCTTCACCGCGTGGGACGCGCGGGTAGGTTCGGCACCAAGGGGCTCGCAATCACCTTTGTTGCGACGCAGGATGACTCGAATGCCCTGGCCGACGTGCAAAAGAGATTCGAGGTCGACATCCCCGAAATGCCGGAGTCAATCGACACCTCTCTTTACTGTAAGTCGGGATATTATCGCCATCATGTTGTTTACAGTGAACCAATAAAAACTGGATTATCAATTAGTTGTCTATTAATCTCCGGACGTCTGCGCCCATTCAAAGAACGTTTGCAACCGGCCAAATCTGTAGTATTTGCCGGAGATTTGTGTACGCTTATTTTCGCGTCAAATCCAAGCTGGCTGCCCAGTTTCGGGCTCGGCCTGCAGGAAGTCTGGGATAAAGCGGTGGTGGTATAATACTTTGATTTCTCAATTTGTGTGTTTGCAATGTCACGGGCGCACGCAGCTGACGACAATGAGGTTGCACACGCTCAAGAGCGAAATGAGACTTGGTACCCAATTTCCGAGCCCTGACGGTTGCGCCAAAGATAGTGAGAAAGCCGTGATGCCTGCAAACGACCGCGAGGTATTCATTATACCCACTGCCTGGGTAAAGTGCTACAAAGGTGTGATATCGTCTGTGAATCGCCTACCTCTGACCCGCACACGTTGTGCGCAGTCATGGGCACCACGCAGAATACGGCGGAGTTTGCAAAGTATGCTGCTGAAACCCTGTATCGTTTATGATTGGCGATCAGCCGAAGAACGTACCAAACAACGTAAAGAACGAAACTGGTTTGGCAGAGATGGGTAAGAGTGACGGTGACGACAAGGAGGAATAGTGAAAAAGTTGCCCATGTAACGCGCCACCCGTGAGAGTCCAAAATAAGACCCCATATAATTCTACCCAGAAGACTCGTACATCGCACGATGAAATCCGCGACCACTATGCCGCGCGTGGTCGCCCCGTACTTGACAGCGGCGATGTTGCGCCAGTAGGAGTGGATGTACATCACCGCCTGCCACGTGAAGTATGAGAGCAGCCACATGCACGCCTGATCTCGCCAGCTGAGCTCCCGAGGATGCTGCTGACTATGGTGCAGCACTTCGCCTGCAAGCAATGTCTGATGTCGCCGTTGTTCAATTCGCTGTCTGACCTAACTGTGTTGGCAGCACAAAAGCACCTAAAGAACCGAAACGTACCTTTGATGGAGAAGGGCACGTACTCGGAGACGTGCTGTTCCGTGTTCTCGTCGTCTTCGGGTGCGTTGTCTGGAAAAGCCCATCGCCACCCGCAAGCCTGCGCCACATTGGAGGCCATGTGGTCTGGTCCTACCGTGATGATGAGGTACCCTATCGCTGTGAACATCAACAGCCCGCGGGTTCTACGCAATTCGACGTTCTCGACGTGAAACAACCTCGAATCGTGATGCTCGACGTGTTTCGGCGGCAATTGTGGTGGTGCCCGATTCTCCGATGCCTTCGGGACTTCCGTGTCATGATCCCACCAACCTCCGAGGTACGACAGCTGTAGGGGCCCAACCAACAGCAACGCCGTGCCCATTATCGCATACATGCATCCGCAACTAAATCCGCGTCTCAGAGGGTTCAGCCGTAGCACGCTTTTAGCAGGTAGCCACATGGCGAGGCCCGAGAAGAATCCCGCACCTAGCCCATACCACAATAGAAAGCTCACGTAGTCTTGCAGGTGCCATGCAGCGCCTGCCACACATAGCACCACCCCGATGCACCCGGCGAGGGTTAGTGCCTTCTCGCTAAACCTCTTGGCGACCGGTGCTGTCAGCAGCCCCGCCAGGGTCTGCGTCAGCAGGGAAAGCACGAATCCCAATGCGATGCTCTGATGATCCACTGCGCTGTTCGTTCCGAACACACGCATGTACGATGCGATATGGAGCCCTACGTTCGAAAAGGCTGCAGGATACCCTGAGCTTGATTAGACGTCCATCGTGTCTGAGACAACCTACCGAGAACGATGTAGAGCATCCCAGCTCCAACGATAGAGCGAGCTCCTAGTCGACTTGAGCGTTGCTTGACATCTGACAGGACGCCAAGATGCGGTCTGCGATTGCGATGAGCCGTTTCGGCGACCTTTTCCAGTGCGATGCCAACGTGTCGCCAGCGGAGGTCGGAAGGCGCCTCGCAGTGGCCTTCGGTGGCTTCCGACGATCCATCGCTGTCACCGAGCAGCGAGACTGATGTTCTTCGGTAACTCATCGTTTGACTGTCCTGTCTGCCCCTACGGTACGGGAAAACGCGAATGGAATCCTGCGCCATGCCCCATCCGCGCAACGGCGATGCGGGGTACCAGAGCACACACCCTCGGCTACTGATAGCACCTGGTATTAAATCGTTTGTGCAATATCGAAACGCGGCCACAGACGGTGCTAACATTTGGTGGAAAGCGCGCAGGCGATACACACTCGCACACTGCGGCGCGAAGGGGTATACATCAAAGTCAATAATCTGGCTTCAAGATGGCTCAGCAGGATCACACACGCCGAGTGTACCGCTATGTCGGACGCCACGCAGCGTTTGCGCAATTCAGCATCGCTGTGCTCGGCATTGCGTTGGCTGCTGCCGCGCTACACTTCAGAAAGATATGGGCGCTGTTCTCGAAGCCTGCTGAGCAGGCCGCCGAAAGCGTCGCAGAGGGTGAAGCCAAGGTTATCCGCATAGACTACGCAGCCATCGCGGCAAGGTTCAGGGCGATGGACTCCTCGGAGTGCTTTTTGCTCGTCTTGTTCGTAGTTGTGTGCCTGCTGGCAGTTGCCATGCTGCTCAGCCTCTGGTACATACCTGTGCGGCTCTTCCTGTTCTACGAGGCGTGCCCCTTCGTGGAGGGCTCTGACGAGTACCGCGAGTACGTGCTCAAGAAGGGAACGCATGTCCACGTGATCGGCATGAAACCATCATCCGACTCCACCGATGAACGGAGAGCTACTCCAAGCGTGATAATGCAGCTCATGCGGTCGAAGTTGTACAGTTATTACACCCACAGGCATCGGAAATATGTGCTTAATGAGCGTCGTTGCGAGTTCGAGGCTGTGGAGCACATCGACTCTGTTGACGTCAAGGTTCTTGAGGCGTGGCGGGGCCTGTCTGCCAAGGACAAAGTCAGCACCAAGGTTTCGGGCATCGAAAGGTCGCTTGTTGTTTGTGAAGACACCTTTGGCGACAACGATTACCAGATTCCGCCGTGTGACTTTTGGAAGATGCTCTTCGACGCCTTCCTCAGCCCATTCTTCCTCTTCCAGCTACTGGCGTCTGTACTGTGGATTTTTGACAGCTACTGGTACTACTCATGTCTGACGATATTTTCCATCATCACCATCGAGGTGCAGATGGTCAACAAGAACATCCGAGAGTACGACCGCATTAACTCCATGCGCATCCCGCCTGCTGACGTTGCAGTGTATCGCGACGGCAAGTGGGCGACGATATCGAGCGCCCACCTATACCCGGGTGATATATTTTTGCTGACGCACGACGCGGCGGCCGAGTCAACAGTTGTACGTGCAGATTGTCTTATATTGTCCGGAGAGGTTGTAGTCGACGAATCTATCCTTACCGGCGAATCAGTGCCCCAGTTCAAGTCGGCTCTAGATTTGCGATTAGTGCGCACGAAGAAGGGTGCATTGACGGAAGCAGATAGTGAGATGAGGCAGAGCACCGTTTTCGCTGGAACGTCCATCATGCTGTGTCGTGCGGACGGTCCATCGTTCGCCGGCGTCAAAACCCCTAAGCAAGGCTGTGTATGTGTAGTGCTGCGCACGGGGTTCGAGTCGTACCAGGGACGACTGGTCAATGCTATCATCCGCTCTGGCGACCGTGTGACTGCATCAACTACTGAGGGATGGTGCTTCTTGGCTATCCTGCTGACGTTTGCGCTCGTGTCCTGTGCGTTCGTCGTTAAGAGACTGCCCACAGCTACTGTCAAGAAGTTGGTTCTCACCACGCTGCACATCATAACTGCCGTCATCCCACCCGAGTTCTCAGTCATTCTGTCCTTGGCGGTCTCTCTGGCCATTCTACAGCTCCACGGCAAGGGCATGTACTGCACCGAGCCTTTCAGAGTGCCGTATGCAGGAGACCTGGGTGTATGCGCATTTGACAAGACGGGCACTCTGACTGAAGACAAGATGAAGGTGGTGGGTGTCGTAGTCGGTAACGACGTGGCCACCCTCCAAACGCAGCCTGGTCAACAGAACCAATCAGCACCACTACCCATTGCTTCCGCATTGGTCGTCGGAGGGTGTCACTCACTGTCGCGCGTTTCTGGGAACATAGTTGGAGACCCCATGGAAAAGGCTGCATTCGAGCATTTCGGATGGACATTGAGTGCTGACAACAAATCTGTCGAAGGTCTAAATCCTTGGTTTTATGATGCTGGAAGGAAATTGGCGCCAGCGAAGGTCAGTGTTCTACGCAGGTGGCAGTTTGTTTCTGAGCTCGGTAGGATGTCTACAATCGCAGTTATAGGCGGTCGCACAACGTACTGGCAGAAACCTGCAGAAGGAGCTGAATCAGCGTCTGCTGGTAGTAACAGAAGCCAATCGGCGGCGCCAGAATTTAAGCATGGCCAGGGATACTTGAGGCTGGATAACAATTACGATGGTGACGTGATGCTGTTGTGCAAAGGTGCTCCTGAACGCGTTCGCCCGCTGTTGCGCGAGGTTCCGGAGTATTATGACGATCTCTACCAGCAACTCGCAATAGGCGGAATGCGCGTGCTCACACTTGCATGCAGGAAGCTGCCCATCACACCAACTCAGGTGCCATCGGTAGTCCGCGAGGAGGTGGAGTCGGGCCTGGAGTTCGTTGGGTTCCTGGCTCTGGAGTCGCCCATCAGGCCGTCGTCTGTGATATGTATGCGACAATTGGATGGTCACAAGCTTATCATGATCACTGGAGACAACGTGCTTACTGCGTGTCACGTCGCCGACGCCGTCGAAATGGGAGACAGGACCCATGTCGACCACAGTGCAGCTGTACGCAAGACCTGGGGCGATTTCGCCATCCTGGTACCAGAGGAAGGAGGTTTCTGCTGGAGGCTGCGTAATGGTAATCCTGTGCCACGGGTTGCAAAATCGGGAGATTTCGTAGATCACATGAACGAAATCAAGCAATCCATGAGACTCTGCATTACCGGTCCTGCTATCGATGCACTTGTCGACTATGAGCGCCGTAGCGGCCGCAGGGTTCTGGCCGAAAACGTGCTCAACACCACCGTTTTCGCGAGGGTATCCCCGCAGCAGAAGAAGTTTGTGGTCCGCACCTTTAAGCGTGCTGGCATGAAGACTGCCATGTGCGGCGACGGAACCAACGACATGGCGGCTCTGAAAGTCGCTCACGTCGGCATATCGCTGCTGAAGAGCGCGTTCAAGAAGCCGAATAAAGAGCTCACAAACAAGCTGGGAGACATGATTCGCAAGCAACCATATCAACTGCAACGAGAGGCTCTGGAGAAGCTTCAGCGAGATCTTCAGGACGGCATGCCGGAACTAAAGCTCGGAGAGGCGAGCATAGCATCACCTTTCACCTACCGCAAGAATGACGTGCTCTGCGTGCCGCTGTTGGTCCGTAGCGGCAGGTGCGCTCTAACCACCGTCGTGTTGCTTCACAAGGTCATGGGAGTGAACTCGCTCATCACATCGCTCGGCATGTCGGTGCTCTCCATGGACGGTGTAGGTCTCAGCGAGGCGCAAGCTACGGTCTCCTCGCTTATGTATACGTTCATGCTTATGGCGCTCTCAAAGTCGAAGCCCGCGCAGGAACACAGCTCCAAGCGTCCCGAAAAGTCCATCTTTAAGCCGGCCAGCTTCACAAGCTTCGTGTTACAGTGCTGCCTCCACGTATCGGTTATTTTACATCTGTGGGGAATAGGGAAGTCACTGAGGGCACCGGACTACGTGCCCAATCTTGACGCTCCATTCGCGCCCAACATTGTCAACACGGTGGTCTATTACGGCTGCCTTTCGATCAGCATCGCAGGGTTCCTCTCCAACTACCGGGGCTACCCATACATGCAGCCGCTGTGGGAGAACAAGTTCTTGTCGAGACCATTGGCTGCTGCAGCGCTGTTTGTGCTCGTGCTCGCCAGCGACATATTCAGGCCGCTCAACGATTACCTCTCTCTGGTCGCGATTCCGAACCACACGGTGCGCATGCACGTGATTGCGGTACTTGCAATTGACATCTTGGGAGCCGTGGGGATAGAACGCCTCTGCCGTAGATTACTAAGCCGCTCTTAGGGGGGTGAGAGGCACCTCCAAAAGGTTGCCGAAACATTTTAATTTTGTACAATGCAGATATAATGGGCGTTTTATTCTTATGGTAGAAGCAATGTCGAATGCTTTTTCAGCCTCATCGTGTTGAACGTAGCGCTATATTCCCTTTAGAATTGTTGGTAGTCGTGACTGTCATGCAGTCCCATTACCATGGGCACAATAGACCTTAAGATCCGTATATAGTGCTCTCAGATGCTGTATGACACAAATAGTCTTCCTTACAGCCGTGAATATGGCTTAAAATTCGCGTCCGCAGGGCACCTTATACCTGCATATCGGTTTACTGCATACAAAAATGCTACTACGTTGAGATACGATGTTGCGTGCTCACGTGGATGCCATACGGGCTATGTGAGGCTACATTTACTTATTGTAGTGAACGTCTTGAGTTGGTTGACGGCATCCCGTTGTACCAGTAGTCACGGAATGTTTTGAAGTCGGGGATAGAGTTCCAGGCGAGGAAATACATGAAGAGGCCGATGAGTAGGAGGATGAATATGATGCCGAAGAAAATGACAATGCCTGCCTTGGGCTGACAACCTTTACACTTACATTTCAACAAATTCGTGCAATTCTTATATCCGCCGTCTGGGTCTATATGTTTTGTTTCATCAGCAGTACATTGAGTGCACAGTTTCTTTTTTTTATCGTTACATTTCTCACAACACCGGGGGCAGCACTGACACTCAAACTTAGCCGCAGAGACGGACTTAGATTCCGATCCTGTTGGAACCTTACATTTAGGAGTCTCGCCAGCCCAGCACGTGCACGTTTTGACTTCCGACATCTTTCCCTCCTTGCATTAAATAGCCCTGCGCAGCGATGAATAACTTACCCAACTGGTGGTGAGTCGGGATGCGAAACTCCAATGCTGCACAAGCAATATGACTCCTGAAGTCACTGTGTATCTTGATTAACTCAAGAAATGTTCCGCTGACGATCGTAGTCGCAGTGATTAATTTACCGTGCATGGCGGTGGGTAAGCATGGACTGCTGGGCATTCTGCCGTATCCCATAAGTCCCACAGTATTTCATTTAAGATGGCAACATAATGTCATAAGATGTTTTAACAAAATGCAAGACGCTGAACTACGCGTCGCATCGTTGTATGCTGGACGCAAGGTGATTATGTTGGTTATTGAAGTTACGAATGGCATTACTGCGTTGAATGCTGCAATTATGCGAAGATGAATTTGCGGCGTATTCGTGAATTGCCGGTTATCATGACGTCGGACTGTGCTCTCCTGAGGAGCTGGGAATAAAAAGGGACCCCGAAGTCAGCATTTACGCCAGGTTGCGAAGCGTCGTTATGCCAGGAGTCAAACGTTGTCATGAAACATCGCATGCTTTAACGTCAATGTCATTCGTTGCTTCTGATGATGGCATTGCTCTTTTTTCGATTGCCAGTGGAGTTGATTTGCATCGCATGGCCAGCTGCTTCCACCTGTTGCATTAAGCGCAGAGGAGGTTCAGAAGGAATCTTGCACATATTAAAAGGAGTTAATTGAGCAATCATTGCTTGGTTCCAGAAATGCTTTGACCATTGGTCCTAGCAGCCCCGCAGTTAATTTCCGTAGTCTGGGCGCTACGGTCGTGCGCTAAACGTTATTGCCATCTTCACACAAATTCCCAGCTATTTGCCCTCCTGAAGCATCACATATCCGGCATATCACATGCCTTTGAACAGTCTGGCTACTCGTTATCACATCTCTATCCGGGTTGCCCCACAACTGTGATGGCAGCAATGTTTCAAGTGGCGTTCACATCCTATCAGACACGGTTTTACGCTTCAGACATGTCCGCGAACAATTTGACAATGCGCAATGAATCCATCCATCTAGAGTTCAAATTTATGCTCAATCACTACCATCCCTGAGAGTAACTACGGAAGCATGTTGCTCAATTGAGACATGCAACATGCGATGGTGACATGAGAGTTATGAATGACATTGATGGAGATTATGACGCGATTTTAATGTTGATGCACCTAAACACTGCAACGCTTGCTTCTTGTTTCCTTGATTCGGGATAAATATAATCGGCGATTTGGGATACCTATATTATCGTTGAATGAGATTCAGTTTCGCTCGATGGTGTTGTATATCAAACTGGAAAATGGCAATACACGGTGTCACGAACAATTAAAGTCTATGAATACGGTTTGTAACGCCTCACACGTAATTGTTGTATAATTACCGTGGAATACGCACGCCGCTCTAACACTACATGTGACATGCTGCAGCAATCTGGTGGACGAGAGGGTACGTTACAGATATATCCATTTACGCATGCATCGTCGCGGTATCATTTGATAGATAGAAGCGTGGTCCATGTCCGTCAATACAGTAACCATAGTTAACATTGCTCTGTTATTTCTACGTAAATAACTCTATACCTTTGTTAAAGATAATTGAAGGTGAATTGATGAACGGCTCTGGGGTAACGGTAAGTTGTTAATCGTTATACAGGTTTGTTGGATCACATTGAGAAGAAGATGGCGACGGCAGCATGTAAATGTACAGGCAAATCCTGTAAGGGTGACTTATGTACGTGCTGTCGATGGTGTTGTGACAAGTGTAAGAAGGGCAAGGATCAGTGCACTGTATGCGCAGATATAAAAAACAAACACTCAGAACAACGCTGCGATAAGACTGGCTGTGGATTTTGCCTGGATTACTGGAAACGAGGTTGTGAAAAGTGTGAGCCCCGCGTTGGCATAACTGTTTTTGCCCTCATCATCCTCATCCTCCTACTCATCGGCCTCATCATGTATTTCCTCGCCTGGAACTCCATCCCCAACTTCAAAACGTTCCGTGAGTACTGGTATAACGGGATGCCGTCAACTCAGCCCAGGCGTTCTCTACAATAAGTCAACATAGCTGCACTTTCGTGACTTAACATTCTAATATCGCAGAAACACAACCAGCTGACGTGTAGCATTCAATATTTGGATGTTCATGATTTGTTGTTGCGTGAACTACTTGTTGCCGATGTCTGATATTCAGCACGGGTGGCGTCATTACATGCACTGGTTACGCAACCTATACCTTATCATAGCCTAACCTTCCCATCGGCGTATTGCATAGGTGCAAAGGACATCACTCCTAATTGACTGTACGACCAACTTCAAGTGCCTCCATATCGTGTCATTAGTTAAAACCTCAATGTCAGATTAAGTGTCACCACTGAATCAATCAAATAGACACGTTAAATTAACTTTGCAAGGAAACATTCTTTCCCGGCGAGGCGCACAGACTGCGGGGCTCTGACCAGTAAGGTTAGAAACATCTAGAAGGGGATTGCTATGGTATTACAGATGCTATACAAGGCATCGAACGCTGTCATTCATATGGTTTGATTCATATTACACATGTCGTGAGGGGTTCGGGATGCGTGGCGGAACGATCTTGATCACAAAACGGCAAATTTGTTAAGACACCTCTAAAGGTATTGGATGGGAGCGACGTTGCCGTCCGAAATACACATTGACAACGATGCAGTTGTTGGTTGATGCAGAGACTCTTCGCAATTAGTTGTAAATGTTGACATTCACTGCTCCGTTTTATTGTGTCATTAGGAACGAACAATTAGGGTAATCCGAACAAATAAAGCCCGATTGGTCTGAATGATCCATATATTCACACACTTTCAATTACTAGCACAAACGTAATATTGACTTCTACACCAATTACGCAGGCAGGGAGTTTTCTGCGCCGCGATCAGCATGTAACCTCGCAGCGCAGATTCCGGGGTCTTGAATTTCGGTGGTAAACTTTATAAATTTGTACGCCAAAATTGACCAGGAAAACGGCTGTAAATTGCTATGAAGATGCCTTGTGCATCCATGTTCGGCTACCATATCATGCATAGACACAGTGCACAGATAAAAATCTCAACCCGGAATACTGCAACACGGTAGCGACTGATAGCACCGTACACCATATACATTTTTTGCAGGACCGAAGACTGAATTTTCAACGCTAGCCACCAATGTATTGAGAAATTGTTTGTCGTTGCGCAAGGATGGGTGGTACTCCGAGTACTGGTGCTGATCCGAAAAACCAAGGTCCATACATTGGTGCAGTTTTCGGCAGTATACTTGCTGTTATACTCCTTGGTATTATAATATGGGCAATGATTGACGCTAGAAAGTGGCCGTTCGAAGGCTTGCACGATTGGCTCTATAACGATAGAGACATTTACGACTATTACGGGCAGCATCCATCAAAAGGGATGCATTAGTCTGGTATAGTACACGCAGAATTTTAGTATCGCAATAAATATGTAATATAAATGTAGTAGCATGTATAATTAAATTTGTATGCTTAGCCGCCCTTTGAACACCGTGGTGTCATGTTCTACAACGGTCTTACTGCCTCAGTGCCTTCTGTGCACCAGTCGCGCATGAAGGCTCTCCTTCCTTACAGCGTAATGGATCCATCTAAACTGGAAGTCGTAAGCTATACTGGGCACCCAAGTTGTTTTATGCAACACGACTAACGATGGCACGTTACGGTAGTAAAATGGAACGGCAAAACTCGCTGACAGAAAAGAGGCTTAACAAAATGTGGTGAGTTATATACTCATATTAATACCTCATGTCTGAACGACCTCATTTAAGTATGATTCACTCAGCATCGGCAATGTAAAGCAGTATACGGTTTCCTCGGGTTGTAACATTGTCAAACTCAACCGGAAATTGATCTGAATCGCAGGCCCGTTGCACTATTAAATTACCCACTCACGAAAACCGAGAGCGGGTAGAAACTCTGATTCAGCGCCTCGAAGAGCGCCTGCGATAGGTGGGCGCTTATAAGTGGGCAACTCAGAACAGACTTGGCGGACGTGACGGAACGGCGTTTTGATAGGCAAATCGTCGCATTTGAGGAATCACACCATTGTATCTATTGTATTTGCGGTGGCGTACGCAGTTTCCGCCTTTGATGGGTACTCTACACACGTATCTGCATATTAACTTCGTTTGTCACATGGGCAAATCATTTGCATTCAGTCAACGGTAAATACGTTTCTTGTGCTCGCCATTAACGCCATTTCTGCCCTACAGAGACTCATTCTATGATTATGTCACACACCAATCACACCGGATGAGTAAGGAATTAAAAGGGCTTTGGTATAGATACCCCTGGCATAAACGAGCAGATGGAGTGTAAAAAACATCTTAGGTGTTCAATACACAAGGAAATCCGATTATTACTCAGGTGCATTTCGTCCGAGCTATGTCTCATTTCTGCGTGCATCCATCCGTATTTCCTTTTTTATCCTTTTCTTCTTCTTCCCCCCTTTTAGCATCCTTATATTTTTCAGCTTGTGGATATGTGAAAAACATCGCAATATAGCAAACAAGATTGATCAATGTTCCTGCCAAAATCATGTACATCATTGATTTCCTCAGAGCTTCAGCATTTTGTGCTTTGACAGCTGCGTCCATCGTTTCAAACGACTCCCTGGAGGGGACGTAACCGAACACCTTCTCAGTCAAATATGCAGATATCTGGAAGAGGATTACACTACTTGAAATGTCAGATATGGTTCGAACCACGGCAGATGCTGTACCCTGGTACTCATCTTCGATTGATTTTTTCATAACAGCCCTATCTACCGCGCCCAGAGTAACTAACGTCCCCCCAAGCGTTGCCAACTCCACATAATGATACCAAAGCAACTTCCCACATGGTGGGTTCCCTAAAAAGAATAGCAGACAGACGACAAGTCTGACGGCCATCACTGCGATTCCGGAACCAAGTTCACCATAGCCGTTAGCGTGTTCCGAAATTTTATCTATGATTTCTCCCCCCGCTCCACTTCCTGCTGCTCCGCCAATCAACGTAATTGCAATCGCAACACCCGCCATTGTGTCAGATACACCCAAATATTGCAAGTATATGGTCATATAATTAAATGCACACATTGGAGCTTCCGCAATAAATAGTGTAAATATTAGTATCCATGTTGTTTTCCTCGTAAAAGGTCCTGTAAAGGCCATGCCTATACGAACCGTAAATTGTTCTTTGGTATTAGAAACGACATCATCGCTCTTCTTTTCCAATCCAAATACGATCCCAATACCAAACAATATCCAGACATACCCTAGAACAACGTAGGACGTACGCCAGCCATAATATCCCAATAATACTTTACGTGCAATAATAGTGGTTATCACTGCACATAACAATCGCCCAATGCAATTCAACGCTTGAAGATGTGTGAATATACTATTAGACTTTTTCTTCTTCGGTTTCTGTCCTCCCCCTGAAGCTGTTGAAGCCTCTGTAGACGATGATTCCGATTGTCCCTCTGCTTCCTTTGATTCCTCTGAAGTAGTTGACTCTGCAACAATTTTTTGTTGCACCGGATATACACAAGCGAATCCAAAGCCGTGTAAGAAACGCAAGAACAGAATCTGGGGAATCATTAATCGTAAAAATTGCAACTTACTGATCTGTATTGTGATGCAGAGCTTAGAATAATCGAGGCCATACCCATCAGTAACAGACCGCCACCAAGTACATATCTCGAATCATTGGTGTCTGCCAACAAACCCCAAATTAGGCAGCAACCCATGCGGGACATAGTAGAAACCGTCGCCAACGTAGACAACTGAGACTGAGAAAAACCCAAAGTCAGCTCAAAAGCCCTCATACACATGGACAAAACCTGTTGGTCGTAACCTTCGATAAAAGAAACCAAATTGTAGAGCGCTTTTGCCGAGGTTTTATAATCAAATATTTTTTTGCAGGTGCAGGGTCAGATTGTAGCTCCTTCTCTGTCATTTTCTCTTCATCAGTATAGCATTATTATTATTATAAAAATGACATTTTAATCAGCTGTTATCAACACCGCACAACGTATGCATCGGAAGCGAACTATTAGGGTTAAGTATCAGATATCGTGCTATATTTCACGAGATTCATTGCGATTAAATAACGATGGATTAAACAATAGGTCGCATGTGCAGAATGACAATATGTTTATCAACGGCGGAGGCGTCATCTACAATTCATCTACCCCAGAATAAAAGGATTGCACAATTAGCAATAAAGTTAAAACCTCAACTAAAAAGATTTTAATAATGGATACGTAAAATTCGAGCAGCCATATTTATAAAAAATGCACGTCTAGCATGTATACAAGCCGTGCGATTCAACAATACAACACAACCTTAGATATCTACGCAATGTGTTTCAACGCTGCTTAGTAAAGCTGTACAGTCTGATACAGGTGGCTGCTTTCGAACAGTGCCGCTGTACGATACGCTTAACAGCCCATGACATATACCCTATAGATCTAGGCTGAGTGCACCACGTTCTATTGCCGAACGTCACTGGCGTCAGTCATGATGGCATCCATCCTGTCTTGACGCGAGGATCACTCGCACAGCCATAATCTTCTGTGGGTTTTATGCCTTTCATCACATAACGTATTACCTCGAGACTCGTCTGTTAGTTGAACTGTCTCCATATGAGCTGCTTCGCCAGCTCCTAGCATTTTTGCCTCGTGTGTCTCAGTATCCAAATTGTCTTGCTCGGACACCCCGAACTACACGGTGGCGGTGATGCGGCTCCACCAATTTGCAACTACGACATCCGATCTTTTATGCCCCTTAGACTGCTACGATATTGCTTTCATAACCAAGTTGTTTACATAGAACCTAGCTGTCAAGACCTGTTGGCTTCAGTTCAGATCTATACCCCGGTGAACAAACAACTGTCAGCTACAAAATACATAAAGCAGTTATTACATGCACATCACACCGCAGCAGCCGCCACCATTAATGCAACAGGAACAACACAAAGATTAATGGTGTGTTCGTTGTAGTCGCACCATAATATTGTACAAATGCCAAGCAGATCGCAGGCCGCAACACGACATCCAGAGCAGCTCCTGACAACATGTACTACGCGAGAATCGTGTCGAGGAACTCCTGGTTCATCCTGTTCGAGAAATCCTTAGCGTGACGCTCGAGCGCCATGCGCGCAGATTGCGCGGCGTTTTGTGCCTCAGGGTAGTCGGCGTACGATTTCCGGCAGTACTTGCGCTTCTTCACCGTCTTGCCCAGCGCCTCCTTGCGCTTGCGCTCGGCTTGGCGCCGCCACACTTCTGGCATGATATCCTTCGTTACCTCGTCCCAGAGTAATGTTTTTGCAGCCTTCTCGTCAGGCGATAGGATCATGAATTTGAACTCCTCCTCGTCCTCCTCGTCGTCGGAGCTCAAATGCCCATCAGCATGAGACTCCGGTATTGCGATAGTTGTGGCGGCTGCTTTGGGCACAATGCTCTCCGCGTTGTTTGGCGTAGGGCCGTCCCCGGCGCCACCATCGGCCTTGGGCACCGCCCAGCCCAGCTGGGGTGCCGCGGTCATGATGCTGTCTGCGATATGGTTGATGTCGCTCGCCGTTGGGGCATCCAGGCAGAGCAAATCGTTGGAGATGCGCAGGTCGATTTTCCCGTGGACCGGCAGCTGCAACTGAGTAGAGGACAAAAGCGGACTGTCGTCGCCGCTCGTTATGGAGGCTCTTCCGTTGTCAGAACATGTGGAACCAGTCTCCGATTCAAGCCTTCGTTTCTTTTCCAGGGCCAATTTCTTGGCCATCATGCAGGGCGGGAGGGGGTTGGCCGGTAACTTCTCCAGGTCCACAATGTCCACCTCGCTTGTCAAAAGACGGGCAGTGGACGTACCACGGAATTCCGATAGTCTTTTCATGATAGTAGGATGCGATATGCGTACAACAGACGCGACGGCCTCTGCGTTCAGCGGTATGCCGTGGATACGTGCAGCGACGACCAACGCGGCTCCACAGAGACCCGTTGGCCTACGGCCGGTGCAGAGCCAGTCACGCCTCATTGCCTGGATGAGGCGCACTCCCGTGGTAATGATCTGGTCGACCTTCTCCTTGAGTTGCAACTCGTTTGCGAACCGCTCGAAGAAGATGGACGGATCCACGTTTGGCACTTCGAGGTGTAGCATGCGCACCAGCTTCATGAACACCTGACCAATGATCTTTACTGGTACCTGCAACACATCGGCGAAGTCGATCAGCAGATACGGCGCCTTGAAGCGACGGCAGGCCGTGTACAAACAACAGCACGCGACGTGCTTGTTGTTACGGCCCATTGTGAAGTTGCGCTGGACCGCCAGGGAGTATATGCGTGTAGCCTTGGTCACAAGCTCGCTGGAGATGTTGAGGTGGCACGCCGTGCGCTGAATATTCTGCTCGCCGCGCCTTACCAACTGGTCGAGGGTCTGCGATGAACTGTACTTGAGCGATCCCATGCCACCGCCGCCGGTGGGCACGAACCGCCCAATCAGGGTGGAATTTCCGGCCGGATTTTCGGCATACTGCACCGCCTCAAGAACGTTATTTTCCTGGAGGACGGCGCCACAGTTGCGGCAGACCAGCTCGCCCTGCTGCTTGCAGGACTCTATCTGGTCCGAGCCGCAATATTTGCAGCAGGAATCTAACAGTTTCTGCATTGTGTTAAAAGGTGTCTGTAAGTCGCGGTAGCCGCAACGGACGGTGACGCGGATGGGGGCGCAGACAACACTGACGCGCGTCAGATCGTGCTACTCAAACAACAGGTACGCTATGTCAGACCCCAGGAATTCATCGTCGGATTCCGCTGAACCGGCTCGCTCGATCTCTGCACGAAGTTACACACAAAGGAAGATGTACACATACCCATCGCCGACCGTGTCTCCAATATGCTTGCACTGAACTGGAGCAGCTTCGCGTTCGCACGCGCATTCTGATCCTTCAACACTGTCATTCGCGCATCACCGTAGCTTACCAGAACATTCGCCTCGATCCCAGCCTGCAGCAGGGCCCGTGACTCGACGGAGTTATGTGAGATGATCTTGGTCAGAAAGTTCAGGCACTCGTGCTCTTGCAGGTACGGCGTCAGCAGTTTCACGGACTCGACGACCGAGCTGAAGCGAAGCAGAGCTTGCACGTTTATCTCGCCCTGGTTCAACACGCCTGTGACGCCAGGTTGGCATTTAACCAGACACTCGTAGAAGGTGCTCATCGTGTTCACGAACTCCTTGATGTAGTTGGTGCTGCCGTCGCGGGTGTTGGACCAGAACCGCTTGTAGGCCGTGGTGGTTGAACCGTGCCCCTCGTCGTTGCCGAGGTTCAGCGGGTCGAAAGTACGCTCTATCCTCAGCTGCTTGTGCAGCACCAGAAGCACCTCGGACGCAAACGACTCCGCGATGCTGACGGAATACGAGTCCATTGTCGGCGCGATCTTCGCGTACGTGCGTAGCAACCGCAGGGCCTCAGTCACGCAGCGGCAGTGCGGCCAACACAGCGCACTGCAGAGGCATTGCAGGATACACGTGAGCAGCTCACGAGATCCAAATACCACAGACACCTGCTCGCTCCCGGGGGTGCCCATCATCACTACCTCATCAGATCCTGCTTCGCTTTCATTTTCCATGGCATGCGAACACCGAATACGGAAAGCCGTTGCCACCAGCGACATCAACTGCAAACCAGTCTCGATGGAGGCGTACACACGCAGGTAGTACAGATGAAGTATCCGCGACTCTGCGCTATGATTTGGCGAAGCGCCTTCGTCGCCGGCTAGCAGGTTGCGCTGCAGACGATTCAGAGCCTTCCACTCAGAGTTGATGCGCTCCGAAATGGTTGATATGACCTTGGATAACACATTGCGCAGCGACAGCTTTGACGGCACCAGAGCGAATTTCAGGTACTGCGCAAGGTGTGACATCGAGATCCACTCCAGCGGTTCGACCAGCGCCTCCGTAATAACAGATTCCGCGGGCGGCACCAGGTCGATCTTGAAGGTGATGGCGGTGGCGAAAATTTCACCACATAATTTCAGCGCAGATTGGCGCAGCAGGAAGTCGTGGCGGCGGCATTTCCTAACCAACTTTGTATCCATGTTGGATGGAATGCTGAACACCGACTCAACCAGACGACGCAGGCTCTCTTCAGTGGCGATCGCCTCGTTGAACCCCTGCAGCGATATCCATTCCTCCTCACCGGGGCTCAATACCACCTTCCTCCAATCGTCCTGTGTCCTAAATCCTGGTCTCCACATCCCCGACAGCGCACGAAGAATCGTACATGTCGATACGAAGATATCGAGTAGGCGATCCTCCAGTGGGTGGCGCACAGGAGCTCGTTCGGCGTTGTTGCCCTTGTTGCGATCTTCCGGGCTGTTTGGAACAACGCAGCATCGTATTATCGATAACGACATCGTGAAAACACGACGTAAGTTGCGGCGCCTGCGGTCCAAAGATTCCTCATCCGACGCCTCGCGGGAAGGACTCCCAGAGGCCGTAGATGGGTGAGGGCCATTCCCGTACAAGAATGCAAACAGCATCGCCGGCCGCTCTTCGAGTTTCACTGACGACACTTTGGTCGCGAGAGCGCTGATGTTGTCTACGTAAGGTGCGATAATTTCGTTGGTCAACCTCCGCTGCGTCTCGAAATTCTGCAGGCATGACGTCAGTGCCACCAAGGACTCCAACAGCAAGTCTCTTGCAGATTCATCCTCAGCCAGATTCAAACACTGTCGAATACGCCGTACGATAGGTTCGACATAAGCCGACACCAGGGCTGAGCAGCTCTTGCATAGCGATATCAGGGTCACAAGAGCAGCTCGGTGTACCTTGGTGACTTGCCCGTCATCTGCACCCTGGACCAACAAGAGGCCAACTACGTACTCCAAGATGCGTTCCGTTGGTTCGGCGTTGTAAAGCAGCAGAATTGCCGAGCTTGAGAGCATACTTAATCGGCGGACCTCGAGTTGTGCGCCGTGCACGCTGGGCAGCTGCAGGCCCAACATATGCAGAAGGTAGGTCAGCGCACTGGATATCCACGTGTCTACCATGTTCCCACCAGCCTTGGCTTGTGCAGCCTGCAGCACGCCATTCGCAGCAGCCGGCTGCATCCATTCAGGAGTCTTTGTGGTGTCGACGGTCGTCGTCACGTCGATGGTAGCGCCACGCAACCGGGATAGCGCAGCCTCGAACATGAAACATGTACCGTCGAACAGCACCAGCTTCTTGCAAGTCCACTGTAGACGCTTTTCCGAAATGTTCTGCATCGTGCACATGCTCGCTGCATGCACGCATGGCGAATCCATCACCACGCGCTGGGCGGTGGTGAAGATGTCCGCCAGCGCCTTGATGCAGGCGTTCATGTAGTCGTGGCTCACCGTGCAGAGCATCGAGACGCAATTCAGAATCGCTGAGCGAAGTGCAGCGAAACGTGGGTCGAAGTTCTTCAGTTGGCCCACGCAAAACTCGTCGTCGATGGGCACGTATGCAAACAGCAGTTTAGACCACCGCTGCGACCGCACCTGGAAGGTGCCGACGGACTCGGCAATGAAGTCGTCGATGGTGGATGAAGAGCTGGGATTATCGGAATTTTCCGACAGTGCGGTGTTGCCCATTTTCAGGCATCGCACGAACAGAACCAGCAACATGCGGCGGTGGTCAAGCCAACGCACGCAGGGGTTGGGGACGAATACTCCGGAGCGGTATTCGCCGCACAGACGAGCTTCTCCTAATGTGCCGACGCGGCGAAGCATCACGTTCAGCGCCGTCACAGCGCACGTTGCGATCTGCATCGACGGGTGCATCACCAGGTGGCCCTGCAGGTACTCGACCAATATCTTGAGCGATTCGGCATCTAAATTCGTCAGAACGTAGCCGCCGTTGCGCTCGAACAGCACCTTGATGGCCTGAGTCAGCTGCAGCTGGTCGCAGGCCGTCTCGAGGGAGCAATCCAGCGGCATCGACTCTCCCACCGACACGAGGTTGCGCACAAAACGATCCAGCTTGCCCTTGTAAGTGTCGTTCGATAGCTCGAAATCCGGATTCTTGGGCATGTTCTTCAGCGGCTTGCGCACCACGTTGGTGCAAATGTTATGCAGCGTCTGGATCACGTCCGAACGGTTGCTGACGTCCATGTTGGCTCGGAGGAAGTCGTCCACGTCGAACTCCACGAACACGAAGCCGTCCATGATCCCCGATAGGTTGCGGAATATTGAGATGACCATTTGCAGGATTTGTGGCTGCCCGTTCAACATCCCAAGCACGATGACACGGTGAATCATCAGGAAAATCTCGCAGATGTGGTTTTGGAACAGCCCCAGGATCTGGGTGCGCTTCTTGTAGAGCACCTTGTTATCCATGCAGTCGGTGATGTCGACCGATATCTCCGACAGCAGCCCTCCGAAAATGCACAACTCGGCCAAAGTCTGCTTGCACTCGTTGGCCTTGCCGCCCAGCGAGGCGAATCGCGCATTTAGCGACTGCAGACACAGGGGGATGAACTCGTGCCAACTCACCGGCCACTCCCTGATGGCGATGGTGGCGACATATTGCGATACCTTGGGGGCCGCCAGCGCATTGTACTCCGCCGCGACCGTGGAGTCCCCGCGCCCGCAGGAAAACAGGCGCTCCACGTCCCCCTTGCAGCGGCGCCGCAGCTCGTCGGGCAGGCGGTGCCAGTGGTTCTCCACGAACTTGACGAGCAGCGTGAAGCCGTAGAAGCGCAGCAGGTCGACGCACTCGATGTAGTTCTCGCGCGTCGCCGCCGCGCCCTTCGTCGAAACGAACGCCAGCACGGCCTCATCCCGACTGTTGTGCGATAGCTGCGTTAGCGATATCAGGGCGTCGTAGGCAAGAGCAAGCTGACGCTGCAGCTCAAGTGCCAGTGCGGGGTCCGCAGGGTCGTCGCGGCACTCCACGAGCTGCTGTAGCCGCTGAGTGGCCACATAGCTCCCCTCGTGAGCCGCAAACACCGCCGCGACGACCTCTTCTCGAAACATCGTGGCGAAGGCGGCGCTTCTCCGTTGTTAAGGGCACCCCGATTCATATGGCATACGCCGAACTCTACTATAACTCAGTTTAAGCCATGTTGAACGACTTATTATACAATATCTTCTTATGACGGCGTGGAAGCGCCGAGGTTAGACAAACTCCGCCACATGGGCCGCGGCGCCCTATGGAGCCCTCCAGACATTGTGGCAGTATAAGAATTACACATCGCTTTAAAAACTCTAGCAACCACTGTTTTACGACGTTTTCAACACATATTAGGTGGACTGCAGCGGTTGCATTATGACTAAGAGTAGCGTCAATGGCGCCGCGCTAGAGTGATGCTGGTTAAGCTGCCATAATCAGGGTGGAATCTCGGTCACTGCTTCAATTACAGTAGCATTTTCACGCGACGAATAAAATATCACTACTCGTTACAGAGGTGTACGTAATATACGGCATATCTCCGCCATATAGCTTCGGAATCCCTCGGCCTTCTGTTCCACAGCCCATAAGACTTGCCATACAGTTTTTTTCACAATCATAGTCAGAAACGTTTTTCATCAGGCAAACTTAAATACAGACTCCCTACACATTTTACGCCGTCTAGGTGAACTTATTGGCTGATTTTCAGCCGACACATGGTGAGCAGGCGCGTCGTCCTGGTGGCGACGTCGACCTTCTCCGTTTTGGCCGTTGCCGCCGTCATATACAACAAGCGCAGGCAGCATTCGCGGAGGCACGCCGCAGTAGTGCGTGACGTCCAGCAGCAGCTGCAACGCATCAAGACAAAGACGGACTAGGTTAACATGCGAAGCAGCGCTCGTTCATGACAAAATCTGTTTCTGAATGTCATTTTAAAGTTGTATTAGGGGTGGTTCATGAACAAGGTGGACGGAATTACGCGTTTATACACGACGGAAGCTGTTGTCGGAGGAGTCTCCGACGTCAGCCATTGAGAGTCAAATTTATACAAGCATAATGCTAAAAAATTATCACAGCGGATATTGACAATATGCAGTTCGGGGCGTTGGACAACGCTTATAACGCGTCACATGAGCCCATAAAGGGCTTCAGCAGGCACCGACTGAACGGGGCGCACAAGTTCAACAGGGATGAGCACTTCATCTACTTGCGCCAGTACGAGCGAAGCAGCGCTTCGGGCGGGAAGGGGTCGTCCACATCTTCAGGGACAAAAGGAGCTACGGCTGCACAGCAGCAGATGCTCACTGCCGCGAAGCTGCGGAGGAACGCGGCGATGATCCCACCCCCCAGCGACGCCCACGTTAGACGTCGAATACGCAAGCTTAGCATCGCAGCTGCGTGTGGAGCGACGCTGATGTTTGCAGCGGCGACCACCATTGGCATTTACTGGTAGCTGGCAGCCTGAGAGTCAGGCGGCAGCGCATCATCCAGATCTTCAAAATGCGATAAAATACGGAACCTAATGATTCCTTTGTAGCAGTTCAACTGAAAATGTGTGCCAGTAGTTTGAAATCCTTCGCCTCCAGAGGGATTTCGTGGTTCGTGAAGGTCGTCAGCACGTTTCCGAACATCCCGTAGCGGTCGCGGAAGAAGTTGATATCGTCCTCCTGGGGGCCGTCTCTCACGGCGGGCACTGCGACGATTGGATTCGGGTTGTCCACGCCGAAGCCATTGCGCATAACGGACTCCACGAACGCCTCCGCCTTTACCAGAGGCTCGGGCTCCGCCTCTTTGCACTGGTTCAACGTGCTTAGCAGCGCAACGGTATGCAGCAGCGTGTACAGCTGCATCCAGGCGTACACCTGGACACCGTCCACTCTCGCCGGATTCAAGTTGAAAAACGCCAAATCATCCAGCAGCACCTTGAGCACATTTTCGCTGGCGAGGTTGGTAAGCAGCGGAGTGAACCGCGGGGTGTTAGATGGCCACCTCATAAAGTAACGCAACGGGCTCGTGTCTCCTTCGGGTGCTGGTTCGACAACCTGCCATCCGTAGGTTCCGTCGGGCGCATTGGAAATGAAGGTAGGAATCTCGCGCGTAACGACGATGTTGTGCAGAGGCATGTGGGTATCGAGGGCAGCACGACCCTTGAAGAACATGTTGAAGAGCAGTGCGATTCTGCCGGGCATCTCCAAGTAGAGGTGGCCATACTGATTACCGGCTACGAAACCGTGCACGCGGCAATCGGAGATCAGCTGCCACAGGTGCCTGATTCGCGGCGACCAAGGGTGCATCGTCACGGATGGGTTGGTGGGGAGGCTTCCAAACGTCATCATGCGCGCTAAGAACAGGGACAGGTAGTGCTTATCCATGTGCCAATTGTCGCGAACAAGCATATCCTGTACACCCAAGTGGAGACCAGCAGAGTTCAAGGCGTAGAATGCGGCGTACACGCGATCAGCCTCGCTGCTGCGCACGAGGGACAGCTCCGAAGTACGGTACAATGCAGCCACTTCGCAAAAAGGCTGCGCGAAATCTCCATAGTTCTCCGTCATAAAACGGTGACCCACGTGAGCCGAAAGGCTTAGGTTAGAGGGGATGATCGCGTCGTTGACATCAAACACCGTTACCTTGGGAATATCCAACTTCGTGTAGTCGTCGTACACGTCGACGCTACCGCCGTAGAAGCGGGCGAACATCCGCCCGAACCAACCCATGCGGAGCCCCGCCATGTTGTAGAGGCTGCCGAAAGTCTTCTGGAACAAAGCAAAAGAAATAAGGTTACGGGGGTGTGCAGACGTAACATACGTCGCGGTCTTTGCCGCAAACATCCCGCCGATGCTTGTGCCATGTAAACCCAGGGTGAAGCCAGTGCTCTTGGGGAAGTTGGTAGAAAAGCGCTGAATCAAGTAGTCTGCCAAGTATTGCGCGTCGTGGAACATCGACGACAAAATGGACTCGCCGGTGGAGTCGCATACCTCGGCGTAGTTGAACATGTACACGCTCCTGCCGGTGTTCACATAGTGTTCAACGTTCTCAGGGTAAGCCGCCTTGAACTCGTAGCACTCGGCGTTGTTGTTGAACAGCATTACCATGGGGTGCCGAGAGAACTGCTCCTCGTAGCCTTCGGCATACAGGACCTCAAAGATGTCGGTACCGTGAAGCATGCTGAGCAGCCCAAGCAGATCCTTGCCTTTGGGTGAAATGTCTGTTATGGGCTTCTGAGCACCTTCAGCCTCCTCCAGTATCTCGATGTTTGGCACGAGCATGCAGTCTAGCAGTGAGCTCCGACTGGGGAAGTACTTGGGGACCGTCACCTTTTCCCATTTTCCGAGGAAGTGGAACATCAACATGCTCTTCAAGAAATGGTAACTGCCAAACGTGGGCTGCTGCGACCAGAGCACCCTCGTGATTCGACATCCGTCCTTATGTCGGGTAGTCAGCGAGGTGATCCGGTCGAAGAGCTTCACGCCGAGTTCGCGCAGACGATTGAACTTCGCAGCAGAGCGCAACGCTGCAAACTGCTTCGAAATCTCCTCGTGGGAAATTATCGCAGCGTTGGCGCGATACACTGCAGACAGAAGGGAAATCTCCCCACTTTGGGGGCCAGGCAGATTCCATGCAGTTTCATACAACTTCAAACTCTCGAACTTTTGACGAGGGAAAGGAACTATATCCGGGAAAATCTCAATGTTAATAGCCTCTGGCTTGTCTAATTTCAGGTGGATCTTGGAAAGCAGCGTTAGATACAGCTTCAGCTCGGCGTAGAACTCGACGAAAGCAATGGGTGTGACATGCTCGAGCAGCGCGTTCTGGGATATGTATATCCCAGCGTAGACTGTATAGAGTTTGTTCACCGCGTTCCGAAGCAGCTCAACATCCTCTAGGTTTGCGTCGGCAGCACACGGCGAAAAGAGCCCATTCAGGTCACGCACGGCACTCAGTGCCTGGTCCCCTATCCTGTCATTGTACTTCAGCTCTGCATACCGACGGCCCAGCGACGTCATAACAGGGCATAGCACAAAATATCGCACAACCCATAGCGCCAGCAGGACCGCGACGGTTATCTGTAGCAGGTAGAATGCACATTTACACAGCTTGTAGAGGGAAACGCACAGCGCCAGGTACGCCAAAAACACGGCGAAGTAAAAAAGATACCCTAACCCATTCTCGAAAGGCATCGTTGTGGTTGATTAGCGACACTTAAGCTATTTGCAATGAGAACGGTCGTCTCGACCCAACTTCGACACACACCGACACCCCGAGTCGCGGGGCTGCGACATGCACATACCCCGCAAAGCGGCAGCTTCTTAACGGAGTTGCGTCTAGACGCTGCGTCGTTCTCGATTGGGACGATGTGCAAGCCTGTCGCGCCAAATGGACGATGTCCACACGCGCCTTTCGGAGGTAACGCAGCCTTCCGCGACAACTAATACACACAGGAATCCGTGCTGAAGATTACTGCCCAGAATATCGTTGACTCGGTAGAGGATGCTCTGCGGAGGCCGGAAGATGCAGTGAATGGAGTAGAACGCTTTCAGGAGCTGACGCTGCAGGTGAGACACGCCCATTTTAAACCTAATATTTTGTAGCTGTACCTTCGCGCCGATGTTGCGCCTTTGTGGACGGAGCTGCAGCAGAAAGCCAACCTGTTGAAGGTGAGTTATCCCTCCAGTTTCGGTCGTGTCTCCAACGGCTGCATGTATTCCGATGGTGTAGTCCCTAAGGCACTCCTTTAGGAAGACACCGTCATCTGGGCACTGTAAAACACCGAAGCATTTGTTAACGGCTGGGCTCATTGGCGTGCAGCAATCGTTGATCGAGTCATTCAGGGATACATGCGTGCTGCTGCTGAACAGATATCCGGAGGCGCGCTGTTTTCTCATCAAGTGAGTCCGGTTACGAGCTAATCAGAGATTATTCGTTTTCAGAGGATGTTGCCAGCTCTGCGTTGTAGGCGGGGATCTCGGCACACAGGCTATGGCCATCGCGGCCGATGCCTGCCGAGACCCCAAGAGAGAGGAGGCGGTGGGCATTGTTATAGAAGTGCTTTCACCTCTGCTTGAGACTGCGGATTCTCTGTCTGTGGTAGGTTTATCCGAAACCTATATAGTCTGAATAAACTGCAGCGACTGCAACGCAACCTCATGACCGCGCTCACGTGTCTACCGCAGTTACAGGAGTTCGCAGGTAATTGGGCACCCAACAAAAGTAACATTGCTTTCACAGGCCTGCTGCAACCAATATTACACAATATAGTGACTGATATCGTAAGGGACCCGTGGAAGACGGAATACTTGGGACTGTTTAAGACGGCATGCCTAGACGAGGACAACCTCGTCGACGTGCTGCAATATGGCCTGGCAGCACGGCTGATACCAGAGGTGCGCAAGTACGAGCGTGCCCACGGCGCGCTTCACGCTAATGAGGCGCATGGGAAACGAATATGTCAAGTGTTGGAGGCCATCGGCCTCACCCTGGGTGGGGTGCCGCCAACCCTGTTGTCGGAACTGGGAGGGGACATCCTCATACCCAACCTCAAATACCTCATCGGGGAACGGCAGAGCACCTCGAGGTTGACACAATCGCAGGCGCTCATCTGCCACATTCTCATACGAGTCGCCACGGCTGCCATGATCTCCAGTCAATCTGCTTTCGACGAGCTGTGCTTCGGGTTCCACATCTTTGATTTGATGATAGTGCCCGTCAAGGAAACAATGGCGGAGCCATTGGTGCTCGCAGCCGCGCTCAACGCGCTTGCTGTCATCACCGGCAACCCGGTGAAGGGTGAAACGTTTTCTGCGGCTTTTATGGAAGAATTCGATTCCGGTGTGCTCCTGGCGTACTTGAGGCCGTTGCGAATGCTAAAATTAGCAGACGTGTACAAGGAGCACGCTAAGACGTGCATGGCAGCTATTGGGAATTTTATCGCACACCTGCTTGAACTCTCACGGCGGTTGCCGATGATGTATCAGCTGGTGGACGTCATGTACGACAAGGGGCTGGCGGTCTTGATACTAGATGCACTGTCCCACAAGGAGGCAAACGGCGACGTTAGACGTGCGCTGGTAGGGGCTTTAGTGAGGTTTCCTATCCAGCGGATAGATTCCGGAGCCATTGCCATAATGCTGGACCTGTTGTCCCCAGCGAACTTCAGGGAGTTCGAGCCACAAATTTTCGAATACATAGTCGATGCCCTCAAACACAAACTGGACATATACTCCATGGAACGGATAGTTGAGCGCACGTGCTGGTTGCTGCTGGTCACACTGAAGACGCCAGAGGCGGATCGGTACAAGGTGCTACACGTGAAGTGCGTCGAACTGCTACAGGAAGCGTCTAACAGACCCACTGGCAAAGTGCTCTTCAGAGAGGAGCGCCACGCTCTGAGCCTCAGAAAGGCACTCAAGTACGAAGAAGATTTCTGCGCCTATGACCACCCGGAGGTCAGGGTGGAGCTGACCTGCGTGGGAGGTGATGTCGCCTTCCTCAGCGCATGCATGTTCGACACATTTAGACTTAAGCACGATTGCAAGCAGATATTCCGGGTGTTCAGGACCGTCAACCGTGCGATCAGCGACGTTCATGGCAAGCCTGAAAATGAGCTCATGACCATCGAAGATATCTGCGCCTGCGAGGTGGGCGACTTCGACGATGAGCCCCTTGAACCCAAGATATCTCAAACTGATGAGACACGGGATGATAACAGTTTGGCGGAAACACCTGAATCAAGTATCGCAAACACGGAGGTGCCGCCGAACAAAGGTTTGGCCACACCCACCAACGTGGTGGGCGGCAACCAGGTTGAACAGGGTCGCCTATTACTCCAGGACGAAGGGCTGCAGATTGATTCCAACGTCCACCGCGACCAGCAGCGGCAGGTTAGTCAATCTACCAACCATGAGGAATCACTGTAACACAGCTCTACGTGTCTATGGACATGCCGAAGAAGATTATGTCATACCTCAGCGCTTCATTCTCACCCACTTTCACAGGATATTACCAGTAAGTTAGCTTAGAACTCTCATCAAATACATACAACGTGCAGGATGGAGAGAAAACGCAAGGAACACAGCGAATACTGGGCCGGGTTACTCAAAGGACGCAAGTTGGACTGCGAACGGCTTAACATAGTGGACAAATTCGACTGGAGCGTAGACTGCTCTAACATATTCTGTGGAGAAAACCTGGCTGAGAAATCCCAGCTATGTGAGGGCATCAGCAATGCCATATCGAAACCCACGAGGCAGCTTGTGTCATACGTGAACTGGAAGCAATGGGGAAGTCACCAGGGGATGTTGCATGATGGAGCTGACCCATTCTACACAGTACGTCCGAGGAAACTGCTGAACAAAGTGTGGATAAACGAGTGTAAAAAGGTTATCAACCCCTGTTTTGTGGTGTCGAGCTTCTTAAGGACCCTACACGCCCTCATGGCGCCCGGTGTTTCTGCGGTGGTGCGAGATGCAGTAAGGGGGCACTTCAGGCAGGCAGATTTCGTTCGGAACCTCATCAAGCTCACAACCTGCTCATCGTTTCTAGACGCCAATATCGCGGCCAAAATGTTCAGGGTCTGTGAACGTGCTTTCACCATCGACGTCTCCGTTCAAGCGGAATCCATGGACATGATTGTCATATACGACATTGTGTCGCGATTCGCAGCATCCTTCTGCGCACCATTAATGGATATCGTCACTAATGTCAGCGTGGACTGGGTTGAGAATAGTATGCAGCACGTGCAATTGGTGCTGCTGAGGGTGTTTCGGATCTTCGCACTTTTCGCAAGGCAGATGCCGTGGATCAAGTTCTCAAACGTTCTCGAGATACAGCAGTACTTTGTCGAGAAATGCGTCATACGATGCGTGCCCGAGCAGGCTCTGACGCTGGCACTCAGGATACTGTTCCAGATAGTCTCCCTGGAGACTGGTAGTAGCGTAGGCACCTATGTATCCCATCTCTATGAATCCGATCTGTTGGAACAGATAAGGGAGGCATGCGTGGACATAGCGGTGGCGACGTCCTGTGCAGCCAGGAACACGCACTACTTCCATGTGCTCAATGCCATCAGCGAGCTGAGGCACTCCAGCTCATTACTGCTTCGTCGAAGCCTTGTTTCCGACATTTTGCGGCGCATAAAGCTTGCTGAGCTAGGAAAAAGGTTCCAGGAGCGGATGTCTGAAACTCGATTAGAACGCGTTCTTCTGATGGACGACGCTTGGGTTGTCAAAAAGGGTGGGTCTACGCAGAATGCACTGGTGGCCGTCACGTCGCGAAACGTACACGTGATCCGCGCCAAACGTGAAGATGACTTCAAAATACAAGCAAAATTCCGCCCAAGCGCATCGATATGGGAGATAGAGAACGGATTATTATACGCTGCTTTTGCGCAAGAGTTGGTAGCCGATACAACAGCCAAATTAACGGACTCCCAGTGGGCGATGTTCGCGTTGCGGCATACCCCGCCCAAAGAATTCAGGCATTACGTCACCGCAGGCAACATTCCCACGTTGGGACGCATGGCCGCTAAAACGCTGGGGGACACCACCACGTATCTCGGGCTGTGCCTATACGACAACCGCATCTGTCTTGCCGCGCTGACGAAGGACAAGCTGGCAATTTTCGCCATCGATCATGTCCTGCTGGCGGAAGGTATCCGCAATGGTATGTTACAAAACAAAATATAGCTCACGGCTGTTCCAGGCACATTCACCTGTGGAGAAGACGCTGCGGATAATGGGGAGATGCGCCCAGGCCAACCCACGACAGTCGGACTTAGGCCCAAATCCGACACAGGGTCAGATGAAAGTGGATCCGACGAGTATTCCAGCGATACCGAGTCGGAGGACAGGCCGAAAGAACCCATTGAGCTCTTGGAGGAGTGCTACTGCGACTCCATCACAAGTGTAGCCTACGGCGACGATCTCGCGGTGGCAATCTCTGTGACAGACCCGGACGATGAAGATGAGGAATATCTGTGGGAACTTATGTTTGTGTCCGATAGCCGTCGTGAAGCGTTCAAGAAGGCGCTGGCTGGCTCAATAGGCCACCTCACTTGGTATAGACGGTGGGAAAGTGACGCCTCCTAAAACAGCAGCAACAAGAAGTGTGAGTAATAAAGTATCAGCATTGCCGCGACACAAAATGCCCCGAGGATCCAATTTCGCCTAATAAATTTAACTATATACAATGCACTCATGCACAAACCTGCGAAGCGAACCGCGACGTTTTGCCGTCACCAGGGACTCGATGTCCATCAGCGCTTCTTCGCTGTTTGCATTAGCCTCCTTTAGGTTGACTTCAAGCTGTTGTAGACCGCCGTCCTGCACAGCTACGATGGTTGCGATATCGTTGAAAATGCCCCGGGCCTAACATGCCATGAGTTCAGAACATCGGAGCTGCAGATGTACGATATAGCACTGAATAAGAGGCAATGCGGCTACCTGATATGCAAAAGGAGCTACAGGTGGGTTGCATGTAACACCAATTAACCATGCAACAGTAGCGTAAAATATTGACAGTGGTGCAAACTGCCATAATAACTAACCTGTTCAATCTGCGTTCTAATGTTGCTGATCCCTTGGCTCCGGGCTTCTATTAGCGAGTCAGTTAACTGATCCTGTTCGCGGTCGAATTCGACCAAGTCGAAGTGCTGAATCGGTTGCAGTTCGGGGGAGGCATCGATCATGGCCGAATTGATGAAATTGTAATCCACCTGAGAGGCGCCAGGGGAACTGTCAACTGTAGATGCCTCATCTAATGATTCCGATGTAGGAATGTGCGGACGTTTCTTCACCAAGTCGGAGAGGCTTCTTGCTCGAGCCACCTCTCGGCTGAACTGGCCTTTTAGCCGTTCATAAGAACTGCTGGCATCTAGAAGGCCGGGCGAGCGCGCAATCTCCGACCGCCATTCATCCAAATAGCCCTCGGTAACGCTTATTAAGGAGAACACGTTGTCAAGTTTGTTCTGGATGGTGGTAACTAGCCGCTGGGACGCGAAACGGTTAGACAGATCCCCGACCTGCAACGACGTTAACTCTGACAACGCAAACGATTGCACGCCCAGATTGCAGCCAAAGTAGCAATAATACTTACATTGTGCTCAGTGTACAGAATCTCGGCGCGGATGTGTTTTAGGTTCGCCGTAATCAGCTTCTCGTATTTCAGGTTGGATGGGCCTATACAATGTCAAAGCTCAGCGCTACTAACGTACCGAATGACGGCGGATCGAACTTGCTGGTGTACATTGTGCCATCAGAAGGCTCCACATGGAGCGAATTTATAGGCAGTGAAACCCAGCCACGGATTTATTCACGAATCCGCGCGCCACATACACACCTGCATCTTACACACCTAATTGCATGTCTAAATATACAATTCAGAAATAGAAGCCAGTGAATTAAGTACGTTTCAGAATTGCCAATGGACTGCAGCTTAAAGCAGTTCGATGTGTGAATCAAGCTAAGATGTCTAGCAGCTTATCACTAACAAACACCTGGAACTCAGTAACTCACGGCTATATCTTCCATAGCAATAAAACATAATAACTTGTATACAATATTGTCTCACACGTCACGAGTATGCATCAACACATCTCTTCCTGGCCTTCATTAGAGACGCTGTCGCGGTTTGCATAGGCAACCGCGGACCCGTGTGGCCTTGTAGCCGGAAGATGCTCAGTACGCATCACTAATATGTATAGTAAACTATTACACTTATAAAGCCCTGTGTATATGGGCTTTGGGCGTCATTTCGACGGTGTCGACACTGTGCCAGTAGGCAGAGTGACCGTGGTACTGTAAAGGAGATGTATATCGCAACTAAAGGCTTCATACAGTAACCATGGAATATCCGTAGGGCATTGAAGCAGCCCTTGGAATTCCCTGATATCGGGATGCAACGGAACGTGTCGATGGGCGACTGATGGCGAAAGAGGAAGGACGGCGCTTGAAGCGCGGGCTTGCTCTTGTGCACCCGTCCAACCACTCGTACTATAGATTCCTGCTGGCTGAACTGGAGCGATGGAGGCGAATTGGCAACCGCCGCAAGGTTTCCTCTCTCAACTGGGTTAGTGTTAGCATTCTCATTCTGAACTATTAAAAGTCACATCGCTTTTTAAGCGTTGTGGGTTAGTGTTGGCGATTTACAGGTGTTAATATTCTAATGTACATGGAATAGTGCGATATTTTATATGGTGAATGATCTTATTGCCAACATTACTGAGTGCATGTGGACATGTGTTACTTGATTTCCACAACCATTGATATGAAACGTTCATTCAACATCTGTATATATTCATTGCGTGGTTTATACCCACTGTTGCTTGCTGAATAGCTACGCTCTTTCTCACTGTAGATTCAGGCAGTCCAAGCGCTCGAGAGGTACCCTATGCCCATATACAACACAGACAATGCAATCGTTTTGTCTGGAGTGGGGCAAAACACTACTAAGGCATTCGAAAGGTATTTCCAATGCGAGCCAAAATTGCTGAACTTTAATTAGGGCCATCGAGAAATACGGAGTACCCGTAGTCAACAGGACGCAATGCGCTGCGTATGTAGAAAATGTGTTCAATCGCATCAGGTCGTTCATCACGAACACGGAATTCGATGATGAAACTGTGGCGGCATCAAAGGAGTGGCGGCCGCAACGTTATTCGAGCGCATGGACGTTCATCATGGTGCTTGGGCTGTACGCTGATGGCGACACTAAGCTCTCCGTTGAGACGATAATGCAGCGCTCAAAAGAGCTCACAGAACGCATGCCCAAGTCTAGACTGACGAACCTAGACTTCATACGTGTCCTGGTTGACAAGTCAATCGTCGACTTCGTACACCCGGCGCAACAGGATCAGGGCAAGGTGGAGTTCAATTCGAAAAAACGGCGATTCTACCTGTACGGACTAACACCGTGGGGGCAAACGTTGGCTGAAGAGATCATATCTGGATGCGAAGTACCCATCTCAAACAGAAGGATACAAGCAAATGTTTTCTCACAGACACAACGGTCGCAACAGGTGCCGCCAGGTGTATACGCACCTGTATCGAAGAGTCAAGCCGAAAACGAGGATGTTGTGGATGTTACAGATGATCAGGAGCTTACGGATAGCCTTAGTGAGTACTACAGTGAGTATATAAGCGACTCCGACGAAGACACAGACGGCATTTTAAGTGGCAGGACGGGTAGTCTCAACCTCCCAGGAACTGACTCCCAGACATTATCGCAACGCAAGGAACAGTCCAATGTGAATCTCACACAATCTGGTACGCAGCAAAAAGCATTAGAACCAGTGCATCTTGATATGCTCCTGGCGTACAAATGCAATGACCCCTCACAATACGTGGGTGACGGAACTGTAGGAAAGCTAAAAATCAAAAGTGAGCATGCAAGCAACTCAAACAATCGATTTGAAGCTAGCGGAATAGGATCTATATCTGCAACTAGCCCAGGACCGACGACCGAGGTCTGCGTCATTTCGGATTCTACACCGAGCCTCGACAGCCTTTCGAATACTGCATCATCAATCAAAGAATCAATCAGCCGCGTGTATTCGCAATCAAGTAGTAGAGTGGGACGAGCATCTCAGTTTGCAAGTTCGCAAGCAGGTACAGAACAAGTTCACACAATGGCGGGGAATTCGCAAACGAACGAGTTGCATCTAAATGGTGTAAAATGTGAGACGCCGAAGATATCGAACACAAAAATCGTTAAAAACGCCTTGAAAAGGCCGGTGGACGAAAAGGATCTCATCGTGGCTCCAAAAATGGAGGGTGGTTCCGAAGGGTTCAGGACTCCGGATGCATCAAATAGCGGTGACGAGGCTGAGTCAAATGAGAAAGCTGATGGTGATACTATTGGTAATTCTGGGGAGTATTTTAGTGCAATACATGGTGAAGATTATTCTGAATACAGCGATTCACCGTATTCGGACGACTCTCTCGACATCACTGACGTCACCTCTGACAGATATCGCAGACTCATGGAAGACTACAACGGCGCTTCTCAGTGCTACAGCCAGAGCAGTGAACACTATGTTGTTCCTAGTCAAGAAATAGGATCGCAGGTAGTCAGAGATGAGAGGAACACAACAAACAGTGGCCTAGGGACTGTTGACAACGAAGGGGTACAACATGAAAAGCAGCGGAATGTACTGCCTGGAAATGTGGAGAGCGAGGATGTATCCTCTAACATCACAAATCGTCGTTCACAACTTATTGATACGCCACTGGCTGTCCGACTGATGCAGTCGCACGTTAAGCTGCCCGTGCCGGGCGCACAAGAGCCTATCCAAATAGACAGCTCATCTCCTGATCCCATAGATTCTCCCATGCCGGCTCCGAAGGCAACGATTCGTTCATTGTTGCCTCCTTTGACAACCAGGTCAGGTTCCATCTCGTCGAGGGATGCAATGTCTCCATTATGCAAGAGGATACAAAGCAGGCAGGTAGCCGACATACCAGATGACCCTGATGGCTATGAGGTCGTCACCGTCGTTGACAACAGGGAAGTAAACGACGCTGATGGAAGGTACAAAAGGAGAATAGTGGACGTATTCACTGCCGCTGGCAAGCCTCTGGTGTTCAGGCAACTGCCGCTGGGAGACGTCATATGGGTGCTTCGGCGCAAGAATCAGGGGTCGGAGCCTGTCGGCCCTGATGGAACTGCAGAAAACGCATGTGAAGAGTCCAACATATCGCAGGAACAGGACTCTGGAGGAAAACGCGCAACTGCCGTCAACAGGTCTGGTAACAACCTGAACGCCAATGCAGTTCCCAAAACAACCAAAACAAGGGCGAAGAGGCGCAAAGCATCAAGGGCAAATGATCCACTCGCCGACAGCTTCGTCTTGGAGTGGGTGCTGGAACGCAAGACGACGGTCGACCTGGCAGCCAGCATCACTGACGGCAGGTACGACGACCAGAAGATACGGCTGCTCAGGCTCACAGGGTTCAAGCACGTCTGCTACGTGTTCGAAGACATCGACGCGAGGGCAATTGTCGGCAGGACCTACATGCACAAGGGCGTCAATGCAGCAGCTATAACATCGGCGCGCATACGCACGCAAATGGTCACGGGGTTCAACGTGCTCAGAACGACGGGTATGCCGCACACAGCTGCAAGCATACTGGCAATGCACCGGCACATCGAACGCCGCACGTACGAATACATGAGAGAAGCAAACACGACGTCCGGCGAGTTCCTCAAACTGTGGATACAAACCAGGTACATGACACTCGCGCAGTGGGACGTCAGGAATCGCAAACGAAACCAAGTGACGTTCCGTGATGTCTTCGGGAAGCAGCTTAGAGCCATACCGGGGTGCAGCGAAGCCACCACAGAGGCTATGCTCCAGGCTTGGCCGACACCTTACGCGTTCGCGAACGCCATCAGCAACTCAAACCTCGCCCACATCAACGAGACGCTCACCAAGTACAGGAAGAAGGCGAAACGAGCTCCCGTCAACAGCAAGGTAGGTGTATGGTGTTGCAAAGCATTACAACACAGTTGTACGCGCTCTGCAGAGCGCTTTACTGCAAGAAGAAGCCACGGCAGCGGCGCGATCAGCACAAGTAGCGGCGCACGCTGGGGAGTTGGCGCTGGTAGCTGCTATGGGGTCCTGGCAGGTATAAACTGGTCATGTCAACTGAATCAGATGTCAAAATATCGCACGAACAAAACGCACCCGCTGGTCTAGATTCTCCCTGGCTGAGGCCAACGGGAACTCTTGAGTAATCTCCATACCCCGACGGCAGCCGCGATGATGAGCTGGCTCCGGGGTGACGTAGCAAACGCAACACCAGGCGCTTGATCCGCTGTACCTTCGACCGTATAACGGTCTCTAGCACCATGCACGACACGGTGACCTGGCGTATACTCGGTTGTCCAGAGTTTTGCACACGCGACGAAGAGTACAGCAGCGACCTTAGCGGTTGCCTAGACAGCACGCGGAAGGCGCTACTCAGCAGCCTTATGCGAATGCGACCGATCACAGCACAAAGAAATCCTATACGAGCAGCCTGTAAACGTGTGTCACGGCCGCCAGAGAGAGTCAAGTCGATAGCTTTAGACAATTTTGATTCCCGGAACTCCGGCACGGCGCGAGCCTGGCCGGGACGAAATTGGCCTGGGGTCCGACAACGACGAATCTCCTGCAACTCGTGCACCAGACGCTCGTTCTCAGCCATCAACATGAGCTGTTCCTGGCGAAGGAGGCGCAACTGGCTCTGCGTAAAGCGCAGAGGGCCTGGGTCATCCGACACACTAGCTTGTCCACTCTTCTCCGCAGCATTTGCCCGCAAACGGCTCAGAACGAAACGCTTGTTGGAAGCTGCCAACGAGTTGTGCTCGCTCAGATCGATCAGCGCCCGGATGGCGGCACCGCGACGGATCATGTGCCGGTCGACGGAACCTGCCGAGGACTGCAGACTCCGTGACAGCTTCCTATCGGGTCCAGCCATTCCCAATCATTAGACCGACGCTAACATGGCATCAACGAGTCAGTAGGAGGGGACACCGGGGAGCCGGTCGACACACATGACCGCGAGAGGTGGATCAGAAAGCGATCCACCGCGGCACACACCGCCGTAAAAATATTACGGTCGATGTAAGTATATATGACGACTTCGGCACCGGCAGGTTTCGCGGGAGGACACCCTGCGCCCGCTACTGCAGACAGCCCTAAGCTTCGTCGGGATGTGCGGGCGCAGCATGAGAACTTGTCTTCAGAAACAACACGTAATAATTCCACACACCGGTAAACTTTGAGCCGTCTACGAAGGAGGAGGTGTAGCGGCGGTGGCGGTAGAATCCTGGACTGGCCCCGCTGCAGCTGCCGTGGTCGCTGAAGCCGACGGACGTCGTCGACGCCTACGACGATGGCGATTCTGCCCGGCGCCAGCGGTCTTAGCCGGTACTTCGGATTTGGGTTCAGCCGTGGTGTTATCCGTCTCGGCTGGCTTGACGGCGTCCTTGTCTAACTCACCTTTTGCTGCCTGCTTTGGTGCACCCTTATTCTTCCTTTGCTTGGGTTTTGCTTTCTTAGCTCCTTTACCCGTACCATCGCCCTTGTTCACCTTTGCCGTAACGGGAGCAGTCTGCGTGGCGGCATCAGGCGCATCCGCCGCTGCAGGTTGTGCGGGCTTAGTGCGCCGTACGCGGCGCCTCGGTCGTCGCTGCTTCGATGACTTTGCACCCGATTCGGCAACTTTAACACTTGCAGCCTCTTTCACTGGCACTTCTGGCATTTTGTCTGAGCCTGGCTGTGCCACGTTTTCGGATACCACTTGGGTGTTAACCTCGTTGGAAGGCGCTCTGTCATTGTCGACTGTCTCCCAGCTCGAATTCACGTCATTGGCAGACGGTACCGGAGCATTGCCCGACGCTTGAGCACCAACATTGCTGGCGGGAGCATCGACCGATCCACTGCCTTCTTTAGGCACGACAGTACCACTCGTGGAGCTGGGTGCCTTGGGACCACGTCCACGATTCTTCACATCCTTACCCCTTAGAGTACGGGACCCACGGCGGTGACGTGGTTTGTCACTACGCTTTGGTTTACTGGTCTTCACATCCGTCACAACATCACTGGCTTTCTCAGGAAGAGAGGGACTTGGCGATGGCTGACGCATCTTGTCCATAACAGTTGACAACGGTACCGGCTCCGACAATACTGTGCCTGTAGTTTCTATCCAATTTAACGCATCCTTCAGGGTGTTGCGCAGCTTCACCACGTAGGGGATCTCGTGCTGAAGCATGTTCATGCGCTTGGCCGCCGATCTGAGGAACACCTCGCTGCTGTTCTTTGCATCACCCGCCATTGACATCGCAACGGCACCGTAGTCGGACAACACGTACCATTCGCTTTCGTCCAAAACTCTAGCGGCGTAGTTGCGCAACGACATCAGGTTCATAATGATGTTGAGCGACAGGTGATCGACCCGCTGGAGAGATTGGCGACACTTTTTCAATGCCTGCAGGCTACGTCCTACCTCGTTGAAAGCTGGCTCCTTGTACTGAGATAGACTAACTTTGCGGCTTCTGAACATGATGCGTTGGATGCGGTTGTCCGCACAGCCGATTGCGCCGGCTGCCTTCTCAGCGTCAAGTTCAAGCGCGCGGTTCTTCAGGGCGCTGTACAGGTCCAGGAGGTAGTGGGTGTCGGCGCTCGCGTAGTTCAACATGTCATTCGGGATCGGGCGGATCCGCCAGTCTGCCAACTGGTATGACTTGTCCAAGTGGATGCCCAGGAATTGCTTCACCAATGACGAGAGGGAATGCCCACCAGGAAGGCAGAGCACGTCGGACGCCTTTAAGGTATCGAACAAGTTTACAACGTATACGCCGAAGTCACGCTGAAGCCACAAGATGTCACTCTCCGCACCGTGCATCACCTTCAGGATGCGAGGATCCGTGGTCACCTCATTCAAACGCCACATCTCATCGAAGATGCCAAAAGGGTCAATCACCCAGTCTAATCCAGCACCTGTTATCTGAACCAGGCACACGAAACCGCGGAAGCTCTGGCCGCTGTGGTGTTCAACGTCCACGGCGATGATGCTGCAGCCCTTGAGGGTGGCTATCATGCTCTCCAGCTCCTGCAAAGTCTGAACCATCCTGCAATTCTCGCAGGGTGTCGACGGCCCGCGAATGTTGACATTGGGGTCCAGAAGGCTGCCGCCGCCAAGGGTCTTGCGCCCGCGGTGAGAATGTTCCTGCGTTGTGTCGCTCCACTCGAGGGCGTATATCTCGGTCGTATACGGGTGCGGTAAAATAGCCGCACGGGGCTTGTTGCCCTGGTAATTCTCGAAATATTGGTGGGACGGGTAGATCATGGGCACGAAGCGATGCTCAACGGCGAGGTCAGATTTAGCAGGGGCATCCGGCCCCGAACGTTTCCCATTGGTGGTGGCGCAGGGCTCAATTGAGTTGAATTTCGGGCGCTCAGCGTGGGACAGCAGACGCAGGCTGAAGTTGTCGATCAAGTGCGCCCATTGGGATTGCCGGTGCTTACGCACGCGCTTGTACTGGTTGACATTGATCTCCAGCGGTAGCTGCTCCAGGCGAGCCTCGGTGTCACACTGCAGGCGACGCTCTGGCGGATCTGGCGATTGCGTAGTGGAGATGCCTCCAGCCGGCACCTTCCGCTTAGATTTCTTGCCCTTGTCCCGCCGGAAGGCCGAGACACGCTGGATGGGATCGTTGTGATGGGCGCTCAGTCCCCGGTAAATCTCCTCCGATAACGCATCCATGGCTTGATAAGACCACAAATCGTCGTATTCGTCTATATCGATCTTGCGAAACAGCGGTTCAACGCTATAGAAGGCTTCAGCACACTTCGTCGACAGCCAAGACAGACGCGATGAGAATGCGGGGTTATTCACATGAATGGAATAATCGTCGTCCGTAGGCAACAGATTTGACGCCTTTGCTGCATCACTGGCCGCAGAAATCAACTTATTCAGGTGAGACTTCACAGAACCTTGCGATTCCTCGCGCGACACTAGCGACTCATAGTCCTCCGGACACTGTAGCTGGGAATCCAAGTAATCCACAAACAAGTCCATAATACGCTTAATTCGCTAGGCCTTTGCCGTATCGGAGCGTTGCTGGCACAGCCATCGGATGGTGTCTAAGAACGTGATGTGGAGCCCTGCTGTCTTGGGCACCAGATCGCGAGAAGAGCACTAGCAGCGGGCAACAACGGAGCACTAAACACACACCTCAGCTACACACCAAAATATACCGGATGCCAACACTGTGTGAACAAAGACAGTCCCGACGACGGCCGGACACATAACGTGACAGCAGCCCCGCAGACTTCCACGAAGGAAACACGTAAAACACCACTAGCACGACCTTGCGGTTACATAATCACTCTAGTACGATTATAATGCTCGTTAAGGAGCGGCTGCGATCAGGGTCATGGCCTCGCCCTTGAGGAGGATGGTGCCGAGTGACCTCCGGACCTTCTGTCTTACGGAGACCTCCTCTACCTCATCGAGGACCATATTCATGTACTCGTCAAATCCCTGAACATATAAAGATACACTAAACCGCTAACGAACCCGAATCTTGCCCTCAATCTTCATGTTCGGTTGGTCGAACAACCAGATCTGCACCCGGGTCCCGCTCGTGAAGAACCGGAAGATCTGATTCTGATAACATATTAGAATGCGTTAAATTGTGGCCAATACGACGCAATCAAGCCGCTGCGGAGGACGGATTCCGGGGCTCGACACACCCCGCGGCCCGCAGCGGCGACAAGCAGACAACTCAAAAATGCCGCTAAAACTTACGATAGGTTGGGTCATAATCTGCTGCAGCTTATCCTTGCGCCCCACCATTGTTACTAGAGTAATTAATACTAAATGTCACTATGATTCACGCTTATCGCCCTCCGTGGGCCCGGCTGACGGGGCGGGAGCGGCGCTGGCGTCATCGCCAGCCTTCCCCTCAGCAGGGGTGTTAGGAGTTGGGTTAGTGGCAGGTAACGGCTTCATGGTCGGGAAGAACAGCACGTCCTGCGAAAAGTTAAGGTTACAAATGGAAGGCGCACCTTGATGTTGTTGCGGTCGCTCAAGAACATGGTCAAACGGTCAATACCGGCACCCCAACCGGCAGTCGGTGGCAAACCGTACTCTAGGGCCACGCAGAAGCCCTCGTCAACATCTTGGGCTTCGTCATCACCCATTTCCCTAGCCTGACAAGTGATGATTTACTATAACACTTAACCCACCTTGCGCTGGTCCTGCAGGCACTCGCGCTGCTTGAAGGGGTCGTTCAACTCGGTGTAGGCGTTGATCAGCTCACGGCCGCAGACGAACACCTCGAAACGCTCACAGAGGTCGGGGCGGCTGCGGTGCCACTTGGACAGCGGGCACATGCACTGCGGGTGGTCCATGACAAACGCCGGACGGTTGCCGATGCGGTCCTCAATGTAGTGGCCGACCAGCTTGTCAAGAAGCTTGGCGGGAGTGGCGGGTTTGGGCATCTCCAGACCGGCGTTCTTGATGGCTTCGCGGTACTTCGCGCAGTTCTCCTCGGAGTTGTACGGAGGGGTGAAGGTTGTGCCGATTTCACGTTCGAGAGCTAAAAGGCGTCATCTATGAAATGAACCCAACTCACTGTCTATGAGAGAAATGCGGTCGAATGGAGGCTTGAAATCGAGGATGATTTCAGGTCCTTCCGGGCCATCGGGGTGGTAGGGGAACGTGTAACCGCCGTGGATCTCAAGAACTAGGGAGCTCAGGTAGTCTTCGGTCAGTTCAATAAGGTCGTTGTAGTCCGCGTAGGCCCAGTAGAATTCACAGCTGGTGAACTCGGGGTTGTGGGTCATGTCGATACCCTCGTTACGGAAGCACTTGCCAATCTCGAAGACCTTCTCGAAACCGCCAACCACAATCATCTTGAGCGGAAGCTCGGGCGCAACACGCAAGAACAAATCGATATCCAACTCGTTGTGGTGGGAGATGAATGGACGAGCCGAGGCACCACCACACTGGACGTTCAGAGTGGGCGTTTCCACCTCCATGAAGTCACGGCTGGAGAAGAATTTGCGAGTGAAAGCGACGATGCGGGAACGGATCTGCATCACATTGATGGAATCCTCGTTCATGATGAAGTCCAAGTAACGCTGGCGGTAGCGAGTGTCCGGGTCCTTAAGGCCTGCCTTGTCAGGAAGCATGTGCAGGCACGGAGTCAACAGCTGGGTCTCACGTGGGAACACACTCAATTCACCTCTCTTAGAGCGACCTAAATATTTATGACAACGGTCACGCACACAATAAACCCACCAGGGAAACCGACGATTCCCACGACGTCTCCACGTTTGATCGAGTTGTAAATCTCATTGAAGTCGCCACTTTTGGCGTTGTGGTACTCGTAGTTCACGAACACCTGCAGACGCAGGCCGTTCGAGCGCATGTCGTAGAAGCGCAGCTTGGACGAACTCGACGCAATGCGGGAAATACGACCAGCGATGCGCACCTCCTCACGTTCCATGTACTGACCGGGAACGAGGTGCTCATATTTCTCAATGAATTGCGCCACGTTCATGTTAGTCTGCAGCATAATTATACATCGTGCGGCAACTTCAGCGATATAGGGGCACCAAAGACGACGGTATCACACAATATTACAATGGCTTGGAAGTCAACCTAGGCACGAACACGCAGAGAACAACGTAACAAAAAGGGACCCTCTACATATAGGGAACCATGACTACACATGTAAAGCGCGTGCTACGTAGCCTAAACCAGAGCGTATATGGTGCAGGAACCCTTCACGAAAGTTACACATCCAAACTGTTAGCAACGCATTAACAGCGCCATGAGGATCCGTCCCGCGATGAAACCAGCACTTACCTGGAACTTGTGCGGGTATGCGACATTCTGGGAACGCCATTCCTGTACCGTAGCCACGCGGGCTTTGTGGTACTGCTTGGCGTCGACCTCGGTGGAGCTAGACATGGTGGTATAAAATAGAGAAGAATGGCGATGACTGGGTCTAATGAGTTTATATATTATTTTTAAACGTCCGCCTAAAAGTGTGGAACAACGAAGCATGTGTCGGCAGTGCGGTTAATCGTGGAACAACGCGCAAAGCCACAGGTATGGCGGGCTGATGTGCAAGTGCTCAAGGCAGAACAATGAAGTTGCGAGGGAGGAAATTACAAAGAATCAAACGATTGGCGCCTTACGCGGCAAGGTCGCCTGCGCAGGCGAGACTTGACAAGCTTTGGGGATTCGAGCCGATTGAGGTTGAGCGCCGGAATGTGCGACGCAAGGCGAAAGCAAAGGCAAAGAAGGTGTTTTTAACACCCCAAGACAAAGTAGAAGAAACGTTCGCTAGTCTTGAAAAGGTCGAGGAGGAGAAGGATACAACTGCAAATGAACCGGAGGAGCATGCGCAAGACAAACAGGATGCGCAACGTCGCAAACCCTGGGAGCTCGATCCAGAGGTGGCAAAGCAGAGACGCGTTTTCAAAGAGGCAGTGAATGATCTGCATAACCTCGGTGAGTGAACGTTGTCGTTAAGAAATGTATACAAACTGCAGTTTATCCGCACTTGGACCCTATCGCAAAGCGCCAGTATACAAACGCAAAACTCATAGCACTCGGCGGAAAGGTGAGCTTTTTATCGGATTTTGCGCTAGTTAAAGAGCGTCTTGGGTGTTAAAGAAAGCTCCTGTGGAGCTTCAAAGTTTGTGATTATGTTTGTGCTGCACAATGCACCTGCCGCATGTATAAACATATTCAAACGAGGCATTGATAACGCGCTCAGATCGCCAAAAATAGGAAGATGCCGTACAACGAGTTCATGCAACGATCACGAGCCCTCAAACGCCACGTCGAAAAGAACAAAGAACTGGTATGTTTATTGAACGAAGCCGTATGATCGGTGTATTTGCATCACGACCACTGTGCAAAATGTCACTCGCTAATATCATTTCAGGAGAAGGAACTTGGGGTTAAGCTATTTACTGACACTAAGGGCGGTACACGGTTCGTCGACATAGAGAGAAGGTAAGAATCGTTATTGGTACCGTCGTTTATATGATTCCAGGAAACGAAGTAAGGAACTGAAGGATACAAAGTCTCCATTCCATTTTGGAGATCGTAATGGTGTTTATCGCATTAAAACTAAGAAGCAGAGATAACCCACTTGCATGGGTCGTGCAGAGAGAGGACTAGGGTCACACCACCGTTCCAAAATTGGCGATATGGCGCCAGATCACACTGCTACACAACACAATGAACACTGTATATGATGTTGTCATCATTAAACATCTACGCGCATTGCGTGTTGTAATTATGCTGACTACTGTGGAAGATGGAGGGCACGCGGATGATACTGAATGCTGCACCCCCATCCGTGGCTTACGGCACATCTCATGATGTTGTATGTACTGCATATGATGATTAGCGAAAGTTAGACGCTTCCGTGAAGGTGTTTCGGGGACCCATAAAAATGGATCACTAAATGGAAAAATCGGATCACATAACAAGATGCGCATATTCCAGCTAGATCCAAGTGACACTTCGGCAGTCTTCACTAACAGAAACGTTAGGCTTTGAAGATGCAGCATAATTTGCAGGAAAATGAGGGTGATGTGAGCGACGAATGTTGGGACATCTCATGCGTGAATCGACTCCGGACGACCGTCGACACGGTACACAAGAGCATCGCTGAACTGCATCAATCTACTCTGGCGTTTTCCGACACGGTAAACCGTTCGTACGAATGCCTTGATCAGCTGTTGACGCTTTTAGCCCAGTGCGGGGTTGAAACAGACAAGCTGCTAGAACTAGACGGGGCAAAAAGCGCCAAGGAAGTCAACTTCCGATCATTACGAGAAATAGCACATAGTACCCTTGCGGTGTGCCATAAACTACGGGATTTTGCCGATGTGCATGTGGAAAACGCCTTAGAGAAGGTCGCAGAGTACGTCATCACCGATACGCCAGAGAGAGCCCCCTTACCAGTCACAATAAGAAAACGCAAAATGACGACGAATGAACTTATCTACACTCTTGGTGAGGCACCTATGGTTTCTTTTGCGGATTATGGTCGTGAGGCGTGTCTGCGTAAAACCGTTACACAAGCCCACTACGAACTGGCCAGCGCCAAGGCTGCATACAAGCAGCTGCTTGACTGCACGGAGCTACCGCGTAGTGGAGATAACGTTATTGAAATGGCCGCCAATCGCATCGAGAGAACTCTGCGCATCTTGTCCACGTCCATTAGGGAACTGATCGCCATGGACAAGGCGTATGAGGACTTCTTCTATGCATACCTCAATGCTATGGAAAACAAGGATACGCAGCAGACATCAAACGGCAAACCCATACGTGGAATCAACTCACACGCCATAGATTCTATATTATCCAGCCAACAAAGTAAAGAGAATGAAGACCACATGAAAACGTATGAGAAACGACTGCACGATTGCGCCGCAACGATGGGGTCTCTAATGCAAGAATTCATTCAGTCGTTCTCCCCGATTATACCAACTGAGGCGGATGCGCAGTCGCTACTTTAGGTGACTTCAATGGAACAGCTGTATCATTGCTAGGCCAGGGGAATGCTTGCCACAATATTTCAGCCAACTCGTAAGGCTCAGAAGTACGAATAGTGCTATAGATATTTTAGATAGTATAGATTCATGTACCCACATTTCATACTTGGTATTAAAATGTGACGGCGATGTGAACTGGACGGAATACACGGAATCACAATAACATTCTAAAAATGACGTAAATAAACACTCGTGATACACGTTCATGCAACAATAATATGCGCACCGCACGTATATTCGTCATGTGAATATCGAATTAGTCTGTCTATATGAGTTTAAGTCGCTCCGCGACAAAGCTCGTATAGCAAACCAGAAGGAAAGCCACGAAGCTTAGTCATGGGACTTGCTGTGCAGCGGAGAATCAAGCTCAAGCAACTGACGCGTCTCTTTGGACAGGTCGAGTTGCTTCAGATCAGTTGGCTCTGACTTTTTGGAGACCTTGGGTGGGCGACTTTCGTCCAGCTTTGGGGTCGGATACAGGTTACGTTGGCTTCGACGGCAACGGCCACGTTTCAGTACCAGGGCTTTTTCCTTGGCTCCCGCCTCGTGCACTGCCTCGGGGATTGTTTCGGGTAGGTCCGCCTTTGGGCATTCAATGGTCACGTCTTCATCAGATAGTTTGTCCAGAAGAGCCTCAACACGCCTCTCCACATTCTTGTGTAGGCCAACGGTGACCTCAAGCAGGTCTTCCAATGGAACATCGGTACGGTATTTAGCGCATGACGTGTCTAGGGTCTCTTTCAGGCCTTCAGCGTCGCTGCGGTCCTCCTCGAGCATTGTTATGAACTCGTTGGCGTCATCAATGGCATCGGAAGAATTCGTTGACGAACGATCACTGCCGGAGACCTCACTTGCCATCAACTCATCCAAACCCTCCGTGGTGCTCAATGAGCCGGCTGGAGATACATCGGGGCTTTTGCCGGCATTTTCTTCGACTTCAGGCGGAGCATGCGACACAGGATTTGTCACTGCATCGACGAACCGCACAGTTTCACTACGCAGCGTTTGCCATAGTGACAGTAGTCGGGAGAAGACACCTCCTCCAAGTCCTCCAGACATCTTGGTAATCGTAAAGGAAATTGATCAATAGGGGAATGCGAAATCTTTGGTGCTTGAACCTATGAATTCTCCGGCGAAAAAAATCTACACACGGGAGAAATACAGATGAAACTTACTCACAAACGCCACAGCCTTTAAGTAAACGGCGTTGGAATCAGTCACACAACGATGTTGGACAAGCGCTAACACACACACTAGATACCTCTTTTCAAGGTACCAACAAAAACCTGCTATTACAAGGTCAAAACAAGCCGTGCTACGGCAATTTCAAAATTATTCCGCCAACCGCAAATGCCACAAAACGACAAGCCCCGTTGCGATTCCTGACGGCGTCGCACACTCAATGACGTTGTTGTTTCAGCCACTCTTCTCGGCGAAGGTAGCCTTTGACAATCATTAGACACAGCATACACTAGGGAACGCGAACACAGAGTTTCAACGCTAGCTAGAAGATTCTTCAGCAGGGGTGAAATGTGTCTACTGAACGGTGGCATACCCCGCACGATCAACGCCACATAAGACAATGCCTTACACAACAGAAATCGAAAGAAACGTTTGTATAGCTGGGAAGGTCGGAAAAACGCTTGTGTGTTAGACAATGGCCACGCAACACAGCCGTGACCCAAGGGTATTGCGGGCACCCGACAAAAAGGAAGACCCAGCACACACTTCTGGCCCACATTACATGCCGCAACAGTAGGCGCTATCGCAACGTAGCTTCGTCTGTCCCGCACACTATACGTGGCAACATGACGGTGGAGTTGAGTCCCCTGTCCGATGACGAGGAAGGCCGCTCAGAGGACGAGGACTCGACCTTCCACAGGGAAATTATCTTACAGGACAACTATAGTGATGCTGATGCCAGCGATATTCCGCTGGACGCGGACGAGACGAATTCCAACCACTCGCACACGGCCGTGGAAGAAGCATCCCCCAAAGGGGAGACAACGGCGGAATCTAATAACCACGGGCCAGAACGTCGAGTGAAGTTTGCAAACGATGTCATTACTAAGTCAGAATCGGTGGAGAAGCTGCCAGGCAGTGTGCCCACTCCCGGGAGCATTGGCTTACACATTGTCACGAATTACAAGGATTCAGCGGCGGCTCAGCCGGCCCAGGAGTCTGCAAACATCGGCCTGCTCAGCTTCTTGCCCAGCAGCATCATCGGGAATGCAGTAGAAATGTCTAAGTACCTATCGGAGTACGTCGCGGCGCACCCGGCACTGGAAGACAAACTGCGACACATACCAGACGCAGACAAAAGGAAGGAGCTCGGGGAGGAAATATTCCCCGAATCAACGCTTACTAACAAGTTCAGAACGCTTGATACGACCCAGGTGGCCATAGAGGAGGCAGCTTCGTTGGCGGCGAAGTACCCATACCCGCCGGGGGCGCTAATGCAGCTAATGCACGACGTTTTCGTGTCAATACCTACAAACGCGGCGGTAACGAGACTGGGGATATTCTATGTCTACAACCATCTCATACACAAATTCGGAAAAGCGTGGACCCACCCGATATCGTTCCTGGAAACGGGGCTCAAGAGGTTCTGCATACCGGCCATCACCCATTCAAATCGCATCAAGTGCAGCAACTCAGTGCACATCATCACGTGTATCAATGTCTGGCGCCAGAGGCACATCTATGACGCGGGTACATGCGACTATCTTGAGGCATTAGTCACAAGCACTGACCCCAAGTCGTCAATGATAGAAATGCAAACCGACACCAACACATACACCGTTAACAGTGAGGTGGGCGGAGTGAATACACTAAGGCATCTTTTCAACATGCCGCTTGTGGATGACAGTTACAAGGCAGCTATCGACGGCATAAACGCAGACGACATAGCCGACGCGGATGCGCCTATGCACAACCAAGCACTGGTAGACGCGTCAGATCGCGGTAAATATGAAGCGTTTGACTACTCGAGCCGACTAACGGGCCAGGAGCTGATCCTGCTGCACAGCAGCTCTCTCGACCTTGCAGCACTTATAGAGGAGGGAAACAAACAGTTCGAAATTCTACAAAACGAGATCGCCGAACTAGAAGCGCAGATCAAAGACGAGTGACGACCATAAGAGGAAGCAAATCCAAGTTTGTGTTTACGAGATGTTCGCTTCCGAAATGTTTAGTAATTTGGAGATACTCAACGCTGTAACATGGTTGTAGCGTAAAGGTTTGATGCAAATGCGGATTTCAATAGTAAAATGACCGAACGCGATGTTTTCACGTATATGCCAATTATGAGCACGATTCGGAAGTAGCGACGCAACTTGATAGAGGTCTCACTGAGTGGTTGCCCTATTGTTGATCCTCGGTGTTCGCAGCTACCAAAAATAAAGACAACTAAGAGTGCATTCGTATCACGTCGATGCGGTAAAATGCACACTCTAATTTAATTTTTATACACTGTGGAAGGTTGCTTGTCGTGAGTTAACTGTCCTTTGTTTATGGAGGTGTGCAAGAAGGTCGTGCCACTACACATTTGAATAAAATGTAACATACACTATAATCTATACCAGAGTCGCTCAATATGGCTGCGTAGATGGCAAAGGTTAATGGTATATCGCAATCCAAGGATCCCATGGCTGTTGTAATTGAGCAACTACCGGATGGAGTCACCTGCCGAGCGGGGCTTTTGAAGCCGCAATTAGCTAGGCGTCTGGTAAGGGAATATAAAGATGACGGCGCCACTAGCGTTTTCGAAGCGGCGCCAGAAGCAGTGCTCGTCGACTTGCCATTCCGAAAACTCATTTTCGAGTCCAGGGTCGTGCAACGACTCTTCTACGAAATGGAGACATCGGACGGACCTTCTTATGCCAGAAAGCATATATCGCAGAACAACCTCCTTTTGTTGGACCCTATTAGACTAGGTGCGTGCCTCAACCAACGGCTGGATTCGGTAGGTTTCGAAGTGCAAAATGCATAATATTTAGGCGAGGCGACAATTGCTCATGCGATGCTTCTCAGTTGACGTGTGGTTGCAGTTTTTTAAAATGGTTAGCTTAGGTATAGGTGAAAAGATACGAAAATTGTGCGCCTGGTCAACGCACCCCTGGTTAGATGACGAATTTCTGTACAGATTGGAGGACCTGCAGCTAGAGCTGGTCCGCCTTAAGTCTAGAATAGCAAAACACGAAACATCTGCATATATTGGGCCGGATATGGCGAATACAATAGGGGATGCTTGCAGTGATGTCCTCACTATTGCCCATAAATTTGATGACGACTGGGGCACCGTAGGGGAAACTAGTCGCACAGTCAAAAAATTGTGTAACTATCTATCGCAGCATATCGCAGAGGTCAAAAGGCTATTCACGGAAGCAGCTGGTGGCAAGGACGGAATGGATGTGCATGCATCTGCTGAGGGCGGAGTTGGGATTAAAGCTGTCAAACTGCTTGAAATGTCCAACGGCATTGCAAATTTCGTATCACAAACCGCATTAGATCTAAGTGTAGCGAAGATGAAGTTGCTCGAGAAACGTTCCGAACTGTGTCAGGTGGGTTCATAGAATCAACTTTTTGCGGCGTGATAAAGTACACAAATTTTGTGATTGCGATACATGTGCAATTTGTGTTGGTATGGAGCGCTGTCTTGTTCGTGCTGCGGAAGACCAAATGTTACGACAAAACGTGTAACTATTGATGTGATTATTACGTTTAAAGATCCGTGCATATTTATTCATTGGCACCATCGATTGTGGGATAGAGGCAATATTATGAGCTATGTTTTGTTTGTAGGGTTTTGTTTTTCGGATATAGTATCGCCGATATATGCATACCGTGTCTAAATTGCCAGTGCATTCATTTCTGTGAACGCGTGACATCAAGTTGCCATGTTACATGATGAAAGTATAATTAGGTCCTATTTGATGCCGCAAGTGTCACAGTTTGTTACAACATGTATTAGAAACCCGGAGCTTTTGCCATGCTCGAGGCTGATGTATTTAAGCGTGGCATACAGACGTCGGAATATGCACACGATGACGTCATGCAAATGCTGATCCTATCGCACTGCATAGAAGCATACGGTATTAGGGAGTGGTGTGCTCGTTTTTTTATCGAAATACGCACACCAGCGGTACGAGAGCTGCGGAATAACATGGCGTTAGCTGGGGATGGTCGAATAATGAAAGAGGAATCGTCGCCATTCTTCAGAACAGCCGGTGCCGTAGCTCCAGACGTTGAAGATTTCGTAACCCTTATACCAATGCGTTTGGCTCGCTACATTTGTGAAATGTGCGACAAGAATTAAAATGTGTCATCTGAGTCTGAGGTTACTTATCTCTGCCAGGCAACTTAGCCGGAACATTTAATCCCTTACAAAATAATGCGACGCCTATATCTGGGCATCACTGAAAAATCCTTGCGCCTTGAAATTTTTTTGACGGGTGAGACGTAATCTTCAAAATGACATCTTTATAGGAATATCCATACTTTGGGATGATTAACAATTGTGACGCAACAAAAAAATCCAAGTGCAAGCAACATATCGCAGTGCGATACATACAATGCGAATTAGCGTGGTTGAGTTCTCGACAACGGCGTTCTCGATTCCTGCTCCTCCCAGACAACTGCATTTCTAGTGGTTGCTTCCAACTTGGGTCCAAATTTGCGGTTCGATCGATCTACTACATTGAATTTGATGTTAAATCCTAAGCCCAATAATTCACATGGGTTTTATATATGCCTAATACGTTCCATCGGGTGGATAGCGTTCGTAAGGATCGTAAATGTCCGGAGGACTATAGAGGTAGTCATGGAGTTTGTGGAACGGCCACAAACGCTTCTCTGTCATATAGTAACCGATAGCCGTGAAGATTATAAAAAGACAGATGAATGCCCCAATTGCGGCGGTTATTAGTCCGCGCTGTTTCTTCTTTGTGCAACATGTTTTGTCACATAAATCCGGCCTCTTACATTCTTTACAATGGGCACACTGCTCCTTACATGTCTCGCGTATACCACATTCGCACGCTTTGTCCGACGGTTGCGGCCTCTGTAGTGCCCGTGGAGGGAGAACCTTTCCAGTTGTATTACCCATCTCTGCGCACCAATGGACAACGTACCACTATGGTTTAGGCTACAATTGAGAAATCACAAATCTTAACCAGACAACAATTGTGTATGGTGTAGTAGTTTTATGGGTCTCAGCTGTGCTAGGGTATATTGCGTTTGAATTTTCGTCAGGGGCCTGCGCCTATGCATGATATGGTGGCCGACGACAGACCCACATTGCATTATTATCGTGACAATTTACATTTATTCGCTGTATTTATGCGTTATGACATGTACTGTCAAAATACGAAGTCTGGGATTATGCGTAGCCACGTCCTATATTGGACGCGAGGCGAATAAGGTAGAAAGTGCATTAAGTTACGAACGGCAACGCTGAATTGAATTTTACAATTATAAGCAGATGATTTTGCCGCCTCATGGTAAAATGCCAGTTATAATGACGTCTTACTATGCTTTGAGCCGCATCTGGGAATTAAAAGGGACCCCGAACGTCAGCATTTGCGCCAGGTGGCAAATCATCGTTCTGCAATTATGTATTCATCGTGAAATATCGCATGCTTCAATGATGCTGCCATATGCGTAGATAAGGAGCGCGCTTATACGTTTTTTCCAGTGGAGCTGCTTTGCATATCACCCCGATGGGTTCCGATGCCCCGGTCAGCGGAGCCGTATGATCCATGGAGCTAGAGGTTCTTAAAACAGATTGACTGAACAAGAATTATTACGCTGCCAAAACGGTCTATGCAGTGGTTCTCACGACTCTGCAATCAGTTCGCTTCATCGGGGTGCGACGGTTTTTGAGTGGAACACTGTGACCACGTATTGACGAAAGCATCGCCATTTTGCCACTCTAACGCATCATTTTTCCGGTGTACGACACGATTTTTAGCCGCATCTAGTCATCATAGCCCATATACCTGGGTTGCCCCACAACGGTGATAGCATCTGTGGTCTAATTGATGTTTATATCCTCCCAGACGCAGTTATATAGTACTAGCGGCTCTGAAAACGACGTGACCATGCCCTGCAAATTAATCCATCCAAAATTCAATTTTATGTCCACCAGCCGCAATATCTAATAGGAAACTTGTTAACATGCACAGCTTCTATGACATGCGTGAGTATCATGAGAGTTGTAGATGGCATTAAGGCGGTAGCAATTCAATTGTGATATCAGTACACCTAAAAATTGCAATACTTGTCCCCTATTTTCGTGATGCTGATGAAGCATTAATATCTATATGATACCTATGATAACATTCCAGGACACGCACTACTTCACGCTATCTACAACCGAAAATGACAATATAGATCGCTCGGGACACTGCAAGTCAATAAATATCGGTGCATAATGCCTTTTACCTATTTGATGTATGTTCGTGAAATATCCTGGCGGATAGAAGGCTGCGGGTGACATGGTGGGGCACATGGATGATTAGCGGGTAACTTACGCACATAACTGCGTAGACATGCGATGACGTGGTATCCTCTGACGGCGAATTGAAGGGTGGGCCCATGTTCGACAATTACACCGCCCGTCTTTTCCTTCGTCGTTGTTTTGACATGGATCACTGTATTTTTGTAATTAGTAAAGGTAATTGAAGGGGCATTGCTCGAGCCCTACGTCCACCTGCCAGGTGAGGTGTTCATCGCTGTGCAGGGTTGTTTGTTGAGTGAGTTGCTGGCAAGATGTCAGGTATAAGCAAAGGCTGTAAATGCCCTGATCAATGCCAGAATGGCTCGTGTACATGCTGTCACATGTGTTGTGAAGGATGCAAGGAAAAACTTTGCACAAGACTCTCAGGCGGCGCAGGTGAAAAAATGGGATGCGATCATGACAACTGTTTTTGTTGCAAAACGTATTTCTGTAGATGTAAATGTGGGCAGCGTCGGATTGTCCTTGCATTAGTTTGGTTGTTTTCCTTTATCATCATACTCCTCACTATCTACGTCGCGATTCAAAGGGGCGTGGGTCCATTCCGCAAAGTTCGTGACTACCTCTATGGTTATCCAGACATTTATGATCCATACGACCGATACCCACCTGAAGATACATATTAGTTTTACTTTGTCCACTAATATAATATCGCAGTAATTATGTAAACTCGATGTGGCAGCGTTGACCATTGTCTCATGATTGTTATGTGCCTTAAATTGTGCATTCCTTTATGCGTTGCTCTGATGAGTGTGAGCCGTTTTTCTTGCTCACTTAGGTGCCTTTCCTCGCACCACGTGGATACACTGCATATTACACGCCATCCTGTTGCCGAACGTCTCTGAGTTCACCCACGATGGCATCAGTCCCAGCTGGGCCTGAGGGCCATTTAGAGTCAGGCATCTCTGGGTTTTGTGTCATTCCTTAGATAAGGCAGCATTTTTGGAACTTGCCTGGTAGCTGAATACGCCCCTTTTTAGCTGCTTCACCAGTTCCTTGTGCCTCCTCTCTAATGTCTTCGTGTCCACCAGGTTATCTTTGTTGGTAATCCAGATCTGCACAATGGTGATGTTAATGTTTCGCCGATATGTTACTATTGCGTCTGATCGGTTGTATTCAGTGGCCAGCTGCGAGGAAGCTTGTTATGCACAGTGTCGTTGCGTCACCGTCAAGGGTATCGTTCTCTCCACTATACAAATAGAGAATTACTATGCCAAGTAATGAGTGGCACCGATGTGATAATTAACTGGTCAATGACACAATCGTTTTCATTGTTCATTATAAGTGGTGTATCCACCGTGTTAGCACGGATTTCGGGCAGGCCGTCAGCATTGCGGTGGTAAAGCTCAGCAACTTGGTCTAATGTTATCAAGGCGGTGATAAACTTGTGTAGATGAAGATAGCCCAAATTAGTGGCGTGTTGTGGAATTATGTCTAATCATCGTTTTGCGGCACATTTTGTGATGGTGCAGCGGAAAAGGTATAATACGGGCACCGTCATGTATGGTCACATTTTGAAAGGCTGCCAATGCGTTTAACACGCATCAACGTATCCCCCGTAGTGCCTCTTCTTGCAATCATTACCTCCTAATGTGGATGAGCAACTACCGTGCCACTGCCCGGACATGCCATACCACTGGTAAAAATGGCTGCAAGAGCGGTTTCATCGGTTTAATATATGCTTACAGCGCATTGTATGAGATGATATGCAAAGATAGAGCGAGTCATACCGACAATCGTGAAAAGCGTGCCTCGAGGTATCGCGGGATCAATCCACGGCCCACAGCTCGATGGGGTGGTGATTAAAAAAAGCTACAGTGCCCCATTGCGGGATTGTTAAGCATCAGTACGCTTATCAAAATGTTGCAAGCGAAGTTAATTACGGTTGTGTGTGGGCCGCGTTCGACAACCCTTTGCTCCATGAATGATGAGGCCGATGTCATGAGGGTTGAGATGTCAGGCCTTGCATCAGATAAAGCACTACCGTGTTTACGACATAGTTACATGAGAAAACGAGGATGTATACATGAAATCATGTATAGATCGAGAGAGTTATAAAGTCAACTAAAGGGAAGGGGTGTGGCAGGCGAGGCTATCGCTATGGTAATATTATGCAGGTGTATAGAGTTGTAAAAATGAACACTGTGCTTCAATTAATACAAAGATCTACAACTTGCAACACGTACGGTCAGCGGTGTGGGGTAAGGCTCGCAATATATAGATGACGCGAAGGGACCATCCTGGTGTGAAGGACTCGTGCCTGGTGTCTTACTAGCGCTGTGTTGATTGGTTATCGCTTGACCGCTCCCGTAATGCCGATAAAAAGCGGTTTGGCGGCGTAGCTGTTCGAGGCTAAAGCATGCGTTTTATGCATGTGCCGATTAGGGACAAGTGATCCGGGAGAAGATGTCAGCACCAGTGAAGTGTCAATGTGAGACTAACGGCAGCCAGAAGAAGTGCAGTGGCAGGGACTGTCCGAAATGTAGGAACAAGTGGACGTGTACATGTGAGTGTTGTAAAGAGAGATGGGCCATTATCACTACCACTGCTTCATTCTTCATCATTCTAGTGCTTCTAGTGTTCGGACTTATCACCTACTTCCGCAATAGGCAAGAGATGCCGAGCCTTGAAATTTTGCGTGATTACTTCAATTAAAATCCCAATCCAATTTCTTCGCGTAACCATTTAATAGATAATCATCGAACAACATGGCCACGTAAAATTGTAATATTGCAGTAATTACGTGGCGTCATTATAGCCGCATCCTTCATTTCCATATCATGCTTTTACTCCCGACTCCACAAATACCGCACAGGTTGCTCTCCGCAGCTGTCCGACCACCTCCGCGACATGATGCCAGTAGCATCATCTAATCCACTTAGCCATCCAGTAGCCAAGCCGCGTTCCATGTTAAAATGTTAGCGGCATCACCTTCAATTTCGAGGTTTAGGTTCAGGTTATGTTTTGCCTCGGCCACACTCACCAAACTCGCCGCGTAACCTAGCACGTAACCAAACGGCTCACCTAGCATGTAACCTACTCGCTGCTTTGTCATGTTCCTCGTTCGTTGCTTGGCACTCCGTCACTCCCCCAAAAGCTCTCCCTCATCCCACCTTGCCGGTGGATTGAGGCTGCGGACGCCTCTCACGACGCGCCTTTTGCGCCTCTAAAATAGCGCACTAATCGCTACCTACACCTTCACTGAGTCACCTATTAACATCGCAATTATATTGCTGCAAGCACCTTGGCTGTGTCTTGGTTATCTGGAAGCAGTGACGTCACCTTAGAGATTTTATCGCTTTAGTGTCTCCTGGTTAACCATTAAAACGTTCTTACGTGTATTTTTGTACCATTAGCCCAGCGCCTGTTTATTAGTGTCTCTGTGTTGAGTGCTTTCGTAAGCAAGATGGCGGCGGATAAAATTCAGCTCAACACACTCAAGGAGTGTCTCCGGTTCCTGCTGTGGTTAAATCAAAATCAGAATGTGCAGACCCATGTGGCTAAAGAGCTGTATAATCGTATTGATAGGTATTTTAACCCTCCCAAATTCACTACCTAACGTTAAAGCCGCACTCTCCAAATTCCTTGAGAACGCTTCTGGGTTTTATACGAGGTTATGCTACAATCCGCAGCCTTGGGAATACAGAGCGGAAAGCGCAGATAAAATAGCTTACGCCCTTCTAGAGTGCATGCCAAAATTCTTATCCGTTATGTACTTTTTGTGGTACAATGTGGATCCGGGTTTCGAGAAACTTGATGGAGGGGGTTGGAAACAGAACTGGCCCGGGGCGTTAAAGGGTGCTAGTTGGTGGTGGAACCGTAATAGCGGCGGTGATCTCGACAAGTACCTCTACGCGGAAACTGGCGACGCAACGTACAACTCACGCACCGGCGTCATCCCAGGTGGGTTCACGTCTGACGATGAGGTGATATATTATACACTTGGAAGTGGCTACTACCAGGGTGCTCAAATGGCTGGGGACCTTAAAAAGATTGTGGACAAAGGAAATCACCATGATTTTTTCCGGGACGTCTTTGTCACTTCTGTGCTCTCCACAGACCATGGCGCTAAAGCTCCGAACACGGCGAACGCTCTTCGCTTGGTGAGAATGTTATGCCAGATTGTTGAAGATGAGGCAAAGAAAAATAGTGACGGTGAAGAGTTAATAAAAGCTTTGGAACATGGCCTTAAAAGGTTCCAGTCCTCAAATTCTATATGCTGGCAAGACTTAAAAGCGCACTGCGCTCAGCTTACAAAGCAGTTTAGAACAAAATTGTTTGCCCCAAAGCACTTCGACCACACCGGGCAGGGTATGGATACTTCAACGCTTAATAGGGACGAATTTGCAAGCATAACTGCGGATTGGTTGAGAACGAATATAACAAAAGTGCAAGGACATTTGAATCAAATTAAAACGGATAAAAGTCTCGAAGGCCATCTTGGAGAATACTTCACGAAAAATCTCTTCCCGTACGGTTTTACCATTTTTAATGGGACTCGCTTTGACATGTTCCCAAATGATGTAGAGGCATTGAAAAAAGATTGGCGTGAGGTGATCGAAGAGTTTAAGAAAAGCAACGGCGATTTGAATACGCTCAGAGAAATTTTGAGTGGAACGTATAATAAATTATGTCCCAATGTTACTCCGCCTATAAAGCCAGAGGCCCCGCCTGCTAAGGTTCCTGAGGGACAACAGAAATCTGAGGGAGCACAGAACCAGGGCAAGAAAGCTGCGGATCCCCCAAGTCAGAATACCAGTCAAAGTGCAGATACGTCTTCAGGTACATCAGTTGGACAGCCTTCTGTTGCACCTCTGCTTCCCGGTAAGGATGGAGCTGCAGGCCCGAAAGGGCCTAATGGTCCAGTGACTCCGGAGCCTTCTGGATCCGCGGACGCATCAAGTAATCAAGGTGTTCAACGACAACAGGTTGTTACTCAAACCGCTCCAGATCCTCCCCCTGCAATCTCTCCCCCCAGTGCTGCTGGAGGCGATGGCCCCCCGGATAAGTCAGGTTCCCCGGGTTCGGATTCACATGGCAACGTTCCTCCAGCTCCACAGCCTGGCACCTCTCAAGATCCTGCACGTACTCAGACTCTGAGTGCTTCAGGTTCAGGCTCTGGGCCAACTGGTGCTCAGGGGACTGGGGAACCAAGTGGTGGAGGGGGTGGGAAAGGCGGTGACCACGCTGGTGGTAAAATAAGTGGGCAAGATGTAAGCAGCAACACTACTGCGCCGGGTACCACGATGCCTGGTGGAGGTGGGACTGATCAAGATGACAGGAAGAATAAACCGTGCGCCGATGGATATACACTCATGAGTCTTGGTATACCGAGCGGTAAATTCTGTGTCCGAACTGCAGATCTCAAAAAGCATGACGAAATTAATAAGAAGTGGTACGATAAGGTAAAAAATGCTCAAGAAGCTGCCGATACACGCAAAAAGCAGGAGGAAGAAGAAAAGCAGCAGAGAGAAGCAGAAGTACGTCGGAGACAAGAGGAAGTGGAGGAATACAAACGCAAATTACTGCAGGGAATGGGAATCGAGACAAAAATTCTGAACCATGAGCCAGAGAGGCGTACGTACCCCGGCGCTGATATAGTGAAGGCGAAAACAATGCTTCGATCAGGATACAAGCCTGTAGCTCTAAAAATGCCCGATTTCACCCCTAGCTTTCCCGACGGGAACGGCATAGTAGGCGGTAGAGGCTTACAGGATTCTACGTTTCCTCCTGTATCCAGCCATATCGGCGTACCTATGGGTTACCCGTTAAAGCATAAGGCCCCCCAGTGGCACGACCCGCCGCCGCCGAGTAAACCTGTAGCCCAAATGTATCATGCGCTGCCTGAGGGTGTTGTCTTATCTCACAATGAGCAGCGTCCGAAGCGTGTGTTGACATCACGTGCAACTGTCCACTCCCCCATGCAAGCTCAAGAAGTTGAAATTGATCCTGCATTAATAGTTTTAAACGTCACTGGCAAAACTCTGGATGGCCATCCTAAGGATGGCGCTGAGATCTTCCCGACACCCTTAACACTGGATGCGACCCCTGTACCTGATGATAGACAAGAAAGGTTTTCTACTCACATCTACAATCCCCCAATTCCGAAGCATGACGTGCCACCACCAACTAAGCTCATCGCAAATAAGCGTCCCCCACCCATACCGGCGGTACCTAAAAATGCTTTTCATACGCCCACTCCATTTCACTCCGAGATGAACAAGCCACCTCACTCCATCACTCTATTTCCCGGTGACCCTCCCTCGGTAACCCAGGATGACATGTCTTGTATGGCACCGTGGATGTTGCAGCAGCCTGGGCCCTCAAAGAATGGGCACAATGACCTATCTCCATACCCGCCAGACGCCTCGCCGACCATTCTCCAGCACTCCACGGTTACCCCCAGGACAGTGCGTGAGATGCTCTACTGGATTGCAGGGCTCCGGCATTCCGCAGTCTACGATGGCCTGGAAAAATATGTTGATGATGTAGTCAAGGAATACGCCAACGACGCTACTACACCAATCGGTGACATCCATACCCCACACTTGGCAGCGCATCCGAATTCTATCCTTTCCAAGGACGTCACTCAGGCCTTGCGGCTCAGCTGTCAGTACAGTATTATTGTGCTAATTGGCATTCAAAGTTTGAATGATCCAAACACCTCGCATATCTCCGAAAGTCGTACAATAATTCCCCAATTTGAATATTCCCCCGACCCCGCTTGCCTCCTCTGCCATCTGCGCGACTACGTCTACGCCTGCTGCCACCAGTTGGAGTTCCTGAAGTCGCAGTGTTCTCGGGTCTCCAAACAAGGAGGTTGGGAGGATTGTAATTTTGGCAGGAATGTATCATCCCCCAACTCCCCTCTCCAAGCCTTCCTGACCGACGCGCATGACTCCAAATTCCACACTCACTTCTTCGACCCGTATAACATCTGCCGCAAGAGCCGTGTCAGCATGGGATTCAGGGAAAAGGATTTGCCTGCATCTCAGCAAACTGGCAAGCATATTTCCACCATCCTCACTCCCACCTGCGGCGGCGAGGATCCTCTGCTTACATTGTCCTCCTACCTCAACTGCCTCACCAGGCGGACGCCGCGCACCACCGGGGAGCTTGTCTCGTTCTTCCACAATTTCGGGAATTCGCTTCATGATGCGCCTTCAGACTTGTCCAAGCTGGGCTCCGCCCTCTCCAAGCCACATCGCCACTGCCCCGACTGGGACTGTCTCAAGGCCGCCGCTGTAATCGCCTTCTTGGCGGCTTCCTTGATCTGGCCTACAGCGTTCGTGTTGAATGTGTCAACGGCGTTTGGAAGTTGGGAGACTGCATCGGCAAGTGGTTGTTTGACTTTGGAAGTGAATGTGCCGGCAATCTCATCTGTCACCATATCCCTCACCGCCTCCAACCTCTTGTCCACGGCTTGGGCGGGGCTTTCGGGTTGGACGGGAAGGCCTTTAGGAGTTTCTGTTGCCACGGTAAGCTGACCGTGAAGCTCTCTTGCCGTCTTTAAAGCATTATCTAACGCTTTTGCGATGCTGGTTTTCGATCCGCCGTTCTTTTTATCGCCCACCCTGGTGCCGAGAAGTAGAGATTGGATCTCGCCGGCAGCACGCCGGGTTTTGGCCACGATGGCAACAAGGATCGCTTCGACGGCGAATGTGAGAACACTCTTGTCAGTAGTTTGGCCGGATGCCTGATTCTTAACTGCAACCTCAACCTCCTTGACTATCTCTGAGACAAATGTGCTGCTACTATCACCGGATGGCTCAAGTTGCTTATCAAGCTTCTTCGCGTATTCCTCCAGAAATGTCTTGAGTTCTTTCAAATCATTTTCCACATTGCCAGTGGTTTTGCCGAAAAAGCTGGACTGTGACTTAGCTTCCTCATAAACGGCGCTCACAAGCTTCTTCTTAATCTGGTCCTTAATGGTCAGACGCATTGTCTTTGCAATGTTAGGCGAAACGTTTGAATGCCCCGAGTTCCCGTTAACACCCTTCTCAATCCACCTCTTAATTGGTTGCTTAACCGGATCATTCTTCTCACTGTCCCCCAAAATTTTAGGAAGCCAGTCATCCATTGTGCTCTCTCGCATATTTTCGAAAACGTCCGTGGCATATTGCTGCACCGCATTCTTAATGCCCTCTAAAGCTGAGCCTGTGTCTGCCCATTTACCATTTCCACCTTTACGTCCTTCCTTCCCCTTAATTTCCCCAACCTGCTGTTTAATATACTCGAAAATGCCTTGAAGTTTCTTTTGATCATCAGCGCTTTTTATCCCAGTAAAATTCCCGCCAAGCGCCCCAATCGCCGTGTCAACTGCACTGACTTTCCTGTCAAGCTCACTCTGGATATGATTCTTAAAATTCTGTTCAAGATTTGTATTCGTCTCCGTCTGAATTTGCTTTACAGCACCATTATCCAACTCACTCTTCTTCGCTGCAAGCGCATCCAACTCACCTTTAACAATACTATCAGGTTGTTCAACTTTATCTTTTAGATCACTAATCTTCCCCCTCAACGTCCCCAAATCACTCTTCACATTCTCATTCAACGTCAAAACTCCCAAGTTGTCAATCACATTTTTTATCCCACTCTGAATCGCCCCCTTTACACCCTTCAAATCCTTCTTGAGGGATGCGTCCATCTCCACGACAGCCTTCAGAGCCAAATTGGCATTCTGCTCAATGGCCATTTTAACCGCCTGACCTTGCCCCCCTTTCGTCTTCTTCCTTGAGTCGGCTGTGCTCCGCTCGGATCCCCGATTCACTGCCATTCGCATTCTAATTTGTTTCTAGGACCAAAGCCGGCCATTGAACTCCCAGTCCACCCACAACTTACCCCTATTTTCTCTTGGTGCAGCATGCCTATCGGGCCCATCTCTATCTCATTGCCAAAACCATACGTCGTCAAAATATGGTCCTCACAGCCTTTTAACTCACCTTTCTTTTGCCCATTCAACATCTGCTGGACGGCGCCCTCGAGCTCATCCAGTGCACGTTTTGCCTCCCGCTGCAGTTAACTCCATATATACGGCATAGCAATTTTGCGAGACATCGTGCATCTATTAGGCATCTTCCGGGTATTCGGATCACGTATGACGTGTGGTATGAGTGGCATCATCAACGTCATTTGTGAGAGGTTAGAAAAGGCTCACAGATGTAGGATGGATGTTGACTAATGGAATGACGAGTGTGATCTGCCAGGTGATCTAGACAGTACGAGTGGAAGGGAATTGCTCTATGCATTGGTGAGCCGAGGGATTCGTTGGTGGCGAGTTGCAATGTACCTCGTCTTAAATGTCTTGAGAAACCAAATGATGTGTTAAGTGGAGGATTAGGCCCAGAGGTCGATGATGGCAAGACCAAACTAAAAATTACTTAGCATGGCAATCCATTGAGACCTAAGCGTACAAATAAAATAGTAGTGGAAGCTAGTCGGATGACTTTGTATCTGACGTGGCTAGAGTGTGCCATGTGGGCTGGGTTGGGGTGATAGGATATGTAAACTAAACCAGCACTACAAACAAATGAAATACGCACAAGCCTGACCTGTCTCTATACGCTGACTATATATCATGCCCATAATCATACTCGAAGGATGATGTATGGGAAGTGCGGACGGGAGAATGGTTCAACTTCTCGCAGCACTGACACACTAGGCATCATAATCACGAAACATGTTTTGACTAGACACGTCACCTACACGTTTACGTGGTACTGTAACCCATAAAACTGGGCAACACCATGAACGCCATGCGTCTGCTATACTGCAGTGACTGCGGCAAGCGAAACAGCAGCTGGCACCCAGGTCATTGATCAAGCAATGAAATAATATACTTCATTAAAACCAGAGTTGCTGAAATATTAGAATGCCGCGTCCAGTACGTGAATTTACATTAGGCCCTTGAACGGGAAGGCGGAGTATTCATCAGTGTCCATCTCCTCGTGAATCCTTCTGCCGGCAAGATTCGTGGATGCGCCGGAACTATTTGTAAAGCTAGCAAATGCAGAACGCAGTCCGTAAAACACCTTTCGGAATGGACCAGGATACATATTCCAGGCAAAGAATATGCCTATTAGAATCCCAATGACGGGAATGGCAATAGCGCCAAAGCGGTAACATACATGTTTCGCACATAATTTGCTGCAGTCTTTGCAGTAGGCGATGCAATTGCCATCCTTGAAGGTTTGGCGATGGGCTACTCTGTCCATGTATGAATAGTGCCCTTTGCAACCGTTTTTGCCATCGCCCTCTACACATTCCTCATTTCCAGTTTGTTTGAGAGCGTAGCCATTGCACGTCCCAGTACAATAATTACGCTTACACCAAGGACAGCAGTTACAAAGTCCGTAACTGCATCCACAGTTACAGTTAGCGCATATACACATCGTACCCAGCCTTCCATCTCTACATTTTTCCTCGCAGCGCTTACAATTTCCATCTTTACCCTGACATTTGCCGTCGCTGCCGTTTTTATAGCAACTCTCTTTACAACCACAGCGAACGCGAGCACATTTACATTTCTCATCAGCTTTGCACTCTCTCTTGCAGTTTTCACATCCGGGTTCACAGCACGGATTGGAGCCCTTATGATCGGGCTTAGTGCATTCCTGACCACCGCCATCGTGACATGTTATTGTATCACATCCACATTTGTTTTTCTTTTCCGTGTTCGCCATATTCCGCTCCCCTATACAAAAGACCCAGAAAAGGTGTGAACATATCGCAACCGGCAGATCACAGCCTCCAGCGTCCCTGCGATTTGACGCCACGCCACTAAAGCAACCAGCGCTACATAGCTATGGAGTACGTACGCCATGACGTTGTCATATTCTGACTAATCTAATGCATAGGGGTATGATGTCCACACAGGCAAGGCTTCGTGTACCCCGTGCTTTGGCAAGCGTAGTCGCAGATTCCGTCTCTGACACATCACTGCATGCAATGACGAGTCAAACGGCCCAAATAATAACGATGGAATCATGCTCCATTACATACGATATAAGAATAGGGTCTGATCTCAACCAGGATCCGGCCACGCCACCTCACTGCTGCCTCTGTTGTGGTACCACCACACTAGCATGTAAACGCATGTGGCAACGCATATATTCGTGCGAAAGCTTGAGTCACCGAATACTCTATGTAGAGTCCATATGTTGCCAAGCGAGGCGCATATTGCCAACCTTTCCTATCCAAATGTTGCTAGTATTGTAAACATTGCATAGAAAGATGCGCAGCGCTGCTGCCAATTCAATATCTGGGCCTAATGCTGAGACTCTAGGGTCGCTGATTGCTATGCATGGATTGATCACCAATAAATTCCTGTGCATCGCCTGACTAATCTGCATCGGCCTATGCTACTTAGCGGCTCTGCCATCTCCGCTCACCTGAATATCAGCAGTTCAGATGTGGCACCATCACTGATCTACTTCTCCGCAATGCACACTACTTTCCACATATGCCATATAAGATCATTACCAGTTCTCATCACCATTTGATATGTCCCAAATTGTCGCATCGATCTTATTGGTTGCAGTCAGCTTCCTAATTAGACCTCTCCTAGGACGCATCAGCCGGGCATTGTGGGTAATATAAAATCACATATGAAGAGTTACTCGAAATGTGTGATACAATCATCATGTCCTCCTACATAACTGTTCGTAGCGTGAAGCTCTGTCTCATACCGTATCCAACTAGTTTCATACGTCTAATTAATATGTTTCAAATTGTAGCATGCTATGTGGCTAATTACGGAGTGGGCCGATTTTCGCTCATTTCGGGAGCTCTTTCCCCGCAGGATATCGGCATTCAATGCTCGATGCCCGCATGCCTATCGGGTATGTGACCATTGATGGGCGTGACATTGGTAGAATAACCCGCAATATGACGTCATGAACGAGATTAAATAGAAAATACGAACCATATTTGCTCTCATTAACGGTAGTAGTGTAATGGAATAAGACCGTATCCACAAAGCTGGTCATCACCAAATTTCAAGATTGGAAATGCCTCAAGAAATCTAACAGTTCTAAATCACTCAGGACACGGATTCAGAACCTGTTTTTGTTGAGCTGCTTTACCAGCTTAAAACCCTCCTTTTTGTTTTTACCTTTTTTTACCCTTTTATGTCTGTTTTAGGTTTCTTAGCTTCCACAGGTTATGCAGATTGCTCCGGTTCCACAGATTCTACAGCATTTACGGCTCCTACAATATCAGTGCCCAATAAAAAGCCTGGAATGCAGCGAAATCGTAGATGATATCCAATGCTTCTTTATCCATAACTCTGAAGACCTTGAGGACATCTGAACCACTCATGCCAGCACGGCATTCCGGCTCCTTGTAACCAACGGTTTCCAATACCTTTCCTAAATTCTTCTTCTTTTTCAATGACATCCAGCTATAAGTCTCATCATGGCTCGCATCCCGCAAAGAACGTATGCCTGCGTATAACATCGGGGTGATCCCAACGAGTACCACTGCACAAGCTTCTAGATCCTGTGCGCATGACGCATCCCACGTGTCTTTTGAACTGTAAGCAGACATATAATGTTTGGGGTGTTTTATTTCATCCGAGAATTTCTGGTATGCATCCACTACTTTACCTAAAAAATTTTTGCGATTGTTTCAGGCTTGGTACCCCGGGCCTTTACGACGTTCTTGTAATCACTTTCCTCGACACCTTTTATTACATTGCCGAACTTTTTCGGGTTTTTATCCATAGGCTTATTAAACCTCTGCAGCAGCTCTCTTACGAATGGCTGATCCCTGATACACTGCCGCCTTAGGAACACCTCGGAAACATGTTTAACTTTCTCTAGAGCTGGCACTTGCATCTTGCCAACCGGCTTGTCTGCGAGAAATTTGTAGACCGCCTCACCCAAGGCCTTCAAGTTCTTCCCAGGATCCTTCCCCTTCAGGGCTATCAACCAGTCCATGCACTCCTTGACGTTTCGGGGAGGCTCGGTCAACGCATGGTATGCCATTTTGTAGAGATAAGTTAAAACCAGCAACTAATAAAGGTGTAGATGTCAGTTCGATTTACAGGCCGAGCCTTTAAACAGATCGGTTTCAACCGAGGATACACAGAATAGTGCTCTTGCCTGCTAAGACATACCAACTTACGTGAAACTAGCGAACCCGCCTGTACACCAAACAAGTAAACGCCAGAGAAGCGACAAGGCTGCTCCATCGCAGACAGGTCCATATCTTGGCGTGGCAGGCAGTATCCACAATGCATGTCATTAGCGTATGTCGGTTTCAGACACCAATGACATATGCTAAAATAATTTGCAGCGTCGCATAAACGTTTGTAATGTTACAATGGATTGCGATTAGGAGATTGCACTCCTCTGGCCCATGGTTGTCACGTCAATCTCCAGAGATGCTTTTTTGTCTCGACCGTAATCAGGGTACTCCACAACACGGAATGTAACCGAACTGTTTTGCCTTACACTTACCTATCAGGCGATGCACTAGCTTCTCTATGATGGCACCTCTTGTCCGCTACCTTGGATGATCACCCACTCCTCTTGAACATCCTTTTGACGCCATACTATTGCCATGAACGCTTTATAAATTACCAATAAAGCCCAGCGTCTCGGGAAATGCGGAAGGAGTTTGCGGCATATTAGTAGTAGATTCAGGTTCTAGCAAAATCGTATTGTAGGCGACCCGATTATTTCGCAGATTACTGCATTGATGTTATCATGACCATGCCAAATATTGTTTACCGACGATTAGTTTGCACAACTATGTTCGTAGTATATTAATGTAACGTAACAGACAGACTGGGCAAATTTCGATATCGACATCCACACGGTGGTGGGCAATCCGACAAAAATGAAGCACAATGCAATCGCTATTTAAAACTATCCAATAAGTACTGACGTGTCAACTGATGAATGCTTTTAAAAGTGCCCAACCGATAATCCCAAGTGGACGCCGCTTCAAATATTGCCGCCGCCGCCACCACTGTTGTCGATCCGTGATTGAAAATTGACAAAGGCGGATAACACAGTTGAAGCCAAAAGATACTACCACATGCTGAATATCTTAAAACTGCAGATTGCCATAGTTGTATAAACGCGTAGTAACGATGTTCCACTTATGACCATCACACCCCGATTGAGGAAGATTGCATGGCTGTGATTACAAATCTTAGAAATATGTAGACGCGGATTGCAATCGCTTGATAAATGCTTAGTGCGATGTTATAGCTGCACTTTTCAGTCTGCTTCTGGCATTTGTTACAAAAGGAATTTGTTTGAATTGTGAGGCGAGACCCTTTGTGTAACACATCAGTAAGAGCTAAAAGCACCGCGCAGATAGAAGTGAATAACCGCAGGGTTGGAGAACACGTTATAAGATAAAAATGACGCTAGTATTGGCAACTAAAGGTTCTAAATAGCTTGATTGTCTACGTTTATCGAAGGAAGCTATTTCTATGCCATGAAAGCGACCTCAGACACAGTCCTTCGGCATACGCACAGGGCATAACGATCACCCCACTAATGTAGTCTCTTATTGGCATCAGAAGACAGGAGAATTCTGTTTGATACCTCCATTAATGCAGTTTCCACATTATTTACCTCGCGTCACGCTTGGGGCATCGCGAGGTGGCGTACGGGGTTCACTATTTTGGCGAAACACGTCATATTCTACGAAGTTAATATGTGTTAAATATTGATATGTGCAGAATGCAACGCAGATGTGTGCCTACCCACCGCCATGCATGGTCAACATCTCATTGCCATGTAAGATTCCGATCACTGCGTCCCTGCACATCGCTAATATACATGAAATAACTTTACATTATATAACAGGTGTAGCATTTACTGAACACATAGCCTAACGGAAACCTCCAACTTCCAGGTACGTCGCCCACTGCTGTGCAGAGTTGTATAGAACTGGAAAAACATGGTTGCAAAGCAACAGGTATCTGGACCGGCATCGTGCGGATGCCGTGGAGGCCCCAAATGCGACCCCAACCACTGTTGGCGCTGTAGAAGGAGAGGAAATTCTTGTGAATGCGAATGTTGTAAAAAAAGGCGCGAACGGAGCAACACAGCTCTGATAATATCCTTTGGATGCATCGCTGCTGTGTTGCTCTTGTTTTTACTCGTTCATTATATGATAAAGAATCGTCTCTGGCCGTTACACAATGTGGACGACTACATCACTGGTACCCCGGACATATACGACCCTTACGAGAGGTATCCACCTGATGGAACGTATTAGGCTGAATAACACACGCATGATTTCAGTAACGCGGTGCTCACATTGCCATAACCTTGTCAGCGTTTAGAAGCCCACCAATGTAGAATGGCAAGTCTAGTCAAATACAACACACTCACCACCAAGACACAAATCATAAGGTGTACACAGCGCATTCTCATTACTTGTGCATCTAGTAGCACTTTAATAAATGCTATAACATTAACTTCAGAGTCTGGTTTGACCGTGAACAATCGGAAAACGTGTGTATAATGATACGACATGTGTGACTTGCATCAACATCCGCAGTGGCTTGCAAACCTGTTTTCATCACTGCCTCACCTTGACCTTCGTTTTTACCAATGATTTTAATGCCTTTACGTTCTCACGCTTGTGTTTTCCCGATGTTTTCGCCTTGTTTAGCTTTATGTAGGTATATGGTTGCACATCTCCCCTTTTCTTCAATTTCTGACGCATCTTTTTCTGACGTCTGCGCCCCTTTCCCTCCATAAGTTCCGATTCAACACGACCGGATTCATCGTTTTCATCAAAATTCAGCACCAACCGTCCCTCATCGTCGGTCTTGAACATTTTGTCGATGAACTTCTCGTCATCGTCGTCATCATCATCGTCAGACGGTCTCAGCGCTCTGCGTAATTTGCTGTGCCGTTTGTTCCTTTGAGCTGCCATTATGTTGCGGAGTAGTGGGATATGCGTCGGCGGGAATATCTTTAGCATTTGGTCGCGAGTGAGTTTGACCATCAGCTTCTGAACTACTCGACGTACATACACCTTTGCCTTTGGGCAGCAGCTTTGATTTTCGAACATTCGCATCAACATTGGCGCCATCCACTGCACCTGGTCTACACTGAGCTTGACAATGCAGACACGTGCGAACTTCAGCAGCTGAACGTATAGCTTGAGGTTGTCCTCCGTCAGTAGACGGAATATAAACAGGAGAACCTGTGTAAGGTTGTACTTCACAGCATGCTCGCTGTGCCGGGCCATGAGTCTTGTGAGGCATCTCACCAGTACGACTTGCATAACTTTCGACGTCTTGCATGACAGGGCGGATATACTAAGTTTAAGTATGTCGCCGATTTCTTCTAGTTTCAGGTTACAAATCCCGTCATATATTGTGAGGGCACTGCTTCGTGTGTTATTGTTTGGCGCAATTGCATTGACCATGGCTTCGAGGATTAGGGGCTTGACAAGGGTGTCAACAAATTCTTTGGTTTGCTGGTCGTAGACCCCGTGCAACTTCATGGTCTCCAGTAGTTTTACGAAGGCGCCTATGCAGCATATCCGGTGCTTGCTGTGTTCCTCTGATTCCGCATTGGGCTTAGCATCCGGCTTGACGTTCAGAGCCTCCGACAAAGCGCGCAAACCATCCACTGAGCAGGATTCCTTCACGTATACAGATATTTCCTGGGAAGCAGCTTCGGCTGTGGAAGCTGCCTCTTGTTCTCTCTTTGGAAATGCTCCTTTGACTGCCGCAGTTAGTGTCTCGCAGCTGCGCTTAAGCGCCAAGTATAGGTTCTTTGACGCACCCGCTTTACAGAGGTTAACCCAGTGGAGGTGCAGTTTCAGCTTCAGTTGGTCGTCCACCGAGGGCAGCAGGGCTCTCGATATTTTCACCAAGGGGTCAAAAGGACACTTGCTACGCCTGAGCGCCGCCTCGAAGGACTCCAGATTCTCAGCCAACATCTTCGACTCGCAGAACTTCCCGCAATTGGCTATTGCGCTGAGCAAAGCATCCTCTATTGCATAAAGGTTTGCCTGCACATCGCTGGATTCTGTATGAATCGTTGTTTCCAAAGCGACGAAACGCTTGACGAAGATCCCAATGAGGCGGGGAGCCATTCCGTCGAGATCAGCACAAGCACCGATAATGCGGCACGAAACAACAGCGCCTTCCGAACTCTTGTCCAGAAGTTCCAATATATGCTTAAGCAATTCAAAATCATTCCTTTCTAGTGTCTGCTTGCAGTCCTTCGCGCTAGAAATCATGGCTATGAGGATATTGTAAAGTATCCCCACCAGAGCATCGTATGAACGCACCACATACGTCATCGCCATTTCGTTTGCCGCGTTGATGGCGGCGCAATCCTTTGCCTTGTTTTTGAGCGTTTCCACTTTTGCCAGAATCGGCATGAAATGCTTCATGTAAACCTCGAGTGGCACGCCTTTGAGCTGGCGCTGCAATATGGGTAGCATGTATATGTACGACTCCGTCCTGAACGTTTCCGAGGTGATCGGAATGTTGTACAGCGGCGTTAGAGGTAGCAACCGTACATAGTCCTCGAAGCCAAACATTTTCACAAACACCCCGATGCAGTTTTCTAGCTCCTTGGGCAGGTTGCCGGCCGTTTCCTTTGCTATGTCCACAGTGGACTCGAGTAGTGCGGTGAATATTGCCGCAGCTTGCGACTTCATATTCGACGTATCCACGTCGATGGCAGAGCCATCCTGAACCTCATTATATCTTTCCATGGCAACGGAGAATATCCTGCCGCCCAGCTTCCACCTGGCCGTGGCAGACTTGACCATTGACGCGATTCCAGTGGGCACCTGGCTCACGTTGTGCAATCCGTCCAGCATTTTGCTGCGCTTGGTGCGCAGAAAGTGGAAGCATAATGGCGTCAGCAGTTTGAGGCAAATTCCGAACTCGAATTCGGTGAATAGCCAACATATGACAAGTGCGATAGCTTCGTCCAAAGCTTGGTTGGAATAGCTGAGGAGATAGTCAAACGTCCTGGTGAGCCGGGTGAGCAACTCGCAGTCGTCTCTCGACGCCAAGAAATCCTCGATGGTCGGGAAGTTGTTCTGCAATTCCGGAAGGTGTTGCGTCTCCCTCACCATGCGCTCGAGCCGCGCGCTTCCATCAGCCTGCTGCGGCGGGTCTGTGTTGAGTAACGTGAGAACTTGCTTCTGCAAGAATTCGTCAACCTTGGCATTCTCGTCATGGGGAGCGCTCCTCGCCGTCCTTATGCACTGCGCCATACAGTAAACAAGCTGCACCTGCCTTTCGCAGTCCGTCGTGTCAGTTGCCCCATGCGAGTTTCCGCAAAAACGTCTGTCAAACAGCACTTCTATGAGCGCTTCCGAGAGTGGCTTTATGTTGTTCCTAACTACATCTCCAGCCTGGTTTACATCCACATCCATCAGAGTGGTGAGCGCAGTAAGCGTTTCTGTCTGTATGGCACACGATACATCCTGCTGTAGTGTTAGCGCAATCTGCAACACCACCCTGAGACTGTGCGCAGGAGGAAGTGCAGGGAAAGACGCAATGATCCGCATGAGCTTCCCCAACTTCACGGGCTTCGCGCTCGATTGTACCATGTCTACCCGCAGCTGCATTATCTTCCCCACCAACACCCCGTACCAGCAGTCGACCACCTTGGAAACGAACGCTAGTTGCTTTCTGCCGTTATCATCTTGGGCTCTCATCAGCTCCTTCATTCTATGCATAACCGTTGCCATGGTTATCTTCAGCACCGATAGTGTCCCGCTATTTGGCTTGTCACCGTTATCCGTTATCGCCATGGATAGGGTGCGTTCGAACACATGCTTCAGCTGCGCCAGAGTGACGGTGATATCACCACCCAGTTCTTCCGGCACATCCGTCGCAAGCATTCGGCAGAGGTATGCTGTAAGGCACGCCGTGCATGCGTTCATTAACGGTCGTACTGTCGATGACTTTTCGAGTATCTCGACTATGGTAGTGAGGGCCGCCTTCTCCATGAAAAAAACTACCGGATTGAGCATTCCTATGCCGGTTTTTGCGATTAAGAACAGCCCTTCAAACGTGATCGTCGAGGTGTCCTCCGTGGTTTCCTTGTGCAGCTCGGCGTTGCTCAACGCTTCGCCAAGCTGATTTGCGATACAGTCCAAGGAACATTTGATGATGGGATATATCTCCAACATCGCCTGCCGGTCCGTCTCCGATATGTCTAGGTTCCATCTCAGTTCCATGGGCACGACAGAGAGCCGAATCAGCGCGAGTGAGTCGAAGGCGCACTGCTTCACCTTCTCGAACCGGTCGGATTTCGCGTGTTCCTCGTACATGGCGAGATCTTCCTCCTCGAAGGAGGGCTGCAATCTGTCGGCAACCGCATCGTATCCCAGGGCGGTGCTCTTTTGAATCCGCCTAATCAGGGTTGCGACGATGTGCGATATCCCCGAGCTCGCCATGTTGGCTTCTACAGCATTGACCGGGGTTTCTAAAGGGCGCGATATTTTTTCGCGCAAAAATGAAGGTGTTTGCGATAAGTCTGTGACAAATTTTAACTGAAGAGCGCCATTCGTAGTATGGCGATACTCCCTGTGACACGGAAGCTCGGATGTGGCGGGTATCTCTCACTTTAGCCTTCCAAGGGCATCATAATACTGTCAATGTTATCCATAGTAATATACGTGGATACCTCGATTATCGCAGCTGCTCTGGGTGTTGGAGGTATGGATCCGTTTGACGACTTCCAGGTGACGCGGCTGCCGAAGTCGTCGAAGCCGCGGCCGCCATCTCCTAAACACACTGCAGCGTATCGCAAACCAAAGTACCTCTCTACAGGCGAGGATGATGCGGAAGCTGGCGAGTCGCTCGGAGAGAGAAGAGACCATGTTGATGCTCGGCATGGTACCGATCGTGCCTCCGTTGGCGATAACGGTTCTGCGAAGAGCGCAGATCGTGACGCGGTCTACGATCGGATTCTCGACCACATGTGGTACGACCGAGACGACGAAAGCTTCCTGATGCAGAACAACTATGATGAAGAGAGCCAGACGTATCTTGCAGACCAGGAGGCCAAGCGACAGGCGCAGCTGCCTGGCGGTCGTAGCCAGCTGGGCCAAGGAAAACAACAGACCCGGGGTTCTCTCTCGTTCCAGAAGCACATAGACAATTCGCTGTGGGAGTTATCACGTATTAGACAGGGTGGCGCTGGCTCTCGACTGAGCACTCTGGAGATGCAAGGGCTGAATGCCAGCAACATGCACAAGGACGAGGTCAAGAAGATAGTGTTGGTGCGGTCTGTGATACCCCCGTTCATCTACGATAGCTTGAAGAAAGAGACGCGTGAGGCGCTGGACGCAAGCGTGGCTGCGGGCGACAACACGTTCAACCACATCTACAACAAGTTCCTGAACCAGAACATCTCCGTGATGAAGGATGCCACGTCAGACATTGCGCAGATGGCAAAGAAGGGCAGCGCCATATTGCGCCAGCTCAAGGAAGAGTCCGAGCGCAATGCGAGCCGCGTGCGCTTCTGGGACCTGGAGGGTTCCAAGCTGGGAACGTTGCTACACTTGGATGACAACAAAGACACCTCGGCTACCTCTAAGAATGATGCAGGTGCCAGTGACCCCAGCAAGGATGGAAGCAACAGTAACAGCAAATACGCACAGCACTTGGGGGAGGAAGACTTGCCAGAAGACGAGATGGAGCAAAAGTTGAAGGACTACAAGACCAAGCTTCGCCAAACGCGCGAGCAGCTACCTGTTTTCAAGTGCCGAGAGGAGCTGCTGTCGTATATTGGCGAATTTCAGGTGATGGTCGTTGTGGGAGAGACGGGTTCCGGTAAGACGACGCAGCTGGCCCAGTTTCTGTACGAGGCGGGCTACTCGAAGCGAGGCATCATCGGCTGCACCCAGCCGCGTAGGGTTGCCGCCGTATCCGTTTGCCAGCGTGTAGCCTCCGAGATGGGCTCTAGGGTGGGCGACCTCGTCGGGTACTCGATCCGTTTCGAGGACCTCACGAGCAAAAACACGGCGGTAAAGTTTATGACGGACGGTATCTTGCTGCGTGAGACTTTGATGGATCCCGAGCTGGACCGTTACAGCTGCGTTATCATGGACGAGGCGCACGAACGCAGCCTGAACACCGACGTTCTGTTTGGTATCTTGAAGTCCGTGGTTGCCCGTCGTCGTGACCTACGCGTGATAGTGACCTCGGCCACCATGGACGCCGACAAGTTCTCCAAGTTCTTCGGCAATTGTCCGATCTATAAAATCCCCGGCCGCACATTCCCCGTCAGGATCGAGTACATGAGGTCCATGGGCAACGACTACGTGGAGTCTGCAGTCGACAAGTGCGTGTCGCTCCATATCTCCGAGGGCCCTGGTGACGTTCTGATCTTCATGACTGGTCAGGATGACATCAACGCTACGTGCGAGCTGCTGGACATGAAGCTGTACAAGGTGATGATGTCGTCTAACAGCAGCGACCTACAGCCGTTCTGCGTACTCCCGATATACAGCCAGCTGCCCAGCGAGTTGCAGCAGCGTGTCTTCAAGAAGTACCCATATCGCAAGGTGATTGTGTCCACCAACATCGCAGAAACCTCCCTTACGTTGGACGGTATCAAATTCGTGATCGACAGCGGCTTCTGCAAGCTGAAGGTGTACAACCCGAAGGTGGGTATGGACAGCCTGCAGATAACTCCCGTGAGCCAGGCCGGCGCCAACCAGCGTGCCGGTAGGGCGGGGAGGACTGCGCCCGGCGTTTGCTACCGCCTGTACACTGAGCGCACGTTTTTGAACGACCTGTTCGACAACAACGTACCCGAAATCCGGAGGACCAACCTCTGCAACGTGGTGTTGCTGCTGAAATCGTTGAAGGTGAAGAACCTCACCGAGTTCGACTTCATCGACCCTCCTCACATGGAGAACATCCTGAGCGCAATGCTGCAGCTGTGGATTTTGGGCGGCATAGACGAATTCGGGGAGCTCACCGACACCGGCCGGAAGCTGGTCCATTACCCGCTGGAACCTCCCCTGGGCAAGATGATGATCGCCGGCGAGAGAGAGCAGTGCCTGTCTGAGGTTCTGACCGTGGTATCCGTAATGTCTGCGCCCAACGTGTTCGTCATTGAAAATGAGTCCGATGCGCAGCGGGAAACCGCGGACGGCGCCACCAGGGAGAAGTTCATGGTCCCCGAAAGTGACCACCTGACTCTGTTGAACGTTTACAAGCAGTGGGTCGCTAACGGCCGTTCTGACTCATGGTGTGCCCAGCACCGTCTGCAGCCGAAATCGCTGCGACGAGCATCGGAGGTGCGGCAACAACTTCTGGACATCGTCGTGAAGCAGGGTATCGAGGAAACCACATGCGGCACAAACTGGGATCAAGTGCGCCGGGCGGTATGTGCGGGCTACTTCCACAACGCCTCTAAGCTGAAGGGCCTTGGCGAGTACACCAACCTAAGGAGCTTTGCACCGTGTTTCCTGCACCCATCATCGGCGCTGTACGGCATGGGATACACCCCTGACTACGTCGTGTATCACGAGGTTGTGATCACCAGCAAGGAGTACATGCGTCACGTCACCGCTGTGGATGCTGAATGGTTGTACGAATTGGGCCCATCGTTTTTCTATCTGAAAAACATTAACGCCGGGGAAAACGCACAGCGCAACAAGGACAAGCTGGAGAACCAGCGCCTGTTGCAGGAAATGCAGTACAAGCGCAATCGCCAGGAGACCCTGGAACGCGCCCAGCTTCCCGGAGCTGACAAGGGTAGTTCCGGTGTCACTTTCGGCAAAAGGAAGTCCAATACACGCTGAGACATTTGCACTGATTTTTGCAATGGCGGCATCACATTATACCACTCAATAACGTGATGCCGTCAGCATCCACGTCGCAAGATATAAAGATAAACAATACAGATTTTAATACACGTTTCAAACAGCATTTGATGCACAATATGGTTTTAGAACGACATTAACTAATGCATGTCTTTTGTAGCACGGTGTAGCTTCGGCTTCTTCGTTGTAGTACTCCAGCCTCACCTGAGGCGTTGGTTGAAGAAGTTGTATATGGCATGTGAATTAGCTTCTGGAAGGAATTGGCAAAGATCTGCCTCCTCCATTTCGCTGAGATGCCTTAGGGACGTCACCTGTAATGGCATGAGGTTGCCAAAAAAGTGCGTGGCGCCTCAACGTGGCAAATGCAACTCTTCACAATGCACCACTTATGAAAACATACCCTCGACAGTATCTCCGACACGTTGTAGCTGGTTACACCGGGTATCTTGCGGAGGATGCGGAGCGCATCCCTGTTGTTGACGTCTTCCGGCCTGCGGCGTTCAACGATGGCCTGCCCCGATCCCTCACCATCTTTCGCCCCGCAACGCGCCTGCGATATCAGCATATCATTTGTCGCTGCGTCGGGTTCTCCGCGACCTCTTTTCAAGGCAACGAAGATAGCGGCAGAGCTCTCTGGGCTCTGGCTCCAGATGAGCCTGAGTTTGGGGTAGTTGCAGCAGAGTATGCACAACTTGGAGTATATGTAGTTAATTCCGGTTGATTGTTCGTTGCAGGGAGACAGGTGGAACGACTCGGCATCGTCGAACTCCAACAAGAGGAACGGCAAGTCATATACGCTGCACAGCTCCTCGGCCTGATTGGTTTTGGGGCGCTTGTTACGTACGAATAAACCAACCTGTTGTGCAAGCCTTCCAGATCCCAGTGAACTGACAAGGTCACTGAGACTTTTGCGTTCGACGCAAATGTCCCTTGTCAGCAGGTAGTCCCCCATCTCCAACATCATCGGCAGTAGTTGTACTCCTTTGTAGTAGAGGTGGAAGGGCAGCTTGCTGTTAAACTCGCGCATGTCTATCACCACCTGCGGAGACGGCCTGGCGGTTGGTATAGGTGGTTGCAGCATATCCGCGAGCATGGCAGAAGTCTGAGTGGTTGCCACCGCAAGCGTTGTGGCCTTGCCCTGCTCCGCTCCCCCAGCCGCCTGAGAAGTTACCGGTACTATGGCCTGCGCCTTCTCGGGAGTATTCAACGGAGACGGTGTCGTCATTGGCGACTGAGCTACTGCAAGCTTTTCTGGCACTGCCAGTTGTGGGGGCCCGTTTACGTTGCTGAGCAGAACACTTTCATCGAAGGTGACTTGCAGCGTCTTCAGCTCCTGCTGTATGTCCTTCCAGCACCCCAGTTCGTGCTTAAGGTCACGTGCGAATTTGTGCGACTCGATGCAGTCGCGGTACGACAGTACGTAGACTCTAAGGCATACCCGCTGCCCCGACGCGGCCCTGAGCGCACAATACTGTTCGATCACTCGAAACACTTTAACATTGGGGCGACAAACCACCACAACGGTGGGGTTTAGGCGTTGTAACACGTACAAGAATTCCTGATGCGAACAGTTTAATGGCACTGGCTCATCGGCATCATCAGAGAGCAGTTTTCGCTCCATGATCCCTTTGAGCATTTCACTTCTTGTTTGCGATTGCGATACGTTTATTACCCTGGCTTTGCAGTTTACCATCTTGCTTATGTTTATCGTCAGCATGTAGGTGTTGTCTGTTGTGGGTATGGTGAAGCTGCTGGTTACCTTCTGCGCTGCCTTAATATCTGAATCGGACTCCGCGCTCTCTGCAGGGGAATCCATTGCAGCCTCATCAAGAGTGATTGGGTTGCCAAATTCAACATCGGCTGAGGCGAAGTCTCCGGCAGCATCCACCATTTCTCCATAGGTGCCAACTGCATCTACCGTTGACTCACCATCATCGAGTGCAATTTCATCCTTTTGACCCTCAGGGCTGCCCTCGCCATTGCGATCCTTATGTGCTTGGTATATTTCGTTGTATTTGGACCACACCACAAACCTATGCAGCAGCTTGTCAGTCTCCTTCCGGCTGTTGACCATGCTGCGGTGGAAATGCGCCTGCGCGTAGCCGGAAAACTTGCGTTCCTCTTGGTCTGCGTATTCAAAGCGATCCGCACGCCTCGCGGCGTACACCATGAACTTCCGTTCGTTGTATATTTTAAGCGACATTGTGAGGCTTGAGTTGAGATGGGATTGCAGGAAGTTGTTATCCGTAACCACGATAGCTCTCCTCGAGATCACACCTCCGCACTCGAAGAAGCGGCATATGCGCCTAATGTGCCTTGCCTCACGCCTACATAGGCAACGTCGTCGCCAGTGAAGAGATATATTCACTCGCGGGGGCGCAGTCTTGTACCGTGAAGGCCCCCTAAACGGCCGATTAGAAGCGTGCCAGTTCATGGCGGTGCGCAAAAGTTCTCCCAACTCCTCACATCCCACGTACTTGCCGCCTAGGATGCGGCGTATGCACTCGCCCTTCTGGTCCAGCTCCATGTTGACCTTCAGGCCGGCCTCAGTGTCGTTGCTGGGCTCGTATACGCGCGCTGTGGCCAGCTTGTATATGGTGGCACCCAGCGGTGTCCACAGCCAATGCGACTCGCTTTCCGCCATCTTCATATCCTCAGCGAAGTTGAGGAAGCTGAGCGCATCCATGTTGATTAGCTGGTCTAGAAGCATGCGAAGGTTAGTGATGCTCATCATTGTGCGCTTGACGTGGAACTCGTTGGGTATGTGCGCCCGCTGGAGTGCGTTCACCAGCAGCGTCTTCACGTTGTTGGTGTACATGATCGTGTTCATATCCAGCTTCTGCAGTTCTTGCGAGCCTTGCCGCTGCATATCCGCCACCAGTCGTTGCAGCACCTGTACGATCGCCTGGTGAATCTGCTTGGCACCATCACTGAGGTGCATGCTCATCTCGAACGTCTCCGGCTGCACGCTGGGGTCGTTGAGCACCCTGTCGTAGCAGCTGCTGCACCTCGGGAATATAAAACAGTCGGCGGTGAACAGCGACTTCAGGATGAAGCTCAGTTTTCTACCTTCGCGCAGGGAGACGACGTTGTCCGTCATGGCCTTGATGAACGCCAGCCGGTTCCTGGTCCGCAACAGTTTGATCAGGAAAGGTATGTTGTAGTCCTGCATCATGCGGTGCGCGTTCACGATAATTATCCCGCTAACAAGCTCAGGCGCCAGTTTCGCAGTCAGCAGATCTACCAGGAGAATGCGCGGTGGCAGCCCGAAGATGCCCCCCTCTATGTACATCTTCTCCCTTTCTTGGGCGACCACAGTCCCGTCGATGAACCTCGGCTGCGGTATTTTCACGCACATGTTGTTCGGCGTTTCCGAGGTGCTGTGGCATAGGTTCTTGACGAGATGTGCGAACTGCCTCGCCGTTGACACCGCCTCCTGGTGCCCGAGACCTAAGATCAGGATGAGCCTGTTGCCGACCTCCACAGCACTGCGCAGCTTCAGGTTCTGAAATACATGCGGTATTATAGTCCCATTACCATCAGCTGCATCACAACCGTCGCCTGAGGCCAGATCGAAAATGCCGTGGTACACCTTGCGTGAGCGCAGTGCCAACTCGGCATTTTGCAGGCACAGCGGCGGTTGCTGGCGTGGAAGGTCGGACGAGACCTCCACTCTGCACTCGGAGGCATCGCTGTCGTAGACGTGGAGCGGGTTGACGACGTACAGCAGGAGGTAAAAGAGCAGCCTACTGCAGTCGGTGCCCGGCGAGAGTATGAGCAGGGCATTGGTGACACCTTTGCGGTGCCCCGCCCCCTTTGCCCGTCGCTTACGGCATTTCTCTATGGACAAATCGGCGCGCGTGAGCACTCCCTGGGCGATGTGTTGGCATACCAGCTCCTGCCAGGTCGGCACAAATCTGCGCAGTATCGCCTTCTCGAACGGCAGGGGCTGCATTCCCGCGATGCGGGCTATCCCGAGTTGTTTCCAACGCCAATTGCGCCTATTTCCGACCTGTAGACATGTGCCTTCGTGCCACTTGCCACCTACACCCTAGATGTGTGTCGCGTCAACGGGCGGCCGTGCGAGTGCGAATCTCCCGCGGCATTCATATTATGACGGCGCAACAACTTCACATCTGTTAGTGTTTTTAAAAAGACGTGTTCCCTTAAGGGATACGCGTTGTCACGATCCCTTATCGCAACGCAAAATCGCTCAGTGCCATTTGCGTACGCTTATGCGACATCTTAGTTCCGTTACAATATATAACAACGACAACTTACAAAAATGGCGCTAAATCCTGTCCTTGCGCAGGATATCCACTCGAGTTCGTTTTGCGTACAACGTGTTTTACAGTATCGCAGGGCAACTCATCCCGCACTGCAGCCGCGGCGAATATCTGCTGATGTGTCGTACCGGGACATCCTTTACCCTTTCAGTAGGCGCACGGTACGTTGACGCGCATTTCAGCTTCATTTTCTGCAGCTCGATGAAGGGTGCGGGCGACACTTTCCTGACGACACATCGCATCGTCCTCGTGAAAAAGATGGACAAGAAGTTCAACAAGGCCTTCTCAAGCGTATCACTGCCGTACTCTCACGTTGACGAGCCCCGGTTCCGGCAACCTATCTTCGGCACCAACTACCTCGAAGGCAGCATCCGACCGGTTAGTCCAGCATGCCAACAGTGAATCATTGCTTGCATTTGTTCGTACCAATACTCTTGTTGCTATATTGCTGGCGTGCTTTAGTTGCTGCAAGCACTGTTTCGTAAGAGAGTTGTCTGTAATGTGTGTACGCTAGTGGTTGCAAATGCGGGGAGTACTGCTGCAACCAAGTGATGTTGTTTTGTGCCGTATTTTCGTTGGCGCCTCTAATCTCTCCGCAGGACACCACGGCGCCGTTTCCCTTGATAAAGGCGGGAAAATTCTACCTCTACTTTGATGGCGGCTGCGGGAACTTTTTGCAGGGGTTCTTCATGTACTACGCCCGGGTGCGCAATAACCCCGGGTACATGGTGAATGCGCACCCAATGATGGATGCCCCTGAGGCGCGGAGCGCCTTCGTAGACCCGAACGACCCAACACACGTCTACCTGAGTCAGCCAGAAGAGATTCCAGCTGCAACTCCTCCTTCCGTCCCGTATGCGGCTCCAAGTGGACCTACACCTTCAGCTCCTCCTCTAGCTCCTGTTGCCGCCGCGGCCGCAGCTGCAACCTCCCGAGCTGAAAATGCTGCTACTGCTACTCAAGCGGATAACTCTACTCCGGCTGAAACCCCCGCTCAAGGCGAAAACTCCGCCCAGGGCGAGACTCCCGCGGAAGGCGCAGCACCTGACCCAGCCGCGGAAAATAGGAGACTTCGTCGGGAACGAGGAGCGAACATCATATCCGAAATATTCGCTACGGGCATCCCGATACTGTTTTAACTGTCTTAATGTTTAGACAATGTAATGTGTACGTGGAGGTGTGTCGCCAACTAGTGGTGTAGGTATGGTGTTGGCGAACGTCCGCGACCACTTCATTTTCCAATGTCAGTATTTTTGGTGAGAAATGTGAGGGTTCATCGCGCCCTGGCGGCGATTCTGCCGCGGCTGAGGTTGGTTTTACGTGCTGTCCTCAACGCGACGCTCGTCTCCTTCTGCTTTCTCTCTGACTTCTTTCAGCACGATAGCCTTCTACGCCGCACTCGTAGCTCTGCTGATGCTGCCGTTGTTCGGCGAGGAAGCCAGCGTCAGCGAGCACGCGTATCTCCATGGCTTCATCCCGGACACACTGACCTACTCCGATCGCCTGTTCATGGTGGAAGCGATGTCTTCGCTTTCGTCGGCATGCAGGCAGGGATCAACAAGGTCCAATGAGAAGACTATGGGACTGCCAGGATTCTCTAGATGGACTTCCGAGGCTCCCGCCGATGCCCCGGCGGTATACACCGCCATCGAGGAACTCGTGCGTTCCACGATTCCCAGGGCCGAGGTTGCGTACAACGACTTCAGGTACGTGGTATGGGCGTTTTTATGTGACCGTGAGTCAGGTATGTGTTTAACAACGGCCTCGGAGTGACCGGCAGTTCACTACTGCTGCACCTCAAATGCGCGCGCTGTTCGTCATACGGCGCTTCCCTTGTCGTGGCAACCGTCGACACCGGCTCTAAGAGCGACTTTATGGTGGATCAACAGGGATACCTGACTGTACCCAAAGGTGAGTAACCGCTAGTGAGACCCCACTGCATGTGTCGACAGGTGGAGCCGCTGAAGCTACTGGAAGGTGCATGTCATCTATACACGGAGTCGCAGTGGCTCTGTCCGCTCTAAAAGGTGTCGCTCAATTCGACAACCAGCAGCAGGACCTGATGTTACTGATTACCGAACGCAACCTGCCGTATGCAGCGGGCACACGGCAGTTCCTGGACGACTATTTCAGCCGGCCCGACTTCAAATGGCACAGTGGCTGGTTGCACAACGCCCTCGCATTGGATCTGGGATACGGTCGCTGCGGGAGTTACGAGGTGACGTACGAGGGCCTGGACGGCGCCGTGCCGAACCCGGACGTGGTGATATCGTTCCTGTCGACGGCGGGGACAGCTGACTTGGATGTCGAGCCCGCCGACGTGTGGGCAAGGATAGGACGGATGTCGGTTAATTCGCTGCCACACCTGCCGCATGTGGCGATGTTGCCGCGTGGCATCTCCTCCTTCACGCTTACATGCGCGCGGCGTGCGGACCGCGGCGAGGAGAACAACGCAGAAAAGCTGCTGCGCGCCCTCACCCCGACCATACGGATGCAGAACAACCTGGATACTGTGCTGGAGCGCAAGTCCAACTACTACCAAATGGTATCGCAAGACGAGTACCTTACGGAAGGCTCATACCTGCCCATCATCCCGGCGCTGCTGCTCGGGCCGACAGTGGAGCTTCTATACTCCGCTTACACGTGGGATTTCCACACGTTCATGATTGGGATAGCTGTGTTCGTCTTCAATGCGTGTATGGGGTCGTTGCTATCTTATCTGTGTCTATTAAGGGTCGCTGGCACGGATTTCGACAGTCTAGACTCCTCCAACCTGGGTTATACACGTGTTGCATTGGCATTACTGCTGTTTGGCTACGCATTTGTTCTTATCGCGATCCGGTTGTTGTTGCAGCACGTCATCCCACGTCGCGCGTTCGTGGGCTTCTCCGCCGACCGTCCGGTGCTGGTCCGAAGCGAACTGCTGTCGAAATTAGGCTACAATATACCGCCAAATAGCGTTTTGGCGCGTGTGTGCAAGCGAATTCTCGTGCCATTGGGAGCTTTGCTCGGCAAGCTGAGAAGTGTGATACATTCGATTCTGCCGTCCTCTATTCGGGAAGCCATGGAAAGCGCGAAGAAGAGGGCCCCTTCGAGGTTTTCGCTAATGCTGCAGCAGTGGAGGGCGCGCCGGCTGGCCGCCCGCTCGCCTATCGCACCTACCGAGGAGAAGCCCATGCCGGAGGAGGAACCCGTTGCTACCGATGCCGGAGAGGCCGTGCCCGAGGAGACCGTAGTGGAAAACCCGACGGTCGAGGATGCATCTGACGAGGCAGAATCGCAACGCTTGCTGGATTCGATGGGTGGGACGCAGTTGGCGTGTCCGACGAACACCGGTCTTCCGGCTCCCAACGTGATCGCTGGAATTGGCACGCTGTTCTTCGCCTTGGTCTTCTTGTACAGCCTGATGATCTTCCACTGGCCGTTGGCAGTCGTTCTGTCGCTGACGCTGCTGCCAGCGCTGCGCCGTGTGCGTGTTTGGAATCACACCCGCAGCAAGTGCTTGGTTGACATTTTCGTCTGCCTGAACTACCTGGTCTTCATTTCGATACTCGCATCTACCAGGAGGGTCTTAAACTCCAAGCATCGGGAACTGCTTAACGCCGCTTTTAACACAGGGCCTCTGGGCGCCCTCAGGTACGTCCTTCGCGCTGTCTACAGACTCTACCTGCTTCTGAGGAGGAACTCCATCACCAGGCTAATTTCCATTCTGCGCGGCCCGTTCATCTCGCAGAAGGTCTTCTCCATTGCACAACAGCACGTGCTGCTCGGCTCCGGCGCGTTCCCGCTGATCTGGTTCTGCGCGGTCCCCGTGGTCTTCCACATAGGCCTGATTGTCGTGTTGACCCGCTACTCCCAGCCATAGACAGCACAGTTTTAATTTTTAGTACACTTTCTAGACACAATGGCGCGCAAAAAGGCCGATGGTCCGGATCCCCGGACCCAGAAGCAGGCCTACAAGGCGCAGAAGAAGCGTGAGCGCCGCTCGCTCAAAATTATCGATGCGCCGGAGCGCACACCGCGAAAGCGGCGCATCCGCAACCGGGACCCATCTGAGAAGCAGGTCCCAAGCACCATCGAGTCGATGCGCCGCTTCGACGAGACGCTGGTGCGCCCAGACGACGCGGAGGTTGCTGCAGAAGAGCGTATCGACGAGTTTGCGGCCCACTTCCGAGGGGAGACTGAGCCCAAACTCTACCTTACAACCTCCAGGTAAGCCCCGTTCGACCTTCCTGGTTCCTTACGGAATTTTGCTTTCATGGCGCATTCATGTGTCTACAGACGCCCGAGCGAGAAGATGCGCAGGTTCATCAAGGAGCTACTGCTGATACTGCCGAACATCTACTACTTTCCAGTTGGTTCACAAGTGTGCATTATCATCTCTGGATAGCGTGATGAATACAAGCTCGAGCAGATGGTAAAAGAAGCCTCTGGCGCCGGCTTCACGGCGATGCTGCTGGTGACCCAGGGGCTCCACAAGCTCCCCAATGGACTATACATATGCTCATTGCCAGGTATGATGCCCCAAAGCAACAGTGAATGAGTAATGACAGCCGGACCGACTACATTTTACCGCCTCACCAGCCTGGTGCTCGCCAGCGACATGAAGGGGTCCGGCAATTTCACTGAAAGCAAGTCGGAGATCATCCTCAACAATTTCAACACCCGAATTGGCCGTCGAATCGGTCGACAAATCGCATCGTTATTCCCGCTGGTAAGTCGTAGTTCTATTCCGCTAAATGCGCGCAGGACCCGGAGTTTGAGGCGCGGCGGGTCATCACCTGGCACAACCAGCGTGACATGATCTTCTTCCGCCACCACAGGTAACAGGAGCAGCAGTACAACTAAGTCTCGCAGATATGTCTTCCGGAACGAGAAAAAATGCTCGCTCATGGAAATCGGTCCACGATTCACTCTGAAGATGCACTCCGTTCAGGTAGGCGCGCCGCTGCATAGGCACAAATTACGCAGGAGGGCACCATGGACCTAGAGAAGGGCCTCTTTGAGTTCGTGTGGAGGCCCGATCTGCAGGTCGATCGCAAGACGTTCTTCGTCTGAGAGCGTTGCACCCAGGCTCCACCCACCACAGCCGGGGCACAATGGCGTTCACTGTGACACGTGGACGCAGAAACAGAGCTGTGCAATATGCGCAGAATGGTTGCGCTAAGTGCTAACCCCAAACAAACAGTGCATAGTTAATTGTGCGCAAAGTTAAATTCGTGTCACTGGCGTAGTCTGCTAACACGCCTTATCAGGGCGCATTCAGGCCGCCTGCGCAAATGGCGCTCGTGCGATGTACTTGGCCTTGACCTTTTCGCTGTCCACAGACGAGGTTGGGTGCGGCGCTTTGAAGGTGTGGTACTCCTCGTCGACGACAGAGAAGACGTTGAACTTCACCTTTACGTAGCGTGCCGGTTCGTCGTCATCCTGTGGCTGCAAGGGGGCCGGCTTCTGCTTGACCTTCTTCACCTTGCTGGCGGCCGGGTGCTCCGATTTCGCAGCTGCGAGGCGCGCGGCCTCGGCGAGGTCAATGTCGTCCTTGCCTACGAAGGACACCGACTTGTACTTGGGAATCCACACCTTGGCGCCCTTTTCCGGTTGCGGCTCCTCCTTGACCGGCGGCTCAGTTATTGGTTGCCAGACGTGTTGCGTGGGCTTAGCGTCGGCTCTTGGTCCCCGCTCCTCAGCCCCGTCGCCGGTGACCGTGCGCACCGACATCAGGAGGCTCCCCGAGAAGGTAGCCTGCTTCTGGATCGCCTTGGTTTCCTCATCATCCGACACCTTCCATTCGTCGTCATGATCGGACTGCTGCTCGGGCAGCGGCTCCTCCTTTCCGGCCTTGGCCTTCTGCTTCTGCTTGGCCGCCTCCTCGGTCTGCAGCAGCAGCGTAGCTGCCTTGACCGTGCTCTTTTTGCGGCGATCGAGGAACGATGCCAAAGATTTGCTCATTTTTGATTATGGTAAATAAAAGTGAGCCGGGTGGCTCGCGGCGCCTTACAGCCGACGGTGGCGGGGCGTGCGTCGCCTGCGGACAGAGACTATCTATGACGATGTCGATGATAAGTGAATTTCCCGCTCTAGATATAGCGTATTCGTAAACTGTTAATGGAAACAGGGCAATGTGTGTTTCCTGATCTGCGTGTAGCGCTGTTGTCTATTACTGGTCAACCATCTGCCAATATATGCGTTGATTTTGCTTAGTGTCGCAACGCTGAGGCCTCGGTATGTTATATGTAACGATATGTAGCACGATAGTACACATAATACGCAAAATATCGTTGCATATTGCCCGGGTGGCCTGTGACGTACCAACCAGGCATGACGCTAACCGCCCGTCAGCAGGCACATGAGCAGCGTCAATCCAGCGACTACTGTGAGATGCAATAAGTGCAACTAGTTTGTGTTAGGAAAGCAGCGTGTAAAACCTATATAAATCATTAAATAATTAGTCACTTGCATTACTAATGGAAGTGGACATTCACTCCCATAGACTGCAACCGCCTGCTCAGCGCTCTGTATGTGCTGGCCACGTCTTCGTCTAACCGGGCGTGCTGCAGCTTGTGGAACAGGTTTTCCAAAACGCGCGTGTTGATCTTCTGGAGCACCGCGAGATCGGCACCGGCGTCAGACATGCTGCCGTCGAGGTGGTACATGTCACGCAGAAGATCCGCCGCTTCGGCGTACAAACTTCCCCGTATGACACCCTGAATCAGGGTCTCATAGGTCTTGGCATCCGGCTTGATGCTACCGTCCTTTACGCAGCGGTAGATGTCGAGGGCCGTCGAGTACCGCCCGTTGGTGATGCACGCGCTCATGAGGCACGTGTACACGTGGGCGTTGATGGTGAACCCGTACTCGACGGGAAGGCGACCGACAAGGTCGAACACCTTATCCAGCTGGCCGCTTCTACCGTACATTTTGATCAGTATAGTCAGCGTGAAGTTGGAGGGCGCTATGCCGTGCAGGCGCATTTGTTCCCACAGTTTTTCACAGAGCCACAGTCGTCCACTTTTCACACACCCTTCCAGCAAGCTGTTGTACAGGATGCCATCCGGCTTGATGCCGCGCTCGTACATGATGCTGAGCAGCTGGAACGACTGGTCCATGTTGCACTGCACGCAGTAGCCCTTGATGATGGTGGAGAAGGTGATCAGGTCAGGCTCGATTTGGTTTATCATCATTTCCTCAAGAAGCGAAGCGGCAGCCTTCATATCGCCAACGCGAGCACAGGCGTCAATGATGGAGTTGTAAGTCACGGTGTTGCGCGCAACACCCTCCGATACCATCATGTCGTAGATGCTCATCGCCCTGCTCAACTGCCGGTTCTGCCCGAAACCCTTGATGAGCGTCGTGTACATAATAGTGTTAGGTTTGACGTTACCCTTTTGCTTCATCTCCTGGAGCAGCGCCATGGCCTCATCCATCCGGTTGTTGCTCACGTACGCATCCAGCATGATACCGTATGTCACCTCGTTGGGCTCGTGGGAGCCGTTGGCAGTCATTTCCTCCCATATCTCCTCGCACTCCGCTATCCTTCCGCAGCAAGCCAACGACTTTATGATGACACCACAGGTCTGCAGCTGGGGCTGTAGACCCATGCGCCTAAACTTGTTGATTAACCTAAGCAGCCTCTTCGAGTTTTTCAGCCTTAAGCAGCAATCCAGCGCAACCGAGAACGCACCTTCGTCAAGATTAAGCCTTTCGCAGAGGGTGACGAATTCCTCGACTTTGTTTCGCGAGTGCAAGTGTGGCGGCAGCATCTGCAGGAGCTCCGAGAGCTCCTCGCTGATCCTGTCCATGACATCGCAGTGCCTGAGGAACTCCAAACCGATTTCAAAGTTGAGCACCGAAATAGCAACCCGCAGCCCAAATTCGGCAACGCCAGCGTAAACGTTACGGTTCATGCGATCGCGGAAAATGCTACCGAGCCTATCCTTCTTAACCAGCCTCTCCAGAATGTATCGGAAGTTTCCGCGCAGCAAGTGGAGCTTAATGCAGCTCACGACCAGCGGCGACGGTATGTGGCCGTAGTACTCGTTCATGTACCTCAGCACCCCCTCCGCCGCGGCGTGGTCCTCAATCAGCAGGCAGGTCTCCAAAAGCGGGGAAAACATCTCCTTTCCGCAGCCAGACACAGCCGTGCAGACGCCAAGCAAAGTCGAAGGAATGCTGGGACCAAGCTGCTGGATAAGCGAGTTAACGCCAACGCAAGACAGGAACTCAAAGTCGCCGAAACCAGGCATGCACAGCGCCTCCGGCACGATGCTGCACAGGTTCTGCTGTGCTGACAGGCAAATCTTCAGCACGGTGGCGCCTGACTGGGACAGGTGGTGCCCCAAGGAAAGGGCGCACAAGAAATCGAGAGCGCTGAGCGAGTTGATATTGATAAGCCGGCTGACCACCGTTACGTATGAGGAAGTTGCGTGCTTGACCACGTATTCCATGAACGTCACGTTTGTACCCTCACCCTCCAAAATCGCTTTAATGCAGCTGTCCGCCTTATCGTTGGCCAGGCCGCAGCAGAGCAGCTTGCAGGCCCTAAATCTGCTAGTGGTGGACACTTCATTGAATACATCCAGGGCACATATCCGCTGCACGGTCCCGACGACATCCATCGAGTGCGACACATCATCTACTTCCCTGAAGAATAACTCCACGAGACGGCTTCTGCGTGCCCCCAAAGGTTCGGGGCCGCAGTCACTGAGTACCGAAACGAAGTTTGACAAAGGCTCCACTGTAGAGTCCTTCGACGCCTTTATCACGCCCTTAACAAACAACAACATAACCTCCTCGCTCTCCGGAACGTCTAGCGGGAGTTTCGAGAGTAAGCTGCGCAGCAGCCCGACGGCCTCGGACGAGCACAGGGAAAGCAGCACCTGCGCCTGATCGTTCGGAGCCAGGTACAGTCCCGAGTGCCACGCCACCTGCAGAAGCTGCCCGGCGAAGTACAGCTGGCCTTTGAGCATGCAAAACCGGAGCAGCGCTGCGACCGAAGCGGGCGAGAGCACAGCATCCGGCAAATTAAATTCACTAGCGCAAAGAGTAGCCAATTCCTTCTGTGCCAAATCGTCGCCGTCCATACAACGGCCTAGGAGTTTCCCCACACGATCGGCGAAGTCGCAGCCGATTTCAACGGATCCGGCGCCCAGTGGAGTTAGAACATCCTGGGTCGCCACGGTTTCTATGGAAGCCAAATGGGTCAACGGCGTCTCCGTTTGAGCCGCTGCCTTTTCCTTGTCGGCGTAGGAAGCTGAGTCCGCCGCCAGCGCCTGTGCCAGTGAGTCCAGGCACATCACGCTCTCGCCGTAAGCAAGCTTGCTCACTGAATCAACGCCGCTCAAGCTTCCACATGAGCTCATGTCAAAGCCCGAAAGCGATGTGCTGCAAAGCCCGGAATCTTCCCCAGTGTAAAGACCCTTGGCAAGCGGGTCCGGGGAGTCGGAAAGCGACCTGCCAAATGCATTGTCGAAGTTAAAATCCCTTTCGACGCACGAGACCGGTCCACGGAAGATAGTTTTCAACCTCGTGAAAATGGGGTCGTCGGCATTGCTCATATCCTCATTAGCATCCTGCTTCGAGTGTCTGCCGAATGAGCGAGACTTCTCCTCGCCCAACAAGGCCCTGCCGCCGCGAGCGGCGGTGAACGCACGTGAATCAAACGTTCCTTTAGCCATTTAAACTGCTTCCATTATAACATACAGGCAAAGTGCTGCTTTTGCAGTTGTCCGCCCTATCCTCACACTGCCATTTAACAAAACGGATATCAGTTCAGCCTCCGAGAAGCGAAGCTGGAAGTGTTCTCAGCCGCCACTCTTGAAATGACGACCGGCCATCGGATTCCTAGACAAAGAAGCCTCAACGTAGAACGTAGCAGCGAGAAGCCTGGTGAAGTGTCTGCGAAACTCGGGGTTCAGAAGGTAGAGCGAAACAACGACAATCACTCGTTCTAGCAGCAGCAAGTTACGTCGACCTTGTCTTCAAGATCAGAACGTAACCTTAATGTGGCGGGACAACGTATCCGGCCTCCGGTGTGTCGTGGACAGAGCGCGTCGAACAAACTCAAAACCTTAAAGGGGTGTGGAAGGCTGCGAAATTACGGCAAGGCCGTTTCGCGGCGAGCTGTAGAGTGAAAACAAAACGCAACAATGTGTATTAATGCCCGACGACGTGGTGGGAGCAACACACGGCTTATAAGTGGTACAGCATCACAAACCCCGCGCACACGGAGCTCGCGCCCTTCCCCTCGTTCCCACAAAGGAAGACACGGAATACATGCGTCCCGTTTTTGCGGGGCTTTGTATCTAACGTTTATAGAAGCCGGCGGACGCGATTGGCGCCCGGCGACCACGGTGACGCGACGTAGAAAACGACACGTCAGACACATTGTCATGACTGGGATAAGGCCATATCGCGGCCCAGATAGCCACACACACGCTGCACATCTAGTTTATGACAACAATGGTCAAATTGGGACCGTAGGACAGCCATTAGATGGCCCCTTTCGCAGCCGACATCACAGGTGCTGTCCGCCGTTACCTAGGGCCGTGTCATCTTCGTGTCTACTCCGCGGCCAGTAGGTCATATGGCACGACCCCTATGTCATTACCAATATTACGGAGTAACAATGCACATTGTCCGGCCACGTCAGACAGCACACGTGTCCTGACCTGCCATCTGCGCCGCTATGCAGCTGGCGTGACCCAGGATGGTCGCCGGCCGCAAGTGAGGGTGCCGGACGTTAGCTCAACGATCGTTTTAAGCAGCGCGTTATGGTAATACGTGCACACCGAGCAGAGAGCCGTGATTCGGCCTCCATCCAGCAACTGCGCCCCGCAGCCGTCGGCGGTGCCTATTCGTCTTCCTCTGCGCAGCTGCGGCTCGATGGATAGAGTCGCCGATCGTAGACCCGTTGTGAAAGTGTCTTCGCCAAGAACTGTCGCAACAGTCCCAGAGTCGGGTGTCAGCCGTGAGCAGAGAGCACACGCCGACGCCGGTGTCGCGAAAAGTGTTGCTGGTGCTGATTCCGACGACTGGCCAGCAACTTTGCCTCAGTGTTTCGCAGCTGCCGACATTTTGATCGCCAAAGATGTAAGAAAGCCCCTCCCCGTGTTTGACGGACCTCAGGAGGCAGTCGACAGCAGGCTAGAATTGACCGAGCGGGCGCGTGTGCATGGTTCGGCGGATTCCGATTACCTAGCAGAAGGCTTTCTAACGCCATTATCCGACTTTGACGCCGGGAGTTACTACCGCGGGCTCTACACACAGGGTCCCGGGTACCTTGTCGCGTCCGACATCGGTTACGAAAGGTTAACTGACGACGCTCCAGTGTCATTTCGCACACCGGAGTGCAAGTCACCCGCGTCATTTGATAGGTTATTCTCGTGCTGTCTGTCGCTGAGAATACCGACCCCGCAGTCGGAACGGAGTACTCCGAGAGTTGAATCATCGCAGCCATCAGCGAATGTGCTCCCCGATGCTGCGCAGCGGCTGATAGAGTTAGAGCAGGAGGGTTTCAAGCGAGAAGAGAGCCTACCTCTCGCCCCGGAACGTTCCAACAGCTTTGACACTGTTTTCGCCAACCACGAGGGCAGCGTCACAGACGATCATCCGCTGCTTGACGAGACCGTTGGTAATACGCCTGAGAAGAAAACCAGGCGTTTCTTCAGACGTCTACCAACCAAAGCCGATATCGAGGCTGATAAGGCGATTGTGCGAAAGTGGTTTGAGAAAACAGCAAACCTGCGCACCATCACGGTCACGGCTGGATCTCGACACGTAACATCGTCTCAGCATCCGCCTGTAAAGCTAGTGAGCAAATCCGAAACTAAGGAGTTTGATTCGTATTTTCTTGCCGGCATTAGGGAGTTTGATAACAACGGCTACTCATCGAGACACTCCAGCAATTACGAGCTACCGATTCAGAATCCCGTTGTACGAAGGGATACTGTAAAAGCGCCTTCACTTGTACGGCGCAGTGAAGCACCGCGTACTGAACTGGTGCAACCCCTATCCAAATCTACCACTGTTTCTGCGCCGTCGACACGGCAGGTTCACCTGAAAAGGGCCGAGCTCAGGACACCGCCAGCGCCCAAAGTAGAGCTTACTGAGAGACGACCTCTGCCACCGAGATTAATAAGGAAACCGTTAATATTCCCAAGGCGTCGTAGAAGGAGAACAATGGACGCCAACGGTCTCAAGGACGTGGTCCGGGCCGACGATGGCCAGCACAAGGATCAACAGCAGTATCAAGAGCAACACCTGGATCAACAGAATGAGCAGCCTGAGGAGCAACGAGTTCAACAGCCTGAGGAACAGCAATACGAACAGCAAGGTGAACAGTCAGAGGAACAGCAGTACGAACAACAAGAGGGTCAATCGGATGCACAACAATATCGGCAACAAGAGGGACAGCAGCAGCCTGAGGACGGTCAGGAGGAGCAACAAGAGGGACAGCAGAGTCCCGAGGAGGGGCAAGAGGAGACTATTGAGCAAGATGTCAGTGTCAACCCAGTGGTCCCTCGCATTTCGGCATTGTCTGGCGAGTACATGCCCATGGCCGAAATCATTTTGGTGACTACTTCGCTCGGAGGCATAAAGCACCAATTCTTCCAGTCTAACCTGGCACGCCACCTTCTGGATTGCAAGGGCGTTGTATACTACGTCGTGGATGCAAACCGCGATTTCACCACCGCCACAACGCTGAAGGACCATGAATTGTTCGAGAAATGGAATGCCACGGGCATCCTAAAAACGGAAACTATCGGCCAGCGCAGCGCGGTGGTCATTCCGCAGCTGATCATCGACGGTGTTTCTGTCGGGAACACTACTGCCATGCAGGACCTGGAGGACGACGGTGACCTCGACTACATCATTGCACGGATGTTGTGCCCCAGTTGCCTGGCGGAGAAACCGCAGGACGCCGTGCAGTGCCCGAGCTGCAACGTGCAGTACGACATGCTAGTGCCGCCGGAATACTGCGACGGTGTAGACATACAGCGCATATGCCAGGGGGCGATGTTTAGCGCCGACGACAATGCAGAATAATAAATTATATTACACAGGTTGTGCTCTTAGACAACCTTACATGTTTTTTGGTGCTGGGTGGGGCCGCCCCTGTGCGGCTGAGTTTCTGCGAGGGTTTGCTGAAGGCGCGGGGGACGTCGCCTTCTTAGGCGTACGATCACCACTCGTTTTGGGTGGCCTATCACCGCCCATCTTAGGCGTACGATCACTGCTAGTCTTGGGTATACGGTCACTGCTTGTCTTGGGCATCCGATCAGCGCTCGCCTTGGGTGTACGGTCACTGCTTGTCTTGGGCATCCGATCAGCGCTCGCCTTGGGTGTACGGTCACTGCTCTCCTTTGGTATCCTGTCATTGTTCGCCTTGGGCATCCGGTCGCCAGTCATCTTGGGCGTTCTATCACTATTCGTTTTGGGTGCCCGGTCATTGTCCGTTTTTGGTGGCCTATCACCGCTCATTTTGGGAGGCGGTTTTACGCCTGCTGTATTCGGTTTCGGAGGCGGAACGCCCTTTCCTCGGGCCTTTGCTGGAGGAGGCGTTACCCTGGGAGCCGCATCTTTGGCTGCGGGCGCTTCACTGGAGTCTCGCCGCGATGCTGCCTTGGGGTGAGGGAGAGCCTTTTTGTCAGGCGGTAACTTGTATGCCGATTTAATTAGCTTGCCCTGTTTTGGGGCGGCGGCTTTGATAACTTTGGCGCCCGTATCCTTTGCGGGCGCTCCTTTGGCACTCTTTGGTGGTGGTGGCTTGAGCGAGAGCTTGTTCAAATCGATGGCAGCCTTGAGGGTGGATGTGTCCAGCGGCTCGAATTTTGGAGCATCACTGACTATCCTCCGGGCGCCGTCCGAGAAGCGCTGGAAGTTAACCTCGCGCTGTATTACCCACGGTTGGTGCAGTTCGGGTACAACGCCTCCGAGCACCTCGTAGTGGTTGGGTCGCAGAACCGCGATACCATCCGTATGCACTAATTTTCGCTCCGTCAGAAGCACCTTTGTTCCAGGAGCAAGAGAGACGATGGGCATCTTTGCATCTAACAGCACCGCATGGAAGTTGATCTGCCCTGTAGTGAGCGTAACCTTGTAAAGCGGATTGCCTGTGCCATCCTTCCTGGCCACACCATCCTTTGGCTGAGTCACATCAACCACCTTCAGCACTTGACACAATAACGGGCGCGGTAATGCGTCCAGCTCAGTCGACGACGCCACTCCGCCCTTTCCACCGGCATTATCAGCACCGCTACGTATAACGCAGATATCCGTATTCAACAAAACACGTTTCAGAGCAGTGGCGTTGGTGTCAACGCCAGCCTCCCGGGCTATTTCAGTAGCCTGCGCTGGCGAAATCTCAAGATTCCACTCACGGCGAATCGCCTGCAGGGCCTGTGCCAAATTAGACATTTCCCCAGCTGTCGTAAAATGAACTTATCACGATATCCTCTATCTGGTTTTCAACCAAAAGCTTAAACGACGCGAATTCAGCGGTCAACCATATAGCATCATTCCGACGTTACGTGAAGCAGCGATGTAAAACGGATCGCAAACAACCGACATATTTAAAAGTTCATATACGTCTCAGCGACAAAATAAGTAGGAAATATAATTGCTTCTGATGGAAATGTGTACTCTGTTTGGTCTGCCCTACCGGTATAGATGGGAGAGGATGCTGTGTTGTATACCGCATTCAATACCACTAAATAAAAACATTTAACTAGTACATACTGTGAAACGTGTCCGACGTCCTGCAAAGGTCATATACGAGTCAGACAGTGGTAACAACGCAATACCAAAAAAAGGATTAGATAAACGGGAGGCATTTTCCCAGTATACTGAATGTGGAAGGCGGTTATGTTTTGTGTATTTTAGAAATGTGTTTTGAATGACCGGGTCATCCGTACAGTATCTTAGCGAATCGTATTGATGTCGATAGAAATGTGCACCGTACACACAATACTGGAATAACGCTTTTCCGTCCTTGTTCTGATTTTCTAATTTCAAAAACCAAAACTGTGCTTTGAAAATCAACGGTGTTCGCGACCGGGTGCCTCTGTCGAGCCTAGACGGCTAATAATGGCACGGATTGCCCAGACTGGGCACATAGCACGGTTTCAGATTTATTCTGCGCTTTTTAATGCAATAATAGCGGCAGTTGTAGGTTAATAAGCCTAAACAATAAACGTTTTTATCACGCACTGTGAAAGAGCAGACGACATCCAATCTTCACGCACTGCGACCCGGTGCCGTAGCTTCCACCGTGCAATACCGATGTTGTTGCACCCTCAAAGCAACATCTTCGACAACAAAATTAATCTGCGTCTGAATTAAATTGAAAAAAAATAAAACAACAAATTTGTGCAACTCGGCAATTGAGGATACGTCGAGGAGCACTAATGGACACACATTTTAACTGATGTGTGTAAAGAATTGAGAACGGAGAAGTTGTCTCGACGTGCATGAGGGTATTTGAAAATGAAGTTCCTCCACTCCCTCCTCTGCTTATTTATTGTGGGGAATGTCTTGGCCGTTGGGACCTCGGATAAGGGTCAGGATTCCCATGTTCCACCCGAGGATGGGCTTAAAACTCAGCAGGCAGTGAGCGAGGGCCAGCCTGGGAATGGAGCTGGTGGAAATGCGCTCCAAAGCCCACAGCAAGGCCAGGAAGCTGCTGCATCAAGTAGTTCGGGTCATCCTCATCAAGCAACAGCTGAAACTTCAAGTGGAACACGCAATGTAGCTACACAAAGTATTCAAGTGCCCGAATCAACCAGTGACCATAGGACGACAGCTGCCCCTGCAGAGGAGCAAAAGGCTAAAGATACACAAGTAGAAAATCATGCCGAGGGTCAGCTGAAAAGTGATAAGTCCGAACAAGAAGAAGAAAAAGAAAAAAGGGGCGAAGATTCAATGAAGCAAAATGAGGATTCTTCATTGAGACCTAACCCTGACGCACCTGAAGGTCGCCAAAACCTTGACGGTCAAGGCAATAGTCAGCCAGATGGTGACAGGTCTAAGCAGGGCACCCAGGGACCACAAACCAAAAATCCTGATGATGTCGTCAAAGCGCAAGAGGTTCACCAGGCAGCACAGAGTCAAGGATCTGACGTAAGCGGTTCTGAACTACCCGTCGCACATGGTGCACCGGGCAAGGGTGCTCATGGTGTCCCTGAGTCGACATCTGCGGAACCAGCTGCTCGTGCTGAGGCGACGCTCAACCCTGATCAACCTGCGCTTAAGCAAGAAAAGGACTTGCAGGAGCCCAGCCGTGGTGAGGACGCTGGAGACAATGGGAGCGAACACAGCGACGACGAAGATGAGGAGGAAGAGGAAGAAGAGGATGATGACGAGATGGAAGGGGATTACGATGCGCAGCTAGAGGCAACGAAGGAAGGGCTACATAGATTCAGTAAAATAGGTCGTATCTTGCCACGTACAGGTGAAACACATCCCGTTGCCATTCGCCGGGCCTTGCAAAGACCTGGCAGCGTAGCTAGAACTCAAACCGATTCTCGTTCCGTTTCATCAAGCACCCAAACCACCGAACAAAATGTTGTTTCACAGGAGACGGGTAAAGGCGCCAAAACCACCGACCAACCAGGCGGTGCTAAGCAGCAGGGCGATGCCGACCAAACCACCGAACAACATGTTGTTTCAGAGCCGTCTGGTAGAGGCGCCCAGGGCACTCCAGAACAGATTCAGGAACGTGAGGCTGCCAAGGAGACTCCTCCTACAACCACCACCACTCTGGAAACACTTGTGAAAACGGGTTCTATTTGTGAAAAGCAAGCACTTGTGGCGGCATTCTTGAAAAAGGAGCTCGCTGACGGGCCTCTGCGCAAAATCTTCAACTACAAGGATAGCACAAAGACGCTGGACACTTGCCGTCTCCTCACGCAAAAGAGGCCCAGGGTCTGCAAAGCTGGCAACATCAAAACTCAGGCACCTTGCGCCAACGTGGACCTGAACAGGCTTGTGGGTGACTACCTCACGCACAGTGTTTGTACTGTAGAAGCTGCCCTCAACCAGATGTTCCACAACCAGCACCAGGGACAATACATTTCCAACGAAATCAGCGTGTTGCTTAAGGTTCTCGCCAATGTGATGAGGATGAACACGAGCATGAGGGAACGTTACACTGAGTCAGAGCACATCATGGAGAACCTCCTGCAGCTTTTCCACGAGGCTGAAAAGGCTCTTGTCTCGCAGCCCGTGCAAACCGTTCTTTACAACAGGTGGGCGCTTTTGGACAATGTCCTCTGTGCAGTTGCTTCTGGCGAGTCTAACGAGGTGTTGGACAAGATTACCATGGATGCCAGCGCCAACTCCGCCACTGCAGTTGTGAACCTGGAGAGATTCATTGACTCCGCCACTGAGGTATTCGTAAAGGCGTACAAGCCTTTCGCTGCACTCCTCCGCGTGATTGAGAACGGCGTTCTTATTAAGGCCCTGGAACTCAACAAGAACGAATTCCGCATGGAGGCTGAGAGAGTCGTGCAATCCATTGCGGAACGCCACATTCCCAGCATCTCGGCAGGCACCCTTAGCCCTCTGGCGCAGATACCTCATGCTGGCATGAGCAACGTCGACATCCAGCGCATTTCAAGTCAGATGTCTACTAATGTGAGCCTCGTGCAAAGGGGTCAACGTGTCACCAAGGCTAGTGCCACGACACCGACCGCTGCGCTGCGCACTGCCGTCCTCAGCGTCAACCTGTTCAAGGTCAGCGGCGACCACATCAAGCCCGAGATTGACGAGTCGGCTGTTAGGGAGTTGGTTCGTTCTGCACTGTTGAACCTCAGGTACGTGACATAAGAATACCACTAATGCTGTTGCAGCGAGGAGGAAATGATTGCCAAGCTTATTGTGGCCCCGCAGGCTGCTTTGCGCGTGATTTACGAAACCATCAAGCTTTTGGTTCCCATTCCCACCGACAGCAGTGTTCAGGGTGAATCTGCTGACGATGCTAAAGCCCGCGTTAGCCAAATTGAGAAACTCATGGAGGACAACTTCAGCCAGGTGAACGACGCCATTTCACGCCACCTAGGCAACGCTACCCTGTCCCAACCTCCACAGACGTCATTGATTCAGACCTCACGTGCGCACCTTGGCGTTGCGCACTCACGAAGCAGTGACCTTCAGACAAATGCAAGGTTCACCGTGGATTCCAGACCTGAGGGAGCGAACCTTGAGGGTAACACCGACAAGTACATTGAGGAGCAGCAGTTCCAGAAGAGCATGGACAACCTTGTGCACATCAAGGATTACAGCAGTGTAAGTGTCTACCAGATATTTCAACATGTGTTCTCAGGCCACTCTCGCTGGAACCGTCGGTATTGTAGTACTAGCTCTGTTTGCCATCTGCTAGTGAACTCATATAACCTTATTAAATGTAGTACTAACGTAGTAACTTATATTCTTTCTGATGTGTGGACGCGTTGACCCCGTCGGTGTTCGGCAGCGGCGCGTGCTGTCGCCTCCGGAAGGATGCAGCTTCATGCACAGATAAATTAGTCGCAACTGCATTGCGATATATTTATTGCCGCTTAATGGAGCTTCATCGACGTTCATTGCAGCCAGTAGGATTACGCTTAATGTTACACATCTGGTTGCAGTGATCGGACACTTAGCGGACGATACCGACAGTGTGCTGTTCGTGAACCCTAAAATCTACAAGACGACCCCCGATGAATCTCCGCGTGTTGTAGAAAGCAGCGATGATCTTCCGTTTTACAGCTCGCCCAGGCGGCGGAGCTACAATGAAATCATCTCCTGCGTCATTGGTAGGCTACACATTTCGCCATTACACCGCGTGCAGCTATGCTCCATGGAGTGGAGGTGTTCACGTCGCTGCCGATCCTGTATCTCTACAAGGACGATTTCAAGCTCGGCCCGGGTAGGTGCCCAGTGCAGCACACCGTAGCACATATGCAGCGATGCTCATCTTCATCCTCGGGCTCATCCGAATTCCGATGAACGTTAAGATCCTGTTCGCGTTCATGAGCGATGGAGTGCCTTTGTTCGGAAGCAGACGCAGGAGCTACCTGGTCATTGGCAGCATGCTCTGTCTGGCGTCAAACGTCACCCTGGGCTTTTGCGCCCACCTTTCCCTGCTTTGGACCACCATGTTACTCGCAGTATCGTCGTTGGGAATGGCTGTATGTGGTTTCTGATGCAATGCATATTTTGTGCAGCTGTGCAGCGTCATCGGAGAGGCGCTCATCATCGAGACCGGTCGCAGGCAGTCCAACGACCAGGTCACCAGGACCATTTCCACATTCTGCGCCTTCAGAAAGATAACCTTCGCAGGAATGTCGTATCTGTCCAGTGTGCTCATCATGATGATGCCGAAACAGGTGAGTGAAGCCGGCTGGCCCCCAACATGATGCAGCAACTGTTCTTGATGTGCTCCCTCATCCCACTCATTGTCGTCGTCAGCGCCTTTTTCATAGTGGAGGACTACACCCACCCGCAACTGTCCATTAAGGAGCAGTGGACAAAACTTGTGAATTTCGTTGGCAAACCCGAAATCAAGAAACCCAGCACGTTCCTGTTCATCAGCATGGTAAGCGATTGATGTTGCATTGACCAGCTTAGAAGTACCGTGACTTTCGTTGTAACGTTACATGTTGTGAGCATAATACATCACAACCTCACTTGGTTCTACCACGTCTGCTGTAATACATATGTCATGCGTTGCATTTCGTTTGAGTGGCAGTGCACATTGAGCGCCTTGTTACGTTAATGAATCCAATCCCGCGCAGTTGGTACCATCAGCAGGAACTGCACTGTTCTACTTCATGACTGAGGAGCTGCATTTCGACCCCGAGCTTTTCGGTAGATTTGCGGCCATCCAGGCCTTCGCCAGCCTCATCGGCGTGTACTGCTACGCCTACATTTTCCGCGATTGCAGCATCAGGAAGCTATTTGTGTGGACTACTCTGCTGGTTTCGATGTGCTGTATGCTGAGCATCGTGCTCGTGGAGAGATGGAACCTGAAGCTAGGGATCCCGGACACGGCGTTCGTTATCACCGACAGCTCCCTGTTGCAGCTGGTTGGAGAGATAAATTCGCTGCCCATATTTATCATGGCGACGAGGTTGTGCCCGCCCGGCATTGAGTCTAGTATGTATTCGTTCTTGTGGACCGCGCAGTTCCTCGGCCTCGACGTCAGCACCTACCTCTCGTCGCTGCTGACGTACGCCTTCGGAATCAGCGCGAACCACTTCGGCGGACTCGTACACCTCATCGTGTTCTGTGCCATCGCGCACATCATACCGATTTTCTACGTGCACCTGCTCCCGGACACCATCCCTAAGACCATGGAGGACGACGAGACCGAAACCCAGCCGTGTCTACAGGATGCTCCGTTCGAAGGGCGGGGCACACCCACCTTCGACAGCGATGCTGCTGAACAGGGAAGAGAAATGTAAATTAGCTCCGCCGCGTAAGGTGCGACGCGCACGCCATCACGGAAGTTCATAGTTGGCGACCCACAGACGGGTAGTGCCGTGCGGCGTCGTAGCGACGTGAAACTGAAAGTAGACATTTAATTTTACACAAACAATCACAATGGAGCGCGTGTTGAGGAGGTTAGCAAAGCTGTCCATCCTCACGGGATCGGTCGCCATCGTGCCCAGCACGTGTCTGGTCGACGTGGACGGCGGCCAGCGCGCCGTGATGTTCAACCGCTTTGCAGGCGGTGTGAGCAACAATACCCTCGGGGAAGGCAGCCACTTCTACCTGCCGTGGTTCCAGATGCCGCACATCTACGACATCAGGACCAAGCCGAAGGTCATCAACACGACCACCGGCACCAGGGACCTGCAAATGGTCTCCATCAGCCTCAGGCTGCTGTACAGGCCCATAACGGATAACCTGCCCAGGATTCACCAGAAGCTGGGCCCCGATTACGACGAGCGCGTACTGCCCTCGATCAGCAACGAGGTGCTGAAGGCCGTTGTAGCGAGGTACAACGCCGAGTCACTGCTGACGCAGAGGGACCAGGTGTCGTCCGACATACGTATGGCGATAACTGCTCGTGCAAAGCAGTTCGACATCAAGCTCGACGACGTCGCCATCACCCACCTTAGCTACGGCAAGGACTTCAGCAAGGCCATCGAGCAGAAGCAGGTGGCTCAGCAGGAGTCTGAGCGCGTCAAGTTCATCGTACAAAAGAGCGAGCAGGAGAAGCTCGCTGCCATCGTGAAGGCCGAAGGCGAGGCCGAGGCAGCCAACCTCATCTCCCGCGCAATCCAAACACACGGCACGGGTATGCTGGAGATCAGGAAGCTGGAGGCTGCCAAGGAGATCGCAGAGACGCTGGCTACTTCGAAGAACATTGCTTACGTTCCTAACGCGACCAATCTTCTTTTGAACGCCACTAACCTCTGATCGAGGTTACTGTGTGGTTGGCCTGTAGAGGTATACAGCTGTGCAAAGAAAGTGCTGTTGGACGTTGGGTTCCGTGTTATAAACAGCGATCGCATTAGCACTAAACTGCAACGGTACATGGCTATATTCGGATTTCAAGTCGGCACGGATATTACAAGCCATGAATGGTACGAATGAAGGGCTGTTTGACACGTAGGATCTAGTCTCAGGATGTCGTGTGTTTTTCCATCCAACATTGTAATGGTTCAACAACACCATCGACTATGACAGGCAATGGTATATGTTTCCTGGAAGTGCCACGGTTTGCTGACGTATGCCGAAAAAGTGTGGAACTACTTGCCGCAATATGCCGGTTCGGCGCCTTAGCTGAAGTCACTTGATAAGGTATTCGGGCACAGGCAAATCATGGCATCAAACCTGGATTAAGTGACACAAGTAGAGCCCATACAGTCCAATGCAAGACCCAAACCACCAGCGCCGAAACCGAAAAGGAACGACACCCGGCCGCCCAAAACGCGGCAATTGCCTGGCGTCGGGAAAGGCAGTACGCAAGTACACCATCGCTCACAACGTAAGCACAGCAAAGTAAAAACTACGCATTAATAACTACGTTATGCCTTTTTCGGCATGGGAAAATTGTGCGTGCTCGCGGGGTCGAGCAGGCTCGTGAGGCTTAGTAAATATAAGCCCCCCAATAGATGCAAGCTTTAAAACCCTCGTGCAAGGCTAATTCTCGTAGAAGGCGGGGTGGGAGTCCATGACAGCCACCATTGAGTGGTAGGTGGGCCTGAAGCTGTCAACGAAATCCAACTCAGTGGCCATGTCAGCACCGGTCATGAACACGTCCATCTCGCGGCTGACGTCGAAACCCAATCCGCGCATGGCGTGGGCGAAGTCGCTGTCGAGCTCACCGAGGGTCTCGTCGCTGAAACCGCCGTTCTCCTTGGTAACGGAGCACCTGGCCTTAAGCTCCTCAAGGCCTTCGAACAGGGTGGGGAGAGCGTCAAGGAAGGTCTTGCCACACTTCTCGGGCTCCTCATCGCAGTCCTTCAGCCAGTTGGCACTCTTGGAGTAGTCGGTGCGGTAGACAGCGTCGTTCCTGATGTTGTCGAGGAACTTCTCGACGGAGAAGAGGAACGCGGGAAGGTTGTCCGCAACCTCATCACCGAGGTTGGTCACACTCATACCGGGAAGGGCATTGAAGATGTCACCAATGGTGTGGCTGAGGTCCTGGTAGCTGAAGATAGAGTCGTTGGCGGCGGTGACCCAGTCGAGGGTCTCCTTGAAGGTCTTGGGGGCAACGAGGAGGCTGTTGTACACCATCTTGAACTAGTAAGCAATTTTACTGAAATTACCAGCAGGTTGCAATAAAGAAAGATCACTCCGCAAACGGGTAATCTTCAATACTAAGCCTTACGACGGATGTGAACGTAGAATCTCGCAGCCAAGCAAGATCCCTGAAGTTCAACAAATCGTAGGAAATTCCTCCAGATATCTGGATATTATTTAACTGTGTTCCTTGAACGGTGCAGAACGGGTGTGATCCGTTAAGGTCGGCGCATTCAACGACGCTATAGATCCCCATTGGCATGCACGGTTGTATCGAACGACACCGCGATACCCCTTACGCGAAGCGACGCTTTGAGCGCCAAAGCACAGAAAGTCCTGTGTATGTTTGTGATCACAAATTTCGCAAGTTGTTATTTACGACCTGATCTGCGTTGACGGCAGAAGGCGGGCCACCGAAGACGTTTATCGCTACATAGACTTCTTCCTAGTGTGTCGCTTATTGGACAGTTTTGCCTTCCATTTTAGATGTCAAAGTTCATAACAGCTAAAGAGTAAATCGTATGCTTGATGTGTAATGAAATGATAGTTCATAGCCCATCACACACAGTAAAGGCTGTGTTACACCTTTCTGCGGTCACCTTCTATCCGGCACGTTAGCGCCACATGTAACAGGATACTGAATAAGATTGCGCAGCGCAATCTGTGTGCTATTTTTTGCCGTAATCTGGCCATCTCCACCGACCGGTGAAGGTGTATTGGTGGTTGCCGTTGTCCTTCCGAGCAGCCCGTCCTTCTCGCAATGTTGGTTAGTCATGATGCAGCTACTAATACGTTGTGCCGTTTATATTTTGCGGCTTATAGATCGTAAGCTGTGATCTGTGACTGCGGTTTGCTCACGGATTCCAGATGTGTATTCCTCTGTGTTACCTTCTCTTACAATTCACTGCTGTGAATCGATTACCGTCTGGATGATCTACCTATCGTACGTGTAATTAGCAGACAGTTTAGTATAAAAGGATTTGTGTTCTGTGTATTTGGTGAAACACCTTAAGGCAACAAATAAGGGAATTTTATCCCAGAGGCTGATTCTATATCTCGTTCACGAATTTGATTCCCATCTTCTTAGTCTGCGACTGCAACGCCAAATCATGGAAATGGCAGATTTTGTTCGGCAGTGACTAATGTGTAATGTTGCATTGCCGGCATGAACAGCATCAGAGTCGAATGGGGCTTGGTGACTATGCGATTATTTTGCGAAACCCTTCACCCTCAGTAGTTGCTTGGTTTCTGGCTTCTGCACTGGTGGAGGTGCTGGTATGGGTAACCTTAGCGCCTTTGCCACGTAGACACTCTGGCTTAGATATCTCAGAATTGTCTGAAAGAGAAACGATGGGATCAGATAGAAGAATGTACCTGCAGTCATGCTACAGCTGAAATAAGCGAATACTCCGATAGCCACCCTCGTAAAATATTTCAGCTTGACCTGTCGCTGCTCCTGCTCTCGCATAGCCTCACTTACGGCACCTGATGACAACCGCATTTTCTCTGCTGTCGTTCTGTTGAGTTCATATACCAGCGTCATCAAGAACCACAGCGTGACGGGGAAGACGTAGTAAGGGTCAGGTAGCGCCAGGCTGTTCAACCAGAAAGGATGTTCCAGTACGAACTCTGAACAGTGTCTGGGTTCGATGGCAAACATCTTCAGGCCGCCGTAAACCCAGGCGAACGTCAATCCTTGTGTGCCAGCAGCTATGACTTGCAGCGCAGCCCCTTTCAGAAATGTCTTCCTGGTCATCTGTTTGTATAGCTTTCTCTGTACCTCCATCGCCAGCTTTACATTCCCTGTTTTCTGCGCTTCTCTTAGCTGTTCCTGTAACTCAGTTGCGATTGGCATGAGATGTGCATTTTTGCGGCGTGCCCTTTCGCCCATCGCCCACAACGGCACGAATCCCACCTTGAAGAGCACCGTAAGAGATGTAATAGTTGCTGCCCACGAGAGACCAGTGGAGTCGTGCACCGAAATGACCACATCTCGCATCCATTCGACCGGTAATATGCGCTGAATTAACCCCTTCGCGGTGCCGTTGTGTTGTTCGACGAGGTCGAAGAGGTCGTCGTTGCTGCCTTCGGCGCCAAGTGGGTCACTGCCATCGTCGTGAACCAGCGATTCTATTCTTGAGTTGGATGGTGTCTCGGCTGTAACATCTTTGTCGGAATGTGTGCTTTTGGAGGTCGACATTAGCCGGGCATCATTGCGTCGATGAGGCCAGGCGTAATTCGCTGCGATACAGCGCTCTCGGCACAGCATTGAGGCAAAGCAGCGCTGCCCATGTTTCAAATTGCTGGCTCGACTACTAATGGCGCGAAAAAGCTCGAGGGTGTACATTGTATACTGGCATTGTGTGTGTCGCAACATGCCTCGAGAAGGTCCCACTAATAAAGACGATGACCCTCCACATGCCAGATTCACGACAATTTAAAATGCCTAGAACAACCATGACGGACTATAATTCCCGCTGGTGACGTTTCCGGGAGATTGAGAAGGCCGCGGCAGGATGTTGTCTGCCGTTCGCAGCTTCGACCTCGTCTTGCTGGAGGAAGGAGAGGACTACGTCTGCGATGCAGCCTGCAACTCGACATCATCGTTCCCGAACGAAATCACGGCGGCTGGGTGGCCGCAGTTCGTGGAATCACTGAAGAATGTGCAGACATGTCGTAACAAGGGTAAGCATTTTTCAGCGTAGTGATCATATGAGTTCAGTGATCAAGGGCCGTATCCGTCTAGGCACCAAATCTCTTATTTTTGAGCCCGATGCGTTCGACTCGCCTATTTTAAAGTTGCATTTTCAGAACATCACGTCGATCTGTAGCAGCGCGCATGTGTCGAGGGCGATATACGTCTCCTGCACGAGGGTCATATCTATCCCTACGGCCATCTACAACGGCAAGACTCGGTATTTGTCGGCGTATGACGTGCACGTGGCCAAGCGGGCGGCGTCTGGCCTGAACCAGGCACCAAGCAGCACGAACGAAAGAAGCGCCACGGCGTCGATGGGCCTGCCGGGGTTCGTGTTCATTTTCGCGTACCCTACCGACCATATACACGATGAGCAACTGAGTGATTATTTGCGCGTTTGGAACGCCTACAAACAGAATGTGGATAGTGATGACCTTAACACCCGCCCCGCCGGATCGTTCAACCAGGCGCTGCTGCAGCCCAGGGAGAAGCCGCTGCTGGGATGTTCCTCGTCGAGCATCCATACCGAGCCCGTTTTCTGCTGGCGCCTGAAACGGATGGTGAGACACGGTGGCTACGCTGCGTTGACGGATAGGGCGTTTTATTTTGAGCCGTCGCCTAACTTTTCTCGCAAGTCCTGCAAGCGAGTGCCGATCGATCGCATCCTCCACATATTCAAGCGCGATAGCGGCATGCCGTCGAAGGGCGAATCGGCCACCGCCCTGGAGATTATTTCGCTGCCCGAGGACTCGTTTGAGAAGCGGGTTCAGGACTCCCGCAAGTTGTACGGCTGTATTTACCTCCAGTTCAAGAGGGAGAATGACCGTGAGAAATTCACCAGCACTTTGAAAAGCATCATCCCCCGGGCTTTTTTCGCTTTGGAATCGCGGACTTTCCGGAATGAAATGACGCAGCTGTGGCGGCGTGGCATCCTGCCCAACTTCCAGTACATCGACTTCCTCAACTGCATATCCGGCCGCTCGAGGTACGACATGTCACACTACCCGATTTTTCCTTGGGTGATATCGGATTACGACAGTGCGACGCTGGACCTGAAGGACCCAACGGTTTTCAGGGACCTGTCTAAACCCATAGGGGCGTTGAACCCCGAGCGCCTGGTGCACCTCAAAACACGCATGAGCACGCTGCACCAGGCGGACAAGTCAAACAACGATTCAGCATCAGCGTCCGAAAGAGACAAGTGCACCTGCAGCGACGGCAAGTGCGACTCCTGCCTGATGCGGATGTGGAACAACGGATTCTACCTGTACTGCTCGCACTACTCCACACCCGCGCTGGTTGTGTTCTTCCTCATACGACTGCAACCGGAGTGCCAGTTACGGCTATACAGTGGGAAGTTTGATTCTACGGCACGCACCTTCAAAAGCATCTCGGAGACCTTCCACAACGTGCTCCACGGCCACTCCACCTTCTTCGAGCTCATACCCGAGTTCTACAGCGGCAACGACGCGTTCCTGCGGAACCAGTTGAATATAACCACGCAGGACGGGCGTCTGTGCGACGTCGAGTTGCCGCGGTGGGCGGGGAACTCATCGTCGCAGTTCATGAAGATGATGCGCAGCGCCCTGGAGAGCGAGCATGTGTCCAAAAATCTACACAAATGGATCGACCTGATATTCGGCTGTAAGCAGGCCGGCCTGGTAAGTACTATTATGAACATTAGCTGATTGTTTCACCAGGAATCCATAAAGAGCGACAACACCTTTCACCCACTGTCGTACCTGTCGTCGGTGCGAGTGGGCAAGATGCCCATGACCCGTGCTACGCAAAACCTGCTACGGACAATGGAACCCAAAGCCATATCGGTCCAGGTCCGCGAGTTCGGCCAAGCGCCGATCATCTTGTTTGAGACATCGCATTCCCCACGGTATGTATACGTTAACAACGTTCATGTGCTCCAGGCTGCGTCACCCGCACTGGCAGGAAACGGACGACCCCGTGGACAGCGCACCGTGGTTCATATACGTGAAGCGCCACAGCGAAATATTCGGTGGCGGCGATTCAGACGCGGGCGAGGGATTGCGGCTGGGCCGCACCATATCGCAGGGGTGCTCCGAGGGTCACCTGCGCCAGCTGGTCACCACCAGCCCCCGCGACAAAGTTCGGACGCAGCGCTTGGGACATCTCGGCAACGAGATAACAGGGGCCGGTTTCGCGGCGCCTGACATCGTATATTCACTATCGCAAAACGGCTCCATACAGCTGCGCCACATCGACAAAGCAGAAACTGTGGTGCGTGCATCAATCGATCGAAGGCCTTTGACATGTGCCACGTCGGTGATGGGGCATCTTTGTGTCTGCTCCTCCAGCGGCAACATGACCATGTGCAACCTGCAAGCCATATTATCGGTGAATGGCGGGTTCCCACTCAGCGACCCGCTTGTTAACGGTGACGTGGTCAAGTTTGGAGACGCTGACGAAGGCGGATTCTTTTATCGCAAACAGCTGCATGCCGACGGAATCAGCTGCGTTAGCTTTGGTGATGGCGTGCTCACCAGTGGCGGCTTCGACGAGACGGTGAAGCAGTTCCAGCTTACCAACTCCGACATCCGCCTGATCGGCGTGTTCGACGAAACCAACGGCCCGTTGGCCGCACTGTCGAGCGCCAACGGCTTGCTGCTCACGGCGAGCATCAGCGGAAGCCTTACCCTGTGGGACCCGAGGTCGCCGCACATCCCAATTTGGAATCACGAGATTCGCCAAAAGGCCGGTAACAGCCGCGTCGTGGCATGCGGGATAAGCAACCGGTACATACAACTTGTGTCCACTGGGGAATCACCGGTGATATTTTGGGACGTGCGCATGTTGAACTCGTTGAGTTCGTGCAGCGGGTTCAAGCGTGAGCTTGCATCGCCTCAGTTCAGTATACTGGGCGCCGTCTGCGACCCGAACGATTGCGTTTGTCTGTCCGGTACTCAGGGAGGCGCTCCATCGCTGCAGCTGCACGACCTACACACGAGGTCCATGCTGATGACGACGGAACTCGAAGGCCTGGAATACCCGACCATCATGGCAGCGAACGAGTTCGGCGGACCGCACCGGCTACTGGTGGCCAACACCTCAGGCGAGAACCTGACACTCGTCGCCCAATGAACACTTGAAGGCGCCATTCAAGTGCATTAAACGTGACACGAGGGCTGAATCTGCTTGGGTTGAGAGCTCCTCAGTCACCAAACATGGACATCAATGTACGGTATTCAAAATTAAAACAACTGCAGTTTCGTTATATATACTGTCATTAGTTAGAAACCTCTGCCTCGCGGCTCCGCCGTTCCGGGAAGCGTTGGCAAAACGCTCTCCGGAGCTCGTTGCGGTACGCAACAACTATTATCAGGAGCAGTGCCGCCACCGCCCTCAGCGGGTACAGCACCAGCTGCCGTTTCTGTTGCTCGTCGAATTTGTGCACGAAAATGATCGACTGCGCGAAGTAGTCGAGGGCGTGAAGAAGCGCCACTATCTCGTTGCGCTCCAACACCAGCTGCTCGGCCTGGCCGAACGCCCGCACTGCAATCTGCAGGGCCGCGAGCTTTAGCTTGCCGTGCAGGCGGCACTTTTCGCAGCCCACACAGTCAACGATATCCGCGATGCCCTTGAACTTCTGCAGCAGCACCGGGTGTTTCAGCTGCGGCGACGAGACGCACGTATGTGTCGGTTCGCAAACCTCCCGCGGGTGCGGGTTGTACGCGGGCTCGACGTCACTGCAAAGGTCGTACTCGGCGCTCAAAAAGTCCATGAGATGTTGCTTCAAATATCCGTGCTCAGGGTGTTGGCCGAGGTTATTGGCAAAACCGGTGAGGAATGGCGACAGCCTGCAAACCGTTTTGAGAAGTGCTTGGAACGCGTAGTACATGTTCTCCATCCTGTCGGGGTAGTTTCCAAGCATCTTGGCGTACAAGTCTGGATTGCTGACGTAGCGCGGCAGTTCGCTTTTCAGCTGGAAGGCTGCCACAGGGTTGACGCACTTGTAGTTCCAGGCGGCCCAGGCAGCCACGGAGGACTGCATGCCGGAGATGAGCCGGAACAGATGCTCCGTTTGGTCGCAGGGAACTTCGTCACCGCAATCGCACTGCAGGTCGTATATTTGGTTCCAGTCGTCTCCCCCGCGGTACCCAGTATGCGATGGGGGGTTGTGCAGCAGGTCGACATACACGGGCTTGTCCTCGCGCTGCGAGTGTATGCCCAAAATGTCGGTGTACCAGTGGTTGTTGGAGTAGAGGTCATTCAAATCTAGCTCGGCGAACTTGTCGTCCTCCGAATACCTCAGGACGAAGTGCTCCAGGGCTTGCAGCGTGGCGTTACTGGTCACTTCGTGTGGTTGGCAGCGGCCGACGTAACACTTGGGAACGCATTCACCGCTGTCTAGCGGTCCGTTAGCGTCATTTTCAAAATCCGAGACGCCGTCGTTGCCGTGGGAGCAGATATCGTTCCTCTCCCTTAGGGGGCAGGGTGAGTCGAGGTTCACCCTGAAAATACGAAAGTACAACGAACGCATAATGGGCGCCAGCTTCGCGTGAACGAGCTCGGCGTCCGACAACATCTGCTCGAAGGTGAACCTGTGGTCGCCATCGATAGACACAAATTTGGTCAAGCTGTGCAGCGGGGAAAACTTGCCGTTCATCGGCAGCACCTGCTGGGCGTGCGCTGGCACCACGATACGCGTGATGGCATCGTTCTTTACGCCACCCATGGGACCCACAGAGCCCACAAGGATGGGATAGAACAGCCATACTGAGGCGACAAGCGCAAGCATATGCATCATCTTGCAGCGTCGTCCAGTGGTGGCCTAAATCGATAGCTTCAATTTTTCATAACCGATTCATCGAACGTGAGGGTCACGTATCCAGGCTTCTAGCTAGATCCGACATCAGCTGCACATAACATTGGGTCGAGTGGAATATTCCCCGCAGTCGTATAGCTTGGTAAGGTGTTACCAGCTCGACACGTGCTATGGCGATCCTGGCTAATTTATTGGCCGCACCTCACGTTACCGACTGTGTCTAGGCTTGAAATATGCAGATTTGTTGACGGCTTTGACTCCCAGTGGCTCGGCGCGACTATCTCGGCCCTCGGGGTATCCAATCCAAATCAGTAGCCTACACAACGCAGTTCTAACGCTCCCAAAGGGTGTGTACATAACATGCCCGAAGTCTCATAACGTTTCTGTCGTTTTTACAACGACGACCGCTTGCGAGGTACACCCATGTACAGATTGTACCAACACAGACACGCCTACTAGAAGGCTAACAACCTTACACATCAACTACCAATATGACAAAATCTTCATGTGTAAGTGGATCGCAGGGCGATCTCTGTTAATAGTGTTTGGTGGCGGGCCACCTTCGCCCGCCGCGGTTGTCGTTGTGTTGTGGATTCGAGGGTGCTACTCGGAACCTCCATCCGATGGAGGACGGTTTCACAGGAGTTTTCCTGTCCGATCGCTACGTAAACTATCGCCCTGTTGGCAAGGAGCTAACTCCGGAGGAGGTGGCATTTTTGAAGGCGCTCAACATCCAGCAGCGTGTTTACGAGAACTGCCTCGTCCGTGCATCAGTTATCGGCGTCAGCAGTGCTCTGCTAGGTAGTTGCCAGATTCTTTAATTATAAGAAAATTCAGGATCGCTGGTCGGGGCGTTCTTCTTCACCTTTCAGGCAAGCAGCGTGGCCCACGAAGTGCCTTCCGACAAAAGTGCTGGCATTCGGAGCCAGCTGGCTGCACAGTATAAGCAGTTCCTGCCGGCAGTCAAGTCATCGGCACGAAACTTTGCCAAATTAGGCTTTGTGTACTCATTGTTCGAGTGCGTCATTCAGAAACGCCGCGCCAAGTCCGACCTGAGTAATGCCCTCTACGCCGGTTGCGCCTCTGGGGCCTTTTTAGGGCTTAAAAGTAGGTAGCAGCCAATTTCTGTCACCATTTATAGGTGGACCACTAGCAAGTGCAGGTGGTTGTATCGGATTTGCTGCTTTCTCCGGCCTGATTGAGAAGTATCAGCAATCGCATCGCTAAAAAACTGACACGTTAGCTCCGGCATTTCGGGAATAATCATGTTATCTTTTACATTTGCAGTAGAGCAGCCTCCTGCGCGTGCTGCGTTATACAATTTGCATAGTTTATGTGAGTAGTGGGCGCCATGCAGAGCCGGTGGTACTGCGTGTTGTGGGTATCAGTCACCCTATAACGTGTGCGGAATATACTGGTATATGATCTTTGCACCCTCTTTCGGGGTAGGATCATTGGCGAATTCGGTGATCTTGTCACTGTTCGCCCTCCTAGCCACTATGGCGTAGTTGATGCCGTATCCAAAGACCTCGGAGTCGGTGACCGTAAGCTCGCTACAGCCCTTGATTAGCGAACTGAATAGTTTTACATCATCTGTTAATCACTCACATTGGGTCTCTGTTCTCAAAGTGGCCGTATTTCCACGGGACCGCCGGATTGGGGTACACCTTCAGCCATTCCCTGCAGCAGATGGATCGAAGTCTCAGGTGGCACTTACAATAAGGAACGCAAATATCGGTAGTAGACCCTGCCGCGTTCTAGTGCGAAATAACGCCCACTGGGTTTCATTACTCGGGCTATTTCGTCCAAGGAACGCTCAGGGTGCTCGACGGAACAGAGCGCATGCGATGTGACCACAGTGTGGAAGCTCTCGTTTTCGAACGGTAGATCCGACGCGTCTCCGCAGATGATAGTTACGGGAAAGTCTGGCTTCACATCTTCTGTGGAAGCGTGAAAAACATTGAAGCTTGAATGACGGGCGTCATCGTATGAGAATGAGAGCAACAGCATGGAGATTAGCATGGCACCAATGGAGACAGCGTAACATGTCAAATAAACATAAGTGTCACCTTCAGTGTCAAACCGTTAAACGGTGTAAAAGAGATTCCATAATTGGAAAATAAGGAATGCAATAAATAGTTCACATCACTCACCAACTTTGCGCTTCATCTCAAAACACATCATCACGCTCTTGTCAACTGCAGTGAGGCTTTCGATGCCGCCATACAGCTTCAAGCTCTCCAAAGTGCCGGCTGCAACCTCGAGTACGTGGCCCTTGGCGCATTTTAGCATGCTCGTTTTGGTTGCGGTTATGCCTATTTTCTACACATGAGGACCACGCACATCTAACCGTACCTTGTGCACATCGTTATATTTAAGGTCATATGTGGGTGCGATGTTGTCGAATATTGCGATTCTATGCCTCTCTGTCGCGTTTTTCAGGATATGCTGAACTCGGACTAACCTTCCGGCGGAGGACCATCCTTGTACTCAGGCCGGCCGAGCTGCAGCTTGCGATAATTAGTGAACAATACTATGCCATTGACGGTCACAAACGAGGCGCAGACCTGCGTCTATTACGGCGGCGAAGATTCCAGCCTACCCGCCTGAAGGTGAAAACCTCCTTCCAGGCCATATCACGCCGTTCAAATAGTTTATATATGTCGGAGAGACTTGCTATTGCATGTGGTGAGTTGTTGAAGAATTTTCAAAATGATGTGTAACCGAATGCAGCCTACGCCAGCTCACCGAGCAGGCCAGACACCGCCAGCGATGCAACAGCATCAAAAGCGGTAGTCATGTATTCACCATGTGTAACAAGATTAGCGAAAGTGTCTCACATAATCACTAAATATTAGTGGCAGCCTCGTTTCATTTTCGGACCTCACCGGTACAGTACTTGGCGCCAAGCTTTTTGGTCTTGCGCGCCAACTCTTCCATGCGCGACTGGAAACCAGCGCTATTGCGGTACTGGTTGAACTGGCGACGAAGCCATGTAGTGTCCACCAGCATGTCCTCCTCGGTGCTGGATGTATCTACCACGGTAGTGCGTTGGGGACGCTGCATCTGTTTCAGGGCAGACTCCGCAATGCGACCAAAGCTGGAGAGCATGTCACCAAAATTGGGTACTGGCGCATGTTGCCTATGACCTTCGCCGCTGTTGTGTGAACAGCACGATGTTGCAGATCCGCCCGGCGAGTGGTGGTGAGTGTCGTATTGCGTTGCAGTTACGGCGGCATTAGCTGATCCCCGATCTGCTGCATCAGTCTTCCTAACACCGGTGTGTGCCGAGGTTCCTGTTGTGGAATCCGCTCCGGCAGTAGCATGTTGCGAGTGCTGAACGCCGGCGGACGCCTGACTTGCACCACTTGCAGACTTATCCATCTTTAAATACTTGTTGCGTAAAGTAGTCGCAATAAGTGCCATCTCACCCTGTAACGCAGCTTGAAGTGACCATATCGAAGATATCTTGGAGAAACGATTGGCATCCATCGTGCGGGAGCGCATGGACCAATCTGCCAGGTCGCTCGTTATTTCAGCAGCACTCGCAACGACTTCGCGGTAACGCGCCATAAATTCAGCTGCATTTCCAATCTCACGTTTAGGGGCACCCGTGCCTTTTATCTGAGCTACCTCTTTCTCGAGAAGCTGCAGAAATGTCCACGGGAGGTTAGAGTTTAGGCCATGGGTGTCTTCTAAGAAGAGGCCGTTTGGTGACCTTGTCAAAGCAAGGTCGGTTTCCAAATTCTCCATAGACCTCCCTTCCGGCGGGACATGTACACCTGCGTTGCCATCATTCGAGTGGTCTGGCGCACGTTGCATCAAATCGTAGACGGCATCGATTGCGCCCTTTGCGCTTGAGACGGCGGCGACGGCTGAATATTGTGTCATGCTCGAATCCTCCTCGCTGTCAGTAGCCTTTGTGGCTGTTTGATGTACTGCCGTTTCTGCCGCATGGCTTGAAGAAGTGGCAGCAGTCGCACCAACACCAGAAGATTCACCTGGACGATGTCCATCTGGTTTCATCATGCCGCTTAGAAGCTTGGAAGCGAGATTGCCGAACTCGCTATTGGATTCAGTAAGTTTCTGGGCGAGTTTCATGCCATGTAACAAGAGATTGTTCGTCGCATCAGAACCGCTCGGCATGCCCCCTCCTTGTGCGTTCCCCTGACCTGCCGCATTACCCAAAATTGCGCCTAAAGCGGAGAAAGGGTTGCGTGCCTCCCCATCGCCACCTTGTGGCGCCATAAATTCTCGCATAAGCGAACTCATTGATGAGGCCATAGCCTCGCTGAACTTCGAGGGCCTGCTGTTGCCTTGTGGGCTCTGCTGTTGTTGATTACTCGATGGAACAGTCGCATTGGCGACGACGTGCACCGTGGATCCCGATTCAAGTCCGTATGATCCAAGCGTGCTGTTATCCAATAGCAGTTGTCCCTTAAATATAAGCCTTTGGTTCTCCGGGGCAATGTCGCACTGCGCCGCAACTAGGGCCTTGACGTCGGATACCGGCGTGTCTTTCGGTAGAGACAGAGTAACCTGTTTGCCGTCCAAAAGTCGGAAATTAACATTAAGGCTGTCCTCCATCCTGTATTGCTCAAGCAGTCGATGTGAAACACAACACACAGCGTTGAAGAAATTGCAACTAGTATAGCACACAAGTACTAATAGGTGTGTCCTATTATTATATAGCAACGAATTTCATGGCAGCCAACAGAGAATGCTAAACGGTTGGTATTGCAAGATAACCAACGCACATGTCTTTCAGTGCGGTTACGCCGGTGCCAATCGTGCATATATAGGCTGCGTATTAATAAATCACAGTTCTATATGAGGCTAGCGGTCAAACGCTTTTAATAGTCCGCGCACCCAGGTTAAACGGGGGTGGGAGGGCGGCAGCTCGTCTATGTCAAGCCATTGGGGATGGTCAGCAATATTTAGGCACCTTCAGATCTTGTCAATATAAGCCATTAGATTACACATTTAACGCCCATCCATGCCATATCAAGGGCGGCTAACATAGGCTACTTTCAACCTTCACATGCGAGGAAAGACGACGGGATAATTAAAGTGAAAAGTCTTAGATGACCTACGTCAACTCGCTTGAAGCAATAATATGTGCTTAAATGCAAATGTGCGAAGTGGTTGGTAAAGTGTGTGATATGTATACCGTTCTTGTCGCCGTCTAACATTAATGGAGCAAACATTTTGTATGAAGTAAAGAGATATAGCTTAGTGAAGCATGTGTACATACTAGGATTGAATATCTACTACAGGAAAGCACCACTCTCAAAGAACGCCATTGGTGCTAAATAAATCCATAACAGCAACCACCACTCTTGGCCGCGTTACCAACACAACTGGTGTCTATTGACATGCACGAGAGATTTTTGTAATATCTATGATATTTGTGTGCCATATTGTAGAAGTGATAGCTGTAATCATTTTGTAATCACGCCCTGTGAGGCGCGTTGCCGTCTATATCTTCCCCTCAATCGCCACTCTTATCGGACAATATAAATTGATTACAGTAAAACAATATTCTTTAAGCATACTTCTAACGTTTAAATAATTTAGATCGCAACAATGGGAGAAAATAGCAGTGAAGTCAAGGAGTATGACACTGAACAGCCCCTAGACGCGGATATGGCAAGTCCAACTAACGGGAGCAGCGGGGCTGTCAACTCTGACGAAGATGGTAAGTAACGCTAACGTAACTACGGCGTTATGTAGAGGTATTTACACAAAATACAGTTGGTGAAAGTGAGCCTGGAGAAGCCGCAACTCAAGACGAGAATGGGCTATCGGAGGTTCAAGAGGAGGAAATGCAAGTTGGGCAATATAGCAAAAATCGCACGGATAAAGACGTTCTCGTTGCGAAGCTGCTGTGCAGGTACTTTGCTTTCGCATCTGATGACATTGAACAGATGGTGGTACGTCCTGCCTGACTGGCCACCCAAAGACTACAACTATCACGAACAACTTCAGAAGAACATGCTGAAATGTTACCCTGTGAAGGAGTTCGAAGACCGCGAAAATGTTGATTCGAACGGTTACAGGAAGTGCTATCAATTATCTGCATTTCCCGGTATGTTCTTTACATGTGCAGCAGCACGATCAGTAAATCCAACCAGCGCTTTTCATGCAAAAACACGATTACTCTGTATATATGGCATTCGCAGGTGTGTTCAGAGACTTCAAGGGTGTAGCTTATGACCTGCGCCCACTTGAAGGCAAACCGTGCTACAATAACATGATACAAAAAAGCGAAGCGGAACTCAGATCGTTAATTAAAAAGGCGATAAAAAACCAAATTGCCAAATTGTCGTCATCCCCACGCGACGAAGCGGCTCTCATTAAGAGTTTGAAAGAGGTTTGACGAAACTTTGGCTTTTGATAAAGTTATGCAGGAACTAGCGGCGCTAGGCTAACGTCGCCCTAACTTAATAATGCCGGGCACTATTGACATATCGGCGTGAGTGTATCTGAAATAGCAACACTGGTGAAAACCAAAAAATTGTTAAAATACCAGATAAATTTAAGAACATGCATTACCCCGCGGTTATATGGAGTAGACAATTTGTCAATGACATTTTATATTCATCTAAAAGGCATGTGTTCGGAGTATACATGTGGGTCATATCGCCTTTAGTCTTCAAGGTGACCCTACTACATTAACATCACAATATCACGTGTAGGGTACACTCTGTTAGGTGAGGCTGAGATTGTGGCATCGTGCCACCGTAGTCCAATAATCAGGCAATCTTTTGAAGCTGGGGATCGGATAACAAGCGAGATGAGCTATGACGGAAGACACTATATTTAAAAGATAGTCATCGCCATATTGAAATTCTACGTGCTCTAGGTGAAGCTACGAGAGATCCTTGGACGGGAAGGCGGAGTATCTATCAATATCTATTTCATCTGGAATTCTGTCACCAACAAGATTACTCAGTGATCTGCCGGCACTCCTAGGTGCTTCAGCAAATGTGCCACGTAGTTCATAGAATGCCTTTCGGAATTTCTCCGGATACATGTTCCAGGCAAGGAAGCTGGCGAATATAAGCACAGCGACGGCAACGATCATAGAACCGATGCAGTAAAATACGTGTGTCCCGCATAATCCACCGCAGTTTTTGCAGTAGGCGACGCACCTCCCGTCTACCCACTTTTCGCGGTAGAAGCGTTTGCCGTCAGCGGGCCCCGGCTTGTTGTAGTGTCCTTTGCAAGCGTCCTTTTCTTCTCCTGCTACGCATGTCTCCCCTTCGTTTGTTACGAGCACGTAGCCGTAGCACCGTCCTTTACATTGGCTATCAGGGCACCAAATGCAGCAGTTACATAGTCCGTAACCACATCCACAGCTACAATTAGCACATATACATCTTCCACCCAGTGCGTTGCCTTTGCATGTTCTCTGGCAGCGACCACAATCAGTGCCATAACACTTCTTCCCATCCTGGTCCTTATAACAATTTAACGGGCAAGCACAGCGACAGTAGGCACATTTGCAGCCACCAGTTTTTACGCAATTTAGTGCTGTGCAACCCAGACATCCGGAATCACAGCACACCCGGCACTGCGTACAAGCGGGGAGAGGGCATTCATCTCCACCGTGATATGGGTTTTCATCACATCTACACTGGTTCTGCGGCTCCACCATCTTACGCGCTGACTTCATTCAGACGACACTGAACTTCATTGAACGCCCCGACGAAACCGGCACATCGCAGTCTCCAGTAATGCCACCGATGCGACGTAACTAAAGCAACCAGCCCTGCGCAACAATCAACAGCATACCCAAATACTGCTAGCAGTTGGGAGATTCCTCAGCATCCCTCCAGAACCATAGATATGTAGTAAGGTGTCACTTGTCAGTGTTTGCTATTTAATATTGTACGGGAAATTAAACGCTTCTCAAGGTCAAATGTTGAAGCATGGCACACCCGGTGAGCATCAAATTACAACATGATCATCTTCATCCAATACACATGAGTTATTTAGCTCACATGATAGTTAATGTCATATTGTGTTTCAACGGTAATCTGAAATGGTAAATTCCGTTGCGCAACGTTCCAAGTTGGACGCGGGGTGTAGAAGGTATGATTTGCATGATTTAAATATCGACGGGGTTAATAGATTGAATACTATAATTCTAACAACCGAAGCTTATGTATTAATCATAATCATCTGTTGTTGACGAGCTGGGCAATGTGCAATCGACTTCCCGGGTAAAAAGTACAAGTTTCCCCGCTGCACTCTACTTTCACCAGCTGCTGCGATTCTTGTTCTCCAACTACACCTTCATCATCAAGTGTATCATATTTAACACTTGTTGTGACTTATTGTTTCCAGAGTGGTCGATATCCATTCTTTGATCTGCGAATAGAATTATTTTGCCTCACTTCGCCAACTCGTTCTCGTCTCTATGATCGCCACAGACGAGTTGAGCAGTAAAGCTAGTAGATCATATCCATCAATAACCAAACAAACATTGTGTAACTTCTAACTTGTTTTAAGCGCCGATCTTCAATGCTGTGTAATAAATCTCCTTTTTAGCGATCCACGGTTGCAGCTGGAAGATTGTTACAAAGTCTTTGCAAAAGCATGGCCACTTCCATTCTATAACATCCACAGTCATATATGTTTTATTGCCTACAAATGTTCAATTCGCCTTTACCGTATCTCAAATCGCGTTTGATGGCAAGGTAGAGGCGGCAACACTTGAATTAATGGTCTCAAGATTATCAATTGGGCTATATAAAGATTGTATTCAGTTGTCGCATATTTACTGCTACAGTATTTGTTTTCCAGTGCTACAATGTGCCTCAATGTGTTGAATTGCCCACCCCTGGGGTGGCATCGATGCCTAACTTCGCTCGGCCCATCTGTTACGATGTTTTAATACACTAATAACGTAGCTGTTCAAACCGCTTCTCGGTAAACAATGTTTTCTATGATGTAACATAAGAAATACTCGAGCCACACTAGATGTTGACCCCTTTACAGCCACCCGCTGCCATCGATGCCGTAGTTAGCGTAGCAACATGCGACGATGACATATGGAGTGGAAATAGCAGTTGAAGGGTGGAAACGGATGTTGCTGCACGACAGAATAAAGGGAGATGAGTTCCAAGGATTTGTTATGTGCCCACAAGCAAGAGTTGCGGCAAATTAGCTGTTAAAACTGTATGAGGCGCAAATTATCACGATATTAAGAGTAACGTCAAATATGGTGAAGCCCTTATGGTACACTGCAACAAACGGATATCTAAATGCGTATTTGAAGCGCATTTTAACCGCCAAATGTCAGGTGCACCTTACGAAATGGATGGCGTTCGATCAAACCACTCGTGCAAGACTCCCGAAGTTTACACTGCTGCCACGTGATATTTGAGGAAGTGAATATGCGTTGATTATAGATGCAGCAATGACGGGGTGCTGGCTGCTATCAACGTTCAGGTGAGTGGAGGTTGATAGATGAGCATAAATCAGGTATGTATAGTAGGTTCATAGAAGTTGCATATGCGTAGAGAGTGTTTCTGCCAAACAATCCGTGCACGAAAATCAGTAACATTGTAGCCGTAGCACTCAGCGTATATGTTGAGCTGTCACGTATAAAGATTTGTCATTGCATAAAAATATTTAGAGTGACAAAATTTGGCCAGCAAATGTTGGGCCAGCGGATTGCTGCTTGTGACATAAATGGAACCTACATGAGGTATTTAATGGCTCAAGTTGTCGTAAGGATATATGCATTGCCACATGCGTCTACATGCCACAGCGGATGCAGTGGTATGGTAGCGTGACCAGAGCTGAGTACAGCTGAGTGTTTGTTGTTGGATGAAACGTAGTTGAGTGTAATGTTATCGTCATTGTGTGAGCTATTTGACTCGGCAACCTATGTGGTGGTTATGGATGCTCATGGTGTGTCGGCGGTATGATCTGCGACCATGCTTGCCAAGGTGTCAAGCGTACGGCGCGTTGCATGCATGACGATAAGCTCTCTACAACTTGAAATTTAAAATATGGCGGGGTCTCCAATTATACAGTCCGTTGTTGTGGAAGGTATGTTATTTAGTGACGTGCCATCGTGTCACCAGGAATGTTAGTGGCTGCGCTCCTCCTTTTCGATTAAGTTATTCATCTCTGTTCAGCCACGGATGGACTCGGTGGGGCTGAGTCGACGATTGTGAATAAATTGAACGAATTTTGGTCGAGAATTTGGGAAAGGCTACAAGGTGTTTGGCCGAATATTCGTGATATTCTGACAGTGACGAAGTGTCCGTTGTGTCATGGTAGTACTGGTGGTAATTATAGTACGGAAGGTAAAGGATGCAAAGTTGGCTGCGTCTATATTCTCTCTGGCCTCATCATACTGCTTATAGTCGTGGCATATTACATATTAAGAAGCCCATTAAGATTTTTCAAGGGCTTGTTTTGTTGTTTTTGCTGACTCATGCGTACCATCGCATACTTTTGCATATACGCCAATAATATCGCATAGATTCCCTGTGTCCACGCCACATCTAGCGCCAACGTGCTGGCGTTTATAGGAACATAGTCTACTTTAGGTTCGCGCCACACACAGGTTACATACAAGTGTAGCATATTATATCACAACTGACATGGGCTGCTAACACGTAAACCCGCCACACAATGTCAGACTTTACTAAATACGCACTACGCAACATCAAGTGATCTTTCGTCCCGCCTGATGTGCTGCTACGATGTATTTCATGAACGCTTTCGCCGGGTACCTGCCTATGCTAGATTTTGAAACATTAAATGAAACGTTTTTACGTTGGCATCGTGCAGTAATGCCTGGAGCGATGCGATAAGTGCGATTATAATAGACATCGGAAGGGATTATGGAATGCGATACAAAGCATTCACTTGCGGACAAAACAATCGCGGACCTTGTGGAACGGCCGGATGCGTTATATGATCATGAAGCATACGGCGACGAGGATGATTGCGATGATGGGAACGACAATGTTTATACATATATTTCTACAACATGTACAACCACAACTCCACAAACCTTTATCTAGACAATTCGAACAGCAATAGCCGTATCTTTTGTATAATTGTCTGGACTCAACGCAAATACTGCACTGTTCGCCGGGTGTACACCACTTGCAACACCATGGGAAACATCTACAACTGTTGATACCACACTCTCCACCTTTTCCATGACAATAACAAGTCTTGCTCATCTTCCCCCAGCCCACTCGTCATTAACCTGCACGGCGATGAAACACATACCTTGAGCCCCCTACAGTGACTCCACCAAGCCGTCTCCGGAAAGTCCCAAACAACCGCCAAGAACACCACAATGTACATGCAAGCACGATACAGGCTATTCACTTCAAATTACGGGCGGAATACATCGTGTATACTTGTCGCTCTATTGGTGCGCTAATGAGTGCCTAACTGAGGTGCGGTGGGTATTTACTGTATTAGTGATAGCCACAATGATTACCATAAATACCCGTAAATGCGGAGTTCACTGGCCATCACGTTGGAGAGCCCCGGCGACATTCATTGCCCAGCAACGCACATGATAACTAACATGTCAACCACTCACCTAGTAGACGACCAAGTAACTCGCCTGGCACAGCGGTCACCAGCTGCATACGTTGATGGACAACCATTCAGCGTCACATTACACTGACAAGATTGCATATGGTAGCTGCTAACCACGAGTGACCAACAAATCAAAATACCAAGCAACGAGCATATACACGCATCGAGTAGGATATATGTTAGGTGTTAGATCATACATTTGGTTACGTGTCAGGTCGTGCATTTGCTTAGATCCTATGTGAGACATTGCTAGTACACCCTTCACAAAACACATCATGTGGAATGTACTATAAGTGCAATGATTACTGTTGTACATCAAGTTGCTTCATTGGATCTTCTTCAATGTGGTATACACCGTAGCAGAGTGAGTATTTTCCTGCACGGGTCGAAGAGATGCGTCTTGAACTTGGAGGCGGTCAGTCAGAAAGACATGGAGGAGGATTCAAAGGCAGCACAATAAACTATAATGGGTTATAACAAAGGCGTTGAAGCGCGTCATATGTTGTCACCAACGATTGCCGAAAGATCGGTTGTTTTACGGTACTACAATTGGGTAGGCCTCGTGAGTTACGTTTGCAACGGTCTCGTGAAGGTAGTTAGCTAACGTTGAATCGAGCGACTCATATACATCCTATACATTTTTTAAATATATCCGATCGCATTTTACGGATTCATGATGAAAGGCACCTTTGACGTATTTGTGCCACTTTTCGCTGGATGAGCAGGCCCATCATTCTGGGGTAAAATGAATTGCGGATAGCTGTCCCGTCGTCTTTAACGCTATTATTGTCGCGCACATATGATGTATTTTGCATAGTTTCATTCAACGTGATTTGATCATGGCGAATGCTGTGATATATGGTAAAATATGATACCTCAAATTTATGTATCCTTCCTGATACATATATTATGCGATGTCGATAATATTTAATTAGAGTCATTTGGAAAGAACCAATACCGTTGTGATACAGCAACGATGTCGAAAACCAACGCAGTATCTGCACCCGCAGCGTCAACTCGAAAAGGTACGTACGGTACGTTGGCAGAAGCACTGTACCATCTGGTGTCGTTTTTTGAAGGTTATGACCAACAGGTGTTGTCCATGTGTATGAGGGCTTTCGAGTTGACTTTGGGTTTTTCTCAGTCTCAGTTGTCCACCTTGGCAACTGTGTCTACTATGTCCCGCATGGGTTGCTGCATAATTTGGGGATCGCTAGCAGATGAGTATGCGTCGAAATATGTACTTGGCGGTGGTCTGTTAGTGATGGGCATGGCTTCGATTGTTCTAAGTTCTGCGTCACACTACAAAGTGGTAAGTTGCAATTCGTTACCGTCAGTACTCTTGCAGATTCTCTTCTTGCGCTTCTTACACGGCTTTGGATTCGCTTGCGTGTACCCCGTGCAACAAAAGATTGTTGCGGAGTCAACCGATTCAAAGGAAGAAGAAAAACGAAAGGAAGCAGAGAAACTAATGCAACACCAGGGATCTTCAACTCATGGAGACGGAGGACAGAACCAGGGTCAGAAAGCAGCTGGAACAGATAAGAAAAAGGAATCAAAGGCGGCTAGTACAAAATTCACGACATTTCAGGCTTTAAATTGCATTGGACGTCTGTTATGCGCCGTCGTGACTACGATGATTGCACGCAAAGTATTATTGGGATATTATGGTTGGCGTACGTCTTACGTTGTTTTGGGCTACGTGTGGATATTGTTCGGAATCGCAATTATATTTGGAATGAAACTAGAGACATGTTCGGATGAGGAGAAAGCTGAAAAAAAGGAACATTTTTTTGAGCGTATATCGAAAGCTTTTGGAGCAGTTTTTAATAGTAGGACAGCGGGGATCTCCATATTGACACTATTCATCGCAGAAGCCCCAATGTGTGCGTTTAATTATATGACCATATATCTGCAATATTTGGGAGTATCTGACACAATGGCGGGCGTTGCAATTGCGATTACACTGATTGGTGGCGCTGCAGGAAGTGGAGCTGGGGGAAAAATTATAGAGATAATTGCCAAATCCCAACCAGATTGTGGTGAGCTGGCTTCTGGAATCGCAGTGATGGTCGTCCGACTAGTTGTGTGTCTGTTATTCTTTTTAGGTAAACCGCCGTGTGGGAAGTTGCAGTGGTATCATTATCTGGAGTTGGCAACGCTCGGAGGAACATTGGTAACGGTTGGTGGCGTAGACAGGGCCGTTATGAAGGATTCAATCGAAGATAAGCACCAAGGTACAGCAGCTGCCATCATTCGAACCATATCCGGCATTTCAAGCAGTATAATTCTCTACCAGATATCTGCATATTTGACAGAGAAGGTGTTCGGCTACGTGCCATCTAGGGACGCGTTTGAAACCATGGACGCAGCTGTTAAAGAAAGAAATGCGGAGGCCCTGAGAAAATCAATGATGTACATTATTTTAGCAGGAACGTTACTCAATACGGTTTGCTATATTGCGATGTGTTTTACATATAAAGATGAAAGAATGAGTAAAATGAATGGCAATGGGCCACAATCACACCAACAAATACCATCCCAAGTACAAACAACGGCAAAGTGCTCTGACCAATGATATTATCCTTGAAGAAACGGAACATGCGCCTGAGTTATCGTAGGAGTTATTCTGTTTTGAACATTTAAGAACATTTGTACATTATAGCTGCTTAGCGATGTGGATTAATACTACCAACAATATTTTATATTACCTTCTTGACTAGCGTGTTTGTTGCTTTTCATTGTTAGCATCTCTTTAAAATGAGCCATAGTCGACAGATCATCGATGCCCACATCAAGGGTATGACATCTCAACTCCTAGGCGCGTCATTGAATAATCATGAGTCCTTCGCGTTCATGGGTTGCGTGCTGAATCGACAATTTCTACGTGACCAAACATCGCGGTCATCCACCGATGTGTTAAAGCAGAGCTTCTACAGGCACTCATTTGTCTAAAAGGAGGTCGTTATTTAATAGCATGACAGGTTTGTGGTTTGCGTTAATTTAGAGTTGATGATAACAGTTTCGCCCCTAAGGAGTCAACAAGTCGCTTTACATGGCCGATGCTGGTTAGTTAGGTCGAACCTCAGTGAGAGATTAAGGACTTGAAGTAATAATAGTAGTCTGTAAATATGCTTAACTGTCGCTGATTTTGGATATTGTCACTGATGTTTGCCGTTATGTTGTGAAACGTTAACGTGCTTCTCACTCGTTGTGTTGCGTATAACAAGTTTCGCGCTTAGCATTGCGTGTGACATTCACATGACATAACTGCAAGAACGTTATGTCAACTAGGTGAGCCTACGATAAATTGGTGGAGTTAAACCTTGGAAATGTTGGAGTATACCGTAGTGCGGTAATTATGGTATTTCAAAGTAGAAGCATGGTACAACATCGCCAAGCAGTGAACAGGTCAAACTACATTACATGATGTGTTGCAGTTGGGTAGGCTAGGTGATATTTTTTGTCAGAGACGTAGCTTTGCTTTTTAAGTAAATTCGCAACTCCTTAAAGATATCAAGCCAGATGAACAAAAGCACGAATACTAATATGGCGGCCAAAGATCCGCCAAAAATCAGTATGAATGCCTTTATAGCTTCTCTACAACACGTACAATCACAATTCCACTGATGTTTGCCTTTACATTGCTGACAACTGTTGCCAGCGCATCGCTGGCCACCACCTTTCATACATTCACATGTTGACATCCTCTCCTAGTTCACTCGAAATTCAAACCTGCACAGCGATGAGACATGCACCTTAATCCCGGCACAGTAGAAGCACCCAGCCGTATCCTCGCAGAGTTGTGCGACAGTGCAGACAGCCATCACCCAACATACCGCCAGTAGCACCACAGAGACGTGCCCAGCAGTATCCAAACGCCCCAACATGGCCCCTCGAAGTTGCGAACCTTACCCCACACATCGCTGGCCGAACGAGCGACAGGAGCTGAAACTTTGCAGAATTTGAAGCGCGATAACCGTGTTTTGTAGCTTTACATAACTCTCTAATCTTGCCATAGCGATGCTCTCGTTTGACATACCCCCATCTTCTCACCTTTCCGCTTATTTGTAGCATTGCGAAATATATATCCAAAGACAGCGAAGTGCAGTTGAATACATAAACAAACCGACAGATATTCCCTTGTCCTATAACACAACATATAATCGTAAAAGTAACGCAGAAGTACTTAATTCGATGCCAGGTCTCACATACCGACCCTTACGCGATGGGACTTCGCATCGAATTGCGTGCCGTCCAACGTTTTTCCAACGCTTCTAGATTACCCTCATTATTTAGCCTATTCATTGCGTTCCTGGTATTTAGAATCCCACGATGAGGCATTGGAGTTATTCATATTCCCCATTGAATCAAGCTTTAGTCTACCAAGCCGTGTGGTGACAAGTCGAAACCAAGACTTTGCAATCGCTAACACGGTTCACTGTACCATTAGAAGGCACATGATGTAGTAGGCTGTAAATATATATGATAAGTGGATGAATTAACCTCCGCTTTCCTTCCCATCTGTGAATTAATGTGGCCATACGCCAAGGTTATTGATTTGCAAAAATTTACGCTATGGATGGGTGTGTCTTGCTTAGCGTAGCAGATATCACATGCTGCCATATTATATCCAAACAATTTTCCGTTTAAGAGTCTATCCTAACTGATGTTTGTCGTTACTAAAAGTGATTCTCTACAACATCGATGGCACAGGCTCCGGAGTGGCCGAAGCGCGGCTTTCCTGCGACGGCGATGCACGATATCTAGGTAGGCGAGTTTGTATTGCTAATGAATGCACTGCTGAGGACGATGAAGCTAAAGTAATGAAACTTAGGTGAGTGGTGTTGAACAAGCTGGCAGGCACCCTGTCTGCAGTGTAGACCAAAAGAGGTGATTTACGTTATTAAACGGGAATACAGATGCGACGAATTGATAAGATGCGCCATACGGTATGAGTCTTCCGATATCGAATGGATTTTGAGTTGGAGAGTTGTAACAGTGCACTTCAATGCAAATGTTTATAATACGTAGGACAATTATACATCAGAAACCTCACTCTTAAAACCCTAATATATCATGCTGTGGCGATTGGTCGCACTTGTGGGTAAGTTGCGCACATATCAATCTCCGCATGCAGCTACGTAGTATCCTGATGGTGGATTGAGGGGTGGTACATGTTCGTCGACTACACGAAGGATTGCTAGCACTGTCGTCGTACCTTAACATACATACCCATATATTTCTATTTGTTATATACAGTTGCAGGTGCGTTTCTCCGCTAAGCTCGCCACCGCGTACATTGTCCATCGCTGCGCAGGGTTTATTAAAATGGGTGGTGGGCAGAGTACGGCAGGTAAAGCATTGGCATTCAGCTGTCTGTTTTTACTTTTTGTCCTAATCATTGTGGGAGCATTGATTACGCATGGAATGTGGCCTTTTGAGAAAATCCACAACGAGCTGTTTGGCGTCTCAGATGTTAGCGACCCTTACGAGAGATTCCCGCGTAAAGAACAGTACTAGTTTCGCATAGTTCACGTTATATGTCAACATCGCAGTAACCATTTAATTTTATTTGAGCGCTATCCATCGTCATCTCACGTTTATGCTTAGGGATTGTTGTGGTATACGGTTAGATGTTCCCTCACATGCTCCCGGCACCGCCACATGAACGACCTTTAGTGTGGGCATTGACACAAAAAGTGTGGTTATGTAAATAACATATGGGCTATACTGGCTCAATGGTACCACGAACGTCACCTTATTCTGGAAGTAACTACTGGCGCCGCATGTGGTGAAAATCAAATATGCAACTCAGGAAAATGTTTAGTCGTCTTGACCGTTATGTACAGAGACATTATATCGTAAAAACTAGAGTTTACAGTTCAACATTGACGAGCGTTCGCTGTTAGAATGATTTGCTCATGCTGTTTTTACGGTCTAATTCTGGTCAACCCAGGTTGACGTGAATCGGCGTTTCCACGCCGTCGTTGGCCCAGATTTTGACGACCAGGACGCTTCCTCTTCCGGCTTGTCATTGTAGTAGTTGAGAGACGTCGATGGAGGTGTACGCGAGTGGTACCTAGTGTCAACATAAGGGTAGTTTCCCATGAGACAGTAGTTTGGCTGTAGATAGGGGTTGTGCATGACATGCATTAGTTGAGGGTTAGCCGCAAACCCATTGCCTTGAAGCAGGTCAGAACCGTCTTGGGGTTGCGTATTTCTGGAAAATAATCTTCTGAACCAGCCTGGTCTAGACTGCCTTGGGGCGCCCGACATTGACAAAGCGCAGTTGCTGCCAACGAAGAGTGCCAAGAAAGCTGCAATCACTATGCCCACTGTGCGTGCATCCAGTTGCGATACGAATTTGTTAATAACTCCACCTAAAACCTCGGCGGATAGGAACGATGTGTCGTCGTATAAAATGGCGTCCTTATACATGCACGCCTCCCAGTCTCGACACTGCTGTTCCAAAGCTGGCACATTAACAGTTCTGCACTTGTTCTTTCTGTAAAGCTCCTGGCAAAGCATAGCCTCCGCCTTGACCATTTGTCGTCTTTTCTCCAGGCCATTGCCTATGTCCCGGCTGATTGCAAGAATGAACACCAGCCCCAAATAGAGAAGCACGGTCGTTACTGCAACGTTGAAAAATGCTCGTACCCAGCCGTTGAAAAGGTCTGGAGTCATCGGCTGATATTCGGCAGATTCCGTTTTGTGCGCCGCACCCGGGCCGTAGAAATCGAAACGGCCCATCTGGGCAGGCTCCATCCGCCTCACGCCTACAATGGGCTGGAAAGGGTATGGCCTATGGGCAACGTGGTCGTGTCTATGGTGATCATCGTGGTGTTGATGCCTCCTTCTTCGGTTAGATGTGGACGATCCATTGGATGCAGATCCACTAACCGACCCCGCTCTCGCCGCCGACCTGGTGCCAATAATCTGTTTCAGCGCATCGTTGACGTCTTCATACTCACAAGGGGTTGTTAAGTCCGCATCCAAATCGATAACTTTGTTGTAGACAGCCTTGCCCTTGACAATAGATTTTAGGGTTGCCTTTGCCCCCTTCCTTCGAAAAAAGTTTAACAAGAAACCCGTTTGCGGTTTCTCCTCAGTATAGCACGGCATCTTTAACACACTTGTAATTTCATTTCCACCAGCACTACCAGAATCTGCTGCTGCAGTGCCATCAACATTGTCCGTGTACGAATGGTCAACCGCGGCGTTGCTGCCTCCGTTATTGGAGTTTAGTGTACCGTTTGAATTGTTGTACCCTTCATAGGCAGCATCACTGCCGTACGGTAGAGGTGATGCATCCGCGTGTGCGGAATCCGATGGTTGATAGCCTGTGTCGTATTTGTTATAGCGTTGCTCGTCGCGATCTGTCTTCACGCGGATATTGGTACCGACAAAAAGCACGTCTTCGTTTTCTTCGTGGACGTTACGACTCTTCTCATCACCGTTATGTTGAGCGCCGCCGATGCTCGTGGAAGTCTCACCCTGCGAATTGCCATAATCTCGCGCCGACAGGGTAAGAGCGCTAAGCTCGGTAAGGGTATCCCCGATATCAGGAGCCCCTACCTCTTTCGAAAATCCCTCCATATTTTGGAGGAATCCAGGAGCGATGTTCCTGTCTGCTTTTGTTATGTGTAATGGTATAATCCCTCGCCGGACTGCGTGTGGACGCGGGAAATTTCGCGCCAAAGCGCGTACCCGGCAGAAAATATAACACAGCGCTACTTTAGAAAAAGTAATGTGTAAATAAAAGAACTGTAGCGGCACGCTTAATAGCTTCAAGGCATACCAAGCTAGCGTCATGGTCGGTTAAAGGCTATCGTTATGATCCAGCGGCTGCTTACACATCGCTCCGAAAGTTGATGAAGCATTCACTGTCACATAATTCATGGCGATTCTACTATGTAATTCACCAAATACTGCTTGATTTGGCGGTAAACAGGTGTTGCAATTGTGGGCCTCTTTTGCTCAACTATCCGAACCTAAAGCCGCAATCTCTACCTAATAGTTCTCACAGAATCCAGTATAACACTGTTTGGCACGGTTGTCTTAGTTCAAGGAGCATTTGTCACGCCATAAGTGGCCTAGCTCCTTTCCATATTCGGCGACTGTGCTATTGCCTTAAGAATGTGTTGTACCATATTCGGTATTTGAGTTCACAAATATCTTATTGCATTATAAAATTACACACTGAAAGTTTCAGGGGGTTCTGGTTTACCACATCTCTGTTTGTGGGTTCGTCATCCTCGGCATCGCCCCTCGTTACTCTCTCATTTGCCATTTTTTGGTTCCGTCAAATCCATCGAATAAAAATGGATAATACCGTCTCGGAATTGCTGTCGGTGGACTCGACGTTCAGGGACGAACCTCGTCTAGAGGACCTGTCGGATCTCGCCACCAAGACGCTGGATATAGTGGAATCCATGCTTAAAGTACGTTAATCACTCTCACATTAGCATATATGGATTATTAAATGACCATGCGTGCTTTGGTGTGACTCTATGGACGTCTTATCCTCTCATTTTGGTTGTATGTGTGCCACCTACGCTTTTCTAGCAAGCCGCTGAATCACGTAACATACTCATTATGTTCAGAATACCGCCACTAGGGATGTTGAGTTCCTTAAGACCGTCTTGCTGGAGCTGATGATGGCGGAGAAGCGCTGTCGTATGGCACGCGATGGAGCGTCAAACGCCCGCATCTGTACCTTCATCATCCAACTGCTATACGACATTCGCGACCTGCCGAATGTGAGCTACTACCTGATTCTGCTGTCGCGCAAACGCGGGCAGCTGAAGGCAGCCATTACGGCAATGGTGAACCTCGCCAAGAGCTGGATCGCCGAGATCCCAGACATGGAGGCCAGGATGAATCTGATCGACACCCTGAGCCACATCACCTTGGGGAAGGTTGGTTACGGACTTTCGACTGCAAACACCTTTTAGATGTACCTGGAGACCCAGAGGGCAGAGGTAGCCTTCACATTGGCTAGGATCAAGGAGGAGGCTGGGGACATTGCTGGCGCTGCTGACGACGTCCACAATGTCGAGGTTTGTGGCAGCGTGATATGACAACAATGAATGCAACAGGTCGACACTTTCGGATTGCTGCCCAAACAGGACAAGGTGCGCTACCTGTTGGAACAGATGCGCTTGCACCTGCTGAACAAAGACTACCTGCGGTTTTACATAACGAGCAAGAAGATAAACGAATCCTTGCTCGATTCCGAGGAGTACAGTGCTCACAAGATGAAGTACTATGAGTACATGATACAGTACCACCTCAATGAGGGTGACTACTTCGAGATCGCAAAGGCGTACCACAAGCGCATGGACACCGCACTTAAGCAGGGTGGCACCGGCTGGATACTGGTGAGTTAACGGCACATTGCCTCGTGCATTTGAGCGCAATTACACTCTGTCGCCGGGTGGAGTGGCCCAGCGTGAGTGCGCGAGCCGCCATGCGTCAGCGGCGTTGACGGCACAGCTGCGGTCAAGATTTCCCCGTACAATGGCGTATTAATGTTTTCGCAGGACATGGAATGTATGCTACTGTTTTTGCTACTGTCACCTATCTCTGACGAAACGGTGAAGTACCGTGAGGACATAGTGGCGTCCAATGAGAAGAACATGAAGGAAACCCCAATGCTCACCACGCTGTTCAAGGAGTTCCTTTCCAACAACCTTATCCCCTTCCCACTGGAAGAGAACATCAGCAACGCAATCAGGGCACACGTTGTCTTTACTGACACTCATCTTCCAGGGGGCGATGTGCGTTTGGCCGTGCTGTCCGACCGGGTGGTCCAGCACAACATCCTTGTCGTGAGCAAGTATTACACAGCTGTGCAACTTGTGCGCCTATCGGAGCTGTTAAACGTGGACTGTGCGGTAAGTTTCACATGCACGTCATCAATTTCGTCCAGAAATTGGAGGAAGAGATCTCCTCGATGGTACACGCCAAGACGGTTCACGCAAAGATCGACCGCCCTGCTGGAATCATTCGGTTCGGAGAGCGCAAGAGCACGGACGCAGTGCTTAACGGGTGGTCCAAAGATATCGCAGCGTAAGTTTTTCCTCGCCGCACTGTCACAGTGTCTAGGCTCGTCGGTCTGGTAGACCAGTGCTCGCGCTTAGTGCAGAAGGAGAAGATGATCCACGAGGCGCGACTGAAACAGGTCGAGCTCGAAAAAACCTATCACCAATAGCTGTTTGGCGCACATTTTGTAATTTATGCTTCCCTAAATCCGCATCGTGAACGTTACGCCCCCACCAGGCGCGTTGCCGCTTTCCTTTTGCATTTCATTCGCCTTTCGGTGCCCGCACCGTGTCCCCAAATTTTGACATAGACGTATAATCGCCAGGATGCCGAAGAATAAGGGTAGGTGTGCAGCCGTGGTGTCATGGTTGCTCCGTGTCTCGTGATTCTTGCTCTAACGTTTTGTAGGAAAGGGAGGCAAAAACCGCCGTCGTGGTAAGAACGACAATGAGGGCGAGAAGCGCGAGTTGGTCTTCAAAATGGAGGACCAGGGTAGGTGTTAGCTGTCTGCGTCGACTCATCTGTTCACAGAGTACGCCCAGGTGCTGCGTATGCTTGGAAATGGACGTCTAGAAGCCTACTGCTTCGACGGTAACAAGCGTCTGTGCCATATTAGGTGGGTGTAGCTTTTCCTTTGCCTCATTGTGCGCAGGGGTAAGATGCGTAAGAGGGTGTGGGTGAACGCCGGCGACATTATCCTGGTGTCCCTACGTGACTACCAGGACAGCAAGGCTGACGTAATCGCAAAGTACACTCCCGACGAAGCCCGTTCGCTAAAGGCGTACGGCGAACTGCCGGAGTCTACAAAGATCAACGAAACAGACTTGTACGACGAGGAGGGAGACGGTGGCATCGACTTCCAGGACGTCTCGTCTGAGTCCGAGGAGGAAGACGGCAAGGCGGACGACAAGTTCGACATTGACGACCTGTGAGGGTCGTGGTGTACACGTGTCGGTTTCCTTTGCGGCAGAAGTAGGCCACATGCGCGACTACGCCGAGAGGCAGCCACAACATTCATCGACATGATAATCAGTGCGATTAAAAACAGTTTATGCAGTTGCATTGGGATGCCAGCAAATGTGCCAACGTATACCCGCAGTTGCTGCGTAGCGTGTGAGCACAGTTGATTGGCAGAGGATCATGCGACACGTAGCGCATTATACTGTGTTTATGTGTTGGCATCCAGCGACGTCAGCTTGGTCTTTAGCGACACATTTCACAGCGTGTAGCTGAGTGTATCTGCCATGCGCCGCTTTAGCTTTTGCGTCTTTTCCTTCAGCACGCCGATGGCCTTGAGGAACAGCTTTCCGCTGGGCACGGCTCCTGTAGACTCGACCGAAACTGGACTTGCATGTGTGTCGCACTACTAAAAACTCACATATGAAGTGGTTGCAGAGTTTCTTTATGATGACCCGTCGTGGGAACCGCTCTACGCATGCACGGCACGATGTGCAGTTGTATGGCCTTATCTGTGTTATGCGCCCTGTGGTTCGTGAGTCCCTTAGAATCGTTAAACACACCGTTTTCTGCGCCAAACACTCCCATGGGACATATTTGCACAAGCTCCTCAACTTCATCGGCTCCAAGCGGCTCTTCCTCCGAGAAGGTGATTTCAGGTTTGAAGCGGTAGACGGCAGTGCATACTGGCGACCACTTGGCGTGCGTCTTCCCGATACCCTTTTCTAGGTAGGCCTTTAGGTCGATTTCCTGCGAAAGCGTGAGATACGTTTCCGACTTTTGTCTTAGCGACCAAGTCACGTATCTATGTGGACTGACGCACTGCTGTCGCCCTAATGAGATGTTGTGCACGTACCTGGCCTGGCGATAGTTTTGTGAGCAGAATGTCATCATGTATGGGTTTAGGAGGGTAATCCTTGAACAGCTCAGCCTGCTCTGTCGAAAGTGGTACCCACTTTAGATCCCGGGAATAAACTGCATGGAATGTTAATTGATGCGTTAAAATCCTCGTTGCACAGCATTAAACACACATGACTCTTTAGTTAACGACCGAACACATCGTGCACCCATTTAGACAACTTTTCAACAGATCTATGTTTTCTCCTCAGAATGTATTACTTACTTGGCAGATTCGGCCGGTCACCCAGGTCTGCTCTGGTGCACTGTACCTTGAGATGGAAGCAGACGCTGTTTTTGCCACTGAGATCTTCGATATCTACGTGCTGTTTGTTGATCACATAGGCATCCACTAACTTCTGAATGGGATCAGGTCGGGGTCGCAGTCGAAAGGCACTAGACCCAGTCGGTGGGCGAGGACTTCGTCCTGGATGACGCCAGTATTCTGATATATCTGCGATTTATGCCCTATGTGTAACCTTTCGAACTCACATGGACGCTTTCTATGGCCAGTGTCGGCACTTCGGCCAGTAGAATCCTGCGTATGGCGTTTGCGATAGTGACGTTGAGTCCCTCAATTTCTGCGATAGCGTGGTACCTTGTGTTCTTAATGAACTTTATTTTGATGTTCTTTATTTCCTCGATGACTGTGCGCCCGGATGACTGCTCTTCAGTTTCGAAGATCGGCTTAACTCCTGAGGCCTCGAGTCTAACATTCCCCGGCATTTTGCGACTAGTAGTACCGTCTAGTCCGATCACCGGCCCCGATTATCTACCGGATTAATATTCGCATACCTACGCGATTATGTCTCGCCGCTTCGTGCCGCGGTTTCCGGCGGAATTGCGCCGATTGGGCCAACGGCGCTGTTGCAGCCCAAGTTAGACACGAGTTTTGGCAAGCTCACTTGGCAATGCGCCACAATTTTTACACTCTAAGCATAACGTATATACTCGATGTGTATGATCTCACCCGTTTTTTGTCATCAACCTTTCTCTCGTCGGCCGAGGCAAAGGGACAATTAGCGACCGATTAGCATTACCAAAGCTATGTATGTTATCATGGATGCATTATCACGTTAAGTATCTGCGCATTAAGAACGCCTGCGTTGTGCAGAAAACAAAACAGAGATTGCAGAAATGTTGCATCGTCCCATGTTAACAACAAAGAACGAAAAGTAACAACAGCATGAAGGGAGCACATCGTCATTGCATGAAGAACGTTGATGCACAGTTGTATTACAAGTTTACAATTATTTGACGGTTTTAGCTATTGTAGGTTGCGAGGGTGCCCTTCGTTGGTTGTTACCAAGCCTAGTGAAGTGCGAATTCCTTTTGCAGCATTCGACTTTTCCAATGCATTTACTCCTCACAGTGTTGCGGTAGCACGCGTTTCAAATAGGCCGCGTTATCTCCTAAGCGTGTTTCAAATGTCTCGCCGCCTCGGTTTTGGGCACCGCTGTATCCAATTCATTTATGGTCTTCACTGCATTTTGTATAATTGTCGGCGTAGTATCCCGAGCCTTGTCCGCATATACCAGCAGACCACCGCCAACACAGAGGATTACGATCACGGACCATACCACGGCGTGGCTGCATATGCATGGTGGCGATTGCGCGGTGCAGTGGATGATTAGGTACAGCAACAATATGAGTCCCGCGAGCCCAAAGACCGCAATGTAGAGCCACGTGATTACTTCTAGTTTCTCACCCATTGTACTTCTGTGTTGTCGACCTTGTTCGTTTGAACCTGTAACGGCTTTGTATAAATTTACGATAAGGGTGGGCAGATTAGTACAAAAATGAGGGATCGTATATTACTAGAAGCAGTTTGTGGCTGTGCGTATAATGGATACGGTACATCTAGCCATGGGGTATCAGGTCGCCTCTGTACGTACGGTACCGCAATGTGCCATATGGCAGTTTGGAGATTGCAGCGCTGGAAAGAAAGTACACCGGCTTTTCTGTGCCGTATGGCACACCAAACAGCAGAGTCTACGTCATTTTGTCATGCCAATCGTAGAAAATGTGTACGTTCTTCGCAGCTTTATAACGACGGTCAGTAAACCACGTAGTAGCCGTAAAGACGGCCCTAGGTCGTTTGCCCTACCATTTAGGAACACGCAACATACAAAGATACTAACATTTCCACGTTTTTGCTATAAAAGTTCTCTGATGGCGTATTCCGCCTTCCTAAACGAGGCAACACGCTCACCACGAGGCAGGTGGATCATTGGCCGTGACTTCGTATACTGATCGTATGTGCCTTCTTCAGTGCTATAGAACTGCAATTATGCTTGCAGAGAGTATCGGATATTATAGGCGGACAAATTTCGTCTGATGTGTGTGATGCTCCCAGTGGGTCAGACATGTGTGATGCCGTAGGTTGACCCGCGTAACTGCTTGAAACAAGCACCGCAAGAATAAGTACAACAAACTTTACGCAAATATCGCAACTACATCAGGTTTACTGCTCGACTATGCTCTAGAAGGCCCGCTAATTTGGCCTTGTTTGGCTTTTATCGCTTATACCGGTGTTCCGGCTCAAAATGGCAGAAGGTGAGTTTTCTGAGCCCCTAATTAAGCGTACCTACGCATGAAATTGTTGTAACACGTTATATCTTTCGTAGACAGTGAGAACAAAGCCGACATCGAGCCGCGCGATGTCGATCAAACCGCCGCGCCGTCAATGCCAGTTTGGAAGGACGACGATGACGACCTGGAGGAAGACCATGACGGCGTTGCAGAAACATCTGAACCTGAATGGGTGATCAAACGTCGCCGTGAGCTGTTGAAGGCGCAGGACACGGGTGAGCTGGACGCTGCCAGTGCTTTGACGGGGAAGTTGGCCAAGGTAAAGCCCAGCAGTCGCACATCCGGAGTGCGATTCCGTATAGACCGACAGGGCGATTCGCGTTACAACATTTCTGTAGAGTGAGTGCCATAACTTTTGTTCCAGTCATGTGCAGTGGCGGCATCGGTCAAGTTGGCTTTGACCAAGGGTGCTCCGTTTTGGCAGTCCTTGGTCGCCGATCGAAATCGGTCCTTCTATATGAGGTGGATCGCCATCGCAGCGAGGGCAAATACTTCCGCCTTAAGGGAGAGATGTCTTCTCCCTCCACCTCTGGCGAGGCCGTTTCGAGTTTCGCGTTCTCCGACGAGGGCAAGAGCATGCTCCTCGTCACCAACCGAAAAAGCGTTATGAAGTACGACATGAACCAAAAGTGAGTATATCATGGAAGATCCATGACGTTTTTCCAGCTCTACCTTGCGAATATCGAGCCTTACTAACCCGCGCACCGAAAGCATGTATAGTCGCGTACATACTCCACCTGCGTCTGATGATGAAGCGGCGTCTGTGTACGCCCTGAGCTGTTCGGATCACGGCGGAGTCCTGCTTTGTGATGCTCGTTCTAATGCGATCATGCACCACTTCCAGATGAATGCGGTGTCTGTGGTAAGTGCTGTCACTGCCGTGACCTCAGTCAAATGCAGGGAGTCGGGTTCCATTATCGCGCCGGTGTCGTGATCACGGCTGACAAGGAGGCGAATGTGGGTTGAGAACACGTGAATTGTAACATGGCGCAGATTTATGAGTGGGATTTGGCTACCGGCCGTTGCCTGCACAAATTCAAGGACGATCACTCCCTCCACCTGAGTAGCTTTGCCATATCACCAGGTGCTCACGAAGAGTTCAGCCGCCATGCTTTCGTGGCAGCAGGATCACAGATGGGTTTTTTGAACCTGTTTCCGCTGCTGCCTGGCGCAGCCGAGGACGAGGAACGGTCGTGTATTAAGCGCGACCTTTTGAAGAGCTACGGCAACCTGTCCACCCCTATCACCAGCATATCGGCTGACGATAGCGGCAAGTTCATCGCGTACGGCTCGGAGCACAAGAAGAACGCCCTGCGCATCATCCACAACCCAAGCGGCTGCGTGATCGGCAACTGGCCGACAGAGAACGTGGGCCTCGGCCGTGTGACCGACGTGGCGTTTGCATCGCGATTCAGCACACTGGCCGTAGGTAACCGAGCCGGCCGCGTGCAATTCTTCCGCATTCTCACAACTTAGTGATCGGGAACGGTTTGCAATGGCAGCCTACGCCATGGCCAGCATACGGTTACACCAGTGCTCTGCTTCCCAGCTATGCGCCTCCGGATGCTGAAGTCATCATTTCGGCGACTTATCGCGGTATAGCACGGTTATACTCGCTATGCTCATATGCTGGAGCAGACAGGATGGTCCAACCGGTATACCGCGTCGCATGCCGCTGCATGGTCGACACGGATATGAAAATCACATTCCTGAGAGAAGATGGACGAAAACAGAGCCTCCTAATCGCTTATTAGCATAATTAGTGTAAGTATTGCATAATAAAAGCGACGAGAATCACCTTTCTCTGGATGGGTCATATCACAGATGGGGTATGTAAGCCATCACCCGCATAGCGTGGCAGCATCGTGTGGATCCTGTGCTCACACAGCGGAATAAACTTACCTGGCTGGCGCTCGGGGTGGCTCACGTATCACCCTGTCGTGGCTCGGAGCGGGGCATTGCACTCAGCTGACTGTAATGAGCCATGGGCTCTCCATTGTGAGAGTGCCAACAGCATAATTTTTGCCTGCGGTGACCTTTTTAGGACGCCAACCATCTGTCAAATTCAATCTTTCGCACAACTAAGGCCTCTTGCCATGTCACATTTAGATCACATTTTAATTTAGAGTACTACACATATACTGCCGCACTCCTCCCTAGCTGAGGTAGGAATCCCTGCACTACAGGCGGCACAACTTCATCGACCTGCAGGCCTCCATGCATTACACATTTCTTCGGAAGTATAGTGTAGTTTAATTTATTATTTTTACGAGCCCCGCAAGATGGGAAAGCACAACGCCACCGACTTGGTAGGTTACGCTCCGCGGGGCGCGCTATCTCCGACACGAAACTAATGCCGAGCAGACGCCGGAGGAGCTGCAGGGGCTCGTCTCCGCTTTAAATGAGGAGCAGCGCATGAGGCTGGAGGAAATTCGGAGCCTGTATTCTATGCACATCAGCGGCAACCAGCAGCTCTTCGATGACCTCTTCTTCGTCAGGTATGCACAGCGCCTTTTCCGCTCAATCCTCGCAGGTTCCTGCGCGCACGCAAGTTCGACATCAATAAGACGAGCGCCATGCTCAACAAGTACTTCAGCTGGCGTCTCGAGGTTAACGTCGACTCCATCATCCGGGTACGCGAGCAGGTCGGCGGCCGACAATGTGTTGCAGAGCGACTTGACCTACATTCGCGACCGCGTGCGCGAGTTCTTTCCGCACGGTTACCACGGTGTGGACCGTCTCGGCAGGCCCATCTACATCGAGCGGATGGGCCAGGGCAGCTGCACGAAGCTGCTGCAGCACTTGACCACGGAACAGCTCACGCGATACTACGTCCAGCGCTACGAGTACCTGACGCACGTCATGATGCCGGCAGCGAGCATCAAGCTCGGCAAGCCCGTGGAGCAGCTGCTCACTATCGTGGACCTGCGCGGCTTCTCGCTATCGCAAATCAACACAAAGCTGCGGGCTTTCCTCACCGCCATGTCGTCGGTGACGCAGAACTACTACCCCGAGATGCTCGGAAAGTTGCTTTTCATCAATGCCTCGGCACTGTTCTCCGCGCTGTGGCAGATCCTGTCGCCGCTGCTGGACGCGAAGACGCTCTCCAAGATCAGCGTCATCTCCTCCAAGACGGAGTCGCGCCAGCTGGTGTTCGAACTGGTCGACCCCGACCAGCTGCCGATATTCCTGGGTGGCACCAGGCCCGACGAGGACTGGATGACCGCTAACTTCGGGCCGTGGGACGACCCAGAGATCCTCGACGAGCTCAAGCGGACCAGGCCGCACGTGCCCACGGAGTTGTACGACCTCAAGGGATTGTAAGGAGACGTTGTGTGCACATCGCTGCACAACCGTTGCAAGGCGCATGAAACATGCGCTGCTAATGATTTGGAGTGTGGGCTATGTAAAGTACCGTGCCTGCTTGATGCTGACCGGGCAGGCCTTGCGCTGCGGACTCATCTGCAAGCCGGCCAGGCCGTGGATTTGTTGATGCTGATACATATCATTTAGAGTTTTGCGACGTGAAACTTTGTTGCCGTCGGCTAGGCGCTCTAATCATTTCCAGTACTTATCTCTATCCTTGGTAGTCGTGTTGATCGGTATCGTTGGTGTAGTCGTATATCTTTTCCAAAGTTCAAGTTTGCTGCAGCGATTTGTGTGGCACTAGAAACCGAATTGCGTGACACACCGTCAAGTGGTTTGCTTCAATTAATATCTCTTTCCCTTAGTGGTTGGGGAGATGATATCGCCATTTGTTGACCATTTAATGACACACTGGTAACCTTATAATGCCTGGTGGTATTTGTATGTGTAACGGTTGTCAGAGTTTGCGTAGCGATATATAGATACATACCACGTGAAGGAATGAACATCGTTCACGAGGCACACGCCCCAGCAAACTACACCCAGCGATACAAACCAGATACGAAAAGACCTATAAGACTACATTATGTAAGCTTAAGCTCAAGCAATGTTTACGCTGATCGTAATGCGATAATAGGGAGTTATGTTGCGATTGGCGGTGCTATGTGGCCCCTTGCTTTTGTGGTGCCTTAATGCACCGTAAAACAAGGGGCCACCGCACTGCCTAGGTCAAGCCGTATCTAAACTCGGGTCCACACGTTTAGGCTTGGTATCTAGATATTCGGCTATGATCTCTCTAAGCGACTCATCCCATTCCAGCTCATCGTTCTCAAGGTCGGCTGGTTCCAGGTTAATTTCACCCACCTCAGCCAGGTGCGCTCGATGCAACGAACGCTCCATTTCCGCCTCTGCCCTGGATACATGCCCGTCCTCGTCGTCACGGAAACCATAGTAGTCCGGATTTATCATGCGATATAGCTCTGCGCGGGTCACGTAAGTGTCTGCCATCATCTGGTCACTCTCCTGTTTTTCAAACAGTTCGCGTACACCCGGGAGGTTCTTAGCAGCTCCAAAATAGCGATACCCTCCTCCTCCTACCTTCAGCTCAGCACCGTGTGCGTTCTCAATCGATGAAGAAAGGGCACGTTGATCAGCACCACCCAACTCGATCACCCTCTCATCCCAGCGCTTGCGCAGACCGATCAAACGGTTGATCTCGTCGTTTAGATCCCTGATCGCAAATTCACCCAGGCTGGCATTCTGGATGCGCGAAATCGAGATCATGACATCCTTCACCACCATGTTGCGCCAGTGCTCGGCAGTTCGCACGTCCTCCACCTCCGAGGTGTGGCGGGGCCTACGCATCAAGTTCGTGTCGTGCGCCGACAACCCGCTCTTGAGACGCAACCATCTGTTGAGCATGGAGTTCGCCTTCTCCGAATTTCGCGCCATCGTGACAGTTGGTCAATAACAGAGGTGGCGCAAAGGCACCGATTCCTACACAGTAAGTAGACAACGGAGTCAACAGAGCTCTTTAGTTCAGCAGTTTTGGTCCCTATATGTAACTTGAAATGACCTTGATGCTGGCGATATCCCAGTCCAGCCGCAGGAAGGCTCCGAGCTTAACGACGGCGCACATGAGACAGGCAATCCAATGCCCTGTATCGCTGCGGAATCCGTCCAATAAAAGGTAACTAATTGCCAATTAAACCCTGTTTTGTGCGGAAGCTGGAACTCTGAACGTTTTGGGTGCCCTAAAGCACGTAGAAGACGCGCGTATACCCACCGAAGTCGAGCATCAAACCGCTCTCCTGCACAAATCGTGAATATACTTACACATATAGACATGTAACTCAATGGTGTAACCTAATAGTGTTCTAGAATGCTTTGCTACTGATTTTACAAACCATCGCTTCTGGGCCGATTGATGTGTCTGAAGTGATCAAGGACTGTTAGGTTGATTTGTGCCTAATATAACGCAATATACGTCACCATGGACCGCAAAGAACCCTGTAGCGGACTGGCTACAGATGATGGAGGGAGCCATTCGTGCCCGTTGGATCTCAACGAAGCCAACATGATGCCGATGCTTCCTAACCGTCCTCTCCAGGAGGCTGCACGAGGACTGGACACGACTCGTGAACAGTCATCAATTCCCAGGGCAGATACCGGTGAAAGTGAGTCGGTGATCTGTGGCCTAATTATGCGCAGAATGGACATACCCGTCAGCCATGCAGTTTTACAACGCTCTTGCGCTGAAGCATAAGACATCCCCTGACGAGGCAGCGTACATGAGGGATGCCGTGTTGGCGCACAACAATGTCAACGAAAGGACCTGGGAAAAGGTGTTAGAGTGGGAGAAAATGCATTTTAGGTTGGTATGAAATGTATATCCTGCAACGTCCGCCGCAGTACATGTCCCAATCCGCAGCTGCGTCGTTTCGTCGGCAAGTACGGCTACAATTCGCCCAGGTCGCTGATGCATCGTTACATCTGGAGGTTAGTTATGTGATCGCCGTGTGCATTTTGATCCAGGATGGGCGAACCCTTCGACCGACACGACTGGTTCGTCAACCGCTGCGGCCGAGACGTGCGGTACGTCATCGACTATTATGACGACCCACGCGCGGAAGACGCCGTACAAGTATACATTGATGCCCGTCCTGCGCTCGACAGTTTCGGCGCAGTGATGGATCGCATCAAGGGGCTCTTCAGGCGCCACTAGCGCCGTACCCGCATCGCACGCAGTGGACCTCCACTGCAACAAAAGAGATAATGTTATCGGTTGTTTGAGATGACAATGTCGTCGAATGCAAACACACAGCGACACAATATGTGTTGCGCTTTATCAGTGCTGCCCTCGGTATATATAGCCATGCTCAATCAAGCTGTTTTCCAGGGGAGGTAAAACAATTACATCACCGTTACCCACCCACTTGGAAACACTAAACAGAATAATCACGGTGGAAATTGGTTGCACATTATGATCCGCAATATTCACATGCATCACAGTAACGTCCCTGCGGTGCCCATTCGGCCAGCAATTAATGCAGTAAGTATTAATGGAGGTTTTACGATAACGTTAAATGGGCACTACCACCGCAGGCAGCTGTTACTGCGGCATGCTTGTAGTGCTGCCATTTTGCCGATAAAGGCCCCCTTAAAATCTTCGATGCCTACTGTGTTTGGCAGGTTGCATACTACGTTATACCGCAAGATGACGGCGCTATTGTCATGCGCGTGACGCGCTAACTTTATGCCATTTTGAACCAACGATCCTGCAGTGCGATATCGTACCGGCTCCACGCGTTCTCGGTTAAACAAACATTGGCCGTTCAACTGCCCTGCAGATTCATTGTACGTCTGTGATGGAGGTGGCAGTGGAGACGGCGAGGAGAGGCGAACCGCGTCTAACTTTGGCATCGTCGTTTGAACCCTCTGGCAAAACCTCGAAGAGGGCGCGCTTCACGGACATGCCGTCAGCTGGCAGGCCACTCTCAACCTTGGATCTGGCACTGGCCTCTGCGGAACTGCCCTCTGGAGCGGTCTCCACTTGTTCAATTGGCCTCGTTATCGCATCACTATCTGTGTCCTCGGAGGATTCATTGCTCTCCGCTTCGTTGTCGGCCTCGCCGTCAGCGGTGCCATCAAAATTCGGGCGACGATTGACCTCGGCAAGGTCATAACCGTCCGATTCATCATATGCATCACAACTGGTACACGAATCTTCTATATCATCGCTACCAGAATCTGAGCGACTAGATTCTGTGGTAGCATGTGCCCTCAACTCATCTTCGTGAGCAGTCATATCCGCTTCTGCAGAATCCTTTTCAACACCGGCAGACACTTCTGATGATGTGGATACGTCAACATCGCCGCTTGAATCTGTCTGCTGGTTTTCTTTCGCCTCAGAATCGTTGCTCACGTCCGCACTTTGTGGTGCGACGTTCTCTGGCTCTCCAGCATCGCCATCCGCAGCTTCAGCTTTTGCTTTCGTTTCCACTTCCTCCTTGTTTATTTCGACCTCCTCATCAGCATCTTCGTCTTCATCCGAATTGTTTTCTTCTGGGTTGTCATCGATGACTTGGCTGATATCGTTGCCTTCAGGGTCAATGACCGTGTCTGAGTCCCACTTAATGGGGAATCTGGTGACCCTCGGCTGGTCGATGATGCATCGCACCATCTTGTCGATGTTCGGCTCGTCAGGCGGACACTCCCGTAGTTGTGGATCGTCGTAGCAGTTGTTTGTGTAGTAGCCGATGCGTATGAACTCCTGGTCGCAGTAGTTAGCCGTCACCAGCACGGCCTGCATTCCCAGTATCCCGGCCGGATTCAGCTGCGAGGCGTTAATGTGTACAATATTTTCACCTACCCTTGAAAAATCCGGGGGTGACACCCTGAACTCGAACTCCAAGATTCCACGGCATACCGGTCCCAGACACACAGCGTCCAGTACGATCTCTCCATCCCGGGAGTGGGCGACGTCTATGGGCTCCTTCTCACCAGTGACGTATCCGGTTCCATCGGAGGTCACGTATATGACCTTCCACTCCACGTCGTGCTGCAGGTCCTCCAGGCATTCGAACTCGATTTGGAACACCAACGGCGCCGTCACCGGGCAGACGTTGTTTGCGACGGTTATGTTGGTCACGTTGACCAACGACATTGTGAAACGTTGACTTCTTGCCGACACACTAATTTGGCAATACACCGTTGTTGAACTGCGGGTGCTGTAGTCGTAGCGATTCGGACTCTATGTCTAGTTTTGTCGGATGAGTCTACCCGTACACACCGCGACACACCAGCCGCTACTCCCCTGTACGATTTACCCCTGCAAAATCTATCACTCTCTGAACTCCTTTGCGGTGCAGAAACAAATCTTCATGTAATCTACGGCTTGAAGTTGTCATTGATGTCGTGTGTGTGGGGAGTTGCCGTGTCTAGTTGAAAAAATAGAGTGGAAAATACACTGCAGAAATGCATCGACATAACAGTATGCTTGGTGTCATTGCGAACTGGACACTCTTCGTTTACATTGAGGAAGCGCATTCTGCATTTTTTGAATTGCAAGAACATATACGCCAAATCATCCGGATTCGCGTATAAATTTCGGTCTGCCCTTCTTCGCATCGGTAAAAAGCATGTAGACTTCCCATTTTCGTGGCGTCTTCAGGTGCAATGCCGTTCCATGCGGCATATGTGCAGACTCCCTTCCACGCTTCTGCTGGTGTGTTGACTGTCAGAATCGCCGAAACCACCTTTATAACTGCTTATGTTACCTAATACGGCACATTTATTAACAACACATACACGTGACATATAGCTGACGACCATTCCTTCGACATCAACAACCGTGTGTATGTCGCGGCAGACATAACGGGGTCGAAGGCCATGAACTGGCAAGGGTCGCCCGCTGAACCACTCACAAAATGACAATAGTAGATTCCAATGCTAACATGTAATTTAGTCAATTTTTAATGCATTTTGAGCAGGTTCAGCCACGGAAGGCTGTCGTCATGCGTGTCTTGTCCGATTCGTTCTTATTCCTACGCCAGCGGATTTGGCGTTGGACATTTTAAACGCAGCATATAAGCTTCTATACCAATCGCAACTCTCGGCCGTTGTAATTTTGCGTTAGACTGCAGACGCCGAGGCCGGCAACTACTCGCTGGATAGTGCATCTAAATTAAGAAGGATTTTTAAGGATAATGCGTTCTGCCGTTAACTCACCTTGGTATATTACGGGTTTAAAGGTGGAATATGCTGTCATAAGGGCTGTCTGGCGGTGACACGTTTCTCACATTGCCTACCCAGGAGAGGCATAGCTGTAAACACGCGACAGGATGACACACGACGTCCTGGATGATATACGGCTGCTCCGGATGGGGCTGGAGAGATGGGGGTTGCGCAAGTTCAGCACCAACCTGCTCGCCGATACAGGAGATCCTGCGCAGAAGGGCGAGCAACTTCTGCGCCAATGCTGGGAGGAAGCAGAAGGCGATTCTTCCCAACCACCGAGAACGACTGATGGCGACGAACAACCAAATTACGTTGTCTATGGCATGCTACAGGTGTGCCTTGACCAGTGGCAGGGCACAACTCCGTGGCAAGGTGTGGACCGGGATGTGAAGTCTTCACGGCACCAGCCGCCAGGCCCGCTGTCGGTCGTCTTCAACACGGTGTTTATTAACATCCTGAAACAGATGAAGCAGTTGGTGGTGCAGAAACGTCCTGAACAATTCCAGCGTGCTGTTCGTCACTTCACTACTGTGATATCGCGCATGTTCACTGGTGCCTACGGTTCTGAGTTCTACCAAGACCTGGAGGTCGAGGATCTGAAGCTCATGGTTTTCCTGTTACGGACGCTTCTGTCAATGTTTTTGGACACGCAGGTCGATTGCCTGTATCCTGATGGTGCGCTGCCTGTACGAACGGTTTTCGTTTGGGCGCGGTGCATCGTGCAGGTGTTCAACATGATTAGCGGGCTGCGACCGCAGTACCTGTCCGGCTTCGAACACGACCTAATTACCGACTTCCGAGGTGAGTGCTTCCGACTTACGCTTTTATAATGACGAATTAACAGATGTTGTCCAACTGCCCGACGGGACCACATTATGCCTTTTCCGGCGGGCGATGAAGAGCCTGCAGCTGGTCGGCGTAGGCATCGAGATGAAGAACCCCACGGTCACTGTCAACGATAATACGCTGCGCATACTGGCCATCGTGATATCGGAATTCGTCTACAATAACAGGATGCCGCACAGTGTCTCGGTAGATGGAAATAGTTGGGATGTCTTTCGAGACCATACGCTAATGAGCACCGGTACGGTTTCGCAGACCTGCTACCCGCTCCAAGCTCTATCGCACACTGTTGCTGCGTACCTCCTTGACCACTCCTTGCGTCCGCTGTCGGCCGTCGTAAGTGACGAACAGTCCATGGCACACTGCGTCGCTCTGTGGCATGCATACATCTACTTGAGGATGGGTTACTGCGACTTCGCCTGCAAGAAGGATTTTGTGCGCCGTATTGTCGGGGACAACGGTGATGGCGGCCACAACAGCAACGCGCTGCTGGAACTGATAGACACCCATCCAGACACGTACAATGGCCCTGTCATGTACACCGAAAATGAATACGTCGCCATGCTGCGGGCAATGAGGCTAATGCAAGAGATAGTAGTGCACCTGTTGACGGAGTTAGCAGAAGAATGCACAAGGCCAAGACCGCGACTTCGGAAAGCAAACTCTGGCTACGCTGTGAACCACGAAAGCACGGATACCAGCAATGCAAGATGGCTACGTATAACAGTTCGCACCCTATTTGTATGGCACGTATACTACTACAAGATGAAGATACAAAGGGTTGGTACGCACGCGCACGATGTGGACTATTATACGTCTTTCTTCAAAATGGCAGCTGTTACTTTGCACAGATTCAGGTCGCAAACTCCTGCAGAAACCGCAGACGCGCTTACATCAGTCACAGTGATGAGTTTGTCAGTGTTGAGCAGAAGCAGGGGTCTGGATGGCATATACCAAGTGGTGCCGCATGTGCTGCTGAGGCCCACCACCGTCGGAGTCAACGGCAGTAGCCCGAAAAACCAGGCAATTCGGCGCGAATCGGATACATCAGGGCATAAAGACGCGCTGCTACGTGTGGGTGCATTTGCGTACACCAACATGAAGGCTATAGTCGAGAGCTATATTGGCTGGACAAGCCGACCCTACGACATCATGAAAGCCGTGTACACGGAGCTCCAAGAAGCAGGGCACAAATTCACATCTTTGCTTGACGTGGCAGAAACACCGATCGCCGCACTGCTGAAAACGTATTCGAAGTACAACCACCTGCGAACGTTGGAGTTCGGAACGCCGGAGCTGTTAAGCCACTACTCATCCGAGCGGTCCGGGAACAGTGACGGATACTCCGGTACGCCAAGAAAAGCGGGAGCAGCCAAATACGGATTTTCAAAATGCTTCGAAGTCAGCGTCGAAGACGAGACGATTGTTGCAATGGTGTGCCTGGGAGCGGAGGCAGCCATAAGGCTCTTTTTAACCCATGACTCTATGAACACGAAAGAGACCGCCTTGGCATTCGTCATTCTAAACACGCTGGTACTCCTCCTTTTGCAGCTACACCAGCGGTTACTGGCTGGAAACGGTGACGGCGGTGGAGGCAGTCGTGGCTCCACGGCTCTTGTGCTGCTCGAGACATACCTCCACCTGCAAACGGTTGGCATCAGCCACGACATGCGCGCGGCAATTAGATCATTTTTGATGTCTACTTTCACGGTGGGAGATGCCGTCGTGGAGGTGCTCATTTGCATGCACATAGGATCCACGTCGTCATCACCACCACTGCCCACGGACCAAGGCGGTAAGAAAGGAGATATAGAATGCCCTGGGTCACGGCGAGAATGGCTCATTGTAATAGCGTGTCTACGGTGCGTCACTACGTCGCCCATCAAGGATGTATTATACGTGATTAACACTCTTACGCTGCTGGCTGATTTGAACGCGAACGGAGGTGTTACGATGGCCTCTGGTGCAACCCACAGCGCATCTGGAGAATTGTTGTTCACCAATACAAACTCTAAAGAATCGCAACTAACTCTCTCCACAACGGCCAAAAACGATGACGGCCTTGGAGGTACCCTGGGCTCAGGCACAGCCCCAACCAACTACAGCAAGGAGCACTCCAGCGTAGTGGAGAAATTTTTGATACACGCCCTGACAAGGTACTTTGCAAGTGTCGCCGTGAACGCAAAAAGGCTGCAAGCTAACACCAATGACTGGGCTCGTCTTAACGCACGTTTTGTCGACGGTGTATTCGGTGCCACTTTCAAGTTCCTCAGCGTGGCGAATATTGCCGACGTCACGTACGACGTTGTAAACATCGTGCCGTTCATGCTGAAGTTGTGGCATATCCTGCGGTCAGAGCCGCCGAGCGACAATCCCGATTTGGTGGAGTACTGCATGGCACTACAGGCGCTGAACCGTCGAAGGCACTCGGTGGCTCACACTATCCCGCTGTTGTCAGATTCTCGCCGTCTGCTAAACCTGATGCGGCGCGCCGTGGGACCTCCTAAGGCTGGAGATACTGGTGATATTGATATGACGGGGCAGCCGGATGATACCGCCGTCAATTCGGCAAGGGCATTTACCGAGACCTCTAGTGAACCCGGCTCTAATCGAAGGCGGCGAAACAGTCTAAGCGCAGCCTCCGAACCCTCAAACAAGACCAACAGGCAGTTTAGTCCCTATTCGACTTGTCTGGAGCCCATCAACCTGAACTGGAGTGGCGATTTTTCTATCAGCAAGGATACCTCCAGCACCTCAGTGGACCGAGACGAAGATCCAGGCGTAGTGCCTTACTCGAGATACATAGAGCTCTGTGCAGCCAGATTGCCCAGATTCTGCTTCCACTGCAAAAGGATGTTGCGATCGGATGGGATGCGACGGGGACTGTACCACGTCATCTGCAGTCGCTGCGGACGGCCGTCACCACTACTCTGCGAAGGGCATATCGATTCGAATAATACGTCGTACGGGTTGTATGTGTCCTCGGCCGAGCCCTTCACTACTAGGGTTACAACTGAAGGTGGCATGCTCGCCCTCGACTTCAGCCGCAACAGCGAAGGAAGCGTGGATTTGGAATGGGATACCATTGCATCGCTTTTGGTTAGGGGAACACGAAAGATGGCAATCGAATGCGCAACTGCCGAGGTCACGAACGCGGTTTCTACCGGCATATCTGACGCTCTTGCGTTCTATATGGTCAGCGCACCCGTGGCATGCCAAGGCGTATTGAAGGTGACCTCAACGCTGCCGGCCGTTGGCCCATGTTTTGTATTGTTGATGATGTACAAGACACAGATATACAACAAGCTTGGAAAACTGCCTGTGGATGGGTTCTACACCGAATTCTTCCGGACACGGTTTGTGGATAATATGGTCATCATGTCCGACGCCTCTGCTGACGTAGAGCACTTGCAGGTGCAGTACTTCTGCGACTTATTCGCGATGTCAATGGCGTCAAATTCGTCGCGTCCTGAGGCTGAAACAGCCTGCATGGACTTTTGGCATAAGGTGCCCTCGCTCGTTGCCAATATCGGCGCTACTTCATTGTCGCAAATCGTCACGTCCCTGCTGCAGGAGATTGTCGATGCCGAATTAAAGTTCGCCTTGCCGCACATGTCAATTGACGCCGCCGATGATGCAGCGGAGTGCCTTTTCACGGGATACATGGCTGACGAGATGGAAGATTCGGACGGTAAAAGCGCTTTTGCGGTTGCGTGGGTCGCATTATCTCAGGTGGCCAATGTGATGTCCATCCCTTTGACTAAATTATTCGTTTCTGGGCTCTCGCTCACGCCGGTCCGCCTAGCACTGACCGTGCGCAGCAGGCTGACGCCGGTGCAGCCACTGGCCAAGGCTTTGTTGAGTACCGTAATGTCGGCATCCATTTTGGACCGCCTCGAGGACATTCACGAAGGCACAATGCCGGGAGTATTGTGCACTGACGTAACCCTGAATTTCACCCTGGACAACTGCGACTACCGGCTCTTCCAGATCATGCAGCTGCTGAACGAGGGAGGCCAACCTCGGGAGAACGCCGAGCAGTTGAGGCGGTTGGACAAATACCGCTTTTACGCCATGGTGCGCCTACTGTGGTACGTTACGAATCCACATGTTGTGCTCCGGATGAAATTTTCACGCGGAACAAAGACGCTGCTGTCGGCGCAGACGGACTACGTTGCCGCACCGTTCAGCGTCTGCCTCGAAATTACGCGCGACTACAAAAGGCAGTTGGTCAAACAGTTGCGTGCCAAGAGCACCGTAACATCAACGCAAGCTACCGATACTTCAACGCGCCAGGATTCAATCGGCAAATCGAGTACAGCTGTTTCCGCAGCGGATGTAAAATCCGTACCACCGTCCAATGACACAAGTCAACATCTAAGGCTGGAATTGGCTGCTATAGATACGCAAAACCTGGAGTCTATCCAAAACATTCCGCAGATTGATACGGAGAACCCTGAACTGCTGCAACAGTCTGATGGCATGGGGTTGTACGGCGCCCTGGAGAGCGGCAGACGGTACTCTGAAGGTGGTGCCATGACCGAATACATGCGCGAGAATTTCGTGCGCATCCTGGAGTACTTCGTCGCGGTGTGGCTAAACAGGGGCCAACACAGCCACAACTTCGCTCTGAAGAACAAGCGTGTCTTCTACCCGGAGATATACGGCTACAGCGACAGACAGGAGGTGGCCAAGGCACACGTTGCGCGCACCTACAACTGCATTGCCATCTTGGTGAGTATCTATAATGGCGACATCGACGCGTTCTGCGACCGCATGATCGAGGTTCTGACGATTTACCAACCCGACGCTGACAACGGACGGGAACTGCTCGTCTGCTGGGATGCCGTGGCGCGTAAACTCTCCTGCGATGTATTGGGACCATATGCACCCGGTATTGCGTATTATATGGCGCGTATTGCAATCATTGGCTCAGACGGTAGTGAAGACGGGATATCAGCCGACTGCACCGCATCCACCGAACCCAATTACACAGTGCCAACCCCTGAAGTCTTACCGTCTCGCAACGCCATAAGTGCCATAAAGATGAGACTCATGGACGTAGAGCACGGTGAACGTTTCTGCGCCTACATCGATTGCCTGGTGGACTGCGTCAGCCGGCCGCAGGATCTCGACGGCATAGAGAAGAAGCTTGAGATGTTGGCATCCATGGTATACAGTGACACCGAAATCAAGGTGCCGTACATCACTCGCGAAGCTGCTGCCATCACGGCAAACCAGCTCCTGGAGCTGAATCCCTTCATCTTCAACATCGAGAAGGCCAAGAAAGCCGCTTCCAAGCTTGCCGTTGCAGCGCTGCATACCATAGCGGAACATTCAGACGATTTCGCCAAAAACCCAACTGCCCTCGATTCTGCGTGCTGTTCGATACTCGGCTATGTGCCCTGCGACCTCAACAAGTTCCGCTCGCCGAGGCAACCATTCGCCGCCGGCATGCAGTGCTTCCTCTCCGATCCTTCGGAACTCGCCGCGCAGTTGCTGAAGGACTACCTTATCCCCAACATGCACCTGCAGGTGGCATTGTACTGCATCCAGGAGATCCTTAAGTTGTTGGGGCTCTACAAGGGAGGTGTGCGTTCGCAGGCGGAACTGGAGGAGATGGGCGAACGCTGGAACAGGACGTTCGAACCACTGACCAGGCGTGCCATCGAACCCTATCGCGCCACCAGTTTCTTGCGCAACCGGGCAATAGAGGGGGTGATAGAAACCAGATTGGATGTAAACACCGTGTTGGACATCAAGTCGTTCGTGTGGTGGCTGCTGAAGATGTTGCCGGATTCGTGCCCGACTTTGCCTCTGTTCCGCGCCTGCGACCTCGCCATGATCAAGATACCGTCGGTGCTGACGTTCTTGCTCCCGTACATTGTGGACTCGTGCGTCCAGTTCTTGGACGATGAGCAGTGCGCCTCTATCGGGAAGCGCATGGCCTCACTGCTTTGCAATATCTTGAAGCGTGACAGTGCCACATTTGGCATAAACTGGCAACCGCCATACGAGGTGCTCTCAAGGTCAGTCATGGCGCTAGACAGCACCGACCAGTACACGTCATGCCAAGCGATCTTCAACCTGATCGACGGCATCAAGGTGCTTACGGACCGGTACCGCAAAGATCTCATCGCCATGCGAGGAAGCTCATCATCCGGCCATTTAAAGCGCCGCAAATCTACCCAAACAGCCGATCAGGAACACAGCACATACAACCGGAACACCATGGGCTCTGCAGATGACAGTTGCGGGAGCCTTTATGGCATAGGCTCCGAGAGGGATGCCTCAGAAACTGTGAGGATTCTGATTACAAAGATGAAACGTCTCGAATCCATCCTTCACGCTGTGCCCGAACTGTTGGTGGCACATGCTGCGATATCGTGTGGGTCTTACGCACGCGGGGTGATGATCATTGAGAAGAAGTTGACGTACGAGCCGTTATCGTACAATTTCGGAAACCCTGGACAGGCGCTGAGCAACCACGCAATATACTCGAAGGTCGAAAATATAGGTCTGAACCCTCAAGCTATCATCTCCCTACTCTGCCGTGGCTACTTGGGACTGGGTGACTTCGACTCACTCGTTTGCATATCGAGCATAGTGCTGCACGACGACTCGATCAGATCAGAAAGGAAGACCGTGAGAAAGGATCCGGCTTCCGCTGTCAATTGCCGCATCGCTCATCACTCTGATTCTCCCTTCGTAAATGCCCATGCGGCCGCTGGCGATGATGCCAAAGCGCTCACCAGCCACACCACAAAGTTGGTTGAAACCCGCAAAGGATCAATTTCAAAACGTCAGAGGGACGTGTGCCGCGCATTCTCGTACGAATGCAGGGGCGAGTACCGAGAGGCATGCGACGTGTACAACAGGCTGCTGAAATTCTCCCAGGACACGCGGCTCTGGACCAGTTGGTACCGCATCATACAGATGACTGGCCCTAGCGCGTTTATACAGCTGCCTAAATTGCCGGAACTGGAGGAGTCAGCGGATTCGCTCATCGCCGAGTCACTCACTGCGTGTTGGAAGCTGTCTCTGTGGGACGAGCTCGACGAATTGCTCGAGGCAAAACGCACGCATGAAACAGAACTTCTTGAAATAAAGGCCGAGGAACTCTCTAGCATCGACGTGCTGCTTGTTGACCGTAGTGCTGACCGCAAGGAAGCCCGAGGTTCTCAGCTAACGCAATGCACAGTTGACGACAGGCGTGAGGCCGATGTCTTCTGGGAATCACTGCTGATGCGCGACCCAATCGACGTGTGGTTCATGGAGCAGACTGCCAATGCCATGAGCCTCCTGCACAAGCGTGACTACGTTGAGAGCGAACGGACCATCCAGGAGGGGTTCAAACACCTGATCCGCCCGCTGGGTTTGGCCATCCGTGAATCCAGCTTGGTGGCCATGAAGTACCTGGAAAAGATCGCAATATTCAATTCTCTCAGACTATCCAGCAGACTAAGTGCGGGAAAATATACCCTGGATGAAGTCAGCTTCGCGCGTGAACTGCTATCGTTGAACCAGGGTTCGGCGGAGCACAGCATCCGCAACGTCATCAACATCCTCGGGTCAGCCAAGGTAGCTCTTGAGCTTGGAGATAAGTGCGACGCCGCGGCCGAGCTGCTGGTGTCACTGAATCGCACCTGCCGTCTCAACAAGGTAGACATGCACATCCCGGGAAGCATGTCACTGGATGACGAGGCTCTCGCCGGGCGCAGCGACGTGGTGCTGGAGCACGCACTTACGCTGCACCACAAAGGTCACGTCGATGACGCCATCGCTTCGCTGAAACATCTGGCGCAAAACGACTTCGAAGGCTTCTACAACCTGGTGAAGATGTACTCCGAGTCCAACTTGCTAATCCCTAAGCGCGCCATATCGTATATGAAGGAGATCCTGGACGCGGCACCGCTATCGTTCAAGGCCAATCTGCTCTATGCTGAGTATCTTGATCGACTACTTGATCACAGGCTGCGCAATGCGCACAACTTCCGCCTGGTTCTGGATGACAGCAGCATCTGCACCCGCCGGAGCACCCTACATTCATCGGTTGAGAACACCTATATAATCACCGGTGTCGAGGGAATTCCAGGAGTTTTCACGTTCGTCCAGTTGGTATCGGCTACGGTGAACGCGTACCTGCAGGCGCTGGCTTTCGTCTGCCCCAAACGGCATGAAGAAGGGACGTCGCCAGGGGGTGTCTCCCGAGGAAGCGCACCAGGTACTCCGGAAAACGACCGTATAAGGTGCCTGAATAAGGCGGAATGTGGCGATGTATGCAAATGCGATCTCAACCTTGATGCCGACGAAGCCTCCAATAAAGAGGATGAAGGTAATGCGGGTGACAGCTCGTTCCCAGGTGATAACAAAAAAACAGCAGGATCAGTCCAAGATTCGGGCGAACACATGGACATTGTGGATATTCTCACGAAGGTCATCGCAATAATGTGCTTCTACTGCACTCCCAACACCACCCAGTTTCTCAGCACGGTCACCTTTGAGAGCGAGGCATGCCAGATATTTGCCAACGCCATCATGGAGAAGTTCTTCACGTACACCGACGCAGTGCCGCAATACTACTGGTATGCGGTCATATCTCAACTCATGAGCAGGTGCCACCACAAGTTCCTTGGCGGTCTTATCTTCCAGACTCTGGTGGCGAGGCTCGTAGCACGCTACCCCAAGATGGCGCTCTGGTCGACCCTCTACTTTGCCCACTCTGTGAACCCACGCATGCGACAGATACACGCAAATATCGAGCGCAAGGCTCGCGAGTTAGTCCCCGAGTCAGCACTAGTGGTGGAGTACCACCACTCCATCTTCAAGGAGCTTAGCAAGGTGGCCATGGACACCACGGTGTCCGTCAACGACAAGTCGGCGCTGCGCTTCCAGAGCATGTGGCGCGTGCTTAACAGCGCGGGGTGCAGGGAGAACGCCATCATCCCCACCATCGAGAACCTGAGCTTCGACCACATCATCCACTACGACATCATGGAAGCAAAGTCGCGGCTGTGCGGCCTGGACGAGAGCATGCAGGTGCTGCGCTCGAAGCAGAAACCGAAGAAAATCGGTTTCTACACCGTGTCAGGCCAGGTGGTGCACTTTTTGGTCAAGAACGAAGTAAAGGGCGACCTGAGGAAGGACAAACGTATGATGGAGGTGACCCAGTACGTGGCCATGCGGTTGCGCAAACACTACAGCGGCATGCCTCTACAGTGCTACAGCGTGGTATCGCTAACAGAGGTGGCGGGCATCATCGAGTGGGTGCCTAACATGGCAACCATGCGGGCATTGGTCACCGATGAATTCAGGCGGGTGACCGGTGCCACCGACCGCGACCACAAGGGCGACATCAGCAAGTACGCCGCAAGCATAACGGCGAAGAACTACGGCGATTCGCTGACGTTATTCAAGCGCCTCTGCCAGCGGAGACCGCCCGTGCTGCACCGCGCATACTACAAGGTGTTCAAGCGCGACCCCGCCACGTGGTTCTGCGCCCGTAAGGAGTTCATCCACACGTGCGCAGTGTGGAGCATCCTCGGGTACATAGTGGGACTCGGCGACCGGCATGCGGAGAACATCCTGCTAAACCTCATAACGGGGCAGGTGATGCACGTCGATTTCGACTGCCTCTTCGGCAAGGGATGGTTGTTAGCGGTGCCGGAGCTGGTGCCATTCCGAATGACACAGAACGTGGTGTGCAACCTCGGTGTCTGCGGGACGGCCACCGACGGCCCATTCTACTCCGAGGCGCTCAAGTTCCTCCAGATGCTGCAGCAGGACCGGCACAAGATCACCGCCATACTCATGAGCTTCGTCTTCGACCCGCTCATCGAGTGGCACCGTGGCGAAGCCACGCCTAACCCGGATTCGGATTCACAGAAGGTGCTCCAGTGCATAGAGAGCAAGCTACGCGGGGCGCTGAATGTAGTGCTTCCGTCAGTGGAAATTAGTTCAAGTCTGTCTGCGCGCGGCAACGCAGAGGACGCGGGGGATCCGCAGTCCCTGAAAAGCTTCGAGAACGTCGCAGAGATCATGGAGCCCCGGCAGCAGCTTCAGCAACTCATCCAGGTGGCGACGTCGCAAACGCACCTCTCCAAGATGTTCGTCGGTTGGGCGCCTTGGATGTAGCCCAGACCTGGCGCTAGTGGAGCACAACGTATTCGCGTGTCGCCAGGCCAAATCTCAGCATATCGTGATTTCTGCAAAGATTCAGACGCGCATAAGTCCAGACCTACTTCAGCTGGTAGTAACGCCCCGGCTTAATACGCTCGTCGTTGAGGTATGTACCGTTGGTGCTCTCCAGGTCTATGATGTACGGCCTAACAGATAATGTGTCTGCTAACAGCTGGAAGCGAAGAAATCTTGGTGTTGGCTACCGACAACGCAAAACGTAGCACTGGGCCATAGGCCTGTGAAACTCACGGAGGCGCACTCCGGTTAATGATCAAAATACAATGCACTGAACTCACGATGAGCCTTTTGACGGTATTTTGCGATGCTGTATAACAGCGTGCTGTCTCGAAATGCTCTTGTGTGCCAGCTCGACGTCCGCTATCCTCCGGTCGTAGCCGATCAAGTAGTGCGTCTGTTTATCTAGATAGATGGTTTTTAGCACCTCCGTTTTCCCTTCACTTCCCTCTGGTTCGTTGAGCATATAGAGCCGCCATGAAGCCAGCGGCATAACCGAATCGGGCGGAACGGTGTACTGCACTGATGTTGACAACTATAAGGTAAACACACCTTCAGCGGAACGCCATTTTTTTTGTTCGTCTCAGCTGCCAGAAGTCCTGATGGCTCGAAGTTCGGCTTCTCAATCTCTGCATCAAATGTTCACTCCTTCATAGCATATGACACATACCACGGATGGCAGTAGTTCTCCCGGTCGATGACGAGTGATCGGTCCGTAACCGCGGCTGATTGGCGCCACTTCGTAACGGTCTACCTGTGGAGTCAAAGTATATAGGTTCCGTATTAATATCCTCTTCCTTAATACGCACTTTTTTTGGCGTCGAAGGGTCGCAATGTGGCGGAACAGATGACGAAAGTTCATTACTCGACGAAACTGATGTGGAAGGCTGGTGACGCGGCGGCAAAGATATCACAGGTGACATTCCCAGTTCGCGCTTAATGCGGGGCATGTCCTCGCCGATCGAATGTGAACCTCTGCGCTGTGCCATTTGAGTACAATAAGTTAGCGTTTTCGCCCGGCCAGGCGAATTTAGTGACAATGTGTGACCCCCTTCGGGCTGCCATACCAGAGACAATCTCTGTGCTATAAACCGCCAGTTACCTACTCATACCGCGTTATAATAGGTTACGATGTTAAAATATACACATTCACGTTGCACTACCCGGGACTACAAATAAATAAATAGTTGGCGTGCGGCTGTCTTAACGGCGGTCGTTGCGATGACCCATCTAGGGCTGCTATATGACGGGTTGCGATCATTAAATTGGAGTACTGGTTTATGTGAATTATTCCAGTAGGCGTTTTGTCTAATATTGTTGTGCATGTTAATTTTTTATGGCTCCAGAAACCGATAATAGATGCCGAACTCGTTACAAAGTCGTAACAGGTAGAAAACTGTTAATGACAAAAAACTACAATATCTGGCGCGTAGATTCAGGCAAGCAAACGAAATCAAGCGGTCGAACGCTTACGATACGATAACGGTATTTACGTGTTATCACTACTGAACACATACCCTTCCGCCGGGAAGTGTTTTATATATTTCCTTCTATGCTGTAGCAAATCGATAGTGAAAGCCGTAACATTGCTACGTATACGGTCTACAGTATGTGTGTAAACACGTCGAAACATAAACAAGTTCGCCACTGAGCCACTGCTACATCGATGTGCCACGGGACCGGTCGTAGCGTCCTGGAATACGCCATCACAAATCACACATAGAAGTTTGCATTCCTCCAACTCTATGTCAAACATTGAAAAGTGACATGAAGTGGGACGGTGGAATATTCTCCGTGCTGCTGGCATTTGCGCACGCACATGCGACCGCTCCGTGCGAACGTGTCCACCCAGCAGGCAACCTCAAGGCAGGCACGAATTTAACCGGTATGTCTGCTGATGACGCTATCATGACGTATAGAGTCCTATGACTGGAGTGTCCTTGAAAACGACTCCTGCGATATTGTGCCCAAGGAACACGTAACAGACAAGGTCATACACAGCAAGGTGGACGACGATGAATACGAATCCGAGATTATCAACGTGGAAGATGCGGACAGAGCAAGACGCCCTTACCTTTATAAACGTGACAGTGTGGCTGGCCAGTACGTCATGAAGCGCGACTTCGCCACGAAGTCCGTGGTAATCATCACCATAGTGCTGATCATCATCGGGTTGATGACAACCTTCATGGTCTGCAGTCGTTACAGATACAACTCCGAAGCTGCCACATGACATAGTAAGAGCTCGATGATGGCACCCAGTCGAGAGAAATTATTGCAATGTAGACGGGACACCACAATGACGGCTGGCTTCATGTAAACGACGTACACAATCCGGCTCCACCATGCATCCCGAATTGCGACGCCATGATGATAGCTACATATTGGTGAACTGTCTACAAAATACATCAGCCATTAAAGACGTAGAGGAGCTCAATGCCTAAAGACATACGTACGCTGATAAGACATGCAGGACCTCCAGCAGTCAAAATTTAACATCAACAGTTTAAAACACTGCACCGAAACGAAACAAATGCCATTTATGAACAAATACGATACATTAACAAAATTGTTGCGAAAGATGCAGCCCATAATTCAATACATTTACGGAGGCAGTGCATCAACAGCCCTCAGCGTGGCGGATATTGCGCTCCAGCTGCCTGATCAGCTTCGAATACTCCACTGCGGTCGCGTTTATGTTGTCCAAGCGTACTCCCAGGTGGCGAGTAGCCTGCGCTATCATGCGCTCCGAGTCGCGGGGGGTGGTGCCTAGCAGTAACTCGCGCAGCATCACATGGTTCTCGTTGTAGAACAGCAGCATTCGCGCCGCAGGCAGCCGTCGCTGCTGGCGCAGCATATCCGCGTTTTTCGCGTAGCTTTCCAACGTGCTCTCCACGTGGTCACGAATTTTGTCGTGCTCCTGCGCGAACGAACGATGGCTCTGGTTCAGCCAACGTGTCAGTGACGTCTCCAACTCGCGCACCGTGGTCGTGACGTCATCACACATCCTGTTCAGCACACTCTGCGCCTCCTGCAGCTTCATGCTCCATTCCTCACGTTTGTCCTCGAGCTGCTGCGCAAACGTCAGCTCCAAGCCGTCGGCCCTGGAGCTGAATTGGCTCGCCCACTTGCGGATAACGTTGTTCAGCACCGTGGTGTACGCCTCTTCGAGCGTACGCACGTCGCAGGTAGCATGTCTGGTTAACGCGCATTCGCTGCAGAAGCAGCCCTCGCCGTCCTTGCAGTCCAGGCAGAAGTATTGAATGGGCAACGCGAAGTGGTGGGGGCAACGCAGATTCTCAACGCTGGCAAATGTGGCGCCGGGTTTTGTGAGTTCCACAGGGTCTATGCTGTGGCTTCTCAGGCTGACCGTGTCCGAAGACTTGGAGACCTTACTCTTGGCCTTCTCGGGCCCCAGCGGTATGGCGCTCTCTAGTAACTTATGCATGGCGGTCACGTACTGTTCATCCTAGAGAGGGGAGGATAGTTACCGATTATACTAGCTGGCAGATGCCGGCATGAGACGGCGCCAGGAGAATGAATCCAACAAAACCCGCAGCAACCCTTTTGAAGAACCCGTTGCAATCCTGAGGAGGCCCAAACGGGACAACCGACGAAGCCTACGTTTACCCCTCACACATACCAGCAAAAAACTATCCTCGCACTATTAAACGAATCTCTTGATGAACTTCAAGGATGCGGGCTTTTAGACAGGCGTCAGAATTCAGACAAGTAGACGGATTTACCGTCTCGGTCATACGGCGTCACACACTAGGTCGACGCACAACAAAATTCGCACAAACGCTTTTAAGCGACGCTTACAGTGTTCAATATTGATAAAAATCCGGCTGTAGCATTTTTCGGCAGTACACCTAGCGTGCCTTGGTGCTACACACTGCAGAAAAGTCGACCACGTCAGAACAATTGCATCGCAACCCCGCCTGCGCCGTAAACACTTACCACCTGCACTGGGCAGACGTCGTTGGTATACACTCCGTTGGGAGAAGGACAGTAGCCTAGGCTGTCATCGGAGCTTGGACGGAGGTGTTGACACGATGAGAGCGTTCGTCAGTCGCCTATTCTCGAGGTCACAGTCCACTGAGCCGCAGGATAATGCCGCCGAACAGCGTGCAGAAGATGCTGCCGCACCAGAACAGGCGCCGCTGCTGGAGGCTGGACCCAGTCGGCAACACACTGGTGACCTGCGCCAGCGCGGCACCCCTGCGGAAGCGGACACGCGCTACGACTACGTGCAGCTGGACGACACTACCAGCAGCAGCGACACCGATGAGGGTAGTGACACCATGAACGACATATACAACCTCGGGGTCACCGATCGCCAGGACAAGGCGGCGCTCTACGGCCGCATGATGCACTACTACGCGGAGAAGACGGGCACGGTGCCTCCGATGAGAAGTAAATCCGTGCTCTGGTACATGTTGGCGATACTGATATCGAATCCGATCATCGGTCTGTACACCATGACTCACTTCAAGGACTGGGACAAGTGGATCACCAAACGTGCCGCCTCAGGGGAGCTGCAAATAAACGCCTTCCACAAGGAGTACCCGATCGTTAATCCCACGACAACTCAGAATATATTCCGCGCATCGAAACCGAACAAAATAGGCGCGTTGGCAGAGGATGGGGCTATCATCACCGACGATGGCCTGGAGCGATTGTCGCTGGTGGCCAAACACCTCTCCGGTGAGATTACATGGTACGCATGGTACGAGGTGTTTGGCGAGCTACTGTTTGCGTTGTTCAGTTTGGCGTTGCTGTGCGCGAGCGGCATCTGCTGCGCCAACGGTAGACAGCGTGCACAGTACATGATCCCGATGATCGGTCTGATGTACACCGCCATATACAAGGTGCTCGCCATGTACATCCTGATCATCAGTTTCAAGATTCTGCACTTCTATGTCGTTGCGGCGTTCCCCAAGTACGGGGAGATAGTGCCGGCGGTCATCCTACGCATGCTCGCCATCCCCGGCACGGACCCGACAGACCCGATGCAGCGCGAGGCCATGTCGTACCTGCTCGCGCTGGACACCTGCGCTCACCGATGGGTGCTCGTCTACTGCCTCGAGAACGTGTACATCACCATTACGGACTCCGTGGAGACCATACAGGCGCTAAGCAGGATACTCATGCGCACCGTCAAGAAGCTGGTGCGGAAACTGAAGAGGCAACAGGACCTCGTATACTTCACCATGAACCCCATGGTTGAGGCGCAGGCGAGCGTCTCGCGGGTATCGAAAAGTTCGTGCTCCTACCTGCTGCTGGACAGCCTCCTCAACAGGACCGCCGACCCACAGGAGGCGTACATACACGACATGTACAACAAACCCGGCCCCGACGTAGGCACGTACCTGGACAACATCAAGGTGGAGCAGTACCAGGACGGAATCGCACGAATTGGCCCCAAGCTCATGAGCCAACTACGCAACAGTGACAAACGCGTCATGGAGGCAACACCTTAACGAACTTAATGCAGTTAACGTGCTCAAAACACAATCAGTCCCAACGTGAAACCGACTCCTGTGCCTGCCAACGCGGAGATAACGCGTTCCCTGGGCAGCTTTCCGCCGAAGAGCGGCTCAGACAGGAACTTCACGGGTCCGCCGGATCCCTGCAGCGCCTCGTTGAATTTTTCACGCGCAGACGCAGCTAGGCTCTTGACCGTAGACGCTATGGCTTCTCGGTTGATCGATATAAGGCGGTAGTGGCTCAGCAGCTGCAAAGGAGTGAAGAAGGTATCCTACACACTCCACCTACCATCGTCGTGAAGAGGCCGCCGGCAGCGATTAGGCAGAATCCGCGCAGCGTACGGCCCAAAATGATGCTACACCCTGTGCCGAAACACACACCTCCCACGAATGAGATGCGGTCGAAGGACTCGGGGCCGTCGCCGTTGGTGAACACGCGCCAGAGCGATTCCAGCGTGCCGCGCGCCCCGTACGTGCGGTCGCCGTCAGTGCAGGCGTCAAACGCGCTATCGTCCGCCATATCAACAACGAAACTGTGAGTGCGAAAGGGCGCCCATCTGGCGACCTGGGGGGAGTACGCGCAGCAGGTTGAGCAGACTAACAAAAAACACAATTCAAATGTATGTACCGCTTCAAAACCCGGACACTGACATGTGCCCAAAGTCCTGATCCATGTCGTCAAATTCCTTCATCAGCTCATTCAACGATTTCTTCTCTGCACGGAATGCAACTACCACCTAGCATATAAACTAACCACCCTCAGTTGGCGATTCTTTCTCCTCTTCGGGTTCCTCAGCCTCACCTTCATCCTCGGATTTCCTAGCAGAAGCCGAAGCAACGTACGATGATGACGCGGCCGACCTCGCCGAACTTGCAGGTGCGCTGGGTTCCGAGGCCTCCGTCGTCGGCTTGGGGCTAACTGGCTTCGCAATCAGATCCAGCGCTGAGAGGTCTATATCGGGGAATGTTGTGTTCACTATAGGCGATCCAGTTGCGAAGGTGTCCGACGGCGCAGAGACGCTGGTGTTTGTAGTGGCGAAAGGGTCAGAAGGGGCGGCCACACTGGGTGTGGTCTTTGCAAAGGGGTCAGAAAAAGCAGGCTCGCTATGCGAGGACTTGCTATCAGATGTCTGCCCAAAGCTCAAAGCACCCAAATCTGAGAAATAGTCCCTAGGGCGCTCAGCAGCCGAAGACTGTGAGGGCTGTTCCCTCGGTGCTCTCGATGTAGCCGTTGATTTGTTGAAAACACCAAAGTCAGCGAAGAACTTGTCATAGTCATCGTCGGTCTTCTTAGATGCGCCACCAGACTTGTCGTCAAAGAAGTTGTCAAATGCCTCGTTCTCGTTTTCCGATTCAGACGAGGACTCGAGGTCCAACAGGTTGGTCTTGGGTTCTTCCTGAGGGGCCGGTTGGGGTGCGGGTTCCGGTGTCGTTGGTTGTCTCAACTGCTCAAGCGCGCTCAGAAGCTGCGTGCTAGATGACTTCCCCGTACCGCCGACGAGCAGGTGTACGCCCACGCAGTCGTTCAGCATCAACATCTTGCGCATCACCTCCTCGTAGTTGTGCGAGTCGGTGATCTGCGCACGGTTCTCAGCAAGGATGTTGATGCTAGCAACAATCTTATCCTTGCTGTCCTTCAGACGCCTCAACGCGGCTGCATGCTCGCAGCCGGGAGGCAGAGTGTTAAGGCTATTCACAGTAGCCAAGATACTGTCCAATTCCTGTGGACTCAGCGGCAGCTTTACGCCGCCGCTGAGCTCGAATTTCGACCTCCGCATAACGGGGCATAGATTGATCTTGTTGCGCTCACATACTTCGATCTGGGGGAATTTGATGCCGCGCTCGCGCATCTCCCGATAGCCCTGGAAAAACACGGGGAACAACCCCTGGTCAAGCATGAACACGTCGTGCCATAGCTGGACCATGTAGAGCACCTTGGCCTTAATCACATGAATGCGTACGTCAGTCGGCACCCCCGGGTGCACGTTGGATGAGCCGACGAGGAACTTCGTCAGCTGCTTCTTTACTCCACCCGCCAGAGAGGTGGTGATCTTGTTCATCTTCAACAGCCGGCGGAAGCGGCGCATGCACGACCTCGTCATCAGAGAGAGGAAGAAGGATCCGTACGACTCCATGCAGCGCTGCAGAAGCTCCAGGGAGAGCAGTATCTCCTCGGCTATATGGGTGGTGCGCATCCGCCACGTCGCGAACTTGATGATGAACAGGCAGCAATCGCGGCGCCCCTGGACGTAAGTCAGCACCTTCCCCAGCAAAAACTCGTTTATGAGTCTGATGCTGCGCATGCTCTCCGTAGTCGGCTGGCCGAAGCGGTCGCGCTCCAGGTTGAGCTGGATCGGCGGATTCTGCCAGATGAGCAGATGCTCCATCACCGCGACGAGTTCACGGTGCGATGCCACGGGATCATTCGTAGTCGAAATCCTCTCGGCGATGCGCAGGAACGAGTACGGGTTGGCCAAAGCAGCCTTGCGGGCGTTCGCCGCCGCCGTTTCCTTGTAGTTGTTGATCGCAGTGGATGCCGCCTGGATGCCGCTGCTGGTCATTGCGATCATCTTGCTGGTGAGCGACTTCGCGCAACTGATCGACGTGTTCTTCAGGGCCTTAAAGCTGATCGTCGGCGATTGTTGGCTCCGGCCGCTGTTTTGACCGCCTCGGCCGCTCTGGCTCCGGTAGTAGTCCTCGTCGTAGCCAGTCCGCAGCGACGAGTCGCTGCGCTGGACATTCCGCCGGTACGCGTTGTCAGACATTTTGCCGACTAGTAACCGATACAGCAAAAATCAAGGCTCTCATGCGCGACACGCCGCAACGCAACGGCGGGGCAGGACGCCTTACAGACAACCACAGGTGCCGCAAAATGTGTTACAACTCTGCATTAAAAAATCGCGCAGGTCGTACGACATCGGCATGGCAGTCGACCAGCGAGATCTACAAGGGAGTGTCGACGCCACATAACCGCCTTGAGTCCCTGAAGCAATCGCCACTCAACGTCGCCAATATGCGACGACGATGTGCATTTATCGTTGTAAAATATTTTGTGGATGCCTAACCTTCAGCGTTGGCCGCAACATGTAACGGCCGGTGGCACTGCAGATGTTAGTACTGCTTGCAGTTAATCAACGTATCTGCGAATTGCATACGACTTTTAAAGTAGCAGACTTCGTTTAGCTAATCTATGTATGCAGTATTTTTGTTCGACGGACAATCGGCTGTACTCTAACTGAACATCGGTCAATACAGTGCTGTTCCTCCTGGATGATCTAACACGTCGTTACTAGTTCGCAGACGCAACGCAGCTTTCAAATGTATCGACGATTAAAAGCAACATATAGCGCACAACAGCTGAAAAACGTTAAGCATGTAGATCGCTGTGATCAGTTTTTGGTAGACGCCCATTAATACACACTACGAACACTGCGGGCGAGCGGGTCGTTGTTACCACATATAAAGCTCCACCCGTTATCAACCCCAGACGTGAGCTGTTAATTAGCGTGAAAAATAAGAGTTGCGCATTGTGGAACTCCTGCGCGAGTGGACGCCGTTATAGCCTAGCACGGCAGAAGCGCGTCGTGGATTGTAGTACGATCCACCCCCGTGGACTCTTCTGCGTGACTAAGGCTAGTTAAAAGGACATCTATCGCTGTGCGTCATCGGTTACGGCAATCATTTTGTGAAAGGCGCGGCACGTACGCTCCATGCACACTGTCGTCTAAGCTTAGACGTTTCACTTTGACTGACGACACCGAAACGCCAGTCTCAAAGATGGAGCCTGATCCAATGGCAAACCCCGCCGGTGACGGTTCAGACAGCGCGAGGAGGAGACGCAGTAGCCAGCGGGTTACGGTTGCCCGCAATTACACCGAGGATGATTACGATAACCTTTCAGGGGACAATAGCGACGATGAGGAATACGATGCAGAGGAAGCTGGGGAGGAAGACAATGCCGACGAAAGCGAGCGAGACTATGAATTCACTAACGAACGCCCGCCGTTGACAGTAGCACAGACAGAGCCCGGTGAGGTCGATCTGCAGTATACGTACAGGCCCACGCTGGACTCCAGGAGGTTCACCGAATGTTCAACGGAGTCATTTCAGACGAACATAGGCACGATGGGAAATGCTGATCATATACTGCAGGACGCGCACAACCTGTACTACAGCCATATGCCCAGGGTGTTGGGGACGAATTTCAGGTTCCAGGTTGGGGAGGTCGCATATGCGAAGTGGCATGGCGAGTTTAATGTAGTCGTCATCCACTTCGTTTCACAGAAACTTATAACAGTGATTGGTGAGTTCGAAACGAGCGGCTGTCTATGCTGTGCAGAGGAACACGAACCAAGCGTGCCTGAGCCAAATGTGGAAAGCACCACACAACCGACCACTAAGCGCAAAAGCAGAGCGGCCAAAGGCCGCAGAGCAGCCGGCGAAGATGGAATGGCAGTGGACAGATTGGGGAGCAGCGATGACACCGACATCACTGATGACGGCGACTACGAATATGGTAAGCCAACGTTCAGTTGTGATACACATCTGTTATACAGAACCCGAGTCATCAGCGGAGAATGAAACTACCTCTGTCAGCCGCGTTGGTGCAGAACCCGCCGCAAAGCAGAGTGCAAATGCGCCAGAGCACAAATTTGAGGAAGATGTGGACAATAACCTGGCGCTGTTCAAGGATCCGTGGTCTACGAGACTCTACGCTAAGGTGAACGAAATGCAGGCGTTGCCGTTGCGTATTGATAAAGACACACCCCCAGATGTGTTGGCGTGCGGCGCCGATCCGGAGAGGCCGGAGAAGGAGGTAACCCGTCCCACCAGGACGCTCAAAAGATACTTCATGCCCATGTATTTCGTGTCATTCCCGGGATACAAAAAGAAATGCGCCAAGTCGTTCAGGTTCTGGGTCAAGGAGAAGGACCTGATCAAGTTCAACAGGGTCAGGCCTAGCCCGGGCAAGTACTCAAGGGGGCACGTTGTGGAGCAGTGTGAGACCACGAACGAGACTGACCAGGCGTGGGAGGATCGTGAAGTTCAGGACATCAACGAGTACGTGTACGATGTCGTTTACAATGTCTATAACAACAAGTCGAATAGCAAATTCAAACGTAAGTGGACGTCGCGCTTACATGACATACTTCGCAGCGCCCGAGCACCTGCCGTGGTGCCTACCCGCCGCGCTAAGACGATTGGTGAAGTGCGAGCACGCGCGTATACTCCAAGCGCAAAAGAAAGACCTGAACTTCTACTCAATCGAAATCGCAGAGGCGTTCTCCGCAGCACCGCTTAAGGAGCGGCTATCTGCTTACGCAATAGTGCAAAACTTCAAGTATATCCTCATCCTGATGAACACCCTCGTCAGCAAGCATGGCGGGAGAAAGACTAACTCAAAGAGCAAGGCGGATTTGGTAAACGCTGCACGGACGTACGGCGAAAGCGAGATGGTTGACGAGGTCGACGTGCCTTCGCTGCGGTTCATGGAGCAGCTGGAAACGAGCATCGGAACGGATCTCAACGCGCAGCAGTTTCACGAAATCTACGTGAACAACATCTACTGGCTGGATATCTACCTGGATTATATGGACAATATGTATCTCCACACCCACTGCTACACCGAAAAGGAGCACGAGTTCCTCTACATGACGTCCTATACGGAGGACAGGCCTCTGTCGCGCATACTCGGTCTCGAACACCTTGCCCGCATGTTCTGCTACCCGGTCTTGTACACCGCGTTGCTGAAACGGATAACAGCAGACGGCGAGCCGCTGCAGGTGTACATGCCGATAACCCAGCTGTTGCTGCACTATTTGGCCTTCGTTTCGACGGACTACATGCACAGCCAAAAGTATATGCCGTCGCACCTGGAAGGTGGGCTGTTCAAGATCAGCCACTTAAAAGCCAGCTGATCACCGTTGTGCGGAAGGTATCATGGCTACATACGATAATTGCAATCACATTATTGAATTGTACACAGCATTAGGAATGACCTGGTAATCGTTATAACCTTCACAACGTAGCCAACGGTAAGCAATGGCACGACGGAGTGGATTTTCCAACAGAACATGCAATAACGTTACAAATAATACTACATTGAAAGCGATAAATTCATTTACTCTATAGGGAACTGCAGAGGGTTCCCGTTCTTGTCAAACTCCAGAACAGCGCCCTGGCCCAGGTAACCACTGCCCAAGGGATCCTTGAAGACCCAAGACGGCGCCTTTAATTCGGCCAGCTCCTCAATTTCCTCATGCGTCAAATAGCGGTCATCCTTCGTCTCCGAGTCATCAACCAACTTCGGCTTGATCTCCTCATTGTACTTCATCTGGTTCTCCACTATCTCTGCCCACTCCTTGCGCTGCTCCTCCTTGGCCAGCTTCGACTCAGGGTCGATGGGGTACTGGCGGCGCACATCCTTTCGGTAGAACCAGCGGGCTTTGGCTGACATCCTATCCTCCGGCAGGCGGTACGGATTCCATGGCACGTTGCGACATAGCTCATCGTGCATGAGCTCATCGATGTGCATCGAATCCTTGACCTCTTGCAGCGCATCTAGGTCGCGTTGGCAGTCGTTGTGGAAGGCCTCTAGAGTGCGTTCGAACCAGCGCTCCAGGAAGCTGGCGCTGTTAAGAAGCGCAAGGCGCGGTGTTGTGGACCCGTCGGTGTGCATCTCGAGGGTCACAATCTCGCTAGTGCTGTCTTCGTTCATGCCACGACGGTCGCCGTCAAACGCAAAGATCTCCACTGGCATGCAACTCGAGCAGAAATGGATGAAACCGTCAGAGGTGATGTCACGATTTAGCGACTCCGGGCCACGCTCAGGTATGACGTGGTTGGCGATGTACTCGATCTTCACCTCCATATCGAGATAAGCATCCTTCGACAACGAACAAAGATATTGGTTCTTGTTCACCACCTCTATCTTACGGTCCTCAGCCGAGCCGGAGCTTGTGCCCCGACCTTCGGTCTGCGCATCTTCGTCGAATTCGAGGTGCCCTGCAACGGCAATGATGGGTCCCTTCAAACGCAGGCGGCCTATGAGCGGCTTATCGAAGGTGGCAGTCAACGGCACGTTGCGGAATATCACATTGGTTAGGTTACGAGAAAGGTCGAAGAAATCCTCACGTAAACCCACAACCGAATAGAACTCGTTTTTCATGCCGGGGATCCGCAAAGCCGTGATGCGCCCAGCACCCAGGTGACGCTTTGCCACACGCCTCAAGCTGTTCATGAGCACGGGAATCACGTCAGTATGCAAGGAATGCGCGTAGAAGAACGTGAATGCCCTGCCGTTGTGGTGTCGGACAGGCTGAATCTGCTTGAACTTGAAGCCGTAACTCTTCAATGGAGCGTCCTTCGACTCCTTCACGTGACGGACCACTGAACGGCTACGCGTTTCCTCGTTGACCTTTTCGAAATGAGACGCGATCTCGGCTTCGCTGTAATGCCTAGGGGTGTACGGCTCCTTGGGAACATCGTTGCCCGTCACAAACTCAAGCGCCCCTGAACCGCAAATATGGTAATGCATGACCTAAACTTACATGGCGGCAAAGGTTGATTCTCCAGTGGTACGCCTGAGTCAATGGGTAGAGGCTTGGGCTTCAAGGGGGAATCTGGAATGCCCATTGCCTGGACACTGGAGTCGTCAGACGAGGCGCCACGAGAGAAATGGGCGCGGTTTCGTCGAGAAAATGAAGTTGCATCCCAACCGCCTGTCTTGTGTGTATTCGTGAAAGTGTAGCCATTTTCCCAACGTGCTGGTATATGCGATGGTGGGACCAAGTAACCCCTTGGTATTGAGCTAGATATGCCTCTGTGAGAGGCGAAACCATCAACCGCCGCAGAGCGGAACGACACTGCACCGCATTCCAACCATTCCACAGAGTAGACCAGGCAGAAGACAGCCAAAGCAGCTCGATACCAATGTCGACACATCAAAACATTATCGCCGAATATCCAACAAGAGACGCATACCAATTATCGGACAACCCATAGAGTTGTAGTAAGAATACCATCACAGGTGTTTACAATGCCATCGTACGTGTAAAAAGATGTATTAGTGACAAATCCGCCTGAAGAAGGCTGCAAGGCGGCCAATATGCGATGTAGAAGCGATATAATACCATGAACAAGGCCACTGAATCACATTTCATAACACACCAACCGGTTAAATACGTATAATAATGCTCTATCTATGATACAATGTGAAATTCAAAACTACAGGCAATACCGCAAGTATGGAAGGTTGCGTATGCTGCCAATGGTGATACGTGCACACACCTCACCAGCTACTCATTACTAAATCTGCAATGCGCTCTGTAATGAAGAGTACTATTACATTGATCAGTGTAGCGACAGTTGAAAGCACATTGAAAGGCATGGCGACGTAGAACTTGCAACACCGCACGTATAGCGGAAGGCCGAACGCTTTTGCGATATTACACATGTATTGACAAGCCTAAGTCTCTGGTTATTTACACAAGCCATGAACGATGTATTTTAGCCATGGAAGGTGGAAGGATGCACAATACAGTATTAGCTACGCGACATGGAATGACAACCTCAAGGTGTACCATGCAGTGTCTACGTATATGGAACGTATAATGAAAGCAGAGAAAACGGCTCTATTGTGTGCACATCGCGGGTATCTAAATATATGTAGCAGTGGCGCAACAGTACCGTTTGAATGCCACGATCCAGATGTACGCGACATGGATCCCATCGGTAAAATAGGATATATGCAGGACAATGTACGAGATTTAATTAGAACATAAGGATCTGTATTAAGAATGGAAGCTTTGAAATAGTATGAGACACAAATGTGTTCGGAGGAAAAGGTAATCTAAAACTATGGGATCGTTGTTGCACATTTGGCAAATGTAAAGTCACGCAATTACTAACATGGAAACAGCTGTACACCTAGTTGACAAGAGGTATATTTTGTAAAATTTGCTCTAAAATGCTGGGGATTCTAGCCTGTACGGGCTACCATCGCCATCCCCCTGCGCGTCAGCTACACCCGCCCCAACTACCAAAAAACGCCACACATCCGGCAATATTGGCTCAGATCCATTTCTTATTACCGCTGCAACCGATTCATCCGGCGCTGCTGGCGATAACATGTGGTAGAAGCATGCTATAAATCACGACGCGATACCCTGCATAGAGACACCTGAGACGGGTATATAGATTAAGTATGGATGATAATCCCAATGCAGTTAACACTAGATTGATGTGGAAAACGCGTGCCGGCCCGTATACTTATTTCCTGCCTTTCAAGTTAAAGCGGCCGCTGCACACCAGACACAGTGAGAGACGCTACAAGCGCACCTAAGGGGTACCAGGCACGTTGCCAGGCTCAAGGTGTAGCGACACACGCGTATAATCCAATACTCTCGCCCACGAGATCGCTTCACAGGGTGGGACGTGGACAGCAACCAGGGTACGTAGACACGACATCCGAGATTCTGCTAAGCTATCATGGCGGCGCGTTAGTCCGTATGAACGCGTTGACATAAGCTGAACGTGAGAAAATTCTCCCTTGCAGCTCGTTTGGCTCAAAGCGCAACACCAAGGTAACCAAAATTTGGGGGAGGAATATAATCCACGGAAGTGCATTGCGCGGATCGCAGACCAGCGAGCCAAATTACGACACCAAATTAGGTGCCAGCAACCTGCGAGAGGGCGTAGAACGTCAAAGAAAATACGGTTATGGCAAAAGCGTGTCACCAACATGTGGTGGCTCATCTGGCGCCCCCGGCAGACGGCACTGCCAAGCAGCAACCAGACCGAAGTCCGCCCACCCCGAAACATGTTTGCTTGAGTGGAAAGGAACTGGAGGAGTTTCGCACGCGGCAGTGCCCTATGTACGTCAAGGGCGCATGCTCGGACAGCATACGTTGCAGCATGTCGCACAGCGAAACGTGGCCCAGGCGGAACCCCGCCCTCTTCAAGTACGACTACAAACTGTGCCCGAACATACAGTTTTTAAGGACTGATAACAAGATGCAGTTGCACGGTAAGTGCCACTACGGCCGACGCTGCAAGTTCTCGCACTCAAAGGAGGAACAGTTGTACCACCCGGACCTCTACAAAACACGCATGTGTCTAAACTACCCCAATTGCAAAGGTTATTTCTGCCCATTCGCACACTCCAAGGCGGAAATGAGGGACCGAAAGGATGGCAGTGGGAATGCCAGCAAGGATAAAACGCCGAAGGCTGCGGAGCCGGAGGACCAAAATGTCCCAGCGGCGGTGCAGGCGCAGCCCCCGTTGGAGGAAACACAATACGCGCCAGCAGAACCGAAAATGAAGGAAATGCAGTCGCAAATGATTAACGAGGCGTGGAACTCGCTCTACAACACAAATTACAAAAATGCAGATTATAAATTTTTGGACGTGAACTCACTCAACTCAACTGTTGGATCACCAAACACCGTGTCTACGCAGGAAATATCTGCCAACATAGATTTCGATATTAATGCAAGCTTGGAGGAGACACTCCTGGCACACGAAGATGTAACCGACCTGGAGGAACGGAACCTCAGGTTTCTAAACGCCTACTTCGCACAGCGAGTGAGGAACTTGGACGAAAACCAGGCGGCCGTTAGTCCGACAAGAACTACGGCAGTACTAAACAAACAACCAGAAAACATGGTTTGTAACAACTGTGACGAGCGGGATGCGGAGGATGACGACGAAGACGGATGGCTCGAAAACGTGCTCCAGACGGGGCTACAACTTCTCAGCGAGGCTGCCGACGAGCCCATAACTCGGGAAAATACGTCTGCGCAATCACCTTGCCCGCTCTGCGAACGTTCTCAGGAGGTGTGTAACCACCGCGTCCAACTGGCTCAAAGCAGCTGGATGTGAGCCAGAAGTTGCTCTGTTGGGCCTAGTAGCGCGGAAGCGGCGCACAGGACCCAGATGATGTACATACATGACGCTTCTTATAACAAATAAATGTAAATATTAACCTAGATGTACCCAGAATGTCATCTGAGGTGTGTAGACAAGGCGCCTCCGGAGCCATGCATCCGGCTGAGGAGCCGCTATAAGCCACTGCCGTTTGTCAAAACGAGCACACATCGCAACAATGATACACAAGCTCATAGAGCAGATGGTCAAGGCCTTCGGCCGCGACGTCATCGAACAGTGGTTACCGCTCGACCGGCTGAACATCACCTCCATCACAGATCCCGAAATCAGGCTCACGAATGTGCCAATACCGGAGAAAAGCTTTGAGCACCCTTCGATTCCGTTCACTGTGGTCAAGTCGAACATCAAGAGCGTGGTCATTAGGTGCCCTTGGAAGGTCATGCTCCAAAAGGACTGCAACGCTGCGCTCAGTATAGAGGTAAGGGACGTTGACGCGGTCGTGAGATTCAAGCGTATCGACGAGTGGGGGGTGGACATAGTTCAGAACGCGCTTATATCCACCCGCGAGAGGCTGCTGCGCAAGTGGAATGCAGTAGCGTCGTCTTTGAGGCTACTGTCCGTCAAAAAGGGTAAGCGGGGCTCCAGGGCAGCTGCCATCCTGAATTCATTGGATATCACGGTGAACAATGTGAGGATAGTGCTGTTGGACAACTTGTTGTACAAGGAACCTTTTGCCATCACCATAGAAGCCGATTTCATCCGGGGTGTTGGCATGCAGCACGATGACCCCAGCCTATCGGAGGACGAGCAGCAGGCGGTAGCCGATTCTCTGCTGAATGCGCTGTGGTTTACTAGCTCCCGAGTTCACATGTGGCTGACGGTATACAGTCAAGGTCAAGACGTAACTTACACTCAACAGGATTTGGATGTGCAGGATGACATCTTCGACCCGCAAGATTGGGGAGAGCGGTTTACTTCACAGCAGCCTTCTGAACCTGTAAAACCTGCTCCAAAACGCGATGCAAGCGCGCGAAAACAGGAAGATGCCACACCTGATAGTGTGTCGTCACACTCCAGTGACGAACTGTTCGGTTCGGCGCAGCCGGAAACATCCCCATCAGTGCAGGCAGACGACGATGGAACACGCTTATGGAACTTCTGCAATGCACCTTGCGCCGATTTGGGTCCCGATTATGCGGGCGAATACGTTGAGCAAAGGATAAAACCAGAGGACGAGCCTCTGATGCGCATGCTCAACGGGCCATATCAGACCTACAACGTCACGCCACCAGAGGGTGTCGCCTTTGATCTGGTTTTTAAAATGTGGAACATCATGTCTTTATCGGCGAATCCGAATGCTAGACGGCAAAGTCGACGAAACGTACAAATATGCATCAGTGCCCCCAGTGACGAGGGGAGGATGCATGCGCCTTGCTTCGACGGGGAAACGAATTTCGATCCATTGGACCTCACTCTCACCTGCACGGCGGCAGATATCATATTCAACGTTGTTAGGTATATGCAACTGAATTCGGCATATCGGGAAATGGCCAGTGGTGACATCAACGCGATGCCGGACGTAGCCGATTGCCAGAGGTTCATCGACGTGACACGCACATCGCAGTGGAAACACCGCGAAGAGGATGCGGCATTCGTGAAGCAGTTCGAAAAAAAAGTTCCATTTCACATCCTTCTAAAGGTGAAAGAGATGGCCAGCTCTAACCAAACCATGAACGTACAACAGGACACATGCTTTGTAAGCGTACCTTGTTTTACAGCTCAACAGGAGGAAGAAGCTGATGAATTCGACGAAGAGGAGCACATGCCGTCACACGACTGGTATGAGAGGGAGAGCATGCTGAGGATCGTTTTCCCCAACGTAAACGTTTACCTCGCAGCGGTCGACCCTAACCAAGCCGTGGAGTGGGTGCCGTCGACAATAGTGCAGCTAAGCACGTTCGCGTTCCAAACTGAAGCGTTATATAAGCGGGCAACGTACAAGATATTGGCGTGCAAGCCTATCGTGAGATGCGGTGTGATGGCGGTCAATGTCAGGAAGCGCACTTTCAGTGCCAGAGTCACGATGCGACCCCAGAAGGAGTCGGAAAACCTTCTGTGTTATCCGGAGGAGATGCTTGTGGAGCCGCACGAGTTCTTCGACAACTACGGTTCGGACGTGGTTGAATCACGTTTCCACAACGCAGGAAAAAACACGCGGGATTCGCTGTGCGTCACCATAGAACGGTACCCGAATCACATCAAACATGTAAGCGTAATTGCGCCGAAACTGGTGCTCATATTCAACACGCTGATGAGGCTAAACTCCCTTATCACCGAAAGTTTTTGGAAAATGCAGTTTTTCACTTTCGAGGTGTTCGTTAAGAGGAATTTGAATTTTGGACATGCGAACACCGAATTTGTCGAAAAGTTGGCAAATCATTTGGAGATTGTCACTTCTCGTACCATATGTAAAGTAGAGATGGAAGGGTTTATCGTTCGCACGCTGATGCAGAAGGAGGCACAGATGAAATATGCTGCCGGAGCAGATGTGGAAGGAACGGACCAGCAGAGCGCGACCCAGCAACACCTGAATGTCCTGGACCTGTTCCTGCAGAACGATAACATGCTGGACAAGTGGGATTATTGCGACGACATCGATAACCCGTTTGCCATCAGACACGCCGCCTCCAACTCGCATGACCACGGGTCCCTTCCGCAGGTGGACGACGGTCAGAAAATGATTTACTCCAAGGAAAAATTCCTGGCCGAACTGGAGACAACAGAGCCTACTATAGGGAGCGGGCGTTTATATATGTTGGCGCCTGAATCGACTGCCATGTTCCCACTCAGCGCAAGCCTGGTTGCTCACCTCGCAGAATTGCGCAGGTGGTATCAGAACACATGTTGCGTCGAAATGCCACAGGAATTTATTGAACAGCTTGGAACGCTGCGTTCCCTTTCATTGGATGCGAAACAGCTGGTATTTAGCAGGGAATCAGTGAGTACGCTTACATGCTGCACCCTAGAGACCGTTACCCTCAACCACGTAGATCAAGATGGGGCCACTACGCGGCTATTTACTCTGGATTCGCTACTCGTTGTCAAAAAAGAGAACGCAATTTGCGCAGATGTGGGAAAGGTGGATGCCACATTGGACCCAATGCTTCCGATATTCACAATGTTGATCAGTCATATCCCGACCTTCAAGTTCTACTCGCATGCCGTGCAGGACCTAGTTGCAGTGGTCAAGGTCATAGTGGAAGCTAAGCAGAGATACGTTATCCCACCAACAAAGCTGGCGGGCAACAGTGAAATATGCAAACTCATAAGCAACGACTTCTACAAGGGATCACCCAATGTCTTAGAGGGCTGCAACACTGAGCTTGTAAATGCAATCGAGAAAAAGTTAGTCGATGTGGAGGGCGATACCAAAATTCTCTTCCTTTCAGTTCACTCGCTGAACCTAAACCTGCTTAACGAGGATAGGTTGTACTTGTTCTCCATTTACAAGGTGCGGCTGGAAGTGAAAGGACGCGAACGGTTCAAATTTTATGTCGGCAATGTCTCAGTTTGCAGGGATATGGAGGGTTCAAGGCAAGTAATTCTTGCTTCAAAACCACTCGAGCTGGGTAAGGAAGTTCAGGAGACCATGAAGGAAGTGAATTACGGCCAGGTTGTGATCGACTACAAGCAAAGCGATGTCAGCAATGTCAATATGGAGGTCAGGGACGTCCATCACATAATTGATATCCCGCTAGTGAGGCGTTTAATACATATTGTGGAATCATTAAAAAACGCAGCCCATCGGTCCGAGGACAGGGAAAACAAAAATATTGTCGCCAATGTCATGGTACATCACTCGTCTGTCAATCACGAAGGATTGGGTGCCATGATAGACGTCTATCTTGTTGCTAACGTCGCCCGGTCGGAAACCATGCAACACCTGGCTGTCGAAATCCCGCGGTTTCACGTCACTTTAACGAATGGGTTGGCAAAAAGGGTATTAGCTATGTCTCTTCTTGATGTTGAATTCGAAATGGAGCTATATAGACATATGGAGAACATAAAAGCCGTCAGACGTGATTCGGACCACACCGTTGAAGGTGGTGCAAAAATGATAAATCTTTTAGTAGAAGTCTCACATTGCGCGGTTTGGGGGTTCCAAAATGTCCCGGAAGGTGTTCAACTCGTTACCAAGTTTGACAATATTAACGATGCCGCCGAAAACCTACAAAATGTATTGCACGAAGACTGGTTTAACCATATGACAACCGCCACATTGCCGTCATACTACGACAATGAACCTGTTGTGCTGGTTCCTCTGCTCTCTACAAGGTATGCGGAGTCTGCAAGGCTTATGCCGATGCTCAATCACAACTGGATAACGGACTGGCTTCTCAGAGCGTCTCACACAGTAGAGCCACAACTCTGTGACAAAGCAGTCGCCGCGGTGCTAAATGCATTTCAGTCTGATGGCATACGCAACAAGAAATTCAGAGCTTTGAAAATCTCGGTATCAACCTTAATCTGTCATGGGTCTACTGTCTCCATCGGCAAAATTAAAATAAAGTCGTTGACGGCGTTGATGCACAAGGAATCCATTGACAATCTCAAGGACATACACTCCAAATTAAAACTGCTGAAAGAGGAAGCACGCAATTCGAATGGAAAGTCCGATGCGGCGAAGGTCATCAAGCTAAACCTCATCGTAGACGAAATAAACGTGGCATGCCCTTACAACACTGGTATTAACGCCAACAGTGCTTTCCCCTCCGAGTTGCTTCCAAAGATTCCCAATGACGCCACGTTACACAGGAAGAGACCTAGGTGCCAAAATTCAGCTCTCTACATACTTCGGGTCCACAGCTCACCTATGGTCTATATGGAGTTGGCTGTCGATACCGCTGTTGTGGTGCAGAATAACATCACCGTACCGCTTGTGAGGACGCTGTACAGCGATGTCAGGCGACTAGAGCAGTTCACGCGACAGTCTCTCATGGACTTCGTGGACGTCATGGAGGACGCAAAGTATCAGGCCTTGTTACACTTGTACGACGCAACCTATAACGAGGGGAGCGCGCATATCGTATCAGTGTCCTGCGACACACTGAAGGCTTCGCTCCACGCGCTCACTAGAAGCGTCTGCTATTGGAAGGATATAGTCGAGAACGTCGCTGCAGGCACTGTACCAGATGACAACATGTTCAAGAATAAATTCATGGTTTTCCTCAACGTTGACATGCGCAACTTGAATGTGGACATATGCATGGCGTCTAAATCAGTCTATGCTGCCAAGCTCACTCTACAGCATCTGGTTGTCACCGACGCATGGGGTAAACATCTCGTCGATGACATCTACAACAGTCGATGCACGTTGGGCAACGCCGGGGTTCTGGATGATACGACTTTCTGCTACCAGGCAGATCAGGTAAATGCGAGTCTCTCAACGGTTGATGATGGCGTCGAGGTAAAAGTCGCTTTGGATCACACGCGCTCCGAAATACAGATTGACGGTATCATTGTGATACTTGGCGTGTTACAGGATGTGGGCTTATCCAAACTCAAAAAGAAAGATAAGTCAACAAAAATGCAGGAGACCAAGCGGCCTGTCAGAGTGGAGTTAAATCTCCACCTCCACGAAATATGGTTGTATCCCAGCATTCCTAAGACCGGCTCCATCTTTGGTGAAAGTGATCCATCGAGAACCGTATCGGCTACTTCAGAGGACACATCCTTGGTTACACATGTTAATAGCAAGATCACAGTACCAAGCGTTATCAAGGCATCTTCAGAGGTACCGTACGGTTTACACCTCACTGCGTTGCAATCCAGTGGTGACCTCGACCGACCACTGCTTTATACGGGACACGTCATTGGTTTTCTGATAAGCATTTCGGTGTCTTCGCAGAATAAGGAAAATGCGAACGTCAAGCTGAAGTACATGGGGGTTGCGTTGGCCAGGGTCAGCATAAGCCATGGCGTTAAAGTTTTGGTGGATGAGCAGAATGATTCGGTTTTTACCTCACTAAACGCCGAAGAAGGTTTGCTTTTCGAAATGAGAGAGAGCTCTGTTAAGTCAAAAGTCACTGAAAGCGGTCACCTGGTAGTAGCCGTCCAGGCGTCAAAACCCAGGATATCAATCAACATCGATCAACTCTTCCAAATGTGTTTGCTCAAGTCAGCCATAGTAGACACTGCAGTAGATACTTTTAAAGCGTACCGTAAACTTCATAACGGTGGCACTGTCACGGAGGATCAGGGAGAAGACCAGAGTGAGTCGTACGATCTCATTGAAGAAATCAAGTACGTCACTGCCAAATACAATCTGCCTATAACGAACATCACTGACGGCGAAGGAAGCTTGTATAACGTAACTCCCGAAGAGGATGTACGTAAGAAACTGTTGTCGCAAGCGAGGAAGAAGCAAAGGATGATTGGCAAGCTGATCAACGTCATCAATAAGCTCAGGTGGTACGACGGCGACAAGCAATTGACTCTCTCGTCGGTGATCAACGATTGCAGGTGCACGCTATTTTCGGTCAAAAATGAATTGGTGCTCAAATTCAACTTACAACATATGGCTTTCGATTTGACCCACACGGCTCCGTTGTGCAAAAGGCAAACCATCGTCGATGCATCAATGGTGTTCAACGTAGCTACCTACAACGCCAACCTGAACTATCACGAGACTGTATTGCAGACTACGGTAGCCACGCTGCAGGTGGCATGCGAAGACACGGTGTTTGATATACCAGCATTGGATATCAGTATGCACATCAGCGGTGTGGCCGTTGAGGTCAACCCGTGTCTACTCCAGCTTTTCACACAACTGAAGCATGTTTTCACGATCCTACACTCAGATTGCCGTAAAAATAGGGGTTTGCGTGGTAGAATGATTAAGCTGTACAACGAGATCGGTATGGGGATTGTTCTCATCGGGTCGAGGATGAGTAAGGATGGCGACCTTGACCAAATGCATCTACCAGCACAAACCTACACTAGTGTGGACGACAAAGCAATATACATTTTCATTGAAGATGCACCGACAGGAGAAAACACTGGGCACCTGAAGAGGTCGATCACTGGACGATTCGAGGTATTAAACGGCGATGTTTCAAAAAATAGACGTCCTAAATGGGCTATTAGAGAGAGGAAACAATTGCTGTTTGGTAACAGTGTAAACGTCAAAAGCCTGCTCAGTGTGATAAGAGGAGGGAAGAGCACCGAAGACGACGAAATCAGTGCTCTAGCCCTTTCAAAAGCCCAAGACTCGCTTAGATTCGTTGGCAAGTACAATATGGAACAAACAGGATCCAGACTATTCAAGGTCCCCAACAGCGACATGTTGTTATTGATGGAACAGTATCATGAGGAAGGGGAAGAGCCACATGTGATATTGGCTTCGTCCATACGCATACAGAACTCTACCGCCATGCCTTTGGTATTGCGCATCGATGATAAGATTGGCTATTTCACGAGGGTGGCGCAGAAGCTCACCCAACACAACAAACCAAAAGGACAATTTGAGGAAATGTACCTGGAACCGTATACCAGCTCGTGCGTGCCCTTAAGTTGGTTTGGCAGTACTTTAATGCCATCCATTGCGCTGGTAATGTCAAATGGTGATACAACGCATTCCGTGCCTTTCCAACACCTTTACGACATACTCAACCGAAACCCATTCTCGGATACGGAGTTCGAAAGCTGCAATGATGTTGTGCTGAAATTCAAGGGATCACTGGCTATGAAGTGTAGCATAACGGCCAAAGATGTGGCCAGCAACGACGATTGCGGATCGTGCTTTTACCACTTCACGGTTACGCTAGAACCTATGGTGAAAATAGTCAACATGCTTCCGTGTGACATACAAATCCTTATCAAGCTTCACAGAACGCAGTTAACGGAAGAGCACGTCGAAAATGACGAAATTGCGCTCCAGGCACTCAACACGTATAAAGTACAATCGCTCCTTAAACCAGGGGAGACACTAGGAATACCTTTCTCCGAGCAGAAATTCTTCATGCGTGTGAATGTGAAGGGCACGCAGCTGGAGGTTTGCAATGATGATTGTAAGGCCACCGCGAATGACATAGAATATCTTTCGCCATTGTTCCAGGTGTTTATGCCTACATCGGGGACCACCAGCATAGTAAAATCATTGAAGTTATATAGGGGATCCATCGAAAGCCTGTTGCAGTCTGCCTACCAAGGGCAAGTAGACACATGTCTGGATTTCACGGATCACTTAAAGTCAATGGCAATAACGATCGACCTTTCACGACATGACATACGGATCTGGTGGCCTTTCATATTCGAAAACATGTCGCAAAACTCGCTTCTAATAAACGGTCGTCTACTTTTGCCTAAATCACGGATCTACGGCAACCTCCATGATGCTTCAACTTGCCGGATACAAGCCATCATGTACACCTACAAATCGGGCGACTGGACCAAGCAGGGCTCTTACGCGCTGAGTCAAAGCGTAAAGCTAGATGTAACGTCCACTACCGACTTTAGGCCGCCCATCAATCTCGCCATTCCCCTCAAGAACCGCACGCTGTCACGGATAGCGTTTTCTGAAACAACAAACGTGGAAGGCATTTTGGGAAATGTCGTTAACGCCAGTAACATTCATCACGTGAAAAGGTACGCGCCACAGAAGACCTTAGCAGATGGTGCGGAATCTCCGACTAGCGAGTATCTCCATCAATATGCCAGCAATGTTGAGGAGGGTGACACCACAGCCTCCGGTAACGCATTTGTGTGTCTGGGTTCAACTGTACGTTACGCGGAGTATCCGTACAACATGTGCAAGATTGTCAGCGTGTCCAACATGTACACCTTCGTCAACAAGCTGCCTTTTACGGTTTGCGTAAGAGGCGCTCCGTTGAATGACCAGTACCTGGACCCGCCATCGGATGGTGAATGCAACGACTTGCTGATTTTACCAGGGGATTCAGGTGCGCTCAACGTTCCGCTGCAAGGTGCCTACATCATCAAAGTGGAGAATGATTTGTGTAGTGGCCTCTTCACACTGCAATACCCACGGCTACCGCACGTATTCCAACTAGAACTGAACTCGAACAATATCACCTATTCGACGGTGGCCACAAGGGGCCTTCTGATTCAAGTAAACGTCGTATCAGGGGTTTTCGAAGGGTCAAAGATGCCGTATAGCTACAACGGATACTACTTCGTGCTTTCGCTGCCTGACAAGCCGCAGTACCAGATTCTCAACCTGACCAACTACACCTTAGCGTACAGCGTGCCAGAGAACATGAGATCCGTCGAATCGCAACAAGTGGAGAGCTACGCGTCGTATGAGCAGTCGTGGGAGAGGACACCGATGAACAAAATCGGGATCCTGCCGCCCACATGCATCACGCACTACGTTCCCGCTGCCGTTTCCAAATCTCAAGAAGTTTTGCAAGTCTGTCTGAAGGTGCTCCACGTTGATAACTGTGATTGGAATGTACAAAGAGTCGATTTTGTAAGGGAGGGATGTCACGCCATCAAATTTGTTGAGCAGCGGAAGACACTCTTCTTGTATGCAACAATCATGATTCGTTCGAACGGAACGCGCATCATAGCGGTTGTCAATTCCAAAGCAGCGGCTATGGATTTGAACCGCATGGGAGGCTCTTCATTGTCAGCCGGACCGAAACTGCAGTGGTCAAGTATCAGCTTCAACTTCCTAACACCAAGGATAACGGTAACGCTGTCGACGAAGCGTAAGGTCATTCTGGCGCTGCATCTCACCAACACCTCCGTCACGCTCTCTATCGCACCGTCGAAATATGACGCCATAGAGCGGGAGGTTAGGGGCTCCATGGAGCTGGAATCATCTAGGTGTAGCATGGTTGATTTCGAGGCAAATATACAGAGTATACACATTGACCACTTCGTGCAGGGATACATTCCAGTTATTCTTAAAAGCTCTGCCAAGAGATCGTCGATGCAGGAGTCTTTCCTTAATATCCGGATGTCATTATCCAACTTCATGACGTTGGGACTGCCGATATACGAGACCATACAGGTCAAGCTTTCTCCGCTCTCCATCAACATAGAGATGGCTGTAATAGAGCAGCTGGTGGATTCCATAGAGAATATGCTGAGGCTTCCCCTAAGAAATAACGCATCTGAGTCTACTGATGGCGCTCGGAACAACTGTCTGGTGATGCCGGAACCTAAGTGGGTAGAAATGGAACCTGCGTCACCTGTCTACATTCGTAGACTCGCTGTGGAGCCTATAACTCTAAGCTTGGCCATTCGCACGTCATCTTCCCAGCTAACTCATAGGACCATGAGGATTCTAGATGCATTGCCTCTTGATACGCCCTGTGTATGTGTACACTTTACTGGAGAGACACGGTCGTATCTCATCGTTGGTTGGGGCGAGCTCATGCATTCCCTGAGACACTCTTACTTGCGGCAGCTTATCAGGCAGTCTCTTCCCACCGCCTGGCTGTCCAATACGTTTGCTGTGTTGTATGGATTCTTCAAAGGACTCCTGTTGCTAGTAACCCGCCCTGTGCAAACAGCCCTCAAATTCAAGAATGCTTTGGAAGGGTTTGCAATAGGAGTGGGAAGCGGAATCATGTTGTTCATGCTGTACATTACTGGAGGCACTACCCAGAGCCTCGGAAACTTCCTCAACATTTTCCACAAGATTATTGGTGGGCAGAGAGCAAAGCCGCAAGGCATACTCGACGCTTTGTGGTTGGGGCTTAACCTTATAATACTGCACGTCTTATACAGACCGTGGAAGAAGGTAATAGTTGACCTCTCGAGTTCGGACTCTGCGGACAACAACTGGGTTAAGAAATCTGTGGGGTTGGCACTGAACTTAGCCCACTGTGCCATCTCGCCCATCATCGGAGTTGTGAATATGCTCATTACCGTAGTGGAGGGCTTTTCCAACCTTCTGCTCGGTGATGTTGAACAGTTCACTCATGTATACGAAAGCGATCAGTTGGGAAAGGTCCCGACCAACAGCCCCAATCCAGTACGACAGAACACTGAACGTGGCGAGTCTGCAAGCTCCCAGACGTCTTTCATGAGGCGCATGAAAACGTCGGTCACATTGAAAAGACGATGAAGTCAAGGTTGCGATAGTGTGAACTCCTGCTGCTGTAGCAGCCGTCTATGTATGGTATCATGTTGGGTACATGGTACCTCACAAAGATTAATCTATAGATATCCATTAAGTCACAATTTGCTAATCATAAATAGCTTTATTACATCGCATAATGATACATTTGCGCATCGTGGGCATGCCCATGAAGTTTACCGATTTTCGATATGGCTACAACCGTTTGCTCAGTTCACATGCTGCAATGCTATGCTCCTTATAACTCTGCTTTGCACTGTTTCAACCAACGTTGGACAAATTATCTTACTATAAATAACGTGCTCTTGTTTTAGGCATTGCAAGGGTTGCTTAGTTTAAAACACACCAAAGTGCGATAGCTGGCGCCCCTTAATGTGTTGTGTACGTAATCAATTGTGCAGCACTGTTAAAATTTCCCCATAATACTGCTATGCCGTGATACACCAAAGATAACAACAAATCTTAATTCATTTTAGCTATATTGTACTTTCCATGCACAATCCTATAGAGACGTGTCTCCAAGTATGTAGAATACAGATTTCGTCGGTACATTCAGGATTTCCAGCAAATCTGATTGTATAAAATGTATGTATCAGATAGAGCCAATTGCACGAATTCTGTCATTATATTCATCATGAAAATGTTTATAGGTGATGCATTTGTTAGAGAGGTTGGCGTTGGGTACAGTGTTGGCTCGAAACCCGTAGATGTGACAGCTGAACGATAGACAGAGTTGCAATGCAACTTTGCATTAATAATGTGGAGACAAGGCCATCGTTTAATGTAGGTCAAAAATCTAGCTGCTTGATTCCTGCTGCCTAATTTAACACTCAAGGCCGCCTTAGTGGACAACTCTAATTTAGCAGTGATACACACTTCGTTCTATACGACTACATGAGGCAAGTAATTGTTATGAAACAAAAGCCAAGTATAGCGTCTGTCACTGACTGCAAAAACATTGTCATAAAATCGTTTCTCGCCTGTTGTGATCTACCGTAAGAGATCGTGACTGCTGATAAGCAGTAAAATTTTAAGGATTCTAATGAAGGAATTGCACATCTATGAGTTGTCTAACAACATTGAAAATGGCGGTGTTTTCATTCAGCGTCTTATTGATGTGTTTGGTAACCAAAGTTTGTATCAATTACAAGAGCTGACAACCATTGGTTCGAAGAGAGTAAGGGCGTTGAAAAACGGCGACACTGCCATAAAACTGTAAACAACACAACCACATCGCTTTTCATATTGACGACACATCATTTAGAGCAACGAAGTCATACAAATATTATAGCAAAATTAAATAGGACGCTTGGAAAGACAATCACATAGTAGATAGGAAAATGTAACGGCAGCTCGCAAAATTGTAGACAAAAACGCGATAGAAGCAACAGCGCATTCTAAAACCCCCTTATGCATTGCCTACAAGAATAGTGCGACGGGAAACGGAAATGAGCTTCACGAGATCATCTAAGTGAACGTTCGGAGCAGCGACATATTGTGGAATACGCTCGTAAGGCTATTACCGGACAACGCCGTCACAGCAAAAAACCCTGAACGCAGCAATATTTAATTTAACTGCTGTGTTCATGATTTGTGAGTGGAAAAAGTGAAACGACTACTGGTCCTTCGGCACATAACGCTTGTAAAGGTCGTACGTATCCGGGCCATCGTAGGTGTTATCACAGGAGGTATCATTGAAGGTACCATTGAAAAAATGCATGACGTTGTGGAAAGGCCATTTCCTCTCGCTGGCCATAGCATATATAAACCAGCCAAGAAAGAGAATAACGGCTAAGACTATTAAAGGCACGCCGACTTTTATAGCTGTATCACCATTGGATTCAACCATCCTTGCGCAGGAACGAACAACGTACCTGAAGCGTAGGTGTCACAGTTGACTAACGTACCTTTAACAACCTTGGCTAATTAGAACTGCGGAGAGACATATATAAAGGAAAATGCATCTTTATATACTCTTTAAGTAGTTGACGGACACCGACAGCTTCGTCTATGCGTGATCGCAGGATACTACGTTGCCGCATGCAGAGAGGCGTATATCTGGAAACTAGTCAGACGGTCTTCCCGTGGCCACAACATGCCACCGACAGCATTATAACCGTGGATGCATTCCTTCGCTGTTGTACGGCGGATGTATAATATGGAATTCGTATGTATTTAATGAGATCCAGTGGCCCTTCTAATGTGTGATGTGTTTTCCAGATAGACACGACTTCATATTGTAATATTGTCGTCTAGTTTTATGCGATATGCCATGCCACAATAATTGTGTTTTGCACACATCACGAAGCAGGCGAAAGTGTACAACATATATTAATTTCCGGATATTAGAATTTCTTGCTTTATCCACATCAAGGATGCCATTATCAACCCTGCTTCTGCCGTCGGACGTTACATTTTTGCGTAGCATGTGACGTTGGTTCCTGTTGTAGATTGTAGTGTTCGGCGTCATGATGGAGCCGGTATGAATTCGTTTGGGGGTTATGTTGTTGTGATCGGAAGACTAGCAATAAGCATGTACATAACCTATTAGTGCTTTTCACCGGGTATGAGCAATTTTACCCGGGCATACTAGCAGCGTTGAGAAGGCAACAACGCTGGCGCCAGCCCAGCGATGCAGGATACAAGAATGTGATTAATGGCACAAGAACGTTTAAAGGGTGCTTCAGAAGCGATTGAACAATGTTTTTTGTCGTCTCACGTGATAGGCGTGGTTAAACGTTGACGTTCGACTCCGTAGATGATATGATATTTGGTATGCCTGGACCGGGGGTCGTTAACGGCGGATTAAACGTTTGAAGCCAAAGGATGATACGTTACCATTATGGCATTACGACGGCTAATGTTGATGTATTTTAATATGTGCAATAAAGGGACTCTCGGGGAGAGCAGCATTCATAGGGGTTAACTATATAACGGAGCTATGGACAAAGGGTCGGAACATTTGCGAGACCGAATAAATGTATGAATGATAAACGCATCCCAACATATTCGAGGTTCGTTTATCAATAGTCCCGTGCTGATTGTAGACGCTTGAATTGGTTGGAAATGCGAATTCACATGTTGAGAGTAACGTCTAAAAAACAGATCCCAGGATGTTGGAGACAAGCAGACGTGTCCTATGTCTACGCACGAGATACCAGTAGGGAATTGGTACATAACTTTAGTAAAATGCCCACATATAGTTCAAAAATGCATACGTTCGGGGTGCAACGTAGCTTTCGACTAACGAGAATGGCATTCAGTAATATCCCCTGCCATAATAATGGTAATGAATATTTAATCTCCCAAAATATGCCATCAAGTTACAATAACGCAGCATGGCAACTCCGTATGCTCCGCTGCTAACCCGCATGACGCCTTTCCTGCCTCGCGTTCAGCATAACATGATCGACATGACCTCTGACAACTAGTGTATTGATATGAGGCATCGACATGTGGTATACTAGATATAGCAAAGGGCCGTTAGACACGGTTATTACTGTAGTGCCGTTTAGATCCGTCGCCACCTGCCATGTCATGCATGGGCGGAAGGCTGGCAAAATTTACGGATTCTCATTGGCAGACAACAGAGGCGAATGAAACTGCAATACTAAATACGGTTATTGCAAATTTCAAGCTTATCGTTTCCCAGCCGTGACACCCATACTTTAGGTGCGTGTTGGATGTCTTTTCAGTGGTGTCGGATTCGAGTGGGTGTACGATGAGTGCCAGTTCTCAGTGTAACTGCGCTCACGGATCTGCATCTCGCTGTTCAGTGGGTTGTTCGGGTTGTCGAACGCAAGGGGGAACGAGTTGTTCATGCCAATGTTGCAAGAAGCCAGATGTATCTACACTAATCAAATGTCTCTCCGGAGCAATCGCGTTGTTGCTTATTGTATCCATTGGTGTCATCGTGATGAAGATGATAGAATTCAGGAAATGGCCATTCGAGCAGTTGCACGACCGCATCTTCAGCCTGCCAGACACATACGATCTTTACGACAGGTTCAAGCCTGAGAATGACAATGAGTAGTATCCAAGCCACGTGTCATATTGGCATTTGAGAGGTCACATCGGAAGTAATGTAGCATTTCTCACGTAACTGCTCGAAGTGACCGTGGACGCTTACAACGCAACACGAAAGTTGTCACGGTGCACCACAGGAGAGACTGATTGCCTAAGGTTCTGGTGGTACTAATCAGATTGAATATTTGGTGTTGCTGGTATGTGTTAGACGCGCACACATGTAGAGTCTTGCGTTGCTAGGTTAGGTGTGACTCCTTTGACGGCAGGTGACTTGAGAATCTGGGCTGCTGAAGGCCTCAGTTTCGGGTCTACCGACAACATGCTTGAAATTAGTGCCCGTGTGCTCCTAGAGATCATGGGTGGTAGCTGCGACACGAGTATAGGGACATTTTCAGGGCATTCACCGAGGTTGTACGACAGCTCCCACATGAACACACCGCTGCACATTTCCAATAGTACGCAACCCAAAGCCCAGATGTCGCCTGCCCTGCCATACACACACTTTTGTATGCTTTCAGGAGCCATGTAACAATGCGTGCCTACGGGCCTTTGATTCGAAGAGCCTTCCTCGTAGAAGGCCAGCGTGCTGTGCGCCTTTTCATGACGACAGTTTGCGGTATTTGTTCTTGAGTTTGGCACTTCTGTGTCTTCTGCTGCGGTTTCGATGGACTCATCTAGATCCCCTGAGCTGAACGGCGAAACCCAGTCGGACATCTCATACGATGTCTCATCGTCGGTGTGCAGGCCTTCACCTACAGATGTGTTGGTTGATGACACATCTCCAGAGTTGTTGTATGTGCTAAATGCCTCACTTTTAGGTGTTGCCAGCCCTTCTACATCACCGTCCATATTTTGATTTCGCGTCATAATCGATGCACTGGATGGTGAGCCTTCGTCACTGTAGCCCACCGACACTTTCGTCCTCCGGTTTGCAGTTACCTTAGTTTTAGCCGCAATTTCGAGTATGTTCGCACGGCATGCCAGCCTCCTTGACCTCTTTGTGGCGAAAGTGTCCGATAGACCGAAATCTCCAAGTCGTACTACATTGTTTGCTTTCAACATGATATTGGGGCTTTTTATGTCTCGATGTATAACCGAGTGGTCGTGGATATACTTGAGCGCCTTTGCGATTTTCTTGAACAATGTGACGATGTATTCCTCGGTGAAGGTCTCGTACTCCTGTTCTATGAGGTCGGCCAGACTTCCTCGTTCACAAAATTCCGTGACGATGACACAGTAGAGCGTGGCGCGACTGAGTGGGTTCCAGCCCCACTCTCGGTGGATAAAGTCATCATAGTACTTCATAACGTACCTGTGATTCAGGCTGAGCAATTTGCGGCACTCTTCCTGTGTAACCGATATGTTAGAGACGTCTCCGACGGGAATGCTTTTCAGTATCACCTCGAGGTCGAAATTGGATCTCACACCCACAAATCTGGCGAGGTGTATTTTGCCGTTCGCGCCGCCCTCTATGGGCCTAACCACCCTGAACTCCCGCCGGCATATACGGCATGTGCATCCATGTGCGTAATCCCGCAACATCTCTATGAAGTGATATAATCCACACAGTGTGATTGCAAGGTATGCAAAAATGGCTGCCACAACGGCACTCGACAGCTGCGCATTGATGTAAAATACCATCTTGGTAATGTCATAGATGACCCCTTCCGTGATGACCACGGTATCCCCTTGGTCGGTTGTCTCCGCCTTGCATTGTCGGAATCGTATATTTGCCACATGCGGATTTCCGTGCAAAGCTGAAGCAGTTGTCAATATCCCATCCACCACGTCGTAATCGTGGTCATGATCCTGCGAAGTGCATTTTGGCCTTCCCAGAGAAAAATCCAGACCAATGTAGTCGTCCGTGATACATTGTGTCAACTTATGTGTTGGGAACACGACTTCATTATCCTTTAGGGGGCTTCGAATAGCTTCATTGATACTTGATTCTTTGAGTGGCCTTGTCGCGCCTGGAAGGTCGTTTAGGGTAACCGTCCGTGACGCGTTCAGCGCCGCTTCCACCGGCGCCAGCATCCAATTGCCGTGCCATGACCCATATATGCTGTGTATGAGCAATATGCTGGCGGAGCTCGAGAAATGGGTCGCCATTTTACGATGTCGAGTGCCGAGGCACACCTTCCGTCGGCTAAAAAGCCCTGTCTAGTATTGTACTACACATATACTTATTCTATGGTTAATGTCGTCATGAATTACATTGTTATAAATTTTTCTTGTAAGTGGTCGTCGTGAGTCACGCCGCTTACATGCCAGCAGCTGATGTGCAAAAGGGGTGTTCCTATGTGTGGCGCGAAAATAGTCAGACAACCTTCTGCCTCTCGTTTGTACATACAAAATTCGCTATTTGTGTTTGGAGTAGCTGGTGTCACCGTTGCAGGCGGCAAATTGACGCCATTCAGCGGCATGTCTCCGCTCTTACACATGGTCGCTCTATGACCAGCGTGCCTTCATGACCATTTCACTATCGGTTGCTGATCTATGCGCAGCTTGTGTATTTATATTAGGATTAGTAACGTCGGGATTGCTTATAGATGCCAATCTTATCTAGAGGAAGTTGCTCCAGTTAGGTCTCAGACATTGTTCCTACAATTGCATCTAAAGGAGTCATGATACGGAAATGTAAATCATGTGGACTTAAATCAATGTGTTACGGATGCCAATTCTGCCTCATGTGAAATGTGTTGGATACTTTGAATATAAGGCTTGATGAGATTGTGTAATTATGTCCGCCGACTGTTTGGCGCGGTGCCCAATTCAAGCCAGTCACAATGCCGGACGAAAATAGGACATCGGTTAGGATGTTCCTCTATCGCAACCTTGTGGACTGGTTCGGTGTACCGACGTGGTTTTGCCGCCGGCAGCGCCGCTAAACTGAACGCCATAACGTCCGCTATGCCTGGCAAGAACCGGATGTTGACGAAGGCTGAGTTGAAAAACTTTCCCGGCCATCTTCAACGTTACAAGAAGTACGGCGGGTTGCCAGAGTTCCACAACGTGGACCGCAATAGCCACGGTTTTATTGCACTGCCCACCGACCGCTTCATGCTGGTACTCACCACATCCAAGAACAACGTTCACGCGCAGTTGGTGAACCGCAGCCGCGACAAGCGCACAGTGTTTGGTTCGTTTGCCGGCAATGTGGGCATCAACAAGAAGCAGCAGCAGACCGAGCGCTGCGCATATCGCATCGGGGAGAACATGGCTAAGAAATGCAAACGTCTAGGCGTCTTCGCCGTTGACGTCAAATTCCGCAGGCTGATGCGGATAGAAACGGTGTTGCAAGCCTTCCAGGCAGAGGGTCTGCATGTTGGCCAGCTGATCCACGAGCCTCGCCTCCCCAAGACAGGCATAAACTCCGTGCGCCCCAGGCGACGCAGGAGGGTATAACCTTAGCACATAATTCACCTAAGGGTGTATACCGACTGACTAATAGATTACAGTCACAATTCTGCGTAATGTTGCGATAAACGTGTATCCCAGGTACACTGCACTAAGTCGGTGTAGCGGAACATGCAGATGGCACGCCATTTGCTATAAAACAGCGTCCATGTACAGCCTGCGTGGATTGGCTGCTACATATAACGGTTTGGCAAAGTAGAGGAATTAGTTAAAGTGGCATACCACTTCCCTAAAGAGCAGTTCGGCGGTGCAGTACTGCACCAGTCGACGACTCCATTGCCAATAATGCGCGTCGCTTCAAGCGTTTTCCTTTGGCGCGTTCATTTTGTTCTTTTCTTCGTAGTTTTTGAGCGCCATCTTCACGGCGTCCTCCGCCAGCAGGCTGCAGTGCACCTTGACTGGTGGTAGGCTGAGAACTTCTGCATAGCAATGTGGTGATTTCTGTTGTATGCCTACCTGATATGTCGGTGTTCTTGATCGCAGCAGCTTCGGCGCAGGTCTTGCCCTTGATGAGCTCAGTGACGTATGAGCTACTTGCAATTGCGGATCCGCAGCCGAAGGTCTTGAAGCATGCATCCTTGATGACGCCATCCTCTACCTTGACTTGGAACTTGATGACATCACCGCAAGCAGCCTTTCCTACCACGGCAGTCCCTACTCTGGGGTCGTTTTTGTCGAAACTTCCGACGTTACGTGGCTTGTAAAAGTGGTCCTTCACCTCCGGGCTGTAGAACCTCCTGCACACTCTAACGAGTGATTTGGGAGTGCAGTAGACCGTTGATGATACCATGTTGAATACTTTGATCAAATAGCGAGGTTAGAATGTAAAACCGTAATGATGGCTCACAATTGTTAAGCCTCGGCACACCTGATACAATGCAACTATGAGTTGCCAAGATCCAATCCGAAATGTTCGAACAGGTGGTCAATATATGCGCTTCTTAGAAACGTATATGCCAGTTGTTTTGTAGCCTTTTGATGCTGACGGATATGGTATTACTACCCGTGATTTCCTTTCCCTTAGTTCGGCTGTCTACTTCTAGGTCGTCGGGTTTCGTAGCTTCTCGACCTCTTTTATTGCCGCCAACGTTTTGTGAGTGAACGCTGGTTTAGGTGCAGATTGCCCCAGTGTGAGCGCTTGGAGCTGTGATAGCGTTCTGAGCAGTTTCGAGAATAGCAGCTTCTTGCACTGATGAAGAGTCCCGCCGATGTGTAGTATGTCTACCGTCACGGGAACCTTTTGTACGCGCTCTAGACAGCGCAGCACACAAATGACTTTAGGGAGAAAACTCCTTTTCGTCTGCAGAAGCACGAGAGATTCCGTTTCGTTGACGAGAACGACGTTGGTGGCGTCTGCGACAAATCCCCCTCCTATGCTGCCGAAAAGCACGTCACAGATGCGAGTTATTTCCGTGTCAAAAATGTCACGCGTAAATATGCGTGACAACGCGGCAGCTTCCTGGCTCTGATCCTGTAAATTGATCTTCGCCAATATCCAGCGGTTTTTTCGCCGGCCCATCAAGGCTGGCGTGAAATAGTTGTATTTAAAATACGTAAATTATTGTACCCAGTTATAGTGGTGTTTTCCAGGTCCGTCGTTGCGAGTGAAGCAGTGGGCCCCGAAGTAGTCACGTTGCGCCTGTATGAGGTTGTGCCCAAGCTGCGCCAAATGAGCTTTGTCTTTGCGGCACCTACGTTCATGGACGACATGGTTTGGATGTACTGGAGGCTTGCGATGATGGCCGGCGCGCTGAGGTTGTAGTTGAGGCAGGCCTTGCAGACCTTCCTCCACGACTCATGCGACTCGCCGATTGTTGCGCGGATTTCCGGGTGTTCCAGCAGGTTGGCGAGGATTTCGTTCTCCGCAAAGATTTTGCTTATGGTTGTGAGCAGCTTGCAGCTGATGATGGCGTCCTCTGCACGTATTGGTGTCATAGAAGCAGTCAACTCACTGCTCCATATTTTGCAGATGTTGGCTACGCTCAACCCCCATCCGAACTGTTCTGACGCCTTCATGAGCAGTGAAATGCCCTGTGCGAAGCAGACGATCATGCACCCGTGCAGCGTTCTCCGGAGGTCACCTGCATTGTAATGAACGATGTCCCTAGGCAGAGGTGCTTGCATCCCACCTACCTTCCGAGATGCTGTGACCCTCCTTGACTTTTTTGTTCGACATGACCACGGTGCTTCTGAAAGAGTTGCTTGCGTGCCTCATTTCTACGGCTGCGGTGATGGTTGGCACTGGTACCCCCAGATCCAGAGCTTCCTTGACAGTCCACTTGCCGGTGCCATTAGCGCCGCTGGAATCTACTATTTTATCCACCAGATACGTGACTCCGTCGCTCGTTTTCACTTGCAGTATGTTTGCGGTGATGCCTAGCAGAAACGACCCGACTTCACCCTCGTCCCACTCGGCGAGGATTTTGTTGATGGTGTCCAGCTCCAGCTCGAATACGTACCTCATGATCATGTACACTTCCGATAGCAACTGCATCACTGCGTACTCGATCCCGTTGTGGACCATTTTAACGTAGTGGCCACTGGCACCGGGTCCAACATAGAAGGAGCGCCCCTCCTCCTGTTCGAGGTATGGCCGCACTGCCTCGTAGTCTTCGGGCGCCCCTCCGAACATCATGCAGGGCGACAGGCGCGCACCACGTTCGCCACCGCTAACTCCGACTCCGCAGTAGCTGTGGTGTATGACATGATGTTTGAATTTACTTACTGGATGCCACGCTCGGCGCATCGTGCCAGCCGCCTGACGGTATTCTCATACCACTCGTTTCCACCATCGAGCAGAATATCGCCTTCTTTGAGCAGTCCTATGAGCGAGTCAATGGTCTGATCCACTGCTTTTCCCGCCTGGTGCGTATGATGCGTATTTCAGCGGCATGTGCCCTACCGTGATGAGCATGAGTATTTTCCTCGGTCGCTTCAGGTTTTTGATCTGTACAATTTTGAGCTCAGACGATCCACACCTACGAATTCCGGCAGTGAAGTGAAGAGTTGCAGATTTTTGATGTTTTGTTCCCGCATTTTCTGGGTTTCGTGCTCTTGAATGGACCAGGCCGCGACTGGAATCCCACGTGATGTGAGATTCTGCGTGTAGGCGGCGCCCATGACGCCCAGACCTATGACGCCGAATTCGGACGTCATTTCGAGAGATGGTTTGCTCATATGTAAACAAATTTTAGGTCTGACGGTAGTGGGCCGGCCGCGTCCACTACACACCAGTGTCCTTCCACGGCGGAGGCGGAGTGTTTGCACAGCTGGTGTACCGTTGTGGATTTAAACACATTAAACAACAGTTATATTTTGGGCGTGTCTACTGTAATATGCCCATCAACTTCAGTGTTGTATGAAGTTGAAAGTTCCCTTCCGTCGGCATATGTTTTTGCCGTGTTCCCGGTACTCGTCCGACGAGATCCAGCACGTGTCGAATGTGCTGAGACTTGACAGGATTGAGGCGCCAATCCAGCTGGACACCGATCGATTGTGCTTTACGACCGGGTTGAGCAGCCGGTAGTCCGCCCCTTGAACGGGGTACTGGGCCTCCTTTGAGAAGTGTTGGAAGTCGTGGGCCAGCCTCTGTGAAAAACCAGGCATGTTTGCGCATCCGCCGACCACTACCAGATTGCGGAACATTTCCGCACTCTGCAATCCTTCCCCGATCGCCATATCCTCGAAAGATTTGTATATGCCCTGGAAGCGTCCGACATCTATCGGCAGTCGCGATGCAATTGCAGGGGTGTCAAAAAGTATCTCCGCAGCTAATGCCATAACACTGTCGGGAGCGACATTTTGTAAACGTTTTGCACTGTCCCGAGGGGATTCTCTGTTATCGTGACTTGGATCCGATATGGGCTGCAATGGTGGCCACATCCAATTTTTGGCCTGTTTCGCCTTTTCTTGCGTTTGTTTCGCCTTTTCTTGCGTTTGTTTCGCCTTTTCTTGCGATTGTTTTCGTTTTTCACGGTCTATCTCCATGGGTGTTCCGTCCGGTAGAACTGCCCCCGCACTGGATGCGGTTTCAGCATTTTCCTCGTTCGGCATCAGTGCAGTTGCGATGTCACTATACCTGGAGTCCTCAGGCGAGTCTGAGGAAAAGATGGGGCTTGATGCGGCGTGAATAACCGATTCTTTGAGTGCCCTTAGCTTTTCCTGTATGTAAAAGTGCTTGGGGTCGAACTCGTATTGCCAGATTCGGGTTGCTAAGGCCCTTGGGAGGTGCTCGTCGTTCATGTGTTCACGCAGCGTAGTGCCCAGAGAATACGATGGATGGTGCAGCACAGCGTTTAGCGTGTTTTTGTCGCACTCTTTAAGTAGCATGTACATCAGCGCGTCTACATGGTCGCCCCCTACAAAATGCTCGCGGAACGCGTATATGCCCTGCTCTGCAACCAGTCCTAGCGAGGTGGTTGCAGCTCCAACATCTATAACTAATCCGCTCTTTACCCCGAAGGCATAACACGCCAGGGCACTGCCCTGTCCGAAGTATATGCCCGGGGAGTTCATCTGCTCCATGACCAGTTCCATTTGTTGCTCCCTCACTGCGACGCTGCTCTGGTTGCTCTCCACAACAAACAGCGGCCGCGCGTTTTCCTGCTCCCCCATTCCACTGGAGACATTATTCCAGCGATTTAGGCCGGTTACTATCCGATCGAACCGAACCTCGTCGAGCTTCGTAAAGATTTTGCGATGGCTTGCCGAGAGGCTTCGGCAATTAAACGGGTCCCAGCAGTCCCTGGGCGCCGTGGTAATTCCCATTGTAACTGCAGTAGCGCTGTAACCAATTTGCGATGGTCGGGCAATCGCAGCGTTCATCAGTCTGCGATCCGGCACCCGGCTGTCGCCGAAGGTGCCGCGTATAGCCCGAAGGTATGCATTATTGTCGATTTCAATCAGTGGATCGCCTGACAGATTTACAAGTACCCTGCGCAGCATCCTGACTTGCGAGCACCGGTAGTTGCTGTTCTCCACGAGCGGGAAGACGTCGTAGTCGTCCCCCCCTCCCACCGCAGACGGCCATATGCATCTCGGTTGGCTTTCCCCTGCAGATCCTCCACGTATGTATCCGTGCCCGATATCGACCACTAGAGACTGCACAGCGCTCCTGTACGACTGCTGGCATGGATAGGCTGCCATTTCGGCTGAGGTAGCTGTTCTGTCTGACGGACTGAGCTACGACCTTCCTCCGCTAGATCCCTATATGTTGATCTCATAAGGATTCTTCGCTTATGGTACGATGATGGTGTATCCTTATACATCCTGTGCGTTACTTGGTCAGCGTTATTCGCCCATTACGGCGATCTAGCGCTGTTGCGACGCTGCGCGATATTACGCATCTCCTTATCTTCCTCAGCCTCCGAGGCAATCTAGTTTGCATTAGATACAATCTATGCATCGTATGTAATGTGCTTGTTAGCACATTACCGGAATCATGTGTACATCCATTTCATATTTTGCTGGTTACACACCTCCGGCCCTAGAAGGCCCCCTGTCTATTCACGAAGGTTGCTTAAAAGATACAAATGTGTAATTGTTTTCCTTTACTACTATTGATTTTAGGCTATTATGTTCAAAATGGCTAACGTTGCTGGCTAATTCCGGCGAAGGGTCGATTAGATCCATAGCGTCGGCGTCTTCCCCTTCTTGCGCACGGGTTCGTCGCCGTCGCCCATTTCGCGTATCCGCCGCCTCTGCAGCTCTTCCTTGACCCACTGAGCCTTCCTTCTCAGTTTGTTGAGTCTCTCCTCCTGCGCCTTTATCCCCGCCTCGTATTCCTCAGGGTACAGTATGGGCACCCAGTCAAATCCGTATATGTTGGAGAAGTCGCGCACCTTGTCCATGTCTATTCCACGTTTCCGCATGAGTTCATCGTTCTTCTTTCTCGTACGCTCTCGCCAGTTTTGCAGCTGTTCCTCGTACAGCTCCTTCATGGTTTTTCCCGCTTCATGGACCATGGCCGGCTCGTTTATTTTGATGAGCACCTTTCTGAATTTGACGGTCGACCAATACAGTATCCGCAGCTTTCTAAGCGCCTCTAGGCTGTACTTCCTGCTTCTGTGCATTTCGCCGAAGAGGTCCTTGAACTTGAGCATGAGTTGCATATTGTTCTTCCAGTCTATGCGGCGCACAAAGCGCTTCAGCAGCCTACAGGCTGTTGCCAAATCGCCTTTATTCACTGCCTCCTCAAAGTGAGCCGTGTGTTCCTTTACCATCTCGTCAGTGCACCTCGTTGGTCTGGATAGGAATGGAGATACTCGGTCGATGTTGACCTTGTTGCGGATCTTCCGCTTTCGCCAGACTTCGGCGTTCGGCTTCAGCCTCTGGTACTTCCACAGGCACTCGAAAAGCTTGCCGCGTTTTGCCCTGTATATGCGCAGGAACAGCTCCTTCATGACCTTGAGGCGCAGGTCGGGTTGGACTGTGCGCAACCGCCGCATGATCTTCCTGTACGCCACCGTATCCTCAACTCTTGTCGGTTTCTCGGGGGTCCCTCTTGGCTCCTCGTAATCCTCGGTATACTCGGGCACATCCGCTGGCATTTCTTTCGGCTCGAGCCACTTATAACAGCTAAGCGTGCGCCTGTCCTGCGGTATCAGGTGTTGCAGCACGTACCGTGCCACCAGGAATGGCATCGTTTCCTCCATATTCTCATCCGTGGGTTCCTGGTATCCCAGCCTCACCTGAAGCAGGTGGTCTACGTCATTGACAAATCGATTGCAGTCCTCCTTGGTCAGCAGCAGCCTGTTTTCGCTGAGGAGCCGCTTGATTGAGTGGAATTCATCCCGTTCCAGGAAGTATCGGAGCTGCTTTATCAGCACCCTGCGATCGAAAATGCGTCCATACACATTGTCTAGGGCGCCCATGTCCACCCCCGGCATGTCCCTGAGTCTCGTGTTGTAGTTGATCTGCTCGGGTTCGTGCGACCTCAGCAGGTTTTCGTAATCCACGGTGACGTGCCTCGGTAAACTGGACCGAGGGAAGCTGTGGTCATTTGCGACTGGTTTCGCATGTAGCGTGAAATTGCGATAATGGGCGGCGTTGCGATCATTGCCGGCTTCATGCGTGTCTGATACGTAGCCTTCGCCCCCAGATCCATCGTTTATGGTGATCCACTGTGAGTTCCGGCTTGAGGTGAGGTGCACTTGTGCATTGCCATGTGAGGCATGCCTTGCTGGAGAGCCATATGCATCTGCTCTGAGGAATCCAGCTGCAGCTCTGGCCTTAACTGCTGATAGAATCCCATCTTTTGACGTATTCTGTAGGACTGATAAGCCAAAACACGGCTTATAGCAGCATATAAGTGCGATGGAGAGTGGAATAACCAGAATTGTTGCGATTTTCGATGTCCTCCGAGGCATCTAGGCCTGTGTAGGCGCCGGCCAGACGCTTGCGATTCCGGGCATCCCTGGGCTCAACACAGGATAGCCCACAATTTTATCGATCAGATCCAGATGGAATTTTCGCGCGTCACAGTTTCACCGGCTGACTCGATGGTACTCCCCTGAGTGTCTGGATTCCACTGTCGTGCCTCTCCCCAAAACTCAGACACAGCTGGCTATTAATCGCCACACCGTTACATTGATTTTAGTAGCATAATTTGTTAAATACTATGTTAATTTATCTGGATTATTTGATTCTTATTTCGCCTGTTTACGGACGTCATGACGGCCGTACGTTGTTGGCGGTGACCCGTTCCTCCTCATTCTAACTATAACCGGCAAGATGTGTGCGCGCTAGAGCCTTCTGTAAGCTCTGCTTGTAGCGTGAAGTATCCTGTCTCAGTTTGACTTGTCATTTCCGGTCAAAAATTTCCGCGCATCTATTTAATCGTCATCACTTTTCGCTAGATTAGTTTCCCTGTAGAACATTCGCAAACATCAGTTACAGATAAAGTTGATCATTGTCTAACGTCTGTTACAGTTATCATTTTTCTGTTGGTGTTGCCAATAGGCTCCACCTAATTAATCTGCCGTGTCCATTTCGGCTTAGCAGTTTTGTTATATGTTTTATGACACACTGACTTTATAACACGTGGTAGAACATTGCGTACAACACGTATTTGTATGTTCAGGTTAATAAGATGGGCCCTTTTAGGCTGTTGCATTTATTATACATCCTCGCTTTTGCGGGTTACGGCTTTACCGGCTACGCCACGGGTGAAGTAGCACTTGGTACGTTCTATAACTCATAATATGGCTACATTTGTAGTTATCTATTTATCAATGTTCCATCCTATACTTTGGTTGAATTGTTTTCGTGCGTGGCGTTGAATCTGTTGGAATGTTATCGAGTTTTGCATTACTCAAACTGTTGCACATTGGCATTTGTATTTTTGGCTAACACATACATACAGGAGGCTTCGACGCCGCGCCTGTGGAAGATGTCGTATTTTCGGAATTGGATACTACTGCGGATCCCTCCGGCGACGTACGTTGCTCTCCGTAACTCATATAATGCACCAGCTTGACATCAACGAGATTGGAAGCGCGGTTGAGGAAGGGTCGGATTCCCGCAAATTACGCAAAGGAGGAGCTAAAAAGGGTGCCGCTAGCAAGAAGGGTTTGGCGAAGCCAGCTGCCAAAAAAGGTCGCCTTGCAAAGAAGAAAGCGGCCGGCAAGGACAAAAAGGCAAAGAAAGCGGGGAAGAAGGGTAAAGCTGCCAAAGTTGCGACGCCAACAGTTGTAACTGACCCGAATGCAACATATGCACGCTATAAGGCAGATATTAGTGACCCAATGCACTTTTACCGTTCTCAAGTGACGTTCGACACGGATCCGAACACTGACAACTCGGTGTACCTGTACTTCAAAACACCGCTATCTGCTACTGATATTAGCGGTCTGTTGAAGAAGAGCCGTGTGAAGATTCTTGACACGAAATACGTATCCATGAACCAAGAAGAGATGTCCAGGCTTGACGCCGCTGACAGCAAGATCAGCTGGGTCTACAATGAAAAGACGAAAAAGTTCTACCGCTTCAAAGGCGCTGCTGGCGGCACGGGATCATTGAATGCTAGCACTAAGAACTCTACAGAAGCTGAGTCGACATCAGCCGATGAGAGCACCAAGGGCAGCTCAACAAGCGAAACATCTACGACGGAAAATTCATCAAAAAATTTTAGAGGCGAGTCGGCTGTCACAGGCGAAACCGACGCGAATCCAACCAATTCTGAGTCCAGCACGGCAGACAGCAGCAATGTTTCGCTCACCGAAAGCACGTTGGCGGCCAATGACTCGTCGGCGTCGGATGCAAAAACACAGGAATCCAGCGACAATAGCTCCGGTAACAGCTCAGACTCGAAAAATGTTACAAACGGCGTAACAAGTGGTGTCACTGAGTCGGACGGTGAAACCACGGAGACTACTTCCACCGTCTCTAGTGATGCCGATGCTTCAGTGACGGGAGAGGATGGTGCATCACCAAGCAGCGACCCGATCTCGGCTGATGAATCCATCACAACCACCACTGGTGGCAGCACAAGCGTGGACAAGAATAGCACCACGAATGACACAGCGTCTACCAAGAAGAAGAATCCCGTCACCGGCTCCTATGATCTTGTCGACGAAAACGGCAACGCTGCCGACACCAGCATGCACAAAAGGGCTCTTGACGACGAAATAGCGTCCGAAACCGGAGACACCAGTGGCGTAGTCCTGAAGGGATTCAAGCGCCTGAATGAGGACGGCGAGGTCATAGCTTCCTCCGATACCACCAGCACGACGACGACGGAGGATACGTCCGGATCCACCACAAAAAAGACACCCGATTCTGAGGATGGTTCGCCCCTGTGGTCACGCCGGCGCGTTCAAAATGAGGTAATTGCAACCGAGAAGAGAGTATCCACATTGGAGAATAGAATGGGCAAGGCCGAAAAGAAGCTCGATGAAGTGGTCAAGATCTAGAGCCTGTCAATCTCCCCATAGTACAGGGCGCGAGGCCATTTCGCGGCAACCTGCGGCCACATTACGATGAATGTGTGCGCAATGCGATACAGCAGCCGCCCCGTGTGCGACAAATCCTCAACTCTACAGAGACTCTCAATGTAGACTATTTTCATATTTGCCGCAATTGCGATCTGAGATTTGATTGTTTTGATTTGTTGTCGAAACTCACATTTAGCAGCAGTGCCGCATAGCATGGTGGCACTGCGATGCCAGGCCCATTGGCAATGATCTGACCAGAATGTCCACGAAGTAAGCAGCAACCTACGACGTCTGGCCACAATTTTAGTAGCATCACCAATGAGATAACAAACGAATATGCAGCCTGGAGTATCGACTTGGTTGCGGATTGCCCATGCCCCTTTGGCACGGGTAGCCTGCCCAGCGGCACTCCGCCACTAACTACATTTACGTCCTCCGATTGCCTTATCTCTTCCAATATCCGTTCGGTAGTTATGTCATCGTTGTTTCCGCAAATGAACGCAAATTCGTATTTAGTTTTGTCCAGCGCTTTGAGTATTTCTCCCATTTCACATGCATGTCCTCCTGCGTGACATGAGATCCGAGCTGACATGAGCCAGCATATACTCACCTGGTCCTAGTATCACGGCCGCTACATATCGCCGCCCCTGTTTCCCTCGGTTTCGGCGTTGTGCGCACCATCGCATCACCGCCCAGGCGAACAGCGCTGATGCCAGGGCACCTCCAAGGTAGGTCATCAGCCGCGGCGTTCAGCGGCCTTTCTACCTAAGTATTCCGAGCATCCACATTTCGGATGCTCCCACCGTATTAGGAATCTACGTTAAGTGTGCCATAAAGAAGCGCTATAAACACATTATATAGTGTACGACGTATGGCGTTGTGTCGTCTACGGACTTCGCGTATTGTCACGTGGGAACGCCGCGATCTTCTTGTTTAATTTTATATTCATTGAACTAAATTTCGCTTTGCTGCGTGTGTGTAAGCGATGTGTGCTATCGACAGCTTGAGCTCGGCTATTCCGAGCTGTCTAAGCGCGGAAGTAGCATGGACATACGGGTGGACGCAGTCTCCGTAAGCCTTGAGCATCTCAACGGTGCGCTGGCACACCAGGTGTAGCTCGTGCGGCCTGAGCGCCTCGCACTTCGTGAGTACCACCTGGAAGGGCAGTCTCATCTCCTGGAGCATGTCCCACAACTTGATGTCCAGTTCTTCCGGACCCTTGTGGCTGTCTATGAGCGACAGCAGCCTCTGCAAGCTGCGTACAGCGTTAGATTCGCATTTACTGCCTATTATGTTACCTTGGTGCTTGCGTCAGGTACTTGTTGACCAGCACCGACCATTCATTTCTGAGGTTCTGCGAGCGCATACGTGAACGCATAGTAAAATATCAGGCTTACATCTGGTACCTTGGCGTAGCCGTATCCCGGCAGGTCAACCAGCGACAGATCTCCGCCTAGGTCGAAGGTGAACATGTGCCTGGTTCGACCCTGCACTAGTGTTATTTTCCTTTGCTTTTCGCATTTACCGGGTTGTCTGAGACGGGGGCAAATACGGGCTCCTTGAGCATTTTTGCGTTTGATCTCTGCACGGATTGTGCTGCGCTTGGCCTGGTCATACCACATCCTTGGCGAATCGCGGCACCATCTGCCCGTACAGCAACGAGTTCAGCAGGCTGGACTTCCCAACGTTCGAATGACCCAGTATAGCGACCTGTGTATTGATGATATCGTCAGAAACTTTTGGCCGTGATCCACGACATGCAGTTCCAAGCCACTGACCTGCGGGGTCTTCCGTCTGGGCGCATCGTCGAGAGTGTCAGCCACATATACTGGGTTTGGATTAACCCTCTTCTCGAAAAGCTTCGTAGCATACTTCACCTGTCGGAGATGTTTGAGTTGCACGTACGTCACATACATTAGCATCACTGAGAAAGGGTGCTTCCGTGTTGCCTTCTAGGTCGTATATGTTCACAAAAGGCCGTGCCAAATAAGGTGCTGCATATCATGTGCGTTCATATGCACTTGCAACGTTCCTACCTGCGACTGTAGGCCTGTTGAGGAGCCTACGGGCCGCTGCAGCACCTCTCATTTGATGTCATCGGATACTGTGATGACGGTGGCTTAGATTTTGACGCGTAGCATACGTTTCGTGACGCAGTTGACAGAATGATAGCGCGACTCGTGATTGGTTCGTTGCCATAAGAATACCGTGCCTATACCCCTGTCTATATTGGTTAATGGAGAGATGTGCCGTATGTTCAATCGTCAAATTCTGGATGTATCCAATATGTTGCGATTTTTATACGTATATTACAAAATATGTGTCGTGATGGTGGATTCTATGTGTCATCGGCTGAATGGCGCGATGTGTGATAACGCTACGTCGCATCCAGCTGACGCTTGACGTCCTTAAGGAACTTCTGTGACTGGCGCATCAGTAGCTGCTCTCTTCGTAGTAACATGCGATCTAGAGGCGACATTTGATGCATGGAAGTCATTACCGGCAGCGGGTCGCTCTCTACCGCCGCCTTGTCTACAGTGACGCCGGCATTGCCGTCTTCTTTGCGATGTGTACGTTCATCCGGTTCTTTATGCCTCTTTTTTGCCTTGTGTTCGCTTTTCTCGCGGCTTCTACTCCGGGATCGACTCCTGCTCCTCTCACGGTCTTCCCGTGTCGCTAATGGCGTATGAATACGCGCCTGTTCACACCTACCGCGCTTCTCGTCGTCGCTGGAAGTGTGTTGCTCCCTATTCGGATACGTGAAGTGCGCTATGACTTCTACTTCCGGCTTTTCGGAGCTGTTGTCGTCGGACGCTTGCGCTTCGGCCGTGTCGCTATCGCCGGCGTTATCCTCTTCATTCGTCCGTTTTCCCTTATCCTTACGGCTCTGCAGGCATTGCTGCTCTAGCAGAGCGAGCGGATCCATTGTGGTGGAGCATTTACGATTGATGCTGATATTTTGGATTCACATGATTTGATTCCTTCCTCCACGTCCAATGCGCTCCACCCTCCTCACCACATATAGATGGAAGGCAAAATGACACCCTTTAGAGAGTATTTCACGTTAAACATTTCAGAACAACAATCATGTGTTCTATTACCACAGAACATCATATGGATGCACAGCATCCATATTTTGCGGCCCCGTTCATACATCAATATAGTAAGAGATTAAAACCGAATGAGAGTGTGCCTCACAATATCAGTGTAATAGTAGTGTATGTGTGCCTTTACAATGCGCTTCCAGTTCGTAAGGCATCCGTGACGCAGTTGCGGACGGCCATCGTATGCGGAAAGCGATTGGTATGTCAGTTTGCATAGAGGTCGGCGATGTGTCTTGCATACCGCTGTTCCCGTTTCAACTCCGCGTTAACTAGCTTCTGCACTCCTTCAACAAGCTCCTCGTGAAGCTTGATGTCCGCTTCTAGCTGGGCTTGGTCGAGAGGCGAGGAGAGGAGTATGCTTGACACGAATTTCTCTGCCTTGGCTGCTGCAGCACCACCGACAGCGGAGGCGTATTTCAGCTCCGGCGAGGGGTTTACCGGGTAACTGTACGACGGTTTCGGCACCTCCGCATTTTCCTTAACCAGCTGCTCATCACCAGGTCGAGGTGGTGTCGCGCCTTTGCCGCTTTGCGGCTTGATGGCGTACATTTGCGCCATATGTCGAAGCATCAGTGAGTGCTGCTTCACCTTGTCCAGTATGTCGTCGACCGCCGTGCGTTCTGGGAATAGGTCCCTGGGGCCCAGTGTGGCCGCATCTCCCGCGATGGCGCTTTCGCCGTCAAGAACACTAAACAGATCGTTGGCTCCCTTGTAGTAGTCCAGCTGCCTGCGCTTGTTCGACACATAGTAGGCCCCTGATGCTTTTGCCTGCTCCGCCATCATCCATAAGCGAGCTTGAAGGACGTTGATATCGTCTTGGCTGGTAGTTAACCCGTCGGGGTACTGCGCATTATGTTGATCGGATACATTGCTCCGATCCGACGGCATATCCACGGCGTACAGTATGTGTTCGCCTCGGTTGTACTTCTGGAGGTGGGAGAGCAGCGCCTCATTGAATAGATGCCTCATGACTTCATTCTGACCCGTTGCAGGTGCAGTGGCACCATTTGGTATACTTTCTTGCGGGTGGTACGGCGGGTTCATCCTTTTGACCGGCTGGTAGTCGCTTTTAGGCCTCGGTGCTCTGTACCCTTCGAAGGATTGGGCGTACGATTCTGGGTACGACTCGCCCATAATCGAGTATTGGAACTGCAGCTCGTCTGGATGGGGGTAATTGTATTGCATATTGGGCATCACATTGGCCCCTGAGTCTCTCACACCGGCTGCGACATGAGCCCACGACGCCGGATCGCGTTCGGAGGGTGCTGCGCTGGTGCCATAGTTGCTGTAGGTATCCATGCCGACATCATTCCTCTTGTTGGTTGGCATTGTTTCATGCACTTTGTGAATCCGGCGCGGGTTCGGGTGTCTGCTTGAAGGTTCGTCTTTGCCCTTTACTGGACCCTGATTTTCCAGAGAATGTGATCCCCGTCCCAACCCCGGCTTGCCTGTCTTGTGCATAAGGCTGGTAAGTTCGTTCTTAGATATCCGTTCGCTCTCGTCGCCATATTGGTGCAGGTAGAAGCAGTCGACATTGGTGCACTTGAGGCCCTTAAGAAAGAAGCTGCAGTACTTGGTTGTCCCGTAGGACGCCCTGAGTGTTCTACCGCTAACCTGTGACCCGTCTATGCTCTGTATCGCAAGCGCCGCCTCAGATTTTCTCGAGTACGTGATGTACGCCGTGTACGACGCCCCGTTAATGTGGGAGTTGTAGGACTGGCTCTTGTTGATCACTATGTGCTGGATTCTTCCATACTGCCCGAAATAGTCGTGTTGCTTTAAAATTTCCACCTTGGCAATTCTCGCGGGTATCCCTACGACGTACACGAGGTTGCGCTGTATCACTCTCATTTCCTTAAGGTTTGTGTTGCTCAGATGCGGCGGCACCGTCGTGCGCTCCTCGCGAGTGGTGGCATCCTTTTCGCCTGTCTCCCGCTTCTTCTTCGTATTAGATGACCTCGAAGTGTTCGGTACCCGCGGGCTAGTTTTGTATTTCATATTTGACTCCTCGTAGTCCCTCCTGCACGCCGGGCACTTGTTGCCCATGGTGGTCCGTATGTAGTGCAGACACCACAGGCACACCTGGTAGTCACAAGTGCACGGGTAGAAGTTCCTGTCGGTCTCGTCCAGGACCTCCATGCAGAGAGGGCAGAGTACCTCGTCCTCGGCATCGTTGCCGTAGGACTCTGCCTTGTATCCGTCCATCAGCGTGCGTTGCGTGATCATGCCCCTTAAATTAGCATCTCCGATTTCTAGCGAGAACACCGCTTATAGACGGTAATGTGCGGCCTTAGGCTATCCGCTATCTGTTGTAGACGCTTGTTGACTTTGGTCACAGCGTTCAGCTCTACTTACCGAAAGAGCTAAGTAGAGTCAGAGTGTGTTTTGCGGCAAATTGTGTATCTTCACCTTACTTTTGGTGCATAAAGAGTTGTTTTCGAGTAGGTTGGACGTTATTACTGACGTGAAACCTCTCCACCTACCTCTACCAGTTTCGGAAGCGCCAGGACGACTGCAGAAGCCCAGCAACCACCGGATAAGAATCTCAAACTACTAGTGGGCAGACATCACCCACACAAAACCCCTGAAAACAAATCCCACAACCAAAGGCCCTTCTAGCTTGATTTACGTGCGTATAAGGGGTGTATGAACTCTTATCCCTGTACACGCACGGTGACTTCTACGCTCGTTTATTTCGAGTCCCTTGCTAGCGTACGACTCGGTTAATATATTGCATAAACATGGAACTGCTCGGGCGGTAACGGCTGTAGCGCATATGCTGACGCAGACCACCACAGTGCTGCGAGCGTTGATGACCTGGCGGAACGTGTGTACTGTCGCTGACGTTATCTAGCCGCGAACGTTTATTGACCGTTGCTTTGACGTATTTGTATGTGCAGTCGCGGCTTATTATGGACGCTGACTTCACCGACGTGGAGCTAGGTGCTACTGCTCTTCGTTGCGGTGCGGTAACGTCTAGATGCTTGTCTGTCTACGCTAATAATAATAAATGAATGATGCTAATGTATGTGCCACTTTGCGGCTATATGTGCATGGCTCCAGTAGCGAGCCAGCGCTGTCTAGCTTTGCTAGACCGTGTCGATGGCTATGTACATGCCGAGCATTTTGAAACAAACTGGGCCATTGATTTAACTTTAGACGAAAGTCGCCTTGCTCTGCGGCGTTGCTCTTTTGAGCAGCCATATCTCTGATTTTTGGTCGCAGTGGCGCTCACCGGCTGCGTTATAACTACGCACAGTATCTTTTGCCCACATTAATACACCTAGCCACGCCAATTATTAACACTATAGAGGTGTGTACCGGTGGTTTTATTTTCAGCGTTTTTAGCGGAGTATAGAACGTTGACGTTGCCGCGGTCACCATGGTGGAAGAGGAATCATCCTTAAACGGCACTGAGCCTATGCCTGAGGCGGAAGGCGATGCTTGTGACTCTGCTGTGGTAGAATCAGCATGTCTAAACTGCGGCGAGAACGGGACCACCCGCCTCCTTCTCACTAAGATTCCGCACTTCCGAGGTGAGTGACGTCATTTTTCGGCATTTTTACAGCCTCTCTGGGTTCATTCCGCGATAATGATCGCATCTCAATGCAAACTGACCCCTAATATATCTGCAGATGTCATCCTGATGTCATTTGAATGCGGCTCATGCGGTTACCGCGACAACGAGCTGCAGGATGCAGCTCCTTTACAGAACTACGGTATAAAGATAACGGCGAAAATGCTATCTCCTGAGGTGGGTTGTCTATTACAAATGTTTTACATAATGTGTTGTGTCATCCAATAGGGCTTTTTACCTGCTTTCATTTTTCGTCTACATCTAACATTTTCTGCAGTTTCTGAACAACCAGATGGTGCTATCGGGCTATGCCTCCTGTCGAATCGGTGAGTTTTGGAGCTACTTTGTGTGACATTTAACAGAGGAGCTGGATTTCGAGATCCAGCCGTCAGGACAGAAGGGCTACGTGACCACAGTTGAGGGTTACCTGTCGAAGGTCTCACAAAGCTTGGAGGAGCATGTGCGTTCAGTAGCCGAAGCCATGGCGAACGACCCCAATCTTTCAATACAGCTTAGCACGGGCGAAGTGAAAACGGGAGCTGAATACATCCATACGTTGGCCGCCCTTCGCGAGCGGCTGAATGATTGCAGTGAGGGAACTGAGGTGGGCAGTTCATAGTAGCGGCTCATGCGCTTCAGACATTCACCCTGATACTGGACGATCCGTCCGGAAACAGTTACATTGAGGACTCTGACTCGGTGGAGCTGGCAAAGGAGACGTATGCGCGTTCGGAAGAGCAACAACAGGTTGGTATGGGCCATTAATGTGGCCACCGTTTAGTTATTTGGTTGACACCGTGCAGAATATGGGCTACGCTACCAAGGATGATTTTAAGAAAGGTAATTATTGTTTGCAGGTTGATTATTTCGCGCAGAGATCGACCTGACTACTCCCATGGAGAACACGGACGATGTCGGCAAGGAAGGTGTTTCACTTCCTGTGGACTGCCCCCATTGCGGTTCCGAGGGCCTCAACAAGATATGCGAAGTTTGTAAGTGTAGCATGCGATAATGAAAAATATGTTCAGTGGTCCCTGGTTTCGGACCGTGCGTTATTATGGCGTTCACCTGCGAGACTTGCGGCGCAAAGTCTAACGAGATGAAGCCGGGTGGTGGTTACAAGGACCACGCCAAGCGTTGGACGCTGACAGTGCAGTCTGTTGAAGACTTGAATCGCGATGTTATCATATCGGAGACGGCGGCAGTCCGGGTCGCCCATCTCGATGTGGAGATGTCGCCAGGTACCATAGGCGCCGCCTTCACGACGGTGGAGGGGCTGATAGGCAAGCTGGTGGAGAGTCTGGAGAAGGCGTACCCCTTCGTGCTAGGCGATTCCGCAACCGAAGAGCATGCACCACTTCGGGAGAAGGTGCGCGAACTTCAGGCCCTGGTGGCAGGCGACGCTGCGTTTCCCTTCACCCTGGTGATCGATGACCCGGCGGATCACTCCTTCATCGGTGCCCGGAGGGAGAGTCAGGGCGAAGATGCGTACCTTGTGTTCGAAATTTACGAACGCACGCAAGAACAGAACGATGAGCTGGGTCTCACTGATATGAAGACAGAGGACTATTAGAACAAGCTGAGGAACTGCGCGAGTTTCTCGAGCACCGCCGCAGTGTCGCGTTTATCGCATTTGCCCGAACTTCTAATCCTTTCAATCATACTGCCGACTTCTGTAACGTGGTCTTTCCAGACCTTCCCTGCCAGCGTGAGGATGTATTTGAAGGTGCTGACTCGTTCCCAATCGCTATTCCTCATCACCTTCAGATCGCCATTTGCACCGTTGGTTGCCGGCCACAGAACGTACAAACACGATCTTGCGAACCCGGCAACACCACAGGACACAACCAGTGGATCGGCTACCAGTGCAAGTGCCGCCGCATGTGGTACTTGCTTGATGTCGATCTGAATGCCATTAAATTTGTGTTGGAATTCTCTTACCTCATAATTGTCTAATAAGTGGGCGGTTAAAGTGTCCAAAATGCGATCGGAGTTGTTGTCCAGGAATTTGTGCAATGTTGCCAATTTGTCGGCGGTTGCCGTGGGGATGACGCCCGTTGTGCAAGACATCACCAGCCTGCAAAGGAGTCGGTCCACGTTAACCATGTACAACAATGTTTCGTTGTACATGTTCTGCGGTTCCACGTTGAAAACGGTGTCCATTTCCGCCAGCATCGTGATGTCGCGCATCCCTTCCGCCTCGAAATCGATCTCGGAAGTGGTTAGGTATAAGCCTTGCTTCAGAACATTCTGCTGCTGCAGTTCGAGCTTATAGTTGATTTGGTTGTACAGGTCCTTGTTCAGCATCGTGAGTTGGTCGAACAAGCGTACAAGCCACTCCGCCGGCACCGTTTCCAGCGCGTACTGGAGGAGATGTTCCATGCATAAGTGCGCCTTCATGGAGGACATATCGCGTACGTCCACGGTGGGTATGGTTTTGGAGCACGTAGAGACAGCCATGGCACGTACAGTTTCGGTTTCGTCTTGTAGCATCACAAACAGGGCGACAATCGTGTGTAGTCCGTACATCCCTGTTATGCTGCATTCATCATGGCTGTGATCCACGCGTGGAATCCCGTGTTCATCCAAGTATTGCGCTGCGGCAGTTCTCACGGCCACGTCGGTTCCAGGGTCTACCATCTTCAGCAGCATCCCAGAACCGAGTTGCACTATATTTGTGTTCACTGGTCGGCTGCCCTGCCTCAATAAGGCGTATAGATGACAGCTCTTCCACGCCTCGACCAGGTATTCTGAATTGTACATCATGCGTTCTGTCGCAACCAATAAAAACTTTTCTGCCCATTCCTGGTCGAATATACCGATGGGGACTTGGTGCTCACGGAGGTGTTGTTGCCCTATGGCATTGAAAAGACGCAACGCCGATATACAAATGAAGAAATGCGATTTGGTGGAAAGGATATACATCCCAACCTTCCACAAGTGGGTGAGATCCTCAGGTTTGCAGCATACCAGCTGCGGGTGCTCTAGAAGATGTGCCACACGTCCCAGCGCGGCCTCTAGTGCTCGTTGATGCGATGTCATTCCATACAGCGCGTGTAACGTGTATACAGTGAACTGCACGAAGGATACAAAATCATCTCCTGGTCTTCCATCTGCAGGCGAACCTGCTTTGGTGAGGAGGAATGTGGAATTGACGAGTGAAGCAGCTGCCCTAACCTTCGTCATGCCGTCAACCCTGACCGTGGAGAATGTTTTCAACAATGATTCCAGCTTTGTGTTTTGCATGGGTATGTTCTTTGGCAACATCCTTATGGTTTTGATGCATTGTTGGTGCACATCTTCGCCTATGAGGTATGAAGCAGCCAGGGCAAGTACGGCGCTGCACTGCAGCACCTGAGAGGATTCCGGCGTGAATGAAGGCTCCACAGATAAAGCCATTTCATCGAAGTCTGTTGTCTTGGCATGCAACAGGCACATCTTTTCAAGTATGATGAGAACCTGGAGCACGTTTTCGAAGCAGTTGGCGGTTATCAGCACAGCATACAAGGTTATTAGTAACCCGTCAGCCGGTGCCTTCTCCCTTACAACACTTATCAGGTTCGTTATGTATCCACTTGAAATTTGCTTCTGTATTTCAGCCAGTTGGTTCGAGATGTTTGCTTCATTTGTCGATGTCCCCCATACGTCATGTAACCCGTTAGCAATCATGAGGTCAAGGCATTCGGTTATGAGCATCAACCTCCCGTTAATGTGGTTGCCGCTACCCGTTTCCTCCAAAATGCACACGCAGCTCTGTACCAGCAGTGTCCGTATGTTCATTTGGGAGGTGTCCATACAGTTTTTGGCGAGGATCTTAGCAGCCATGACACGTATTGAGGCGTTTGTGGAGTAAAGCATAGCTGCAACGTTTTCGGAAAGCATGAATGCCACTTCCGGCGGGAATGAGTATATGGGGATCCTGCTGAGGAAGTTGAAAACGAAAGCCGAACTTTGGTAAAGTGCAGAGTATTCCGGGGTTGGGTTGAGGTCCTCATAGCTTTCTGAGCTGTACACGGTCATCTCCTTGACTGAAACCAGTATCTTGTTCAGCTGCGTTGACAGTTCGTCATTGTTGCACAATGACAGTTTCTGGTCTAGAAGGGCGTCTGTGGATGCAAGATTGACGTCACTTCCCGTAAGGTGATGTAGCACCGAAGAGAACAGCAGCGACGCGGAGTTGCGCACCGACCAATCTCCGTGCGCCATGTTCCGGAGACTTGCGCATAACGCACTTCCGGCGTGTATGTTGTTTGACCAGCGAAGCTCCTTGCATCGGAAGAGGGCACACAAGATGTTGAGGGAGTGGATGCGAATGTCAACAGCAGTGAAATCGCTATCGTCGTTTCCATATAGCGGGCGTTCCGTGCTCGTCAGTTGAAGCAGTGTGTCCACCACCAGCGGAAGCAGGATTGGTTTATGCCTGTCGCTTTCGGCCTTGAGGATCGAGGTGAATGAGCGTGCTATGGGTTCAGACCTCCTGTGCGAGTCGCGCAACATTACAAATAGCTCGTTATACTGCTTGTTGTTGCCGGTGTACCCCTTGATGAGATCTAGCAGCACTGTCAGCCACTCCTTGAGCGGACAGTGTAATCCGAGTATGACAAGCTTTTTACATATCCATGTCATGAGGTCGCCGAAAGCGTCAGTGCATCCGAAGTGACGGCACGACATGAGCGCCTCTATGAGGTACCGTCCAATGTCGTCTATCCTGTCATAGAACAGCGGAATGTTTGTACCGGGGTCCTCACCCTCAGCACTCCTTATAACGTCAAGCGCAATGGCGCCGTTCACGGTTTGCGGCAATATCCACTGCAGCATGGACCTCATCGCATTGCAGAATTCGAAGACGCTCTTCCAACACAGGACGGTGAACGGCCTGAGGTTACTGTCATCGGGTACCGAGCACTTGGGCGTCGATGGCAGCTTGAGTTCGGTGCATTTGAATTCTCCCGAACATACAGTGCAGTCCAAATAGTTTTTGTCATATTCGGCAATACATGTGAAGTCATATGTGCGATTTTTAGTGACCAGGTGTCCTCTGCAGTCGATTTTGTACTCCTTCGAGTTGCTCTCATCCTGGTCGTATTCCCTACCCACATACTTGAGTATGTGGCTCGCGATTCGTTTCAGGTTTTCGTATAATACTCCGACTACATTGGAGAAGCGCGTGGTGTTCACCACCTTTGAGTAAACCTGAACCGGTATGGAGGTCATATAGTGTGAGAGCAGAGAAAGCAGCCCAGCGGGGCATGACGCCATTTCTGCGTCATTGACATTGATGTGGATATCCAACCGGTCGCATACCAGTTTCAGACGCTGTGAGAAAAATTCTAGCACGCACAAAATGGCTTCGTGTTCTGTTTCCGCATCTCCTGGTTCATCCATGTGGACTGCTGTATACAGGTCACCAATGCCAAGTGCCGTTTTTACACGATCGTTGAAAGATATCCCTCTAAGCAGAAGTGTTAGTGCCTTAGAACCGGCCATATAAGGTACGGTCTTTACGCTCCACAGGGAAGATGCGGCCTTCTTAACCATGTATTCGAGAGTGCCTTCTCCGTGGCAGAGTGTCAGCGCCTGTCGCAACAAGGACGAAGGCACCAACAAAAGAGTCTTCATTATCAGTTCCTGCTGGCGTGTCGACATGTAGAACAGAGCCATGTACAGTGGTGCGATTAGGTCGATGCAGAACAGCGAAGTCATGTTGACAACGGACGCCCCTGCCTCCCCTAGCATATGGAAGGTCATGTGAAGTAGTTCCAGGGCTGTTGTGTTTTTGAAATCGCTGGTGCAGGGGTTGATAGTGACCACCATCACCTTCATCATGAGCTTCATGTACGCACAGTGTAGAGCAACGGTTCTCTTGACGTCATCCGGTGCTTCCATGTCGCCATCGCTTGCGTTTACATCCGTCCGAATCACCAACCTATCGTTTTCAAGCCGGGCAATGTCCAAATCACGTGACAATATTTCTTGGAGCAACTCGGGCTTCGCGGTTACAATGGCCAACAGCCTTTGGATGAACGGTTTGACAGCTGCAACGAAGTGCTGCCTGAATGACGGCAGTGATGTCCTCATGCAGTGCTGCAGTGCATACAACATGAGTTCCATTTCCAGCCTGCTTATGGGCTCTTTCTTTTTTGTTGAACACGCAACTGCCTTGACCACGTTTAGGCACAGGTCGCTTTTGATGTGAGTAAGCCCTTCCTTCACCTTTTGGATGGGGATGTAGAACAGCTTAACCTGCGGGAAGCTCTCCAGGGTCTTCATATCGAATTTGAATACACCAGGCGAGTCGTTAATAATAATGCCCTGCAGCTCAGTGCCTAGAGTTATGTTTTCAACGAAGTCCACGCTGTTAAGAGTTCTGGCGTTCCAGAGGCACATGCTTTCGGCGAAGTTGAATGGAGCCACCAGATGCATAATCCGTTCTTCCGTGTCAACGTGCGATGTGTTTGCGATAAGTGCAATTATATCCGATATGCAAGCCTTCAGGTCTCCGTGATCTTTCACCACGTAAACCCCTTGTTCTTTAAGATCGTCCTGGTCCTGTTTGCTGAGGTACTTGTAGAAGTTGCATTTGGTATAGGTGGTGGAGAGCCTGAGCATTTCGAAGACGTAGTCCTTGTTTATCTTGCCAAACACGTTTTTGAAAGAGTCGGCTATGGCACAAGCGCGATTCTCGAGTTGTTCGCTTGAGACATTCTGCGTGGGAACCAATCTGCCATTTGCCGGAGAAGGAATTGCAAGTTGTCTTGAGTGTAACATCGCTATTACAGTAGGGTAAGTTAGGCACTGTAAAGCTACTAAGGCAATATTGCGCTCATCTGCAGCCGCCACTCCGTGTGCCTTGCAGGTGGTCTGTATCATCTCGTAAATCTTCGTCAGTAGTTCCGTTAGGAATACAGTCGAACATCCCTTGATTGCCGGTAGACCGAGTGAGCACAACAGGTGAGGGAAGAGGAATGGTTGCATTCGCAATATTTCTTCTGGTCCCACATATTTCAGCAGATTCTGCAGTGCCAGGTACCTGAGCTTCAAGTTACTGCCGAAGGAAGCGGTTGACGCCTTGATCAGGGTGTGGGTGTACTTTGTTATGATCGGGTCACATGTGGTTTTCTGAAGGGCGAAGGTGAGCTCCATGAGCTTGCTCCAGGTTGCCACCGCTAAGTTCGATACCCTCCTGACCTTGCGAGTCCAGAACGTGAATATGAGTTCAGGCAGTTCAGTTAGGCATGCGTAGAGTTTATCGCAACGAAATGTCTCCCCTGTAATGAAGGACATCATCAGCTGTACACCTTGCAGGGTGGCGTAGTTGACGTCTACACGGAGGCAGGTGTCCGTGGCTATCTTGAAAACTTTGTGGCATCGGCAGAGAGATTCCACGATGAATTCATCGTTATCGATAGAAATATTGCTTTCGTCGGGTGTAGCAGTTTTGGCCTGCTGCGCCAACTCCGTACTGCCTGGGATGCCCCTCTGCGTTCCATTTTTATTCATATTGCTGTAGATGAAGGTCAAAATTCCGCGGACCACTGAGAGACAGCCTAAGCTTGGTAGTGAGATGAGCAGGCCAACGAACTGATCTGGGTCACCTAATTCGCACGCACTAAGCGCATCATCGTCAGACGTCAGGCATTTGCCCTCGTCACCCTGAAACTTTCTCGCCATTTTGTCGTATGCGCCCAGAAACCCATTTATGATATCCTCAGATCGTTTCGGTTCGTTCGCATGGTAGGCAGCATGGACCAGGGCTATGGCGGATACGCCGCACTGGCACAGCACATCTCTGTCCGATGACGGATTTCCCAGCACTCTCAATATTTCTCGCAGGGTTTCGCTAATAGAATATAACTCAGTTGCATCTCTCCATATCCAGGGGGGTCGCGATCCACGGTTGAGCAGAAGCAGGTTGAGAGCCTTGAGTGCTGATATCCTGCTTTTGTGGTAGCTCACCACGTCGCTGGCCGACACGATCCCCGCTGACTCGGGATTTTGGTGGGTTTCGAATCCCACCTCTGACACCAACGTGATGCATAGCCTTATTGCGTCGTCCCCCATAAGTTTGAGCAGCTCTTCGGTGCTTGCCAGGGCATGTAAATCGGATACCTTCCGGTGCAGTTCATCCTTCGAATGTTGTTCATCCCGGCTCATTAACGAATGGTGTATAAGGGTAGACAGCGTTGCGGCATCGACCGTGCGCATAACCGAGATGCAGGCGCTGGACAGTCCTCTTGACAGACACAGCCACTCTGCCTCGAGGAAAAGGTCCAAGACATACGAACCTATAAAGGTCAGAATTTCTGTAATGTGTTCGTAGGTTCCGGCTGATTTGTGCTCGACCAACGCATCTCGAATGTACTGCTCCAATTCGAACAACGCCTTGGTGATCTGGCCCCTGGGAAGTTCGTGCGATATATCTTCCAGATTGAATCTCCATTCCGTATCCCTGCTAGCCGCGTTTATAGCTGCTGTGTGCGAATTGCGCAACCTTTTTGACCTCGAAAACACCGGGACTTTGGATTCGTTACTGGTGGCGTTGCTCTTACCAAGTTGCACCTTGCGGATTCCTTCGGCTTCATTCTTACCCTCGGCCCTATCAGGGCCTAAGTGGGCCTTCTTGGGCGGTGTTGCCATATTATGGCGTTTATTTGTGGAATCCACGGGGTGAATGTTCGTCACGGATAACGTGGCCGATACGCACGGGCATTTTGCCCTAGCCACATTTACACATTAAGGCTGCTTGCCATCTATCGTTAAACTGCAATATCAATGTGTACGTTGCACATTGCTGTGTTTAGGTTTAACCCGCATGGGCGTCAGTGTCATGCCGGTGGCGTGCACAACGTTGATGCCGTTGTTGCGGCGATATGGGTATTCACATTTTTACAGCATAATGTTGACTGACATAGTCCCATTTTGATGTGTTAGTGTATGGCGATAGTCAGCAAATGTGTAACACTGCCTAGTTGCATCGCGTGTCTCCTTCGTGGAATCCACTGCCTGGCTGCACTTGCGTACAAATGGCACATTCCGCCTCGCCATTTCTTCACAGGTTGACATTGGGGCTTTTAGCGTGTAAACAGCGTAGAATATAATTGGAATTGGTATCTTGGAGTCTACCGATCACGATGATTCCACCGGAGATGGATGACGCCAAGGCGTACCACGCCATTCCTTCAGATCCAGGTAAGCCTTGCACCTTTAGTCATACAATCGCTTATGTGTCACGTAATGATGTTGAATACATGAATAACGCTTGTCTTAGACGTTCTGGAAGAGGAAATTCCAAGCCGATCCCGCTGGGGACCGAACCCCCGTTATCTGATAGCCACCGTAGCCGCGCTTATCTTGGAGTGGGCCACGATGTTCTGGGTAGTGTAGGTGTTTGAAAGCCGAGTCGTAATGACTATTTGCCAGTTCCTTGGGAGATTCGACGCGCGACTACTTCGTCTTCACTTTCATGTTCGGCGCCGCCATAGCCATAGTGATGGTTGTCAATCGCTCTAACCCTGGAGTGTAAGTTTTTGATTGAATACACGTTAATCAAACATAATCAGTGTGCCAAAGAACGTGGACTTGGAGCTCTATCAGCGAGAAGCATGTTAGTTGTTCTAGGAATACATGCTAAACATTGCAGTACCGGCTACGGAGGTTGAGCTTAATCAGACCCGTTTCATTCAGCGCTGGTGTGGTAGGTGGTTGTTGCAGCGATACAGAAGTTTTCAGTTGCGTGCCGCCTGTATAAGCCTCCTCGGGTCAAGCATTGCTACGAGTGCGGACGTTGCATATCACGCTTCGATCACCACTGCCCATGGTAGGTTTCCGTTACCTGCTAGCTGTGCTACATCATTGACCATACATATACCCTTATCTTACACGTATTTAGGATGTCTAACTGCATCGGCTCCAACAACTACAAGATGTTTATGCTCTTCTGGCAACACTACTTTGGCATGCAGATATTCTCCGTCTATTTTATAGGGCTATCTATGAGCGTGAGTACATCATTACGCGATCAAGCTAATGGTTTCAGCAACTGTCTGCCACTTCGAAGGTGTCTCTTGGGGACGGTGCCATCCGTAGCTTTGCCTCGGAGAATCCATTCCTGTAAGCGGTGCATCTCGTTGAGTCAAATTTGTTTCAGGATCTTTTTGCTAGTTCTGGCGTGCATTCGTCTGCCAGTTGTGGCTTACATTACCATGGCTAACGCGTATTTCATCTGTCGCAACATGACCTACTACGAGTACCTAACGCAGCCGTACGAAGGCAAGAACCCCTTCGATCAAGGTAGGTGCAGACCACACGGACACAACATTTCGACAGGCCTGTGTCAAAACATATACACCTTTATGGCACTGCCGTGGATTGATCTTTCGCGTGAATGATCGCCAACACCGGGTCACGAATATCCAATCTGGGGAGGCTCTTAGGGCATGTCCCTGGTGTGCTGACATTTCTCATTTTGCTAACTGGCTAACAAAGGTGCCACCAGCTAGAACCGCAATACACGAATGCGGGCTGGGTAACATTTTGATTTAACGTTTGACAACACGTAATGCCAAATGGTTTTTAGAATTATCCCTTCAGCTCAGTGCTTGCCATGCGGTCGTTGCTCAAGAATTGGGAGTGGCTGGTTTTGTGCAATTACTCCATTTTATAAACACACTATCTACACAATGGGACATATGTGTATTTTATGTATTGCGATGTTGCGATATGATTAAAAACTGTATGTTGGTTGTCCCGATGATGCTACTGTTGCTGCTGCTCAGGCTTGGATTGCTCCGCTGGCGGCGCGTCTTCGTCGTCCGGCCTGAGGTCGTGCCCAAACGTGGGATCGTCATGCCACACTGCAGCATGATGTAATGATAATGCGTATGGTTGTGTTGCACTTACCGGCTCTGTGTCTGACGCCAGCTGTCCTGGCTTGTTTGACGTGCGACTTCGTGGAGTAGGCGACCTTGATCACACGTCCATACAACTCCGACTCGTTGTGGTTGAAGATGGCGTGCTTCGCGTCCTCTTCGTCCTCGAATTCGATGAATGCGATTCCCCTGTTTGTTCCTGCGTGTAACGTTAGCTTCTTCGGACGGCTCCGTTGCCATGTAACGCACTCAAAATAGGACACAAAACTCACAACACTACACTTATACCTCACTTACCCTTTTCCTTGTCCACAGGCATGTCTATGTGTAGTATGTTGCCGAACGGTAGGAAGGCGGCGTAGAGGATCTCCTTGTTGACCTCGTCGGCGAGTTCCCTGACGAATAGCGTCCGTTTTTGCCCCGACGTATCCGCCATGTTGAATACGTCGTAAGCAAAGTCGAACTGGCGACTGCTGCTAGTGACGTTGTTCGCCTGTATCCGCGCGCGCGCCTCACCGAATCACAGCCTTCCACACTTTGTATGGCTGGAAGTTTATCGCCTTATCCGCGCATTAGTTTTAAATTGAAATCGTCCTGTTGTTTTTTGAAGCAGGGCGTTTGCTTGTTTTGTTGTATCATATTTCCGCGCCGCCGTACTGCTCAAGCGGCAGCGCCGGTTGGATGTCTATTAGAGTTCGCTACGCGGCTGGCTGTACAAATTATGTCTTAGTAGCTGCTGGCGTGCTGTGAAAATTTTTGAGCCCGAATTTGGCGCCGAAGGTTGGTATTATGTTCGGATCCGTTGTACTGGGAGCCGCGAAAGAGCTGTAATTTTAGTCTGCGTTTTAACGGAGCTGCTACGCCTGTGCCATGACTACGAATGGCGCATTCCAGGGGTTCGTTTCGTCCGGGGATTCCATCTACGGCCATGCCGGTGACAGCGACGTATCTGATCCTGCCGCCGGCGACGCAACACCGTATGATTCCGCAGCCTTCGCTGTCGCATCCTATTCGATACCATCACAGACTCATGCAACCGCATCTACGGGCGTCGAGAGCCTGGGCAGCATCACGGCCGCGGTACCTCCTGCATCTGTGGCGGGCGCTCCACCTACGAATTTGAAGACGGACTCGGTGTTCGAGGCGCTGCGATGGTCGGAGGAGATCGCGCCCTACTTTTCAGACATACGGGATATCGGGAACTGGGTCCACCCGGAACCACCTGCTGCGGATAAGGTCACGGCGGTGTTCAACTGGAACCATGGCGGGAAGGAGGTATACCTCATATGCAAAGAGGATGGCGAGACCAAGAGGCTGCGGATGTACCGGAACGGAAACAGCTTCATGTTGGTGCGAGATGTGCCGAAGGCGCTGATTGAATACACCTTTTTGGTGGACGGTATAGAGCAGTGCGCGCCGGACCAGCCCTTCCAGAGGACGGCGGACGGGGTGAAGAACGTTATGGACTGTGTCAACGTGCTTCGCGTCGAGTCAGTGGTTGCGGCGGATGAAGCAGACCCTTTCGAAGGATACTTTGACCAGTCGTTGCCCGATCGCAGGTACATGGCGCAGGAGGCGCAAGTTGTGCCGAATGCATTACTCTACCGGTCGCCCAACTTCAGAGACGGGGACCGCGTTGGCAACGACATCCACGTCATGGCCAACCACATATACGAGGATACGATGTCTGACGATGTCTTGGGCCGCAACTACAGGAGTTACACCAACATCTACTGCTGGGAGACCAGCAGTGCGGACATATCCCTCAGCCGAAAGTGAGTTTGTAGGCTTTATATAGCAATGCTGTTGCAGTAGCGCGTCCGTCATATACATAACGAGAGGTCCGCATGAGCACGAGACTGAGAGCGAGGTGCAAGCTCAGGCTCTGAAGTGGTTCAATGTGACCGAGTGACCCTTCGGGCAAGCGGTTTTCGGGTTGCGGGATCGCGCGGTTACACGTTCCTAGTGACATTCTAAATCCAGCATATGTTTTTATACCGTATTGTTGCGTAATCTCGTGGCGCGTTATGGACGCACGTGCCCCAGGCGCTTCGCGGGCCCAACCTGCCGGCTCCGCTCTTTTATAACGTTTCCGGGGCCCTGTATAGCCTTCAGGTTCACACACCATTATTTTAACGCGCCTAACAAGGCTGTGTATCGGTAGCAGATTTGTATTGCAGGTTGTCCCGGGGCGCATCGCGTACATCCCTTTGTCTCGTACCTCTCTGTCTTAGACTACTTCTGTTTCTTCGACTATTCTGTATCAAGATGGCCATCTCACTTCTGTCCACTCCCACTTACTGGATACTCAACCTCGCGCTGTGCGTGCTCTACCCTGGCTACAAGACCTTTACACACCTCTACCACGGGCTCTTGTCCAGCGATGAGGACGCCAACACGGAGGACCCGCGCACGAACTGCGGCCTTTTCGCCCACCACATCCTCTACTGGACGATTTTCTTCCTCTTCCTGAAGCTGGAGACCTACTTCCTGGTCTACCTCATCCCCTACTTCCCGATGTTCTACGAACTCAAGCTGCTCGGCTTCTACTGGCTCTCATCTTACGAGTTCAAGGGCGCGGGGTACCTGTTCCACCGCTTCATGATGAAGCATATGCTGCACACGAGCAGGCTGATCCAGCAGGAGCTGGACACCAAGCTGACCCCGAGCCATCGCAAGATGATCAGCGACATCAGCCGCCACTTGGGCAGCGTGGAGGATGTACAGTTTGTGAGCGCGGAGTCGTGAACGTGGTCATTTGGATATTTTTAATTCGTTACAAATGATACGTGTGCAAAATTATTGTTTTCTGTAAAATACGTCGCGCTACGAGCCGCACGGTACCAGATCGACCACGATGTCGGATCCTTGCTGCATGAGCTCCAGTTTGCCCTGGGTCGCCAGTTCGAGCAGGGCGAGGAAGCACATGCTGACTTCCTGGCGGCCTCGCCGTTCGGTGCCGAGCGCCTCTCTGAAGCTGCAGCGCCCGTCGCCTTGTTCTCGAAGGCAGCAGTTCTTCACTTTGCTGCGAAGGCGTTAGGTATACACGTGACGGACAAACGTGAACAGCTCGGTGTGCGCGGTGTCTCCTACACGCGCTTTGGTGGAACGCAGGGGGTACGATTTCTGCTTGCTCTCACCGAAGGACTCTGAGACGAATGAGGGTGTTGAGGAGGAGGAAGTTAGGGTTTTACCAAGACACTCACTTTGCTGTGCTACTCCGCGCCTTATCCGCGGCCGTTTACCGGTTCCGGTGCGCTGTTGTTGGCGTTCTCGCTCGGCGCACGTTACGAGAAACGTTTTCTGTGAAAAGAGATTTACCCATGTATATTTGAATACATAGCCTTTTGGGCACCGGTGTTGATGTGGGTGTCACTTACGTATTTTAGCTCGCACTCCTTGAGTAGCGTGTCCCGTATGTCGTACCATGTGCATGTCTGGCTGGGCTTCGTTCCGTGGGGTGGTACGCACTGTTTGAGTGCGTGTTCTTCCAGTGCCGTCCTCGCCGTTTTGCAGTGATGGGCCCGTTTCTTTGGTACCAAGTGTTCGGCGGGGACGACAACGAAGTTGTCGAATGCCTCCAGTGCTGCTCGCTTGATCTTCTTGAGTTGCACGCGTTCATGGCCGTCGACTTCGTCGTCGAGGTCATGTAGATATGTGCTTTCTCGAGGCGGGTTGGATGGTGCTGTTGTGACTTTAGTGCTGAATGTGCGCAACCTACCGTTGCAGAGCGCTGGTACATCACTCATTACATCGTCGATTCCTAACAGACCGGACGCCAGGGACTTTGCCGCCGCGGGAGCGTTCCATTTCACAACTTGGGTTAGCTGCTTCCTTATGTTGTTCTGCTCGTCGAACTCGTATTGGCTGTAGATGCCCACTCCCATGATGATTTTGTTGTAAGCGAAGCCATCGTGTGCGTTCGGGGTTTTCATGCGCGTGTCGAGGCACTCTATCCTTAGCTTTGTATCCTTCAGAACGCCGTTGGCAGTGTTGTTCCACAGGGGCTCGAGCATGTGCTCGGGCGTTGCTGCCGAGGCGAAATGCCGCCCCCTGGTCTTCGAGCGCGGTAGGGTGGCTGTGGCAGTCGTGCTATGGTTGTTGTTGTAGGCCCTTCTGCATGCATGTCGAGCGTCCTTGAGCAGTATAGTGCATTGCGCGAACATCAGAACAGCGACTCCCTTGGTGACGGTGCCTACACAATTTATAGTTCCGGGGTGGTGGGGAAGCGGTTGCTCAACATACCTCTCTGGTGCAGCGTGAGCGTCCCGGAGTCAATGAGCGGCGCTGCTGCCTCCAGGTCTACTGCGACAAGTTGTGCCGCAATGCGCCTGTCTGCCATCCAGGGCCTGTTCACTCGAGCGGCTCCGGTGAGGTCAGCCCTGTTGAAGGTGCTGGCCCACCAGACCAGTCTGGCGATATCTGTTTGGCATTAGTACGTCACACAAGTGTGACAGAAGTCACAGTGATCAAACAGCGTTAGAGTTGTACAACATTAGAGGTGTGTGTTGCAAGCGTCTGACACACTTGGTGTCGCCGGTCGGGGTGTTTGGGCGCTTACCATCGTGGTTACGGAGCTCCCGACGTATGGCCTCCGCAACAGCCGCTTCTACACCCTCACAGATGTGCGATTTGCGTTTGAGTTCCATCTCGTTATTCTTTGTGAGTGCCGCCAAGCGTTTTTCGGCGATTCACACCTCGAAAATGCAGCATGAATATTCCATAATTGAACTTCTGTGAAGGTGTGTGTGCATCCCGCGTCAAAGCGACTTCTGCAAGGTGAGCGCCTTGCCTTTGTTGATTTGTCCCCATCCGATAAGTCTCCAGTGCTTGTCCACCCTCCTGCTGAGAGCGACCTTGTCGCCGACACGGGTGCAGACGGGGCCCGTGAGCTCGAATTTGGCCATATCAGGCTTAATTCCGCTGACACGGCCACCGACAGAGGTTGATCCGATGTTGATCATGAGGAACTCACCCTTCTTCAGTTTAGACACTTTGGTGCTCCTGTCACCGTCGGGTGCCTTGATACCGAGAAGGCGCCTGCATGGTCATGTGCCCAACATACAAATTAGATTATACTCACCTCAGGAGATAGTATGACATCTCAATTTCAATGAAGCAGTCGGGAAGTTTGCCGACGTGGCCGATAACCTGGCCCACGAGTCTGTCGGCCCTAGTCAGGGTCGGGTCCATGGCAGTTCCAACACCAACAAGGCCTCCTGGCACGGCAAACTGGAGGTCATTTTGCTCCGCAAACAGTGACACAATACGCGAAATAATTGGCTTGCACTGAATGTTGCCGTTAGAATCCTTTGAGATTATGCCGGGACGGCACTCTATCTGGTCGCCCACTTTGAGCACGCCGTGGAGGATGCTTCCTCCAGCAACGCCTCCCTGCAGGTTTTCCACCAGCTCTCCGGGCTTGTTGACGTCGAAAGACCTGATGACGATCATCTGCGGTGGCAGGACGAAGTCGCGCTTGGGGACGGCGACTTGCGTCACCAGGTACTCGCAGATGACGTCGATGTTGTAGTTGAGGACGGCACTGATGGGGATAATCGGCGCATTGTCGGCGGCGGTGCCGGAAACGAAGCGTTTGATTTCCTCCTGCCTCTGTATGGCCTGCGACTCCTTGATGAGCTCAACCTTGTTCTGCAGGATGATGATGTTCTTGAGCCTCATGATCTCCACGGCCGCAAGGTGCTCCGACGTCTGAGGCTGCGGACACGACTCATTTCCGGCTATCAGCAGCAGAGCGGCGTCCATTACCGCCGCTCCGTTAAGCATCGTGGCCATGAGAATATCGTGTCCCGGGCAGTCGACGAAGGAGACGTGGCGCTTGAGCTCCATTTTGTGACCGCATCCCTGTCGTGGGCACGGCGGCTCATCCTCCTTGCTGCTTCCATAAGACTTGTAGCAGTCTGGTGCGGGGCATTCGGGGTTCGTGCACTTGTAGATCTTCGCGTTGGCATACCCAAGCTTGATGGTGATGTTGCGCTCCTTCTCATGCTTGAACCTGACGGTATGCACACCCGATAACGCGTGCACGACGGTCGACTTCCCGTGCGCGACGTGGCCAATAGTTCCGATGTTTATGGTTGCCTGCCTGCTGATCACCTCGGGTGACAGCGACGTCAGCTTGGTCACGTCGAGGCTTGCGAGGTCCTGCTTGCGCAGGTGTGATGAATCCTGTGTAGGTTGCGCCATGTTGTGGAAGGCTTGAGTCTGCTTGACTGCGTGGCAAGGTCTATGAGTCGTTGTCTCTGCCAGCAGTGGTGCATTTGCCCTTCGTGTTACACGGTCGTGCCCAGCCGGGCTGCGAGCTTGTGATTAGACGCGTTCCCGTGAACCGGCTCTACCCTTACACTCCGTGCTTGTGCACCGAATGTACGCAACAAAGCCCGCGTCCTTGCGTAGATTGCGGATGTGCGCCGAGAAGAGTCGCGCTGCGTTGTCGGCCGTTGTATAGGAACGCTGACCGTCGTCGCTCTCAGTTTAAACTGAACGCGGTGGTGTGTATGAAATGGATTTCACTACGGAAGTGGTCCGGATCTCTCCGTTATAATCGGCAGGGCGTGATTCCGTGGTGGGGGCCTCGCTCCGTGAGGATGCGGGCACCGACCACTGAAAGTTCCACAAAGCGATAGGAATATGTAAACATTTTAGCGTGAAACGTGAGTTCGATTCTGGGTTGTTATTGCGACTTTTTGCGCCATGTGCTGACGGGCTCCAGGCCAGTCGCCGTCTGAGCTCGGTCTGTCCAGACTTCGTGTTGCCGGATATGCCAACGACACGCCCTTAGGGTGCGGTGTACGGAATCTTGCAATTCGGTTCGGGTGGCAGTTGTCCTGTCCGGGTGAATTGGAAGTCACGGTTGTCACCGCCTGATCCTAGTTGCGAAAGCGTGTCGTTTGCGAATCCGTGGCATAGTACGCATGTTTCTCGCTGTTTAACGTTCCCATATTGATCTTCGCGGACCGTCGCATCTGTAAGACCGCTGGTCTGTTGGATTTTTTCCTTGTCTGCGCCTTTTTTTGTCTTTTCCCCGTTGCCTTCCTGCATCTACGCTGCCGATACGTATCCCCGCCAGCCCTGAGCACGGAAGACGCAATGCGCCTACGCTTCGGCCTTGGTAAGTGCCGATGGTAGGCTGTGTGCATTGGCATTTTTGAGGTGTGCGTTTGCCCGGTCAGACCAACGCCGAACCAAGCATCCACGCAGCCGAAACGAGGAACGCATTCGAGCCTATTTCTGTAGGATTTTCCCCTTCCTCGTCATTTTCGTTCGCCGAAAAAGTTCATATGAGGAGGGAAATTCCGAGGCAGAGCATCACATCGTGGACGGGGTTCCCGACAAGTGTTTCCTGTGTTGGGGCCATTTTGTGCTGAGGGCGGCGTGCTACAAAAAAATCAGTGGCTTAGATACGGTGATTTGGTAGGCAACGGGACGGCGTAGACGCTTGAGCCACGTGCTTGTGGTGCAACGTTGCTCCATTTTCCACGGACTCAGGATCGTTAGTTCGGCGCAACCTCCCCTATACAAACGAGTCTGTCAAGTGCTCGGGGGCCTCAATCTCTGAGCCCGCGCGCCCGGATGTCGTTCTACGTTCGATTTCCAGGCTGATGGGCCATATGTCGCGTTGCTCCGCGTGCGACATCTGCGTGCCTCGAACAATGCCCCGAGTACGCATGGTAATTTCTTAGTAAGAAGAGTATCCAACACAAATTCTACAGTATAACTACCAGCCTGACAAATGAAAATATGACCGTCGTCACTACAAACACATTCAGTTGCAATTTTTTTCTCAAAAATAAAGCTCATACTGAAACGATTGCCAAACAGCTTGTCCTCCTCAAATGGGATTCTATATAGTTTTTACCTCTTTAATATGCCATTTGTTGTTACTTTGCACGGTGGCGTTGTTTCCTAACACCGCTATCGCTGCCTTAGACAAGACGGCGCCGGTAGTGAACAAACTTAACCCAGAACGCTATGGTGCTATTAAAGAGATGCTCGAAGGGGTACGTTCATGCGTTTTTCCTTATGTGTAGCTCCATTTTCAATACATATATGGATTCACAAGTGTGTGATGTATCCACAGGTAGCCAATGATATGCAGAAATTCGCTAAGGTGGCTTCACCTTCGGCAGCCCCTCCATCCCTAGGTGCGCCATCAGCTGTAGTTCACAACCCATATGAGCCTCCAAAAGAGCTTGTTTACGTAAACGTAGCGAGAAAAGCTCCCGCACAAGAACCCCCAACTGAAGCATCTACTGAGACTGACGTTAAGGCGAAGGAAGCAACAAATCTGGAACACGACGTAACAACACCGGAAAGCGATGCGCCAGAACTAGAATTTGAGAATGTTAAACTCGTAGAGAAAGACGCTACAGAGGCAGCAGACAAAGATGTGACGCCTCCAAAGAAAGATAGTCCCGTAACAGACGCCCCCCGTGTAGTAGGTATGGTGGTGAAGAAACCGGTGGTAAAACCATTAGTTGAAAAGACTCAAGCGACACAAACTCCCATAGTGGCGTCGAATGTAAATGACACTGGTGCAGCTGCCGACGCCGCCCCGTCCAATACCGATGGCAAGGATGTCAAACTTGGTTTGGCGGGGTTAGACCCAGAAGCAGCCAACATGGTGCGTTGGTGACATATTCGTGCATAATACATGTAATTGCAGTTTTCTGATCTCGCCAAGAAGATGTCCACCGCTGTAAAGCCCGACACGTCTCCTAAGGCGGATAATGGTGTCGGCGTGAGTAACAACGGTACTTTTATTGTCTATGCATTATATGGTTATCAGATACTAAACGTCCGAGCACTCCACCACCTCCACCTCCAAAACGTAAGATTTTTGTTGCCACATGTCAAAAAACTTTCAGCCGCCGCTAGCGCTACTGCGTCGACCACTGACCGTACCACATCAACAGAAGAGCCATCCGGAGCAAGTTGGTCTTCTGCATCCGGAACGACTTGGAACAGGGACACAAGCGCAGAATGGGACTCGGATTGGGAAGAAGGATATGACAGTGATGAGACGGATGCTGGTGATGCATTACCGCGACGACCACCGCCATTTATGTACATGGCTGAACCGCATGGCGTGCCAACTGTGGAACCAAAGACACCCATCACTGAAAGTCCAAAGGTTGAATCGCTCGAATCTGCAGCCGTATCAGCACCAGAATCGCCGACAATTGCAGGGGCTGCATCACCAACCGGCAAGGCACCCGAATATTCAACGCCTACAGGAGCTAAGCCTAAACAATTTGCGAGTGTTTCAACACAAACGGACCCTATGATTATTTTGGAACCACCGGAGACAGGATATTCCCCGCCTGTAGAAGCTGGTGCAGGAGGCAACACCGTTGTCCCGAGGTCGACGCCTATTCCAACACGCAAGGCTCCGAAGATACCAGATTCAGCACAAAAAAGGCCTGATTCAGGGTCGAGTGGTTCATCTGATAGCGGATACGTGAAGCCAATAAGTGCAACAGATGTGGCTCATGACGATGACACCAATTCATCGGAGGTAGCCATGGGAACGGTTGACCATCGCATTGTTGGAAGCAAATATCCGTATTACACTCACACAAGCGAAGATCTGTAAGTTCACGTTTCCGCCTTTCATATATATACCAATAGGCCCCGCGGAGTTACGGTAACTCTAGATCCGCACAAAAAAGGCATGCCTTATGGGAAAGGCATACTGGACATCCCTCAATCCAAACTGCAGGACGACCCTATGAACCATTCCTACGAATCAATTCACTTGCCCGGCGACAGTGACGGTATGTTTGGTCTGCATACGTTTAACCTTCAACAGAGGAGCCGAAAACGAATTTTAGGAGGGCTGCAAGCTTTGGTGTATCTCCAAGGCGCACTCCTGTAACTGATGCGTACATTACCGGTTTTGATAAGGCTTCGTCGAAGCTGCAGACACCATTGAAGCGCATTAGATTGTATGCGTCCAAAAAGGCGAAGGCCGCTAAGTCATACCTCTTTGGCGCAGGAAAGAAGGCTACGCAAGCCGTTGACACCGCTGTTTACTGCGCCGAAAAGGGGTGCGATCATGCCCGTCGTGCTAAAGACGAAATCACTGGGGCGCTGAGGCAAGGATACGGTGCAGGAGGCTCGAATCTGTTACAAACTTCGTTATAGATTCTGGATCTACGTTAGAGAATATTTTGTTTTAGTCAAGCGTACGCTGACGACATAAAGGAAAACCATTTTGCATTTAATATTCTCTTTTTAATTGTCTATTCTGATAAATAATCAGCACTATAATCGAGGCGAGGCAAACCCATCAGCCAGCTTTAGCGGTTCGCCTCTGAGGAGTGGTCTGCTAAGTATTGCCTTGATTACCAAATAAATTCCGATGTTATAAGCTTTGTGTATGTGGAGCTGCGAGTATAAGAGGTATATTGGCGTTTTATAGGTGATTAATTGCGTTAATATGTGATTATGATTTGTGACCTTGTGTATGGCGCAGGAATCGGGTGCGTGCGTATTAGGTCAATTTTTCTATAATGATGCTACGTAGACGTTTATATGAAGAATCAGCATCATTTCTAGCAATAAGTTAGCATACATACGCAGCTCGCAATTTTTTAAAGTTGTGAAAATTTCCAGGATCCCGTCATGATCATGATCCTTTCCTCAGGTGAGCCGAAAAGTTAATCTGGACGGTTTATCACACTACACAATACATTTCGGTAGATTTGTAAAGACGATTGTATCCTGTTCTCAAGATTTTAATCAAGCAATATTTCCGTGATCCCGAAAGTATTTTTCGATGAAGGGGATTATAGGGGTAGCGGCGGCCATCTCCATCGCGCTCATGCGCTTTGCCAGCGGTGCATATACCTCTGAAATGGGACTTTGTGCTGATATGTGCCCTTCTTCTACCTTGGTTGCGGCGGATGGCGCTGGAATTTCTCGGGTACGTTGATTCGTCTTCATTGTGACCATTTGCCAGTGCTACGAAGCCTGCAAGCGGCTGATACACCGCGTGAAGTATGGAGACATATTAGACGACATGAAGATCGACAAGGTTGTCAGTGCACCCAAGGAGAGCGCGCTTACGCGGCTTCGCAAGGGACTCGGGAAGAAAAAACCAGGCAGTGCGAGACCAACATCAGGGAGTAGCTCTAGCTCAGACGGCGAAGCATCCGCATAGTATTACTCCGTCTCAATATAAAACCGAAATAAAGCACTAATTATTGAAATAACACCCTTGAAGTTGTGTTGCCCGTTATTCTGAACTGTTAAACCTAACCCCAACCTGCTTAATGTAGAGAATGCATTTCCCGTGACGCTTATTAGCTGCCAGCATGAGGGTATATTAAACCAGTATGAACATCTTCCATATTTGCCAATTTCAACCCCATCATCGCTCTGCCTCGATATTTCATCACTCAGATAATGATCTACACGTGGGAAATTTTTGGCACCCAGTGAAACATTTCCCCTCCTTTTTCTTAGGCGCATTAAAGGATCTCTAATAATCTTTCGTCTACATATGAATTTGAGCGTAGGTATCGGTTGAGTTTATTTTGCGTGGCCAATCGCCTCTCTAATATTTATGATTGCTGTGGCATTGCCGCCATTTGCAGTCTGCCATATAAATCATGGGCGAGTTATTTAGAGCGTTACTTGATTTCTCGCATCCAAGTTTATGGTGATGCGTTTTGTTTCGCTTTGGAAAAACCATGTATTATTGGGACATTCTGGCAACCCTTCTGTTTAGCGTGTTGTCGCACCACATCCTGGTGACATGCTCAATCTACCCCTCAAATCATGACACAACGCCAAACGGGTTCGGCAATTTACAGGTGAGCACGTCACATAGATGACACATATTGTGTCAGGGTAATACACCTGAACTTCCGCCTACTTTTACCGAAGGAGCTCGACCCCGCAAACTCTTCTTAGGGCTCATCCTTGGCGCTGCCAAGAGCCTATTTAGCCCCATCGTTACTGCAGTAGGAGGTCTGCTAGGCGGAGGTCAGCCGAGTCCTCCTCCTCCTCCACCACCACCCCCTCCGCCCACACCTCCAGAGCAAGATGAAACATACAAAAGACGTTCTAGGCGCAGGCGACGCAATCGTTCACGTTCTTACGACGATTCGGATGACTCAGATTCTGACAGCGAAGACGGGGGATTTCGATGGGGACGCCGGCGGCGAAGGTCCAGGAGACCCCGCACGTCAGATGATGACGATGATCAGACGGACAAGGAAACGGACGCACCTGACGATGAAACCGGGAAGGGGGAAAGTGAAAAGCCATCAGCCGATGGTGCCAAAATCGAAGATACCAAGGATGAAAGTAAGGGAGTAAAGTCAGATGAGCAGAATGACGTAAAGACGGATGACGGTAAGGATACGAAGCCGGATGACCAGCAAGACATAAAATCTAATGAAGGTAAAGATGTCAAACCAGATGAAAACAAAGATGCTAAACCGGAAGAAAATAAGGATCCCCAAACTGATGCGGGTAAAGACGGTAAAGCGGAGGAAAACAAAGATGTCAAGTCTGATGATACCAAAGATGCGAAGTCGGATAAGACTAAAGACGGTAAGTCTGAGAAAAATAAGGATGTCAAGGTTGATGATACCAAAGATGCGAAGTCGGATAAGACTAAAGACGGTAAGTCTGAGGACAATAAAGATACCAAGCCAGACGAATGTAAAGATTCTAAAGGAGATGGAAAGAACGATGTTAAAGCTGAAGAAATTAACGATATAAAACCGGGAAAAACGAAGGACGCGCAGCCTGAGGTAACTACGGACGTCAAGGCTGATGACGGTAATGATGTTGAGACAGGGGAACAGAAGGGAGTTAAACCTGATGACGGTAAAGACAAAGATCCAAACGAGTCTGTTGAAGTGAAAGATGCTCCAAAGCCCTAATAAAGTGACTATAATAGGTTAAAACATATGCACTGAAATTCATTACGTCCTGACGCAATTTCACTGTTGTAAGCATCAGTGCATTATTACACATTGATTGATCAGTCTGCGATTGTTTTATTCTTGCCTAGTCACGATCGTGTCCTTCTTTCTGCAAGCGTCTGTTTAATTTTCTGCGCTGCTCACCTCCTGTAGCTTGATGGAGATCTCATACACATCATGGCCCTTCAGCATGTCCTTTACAAATTCGCACTTAACGTTTATTTGCAGCTACGGCAGTTATAATTGCATTGAATCGTGAACGTACCTGCTCAAGTGCTCCGATAATAACCCCGCATATGATGTTAGAGTAGGCCAGCCCGGATAGGTTCTCAGGAAGCTCGACGAACTGGTCCAGGGGGTTCTCTTGAAAGGCAATGTGGTAGTGGTTCTTTGCCTCATCAACAACGATGACGTCGCCAGTGATGCCCAGGAACATCTTCAGTCCGACCTGAATGTGGTTGTGTCTGTGAGTGGTCGCTGCGCTATACCTTTGCGATGACCTCAACGGTGGTCCTGAAGTCAGTGCATGGCGTGCATCCCAGCTTGGCCAGAACCTCGTCTACCAGTCTGAATCCGATGTTTCTGCCCCTGAGACGCGATGTGTGATGTCAAAATTCGGTATTGTAGCTGTGTGAGCGCTGTCGTAACACCTACATGGATATGAGCTGCGTGTTGACTCCGTCCGTGAATTCGACATCTTTGACGATCTGGCAGACGATAGAACCGTACGTCAACGACAGAAGCTCTGAGTTCTGCACGATGTGTAAGCTCAAGTTTAGGGTGTCGCTTTTGCGGTTGGAATCCACTTACGATCTTCTCCATCTTTGCAAAGGCGTTAGCGCCCAGCTTGGTCAGCGCTTCCACTTTGTCTCGCTGCATCTTGTGTTTTTGCAAGACCAAATTTATTCGGATGCGTCGAATATTTTGGTGTGTTTGGCGCCTGCCCTTCGCGGGCGCTCGAGCGCCTTCTGTCTGTCTAAGTAACTCGTAGGGTGACGTCGTGCTCTTCTGGTTGAGTAAAACTCTTTAATATCGTATTTTGCGTTATTAGCAATAATTTTGGCCCATCCAATCATTCGAGTTGGACACTGAACAACTCAGGGATGCTTCGTGGATTTTAGGGCATCTCTCATTGCTTCGTCGTATACTGACTATTACGCTGGAATATATTGCACGGAGATGTGCACAAAGGGGTCAATAACGCAGTAGAAGTGTCATTATGTCTTCTACGCTGTCTATGGAGGAACCAACCGGTGCCGCGGAGACCTCCGGCACCGTGGAGGCTGTATCGCCACCGGAGGCCGCCGCGCCTACAAGCTCGGTTCCAGAGGCGCCTCGGCGCAAGTTAGTCGTGGACACTGGCGCATACAACCGTTCTACATACCTCGACCGAAGTGGCGACGAGTTGTTCGTGACCCGTGGCGTCATGAAGGAGATTGAACGTTTCAAAGACAAGAACCCAGTGGGTGCCCATATCCGTACAGTGTTCAACGTGACTGAGCGCGACCCCGTGGAGGAAGACATCGCAAGGGTGAAGCGGTTCGCTGCACTGACTGGTGACCTGCCGTTTCTGTCAGCTAACGACATCGGCTGTATAGCGCTAACGCTGCGGCTGCAGGTGGAGAGCGGTGACACTTCGAGGCTGCGATCCGAACCACTGCCGCTTTCATTCTCCAAGACGGGATCTAAAAATGAGAAGGGTGACGCTGGGAAGAAGCGTGGTGGCCGCAACAAGCCCAAGAAAGGCGCATCCGAGTCGGGTGCTGGCTTCGACTGCTGGATCACACCTGAGAACGTGCACAGCTACAACATCAGCGCCGGCACGCCCGAATCGCACCAGAAAGTGGCGTGCATGACGACGGACTTTGCGATGCAAAACGTGTTGCTCCACATGGGCTTGAACGTGGTGACGCTGGACGGGTTCGCTGCCAAGAGCGTGCGTAGCTGGGGGCATTTATGCAGGTATGTGTCCATTGTGGCCCAATATAACGTTGCAGGGCGTGTTTGGAGGTATTTCCGAATACTTTGCGCCAGTTTTGCAGCAACTGCGGCAACTCCACGGTCGACCGCGTGCCGCTGGTGGTGGATGGGCAGACTGGACAGGTGACGGTGAAGGACACCCGGAAGTGGATTAACACGCGAGGAACCATCTACACGCAACCAAAGCCAGTCACTGGGAAGAGCAAAGTGCGTTTCTTAGGTATTCGATTCAATGAACTCGCAGCAAATGTACATCGTTGCCGAGGACCAGCTGATGATGCCACGTTATCGCAACCAGTTGCGCATCATGAACCGCAAAAGCGGCAACGATGACGTATCCCACTTCAACGCGGTATGTGGTATGCATTGTTTTTGCATGATATGGCTCAGGATGACTCCACAATTGGTGCTGCTCTGGGCGGCCCTGAGAAGCAGTTGCCAGCACTGGCGCGGGTCCCCGTCGGTTTGGGGCGCGGCAACCCTAATTCCAATCATTGGATGATGAAGCACAAGCGCGCAATGAAGGAGTAGCCCGCGTGACACCGATGAATAATCGTAATCGCTTTTAGCACTGCGTCTACACACCACGCCGCAGGCTCGAGCAACGTCACTCGCCATGCGCTCCGCGATGTCGGCGCTGGCGTGGCTGAGCTTGCGGCGTGATATCTTCACGTTAATTGTGCTAGCATGGCTCGTGTCTGCCGCTTCTCCGCGGAAGGTCGCCCCTCCTTCCATGCTGGAGCTGGGCGCTCTGCCAGGTGTGTGTTCGTTGCGCGCAGGCTTCTATGGATTCCGTTTACGCTTGCTTGTCGCTGCGATGTCGTGTTCTATGCGGTAGCGGCTGTCTATGTGCCAGTTAGATCGCGATTTCCCGGTTGAGCATGCTGTTGGAGGTTTCAGTGCCGTTCAGACGTGGAGGAGATGCTGCCGGAAGAGGAGCCACCTAACCTTTGGGACTACTCTGAACCGCTGGTGAAGAAGGCAACAACGCTAGAGAACTACCCGGACCCGTTGGTTAACCCCAAGGAGTGCAATCGTCCCGGAGTGCGGGAGTCTTACATCTGCGACCCGGGTTGGTAGTTAGATTCCTTGTTACCTTACATTTTTCAGATCGCATTCTGAGCGAGGTCGAAGCCGACCGTATAGACGGTGAGTTGTTTTTGATACTGTCAAAATCCATGTCGTTACGTGCGCATCAATTTTCTGCACAATTTTAGCGTATTCGTAAGGCTATTAGGTCTCGTACTTATTTTGCAAACCAAACTGCTGCTACTGCCTATTCATACTTAAGTGGTCGCTTTAAACTGTTCGTAACATCCTTGCTTTTGTTTGTGTTGAAGGATAAACGTTGTTCAGAGGTGTTGAGTCTGCAGCGAAACGGCTCCTCACACCATTGCGAGGGCTTAGGCGAGGTTCCTGTGCGGTGAGTTGACAACAACATGATTCGCTTAAATGTGCTTAGGTTAGGGGTTGCAATCATCAACTGGCTGCCCGAGGAAGACATGCACACTTTGGCCAACGAATTGCTGGAACGTTGGCGTCTGAGTCACGAGAAGTGTGCCGACGGCGTGTTGCTTCTGTTCGTCGTACGGCACAATGCCGTTGTTATAAGTTGGGGCAAGGGAGTGGAGCCAGCGATTAACGCAAGGGCGGTGTCCTCCATATCTGCGATTTGTCGCGACATGCTAGAGAGGGAGAAGGTGTCGGTTGCGATCGACCGTTGCACTTCCTTTGTGACCAAGCGGTTGACGGGTGTGATTCTTCCATCACAGGAGATTCCTCAGATGTAAGTGTGGAGCGTTAGAAGTACATATGTGCGCAGGCTGGTGACACTGGTGATTGCTTCTATAGTGGCGCTATTTTACTGCATGATAATCGTATCAAGTGAGTTAATCTCAGTCTACGATATACTCCTATGCAGCCATCTCCGATGCAAGTATGCAAGAATGATCATGTTTTGGTGCTGCTGTGCTATCGCATGGTCTTTTGAGAGTGGAGCTGATCTGTCTTCTCCGCGAGGCCTCCTCAGGCATGTTGGCCTGGTGCCATTTGACCCGCTTTTACCCGCACTGTGCTCGTATTGAGCTCTAAATACACATATCAATTAATGCATTTCGATGTGTATATAGGTTTGGCATCGCCGGCCTTTCTCTGGCTCGGATTCTGGGCCTGCCTTCGCTGCTCGCAGCCGGCCGGCGGCTTAGGCAGCAGAATACGCAGCCTTCTCCCATATAATCACGCATATATCTCCCCTTGTAGTTCGTCTGCCCAGAGATGTGATCGTCGGCGGCATTTTTACTCGCTGTGCGCCACCAGGGAGCATTCAGCGGCGATGCTGCCTAACGACATCACCGTTGTTAACAACCAGAGCGACCATGTTGTTGACGAGACGCTAATACACGATGTGTGTGAGCTATATCGGTCAAAGCTAGGGTGAGTTAAAGCCCGCATCCATCTCAGTTATGTCCAGCTTTCCGGACTTCAGCGTGGATGTCTTGTTCTTAAATGCCGATGCCATGACCGAAGCTAATATGCGCGCCTTCGGCAAGAACTGTCCTACCGATATCATCTCGAATGCGGCCAATTCGCAGCATATACGGAAGGATTACCACCTTAACCGCTCGCCGCAGCAGGTGGCGGAGTCCCGCCACCTCGGCGAGATACTGATCTGCCCAGGTAGGTCAATGCCAGCTTATGGCACCATATCAATTGTAATCTATATCTCATTTGCAGCTTATGTGCTAACGCAGATGACACAACGCCAAGATAGGCCTGTGGAAGGCAGCATGCCAACGCAAGGACTGCCTAATGACGTTGCCAATCTAAGGTGGGTTGATCACTTGATTAAGCCATTCAAAAGTGTTGCCACAGTCATCGCGGTGTGGCCGTGCGTATGCAGGCCATTTCCGATTTGAACGAGCGGTTATGCTATCTGCTGGCTCACGGTTTCCTGCACCTGCTAGGGTAGGTGACACCTTCGTCGGTCTAAACCCTGTCTCCAGATACGATCACGTGGCCGATTCGGACTACGAAGAGATGCTGGCCGAGGAAGACGCTTTGCTAGATGCATTTGTCACATTCTACCGGGCGCGAAGCGACGAGCAACTTACGCGTTAATTGCTGTATACATAGCGCCTTTTGCCATGCTATATCTTACGATATGCAAACAACTGTAACCAATACGGTAAAACCAATTACAAGTGAAACGGTGTGTAGTTTTGCTGTCGTAACGCGCCTATAGTGCCGTCGACGGTTCACATATCAGGGCGCATAAATTTTAAACGGCGCGGCGCACGTCTGGTGGCTTTAACAATCGATTCCATCGCCATTACGCAGACCTTTGAGTCTTTTCGAGGAACTGAGAGCGTGGTGACGCTGCGCGCCTCGCAACGAATTGTATCGCACATCCGCCACGACCACCTTCTCGGAGGATTACCAGGCGCCGCGTACCGTTTAGAAGTGTTATGAAGTTCCTCAAATTCCGGTCTTCCGGCCGCTGGCGATGGAATGTCTAGTGCCCTGCGCGTCGAAGTGACCGCGTCGTGATCTTCCAGAGCGCTGTTAAGGTTAGGTGTCTCAAAGATGGAAGGGTCCGGGAAGATGACGCCTGATAGGCCGATGCCGGGTGCTTCGGCGCAGAGTAGCGGGTCTAACACGCCCTTGAATCAGCCTGGAGGTCACGCTGCTCCACAAGGGCCAATGGGAGATGGTTTCCCAGTGCCTGGGGTGCAGGGAGACCCTTTTCGTCGTCCGGACGCTGCGCAAAGTGCAGCGCCGGGGTCTGAGAACCAACGTTTCCCCTGGCGTTTCCCTCCTATGCCTGGAGGCGCCGGTCCTAGATCGGATGGATCCGCTGCATCCTCTGCTAAAGCGGCACCCAGTGCGAAATCGGCGTCGGTAGTATCATCAGGAGAGTCCACAATGTCGGAGCAAATGATGCCTGGGCAGATGCCACCTGGTATGATGGGAATGCCCGGCATGCCCAACTTCTTCCCATTTCCGCCAGGTGCGATGCCGGGCATGCCAGGATTAGAAGGCCAGGGGGATAACAATTCGACGATTGGCGGTCCGAAGGTGCCGCCTTTATCCGGCTGGATGATGGACGGGATGATGCCGATGGGCATGATGCAGTCCGGCTCCGCTTCCATAGATGGGAGCCTTATGCCCCCGATGCCGTATGCGCCGGGAACAGGTGGCATGAAGGGAGAAGAAATGCCGCCAATGCCGATGGTGTTTTTCCCACCCATGATGATGGATGGCTTACCCGAATTTGCGAAGGACCCCAACGCTAAGATACCGCCGATAAACATGATGATGCCTCCTCTGAAACCCTTAAAGGAGGAGAATTCGTCTTCGCAGACCTCCAACCAAGCGGGGGCGGGGGCGGCGCAGAAGGCCGCACTTAATAAGAAGGCCTCAGGGTTGGATAGCATGAAGACCATCCTGACGCTAGTGCAGATCCGTGAGACGTGCCAGCTGAAAGCGTGGCGCAGAAAGCTGCACAAAGGGCGAGCGCAAATGAAGTTGGATGCCGAGGCGGGTGTGCCTCCCAGCCGGAGCGGATCTGATCTTGCCCAAGGCGTGCCGCCCGTCGTCGAAGTCGCCTCTGACGACGCTGAGCCTGCTGAAACACAGGTGCAGACCGTGCCAACGCGTCAATGGGGTTACATTGGTCTGGATTGGCAGGCTAATCGTTACCGAAGTTCCGATGTTATCACCGACGAGGACATGCGTGTTATGCGCGTTTTCGACACCGCCGCGGACCAAGATCTGGTAACCATATGCGATGCGCTCAAGCGGCTTGATGGAATAGAATACCGGTGTTACCCGTATATGTTTATGGATGAGTTGAAGTTACCGACGAGGAGGGGAAGAGGCAGCTTCCGTGTGTGGGACGACGACGATAACGAGCTCTCACAGGCAGACGATACGCCTGTCGGCGACTTCCCGTCGGTCAGATCCGTCACACCGCAAGCCGACTGGATACCAGCTGCTGTAACTTCCAAACAAAGGACTATTGCTTCTCCATCGCCTGAGGAGATTTATCAGCCCAAACAGCCGGAAGCCGCGAGTTTTGACAGCGTCGAAGTTGCTGGTTCCGCGGGTGTTAACACCATCCACGCTGCTAATTCTGTGAGTGTTGACACCGTAGAATCTGCTGATTTTGTGGAGGCAGATGCCACCGGCGTGGATACGGCTGGCAGCGGAGACAAATCTGAACCGGACGCTGCCATCAACGACAGTGAACTCGACTTCTCCGACCTTGACGGCGGGTCTAATGCGAGCTATGATATTGACTTTGACGATGCGGAGATCAGTGGCCCTGCTCAGTCAGTCGAACCAAGAAATGCGAGAAGCGATCTCCGACATGCACGCACTGATACACCTCGTAGCCCAGAGAACGACTTGGAGAATAGTCTGCTTGAGCTGATTTCCGACACCAAAAGTGTGGGAGCACCTGGTGATATGGATCTCGACGACGAATTCGAATTCGAAGCGGGTGAAGAGGAGGTGGCTCCGCCGCCAGCACCTCCGACTTATCCCCTTAAAGCGTCAGGCGTGCCCGACACGGGTGCTGCCGTGGATGTCTCTTACACCGACGACTCCGACCTGTTCGGCGAGGTACCGGGAACTTTGAGCCACTACCGTGCGAAAATATGCAAACTGATGAACCCTGGTGACATGATACACGAATGGAGGGGTTTCAAGAGTCGGCTCGTCGGTCCCTTGTTGCTAGCTGATCTGGTTGAATTCGAGCACCTGTGGAAGGTGTTCCAGGATAGACGTGTGGAGGACCTGTGCCAGGTGCTTGGTCGCAGCGTTAGTACGCCCACAGCAGAACCGTTTCCAGAGCAGAAGGGTGAACTTTTATACCGTGTGGGCCAGGCTCATATGAGGTTGTTTTATTCATACAACTCCCCCGAGGTTCAAACTTTGGTTCGCTCAACCATTTACAACCTGAATGCACCGAATGTGATTTATACGGCAGTGGAGGAGGAGGAAGACATAACACCCACCTATGGGGTTTCGGCACGGCAGGATACTCCAACGGAGGGCGCTGCCAAGGAAGGCGAGGAGCCCCCTGGCGAATATGAAGAATCTACGGCGAGAGACGACCGAGGACTACCGATCAGAGAGAACGAACTTCGCCGTGCCTGGCGCCGCCGTATACAATCCCTGGCTAAAGAGACGCGGCTTGCGTTGGTCAACATGGGTAAGAGTCTGCGTGACATCGGGGACATGACGTCCAACGCGGAGCAGAATCGTGCGTATGATGCCGTTGTCGAATTCTGCGAGGTTGCGGAACAATTCAATCGTAGGAGCTATCTGACCATGCTGAACCAATCGTTCGACGACTACTACGAGAAGGCCAAAACACACGAATCCGGTGTGGAGAATGCGGGTTCAAACAGTCGCGAGCTTTTGCATACGCGTATTGCGATGAACCTGACTGGAATATTGCCCGTGTGCGGCAAGGTTGCAAAGTACCATAACGTGCGCTTCCACAAACCGGACTTCCGTGCTGGTTTGTACATGGAGCACATGCGCTCGCAGCGTGGCCACCAAAGTACTGAATGGTCAACGTGGGCTGTGCGGCCCTTGTTGAAAAGCAACATCGCCGCAAGCTACACTGAGGAGTTAGGTGGGTCTGAAAACAGGAGCCACCCTTCCAACTACTTCATACATTCGAGAGACCTATGTCTCAACGACGATTGCAAAGTAGCGTTGCTGGAGTACATAGAGCAGACGCCGCTAGTGCTCCCCAACTGCGGTATGGCCTCGCGCGTTGACAACTACGTGAATTACAGGGAGGGCGATGGAATTAAACTCGAGTTCTTGGGTCCGCTGGGTACACTGTGCCAGGGTAGTGGCGGCATCAACATGTTCGGGGTGAAGCACACGTTGGAACCCGGTGAAGGTCAGGCCATGCTAGAAAGCACGTTGTACAAGGCGCCCATATTTGTACACCCTCTTCAGGGTTCGGAGTCTCATAAAAAGCTGAACATCACGACCACCGACTTCCTGCTCACCCGTTCACGCTCGAATACGGACGAGGTTGTGATGCACCTACGTCCTCTGACCTGGCAGAGCGGTGTAGCCGTGTACACGGTTGGCCAATGTGAGCCCAAAGTGGACCTGCATCCGCCAGGATCGAAAGCTTTTATAGACAACACGTATGACCTCTTGAAAGCATGGGTGCTGAAATCGGTTATGGTTGGTGCTCTTTTGGATGGTAAGCACCTTCGGAGGGAGGCACGCAAGAAGTTCGGATCGGTGCTGTCTGAGAAGGAAATCTCTCAGGTTCTGAAACAGGTCGAGAACACCCCCATTTTCAGCCTACGCGCCCAGGCTCTCGAGCGCATGATTCACTCCACGATCAAGCCAGAAACGGTTTGTGCCATGGAAAGCGTTCGTGCCGCAAAAACACGGTTGGCCACCGTAGGTATACTTCGCATGAGAAACCCGGATAAGGTTGGTGGGGTGTACGCTAAGATCCAGGATGAGGAGCGCCAACACCGGCAACGGATACAGGCAATGGACAGGCGTTTGAAAGATCTTAAGAACAGCTATGCCAAGCGTCTGGAGGCGCACGGTATCAGTGGAGAGAGGCTGGAGACTGAAATAAAGCAATTTGATTTCGGAATACACGTATCCCTGTACGGACACCTTGAGGAGAGGTACATGACCCCCCAGATTCGCTTCATAAGGGACATGCTTCAGTTGACGCCGTGGAGCATCTCGCGTGACGTGAGGCAGGTGCTGAATAACCGGGGAGCATCTCAGTTTTGCTTGTATGGTATCGGTGATCCCAGTGGCGGTCGCGGCGAGGGCATCAGCCTTCTCAAACGTCAGGCGCAAGTGAACTTGGATACCACCTATACGGGCGAAGATCTGCGTAAACTGTCCATGCTAGAACTTGCCAAGCGTTTGCGCTGCTACGGTGTGGCCGATGCAGTTATAAGGAGTCTGCCGCGTTGGGACCAGGTGGCGCTCGTTCGTCAGTACCGTGACGGGTTTGGCGTTCAGGGTGTTGCCGAAGGCGACCACCGTTGGCGTATCCCGCCTGAGGAGTACCAGAAGAAGATCAATGAAATCCTGATACGACAGCGAGCTGCGCTTGCCACAGATGACCCCGTGTTCTCAGACGGAGAACGTCCGCAAGACAGTGAGCCCGAGCCCGCCACGGACGGCATAGCGGATGCGTTGATGGAGGCGTTTGACGAAACGTCCGACAAGGACGACGATTTGGAGCGCCGTGAGCTTGACATTCTGCGCCAACTGCGAGAGGCGCAGAGCGCCGGGCCGCTGACCGAAGAGGAACGCATGGCAGAGGTGAACAAGCTAAAGGCTGTACCTGGCGTCATGTGGCTACGGCAAAGCCGCCGAACACCCAACGAGCCCTTCGGCAACGAGCGAGCTATGTTTGTGTTCGGTGTAGAGAACATGCGTAAGCTGCTAAAGTGGCGTGTGGAGTACACAAGGACTGTAGCCAGCACCGAGCACGAGCCCGCCGATCCCAATTCCCGACGCGTCTGCCAAGTGTGCGGCAGAGTTGCAAAACCCGTTTTGCGCCACAAAACTGGCACGTCCAAGGGCGAGAGGGGCAGGGGCGGTAATGACGCGGCAGCAGCCACGCGGAAGCAGTCGCGCCTCAGCGACGATAGTGACGCAGAAGTCACGGCAAGTGTCTCTGCTTTGCAGCGTGACACTACAGAGTGGCTCAACCGTAACCCGGATCCACGTCACAAGCGGCGACTAGTCCTTCAGGTGTCACTCGACGATTCCGATGATGACCTGGATTCGGTAGACGAGGGTGCGCTGATCAACACGAGGCGGAAGCACCCGCGTTCCAGCGCCGAGCGGACTACTTCGATCGTAGAAGCCCCCAGCGGCAATATGGAACAGGTGATGAAGTTAGTGTCGAAGGCTATTCGTATAGTGGAGAAGGACCCACGCTTCAAGCCGTTCACCAGCAGGATCCCGGAGAGCGTCGCACCTAACTACTACCATATCATCAAGAATCCGATGTGGCTGTCGCTGTTAAAGTCGAAGTGCAAGACGCGTTGCTACGCCGACATTCTGCAGGTGCTCGATGACATGGCTCTGATAGAACAGAACTGCAAGCAGTTCAACTCCGAGACATCCGCCAACGCGTGGCTGCGCAGGATGAGCGAGGTCCTCGTGGACGAGCTGCTGTTCCGTATTCAGCAGATGACTACTCACTTGCTGAATCCTGGCGTTTTGGAGGAGTGGGCGCGCGAGCATCGGGCGAACCGCGTCGTTGCCGCGCCTGCGCCGCAGGCCAACGTTGCGCATACTGCAACACCTGATGTCGAAATAATCTGATTAGCTATGAGACGCGTGTGTGTAAACTTGCCGGTGCTGGCGGGCCTCGTTTGGCTGCTCTTTGCGGCGCTCTGCTCGTGCCAAGAGCAAACCTCGCCTGAGGTTGAGCAGCCGACTCCAGTCACACCGCCTCCGGATAAGCTCCCGCCTCCACACTATGAGGAACCCATCGCCCATGATGAGCCTTTCGATGAGGTACCACGCAGCTCCGCAGCCGTCTCATCACATGTGCAGCAGACAGGTCCAGAGGACTCGCTCGACCGCGAGGATTACGACATGGACGACGACGACTTCGGAGATTCGTTCTACGAGGAGTGGCACGAGAAAATGGAAAACTTCCACCCGTCCTCGATGCTGTCTATGGACGTGGCTCCGAAGTCCAGCGAGATCTTCTACGAGAATGTGCGCAACTCGGGCACGCTGCTACGCGGCATGTTCTATACCCTCTCGAAGATCGAGGAGCTCAAGGTGCGCCTGACCATCAAGTCGCCCTCAGGTGTGTTTCCGCCGCGCAGCGCAGTGACCGTTTGCAGGGGACATCATGTACACCAAGGAGGCGCCTGACGGAATCTACTCGTTCGAGGCTAAGGTGACCGGCGTGTACGAGTTTGAGTTCCACAACCCGCACTGGCTCACGTCGGTGGGACTCACGATCTCGGCCGGAAGCGACGAGCACTCGGTGCTGGAGTCGAAGCACATCAAGAACACGCAGTCGCGCCTGGAACAGCTCAAGAACAACGTGGACTCGATCTACGCGCAGTTCAAGTACCTCTGGCTGCACAACCACCGCCAGATGCGCGCGTCCCGCGACACGCAGTTCCGCCTGCTGCTATACTCGTTGGTGCAGTTCATGGTGGTGGGCGTCTGCTCCGCGATATGCGTGACATACGTCAAGAAGATAGTGTCGCACAAGCGTCTATTGTGACAGAATTAATTGTACTGAGTCACATGCTAGATGGGTTGCCGGCGGATGCTCCGCTCGACGCGCCACAGGCTAGCCTGCATATGGCGATAGTACTCGTTGTACCTGGGGCAGATGAGCAGGTGGCGCAGGTTCTTGCGCTTGCGCTGCGATATCTTCAGCTCGTTGGGTACGAAGCGACCCGTCACCGTGATGGCGCCGCAGTGGTGGCACCGGTCGGGACGCGGTATCGTACGGAAGGCATCGGGCCCAGCGTTCGCGAGCAACCTGGCGCACACGCGGCTCAACTGCTCGAAGCGTGCTACCTCGAACCCCGGCAAGACGTACAACGTCTTGGTGCCAGAGAACATGTCGAGGCTGTAGTAGTGGGAGCTGACGCTCTGCTCGCCCTTCATCACCTTGACGACGTAGAGCCGTGAGACGATGTCGCAGGGGTGGAAGAGCTCGAGCGCACCCTGGCGTATTAGAACCCGGGGCAGCTCGTTGTCTGGTTTCCGGTCGCCCCTCCCGGCGACGCTTACCTGGCGGTAGGTAAAGCCGTGGAAAACGGCCTTCGTGTCGCGGCGACTGACGAAGTAGGTCGACCACCAGCTGTCCCACTTGACGCAAACCTTGAAGGCCTTGACGATGTGAAGCTTGCCCTCCATCGCAACGATCAGCCACCCGGTGTCGCTCCAGATGCCACCATCCGAGGACTGGGGGCTGCACAACGGGTCGTGGATATCGCGCTGCGCCTTAGGCATTATCGGCGTCGGCGGCTCTATTGAGGCCGGTATAGAGTACACCTTGTCGTAAGACTCGTAAAATACACCCGTGACGATGGAAGATAGCTGTTCAGAAACGTGATTTATAAGCATGCGTGTACTCTCCATCATGTCTGAGGAATCCGGCGTGATGCGCAGCATGTGTGCCGTGCGCTGCACGTACCTCTGTACATTCTCCAACACCGGTCTGCTCTCATGCAGCAGGTAAAATAGGTTATAACCGAAGACGTGCTTTACCTGAATGATGAGAGCTCTAATCTCCGCCATCGCTTTACTGTTCTCGGGATCATCGAGTGTCTCGTACACACGGAGGCATATGGACAGCGATACGAGCGTCTCGATGCATTCCATGTACTTAGATAAACCCTCCTCAGTTCGGCAAATCTCGTAATAATACACCAGCCATGTGGCAAACGGGACATAGGGCTCGACTTCGATAAGTTCTACGAGCTTTCTCCCGATCTCGCCCATGCTCCACCGCGTTGGTATGTTCCTGTTGCTTGCATCTTGCACCCGCCCGTGAGCAGTTGCCGCGTTTACCATCTCGATGAGGTTGTTACCCTCGGCGAGCGTTCTGAACGTTTTCTCCAGCGCGGCCAGCAGGGAGATGTGGCTCAACGGTACAGACGCAACGTCACCACGTAGTATGTTTCTTGACAACAGCATTTCGCACATGGCCGATACGTTGCGTGCACGTGACGCATTGCCGATCTGATAAGTTTCCCCAATGTCGAAGGCATTGCAGAACAGGAACATCCATAGTATGGTCGGGAACCCGCCCTCCTTTGTGGCCGGTATTCCCCTAAATTTGAGCCAATGCTTGATCAGCCGCATGAGACTTCGCATTATTGGATATTTCTCGATGTATTCGTGAAACAGCTTGTTGTGTTTCAGTGAGTTTGCTGCATTAACCGATACGTCGCAGAGCATCCCATTCTTCGTTCGTATAATTATAATTGGCACCCGCGCAGAGTCGACGAGCTTGAAGGCGGACCTTCCGATTGTCCAGTTGGAAACCATGCCCGCGCCCTTCAGCACCGCTTGAGACTCGCACAGGTTGTGGAAAATTTGCCTAAGTATGGTCATCGCGTTAGATCCATAACGCGACAATATTACGTCGATGTCGAGGTCGCTGTAAAACGGCACCGACAGCAAATTGCAGTAGTCTATATCTATATCGTTTGCGGTGGATCCCGCTATGTACACATGAGCGTCATCACCCAGGCAGTACTTGATGAACCTCTTGAGCACATTGAAGAGGTATAATTTGTTTGCCCGACAGGTTCTCGTGGGTGTTATCCTTTCCACGAGGCTATTTAATACATATTCTGTGGAGACTATCGCGGATGCCACCGTTTCTAGTAAATTGTGCATCTCCGTAGCGCTCCACTCTACATTACTTTCGGTGCTGCTGCCAGTTTTGGGCACGCTTGACCAGGAAACGAGATGCCCTCCGCGCAACTCGTAACCGCTTTGCATAGCCAACGGCAATCGTTGCAAATCGATACATGGCTTTATTGTATTGTCTTCCGTTTCACTCCAATTTTCTAGCGTGAGATGTGATACATGCCTAAAAGGCTTGTTGCAAATACTTCGTTGTACACAGCGATTGTCATCCCCACTAACATCTGTTCCATCCACCTCTATTTTAGCAAGGCGTGAATCCGCATTCTTCCCTGAGCTTTTGTAACCGTAGGCTCCGTCGCCGGTGGGCGAGTCGGAGGAGGAACTAGAGTCCTCGTCACTCGTACTCCGATCCCGACCTGTGGCAAGCTTTGACACTGTACAATCGGAAGAACTGTCGTAGCACGTCGGCGATATGTCGCTTGAGACTGCATCCGACGCTTCCGTTGTTTCCACCACCCTAACAACACGCGGTGAAAGGGCTTTCTCCGACTGCCCGAACACATCAGGAGGCCTTTCGTCACACGAAAACACTGTTTCATCTGTCGCAAACGAATTGCCTCCATTATTAAATCCATCGGACACTTTACAGGGCGGCGTACAGCCGTGCATGCACTCGGTGCTGAACCGGTGGGTCTCAAGCGAGTCAGTAAATCCATCCCAACAGCTGTAGTTACAGCAGTTTTCAGTGCTTGAAGTAGGCGAGTGGACGTCTAACGTCGGCGTCGCCTGCATCTTGAAAGAGCCCGGCGATGTGCTCATGCTTGAGACCATATATCCGGACTCCTTCTGCTTGTCACGAATGCCAATCGCCTCCCCATTGATGCTGGACAGAGGGCGCATTTCACAACCCTGATTAGCCAGATGCACGGCCTTCAGACCCTGCGACGCCATTTCACGGGCGGGTTTAGAACTCTCGCGCGTCTCCGCGGCACATCGAGTGTAGGCCGACCGTAGCATGGTGTCTAAGCTGGGATAACGACTCTCCGCGTGGCGTCACAGTGGTCTCACATCCTCAGCATCCGGAGACAGGGCATTCGCCCGCAAGGCTCGGACTTCTACGTAGCAGTCCTCATGCAAGAGCCGGGATGGATTCCTGCCAACGCTTGATCTATCTCGTAACTGGGAGGGAAACAAGACATAAACGGAGCTGTAAAAGCAGGTGCGATCGCCGTAGAAGGCTGACAGAATCAGCGTCAGTTATCCGCGACTAAGCGCGCGGGTGTGCCGCCCAAACGAGGTTGAGGAATGCTTTCGGCACGTCGAGTTCAAGACTCGACAACTGAACGCTTTTCAGGCCAGCTAAAAAAGCTGAGTGCAGCTACGTCTTGCGCAGGGGCGCTCGCGTGGTAGATCTGCGTCCTCTCTTGACCGAACACCACGTCACCACATTGACGACAAAAGAGCAGATCTATGTAGACTAGTTGTAATTCTATAATGTTTGTATATAATTATATAAACCATGCAGTTGGCAAGTGCGCCATTTGCAGTCCTCTTGCGTTATAGCAATTTTCGGACAGTGTCACAGAGCCGCATACGGTGATCCCTGCAGCGCGGCAAGCGCCCATAAGGCACAAAACCGATCCATACATAATTGCATCAATGCGCTACGGCTCCAGGTCACGGCGACCGGCGTATCTGATTCGCGGAATAGGTGTGTGGCACCGTAATGGAATCGGTTTCCGTTCGCCGATCTACCGGCAGCTTCATCGGCATAATTGATCTGTTTGGTTGGCGACGAACATGCAAAACGTGATGCGGATTCCTCGAAATTTTGCGTGCGGATGTCGCAGCAAATCGGGGAGCATGGACCAGGATGTGCTTAGAATTGCTTGTGACCCTCATAAGTGGCAATCGCAAACGTTCCTTATATATAGCATTTGGCCGATATTTATGCTTCGCAATACGGGGTGAGAGTACCCACGCAGCGCGATGAGGTCTCGTGTCGGTATCCCTCACGATGCTTATTACATATCCAGAAACACGCTACCGAAGTATTTTCGCATTTAGTATTTTATATTATAAACGTATTCGGGAAATTTTGTTGATACCATTCGTATATTTCGTTTTTCGTCGATGATCAGCTCGGCGGCTTCAACGGGATACGATCTATATGAATCTTCGCAGCTAGTCTGACTGTGTCTATGGCTAGTATTTGGCGCTTTAAAGCGGTATATTATGATCTCCGATACCTGATCCCGTTGAAAGGTGATACTACTCACGGAAGTTTCCTGCCGTTAGGAGACGTCTTGTTGCCGTATGAGTCGAAAAATACCTTTTAGCCGGTATCATCCGACGTCTATGTACATCCTCATACCATATCCATAAGATACGCCGAGTACTTGCGGTCTCTGTTCTGTCTTGTCGGATCTACAACACCCAGTTGTCGCGACGGAGACACGTCGTAAGGTCTCCATCCAATACTCTAAATATAGCGAGATTACAACCTATACTTATCACTTCTGCAACCTTCAGGACTTCAAAGTCAAACTATCACTTAGGGTGCAATACACGTCCATTTATCTTCATCGACAATGAGAGAAGTTATTGCTGTACACGTCGGTCAGGCCGGTGTCCAGGTCGGAAACGCAGTTTGGTGAGTATATGTCCATATGGATCAAACCGACTTATATGACACATAAAACTCGATTGACGAGCTATTTAGTGCCTCGATCGATGTTTTATGAGAAATGAATGAATTTGTTGATACATTCACGGTCAACGTTTAACCGTTGTATAATGCCTTCTCAGGGAGCTCTTTTGCATTGAGCACGGAATAGGACCCGATGGAACCACAGAAAATGTTGAAGGAAGTGGCGCAGGCGACGAAGACAAGGCTTTCCATGCCTTTTTCGCAGAGACTGCATCCGGCAAACATGTAAGTTATCGTAATCTGTAACTACGTAAGGGATAACGAAGTGACGTTCCATGCCTCCAAACGTGGCATGGGACGTCACTTTGTGTCTTATTCTTTTGTCAGATGTCATAACTTCGGAGTATATGCGATGTTTTAAGCGATGGTCATATTGTTAATGCTTTTGCATTGCGCTGACATGTTTGATTTTGTTCCTTAACTGGTTTTTACACGAACGCAGGTACCTCGGTGCTTATTTGTTGACCTGGAACCCTCTGTGATGGACGAAGTGCGCAGGGGCCCCTACAATGGCCTCTTCCACCCTGAGCAGTTGATGTCCGGCAAAGAAGATGCAGCCAACAACTTCGCCCGCGGAAGATACACGACAGGCAGCGAAATTATGAACCCCGCTATGGACCGCATCCGCAAGTTGAGTGACGCATGTGACAGCATCCAAGGTTTCCTCTTCTTCTCGGCCGTTGGCGGTGGCACGGGATCGGGAACCGGCAGTCTGCTGTTGGAAAATGTCGGAGCGGAATATGAGCGCAAGACCAAGCTGAACTTCTGCATATGGCCATCTCCCCAAGTATCCACTGCGGTTGTTGAGCCTTACAACTCTGTTTTGTCCACTCACTCATTGCTGGAGAACACTGACGTCGCCGTTGTGCTCGACAACGAGGCCATCTACTCCATCTGCAAGAAGAATCTCGACATTGGCCGCCCAATTTACAAGAACCTTAACCGAATCATTGCGCAGGTCATCTCTTCGTTGACCACTTCTCTGCGCTTCGACGGTGCTTTGAACGTTGACATGAACGAGTTCCAGACCAACTTGGTGCCATACCCCAGGATTCACTTCATGCTCTCGTCTTACGCTCCCATTATCAGTGCACGCAAGGCCAAACACGAGTTCATGTCGGTGTCAGAAATCACCAACTCAGCTTTCGACACCGCTTCGATGATGGCAGAGTGCGACCCCCGTCTAGGCCACTACATGGCTTGCTGCCTGATGTACCGCGGTGACGTTGTACCTAAGGACGTGAACTCCGCCATTGGTCACGTGAAGAGCAAGAAGGCCGTACGATTTGTCGACTGGTCACCCACCGGTTTCAAGTTCGGCATTAACTACCAGCCCCCATGTGTCGTTCCCGGAGATGACCTCGCCAAGGTTAGCCGCGCCGTTTGCATGATTTCCAACTCCACGTCAATCTCCGAAGTCTTTATTCGTATGGACTCCAAATTCGACGTCATGTATGCCAAGAAGGCCTTTGTGCACTGGTACCTCGGGGAGGGAATGGAGGAGGGCGAGTTTGAGGAGGCCCGCGAGGACGTTGCCGCCCTCGAGAAGGACTACGAGGAGGCAATCAATAACTGAACCACCGTTGTAATTTAACTATCTTTAGCGCCCAATAAGTCACCCTTTCGAATATAGCGCAGGCATAGTTTGTGATTTTCATTCATCTGGTAATGCGATTTATCATGCACTGCTGCTATTGGGAGATTATGTGGATACGTACGACCAGTGTAAATGTTTAGTTTGTGACACAGCACAGTACGCAGACAATGCATAGGTGCATAAAAAGCAGATGATTTACTAAGTTGCCAGTTGTGTGGACTAGGAAACTTATCTATCATCTTTGCTTTAGCTTTGTCCACTCTGCTGGGTGACCATATTGGGCATGAACGGTTATTGCTGATCACATGAGCACACTTCAGGCATGCCACTGGCGTTGGCTGAGGATCCCATGCCGTCTGGTTGCCAACAGTATTGGGCGTTAAACCTTTGTCCCCGGGTGCTGCCGCCTAGAGCCGCTTTACGGCATATAGCAGGCAAGCCACTCATACAACCTATAATTGCACAATACACACCAATGAACGGCACCTAGGTGTTCAGGACGAAACATGCACATCTACGATTGTCACACGACAAAAGATCGCTTTAATTTATAGAATCTGCAGGGATCAATAAGCCTTAACCTCAGCTCTGTATGTCGATCACGGGTACGCTACTAAGCTACGCCAACGCGGCATAAACGTGATTAAAGATACGTTTAGAACTGTGTCTGGTCACATGTGACGGAGACAGTGTGGTGGATGAAGCGTGTATACACAAAGCCAGTTATCACCACATTTCAAAATTGGACATGCTTCGTGAGGACTCTTGTTGCCAGCTCACTGGGAATTCTGGGCCCGATTCTTCTTTTGTCGGGCTTTCTTTGCAACCTTTTTTGCAGCTTTTTTCGCAGCGTTTACAGATTTCGCAGCTTTGACCACTTTTACAGGTTCTTCAGCTTTCACAAGTTCTTCAACTACTGCAGGTTGTTCCTCTTTAGTAGGCTCTACAGTCTCCACAGGTTCCACTGGGTACACTTGGTCTACTGGGTCCATAGGCTGTACAGGTTCCACAGACTCCACGGGATCCACTGTCTCCACAGGTTCTACTGGTTCTACGGGTTCCACAGGGTCTACTGGCCACACTTGGTCTACTGAGTCCGCTGGCTCTACAGATTGTTCCTCTTGAATAGGTTCTACAGCCTTCTCGTCTCCTGCTTTACCAGATCCATAGAAGGCCCAGAATCCAGAGAGGTCGTAGAGCGTGGTCAACATTTGATGACTCACGCCTCTCAGCGCCTTAAAGACATCGGAAGCACGCACGCTAGTGCGGCAATCGGTCTCCATGTAACCCATGGGTTCCAATACCTTTTCCAAAGTCTTACTCGAACCAAACGGCGCGCATCTCCGAATTGCAATATCGCTCTCCCTGATCAAAGAACGTAGGCCTGTGTACAACATTGGCGCAATACCCACGAAGATGACCGCACAAGCCTCCGGCTCATTCGCGCATGATGCATCCCAAGTCGCTTCCGAACTGTAAGCAGACTTGTACTGGCCAGGGATTTTGACGTTGTCCAAGAATTTCTCAGTACCAAGCATAACTTTACCCAATTTATCTGCAACGGCTTTCTCCGTTAGACGCTTGGTCTTTATGACGTTCTTATAATCACTTTCATCGACAGTGCCAAAGGCTTTAGCAAAAAAGCCGGGATTTTTATTCATAGACCCGCTGAATCTCCCCAGCAGCTTTTTTACGACTGGCTGGTTCTTAAGTCCCTCCTGCTCCAGGAACTCCTTAGAAATAAGTTTAACGCTTTCCAGCGCTGGTAACTCCGCAAAGCCAACAGGCTTGTCTGCGAGGAATTTGTGGACGGCTGCACCGAAAGCCGCCAAGTTCTTTTCAGCATTGGCGCCCTTCAGTGCCATCAACCAGTCAATGCCCTCCTTGAGGTTGCGAGGAACCTCAGTCAACGAATTGTATACCATTTTGTACGGATTAGTTAGATTGGGCGGCTGCCGTAACCTTTTACGTTTTAGTGTATCTTCAGACCAGTTTACAAAACAGCGTGCGTATTTAAATGCCCGCGTCTCAAAAGCGGGCCAGCACGACAGCACTGTTCCTTATAGTACACACGCACCTTATAGACATATAGAAAGGTTTCTATAGACCAAGTAGACGAATATCAGAGGCGCAGTGATTGCCAACTTGGAGTGTCACCACCAGATCTACACCGTTAATGTGACATGCAGCACGCATGTCATCGCCTTATGCTGCTTTCAGAAAATATGGCATATACTGAACGTAGCGATTTTAGTAGATTTGCGGCGACGTGTCAATGCTTGTAATTTTACGAAGTGTTGCAAAAATGTATATTGCCGTCTACGCCGTCCCGTGGTTGTCACGTCGATTTCCAGGCATAGCCCACTATCTCGACCATAATCAGGGCACTTCTTAACACAGAATGCACTCGCATTGTGTTGCCTTATACCTTCAAATATGACGACTCACTAGGTTCTCTATGATGGCACCTCTTGTCTGCTACATTGGGTTATCACCCACTCACCTTGACTAACCCACAGCCATCATATTACTGGTAACTAATGCCATCATGGTGCAGTTATACATTTGAGTCCTCTAACAATTACAACGCCTACTGCCACAGCAATGGTAGCTGGCGGCAACGTGGTCGTCGGGTTTCGGTGTGACCCTATTATGTCGCAGATGACTGCAAGGTATTGTCACGACCATGTCAAATATTGTTTACTCTCGGGTAGTTTGCACAACTATGTCATCGGTAGATTACAGCAGCGTAAAGGATGACCAAATTCTTAGACATCGACACCCACTCGGCGATGAAGTCTAAAGTATGATACATATTGCAGCGACGTACATCAGACGGTTGATCAGTAGGGACTCCCCAACTGAGGCATGAAATTCGAAATGTCGGTGTGATAACGCCCGGTGAACGTTATGTGAAGCGCTGCTGCCGTTGTAGCTGTGGGAACCCCCCAACGTAGAGTGCCATTGACTCGTTAAATTGTTGACGTAAACAGGTGGTACCACACTCGGAGTGTTTAGAAATGGTAAATGGCGATATTTTCGTAAAGGCGTGGTAGCAATGTCCCACCTACGGCAAAGGTATCCAGAATTTTGGAATTGACTGCAGGGATGTGAATGACGACGCTTAAAACATTAAAAGTCCGAACAATGCATGCTTGTTCAAAGATTTCTAAGAGTTTCGAGCTCCAATGCTCGTGAAGCTGCGCTGTTTGCAGCAGACCGAAGCCGCTGACAATGCAGGGGAAAGCAACTTGAATGACAACTCAAGAAAATATCATGATCAACCTAGCGAAAGGCAGAGAGACGGAAGAGACAGAACTTTGGTGTATGGAATTATAACGAAGTCGGTAAGTCAGAACGATGCTTCGAAACTGCTGGTGAACCTCTATTGCAGTGGGAAAATTCGTACTATTTTACCCGGGAAGGGGATCACACATCGCGCAACAAAAGACATGTCGGATTCTTTCCCAAGCTTATGTTACTATACTTGTTGAGTTTACTGCGGTGACATCGTCGATAACTCAATCATGCGAAGTGTACCTACTACACCTCGCGTCCAGAATAGGAAGTCGGGTAAAGGAAGCTAAGATTCCTGTCTTTGACACAACAGAATTTGACTTCAACTAATGTGTGGAACAAACAACCCTGTTACACATCGAATGCAATAGAGTGTGTTGTAGGTCCATGCTCAACGACGTCGCAATGCGTCATCAAAATGGGCGGCAAGGAGGCATTCTAGATTTTGCGCAATGCTACATAACGTACACCAGGAGAAAACATGTCACTTCACACTTCCGGTGCGGAAAATATGGATTCGGTTGTCCAAGTGGTTGTGGCCGGACAGGAAAGTCATCAGAGCTCTGAAGGGATGAGTGGATCGAATGTTTGGGAGACGATTCGCAAATCGTTTGACAGCTTCTGGAAGAATATTCAGGACACATTGCGGCCTGTAGGGCAGCATATTTGGGGTATGCTGACACTGACTGACTGTCCGTTGTGTAAAATCCGTAAACGTGATGGTAGTGGTGCTGGTGATGGCAATGATGGTATTCAGGCGTGCGAATATGGTTGCGCCTATATTATTTTTGGCCTCCTCATACTACTTATCGGTTTAGTAATTTACATATTGCGGAGCCCATTAAGATTTTTCAAGCGCTTGTTTTGTTGTTTCTGCTGATCCAAGACTGCCATCGCTCACTGATAAACGCCAATAATATCGCATAGCTTCCCTGTCTTCACGCTACGTCCAGGCTCTGTGTAGTTGCGTATTCTTATCGAGATCTAGCGCAGCTATCAATCGCAGACAGGCCACATACAAACGTAGCATAGTATGTAGCTGTCGGTGTGCTCCACCAACGCTCAAATTCATAACGTGGTGGCATCATAGATTTGCCCAAACAAACGTTAAGTGACAACAAGTGATCTCTCGCTGCGCCTGATGCGCTGGCACGATGTAATTCACGAACGAGTTCACCGGGCAACTGTCGATGCAATTTTTAGAATATTAAATTAGACGTTACTAGATTGGCGGTATGCCGGTAATGTCTAAAACGGTGCGATAAGTGCGATAATGATAAATGCCGGAGGTGATTAAAGAATGCGATAAAAATGTTCATTTGCGGGCGAAACAATCTCGGACCTTGTGGAACGGACGAATCCGAAAGAAGCTCATGACGCATACGGCTATGAGGATGATTGCGATGGTGACACCGATGGCAATGCCAATACATTTATTTCTACAACATGTACATTTACAAGTCTGCCATTGTTTACATTTGGTCACGCATTCGTCGTCGCATACATAAGTTTCATTGCGTGATTTGCCTCCGGCGTACTCTACAGCACATGTGACGCATTCTGTAACATTACATCCTTCACAACACCAGGGACAACACTTACAATTTAATAGTTGACATGTCGAACTGCCTGCAGCATCACATTGGCATTGAATCTCCAACGTCATCTTCCCCTATGTCACTTAACGTAAACCTGCAGAGCGATGAAACACGTACCTTGGTCCTCGGACGATGACGCCACCAAAACTTCATCCCTCAGCATTCTGCGGCCAGCCAGACAAAGAACACCCAAAACACCACCACTACAGATAAGGGGTTCTTAATACCTAAACTCACAGCATGACTCCTCCAGGTTGCAAACTTTACCCCACACATCGCTGATCAAAAGAGTTGCAAGCTCTGAATCTTTGCATTATGTGAAGCACGGTGGCGGTGCTGTGCAACTTTATCTCTGTGCTTATTAGTATAATGGTGAGACTGTCGACCGCCAAGTCACCATTGATCACGTTCTCACTTGTCGGTAGTATTGTCCTCTTCGATAAAAAGACAGCTCAAGACAAAAACACTGAACAATAAGACACTCATCAGACCCTATGTTATTTACTTGCTACCTTCAATACATCGTAAAGAAGGGAGCACATAATTGCTCATTATGACATAATCCCTCGCATTACGACGTTTTTTCGGATTAATTATTGATCTGAGTTGTGTAGATCGTGGTTTACTGACTGTTGTTGCGGATCCCGTTTCCAGCACCGGCATAAAAGTTCCCGTGCTCAACGTTCTACCATAAGGAATTCGAGTTTTTGTGGTTACCAATCACATCGAGATGTATGTTACGTGACCGAGTTCGGTGACGCATAGAAACCTCCACTCCGAAAATGCCAGAATCACTCACTGTAGCGTTCAACAACATATGATTAGTGCTAAGTGGAGACACGGTGAGCTAATGAAGCCGCCACTATTTCCATTGTTGCCGGTGGCCTACCGTTGACAGGTAGCTACGTTAACATTAGACGAGAGGCATGTATTTACCCCGCTAACATGTGCTTCCTCATTGGCATAGATAGTTATATCTGTTGCAGGTGAATATCCAAATCGGCTTTCGTTTAGTGGCCTCAAACCGATCTCTCCCGAACCAAGAGATCTCAAAAGGTGAATCAGCTCTATAACATCTATGGCACAGGTTGAGTAGCGCTGCGTTGCATTAAGCGCGGATTATTATATTCAGCTATCTGAGTGTGTATTGATGGTGGATATATTGGCAAGGAGGATAGGGATGATGCTATTAAATTAAGGTAAACTGAGGTGAAGCAGGTTGCAGGCACGCTATATGCACTATAGACCGAGGCAAGTTTTTTACGTTATGAAACGGGAATATACATGCGAGGAATGGTTAAGAGGAATACGAATGATGGAGTTTTAAGGTATGGAATAGACGTTGAGCTGCTGAGTTGGGAAAGCGCAAGTAAATGTTAATAATGATTACACCCCAAAGCATCTGCCATTGGATTGTCGGGAAATTGAACTTCTTTTATTAACCTTAGAAGTGGTTTTTGGGGCAACGAGATGAATGTGCGCATTTATTACGACAACATCAACCGCATGCAGCGATATAGTATTCTTTGACATTAGGTATAAGGGTGAACCCATGTTTGTCAGCTACCACACGACTTGTCAACTATTGCGTTTTTCTTTATCTAATCTGTGAATTGCTCAGATTGGTACAGGTCATTAATGGTACGTTGATAAACTGATACCTGCATTTCAGGCGCTTTGTTCTTTGTTACGCAAGGATGGGTAATTGTTGTTGTGGTAGGAATAATTGCGATTCCCGTAAGAATAATGGTTGGTATGTTGCCGGGACGTTAATCTTCTTAGCTGTTCTTCTCTTTCTTGGCTGGTTAATATATGCCATGATAGACGCTAGGAAATGGCCTTTACACAATGTCAAGGATCTCTTCTATGGCACCTTCTATGAAAGATCGTATGATGGTCCAGACACTTACGATCTTTACGAGCGTTCTCTTCCAAAGGACCAATAGTTGTTTTACTTTTTTCTCTCGTAACTCTGGTATCGCAATAACATTTTAATTTCGATGACACAGAGTCCAATTTATGTTTCTACTTTGGCGCTCTGGAATATCCGCGCGCGAATGTTTTCCTAGCCTCTTTCAACTTCCCCAATTCTCCCCTTCCAGCCATCAACCTCTCAGCGCTCTGATGGCCAAGTAACCACATAGTCAACGTACTACGACCCACGAACGAAGCCCAGCAGCTCCACAGTTATCTACTTATAACTCAACAGAAACAAAGCGGTGTCGTGGTATGTCTGACCACAGCATCAGTTCTCGTTTTGTCGGGAACAGCACAGCACGCTGTCAACCGTGGTTCATACAAATAACAACGGCAAATGTAGACCGTTAGTCAACTAAGGCACATCTTAGCTATATTATTGCAGTTTTGGCGATATATTAGTTGAAATGTTCACAAGGGTCCAGTCAGTCATACCCTATCCTTTTGAGGTATTTGGTGTTGATGGCTTCGATGGACAAGAAGCCCGTAATGGCCATAGTCGTGGGCCATATGATCCACCAGAACATCTGCGAGCCTTTCGCCCATATCCTGAAAAATGATAAATACGCTCAAAATAGCGTCATCGTATAATAAATAGCACAACAGCCATTATGACAATGAATATGTTGTAGTAACAGTTTATTACGACTATAGATTGTCGGCATTCATATCACTTAGTGTAAAATGCAACACTTCCACCCAAGTCAATCGCGGATAGATGCATAATCAGGTGTTTTACGTCCTTGAACGAGTCAGCCACTGATTAGAGCGTCGCTGCCTGGAATCACAAATGCCATTGATAACAGTTGTGGTCTGATCAAATACGACACACGAGCCACTGCACGACAGTCACCTACCTCGCATAACCTTGGTGAATCAGCGGGTAGCAGAACTTGAGCTGGAAGGGTGATATGGCCTGGTGAAAATATCCCCCGGGCACGGTGCGCCTATTTTTCCAAAGCATCTCATGTTCCGGCGGGAAGGGGTACGAACCTAGAGGCTTCTGGTTGTGTTTTGAAGTGATGCGCTTGGGTATCTTTGAGTTGAGGTCGGCCGAAGCACGAGCGAAGAGCGCGAGGCCGCGCCTCTGCCCGGCAGATCCCATCATAAAGCTCATTGTCCCATCTGACTCTACCAACTTAAATACATAATATAAAGCGACCAATTATTCGCATCTGGCGGAGAAGTAACTCGTTCACTGTCGCTGCATCGTACGCCGGAGGCACACCACAGTGATGCGACACATCTACCAATCACACTACCAATGTCTACGCGATATAGAATAACACACTTTATATAAATAGTTTGAGCGATGTAGTTGCTGCGGCATTAGTTGCGTATTGTGTTGACAGATAACTTCCAAGTCCCCGAAGGCACAGCGTCATCGTTGCGGCAGAAAAGGGTTACACCGTGATCCAATGTCGCTTCACGGGCATACTACGTCACCCAGTGTGCCCACATAGCCTCGCCAATATCCAATTTTTAGCATCCGTCGGTCATATACAGTAACGGCCTTTCTCGAAGTGCTTGTTAGCAAAGTAAAGCGCGTTCAGCGCGGTGTAAGTAGACAGCGCAGTAACAACCCATATCCACCCGGTGGCTAAGAATCTGGCTTTCATTCTGCGAGTTCATGTGCATTGCGTAACTCGGCAGTCTACTGTGCCGTCGCGCCGCGGAGCCAGATAAACTTACATGGCCAGCTTTTGCGATAACGTAGGGTCGTAGTAGACATATCTTATCATGCGTTTTCGCCGCTCCGTCGCGGACTGGTCGGGCTGCTGTGGCGTTGTGTCGATGCCGGCTTTCTCGTACTCCTCCGTGACCTTCTCTATCAGTTTGACGGGCTGCCGTCTGAATCGGCGTGCTTCGCGGATTGCCAGCAGTGGCGCCCTGCCGCGAAACGAGCTGCTCAACATATTAGGACTCAAACATTATACTGTGTGTCACTGCTCTAGATGGTGCTGAGTCGGCCGCACTGCGTCGCCTCCCTCTTTCGCACGACATTCCTGAGAGCATCCACGCAGGCCTTGGTGCACTCGTAGTTCTGCTGAGTGATCTTCGCCTGCGCTGCCATGCTCATCAAACGATTCTTGAGTGACTGCACGCGCTCTTCGAGGACATCTAGGTCCTTCGATGGCGGCTTCGGCTTGTGTTCCACGTCTTCGTAGTAGAACACGTGGTACGGTAGCAACTTGGCGACGATGTCTCTCACGTAGAAATGGTACCGTCCGTTCTCTTCTGTCGACTGGTACGGGATGTCGATTTTGCCTCGCTCCCCGAGCACGGCCCTGCAGTCCTCCACCAGGCACTCGCGTAAACGGTTGCGTTTTTTCTCGAGTAGCTTCTGGTAGGATTCGACGATGATGCGCGGCGCCGAAACCAGTTTCCTGTCGACACCCTGGTCGACGTTCTTCTCTTTCTTGATCTCGTCCAGGATGGATTCCTCGGGTTGATGCGATATGGCGCCCGCACTAGCAGGAACGCCTGAGTCCGGTACGACAATCGGAGTTTGCATCGGCGGCGGTTGTAAGGATATGGTCAAAGGCCCCGAAGCGATGGGGACCATCGGTGCGATGCAGCTCGGCATGGACATGGGTGCATGCATGGCCATGCCAACAGGGGTGGCGTAGGGCGTAGCGATTGGCGTTGGTACCGTTGCGTTAACAGCGAATCCAATTGCAGGAGGTGGCGGAGAAGGTGTGCCAAGGGCGGTACCGTCCATTGGCATGGGCATCCCCATAGCGGGAGTTACCGTGTACTGCACGGGGTAACTTGCGCTTGACAACCCAGACATGCTCATGTTGCTCTTCGCGCTCACGGGGCCTGCCCCTTTCCCTTTGTTCTTTACACGTACCGTTGGCGTGTGAGGGGTCATGTACGCTACCGGGTCACGCATTTGCGACAGTAACTCCGCCGAAGCCACTCCTTCCGCTGTCCCAATTGAAGGCATGGAGAGCACAGGCATTTTTTGCCGAGCAACTGGCGTCACGACGGCCGGCCCGGGGAACGGCATAGGGTTGTTGGGGTCAAAAGGGATTCCTATCGGCACAGCCATAGGCTGCGGCACATCCATGCTAACGATAGGCGCCTCCTGCATGTGCATCTCCGGCATTGGCACAACCGCAGGCGCCATGCCGATCATGGCGCTTGGCGGAGGCAGCAGAGGGGTTGGGTGTACCACGCCCATTGGAGGTGGATACGGCGGCGGCATCGGCGCAACACTCATGATTGGCGGGGAATCTATAACTCCGGGCGGCACCAGAGGCCTCGTATTCAACGGAATTGCGATCTTTGGAGGCGCAATCGACCTAACCACGTTCCCGAACGTCTTGCTCGCGAAGTCTGCCAATTTGCTCGTAGGAATATGCAAAAATGACGTTGAATTGTCGTCGCTGTCATCGTCTTCAAGCCTACCCAAACTGATTTTACGTCCAAGACCGGGTGTCTGTATCACCCGCATTTGCTTAAACATTGGCACGTACGGTTTTGGGTCATCGGGTCTCTCAATACGCGGCGCGTCAAACATGGCGATTGGTGGCCCTTCGTAGTCACCCAGCAGCTTATTTATCGGCATCATATGCCCGACTCTGCCTTTACCCTTCGCTGTCGGTTCTTCGCGCCCAGACCCCCTCCCGCTAGCCAGAGATCTGAGCGATGGGGTCCGCAGTAGCTGGTGCACATTGGTCCCTGAGGGAGGGGTGCCAAGATTGGGCCGCAGATGCTCCAGGTTCAACATATCCTGGTTACTAGGGGTCGAAACCAATGGCGCCGTATTGTAGCTCACGGGTGACCGGTATGCCTGACTTGGCAGCTCTATCCCTCCTAACATCAGCTGATTTTCAGGCCACGGCCGCATACCGGGCAACGGGCTGTGCACCGGCACTGGCGCGTTGCCAGGCCATATCGGCGGCACTACTGTTACATTGCGATATCCCGGATCCATAGGCACATGCATCGGTGCCTGCTGCAATGGGTGAACAGATGGATCCTGCGGCACGTAATTGAACGTGGGTGGGTTGTTTGGATTATACATTGTGGATCTTCAATCATGCAAACGATGTATCTTACAGTTGTCTGAAATATGTCGCATCTAACTCTTCAGCGGTGGCATTTGTCATAGGCTCCTTCTTCGGCCAATTTAGCAGTAGGTACAACCTACATGCCGTATATCATCTTACCTGGAGCCCTTTTGCATTTGAGCAAATTAAAAATTTGCGCCCAGTGTACATTGACGCATCTCCCGTTGCGATATACAAGTGCTTTGCGATGGCTACTCCCGTGATTCTCCAGGATTTAGAGCCTCAAACGAGGCATAAAATCCTGAGGGGATAATGCACTTTACTTCATGTTGCGTTAGTTTTCAACGGAAAACACCGTGTGATGGAATCTGTCACATTCCATCACTCGCTTGCACGCACCGCTGATCAGGTCACACGGCCCACTTCTCTGTACTGGGTTGACCAGATATGTCAATAAATGGCCAATGAAAGCATTAATGATGGAATAACAGCTAATGTGTAAGGATCTGCAAGATTCGACACAGTGTGTGCGTCGCGTTAGACACGTTGATGCCGCCTATGATCCACATTCCCGTAAATCACAGTGCATCGCACCGTATTCAGGTGATCCAAAATAAGCAGGTGTAAGAAGGATAATATCGTATTTGCCACGGATTCACGGTACTCTGATATGAGCATAGTCCCTAAGATGCTCACAGAGGGGACTTAATCGAAATGTTTTAGCGGCTTATCAGCGTCCAAAATATCACTTGAGGATAACGTAAAATGGCGCCGTAATCTCGCCTTCACTGTTGCATATGGAGAGTCTTTTGCTACACCTTGCTAACACAAGTTCGTTACCGCATCGATATTTGCAAGGTGTGCGACACATTTCCTCACAAATAGTCGTGACAATATGCCTGCGTAAACGAAGGCAGTGCAACCTCGCCACAGTTGGCCGCACGTGCACTGTAATTCGGCCCACTGTTCCGCCCGCGCTGCGACATGGTTTCAAGTGGTCGCCTTCTGGTCTGAGTTATGAATCTCCGCAAACTTGCGACTCCACTTAATATTTTGAGTACGTTCGGTGCTCCCGGTTTTTATTAGCTTCAGTTGCCAAATCTGTCGCCTTCGTACAAAACATGGATGATCACCAGGTTGCCGCTTGGGTTGAGCAGCAGGCTCGCCAGAACAAGGTCGTCGTTTTCTCCAGGACGTATGTGTACCCTTGTCGCCGATAATCTTGCCGCAGCACCTGCCCCTACTGTGTAAAGGCCAACGGCATTCTTATGACCGAGGCTCCTTCGGACGTGGTTTGTGTGCCTTCACATAGCATCCCATTTCGCTCAGACTGTGGTCCAGCTCGACGACCATCCTGACCGCCCCGCAATCATGGAGTACTTCCGCAATACCACCGGTGAGTTCTCATGCGTGTGACTTCGTCTTCTATTACGTTGTGTAATGATTGTGTATTATGCCACATTTGCGTTATGTTACAATAAGTCTTAAATGACTGTGTTGTCACGAAAGGTGTTCACACATGGGTCTTATTCTTAGCTCTGGTGGCAGCTGCATGACCTTCCGCCGATAATGATATGGTTGGTCGGGTGATCTGTCTTATCCTTTGTTATAAATTCGATGAACGAGCACGGTCATTTAACGTCTGATAGTATGACAAGTTGCTTATAACGTTTACAGGCGCAGCCACGGTACCTCGCGTATTCATCAACGGAAAGTTCTTCGGTGATTGCAGCAAAACGGTTTGTGGAATTATTGCACTGCGTCATGACGTTCAGGTTTCTGCTCAGCAGTCTGGTGAGCTACGCAAGGTGCTCCTTGATGCCGGTTGCCACCTCGAATAAGCTCCTGCGCTACGCAAATTGATGAAATGCGGCGTTCCCTGATGACGGGACCTCCATGCTCCGCTTAGAACCAGTGTCTTAATTTCCAAGAATACAGTGTTGAAACGACTATCTGCGATTCTTACAACCGCTATGTGTCATGAGGAACGAGGTTTCTGGCCTATTGTCTAATGGCACTTCGGTTGTGTATACATGTATTGCATAGTGATCTTCTTCTAATGTAGCGCTAACACATTTGATAGAAATTGTCACAAAACCAACGAACACGCTTGTTGCGTGAATATGCATTCCTGGATTTTTATGGATTGCGGATTACAGCCCGCCTTCCAACACGCGTGGCGTCATCCGACCAGGTGACGCTCATGTCCAATCTCCCATCCGCGATGGATATTACTGCGATACCTAGGGCGTGGCAGGCGCTCGGCCGATACTGCTCGAAAACCCACTTCGGCAGTTTGGCCATCCATGGAAGGCTGCCGAACTCTGGAGCGAGTCTTCCACGGGCAGCTCGTCGCCATGCCCGTTCCTCGACGGCCGTATATCGCAAGTTATTTCAATCGGAGAACGCGAAAGCTGCAGTTTCAGTGCAAAGACGCGGCTTCTCGTCGTCAGTAGCGCTACAAGAGGCGTGGAACGTCGATCAGCCTCCGTTCGTCGGGGACGCCAAGGGTGTGTTACCACTTGTTCATCCTAATAATATATCCGCTAGATGCAACCTCCGATACCGCGGTTCATACGTCGTCTCCCGCAGAAGCCGCTATTTTCGAAGATTACCACTCCCACCGGCTGCTGAAGGAGTCGTTCGGAAGCATCGTCAAAATATACTGCGATTCAACGGACCCCAATTATGCCCAGCCGTGGCAGATGCGAAGACAGCTAAAGAGCATTGGTTCGGGTTTCATAATCGGTGGTCGTTTGGTGCTGACGAATGCGCACTGTGTCTCATGGCAGAACCGCTGTCTACTCCGAAAACATGGATCGACGGTGAAGTACCCGGGGCGCGTCGTGGCGATTGGACACGAATGTGACTTAGCTATTCTGACGGTTGACGACGATTCGTTTTGGTCAGGAGTGAGGCCGTTGGAGCTCGGGGAGGTGCCGAGCCTACACGATGCGGTGACCGTAGTTGGATACCCAACCGGTGGCGACAACCTCTGTATAACATCGGGAGTAGTGTCGAGGGTGGATGTGACCACATATGCACACTCGAACTTCCGTTTGCTTTGTGCGCAGATTGATGCCGCTATTAACGCCGGGAACTCTGGCGGTCCGGCCCTGAAGGATGGCAAGGTGATCGGCGTTGCCTTCCAAGCGTACGACGAGGCGCAGAACATCGGGTACATCATCCCGACGTGCATCATATTGCAATTCCTCCGCCACATAGAATTGTATCGTCGATACACGGGATTCGTCACCATCGGTATCACCTACCAGCTTCTGGAGAATCCCGCGCTCAGGGCGTTCGTGGGTCTGGACTCCGTACGCCAAAGTGACCTTCCTGAGAGTAGGTTCCTTGATTATGCTGTTGTGTAAGCTTTATGCAGACGTTACTCCTTCGGGAATACTGGTATGTCAGTGCGACAAGGTGGTAAACGAGGGCGACGGCCTGCGTACTCGTGACGTGATCATGGCAATCAACGGCTACGATGTGGCTGACGACGGCACTGTTAGTTTCCGGTAGGTTTGGATGGAGAGTACCCACGTTGTATATGTTTGCAGCGATGTAGAGCGGGTGCACCTGGCGTATGCCCTTACCACGAAGTTTAGTGGCGATCCATGTGAACTGGTGGTGCTACGCGACGGAAAAGTGCTGACTCTGACCGTACGCCTCCAGAACCCGAACTACCTGGTAGCAGAGCACCAATGGGAGATAATGCCGCGCTACTACATATTCGGAGGGCTGGTCTTTGTGCCTCTGACGATGGAGTACCTGAAGGACGAGTTTGGCAAGAAGTTCTACGAACGCGCTCCTAGTTCTCTACTTCGCCCACTGAGTGAGCTTTTCGCCAAGGAGCGTGAAGAGGAAGTCGTGGTACTGAGCCAGATTCTGGCGTCGGATCTCACAGTAGGCTATGACTTCCGCAATATCCGCCTAGAGCGGTTTAACGGCGAAGCTGTCCGTAACCTCCGCCACCTCGAAGAGCTCGTCTCCGCGGTGCCGGAAACAGAGCAGTTCGTGAGGTTCCACTTCGAGAACGAGGTGGTGCTGGTGCTCGACCGAGAGAGGGCGATAAGTCTACATCAGCAGATCCTCGAGCAGCATGCCATCCCGTCGCACAGGTCAAGGGACCTTTAGCGTACTGGTTTCTAATGCAGTAGTATTGTCGCTAATCGCCTCATCGCGATCGATGATTTTCTCGTTAATTGTTTGTTTATGATGGAAAGAGTTGTTATTAACAGTTTGGGGAGTTGCTTGGTGTCAAGTGTTTTAATGACGAGCTATTTTCGTTGGAATTGTAAACCATTAAGCTTCCAGATTATTAAGATATCGATTTGGACTAATTGAGGTATAATTTGACCCTGCCTTCCAACGCATTTCAGGATGTTAGATGAGTAGGTTGTGAGGGACAGGCCTACACATCCACACACTGCGACGTTGCCAGGATGGAATCCTATAGGAATCACACGTATAACAACATATTTTTAGCAAAATCGTACGCTGTATATTTTCCTTGACAGAAGCACCGCTGACTACCGCTAATGGGCTTCTAGAACCGTTGTCTGGACTGCGCAATCGCAGCCAATAAGACCATGCGAATCTTCGGTATTTAAAAAATTGACGCAGTAGACATGAACGCCTGAAAACGTCGCTAATGAGCCTGACGATGTGATGTACAGCCACCGTATCACTCTGCTCTGGATCGGCGTATCCATTGCACTGGCGTTGGTTGCAAAGGATGCAGATGGATTCGCCTTGCATCAGCCGCCTTCGAGGAGCTTCGCGCTCTACAGCAAATGGTTGATGGAGCCGAAATTCCCCAAGACCACGAAGCGGTATATGACCACTCGAGCAGGGAAGACGGAGACTATTGGAAAGCTAAAGGAGCTTCTCAGCCGAAGTAGCGTCTTGCTGCGTTTCACGTACAAGCGGTTCACTCCCAAAGAGCGCGTGGTGCTGAATCGTAAGCTGCGATCCTTCATCTACACGGGGAAGGATGGCTCTGAGCCCTGCGCTAAGCTGCAGATGGTCAAGAACACGCTGATAGAGAAGGCTATGATAGGCACCCCGTGGGAGGTTTTCGCGCCACGTATGCACGGTCCCTCCATGTGCTGCTTCGTGTTCGACGACGGTAGGTTGCCGCAGATTCTGATGACCATTGAGCGCTTGCGGATGGCAGACAAGAAGATACGGCGCCATGTCACCCTAGACAGCGCTTCCTTTGCAGGCAGGGTTGTTGAGCCACCTGAGCTGTTCAAGATAGCAGACTATGCGTCACGTGAGGATGTTATAGCCCGGTTGATGTGCGCCCTGAACGGCGGAGCGGGAGGCGTTGCCAGGGGGCTGAAATCGGTTGCAACGAAGCTGGCTGTCGCGCTGAACGAGACCACTAAAAAAGGGGAAGCCAGTGATCCGGCTACTAGCGAATCTGTCAGTGGAAGCGATAACGCTGCGGCGCCAGAGGCAACTGCAGTTGGTGTGGCAACAAATTGACGCCCCAAAATACCAGACGGTTGATGGAACCGAAAACGCCCATATATATAGTACAGTAAAATATAAATCATAATTATTTTAAAATATCGCATACGGTTTATGTTTATTTCATTCACAAACTTTTGCGACAGGAAAACGATGGCCGATTGGCAGCACTGCCAACTAGGGTCGTATGCCTGTCCCACAAATCCCCTGCCATGCGGTGGGATAATTTATCTGAAATGGACAATTGTTGCGCGACATCGCAGTTCAAAATATGAATTGTGCTGCAGTTTTAATTCCGGGGTCCATAGGCAATGCGATTTATCAAAAGCGTATAGTAGTCATTTCCCGTTGAAAGATTCATGAACGCGTTATTCACGCTGTCATGACAGAAGACGCATCCTTATCATCGTCGGTGCGCCTGAACAAATAAAGGTAGCCGTTGCCGGTGGATGGCATATCGTACTTGAGCACCTTGGAATCGTTAAAAGTGTACCACTGTCCGTTCTTGTTGACGTGACAGACATAGTGTCCAGTGTTGATTTTGGAGCCGACATGGGAAATGACACTAAGCAGTTGATACTTGCCTACGTCCTTGACAGTTGCTTGCACCGTCAAGTCGGCAGTGGCAAGCCAATCGACGGCGGCGGCAACGTCGGACCCGAACCGCTCCGCAGCCTTGTTCGCCTGCTCCAGGGAATAACCCAGATCCATCAGTACAGACGCATTCACTGCCAATTCCGAAGCGTCGTTCTCCCCGGTCGCAGTGTCCTGAGATATGGTGTCCATGTTGGCCAGTATCCAATTGACGCAGGCGTCAACGTTGTGGGAGTCCGCATGTTCGCCCGCTAATCTGCAAAGTTTTTCGCTGAATCCCATCGCCATCAGCGATTGCATCAGTTCAGGATTCATCTGTTTCTTCGCCTTCTTTACCTCGCGAGTGTTGCACTCTACGATGTAGCTACCACGCGGCTTCTCGCCCTGCGTCTCGAGCGTGATCCCTTCGGGAGGAATCACCACGCTGTTCGTTATCTTCTCGCTCGTTCCATCCGCTTTGAAGTAAAAACGATTCAGCTTGACGACGAGGTACGTTGGCAGTGTTAACAGGGCGTTAGTGATGACCCCCGTGTGGTGCTCCCCCTTGTCAAGGTAATCGATTTCTTGTTCTTGCTCCCAGTACTTGAAGCAGTCCTATACAACATTTATTACACGGTTAATGTAGGCAGCGTTTTCGCATTGTTTTCATGTTCCATTATAGGTCACAATTAGATGTTAACATCAACGAAATGTCGAATTCTTATAGATCATCGCATCACGACTGACATCAATGTACGCATGGTACATAATGTGCATATATTACGGTATCAGCACACTTCGTAAATAGGTAAAAAAATATGTCAAGCAAAAACACAGCAAAGGGACAAGAATATAGTAAAACCGCCGTTAAGCAACAAGCATAACATACCAAAATATTGATTGGCTGCTCCGGGTCGATGTCCTCCTGGCTCATTCCGCCTGAAATAAGTGGCAGGCAAACCATGTGCATCTCGTTGTCGTTGTAGGTGATCTTATTGAGTGCCTCGCACACGATGTACTGACGGTACTGGAAGAAGAACATCTTCTTGATTTTGCATGGCATTTTGGTGCGCCTCTTGATTTCCGGCTCCATGTCTGCCAGGAAATTCAGGAAGTAGCTGAAGAACTCTTCGGCGTCCTGCTGATCGTTGGTGGAGAAGCTCCTGTTGTTGATGCCAATTGCATACTTGAGCATGGACGGTCTGACGGCAAAGTTCTTGTACTCTGCAACACTTCATGAAACCACGACAATGCCAGCTTACGTTCCGGCTCGATGAAATCGACGCGTTCGTTTTCGCAGGCCGTACGGTACCGCCTGATGAGCTCCAGCTGCTGATCCACCACACGGTTGGTGGTCATTGCCTTGACCGTTTTGGCAAATTGCATCAGCACGTCGTCACACGGTTTGGTGGTATCGGGTACATTCGTTGCGATGCTGTCGTAATGCTCGGAAAAGTACGACGCTACCTCGGGAACCGAGGCAAGCATCTGCATAGCCGAGTTCAGGTAGCAGCTGTTACCTAGGTTGTCAAGTCCAACTAGTCTGCGATATTGTAAAAACAGTAATGCTAATATCTTACCCTGGCCCGTATACCACATGCGATTCCGAGTTCATCTCTGACCAGTCGTGCTTTGCATTTTTCTCGATTTCCAGTTGTAGTGTCGACTTTTCCGTTTCCTTCAGTTGCCTGCACCGATTAGTTTCTAATTCAGCTATATCTCACTTGACGTCGATGCCGAAGTGGGCAAGGTGTTGAGCCAAGTACGGGTCAATGACCGGAGTGTCCTCATCAGGGGCATAGCTGTAGACGTCGCCTGAGTTGGCGGTGATGGTGCCTATCTTCACCGCCAAAGGGAAAACGCCTCCAGTAGCCTGGTAATGCTGAATGGCTGCACCCTCGTCACCGTCGCTACAGCCGCCGGTGTCAAAATTTTTCCGACCACAGCCGATGTACCTGCAATGCATGTGGACTGACACAAGTGAACCGTCTCATACCCGTCTGAAAGGTTGAGCCACAGATTGGTCTTGGCACCGCAGCGCTCACATTGCAGGTCCTCGTAGTTAATTTTGGGCGGCGCCTCAACTTGAATCAGATGTTTGGCATACTTCGACTCGGTGACGTAATCCTTCCACACAAAGTCGTCAGAGCTAAAGTTGAACCCGGAATGGTCTATTATCGCCTGGCAGACGGCGGCAACATTATCCGGCGCCTCTTCAAGTGGTATTGACATCTGTATACACGGCGCGTATACGCGGTAGTCCACGACTTCGTCGCATGTTTTCAGCTGCTTGAAACTGAACGCCATGAGCTCGCTATCCACTGCAACGTACACTGCCTCCGCATCAATTGAATTTGCTGCGTTAGCATCTATGCAATCCCCGCTTTCCGCATGGTTGCGCGCCTCGCCGTTTGAGGAGGAGTCGTTCTCCGTGGTCGCTCCAGGCTTGCGTGGCACGAGTCTCCGCACGACGTGTAGGTACAATGCCCCCTTGGCATTCTTGTCGAAGCGCAGGAGCTCTTTGCCGAAGGACTCGAATGTTTTCAGGTTGATGTAGAGTCCGTCTGGCGACTTCTCGGTGTCCGTGCTGCACGAAGTTAGCGTAATTCCAACAAAAACAGCGCCATAAATAACACAACTATGTCGGTACCGACTGGTACGACGCGAAAGACAAGCGCGAATTGCTCAAAAATCGTCCATACCTGTATAGGCACTCAGCCTTGTGGACCGCGGCGTTCTTGCGCGGCGACTTGAGCGAAAGACCCTGCGCCAGCTGCTCAATCCGTTCAGACGGCGTCATCTTATTGATTTTGCGTGTATTGTAGCTATGTTTTGAGGGAATGTGTGGAGGGGCGCCGACGCCGCCTCCGTCTGCTTTACGCTTCCCCATGAGCGTGGCATTAGCCGTGTTCCGTGCAATGGATCGTAATGTATAGGCGCTCGGTACGGGCGAGTGCCCGATGGCTTCTGTTCGCCCTCTGCCTGGGAATATTCGCGTCGCAAGCCCCCGTCTCCGCGCTGTCTACTCGGCGACATGGAATCACGACGGCAGCGCCTTCTTATCGCATATCGTCCCGCCAGGCGTATGCTGCGCGCCCTGTGGCGATGATCAAGGCCGAAACGCCCCTCGTGAAGCCGGTGTCAGTCGTCGTTTACACGTTTTGGGGTAAGGAGTCGTGCTTTAACACGCAGCTGCGCCTGGACTGTGCTGTTACCGACACCGGGCACTCCATAAAGCGTATGATATCAGCGCTGACTGGTATACCGGTCGTCCTGCAGCGCCTGTTTGTGAGCGAGAGCGTCTGGACGCTAGGAACGCGCACCAAGTTTGAAGATAACGACCAGATATCGGATTTCCCCGCACTGCTCCGGCTGCGGCACGACACCAAGCAGCCCGAGCTGCACGTATTGCTAGAGATCCCGGTTCCGTACAGCCACAATTTGCGCTCTGATGCGGGGAGCATCGAAGAATACGCCGCGGCGCTGCGGCGTTACAGCTCACTTCTCAGTCGTGTAAAGGCAGCACGCAAGGACCCCAAAATCCTGCTAGAGCCGGAGTTGCCAACCGATGGCCAGGCATCGGATGCCTCTACCACGACCGAAATAAACCCAACGACAGGAAGAGTGGGAGGTGTGGACGACGGTATGGTCGGCCAAGGGGTTGTAAAGGATGGATGCGTCGTGTCGCCAAAAGGTGATAAAGGAACCGGCTGTAGTATTGCAAATGCTGTTAAAGGGACCACTGGTACGCTTGACGGCAACGACACCGTTGTAGGTGCTGCGGGAAGTTGCCCTTTAGCAAGTGCAAAACGGGCACCCTCTACCGGTATTGGGGAGGCTGGCACTTTCGTGTCGCCCAATCGCAGAATGCACCTGCTCTTTTTCCACGACTATCCGACACCGCCTGGCGGTATCGGCGGTCGGCTGCAGCAGTGGTTCAACCAGCAACTACCCATCGACTGGGAGACGAATGCGAAGTTCGCCTTTATGTGCTACCTCATCAGGGCCACCTGCAACAACGACCCGTGGGTCAAAAAGGCGCTTCTGTATGCCCCTCCCGCAGCTCTGCTGTGCCAGACGCGGATAGGGCGGCTGATGTGCCGCAGCGCCTTCCACATGCTGCCCATGGAGAAACTCCCCAAAGGTTGGTTCGAATGTGTTTAGCAATAACATTACTCCAGTTATGACCAATTTGCTTCCCGCCCACATCGCACAGCAAATGGAGTGACTCGGTTGTCCCATGACACCGGCACCCGCTGCGGAGCACCGCAGCCACCATTGCACGTGGAGGGCTAGGGGACGCGTAAACCCGGCACTTGGAAGTCACTACTGCCTGTCCTTGTTCGGGGGCTTGGCCCACTCGACCTGCGCACGCTTGTCGGCACAATTATCGCAACTCACATTCAGCAGTAGATTATCGTAACCTTGCCTGTTGAGCTTGTTGATGGCGTTAAGCGCATCCTGGCGCGTAGCGTACGTGATGAACGCGAAACCCTTGGAAAACTGCGTCTCCTTGTGCTTGGCCAGGTAAGCCCTGTGGATGCGTCCCGCTCGGCTGAACAGCTCCACGAGGTCCTTTTCGCGAACGTCCTCGCTGAGGTTGGTGACCCTGACGGTGTTTTCGTCGAAGCTCCTGCGGTCGCCACCGCCCTCCTTGCGACTTGGAGGAATGTATTTGGCGGAGGTGTCCCGGTCGTCCATCATGTCGCCGGTGTCGCTGTCGTCGCGGAGGCTCTTGAACTTCATCTTCAGCTCCCTGGTGGCACGCGTCATGTTGACGTCGTTGGGGGAGTATATGAGGTCGAGGTTCTCCTCCTGGTTGACGCGGGTGCGCCTGCTGACGGGCTGCTCAATGATGATTTCGTCCTGCGAGACCATGGTGACACCGACGTCGGTGTTCTTATCCATCTTGAAGCAAGACATGTCATCCCTGAGCTTCGCAGCCTTGTTGGTCCTGCGCGGAATGCGAATCTCCTTCACCCGTTTGGTGATCTGCGAACGAATGAGGCGCCGATAAGACAGATAAGAGCCATCGTACACACATGTTACGGGAATATGGCCGATGGTCCAGTAAGGTATGCGCGGATATTACGACATCATATCACCGATCAACGTCGTTACAACCATGAGGAATGTGATACAGTCGCGACACAGAACGAAATCAACAACCACGTCAACAGGACCGTATTGCGCATTGTAGACGACAAACGTCGCTATCCCATGACTGTTTCGTCAACAAACACAACAGGTAGCAATATATCCACCGGCATTAGGCGGCTTTGATGCAAACTCTGCGGACTCACCTTCACGGTCTGTCCGTGACGATTCTTGGTGTAGGAGGTGACCGTCTTGATACCCTGGGCATCCGGGGCGCTCTCGAAGCCCATCAACCTGTGGGCGTCGATGCCGTCGACGTCATAGTCCTCATCGGCCTCGATATCCGCCCATTTCGTATCCGCCATCAAATCTGCAACGTGCGTGAGAGGCTGTGGCACACCGCAGCCGGGTCGACCGGATTGCGACCTACCGTCCATCATTTTGGCGATATATGTGTGCGTACGCTACCGTATAAAGTATGTAGTTAAAGATTAGTAAAGTGTCACGTCCCCATACCGAGCTCGCGCGCCCTAGTACATATTGACGTTGAGCTCCAAGAAAGATTCTGACTCCTTCTCAGCCTGAAAATCGCGTTAATCACGACGAAATGTACTACTAACGATTTTCCGCTCGATGGCACGGCGCCTGCGATCAGCGTACCCTGCTCAGCCGTGTCTGAGGGTCTGGGGAAGGCTCACCTTTTTTGGTGTACACCATGCCCGCCGCAAGCAGGACAATAATGAGCATGATTGCGATAGCTGCGGAACGTCAGCTTGAGATTTCGGCGGCCCAAAGCTTACCATAGCCTTTCAGCTTGATGAAGTGCCAGTTTACCTGAGGCAACATTGAATTGGATCGCACTTGATGCACGTAGTGTTGCCATTTCACAATATTTGTACGCTTTGAAGCAGATGTGAGAGATTCCTCGACCACGATGCCTTTTCAGGGCTAGTTTTGTGGCAAGGGTACACTGCGTACTGACAGCAAACACGCAGTCGGCATTAAGCCGCAATTTACAACGGGAAAAGCGCTTCTAACCCACTTACCCTTCCGCCAAGTAACCAGTTGATCTCGGCAACATCAGCTTCCGAGAGGGTGATGATCCTGCCAATGCATTGGTTGTCCCTGGCCTCCCTGATTTGAACAGCGCTTTGAGGCAAGGCAACATTCTTGCATATTCTGATACGAATTCCGAGCCGTACAAATTGCAAAACATTAAGCACTTGCCAAACGTATCACCCAAATACGGAATTCAACGAGAAGCATTTATGATTTTGAAAACCTTAAATGCTAGAATAAGGCCGCTACGACATCACAAGGTGAGTGACCCACTACCAAAAATGCCTGGTTTCGCAAAAGGTTTATATGCGCACGAACAAACAGTAGCGGAAGGACACAGAAGGTACACGGAGAGAGCTTGCAGCCGTCTGGCACAACACAGTACTGCGCACGTCACATTCAGACACGCTGATCACCAGCATCATCTAGATGACCTACGTTTTAGATTCCTCCTCTGCTAAGAGGTCGGCAAAAGGTAAACCGGCGCGTGGCGAGCATGCTGAACACTGTTAATACGCCGTAGCGCATTTACGCACCCGTCCAAAGGGCTTTGCAGACGCCTTTGCATACGTACGCTACCACCGGCCCGTCCACACCAACTCGCTGAATAAATTGCTCTGCGGACGAACGAGTCGGGCCTGCGCGCGCGTGTGAGCTAGGTGACATCGTTCCTACATGCTAGAGCGGCGTACAAGCCGAAAAGCGTCTGGAGACAACGCTCCCGGTTAGGCGCATCGCGGACGATGGCGCTGCTGAGGGCTAGCACCGCCGCGGCGCTATCGCAGACACCAAGTCCGATTTTCTAGCGACAATTTTTACTATGAGCAAGATGTCCACTATACCTCGCAGAGGTGGCGGTTGAGGATGGAATCTGGCGCGCTGAGTGCCACGCAGCGGATTGGCGGATCTGCGCCGTCGGAAGCTGCCTGACCCACTAGAGCGGCGTAAAAGTGCCCCAAAAGTACAAAAGTTGTGACGGCTAGCGCCATTTAACTTTCTCTGCAGCAGTAAGTTTCCGCGTCTTGCGCGTCACACCACGTAGCGAGTGGGCACTACATCAAACTCAAGCAGGCAGCCATCAGTGATAGCTTCCTACCTTTTAGACAATAATTGTGGCACACACTATCGTGTGAGTGCCTCCTTTAACCGGTTAAATTATCCGACGTCGCATCCCGGCCGACGTCTGGACGTTGCGAGTATCGCGGTCATCAGCAGTCCACAGCTTCATACAAAGATGGAGAAGGCTGAAAAGAGACAGTGGATGCAATCTGTGAACGGAAAAATCCGTGTCGGACCCATGTACCAGGCGATGATTCCGCCTTTTTGCAGAGCGGGGGACGTACCGAAACAAGGCGACTGCGACTCGCCAATGCGTGAAAATGGCTCCGACGGGCAGCGTTACACTTCGGGCATCGCTGGAGACGAACACACGGGCGATAAGGCTGTTAAAATGGAGCAGGATTCCCAACGCAAGATGAAAGCGCATTCTCAGTATTTGGTTGCCGAAGACTTCCTCATATCGCACTAACCGCCATATCGCGGCAGGTTATTTCCATACGCAAATACGGCTTAGTGACAAGCTAATCTCGGAATATTACCAGTTTCCCCGACTTTCTGTCGTAGAGTAACGTCGGCCGATAGGTCTGACTGAAAGGCCTCTGCAGCAATTTGCAATGCTAAAGTCGGATTACAACAAACACCCACCTCCATCACTACGAAGTTACGTTTTGGAAGTGCTGCTGCAACTTGCGTTTCGTCGAAATCGTCATCATCCAGATCGCGGTAGTGCCGCAGCAGCTCCGCCGGAGCTGGAGGCACGAACGGGGGCACTATTCGCTCCCACCTCTCCGTGGCCGGGTTGAAGTACGCCGGAACCCGCCGCTCGTTAGTGCTGTCGACGTGTACGTCGTCCTCCTCCTCACCGATTCCCTTGAAGTGGCTGAAAAACTCCTCCGCGAAGACTGAGAGGCCGAGCACCGTGGCGGCGGAGACTCCAAGCGCCATCATCTGCCGCGGCGTGACACTACGCCGATGAAGTCAAACATACGGTCTTTGCCACGACGTAACGCTCCCCTGCGTCATTGCGCTCACCCCTGACGTAGCGGCTGTAGCGTTCCCAGCGCTCCTGGTCACGTGCTGCCCACATGTCAACGCCGTGACAATTGCATTACGGTCGAAAACTCAGTTCATGCATAATACTTATTCAAGCATACACGTTGCATATAGTCAATTACCTTGCGATTCGCTGTACTCGTAACCTGTGCCACGTACTCCCGGCTGGCGTCGCATGGATGCCCGGGCACTGCCCTCTCTGCATTGGCTATGATTTCGTGCATCATGCATACACACCCCGTTGTTTTTGCGATATCCGCATCATACACCCTGCGTTTGGCTGGGTCTGCGAGCGTCTCGTGGGCCTCCTTGATGCAGATGAAGATTGAGGGGCTGTCCGGGTGCTTGCTTGCGTCGGGGTGATGCAGCTTCACGAGGCGAAGGTACGCCTATACACATGAGAAAGACAGCGCTCAGAACTACACACCTCCTTAACCTGCTGCGCGCTGGCATCTTTCGGCAGCTGCAGCACGTCGTAGTGTGTCAGCCTCCCCGCCTTGACTTCCCGTTGAAGGCCATGGTTGTAAATGGAGAACCGACGCACGGCGCCTCCACACACCAACCTAAATACACGCATCAACGGTACTTCCCATGATTTTGGTGCAAGAATATAAAAGAATGTTTAGTGGGTTGGCATCTGGAAACATGTTGCACCTAGACACCACCACGGAAGGCCTGCCAAAATAGGTGCCGCACCACGCTTGACCAGGGCACCACAAACAGCGCATGAATCTTTACAGATAAAAATGGGTAGTAAACGCGCAGAGAAGGCGAAATGCACCGACGCGAAGCGTGCGTACAAGCGCTCCGCGCACGAAAAGCGTCAGGCCGAATCAAAGAATCACGCAGAAGACAACGAAATAGAGGCGCCATTAAGACGTCAAATGGCGAGATCATTCGAAACCATGATGGAATCTAACAAAATCTCCGAAAAAAACGGTTTAATGCACCAGGAGTCTCGGGGGAAGAGACAGAAGACCAGTGAGCTGAGCGTGTCTTCTTCGCATAGAAATAGTAAACCGGTAAATGTGTCCAGTAATTCTATCGCTAAGGAGCGAAAGGGCCGCAGATCCAAAATTGCGGCGGCGGATCCCATCCCAGACAGCGGCGCAGATGCGGTAGCAAAGGTGAAGGGCAACATTAAAGCAAATGGCCGGCATTCTTTGGGCAACCTCGACACATCGTCAGTACCAGCAGCGCTTCTTTCTAAAACGGATTCGCACGAAAATGCCATGTCTTATGATGACTCCTCTGATGAAGATACGTCAAGTCAGAATGCAAGTAGCGATGAGGATTCTTCGGACACAAGTGATTCATCGGATTCCGACGACTCATCTGATGTAGGTACAAGTGCCTCCGATGAGGAATCATCTGATACGGATGAAAGTGATCAAGATTCTTCGTCGAGTGACACTTCATCTGATTCTGACAGCTCATCCGATGACGATAAATCGTCTGATTCTGACAATTCATCTGGTGAAAGCGCAGATAGTAATAAGGATTCTACGTCGAGTGATGGCACTTCATCAAGCGATGAGTCATCCGTGAGCAGTGACTCATCCGATGAGGATTCGTCTAGTAAGAAAGCAAAACGTAGTAAGGATTCTTCATCTAGCGATGACTCTTCTAAGAGTGATGACTCATCTGATGACCACAACTCACCTAATGAGACATCAGAAGGAGGTAAAGAATCTTCGAGCACCGATGGCTCATCTGATGAAGTTGGTTCCTCTAACGAAAAGGAAGGTGATGGTGAGGGTAGCTCCCCTGACGATGAGGAAGAAGCTGAGGAGTATGACGACAATGAATTGGGTGGCGTTGTAAACGACCCACTTGAAACTCCAGACCCAGATGCCGTTCAGAAGAGCGGCGTGGTATTCTGTTCACGCATCCCGCCGTTTATGAGCATCAGCAAGATACGCAGCTATTTTGGCCGATACGGCAAGGTGGGAAAGATATACGCGGAGCCCGAATCCATCTCGTCGTTTAAGAAGCGCGTTAAGCTGGGCGGTAACAAGAAGGTAAAGTTCGTTCACGGTTGGATCGAATTTTTGGACAAGAAGGTGGCAAAACTGGTTGCAGCACGGCTGAATGGGCAACCAGTTGGCGAGAAGAAACGTCACAACTTCTGGCGCGATGACCTCTGGAACCTGAAGTATCTGCCACGTTACAAGTTCCGTGACGTCATGGAGTACCTGCATCGCCACAAGAACGAGAGGAAGGAGAAGCTGACGTATCATCTGTCGCAATCACGGAAGGAGAACTACAACTACCTAGAGCAGCTGGAGGCAGAGAAGCGCCAAAAGGCTGCGGAGGCCATCCGCCGCAAGAAAGGCCTGGACGCTTACACGCACAAGCTAAAGCTACGCCCCAAGGAACCCAAGCCAAAACAAAACGAAGATTCAGAAGCCAAAGTTCCAACGAGTCTTTTGGGTGCGATTGTGTCGTGAGGCCAGCCACCTGGTCCGACATGTTCGGCAGGGTAACTGCGATAACCAACGATCATTGGTTGCCCTTGTCCACCGTGGCTGACGGATGAGCGACTTTCCTGAGAGCATTTAAAGGAGATAACTTCCTTAAGCTTACCTTTTTACCACGGTCCCAGTTTTGGCCCCGAGGAAAAACTTCCACGAAATCGGTATCATCTGTTCTGAACGGTTGTCATGACCTAATCACAAGCGACTAATATCATTCATGTAGTACTTTAAGAGGCACATTGATACACACTGAGAGTGTATCTGTTGCATATAAATATAGCAAATTCCAACGCGTATCGGTAATAATACTGTATACCGGGATTCCATTCATCGATGGGCATGCAGCAGTGGTTCATCATGTCTATCGTTGGTAGAACAGCGTATTAAATGCGCGTAATAATCACATAAACAAATGATGAGCATGATATAACCCATTACACGTTTAATGGATGAATGGAAATGTGTACGGTGACTTGAATATAATGCAGTGATGAGAACAGCAGTGGCAAGACACAATGAGGAACGTACCATTCGCTGTCGGAATTCTGATGACACCCAAGTCACGATGCGCAGTACTCAGCATCAGCTGCTTGGCGTCGCTGGTGGATATGACGCGCGCACGGACGAAGTCGCCAGGTCTGAACCACTCGTACACAGTGGAGTCGATGGCCTTCGACTCGTGGATGCTGCCGCTCATGATTACACCTTTCAGCCCCGCAGACACAGGCTTGCCATCGAGACAAACTATGCAGCATTCGACCTGATTGGTAGACAGCCTGGCTACTTGTGCGATTACGATAGAGCCGACGGCCGGAGCGGCAGTCCCGCAGGTACGGACGGTTATTGTTGGCACCTAAAATCAATGTGGCCAATCAAGGCGGCGAGAGCACTTACCCCGCCCTTGGAATCCTGTTTAACGGTGGCTGTGCCGAGCACAGTCGAGTGCATAAGCGTGTACCGAACGTGGACGTTGTCATCGGCACACTTGGCCGCGGAGGCGCTCAAACAGGCCCCCGGTAACACAATTCTATTTGTCATGACTACATGTGTATAATATTATGACGGCAGCGGGGCCGAGGGTGTGTCTGAACTAGCTCCGGGGCACCACGTGAATGACCACGGGCTTGTGATGCCAGTAGATAGCCGAGTCGCGGCGAACTATAACAGCCGCCGTTATCCCGTAAATGCCACATTCGTGAGCTGCCAAGGACAGGTGTGCCACTGGCACCTGTCTTTCCAATATCTCAATCGCTCGAGGGGAGGCGCTGCCTTGATGTTGTTGACTCCGAGGGGTACCGGCGTCAGACGTGGTCGGAGCCAGTGTGCGCGTAACCGCTTTAGAGGCAGGCATCAGGCGTTCCATGCCCAGCTGTTCCAGAGCTCCCGTCCAGTGTAGACCACGCGGCTGGCCGCATGTGCCATATAGGAACGGCACGATCACCGTAGTGTAGTTGTACACTGGCACGTCACCGTTGTTGCGCGCGAGCACCTTCACAGAGAACGACGCGGCTTCCAACACCGTTACGCACGACTCGTTAAGCAAGCTATCCTGCGCGCTGACTACGCCCGGCGAGTCCGCCGTCACGGAAATGTCCATCGTTATTTTCGACTCCACCAGATGATGCAAATTGGTGTGGACGATCTCCGGTATCCTCGAATAGCGCAAGATAGAAAGCGGTCGCCCTGAAGCCTTCATCCGCCACAGCGCCGGCTTGGTACACTGTCTCAGCACGGCAGCCTTATATTCGCGCTTGGAGAATAGGCGCCTGCCAGCCCTGGTGCCGGGCGCGTGTTTTGGCTTCTGGTGGGTGAGGTCGCTGATACGCAGCTCCCCCTCACGTATTTCACCCAGAGACCAGCGCAGGGCCATGTGGTGGTCGAGCAGTTGCACAAATGAGAATGGGCACATGCGTTTCGCCTCGACGTAGAGCAGCCGACGGGCTGTGATTCTCCAGTGTGATTCAGCTTTAGGCAGCGCAACAAAGGCGCTGTTGGCGCCGCCACTTAAGCACAAAAACGGCTCGTCAGTGGCATTGGCCACGCTCAGTATCACATCAACCTCCTGGTCGTCGAACACGTGCTTGTACATTTGTAAGGCGCCAAGAGTCGTCGGCTGCAGGCGGCGCTGTTTCAGTGTGGTTATCAGCGCCACAATGTCAAAGTTGACGCGCGGTTTCACAATCATTCCCATGTGCCCTATCGATATACCCTTGGACACAGCAAGGTTTATCCTCTTGTAGATGGTAGCCCGAACTGGCCCGTCGTGCTCATCGTACTCGTAATCGACCCTCACGTGGAACCGTGACGCAGTGATGGCGGCACGATAGAGTATGGGTATGTAGAGGGTGGTGCCCGGCAACACTGCGGCGGGTTCCTGTGCCATGGGTTGGATGCTGGCCCTTGAGCTTCCCAGTGAGCAGTGGCTGCGAGGAGATTCGGCGTTGTTGATTGAGCTCAGCCCGGGGATTGTGTTTCGCATTGATACTGCTTTGTCCGCCAGTACCGTGAAACTGCGGACTGACGCGCTGGCACGCTGGGCGATATCGGCACGTTGCTTCATAGCTGCATACTCGCGGTCTCTAAGGGTCATAACCTCGCACAATGCATCCGGCTCATCGAGGACTGGTAGGACGGAGACCGCCACATTGGACAAGATCACGTCTACCGAATCGTTGTGCACAGTGACATAGATGAGTCGTTCTTCGCCCTCTATGAGATCAAGTTGCGGCGCATCTTGCACTACCATCTCCCGCCCCTTCTGCCTGGTTAAGCAACAAATCCAGCAAGTTTCCCGATAACACAGCCTTACCGTCTGTGGCACTGAGGCGTCGCTCGATGCCGGTATCCGTACCCCAAAGCGCGACGCATAAATGTCTGATTCACACCGTTGGGTGCAGTGTGACACTATAGACGATGTCCTAACAGCGCCCGCAGGGGGACGGGTGCGATCATGTCGGCCGCCGCGCTTCCGGGCGCTCGAGCATAGTACGTGATCGAAGTTGTTCCGAACATTCCGCGGCACCGTAATGCGGGTGCTCTGGTAACTTACATTGGGCCTGTAAACAACGTTGCCGACGGTGAACATGATCCCATGGCCCTCTCTCACTAGGTCGGCAGTACGATCCTGCAGTGCCCACGGCTCCGCAGTGACTGACTCCACAGTGGAGCGGACCACCTGTGATGGCACCCGGAGGAAAACTTGGTTACATCGCAAAAATCCTAGCATCCTGAAGGTGATGCCTACTACATCCACACGCCCTTTCGATCTTGTGACGAAACGGATCAGAACCTTCAGTTCTTTAGCCGACGGCGGCAAGGATACACTGCGCCGGATGACATCCACAGGAGCTCCCACAGTTATCAGGCTCAGATCTTCCAACATAAACTGTATCGGTAGCGGGTTCCATAATCGCACTTCTACTGTCTGAACAGTTCCCATATCGATGTCTACGGCTCTCGCCTGCGCCTCGTGACCCTTGGTGTCTTCCCGTGGATGCGGCTCGTCCGATGCTGCATGAGGGGACAACAGATCCGCATGAACGGGGTCGATTTTGACTAGTTTACATTTTGACACCTTAGAAGATGCTTCGTTGACCACCCGGCAACGAGGTCCGGAGGGCAACGAACGATACACGGGCATGCCCGTGGCACCCTTACGAGGGGTGCCATCGGGCGCGTCAGTTTCGCTTCTGGCGCTTTCAATCGTACGAGACGACGAAGGCATCGAACCGGCGCTGTGAACCCAACGGGAAAAGTTGCAAATGCACCTGCAACGGTAGCCACGGGTATCCCGTAGCTTGAATGTATGGTCCGTTTTGCTGCCGGCATGTCGAGCACGGGCAGAGTATCCGACGTTGACGTTCGACTTCACATGGATGACGTCGTCACTCCCCATTCTCGGTGGCACGTAGTCCATTCCGCATATATGCGGCACCACCAGGTTGGATCCGCCATGCCCGCCGAGTATGTAGAGCAGATGTCGGTCGGCATAGCACAGGTTGATCGGGATGCGGGCCGTGGTAGTGCTCATTTCAACGCGCCGATAACCACGTCGAGGCATAGTCAGCGCGTCTGACACATCAGATGCGAAGATGACGTGGTCGAAATCGAATAGCGAGCATCTTCCACCGCTACCTACAACGCGGCAGTTGGCGACAATCTGGTCCACATGGTATTTCAGGAAGTCGTGGCACACTGCATCGCGGTTGTACGCGTCATTTCGAACAGCGTCACTGCCGGGGTCTTTACTTTCGCCGTCAGCCTTCGTTTTATTCCCCTCACCTTTGCCACTATCGCTTTCGCCTTTAGCATTGCCTTCTTTAGATTTGACCTTCTCCTCTCCCTGTTTCGTGCTAGCGGAGCTGCATCGGGATATGGGACGGTTGCGTGAGGTGTGAAGCAGGAACCTTTCTGCTGCCATGACGAAGCTGATCAGTGAGAGGTGAGCATTTTGCAACCTCATACCGTATGCATCGCATTCACGCATTGCCACGTCAATATACGCCCGGGAGATGCTGAAAAAATGCGTCAGTCGCCAGTCTGTGGTGATGTCTTCATTCTGCCAGAAGTTGCAAACAGACGGTTGTCCAACTATTCGCGTTATCCTCTCAAGCGACCGCTCCAACGGTTCCGGAAACTTCGGATACATGCCAGGCAGAGCACCAGTGAAACTTGGATCCATGATGGCAGAAATATCCAATAAAGCACCAGAAGCGTCGGAATGGTAGCTTCGTTTCTGTCGATTGTGGTACCTAAGCACCGAATTGGACGTGCTGTGCATTGGGGGTCGTCCAACTTGAGACCTTTTGACAACACTGTGATTCGTTTCGGCAAACTGGTCTGGCGACTCGGATGCCACTTTAGCAGTCAACGTGGCATCGGCATGATCGGCACTGAATGTGCTGCTCATGCCGTTCGGCTCAAAATGCAGCGACCTAGTTGCGCGAGTTCCCGAGTGCTGCATACGATGGACGATGGGTGAACCGGCAACATCGTCAACGCCAGTTGCCAGTCCACTGGCTGGAGATTGCGAATGGTCGATCGACGGGATATTCTCCATCGGATGCGACTGGGGAGTTGAGGTGCGAGCCGAAGCCTGAAGGGAAGATACACCCGATTGTTGATTCAATGAACACACAGATGGCAACCCATGGCTTGACGAGCAGATGCTGGTGAGAGCGGGGGCTTCCTCCGGCAGTGATGTCACCAGGCCGAACCTCCTTACTACATCTTCCACCATCTCCCTTGGAACTGCGAAGCCATTGGCCAGCCGCCGGTGTTCGTAGAGGAAGTTGTAGAAACTCCACTTGCGTCGGTACGGCTCACCGCGGGTCACCTCGATGACGTACCTCAGCACGTTGGTGTACTCCACGGCCGTCAGGCAAGTGTCTGCCAACTCAACCATACGCGCGATGATCCAATGCAGATGCCTGTGGTGTCCATTGTCGCGCAGGTAATGCATCATGATCGGCAGGCACACCTCAAGTTCACGACCAGGCACACGTGTCAGCTGCAGCCAGCGAGTGGCCGCTTTGGTGAAGGTCCGTACTGTTCTTTCAGCGTTCTTGTCGACGTAAGGTGCAGCACTGTCACCTTCACGTGGCTGTGCTGAATGCTGCTCGCCATCTGCGGGAAGCGACAGCACAGTCATCTTCTTCGATCGTATGCTCTGTATATTTGTGGGGGACGGCGAGACCGACCCGTTCACAGTGGGCGTTTTTGATGCGCTACGCTCATCTTCCGTAACTGCGTCTCCCTGGTCGGAAATGTAGTAGGACTGCGGACTGCCAGGAACGCTGGGTGGCACATCCCACAATGGCTCCTCCGGCGTAGATCGCTGCGACCGAGATTTCGGAACGTCCAAAGATCCGGGATCAACCGCATCATCTGAAGGCTTGCCAGAAGCAGATAACGGCAGGCGGGTCGTCGCCTGTTGCACTGCGGTGGGCGAGTTGAGATTTGCAACATCGGTCGTGGGTTCGTCGTTGGCTTTTTCGGCGGGACAACAGTCATTCCGAGCGCCGCAACTAGGAGAATTTCGCGGTGTAGATCGCGCTGCCGCCCCGGACGAGGTATGACCTGTGGTGGTGACCGCGGCAGTTGCGTCGTGATGCTCCTGCTCCTTGATCCGTGAGAGCCGTGATAACGCAATGGCAAGGCAGAACCCTGCAGAACTGCGAAACAGCTCATCTTGTGCCTTTTTGCAACGCTTCTTCGCTTGGGTGTACGTCGCTATCGCCTTGGGCAGGTTGTTCAACATTAGATGAATGTCACCGTGGATCTTCATCGTCCTCGCCGTGCAGAGTTGCGTACGTTGCTTCCGAGAAAGGCCGTTCAGAAGTTCGGGGTTGTCGTAGCGAGTGACGATCTGGCTCTCTGGCAACTTCTCGTTCTCCAACCCAGCCACCAGGACCCGCAGAACGCAAACCAAACAATGCACCATCAACTCTCGCAAAAAATACGGCAGTTTCTCCATAGAGCTGTACATAATGATGGTTTCGCGGGCAGTGGACTTGTTGAGGATGTGGTTCGAGAACAACTCGTTTCTGGCGTCAACCCTCAACTTGTCCTCTCGCTCGTTGTACTTGAGCCACGGGTAGAGCGGGCATAGGTATTCGCGGGAGAACAGCTCAAAACCGCGTGAGGATCGGCATAGCATGTGCACGATCGAAACTCCGTAACGGTCGTAAAGGCGTCGCACTTCCTCATAGAACAGATCCTTTAGCTCCTGGCTGGTCTCAACCTCAGTGTCGTGGATGACAATCCCGGCATTTACCGTCCCCTGGTAGAATAGTCCAGAATCCAAATACTGCGGAAAACCTTCCTCTACGTACCGTATGCATAGCACGTTTTTCTCGTCTATGAAGTTGTTTTTCGCCGAAGTGCCCAGCACGTAAGGCGCCGACGCCACGTCGGGAAACAGGATGTTGCGGCTCACGCTTTCCGCTGATATGTACGAAGCCTCAATCTCCGCCGCTATTGCAAGGGTCTCAGACTGGTTAATCGACAGCACGTAACGCTCGCGATGTCTTTCCGTCGAGCTCATTTCGTAGTTCGGCTGGGTCGCCCGTAGGTCATTTATGGACATGAAACGCATTTGCGTCCGCAGGTAGTCCAGGCATCGAGCGTAACACTCGTCGGAAGTCCCATGTGTACGCACGACGATCACGTTTATCGATGTCAGCAGCTCATAAGCCTGGGCCAGGCCCAGGGGATTGCTGAAGAGCGGCGCAGCGCCGGATCGCGCCGCCATGGTTGGCAAGCGTATGAAACTCGCCCTCTATAACGGCTACTGCTGCTTTGAGGCGGGATCAACGGTGTGTCGCGCGCAGGCACCGATGTGTAGGCGCCCTACCATTCGCGCCTCCGATGGTAGACAGGGATCTCATGTGATAACAAATTGGAGTCCCCGTCGTATTATACGGTACTATTGTATGATTTAGCTTCCTGTGGGCGCATTGCGGGTGCACCGCAAATGCGAACGCAACTTTGGCAGCCGAAATCATGAAGGACCATGAGGATTCCAGCAGCAACGACGAGGGGAACGCCGAGGGCGTTGTTGTCGAAAATACACGCACACCCGAGTTCGACAGGGACGAGGTTATTCCGAAGCTGCTTTTGGATGGTATGTGTCGGTCTGCGGGTCACAATGGCATACAGTGGTCGAGCGTCTGACCAAGATCGCAGTGATGTGCGAATCGCCCAGCACCGCCGACCACAGTAGCGTGAAGAACCTAGTGAAGAACATGTAAGTGGCAGAGTTCGTCGTCTAACAGCGGCAGGTACAAGTTCGAGAAGGCGTTGCGTAAGCTGCAGAAGGTAACGCAGCAGGAGCATGACGGCACAGACACCATTTTCAAAGGCGCTCTCAGGTACAGCGATGCAATGCTATTTTACACAACTGCCTTATAGAGCTGTTGATAACTACATAAACCCCTACGACTGGGCAATGACGAATGTAGTAGGCAAGTACCGCACCGAAGGCAAGAAGCTTGACAGTGCTCTCGACACCGTGGACGTAAGCGTGACCGTCGCCTCAATGACCATTCACAGACGCTACACAAGAAGCTACTTGAACGGCTACAGAACACGAAGGCGCCAGGTGCCGCGAAAGAAGTGGCCAGCGAAACTACTGGCGAAGCGGTCAACGAGGCGGCATGACGTCGACCGCTCACACGTAAGCGTAGCGATCGGATTCCACCTCGCCGTCGCCTGCCAGCCGGATGAGCAGCCTGTTGCCTTCCACCTTGGCGTAGTGGCACCTCTGTTTCAAGCCCTTGGACTTGAAACCCAGCGAACGGAAGCTTGGTGGGCCTCCTGGCTTCCGAAGGACCTCCACCGCCTCGTAGAAGGAGTGGCCGCTCGACAGCGAGATTACGTACTTGTGCATCGGGCAGCGGACGCAAGGCTCGCCGTTCACCTCCTCGATGTCCTCGCTATGCTGCACGTATCGGATTAAAAGCTGGGAGGCGCGCCCACCTCCTCCAGCCGACCTGCCGCGTGGTAGCAGTTGGCGTCGATGGCAAAGAAGCGGTCGCCGTGCTGGAACACCGCCACTGCGCAGAGTGTCGCAATGAACGCGCGTATACCAACCTTTGCGGCCGCCAACGGCCAAGCGCCTAGGACCCCTCGCGAACTGCGCAGAATGACGCGCGCGAATACACGCAGCGTACCTCCGATACCGCTCCTACGTCTACGTAATCTGAATTAGCTTCAGCGAACTCGGCTTCCGCAGCCATTAATAGTTAAAGTTCAAACGGGGCGCGCCCGGAGGTCCGTGCAGACAGACCTCGGAGAATGGAGCTATTTTTGCTCCCAAATGTTACGTAGCAAAACACAGAATTAACCCCTTATAAACGGGTGCTGTAATGCCTCTTCTGGTGTCAAACGCTTGGCGGGGTCGATCGCGAGGCAGCGCTCAAGCAGGTCGCCCAGCTGACGCATCTTCCGCACCATGGCGTCCTTCTTGGGGGAGTTGGCCTTGATCCACGGCTGACGCTCGAGGAGTGAGTCGGTTAGGTTGCGGGTCGGACGCAGGTCGCGCAGCAGCTTCACGGCATCCTTCCGCGTGAACGGGTCACGCGCAACATAGACAAAATCCATGTTCTCATCGAAGTGCTGCGACGCGAACTGGGCGGTACGGATCAGCCTATTAGGCACCTTGCCCTTCACCTCCATCATCAGTTTCAACATGTGGTTGTTCGTCCGACCTGCAAACAAGACATCGCCAGTTGCAAGCTCATATATCGTGGCAGCAGCGCTCCAAACGTCGATCTTGCAGTCGTACCGAAGTCCTAGGATGATCTCTGGAGCACGATAGAACCGGCTCACCAGGTATGCGGTGATTTCGTTCTCACTGACGTCGCTGGCGCTGCCCAGGTCGCAAACCGTTATGCGGCTGAAGTCCTCGTTGACCAGAATGTTGTCCGGTTTCAGGTCGGCGTGCATCACGCTGTTGCGCCACATGTGGCGCAGCGCGATGAATAGCTGTCGTGTGTACGAATGCACGTACGGCAAACTGAAACCGCCGCGGCCCTTGCCGTGGAGCCGCAACGCGCTCCGGAGGTTGCCCCAAAACATCGGGAACACCATGCACAGGTGATCGCGGTAATCGAACTGGCCGAGCAACCGCACGATATGCCTGCGGTCTTCTGGGTCGCTCTCGTTGAGGCGACGCAAAATACCAATCTCCTTCTCAGCGGCGCGGACCATGATCTCGTGGTTGCGGATGACCTTAACGGCTACATGTACATTCGACTCACTGTCAAAACACCTTGCGACTGACGAAAAAACTCCCTTTCCTACGAGCTCAGAAACTACGCGGTAACGGTTGCCCAAAACCTCGCCAATGGTGGCCTGGTAGTATCCTTCGGCGTCGTTCCATTCGTCGCTCAGGCCCCGGACTGCAGGGGCGCGGCGCGGACGTTTGCGTTTTTTGGTAGCAGAGGCTTCTTTGGCTGCTTTAGTCTCTTCATCCACTTCGGCGAACATGTCCATATCATCGTCGGAATCGTCGCCGGAGTCGGACCCTTCCGCACCAGAAGGGTCATGCGCTGCGGTGGAGTTATCGTCGTCACCCGTGTCATCCTGTAAAACATATTCGTTTTCAACGAAAATGCCCACCTCATCCAAACCGGACTTGTGTTCCTCGCGCATCTTCAACATCATGTTACGTAGCTTTACTTTCTGCTCCATGATCTCGTTCTGTAGGGCGTTCATGATAGCGGATGCGGACGGCTTTGGCGCCGTTTCGGGAGCAGCTGCGGGGTAGGAATCGTCTTCATCGATATCAGACACTGTCAAGTCTGATATCTGGCCTTCGTCAAGGTTCTCCGATGACATCGCAAAAACCGGCGGACGTGGCACTGTCATCTCAACCGACACAATCGGGGCATTGCCTTGGCCTAATGATGCATCCGCCGATTCAGCCGAGTTTTCAGTCCGCGCTGCACCACCAGTAGCACCGTTCACGGCGCTATCGGTTGCAGGTATCGCATTAGTAGGTTCCACTTTGGGGGATACCGCTTCCTGCTTGTCGGATGACGGGAGACTGTTATGGTCCACAGGTGTTGAATTGCTGGGAATCAACGTATTGTTCTTCACGACGTTTGCTTCTGAGTGTTGCTTTGTAACATTCTCCATAGCTTCATTTGACTGCATTGAAGTTGCGCCATTTGCCGCCTCGGTGCAGAGCACCTTGAAGTTGGGGCAGGCAGGCGGCTTGCTAGGCTCCACCAACGCATTTTGCTGCGGCGAAGCAAGTCTTGACAAAAACATAGTAAAAGGGTTGCGCCTTTTCTGAGGACGCTCCGGTGTTTCCTGTGACATGTGCCGTGACAAAGTTTCAGCTGTGCCAACCGGGTTGACGCTCACAGACTGCGAACCAACGCTACCGGTAAGTGGGGAAGATCCACGTCCTTCCGTGTTGTTGGCACTAATAACCTTATTTTGGTCACCATCATTCGAAGCCACAGCAAGCGCGCGATATCCATACAGGGGTCTAGACTCTGGTGACACTGTGGTGGCAGCAGTTGGAACGCTCTCATGCTTCGAAGGGTCATTAGCCAATTCAACGCTCGGGTGCCTTAAATCAGATACATTTGTCGCCGTTTTATCAACATTACCGAGACAATCCTCTTCCGAAGGCCTCGATAACGACACGCCGGCGCCACCATCCGTTTGCTCTGGAGTAATTGAGCAACCACTGGCAGCGAGGCGTTGTTGCACTTGAATAACGACGGACTCTTTAATATCATGAGAATTTTCGGGTTTAACATTCAGTATATTACCGTCAGGGACAGCAGCTGCAGCAGAAACGTCGTTGGGTGCGATGGAAGACGTTGCAGAAATTGAACCACGCCTTGACTCGGATGTCAACCTTTCCATCAGCTTCTGACGCTCACGCCTTCGGTGTTCCAGAAACTTCTCCACGTCCTGTTCATCTTCCTCCAGGACGATGCCCTCCACAATTTCACCCTCCTCGGATGCTGCAAGAAAATTAGCCCAGAGCAAAACATCAGTAGATGGCACTATGTGACGGCACACTGTGCCGGCGAATATAGGAAACCCATAATGGTGGTAACACAAAAATACACGGAGGGCGTGTTAACGGCGAACGCGACATACCATCATCTGAGTCCTCCTGGACGAAGGCGCGTTGTTTCGCTGATGCATCGGAGTGAGTTGTCCTCTGCAAGCATATGATGCACGACATCTCGTTAACCCACCTTTGCCCCGACTAAGATGGTGCGGTCACTATGGCGACCCTCGGTAGCATCCGTCTTCAGCGCGATTACATCTTGACCATCACCGCCAGAAATCTGCTCGGAGTTTTCACCAGACTTTCGTGTATAGTGTGAACGGCTAGGCACAGTACTGCGATACGCCCGCGTACGCTCAGAGTGGACATCGCTATACCTATCGGAACGCATATCGTCACGACGACGGACGGAATGGTCGGACCGTCTTCTTCCCGATCGTCGACCTCGACTCATTGACCTTGACGCTGACCGATCTGAACAATGTTTGTAACGCTACATAAGACAACACGGCAGAGCTACACATCATGAAGTACGTTCATTGGGAGTTAATCCCCAAATATGATGTTGAGCTTATTGACTGGTATTATGCGTGAAACAGCACTCACAACAATACAACTTTAAAATCAACACGGGTGACGTTAAAAAGGGAGCTATAAATCACTCATCACATCAGGATAAAGAAATACAATAAAATGTGAAAACCTGTATAGAAAGCTCTGGACATGCATGCAACCACTAAATTATGGACAATAATCCCATGTACGAACCAAATAAAAGAGTTAAACACCACTTGTTGCACCAGTTGTTAATTTACATATGTAGAGAGGCGTAGTGGTACGGTTATAATGCAATATTATGAAAAAGACACGATAGAATCACGGGCAAACCTAACATTGGAAAGATATAATAATATATGGAATCACCCAGAAATTACCCCTGTAAAAACAAAATGCATCAATCGTAAGTGTGAAGTATGGTGGATTTATAAAGCGGCTGAATGCAAGCACATTTGCCTACCTTCGTCACTTGATCGGGATGATGGCGAACTATTACGCCTGCGATGTCGACTCGAGTGGCGACGCGATTCACGCGAATCGCGGTCGACCGACTCTCCCCTGTGAGAACGATGTCTAGCCATGTCTCGAGTGACGCTCCGAGCTATCACAATCACCAGGCATGGCGTGGCAGACAAACCAGAGCGGAGGCTCCAGGGACAAGATTTGAGCCAAGACTCAAACCAATCAAAGCCAAATTATACCAAAGGTCTTGCTGTTAACAGTAATGTTTGGGGAACCCGGACTCATCCACGTGTTTTGTCACAAGTGCCACTTTGCTATGGGGATCGCGAGTTGCATATTGGTCCGCCGCAAGTTCTGCCACCGAACACTTTACCTACAAAACGTTCTGGCACGGCAAACAAACGGCTTGCGGTTTATTTGTCGATTGCTGTCTGCTTCCGTACACGTCTGTATAACTCGTACTATTGGACACACACTCTGCCGATCGACGTCGTCATCAAGTCGGTCGATTCTCAAATTTCATCACATCACTACCATACAGGTGGGCACTGCGTTCATTTAAGACCGTTTGTGGCGCGTGTATCCCGCATTTTCGCTGCCATTGCACGTTTTGACGGTGTCTGCGCGTGTACATGTTTAAACGGATCTGTGCCCGTATTTGGTGTGCAACAGACACCCTGTTCCACCAACCGTCCTTCTACAGCATAAAACAACCTGCAGTTTTGCGTTTTGCAAGCTTCCATTCCTTTAGAACAATGGCATCGCCGAGGAAGGTACGTTGCATTGCTGTCTAGATTCCAGCGGCATGACTGCGACATGCCCGGTCCATGTCACCATTTCACCGCGATGTAGGTTTGTGTTATGGGCTGCGGCAACTGGGGAACGGCTTCGAGCAAACTCATTGCGGAGAACGCTGCGAGACACCCCGAATTCGACAACACTGTACGCCTGTGGGTGCTCGAGGAAGTCTTCGAGGGCCGCAAGCTCAGCGAGATCATCAACACGGACCACGAGAACAAGAAGTACCTGCCTGGAATCAAGCTGCCTCACAACCTGGTCGGTGTACCTGACATGAAGGAGTGCGTCCAGGAGTCTGACACCTTCATCATTGTGCTCCCTCACCAGTTCGTCAAGTCCACCGTTAGGAAGATGAAGGAAATGGGTCCCATCAAGCCTGGTTCCATCTGCATCAGTCTCGTCAAGGGTATCGAGCTTACCGGACGCGATGTGGTGTGCTTCACCGAGACCATCGAGCAGGAGCTTGGTATCCCATGCCTCGCCCTTTCCGGTGCCAACGTTGCCACCAACGTCGCCAAGGAAGAGTTCAGTGAGGCCACCATTGGATACAAGGAAAAGGAGCACGCCCTCATCTTCCAGAAGCTCTTCGACAGGCCTTACTTCAAGATCAACTGCGTACCCGGTGTTGCCGCTGTCCAGGTGTTCGGCGCCATCAAGAACGTCGTTGCCATTTCCGCCGGTTTCTGTGACGGTTTGGGGCTCGGATCTAACACTAAGGCTGCCATCATGAGGCTGGGACTCAACGAGATCTGCAAATTCGCCAACAAATTCTTCAGCGAGGACTGCAACAAGGTCGTGTTCGAGAGTGCCGGTGTCGCTGACCTGATCACCACCTGCATCGGTGGTAGGAACGTCCGCTGTGCCGCCGAGTTTGCGAAGCACCAAGGAAAGAAATCGTGGACCGACATCGAAAACGAGATGTTGGGTGGACAGAAGCTCCAGGTACGTAATCTCTCCACTGCAACGTGCATTTTCTGCCTTTCTGGTGTTACTAATTTTTGCCTTCCCTACGGGAATTTACGTGGCATTGGGTAACGTGTTATGATTATAGTGTCCATGGGCATCTATCAATTCGGATTCTATTCGGATAGTGTGTCAGTGGGTTTTCGTGTCTACACTATCCGTGTCTATAAAATTCTAATCGGATTTTAATGTTTTACAGGGAACTTCCACGGCCGAAGAAGTCTACAACGTTCTCAAGGCAAACGGAATTGAAGCTGAATTCCCCTTGTTCGTTATTACCTACAAGATCGCCTACGAAGGTGCCGACCCCGCCGACCTCATCCGCCAGTTTTCCGTAAGTGCAACGGACAACACATCAAACGTTTGCAGGTCGAAGCCATCACTCCCTTCTGAAATAGCGTTTACATGCACCTGTAATCTTGACATTAGTAAAACCACGTCACCTATGGGGAGTTGCTCGTACACATCCCGGCGTCGGCGGCACTTCCACTCTTGCAATTTCTCCTGAGCAATCATGAAACTAAGTGGCTGGCGCTAATGTTTCGGTATATCGCTATACCTTCCACCTGGCGACATGAGCGAACTTAGCCAGTTCAACGCGACCAGCGCCGACGACGAGTGGGAGGTCCGCCAGAAAAAGATTCAAGACGCTGAGCGGTTCCGGAATCTAGGCAACGAGAGCTTCAAACGAGGATTCCTCGAGTCTGCGATAGAGTACTACTCTAAAGCCATAGAATGCTACCCGGACAACTTCGAGTACTACACCAATCGCGCTCTCTGCTACAAAAAGCAGGAAAAGTGGCAGAACGTGCGTCCAACATGTGTGTATATATACGCTGCAGGTCGCTGATGACGTTAGGAAGGCGCTGAACATAGACGCGGAATCAGTCAAAGCTCACTACTACCTCGGCCAGGCGCTGCTACACTTAGGTGGGTTGCCGATCATCGCTGAGACGCTGTGAGAGCCTAAGTGGCCGTATTTCGCACCGTAATTGTCGTTTGCTATGGTGTATGGCAGTTTCATGCGTTGGCATGAAGCCGATGATTCCGATTTGTGTTTGTGCATTCAGACGTGGCAATCCTTACTGTCTGCTTTGCCTACGAGGTACATTGGAGTTTTTCTATTTCCTGCAGCAGTTTGTAATCTCTTTGCCTGATGTAAAAGTTGGCTTTTATGGCCGTTCTGATGTCGTTGTAGGCGAACCTGAGGAAGGCCTAAAAAAACTCGTTAAGGCCAAGACGCTCTCCGAGCATTACAAAGTCCCTTTCATCAACGAAATCGAAGATGAAATACTCCGGGCAAAGAAGTCTGTTTGGATGAACGAGGATGCTGCTTTCGTCCAGGACCTCTGCAGCTTGAAGAACTACATAGAAGTCAGTTTGCATGGAGCCGCACTTAACACCAGCAGCGTAACATCGTCCAAGACTTTAGGAGTGGCAAGATGACCGAAGACGAAAGCGGAAAGCTAGCGTTGCAGTATAAAACAGTATTCGAAGCGCTGGATAAGGCGAGAGAACATAACATACCAAGCTACCTGTGCTGTAAGATATCCATGGTGAGCATGACAAGGCGCACCGACATCACGTCGCAGAGTATCATGAAAGACCCAGTGGTCACATCGAGCGGAATCACGTACGAACGTGAACTACTGGAGCAACACTTTAAATGCAATGGGGAGTTTGATCCCGTAACGAGGTAGGCGTAAGCACAGCCATGACACGGACAAAATATAGGGAACCTTGCTCTCCCAGGAATGTATATCCCAACTACTCCATCAAAGAGGCGATTGATTTGTACTTGAAGGAGTAGGTAACTACGACACACGGTCCAATAATGTGCAGGAATCCATGGGCTTTCGACGAGTGACACATCGCTGTCGCTGTCTACAGCACTATGACCCGCTGCAATGACAGCGGTTGATAACACATAGCATTAATCTTTATACAATAAAAACATCTGATGCGGTTCGCGCACATGTTCTCGCTGCAGAGCATCATTCTGAGTGGAATCACGCGCCTGCAAGCACCTGGTCTATCGCCGGCAAAAGGATGTCGTGACTTCGAGTCTTCACAGCCTGTAGACACATGGACTCAGGGCTTACAAGGTGCGCATTTAGACATCACTTCATCCAACAGTTAACAAGTATTGTCCTCTCTGAGTAGACCGTTGTGTGTTAATTGGATTCCATTGGTATAAACGCTCTTTTACACGCCGAAATTGTACGCATGATATCTTGTTCTCGCCATCGAATTCATTGCCTATGTGATGCGTAGTTGTTGTGTTGAAATACTAGAATCATGCATACGATGGCAACCCACCTAATACAAATTGCAGATATTAAGCGTAGCGATACTGCCATTCTTCATCGCAACCTTCATCATAATCGTAGGTTATATTGCCTATTAACACCGTTTATTTCTTTTGTAGATAACCCCGGATCACGAATAAAATATTCTTTTATCACACCCAAGCCGATACGCATCGCATCAGAAAACGCTGCCGGCGCCTATCGCAATTCGAACACATACACAGCTTGTGATAAGGATGATGTACAGCCTTTGAGGTTTAAAAATGGCGGAAGGTTGTTTGTGTTGGGTTCCTACAACAGCGACGAATTGGTGTCAACCCATAGACTGCAATCCGGTGAAGATGACAACAGTGTAACAGCCTATTCTGACTGCACCGCCATATGCGACACCGATTCGCAGGATGCGCCAACTTTCATTGATGCTACCGACACCGCAAGTAGGTAAAGCATACAATACTTATCAATGTTACTCAGATGATTGGCACGAAACCCAGTTGGTAGACAAGTGCAGGATATTGGCCGTCGGTGGCCGTGGAGGAGACGGCTGTGTATCATTCCGGAGGGAAAAGCATGTGCCGCTGGGGGGTGCAGATGGAGGAAACGGGGGTCCCGGAGGATCGGTCTATCTGGTCTGCGATGACGCAATGAGCAACCTTAACCCCGTCAAGCAATTCTATATCTACAAGGCTGAAAGTGGGAAACACGGCCTAGGTGATCGGAGGAACGGTGCCAAAGGTAACCACAGGTTCATACCCGTCCCACCTGGCACTCACGTATACAGCACGAGCGGGGAGTTGTATGCAGTGCTGCAGAACAAAGGTTAGACAGCAACATAACTGTATGGTGTGGAATAGCCGTGCAGGTGATAAATTGATGATCGTTAGAGGTGGCCGAGGAGGCAAAGGAAATCGATACTACATGTCAAAATTGTAAGTGACGATTCATTGCATTACACAACAAAATCAGTAACCCTGCACCTTACGTTTGTGAACGCGGAGAAGCAGGAGTGACACGTGAAGTTATTCTGAACTACAAAATTATAGGCAATGTGGCGCTCATCGGGAAGCCGAACTCAGGTACGATAACTTCTGGTCACTTTTCTTACATGGCAATAGGAAAGAGTTCACTGCTACGGTGTCTCAGCAACGCAAGGCCTAGAGTCGCCGATTACGCATTTTCAACGAAATTCCCAATCATGGGAATGCTTGATGTCGATGAATTCGTTGACCAGAATGAGGAAAGGGATCATGTAATTGGCGGTGGTGAATCACATGTAGTTGGCCGAGAGGATGATGTAACATGGGTGGGTGCGTCTAATTCAGAAGATGTGGAGAATTCGTCAACTCATTCGGATGGTTTTGATGTTGATTATAATATTAATAGTAATGATAATGATAATGACAATGACAACTTCATAGCTAACAAACCCATTATTGCAGATGAAACTCATGAACCCGATGAATTGGACAAAAGTTTTGATAAGGATGCAATGGAAACCGATCCATCGGATGCTCCATCAAGCACAATGATGTTTATGTATGGCTACCGTTTCTCGCCCCAGTTGGATTCACGCATTGACGACGCGCGAACTGACAGTCGGCGGCAGCTTGCAGGTTCACGCACCATAGCACGTGTTGATGATTCAGAAAGTGAAAGCACAGTATTGAGAGGCGTGCATGTCAAAAGGGTATCACCGCAGAGTGTAACCGGAAATCCTAGCGAATCTGCTAGTGATACATTTGATGGGTACAGTTCGAGCTATGAGTCCGCATACGACTATGACCATAACGACACTACTACATATTCTGACGACGAATTCGAAGCCGATTATGACTCTACAGATACGTATGATCCTGACCGCAGCAATGGATCCTTCGACACCGGCGAAAATATAGCCGAGATGTGTGATATTGCCACAGATGAGGATGCATCCAACAAGAGGAGGCAGCTGACAATTGCGGATGTTCCAGGCCTTATAGAAGGTGCTAGTGCTGGCCGTGGTCTAGGGCATCAATTCCTGAAGCATATAGAAAATTCGAACGTACTTGCATACGTTGTCGACGGCAGCCTTGAGGACCCGTTGACCGACTACCACGACGTGCGCAACGAGGTAGGGCTCTATAATGAAGCGTTATTGTCACGCATGGAACTCATACTGATCAATAAAATTGATCTGATTGATGAGTCAAGAGTGCGTGAACTTGTTGACCAATTCAAACAGGAGTGTAACCATGATAGGGTCTTCGCCATCTCTGCCAAGACTAGGCAAAATGTGCATGAAATAAAGAAAACGTTCGCCAGCATATACCAGGACCATACTGACAACCCAGGACCGATTCGCGAACCAATGAATGTCTCCATCGACGACCCCAATGATTTCAGGAAGCTTAATCCGCGCAGGTTCAAGGTGGAGAAAGTAGCGGAGGGAGAATTCAGGATTAGTTCGAGCTACCTAGAGCGGAAAATCCCAATGATGAGATTCGAATTCAGGGAGACGCTGGATCGACTGCGGCGGATTCTGCGCACAAATCGCATACACTATAAACTGAGGCGAATGGGTGTTAAGGCAGGAGATACGGTTCACGTCGGCGACATGAGCTTCTACGTAGACGAATTAGCTTATTGATACGACAAAAGCTTCTACATGGCTGCCGACGCTGAAAACGTATCTCAAAAAAAACATACAAAATCGCAAGCAACGCTCGTAGCCTCATTGACACGGGACAATAAATGAAATTAAATCCCGATAGTTTTAACTTTATAGATCTTAGCTCATATTATACATACGCTATCTCGGACCTTATGCCATCAACTCCACGCTGTGGGAGAACCAAACAGACACTCGTGGCCACCTGAGAGAGAAAACTTCTCAGGTGGCAAGGACTCGCACAGCGCTTGATACGTACTTACAACATTTTAAAGATTGTTTACTTGGAGAATACGTCGACAAATCTCTCGTAGGTTATCTTCCCGCTCTTCTCCGGGTCCAAGAGGTTCATCAATTCGGCCAAATCCTGTGGGCTGCGGTTCTTCATGAGCATCATCACCTCCTGCAGCTCAGCTGTGCCAATGGTCTTGGTTTGAGGGTTCTGCACAGCCTCGAAGAGGCGCTTCAGGTCGCCGCCAGCAGGCATCTCGGACACGATCGCCATTCCTTTCTGCACGAACTGATCCTTGTTCATGGCTCCGCAGGATTTAATCTGATCACGCGACAAGGACAAGCCGAGCGACTGGTAAATGTTGGCGCATTCTGGACCCTGAATGATGCCGATTTTTTGAGTGTCGGAGCACAGGAAAGCCTCCGCGAGTCTAGACTCCCACTGCATCATCATCTGCGGCTGAATTCACGGCGATACAAGCGATTATAAAAAAGATGGAGTTTAAAAGCCTCCTCCTTTACTTGTGAATGCAAAATAGCAAATCGTGAAATTCCCGAAACGTGCAAGGGATATGCACCATGCAAGTGTGTATGTTAACGAGAAGCGTGCCAAATTACTCAGGTGCTACACACCGTGAACATAGGCAGCTGAAAATACTTCACGTGCGCTTTGAACCCATATTTCTTACATGGAAGTAGCTCCGAACTGTTTGGCGAATCCATAGGCATTCGTCCTTGCCGCGGAGGCGCTTGACGGTGTAGCACGAGACAAAAGGAGAAGAAAGTGAAACTGTAGATGTGCTCCTCAGGTTTGTACACTTTGTACAGCCGGTGTGTCATCCTATAAACATTCTCCGAATAAGAGCTTTGCTGGGTGGTTTTCACTGACCACTGTTCCCGGGCCGTTCCACCTCCGTAATCAACGGCTCATCCGCTCTAAATACCTATGACATTTATCAACCTTCTTTTTAGATGCGCCTACCTCGCTGCGCGGGTCCAGGGTAACAGTAGTTACTCCAGAAGCCTTAAGGCTTTCATCATTAGTTGGCAAACTGTTCACGTCGAAAACTCCAACGCCCACGTCTATGAGCAAATGAGACACATTGTACAGTTATGTGTAATCAGCTGATTGGGAAAAGGGTAGAGATGCGTCATCATTGCCAATAACTCACCTAGAACTATTTTGCCTTCCTCTTGTTCGTCAGTGACGTGGTCAGGGCTGTGACTCCCGCGGTAGACTCGCATTTCGGCATCAACAACGTGACTAGAATCCCCTTCCGATATCTTACGAGCCAGAGCAGCGTTGGATTCCAGAAGCTGTGGCAGAAACTCTTTGCACTTCTTCAACGAGCTCGGGATAGACAGATCCGATAGGTCAAACCGCGGCTTCTGCATCGTTAAAAACAACCTAGATTACCATTTCAGTCATAACTGTTACTGCAATTGTACAAATACTTCGTTTGAGTGCATAAACTAAAATTTACCGGGCAGCCAACACACTTGCGGTGTGGCACTAATCGGTGGCAACAGCATATAGATCGAACGACATTTCCTTCACGGAAGGTTGCGCAAATCTGCTACGTTGCGTATCACTCTTGTGCTTCTATTAGACGTGTTGCATTATCAAATGTTATCAGAATGAATGTAATAACCATTTATGTATCTTTGGTCGCTGTCGTAGTTGCAATGCAGCCATAGGAAATCAGGTGGCTTAAGGCATTTTGTTTACACCCATGGACGTATATTATGGAATAAAACACACCCATTGAAGTATAAAGAGTAATGAATGTCATATATAACGATTATTCATGTTTTTGGAGTAAGACCAGGCTTTACGCCGGCCTTTCGACAAGACGATGGGAGCAAGACACGCACCCTCCCCGATGACTGTTGCTGATCACGTCACCTAATAGGTCAATGAAACTTTTAATGCAACAACATACCTAAAGAGCACTTTGCGCGACATGCCGGGCATGTAATCATAGCATCAGATAGCTCCGATACACGGTACTCGGCCTGCACGATGCTGTTGTTAAGCTCGCTTATATGCTCGCTCATCAGAGCGATCTGCTCGTTGTAGTTCAAATGCACGGATTCAGCGGCAGCCTTCGATTCTGCGTACTGCTCAGCGTGAAGGCTCAACGCACGGCGGAGCTGACGGTTTGAGTCTTCCAGCTGCTCGACTGACTTCACCAAGTGGCGCACGTACACCGCCAACTTTTTCATCTTCTGCCCGCTGTCCTCTCTCAGAGCGTGCAACTCAGTTAACAGGTCGCTGTGGTGGCTGTGCATGGCAACACCGCCCATAGACAGTTGTTTGTCATGGTAGTGGTACCGGGAAAACAGCCTTTCAAACTCGGACACTAATCGTTCTTCCTTTAGCGATAACCCATAAGACTCAGCCAATCGGGATTCTAATGCGTCGCAACGAGCCCGTGCAGCCATGAGCTCCTCGTTCATCGCACTCAGACGTTCGTTGCACGTGCTCATCTCACGACGCTCATCCTCAGCCATCCGGATACGATCGGATACTGTTGATATGCAGACGCGGTTAGGCGAGGTTAGAAGTTGCGCATTAACTGCGCCCACAAATTGTGGCACAACGTGCTTTGACATGATGGACGGTTTTGCAGTGCTCGCCGTCTCCGATGTGACGGCCGACGCGGACTCCATCTGCGCACAACATACGCTATTACGTCTCATCTGTAGAGCACCATGCAGACGAAGCGAGACTATATGCTCAGTGACGCGAGAGATGTTGGTCTCAAAATCGGCAATAGCAGCTCCCAGGTCGACCATCTCAGGTGAGCCACCACTGAGCGGGAAAAAGAACCCGTCCAACATTTTGGGGTAGCACAAACGGTGCGACATCACCGATTTGAAAACGGAAACTATGCCTAACACCTCTTTCAGACCCGAGAATAGGCGTCGTTCCAATGAACGTAAAGGCCGACTTGATGAGAGCTCGTCGGTCAGCGAACGTAGACGCTCGGAATATTTCACACCAGACAAAGTCGAAGCGTCATCAGAACCCGGCCCTAAAACATTGTCATCGGTTATTCCGGTATCACTGTGCATGCTGTGGCCCGAACTGTAATCCATATTCCGTGCAGTTGCGCCAATCGCATCCGAGGAAACCCTGGCCCTGTCTGATTCTGACGATGTGCGTTCCCCAACCTCCGCAGACAGTATGTTGGCTAATTCCGACAATTCGTCCTTGGATAGCTCGTCAACACGAGATAATGCGCATCCATATATCGTGAACAGTCTAGATAGGGCATTACACAGCTCACGGAGGCATCGAATGAAGACCACCGTGCCTTGCCTCATACGCCGAGGACCCATAACAACAGCTTCAAAGTCTTCGTATGGGGATAGATATTCTTCCAAGCACAAGTAAAGACGTAAATGGCGTGACAAGGTTCTTACGAGTCGAACAGACCTCCTAAACGCTGCAGCGGGGAGGTGCTCACCCTCTAGGAGCCTATCGATGCTCAACACCAGATCTGAAATTGTTGCCACTGACATCTGGCGGTATGATTCCATGGCAGACCATATATGTTTGTTGCTATCTTCTTTGTCCAAAGCAAACGGGAACAATGCCTCCGTAGCAGGTGGATGCTCTTCCTTTGGCGAATTATTCTCATCACTATGAGCGGCTTTATTTTTCGGTTCAAGTTCAACCACATCTGGTGATTCCCCTGCGGCATCGCCTTTTGAATCAGATGCCTCACCTTCATTTGCATGGCGTTGGTTCGATGACGACGGGTCTGATGACCGTGAGGCTGATGGCTTCGCAGCGTCACCCGTGTCAACAGCGCCCCGTGGAGGCGATCGTTGAAGCACACTCTCAGTGACAACATCCGAACCACGAATGAAACGCATTGCAGATTTCCACGCGCCGAAGACGCCTTTTAAAGACAAAAGCAAACTGACGGACAGGTCGTCCACGGCGTGGCGAACAAGGCTCCAGTTGTGCAAATGCTGATGGTGGTATACGTTGAATGTATTGATAAGCGGCAGCCGACGTAGATCATAGGTCACCTTAGAACGCAACCTGGTCTCCAGCAGGTTAACGTACCGGTGCAGAAATTTGCGATCGCTGCTCAGAGTATCCTCCAGCTTCTCCAACTTGCTGTTGCGCGAAGCGACAGTTGACTTAAGTTCCGCGATCTCGGTGGCATAGTTGGATGACTTCGACTCGCTTGTAGTGAGAGACTCCTGAAGTTCCTTCAGGATACCCTCCAACGCGAATATGCGCTCTTTAAGTTTGGCCACGGTGGCAGAGTATTCGAAACCCTGACTATCCTTTTCCGTACGCAAGACATTCTGCTCCTTCAATAGCTCTTCTGCAGTAAAATACTGGCGCTACTTAATACTTTAACCTACCCTTTTCGTGGGCAGCGGCCTCCAGTTGTGTTTTCAGCGAATCGATCTCGCTGTACAGCAACGATACGTCTTCAGCTGGGGCATTCGACGCGGCGTGCGCGCCCTTTTTTATTAGCGTTAGCGCATTCTCCCACTTAAAAGGTGCCGATTTGGCCGGCTCGCGCGACTTTATGTTGCTCACCTCATCTGTGAGCTCGTCATACGCCTTCTTGAGGTTCTGGTTCTGCTCTTCCAGACATTCGCATGCATCGGTCTTCGCCACCAACTCCTCCTTTACTCGTTCGTAATCATCGTGCAACTGCTTCACGGCGTCCTTAAGCGTGACTGCAAGTTAAATAAAGGGGTTTTGAATGATACATAATGCATAACAGTTGGTCGAACTGATTCCCATTTAATACAGAAAGGACCAAATCATTCATGAGTCTTGTAAAACGATACATAATGCGACAGATAAGATGTATAGCAACATATGTGGATCACACGACACGGCATCATTTGTTAAGAATTCAATGTGTAATGACCAAGATGTGCTAGGGAAAGACAGAACTAGTCAAGCTTTCAAACACCAATTAACGTACACATCAGATCATAGTACATCCATTATGCAGTACGTATCATCAAAAGACGCATAGACGTACCATACTTTCGCTTAAGCTCCTTGTATTTTTCTTCTGTAGACATAGTAACACTGCTCTCCTCCATGTGCCTGACTTATGTCTAGAGCTACATCACAGAGTCTATGCGAAACTACAATACGTAATGTTAATCGACACATCAACACATTGGAGCTAAAACTTCATCTCATGGCACAACAGTGTAACCTCCCATGTGAATGTGTTTGCGGCATTTTTCTACAACAAGCTGGAATATCTGAGCGAAATACAAACTGAACTATGCCGTTGAGCCGTGACTACAAAACTACAGGGACCCTAATGGTTCATTTCCGTATCGTGAAGCGCGTGCCTAATCAGTCACGCAGTGGCAAATTTTGTGGTCTCTGGTTCCGTAAATACATCCGCAAACACCCAATGCATCTTGGATGCTACCGCCGGAACTCTTCAACCGCCAAGCAGATATAATGAGGTGACGATGATTGAATGATACGCGCCAAGACAGCTGGAAGCTATCACTGTAATACGATAGATATCGTGCAGATAAATGGGAATCCAGCGCTAAGCAAGCGTATGTGTAACCTCCTATAACGAGTAAGGTCGATAGCTGAGGTTTACCATCGCAAGCACACAACAGCGCGAACTGGCGATGCCAGAATCACATCTCACGCGGCGGAAAGGTCGATGTGTAAATAAGAATACGTTGTAAAAACAACAAGTAGTATATTTTGTTTTCTCGTGGCGATAATTAAGATTCGGGTCTAACGAGTTCTGCCGAGCTTACCCTCTGCTCGGCCGCGGCCGTCGCGGAACCTCCGCCCCATCAGGGCTGATGCCGCCCACCTTTGACGGAGTTGCTCAACCACAGAACATTTCGTATACATATTTACTAGCGTCAGGCTAGCTCTATCGGTCAAGGACAAATAGTGGTAGGTCCCGCTCGCGAAGGCAGAATGGTTATGTGGCCGCGGGCGCGTTCACATCGTGGAACCCAGACCCAGCGAGACCACCGTACCAGCCGCGGTGCCTAAACCGGGCCGCTCGCGTTTGTGTATCCATGTGTGATTAACTATACCTTGTGTTCGGTGTGGGTGGTCGCGATTGGACTGTGTTGGGTCACAGGTCTTCCAGGCGTGGTTCTGGGCGCGAGGTCCCTGTGTACCGGGTTCATAAGAATTTGGTGCTTTACGTTGTTTATGTTCTTTTTGTTTTACATTACTTTACTTGGTGTTCTCGTGGCCTACGTGTTTGATTACTATATTCCGACGACCACACTAATCGTGCGACAGGCAGGATGGCTGGCATGAGCAAGCAGGAGAAAAAGAAGGCCTACTTCGAGCGCCTGACGCACTTGGTCAAGACCTACCCACAGATACTTATCGTCAGTGTCGATCATGTGGGATCCAGGCAGATGGCCAACGTGCGCCACTCCCTACGTGGGAAGGCGGAAATTCTTATGGGAAAGAACACTATGATTCGCATGGTGCTCAACAGCAGCTTCCCCGACTCTGAGGACATGGCCAAGCTGCTGTCATGCATCAAGTTGAACGTCGGATTCGTGTTCTGCATGACCGACCCCCTCGAGATCAGGAAGATCATCCTGGAGAACAGAGTGCCCGCCCCCGCCAGGCAGGGTGTCATCGCTCCCTGTGACGTTTTCATCTCCGCCGGTTCCACTGGTATGGACCCTTCGCAGACTTCCTTCTTCCAGGCCTTGGGTATCTCCACCAAGATTGTCAAGGGTCAGATCGAAATTCAAAATGACGTCCACCTCATCAAGGAGAACGACAGAGTCACCGCTTCCAGTGCCACGCTTCTTCAGAAGCTCAACATGAAGCCTTTCTCGTACGGTCTTAAGATCGAAAAGTTCTACGACAGCGGACACTTGGTCGAGGCCAAGGCCCTGGAAATCACGGAGGAAGACATCCTCGACGTTGTTAAGGCCGGAGTCAGCAACGTGAACGCCATGTCACTTGCCCTTGGATTCCCCACCGCATTCTCCATCAACCACTCGTTGCTCGGCGCCTTCAAGAACTGTGTGTCATTGGCCCTCGAGACCGACATCTGCTTCAAGGAGATGCAGGGCATCAAGGACAGGCTGGACAACCCGGAACTCTTCGCCGCCGCTGCCGCAGCTCCAGTGGCTGCTGCTGCCGCCACTGAGGAAGCCGCAGCTGCCCCCGCCGCGGAGGAGGAAGAGGAAGAAGACGATATGGGATTCTCCTTGTTCGACTGAATGTGCAAGACAATTCACTGCCGTCCGGACGCGCCAAAGGTGTACCGTACATCCGCAGGTGTTTTGTTCCGTGTACTAAAAGTGAGATAGTGGCCTTGAGCCGCGAGCTATCGGAGAAGGCGCTCCCTTAGTTGATAGAGTGCCGTGATGAAACCATTTCACAAACCATTCGCAGTTTCATCCAAGGAAATTGCCGATGAGGAGTTTTGAGTTCTGAGCACTCTGTAAACATGCCATTTAAACAGATAAAGTTCAAAATTTAGCTGTCGTGAGCTGGTGGGGTTGAGCCGGCCAACCCGGTCGTAGCCGTAGTTTTAGCCCGTTCACATCATTCGCACGCGCGATTAGCATCACCATCGGAAATAAATTAATCACAGGTAAGATAGAGCCACGATAATTGCTCATTGACGCGCCGTAGACTGACAAGATGCCGCGCGCTCTCAAGGACCTCAGAGACTACCTCGCGGTACTCAAGCGCCCCGACGCCAGGTCCGTCACCGTGTACAGGAAGACCCGCAAGGGCGGAGTTTTGCTCACCAAGTTCAAGGTGCGCTGCTCCAAGTACCTCTACACCCTGACGGTGCCCAACCAGGCCAAGGCCAACAAAATTGAGGCCTCGATTCCGAGCCACATCAAAAAGTTGGTCGTAGCTGCCAAGAAAAAGTGAACTTCGCATAATCGTCCTTAACCCATACGTGAATTCGTCCGATTGGAGCCGCCCAACCGGTGTGGCCGTCGTGATTCCAGCGATACGCCCATACGCCGGTCTCAGACAGGCGGATAGCGCCGGTTGTGGCTGGTTTGTGGTGTTGCCTCGATGGTGTGTGTCGATTGTTTCGTTTATTTGGTGTTTCGCTGGCTAGGCGTCGCGATTTTGCTGTGAGGCCGGGAACTCCAGGCACTATGTGCTGGTGAACTTCGGTTTCAATGCGACATGAACTTCGCTGCCATTCAGCTGGCACTGAAGTCACCACACGTGTAGTGAGAGTCATGTTGGGATGCATTGTAATATATATTCGTGTTCCCGTGTCTAATTAGTGCCATTACAATTCTCCCATGACACTAGGCGAACCTTCATAGCGATCGTGATACAACACGGCCTATGTGCGTTGTGTAACAGTAATGGCTGGCAAGATAACGCGATCTTTTCCATGGTTAAACGCTAAAAGCGGTCCTTCATGCTGCGCAATTTGCGCATGGCGCCCTCCTCAGTCGACTCCCCGACGACACTCATTAATTCGGCCGAACGCATAAATGGGTTGTACTCCAGTTCCTGAATCACAATGAACATGTCAGTTAGGAGGTGTTTACACCGGATTGTAGCCACAGCCACTTACCTCGCCCAAAGTTGAGGGGACGGTAGGCAGACCCTGAGCCCTGACACGTTCAGCCCACTCCAACTTCTTCAGCACCGCAGGAGATGCTTCCACAGTTTTCGCAAATTGCAGGTTCTTCACCGTGTATTCGTGGCCGCAGAAGATCAATGTCTCCTTGGGGTACGTGCGCAGCTTATTCATTATGTCTAGCATGTTCGCAGCCGATCCCTCGAAAAACCGGCCGCAACCGGCAATGAATACCGTGTCGCCCGTGAACATGATAGGCTGAGTAGAAGGATCGGAAGGGTTGGAGACGAAGTACATCATGTGGCCCACCGTGTGGCAGGCGGCACGTATACCCTTCACCTCGAGAGAACCAAAGCGGATCACTTCGCCGTCCATCAGACCGTGGGTCACGCCAGGCACTGATTCATAAGACGAGCCATACACAGTTATACCCGGAACCAAACGCTGTATTTCCGTGTTGCCGCCGCTGTGGTCGTAGTGCTTGTGCGTGCAAAGCGCAGCGGTCAGCGTCAATTGGCGCTCGCTGGCCGCCTGAAGCACAGTACGCGGCTCTGCGGGATCCACGCAGAATGCATTCTTCGTGCCGTGCTCAACCAGAAGATAGGCGTAGTTGTCCGAAAAGACTGGGACAGGAATCACTTCGGCGCAAGGCTTCTACAAGCATATTGAAAAAAAGGGTCGATAAGTATGAAGCAATAACGGAGGTACTGTCAAATGTAACGTGATACTACCATCGACCATAACAATACGAATAGAGCACATCAATACGTTGATGACTAACCCTAATAATGTCGTTGAACATGTTGCCGGAACTAAGGACGTGATGATTGACTTTGCCAGCAAGTGTCGTGAATCTCGTACCAAAAGAACTTGAGAAAGCGTGTGAAAAAAGAGTGCACCTAGAAATATGTATTAGTGGTGTGTGACGAATGAAGCAGAGTCCAAATACACCGGTTATTATTTGCGTATACATCTCATATCTCAGCCGATCTGCATAAGCCAACCGAGTTTTTAATGCTACAGCGCAGAAAATAACATAATACGTGTTAGCATTAAATTAGGTAAAAATGTTGCGACGAATAATGGCTTATTCGGCGATAGTACAGTGTGATGTCACCAAGGGACGAGTGCGTGAATGAGTTTACGGGAGTGAGACGTTTGGCGACTTATTCAACAACATGAGTTGGCAGTTTTGCTTTACAACGTCTATTATTGCTGTTTCAGATGCGAGAAGGTGAGTTTTCGGATGTATGGCTGCAATGGGTCCTACGACAACGCTAACGACATCGCGGCATTGACGCCATAGAAGACACACGTTAATAACACACATGTGCTACACTACGCCTATACAGGGAAATAAGAGCCTAATGAGCGTTGTTGTATACATATTTTGTACGGGAACATGAAGAACAACTCCCCACACACATCTGTATTACGCGCAACAAAACGACATCCAACTCTAGTGTGTAGCTAATAAACGTCAACACATTTGCACAACACGTGGTAGTATAGTTGTAATGGACATATATGTGAAGGTGTGTACCTTATAAAATCGTCAAGGACTTGTAAACGCCAAGTTTTCGGACTCTGGCATCAGTAGACACAATGGTCGACGTTGGAATCAACATCGCCAACAACCTCAAGGCGAAGAATTTCATGGGCACGTTGAGCATACGCAATGTAAGTGATGCCAATACGTATACTAAGCCAATGAATCGATGTGTAAACATTTTACACATTTGTGTGTACATGTACTTCCATGAAAGCGTCGAAGGCGGGAGTTTCGTAAATTTTACAAACATACAATTCTGATCGTATTGATGAAATATTGGCATTATGTTCGTTGTAAGATGGATAGATGTGCGTTTGTTCCAATTCATGTTTATATATGAACTGGTAATTTTAAAGTAATTTACAATACATATGACGTATGCTGCTAACAATCAGTTTCCTGCCAATTCCATATGTTTGTCATTTCTTTATGTCTCATTGCATGTTGTGAGACTTCTAGATTCCACACAACCTTCATTTTGTGCCTATCTTTAACGGTTCTTGGAGATGTGCATGCTACGGTAATGCTGGCTAAACTCCATTCAGGGACTCTTCTTCATCGCAATTCAACAATTCTTGTTGGGAGTCTCGTTGTACAGCGTCATACATTACCTGCACCCGAGCCTGACCAAGCTGGCGTGGCTCCTGTTCGGCGTCAATGCCATCTCCGCTGTGCTCGGCTTCCTAGGAGCGCTCAAAAGGAGCATGGTCATAGAATGCGTATACCTGGTATTCTACTGCATATCACTGCTGCTTGTGTTTTTGACGGTTCTTGACATGGCGGAACTCGTCCACTTGCTCCCGAAGGCGCCGCAAATAAGGGATGTATCCGACTTCGGAGCCATGAGATCTGCAGCTTTCCTCAGATCGGGGGGAATGAAGCCACATATATTTCTCAGACAGCGCGATATGCCATTAGATTTGGGAGACGACGATTTTTCAACACAAGGATATGATGACCTCGAAATAAATTCTGGTGATGACACCAACAAGCACATGCACGACGAACACACTGCAGCGCCTGCCGACGTAGACATCACACCTTTGGGTCAGTCTGACTTAAACAAACAACCGAAGGTTGCGCCTATTAAACAACAAAGTCAACAAGTTGGGGATGAGATCAGGCGCAATGATTTAACAGCTCCATCTGCAGATGTGACGCGTAACGATGAAGCGCAAAATGTTGACGTAGACCTGAATGATCTTGAAGCCAACGGAAATGCGGCAACAAATGCTATGCCCAAACATGGAAAGGGAAATGAAAATATCCACATATCTAGATCGGCGACAGAGCCTACTAAGGAAATTGTTGGCACCGCTGATAGTGTATCTCCACAACCAGATGTCGCCGCTTCGGTGGAACCTAGTAACGAAGCCAGCACCGAAGACAACAAAATGGATTCGTTTTACGACAGGTTGCCGCTGGTGCCACACCTGGGAGAGACCGAAGGTGAGGCGGAAGAAGTTGCAAAAGAGGAACTGCCACCGGAAACACACGATCTCACACCGGAAGGCATCTCGGAGGTTGTCGCAATTTACAAAATACAAAAGCGACCGCTCAAAATGGCAGCGGCGGGGCTTATAACCATGGCTCTTCTGTTTAACATATACTGCTACTGGGTGGCGGTAACCTTTGTGCTCAACAAGTGCACATGCCTCGACGAGCTGGTGTCCCACCCAGAACAGTTCACGCCACTCATCGACTGAACTGATTTATCGCATCACATGGGCGCCTATATTGTAGATTGGCACTTAGACTGTCATTTTAATATCTGACACTGCATATATTACGGCGGAATCCAAAGTTGCCAATTGCTTCTGGGATCTGTTGTGCGCCTGGTGAATGAGATATGGCATTTAACATTGCAAGTGTATGTTTATGGTGTGTTCTGTGAGCGAAGCGCTTGAATGGATATCGACATCGTAACCTAGAGCTCCTATAATATGGTGCGGACGTTAAGGTATTAGTAGAAACGTGGAGGATCGATAACACCTAGTCATTTGGTAACCATATGCACTAAGCAGTCACAAAACCCAACTCTGCTATTACATTGAAGTTAAAGAGTTATTGCGATACCAGAATTATGAGTGGAACTACCGCTGATCCTCAGATAGGTGCCTCTCGTAGAGGTTGTAAGTGCCTGGGATGCCATAGATGTAGTCGTAGAGTCTGCGGAAAGGCCATACGCCATTCTCCATCAAGTAGTTGGCGAGTGTCAGAAGTATAATTAAGAGAATGATGAATCCAAAAACCACGCCATACACTAAGGCCGGTTGTTGATTCTTCTTGCAACACTCGCATGGACAACCACCGTATTGCTTTTTACAACACTTCTTGTCTGTTGGACAGGGCGTTTGGTCTGGTTTGTTGCACTTACACGTGCATTCGTCATCCATCTTCTCCTCACTCGAATCCAAACCCCCTGCCGAGATATCCACCAAGCACCTGAAAAGTGGGTCACAGTTGGTCGAAGCACCCTTAATGGTCTCTACTAATCAGGACAATTTAGATGTTTAGATAAATAAAAAGGCATAGTTGAAAGTGTTGTAGCACTTGGCGAACATGGACCCACCGTCAATCCGTCGTTGAAGGATACTACGTCATTGCATGCGGCTAATGGCGTTGTCCTTATAAACGTGCACGTTCATCTAATTGAGCGAAGATCTAACTCAAAGATTGTTAAACTACGTTCAATCTCCCCGCAGTTTAATTGCAAAGATTTTAAATCTCAATTATTAGCATTGATTCGCAGTGTTCCAACTCGTCAACCCAACCTGCATTCAGTGTCGGAACAAACAAATATGCGTGCTCAGCTCATCAATTTGTTACAGCTAACTTCTAATTGAATAACGTAAATAACGTGCTTTGTACACGATGCATAAAGGGCGCCTGCCAGCTGTTTCACCTCTACTCATTGCAATATCGTAACTTTAGCTACCTCCTCCTCAGCGATACACTCACCAGGAATATGCGCTCGCATCCTTAAAAATATTCATTCACCTTTGCTGTGGCGCTGCATTCCGCGTGTTCCTCCGCCTGCACCATCAATGCTATAAAATCGTATAACATTTACTGATTTAGTTTTAAAAGCATAATTTGGCGGATACCCTTAAACCGGATTTAGTTCGAATATTCGTTTGGAAATGTGGTTTTATCTCTGTTGAGCAATAAACACCCGCCCGTGGGGGTAAAGATTTGCCTCTCCACTAATGGCAACCTGAATACCTGGCCACGAAAAACCGTTCGGAATGGATAAAAGGCTGGCCTCATGTGCTTATCATACTTTTACAGTGCATCGCAACGTATATTCTGTAACGCTACAGTGAGTCGCATTGGCAGTTGTCAAGTTTATTTTTTTGCGTGTTGCCAGAATTTGCCACATAGCGTACGCTTTGATGGGATTGGTAACCACAAAAACTCGAATTCCTTATGGTAGAACGTTGAGCACGGGAACTTTTATGCCGGTGCTGGAAACGGGATCCGCAACAACAGTCAGTAAACCACGATCTACACAACTCAGATCAATAATTAATCCGAAAAAACGTCGTAATGCGAGGGATTATGTCATAATGAGCAATTATGTGCTCCCTTCTTTACGATGTATTGAAGGTAGCAAGTAAATAACATAGGGTCTGATGAGTGTCTTATTGTTCAGTGTTTTTGTCTTGAGCTGTCTTTTTATCGAAGAGGACAATACTACCGACAAGTGAGAACGTGATCAATGGTGACTTGGCGGTCGACAGTCTCACCATTATACTAATAAGCACAGAGATAAAGTTGCACAGCACCGCCACCGTGCTTCACATAATGCAAAGATTCAGAGCTTGCAACTCTTTTGATCAGCGATGTGTGGGGTAAAGTTTGCAACCTGGAGGAGTCATGCTGTGAGTTTAGGTATTAAGAACCCCTTATCTGTAGTGGTGGTGTTTTGGGTGTTCTTTGTCTGGCTGGCCGCAGAATGCTGAGGGATGAAGTTTTGGTGGCGTCATCGTCCGAGGACCAAGGTACGTGTTTCATCGCTCTGCAGGTTTACGTTAAGTGACATAGGGGAAGATGACGTTGGAGATTCAATGCCAATGTGATGCTGCAGGCAGTTCGACATGTCAACTATTAAATTGTAAGTGTTGTCCCTGGTGTTGTGAAGGATGTAATGTTACAGAATGCGTCACATGTGCTGTAGAGTACGCCGGAGGCAAATCACGCAATGAAACTTATGTATGCGACGACGAATGCGTGACCAAATGTAAACAATGGCAGACTTGTAAATGTACATGTTGTAGAAATAAATGTATTGGCATTGCCATCGGTGTCACCATCGCAATCATCCTCATAGCCGTATGCGTCATGATCGTCTTTCGCATTCGGCCGTTCCACAAGGTCCGCGATTGTTTCGTTCGGAAGTGAACGCTTTTTATCGCATTCTTTAGTCACTTCCGGCATTTTCATAATCGCACTTAGCGCACCGTTTGGGACAGTAACGGCACCTCCAATATGAGAACGTCTTATTTAATGTTTCATAATAGCCCACAGGCAGGTACCCGGTAAACGCTTTCATGTAATACATCGTAGCAGCGCATCAGGTGCGCATTGGTTAGTAGAACGGGATTAACAGAGCTCAATGTACTATACAAATTCATTCGCACCTCAGGCTGCGGGCCTCCCGGCTCTGTCCCGTCTGGTAGCGCCGCGCATCGGCAATCTTAGCAAGCTGGCCCACTTGCAGTCATAACCGTACGTTTATGTGTGATCGCTACGCCACTCAACATCTTAAGTCATCACCTAGCTCACCATCCACTCAACTGGAGACCTAATACCTAATCAGGAATTTGGCACATAATGTAGTTGATGCGTTGAGATGTTAGTTCTCTCGGTTGTTGAGCTGTGGGTTACTTGTGAGGCACGCCAGCGTCGTGTTGTGTTTCAATGCACTGCATCAGCTGGGTGGTCATCTTTGTAAAAAGGTAACGACTGTCATGATAGTTGGACGAGTGAGGCATATGTTACGTGAATTGGTGGTATAAGATTATGATTGTATCTTTGAATGGGCGATGAGCGACGTAATGATGGGTCATATGCTAGGCGTGGCCTGAACATTCCGACCTTTTGGCCACTGCGTGATGTCGTGACTAGGTTTTTGTGGGCGACACTGTACTAAAGACTAAAACTGCAATGCGACAACTTAGCCCATATAGGCACTCATTAGCGTTACCTTAGCGTGGCCTAAGCTGGGTGAAGTTGGGATTTTGTTCGTTGATCCGATACGGTTGAATGAAACATAATCATATTATTACCATGTGTCCACTGTGTATGCAGTGTTGGTGGAGCACGATGGTATGGCCGAAATGCGAAATTATCGTCACGATTGCATGCGCAGGTGGGTGGAAGAATGTGTTCATATCTACGCTTGAGGGGAAATTTGAAAAATCAAGGTAAATTATTAATTGTTGTGCAGGGTCACTTTACAATTGGGATGTAGACGAAGATGTCGCAGACGTGGACAATTGTAGGCGTCGTTGGCGGCACTATTGGTATCCCGCTCCTCGTTGTCTTGGTCCTTTGTATCCGCTGTTTAATAAATAAGCAAGGGATTGGTACAGTTTTCGCCCAAATATGTGAACCTTTCCATGCTTTCGACCATACCACACAACAATCCGCTGTCGCCTCCACTAACATGTCATAGCTCCACGCAGCCCACGTAGTGTTTCTGTAGCGATGACGCATTCAAAGTCAAATTGTAAGATAATGACATTCAATTTGTAGGCATATGATTCATGGTAATGAAGTGCCAACTAATGTTAATTTTGATGATATCCTCGTCGGCCCCCGGGCCTCACTAGTCCGCATCTCACATCATCTGGTTTCTCCAAACATTTAAGGCAAGATGCCTCACAGCCCACCAACAATGGGCACATTATTTCACGAATCCGCATCTTGGCTCACTGCCACTCATACCGTCTTGAACACATGCTATGCCATATTCCTCACTCGACAAGTCATCATCCATCCTTCACCTGCGACACCGTTTTGAGGTCTCACAAACGAGGCTGAGTATGTAGCTTACGTGGCACGCCATACTTAATCCAGACTGTAAAATGAGGTTTACTAGATGCGCAAACTTTTTACAAAGATTGCTATGCTTTTCCACAAAGGTGATTGCAGCAAGAGGTGAAGCATGCATCCGATGGACTGGATGGGGCTGTGTAGGCGGTGTATAATGAGCAAAAAAGCGGAGTATGAAGACTGTGGTGCCAATATTTGGAGCGCCTAGAGGGCTGATCCCATCGACATGGAGAGGAGCATGAATGTTATGATGCACAAGGTGAGCGAGCACCTTAGGCATGTTGTAGGCGAAGTGGGAGTTCATGAAAAGGACGTAGTGCTGGCAATGTTAGATGAGATGACGACTAGATTGCATCATGATTGGTTATGTTGGAGTCTCCTTTGGAGATGGGCTCAAGGCCGATCATACATGTCAGTGAGGGTGTAAGAGCTTGGCTGCAGGGTGTGGAAAGGAAAGATGGAAATGTTACCACGTCCTTGAATGATGCTGCAAGCGTGAGGTATGCTAACATGTCGGTTAGTACGTAATGTGAGCCAATGACCGATCAGGTAGGAAATCGGGAGGGGATTGGTGGTAAACACCTTGAAGAGTCTGAAAAGGCAGAAAAAGCGTTGGGTGGAATTGACAAAAACTCTGGCAAATAAATTATAGTATTAAATTACTGAATTAAGGCAGCATGTTAATATATCTGAACGCAACGGTAAATGATGACATGAAAAGCGTTCTGGGTGCGTTGAGTGACATGTTCACTAAGCAGCGCATTGAGGTGAAGAGGCGTATTCAGATGAAAAATGAGGATGCAAGGAACATCGAATTGCCAGTGTGATAACATTTGCAAAATTATGGAGAGCCCTGAGAACGCCAAAGAGGATAAAATCGAGTCTACCACATGGGCCGTGCAAGCGGCGGAGAGGTTGGACGAGACGCAGGTTAGGACGCCGGTGCCGTGCAATGATTCGAGGAGTGCACAAGAATTAGGGTGATGACTGTGTCGCAACATTAAAATGATATCTGCACTGGACATACAGCAGTGGCACAGCACCGGAAGCACGCTAGAGAACAGGGATAAACAACGTGCCCGCCTCAGGGAGGCGTCAAGGCTGAAGCCTCCGTCCTCCAAATGGATGCAGGATACGTTCTACCGTTATATTATTGTTGAAGATGCAAGGGCAATTTGACATTTATTATAAAGCTGTAATTAGAAACGTCAGCGATTTGATTACAATGCGCGATAATCACGGACGCAGCACTCACGTTACAGTAATACTTCATCTAACTTGTGAGCAGCCACGATTGCATAAGTATGGGCTTGGATGTGTCGGTAAGGCACAAGGCTAACATTAGATAAAACATCTACATGCGCATGCTTTTGTATTATACCCGATGACGCAGTGGATCGAACGCCCAGCGGATGCTACGATTCCTGGTACTCCGGATGCGGCCGCGAAAGCGGTACGCTGAATTACTTGCTATATACAGTTTACAATATTGTTGTTGGTGTTCGCATGCGCAGCCGGCAGGCGACATGTTAGGGGCATCGGCTAAGGTACCGCATCGCCATATCACCGGGACGCTGGAGGCTGAATTCTGACAGTCGAAGTAGGGTGCTCAATCTTGTCTGGAGCTGTTTGAATGAAGTCAGAGGAGATGGGGGAACCGAAGGCGATGAACAAGTGTGGGTGTGATGCACAATGTGGTAAAGGCGACGGGAAGCTCTGCTGCCCCCCCGGTTGCGCACGCTGCGTAAAAAAGCAGTGCAAAGAAAAAGAGAAATGTCAATGTTCTATTTGTTACTGTGGATGTCAGGACGGAGAAAGCGCAGGCAAAGAGTGCAGTGAGCACGGTTGCCCGCACTGCCGGAAAAACTGCAAACCTGGCGAGAAGTGTAAATGCAGTGTCTGTAACTGTGGATGTGCGAACGCTTTTAAGAAAGGTGAGATGTGCTATGACGGCCATTGCCCGGACTGCAAGAAAAAATGCAATGAATCCATAAACGGCAATTGTATATGTCGCCTCTGTAACTGTGGATGCAATGGAGTGATGTGTTGCTGCTGTAGATGGTGTAATCCTAGCACCAAATGCCCGGGGTATTGCGAAGGCAAGGATGAACACGACAAAGGTTGCAAAAAGCACAAAGACAGCACAGCTACAGAATACGATGCAGGCAAGTATTACTGCAAACACGCCCAAGTAGCTGGCAAATGCAACGAGACCAATTGCGAACAGATTGAACACTTTTACCTCGGCAGCAAATGCCGCTCCAAGTGCACAAACTGCGGCAAACTATGCCCCCAAGATGCATTTAGGCGCGGGTGCTATATAGGAGTCCCCATACTTATAGTTTCAGTGGCAATTGTTTTCATCTGTCGTATGTATCCAGAGAAATTCCGCAAAATGTTCTATGGACTACGTGCTGCATTTGTTGACTGGGCTAATAGCTCCGGCGCATCCACGAATCTCGCCGGTGGAAGGATTCACGAGGAGATGGACACCGATGAATACTCCGCCTTCCCGTTTAAGGGCCTGATGTAGCTTCACGCAGCGCACGTTAAATGGCGTATCTCAACAGATACCATTTAAATGTCGCATTAACTGCTATTGTTAATGTATATTTCCCCTTTGCGAGATTGGTGCGTTAAGTGTTGCGTGGTGGTTTACTTGTGGTTGTTATTGCTTAGAGGCTGAATGAGATTGACAGTGTTAGGTGTTTTTTTATGTCGCTGAGAGTCTTGTCGGTGCGGTTCCATATGACCATGTTGTCACCCACAGCCAGCCCACATAGCACACTCCAGACACGTGACATACAAAGTCATCTTACTAGAGTCCATCGGCTCCTCATATTTTGACGTACACCTTGGGGAGTTGACTCAAAAACATTTTCTAATTTTCCTATTACCATCGTCCCCCTCTGAACCTCGTCCGTGCACAACCCACATCATCTGGTTCCTGTAAACATTAAAAGCAAAACGCCCCAAAATCAATATCCAGTCAATCCCCTATCTCATCAATGCGCACCCACATCCACTTCCGCCACTGGCTTTTTGACCACATGTCACGCCACTCCCCTCACTCCTGCCGTCGCCACCCATACCTCACCTGCGACGCCTTTATTAAGCACGCTCTCATCAACCTTAGAGGCGACATCAACTCACTAATTCGCAACGAAGTTACTCACTTCCTCGACAATTTGAAGCCTTGGTTGGCAACCTCTTAGCTCACCTTGAGCAAGTTAGTAAGACGCTGTCAGCTGCGTTGTGGAGTTGGATAGGTGGATCAGGGAGGCTGAGTACATTGTTGCAATACCCATGAACATGGCTAAGGATATCTACGCACAACTTTATGAAACAGGAAATGTAAGCATAATCTTCACACCGCAGTCACTACTGTTGCAAGCATCTTGGCAGTGTCTTGGTTATCCGGAAGCAGTGACGTCTCCTTAGAGGGATTATCGCTTTAGTGTCTCCTAGTTAACCATTTAAAAGCCTTCACGTGTACTTTTGTACCATTAGACTAGCACCCATTTATTAGTGTCTTTGTGCTCTTTGCCTTCGTAAGTAAGATGGCGGGGCACGGAGTCAAGTTAGACACCCTAAAGGACTGTCTCATGTTCCTGGAGTGGTTGAATGATAAGAAAGGTATGCAGGGCCTGGTGGCCAAAGAGCTGTGTGATCGTATTAAACAATATTATCAGAAGGAGGCAACAACTCTTGCTGTAGACGTTGAAAAGGGCTTGTCCCCGTTCCTCAACAAGGCCTCAACGTTCTATAATAAGCTGGCCACAAATGCTGTTGCCGGCAATCATGATGGTAAAAGCGCAAAGGAAGTCACCGATGCGCTTCTAGAGTGTCTCCCGAAATTTCTTGCCGCCATTTACTTCTTGCAGTACTGCATCAATAATACCTTCAAAGAGCTGGGCGGCGGGGGGTGGCAGTATGACTGGCTAGGATACGATGGGGAGCAATGGGACTGGAGTCGGTTCAAGTATGTGAGTGGCGGTGACCTTGCTAAATATCTCTACGCGAGAACCGACGACCAAAAGTACAGCCAAATCCCCGGGTTGATACCAGGCGGGTTCGGTAAAGACGAGGTAAAGCAGGGCTCTTTGGGGTCTGGCTACCCCCAGGGAACTCAAATGTATGTGGACCTAGAAGCCATTGTAAAAAAGAACCCCTACAATTTCTTTCGCAGCGTCTTTGTCAGTTCCGCCATTGGAGAATCAGCCAATCGTAACGAGAGCACGGCTAACGCTCTCTCGCTGGTGAGAACCTTTTGCGACATTGTTCTTGGGGAGAAAGACAAGGAAGGCGGTAAGTTAATAGCCGCATTAAATGCAGATCTAAAAAGTCACGTGTATTCATCCGGCAAATCCATTTGCTGGAAAGACTTAAGAGCACATTGCGATATGCTTAGAAAACAATTTGACAGATTTCTCGTACATAAAAGCTTTGACTTCACAGGACAGTCGACGGATACCAAGCATCTGAATAAAGAGGAGTTGGCGAAGAAAACAGCGGATTGGTTCAGAACGAATCTGATCCTTGTGCGGGGAAAATTGAATGATATTAAATCATATGAAGCTTCGAGTAAGGATCTTGGTGCATACTTCACAAAAAACCTCTTCCCCTACGGATTCACATTTCATGGACAAACCCGCTTTGGAATATCGGAAACGGATGCAAACAGTTTAGCAAAGGATCTGTACACTGTAATCAATGAGCTTCAGAGAAGTGGCGGCGATTTGGAGAGGCTTGTGGAGATTCTGAATGGTGAAGGAAAAACATGTAAAGAGCCTGAGCCTCCACCTAAAAAGCCTGAGGTGCCGCCTGCCAAGGATCATGAAGGAACTCCCAACCAAGGCAAGAAAGCTGAGGGAGCACAGAACCAGGGCAAGAAATCTGAGGGCGCACAGAACCAGGGCAAGAAATCTGAGGGCGCACAGAACCAGGGCAAGAAAGCGGAGGGAGCACAGAACCAGGGCAAGAAAGCGGAGGGAGCACAGAACCAGGGCAAGAAAAGTGAGGGAGCGCAGAACCAGGGGAAGAAAGTGGAGGGGACTTCAGATCAAGATACTGGTCAAGGTCGAGATGTGTCTTCAGGTTCAGCAAGTGGAGACTCTGCTAAAACTCCGTCTCCCGGTGCTCCAGGCCCGCCGGGGTCTACTGGCGATGAAGGACAGCAAGGGATTACTGGTCCAGTGACTCCGGCATCTACTCCGGTTCCAGGTTCCCCAGTTCAAACTCATGACCAAACTTCGCCTAAAGGGCTTCCAGGCATGTCAGTTCCTCCACCTCCGCCGCCCCCTCCCCCTCTTCCTGGAGGCCCTGGCATCCCTGAGTCCACTAGTCAGCCGGGTGGTACGGGTCAGGGTTCAAAGGGCGGTGATGCTTCAGGTCAACAGCCTGGTGCCTCTCAAGGTAACGTGCTTACTCAGCCTACAAGTGCTTCAGGTCCAAGCTCTGTGTCAGCTGGTGGCCGGGGGGCTGTGTCAGCTGGCAGTGGAGGGGCTGGTCAACAAGGTAATCGAGATGTTACTCAACCAACAAGTCAAAGCACCGATCACGATTCAAGCGGCGACGCTAATACGTCGGATGCCCCGGCGTCTGGTGGAGGGACTCAAAGTCCAAAGTGTGCCAAGGACTTTACGCCCGTCACACTTTGGCAGGGTAGCGGTACGTACTGTGTTAGAGATGCAAAGTCTCCTGTCCAAAATTACTATAAAGATAATGATACCACCAGTCAGCAACTCTGGGAGGACTATAAGCAGCGTGAAATATTGCCGCTGATTGAAGAAAAAATAAAAGCAAGGAGGCGTGAGAAGGAAGAGGAGGAACGCAAAAGGGAAAACGAGCGTCAACTTAAATATCAGTCCATGCTTCCAGAGATTGGAGTACTATACAAACCACGAGAGTCCTCGCAGAACCTGGAGGAGGCGTATCGTACGGCTGTGCAGAATAAAATGAAAGATGCAGCGCCGAATGTGTCTCTCGAGATCACTCGGCGTACAGGCGCTTATGCAAACAATCATGACGATGGAGTAACGGCCGATGTAGATGAACCGTTGGCGTTCGACATTGCCAAACCGGATCCCTTAGACCTTAGCAAGTACGTTGTTTTGGATATTGTCAAGCCAGACCTGTTGGAAGAGAAAAAACCCGTAGCCTCTGATCTTTACAAGTCAGTGGCGTTAGGGGTTAAGGGGAGAAGTGAGGCAGATGGGTTTGACAATCCAGCGGTGGCTATTCTAGACGGGCAAGATGCGCTGGAGGACCATGTACCTGTGTTGCAGAATCCACAGGAGGCTGAGAAACAGGAAATGCTCGCGCAGCAAGGTAATGCCTTAACTGGAACAACCACCGATAACTACCAAGGTATAAGTGCGTTTAAACCTCGGCCAGGTGCCCATCCCATTGGGACGTTTAGTGGTAATGCGTTATATAAACTAGATACACCTAACGCAATGCCACTTAACGTAGAGTTTACGGGCCAGGCAACTCCAAACGCCCAAGGCATACAGAATTCTACGCCGTCCGGGTTTTTCGCTGCCATTGGCATACCTAAGGGCCGGCCGTTAAAACCAGCGAACTATGTCCGGGCTTTGCCGCCCGTGTCGGACATCACAGGCAAGAGTATACCTGATCGTGATCTAAATGCACGCCTTCTTCCTCCTTCACCAATTGGTAAGCACCCTGTTCCCATAATGCAGCCTGGTAAAAGAGAACAAGATGTGGACCGTTACCAGCCTGCCGTTATTCGCAGAGACCTAATTCGTCCCAAATTCCCGACCATTGTTGAGTATATCGATGATCACCCGGGGCTTATGATCGATCCAGGCATCTGCCCTGCGTCTTATGGAAATTCCGTCCTACCCGTCGGCCGAATGGTACCGCCTACAGATTATTTCAGTCCATCACCTAAGACGGTGCGTGAAATGCTGTGCTGGCTGAGCGATCTGCCTGGTGCGCCGGGGTACGCCGCACTGACACAACACATTGCGGGCTTCTTTGACCGCTCCAAGATTATTGCGCCGCCCGCATCTTTCTCAGACAATGATTTTATGGTTACTCTGTCTGACACGTGCTGCCACGCCAGCGCTGTCCTTACGGGAATTCATGGGTCCAAGCCTCCGGACCTATCGCAATTCCACTATGAACGCTACGACGTTCCATTGATGCACTACTCCGAAGATCCCTGCACGATGCTGTGCCAGTTGCTCAGTTACGTTTATGCGGCGTGCCATCAGTTATCGTTTCTCCGCACTCAGTGCAGCCGGGACACGCACTCTGGTGGATGGCGTGACTGCAAGTTTGGTAGAGACGTGAAGGTCTCTAAATCATGGAAGTGCTCCAAATCTCCGGTGGATCCTACGAAATTGAAGGGTCACGGCTGCGACGCCTCCCCGCTGCAAGGCTTTCTCACCGACCAGTCTGTGCTGTCAACCTACTGGTATCAGAGGGGCAATATATGCCGGCGGAGCCGTGTGAAAATGGGCTTTCTTCCGCACGATTTGCGTGAAGAGTCCAAGCATGGATTCTACATTTATCAGATTCTGAAAGGCCTGTGTTACAATGCCGACCAACTGGAGAAGCTTTGCACATACCTCAACTGCCTCACCAGGCGGACGCCGCGCACCACAGGGGAGCTTGTCTCGTTCTTTCACAATTTCGGGAATTCACTGCACAAGCCTCCATCAGAGTTGTCCATGCTGGGCTCCGCTCTCTCCGCTCCACATGAAAACTGCCCCAAGTGGGACTCTCTTGCTGCCGACGACCTCCGAGTCATCAAGGACGCACCTGGTTACGCCCCTTCCAGCTCCAACCACCAAGATCATCCCGATACCCTGTCCACGCTGCTTGGTTGCGGCATCAATAATTTAAAGTGCTCACAACTTATGAAGCCCATCACCTACCGGGCCTACACCCTGTACTCTTCCAGCTTCGTACACCACTACCTCAGCTGGGCGGTGTACCTACCCGACAGACTTTGGGAGTCGTTGGACAGACTGAGCAGAGACATGAAGAAGCATGATAGCGTAAAGTGTGCATCCCTTCATAACTGCGCCGACGCTCTGCCCCTCCTCTACTCTCACGGGTTCACTCCGCCGGACGGGACTCCGCAGTCGCCACTCACGTGTTCCGAGGTCATCGTCAAGCTGGAGGAAGTGGTCTCCGGAAAGCCTATCGCAAGGCTCATGACCGCCATGGACAATTTCCTCTACAGAGTCCGGGAGCCCTTCTTCTATACTCTGCTCACACTGTGGTCTGCCGCGTTCCTCGTCCTAGCTCACACGTTGCTCTACCGCATCGACGTATTGCGCATCCGCTCCCACCTCCTCACCACCAGGGCCTCCCACCTCATCGACGTCAAGGCGCTGCTCGCCGGCAGCCGCAGGATGCTCTCACTCTACCACGGCGTCGACTACTTCGACGACGACCCAATGGGTCAACATGATATCAGATAGTAATTATCTCATATACATAATTCGTTACCTTGTGTTATCTGGTACTAGCGTGGCGATTATTTTGTGTTAAGCCTGAATATAATACAGTAACATCCAGGACACAGACGAATCAGGTGTACTTCTAATCTTAGTGGCCTTGTAGAGCCGCGATTTACACCCCCCCAACTAACTGGAGACATATTGCCTAATGCAGTAGACACGATAAGTGGTTACTTAGCCGTTTGCGAGCCGTGATGTAAACATGTGGCCTCATCCCACGTTGCCTGGGGGCTATGGATCTAAGTTAGTGGTCATCCACGTCAGCGTCTCAGGAGTGCCATCTTATGTGACGTGGCTATATGTCTGCTTAGCAATTCTATGCAACGTTAGCGCTTTGGATAGTGCCATGTAATGTTCTAAGGCGTGCTCATGGGAATAGGAGAGGTGCCGGGATATTGCCCGACTCTATGACCACGGGACGCCGTTGGCTCCCTAAAATACAACTCGCGACCCATCATAAATTCACAAACTCCGACTCATCGATGCAAATACACTTACATTTCAATGATTCTTATGTGGCATTCCTGCCTGAAGCTTGGATACTGCAATGACATGCGTTATGCACACTGCATGTCACGTCAATGGTATGAACCTGCCTGCGATAGGATTTTTTTGATTGTCATCGTACATCTATCGTACGGATATTTATGGTGTATCATACCGCACTTTTCCGTAGGTTCGCACGTGTTAAGTCAGCGGCACCTTTCCTTGTCTGCCATTACGGCAGCTGTTTGCAAAGCTGGCCTATAAATTTACGAAAAACCCACGCGTTCGTAGCAGCAACATACTTTAGCAGATTTATACAAAATGGTATACACTTCGCTGACTGAGGCTCCTCGCAACCTCAAGGAGGGTATCGACTGGCTGATGGCCGTGAAGGGAACTGATGGCGAAAACAACTTAAAGGCTATGGGTGCCGCCGTCTACAACTTCCTCGCAGACAAGCCTGTTGGCAAAATGGAGGTGCCAGCTCTCGAGGAAGTGAAAGTTATTACTAAGGAGTTCCTGGAGCAGAAGGAGTTTGAGGACGGTTATTTTTTAAACAAGTTGCTGGACAGATTCAAGAAGCGTATGAAGAAACAGAAACCCGGATTTTTCGCCAAGCACTTTGACTATGTCTATAAAAGCGATTATGAGAACATCATACAGACCGGAGGTGTAACTGCAGACGCCATGGTAAAGAACGTGGCTAAAGTGGTGCGTGTTACCGAGAGGTTCTTGAAAAGTATCCAAGTAGCTGACAAGTACGAGTCTGCTTACAGTTCGGAAGCGACATGGGATGCGTCATGCGCGAAGGACCCGGAAGCTTGCGCAATTGTTCTCGTAGGGATTGCGCCGATGCTGCACACGGGCATCCTTTATCTGCAATATCGGTGCTTTCGTGCAACAGAATCAGGTGGGCCGGGTTCTGTAGAGGAGAAGCGTCTTGCAAATGCCTTGGAAGCACTGGGTTACAAGAAGTCTGAACAAAACGTTAAAATGGGTGTTTCAGATATACTCCGGGCGTTCAGCTGCGTGGGTGTAGAATTATTTGTCATACTCCACGACCTCGCCGGGTTTTGGGCTTTCTATTGAGTAGGGGTTGCAGGTGCTGTAAAATCGGCTTGCCATAAAGATTTTGCGTCCAGGTCCACAGTGGTGAAAACATACGATGCTTCACGAGGTAATACCACTTCTGAATTGTGGTGAGCCATTATGATGCGTTTGGTCTTCACCCACAATACGGTTGCCGAGGAATGAGGGCAAACAAGGTTCTAAATATCTATATAATCGAATTCAGGACAATATTCAGCGTGTCGCTCCCTAGCGTCGTACGCTTCAATATACGTGCGGCAAGACCAGACAGTTGATGTCTGGAAGCCGAATCTTATTAGTCACATTTTACAATTCAACCGTATTTCCGGCTTGGGGATTAGCAACCATTTGACGGTACGGGCAATCCACTATTGCTCTTATATTGTATGATAAGATGTCACATAAGCTGTACTAATATTCTAACTGAGATATATTTTTGATAATTATGTTGTAATGAATTCACTATATGAACAAAACACGCGCAACGGCGACCCGTTGGCTGGCTTGGCGCGTCATTTTGCGTTAAAGATGGTGCTATAAATTAAGTGCCTGAGTCCAATAAACGCGATGTTGTGATGTTTTAATGATATGCCACCCAAACGGTGTCTAACCTAGATCGGTGTTGCAAAAATTATTTTGTCGCAGGTTGGTGCATCAACACAGGGAAGGTTGGTGGAAATGTATTTTGTCAGCCCTATACTTATTTACGATGGCGCATAAGAACATCAGTGGACCGTTTAGCGTTTCATAATATTTGAGGACATCCCTACAAGTTCCTCTAGGTATAAAGTCTTTAACGTTATATCCCATAGATGCAAATAAGTCACCTACTGCACGGCTGCCGGCGCCATTAAGTTTGCTGTCTAAATTTAACCATCGCTTACACTCACGCTTTATCAAATTGAGATTATTGTAGACACGGATGAGTAATGAGACGAAAACTTCTGCACATTTATACGGATTCCCGACACAAGAATTTCGCCAAGTAGCTGTTTTGTCGTATGATTCAACATACGTTGACTCCTTTGTGAGGTTTAGTATAGTCAACTGAATTCTCGTTGAAACTTGTGCAAGGCAACGATATAAGTCACTACGCTTGACCTCTCTTGCACTAACATCCATAAAATACAACTTCATCACAAGGTTCTCAATCCACAAAGTTGGCTTAATGAGCACATCATAATCCGCCACATGGGTGCTTCCTGTAATTTTTTTACTTTCAGCATCAATATCCTGACAATTGGTTTTTGTGTCTTCCGAGCATACGCTGGTGGACATGTCGCCCTCCTTCATGCTCGCTGTTTCTGGAAGGACAGGCGTACCATGCAATAATAGGGTGTACGTAGCCTTTGCTAGCATGGGTATTGCGCTGCATCTCCTGACTGCCACTATCCAGTCAAGTGACTCCTTCAGGTTTGAAGGAGCTTCCAGAAGGCTGAAGTGAACAGCCATTTTCAGAAGAAGGTGGTAAAACAAAACTTTGCTTCAAGAAATATACTGAGTAGCATAGCTTTCGCGGGCGTTGACTTTAAATAACAACTTGCGCAAGAGGCTTAGAGACGCACCAATCTAAAGGGGACACTGTAGTAAAATAACCCAAAATAGCAGCATACAGGTGAAGGTCCTGATTGATACGAATAGACCCTATGAATCCACGTGGCTACAGAATACTGTAGCGTTAAGCAAATTTGTTTTGTGATTAATGGGAAGATGGATATTACTTAGACAGTGGGCGTCTACGCCCGTCTGCAATGGGCACGTCTGTTTCAATACCCGACTCTGGTGTCTCTATTTAAAACAAGTACAAAACCTCTGTATTCCTATCTGGTGTGCAAAAATTCAGGCTGCTGTACGTTGTATCGTCGGAGCGATGTATTATACCATCGTAACACATATGATTTGGCATTGTATATGAGACTTAACGCATAAGTGTCGCGATATTTTCTCTGCGTATCTAATGTTTAATGCCTGTTCAAGCATTTTTTGTGTGAATGGTTATAGCATCATACGCATTTGGCACGTCATTTTGACAAGCACGTGACCATGCAGACACACCACGTAATACACCGCATACTTCAACGTTGTGTCGCGTAAATATATAATTGTTCCTATGGTTTTCGATGCGCTTCTTAGATAGGTTCCATACGGTGCGACGGGTTACACATTGTACTAGCAGAGGGTTTGTCTAGTCCGTTATTATCGCGATTTCACCCGGGCTCAGATCGTTATCTAGTTTATGGAATGCACTAAATGCATAGGATTATGGTAACTATGGGTGTAAGTCTTTTATATCTCTGGACGCGCTATTGCCATGTCTTAGCCGATCACAGAAGCTGGCGCCACTCTTGTAACGGTGAAAACCTGCTACGACTGGCACAAATCTAGCGTATCAAGGCGCTGCGTCTACTGTTGGCCGATGTGTTACAAATGGTCTGTCTGTTTTGTGTTTATTAGCCACTGAATTGACATTGGATGTCGCATGGCCGCATATACGATGAGTGGGCTGTGTGAAACTTAGAGACCATTGGACGATTGCGATTCATTAGGTATCATACGCCGAATTTAATCCTCCGATAAGTACCGGAACGGGAGAAAGTAATATATAAGGCCAGTGAACACGACGCCCACAAGGAATCCAGCAACATCAATGCATACAGAATGCCTCTGCAGAGGGACATTAGGACTGAATTCCTTTTGTACCATCCCCGCAAAGGGATGAACAACGCGCCCGGAAGGTGGTAGCAATCGGGGAGCGCGATGACATAGTTACAGCAGCACCTATATAGAGTAATGTATTTGATGTTAGGATTAGTTGTTTAATAATCTGTGAAATATAAAATGATTGTCAGGGACATACGCTGAGTATGCATGGCATATCGAATATCTATGGACCCACCTCACACTCTGTTGCATCCAATGTGTAACACGGTTATTAGCTTCGTGTGACGCAATGTAACATACGGTTTCGTAAAAATACAAAACCTTGGATTAAACGTTGCAACATCTTATACTGAACGCGGTGTAAGGAATATAGAAGGTGCGTCATCGAGTTAGAGGACGTAATCACATAACTTACTTTTACAATAATGAAACTAAGAATTCACCGAGTAATCAAGCCGTTATATCAATGTTGAATAGGGCGTTGCCTAACCGTTTCCATTGAGCTAAAAGTAAAACGGCCCCTTGAACGTCGATATTTGAAAGTAATTGCACAGCGTAGCTGTCTCTACCAACAGTTAAATCGTTGTCACCCTATGCTTCAAGGTTTAACATTGCCGCCATCGGTTGTCGTTGACTATGTCTATTAGCAAATATACCTATGTTGTCACGTCGATTCTTTCGCTTCACACCTGCGACTGGTTTCTTCCGTTGCAATGGCCGGAGAACAAAGGATCAATAGAGGCATAGGGCCATGTACGGCGTTTATCAAGTGTATAGTTCTCGTGTATGATGGCATATCTACCGCTGCGGAATAAAGCCCTGCAGTCAATTCCACAATTCTGGATACCTTGGCCTTATGTGGGACATTGCTACTGCGCTATTACAAGGTCGTCCTCATCTATCATTCAGGGACATTCCGAAGATTGTCATGTCTGTTTACTTTAGCCATTTAACGAGTCAATCGCACTCTATGTCGGGGTTTTGGTACAGCTACAACGGCAGCATCGCTTCACTCACTTTTCACCGGACATTGTCATGTCCGCAGCTCGAAGATGATCACTCAGTTGCGACACATTTACTGCCAGACTCTACGCATTACAGTGTCCAAATGTACATCATACCGTTGAATTTAACATGGATGGGTGGGTGCTACTACTGGGTTCTTCACCCCGGTTTATTGGCGTTTTGGCTTCTTAAAAATCGATTCATTTCAAGTATGAGCATCCAAATTATATTTATCGTAGACGGGAGAATAATTAGCAATGTTCCTGCAAATAATTCACCCGCTGTCAAATGTGCCGTGATGCCTCTGTGGTTACCCACCCGCCGCCATCGATGGGATGGTAAAAACGGTAGCAGGTTTTCTTATACTGTCGATCCAACGACAACAGTGAGTTTATTCATATATGTGCTGTGGTAATCAATAGATATTAAAAGGGAGGTATAATTTACTTGTGCGGCATTTGCCTTCTGCAGGAATGACGTACATGGGTAGTTGAAAGTGTGGCAAAGTAACTGGACTAACGTCATGTGAAACGCCAACTTCACGCTATGACTAAATATGGGAGATATAGCAACGATGGTATCGTACGCTATTATAAAATAGACAGATAAATTTCTTTTGACTACCTTCTACTGATACGTGGTCAGGTCGAGGTGGTGGATCATCTTATAGGCGTGTGAAAGATGTTACTGTTTGCGTATGTGAATTGTCAATGAATGTCGCCGGGACTCTTCGACGTGATGGCCTAGTTAAGTGGCATTTGTGGTTAACATTGTGATAAGCCTTGAAGTCGTAACCCCGGACTATACCCTTGCACCCACTTCGTCGGGCGCCCCGCAAACTTAGGTACTCACTTGTTTATCATCCCCAAAACCTTGCAGTCCACGTTCACACAGTGACAATCTTACTGGAGTATTGACGCTTCTCTCTGGTCGAATGTAACTGAGTGTAATTCGATTCAAATTGTGCTTGCAGCCAACTCACCAATACATGTGCTAACCGTTGAGATCAATGGTGTGTAAAACGTGAAACCTTCGGAATCACGCTCACAAAAGCACACCTGGACGCCAGTCTAGATGTGTATGTCTACTTGAAGAAGCATTATCCAGCTAACTTGCGTTACTGATTACTCCGCGAGATGGGTTCTCAAAAGCAAAAGGGCCAGACGAACTCGTCGGCTTAAAAGGGACAGCCAACCAATCTGGCAAGGCCTACTTCTACCGGTGCGGACAAGGATAGACAGAAGTCGAAGAAGCCGTCGTGCAAGTTACCAAAAGGTTTATGTGTGCTTTCAGTCATTCTTTTTTTCATGCCGGTGGTTGTTGACTACGTGGATTTTAGTGTTCTACAAGGAATGTTACTGCTCGTTGATTTCAGCAGAGCTCTTCTGATTGCCGGTTTTGTCTGTGAAGTTATCTTATATTTCATCGCTACTGCCTTCGCAATCGTCCCCGTGGCTATCGTCTGGGAAACTATCGAGCATATGTATGGTATCGGAGCAGATGATAATTCAGACGCGTACGATGGCAGAGACCAGTTTCCGCCTCAGGATTCACATCATTCCAAGGATGACTGGTCTTTCTAAAGAGTTTTATCACCGCGGGAATCATTACATCAGGGTGGTGGCATGGGCGCTCCCTGTGACTGGGCATGTCCAGAGGAAATACGGTTGTACAGCATACATATACGCTATCTCAATGTCTGTGCTCCCTCAACCCGTGCGCTCTACGCTTCCTTCCAGTGACCACTCATGTAATCCAACTAGCCTGCAACTAGAAAACAATGAACTAAACATGTTCGTTGTATAATTGATTTGAGGCGCAATGTAGGTGGCCACCCATGTTATCAACTGGTGAGCGCCATGCCTGCTATTGTACTGAACCATCCTCCGAGCGCGTGTAAGACACGCGAGTGATTGTTCGGGCGCCAACAGTGTGTAAAGTGGCGCTTACATGGACGACATTCTGTGAATCAGTGGCAACTTAATCCAGTGCGGTGGACCACGTAGACAGGAGCCATTACATCAGTAGCGTGGCAGGTGGAGGCGGTATTAAGGCGGCGTGACCTGAGCTGAGTATAGCTGAGTGTTTGTTGTTGGATGAAACGTAGTTGTGTAATGTTATCGTCATTATGTGAGCTATTTGACTCGTCAACCCATGTGGTGGTTATGGAGGCTCATGGTGTGTCAGCGACGGGATCTGCAATCACGCCTGGCGAAGCACCGGTTGCACGGCGCCTTGTATGTGTGCAGATAAACTCTCTATGACACAGCGTTGTTAAAATGGCAGCGAGTGCGGATACGCAGTCCCTCCATCACCAAGGTTTGTTTCGTGGCGTGTAGTCGTGTCGCAAGGGGTGTTCGTGGCTGAAGTCCTCAGTTTCGGTTCATTTTGTCATAACTGTGCAGGGACAAATGTACGGCATGAGCAGTTAGAGCAGATTAAGCAAAAACTGGAAAACGGTCGACAGGAGCTTAAGGAAAGACTGGAAAAGGTTTGGGAGCCGATGGTAAAACCGCTGCGAGAGCTTTGGAGTGATATTTGCTCGGTTCTGAAACTGGAGAAATGCTATTTGTTGTGTAAGATCACTAGGAATGGTGATGGTAAAGGGTGCAACTATTATTGCATCTATGTTATCTCTGTCCTCCTCATACTACTCATCGTAGTAGCATATTACATACTACGGAGCCCGCTAAGATTCTTCAAGGGCTTGTTTTGTTGTTTCTGCTGATCCAACCCTACTATCTCGTGTTCCTATATGGGCCAATAATATCGCATAGCCTCCCCGCAGCCACGTCACATCCAGTGCAACTGTGCTAGCACTTGTAGGAAGAAAATGTGCTATAGTTTTTCATCACAGACAAGCCACTTACGAGCCCGGCTTACTATATCGCAACCGGTATACGTTAAAAACACAAACTCACCACGTGGTGGCATCACGGATTTACCCAAGTATGCAGCACGCAGCGCCACTTCATCAGTGTCCACACTTAATACTATGGTTATGATCCCACGTGTTTGTGTTATACGCACAATTTTCTGCATGGTCTAGAACGAGCGTTGCGCTATATTGCTCGTTGAGTACTGGATCCATGCGCATTGCACATAAGCCCACGAAGCCACTTTACGAACCGTTGCCTCATCGCTGCCACCGGCTTTATTGATACCCTGACTTATAGGCGGAGTGGTAACGCTGCTTCCTTATTGGTGACCGTGGGCTGTGCTTTCCATGACCAGTTTTTGCAATTTAGGTGAGCATTGCACGTACCCTGCAATCCCTCTGCAAATGGTGAACACACATGAAGCCAGTTAACCAACGTCCGAAGAACGTTGCGTATTGGATGCTTCAGTTGGGAAATTGTGAAAGAAACTTCGGCGCTAGCGTCAAATGGTGAACCCAGGAAGTCTAAAAAAACCATATCCCGATCACCTTGTGTAACAACCGCCAGACACTGTCATTCACCAATATGAAATACGGCATATGTATTGCATAATGTAAATATATAGCACTAGAGGCTGCAGCTGGTTGAACAAACCTGAGGGCTAGAACTCACATACAAGCCAATCTAGTGAACATATATAACATAATGCGTGAAAACGAATAACACGCAAATAATGCGGTTTAACAATTGAAATATGCTATTCTCTAGTACTTACGCTGAACGTTAGCAATTCGAAGAACTGAACAACCGGTGTCTACATGGATGTATAGAGAGGGGTCCAAAGGCAAACATCAGTAACAGCATGTGCAATCAAACGGGCACAAATCGGTGTCTCCTCCTTTTCCTGTAATGTAATTAGAGCCATTAAAACACGTGTATTATACGCTAGTCATAACTTACCGATGTTAAGCTCCTCGATGGTATACACAGGGAGGTTGTCTTCAGTTCGCCGACGAGCGGTGCCAGAAACAGGCACCTGAGCATACACCTCGTCCTTTCTTGACCTACTGCTCGAGGAAGACGTTTTTTTGGCATCGCTTTTGGGAGCCTTAGTTGTTGTTCGAGCGGGAACAGCGGTAGTAGGTTGCCCTTTTAGGGACTTGAACATATCATTCAGCTTCTTCTTCTCATTTTTGTATTCGCCAGATAATTTTGAATTGCTCTTAGCAACCTTCTTGCTCGTGGAACTGGCGTCGGCAGCGCGCTTTTTGGCCATCCTATCGGTGCCGCAAATACATCGCCGACATGGAAACCGTAGCAGCTAGAATGTATCCTCTTACGCTTTAAGCATTATAGTTAGCCGGTGGTTAGTAAAGTGGTTCTGTAGGGAACCTCATGAACACGTAAATGGAAATGGAGGTGTGCGCGCCATCGGGCCAGCGCTAACAGACTTCGAGGCCTTCCATACACATTACTGCTCACTGCACCTGGGTCCGTGAAGATGCTGCCATAATGGTCAGGCTGCTCTTCTGGATGTCCTTGAACCAGGAGTACAACGAACTCATCGAACCGGAACTGGAATCTCTAGCCGAACTGCACGGAATAACACCAGAGCAGCTCCAGCTCAGTCACTACAGGGATGTAGACGGGGATTCTAGACAAAATGTTGAAGATAATGAATTCAACCTGAAGTTCAACGACTACTATACTGCTCTCGTACGGGGAGAAGATATCGATGACAAAAGGATCAGGAAAAGCCAGCAGAATGTTTTCTACTACGCAACTGTTCCATCAGAGGAACACGCTATCGCAATGTTTGATCGCTCCATACAACTGAAGGCTATCATTGACGTAGGTCAGACGAAAGTGTTGCTAATCTGCGCAGGTCTGGACAGAAGGTCAAAGCTACTCAAACATATTGCAGAATATAAGAAGGGAACACCAACACAATGTCGAACAGACGCTGGTTGGCAAAAGCTGGTGCGTCAAATATAACTGCTTCAATTCGAAGAATGACACGGACAAGCTGGTGGCAATACTGGAGGAAATGACAGAAGTATTCGAACGCGCCGGGAAAGTCGACATCAAAAATCCAGAAACAAAAATCGCCATAGTAGAGGTTAGTAGCGCAACTGCATTATGTCTTGCCGTTTTTCGAAAACACGGAATCGTGGGCATTTCTTCAAAATCGCTGCCACGGCGACCCTCGGTACCGTCTCTGCAAGGCCTTGGTGTCTTGTAGGATATGCCACAAACAATAGTGTACATATTACAAAATCTCGTATTGCAAATTCACGTTTTCTCAGAATTATTTTGATGACAAATCGAGAAACCTGAGAACCATATATTTCGGGCGCTATCTGCGTGACCGCAGCGACATCGGGTACTGGTGGGACCATTATGCGCTATCAAAGCGACCGATACTCGCGCCGACAACTCTAGAAAACATGCTTGCGTTCATTATGGCCAATTTGGTAAGTCGCAGGGCACTCGTATACTGTGGTTGCGTGGCACTAGAGAAGCAGTTCACATGGTAAATTGATAATGGTGATGGAGTACAACGGCGCGTATGCCCAGATCCATGAGATATCTTTTCTATGGGTGTAATTCTGAGCGTTCTTCATAAAAGAGTAGGCTCTAGTGAAGAAAGGATCCGTTGTGCTAGATCCATTCGCAGGGTCTGCGGGTGCGTTAATAACGGCGTCGCACTTCGGGTGAGCGATAGAGCCGCTGGCAAACACATCAATTGTATAGAGCTGTATGTTTCGGGAGCGATATTGATATGCGAATACTCAAGGGATGGGGAGTAATGCACCATAATCGCAATCTGCCCCAATCAGGTAGGGAATTATCAAATATGAAAACAAACATAGCAGACCTGCCGAAACACATATACACAAATTTCAAGTTCTACGGTCTTACTACCGCTGAAATGCTAAGATTTGACAACCGCTATACGGTATGTGCATTACACAAGCGATGCATCGCAGCGAACGCCGTGTCCACTGCATACGAAGCGCACACTTGCAGAAGACTTGTATGCAAACGAATATTATATATGTGATAGACAAAGATATATGCTGAATCGCGTGCAGGTGTGGAGATCCATGGGAGCAGGGCAAAATGGCCAAAAGGAGTGGCTAGACGCCATCATCACAGATCCGCCTTACGGTTAGTAGCCGGTCTAGCACTACTTAATGCTTATATAGGGATACGCGCCAGTGCCAAACATCGCAGACTACTTCATGACGGAACTGGAAATGAAGTTGTGCATTGCCTAATAGGCACACTTCTAGACCTCGCGGAATCCATGCTGGTCCCAGGTGGCAGACTAGTGTTCCTGCTACCAACGAGAAACGACAGGTGGGAGGTTCATGCGTAATTCTACAACTGGTGCAGACTCACAGAGGCTCTCCACGTCATCAAAAGGAACAAACTTCGGGTGAAGCATTTAGGTCTTCAGTCACTCACCGGAGGTGAGGTACACATTGTGGAAGCAGCGACACATATTTTCTCAGGCGCTTCTAGGTTTATAGTAGTTCTTGAGAAAATAGTGACGTCAACGTGACCTAAAATAGCGGAATGTTTCTTTTGAGATCAATTAAGCCAATCTGTTTCAAGTTGTACAATGTGCTGTGGCTACGTGGCTTAGGGCCGATTTGTGTGTTTACCAGGCTCGCCCCTTACGCTGCTGGTGTCGGTTGCGGGATCCATGTCGTGTTATCGTACACTACTGGTACCATCCACTGTGGCATCCATCCTGTTTGGGCTATAGGGTCACTTAGAGAGGTAATCTTCTCTGGGTTTCATGTCCCTCAACACTAGCTTTTGTGTTTCTTGGGTCAATACCCGTTGTATATGGGCTTCTAAGCGATCCGATATGCCCAGGTCCCGCCTATACTTGGTGTGTTCTTTTGTCACTATCCCCTCCCACGTCATAACGTAGGGGATTGCCCTCATCCTCGTTCGTTGGTTGAATTGTCGAGGCTTCAGGTCCTCGGTTAGGTCTTCGTACTTCCTTCTCTTTTATGTCGGTGTTCCCAACAAATTGTCTCGGTTGGCAATTACTATTTCCACAATGGTGTTCCTCATACGCCCGGACGGCCTCACACATGTTCACCGCCTAATTATATGATGGGCCCACGGCGGTGAGTCCTACATTGCGGCCACTGATACACGATCTTGTAAAGCCCACTACGTTATCTATTGGGTTGCTTCAAAGGTAGATCGATTAGCAATTCACAATTGGCGGCGGATAGGATGTAGGGGACGTGTATATTAGCATACAACTAATAAACGCAGTAAAAGAATAGTTCCTTTCACCAGACGAACAAAAAAGACGACGTTGCCTATTAAATTGGGATAGCGTCGCCCCAATCCGACACTGTTGGCAAACAGGGATAATACATGTTGTTCGATCTGAGGGCATTACCCGTTTTTGGTGGCTTATTAGAAAATTTAGCATCCCAGGCGTGTAACAAACTCATCTCAATGTCAACCCGTGGTATCCGTTATTTCCCACCTTTGGCAGAGGAGTTGCTGGCAGCTTCTACAGATTCCACATCTGCCTTATCCAATCCATAGAAAGCCCAGAATCCAGAGAGGTCGTAGAGCGTGGTCAACACTTGATGACTCACACCTTTCAACGCCTTAAATACGTATGAAGCTGTCATTGCAGCACGCCATTGCGTCTCCTCGTAACCAACAGCTATCAATACACTCCCCAAACTACTCATCCCCAAAGCCATCGGTACCCCACCACGGGTTTCACCTTCGCTAGCAACCTTCAAAGAACGTAGACCCGCGTACAACATTGGCGCAACACCCACGAGGACCACTGCGCAAGCTTCCGGGTCCTTCGCGCATGATGCCTCCCATGTCGCTTCTGAGTTGTAAGCAGACTCGTACTGGTCAGGTATTTTGACATTTTCCAGGAACTGTTCACAACCAGCCACAGCTTTAACTAAGTTCTTTGCGATAGTTTCCGGCTTCACACCTCTGGTCTGAATGACGTTCTCATAGTCGCTTTTCTGGAGGTCTCCAAACCACTTTGCGATTAACCCCTGTTCCTTATACATAGGGTCATTGAATCTCCTTAGCATCGCCCGTGCGGGCCACATATTTCTAAGCGCCGGTTTCTCCAGGAACTCCTTAGAAATAAGCTTAACCTTCTCGAGGGCTGGCACCTCCGTGAACCCAACGGGCTTTTCTGCGAGGAATTTGTAAAGTGCGGCGCCCATAGCCGCCAAGTTCTTTTCAGCATCAGTTCCCCTCAGGGCGACCAACCAGTCAATACCCTCCTTGAGGTTGCGAGGAACCTCAGTCAACGAATTGTACACCATTTTGCAAAGATGAGTTAAATTACGCGACTAATATGAACGTGAGATTTATGTCTATTTACTACCCGGTGTGCAAACGGCTGTATTATGGCGAATAAACAAAAGTGTTTTTGCCTTGTAATACATACGAGCCTAAGGAAAGCTACAAAGCAACGCACACATATACAATAGGCAAACTATGAGATTCCGACGCTGGCATAACAGAGGGCCGCATCCAGATCTACACCGTTAACGTGACATGCAGCACGCATGTCATCGCCTTATGCTGCTTTCAGAAGACATGGCATATACTGAACGCAGCGATTTTAGTAGATTTGCGGCGACATATCAAAGCTTGTAATTTTGCGAAGTGTTACAAAAAGTACATTACCGTCTACGCCGTACCGTGGTTATCACGTCGATTCCCAGGCGTAGCCCATTATCTCGACCGTAATCAGGGCACTTCATAACACGGAATGTAATCGCATTGTGTTGCCTTACGCTTACCTCTCAGGTGACTCAATAGCTTATCTAAGATGGCGCCTCTTGTCCGCTACCTTGGATGATCACCCGCTCCTCTTGAGTACCTTTTGCCACCGCACTATTGCAAATTGATGACGCTATGGTATAGTTATACGTTTATGATTCTGAGCATTTTACGAAGCTCGTTGCCACGACGGCGGTATCTAGTGACAGCGTGGTCGTCGGGTTTCGGTGTGACCCTATTATGTCGCAGATGACTGCAAGGTATTGTCACGACCATGTCAAATATTGTTTACTGACGGGTAGTTTGCACAACTATGTCATAGGTAGATTACAGCAGCGTAAAGGATGACCAAATTCTTAGACATCGACACCCACTCGGCGATGAAGTCTAAAGTATGATAAATATTGCAGCGACGCACATCAGACGGTTGATCAGTAGTGACTCCCCAACTGAGTGATCATCTTCGAACTGCGGAGATGACAATGTCCGGCGAACATTGAGTGAAGCAACGCTACCGTTGTAGCTGTGGGAACCCCCCGACGTAGAGTGCCATTGACTCGTTAAATTGTTGACGTAAACAGGTGGTACCACACTCGGAGTGTTTAGAAATGGTAAATGGCGATATTTTCGTAAAGACGTGGTAAAAATGCCCCTCCTATGGCCGACTCATACGGTTGGAGGGGATTTATTTCAGCGCAGCGCAAACCACCGCTAAAAACATTAAAAAAAAACCAAACAACGCGTTCTCTGTCGGCGCTTTCTGAGATCATCGACTGCAATTGTTAATTTGGTTTGTGCGGATTGCAATAGCGAAAACTGGCTGGTAATGCAGGGGTTTAAATTGTGATGGGAACTCAAGAAAATATTATGATCAACCTCTCGAAAGGCGCAGCATGGAAGAAGGCAAAACCTTGCTGTATGGAATTATAACTAAATCGTTCTTTTATAACGAAGTTTCGAAACTGCCGGTGAACCATTAGGAGTGGGAAAACTCGTACTATTTTACAAGGGAAGGGGATCACACATCGCGCAACAAAAGACAAGTATGATTCTTTCCCAAGCTTATGTTACTATAATTGTTGAGTTTACTGCGGTAACATCGTCGATAACTCAATCATGCAAAGTGTACTTACTACACCTCGCGTCCAGAATAGGACGTGGCGCAACGAAATCCACGATTCCGGATTAACATTAAGCCCCAATATGATATTAACTATTGTGTGAAACAAATAACTGATCTGTATTGGATGCAGAAGAGTGTGTTGTCGGTCCGTGCTCACCGACTTCGCAATGCGTCATAAAAATGGGCTCCTGTGGAACATTTTAGATTCTGCACAATGCAACATAACGTACACGAGGAGAAAACATGTTACCGGATACGGTCGATACGGTAACTATGACGTCGATCGTACAAGTGGTTGAGACCCCGGGGGCAAGTGATGATCACTCTGGAGGGACGGATAATCCTTCGGAGAGTTTGCCTGTTGGGATTGTATTAGCGCTAGCAGGGTTTGAGTTACAACTCAAAAAGCTTGGGAACCAGATTTGGGATATGCTGACACTGACTAACTGCCCATTATGTGAGCATCTTAAAGGTAAAGATGATGGATGCTCGTATGGTTGCATCTATGTTATCTCTGTCCTCCTCATACTACTCATCGTAGTAGCATATTACATACTACGGAGCCCGCTAAGATTCTTCAAGGGCTTGTTTTGTTGTTTCTGCTGATCCAACCCTACTATCTCGTGTTCCTATATGGGCCAATAATATCGCATAGCCTCCCCGCAGCCACTTCACATCCAGTGCAACTGTGCTAGCACTTGTAGGAACAAAATCCGCTTGGCTTTTCATCACAGACAAGCCACTTATCAGCACGGATTCCTACATCGCAACCGGTATACGCTACAAACACGTAAACTCGCCACGCTCTGTCATCGTGGCGTTGCCCAGGCAAGCACGACGTAACATCAAGTGACCTCTCGTCACGCCTGATGCAATTCACGAATGCGTTCACCGGGCACCTGCCAACGCACGATGTTGAAACATTAAATAACACATTATTACGTCGGCACCATGCCACTACTGTCTAGAACAGTGCGATAAGTGTGATTGTGAAGTATGCTGGAAGTGATTAAAGTATGTGACCAAAAACGCTCAATTGCGGGCGAAACAATCGCGGACCTTATGGAACGGCCGAATGCGAAAGACGATCATAACGCACATGACAGTGAGGATGATTGCGATTATAGCAGTCACGATGATGGCAGCGGTGACACCGGTGGTGGAATTGTCGTCACTGGTGGAAGCCATGGCAGCCGCGGCATGGGGTACACGTTTACGTACACAACATGGACAGTCACAGGTTACCAAATCTGTACATTCCACGTGATCGCATATATACCTTTCGCGATCTTTGTATGTCAGGAAGCAAGACCTGTTGCAGGTTTTGCGCTCCTTACACAATGGACAGCACCAGGGACAGCACTTACAACGAAGCATTTCACATGCCGTACCACATTCACACTTCTCTTCTGACATCTTCCCCCATGTCATTTGTGATTAACCTGAAAAGCGATGAAACACGTACCTTAACGTTGACCGCCACCGGCACCCACCGCCAGCGATACCACAATGTACACGCGGTGCACCACAGAGATACCACTGCCCGTGTGGTCACATAAACTGCTTAGGTTATCCCATAAACCGCTGGGCAAACACCTTTAATGTTTTTTTTAATTTAACCAACGACTGGCGAATCGCATTAATTCCAGTCTATACGACATAACCCCTTAATCTCAATGCTCCTATATCCCAGACTGCGTTATACGTTGCTTAATTCCCACCTGCAAGTAGCATTGTGCCAACAACGCAAAACCACCTATGACATCAATTTACCACCTAAATCCCTCAATTACTCTGAACTAGTCCATTTACGTAATTAATTTCTTACATTATCATGAAATAAACGCCAAAATATTTTATCTGGTCTGAGGGTATCGCATTCCAACCTTTGTGCCGTTGCACTCCTTAGTAAGCTAAATGTTGTCGAACGCAGTAAGCCCACTTCTCGAATAATTATGCTGAGCAGACATTAATCGTCTTCCTGGGTCTAGATTTCCTAATATAAGGCATTCCATTAGCTTATGTCATCCACCCAATCAAGCTGCTAGCTATCTGGCCGAGTCATGTGGCACCTGCAAAACTGCACCTCGCAATTGTCAATATGGTTCTTTGTATAATTGCGCAGCAGATACCGTAGTTATCTACGAATATATAATGAGCACATGAAGCCACTTCTGCATCCACTTCCACTGGTGGTATAACACGTCCAGTCACGGACACAGTGGTTGCTTTCCTCCACTACTGGAATGAGTGGATAGCAGTATAAGATGCCAGATAGTATTCATTGTCACGTGTTAACGACATTGACCATCTTTCAACTGGTGAGCAACTATCCAAACTGCCAAATCACAAGGTCCTTATTCCGGCGGTAATAAAGGCGGAGCGAAGATTTGATGGGACGTAATTTCACACCACCTTAACTAGAATTATTACCGCTCACGCAAGTTATAAACACAACCGCATGTTGTTAAATCGTCGATCTTAATAATCACATTCGAATCTAAAGACACGCTGCCACTGAAACAGACAAAAATCAACACACGCACCAACATCAAAAATGAAAACAATTGTATCATTGACAAGCGAATTATCGCATCTTAGTTACCCACTACTTGGCATAGTAGTTCTCGATGTGGATTGTGGAGAGGATAGCGCCCTTGGTGGTGACGCATCGGCACTCCAACGGTGGAGTCTGGCGAATCGTCTCCTCTGGTCCCAAGAATTTGCTATATAAACGCAGGATGACAAAATGATTGGAATGAGATGTCACCAATGACTCGCTGATGTCGTTTATGTCTTTGACAGCACCGTCCACGTAGACCTGGCTGAAGCAGTTTGGTGGGTCCAGGACGTACGGTGCTGGGCAGTAGAACGCCGCCTCCTTGGCAGCCTGAAGATAGATCTTGCAACCGAACTGAGACAGTCCGTTGGCATCGTAGAGTTGGGGTGTATCGGGCTTGAACAACTCATCCGATGCGTAGGTAACGCCGCAGCCTTGCATGTAGGGGTCCGTTGTCTCGACGGCAACTTCCACGACGTTCCAAGTGTAAGGAGCCAATAGTCCGATGGCATATGGTATGTGCGCCGCAGATGTGTTACCAGGCACGATGGACAACTCCGATATCCTGGGCGTCTTACCGCAAACGAATGTTATCGGTACATATTCGGTGTTGTCAGGATCCTTAGATATCAAAATGGCACCCTTACGCGATTCCATGACCAAATGTATATATGACTCGGTGTAGAAATATCCGCTAATGACTCGAAAACCATCCAGCGTACCACCTATAGCATCTCTGTGTGGTCTCCTAATGAGTTCACGCCCATGTGAAGTATGAATGACAGCATAATGGTATTCTATGGATCGACCTGGTAGCCATGTAGGTGTGATATTTGCATTGTTTGCAGGGTTCGAATCGTCCGACCCACGAGCACAAGTCATGGAAAACCTTGTACCAACATGTAGTTTGACGAATTTTTTGTATATGTTGTTTAGCACAATCGATACTGGTGATCTGTGCCATTCACCTAACTCGAGCTCGCTCCATGGAAGTAATCTATAAGGATGCCACGTATTGGACGGCTCTTCACGATTCACTACGTACCTACACGTGTCATGCGTGTTTGACTCTACAATAAGCTTAGACTTTTCGTATCCACGCTGGTCAATACACATACAGGCATAACTGAGAGAGCCCTTATCGCGAAAATCAATGTCAAACCGTTGGAATCCTAATATGGGGTAAAGCGTTGCATTTCTCACAAATGGAGGAAATGGCATGATCTGATTAGAGGAGAGATCGTATCCTGCGGGCGCACAATTGTTTGGAAACAATTCTTCGTCTGGCTTGCAGCGAATCCCAACGTGACTACTATGCCCACTGTTTTGGTACAGACATTCATAAATATCCCCTATACCATTGCCCATCGACCTCACTGTACAATGCTCCTTGCTCATCTCTGGATCAAACAGACTTTGTAGACCCACATCGCAACCGATTGTCCGGTAGTTATGAGTAAACGCAAATGATACCTGCACGATGGCGCGTATCTTATCGGGAACATTCTCGTTCCTAGATATCAGGGTCCAATGATACTGGAAAGAGTTTAACCCGCTTCTTAAAGTGAGGGGTCTGTCCACGCGGTACTTCAGTTTTACCTCACCCTGGGCCATATGAGAAACATCCAACTCGAGGGCATCGCCAACAAGGGCTTTGCTAAACAATTTTTCATTGTGCATATTGGCATCATAAGGCACACTCTGTTGCCGCAGCGTCATCAAGTCCTTCGGCAGGAATTCAGTTTCATATTCGTATATAGATGGCAGTTGCGAGAATGGGACAACCGACAAATCATCGTCGTGTTCCTTGTCGGAAGGTTCGTTGATAGAAGCCGAATTGACGATCTTTGCTGGCAACTTTATGGTCAAGGTGCTCCCCGGATGAAGCACTGCAGAACACCAAGGGCCACGTATGGGGTGGTAACGGTCACGGAAAACCTTGCTGGCAATGTCACAAAAGTACTCAGTTTTAGAGCGGATCTCTAGCTTGGCCTTAACATCACCTGTCTCGCGATCTATACACCTGCATTCGCCATTGATGGGCGGTAGTGCTAACTTATCAAAATACTTCGCTACAACCCAAGGCCTATTATTTGCGATATTCCAGTATAAATGAGGGTTTGTTACAGTCACAACTCTGCCATTCCTATCCAGGAGGAATCTCATACACTCCATAGGTTCAATTCGGCCTTCGCACAGAAAACCGATAGATGATTGTGACATAGGATCCGCTACACATGAACGCGTACCAGTGATGGGATCTACAATCACCTCGTTATCCGGAGCGAACAGTGGTGAGGGGCGGCTGCCACAGCCTTGAAGCGGCAAATGACTTTGCCCTGTGACCAAGGAAAACATGCGCAAGCCCCTTCCTAATTTCTTAATTTCCTGGGTTAATGCTGTACCAGCAGTCCAAGGAAACTCTCCCGAGAGAGACAAGCCATTGAGTCGGGAAAGCTGCTGTTGCAACGTGTCACTCAATATGAGATCTCGTGGTCCACAAATAAAAACCAAGCGACTTTTGGTAATAACAAAGACTTCAGGAGATGCCACTGCGATGCTTAGTTTTGATTGCGACTCATCCAATGCCACCGAAACAAAGTTAATTGGTTTCTCGCTTACCACTACATCCGAAAGAGGAACGGAAAGAAAATGTTCGTCTTCAACCACGTATGTTCTTAGATGTGCCTGCTCGTATGATATTGGTTTAGGATGCCAGACATAGTCGGTATCTTTGACGCGGCGTGGACATCTAATAGTTGTTGATCCCGAGTAATCCATATTGACAAGAGACGTCACGAGAGCGTATCTGTCAAGTAAGTCAGGCGAGCTTCTATGATCCTCATCAAATGCGTCAAGAAATACAATGGACTGCATCCCAATTGCGCATACTGCAAATACAGCTCTCATGATTCTAAATTTCCCCATGGTCATCGATTTTGTCTCACTAATGGCTGAAAACTATACTGAATAAAAATGGCTTCTACTTAACATTCACCCTATGGATGTAGGCAGTTACAAAAATTTTGCAACCGCTGATTGGCTGTTAAAGTGAATGTCACGTAAAACCCCATAGATGCAGCTAGCTGTCATTATATCGAAGAATTTTCCTTCACGACTCTAACTCGTCTAATCATTTGATGGAACGGGTAACATCGGCAAAGCCGCTGATTTTTTCAATGTTGACAAAAAATAATACCTACAATAATAAAAAAACTGCGGATTGTGATGTCACGTTGCGTGATAAGGACCTTTATCGAAGCTAGCCACTGTGATCAGTTGATCAGACATGATCGTAGCTCACCGGCAAAAAATTAGAACAACCGCAGTGAGATCCAGACCAACAGCGAATATATTTGGTGGAGACGGGGAGGAGAAGCGAAAAAAGCATCAACACCCACGTATGGATATGAAGGGGGAGATTCAAACAACAGACATTCAAAGAAGTACCCAATCTTGTGACTTGTAAAGGAATTGCAAAGCGATATCACGATACGCATTAGCGATAACTTGATATCTCTGATCGCACGGACTCCCAGATCCAACGGGGTGTTCGAAAACAATCCCATCGATTTGCGATAAGGGACGCAAAACCCTGAGATTACTACGGTACGGTCAACTTATCTCGTTCCATATAGGGTTTATGCCATCGTGGACGGCGCTAGTAACGTTCCGCAATATAACGGTGTACATCGCGCAAGAAACGCCAACCGCGTGAGGCTCCAGCCTTGTACACGCGAAAATCAACCCAAGCCAAACGTAGACACAGCACATTGTACAACTTAAAACACAGACGTAACTCCCAATGCTTTGCACATGTTTTAATGCCCATCATTTGGCATTAAGAGCCGCATTCGAGGTGTAGCAACATCAGACGTAGTAGCAGCCAGTGTACAAGAAATACAATGACAAAATTGAACGCACGCTTGTCAACTAGTTCAGGTAGTTTAGGGTCGTCTTTTTCTTGGCGCTCATCATTGCGATGCCCTCTACGAAGTCGTTGTGGTCAAGTTCCTTGGCGCCACGACGCAGAGCTACCATTCCTGCCTCAATGCAGACCGCCTTCAGTTGGGCGCCGTTGAAGTCCTCAGTCGAGCGCGCAAGCTCCAAGAAGTTCACGTCGGGGTGCACATTCATTTTACGCGAGTGGATCTGCATGATGTGCGCACGTGCCTCTGAAACAAAATGTCCAAAGTGTAGTCAGAACCCACCCTCGTTAGGATGTGGCAGCTCTATCTTGCGATCCAAACGTCCAGACCGCAAAAGCGCCGGATCCAATGTGTCCGGTCTGTTGGTCGCAGCAATAACCTTCACACGGTCGTCGCTGCTGAAACCGTCCAGTTGGTTCAGCAACTCAAGCATCGTGCGCTGAACCTCACGGTCACCGGAAAGCTCACTGTCGAAACGTTTGGTACCGATGGCATCGATCTCGTCGATGAATATGATCGTCGGCGACTTCTCTTTGGCCAAATTGAAGGCGTCGCGCACCATCTTGGCGCCGTCACCGATAAACATTTGGACCAGCTGTGGTCCAGCCAACTTAATAAAGGTGGCCTTGGTCTGAGCCGCGCAGGCACGCGCTAGCAGCGTCTTCCCAGTACCAGGCGGGCCATGCATCAAAACACCTGCACGCAAACGTCAGACAGTGCTGGACAAAAACTTACCCTTTGGAGGCTTTATGCCTATCTTCTCAAACAGTGCCTTGTGAGTGATGGGAAGCACGATGGCCTCAATCAGTTCCTGAATTTGCTTGTCAAGACCGCCGATATCCGAATAGTCCTCGATTGGCTTCTCGCAGACCTCCATGGCCTTCACACGGTTGTCATACTCGGGCGGCAGCTTGTCTAGCACCAGGTAACTGTCCTTGTTTACTCCAACGAGGTCGCCTGGGTGGAGCATGGTGTGCGGTATCAGACCGATCACCGGGAGGAAGATAGTCTGCGAACACATTAGTCCAGCAGCAACTAATTAGACAATTACCTGGCGAGTTGAGGTCTTAATAACCAAGGACTTGCCCTTGCGCTTCATCTCAATGCCCTGAACACCAGCATCTTCTTCCTCATCTTCCAGGTCAAGCAGCTCTACCACGTTGGAAACCAAGTAAGGCAGCTGCTTGTTCAGCTGGATCTTCTCCAGGTTGTCCTTGATGCGCTCCTGCATCGTGATCTGACGGGATTTGAGGCGGGTGTGCTCGCTCTTCAAAATCTTTATCTCAGCGTCGATCATGTTGATCCTGGCGCGAACCTCGGCGTCGCTCATCAGGACCACCTCGCTGAGGTCTATGGGCTCGTTGACCTCGTCCATTGTGGTTATGAACAAGCGAATAACGATACGATAAGGTGCCGTGGCCTAACTCTGGGCCAACTCGGCCAACAAATACCGGCCGCTCCTGTCACCGCCTCAAGAAATCGCCAAATACACGCGCGATTATCCTCCTGGAAATACACACCTGGAACATAAAAATAGAGCGAGGAGGAGACACTCCTCCAACTACATAAAACTACGAGTGAATGTGGAAGGACGTGACGATGACGTGCCTGGGCAGGCCAAGGCCCAGAACGGCAACCACCACTAACGCCATCAGGTGACACGAACGGTACAAGCCGAGCCGAATAAACATTTCAGAACAATTTCAAACAATATAATAAAATCGATGACACATCTCCAGGTTGCCTCATAGACGCTTGCAGCCGGGAGCGGCCAACGTCTTGCTCGAATTGCAATTGTGTTCCGCCAACCGCTACACATCGAATGAATTGGCGTATAAGAAACCAAGTGTAGCATCCTTAAAGCATTACACGCCTTGTGGTATCTCATTACAGGCAGGATAAGATGCTAACGGTTAAACCCAAGGCGGAAATGGCAGACGATGCCAAGAGTGTAGAGCTCTACAATGAAGCGATCGAACACCTCAAGTCAGTCAGCCTGCAGGTGAAGTCTCCAGGAGAGTATGTTGCGGCAAGGCTAGAATCGGTCTCTCTAGATGATATCAGACGTGAGCTTAAGGCGCTGCTGGCATCGTGCCAGTCCAACGCCTCGGGGATTTTGAAGCCACTAGTGTCAACTGCCACCCCTTTCAATGAAACGATTGAGTCTACCATACAGTCTTTGCTACCGTTCAAGGAGGTGCTGAAGGAGTCTGCACAGCAGCTTGATGTCGGCAGGCACTCAATCAAGCAACGAAAGTCACACGTAAAGTTGAGTTTGTGCAGGTTTGTCATGGTTTCATATGCGAAAATGGCACTGGCGACTCACCTGGAGGCTGTCAAACACCTGGATAACATCGCCGAAGAAATACTCGATACGTTCTCAACGGAAGATGACACCGCCATTAAGAACGACGCTAACATTGTATTGAGGGCCATAGATGCGCTTGAAAAACGCACGCAATTTATGGAGAAAACGGGCGGCATCGTAAAATCTGATGACGACAAATCAAATGTGACCAACGATTGGGCAATCTTAGAAGTCATTCCGTCTGAGATTAATAGGATCCAGAGGTTGCTTAAACAAGGGGACTATTACGAAAAAGCCATCACCGAATATATGAACTACTATCAAAAAACGCTGAAGGAGGTAGACCATGAGCAACTGGGTCTGAAGGAGGACGTATCGATTGACCCCGAAAAGACTAATATTGAAAACATCTTGGAAATAGAGAAGTTGCTGCAATGGAACGAATTGGAGCAGTTTAGGTCGACTTATGCAGTTGACTCGGCGTCAAAGAACGTTACCAGGCTGCACGACAGCCTCATCAAGCTCACTGACACGTGCACCAAAAGTGAGATGACCACGCTGTTTACGCTCTACACCGAGAGGGCAAATCTGTGTATGCAGGACGCCATGCATGCAAACACGTGCCGAAAGCCATCTCGAGATATCGCAACCCATGTGAACGGGCTATGCTCACTCATAAAGGGGGGAGAACAACTGCGACTGCCAACGGCGGGCTCCAACAACGCCATTCTACCCTTTGTTGATACCTTCATCCAGGTATTTGTCAAACCCATACTGAACACAATTGTTGGCGAGCTGGTCCAAAGCGAGCAGGGATACGTGCCACTCAGCCCTCATGGAGAAGCGAACAAGTTTCCCAATTTTGTTGACATGGCCGTGGAACGTCTTCTCCACCCACAATACAGTGTTGCAATGCAACTGCTAAACGATTTGGCAAAGGCGTCTGGAAGTGATAAATTTAAAGTGATTTGTGTTTTTGACGGGATTGCAAAAGAGCTCTTGAGGCACATCGAGACGCAATTTTCGTCGATATATTTCCCCATATATGTGGACCGGTTCGCCAGCAATTTGGAGTCATACAACCAACTGATTGAAAACATCGAAGTGGCGGCGGGCAGCTACCGCCACTACCTGAAGTGGAGAGGATCGGACATACCCAATAGCGTCTCTAGGTGTTTCAGCGTTGGGGCTGTTTGTGATAATTTCATCGAGCATGCTGCAAGAAAGCTAACGACTGAAATAAAGATCAACGGCAATATTACGGGCAAAGTGCTTGAGGGGGAGGGACAGACGTTCTACATGCCACCCTCCATGGTGCTGCATCGGCAGCTGCTGGCTTTGTTCAACCACCGCAACTTCTTCTACCACCTGGTGCCGCAATACCTCAGGGGCGCGTCGGAAATGTTTGCGGAATATGTAAAATACCTGCAGTCAACAGTGGCCAAAATGGAGTCGATGTACGCCACGGAATCTAGAGACGGCACCGAATCCGGGGAGGGTGTGACCAACGCTGCATATATGTTGCACGACCTCGATGTAATTGAAACCGCCATAAATTCGGGAGGCACTGAATCTCTCACCATCACACTCTCTACGCTGCCAGTTGACGCCAGGGAATTCGACTATGGCGCAAACTTCCCGCGCGGGGCAAACACGTGGGAGATTTCCGAGAGCGAGCAGAGCTCGCCAAAAGCTTCAAGCGCCAGCACTAGCAGTGGCGGAACGACTTCCACTCATGTTTCTGTCGACCCTAGCACTCCCTCGCAATCGCCTCCCAATGAAACCGAAATGGATGCGAACTCCAAAGACCTGCAATCGGCATTAGACTCAAGCAACTTGCCCTCTACTATTGTGCTTCTTGAAGGTAAATCGGACGGTGACGTTGTTAAGGCGGCGATGAGAAGGCTGGAGTACCCGCTGCAGGTTGCATTTAAACGCGTCTCGTTTGCCATGGGTGGCATCGACGCTAAAGATACCTCTAGGACGTTGACACAGAGGTCCAGAGATCTTTTGGATAAATTGTGGAAGGATGCGCATAAATCGAACGACTCGAATGGTTCCCAACAGAATGGTGACAACACGACAGACACGCCGGAGGGCGATGTAGATAAGCTGCCGTCCGAAGACCTAACGGATGTGAAGGCGCTTATTACGTTTACAAAAACGAGCGTAGAACTGCTCTACAATTTTTTCAACAGTGCGCACGAACAAATCGAGGGCCTCAAGTACAATCTGGAGTATCTGGTGATACAAAACCTGGTATCGGGTGCTACATGCAGCTTGCAGTTTCTGCAGTCAATGCCGTCAAAGTTCAGGACCGGGACCAAACAGGACGTAAGCAAACCCAGCAATTACGTTAAGTACACGCTGGTCCCGCTTCTGTCGTTCAAAGAGTTCACGGCGCCGTCGATACCGCAGGACCTGGCGCGCAAAATTTTGACTCAGACTGTCGCCAGGCTTTCGTCTGAATACCGGACACAGGTGTTGAAGCTCATGCAAACAGTGCAAAACCTCAACGAATCGCTGCTAAATGCCAAAAACGTCAAGGTCAAGGAACAGGGTGCCAACTACCTCATCGCAGATCTCGGCCTGATTAGGGCGCAGTTGAAAACGGATATCGCAGAATTCGTCCAACAGTGCAACACAAGGATGGAAATCCAGCAGGAGCACTGCGAAGATCTCAGGCTGCTTAGCGTATGCGTTCCGGACGACGCAGTGGAGGCATGAAGTTTTATGGATAACGTGTTGCGGCGTGGAAGGACGGCCCACAGCAGTGCTTGGGGATAAAGACGACACGTATTCGCGCTCTTAACGATGTTACAGCAATCTGGATTGTTGATTCTGCTTGGACTGTACGCTGGCTCGCTGAGTTACCAGAGCGCAACTTATATGGTAGAATCAGAAGTATGCGTTCTTCCGAGAGAAATTTACAACGATCAGAACAGTAACTAGGCCAAATGCAGCCGTGATGTGGTCTAAGGTACACGCACATACAATATCGTGTAAGTGTGTGTCTAGCCCGCGGAACAGCGGCGCACATCCCCGGCGGATCAACACCTAGTAACTTTTTATACACAACCTACATCGCATAACAATCGCAATATATCGTCAATATGTCGTCAGCTCCTGCCGATCAAGCGCAGCCAGCGCCGTAAGTGCAAGGATGTGACCGTAATAGACTGGCAGTAAAATCACGTTCAAGATGATCCTGGCGTCGGATTCTAGCCAGCCGTTCAAGGTGTAAGTGTAACTACGCCGAAAATTGCAAAGCTATGTTTATAGGCTTTCCGTGCCGGAGAACGCGCCTTTCTCTGCCGTCATCAAGTTCAGCGCGGAGGAGGTGCGTTGGTAGATTGATCTGTGCGACATGTACGCAGTTCAAGCTCAACCCGAACACCTGTGCGTGCATTACGAGCGACGGAGTGGGCGTTAACCCAAGCCAGACTGCAGGTGAGCAGCCCTGTCTGCACATATGGCCTTTACAACTTGCAGGTGCTGTCTTCCTCAAGTACGGACCGAACCTCAGGCTCATACCTAGAGACAGGGTTGGAGCCTGAGGCGCATATATTCCACGTCAAACGTGCAAAAATTAAGTTAGAATGTAAAATCTACATTACATTGCCATTAGCGGCAACAGCGGAATTGGCCTCGCTGGAATATCCGTAGTCTTCTAGGTTCAGCACGACGCAGTTAGACGATGCGCTTTCGTGGCGTGAGTACACGCCTACCAGCATGTCGGCGCGGGAAAAAAGTCGCGCCTTCAGCGATATGATGATCACCTGGAATGCGCTGCGCTGCAAAAACGACACCAAACTCTGCACCTTTACGTTATCCAAGTTCGCGTCAATCTCGTCAAATACCACGAACGGGGAGCGCCTGAAGCTGTGAAGGGCCAACAGAAGCGCGAGGGAAGAAACGGCCCTCTCTCCACCGCTCTGCAGACTCAGGTCCAAGAACTTCTTCATGGGCGGCATCGTGTTGTATCGGATGCTGCATAGGAAAGGCTCAGACACGCTGCCGGAGACGTCGTCATCCAACGTCAAAAACGCAGAACCGCCGCTCATCTCGTCAGTATCGTCCTGAGCTGAAAGGCTGCGATAAATTGGACCCACCAGGGCCTTAACGCTCTGGAAACAGTTCATGAATAGACTTGTACGTTCTTTCTTGATACGCTCGAAGTCGGATTCCAAGCTGGCGCTTTCTGACTTGGCGGACGCCATTTCGGCATCCAGGTGATCGATGTCTACCTGCGTTCGTTTCAGGCGCACTTCTGCATCGTCACAGGCACGAGATGCCCCAAGACTCTTGCGCAGTGACTGCATTTGCTCTTCTAAACATTTAATGAAATCTTCAAGGCCTGCTTCATTGTCGGCTACGCCTTCTATCAAATCGGTGGTGACCAGCTGAGGAAAATCGGTCACGAAATCGGAGGACGCGCTGGTGAGTGACTCCGGCACCTCTATCTTGCATTCTACATTCCGCAGACGACAGTCTTCGACCAATTGGATCGCTTGGCGTTGTAGATTGCGCATTGTACCCACCAGCGTTAACAGCTGAGAGGCTACTGCTTCCTTGGATTCGCTGAGCGGGACCACGCGACCAGTGCCCGAACTTCTACCATCATCTCCTGAGCCAACGACATACCCCTCATCTCCAGATAGCATCTCAATGTCACCACCGTTAGGGTCATTGACATCAGTTGTCGCGTTCCCATCAGAAGGCCGTGCGTGGTCAATGCCGTAATCGCGGTCGTACTGAACAAACTTGATACGCTCATGGCAACTCTCGATCTGCCGTGACAAGGAATCAAACTTCTCGCGATCTGATGCCAGGTCACGTTCCAAAGCGTCAACTTCGCGATAAAGTGTTTGATTGCTTTTCAAAAGTGTATGCAACTCAGCAAGGGCGCTCTGGTGCTGCGCTACCACGTCAGCAAGAACGCTTTCACGCATGTCCTCAATGCGATTCTCGATTTCAACCTTGTCACGTTCACAGCGAGTTAATAGGGCACGCTTGCGCTCCAGATTGGACTCGATACGGACAGCGGATTCCTGACGCGAATTCAGAACCCCGTGCACGTCAACGCCCAACTCGTCGTTTAGGTCCTCGAAATGAGTCTGCTGCAACCCAATCAAAACAGCCTCATCCTTGGCCGTCTCTGCACGCATCTTATCGATTTCGTCTTGTGCAGCGGACAGCTTCGACCGGACGGCTTCGATCTTGGTTTCCGAGTTGCGCAACTGCTGATCAGAGGCCTGCTTCTGGCGCTGAGCGAAATCCACCTTCATTTTCAGAAGCTCAGAAGCCCTGCGATGCTTCTGTATTCGGCCGATGGTATCCTGCAACTCATTCTCAATGCCGGTGAGCCTCTTCGTTAAAACGTGAATATCCTGGTCAAGGCGCTCCGATTTGAGTGTGAGGCGACCGAATTCCGCCAGCTCTAATTCAAGATGCGATTTTTTCGTATACACGGCGGAATCGAGGATAATTGTGCGGTCACGGGTAATCACTTGGCCCTTCTGCGTTACTACATTGAAACTCATGGAGCTGCCGACGTCAGCCGATATTAAAACCTCGGCGTCGTCAAGAGTCTGAACCACCACGGTGTCACCAATCAGATGCTCGAACAGAGAACCGTACTGGCGCTGGAAAACCAAACAGTCAATGGCGAACGTGTACTGCACGCGTACGCCGCGCATACGAAGCAGGTCGGATATGCGCTTACGTTGATCCAACTTACTATGCTTGAGAGAGTCCAACGGCAGAAAGTCACGTTTGTAAACACGATCAGCGCACAGCTTTTTGATGCAGGCTTTGATGGCAGACATATCGTCCGTCACAATCATATGACTGCGGGTATTAAGCGCGGCCATTATCCCATCGTGGTAACACGCGTTAGTGATTTCACAGAGCGATATAACCTCACCATGCACGCCAGGTATTGCTGACATGAGTTCCTGCGTATAATTTCTACGTCTCAGAATCTGGCGGTACTCCACCTTGGCCACATTCAGCGTTTTAAGATTCTCGTCAAGAGCCGTCTTCTCCTCCTGCAGCGCTGTGCGCCGTGAGGACACTTGCGAACGCTCATGCTCAAGCCGCGACTGGGTCATGGAAAGGAGCTCCATAGAGTCCTGCGTCTCACGAAGACGCGTGCACAAACCGTCGTACATGCCCGCATGGGGCTTGGCAGCCTCCACAAGCTTGGCGTGGTACTTGTTCAGCGAATCCAGCTCTGCCCGAATATTGTCGCCGTCAGAGGACAAAGCGGTCAACTTTGCACGCCCGATATTCAGTTTAACCCGAATGGCGGAAGTGATCTTGTTGAAGATCTGCAGCAAAGTCTCATATTTCGTACGTTGCGACGGAGTCAATGACAACGACGTGGTATTTAAACCCTCAAGCTCGGCAGATAATGCGTCGATTTCATTGCACAGCTGATTTTCGTGTGAGCACAGCTCTTCATGCTCACGCTGCAAATTGTCAACGTCTTTCTCAATCGACTGGCGTAAAGAGTCGAACTCGGAAATCCGCTGTTCTAAACTAGACTTCTGCTCGTAGTACTCGCTCATAGACTCCTTCTTGGACAAGAGCACACGCTGCTTATCCTGTATAGTCCTGTGCAATTGCCCCTGCTCGAAGTACAGTGCCGCCCGCTGCCGCTCAAGGTCGTCTCTTTTAGCCTGCATCGTCGACCAGCGCTCGTTCAACTCGGCAGCCCGCTGGCACAGAAGCAGGTACTCCGACTTGTGCGTGGAGAACTTGACTTCATGCAGGCGGAATTCGCACGCATGCTTGCGCGCTTCAGCGTGCTTGTACCGCGACAACACCTCTTCGTAGTCGATTCCTTTTGTTACCATGCTGCGATACTGCCGCAACTCCTGCTGGAGAGTTCGCTTACGTGACACAAGATCGCGATACTCCACACGCCTGCGCTCAAGCTTCTCCTTGATGTAGCTGTAGGGCTTGGCGTACAAAGAAGAGCCACTTATCGTCTCGAACAAACGCGTCAACTCAACCGGGGAACGCGCTGCGATGTCATTCACAGCACCCTGAAAAATCAACCCCGTAGACCCCAAAGTGTTGATGCGGTACTCACGCAGGCTCTCCTTGTACTGCTTGAACGAAACCGATGCAGCGTCCACATAGTAGTTCACCGCGCCTGCCTGGGTGATCTGGCGTTTAAAAACAACGAGCCGATTCGCGCCATTCAATGTGAGAGAGACGTAAGCCTCCGCAACAGGCTCGGCAGAAGAGTCGCCAGGCTTGTAAATGAGGTCCTTCAAATTCAACCCTCGCAATACCGTCGAACTAACGCATAACACAAACGATATAGCGTCCATCAGATTCGACTTCCCGCATCCGTTGGGCCCGATGATGGCGGTGAACTTCCTGAACTCACAAATGCGAACTGTGCCTCGGTAGCTCTTGAAGTTGTGCAGCTCAAGCGCCACGACCATGCCATAATTCTCCGCTGAGGAAAACGGAGATATTCCCGGCTGTTCAGAAGGCACCAATGACTCAGCCTCAACTTCATTGTTACTTGTCTGCGGGGAAGACTCGTGCGACTCGGCCTCGAATGGGTCTGCAACATCAGACCTCGGTGTGTCGGTGACACATATTGTTTCGAGGTCGCTGTCGCTATCCGAATCAGCCCACATCAACCTCATCGTGCTAAGATAGCGTAATATGGACTAACATCCTATGGAGTGTGTGGAAAATGCTGCGAAACCCGACCGGAATCCCCGCCTAATTCCAGCGCAGCAGAGAAAGGGTGATGCAACTTTTACAAAAAGCACGTATATTAGACATGGAGGAATCACGATTAGAACACCTCAGGGTGTGTAACACATACTGCGTAAGATGGAGAGACACGGAGGAAAAAAGTGGAGAAGAACGCAAGTAGCAACGAGCGAGGGGAGGAAATAGCGCAGCAAACACCCAGGCGGTCGCGAATACCTATGTATACGCAACACATCAAATATATAACGCCATATGAATGTGTTGGCGCAGAGAATATCGTAGAATCCCGCGGAAGGTTACCGTAGAATCCTAGACAACGCACCCTCCTCCCACAGGAGTGAAGCGAGTTACGCCACTAAGACGCATTGTCGCTGGCAAAATGAATTAGACATATCCTATATATTTATGGAGATGTATTCAGTGGTCTGATTCAAGTAAGCAACGGCACTTTGGAGTGAGCACGTAGGATAACGTTAAACGACGTTCCAAGCAACGTAGACACCGGCGCAGCAAAATGCTGAACGTCGCTATAGACAAATATCACGTCTACATCGGATGCCTTCACAACTCCATCGGGGATGAGCAGCTTCTAACACTCGTCAAGTGCTTCAGCGACCACGTGCGGTCCTGCAAGGTGATGCGTAAGCCCTCTACAGAAACGCATCTCGGATACGGCTTCGTGCAGTATGAAGACCCGGCCTACGCAGACGAGGCTATTGCCAAAATGCAGAACCTTGTGGTGAAGGGCATACCGCTCTACATAAGGGCTGCATACCCGTTCACCAGCACAACCATCAACGACAAGGACGAAGAGGTGGCGAAGGACATAAAGAACGCAACCGTCTACGTCAGCGAGCTCACCGCCACTGCTACAGACAACGACCTAAGGGCGTACGCAGAACCGTTCGGGGACGTGGAGCACATCACGGTCATCCCCAACAGGAGGTTCGGCTTCGTCACCTTCAGCCGGCGTGAGTACGCCCTGGGTTTCATATGCCACATGGACGGCTGGCAGGTGGAGGACACCCTTATCGCATGCTCCTGGGCCTACCAGAGCAGGGTTGCCGCCATGCCGGGGCAATTCGAGTCGTCGGAGAACGAGAAGCAGGATGCCCTCTTCGGGCAGCGGTACTCATACGACCTCATGCCAAAGAAGAAGTGAACTGTCTAGTCAAGCTTAACTATCACGTGTAAAAGGCCGGTGTTTCCGCCGTAGGCTACAAAGGACAGCTCGCACTCGCCGAAACGCATGGTTCGCGCTTTCACACAGTGATGCGAGTACACCTTGTTGCGAATGACCCGTTCCACGCCCCCCTTGCTTTTACGGGGGCCGCGGTATCTGTTTCCGTTGCGAGTTATGCAGATGCCGTGTGAGCGAATGGATCTCAAGTCCATTCTAAACTGGAGTTCCGCTAACTCCTGCGCTTGTGTCATGGGGTCCTGGGTATCGTCCAGTCCCAGGCTTGCAACTTCTTCATCATCTGAAAACTATGTACAATCAACATTGCATGCCAACCTCGATTGAAGGGTTCCCACAGATAAGTGGTCATGACGTCTTGCAGGGGTTTCCTTGTCAGCGTTATGATGGGCGTCTGAACAAACAACCCATCGTCATACACGAAGTACGCCATGTTAGCTGTTGAATCCATGGACCAGCAGATGTTGTCACAGGTGCCATAGTAAGCAACCCGCGGAACGCGGTCGTATGCCAGTGTCGTCATTCCCCACTTCGAATGCCATTCGATGCACATCACGGAAGTTCCACCTAGCAGGAGGAACTGTCTGTTTTCAGTCCAACGTGCGGTTGTGACGGGGCGGTTTATGGTGTAGTACGCGCACATCTCACCCTCGAGAGTGCCATTGCGGATGTCCCTTCGCAGCATGTGGAAGTCATGTTAACGGAACTCACCAGGTGATGACGTTCCCCATGTACGTGGCGATTGCCAACACATACGACTGTGGCGATGGCAGAAAGTGCAGCGAAACAACGCGGTGGGATGGCTCGGCGTCTTGGGGGTCCACGAATATCGGCATCATCTGGCTGAAGAAGGGCGAGAACCCGTCCTTCTCACCAGACGTGCGGCGCATCTCATCCCAATCAAACTTCCATATGTACACGTATCCGTCGTTGGTCCCGCCAGCCACAATTACTGTGTTGCGCTGGGGTACTGACGAAGGCGCAGCATCCGTTGCCACTGTGTGCGTGGTGTATATTACGGACGACTGATGTGAATAAGGATAACGGGGTGCTGCATCGTTCAGATTATCCGCACGGCATAAACACACCTGTTTCATAAGACACCGCCAGGGCGTTTATACGCTGATTGGGAATATCCAACCTCGTGTCGTAACTCCATAACAGAATAGGTGGGTCGTAGCTGCGCCGGTGATGTTAATGCTGCATGTACCACTTACGGGATTTCTTTCTCGTCAGACACAACTTCATTATATGTGAGGGCACATCCCAAGTCAATCTTGCATAACTCAATACTTCCATCTTTCATCAGAAGGGCCAGGAACAACTGGTCGTCGGCAGTATCCTCGTTGGTAGCCGTAAAGTTCTCTCCGTTTATCCATTCCACTCCAACACATGAACGGCCCTATAGCGAGTGTTCGTGCTGACTAATGCTGCAAACACACCGTAAGTGGCGACACTGTTGTCAGACGGGGTTTGTGAATGTCCACGACACAGTTGGCAGAGGTTGCCGATTTTTCAGCAGAATGCGGCTTAACGACAATCTCATGCAGAACGAGATAGTTGGATGGGCCTTCGTCAGGTTGAACTGCACAACTGCAGCTGGCGACTGTGAACACGCTGTACTCTTCCCTCTCGTCAAACGTGAAGGGTCCCACAACCTCCACAGACGCCACTATTCCTCCGCAGTTGATAAAACTGTTCACCTCTACGTCAGAAAGCGCGCTCTCCAGTTTGCGCTTATTGAGGTAACGCACGTGGGTAAGCACGTCGAGGCCGCTCGGAACGTTAACCGGCACGCGCACCCTAACCTTTCTCGCATCCTTTTCAACTTGACCACCCTCTACGCAGCTCAAGCAACTCTCGTATGCAAGCAGATCCCAACTGTCGCAGAGAGTCTGGTTTTTCTTGAGGGTCTACGGTGCTTTGTATGTGTTAAAACGCCAGGTGTGGCAAAGCATTGGCATGCGCAACAGCACCAACACGACATCCAAATGAAAGAAAGCTTGGTGAGAGCAAACAGATCACGATACAGGTGACGGTAATGCTGTGTGAAGGCGAGTAACATCATAGATGCGCAACATTTAACGTACGATTCGCCTTCCACTGTGATACCACGGTTGTCGGCAAGCACCCAAACTTTATCAACGAAGACTACGATTCCACCACAAACTCAACCATAGACATGTGAAAAGCCCACGGTACGTAGCAGAATCCGATACACCGAGGGATAGCTACATCGTAAGTAGACAGACACTGGCAGCACAGCAACACGCGGACATAGCACACTCAAAACAAGGCACAATACGATAGCACGAACGCAGATATAGACGTACTTTGTTAAGGTGTAGGCGTATAGCGCGCTTCGGCAGGGACGCCGGCGAAACTACCGTCTGATCCGAGGGAGCCTCCTCGGACGGCGCGCTGGCATCACCATTGGACATTGTTGTGACTTACATTGTAGAGCTGCTATTATAGAGTGATACGTGCGAAGCGCCCCGGTTTACGGAACACCACAGTGGAGGTAACGGTGGAAGGAATGTAGCGTTGCCGAGGTAAACAGGTTGCGACACCGCCGGCGTGGCACGGATAGAAGGCAAGCTATCATCGATAAATACAACTAATACGCGCCACTTAGAATCGTCTGCGGCGTCAAGAGCACTGGAGACGTGGCACAAGTCGCAGCTATAGCTTTACCATGGGGCTCACACCAGACAACGTAGAAAACACCGATCTCGCGGCCTCCAACCCTCGCTCATTCCATCTAGCAAGGGCGTGTGCACCCGCAAATGGACTGAAATTGGTGCTGCTTGCTAGTGATTTGGATTCCCCTATATAGACAGGCGCACACCGTAAACACGCGAGTCACATCAGCCTGCGGTTTGGGAATAACACGAACTAAAAATGGCGATGAATTTGGACGCGAATGGTTTCAAGTCCCTTCTGGAGGCGCTTACGTCCACCAACAGAGCCGCAAGGAATGATGCTGACGCCAAGATCATGGCGCTCAAGAGGGCGGACATAAACCTCGCGCTCGTATTCACGCTCAATGTGATGATCACCGATTCCAATGAGGACTTCAGGCTGCAGGCGGCGGTCCTCCTCAGGCTGCTTCTCGACCTGTCTAAGTCCGGGGATGCGCCCAAGAATACGTGGAAGTCTGTATCGGCGGAAACGAAGGACGTGCTGAAAAAGTCGTTGCTGGCGTGCCTCCGACGAGAGACCCAAAACTCCATCAGGAGCAACGCCTGTGACACCATCGCCGACATGTGCGATGCGTGCCTGGAGCTGGACGAGTGGCCGGAGCTGACCAGGTGCACCATCGAGCTGATCCAGGATGAGAACCCGTTGTACAAAAAATCGGGATTCAAACTGCTGGGAGAATGCTTCACGTACTTCGCGGACGAACTTTCGCCGCACCTCAGCGACGTGGTACGGGTGACCAAGAACAGCCTCATGGACGCCAATGCCTCCGTCAGGACGGAGACGATATGCGCCATTTCCAACGTCCTCGAGGACGACGTGTTGGACATCGCATCGCAGCTGGGAGACGCCACGCCTTACATCATCGGGCACATCAAGCAGCTCGCCGTGTCAACGGACAACGCATCGAGGGACGAGCTTGAGCGGTCGATGGCGGGTCTCATCATGATCGTCGACAACAACGCCAAGATCCTGAAACCGCACCTGCAGCTGTTCTTCAACAGCATGATGGAAATCGCAACCACCGACAGTGCCCAGCCCAACCTGGACCAGGAGATCAGGTCCATGGCCATCGAAGCTCTCGTTACGCTTGCTGAAAAGAAGCCACAAACGGCACTTACAATCCCCAATTTCGGCTTACGCATGGTTGTATGCCTAATGAACGCTATGTTGGATATCGAGGACGACAGCTACGCAGAGTGGCTGGAGACCGGTGAGACCGACGACGACGTGCAGCGTCTCTACGACGCTGGAGAGGAGGGATTGGACAGGCTGGGTCGTGCTTTCGAGGATATCAACGACGCCCCTTTCATGGACTGGGTGCTTTCCAATGCCTCGCAGTTCATCCAGCAGCCCAGTTGGCAGCACGTCTTTGTGGGAATTATGACAATATCGCAGACCGTGGAATACCTCACCGAGGACGAAGTGGAGGAACACATGGGTTCCATCATCAGTATCATGAAGGGGAAGCTGAAGGATCAGGATTTCAGAGTGAGGTTCGCGGCGTGCCAGACCATTGGGCAAATCGCACTGGACCACCAGCCTTACGTGCAGATGGCCTACTTCGACGAGATCATCCCGGCACTTCTCGACGCCATCGAGGACCAGAGCCCGAGAGTACAATCGCACGCCCTCTCTGCCTTTGTTAACTACACCGAAGAAGTGCAAAAGGAGAACCTGCTCCCACTAGCGGATGTGATTGTGAAGCAGCTTCTCAATAAAATAACCCCCAATTCACACAAGTCGGTTCGTGAGCAGGCAATAACCTCGCTGGCGGTCGTTGCGGGGGTGATAGAGGAGCATTTCGTCAAGTACTACACTGCGGTTGTGCCGCTTATGAAGCAGACAATTGCCACTTGCGTGGACCCCGATGACCGCACTTGCCGCGGAAAGGCCATTGAGTGCATTTCAATCATAGGAATGACCATCGGGCGCGATGTGTTCCTCCAGGATGGTATTGAGTGCATGAATGCGCTTATACAAATCATGCAAGAGCCAACCACGCCAGACGACCCTGTTAAGGAATACGCAGATGAGGCGCTCGGAAGGCTTTGCGCAGCGCTTGGGCCCAACTTCTGCCCCTTCCTGCCTACCGTAGTGCCTCTGCTTCTCCGGTCGTTGGAGGGTAACATCAAGTCGTTCAATGAAGAGGGCGACGACATGACCCTCAACATGGGCTACGACGGTGCTGCCGGGCTGCGCACGACGCTTGTAGAGGAACTGGAGAGGAGCCTCACCCTCATTGCCACCATTGTTGAGCAGATGGAGGAGGGCTACGACGATTACGTCGTGCCCACTGCGCAGGCGCTTATGCCCATTTTGGGCTACGTGCTCACAAGCGAGCTGAAGGAGAAGGCGCTCTCCGCCATGGCCCAAATCATCAAAGCCAAGAGGCTTGCTTTGGAAAAGAACGGTGGCTCGAAGGATGCTTTCATGGAAATCGTGCTGAACACTCTCAACAACGTTATCAGCGCCCTAGAGAAGGCGAGGGACGACAATTCCCAAGTGAGCATGCCAGTTGAAATTCTCACCGCCAATGCCGACGGGCTCTACAAATGCCTGGACAGTGCAGGGCCGGGCATCCTGAACGTCAACATCATTACCGTTGTTGGACAGAAACTGCTGCAACTCATCGAGGAGTCTTCTAACTTCAAAAAGATCTACAGCAAACACAGGATGAACAAAAATTTGGATCCGGATGAGATAATGTCCCTAGAAATGGACGAAGAGAATGAGCAAGCTTATCGGTCAGCATTGCTGGAGCTTTTCGGCGTGATCATGAAGCACCACCCCGAAGAATTCATGCAAACGTGCCACAACGCCTGCCTGCAGTTCGTCTTGGCAAACCTGGAGAAAAGCAACGCCGACGATATTGCGGTTGGGCTCTACCTCTGCGATAACATGATCGAATACCTGAAAGCCAGGACGGTCCCCGTCTGGCCGCAGTTCCTGGGCCACATTTTCAAGTACGTCGAGAGCAAAAATGCCAACGTGCGCCAATCGGCCTGCTACGGCTTGAGCCTTCTCGCCAGGATGCCTGAATTCGCAGGGATGGAGAATGAGGCCGCCGCGAAAATCGCGGCGTCTCTGAAGAATATATTCGTTACTTCAGGCTCCACCAAACGCGAACAGCAGGCGGCGACTGACAACGCCGTGGCCGCGCTGGGTGAGATTATCAAATTCCACGGATCCAACCTGAAGGACGCAGCCGGCTACCTAAACTTGTGGCTGAAGAATCTGCCCTTGAAGGCGGACGAGGAAGAGGGCAAGCGTGTTCACCAGGGCCTCATGGACCTCATCAGGGCCAACGACCAAAGCATCCTGGGTCCCGACAACTGCAACATGGGACAGCTTATCAAGATCTTCATCACCATATACGAGACCGACTTTTCTACTGCACAGCTGAACTCGCAAATTATTATGCTAATGAAGCACTTCGGAGATGGGTTCCTGCAGCAGCTCGCCCCCTCCCTACCCAAGAAACTTCAGATGCAACTGAAAACCATAATGAGAGCCATGTGAGGCCAGCGCCAGCCCCCCGGACTCTATTTTGCTCAGGATGATGCTTGGGCAACAGAAGAAACACTGCACTAAATTCTTGTCTGTCATTTTTCACCGGCGTTGCCTGAATGTGTGGTCGTTGCTGGTGTGTGGCGTGACCAACTTGCGTCTTAAATAAGCTGCAACATTACTTAAGGAGCACCAATGGCACCGTTAAAGGCACCTTATGCGCGTGCGTCGGCCTTGGTGCTTCTATTGACGCAGCTTTGCCTTCTGCACTGGCTTCCGGTTTCCTTCGGCCTTCTGCACCGAGAATCTCCACATCTCAGGCTCTACGAACTCAAAAATACATTTAGAAGTGATTATACAAATTTGTACGCCAGGAATCCTGCAGTTCAACGAAGCAAGTTTGCGCTGTGTGTAGTGAACTCTGGCGCACCTTCTGCTCCAAAAGCCGACAGAACTGGCGTATTTAATCTAGTATTCAACACATATGCAAAGGTTAAGGATATAGTTGACAGACACATACAGAAGATTTCGGATAATCGCAAAAAGGCGTTGTCTAGTACGCATCCATTGCGGCACCAAAGCTGGCGCATTACCTTTCACAGGAAAACAGGATTCCTGGGACTGTAAGCAGCTTCGGGTTGTCTAAGAGTCACCATGTTGCAGATCAACGCGCACGGAGCATATTGTCATCGATTTTATGGAAGATGGCACGCTGAAAACAAGTGAAGGTCATAATGGTATGCATTTTTATGTAGCAAACACCAAAATTCTGCAGGCACTTGGTGGTCGGAGTACGGTGACGTCGTATGGAAGATATATTTTGATCCTAAATCGGATGTTGCGACTTACTTCAACGCCCAGGTACTCATACTTTCTGTCGTCTGGTGCATTCAGAACCGTGTAACGGGTCATCGCTCCATACGTTTTACATTGTAACTCGTTTTGTGTTGCATTGTTCGACAAATGAGCTTGTTTTGCGGATATAACAAATTTCGCAGTTCAGCTGGAATAATTTTGGCGAAGCGGCTTTCATGCGTCGCGGCGTCGTGTACCAGGACAGGCCACCAAATGGATGGCTACCGCAGTATCTATTTAGGCCGGTGATCGGCAAGTTCACGGGCGAGGGTATATCGCAAAATGATAGCGACACTCACGCGCAAACCGACATTGGTAGAGGGGCATCGCATAGCAAGTAAAATTCAAAAACGACGCAGCTTTCATTCAAGGCACCACAAAACACTTGTACATGCCATTTTCAACACACTCCTGTATACTATGCCGCAATTGCGAATCTCATCTGACCCTTTGAGAACTCCAGTTCCGTCAACAGATCACGAAGGCGTCAATGTAGCGTCGTGATGCTGAAGGCAATTCGGTTTATCATATCGAACATTGTTCAATATATACCATGTATATCATAAACGTTTGTCAAATGCATCATTCCATTATTTAACCATTGTAGGGTGACAAGATTTATCTTAACGTTTATGAACATGCGGTGACTACGGAATTCAGTTTGGAGACTAAATCCGTGAAGTGCGGGCAGTTGACCATGTGTTCCTCTTTTTCGAGGACTAATGTAAGCAGATGACTCATTGAAGCGGCATGGTCATCAAAAATATCGAGGCCGGTCAACAGCTCCCGAAACAGAAACGACATCGCTCGCTGCTCTTTAGACAGCGCAAGCTGAACGGGGCCGGAGGCTTTCGAATGCTCACTATGCAGCTCTAGTAATATTTGCAGCATCAGTTTCACGCTGAATGGTTGCCACATCTCACATTTTTTAACCTTGGTATTCTTTTTGGGGTGCCACGGGCCATCTTCACCTGGGGATGACTTGTCTATGTTACTAAACTTATAAATCTCGTCTACAACCACCGTACAATGCCGATTCCACAGTTCATTAAAAATAATTGCGGTGTTCCTTAGTGACCACACCAAGTGCGTATATTTGGCGAAAGTAGAAATATCCAACGGAGGCACAGCGTCACGGTTCGAACCCGCACCATTAGATTTGCCTCCGCAACCATGCATTACAGTAGGTACAATCGTTGACAAGTGATAATGCTCAAAAAGCTTCGCTACATTTGACTTCATTAATTCATCAGTAAGCCCATGCGTCCAATGGGGCAGCAAATTATAAATTATATCAACCAACAGATTGACGTGCTCTTTCCATGCGTCATGCTCGAACACGAAATTCATAAGGATATTGAAATCGTATATCATGTAAATCTCAGGTTCGTTTTTGCATACCCGAGCGTGAGATTGTAGAAACCTGAGAAACAGCGATATATCCTTTACACAAGCCATTTCATAAGTTCCCATTATCCAATTGGATATTTGATTGTGTACTGAATTATCAAGTTTGTAGTTATTTTTGTGGAATGAAGTCATCAGGTTGGTCGTCTCGGTATACATTTCTAGCACATCAGGCATGTCGGCTCCAGAATTCATATTGGCATATAAATCGAATAACATCCTCTGAACTTCCATCCTTGCGCGCTGATCTTCATGAAGGTACTCATACATAGAGACGGCATCACCAATCTTAAAGCGATTAATGTTGCCGAGAAAAATCATCGGCAAAACCTTGGTCAGAGTGGAACGAAGGTGCATTAAAAGCACTGCATGATCTTCCGCGATATTTTTTACGGCAGCTACAAATTTAATGATATCACAAAATATAACCAGGGACTTTACGTTTGTGTCACTAGGATCCTTAGCCATCCGAAACAACGAACTCAACGTACTCCTTTGAACTTGCTTGTCCAGAAAGAAGCTTTGTAGAGCGTTCGGTTCCAAAATATTGCTGTCACGAACACAAAGCTTAACGCTTTGTAAGTAATAAACGAACTTGTCGAAACCCTTTCCCTTTAAAATATCGCTGGATGAAAACATTGGGATCGAGTTTTTCAAGGCGTCCGAAGCTAGTGCCGTGAGTAGTTCTTCGGGCACCCCTCGATCTCTGAAAACCATAAGAGCCCTTATGTACAATTGACATAAATGCAGATCAGCGTCTCCAATTGGTTCCTTTTCAGCCAAAGCCATCAAAAATAGCTCCACTAAACTTCTATTTTTGGTGGATTCGGTATCCCAAAGTTCGGGCAGTGACGAATGATCTCCTGCCTGTTCTATTCCAGATATAAGAGGGATATTCTGATCAATAAACATGCAAACAGAAGCATGCGTCTGCGTTAAGTCAAGTGGTGAGTATAAGTCCGACGCACCATCCATCATGCTCAGGGAAACCACCATATTCATGACATCTCTCAGCTCAAATTGACGGTGTTGTCGTACGAACCGCAGTAAGAGATAGAACAGAGTTTGATTAAACTCTCCAACCGCCAAATAATACTTGAGAAGCAGACAGACACTGTGGGCGTCAATGTGTCCCACATCCGGATCCTCATGTGTTCTTGAGGCCCCGAACCTCTCGTACAAGCAGAGGTGATACATTAATCTGGTTTCTAATAGTGCATGAAAACGTTTGAATGCCTGTTCCAGATCATTGTATTCGGCGGTCTCAAAACTTTTGCTCCCAAATGCACCGTCTACCCTGTCTGTAGGAACAGGGCCAAAATAACTCTTACCCAATTCACCACCTCCAGCATTCGTAGACAAGTGGCTCACATCATCACTGCAGCATCTGACAATATTTGCTAGTGCATTTAGTATCAGTGACAACCTGACGAAACTGAAGCCTTCGATGTGGTGACACGCAAGGCTCAGCAAGGCATGTAACCGGCACCGGAATTTCGTACGATTTTCAGTGTTTACCAATTCCGATACCCCAGCCGCACATTTCATAGCCAATATCTGAAAGCCCAAAACGATTTCAAAGGGTTTCAATGCGTCAATACCGATAACGTCCGAATCATCAGCACCTGTATGGTCCTTCCTTTCGCCTTGGGCATGCTTCGGGGCGTAGGCACTCGACGAAATTTGATTAGGCACATTTTCTTTTGCATTCAAACGCCTGCAAACGATGCGGCGTTGATCAACGAGGTCCAGGGATAGTTGCAAATGATGATCGAATGATTCCTGCACCTGCTTGAATGGTCTCAACGACTTGCGGCTAAGTGCATCCTTTACGATTTTGAACACCAAGCGCTTGCCGAGCATGTTGTGTCTTGCACGATTGTCAAATGTCTTTAGACTCAAATGCCACCGTTGCCAGCCCGGGGCGGCGCCGGCGAGGAGCGAAAGAACTAGCAACGATTGCGATTGTAAACTATGTACAGCAACGTCAAAAAACGAAATATATCGGCTATACACACAGATTTCGTGTGTTATAAACGCTGTAAATGCAACCTGAGCTGTGGAACGTATAGGTGGTCAAAGTACATTCGAGCGAAGGTACCACGGCTGTCAGCATACGATAGCAACAGCTTGTTTTGCGCGAAATCTGGTCACCTTATGTTACAATGCGGCGAAAAGAAGAGATGTGCAAATAATACAGCGTTTAATGGGTATTGCTGTGTCCGGGTATGTGATGCGCTAAAATGGCCAACGAAAGGACGCCCAGAAGCGGAATACCGCTTTCCAGCGTCATGCTGCTTGCTTTTGATGCTACATGCCAGCGAATATTGCACTGGTTGTGGAGAGCACTGCCCCACCTATCATCTGACAGCTGCTCGGAAGTAGGCATTGGGGGCATCGGCGGACCCACGTCGCGCAATCGTGGGTTCGACCATAGCGAGCAGCACGCGCCCCTATACAAATAAGCAGGACGCCTAAGCTCCGCCTTTTCGTTAGGCCGGGTGCAATTAATGTTAGTGACACACCTTGTCTAACTGGATGCGAGCGACCTGTAGCACCGATAACACGCGCCTGTCACTACACACCAAGAACTTTGTTTTTCGTATCGCATAACAGTGCTCTGATAGCGGCGCTATATACATTTGTGGAGGTCTTTTGGGTACAGCTGCGTCGATGCTTCGCTATGGTATCTTCTCCCCGTTTTCCGCACAACCACTGCTCTGTCATATCTGGCATGTTCTCCGATTCCAAGGAGTCGACGAACGATGAGTTCGACTTTGGGCGCGGCTCTCCGTCGTCCGGTCTATCTCAGTCTTCTGTGAACTGCACGCCTTATCTCATTCCCCCTTCGTCGTGCACCGTAGACAGGTGTAGTTCGCAGGCGAGGAGCGAGGTAGACAGCTGTGAGAAGGTTATTTTGACCCCTAATGGAGTCGACTCATGTCCCGTAACCGATGAGTTATCTATCAAAGCAATGGATGACGACGATGGTGGTGACATGCACTCGACACCCACCACGATGATGAAGTCGGAACATGCCGGCCAAGGTGATCAGCAACATGCCAAGATTGACGAGGTTAATGACGACAAGGTGGATTCTGCTACAGACAACGACGTGGTCATCCGGACGCCCGTACTCAGCCGTCAGGCGTCGTCAAAGCTGCGCAATGGCAAGGCCGAGGAAAAATTGGAGGTAGATACCCCCATGGGTATCTCATCCTTTATTAAGGCGGCCAGATATGGTCGGCGTGGGGAGAAGTTCCGCCTCATCTGGCTACCGAACCCCGAGGTGAGCAGCCTCATGCGTGTGCCGAGCATTGCACAACTATCCGACACTCGAAGCGCTTCCGCCGAAAGGTTGTACATGGTATACACTGCTGGAGGCATGGACATTTTACAGGACGTCAGTGATATCGCAGGGGTCGAGCGCCGTCCATTCGAGACCCCCTTTGTCATCCTGTATTCCTACAGCTTCAAAAGCATGTACTTTAAGGTTGTGAGCAGGGTGATAGGGTCTTGCAGCAACGTGACATTTGAAGACAACGGTGATGATACTAAGATTTTAAATGAAGAAGATGAAGTAGAGGTGGCTTCTCGTAGCAAGTCAAAAGGCGCATCTCCCGCAACGGGTTATGCGTTTTATCGCAGCTGCCTGTATGGCCTCGATGATCGCAAGAAACCTATGCGCATCAAGGTCTCTTTGCGCAGCATCAAAGACTCGGAGTTAGATATGCGTGCCGCCTCCGTGAAGAATGGTGTAGCTTCTACTTTGCGGACGGCGTTGAGCTCTCGGGCCTCTGAAAATGAGGCTGAAGCGAAGAACAGCTTGCAAAACTCACTCGTAGAGAGCATGACGAGGAGCGAAATTCGCTCAAGCAAGGACATTACCTCCTCTCGCTCGCTTGACTCGGTCCAATTCGATGGCGGGGTGCCTTCAAGCGCCGAGAGCAGCACCAAGCGTTTTATCAGAGCGGGGAGGTACGGCACTTGGGTCTACGCGCCTCCAACCGACCATGAACGAGACGTGGACGAATTAGTGCATGGGCTGCCGTCGGTCCTGCTCGCGGAGCTCAGGCGGCTGCTGCGATTGGAGGACATCGCAATGTTGCCGCAGTGCAACGTGTCGATGGTGAATCCGCGTATCGAGGCTATGATAAAACACAATTTTGAGCTGTACGACCGAGATGAGCAACAACTCACCGCGAACGTTAAGCGCGACCTCGTAGAAGCGAGCAATAAGGAGCCCAACAGCATTGTGATGTATAACGTTGGAGATAATGTCATTTCTGAGGGCGACATTCTGACAGTGAGGTTCCGCACCCTATATCGGGGATACGCTGAGGAGGACACGATGAAGGTGTATGCCAAGAAATATATAGAGCTCTTTTTCGAGATGTTGTCATCGCTTAACGTCGACGACCTGCCGGACTTAACGATGGACATCGCGCAGTTCTGCCCAAATGTCTTCTGGAACCTCGCGCTAACGGGTAATTTCGAGGAAAATTTAAAACGCCTGGTCCCGAACATGCAGGTGAACACGCGCAAACGCAGGTGCAATGCAGCGAAGAACGATTCTACGGCTACCACAAAAAACAAACTCCTTGCCTTCGGACGATCAAACTATTCCCCGGAGTTTGACAACAATTTTGTCATAATGCAGAATTTGTTAGAGCGAGACGCTCAGAAAAAGGTTGCTCATCTCGACAAGATACGCGAGCAGCAGCGAGACCTCAACGGCATGCTGCTGCGCAGCACGGTCAGCAAGTACCTGGACGCTGATGAGCTCATCTCCACGGTCATGGACGCCGAAGGGTTCATGCTGAAAAGCATGCAGGGCCTCACCCCGGCGCAGCGGACCGTGGTGTACAAAACGTACCTGAAGCGCGGACTATACGCCCCTGTGCGCCTGGACTACATCCCAGCCAAGGGGCGCGCGGTGTTCGCAGCCTACGACATCGCGAAAGGCGAATTCGTCGTAGAGTACAAGGGCCAGATCATAACGGAGAAGATGGCCAAGATGAGGGACCAGAAGTACGACAAGGCACGATCCTACAAGGGGTACGTCTACCATCGAGTGCTAAATATATAACTTTATCAGGTCGTTTGTGTTTTACTTCCGTATTCAGACGAAGCGCTACGGCATCGATGCCACGGAAGAGGACATCACGTTTGGGCCGGCGAGACTGATTAACCACTCCCGCAGGAACCCGAACGTGGTGCCCAAGGCGCTCGAGATCGACGGATGCCCACGTTTGTTCTTCGTGGCAAAACGCGACATCAAAAGGTTGGTTCTGCGATATAGGTAGCTGACATGGTGCAGCGGTGAGGAGCTCCTGATCGACTACGGAGAGCGGGATCCGTCCGTTATTAAGGAAAACCCATGGCTAATGGACTAGCGGTTCAATTGTCCCTGCGCTCAGAAATCCATGTTCGGCTCCAGGAACACACTGTAGTTGTATGCCTTCGGTTCCGTTTTCTGCATGGTCTCCACAATGACCTGGTAGTCGAGCTCGCGAATCTCGTCGGGGGACAGCAATCCGACCTTTCCCTCACTCATCGATTTGTCGATCATTTGCATGTTCTTTGCGTCCGTGATGAACTGAACACCGTGATGGATGTTGCTAAGCGCGCGCCTACCTTTTCGAGCGCCATCTGCGCTGCGTGCGATACCAGCCTCAGTGTCGACTCGTTGTGCAGCTTACAACCCACTGTAGAGAGGATGTAGCGCACGAGCTCGTCATGGAGCGCGGACGGCTGGCTGAGGCCCTTGAGCACATCAACTTGGATGTTCGGAGCCCCGTTTCGCGACATATTTTTAGAGGTGTTGCGATGTAAAATACGTATGTTGCCAGCGCTGCCACCCAACGCGTGAATTCGTGGCATAGACAGTCCCCACTCGCGCCCGTGTATCAACTGCCAAATGTCGTTGATTTATCGCACACTATTTTTTGTAACGTACACATTGCGCAGCAAAACGTTATTTCAGTTTCTAGTTGCATCGGTTAATTCTTATTGCGTTATGGAATTGAAGCCGAGGACGTCGGTCGGTTGGCGCCACCTATCATCGAGAGGTTCCGCGTTGCCGACGCGCCTGCCTACTGCTTCACAATCTGTACAATGTCCTGGTCGGCCAGCACGTGCTCCTTCCCAACCTTCTGCGGGTTGTGCTTGACCGAAGTGCCCCAAACAAGGGCGTACTTGAACTGCGTGAGCAGCGATCTGTGAATTTTGAGGCAGAAGTCCTCGACCTTGCTGTGGTGTCGTTTGAGGATGACTGGCGCCTCGTAATCGGGGATTTTGCCACGCGGCTTGGTGTATATCCGCACGAGGTCGAGGTACTTCCATATACTCTCCAAGAGCAGGTCGAGGTTCCACTGCGAAACGTTAGCCATCTACATCGGTGACCTACCTCGTGATGTGCCGATATTGGCACATAGTGCGGCACTTGCGATAGGATATCCAATTCCGGTATCGTGATCTGGTCGATTTTGTTCAGCACGTACAGGCACGGAATGTATATCCGGTTCCCCTCAATGACATCGATGATGTCGTCCACCGTGGCGTCGCAGCGGATGGCGAACGACGCATTGCAAATGCGATATTCGTGACAGATCGATTTGATTATTTCCTCGTCAACGTTGTTGAGCGGCACGGTGTGCGTCACCGTGATCCCGCCCTTGTCCTTGCGCGTAAAGGTGATGTTCGGTGGGGTCTTGTTCAGCCTGATGCCGAACCCCTCCATCTCCTTTTCTAGCAGCCGCTTGTGGTTCATAGACTTGGCTGCATCTAGCACAACTAGGATTAGACCGCACGTGCGCGCGACGGCGATAACCTGTTTACCACGACCCTTTCCGTCCTTGGCCCCCTCGATAATACCGGGCAGATCCAGCAACTGTATTTTGGACCCCTTGTACTTGAATACACCGGGCACGCACGTTAACGTTGTGAATTCGTACGCCGCGACCTCGGAATATGTGCCTGTGAGCTTGTTTAGCAGGGTAGATTTGCCCACAGACGGGAATCCCACGAGACCAACGCGGGCATCACCTGTCTTGGATACGTCGAAACCCTCTCCTGCGCCACCTCCCTTGCTACCGCTGCCTTCAATGAGCTGGGCGCGAAGCTTTGAAAGCTTAGCTTTCAAGAGCCCAAGGTGGAAGTTTGTGGCCTTGTTCTTCTGGGTCCTGGCCATTTCGGCCTCGACCTCCGCGATCTTCTGGAATACCGACATTTTCGAGAAGTACTACGCAGCTCAATCTAACATATGCCAGCACCTAAATTAAGGCGAAGATACAACATGCCCAATGGGCGTATAACTTGATGCCGGGTGTCGGATTCTGGGCGGAGCGCCAATGCTACACCGTATGGGCAATGGCTGATGTGTGCCTGCAGGCAATTCGCGCGAACACCAAAAATTATACGCAATATAGTCAAGCGCCTGGCCCCTTAGGCCGCTTTTTTAATTATTCACGGTGGCGTAGACCCTGTACCCTGCCTCGAGTGTGACTCTCCCCATCCGACTCTTCTATAAAGCTCCATGGCATCATAACACCTCAATGAAGTCACCAATGTGGAGGAATCCGTTTGGAGGCCACATATAGCGTAGGAATTCCTGGAATTGGGTTCCGATGCTGATTTGCGCGCTTCTACTCGCAACCGCGTCGTATGCTATCTGCCTCCATCATTCCAACCACCAGGCGGGATTCCAGCCACTAAGTGGCACACATCGCATTATCGCAAACATCAGAAGCGCCTCAGGTGCTCGTAAAGCCTTCTTGAGCCCCCTGGATCGGTCATCCAGGTTAAATGCAGTGTCTAATTCCGGGCAGCGTCAAGTGCGTTTCACTGAGCATCATGGCGACCACCAACGCCTCCAATGTCTGCAGGCTGCACCTGCTGACTGTAACGATATGGAAGTACCACTGCATCGTTACAGGAATATCGGTAAGATATCTTCCAAATTTGTGACGTGATTCCCATAAATGACAAGCATTTTTTCACATTGTTCGATGACACGTCCAACACATCATCGATATCAATAGATGCTTGTATGGTGACTGTATAAGGTGTTATAAGGAGATGTTCCGGCATTTTGCCCCTCTATTTCACCATACAACTGCCCATGTTTCACGGGCAGGGTTGCCTAGTTCAGGACACTTGTCTACTTCCCCCCCTCTTTAAGCTTCTCAGCACTAATGATTCTCAGGTATAATAGCGCATATTGACGCGGGGAAAACCACTACTACGGAACGTGTGTTGTATCTTACCGGCGTCAGCTACAAGATTGGCGAAGTGCATGATGGTATGGCTGTTATTCATGACGATGACTCCATACACAGGCGAGGCGATCATGGACTACATGCCTCAGGAACGTGAGCGTGGCATCACAATCACGGCCGCTGCCACGACGTGTTTCTGGAAGGGCGGATATCGCAAGTTCCCACAGCATCGCATCAACATCATTGATACGCCCGGTCACGTGGATTTCACTGTTGAGGTAATGCGCTTGCTTCCCATACCATCATATTTTAGGTGGAACGTTCTTTAAGGGTTTTGGATGGCGCTGCGGCAGTTTTCGATGGGGTGGCTGGCGTCGAGCCGCAGTCCGAAACTGTTTGGCGTCAAGCAAATAATTATCACATCCCACGTATCGCATATGTAAATAAAATGGACCGAGCAGGCGCCAGCTTCGAGAAGTGTGTAAAAGAGATGGAAGAGAAGCTCGGTGCCACCCCGGTACCTGTTTTTATCCCTGTGGGCGCCGCGGCCAGCTTTCAGGGTGTGATTGACGTAATCACGTGCGTTCCAAACGATACCGTAACACCTAACGATGCTCAGGCGCAAATTCTACAAGTTCGATAAGGATAAAGACGCGTTCGACTACACCCAAGCGCCAGTGCCGGATGACATGCAGGAGGAACTCCAGCACTATCGTACGCACATGCTAGATTACGCTGCACAGGCCAATGAGGAACTCCTAGATCACTACATCACCAACGGTAAGCCATTTGCCAGATGATATCATGTTTTCAAAGGTGATTTAACGGAGGAGCAAATCCGCAGCGGACTACGCATTATGACCCTGGCCAACCGTATCGCCCCCGTCTGTGCTGGGAGCTCCCTTAAAAACAAGAACATACAAGGTTAGCGCGTGACGTCGGCTCTGGTGCATTGGTTTCAGGATTCCTTGACATGATCGTGGACTACCTCCCGTCGCCATGTGAAGCGAATAAAATGTCCATCCACGCAAATAAGGACGAGAGCGGTACAGACCCAGAATCAACGTCGCAACCTATCGCAAAGGAGCTCGAGGAACGCCAAGTGACATTTGATACCAACGATTTCAACCTGCCGTTCGCCGCGTTGGCATTCAAGATATCGCACGATACACAAATCGGCACCCAAGCGTACATCCGGGTGTACCGGGGCCAAGTGAACGTTGGAGATGTCGTGTACAATACACGTACGAAAAAGGGTAACAAGGTGCAGAAGCTGCTGTTTATACACTCCAACGAACGCAAACACCTCAAGACGGCCCATGCTGGGGACATAGTCTCTCTGGTGAGCCTCACCGCCACAAAACTAATCTCGTTTCAGGTCGGGGTGAAGGACGTGATCACTGGTGATACTCTGTGCAACGAGAAGGAACCACTGTTGTTGGAATCCATCGACTTCCCTGAGCCGGTGATAAGTCTAAAGGTCGAGCCTGAGGATCCCAACGAGCTGGAACGAATGTGCGACATGTTCCGGAAGTTCATGAAGGAAGACCCGTCGTTCCGCATGTACATGAAACCGGAAACACAGGAGACAATCATCAGTGGTATGGGCGAGCTGCACTTGGATATTATTGTGGACCGGATGCGGCGTGAGTACAACCTGCCGGTGAGAACGGGTTCTCCTCAAGTAGAATTTAAAGAGACTTTCGTCAAAGCTACACACGCTGAGGGACGCTATGTGAGGCAATCGGGTGGCCGTGGACAATATGGTCACGTGAAACTGTACGTTGAACCGCTCGAGCAGGGTGAAGGCGTGCAGTTCCGCAACAACATCACTTGTGGGGCTATTCCACAGGAGTTCATTCCGGCGGTTGAGGCTGGTGCCCGCCAACAGTTCCAGGAGGGACTGTTGGCCCACTATCCCGTTACTGACGTGCGAGTTACGCTACTCGACGGGACATTCCACATCGTGGACAGCTCCGAGTTCGCCTTCCACACCGCAACTACAATGGCGATTAGGGATGCCGGTCGCGACGCGGGTGTCAAGCTGCTTGAGCCCATAATGAAGGTTAATGTGGTATGTCCGTTGGCCAACTTCGGCACGGTAAGGGGGGATTTGCTTCGTCGCCGAGGCCAGGTGCACACCATTAAGGACGGCTTCGGCGGGGTCAAGGAGATATCTGGGACCGTCCCACTGCAGGAGATGAGCGGATACATGACCGAGCTGCGTTCTATGAGTCAGGGGCGCGGATTCTACACCATGCAAATGTCCCACTACCACCCAGTACCCCCAGTGGTACAGGAGAAGATTGTGGACTCTAGCCTAAAGCGAACAACCTGATTGAATCATCTTGGCAATGTAGTAGTGGCATGTTTTCTGCGATTTACCGTGGACCTGCATCTGATTCGATTCCACCTCATGCGTCGCATTCGTCTACTGCTGTCCTCTCAGTTGCTGTCCTTACCGTTATGATTCGAGTGGTGCGCCACGTTGTCTTTAGGCCGTAGAACGCGATGCAGAGTAGGTGAGCCTGAGAAACTAATGGAAAAGATGAAAGCACGTCGGGGAACATTGTTTCACGATATTTACACAATCCAGACATAAAAATCATGAAGCGTCGATAGAAGCAACCACATTGCGATTGAAATTATTTTGCTATATTACAACTAAGCGTGCACTATGTGAAGTTACGAGAGATCCTTGGAGGGGAAGGCGGAGTATCGATCAATATCCATCTCCTCGGGAATTCTGTCACCGACGAGATTACTCAACGATCTGCCGGTACTCCTAGGTGCTTCGACAATTGTGCCACGTAGGTCATAGAACACCTTGCGGAATTTCTCTGGATACACATTCCAGGCAAGGAAGCTTGCGAGTATAAGCACAGCGACAGCAACGATTATAGAACCGATGCAGTAAAATACATGTGTCCCGCATAATCCGCCGCAGTCTTTGCAATGGTCGATGCAATGGCCGTTTTCGAACTTTTGGGCGAAGAAGCAATTAAATTTGAGCGCTTTTTCTCCGTGACCTTTACATTTGCCGTTAATATGGCTGTAGTCTTTGTGTTGGTCTCCGTCCTTGCTTCTGTCAACGCCGTGGCCATAGCATACCCCTGGTTTGCATTTCTCGCTTGCAGTCTGTTTAAGCACGAAGCCATCGCACGGTCCTCCTTTACATTGGCTATCGGGGCACCAAATACAACAGTTGCAAAGTCCGTAACTACATCCACACCTACAAAGCACGCATATACATCTGTCACCTATATCGTTATCTTTGCAATTTTGCTCGCATCGAACACATTTTTGATCTTTACCCTTACACGGACTATCGTCGCCGTCTGCGCCATAACAATTTGTCGGACAAGCACAACGATAAAGACGACATTTGCATTTATCGCCGTCTTTTCCAGGTTTGCAGTGTTTCTTGCAGTAATCACATTCCTCGGTACAGCAGACCTTGCACTGCTTACAACGGGGATCAGTGCAACTCGGATTGTGGCTTTTCGCATATGATTCCTTAGCACATCCACAAGGATTCTCGGATGCTGCCTTTGTCTCCGCCATCCTTCGCCTTACTCCATTCACAGGGCCCTGGACTTCATTGAACATCCGGTCGCTGCAACAACATAGCAGTCTCGCGCAGTCCCAGTGGTATGATTCCACTTAACCAATAAACCCTGCGTAATGATGAACCATGCAACCAGATTGTTGGTAGCAGTTAGGAGATTCCTCGCCTTCCTTACGGGGCCATAGATGTGCAGAAAAGTGTTCCTTACGAGTGTTCACTGTCCGAAATTGCGCAAAATTTTTAATATTTCCCAGGAGTCTGTTGGCGCATTGCAGGGTGGGTAGGCATGGGCCTGCCGCACACTGTCTTGCATTCAACGTGTAACAGCGTTAGTCATTACACACAGTGGTTAATGCTATATTGTGCTCTTGCGATAACCCGAAATCGTAGCTTCCGTTGCGCCACGTCCCAAGTTGGACGCGAGGTGTAGGAGGTCGAATTTGCATGACTTAAATACCGACTGAGCTGCTGCATTGAATTTTGCAATTATAGTAACATATGGCTTGGAAGTAATCACACTAATCTCTTGTTCCCGCGTTGGGCAATGTGTAATCCCCCTGCCGGAAAAAACTGTAAGAGTTTTACTGCTGCATGTTAAGTTCAGCAGCAGCTGCGAAACTCCATATTAAAGAATCGCCATCGTTATCATTCTATAGCGCTCACTTCCACCTTTTCCCACTCACCCGCTTTCGGGAGATTTATCTTAATATGTTCTTGATTTGCCATAGCGATTACTTCGCCTCTCATGTCCATCACGTTGTCTGTTGCAAGCAGCGCGGAGCACGTAAGAAATAAAAGTAGAAGGCGCCGATTGGCATTAATATATCAGGCATTGCTAGTATTCGAAGTACGTTCAGCGTTACAGTTTAGAGCGCTGTGATCCATTCCCTTGTTAGAGTTCCTCCCTTCGTAAATGGGAGCGTCTGAGGCGTTTACAAAATCAACTCCATTTTCATCCCAGACAATCCAATGTTTGATCAGATTCAGTGTCTTTGCAGGCTTATTCTGTCATCATTTCTCACCAATCTAGGTTTTCTACATCGGTGGTAGAGCATGGCATGAAGCAACGTCCACTCAATCATATCGCATCTATGACTCTCACACCCCACAGTATAAATATTATTGCTACTAAACTATATAATGCTAGCTGCCAACTACTTCAATACCTATTCGAATGGCGCTGAGCAGGATCACATTCCCCACGCCTGCTCCTAAAGCTGGTACCATGTTTTATATCGACAACATTGTACCCAGATGCCCCAAACGTGCACTACTGATACAAGGTTTATGACAACTCCGTCATAACTTGCGAAAAAGCTCAGTAGCAAAAGAAACGGAAGCCCCGCGCCACGAAGCATGGCCACGAATGCGACGGCGAGCGGACCGCCCCGATCTCACTGATTTTATAGGCGATGTTGACTTAAGGATCACGAATATAGCGAACGTGGTGGATGATGAAGCCTAGTAGTAAAATGGATACGCAAACTGCGATGTTTCCTTTTTGTATGCGCGATGCACAATTTACGTGAACAGTGCGGCATTTACCCAGCTTAACATTAGGGTAGGAGGACAAAAGAACGCTATGTGACACAATGTGTAACACGAATATGATGACATCAAAATTAGGGAGAAAGACGTCAGTGAAATATCAATTTCAAGCGCTGTACCAACTAATGCTAGCCACGTCAGACCGAGTCAGGAAAGGTTAAGGGATTGGATAAAGTCAATGGCCAAAGTTGGAGATAGACCGGAATGTTGCGTTGCCACATGCGGCTACATGCCAACATGGTAGTGCCACGGTAGGGGCAGTAGCAGGGTGGCGCGAGATGAGATATGATTGATTTCTTAGCTATGATGTATCTTAATGCAATGATATGGCAATAATGTGAATAAGTTGATGCGTCAGTGCACTATGTGAACATGGATGTTCGTCATGTGTCAGTGATGGGAGATCTGTGAATGCGCTTCGCGAAGCTCTGGTCTCACAATGCGTTGCATGCGTCAAGATAAGCTTTCAATGACACTGCTTCGTTAATAATGGCAGAGCTTTCAGATGAGCCTAACACTGATCCTAAAGGTTTGTTTGGTGACGTGGTCGTCTAGCCAGGAGTGTTCGTGTCCCGCTCCCCCTTTTCTGTTATGTTGCTCATAGCTGTACAGAGACCATTTGGGGACAGATCTTGGCGGTTCTGACACTGGAGAGGTGCGTTTTTAAGCCGTATGGTGGTGAAGAATGCAAAACATATTGCATTTATTTTTTCTCCGTCTTCCTCGCAATGTTGATCGGTGTAACGTGTTATATATTACGTCACCCGATGTTCTTTCTGAGGGGGATATTTTGTTGTTTGTACTGGTTATAGCTTGCCAATCTAAACTCTTGCAAATGCCGATACCAGCCAGTCCCACACATTCACCGTAGCCTTACGCATCCGCGGCGCTGTCAATGTATATTTGGTTGCGTACTCCAGTCGCCGAAACCCATAGCTGGCGTCCATAGTACGCCAGACACGAGCGTGTGTGTCATTATATCGCAAACGGCGCGCGCTATGTACGCGTAGATTCACCAGGTGGTACCACCAGCAAGTCACGCGAACGGACACGTCCGTCTATAATTGATGCGGTGGCAGCGATCGCAGGACACCATCATTAGTAGGGTTGGTCATATATACGGCCACCCTTCTGCTGCACTGCTTGTTGACCGTTGGATTTTGTTGAACTGCAGTTAGTTCTACGCAGGCACTTTAGGAACCGTTGACATCTGGACTGAGAATCACTGGTTTTATTTGCCGCCTCAATATCCGAGGGAGATATTCTCAGCTGCTTCATAAATGATGTAAGGCGTTCGTCGCAATCCTAATTACCATTCGCTATACCCGTTTGCACAGAGAAGTTGAAAAGATTGTCGTAATGCTGATCGGGACGAAATTCATCCGCACTTGAATGTTGATGCGGCTGTCCGTCGTCATAGGATGTCGCGGGAATATCGCCAGACGCACAGGCATCGTGTGAAGACCCCGATGGTTAGGGCTTCCATGCAACCGGTAACGAGCAATAAACACCAACAGCGTGTGATAGCTAAGCCCCCAACAGACCTACAATGCAGCCCATTCTAAACATAGCCACTCAGCAGAGTATACAAAAGAAAAACCATGCGAATAAAAACATGGTGTCGTAGCGTATCTTCCTAGCGACATTTCGAAGGCAATTAGATATCGTTGAATTGAACGTTCGTATAAAAACTAGATATATTTTTTTTATAAATATAGGTAGCCACTTTTTATGTATTCGTGACAAGCTTCTTTGATGTCTTTGTGTCGCTTTTAGCTAGATGAGGAAGCCCATCATTCTGGGGTGAAAGGAATTATGGATGACTGTCACGTAGAAAGTGCGTTTATTATCCCGCACATGTGACCTATTTTGCGTAGTTTCATTCATCGCGATTTTATAGCAATGAATGTTACGACACGTTACCGTATATGATACCAAGTTTTTATGTTGCTTTTCGGATGCATATGTTATGAGTGACCGGAAACAGTTGATTGAGAAATCATTTTGTATCCGACCACAGCCACAGTAATACAGCGAAGATGGCAGCAGCCGGAGCTGCACCCGCCGCTGCATCTAAGACTAAAAAACTTGAGTATGACGCCTTGGGAAAAGCACTGTACTATCTGGTGTCTTTTATCGAAGGCTACGACCAACAGGTGTTGTCCATGTGTATGAGGGCTTTCGAGTTGACTTTGGGGTTCTCACAGTCTCAGCTCTCTACTTTGGCAACTGTGTCTACTATGTCCCGCATGGGCTGCTGCATAATTTGGGGATTGCTCGGAGATGAACATGACTCTAACCACGTACTTGCCGCTGGTTTATTGTTGATGGGAATCGTTTCAATATGTCTAAGTTCTGCATCTCACTACAAAGTGGTAAGTTGCAATTGTTTACCGTTAATACTCTTGCAGATCCTATTCTTGCGTTTCTTGCACGGCTTTGGATTTGCATGCGTCTATCCCGTCCAACAAAAAATCGTTGCAGAGTCAACTAGTTCAGAGGAAAACAAAACACAAGAAGCGGTGGAAACAACGGCTCCACAGACTCCAACAACTTCGGGGGGAGGACAAAAACGGAAGAAGAAAAAGTCTAATAGTATATTCACACATCTTCAAGCGTTGAATTGTATTGGAAGGCTGTTATGTGCGGTCATAACCACTATTATTGCACGTAAAGTATTATTGGGATATTATGGCTGGCGCACTTCTTACGTTATTATAGGATACGTGTGGATATTGTTTGGTGTTGGAATCGAATTTGGTATGAAACTACGGGAATGTACGAGTTCTGATGGTGAAAGTAGTAGTGCACAGATTGTTGCTCCCAAGGAGACAAAGCTGCATGATTCACTAGCGGGGGCAGCCCATGCTGTGTTCACGAGGCCAACAGCATTGATTTCGATATTTACCTTATTCATCGCAGAAGCTCCAATGTGTGCGTTTAATTATATGACCATATATTTGCAATATTTGGGAGTATCTGACACAATGGCGGGCGTTGCGATTGCCATCACATTGATTGGAGGCGCAGCGGGAAGTGGAGCGGGGGGCTATATTATAGAGAAAATTGCAGATATCAAAGACGGATATGGTGAACTTGGTTCTGGAATCGCGGTTATGGTCGTCCGACTAGTTGTGTCTCTATTGTTCTTCTTAGGGAAGCCACCATGTGGGAAGTTACTTTGGTATCATTATGTAGAGTTGGCGACACTTGGAGGGACATTAGTAACGGTTGGCGGTGTAGATAGGGCCGTTATGAAGGAAGTAATCGAAGATAAGTACCAGGGTACAGCATCTGCCATGGTTCGAACCATATCCGGCATCACGAGTAGTGTAATTCTCTTCCAGGTCTCCGCATATTTGACCGAAAAGGTGTTCGGCTACGTTCCCTCTAGAGAGTCGTTTGAGACCATGGATACAATTGTTAAAGAACAAAATGCCGAAGCTCTGCGGAAATCCATGATGTACATCATTATGGCAGGCACAGCATTGAATACTATTTGCTATATTTCGATGTTTTTTAAGTATACAGAGGATAAAGAGGATGCTAATAAGGGAAATACGGGACAAGATGCATCAGCAACGCAAGCACAACAATGATTTTTAAACGATTGCTGGTATTATTTGAAATACGTTAAGAAGTGCTTGTGTTTGCAGCATTTAATATCATTCGTACACTGTAATTGCTTAGGGAGGTTTGATATTAGTGCCAAGGCTATTTCGCCTTATTATATCGTTTGCTGTTGTTGATGTTTCGAATGGTGGAGAGCTCTGCAAACTAAGCCACAGTGGATGGATCATTGATACTCAACACAAGTCAGTGAGTCCGCACCTGCTGAATACGTAATCGACGAAGCGCGAGTCTGTCGCGTTCCAGTCCCTGTTGAATCACCGATCGCTACATGCCCAGCTATTGCAGGCGTTCCCAGCGGTCCTGAAGTAGAGCTTTTGCCCTCTTTGGTTAGTTTATTGAAATTGATGATTTAATAGTGTTGCAGAGCTGTGACTGAGGGGATTTTTCAGTTGAAATCCTGACAGTGGAATTGAAGGTGGCAGGTTCTCCACGTTAGGAATGTATGCCTTCCTACATATGGCCGATGCTGATTGAATCAGACACAAATGTGGTTAATCGGACTTGAAGCAATAATATTGGCGTACAAAAAACATTTAACGTATGGTATGCTTGTGCACTGCCAAAGATTATTTGCTGTTCTGTTATACAATCGTAACATGCTTCTCTTTAGTTCGTTGCACTTAACAATTTGTCTGCTTAGCGTGTCGAGCAACATTCACATGACATGGCCGCAAGAACATTATGTGAGCTAGGTCAGGCTACAACAAATTAGTGGAGTAAAGCGTTGGAGACGCTGGAGTATATTATAGTGCAGCAATTACAGTGACAATGTAGAAACATGGTATGATGATGGATGGCACTGAGCACATCAAACTACATTACGTTATATGTTGCAGTTAGGTGGACTTGGTGAAATTATTTGTCAGGGATGCAGCTTTGCTTTTTAAGTAAATGCGCAACTCCTTAAAGATATCAAGCCATATGAACAAAATCGCGAATACCAAAATGCCACCAAAAACCCCGGCGACGGTAAGAAGGACTGTTTGCCAACCTTTTTTACAACATTCACATGTACAACTCTTCCGAGTGTTACATCCCTGACATTGTTGGTCACACTTCGACGTTCCACTGCCACATGAACACTTAGCTGGTTTTGGCATCTTCCCCGTCACCATTTACAATACACCCTGCACAACGATGAAGCAAGTACCTTAAGCCCCAAACAGGGGAGTCGCCAAGCCGTCTACCCTCAGAGTTGTGATACCAGTGAGGCAGACGCCATCCAATGCACCGCCGTTAACGCTACAGACACGAGTCCCTCACTGCCTAGGCCCCCGGCATGACCCCTCCAGGTCATGAAGCTTACCCCACACGTCGCTGGGCGAACGGCTTTCATGATCTGATTCTCGTCATCAATCGGCACACGGTATTCGTGCCTTACAACTTTATGTCTGTGGCAAATATTGCCATTGCAACGGCTTCACTTGCCGTGTCCTTGTCATTCCCCTTCTCCGATATTTGTATGATTGTGTTATTCGATCAAAGGCACCGCAATGCAGATAGCGAAAACCATCAGATACTCGTCACACAATGATATGTGTTCGCGAGTTTTGCCACATCGTAATGAAGGGACCAGATGATGGTTCATTATTACATAATCCTTCACACTCATAAACGTGAGGTCGGACACAACTGAGCAGAGTTGTCTAAAACTTTCTTTGTTGACTGTTGCTGTGGACCCGTTTCCAACACCGGCATAAACTTCCCAGTGGTCAACGTTCTACTACGAGGAATTTGGGTTTTGGTAGTCACCAACCCCATCGAGATTTATGTTACGTGTCAGAGTTCGGTGGCGCATAGGAACCTTCACTACGAGAATGCCGAAATGACTCGCTTTAGCGTTCAACATCATATGGTTAGTGCTAGATGGAGATACGGTAAGTAAATGAAGCCACCCCTATTTCCATTTTGGCTGGTGGTCTATCGTTAACAGGTAGCCACGTTAACAACAGAGGAGAGGCAAATCTTTACCCCGTGGGCAGGAGCTTACCACTTACCATTGATGAAACCGATTGATACAACTGCCTATACACATCAACTTCGGTTAAAAGATCTCCGCTAGTTTGTGCTTGCCAAACAGGCAAGCGAGTATACGCTATGCAGTTCTACAGCATCGATGGAGCAGGATGAGGAGCGCTCGTTATCCCGCGCCCCAGTAAGGGGAAGAGATTATATTTAGGCATGTGGGTGTATATTGATGGCGAATTTAATGGTGGGGTGGACGACACTAAGGTTACGATATTGAGGTGAGTGGAGGTGAACCAGCTGGCAGGCATCCTGTATGCATTTCAGGCCAAAACAGGTTATTTATGTTATGTAATTGGCATTTAGCGGTGACAAATAGAAGACGTGAACACGAATATTTTTTAATGTTCCGATGAAGAAGGCATGTTGAGATGAAGAGTTGGAACATTGTGAATAAATGCTAACAATTGAGATTTAAACCCCTTACAATTAACCTTCGGGACGATTTAACGTAGTTCAGCAACAATAGACTTAGTTACTGAGGCAATTTGGCGGCAGTCTGGGTGTGTCCCGCACATATACCTCTACGCATGCAGCGATGTGGTATCCTTTGCCGACGGATTGACGGTGGGTCCATGTTCTCCAAATAATTCAAAGATTGTCAACAATACTTTTTATCTTTATCTACATCTTTAAATAATTCTGATTACTAAAGGTCATTAAAGGTGCATTGATAAACTACTACCTGCACTTCAGGTACGTGGTGCATTTGTGCAGGGGTGTTTGATTCAAGTGAGGGAAGGATGGGAGACAGTTGTCCATGTACTTGCAATAAAACAAGCGGATCAGTATGTCCAGGCAGTAAGGAGTGTTGTAAGAAGAGTAAAGGTTATTGTCTGTGCCCATGTTGCAAACCAAATTTAAGCGCCCTAGCCATATGTCTCTCAGTTGCAGCCGCCGTGTTGCTTATTTTGCTCATTACAATGGTCGTGTTAAAGAAGATGGAGTTCAGGGTGTGGCCATTCGACCAAGCCTACGACTACACCGCCAGTCTCCCGGACACTTACAACCATTACGAGAGGCACCTATCTGAGGATCAGCGGTAGTTCCACTCATAATTCTGGTATCGCAATGACTATTTAATTTCAAGGTACTATCGTTCATCATTTCATGGGTCTACCTCGGCATTTTGGATGCGCCGTAGGATCTCTCCCCGCTTCCACAATATCCGTGTTATGTCAGTGTTTCTATACGGATACTTACGCTGAGTAACTCATTGTGGTTACTGAATCTTTACGTTAGTACCGTAGAGATAAAAATCGCATAATACGCCAACGGTGCGTCACAGCAATTCGTCACACTTTAAATGACAACTACACATATTAACGATCCCCAGATCATAGACACTCATTATCGTCATTTAAACAGATTTCTACGATATTGTTTTCCACACTACCACTAAGTTGAACTCAGAAATCCTTGAACTTCAACGCATATCCACACAGCAACATATAGACGTGCATTACTCACAATTATGATCTACATTTGACATAGAGAGATCAGACGCGTTCACACGGTTTAACATGTCTCGGCAACCTTACTATGACTGTCATGTTACCGATTATTTATCTGCATGTTTACGATATACGCATCAAGCAGTGGGAATAGCTTATGCCGCATTACAAATACGCTTGTGGAATCTCCAGTCCTCCTTTTGGCACTGTACGGAGCAGTACGTAACCTTTTTGCAGCGTGAACATATTTTCAGCGGTTCCTGTTTGGTCTCCTCCTGTTAACAGTGTTGGTGGAGATTGCATTACAAGATACCTTTTTGCAGTTTTCGCAATTCTTCATTGGCTCCGTTTTTGCAGGTGCCGAAGCAGTCAGCGCACCGGCTGCCTGTGGGTTAAGCATGTTGGCTAGCGCCTGCGAGCTGTCCCATCTGCGATGATGCCGTTATCCACATAAATTCAAATGAACCACCAACCTTCCCGTCGGATCTGGCGGGTTTTCGAATAATTCACCGTATTCTTCCATCGTCATGTCAACCCTTTTGAAAATGTCCTCGTCGTCGAATGTCTTAGACACGAAGCATTCTCCTCGAATGTCTGCAACGTCTGTGGGCCCGTCACATATGCGTTACCAGTTGAACATAGCTTAGTTGCTCTTGCATTTGTCGGCAAGTTTTTTACTCGGCCGATACTGTCGATATAGCAGTTGATGGCGGTGAATCCGTTTTTCTTGGTTGGCAGGGTCAACGGTATTATCTGCGGGTAATTAGCATAGTACACAGTGAAAGTGATCGAAATGTGCGATGCATACCTGATACGTTGAGCCTGCAGCATCTATTGAGGTCTTGAGAAGATCCTCGGTCAGATTGATTTTGGACTTGTCCTCAACTCCTGCCTTCTCCTGGGTGTCCTTGAGTTGTTCCTTGAGGTGCTTCTCAAATCCCTGCCGCTCCTCTGGAAGCAAGGAATCCCGTGTGAAATTCTTGTTGATTTGTTCGCGGAAGCTGTCTTCCGTCCCCTGGAAACTCAGCACCTTGACAGGGCTGTTGATGTCGCAGGGGATGTGTATGTAGGAGAACTCCTTGTGTACAACGGCGCCAAGTGTATCCATTTATACAAATTTGTTCTGTACTTCTGTATATAAATGACTGTGCAGGTGGGTACCCTGGAGCTCCGATGGCGTTACCCCGTGGAATGCAACGGCCAAAGAATCTAAGGTCATATGCCGCCTGCTCCACCGACAGGACGGGCTCCGCCAATCACAGGCGCAAAATGCCTAACTATTGCTGTACAACCAATAATTGCGGCAACATCGGCATTTGGTTGTCCCTGTGAATCGCGTATTCTAGGTGTGTAACGGAAGGTTCGCAATATTAAGCTGGTGTCTATATGACAGCAATCTTCAGTAGCGCTCCTCCGTCAAGGCGTCCTTGATGTAGACAAGCCTTGGCGCAACCTCCTCACCGTTGTAGTACGCGTAGACAAGTCCTGCCTCAAGGTCAAGGGACTCGCCAATGTAGAACTCGAAGTCACTGAAGTTGGAAAGCACGTGCTTGACGAAGTTCTGGATGTCGGTCTTGAAGGCAGCAACGCGGTCGGGCTGGTTCTCCTCGAGGTGGGTGGCCACACGCTTGATGTATTTCTTGATGTAGCTGGTGTACTCGGCCTTGGTGAAGGGGGTCTCCTGCAACCTGAATGCGTCGACAATGTCGATCACCATCTCCACGCCGGGGTCGGCAGATGGTCCCGAGCTTCCACCCTCCTCACTGAGCACGTTCGGACCGATATAGGTATAACTTACTCTTCGTTGCAAGCGATACCGTAGTCCTCGTTACCCTTGGCCACTTTAGATGACTTGACTTCGAAGGCAACTGCGCGTAAATGTGACGTATACACGTGTGCAGCTTACCGTTAGCAAAGTCAGCGTTGTCGAAGGGGTTGAGGTGGGCGTAGGCGTCCGAGCAGACTTCGTCGCCGGTGAAAAGATCCTTGTAGACAAGCATTTTGAAGCAGGTTGCTTTTTAGACTCTTGTAAGTTGCTGGTGTTAGTCTGTGACGACTTCAGGCTTTGATCCGACTTGAGATCGTGGGCGGTGTGACAAGGACAGATGAAATGTGCGCGGCGGGAAGGCGAAGTGTGTTAACTCCCGAGTAAGGCACAAAAAATCCAATCAGCCCAGAAAACCCGTTACCTAGCAGTGGAAGAATGGTCAGTGGGAGATGTGGCGCCGCTTTGCCCTCATAACAATGGGGAGGGTTGCCGACCTTTCCGTCACCACCCGTGCAGGCTTCTGGGCACTGGTACGCCATAGAGGCGGGCTTATTTCACACATTATATTAATGTGACGTGTAAAATAATGTATATTAACGGCAACGGATGTAATGTGTATGCTGTTTGCGCGCCTTCATCTCGCGCATGATGTGTAATGCCGGCGATCGCCAATAGGCGGTGCTTGCTGCTACATGCGCCGTTCGTTAAATCTATAAATTGTTATTCTTTCGTAGTGTGTGGGTGTAGCATTTTTTGGACGGCTGCTAGTATGCATACGGCGTTAATGCACCTATGCACAGCCTCCGAGCGCTTAACGGCGTAATATTGTATATTACTTTGTAGAAATGTGGGAATTTGACTACTTTAACGACAATACTGCGCAACATGCGCCTCCCGACCCCCGTCGGACCCAGTACGGAGCGGCGGTTGGGTATATGCCGCATGGAGTTGCTTACGCCGTCGACAGATTTGGGAGACCACACGTTAACAGGTACAGCACGGGAGATTTCGTCGGGGATTCTGTGTTCTACGACGTATCGGATGAGACAATGGGCGTCAACATGGCCGAGGCTGATCTGGCTGCGACGGATGAACAGGCTGAACGCATGGCACTCTACAACACTGAGTTGCACGGCCCACCCATCGTGGGAGCAACCATAGTGAGGCAGGATGAGACACGCATGAACGTAGACTTTACACATCCCAGTCGTTTGAGGTTTTTCACCTCCGCCCCATACAACAATCGTCTCCGCGTGAACGATGTGAACAACTGGACCACCAAGGGTAGGTCTGCCCTCTATCAGCTCGAGGCATGCTTCCACCTCGTTCCAAGGCTTGCGCTAGGTTCGATGCACAGCTCAACGTTGGTGGATTTCGTGTACTTTACGTTGCCCACCCCATCAGGCAACTACTTGTATGGTGTAAGTTATGTTGCGAAATTCGCCGTTGTCAAGGACGAGCCAAGGGGCTATGACAATCGAACTACACAACAGAAGCTTATCAGTGGAGCCATGCAGTACCTTGAGAGAGTGAAGGGTGTGAACCTCGGTTCTGCCAATGCTGCGGCTGCCGGCGGCGGACAGCCGCATGCTCCGGAGAAGCGTCGTGTGTATACATACGTGGCCATATGTGTCATCAGCAAGGTTCCATTCTTCTCTTATATCGGCTCAAGGCTGGAATGTATCGCTCAGACGTATTTCCACACCAAGTGCTTTAGGGATTACCAGCTGCTGACCTCCTTCGTGGAGCAGATGAACTCCACGGAGATGGTGGAAAATTGGAGTTACGAATCTCTGTATGCCAACCTAGAGATGTACTTCAAGCCCGTTGCGCTATGTCTGTCGTATCGGTCGTTGCTGTTCATCGTGAAGTCGATTATGGTTGGCCGCAAGATAACAGTCTACTCGCAATCCGCTGCCCGCACGTCCACCGCCATCTTGGCGATTCTAACAATGATCCCCGGGGCAAGCACGCTTGGTTTCAACTCCAACGGTTTCGGTTCGATGTGGCACTCGTGGAAAAAATTCGCCATGCCGCTGCAACTGTTCCATTCGCAGAACATCATCTTCCCGTTCTTCACGAGGGAAATGATTCATCTTCTAAGGGGTGTCGCCGGATATATTGTGGGCATAACTGATTTGAAGATCATCCAGGAACTCGACCATCTGCCTGACTTTTTGGTGAACCTGGAGCAAAATTGTATTCAGCTGCTGAATGGTGGCCTCCTGCAGATGTTCCACCCTTCCCTCTACGAGATCCAGCATTTTGACAGTGCAGCAGAACCTGAATACGATTCTGAGGACGATGAGATAGTAAAGGCGGTTTCTAGCACCGGTTGTGCCATATATTCCACCATTGGCGGTTACTTGGGCAAGACTCCATCCGCCTTGGTGGACATCAGCGGTTCTCTCAAGCGTGTCGTCGGCAACCGCGCGCCGAAGAGAGGTGCCATCAAATGCAATGAGAGTGCGCTGGGATTGCTTGATAAATATTTCCCCGGCACGGTGCCGAATTGGCTGAAAAAATGCGGCTCGTCGAAACGCTCCGGGCTAACATCGAAGGAACTGGAGAAGTTAGACGACGACGAAGAAGCCGCAGCCCAACCAGACAATAAAATATCTGAGACACGACCTTTCACAATGCAGGACATGTTCGCCAAGATGGCCAAACATAAGAGCCACTACCACTATTTGGGTTACGTCGAGCACATCCATGTGTCCTACACTGACAAGGAGCGCATCCGTGAAGTCGAGTATGCCATCAACAATCGCATCAACCCCATGCAAGAGTACTTGCTAAAGTTTTTGACGGACGTAGCCTACGTGTGTGGAGAGAAAAGGCTCCTGCAACAGCTGCTGATGGACTTCAGCTTCGACGTGAAGGCGCTTACCGATTGCGCCCAAACCGTGACAGGAACCGTATTAAAACGTGGGGACTGCTACTTCCGCGGCGATCTTCCCGCCATGAGCTTCCTTGAGGCTGGGTACAAGAGATTCTTCCCGGAACATGACTGCGATTGTGACATACCGTGCCCAGGGGAAGGGGAGCATCACGAGTTTTGTGATATCGGCGACCCGGTGTCTTATGACAATGATTTCACGGTGATCCATCCACATGATAAGACCGGTCACAAGTGTTCTGACGCCGCCAAGCCCTGCGGGACTGGCACTGCTAAAGCCGAAAAGAAGGTAACTGTAGACACAGCGGCTGAGTTTTTCAAATCCCTATCATTTTCCAAATTCATCGCCTTATTCACGCCCGCAAAGAAGCAAGAGTCGTCAAAACCTGCAGAGGATAAGCAACCGGAAAAGAAACCCGGATCCAGCGGACTCGACGACCGAGCGAAGGGGCGTCCCAAGCGCTCGACTGCTGAAGCGAAGGATGATAAGGAGACAACCAATGCCGTCACGAAAGATGACAAAGGGCCAGCGACCGCTGCAAGCACCTCCGATTCGGCCAAAGAGGGCGCAACAGATGCTTCCAAAACTGTCGATGAAGCACAAACTGCCAATAATGACGTAGAAAAGCAGCCATCAACTGTTGAGAGTAAGGAAGCCGAAAAGGATGCCAAATCCGGGGAAACTGCACCAGCAAAGAAAGAGGAATCAGAATCGCCATCCGAATCGGCGCCCAAGACGGACGCTGAAGTTTCATCTGAACCTGCGGCAGATGCTGCAACTGCGACAGCAGACGCCCCAGTCAGCGAAGGTGCTGAAAAAGCTGCTGAGGACTCCGCTGTTCCCGATGCTGAGAAGGCACCTGAGAGCGACAAGGCTGAGCCAACAGCAGAACAAGAAGGCGAACAGGTTGAGAAACAAGATGACAAGGATACTTCGGAGAATGTTGCCAATGCTGAGGGCACGGCTGATAAGAGTGACTCAGCCGCCGCCGTTAATGCTCCACAACAAGATGAGAGTAGTGCTACAAATGACGGTGGTGATGCTGCTGAAGTAACTGCCGAGGATAGTTCAGCAAATGTTGCAAGCCCGACGGAGCAAGGTAGCACTAATGCTGCAGAGGTGGTTACTAATGCGACGGAACAAGACGGTAAGAGTAGCGCAGAAAATGTGGATGATTCTGCGAAGCAAGATGATAGCAGCGCTTCAAAAGATGCCAGTGGTGCTGTGGATAACAGTAGCGGCACTCCTGAAGAAAAGGTTGCTGACGCTGCGGGTGCAGCTGATAAGCCTTCGGAAAGTCCGGAGGCAGATTCGAAAGATACGGAGAAAGCGTCCGAGGCGACCGGCGAGGCCGCTCCCAAGGCTACCGAGGAGAAGCCAGAACCTGCTAAACCGGGTTTCTTCGACATGTTCAAACAATTTATTACTGGGGAATTCGGCTTTGATGACCCTGCTGTGAATGACAAAGATGCAGAGGAGGACGACGATCTGGAAAATAACGAATTATGGAACGATACTAACGAATACGACGATTCCGCTCGAACACCCCGGGATGGCAATGGGGATGTAAAAGGCGGTGAGGCTGCTGGTTCAGATAAAACGGACCAAGAAGTTCCAAAGGAATCGAAAGATATGGATTTCTTTGCCTCCAAGATAACACCCGTTGATAAAAAGGTAAATGAAGTGTCAACTGCAGGGCAAAAGGTTGGAGGTGACAAGCAAGTTGTAGTGGCAGCGCCATCTTCCGATGCTGGACATGACAACCCCAAGACGGGAATGAAGAAAGAAAGCGGCCCTAATGAATGCGGAAATAAGGAATGCCACCATGAACACGGGCATGCGAAGGATGAAGGGGGTAAGGATATTAAACATGAAAAGAGTGGTGCCAAATCCGCCACCCCGGCACGTAAGCACTTCAAGCCGAAGATTAAGGTGTATCCTACCCAGCGCAATTACAGGCGAACTGAGGATGAGGAGATCAAGTTCGAAGTGGTTGGATCCGTGGCCACCAAGATTATGGAATTGCAGTGCAACCATGGTATCGACTTCATTGAGATGTGGGTGAACAGCCTGTGTGCACAGCAGTTTTTCGAGGAGAATGACCTGGCCACCTTCAGCGAACCAGTTTACTTCAGCAACACCTCTATGGCCAAGCAGAAGTACGCCAACGGCGACGTGTATGTTGGCGACTTCAAATATATGAAGCGTGACGGAAAGGGTACCTACATCACCTCTGACGGCACCGTCTACGAAGGTGACTGGGTGGGCGGCAAGCGTCACGGTGAAGGCAGTTTGACATCGGCTAAGCACGGGTACAAATTCCGCGGCCAGTGGGTTTCGGACAAACGCAGCGGCTACGGGGAGCTGCATACCCCAACTTTCATCTACACCGGCATCTTCAAGAACAACAATTTCCACGGCACTGGAAAGCTGGTGCACGCCGGAGGGGAGACCTACGAGGGTGACTTCGAAGATGGCAAGTACTGCGGTCGCGGCAAGCTAATAAGCCTCGACGGCACCGTAAAGATCGGCTCCTTCCGCAACAACGAGCTGTACGGCGTGTGCAGCATGATAAAGCCTGACGGCCGCATTTACATAGGCAAGCTTCACGGTGACGTGCTACATGGCCCTGGGAAGCTCATCTATGACAAGTTCGTATCGTTCGAAGGGCAGTGGGATCGCGGCATTCGCGAAGGCCAGGGAGCGGTGACCATAAAGATGAACGACAGTGAATACGCTCCCGCCATTAACATCGAGGGCACCTGGGAGAACGACAGCTTAGTGATGAGCGACGTACTAGTGAAGTTCCCCAGTGGATACAAGTACGTGGGCACTCTTGCCTACTGTCCAGATCTGAACCCCCTGCTGAGGTTACCCTCATACGATGAATCCATGTTCACCGAGGCTGAGGAGGTCCTATCGACCTTCAGCAATCGCATTTTGCCGCACGGCTGGGGTATCATAAAGGCACCCAGCGGGAGCACCTACAGCGGCGACCTGATGTGTGGCATGCGCCACGGCAACGGCGTTATGCTGTTCCAGAACGGTGTGTCATACGATGGCCCATGGGCATACGGCACTGTGCATGGCATTGCTGAGGTGACGTTCCCCGGCGAGGTGTCGCAGAAGCGAATCAACTTTGAGTACGGCCAACTGCTCGACACGTTGGACAACAAGCGACGTCAGATGATAAATGAGTGCTTAATGGAGGTTGGCAGGCCCACTTTCGAGCGCGAGTTCACTTTGAGGAACCTGGAGCCCTTCCCCGGCCTATTGAGCAAGCTATTGGCAATCCTGTGAGCCGCAGAGCGGCCGCTCAGATCCGCTTTGTGCCTATGCGGCCCAAGATGCAGGCTTCTAGCCCCCCTGGCAACGCGATCTCCTCTTTGGAGCACTTGAACACCTAATATTTTGTTTTATTTTTATTGCTGCGTGTTGCGTACCTTGGCGATTTTATCGTTGTTTCTCATGTGTTGTAGTTCCTCGATGGGCACCTGTGCTCCCCTGACGAGCGTTTCCAGGTCTCCAAAAAGCTGTGTGTTCATGTACGTGGCGGTTGTCGGGAACTCACTTTCGTCTTTGAGATGGATACGGCCAACATGGCCTTACATGTGTTGTCAGTTCTGCTGGTTTGTATGCACATTTCGTCCATGCACTTGGTCACCTGCAGCGCTATACTTCGCATCGACTGCGGAACCTACGCTCGAAGACCCTCCCATCATGTACACAACCTCCGTCGTGAAGTGGGCGCTGTGCACCTTCCGATTGAGCACATTGGTGACAGCCCGACTAATGGCGTAGGAAACATGATCAGCTGACACGATCTGCGAACATATAGCATGCGCATCTCACCCTCTTACCATTTCCGGATTAAGGACGAGGTGTACAAGCTCGAAATCCAACATGCCCTTGCAGTCCGGTTCCGAAGCCGCTGGGAGGCCATCCGGACCCAATGGCGACATGCGCTTGTCCGGAATGGCGGATCCCGACGCCGCGCTGACGTCCATGGCGTGACGTACCACGTCGTTGCGATTTGACACCTCCCCGTACAGCGTCATTGAGACGAAGAGCTTCTTGAAGGGGCAGGTGACGGCGCCGCCGAAATGCGTCTGGAAGATCGGCAGCTCAACATATAAGGTGTTCCACGCCATCTTGATTTCCACGGAAGATAAACTCCGTGATGTGTAGCCCGGAAGAGTGCTGATGTTGACCCAACCTCGGCACACCCTAACTAAGGCGTTGCCCGTCGCGTTATGATTGCCTCCCGACTTTACGGTTGGCAATTTATATATAATGTGGCAACACCACGCTGCAATAACTGCCGCCTTCCTCTCCTCTTACCCTAAACTAGGGGAGTAGACAGGTGGCGATGGGCTCCCGTGCTGCGCGGTCCTTGAGTAACGAATGGTCGGGATTCTGCGCAACGTTCACCTCCGCTCAACTGTCCAAGGTGCTCAATCGCATCGCTCTGAACTTTGGTCGGCTTTCCCAGTCTACCAGTTTCCGCCGGGAACAATGCTTGAAAACCTTCCTGGAGGACCATGTTCTTCGGTCGGTTTCACCAACGATACGGCTTGAAGGGGGCGGGAAGCTGGGATTCGAAGCCGTCCTACAGCCACTGCATCAGCGCATCCTACTTTTGGGGCGGTCAGGCTCGCTCAGCTCGAAGGATGCCTCCCTGGTTTTAAATGCGTATGCAAAAGTGTACCAGTGCACAAAGCAGCCACAATCCACATCGAAGGTACAATGGGACGTAGTTTCCAGGAAGCTGAAATGGTGCGCGGAGCAGCTGCTCCCAGTGGCGAGGCGGCTGGTTGCGGAGATGAACGAACAGGACCTGTCGCTGGTGCTCAACTGCGTCTCTAAGCTAGGTTTACCTGCAAACGACCTTTTGAATGCCGCAAACGAAGCGCTAACGAGTCAACTCGTTGCACATTATGGGTGTGTATTATATGTGATTCAATAAAATGATTTCCAGGCACGAGTCTCAAGGTGACACGAATGCAGGAGCCCCGGAACCATGTAGCAACGTCATATCTCAACTAACTCCGCAAGGCGCATCTCTTGTTGTAAATAGCTTCGCAAAGTCGGATGTTGCACTAGACGATGCCGTGCTCAACCACATTGTGCATAGGTTCCTACCCAGTCACCTTGAGCAGTTCCTGCCGCAGCAGCTGGCCGTGCTGTTACACGGTTTCCTCAAGTATAACGTGCCGACCAAGGATCTCTATAGCGCACTAAAGCACCTGGACCGGTCAATGTCTATTGCGCCTGTTGAGAGCAACCCAAAGTTGCTATCGTCTGCGCTATACACCTTCGGCAAATACAACTACCTTCCAGCGGAACTGGCCAGACAGATGGAACTTGTAAGAGGTGGTAAACCACTGCGCTTATCTGAGCTTGAGTTGAGCAATATCTGCTACGGCATGGGTAAACTTCGCATTCGTTCTGAGCCCTTTTTGGAGAAGCTTACTGGGGCCGTGTCTAGGGTGCTGCACGAGCTCACCCCTCAGGGATTATCCACAGTCTACTATGCGCTGTCTCGGCTGGATATCAGGGATGCAGTGTCTGAGGGCGCGCATGTACCATCATCTGGCTCTGTGCAAACATCTATTATACATAGATTTGAGGAGCTGGTGGAGCTTGATAGGAAATCTGCTCCATATGCCTACGTCAATCGCAACATATCGCAACAGGTGTGTTATTATTCGTGAGTATTTCACCCTATTCCAGGTGCTACCTCTACATATAGTGAACGTTTGCTTCAGTGCAGCCACCAGCTTAATTCTGGACGGCGGCCTGTTCGCGCGGCTCCTACGGCATCTATCACTGTGTTTTACGAGGGTACACGTATCACCACATCATTCCTCAAGTCACATCAATATCGCATCTGGGAATGGTGGAGATACAGAGCACGGCGCAAATGGACATGCACCTGATGTCGTTTCACTCAATGGAAACTCTGTTTATGTCGAAGAGGCAACTACCACCGAGGATCGTGCCTGCGCGTTCCTTACAACGTCTTTGGGCACACAGGGCACCTATCAACTGTTCTGCATATGCCAGCACATTGCCGGGTATGCTCTAGGCGGACTCAGCGCACTTGGCTTGGAGGAGCTGAAGCTGTTATCGGAGCTGTTCAGGGCGTGGGAACGGATATCGCGTGATAAACCGAGCGCCTTCCTGAGCGAGGACCCTACCCGCTCAGTGGTGTTGGTGGACCCAGATATTACAACGTCAAAGATTCAGAGCGGAGTATTTGCAGTGCTCAAAACAATGCTAAGCCGATCCTCAGAAACACGGGAGGGAAAACACGATTCGGGCTTAGAAGATCAATGCAGTAAGGATAAGGAGACTATTGTGGTTGCGGAGTCTCACGCAACCCCGTACGCGATAGACATTTTGTTGTACCGTGTGTAAGACTTCCACATCGGGAAGGCGACAAAACTGACCGCTTCTTACACTATAATAACATAAGTGTAGTGTAATGTAACATTATAATATACGTTATTATATATTGGCCGCAGGACTGCGATGTCGGTGGCCAGCGCTGTTACCAGGCGGCTGCCAACTTGCCTGGCTTCAACGCTCGTCGGCGGATTCCCACAGAAGTCAGCGTTATCATCGCCTGATGTCTTTAAATATACCATTACGGGTTGGAATCAGAGCCTAACGTATCCCGTCTCTCCTCTGTGCAGTCCAACTGGGATATGCAACGGTCATGGCATAGCACAGCGGTCTGCACTAACGGATCCCTTCGTGCGCCTCAGTGACGGCTTCTTCACCCATGTATCGCAAATAGAATGTCCGGTAAGTGCCTATAAGTGTTGCTATTTTCGTATGTGCTGTAAGAATGAATCGTAGTTGACATTCGATAATGTCGATTGCAGCGTCCCCTGCAGGTAAACCTCGAACTGCCAAACGGGCCGTACCCAGAGATACGTCACCAACCTGTACAGCTTCCTGCTGTAACAACAGAGTCACACCACGTGGTTGAGGATCAGGAGACAGGCGTTTATCACATCTATGATGTGGGACCAGCGTATTTGTTCAACAAGCTGCGGACGGACACCAAACATCGCAAACGCGCCTTTACGAAGAGAGGATACTTTCGGCAGTCGCGTTCTATCACGCGTAAGGAGAATCGAATGAAGTGGGTTTTAACGCCTTTTCATTAACTGTTTTCAGGTTCGCGTACGCCCTGCAGGGCATCGATTATGAGATGCTTGAGGGGCTCAAAAGGGGAGAGATTCCTGACATCAGGGCCTACAAGCGCTGAACGCCAATGCAAGCATCTCGACATGTGTTGGCAGAGCCTTCGGTTATGTTATACACCACGTTGTGTGTACCTTGTATAATGGAGGCACGCGTTAGACTCGTCGCATATTCGGGTGAAACCAGTGCCAGAAGACGAGGCAACAAAGCTCAAAATAGTTCTAATGCATAGTGGCTAACATAAAACGTATTATTGTATTTTGGGGAGCAATAGAACATGAGCTGTTGCCACTGCCTTCTGCCGCAGGCGGTCACCTTCGATTAGCGCCTTAGATAATTTTTGAGCCACATATTAATCGTCAATATATCGTATGTCATTGGTTGCTATCCATGTTTGAATAGAAGATTGTTATTTGTGCTTCGCTGAAGTGCTTCGACAGCATTCTTGGCGCAATTGGTCCCAGTCCTTCGTACTAAGAGTGGGATGGAGGCCAAGGATGACTTCTGGGCCTCTTTGGGCTCGCCGGTATACGTTGCGGCGCCTATGGTAAACCAAAGCGAGCTGCCTTTTAGGCTCCTATGCCGGCGTTACAACACCCAACTGGCATACACTCCCATGCTGCACGGCCGCATATTCGGGGAGAGTGAGAAATATCGCGCGTTGCACTTCCAAACGACGCCAGAGGACTCTCCACTTATCGCACAGCTTTGCGGGGATGATGCAGCGGCTCTGTCAACTGCCGCTGCGCACCTTAAGGGGAAGGTGGCAGCGGTGGACATCAACCTGGGTTGCCCGCAGGGCATCGCCAAAGACGGGCACTACGGAGCGTACCTGCTTGATGAACCGGATCTTGTTACGTATGTTTGATGTTTAATCTATAAGGATTGACAATTTTTACAGGGGTATCGTAAGCAGGATCACTCAGGAGGTGGGGATCCCGGTCACGTGCAAGATACGCAAGATTGAGAAGAATTCGCTGCAGTCCACTCTAAACTTCTGCTACAGCCTCGAGGTACTCATCATAAAAGTTTCTATACACATGCCTAACAGCAAAGTGGTTGCCGTGCGCTGACAGTTCACGGCAGGCACCGGTCGGAGAAGGGACAGCAGATACGGGAGGCAGACTGGGACGCTATTCGTATCGTGAAGTCACGCGTGAGGATACCGGGTGTGTATCACTATGTTCGACCAAAAATAACTGCTCAGTTATCGCAAATGGAGGTATCGAAACCTTCGATGACGTTCGTCGATGTCTCGACCACACCGGGTATGCCGCTGTGCTTGCTCTATTAAACGTGCACAGGGCCGACGCCGTGATGTCGTCCGAAGCGCTTCTAGAGAGGCCATACCTCTTTTCTGGCCGCACGTATGACCACATCAACATCATGCAGGAATACCTCGACCTGGTCCGGCAGTAGGTCCAACCGCCACGCCAACTGACTTCATGCAGGTACCCGAACCACCCGCCCTGCTGCATTCGCGGACACGCCTTCAAACTTCTGCACCAACACTGCCAGCGCCATCACGAGATACGTGACCTGCTGTCAGCTGCGCTGAGCGTTGACGAATTCGAGCGTGCGTTGGGTGAACTGCAGCGACTGGTCAACCCCGCCTGGAGCTACACACACCCAAGTGAATCGTGGTACCGGCGGCACCGGAACCCCGTGGACAACGCGCCGAAAGCAATGCCACCTGCTAACTACGAAGCTTCTCTGGGTGAAGGCCTCGCAGGCCTCTTCGACTTTTAACCTGGGTCGGGGTAAGACACGACATCGTGAGGGTGATGTTGTGGCAACGGCGTGTAATCGCACGCACATTTACATAACTCATACCAATGGACGTTTTTTGAACGTCATGATGCACATTTTTGCGAAAAGCACATTGATAGCAGTCGTCATCACGTTGGTCGGCAAGGTTTGCCTTGCCGTGAAGGAGCAATCAACAGGTACGATGTGTATCTCAAGTGACTCAAATATCGTCTACATGTGATTCTGTGTTGCTATTTTCTAGGTGTGTCCGGTGTTATATGTATGAAACAGTTATTTGACGGCACCTTGTAATACACATGACTCACGACGCTCAGCCAAAAGTCGCAACGCATTCCTCGACTTCTTCAAGCTAACGGGAGACGTAGTGCCATCTACATACCCGGTGCTGAAGTTCAACCAGAGCGCCAACAACGACTCCACGTTCGCCGCGCTGCGTCGCCGCGAGCTGCAGGAGCTCCAGGAGGAGGCGATGCGGCTCCTACCTTTGCAGCGCCGCAACTTCGAGGGAATCACACACAAGCTCGTTCGGCAGTCCAATGCAGTGGACGAGTTGGCCACCGCCATGGAACGCCAGTAAGTACCGCATCGGAAGGCCGAGGGAAGACCATCGCAAAATAAGTTGAATCGCAACTAGCTGGACAGCAAAAGTGTTGTCTAAAATATTATCGCTATATTGCTGTGGAGCGAATATCGTACTGTTATGTGCCGATAGGTAAGGTGGCGGCAGACTTGCCTGACGGCGGAGTCCGCGGCAGAGAAACCCGCACATCGCATTGCATCTAACCTAAGACGCTGTAATATAGTACTTACTATGGATGCATTGGTGACGGAAGTCAACAATTTGCGGCAGCGTAAGTTGGACGGTCTAGGCGTCTTTCACCGCAGCCTTCCTCTCCTCGGACTCACATCGTTGCAGAATACCGCGAGCTGGCGGCAGCACATTCGCAGCTTCTCACGCAGCAGAACGAGTGCACAGCTGTCTTAAAGGTAGGTGTGGCGTTTATGTTTATGACTTGCCCAGGAGCTGCAAATCCTGGAGGCCGATGCAAAAATATACAAGAGTACCGGACCAGTGCTGACAGCACAGAGCAAGGACGACGCCTTGAACACCATAACGAAGCGTATAGAGTACATATCGAACGAAATGTAAGCGATACAGTCGTCGCTATGAAAACAAACGCAGCGATGAAAAGGCCAAGGCAATGGCCAACCTCCAGGGCGCCATCGAGGAAAAATGCCGAACAGTTAGTTTTAAAATTACTGTTTTAAAGAGCGCAGTTGGACGCCATGAACGCGCAACATCAACGGGCTGCACAACCCAGCTAAAACGTAAATATTACAAAAACTCCGTGCTTGTTCTTGGTTGCTTTTACCGGGGTGACATATCATTGTAGAGCACACGCATACCCAAAACATTTCCGGAGGTCAAGACAATGTCCTTAATTTCCTCCTCGAATTTGATGTCAGACTCGCTGGTAAGGTCGTCCACCAGGGTGGCGACGAGCTCCGTTCCGTTGTAAAGGTTGGTGGTGACGTGGAGGGTCCTCTTGTCGGCGAAGATGACGTTGATGATGGCGTTGTCGCACGGCTGCTCGACCCTGTGCTCGGCAGCGGTGTCGTTTTGCGGGAGGGTGGCAACGTAAGCACCTTCGGCGCCGCCAGGAAGTTGAATGGAAAGGAACTTTCCAACCTCGACCTCGCTGGTACCCTGCATCTCGAGCATGATGATCAACTGGTTGTCCTTTTTGAAGGCGAACGGCAGAATCTTCTCTTTGTCGAGGGCGTATTCCTCACCGTAATCGGAAGTGAGTGACTTGATGTCGGAAAGGCCAATGTCGGAGATGGAAGGCCTGCTGGTCAGGTCCATGCAGGTGTACTTGACAGTGAGGCTGTGGTCTTTCTCCTGGATACCTTCGATGGTGGGCAACAGACGCTTCTCCTTGACGATGGCGAAGGGGTCGAAAGTGAACTCGTTCTTGTTGAACACCTGCCTGTCGAGGAAGGCACCAATTTCAGTGGTACGGTAGAGCTTGCCGTCAATGGTCTTCTCCTCCCAGAAGATGGTAGTGGGCTGGAGGGCGGTGTCGGTGACCATACCACCCCAGAGCGCGCTGACGACACGGATGTAACGGTCGCTAGGGCAGGTCATGACGACAGTCTGTCCATGCTTGCAAGGGACGGTCTTGATGTTCGAGTCTTCAGCGTGCAGGGTGCCCTTGACGATACCGAACTTGGCCTTAAACACGAAGGGCTTCTGGTTGTCAGCGGTGATACCACCGAGGTGGAGATCAAGGAGACCGTTGGAAGTCCTCTTGGGGCTGAAGGTACAGCTGCTGCGACCCTCACAGAAGAACTGCAGAAGATCCAGACGGTTCCTCCTGGTGTCGTCCTCTTCGAGTTCCTTACCGACAATATCCCAGACAGCGGACTTGACGGACAGCAGTGACTCCGCGGGCGCCTTTACGGTGACGAAGGCGTCCTCCTCGGCAGTGAGGATGATCTGGTCGGTACCGTTCTTCCTAATGACATCGACGTACGCATTGTGGTAGGCGGGACGGCAGAAGTACTGCGCGTCGATGACCTGGTAGTTGCACACGGTGTCACTGACGTAGAGCGACTTGTCAATGGTGCAGCTACGCTGGTTTTGGCAGAGGTAGAAGGCGTTCTCCATGAACGACCTGTTGCAGTAGTTGTGCCTGTACTGCCAGGTGTGGAAGAGACCAGCTCCACGCACGAAGGACAGGTTGATCACCTCGCCCTGTTCACAACCCATAACCAGGTCAAGGTTGGGGTCGATGGCGGCAATCATCTCACGACCAGTGGGCTTGCGGGCCGTCGATTCGCAGACACCGCTAACCTTCAAGGTGTAGCTGGCGTTGGAGAACGGCACGCCGAAGAAGTGGTAGATCTTGTCAACAACATTCTCGAGGTGGGCGATGGGCTTCAGGATGCAATTGTTAAGGCCACGGCAAATCTTCTTGACGTCGGAAGTCCTGTCCAAACGAACGGGCCCGTTCTCGTCAATGTCCAATTTGCCGGAAAAGGTGGCTATCCACAGGGCGTTCGTGATAGTGAGCCCAGTTCCAGAGGGGCATGAGAGCACCTTCAGGGAGTACTCCGGAATCTCGTGAACGAAGGGTTTGTCAGCCGTCAGCTTGATAGTGGATTCGGAGGAATCCAGTTCTGGCTGGGCGTGGGCCAACGCCGCCAACAAAAACAACAATGCCGCCTTCATTGTGTAAAATGGCGCGAAATGACGTATCCGTAAGGAGCCAGGTCTGCCACACAATATAACAGTCAACAATCCCAAAGATATGCAATGCCGAAGACGCAACGCATAGATGTACGATATTGCGTTAATCAAACACGGAACAGCACCAGGAGGAATAAATGCCAACTACACTGGCGATGTCATTGTAACACATTTACAGTATTCGTCAAAATACTGTAAAATGAACGTATAAACAGGTGCATGGGATTATAAAAGGCTGCAAAAGGCAAATTACCTATTAATGAACAGCTCCGAAAGCCATACACATCTGCAGCCACGGACCATGCATACACAGGGCATCAACACATACCACTGATAACTCACCTCGCAACCGGCAGTAGATTTTTCGTTGCAGTCAGTCGTCTTGTAAGCTGCAAATGAAAGGATCTCGGCCTGTGCCCCCGGGATATCGCGGCGAGAGGGAACACTGCTCAGGAGTGCTTACACATCCATCGGAGCTCTACGCCAATGTACTCAATTAACGTTACACAGCATGTTCCGCTACAATAGGCAATGAAATATAAATGCAATGCTAAAATATACACCAGGTTTTCGATATGCTAATGTAACCATGCCGAGGTCACCTACGCTGTGCAGCGCACCTAAGCAATGCGAGTTACACATCCAACTCGAACGTGAGCGCATTATCGCTCAAAAGAACAGCAGAGAGCTCACTGCAGCATGCCCAGCGCAGACTCCGCCGCCCGCAGTGGACTCGTTCTTGGTCCGGGCCAGGTAACCGCTGCATTCCTCTGCGAGAACGCGCTTTCCTGAGAAGACGGCGCAGCCGTAGATTCCGATCTCTGTCACCGTCCGCTCGACGCTGAGCGTGAAAGCACCCTCCTCGTTGCCCTTAACAAACGCTGCCCGCTGTACCGGTGGTTTGATGCGGCGCATCAGCACGTATTTGGCGAGCTGTCTGCGATCGGTTTCCATCCCCTGCCGCAGCACCGCCGCCAGCTCGTTGTGCGTATAGAGCTCCGCGCCGCCTTCAGCCTGTGATTTTAGCACGAATCCTCCGGGGGACTCTATGGCCGCTTTCACGATGTCCTCGTTGACGGCCAGCGAAGGGTCCACCTGTTGTACATTCACGCTTCTGAATGTGTTCAGTGCGGCGTACACCGGAGATATCGATGCACCGGTCGGTGATACGTCTGGCGGCAGCGTATCATCAGTTGACATCTGCCCCCGGATGGCGGGGTCGCAAAGAAGCATCTGGATGCGCTTGCTGCCGGCCAGTTGCGCCGGCACCGATGGCACTTTGACAGCGTCGGAGAATTCAAACAATCGGCGTACGTCCCAGCTGTCACGATCACAAGCCATCTCTTCGTCAGAATAGCAGCTGCGATAGTAAATCACGCTCACTTCCCTAACGATGACCTGGTTCTGGCCGCATCCGTTCAAGGGCGGACACGCAATGAACAGGCGACCTGGGTTCCCCTCGTTGTCCGGGTTAAACTGGCGCTTGGGTTCCACGAGGTGTACTGCGGAGTCTGAAGCGGTTTGGATGAAGAGGCGCCCTTCGCGGCGCCAACGGCACAGCTCCCGCATGGTAACCACCTTGACGGTGACGCCGTAGTTCTCCATCAGCACGTCTGCCACAGCATACACGTCGAAAAAGTTGCCGAGTTCTTCGGTAACCACCTGCAAAATGCACGGTGGCAGGTCGTGCATGAGACTGCAGTGCCGCTTCACGTAATGTTCGTGCGCCGTGGCGAGGGTATCCACGATGCCTCCCAAGGGCGAGTTCTGCAGATGGAGCTTGTGGAAGCCCGCAATCATGCCCATGTGATCCATCTTGCCGATCGCAAGGCGTTGTCGCAACATCCCATCCACGCAATCGCTGTGGGCTCGAGAGACCAACTCCGATAAGTGGGCCAGAGCACACGATACCGTGTTCACCTCCACCATCTTCATATACACACCTGGCAGTGCTTCAAAAGTCCTTATCAAGGCGGCGTTGGTGCCAATGGTGCCGCCTACTATGTTGCGCAGCTCACAAAGGCACACGTCGTAGTGGCATGTTCGGCAGTGCTCCACCCGGGCCGAATTGGGTGGTGTGCCCGGCGCAGACGGCAACTCGGCCACATGCAGCAAGTAGTCAGCCCTGGTGACATAGGCGCGGACGTCATCCTTCAGGCGGCGTTTGCCAGACAGGTAGACGTCACGGCATATATCCAGCAAGTGGGCAATGAACGGATCCACCTCACGCAGAGGCTCAAGCGCCGAACACAACCATTGTTCGCCACAGCTGACGTGATCTATGAGCCTAACCAAACTAGGTGTAAAGCGAACACCAGCTAGGAAGGGGCTAAGAGGGAACGGTACAGGGAACAGGACCGTTGGTGCCACCTTCACTCGGCCGCCGAAAGGGAGCACCGATCCGACGCTGCACGTAGCCTTCCAGTTAAGATTTTGCGATAGACAGCCAAGCATCATGAGCTTGCGTACGAAGCTCCTCAGCAACTGCTCCACGGCTTCGGAGGCATCGGCTGAGTGACACCGGTAGATCCCGGAGAACTCCGGCGACACTTCTGCACCTCCTGACGGGATAAGCTTCATTACATCCATGAAATGGCCTGTTATGTGCGGGAAGACGAACGATCCGTCCTCCCGAGCCACCTCCAGGCGGACCGGGACGCGAATCCGGAACCGCCTGGAAGGCTGATCGACATAGTAAATTGACATGGCTAATTTGCCACAACAGCGTGGCAAATAGGCCAAGCTGACATTCTAGAGCCGCTTAGAAAAGCGGTGTACGTCTCCTAGTGTCGGCATATAAGACACCAAGGTGTGTTACTGCCTTACCAATATGGTGCAACAGGGGTATCACCCGATTAGTGTGGTAGATCCGTGGCGGGGGACTGCCATCTGTGCCCAGACATATCCGCAGTGGTCGCCGCATTCCGCATCAATCTTTCGCCTTTTACTAAAGATTGCCGTGCGGCGTCCGCATTTAATGCACATTTAACAATTTTTCTGGTGCTCCGGCGCCTACAATAGCATGCTTTTTTGAGCAGTTCTCACTGGTAGCGTTGTCACTTGTGGCCGTGTCTGTTGCCCGGCGGGTAGTTGGGCAATGCGTTTCACTAGTAGCGGCCTCGTGGATTGTGTTTCGGGGCATTACATGCCTATATGCCACTGGATGTCGATGTATCGTTGTGGTTTCGTTGTTGCGGGCGTTTCGCGCATGGTCACCCTTGGGTATGCTAATAGCTAACTGTCTTGTAGTCACGACATTTCGGCCGTTCGGGAGTGGGTTTGGCCATTCAGGTCGTTACCACAGCTGGTAGCACAGGCCACTTGTCGACGCCTGCTCTTCTAGTAACCGCATCTAAAATGATTGGTGACACTATTGGCTATGGTTAGACACACTTCACTATAGGAACTGCGTGGCATCACCCGCGGCCAGCATTGCGGCTGCTGTCCACACCTGATGCGTGACCACGAGCGTGTACGGCGGCTAGGCCTCTCTGAGCTTATTTCGCCACCTAAGGCGTTAGACAAAGTGCTGTCGGCTTCAGTACGATTCTACAAGTCTTAGGACCCCGTGTTTATCCGTCATGTCCGACACGAGCAGGCTGACAGTCACGCAAAAGGGCGATGAGGTCTAAGGTTCTTTGTTCATTAAAATCAAACAGACACTGTACCAACGCCTCAACAGGCACATGTTTGGTAACGCATCGGTGATTAAAATGTGCTGAAGTAACGCACACTCTTTCTCAATGGCGATAACCACCTCCCCCATCCCAAGCCCCGTCACACAGACCCGGTCTACGCCAACCCGAAGAAGCCACAATCACATAAACTAGCAGTCTATTTTGCCAATAGTATGACTCTCAAGTAAAACGCTTATCACTACAGCTGGGACGTTACCCGGGAGTGGTAGACCAGACAACCACAAAACAACGGAGTGTGCGATCCAAGCGCCTTCTTGGAATCAGGTGGAACCTACATGGCCACTAGGGGCCTTTAGACGTGTACACCAGTGTCAGGAATCCACCGAAACAGGCGGTCTTGACGCTTAGCCTTTCTTCCGTCGTGGCGGTGACTCTTGGTCTAGACCCACCGGAAGCTCCACCGTCAAGATATATATATCCATCGCAACCTGAAATGGAACGCAGTGAAATGGACCTTCACAGGATTTAGTGGACATAACAAGCAATGGAGCAGGCTCAAAAGGTGGCGATTCCTGGAGACCGGGATGGAGCCCAGGGTAACGGGCGCCTCCCGGCTTCGGAGCGCCGCTCGGATGAATATGCGCCTGAGGCGACGCCGCAAGACGGCGGAGATCATGATTTGTATTACCACGACGATCCGCAATGCCCCTGCTACGTGTGTACCAACGGGGTCATGGATGCGAAGTCGTCCATGGCCAACGACGACACTTCCACGGGGGTGGAGTTCGCCGTGCGCTCGTTCTGGCGCGTAGCCAAAACGCAGAACGACGTGGAATCCCCGATGGAAGGACACTGCAGGGGGTTCCACTACAAGTTGCTGCTGCACCCGAGGGGTACCGCCGGCACCGACAGCGAGGCCAGCCACCTTTCGGTCTTCGTGGAGGCTTCGGTGCAGGACTGGTACCCGCAGTACTGGGTGTTCCCGAACGTCAGGTTCGAACTCACGGTGGTGAACTTCAAGGACCCCAAGCAGTCGGTGACCTCGTGGGCGCACTGGAGTTTCTCCAGCGACGCAACCAGCCGGGGCTGGCAGAAGATGATATCTCACACCCGGCTGACCAGGGCCAGCGGTTTCATGGATGAGGATGGCACTGTGCTGGTGAGGGGTAAGGCGGAGCCGCCTTACCCGATGCTCTGGTCTAACTCGCCCCTGTACCACCCGCAGATGATGTGGGAGTATATCCCCAACAGGGCGCACCGCGAAATATCGGCGGACCTACACTCGGATAAGCATACCGGCGGAAAGTACAAGAGGTCGGCGTCGCTGCCCGAAACCGTCCCGTGCCACCCGGCGTGCACGTATGAGTTACACGCGCCCGCGTGCAAAAATGCAGCTCCGGTACTGCCGCACGGGGACCCGCCCTACGCAATCAGCGAAAAGGAACGCGAAAGAGAATGGAAGGCTTTTATGGATGCGCAGAAAGTACACAGGTTATATTCGAAGGCGAAACAAAAGATTGCCGATGCCCCGCCGGCACAGCCCGCCAACACCCAGGGGCAGGCGCCGGCGCCTCCAGTACCGCCTCTACCGCTGCCAATGCAGTCGGATCAGGGTGAATTTGCGGAAGATGCCTCCGGGAACGACGAGTCGGATGGGTACACCGAAGTCAACGCGGAAGACACGCTGATGCATCTGCAGCCGGATGAATATCCAGGGGTGTCCAGCCACACAATACTGAAGTTCCTTGATTCCGTCATACCGGCGTTGCAGCCGACGCTCGATGCGGACCTGCTCGCCCTCATGACGCACATTTTATACCACATCAGGGAGTTCAGAAAGCATATCTTTATGTGGAATCCGCCGGACCCGGTTCCGGAAGGCAGCAAGGGCGGCAACGGAATCATCGTTGCTCTGCAGAAGACATTCGCATACATGGAGCTTTACCCGCTCGCGGCCGCCTGCAAAACGTACAAGCTGGCTGGTATCGAAACTCAGCACCTGTCGAAGTATTACCTGTACGAGCTGCTTCCGAAACTGCCCAACGTCAAGAAGGGATATGGTTTGATAGATTACAGCGACGGTGCAGGCACTGCCAACGCCAACAACTCCGAGAAGTCCACCAACTCAAGTTTCGAGAGCAGCTCGCAGCAGAACCAGTACGCTGGGCGTGGCCGAGGTCAGAAGACAGGCCCGTGGAACAGGATGCATATTCCCACTCCATTCCCACAACCCAGCGAGGCGCAGGGATACAACGCGGGCGAGGCGGACTTCAAGCACCCGAACTGCTGTTATTTCGACGGAGGCAGGTACGAGTGGGAGCTGAAGCACAGAACGCCAAGCAAAGATGAAAATTCTGGGGATTCGGTGACTGAGGTGCAACGTGAGGGCGCAGATAGCAGGCCCAGCAACATCTTCGGGACGTCGGACGTATACAAGCCGAACTACAAGCTGCTGCCAGGCACGCTCAGTTTCAGCATCGGCAACAGAGCCGACGTGTTTGACAAGATCCTGCCTCCGCCGCCGAACATCAAACTGCTGCTGAAGGCGATGCACATGAGCGACCTGCAGGTCCTGGAGACGCAGGATCAGCTTATCAACATCCACACTGAACTGTTCAGCATGATTATGAGGGACTTGGCGGCTACCAGGCACGCCGTGATAGAGAAAAAGCTTGTAGAGCGGAAGCAAGCGAGAGTGGCTGCAGCAGCTAAATCCAACGTGGATCCTAATTCAGTATACTTGGGACCGATCTACCTTAGGGAGTACGTTGCTCTGGAAGTAACGTGTAAGTCGTTGTTCTCCGGTACCAGCCTTCTCTCCGGGATCTTCAACCACGGTGACCCCAACGAGATCCCCAACGTCTACATTCGTTGCAAGCACTCTCACTCACTTCAGAAGGCGCTTGAAAACACCACGAAGACCATGGCTAAGTTCCCCGAGGTGCTGTTCTTCTACCTCCACCCAGCGAAGAACGCTAAAAAGGGGGAGTTGTTCGACATACCGCTGAGGTTGGACTGCAGCAGCCTGCGCAGCCGCCCTTCTTACCGGGATGACACCGCCGACACGGGGGGTGCGTCGCAGGGTCAGAAGGGGAGCGGTCATGGCGACAACACTTGCGACTCTGGAGTGAGCTCGGGTGCAGTGGACTACTGCGGCTACTCCGACGAGGAGGATGACGACGACGAAGAGGATGAAGATGAAGAGGATCAGGATGAGCTTGGCAGTGAAGGATTTGGCAACTTCGATGGTGACGGCAAAAAGACCAAACACCCGGCGCATATTAAGTGGTACTCGCTGTACGCCCTCATATTGCGAGAGGGTGACATAAGGTCGGATGGCACGGGTAACAATGGCGGAAACTTCCACTCGCTGCTTCTGCGGCCGGAAGAGGATGGGCCGTGGTATCGCATTGCAGAGGGCAGAGTAGAGAAGCTATCCACGAAAATGGAGTTCACAGAGTGGAAGTGCCATAGGGACTTTTTCTGTGCCGCGGCGGTGTACATAGCCGAGGATTACATAGACATGATGCAGGTGGGTGAAGTGGATGTAAACGGCAACTTAAAGACGTGGAACCCAAAACTCTACTACGAAACGTTGCAGCAGCTTGGAGTGACTGAAAGTGATATTGCAAATCCGGCGATAAGACCCATGTCAGAGTGGATGAGTGAGCACCCTACACCGCGTCCCTACTATAATGAGGGCGATTCGGAGCTCATGACGCCGCGTGGCTCCGCGACCCCGGCATACTTGTCTCCACGTTCAGCGAGGGACGATGCGGTGACTGCCAGGGGCAGTCTATCGGAACCCGCCTTGACAGCTTCGGAAGCGGGCGATGTACTGCCGGCCCCAGCACAGGTCCAAAGCCGGAAAGATGATTTTGTCGATATCAAGGCACTTTTGGGTGATGAAGCGGAAGACCTGGATCTTACCAACATCGACATCATTTACAACAGAAAGGTCGGCCAGAGGCACCCCAAACTTGGCTCATGCTGCGAATCCCATGGTTACAGCAGCAGCGCGTTGAATAACCTCAACGACAAGGAGTATGCGACGAAAATGATGCAGCCGTCTTCAGCGAAAGAAATCTGCAGGCGCATCAACCGAGCCGAAACCATAAGGCCGTTCATCAGGTGGCTCTTCAACGCATCGAAGGAGAACACGACAGTGCTTAACGGGGTCAAGCTCCCTGCGGACGGCAAGATGCTCGTGAAGTTCCTGCAGCAGCGTGAGCGGTACTTCGAGGAGGAGTTCTGCCACCTCATATGCGAAATACTGCTGAAGGAGATAGGGGAGCACATGGCGCTGAATGCAGTGTACAGGTGGGAAACCGACAAATCGTGGTGCGGTTGCGAATGCAAACGGTGTGGAGAAAACTGCCCCGCCATGTTACTGACAGAAAACGGCCGCTTCGCCGGCGAGGAACTGAAGGCGCTGCTGACGGAACCCTCAACTATTCTGTTCCGCAACATTCAGATTCTCCGGTGTCACCTGGAGTACTTCTGCAAGGATTGCAGGAACCTCAGCATGCAGTTGAAGGACGAGCAGCGGGTGGCGGACATACGTGAATTTAAGGCAACGTCGGAACGGTCGGCGCTCTTCCTCATAGAGTGCATCTGGGACGCTTGTGTGCGTTACACCCACGATTGCAGGACCGTTTTGTACCTCAAGGCCATATCTGACAATCCAAGTGCGTCCATGGCCGAACTGGGCCTGAACAAGGTGAGCACGCTGGTAAAGCCCAGCGCGATCCCGGCTGCAAAGCAAACGAATTCGCTCAACTCCTCCGTGGACCAGTGTCGCGACCTCTTCGTTTTCGATGGCACCCTGTCGCAAAATGCGGAGCTTTTGGAGGGCGTGCTAATCGACTACTACGACACGAAGTACGATTTGACTCCCGCAGAGGAGCTAAGGATCATGCGGTACTTCGCCGCCAAATACCAGTTGCCGCCAGTGTCTCAAATGCGTAAATTCTTGCGGCAGAACCACGTACTGGTCTTTTGCTACATCAGGCCGCATGAGCTGCTGAGGGCGTACCTTGAGGTGAAAAATCCGGGCATTAACGTGAAGGAGGAAATTGAGGCCATGTTGCCCAGCATCATCTGGAACGACGCAGCCTTCGAGCAGAGGGTCACCATTAGCTCCCTCACTGACGAAGAAAAGGCGGCCTATGGCATCGACTCAGACAACGTCGACATTGTTAACGGCGTTGGACACAACCTCTGCGACATATACGAGCAGTTGATTGCCAAGATGCTGTTGCATATGCAGGACGCAGAGCGGGGGATGAGCACCAAGGTGCTGGATTACATTTACACCTGCGGTGACGTTGCGAAGGTCGTGGGCGCTATAGAAGCGGAATGCAGAAAAACGATAACCAACAGCAACTTGGTGGTCAGGAGCAAAAGCCTGGAGGATATTTGCAAGTGCACCGGCATTGCAGGTGGCTGCAAGATCTCGCCTGTGATGGGCGGCACCACGTACTTCCCAGACTTCGGCGTGTCCAGAGGGCCGTTCGCCCTGGACTTTGTCGAAATTCAGAACAATGAGCCTTGGCCAAGCGGGTTGAGGAGCGAGTGCGCTTCGTTCACCGAAGAGGTTTCTGACATGACAGCCAAACCTGCCGACGCCAAGCGAAAGCAGAAGGCCAAGGAGCGGAAGAAGACCGTCGACAGCGCCGCGTGCATAATACCGCCACTTGACCAGGCGCTTCGCGACGTGAACATTAGCCAGAGAACAGCTCATGCTGCGGATCCGAAACTGTTCCCAGACCTCACTGAGGTCATCAAGTATCCCAATGGAGCTCACTGCTTGGGCAACACTGGAGCCTTGGCAAAGTTGCGCAGGTGGGGCGAATACAACTCGCTTCTGTTCCACCAAACGCTCGGCTATGACTTCAACGTCGCTGGTGGATTCGCCTCCATGCTGAAGGTTGAGAACCACGGCTCAAAGGCCACTCCACACCCGCTTTTGGAAGACAGGAAGTTTAACGAGGCGCAGTCGCTTAGAATCAAGCACGCATTCGAGATTGGTATTGTGACAACCCACGACCTGTCGGGTTGCGAAGGCTTTGCCTCAGAGGAGAAGTTGGTGCCAACCAAACGGCTACTGGTGTACCATGAGTACGTGAACTCCCAAACTGGAAAGAAAGCGCCCGTCAAGGTCGAGCATCTATACTGGGGCTTGCGAAGGCTCCTGCAGCAGCAGGTGCCAGCTGACATGGACAGCGTGTTCGTCCAGGCGAGCAAGGGGAAGAAGGGTAAAGGCAGCACGAAATGTGTCTGCGGCGGTCGCTGCGATTCCGACGAGTACGAGTGCACCGCTAACATGCGCTGGAAACCGCTGCCTCGTGACTGCTTTGTGCTATATGCCCTGAGGCCGGACAACAACAATCCCATCAGAAGGGGTAGACGCCGATTCACCTTCATGAACCCTGAATCCGAACTATCGCAATACGTTGAAGGCACGAAGAAGCAGGTCAACCCCAAGACGCCAGACCTGGTCGTGCTCATCGTGGGCGCGCCACTGTCCCTGTGCAGCACACCGACCACGCCGTTCCCGCTCACGGACGACACCGACTACCCGTTGCTCCTGTTCAAGTGGATGTGCACTGAATCGGTTGACCTTATATGCTACGGCGCGGTAGTTTGCGACGCCAAGAAGCAACTGCAGCATTACATCTTCGACTGGCTCCTGCCGTTGGTAAGGGAAAGTGGCACGTTGCCGAAGCTCGGGCCCAACGAGAAAGAGGACATTGAGAGGTACCAGATTCTGGAGGAATGCAGCGTGCGAACGGTGCAGAATGTGCGCCGCTGGAGCTGCGCCATACGGAAGATCAACAAGAGGACCGGCGACATCATCATCGCTCAGCTGAAAAGGCTCACAGACTCGCCGGCCACTCTGAAGCTCAGGGAGACAACGGCCTTTTTGCATACCGTGCGTGAGCTCGAGGAACTCCAGACGCTAGAGTTCCTTCCTCCGGCTGAGAGAATAGACGAAATCATCGAAATAAGTAAGGGGAAAGTGGAATCCATAGAGCCGCTGCCCCAAGTAGTAGACGACACCCAGAAGCTGGGAAAGAAAAAGAAAAAGAAGAAAGTGACCAAATCCGCAATTCCGTCTAACAAGAAGAGTACGTTCTCTAAATCCATCGTCCCTGTAGAAAGTGACTCCGAGGAGAGTGTAGCGGAGCAATCGCAGCAGCAAGATGCCGCCCCTCCGACGGAGGAAACGTTGACACCCGAGCCGGATGCCAAGAAAACGGCGGATGTTGCAGTCCCGATTACTGAGCCCGAAACTGGTGCTCCTGCCAAGGAAGACGAGGAAGAGGAGGACGACGAAGACGAGGATGAGGAAGAGGAGGATGAAGAGGCCGAGGAGGTTGATACCGCCCCCGCCGCAGTAGTTGAGGAAGTGAACGATGAACCGGATGCAGAGGAGGCCGCTGAGGAAGTGGATATCGCTCCCCTTGTCGACGACGCTCTCGCCGCCGTGGTGTCCTCGAGGACCGTCGTCGACCGATCAGCCATAGAGAAGCGGGGTCTTCCAAGCGGCAGGATGCAGGACTTTTTGCAGAAGGTAGACATGCCCAACCTGCTGTCCAACGACTCCGAGATGGTGACGCAGATGTGCTCGTATATCCAGAAGGTGATAGAGGGGGAACTGGCGTTGGTTGTACCACCGATAAGCTCGCCCTCCAGAGACCAAATCATCATCACTGTGAATTCCAAGGTTCGCACCTGCATCGACATTCTGTTGTGCCTGATCAGGTGCATGAACAAGAATGGGTGGCTGATTAGCAGCTTCAGGACCATGGTCAACGCAATATACGAAAAGGCACCGCTATCAGCCGCGGCGATCGCGTGCTACGCCTTGTCAGCCATGGGCAACATCTGCATCGTGGAGAACATGAAGTCCAAGGCAGCCATAGAGTTCGTTCGTGACCTTGCGAAGAAGATGGCCGACCAGTGCGTTGAGCACTCCTCGAGCATTTTCGATTCCACTGACGCGAAGTGCACCGTGACGTCGATGCTGATGTGCCTGTACATCTACTCGGCGGTGAACGAGAACATTGCCAAGATCTGCGACCAGAACTCCTCCCTCATCTTCCTCATGAACGTCGTGAGGGAGAAGCTCTCCGTAGTCCCGGAATCTGACGAAGAGGAGCGTTCATCGACTATCACATTCAGGATGGACGCCTTGGAACGGTTCCTGGGTGGCCCTGGCTACTCCGCTGTCGCCAACGCCTCCCTCGCTGACCAGGTGAACAAGTCTCCAGGGCTGATGGCCGCCTTCAAGAGCGTGCAACCGCCCTTCGCCAACGAAGAGCTGCTTATGGCGTTTGAACGCATCACTTTCCAAGAGCAAAAGATCTGGTGGCACACGCGTGAGGCCCTGATGTCCAACATCAAGGCGTTGCTCGACCAAGGCGTTGTGAGCTTCGTAGTGGTCATTGGTGACGCGGAGGCCCGAAGAAGTCGGCACGTCGACGACGCGCTACCGCTGGAGATGTCGTTGGCCGAGTTCAAGTGCCTGCAGCAGTGCTGCAGCAGGTACCCCAACGAGCTCGGAATCGCCATTGACGTCGGCTTCGTCCACGCCGGCCCGCTCAACGCGATCAGCACCCACCACTACCACCCGACCGGCGATGCTGCCGCTGTGGTGGACGCCGTCGCAGCGCTATCGCAGCTGGTGAAGTCGCGCAGCCGTCGCCGCACAGTTGCAAACGTTGCGCTCGACGAGGGCGACCAGACCAGTGTCTTCGCCAACCTCGACGACATGCGGCTCTGGGGCAACCAGACTGCGCTGGTCATCATGTCGGTGCGGCTCTCGGGCACTTTGGACTCGGTCTCCACGGAGGACGTGGAGGCGATCCTGCAGCACTACTACGCGCGGACGGTCAAGACCATCCCGCCGCCGCCCAGACTGCCGCCACAGCAGCCTCAAATGGTCGGCAACCACGTCTAACGGCCACTATGACAGTATTAATATTTATTTTGGTGTAAATGGCTTTATAAAATATGCATCAGTTGCTTAGCAGGACCTCGGGGTTCTCGATCGCCTCCCTGATGGCGATGAGGAACTGCACCGCCTCGCGGCCGTCGATCAGCCTGTGGTCGTACGAGAGCGCGAGGTTCATAATGGGGCGGATCGCCATGGCGTCGTCGCGCACCACGCAGCGCTTGATTATCGAGTGCATGCCCAGGATGGAGGACTGCGGCGGGTTGATGATCGGCGTGCTGAGGACGCTGCCGTACACGCCACCGTTGGAAATCGTGAATGTACCGCCGGTCATGTCGGCCACCGTTAAACGGCCCTCGCGGCCCTTCTTAGCCGCGTCGCCGAGCTGCTCCTCCAACTCAGCCCAGGTCTTATCCTCGCAGTTGCGAATGACGGGCACCACCAGCCCAGTGGGAGTGGCCACGGCCACAGAGATGTCCACGAAGTGCTTGGTGACGATGTCGTCACCCTCGATGTACGAGTTCATGATGGGCATCTTCAGCAGCGCCATAGTGGCGGCCTTGAGGTAGGCGGAGACGAAACCCAGTTTCACCGGGAACTTCCCTGATTCGTTAAGCTCTTTGCGGAGGTCCATCACGGCGCCCATGTCGCACTCGTTGAAGGTGGTGAGCATCACCGTCGTCTGCTGGGACTCCTTCAGCCTCTCTCCAATGCGCTTGCGCATGCGGGTCATTTGTACCTGAAGGAGATTTACAAAACAAACGAGATATACAAACCCTAGTTTCGGTGGGAGATTCCTCCACTGGTTTGGTCTCAGCTACAGGCTCCTCGACTTTCGTTTCCTTGGCGGCTACTTCCTCCGGGGCCGCTACCTCAACTTCTGGCGCGCTTTCGGGAACCGCGGCACTGCCGGCCTGAGCCCCGGTGTCGACGTCAATGAAGGGCTTGCCGACGAACACAGTGTCTTCCTCCTCGTAGTGCTGCTTGACGATCACTCCTTCCATCGTACTGTTGATGTCCACGGTGACCTTGTCCGTCTCCACGATGGCCAGCGGCTCGTCCACCGAGATGCTGTCACCCACTGCCTTCTTCCACTCGCTCAGCGTTCCCTCGCTGATTGAGTCTCCGAGGGACGGCAGCATCATAGTTTTAACCTCTGAGAGCAGATTAGAAGCCGTAACGGTGTTGCCATGACTCACCCAAAAGCTTAGCGGATGTGTGCATTTTCCGAACGCCGGAGATCGACCCACTAATGTGTTGATCTCTGAAAGTCGAAACGCAGGCATTTCTCTGCAAAACTACGGCGTTCCGCGCAAATCGGCGAGCCAGCGTGTTGACGGCTGCGCAGCCGCCGATAAAGGTTTGCAGTCGCGCCATCTCTTAAACACCCCTGTTCTAGTTATTTAACCGTATGGGTATAAAGTGAAAGTATAGGCGTTGTCATACCGTGGGCGGTGCCGACGAAGGTTGCATCACGTCAGCTGTAGCCGGCGTGAGCTCCCCGCCGATCGATGCTTCGGACAAACTGATTTAGCAATTTGATACCTGTGGCGTTTAAATAGTGATGTGCTAGCAGACTGGTATATGATTAGCAAGTTGCTGTTGTCTCTTCATAACTCAATACACACCGTAGAATCTCTAGGCATTGTTCCGTCTAAAACTATAGATTCGACCTTGATTTGGGGCTAGTATAGATCTTTATGGACGGATCTGCCTGTGCTAACGGCTAAATGGTGACTCGGTTAGCTCACAGAGGTTGCCAGCTTCCGCTGTACCGAAAAAAATACTAAAGGTCCATATGACGAGTCGCAGAAGAAAATCGATAACCAAAGGTGTAAACTTTAAAAGGCATTAGTTCAATAGCGCTTGGAAGGGGCGACTAGATATTAGAAGTAAATACACATTCACATGGCCGAATCAGCAGCGCCGCGCGTAGCATCCCTACATATGTGAGATTACGGCGGCAAGCCAATACGAAAATCACAATATTGACACTACAACAACTTTTAAACTAACACTGCTGCAGAAGACAATGAAGTACCCATTGTTACTGATTGCAGTGGCCTCGCTGAGAGCTGCGGAGGCATTCAGCACCAAAATTAGGCACAGAGGCTCCGAATCGCAATACGAGCTCAACGAAGATGTGCACACTAACGTGGAAGGCCTGTCTACGGACAGCTTTATTGCCCACTTCGGCGGAGATGTGGCGGCGCTTGTTGGCGGACTCGTCCAGGATGACAATGCGGAGGCGGTGCTGAGCTCGCCGCTCAACTTCTTCTACAGCCGCAAAAGCGAGGGAGCGTCTACTATGCAGCCATCCAACAAAGACATTCAAAAGACCGTGGCGGAGTGCGTTCTGACTCACCACGAAGCCACCGGACCCAAGTCGAGGAAGATATACCTCTCCTTGAAGGACGCTGAGGAATACGGCAAGCGAATAGAGCACGCCAAAGCGCGTGTTAGGTCGGAAACTGGAATGGTCACGCCAGCAAGGTCAGAACAGAGCGCCTCCAGGGGGACCATGGACCTTGAATGCAAGTCCGTCATCGTCGAGGACGATGCCAAGAAATGCAACGTATGCCTGTACGCGGAGATTCTGGTGCCCAACAAACACGTCAGATACGGGCATATTGGAAAGTCCAGCATACTGGAGTGTCTCAACGGTTACGACACCGAACTCGGCAGAAACAGCTCGAGCAGGACCTACTTCATCAACGCACCGACCAGGTACCACCCGGTCTGCATAGCGTCCTGAAACACAAACACGACTGAGTAATATCTGGCAGTCACAATTACACTATTTACTAGTCCATCGCGCTGCAAGTGGCGCAACGGCGGGGCGCGCATGTGGCGTGGAACACGTGGCCACACCAGTACACCTGTACCATGCTCTGCGATGTGTAGCTCCTTATATGAGCTCGCAAGTCCGGGGGTATTGCCGACGATATTCCCGATGTAGATGCCATCCACTTCGCTCTGCCCAAGCCGCCGGAAGATGGCTTCATGCTTAAGAGCGATGAAAGCTGGTCCTGGTACAAATTTGGCAGGTGGAGGCTAGATGCGCGATTATTAGTATCGTGTGCCGCCTGTTTCTTTGAAGAGGTCTGCAGCGTGTATATAATACCCAACTGCTTCTCCAGTGGTGACAGGTTGCTCGCCGCGGTGGTGGACGGGCTTGTGTCGTTACGAGGTGCACCCTCAGTGGGTGGAGAGTCTACTCCGCCACCCGCATCAGGTTGCGGAATTGACCACAGTTTGCGCCTACAGACGCCGCATATATCATGGTTTCGGCGTAACTCAACGCTGCCCTCGACAATCACTCCACGCTTGTTGCAGTCAAGGCTCTGCCGGAACTCGTTGCACAGAACGGTGGTCCCCATGGTTGACGACGCCTTGGCGGCGAACGTTTGGAAGTCCACGTCGCAGAGCAACATGCGCAGCGGGTGCTTGAACATGGAGACGGAAACAGATTCGTAGGCTTCCAGCTCCACCAAGGCCCGTGTCAGTCGGGTGAACTTCAATATACCGACGTTGAACACCCTTTCGATCAAGGTGCTTGCGTCACCATTTTTACGCTCGACGTCAACCAGGCACCGCAAGATGCTGAACCACAAGTTCTCGAGGCTCTCATGAGAAGTGAACTCAGAAAATCCGTTGCACAGCTCGTACGCATCGCCAATCAGGCGGTGGCACATCTCTATGTCGTCGCCCGACGCACGGAAAGCATCCAGTAGCCATCGGGAAGACGATTCAAAATCTCCCGCTCTCATAAAGAGGTACGCAACTGCATCGTGGATGTTGGCCGACATGCAGATTGGCAGGCAAGTACTAAAGTCGAGGCGACGTTGGCGTTTCAAAAATGGGCACACGCCTCTGGGATCGTGGTCGCATAGCAACTTCAGATACTGGATGAAGTAGTTCTCCAAACCTGGTAAGACGGACAGGATCGCGTCTTTATCTGTGCTTGTTGCGCTGTCATTTGCCGATATTCCAAGGAGGGCATCCAGCACCGCCAACTTCAACTCGGGGAAGTCGCCAAGGGTGGAAATGATCAAATCCTGCGACGAATGCAAAGCAGTCTCTTTGAACACGCTTGCCATGTTGGACACCGATAGAGTATCTACCAACAACGCCGTCGCACTCTTCATGTCGACTTTGATTAAACGCGGCAGTGCATCCATCAAAGTAGCCACAAACTCCTTCTGTACAGATGGATCCGACAGTACCAGCTCGTTAACACGCAATTCTCCTGCAGTAGAACCTGCTTTTATGCAATTCAGACATTGCCGCAGATAACTGAACACGATGTCGCTGCCGGCGGTCTGGCAGGCGCTAATTGCGTTAGCATAATCGGCGGCTACGTCGCATAGGAACAGCCTAGTGTCGAAATCACCAGCCAATTCCTGCAGTCCCATGCATATACGCTTCATGTTGGCGAAGTGCACGTTGTGCGTCCAACTTGGCTCGCAGTCGTACTTGCGATATATGGCTATTAGGCTCCGGCGAATGTACAGTTTCAAAAGCTCGCGCGTAGTGGAACTCGACATGTTAAACTGGCGAACGTTCTCCAAAAGATCGTCGGATTTCTTGCAGAAGGAGTGCAGGTAGTAGGCATTGTTGAAACTGCCGTCAGGGAGGATAAGTTCGTCGGTTGTCAACTCCCCGGGATCCAAAAACGGGTCATGGCTAACATCCCCAACTTCCGTTAGAAGAGTGTACATAGCCACCACTTGGGTTCTCAGCGATAAGTAAAAGGACTCGGAGAAGGCACTTACGCCCAGAACGAACATCGACATCATACAACGAACCGTGAAAGTCGACTGCGAGGCCTCAAGGATAGAAAGGCAGCCTATGAGCGATTCCAGGACGAAATTGAATATGTCGATCTTAGTCCCCAGCAGTTCAGCATTCGCCTCAAAAATGGAATCGGGCGTCATCAGCAGATTCATGAGGCACGCAAACAACAGCCTGGGGGAAGTTGAAATCAACAGCTGAAGGGCAGGGGAACTCAATGCGTCTCCACTAGCGGCCTTAAAAGTCAAAAGATCCATATTATCGAAATCCACTGCCTCATCTTCAAATGAGAGCTCAGGGCGCGCATGTTTAACATCCGATGTGATGGGGAATGAGGGCTTGAATGACGTGGAAGACGTGAGATAGCCAAGAACTTTGCAGAAGTTTGTCGCAGCATTCTCTTGTGGCAAACCGCAGTTGGCGAAGGTCAAGAACGAATTCACGAACGAGAAGAACACGCGTGTCACAAACAGCCCCTCGCTCTGGGACCACGGCAAAGAGACACAGTCAGCAGACGAAGTGCCTTCATCGTTTCTCAACTTGTCCAACTTATTGGACAGCTCGGAATAAAGAATCTCAAGCGCGACTGAAATGTCGTCCCCAATGAGTTCAGGACAGTGCACCACCGCGTGCCACTGGCAGTGCTTGGACAGGGTGCAGATGGCCTTCTCCTTCGCAAAAGGAATTTCGTTGCGCGAACAGAAGATGTAGAACCTGGACATCTGGTTGCAGAGCACGCCGTAAAGTATAACACGAGCATCAGGCGCAGAGATTTGACCTGGGCGCTGTATAGGACACTGGCCTCTCTGCCGATTGTCGACCTCGTCACACAGCAACGCCAACCAGTCTTCGACATGCCCAGAGTGGCTGCCATCAAGTGACAGCACATTATCCAGCATTTTCTCGTAAAACTCGAATATGGAGTCGAATATGGCAGGTTTGAGGCGCGCCAGGTCTATCCGTCCCACGTGCAAATTCAGCAAGACGTACTTCACGAAAACGCGCTGCATTCCGACGGTCGCGAAGCAACGGTATATGAGGTCGTTTAGTGAGTCGTACAATCCAAGACATAGGCAAATGTCGAGCATGCAGCAGCAGAGCGTGTCGATCTGGGTGTTGATGTCATCCTTCACCTGATCGGTCCAACTGTCGTTGTCCTCGTCGTCAATGGAGGCCATTTGGGCCGTGTCCATCAACTTAGACAGACGAATAATTTGCGCCGACGACTGATGCAGCACATACAAAATCAATTTTTGGATGTTGTCGACGTAGGCCTTGTAGTCCAGCAGCCCCGGCAACATGCCTATGCAAAGGCCAAGGGATATCGCGAAAGCGTTCGCGAAGTGCTTTGTTGCAGTGAGGTCGCCGATGCTCTTGATCCAAGAGTGGATCTCGGAGGACCAGATTCCCTTGCTAGTCGAAATGTAGAACGACAAAACACGAAGGTCGAATTGCTGCTCGTTACGCTTCCCCTGGAACATCTCAGACACCAACGCGGAGAACTTCTTGTAGCTATTTGCCGCCATCTTTATGGTCCTCACGTGCACTGCTATCGTGGGAGAGATGTTCACCCTGTCCATCCACAGGTCAGCAAGGCCGGCCTCCTTGAAGTCGAAAGAGCGCACCACGTCATAGTGCATAACGTTGTCGAAGACGTTCACTTGCAATATGTGCATGACGTTATTATAATCCACCACCGCAAACATATCTCGGCTCACTGTATAAACGTGGCGGATTGCACTGTCGAATCGGATGTATCCAATGTGGCTGCACGATACAGGAGGGCTCCCACGCTTGCCCGCAGACAGGTTGCACAGCGTGAAGCTTATGCGCGAGCTGAGCACTATAAGAAGCACCGGCTTTATATCCCCGCTGTTGTTCAAAATCATCCATGTGATGCTGGGTATGGTGCAATCCGAACCCTGCACTGCCTTGGGACGGTCGGTGAACGGGACGCGAAACAGTATCGAAAGCTCGGGGCGCGTGGCTATCACTATGCAGCGCTTAATAGTTGCTAGCGCGACTAAACCGCTTACAGGAACGCCTGTGATGAACTTGGACTGCGGATTAGAGGACAGACATGCCACGTCGACGATCTCCTCATGTTCCAACAGCCGCTCGGAGAATGCATCCAATGTCTTGACATTCAGGTTATGAGAGAGCACTGTTTTACTATAAGTCAAAAGGGCTATTGAGTTCCGATTAGCGCAAAAGATCTCGTCGTGCGACTCGCCTAAGGTGAACTTGCAGAAAGTCACGGCGTCGTTGAACGGCTTGGCGGAGCAAATTACGTGAGCTCCAGATTTCTTGAACCCCCCGAGAGCGGATACAGCTCCAGCCATCAGCCCAAAGCCGCGGCTTGAAGGGCCTGATTCTGAAGCAACGGAGCCATCAGCGGCGTCTGACTTAGGTGCATCGCTCGATTTTGCTTTCACTGCATCCTTGTTCAGCTGTACCAATTTTACCATGGCGTTACTATACCCCGCACATATCCAATTAGACTCCGGTAATACATCGAGGCACGTAACGCTGGCGTCATTCTGGCAGTCGACCTCCCGCCAGACGAGGTCCTCTGCATAGCCCGTCTCATCTTCTCCCACATCGACGTTGTGAGGACTGAACTGCCTCTTACTCCTGTGATTGGTAATGTCACAGACCAACAATGAACCTCCTGATGTGCCTACAACTAGCAGGCGGTTGTTGACGGCAATGCACGAGGGCGAATATGGCTTGTGCGGCGACGCGGCGGTTGTGTTCACCTTCGTTGCGTCGATGTTGATGAAGCCATCGTTGAACAGCCGCAACTTCTCTAATGCGATTGATACGTTGTGCCTAAGGCGAATCAGCAGGTCAGGTTTTTCGGGGGGCTTTAGACGCTTCAATGATATGCCCAGAGAATCCAAACATGTCTTTGCCGGATACAAGGTGGGCGAAGGTTCTTCCGGAAAATCGGAGTCAGCCTCATCCTCATCATCTAACGGGGCCAAAATGCCCCCCAAATGGTCGCTTTTCACGTTGTTAATATAAGCGATTCGGTGTATGATGGATGACGTTTGGAGCTGCTGAATGATCATGCTACGAATCGCCGAAAAATAGGGGCACGATGACTTCGTTAACTTCCTTATTGCGGGACCGTATTTGGCAGTGCAGTTGCATTCGGAAGTGACTGCTGGCATGCCGCGTTCGGCGCCTCCCTCGTCCTCAGGTTTGCTAGGCTGCTCCGCGTCGTTGGAGCCTGTCTGCGTTTCCTCACCATCGGTTAAACGCGACGTGCTTGACCTCCTAGGAGGACTCAAATAGCCAGGTTCTCTAATTGCAGTCAGAGAGTTCGCTCTGGATATGCTGTCTACGCATGTCGAGCTGAGCTCTGCAGATGCACTGCATCCCTTTGGTGTGTTCCAAGCATCCGTGTCTGTACTCTTCACACCTCCAAAAGGCGTCTGCGGACTCCTGTCACCCGGAGATACAGACAGACAGTCGCTGTCTCTGTCTTGAAGATACGATCGCAGGACTTCATTGTAATTCACCGCAACTCTGCCGCCCTGCGGCAGAGTGGAGGCACTGCCGTCCGACCGATCAACATCGCTATCATCAGACAGATCAGTGGCACGCAGTAACTCCTCGAGGCTATAACGAGCCATCACTGCAAGTTCCAACGATGGCGCATTGCGCTAATCAGCGTCCAGTAGAGCCACTAGAGACTGTGGAAGACGTGTCTGTCCATTACTGTAACTTGATGAAGGAATCAGAGCCAATGTGTGACCCTTTACAAGGCCTAAGCGATGAAATAAACCTGGCCATATTAAAAGGTTTTCGGAATCTATCCGTTGGTACGATAAAAGACCGCACATTCGTGGGCGCTCGGTCTAATGTTCATTGCAAAGACTGATGTCTCAAACTTAGGAATAAGCGGCATCTAGTATGTGTACTTGTATTCGTATAAAATGCATACATGTAATAAGAGATGTGCCGGGAAATGCGACAGATGTGTGACAGTGTGTAACGGTGTCACATAGCGATGAATTTGTGTCTCTTCAGCAGCAAATTGAAGCGAGTAGTTTATCGAAGTGTGATCGCCCTTGCATCAATTTAAATAGGTAGGTCTTAGACAGTGCTGTGGAATCATGGAATCCAACGTCACAACGCGTCGTTTCATAGGCGCCCGCGACAGACGCACATTAGCAATACCCTATCGCTGCAGAAGGAGACGCCCTGCGCACTACACGACGCTTACACTTGTAGAACCATTGTAATATGCGGGCGGGTGGCACGTGCCATCCGGTGTGGCCTCAGTACTCCGCAAGTACATTCCTGCCATCTGCCACCAACGCACCTGGGCTGACACATAGGCTAAACAAGGGGTTAGACTAACGAAGTTATTCATAACAATTGTTTGAACACATCTTTTTGTCGTTGTGAATTCAACGACCTTGTTGCAGCCGTCATCGGACTTTGTTGACCGTGACTAAACTGCAACTAGGTACCAGTATCTGACGTCTATACAAATGTGTAGCATGTTTAAGAACGGATAGAAACAGAGGAATCCGTCAGGAGATTTTATAAGAATCCATTTTTACGAAATCTGGTAGTTGTAGGTAATGCAGTGGTGATGCCTTGCGCCAAGGGAGAGATCGTGAAGCACAAGATGTAAAAATCATATACGTAACAAGACGCATTTACCAATCAAGTTCATTACTATCCAGATACTGTCGGATACTACGTTTTATTCGTGTGTCCAAATTGGGTCCTTTCTTTGAAAGAACGTCGGGTTAAACATTGGAGTAAGCATATCCCGTGCGACTCAGAGCAGCACAGCACATGTGCCTTGTCAGATTCCCATATATTTCCGAAACGCGATTATATGAAGAAGGATCAACGAATCCTGCATACAGAGGACCATTAGAACTTATTTGCCTTTGGAAGCCTTTTACAATTAGATCTTCGAAACACAGGTTGGGGTATGTAACGGTTGCATGGATTGTGATTCCAGTTGATTTTATATTGTGTATTGAATCCAAATTGTTTTATTGACGGTGCTACAGTGCATGTCTGTGAATGTAAGACGCCATAACTCATCATGCAATGCCTTGCATATAGCGTTTGTTCGGATCGTAACATATTTGTGTTGTGGATGCATTACGGTGCTATATGCGGCTTATATGTCATGTGATAAGTCTAAAATGTCTTATTCTGCTTTGTTTATTCACTGATTACACCCTTCGTATAGCTGCGTTAGGGTCCGTCTCAACTGTATATGCCAAATGCCATCTCATGCTGTGTTTGTCTTTTTGTGGTCTTGTTACATCCTCTATACTAATACAATCTCCAGTATGTTTCTGATCAGTGTTGTGTTGTTGACTACTGTTACGGTCACCCAGTGTTATATTTGACCATGTACTGGTGCCCGATTCCACTTCCCTAAATGATAATTACAGTGGCAATCATTCCTTGCTTCATGCTCACCATCCTTCTATATTGATATCATGACTCTGCAGAAATTCAGCCACGTCAACATAAACGAAGCACAGCGCAAGCCAACTAGAGAGCCACAAACCATCTCAAACTGTATCAAAACCATTATATGGCATAGTTGGAAAGAAACTTAAAGCCGTATCAACTGCAACAGGCGTCAAAATTCGTCGCTGGAATTGGATTAAAAACGGGTAAACGGTAAAAAAAAGGATAGAGGATTAGAGAAAACACGTAGAGGTGGCATCCCAAAATATAAGGGCCGTTGGGTGCTGCCGAACTGGCGTTCGCCATTAAATCAAAGCTGATTAAGCTTAGGACCCATTTTTAAAGGATTGAAAGGAATCCAATGCATAACGGAAAGATCCACCTCACGCCTGACTTGGGCAGCAACACGGAGGGTGGTAATATTTTTCCCATGACTAGAGCTGTCTATCCGCATCAGCATGTTATGCCGGCATATGCTTTGTCCGGTATGAACTATCAGCTCGGAAATGAACAGCTCAATGTACACGCAGATTACAACTCGGAAACTGTACCTGATGCGTTTTACGACGGAATTGTGAATCCCATGTACAATTTCGAATCTCCCTACCTGTATCGGGAGAACACGAGCAATGTTCCGGAAAACGGTAACCGTGTGGTGAACGGCGGCGTCAAAGAATATCCAGAAGGCGCCAAACTATACACGGAAAATGAAAGACCAGAGAGTAGGTTCGCCTACGGCACCAAGGAAGCAGGGTACTACCCGGGATGGCATTACAATGGATATCAATATATGGGTGGATACGGTAATTCCTTACCGCCGACTATGAACTACGGTGTTTCCCACCATCCAAAACATATGGCGCAACCGCATGCTCATATGTCCTCGCTCAGTACGGAGTGCGATATGAGTTCTACGCAGCTGCATTACAGTTCCGGGAGTCGCGAACTTTGTCAACATTCAACCTATGCGTCTGACAGCACTCAATCGGCGGAACAATCAGTCGCTAGTGAATCCTCCCCAATGATGCGAGCCACATCACCTCTAGTGACTCCTCCGAAAAAGGATTCACCCGCCATGCACAGCGCTGAATTAAACGTTACACATGAAGTGGTCAACGGACCATTGGTCTACAGGAATGGGTTTAGCGGCGCGTTTTACAATGACCAAGTTTCACGGCAAAATGGAGAGGACATTGGTGACCGGGGTTACATGGACAACGGGTTTCATGGAGAAGACAAGCATGTAGTGAGCGGGCACAACGGATGGAACGACATAACGTACCCAAATTATGTGGCGGTGTCGGGAATGAACACCATGAAAGATGCAGCTAACCATCGCCACGCCGTCATGCCGCGATTCTACAATGTCCCGCAAGCGCACTACGTCCCGCCCGTAGTGTATCATACCAATGGATGGGCTCAAAAGGGTTACGGTGGGGACACTATTTCGCCGAATCGATACGCCGCAATACCAGATGGTACCAGCTATTACGATCAGAGTACCGACATCGGGGCCATGAAATCAGAAGAATACCTTGATCGAAGCATGACGGATATCAATGGAAATCAGATGGATCAGTCCAATACCCAACACGTGGCGTCCCAACTGTCAGGTGTGTACGACTACGGTTACGATCGCGGACAATCGTCAAATGACTTCTACAACCAAGGAAATATGAGCAATTCCGGCACGCCGCAGCGCTCAACGGGAATGGATTACGGCGAGGAGCCGCTGGAGAGCTCACCCGAGAGTAGCGAAGGCATCAACCAAGACATCAGCATCGAGAGCCAAAAAATTCTGAATCGATCCAACATCGACTTCCTACGCATGAGTGACTCGCTGTGGCAGACCCTGCGAAGCACGGGTATGTTCAAGCTGGGTAACAAGGGACGAGCCATACTCAAGTCGAAGATATCTAAACAACTGAAAATGAATCCGCAACTACGTATGCGAGCGCTGTGCATTTCTGGTGTTCGCCGCGCAACAACGAGGCAACTATTCCAGTTGGCACAGATCTGTGGCATCAAGTCGCACCTTAAGTGAGGTAAACAGCATTGCTGGGATGTAGGCAGTTCAAAGGAACTGCAGGGGCAAAAATTATGCCATGTCAACGAAGCAGAAAAAAAAATATTATAGCTTCAACTTATCCACAATCTAATAATAATTGTACTTGTGATTGTGTTATTTTCAAATGGTATCTATGACTGTGCTACGTCGATTTGGCTGCGATAAGACATGAAGTGTCGTGTTATCTTCCACAGTGCGATTCATCTTTAGAGTGATAAATTCGCCGTTGCAATCAGATTGTATTCCATAGTTGCTAGTATTGCTGGAAAATCGGTTCTTTGCAATTAATTTAGACATTCAAGAGAACTCGGTTGCTTCAATATGCGACAGTCGCAACCAAAACATTGCCTGTTCACGACTGTTCCAGCCAGTGCCATTAGGATTCTATAATGATCTTACAATAATACCTAATACGGGTTGTAAAGTTATTCGACAGGACCCATTGATACCATAAAAGTGGTCGTGAATAGACGGCCCGGAATCCTGGCCGTACGTAGAGAGATTGTACTATAATGGGTCTCACCTCTGAATCAATGAAGCGCCTAGGCATCCATAAGACATAATACACATATTAAGACATTCATGATAAACCGTCTTTCATCACAATCGAAGTCTGCCTATTGTTTCTGAGGGTGCAGCGAAACGACTTCAATGCCACCGAGCGCAACGCGAGATTCTATAGAGGGTTGTATACGTGAAACATGCTGTGTTTTGACAAATACGATGTAAAGTTGCTTGGATGCTGAACGATTCGTTAAATAGCTGCCCGGGGAGGAAATGTGTACGCCTCTCAGGGCGTGAAGACCGAGGAGCTTTTTGCTGCTTCTCTTGTGGATTATAAAAGCTCGCGGTCTATAACATTTATCGATACGATTTGATGTGTTAGCATTTGCTGTATTGATTGAGCAGATTGTTGTTACTGCGAAGCTTGATAACGCGACACCTACACATTACCACGGTTGCCGCCGTCCGGCGACTTGGTATCTTCTACGAGACGAAAGCGTCTATATGCATGCTGCAAAGACGTTTGATCGTCTCTAAATCAAGATGGATTCGCCCAAAGCGGCAGTAACGTGAGTTTCACATGGCAATGACCTGTCCTTATATGCTATATTCGTGGATTGCAATCTCAACGTCGTTACTCTGTCATACGTGCTTGCAGTACTCCGCCAGCTGGGCTCCCTGCAGAACGGTTGCACCGCGAACGCCACGGATTGAGGATTGTAGGAACCAAACCCAAAGAAAACGTAAATTGCATGTGCGCGTAGACAATCCTTGCGCAGATACAGCTGGGATGGGAAGTGGCTGAAGATGCGACGACTTCCCGCAGGGGATTAAGGCATTACAAGCCCGAAAATACCGCAGACAACGATGCACCATCCAGCCAAATGGGAGACGGATTCGATCCGCTCCTGAAATACAACAGAAAGAAGCAGCCGGACATTCCTGAAAAGGCAAGGCAGCGATTATACGGCATTCCCGGGCGAAACATATTCAACTACGACGTTGAAATACCCAAGGAACGCAAATTCCCTCCCCCCAACCTTGATGTATGTCAGCCGGGCTTCGTTGCATACCTTCGCAGAAATGCATGATCCCTAAGGAGAACGCGAAAGTTCTGGATTCTAACATTCCGCGTATGAGCATTGCGCTGCGAAGTTCCTTGGAGGTGGGTGGTTATCTCGGACGTATATCCCGCGCAGGAATCGCTGTTGCCAAAGGAGGAATGCGTACTCCGACGAAACAGCAAGCAGGTGTCCAGCAAAACCTACCAATCGCATATAGAGGTGTGTTTATATATTCACCAACGATATTGCGTACAGCCGGGGTACGTCGCCACAGAACAACCCGTAAAGACAGCACACCTGTCACCGTTCAGGTACACCACCAACCTCGAAGTATGTTACATTAGATTTATTATTCATCTCGTATTTAGGCAGGGTTGGTGCCTGCTTCGGATGAGCCCTGGCAGGCTCGGCGCCATTTTAGCGAAGCGAACGCCCATTCCTACGACTGTATGTCCCACAACCAACATCGACATTAGGTTGCAGTTTTGGCGGGACCGGATCCGCAATAGTGATCCTTGCGATTGGAGGGATTCATCAGTCATATTGTGTTGTTTTCGGTGATGTCCCAAATGGCTGTGCATTCTTCGCAACAGCGCTTTTCGTGCTCGTCGACACGCTCCGGAACCTGGTAGTGCGTCTCGGACGTAGTCGGATCGGCGTTGACCTGTGTAAATAAGTTCTCCACACTTGTTGGACCTACGTAGACGGGATATGGCAAATGAAGCCGGCAGATCTCCTTGATGGCGTCGCAGTCGCAGGCCCCAGGGAATTCTTCGACCTCCCTGCGCTTGAGGTGGAACTCCTCCAGCGGCTTCTCCTTCGCCGCCTTAGCTATTGCGGAAGGCGGTGCTGCCTTCTTATCGTACAAATCTCGGGGAGTGTCTGTGCATAATGAACGTACGAACGATTTTACGAACCTATCTCGGGATTGTACTGCGGGCACCCTTCGGGATACATGTGCGATTGGTCGTACGTGGAGTACTGCGGCGGTATCCTGTAGTGGTTGGCAAATACCGAGAAGGAGCAGAATGGCGGCACTGAGAGGTTGCTGCATGGTACCGCGATATCGTCCATCCAGAAGCCCGGACACGCAATCAGGGAGGCTATGCACTGTACGAAGCACATGGGAAAGGTTTCCGCGATTTTCGCAGCCCCCGTAACGCAAATGGGAAACAGGCTGGCGCAGTACATCCCCAGGTAGATGTGGGCGCAAAAGTAGTACTGCGCGTCGCTGGTGCGCCCCACCTTGGCGGCGTACTTGGCTGGAAAGGAGGAGATGACACCGTTCATCACCGAATCTGTTATGTCAGCCATGACGAAGTCCGTTGCCGATATAGGGTACAGCACAGAACCTAGACAGTTTATCCCCGTCAGCATGGGTAGACACGGCAAATTGCTGAAAAACTTTAGTAGTTAAAGTATTACACTTACACTGATATAATCATGGGAGGAACGAAGTCCACCACTACGGCCAAGATAGTTTGTATCACTCCCTTAATTTGCTGGAATGCTTGCACGATCATGTTTTCCAGCCCGGGCTGGTTGGCCGATGCGGGCGAGTGGACGTGGGAATACTGGTTGCCCATCCTGCGTGGCTGTGCATCGACATGCCTCATTCAACGTACCATCTGACCAGATCGTAACCTGTCCCTCCTCTGAATGGTCCTCCTGGGAATTTCACCAAGTCACCAAAAGTATGCGATGGGCTCACCCAGCTTCCCTTGTCACACTGCATAATGCTTTGGTCCAGCATATACAGACTTACATGAGGCTGGCTGAATGAGCGATGGGCGACTGCCTGCGTGAACCTTTCGGTGGCGCGGCGTCCCTTTACTGCAGAAGGTGAGACGTGTGTTGATGCAACGTACCGATATCGAGCATCCATCGGTATCCTTCCACGTCGAAGGTTGCAGCCACGTTTGTCAACAGACGAGAGAAGGCAAGTCTCTGCTTTTCTGATCCGTCTGTGACCTCTTGGATCATCATGAAGGCCTCGGAAAAGAGGTCTTCCAGGCGTCCATCATCCTTGTGTATGTGCTCAACTGAAGCGGCGTGGAGCACACATACTGTGTGCGTTGCGATAAGAGCTAATATTGGCGTAATACGCCTCATTCTTCTAGTGGAAGGCGCAGCTTGAGATCACCTTGGTCATGATGCACACCTCTTACACACGCCGTCTTAACACGGACGAGAGTAGGAAGTCGCAAATCTAGATGTTCATGAGTAGAGTAGCATGTTAGTTTAAGTCATCGATTCGGACTATTCGGAATCACTTAAATGTCCGGATTATAGCCGCCTACGGCGCCCATGGGGATTCCAACACGAAAACGACGACACAGCGTGATTCCGGTACACTTCTGTTAACAAATACACATGACATCGATACGGAGAATCGTGTAAATGGTATAGGTTGCGATTACTTAATCTGTTGGTCTGAATTGACCCTCGGCTACCGGCATCTGCGCCGATACGGGTCGGCTCCTACGTCTCCCCTGTTGTACAGACCTTCAAAATACAGACGCGCTAATGACGTGTAGCGAGCCGTGGGGAGCGAAGATTTTACCTCCAGAACTCAAAAATATGTCCGAATCAGCAACGGCATCATACCAAGGCGGTACATAGCCATCAGCTTTCAGACGTCAGTATCCTGACTGTGCGCCATGATACATGCCCCTGGAATCGCATTCACGTTTTACGTCGACTCTTCCTCAGCAACAACAGGGTACTTGTTGTAGCCAACCTCTGGAGCTGTCCAGTAACCCAGGGTTAACAATTTCTTGTTTTCCGGGCGGCATGCGGGGAAGTAGAGCCAGACACCGGCAGAGCCATATACAGCTCCCCATAGGGCCAGACGCTTCCTGCAACGGTTTTGGGGGGCTCGATCATGATGGTTTAAAACCTACCAGACGTGCATCCATCCATATGTTCTCCTCAGGTGGTACTGGGATGTGGCCATCCACAGCTTTGCGTAGACGGCTTTCGACATCTTGAAATACACGACTATTATCTCTGCCTGCATATATGCATTAGATCGCGCAAATATGCCATACAACCCATAACGGACGATTTAATTGGCGATAGTGACATACGGAACACCAGAGAGACCATAATCGCGAAAAAAACCCAGTGCAACATAGAGGAATTATTTACGATATGACACAAACGTATACACCCCGGGTACGCATTACCTACCTGCGGTTATTGATAAATATGGTCGGCGAGGGTCACTCGCAGACCCTGGCTCGGATATTAGTCGGCCCAAGTCTCCGTCCGATTAAAAATATGGTATATAGCCGTATATGGTTTTAAAATTGCGTCGTATAGTGTGTGATTGCCGTCCTACCAGTCAGTCCAAGTCCCCACCGGCGCCGCCGAGCCGGATGATGCCTATGCGCGCCGATGTCGCACATGGTGCCATTAAGCCTGTATTTTATACGTCTATAGGGATTTGTGGTCTAAAAATCGCATATCTCGGCCCACGGTTGTAGAATTTGTCGTTTAAGCCGCTGTTTATACTCGGCTACACCCATGTGTTAAGCGCTCGAAGGCTGTTGCACATCCTAGACGCGCTTGCTGTGCTCGCTTCTGATCGGACGCAAACCAGATTCTGTGCAATCTGAACTGTGCCTACGTCCACTAGAGTGCGGCTATTGGAGACTGTGTTTCACTGAAGATTCCATTGTGCCCTTTGCGCCTTCACGTTTTATCTCAATGTGTTAGAAGGCACTTGTCTTTCTTATTCGGGTGAACGGATTAAACTTCAAGATGGGTGCAGCGTATTCGAAACCTACGTCGCCCAAGTCGGAGGAGGTGGCGACTCCCACCGACGTTTCCGTCTGCGATACTGTGCGGAGGTTCTTCAGCGAGTTGGAGCCTGAGGAGAAGCGCAATTTGGTGATGGGTGGGTGCGCCATGGTGGTGAACGCGGCTACCAACATGCTCTACCCCAAGATCATTGGCAACATCATCGACTCGGGGAGCACCGGACAAGTATTCGGCCCGGTGTCGTGGCTGCCCGGCTGTCATAAGAGGGTGCCTCCTCTTGACGGGGACGAGGTCCTCAGCATAAACTGCCCATACGCCATGTTCAAAATGCTTTTCTGCTCCGCACTGCCCTTGTACGCAGTCGGCAGTGTGGCGTCATGGGTTCGCGTCTCCAGCATGAACCACGCCATCTACTTGATACAGAAGCGTTCACGCAAGAAGATGTTCGAAAAGATGCTAATGCAGGGAGCGCCATTCTTCCACACCCGCGCGTCGGGACTGCTTATCGCGAAGCTGCTTAACGACTGTGAGGAGGGACCTAAGGCCATGGTCGAGAACGCATTCACCTTCCTGCGGTGCTGCAACTCTGTGATTGGCGGTACCATCAACCTGATCAGCATTTCTCCCTGTCTCACTGCAGTCACCATGACCTGCATTCCGCTCTTTGGGCTTTTCATCATCGGCTACTCCTCAATCATCAAGCGCTGCCAGCGCCAGCGGAAGGAGCTGCTGGACGACGCCATCGGCCAGGCCGAGGAGGTCATCAGCGGCATCGAGAGCGTCATGAACTTCGGGAAAGAGACCGACGAAATCGCAACGTTCTCATACGCCCTGGATCGGTGCGACAGCGTTTCTAGGCGCGTCTGCAATTCGGAGGGCGTGTTGATGGGCTCCATTCTGGCGGGGTTCAACCTATCCACGCTGATAATGCTCTACTGCGGCTCTTACAGGATGAAGTCAGGTGACATTTCCGTCGGCAACATGGCATCGTTCATCCTCTACGGTGCGCTATTCGGGCTAGGTGTCTCCGGTCTGTCGAAGGCAAGTTTTATGCATGAATGGTCAATCACTATTGAACAGATCACATCTGACGTGTCGAAGGCGGCAGTGTCCCTTCAGCGAATATATGAAATTCACGACCTGGAAGATCAGGAAGATGACGGTGACATCCTGGACAATGTACGGGGTGACCTAGAGTTCGACAATGTGTCTTTCTCGTACGGCACTCGCGCCGACACGCCAGTGCTGCGGGATATGTCCCTCAAGATCGAAGCGGGTGAGGTGGTAGCCATCGTTGGGGCCAATGGCATGGGAAAAAGCACCACGGCCAACCTGCTGACCACACTCTACAAGCCCACCGGAGGTCGTGTTCTGCTGGATGGGATTGATGTGCAGAAGTTGAACTCTCGCTGGCTGCGCAGCAAGGTGTTCACCGTTGTGACGCAGGACCCTCTGCTCTTCTCGATGTCTATTGCGCAAAACCTGCGATATAGCAACGAGGACGTCTCCGACGAGGAAATGAAGGCTGCAACCCGCTACTGTGAGATACAAGAGTTCATCGAGTCGCTGCCATCGGGGTACGACGAGACAGTAGGTCAGCGCGGGGCGCTCCTGTCTACGGGGCAGAAGCAACGCATCGGTCTAGCGCGAGCGTTGCTCAGAGACACGCCGTGCCTGATATTGGACGAGGCGATGTCTGCCCTGGACGGCTCGTCAGAGGATCTCGTGCGACGCATCATCAACCGGTAGGTCGCAGATACCATAAATTACAAAACACATTCAGTAACGACAAACGACAGACGGTCATCCTCATCACACATCAAGCGGCAACTCTAAGTAACGCGCAAAAGGTCGTCGTGCTGAATGAAGGCACTGTGGAATACTACGGGCCGCTAAAGGATGCCACCGCGAAAAGCGCAACCTTCCGGACCCTATTCCCCGCATTCAAAGCGTGAAAAGCGTACACATTGTAATTTCTCGTTAATGTGCTCCTAATATGGGTGGCACGGTGCCAAAGACTTGATGTGATTACACATGTTCGCGTACCCTGGCCGCACGTCGTCGGCCCCGAAGTCAGCTTCCAGTGGACACATTGCATAGGTTGATGGAGGCTGCGAAGATAGGCGATGGGAGAGTCGCAATTCAGGTTACAGTGGCCGACAGCTACCACGTCAGCGGCGGCCCCTTCTGCTGCTTCGTGAGAGTTGCTCCTGTCGAATCGCAGTGGTCAGACGACGACCCGCCTGTTTCCGTAGACTTCATATCGTTGAATGTGTACGGCATTGTGTCTTTTAGCAATCGGTTATTCACACCGTCGAAGATCCAGAACAATCTGCACTTTGGCTTCCTCAAAGAAGCTCGCAGAAGGTTGAAGCCAAATGAGGGAGCTCACCTCATTTGCGCGTCCGACGCTGTGCTGTTCCACACATGCACAGAAATCGATCGGACGTCGCCTGAATCGTACTGTAAGTCCATGCCACATACGACTTATTGCGGCGCAGACAGATATACCTGCACGATACCACCATTCGTGCCGCCGACTGTCGACGGGGAGAACATATCGTGCAACTACTACGTAGATGTGACGGTACAGCACAGCTCCAACCGCCTGTCTCTGCAGCGACAAACGCTCCACCGCCGGCTTGAGTTTCGAGTACAGGGGTCGATTTACCCTGGTAAGTGCATTATAGGTTCACCCAGAGTCTTCAGGCGTACCCACTCTTGACGATGCGTTATATCCGTTCCTCCCGAAAAAGGGAGGCTACACCCTTGACGGTGGCCGAGTCGACGAGGCAATTCTGCCCAGAGTGTGCCAGGATATCACCAGTGGAAACTATGGGCGACAAAACATGCTCTTCGATTATGAGTCGATGCTCGTTCGTCTAGAGGCAGAATCGCCACCGACAGATATATCGAAGGACCAGTCACCTGATGCGTTTCTGCTGTCGAGGGACCTGAACGCCTTTTGGCACGTCTGGGACACCATGAACGGATCGGGGTTTCTGCATGAACCCGAAGAATCGTACGTGCTGCGCAGGTATAACGGATTTGTGGAGCAGTTCACGGAACTGGTATTGAACGACACAACTGGAAAGGAGTTAGAGAAGTACCGCCCTTGGTTCGGGAGCATGCTTCAGATCATGGAGCCATCGGGTGGCCGGGGGCAGGCGGGCGGCGGCCGCCATGAGGCCCTTCGTAACTTCTACAAGGTTGTTGAGGAACGCATCGAACAATTGCAAGGCACAACCATGGACAACCTGCGCCGTACTGCAGGGGACTCTCTGGAAATGCAGTACGAGCAGGCAGCGGACGGTAGGGCGGTAATGTAATGCCAATATTTCAATCCACAGGTTCGAATAAAGTCATGAACTTTTCGCTCGAGGGACGGAAGCTGTGCACGTGTAATCTACAGGGATTCGGGCAGCTAAGGGGAGCGCAAGAGTTCACTCTGCCAACCAACTCTTGGTTCACTGTCCATTTCGACTTTCCCGACGCATTCAGATGCCTCCAGGTGGATGTCAACCTGGTTCGTTTTGACGTTGCGGGCACTCAGGAGCAAGTGACGTCCGAGGTGAGCGTCGTGCAGAGGTCGCTGTACACCCTGGGGAAGACGCAATCTAGCGTCACACTGTTCGTCCCTATGCACACGACGCCGACGTTCATCTCCAGCTTCCTCGCTGTATCCTACAAATTGGAACTCCGGTTCAGCTACTATGCCGAAGCAATCAACACTTTGCAAGAGGACACAGCGAGGGCTGGACTCAGCAGGCTGCGCATGTTGAAGTGGGATCATTCGGTGCGACTGCTGCAGAGCGAGTCGGTACGTCTCCAGTCACGGTGTTTCAGGAAAGATGAGCCTGCATCCATGGAGCGAACTCTGCAGCTGGCGCGTGCGCTGTGCGACCGTCCGAACACCACCGGGCTGATGCGCGGAGCGCCGGCCCTCTCGACCACATTTAATATAGTATGATTCTAGTTTGGTCCACTAGCATTAGCAGCAGCATATCGCTGCCCGTGTATCATTTGGTGGTGCGTGAGGGATGCCCTTGTGCCATATTTGGTTGCTGTCGTGCAGCCAGCCGTTTATGCGCGCAACGTGCGCAGCACTGCGATAAAGTTGGTCCAGGGTGCACAGACGGCAACCGGGCGCGCAAAATCCATTTGCATTTGCCTCCTGTAATGTGCATCTAGTGGATGCGAGCTGTACCCGGAACGGCGCACCGAAACCGGTGAGGCTTGGGTTGGCGAATGCGGCCACCAGCCCTGGTCCCAGAGCGTAGTTGTACAGCTTCACATCGTCCAAGTATCCCTGTAAACCTTTATAAGCAATATATTGTAACATACGCTGAATCCTGGTGTGTCGAATTTCCGACCTAAATACAGGTCACCTGAACCTGGCACCAGTTCTCCACGCAGTGCCTGCACATGTTACATTGCAGAAACAGCAACCCACGATTGCAGAGTCGAGCATGCCGTTTACGTACAGCTTAAGCGTCTTGCCCTTCGCAACGACCGTCAACTGCGTCCAGCGCCTTAACGGTATAGCAGCGTTGGACGTGAGGCCCTCATTTGCCGAGTCTTCGGTAGACACCCTGACTGACAGTTTGTTGCTCAACGGGTACAGCAGCACAGTGGGCGATTGAGCCGCGTATCTTGTTCGTGATATGATGTTGCGGAATCCAAGCGAATTGCTGTCTAGGAGGTACAGCCGTAGGTTTAGCGTGAACTCCGAAACGGCGATTGTAGGGCTACCAACTACACGGCAGCTTGTGTCTGCAGGCTATGCGTATTCTTCTGTATCCATTACCTTCATCGAAAACCGCGCTGCTTCCGTGTCCTGCACAAACTGTAGTTTAAAGCCAGGGCTGCCAACCTGTTGACGGCGGACCCGCAGTGACGTGGTCGACGATATGGTTGCCGTAACCACTCTCGTCGATCGGGTAGAGCTTGTCAAACGTCCAAAATGCTACCAGGCCGCGTTCCGGTGCCCTGGTGGTGATCACCTGATTTCCTGAAGCATTTTGAAATTAAAAATGACGCATGCTCACCCAGACAAATGGCATTTCCCACCTCGAAGCAGCGAGAGAAGCTTTCGCTGACCCTTTTAGAGAGCCTTTCCAGGTACGTGTGACTCTTAGGTGACACTGCGGAATGATCAGACTCGCGTAAGCGCATCGTCACCTGCAGGCGTCGACTCAACGGAGACATCAGCAGCCGAGACAAGGCATCCCGTCACTGACGCGATAACGGCTACACATCCACATACAATGTGGTAATATGTAACTCCGGCCATGTGTAATGGTGTGAGGGCCGTGTGTTCGGTTAGAAGCCCAGTCGGCGACGATGTCGTTTACGCCCGCGACGTACGCGGTTACCGTTGTGCCGCCCGGTGCGACGCAACCGTAGAAGCGGCGGCAGCAGAGTACATCACGTATCTGCTGTTTTTAGTGTGTTAAAAGGCTAATGATGGCTCACGAAGATGACGGCTGTGCGAGAGTACCTCATCTATGGTGTCGATGACGCCCATAAGCACCTCTGGCCCGTACACTACCACCTTCTTAGGAATGACTTCCTAGCTGCAATAGACGCCATCAGGCGAGGAGCGGATCCGCTGATCACCGACAGCAGAGGTGAGAGCGCGTTGGCGCTGTGCTACGAGGTAAGGCTGCGACCGCCGCGATGGTTCCAAATGCTTACAGCTCTTTTTCAAGACCATTAACAAATGCCTGAATTCCACGGTTCCTTTGGGAAACCGCAAGTGCCATCAAGGTTGGTCGTTATATTAGACGCGTTACCATTTCCTCGCAGCCCCTCAAACTACCTACACGGCGCCAACGCCTAAAAGGCACAAATTGGAGACCACGCCCGAGCTTCGTAGGTTACCTGTCATTATATTCCAACTGTAACAGATGGCATGGCCGACTACAAGCCGGCGGGCAAACCCGCCATAAAAGCTGACCAGTGTGCCGATCCGCCACTTTTCACGTCCCAGATCGACTTCGTTGTCGCCAACCACGACGTCGACGCCGCATCTACAGTGCATACGTCGCTCTTTAGGCGCGCGAAGGGGCTGCTGGCGGTGCTGAGAACAGCGTCGGAGAAAGATGGCATGTTGCTGCACTCCAAGCGTGAACTGTTGCGCGCCATTCGGGGTCTGGAGTACCCCGGTCTTTACGCGTCACTCATGGACCACATGTTCCTGCAAAGCGCTGGCTACGGTCTGAAGCATATGGACAATACGGATGTTTGGGATGCACGGTGTCTATGGCGGGCCGCCGCCTCTAGGCATGCTGGGTTGCAGTCGCTGACTACCTTCGTAGCCCAGGTGGTGGAGTTGCTGGAAGAGCTCTGCAGCGTGTTTCACGTCGATATCTACAGCAATTCGCTGGCCCGAATGACGGAGCTGTACCCGGGACACGACCGGCGCCTTCTCCTCCCGGGGCTGGAAAGCGCCACCATCGAAGTGATAGCTCACATGGCATTCGTTACAAACCATCCGCTGCTGTTCGACGCAATGGTGTTGCAGGAGCCGTTCCAGCAGGGTAGCACTGCTTTCAAGTGGTCTGATTTGTTGTCGCGCCTATTAGGCGAAGCCGAGCACATGAAACCCTTCATGGAGCCTCTGATGCGGCGAAGCCTGCGCAAGAATGTGGAGAATCGTATTCTTCTCCACAACTAAGTACAAACGTCTCGCACATTTACGTGCAGCGCTACGGGCGTAAGGTCAGCTGCCCGTTGCACGTGTCGCCGCACTCACAACGGCAAGTGTGTCCACGTACACAACTTAAGAATGTAATATAGTAAACCTGCTCTCTGTTGCGTTTGAGGCTGATGTGTTAGTGGATTTCAGGATGGCTAACACGCGCTTCGCTTACGTGAAGCAGTTCGAGCAGGAAACCGTCCTAATGCCCGACTGCTGGCCGCTTATTCGCGTAGATGGGCGTGGATTCACGGGATTCTCGAAGGTGCATGGGTTCCGAAAGCCAAATGAGCCCCTGGCTCTCGGTGTTATGAACGCAGCAGCTGCCCATGTGATGGCGCAATTTGACGATATTGTGCTCGCATATGGACATTCCGACGAGTACAGGTGTGTGTTTGTCTGTTTGTAATAAATGTGTCTAGCTTCCTACTGCGGAGGAATACCAGGCTCTACAACCGACGTTTCCAGTAGGTCACGACATCGCTGTCTGCATTTGCGCAGGAAGATATTATCGAGCGTTGTATCGGCGTTTTCTGCCGCATACTGCTTTTATTGGAGCGGATTCTACCCTAACAAACCGCTGAGGACGCTGCCCACATTCGACGGACGCATAGTCCTCTACCCACGTTTCGAGCATGTGGTCGACTACTTCTCCTGGAGGCATGCTGATTGTCAGTTTTACGCTCACTAATGCTATAAAGGTCCCTTAGGTCACATCAACAACCAGTACAACATTTGTTTCTGGTGTCTAGTGGGAGATGGCAAGACCCCGGATGAGGCATACAAGTGGCTAAAGGTAACACCCATTCCATTGGCACTAAAGACGCGCAGCACACCCAAAAGGGGGAGAAGAACGAGTACATATTCAAATCGCGGGGCATCAATTACAACAACCTGCCGCGCATATTCAGGTTGGTCAGCAGTGCAGTGGAATCACGGGTCACAGGAAGGGAACAACGCTCGTTCGGTTGGCCGATTCAGAACCGACAGACAGTACACCTTGCAATGATGCACAGCGTGATGAATCTCTGAATAATGTGCGAGGATCTGAGACCTCCCACAGCACAGAGCTGCCGGCACCATCAAAAGCTGTAGAAGCAGGCGATGTGATCGCTCCCATCATCGCAGAGGAAGAATTGTCCGCAATATCCCGCAAATTGGAAGATATATGTTCGGCATTTCGAATAGGAGTGCTGCATTGCGACAATATCAGCAACGACTTCTGGAAGGCAGTCGCGCCTTCCTACCTAGATAGCGGCCCACAGAACGCTAGAGACGGAATATCGACACTCTCGCCATTGAGCAGGGAAAAAATCTCACTGCTAAACTCGGTGTAAAAACAGCGTTGTAAGCACAACGTATCCCGACGGTTACGCGACGCCTCTAGGGTGTACTCGACTGCGCTGGAAGCTAAGACATTGCGTAATCAGAGGTGGCAGGGTACAATTGCGATTAGAAATACTGCGGTTAGTACAGAGGAGCATGTGAATCAACGGACGGGGCGCCACCGGGCATCTCAACCTAGGCCTTACAGCCTCGGAGACTGATGTTCGGTAGGCGCGACGAAGATGACGCACCGCATCGGTGGCGCATCCGTGTCTACGCACCGGCGCAAATCGAACGTCAAGCGCTCCGTGAGCATTATCTTAGGCAGGGCGGGGGGATCAGTCAGCGACGTGGAACTTGGTGTGGTACATGATGAATTCGATCCTTTTGCGCCGGGTGGGCCATCAGATGAAGAGTTGGCAGAGGAGTATGTGAGAGTTGCAAGGCCTCTTCGTCCAATCGGTAGCGACGGAGGCGCACAAAGGCGCGCTAATAGCGCCCCCAATCGCAATTTCGGACATTGGTATATGCATGGGCACTCGCAGTATGAGGGCCGGAGTCACCACAGCGGCAGGTAAATTGCAATTTCGCAGCATTCGTGGGAGCTAATATTGGTACAGACCGCTGCATGAGACGCTGCATACCGAATTCCGCACAAGCCTGCTGTCAGGCAACATGCAACACCTGGACCTACAAGGTTTTATGAACCTCGCCTTTGTGATATTGGTTGTCATCAACTTTCGGGCGGTCATCGGCAACTTCCGCAAATACGGACTGCTTCTGGATATACCGGCGTTATACAACTTTACGTTGAATGATTGGCCCCTGACGCGCTGCTGTATCAAGGTAGGTGGGGCAGCCCAAGTTGTAACGTCACCCAGGTGCATATCACGATAGTGTTCGCGTGGGCCATCGAGCGCTTCATTGCCCCGCTTTCAGCGAAGCCTCTCACGGTTCCCGTTGTATTCCTCCAAATTGTCAACCTAGGCATCGTATTGTACTACCCCTACCTCACTGTGGTCGTCTTGAAGACGCAACCAGCATGGTCCGCGCTGATGCTCGCCACGTCGGTTGTATGGGGTCTCAAGATATACTCCTTTCACCATGTCTGCTTCGATTACCGGCGTGCGGTCTGTAACGGTGAAAACATATCGGACATCTGCAAGACGAGGATGGAGGCTAAGGCTGCGGCCAACTACCCAGGCTGCATCAAACTAACGGAGCTCTACCGGTTCCTCATCATGCCTACGGTTTGCTTCCAGTTCTACTACCCGCTGATCCGGAAAATACGATGGACACGTGCACTCAAGCATTTCGTGCAGTTTCTGTTTTTGCTGGCCGTGGCAAGGTGGGTTGTGTAGGTGTGATTTATACGAGTTGCAGGATAATCGGGGATCAGTATATAGTAGTGACCGTCACAAATACGTTCACCATGCAGGAGTTCAAGTCGGCTAATTTCTCAACTGTGGCCTACCACATCATTGACAGGGTAAGTCGGCCGCGACCACCACCAGACATCCACCTGCGCAGATGCTGCTGCTCTCTATCCCAGTGTTGTACTGCTGGCTAACGATGTTCGTTGTAATTTTTCACCACTGGTGCAACTTCCTCGCCGAGATCACACGTTTCGGCGACCGACGGTTCTACGATGTGAGTTCCTGATACGCAGGCACACAATCGTTGCAGGACTGGTGGAATGCGGCATGCTTCGGAGAATACTGGCGAAAGTGGAACCTACCCATTCACCAGTTCATCGTGCGGCACATCAGCAAGCCCCTGTACAAGATGGGTGTCCCGTGGGAGATGAGCAGCGTCATCGTCTTCACCATCTCGGCGGCGCTGCACGAGTATCTGATCTCGGTTCCACTCGGGCTCGGCTGGACAGGTTACGTCTTCTGTGCCATGATGGGACAGATACCACTTCTGATGATCACGCGTGTTTCGCTGGTACGTGAAATGGCTGTGTTGAGGAATCTAGCATTACGCAGTTCCGCAAGAATAGGACTCTAGGCAACGTGCTATTTTGGTTCCTGTTCTGCTTCACAGGACAGCCGGTAGGTGCACCAATTGATGAATTCATTGTGATCAGATGGGTGTGTTGTTATACTGGTATCTTTGGGGCGTGAAGCAGGGCTCTTTCGTCTAGTACGGACGACGGAACCAAGTGCACCCTTTGCAAGGATGGGGAGCACACCCAGTACAGGTTGTAACAGCTATTTTAAAGAGAATAGTATATTTATCAGTGCTTCCTGTTACGTAGTAGGCCGATTGGCGGCGTCGCCAGGCTCATCAGTGTGTAGGCGCGGCAGCGCCAAAAATCTTGTGGCTTGAATTGCCAAAAATGGCGGCTTCACAGCTAGAAGGCATCTGCCGGAACTTAAAAGTTGCGTTGGAAGATACGGATGCGCTGTATAGAAGCGTACAAGCTGGTAGGTGTCTACGACAGATGTGTAACACAATGCAGGGTCAGGTATGACACCGTGCTCTTCAACGCTGCCGACAAAACGTACTGTGCGCTTCGGACAATCGCGAAACCCAAGCGATCGCTTCAATCCCCCGCTTACGTTGCCCCAGACATCACCCAGTCGACGTAAGTTGTAGGGGTCGCATGCTGATGTGTCGCAGGCAGAGGCGCAACTTTTCATCCGTCTAAGCCGACGATATACGCTGACTACGGTAAAGAGATTACAAAGGTCGAGCAGGATATCCAGTATGTGACAAAAGCGACCCAAAGTGAGTTCTTCCGGGCCCTCAATGTCGACCTCGATGGCTGGACGGAGTCACAGAGGCAGGTGTTCTACAACCTCGTGGCCAGTGCAGAGAAGCACATGCACGCGGAGAGTGAGAGGCTGCAGCGCGAGTATTCGTCGCAGCTTGATGCCAAGCTCGAGCTTGCGCGCCGGGATATGGCTGAAGCCCAAAGTGCCGTTGCAGCAGAACTATCGGAATTGCGAGCTGAACGTGAACGCCGCGCCTTCGACGACGTGGAGGATCGACGCCGCGCAAAACTCATGAAAGATGCCTTGCACAATCTGCAGAAATCTTACGATAATCTGATGGACGAATGTACCGCCAAGTCTAACGAAATTGTGCGGCTTAACTCAGTCATGACTGTTACGGACCGCTCAATGCTGGGGCTTAAGCAGCGAGTGCTTGAGCTTGAGGGCGATTTGAACGATCGTCTACAACAAATAGAGAGTCTGCATCATGAGGTTGCAAACGCGTATAAGCAGATGGAAGCTGTGAGTGGTAACAACGCGAAGAGCGAGCGTGATCTTGCATCTACAAGAAATGAGCTGAAGCAGGCACGCGACCAGATAACAACATTGCAGTTGGAGGTGGAGTCGCTTAACCTGAGCATGCAGCTTGCCGCCACCGAAAAGGCTGCAATGGAGACCAAGGTGCGCTCGTTGGAGAAGGAGGTGTCCGAGCTGGGGTCAGAGCGGCAGAAACTCGAATTAACGGTATCCACGCTCGAAAACAACACCGTCCCGTCGCTGAAGGAACAGTGTAAGCTTTTGGAGGAGCAGCGGAACCTCGCACGCGTGGAGACCGCCACCTGCGACAAGCGTCATGAGCTCGCTCAGGCAAAGCGTGAGCTCGAGAGCGTGCAATACAAGTGTGAGCAGCTGTCCGAGGAAAACAGGGTCCTGCTTCGCGAAAATGCGGCATTGTCCAAGCAACTGCAGGATATGCAGAAAAGGATGAAGGAGTGCGAAAACGACCTTTTTCAAATGAAATGTCAGGCTCATCTCATGAGGCAAAAGGGGTATAGTGTACGAACCTCAGCCAACCGGAGTGATCATGCATCTGGTAGTGATGTTGGCGTGGAGTTGCCGGCTGAGGAAACTGCGGACGCAACGCCTAATAGGGCACAACCCACCAGACGTGACATTTTTGCCCCCACCATGTTCGACGGCCCCGATCCGGAAACCCAGGAGCAAATCGACACCCTCGAAAAGGAGTTGACTGAGTTACATTTGGAAAAGGACCGCATGATGTCAGAGATGACTCGGTGCAATATTGGCCCGAAGTCTCCTGTCAATGGACGCAGACGGCACCTGTTGCTGGAACGTGGAGTGGCGGAGACGAATCAAAAGATCCACGAATTATCGGAGTCTATACGGAAGTTGTATACGCCTGCGTAGGCATTGTGTGCGCCCTGTAAAGGGCGAATACGCTTCATAATTTTGTAGTTTACTTCATCGGCGACAATGTTTATTTTCACTTCCACATGTCTTCACTTGAAGACACCATTATATAGATATCTTGCCCATGTATACCTGACGTTTTTGGCTATGGGACTGGGCTTGCCGTTGCACTTATTTACGAAATATTTTCGGGGACAAATGGCGGACTGTGGCGCGTATTCGTAGGTTAATGATGCTTCTGTAGAGTTATGGACTACATGACTCACGGAAGCGATACGATCTCAGTAAGGGTTCTGCAGCCATTGGCGGAATAAATTCTCCGTTTTTTGTAATCATCGGAGTTTGTGTATTCATTTATTTCCACCGCACGCATTAATGGTTTAGGTGTTTCCTGAAGTAATTAAACTGGGAAGGACATGCTGTTGCTTCACTCCCGTAGGTTCCGTCCCGACTGTTATGTGCCATAGCCACTGCCCGATGTGTCATTCATACCACATTGAAGTCAGAAGGTGACATCGCTACAATACCCCAATCTAGAATGGTTCTACGAGAGATCACTGCAGGGGAGTGCTGCTGGCGCGGTGGAACGCTTGAAGATGCGGGGAGACTGAAGCGACAAGCGCAAGCGCGTCTGACAAATCGTGCTGATGATACATGAAGTTAAGGATAGGGCATGTGTAGGCTACCAAACCTGCCTTATGTTGTCCAATTGCTACAATTGTGTAATTTGTGACTGAAAAATTATCGGGGTCACTTTTTATCATGTGTTGGGAAGATGCGTTTGACAAGTTTTACTTCAATCTGTCAAACAATCTTGAGAATACGGCGTTCTTCTTCGCCGGTACGGGCTCAGCGGGGGATTGAACCTCCCTGGGGCGAGCAACAGTCTTGTCCACGACGGCGTCCTTATCCGCAGCGGAGTTGGCGCCATAGTAATATGCGACAGAGGCCCTGCTCACAGATGTTGGCTCAATGGGCTCCTCGATGTCATCGGCGTCGGCATCGTTCTCCACGGCGGCCTCCTGATCCTCCGATGTAGGCTCAGCCTCATCAACCTCGTCAGCGTTGGCGTCGTCGTCTTCCACAGCATCATCATCAGATGTAGGCTCAGCCTCATCAGTCTCCTCTACTTCAGCATCCTGGTCCTCAGATGTGGGTTCAGCGGCATCGGCGTCCTCATCGGAATCGGCATCATCGTCTTCCACAAAAGCATCATCATCCTCATCGTAGTTGGCATCGTCCTCCACGGCAGAGTCCAGATCCTCATAAGACTCAACGGCATCATCATTAGCATCAGTCTCTTCAACTTCGGCCTCCTCATCCCTGGGTGTGGGCTCAACAACTTCATCAACGTTGTCCGCTTTGGCAGCAACATCTTCTACGACGACGGCGGGTTTCGCCGGTACGGGTGCAACTGGAGCTTTAATCCTCTCGCAGCGAGCGGCAGCAGGAGCACGGGGGGCAGGGGCGAGAGCAGCAGCACGTCTGCGAAGCGCCCTAGGGGGCAACGGCTCCATCTCAACGCGATAGTCAACCCCTGGTACCGGAAACGATCCCCAGTACCAGAAGCCATGTCTCTTCTTCATGATTTTCTCCCATGTCACTGCGTCGTCTTCTTCACCAGCCTGAACATGTGGGACGATAGAAATAAATACAAAGGCAAGAGTGCCAATAATGGCGCCTGCGTTGACCTTCATTTTTCGCTAAAGCTAAGTTAACAACCCGGAGAGACGATGAACAGCCTACCGAATAGGTAGTGGCAGTTGGGATGCGAAACCTCAGAGCTGCACAAGCAGTGTCACCCCAGGTAACACTATTTGTCATACTTAACCCAAGATGTGTGCCTATAACCGTTGCAGCCGCAGTGTGCAATTGACCATGCACGGACCCATCACACACTCTACTGAGTCCAATGTATGCCGCAGATGCACATTTAGTATTGTAACATGCTGTCTTAATGCGTTTTGAAAAACGAAAGACCTTGTATTCCGTGTTGCAGCCTTCTATGCTGGACGCGAAGTCGGCAAACAACTATTTGCGCGGTTGACGTATTAGACAGCATCAGCGTTTTTATTGATGCAATAATAGGCGAATCCGTGTGATCGTTTACGGGGTTTTTTCTGTACGGATTCCACATGACAGCGTTTTATGTCTTTTTCGTGGGCTGGAAATGAATTGCGACAATGCGCATTGGCGTAGGCAAGCAGTTCTTGGCTTTGCCTTCTAAATGTGACGTTGTTATCATCTTTTGTAGTGTGGGTCGGAGCATATCTCATTTTGTTCCACTCAGTATGTCTGCGATGCTTTTGGTTGCCATCACAAGTTTTTGCCCCGCATCACCAGCTAATTTTCGCGGTTGCAAGAAGCCAAACGAGATTAGCAATGGCGGTCGATGATCTCAGAAAGCGCCGACAGAGAACGCGTTGTTTGGGTTTTTTAATGTTTTTAGCGGTGGTTTGCGCTGCGCTGAAATAAATCCCCCTTTAGCCGTATGCGTCGGCCGTAGGCGGGACATTCTACTGCACCTTTCCAAAACATCACCGTTTGCTATTTCTCAACATTCCGAGTCTGGTACCACCTGTTTACTTCAACAATTTAACGAGTCAATGGCACTCTATGTCGGGGTGTTCCCGCAGCTACAACGGTAGCGTTGCTTCACTCAATGTTCGCCGGACATTGTCATGTCCGCAGTTCGAAGATGATCACTCAGTTGGGGAGTCACTACTGATCAACCGTCTGATGTACGTCGCTGCAATATGTATCATACTTTAGACTTTATCGCCGAGTGGGTGTCGATGTCTAAGAATTTGGTCATCCTTTACGCTGCTGTAATCTACCGATGACATAGTTGTGCAAACTACCCGTCAGTAAACAATATTTGACATGGTCGTGACAATACCTTGCAGTCATCTGCGACATAATAGGGTCACACCGAAACCCGACGACCACGCTGTCACTAGATACCACCGTCGTGGCAACGAGCTTCGTAAAATGCTCAGAATCATAAACGTATAACTATACCATAGCGTCATCAATTTGCAATAGTATGGCGTCAAAAGGATGTTCAAAAGGAGCGGGTGATCATCCAAGGTAGCGGACAAGAGGCGCCATCTTAGATAAGCTATTGAGTCACCTGAGAGGTAAGCGTAAGGCAACACAATGCGATTACATTCCGTGTTATGAAGTGCCCTGATTACGGTCGAGATAATGGGCTACGCCTGGGAATCGACGTGATAACCACGGTACGGCGTAGACGGTAATGTACTTTTTGCAACACTTTGCAAAATTACAAGCCTTGACATGTCGCCGCACATCTACTAAAATCGCTGCGTTCAGTATATGCCATATTCTCTGAAAGCGGCATAAGGCGATGACATGCGTGCTGCATGTCACGTTAACGGTTTAGATCTGTACGCGGCCCTCTGTTATGCCAGCGTCGCAACCGCATCGTTTGCCTATTGTATATGTGTGCGTTGCTTTATAGCTTTCCTTAGGCTCGTATGTATTACAGGGCAACAACACTTTTGTTTATCCGCCATAATACAGCCGTTTGCACACCGGGTAGTAAATAGACATCTCACGTTCATATTAGTCGCGTAATTTAACTCATCTTTGCAAAATGGTGTACAATTCGTTGACTGAAGTTCCGCGCAACCTCAAAGAGGGTATTGACTGGTTGGTAGCCCTGAGGGGAACTGATGCTGAAAAGAACTTGGCGGCTATGGGCGCCGCACTTCACAAATTCCTCGCTGACAAGCCCGTTGGGTCAACGAAAGTGCCAGCTCTCGAGAAAGTTAAATGTATTTCTAAGGAGTTCCTGGAGCAACCAGCACTTAAATATATCTGGCCTGCACGAGAGATTCTAAGGAAATTCAATGACCCTATGTATAAAGAGTGGGGTTCACTCAAGTGGTTTGGAGACCTCCAGAAAAGCGATTATGAGAACGTCATAAAGACCAGGGGCACCAAGCCTGAAACTATCTCAAAGAACTTAGGTAAAGCTCTGGCTGGTTGTGAGAAGTTCCTGGAAAATGTCAAAATACCTGACCAGTACGAGTCTGCTTACAGCTCAGAAGCAACATGGGAGGCATCATGCGCGCAGGACCCAGAAACTTGCGCAGTTATCCTGGTAGGGATTGCGCCAATGTTGTACACAGGTCTACGTTCTTTGCGGGAAGCGAGCAATGCTCAAAGCTATTGTTACGGGTCAGTGTGCATGACTCCGATTAATTTGGGAGATGTGGTGAAAGCTGTAGGTTACAAAGACCCAGGGTGTCGTGCTGGCATGAGAGACTCAGATATTCTCAAGGCGTTGAAAGGTATGAGTTATCAAATGTTGATCACGCTCTATGACCTCTCTGGATTCTGGGCTTTCTATGGATCTGGTAAAGCAGGAGCCGCAAAAGCTGTAGCAGCTCCCAGCAACCCCTCTGTCAAAGGTGGAAAATAACGGATACCAGGGGTTGACATTGACATGGGCTTGTTACATGCCTGAAATGTCGAGAAATTTAATAAGCCTCCCCAAATAACTACTGTTGTCGGATCGAACAACTTTCATGTTCCCGGTGCGCCTGCAGTGGCGAATACGGATGTTGGTAGCCCAATTTAATAACTATTGTCGTGTTTATTAGTGTTCTCTAAGGAGCTATTCTTTCAATATGTTTATGAATTATGTTTTGATGTATACATGTCCTTTGTATCCTGTGGTCATTGTTTTAGGCGTTCCAATGGATATACCTAGCAAGTAACCCAGTAGATAATGTATTAGAGGTATTAAGATGGCATTGTTGTGGCGGTATGTAGGTGTTAGTGCCGTGACCGCATCATCTAATTAGAATGTGACGATGTGTGATACGCCATACGGGTGTTTGAAGGAGGCCATCTCCATCGTGGATATCGGGATTGCCAATCAAGACAACCTGGTGGAGACGGAGATCATGACGACTCTGTCAAAAATACGCTCGTGTCCAAACATGATGGATTCCACAATGGATTGTGCCTGTAGCGTTCGGTAATACGACGTGGAACCCGCAACCGACATCAACAGCGTGAGACGCTAGCTAGGTGAATACGGAAATCAACCCAAAGCCACACGTAGCCACATAGCACACTATACAAGGCCAAATGGTCTTAACTGATATAGTAACATGATAACTAACATGTCAAGCAGTCATCTGGCAAATGACGGCAAATCTCACCCAGCACGGCAGTCGTCATGTGCCTACGTTGACGGCCAACCGCCCAGCTCTAGAGTACTCTGACGGTGTTGGAGAACGTAGGCACGTTCTATGAGTAACACGCAAGATGACATCCCAAACAATGAACATATTAACGCGTCAACTAAATTATGTGCTAGGTTAGGTAGTAAGTCATACATTAGATTACATGTTTGATTATGCGGTGAGTTGTTTGTTAGGTTGGTGAGTAGGTGAGCGCCGTGATGATGATGATGATGATGATGATGATGATGATAACAATCACGTTGAGAAGTACTTGATGTTGGCGAGTGCTTTGACGCGTGCGGCGGCGAGGAGCGACTGCGCGGCGATGCGGTGCGATGAGGGCGAGCGCAGGTGGGAGCGGATCCTCAGGACGTCTAGGCGGACGACGGTGATGTGCAGCAGGTACAGGAGCGAGAGCGACCAGAGGGCTAACAACAGGTAGGAGAATTTCTCTCTTATGGCCCAAATGAACTCATCGATGTCTTCGATGAGTTTGACAAGCACGCATCCTTCACCAATGACTTTCTTCAACGCTTCACAGAAATCTCTACATGTGCGCCTGGTTTTTTGGTCATATGATCCACTCAGTTCATGCGGACTACCGAATGTGAATCCGTATGTGTAGAGAGTTGGGTGCATATTCTGGCATTTCACAATAGAGTTACATGTTTTATTGTGTTTAGCGTCCTGTATTGCAGCTTGTTTTTCGGATTGACTATAAATGTCGGACACCTCGCAGTTCTCAGTACAGCACTTGTCATAACATCTGGAACCCTCAGTGTCACATTTTTTACAACACTCGTCATATAACTTTTTGAGTAGATCGTAGAACGTCTCAGTCGTGTAGACAATCCACGAGAGATATATTCCAGAGCGCTTATCTGAGAATGTTCGGCGGATGTCTGATGTGAGGGACTGAAGGTACTGGGCGCAGGGCACAGTTCCGGTCTTCGAAGGGTTGCAGTTAATAAGGGTGAACAGGTCGCCAGTTTCATGATTGTTATTGCCGTTGGTCTCATGAGTGCTGGAATTAAGAATAGTAGATGGGTCTAATTTTGTGTACAAAGCTTTGAAATAGGCCTTGTTGACCGCGTCGTCAAACGCCTGTTTTTTATGCTCACCATTCTTACTCCAATTCTCAAGGAATTTATGATAAAAGGCAAACACATCACCCAGTGTTTTCGGTGCACTAGGCAGTAGACAGTTGACCATGTTACATAGATTTCTGAGGTGAGAGTCAGGCCTATCGCATAAATGGAAAAGGGCTTCCTTGAGATACGTGCCGTTTTTAGTGTGCGATGCCGCAATACCAATATCTGCAAAACCCATGGGAGTGAGGCACCGTTTGCCAAAGTGGTTGGACACTGTACAGGTTAACTTACAACCTGGAGATGTAAATGTGTGCGGTAGAAAACCGGGAAGGCCGTCTTCCAAGTATGATTGGAGTGGCGATTTGACACCGCACTTAGGGTGTTTGTCACCCGTTTGGTCACACTTTTGGTTACATGGTTGGTTCCCTAATTGGTTAGGACATTGGTCAGTGTTGCACTGCCAGTTGGACCCGGCAACTCCCTGACCGTACCAACAGTCATTCCAACCACCGCTCTTAGGCCCGTTGTTACACTGTTTATATACGAAACGGAGTTGATTATAGACTCGGAAAGATATATCTACCAGCATATCAAAGCAGGCACCACCGCTAGTAGGATACAATAATTTATCTGCGTTGGTGTAGAAGTCACAGGCGTAACGCCCTTCGGCGTGACCGTGACCCTGCAAGGCTATTAACACATCTTCGGAGTAGAGACAGACTTCTCGAAGTGTGTCTTTTAATGTATTAGGTGTAATTTTTGTGGTAGCATCTAGACTGAGGTCCTTTTCCTCAATTTCGGAATATTTTCTATCTTTAAGATGTTTAGGCTTTTCGAACAATTCTTTGGTAAATGTGTAAAGTGGATCGCGCATCGGATTATAGTATAATCCGAGCATCCAATGAAGCATTTGGTAGATGTTACTTGGTGCTTTAGCTGATGGAATGTGTTCTAAGTGACAGACACTGTAGTATGTTCTGAAGTAGGTGACAAGGGTCTTAACGACACCATGTTGATCCTTCTTCTCCTTGTCGGCATCTTCATCTTTAACAAGATAATATGGCTCCTTCTTTAGATCCGAAATGTGTTTTTTGAGGAGGAGATTGTTGCGAATATAATTACCAATGCACTGGGAATTATTCCTTAATTCACCATCTTGCTTGTCAAACTCGGAGACACTGAAGCCTCGGTCACTGAACCAGTGTCCTAGGTCGTTTTTGACTTTCTGATTTTTCCGATCTGGATCATGCAAACGAATTTGTTTGCTATTGGCGTTCTTTCCACTCTGACATGCGCCTCTTAATATCCGAAGATCATAAGACACCCTCTCCAGTATGGTCAGGCAGACCTTGGCGCAGTTGCGGCCCTCGGTGGAAAGGACGGTAACATTTTTACTGGTGCCGTCAATAAGTTTTTGCTCTTGCATCACCCACTTCTCAGTAGGGATTTTCCCACTGTACCTGTTGACGTACGCGCGGGAGAGTTGCTCGGTGAATTTTTTCATGCCGGCGCTGAGGGCGTCGAGGAGCAGCGGATTGTGGAAGCCGTGGAAGTTGGAGGGGGAGAGGGCGTTAAGTGATTCATTTAAATCATCTAGGTATTTTCTAAAGATGTGATCAAAGTGCTTTTTGTGCTGAATGTGGCTAAGTAGATTGTCCAGTTTGTCTTGAAATTCGGAAACATGTCTGGACTGCTCGGTGGGTTGTTCCGCAGTCCTCACCTGCCCTCGGATATACTTTAAAAGTGCATTCAGATACTCCTTTAAAGCCTTTGTAGATTCTTGGAGTTTCGTACCATTGTCCTTAATTGGCCCAAGATTCGGCGTTGTGGAATCTAGATGTGTCTTAATATCAGTAAGCCAAGTTTCATGTTTTTTCATGCTGTTTATCAGCCCTTTCAGCCCATTCTCTGTGTCATGTTTTATTATTTTCTGGATCTCAGTTTTTTGTGTCTCCACAATCTTCTTCAGGGCATCGAGCTCCTTTTGTTTGCGGTTGGCGTAGAGCTCCTGCGCTTTTTTTGTAACTATGGTGGTTGCAGACTCAACTTGTTGTTGGAGGTGTTGCTTGATATCTTTGAAGGCTTTGTCAGCCTCATTGTTGATTGTGACCTGGAATTCAACAGCCTTCTTTATGATGCCTTCTACGGTGGTAGAGTCAGTGTTACTGCCGTTAGTAATGATTTTATTGAGTTCGTCCTTGATTTTCTGCAGGCCTTGGACTGTGTGAGATGTATCTAAAGCGGAGTTAAGTTTATAGTCTGCTCCCTCGGAAAGCATGTTGGTCAAATCCTCCAGGTAGGCGTGGACACTGTTCTTCTCGGGTGAATCTTTGACAAGCTTCTCGACGGCTTGCGTGAATTGTTCGAGACAGGACTTGACAGATTCAAGCATAGTCGTGAAGGTTTCTTTGTTGAACTTAATTGGATCTTTACCATCTCCACCGTCTTCGACATTTTCCAAATGTTCGGCATTTTCATTCACCTCCTTTTCAATTTTCTTGATCACCGGGGGAAAAGTGCCTTCGGTTGAGTCGCCGATTAGCTGGCCGCCTGTTAAATTGGACGCATCCACCAGTTTTTTGTATGTGATGAAGTGATGTGAAAGCGCAAATTTTTCCTGAACTCCGAATGAATCCTCCTTCCCAATCTGCTTTTCCAGTGCCTCGCTAATCGTCTTTTGGATATTGGCGTCAAGCTCAACCTGACCGGAGCCGGGGATGAAGGTAGTAGCTCCGGAGTATTCGTCGGGGTCGAGTGTTTTAATTGCCTCGGTGAAAGCACCGTCGAGCTCAGTAGCTACTTTGAGCGCGGCGTTAACGTTCTTGCCGAGGTTGTAATCCCCATCGTCATCGTCAGTGAACGAATAAAGCTCCGTACTAACCTGTCTGGCACTAGTGGAAAGTACGGTAAGAATGAGTTTGGTAATGGATTCAAGAAGAAAGGTTTTCTTGGTACTTGATGTCCTAACTGCGCTATTTATCACACCCTCAATATTACTCGTGGACCCGGTATTCATCCGTTGGTCAACCTCCTGCGCAAATTTATTGCAAGCCTGCTGAACAGCGTCCACGTGCTTTTCAATCTCGCTCTCTGTGACCGTACCGAGACCTTCGATATGTTGTTCGAACGCCTTAATGGCTTCCTGAATTTCACTTTTAAGCTCACCAACAATGTTTGACGCAAGCCCCGTAATGCCACGTTCCCCATATGTGAAGATTTCTGCGGTATCCGCAAGTTTTCTTCCAGTAGCAAACTCCCCAACCCTTTCAATCACAGGTCTGCTATGCAAAATTTGTTCCAACCACCCCTGTACTATATCTCCAAACGAACCGTCACCTGTTCCATCGGTTTTAAACCTAGCAGCATACTCCATCACTTTCCTCCTAATCCCTGAGAGGCCTTCTTTTCCTGTCTCCCCCTTTATTGCCTTAACCTTCTTTTGCACTTCCTCAACATAATCCTTAACATACTGCCCAATAACACTCTGAAGTCTCTCTTTCACTTGCACCAAACTATACTTAACCGCCCTGTCCATAACTATAACCTGCGCAAGCGCCGATTTTACCTGAGTAGTCAACTCACCCTTAGCCTTGTACGCCTTGGCCCGGAGATCGTCAGCCCTCTGTTTCAAAGCTTGTGCCGCCCTGGTAATCGCTTCTCTTTCCTCATTTGACACCGCTTTACCCTGCAACTTCTTGACTATCTCATCACACTGCTGCTTTGCCTTGCTAACGGCATCCTCGGCTGCCTTAATCCAGTTAGTCAACTCCTCAACTTTAATATCCAACTTCTCTTTCACCTGCTTAATAGGCTCTTGAATTTCATCCCTGAAATTATCTTGCAATGCATTCCTAAGCGTAATAATACGTCCAGTAACCTTATTCTCCACACTCCCCCTCAATTTCTCCAACTCCTCTCCCGCAGCGTTATTCAACTCCTGAAGATCCTTATTTTCTGCGGATTTTTTCAACTGATCCACAACGATTTTTATAGGCTTCATTTCTCTCTCTATCCTTTCTTTCAGCGTGAGATCCAAGGCGCCAAGTTGCTCCCTTTCAATGCCTTTTACCGCTGTATCAATAGCATCCACCGCCTGGGTCCAGGCGGTTAACTGGGCGGGAAGCTTATCAGTGCTCCTTATCTTACTTTTTTGTCCCTCTATAGTACTATCTTTTAAACTTGCTAATTGTGAAGTAACTTCTCTAGTCTTCCTCCCCAACTCACCTTCATACCTCCCAAGCCACGCACTCACCGCAGTGACCTGCGGACCAAATACACTGCGTCCCTGGCCAATGGAAGAGTGGAGATGTTGAAGGACAGTATGTAAATCATCATTATTATTTGATGATTTAATGTAATTATTGTATGTTATAACGTTATCATCATCTTTCACTCCACTTAAAACTCCATGAAGGAAAGACATCACCCCGTCGCACAGCCTGTCGAGGTCCGAGTACACGATGCCGGAGCCGTCGTAGCCTTTAGAAATTGCATTATACCCTAAGAATGTTTGGAGACCATCGCAAAGATTTTCTAAAATTTTTGTTGCAGGATTCTCACCATCTTTTGTGCCAATAAATTTCTCGAGTTTTTCTTTAAGCTCCTTAAGTGTCTTTTGCCTTTTCTCAATATCCTTCAACGCCTTCTTTGTAGAATCATCATAATAACTGTCATTGTGATAATTGACTTTACAATCTTTCATATAGCCTTCATAAAGCTTTTTATTAGGATTTTCAGGTTGACCAGAATTTTTAGACTCTTCAGCTTGCTTTATTAACCTACCAATATACTGACAATTAGATTCATTTCCCTTATATTTTTTAGGGCACTCAAGTTCCTTTTTCCTCTTTTCAAGACTCTCAGTTGCATTGTTAATTGCATCACCAATCAACTTTTTCAAAGCTTTGGCCAACTCCTCAAGCCCTTTACCATCACCACCATTCCCATGCTTAACCTGGATCAACCAGTCGATGGACTCCCGGAGATTTTCCGGACAGTCCGTCAGCTTCTTTGGGTGGCGTATCATTTTGAAAGCTAACTTACCTGGCAATTGTCGATGCCTAGTTTACAACACCGCCTAACACCACAAGACTACAGCTGCACTACAGGACACACATAGACACAGAAACAAGACACATGCCAATTTAAAGCACCGCCGCTAACTTTACACAATCTAACACAAATGCAAAACTCACCGCGCAATATTGGCTTCCCGGCTCACCAAATCAAAGAATATCTATGCATCGAACCCAAAAAACTCCTAACTTAGGCAATAAAACCTTCCAGATGCCTTCTGATCCTGTCCCCGCATTGTGACGTCGACAAGCCATCTCCCCTCAGCGTTCCGCTACCATCCCAGCAACCTCCACCCAATACATCACCAGTAATAGTACAGACACGGGTCTTTCACTGCTAAAACACCCCATTGTGACCACTCGAGATTGCGAACCTTGCCCCATACTTCGCTGGTAGCACGAGACTCAAGTTCTGAATCTCTGCACTAATCGAACCACAGTGTTCACGCTGTGCAACATTACGTCTTTGGCTATTATTACCATGGTGACAGTCTCTGATGCAATAGAACTGCTAATCAACTGATAAAAGTATTACGCCATAAGGTCCATGACACCCCTCCCTTCAGTACAATGCCTAGCTCTCTTAATGTACACATGATATCATTCCTCCCCATTGCATTTCTAACATATTCATGATGTTAATGCACAACGGCTTCATTTGATGCGACTTGTCACATCGCAACCCTACCTAACGAGATTGGCCTCATCATTGGCCCGAGGGTTGTACAACTATATACACGCACTTCAGGAATTTATAACATACCCTACATAGTAGTCTAATGTCTGACAACTAACATCGTATTGAAGCATACTCTTCATTCCTCTCAACGATATCATCAATATGTAAGCCATGTGGCTGAGCCCGGCGAGAACCCGAAACCCGCACTTGGAAACCTCCAGTATAACCCACTGGGGCATTATATAACATCTTATGTGGTGCACTGTGCAGGTACATTTATCACACGAAACCACGTCTGCTTTCGCTGTTACCGGTGGACTGACGTGGCCAGGCCTCACGCCCTAAAGGCTTAACAATGTTACTGGATGAAATGAATTACGGTAAGAGGTACTAAATGTTGTCGATTATTGCGTATTAAAGCCGTTGCCAATGATCAAACTTGTGAACAGGAGTGAAAACGCTCATACTGCATCTTCCTTATCACGGCAGTGGTAAAATCTAACAGAATTGTGGTGAGACAATTATTTTCCAACTTATTAAACGGGATAATGGCCATTCACACAATTTATAAACAGCGGTGATAAGACTACGACAAGCTGCTGAGTTTTACCATCGCATTTACGAAGTTTTAACCGAAACCTATACTGCCACTAGAACAGATAAATCAACAAAATCAACATTAACAGTCAAGGCAAATTAATGCCTCCCATGTACCGAAGAGTTATCACATTTCATCTACTCATCATTTAGAGTAATATTTCTCGATCTGTATGGTGGAGAGTATGGCGCCCTTGACGGTGACGCAACGGCACTCCAACGGCGGTGTATGGCTAAGCGCCTCGTCGGGTGCTATGAGCGAACTGTATAAACGCAGGATGACAAAGTGGTTGGATGGAGATGCTACCAACGACTTGCTTAGGTCACCCACGTCCTTGACTAGGCCGTCCGCGGAGACCGATTTAGTGCAAGGTACACGAGTTTAATTAGCATGGGAAGCAGCACTGGCCGCATGCAGCCAGAGAGCACGTCAGACAGGTATAAACAGAGATTAGATTAGGTTTTAGATGAACACTTAAGGAGAAAGATGAAATGACCACGGATAACACTACATTGAAATTAAATAGTTATTGCGATGCCAGAGTTACGAGTGGGGAAAGTGAGACCGCTACTGGTCTTTTGGCGTATAACGCTTGTAAAGGTCGTAAGTATCCGGGCCTTCATAGGAGGTACCATTGAAGAAATGCATGATGTTGTGGAAAGGCCATTTCCTCTCGCTGGCCATGGCATATATTAACAAGCCAAGAAAGAGAAGAACGGCTATGACTGCTAAAGGTACGTCAAGCCTTAAGGCGACTTTATTCTTGCAACATTCGCATTTACAACCCGATGGAGTACTTCCACCACTCGAACACTTCGGGTCACAGGTGCCACTGCCCGATTTAGCGCAATCACACTGATTAGCTTGTCACCTTCCCCTCACTCAAATCCAGGCCTACTGCGCAGATCCACCACGCACCTGAAGTGTGGTTGTCACTGCTTATCAACGCGGTTTTAATGACCTTTGCTAATCAGAGCAATTTAGAGATATAGATAAAGAAAAAACGGCATTGTTGACGACTCATGTAGCGGTTGACGAACATAGATCCACCCTTCAATCCGTCATCAAAGGATACGACGTCCCTGCATGTGGAGAGAAATATGTGCGGGACATAACCAGACTCCCGACAAAGTTGCTTCAGAATACACTCCCATTATTGCTAAACTAAGTTCAATCTTCTCGCAGTTTAATTGCAAAGTTTTAAAATCTCAATTATCAGCATTGATTCGCGGCGTTCCAACTCGTCAAGTTAGCCTCCATTCCATATCGGAAAATTCAAACAGTCCTGTCAGCCTTATCAATTGTTCACATCTAAATTTGAGTCCCATTACATCGGTATAGAATGCATATAGGGTACCCGCCAGCACAGCCGGGCCCACTCATCGGTTGCATAACCTCAGCTTCATTTTCCAGCTCATTAAATGCGCCATGGATGCGCACTCACTTCCATAAACATCTTCAGACACCTTTGCTGTGGTGCGGTATTCCGCGTGCTCCTCGGCCTGCACCATCAATGTTATAAGATCGTATAACATTTACTAATCTAGTTTGACAGGCGTAGTTTGTCGGACGCCCTTAAACTGAATTTAGTTCGAATATTCGCTTGGAAAATGTGGCGTTATCTCTGCTGAGCAATTAACACCTCCCCATGGGGGCAAATAATTGCCTCTCCTCTGATGTTAACCTGGCACCTGGCCACGCCAAATTACAGGTAATACTGGATAAAGGGCTGCCCTAGTGTGCTTATCATACTTTTACAGCGCATCACATCATACATTCTGCAACGCTACAGTGATCCACATTGGCCGTTATCAAGTGAGTGCTTTGGGTGTTACCGGACTTTGCCACAAGGCCTACGATTCGATGGGATTGGTAACCACCAAAAATTAAATTCTTCACAGTAGTGTGTTGACTGCTGAGAAGCTTGTGCCGATGTTGGAAACCGGGAACACAACGGCAGTGAGCAAACCAAGTTCTGGGTAGTGCAGGCCCATAATGAGTCCGACCTCATTATCGGTGCGACGTATGGGTTTTTGTCGTAATGAGCATTTATGTGCTCCCTTCATTAAGATGTAGCGAACGTCGTAAGTAGATGGAATTGTGTCTGGTGAGTGTATAGTGGTTCCATTTCTGTATTTCGCTGTCTTTAATGTGGCAACTGTATGCTACAAATACGATAGAAGGCGAATGACAAGGACACGGCACGTGAGGCCATCACTACGGCAATATAATGCAGAGTTGTAAAGTTATGAGGTACGAACACCGTGCGTCGGTCGATTGTGAGATTCTGAACACGAAAGTTGTTCTCCCAGCGACGTGTGGGGTAGGCTTCGCAACCTATAGATAGCCTGATGGGGCGAACGAATGGTGGGATACTCGCGGCTGTCGTGTTACTAGCATAGACTGCAGTGGTAGATACCTAGATCTTTCCGGTAGGCATGATGGTGTCACTGTACGGGGCTCAAGGTACGTGTTTCATGCTTGTACAGGATGGTGAGGACCTTTGGGCTAGAAACGGAGGTGTGGCAACGGTGGAGGCAAGGTTGTCGATGTGATAGTGGCGAGCAGGAATGTGAACCCAATTGCATTACATGTGAAATTGTGAGCAAAAGCGCAAGTGGGAAAGACTGTGAATGCCCCTGCCGTGCACGTCGAAGCTCTGCCGCCAGTGTCCTTGCTTCTACCAGTGACGACAATTCCACCACCGGTGTCACCACTCCCATCATCGTCACTGCTTTCTTCATCGCAATCATCCTCATCGTCGTATGCGTCATGAGCGTCTTTCGCATTCGGCCGTTCCACAAGCTTTGCGATGTTTTCGTCCGCAAGTGAACATTTTTATCGCATTCTTTAATAACTTCCAACATTCATTATAATCACACTTATCGAACTGTTCTCGACATCAACGACACAATGCTTATCTAATAATGTCTAAATTAATGTTTCATAAGATTGCATCGACAGGTACCTGGTGAACGCGTTCATGGATTACATCGTAGCAGGCATAATGTGCTCATTAGTTAAAAGAAGCGGTTAACATAGCCTAACGCAGCATGCTCATCCGCTCGCACCTGAAGATGCCACCCTTTCACAGCATCATCCTCGTCCGCCTCGCCTTACAGTCGCTGCTCGCCACCAAGACACCTAGCACACTAATCTGCTAACTCCATCCGCTGCCCTCCCTTCATCCCTTCCCTCACTTCCCACCATCCACCTACCGTCACATCCACCCCAATGTGCGTGTCAACTCTTTGATCAAGATTTTTTTGAGGCTCCTTTTAATATTATCGTAAGCTGGGTGGGATTCCGTCATATTCCTCTCCACGTCAATTTCGTTTCCAGCACCACTCTTCGTCTTGAATTCCTTAACAGCTGATCCAATCGCCGTCCTGGCCGCAGCCCTAATCTGTGCTTGAGCTTGTTGGTTGAAAGTCTCAACGGCGGTGGGAAGCTCTTTAACTGTATCTTTGAGCTCTTTTGTGACTTTGGTTTCAAATTCGGTGTAAAGCGTTTTAACCTGGCCACTCACCGCCTGCAACTTACTGTCCACGGCTTGGGCTGTGCCTGGTACGGGTTGTCCACCGGGAGGGACGGACTTTTGGGTCGCCTGGGTAAGCTGCTCGTGAAGTTTATTAGTATATCCGAGGACGCTATCTAATTCCCCTGCGATACTTCTTTTATTAGCCTTGTCCATCCTGTAGTCGGAGAGTAGGACTGACTCAAGCTCTTCGCTAACCTGGTTGACGGTTGCGCGGAGGGCAATGAGGCTGTGTATGATAAACAGTTTTATTTGCTCTTTCTTGTTGTTGTTGCCATTCGTATCCTTGTTTGGAACAATATTGTAAATCTCCTCGGCAACTGAATCAATTCCATTCTTCTTAAATTCCACATCCATCTGCTGGACAAGATGCTTGCAGCCTGCTTTGACGGCTGCGATGCTTTTTTGGATTTCACCGTGGCCGTCTTTTTGACCTCTTACTGCTATAACCTTTCCTTCGGCTTCTGTTTCAGCGGGATTAAAATGTTTATTAACGGCGCCGATGATTGCATCACGGAACACATCTGCTTGTTCAGGGCCACCGGCATTCACCGAGAGGCTGCCGCTATCCCAATTTGTAACTTTCGAAGTAACATAATTCGCAAGCCACTCCAACGTCTTCGTATTCTTCACACCCTTCTCCTTCCCCCAAATTCCGTCCAGCCAGCCTCGGACTCTTGCGTTAAACGTTTCATTCACGCCGAACGCATTGGCATAGTTTTTTATCGCACCCTCAATGCCAAGGATACCACTCCCACCTTCAAGATACCAACTACTATTCTTCCGACCTTCCTTCCCCTTAATCTCCCCAACCTTTCCTTTAATATGTTCGAAAATCTCTTGAAGATTCTTATTTTGTGCATTCGGCTGTGTCGGATCTATTTTCTTGTAAAGCTCATTAATATTGTTGGCCACATCGTCGGTCAAGCTCTTCAGCGGCTGCTGGATCTTCTCACTAAACAGTCTATCCATCTCCGTAATCCCTTTCTTAATTGAACCCTCACCATCCTTAACAGCAAGTGTATCCAGAGGCTCCTTCTTTCTTCCAAGTTCCTGCAACTGAGGACCTACAAGACTGCTTACTTTATCATCACCATTTGTAAGACCCAAAATATTCCCCCTCAACATCCTCAAATCCTCTTTCACCAAACCATCCAAATTCAAAACTCCCAACGTCTTAATCACCCTCTCTATCCCTTTCTTCATCTCATCTTTCACACTCTTCAAATCCGTCTTGAGAGATTTGTCCATGGCCACAACAGCCTGTAACGCATCTCGGACTTTGGACTCAACTTCTATCTTAGCCTTGCTCGCAGCATTATAAAGCTCTGTTCCCTTCTCTTTTAATATTTCAGCGTCCTTAAAAATCGGACCTTGGGGATCTGTGGTACTAACTTTCTCCAAAATTGTATTACACTTCTGCTCCGCCTTGGAAATAACATTCTGGGCCGCAGCCCTCCACTTACCTAAGTTGTCAACTTCAGTTTTAAGATCTGAATTCGCAACATTAATTGCATCTTTAGCTTGCGTCATTTTGTGAATTTCACCGCCAATACCCTTACTTGTGTCACTGTCATTCAAACCATTCCACACTTCCGTCGCCTGCTTAATCGCCCCGTCGAGCACTGTCCTGGCCTGCTGATTCCACGCTCCCAAACTACTAAGATGATTGCCAAGGCTTTTATGAACCTTTTCAATCTCCACCTTGGCTTTGACAATCTTCTTGACATTCTCATCCAGCGTCTCATTAACCTTCAACTTGTCGTAGGCTTCCTTGGCCTTATCGTCGGCGGCCTGACGGATTTTCTCCGCGTCGGTGATCCAAGTACCTAACTTGATAACATGATGGAGAAACGTCTTGTTTGCGGTGTTAATGGCACCAATATTATGACAAATCACTGCCACATTATATTCATCATACTCCACCGCCAGACCTGGGATGACAGCAGTCAGCTGCCGAGGTGGATGACCAAGGTCACAAGCAAAGGGCAACTCAGGGCATAGAGTGGATTAGAGGTTAGGTTGTGTGGTAGTTGGGCTAATAGGTTGCGTGGTGAGTCAGGCGAGTGTGGCTGAGGTGGTGTGTCAAGGTTGCAGGTAGGGCAGCTTGCTGAGATTGCCGACAGCCTAATGTGCGAGCGGATGAGCATGCTGCGTTAGGCTATGTTAACCGCTTCTTTTAACTAATGAGCACATTATGCCTGCTACGATGTAATCCATGAACGCGTTCACCGGGTACCTGTCGATGCACTATTATGATACACTAAAGTAGATATTATTAGATTGGCGTCGTGCCATTACTGTCTAGTACTGTGCGATAAGTGCAATTATAAAAATGCCGGAAGTGATTAAAGAATGCGATACAAAACGTTCACTTGCGGACGAAACAATCGCGGACCCTGTGGAACGGCCGGATACGTTTCATGATCATAACGCATACGACGATGAGGATGAGTGCGATGAGGACACCCGTGGAAATGTATATGCGTTTAAGTACGCAGTTTCCACATAATTTGTTTTTACACTTCTCACCACATGTTTCGCAACTTGAACAGTTCTTACAACACCAGGGACAGCGTTTACAAGTTTCTTCGCAATACTCTTCATTGCAACAGTCACATGAGTTTAACAACCGCATCCCATTTGTCATTATCTAGGACAAGCATCAAGCACGTACCTTTTGCCCCGAACAGCAGAACCGCTGAGAGGCCTGAGATGACCGACCAGCAACTGCCTCGGATACCACAATGCACATGCAGTGCACCACAAGCGCCCTGTACTTCGAATTACAGCAAATTGCCTATTGTGTACTTGCCACGTATGGATACGCTGATGAGCGCCTGGCTCAGCCACGGCGCGTATTTACTGTGTTAGCGATCTCCTCAACACTGCCTGTAAGTGCCCAGTGAGCAGGCCGTGCACTAGTAATTACGTCGGACAATATTCCGGAATAATCCAGATATTTGCCCCTAATCCCGCTTTAACGTCACCTACAGCAATACTTTCAATCACTAACATGCCATACACTTACCTGGTACGTGACGCCCCAGCTCACCTAGACGGCGGGAGTTTGATTTGAGCAGTTTAACGCGCAATGTGAATTACACAATGGGTATTTGTACGAGTTAGGAGACGAATTTGACTCCAAGGTTTCGTCAATCTGCCTACATATGGCGCCACCGGGATACCGTATCACAGTAGGCCAATGCCATATTCACAAGCAAGACGCATATCAACACATGTGCCCCATTAGGTTACCTTGATGTCGCTAACCAATTTTCAGCTCCGCAAATGTTGCTAGAGGAATGCATAGAGGAATATAAGGTTACGTATTACATAATGCGTGGTGTTGGGCATCGTCCATACTCCATCTTGGTCCTATCTAAACACTCCAACTTTCCTGCGTTTAACTATCACAGTTTACTCCAGAAGATTATCATCACGCTGCAGAAACTCGCATATGTTTGCTAGGCATACCAGGGGTTTGCCGGTACCACTACCTCCACCCCTGAATGTCACAACATCCGCTCTATCCTATCAGTAGAACTTTATCTTCAGTGCTCCCATCCTGACATAACGTAAGATAATGTGTCAGGAAATCTTCATTTGGCAGCATCTGTTCAGTTGAAGGCCTTTGACTTCCATAAATCCACTTGATATGAGATGAATCGGCGGGTTGATAACTCCCACTACATCACTTGAAGAGTTACTATGAAAATGTTAATCAGTGATATACGTCATCAGCGTAGCATTTCATATTGTAACGCGCACGTCTAATCTGTTGATAATTTTTTTGCCAGGAGGTGGTACTCATCTCCGTGCACGACAAAAACAAGGGCTGAGTTCGCTCCGGGTATGTTGCCGGAGTATTAAAACATTTTATAATTCCACCATGGCAATCAACGATCATTATGTTACCGTCACATGTAACGGTAATATAGTAGGTTAGAATGCCCACCATCTGCGAACTTGTAAGTTGCTGCCTGACGTCAAGTCACACATTATTGCGAGTGAGTTATTGCACAAGATACGGCTAAGTTGTAACCGTAATCAAGAAAGTTATAGATGATTTACGAACGTGTCGTACAAATTAGCCGTTACTAACTCAAATCGCGTACCCACTGGACAGAGCAGACATGTACAGTGCCATCCAGCTCAGCTATGCAACATTGCACAGATATGGTATTCTTTATCACTTATTCAAACGCAGCAAACAACAATAATGTCTACACGGTGTACTGTGAGAATCGTAAATGCAAAATGTTTGAGTGAACATTGTTTCAAGCACGGCTGCTGCTTCGTGATGAAACGCAATTTGAGATGTTGTAATGAGGGAGTAACGCGATTGAAGACAACAAAAGCAATGGTTATTGAATGCCTCAGAATGATCAATGACAACACTTTTGCAAAGGAGTAGAAATAATATTCCACCTACGGTCACCTCACCCCGCTTACGGGTACTTACTACGGGGCTGTGAGCACCAACGGTATGTTATAGAGTAGGAACGCTGTTTGCTTGGAGAATGCTCTGTAAGTCCCTCTGTACCCATTTCTAATCTGGTATGGATCTATTGCAGCAGTCAAAGCAACGTTGACGTGAAGCAAAACAACCCAGATAACAAATCGCTAAACATGCTAATAGCTATTGCTGAAGGTATATGACAGGAGCAACGTTGAAACCTTAAGTATACGGTGATAACGAGGTCGTTGTTGGTATAAGCGAATAAGCTTCGCAAATACTCGTAAAAGTCCACGTTCATCTAGCCGTAATATTGTGTCTTTCGGGAAGCGCTTTTGTCGTATATCGAGCTAAAAAACCTCGAATGTCCTGATTTCCTCGCAAATTCATGTTCTCTTAATTGCAACACTTAACATATGAATTCCGTGTGCTACCTTAATAGCCCACTTTCTATCTTTAAGACCTCGCGTGACGCACAGCACGGGAAGCCGTGGAAGGTAAGATTTTAGGATAATGATGAAACGAAATATGACAGTAAGTGAACGCTGAAATTAACAACTCTATTACGTATTAAGTGCAATATTATGTGCCGTGGATGCATCCTTACCCACTGTGCCGTGCATCGACACAGGCAACAGAAAAGCATAATATACTGCAATATTCCACACCAAAACACAAAAATAAGGCACATTTCCATATATCTCCGATGTGGTAACTAAGGTATCGCATACCCAACCGGTAACACAGTCTGGGTTGGTTGTTGTTCCTTGCTTTGCAGGGTTTGTTTAGTGTCGGCGGGAGGTGTTTGGGGCTCGAGGGACTTGATTCATGCCTGTGCAGGTTAACGATAGGGGAAATAGGGAAAGATGAGTAAGAACTGTCCATGTACAGGTGAATGCCAAGGAAATCAGTGCAAGTGCTGTCCTGGGTGTTGTGACGGATGTAAGAGCGGAAGCTGCACTGGATGCCGATCGCGTAGAGCAGGGAAATATAAATGCAGGCGTAAGACTTGCCCGAGATGTAGAGATATCTCGAATTGTAAATGTAAATGTTGTATTAAACGAAAGCAGCACAAAAACTATGCCGCTATCGTTATCATTGCCACTGTCTCATTCTTCATCATTCTAGTGCTTCTTTACCTCGGGCTCATCATCTATTTCAGGAATCGGCAAGCGATGCCGGACCTTAATACACTGCGTGATTACTTTAATTAGCATCTACTATGAATTTGATAGATACTTCGCACAACATGGCTACGTGAAATTGTAATATTGCTGTAATTATGTAGCGTCAGTGTAGCAGCATCCTTCATCAACGTCGCATCTTTCCCCTTCAGGATCCGGGAAATGCCGTACAGGTTGTTCTTCACTGTTATTCCAGCGGCGCCAAGCCATGAATCCAGTAGCCTTATTTAGTCCACACGCGCGTACCACATTCTACGCTAAATTACCAGCAGCCCTCAACTTCACTATCACGGCTTAAGTTATAAGGAATTGCCGTCTGAGTGAATTAAAATTTTTGCTATTGCTGACCTCTGGGCCTCATGTGTACCTACCACACTACGTATACTGGGTCCTCCAAAATTTTGCAACTAGACATTGAAACTCGCCACCAACTAGGCCTCAACATCACCGGCTCTCGGCTTAATTCGTCTGTAATAATGCCGCAGTAAGCACATGTTACGCCACGCTACTCAATATCGTCATAATCTTTCATCCCTCACCTGTGACACTGTAGATCATACGCAGGGCATTGATAGTGCCATTTACCTGTCTCGTAAGAGACCACACGACGCTAATAGTTCGTAACTTTGTTATCTTCGTTAAAAATTTATAGCGTGATATATGGCTGTTTGGTATGTGCCGCTCTGTAGGCTTATGAATAGCACGCTACTTGCGTCAGTCGCTAGTTACTGACTGCACAGACAACCGAACCGTCACCGTGGTCTTCACAAGAATTACGTGTGTAAGGTAATATTGCCGCGTCGTCCAAAGACGATAGACGTCTGCATCGACAGTCGAGTGACAGCAAGTAAAAACCTTGAACAGCAGGATGACACTCGGTGCAAACGGCTATAGATGAGAATAGTGATTGAGATCGCGACGAATGCCTCGCATCATTTCTGAAGCGTATTAGGCAAGCCACTGACGGTAGCGAGGCGGCAAATGAAGGCAACAATTTTCAATCGAGGTGGCAAAAATTCATACAGTGCCTTATTAGGTTTATGTGCGTAACACCTAGACCAGGTAGTCAATGAGCAGTGAGACATTCGTTCTCGTCTGCCCAGCCAGCCGTTCGTACAAGACACTGGTGTGCAATGATGACCATCGCATCATGTGTGGACGTGTCAATCGGCGTTGTGTGGTGCCTGTCCGGACAGGACTGTGATGATTATATGTGGCGAACCTACGTGTTGGTGGTGCATATCGCCTGCGATATACTATGTTATGCTTGTATGCGGCTTATCCGCGGTGAAAAGCTAAAATATATTTTTGCGATTAGAACAAGTAACTACAGAGAACCTGGATGCAGTGTGGCTACACGTAGCCCACGAGAGATTCTTGCAGTCGGTAGAGGCGTATGCGATGGTAGACTTCAATCAGCAGAAGCAACAAAACACGCGCTTGAAAAATCTTAATGGGCTCCGCAATACGTAAATTCCTGAGATAATAATGAGTAAAATGAGGGCAGGAATAGTATAAACGCAAGCAAGTTGGCATCCACCCCTCCCACTAGCGACACCATCCTTATTGCATATCGGACAGTGCTGCAGTTTCAGAACATCCTGAATGTTTCCCCAAAACCCCTCCAGTCTTCCCTTAATCTTACCCAAAAATTGTTTTAAAAAATTCCCCGCAACCCCCCCCTGCAAGTTCTCAATCTCCTGCTGAATCTCCTTCGTAAGTTCACCTGGAAACTTTTTTTTCAGCTCCTCCGGATCAATCTTCCCTGCACAGACGTGAACAAATTACCAGAATACGAAGATCGTACCATCTGATCCCACTGTAATCTTGCCGCTTCTCCACAACTCTAGCAACTTTTCGGGCAGCGTAAGCGAAGGCTCTGCCATAGTCGACATTTAAAGCCATTGAGAACTTATCATTACGCATGAAGCGCTCCCTACACTTGCTACCTGGGCAATCGTGGTCACAGATTTCGCAATGCTAACACGCCACGAACATCTATGACCATATCAGTTTTGCCTCGCGCCATTCACAGGAGGTAGCGACATACACCGGCGCAGGCTACAAATTGCAGTTTCGATGTGAAATATACTTGGACAATATATTGTTTAAGACGGATGACATTTTGCAAATATGGCATTGAATTTGCGGCAGTCCGTGGTTACCCACAGCGCCATGCATGTTCAGCAGGCTCCTGGTAACTAATTTACACATTACACACTTTCACACATCAAACTACAAGAGATACACATTATCCTTTATCGACGATGCGGTAACTAAGGTATCGAATCCCCAACTGCTACCACCATTAGGGTACGCTGTTCATGGTTGCGTCGGCCAAGGTGCAGCCTCGTAATCTCACTGGGACTGCTGCCAGCTGCGGTCTGCCGATTGTGCCAGGATGTTCGTTGCTGTGCAGGATTGTATTAATGGAGTCAGAGGGGGAGATGGAGGAAAACAGAGCGAAAGTCGACAATCCTTGTAAATGTTATATCAAGAACTGTAGGAACAGCGGAGGGGTGGCGTGCAGTGAACCCGACTGTGACTACTGCAGGCTGGAGAGCTGTAGCCTCTTTTGTAAGAGCTGCAAGACAGGCTGCAAATATTGAACGAAGCCCGAGGACTGTCAATGTCTCATCTGTAACTGCGGGTGTGGTAGAAAGTTTATTGACCCCCACAGGAAATGTAGCGATTCCAGTTGTAATCGTTGCAGGACAAGGTGCAAAAGTCAAAGAGCGGGTAAGATACGCGTCTGCCGCACTTGTGACTGCGGTTGCTGCTACGGAGTGTGTAGTTGCTGTAATTGGTGTTCGCGTCGCAGATGTAAGGGTAACTGCGACGGCTTCATTCTCAACGAGGATTATAAAAATAAATGCCCTAAAGAAAAACGCAACGGGCACTAAGACAAACCAAATCCTGCTAAAAACACACCCTCCTTCGTCAAACACCGCCACGAAGACAGCAATTGCATCGCCTTCTGTAAAGACTGCGGCACATGTTGCGCTCAAGGTTTATATTACGTTGTCGGTTCTGCAGTTGTTCCCATTTTGATATGTATAGTAATCGTATTCATTTTCTGGTGTATGCTTCATTACAATGCATGTAAGGTGATCATTACAATACCTGATGTATTTGCTAACTCGACGAAAAGTCCCGGCTCATCCACGAATCTTGCCGGTGGAAGGATTCACGAGGAGATTGACACTGATCGATGCTCCGCCTTCTTGTTTAAGGGTCTAATGTAGCTTCACGTATGGCACGTTTAGTTGTAATATCTGAAAACAATACAAGGTAAAAGTACTGGAGGATTCTAAACGTCAAAATCTGCTGAGTACACATGTAGCAGCTTGTCGCAAACTAATCTGACAGAAGGAGATCAAAAATACACGATTTCTATTTGTTATTCATGATTACAGGCGTAATATATTCGTATACCTAAACTAAGTGCGTCTAGAAAGAACGACTCTTTTGCCCTCCTCTGGACCGCCATCCAGTATTACAAATGGCCCTGGAATCTCTGCGAGGTGTTCGCGGTAAGGCGATGCTTTTTGTCTTTTGACAAGGCCCTTTTCAAGGGCGGGCGTTACTGCACGGAACAGATAGTCGCCGATAAGGGGTAACTGCGGTGATACTTCCTTGCGATACTTCGAAACTTCTACATTGCCCTGTTGCGCGACGCGCAGATCACATAAACCGAGCTTTGTAGACATGATTCCCCCCACCATTGCAGTTCCAGGATCGGAATACGTGTCACCTCTCATAATGATGTCTCGGAGGTGCTTTACGGCATTTACAAGCGTTGAGCAGTGGTACTTAAGCCGTTGTAGCCGTTCCGACTGGGGTATTGCTTCCCGCTTAAGCACATCTAGAACGACCGCACCCAGCAGCTCAGCCTCAACCTCGTATTGGCACGGACCATCGTCTCCGCCAGAAGAGTCGTTCCCAACTGTTTGGACTTGCGTAAGGTCGAACCTGACGTGTGCTTCGCTATGGATGAATGTATTACGCGACTTCTTCCTCCTTGTCGTAGCGGAGCTGGTGCTGGGGAGCTCACGTACAGGCACGCGGTACTCGAGGTTAACTGCAACCCTGTAATCTAGATGTTCTTGATCGCCAGTCTCGCCCGAGTCGTCACCCAGCTGCGACTCCCGCGAGGCACTGCCAGTGGAGACGTTCCACGTGAGCAGTTTCACCTTGCGGATGGCCTCGAATGTCTTAGCACGTGCCGTCGTCTGGTTCTGAGGCACACTGATCCTGACGCTTTCATCGTACTCGGGTAACTTGAAGAACCGGTCGAAAGTTAGCACTCCCATCTGCGTCTGCCAGTCCAGACGGTCATCGCTGATCTCAGCGATTTGCTTCAGGAACCCAGACGCAGCCTGAAACTGTCCGCTGGATACGCTCGACTGGAACCTGACCGACGCTCTTTCGCTGAGCAAAGCGTCGGTCTCAAGCGGCAGTGTGAACCGTTGCCCATCATACGTGTTCTTGATGGATCCTAGACGAACTTCAATTTCCAGCTCGCAGCGTGCGGCGCCTGCGGTCGCGTCGAAGTCTCCGTTCCGAAGCGCATCTGCCAGAGGTCCATCTAGCGACAGCGAATCCAACCTCTCCGCCAGCCTAGACGCCACGACGTCACAGCCGACGGCAGAGCTGCCTGCGATGGTATCCGTGCACTCAGCTACCATTGCTAGCCACGGTAACGAACACACATGTTACCAAAGAAATGGCTGTTATAAGTGTTGATATATAATGTGCCCTTTATCGGATTATCTGGCCAAGTGGAAACGCGACAGACACCAACCTTGACGCGCACACACGTGTGTTTATGCGTGATAGTGTGTCTTGTCAGTGACAGTATATTGGCTGATTATCGGAAAGACAAATTTGAAAATAGTATCGTTTTTAATGGCAGTGGTACCATCAAGTAGGCCGCAGGAATAAAAAAAATTATGCGGAATCTGACACATGCGACAGAGCCCATGCACACACGCCAGTGATGTAACGGACGCTCTTAATGCGCGCCGATATTTATACGTGTCTACAAGCGTAAACGCCAGGCTTCCTTTTATCACGCGTTCTTCTGTAGTTACGCCGCGTACCCCATTAACGCCGGACGCCGCCGTCGTGCCCGTGCCTCACTTCGCCACATCACCGACAATCTTTTGTCAAAGGAATCGCCACCTTCCACAGTTCAGGCAAAAAGCAGATGCCAATAGGTTTTAACAACCGCTGGATATTCTGCTTGCATACGCTTCTTGCTCTCGCAACCGCTGCTGCTGCCTTCCGCATACTTAGGCGCTTCGAGCCCTCTACCTTCCTCTCGAAAGGATACACAAAACCACTACACGCCGAATCTTCAAGCACAATGTCTCGCTCCCGTGTGTTCTTTGACATCGCCATTGGTGGCGCGCCTTCCGGCCGCATCGAGTTCACCCTCTTCGACGACATCGTCCCCAGGACCGCCGAGAACTTCCGCTCCCTGTGTGTCGGTGACAAGACCGTCCAGGGTGTGAAGTGCCACTTCAAGAACTCCATCTTCCACCGCATCATTCCCCAGTTCATGTGCCAGGGTGGTGACATCACCAACCACAACGGCACCGGCGGCATGAGCATCTACGGCAGGCGCTTCAACGACGAGGACTTCTCCGTCAAGCACAACAAGGCTGGTCTTCTCTCCATGGCCAACAGCGGCCCCAACACCAACGGCAGCCAGTTCTTCATCACCACTGTTGAGTGCCCGTGGCTCGACGGCAAGCACGTCGTCTTCGGTGAGGTCACCAGCGGCATGGACGTCGTCAAGAAGATGGAGAAGCACGGCTCTGGCAGCGGTGCCACCAGCAAAGAGGTCAAGATTGTTGACTGCGGTGCTCTTTAAACTATTATGAACCTTCCGTCCTAATATATGCTCTACGCCCCTAGGGTCGAATAACTTTATTACATACATTCGTGTGCACTACTGTAACTGGTAATTACTCTGTTAGTCTGTGACGTGCTTTATCGTGAGGCCTTCTGTCACCGGCAGCGATAGGCAATGGGCGTGCTGCAAAACGTGCTCACCTGCGCAGGCGCCGTATGTGCTCGATTTCGAGCGCCAGGAGCTCGTGCGAGTAGAACATGCCCTGTGACTCCTTCTCGGAGATGGCGTCGAAAACCAGCTGGCGTAACGACGGATCCAGGTCCACGAAGCTCTCCACCACGTCGCCGTCTACGAACGCTCGAGGTGGTGACACCGACCACCGGTTCTTGAACGACCGCCAGTGCAGGTTGGAAACATTCCCAACGTTCTTCTGCACGCTGTTCATGGCCTCCTCAACCAGAGCTAGACGGTAGAAGAGGCGATCGTCCTCGAAGAGGCAAAGGCGAATCAGCGACCCCGCTGATGTTGCGCATGTCAGCACGCACTTGAAGCCGTAGTTCCAGAATTTGTTGGGCCGCGAGAGGCCGCGTATGAGGTCGTCTGAGACGTCGTGCGGGGTCGACACTGGCACGTCGCCCTGCAGGCAGCAGAATCGACGGTTGCATTGCGTTGTGGTGCAGAATGTAGGCATGTCGCGGCCCTGCGCGGACTCCACCTTCGGAGCGGTATTTTCAGCCGGCGGATTGGCACGGATACGGTTGATGTTCTCGCCGTGATGGAACAGCCCTGCATCTTCTACCCTCATGGCCTCGAGGTCATTAGTCGCTGCGGTGGGCTTGCCCAATACGTGGAAGTTCCCGGAGCTGTCGGATATAACACAATGCGTCTTGTCTATCGCCGCCACTGCGGTGCAATAGACGCTGTTAAAGTCCTTGCAGATCTCCCGCAGTTCGTTGCCTCTCCAGCGGAGCATCCGGGCTGAGTTCATCAGATCGCCCACCACAATAACATCCTTGTATGCGTCCAGCGACACAACGTAAGTGCACGATTTGTATTCCGCACGCTCTACGAGCTCGAAACTACCGTAGTCATCGTCAGATGCATGAACGGCTTCCAGTTTGTGCGTCTTGGCGGTGTGCGAGTGGCTATGGCTTAGCGACGGCCGGTCGTCCCTGCGCAGAGTCATCACGGTGACGGCATCGTTGAGGGCCACGACGAGCGCATTGGAGCATGTCGTCATTTCCACAATGCCGGCTGAGAGTGCGGTCACGGTGCGCAAGAACACTATGTTCCACGAATCGGGGCCGCTGCTCACTACGTCCACTAGGTAGATGTGGCCTTCCTTGGGCACTTCGTCCTGGTCAGACACGCGCGATGTGCCAATCGCGATCATAGTCCTGTAGCCATCAAATGCCACTGTCGACACTCCCGACACCACATGGCGTGATGGAATTTTAAGGGTGTGGACCACCTCCTTTGTCTTGAGACAGATGAACTTTGCGCACGGCTCCAACTTGCATATCCCCGGCAACGGGATCATAGACGAAGTGTCAATACATCGGAACGCAGTGCCATCGCTCGGCGCTGCACTATCCGAATCTTGGGTTGGTGAACCTTGCGATTGACCTACGCCGCGGCGGGCGATTCCGCTCTCCGAGTCGGCCACCAGCTCCCCAACACAGCCCACCACAACAAGGTCGGAGTCGCTGTGGTAGCAAATCTTGTCAAACGAACGACCGCTGCAGATGGTCTCCACGTGGAGCTGGCTGGTGGAGTCAAGCTCGCCGATACAGAGCTGATCCCGGTTGGACGTGTACAGGAGAGGTACTACGTGTCCAATCTGCCGTCCGGAATCAATGCTACAGATAGTGGCGATATGCGGCGCATTCACAGGCACGTACTCCACTTTGCCTTTGTTCGCGTATATCAGCATGGGGTTGGAGCCGGTCGTCACGATGCGCGAGGAAGACAACCTGCAAACCCGCCCAGCCTGTTGACCCGGAGTCACCACCAGTGTCGCCAAACCAATGGGCCCTTCACTTATTTTAATAATATTCTCCAGTGCCAAGCCCACACAGCCGCTGGTATCCGCATTTTTATTGTCGCCGAACGTTACCTTGTGAACCACAAGGGTACCGTCAGACAGCGCAGCGAATAAGAATGCCTTATCTTCAATAATACCGAACCTCAGCGCCGAGATCGCCACCCCGTAACCGCAAATTACTTTTGTCCTGTGCAGGGTTTCCAGGGTCTCCTCATGCAGCAGGGCTACTTCCGTATCCTCCCATGTGGCCAAGGCAATAAAGCCGCTTGAACGTCTTGTCTTGAACTCTGACCCGCTGACGTAAGCCGTGGCAGCCGTCTGTTTAGCGAGCTGACGGCAGCTGAGGACTCGCATGCCGCCTTCAAGGCTAAGCATGAGCGCAACATGTGTTGACAGGAGCAAAAAGATGCCGCCATCACACCAATTCGCATTCACCACCGCCGTGCCAGCAGTATCGGCGCTGTTTCCAATTCCTGAGATGTCGCATATATCCGAAACGCTGAAAAATTGCGGCGGGAAGTCGCCGCCGTTCACGCTTACGACGCTCACCCCTGCCGATGTCACCTGAACTACGCGATTGTTACCATAGCGACCAAACAACACCGTTTTAGCGTTGGTCATGAGTCCAATAGAATCAGCTGACATGGGTTCCACCATCCATTTCGGTTGATCCACTGGATCGATAACCGTCCTGTTGGCAGAGTGTCGCCTGTGACCCGTTACCGGAAGTGCGATCTTGTAGAAGCGCGTGTAGTTGAAAAATACGCAGCACATGACAACCTCTGTTACTGTGGATTTGGTGTTGGAATTTCCCACGGCAAAAATCCCGCGAACCCCCTCCAATGTATGCGATGCAAATAGGTCTATCCCAACGCCAAGCGTGATGCTGCATACGCGGCCTTCCGCCCCGTATCCGCAGCAGGCGAGGATAGGTGCCGCAACCTGATTGCGTTGCGGCCCGAATGTAAAGTCGAGGATGGGCCCGAGGTTGGTCTGACGCCAGTTCTCCGAAGATTCTATGCGTCTATGCTTATGATCCATGCCGTCGCGGTATTCTGCTGCATTCACCGGGTCGTCGACTTCAATTGCGCTCATGGAACCGTTAGTGGCGTACCCAGCCCCGGAATTCATGCCGTTAATGCGGACAGTTCGGCAATTGCCTACGACAGCTGCGATGTATACGAGGTCGGGTGCGATCATGACGAGCGCTGAAGGGGGCGAGTACACTCCGACCTTTGTGGCGAAAACGTCAACGATGGAGTTGCATGTGCCCACGTTGGCGACCTTCGACGCTGGAAGAGACGCATCGGCCGCGTCCACGCGCCGCTTTAGGGCGCTGTTGATAGGGGTTCGCGATTCAACCAGGTCAAGCAGGTACAACGTTCCAGTGTCGTCTCCGACCAGGTAACGCCGGTTTTCCTCCACTGTGCAATGGCTGGTTATTTCACCTACCGATATGTCCATGTGGAACAACTTGACATTACGCGGATCTCGGAAGGAAACGAACCCTATGGCTTGCGAACCCAGCAACAACACGCTATCGCTGCATCGGGGCCCCGCGTTAAGCTTCAACGGGACAAATCTCGTGAAGCGCTCGGCTAGTGGAACTGATTCGCCAAATAACGGCGAGCAACCGTATGCTGTGAATCGGCGGTCGCCGTCGCAATGCTCGATCTCGAAGAACAGCTGCACGCCACAGTACCAGAACTCAGCTCCCTCGCCGTCATCAGCGACTGCGGCGTCACGCCGGTGGGCTGCAATGAGAATCATCTTGGACTCCAGCACGGATTTACGCGGTCTAGACTTCCCCAGTTCTGCGATAGAGCCGGCTGCAGCGGCGAGGCGCGATGCCGACGTACTCGTGCTGGCCTCCTCAGCACTGCGGGCCGCTGCATGCCCCGAGACCTCCCTCAGAGCAACGTCGAGGAAGGCAACGTCCAAAAATGTGCTCTCTCCGGTGCGCATGGTGATGACGTGGCCGATGTTGAAATAGTTTTCGCGGTCCAGCACGACGCATTTCAGTGTCTTCTTCTGCCCGTGGAAGAGGATGAAGTGGTACTCCGGGTCTATCCGTAGCACTACATCCGACTCTATCTCTTGCGCACCGATTTCCTGCAATGGTTGACGATCACATAGAGCACAGTCTTACCTGTAAAGACACCAGCGGTCTCGAGGCGAACTTCCCGGCGGCGGCATCGAACGTCAGCAGCAACAGTAACATGTTACAGGTCAGCGCGAGCAGATGCGACTGGTCGGCTCCCGGTGGCCGGAACTCGATGAAGGTCAGCAGGTTGGTGTGGGCCTCGATCGTGGCGGTAAGCGTCGGCGCCTCCGGGCGGTCGGCGCCCTCGGCATCCGATTGGCCGACCTTCTCCAGCGAGTAGACATCTATGCGCGACTTCTTTAGGCACACCAGGTACTCGCGTTCCGAGCCCCGCGCCAGGCGGCAGCGCAACGCGCCTTGCGTAGCGCCGCCAGGGGCCGACGTCACGAAGTACGTGTAAAGGCGGCTCATGCTCTCACATTAACGAATAATACTATAGTTGTGCCATAGTTTATCGACTGTGTCACCTAATGGGACCGCCTAAGCGGCGAGAAAATTCCCCACCGGTGGCGGTAGCCTTCCACCTCCACCGGGTAGATGTGTAACGCCATAGCGCCATAGGAGAGTGATCACGTCGTGTCTACAAATCAGACACACTTCATCCTCTATCTTGACATCATCACTCCATCTGGAGATGGGTCAGGAACTTGATGAAGCACGAAATGCGTTCGAAGTGCCGCTGCAACGCCAGACTGTCCTCCTTCAGGGAAGTTCCCAGGCGCGCCAGCGCGTTGCACGATTCTCCGCCACTGAGGGTGCTCAGGTGTTCGCCGTGATAGCGCAGGAATACGTGCAACAACACCTGCAAGGCATCGGAGTGCTTGCGGCTGGACTGGTAGTACTCGAAAAACTTAAGCATGGTCTTCAGTGCTTCCTCCTGCGACACTTAGACACAACACAGTTTCTACTCACTTTACGCTCAACGCTCATCATAGACAGTGCGAGGTGCACCCCGGAAGGCGACTGCGCCAGCAAGAAGGTCATCATGTCTGAAAAATGTTGAAACTACACAAAACCCTGGTCATACCTTCATACTTCTTTGGCACTTCTACCTTTGCCAGAACCAGTTTCTCAAAGTCTGGAAGTGCTTCTGACGAGCGCACAATCTTTTTTCTGGTACTAGACGTCTGCTCGTCGAGCGTGCCGCTTTCTGTGGGCTCCACAAACACCAGCTGCCCGTCCTTGTAAGTCGTTGGCAAGAAGAAGGGCAAGTCCGCAGGGGCTTTGGGAGGCTCTATAGGCTTGCTCTTCTCCTTGATTTCATCCAAAAATAGGATGCTCTGCAGGCGCCCCGAATTCATCCCGGACAGCGTCAGCAAGCCTTTAGCCAAAGGCTCTCTTGATGAGCGGTATTCCACTTGCATCTCCACATCTCCAGCGTCCGATCCCTCTGGTATGCTGGCGTCTCTGCCGGTCTCAGCATCCGACTCGTCGTTGATTACGCACGGCAACTGGAGCAACACGGGCTCCGACGCCAAATCCTTGTACAGCATAGTTTTGGCGTTGATTTCGAAGACGTGCTTGTTGGCGTACCGGAGAATCATCCCTGGCGCGTTGTCCACCGCCACGTTCAGGAAGGCGCCGGAAGAGTCGATGTTCACCGCCAGGACGCTACCGGTAAACTTGGCGTACTCCACGTAGCATGCCGCCAAAATGTCATAAATCAGCATGGTAGAATCGCTTGCATTTGCAACGAACCAGCTGCCGTTCGGGTGGAATGACATAGAGGTCACCTTTCCATACGGAATGGTGCGGATCACCATCTTGCCGATGACGTCAACCAGGTAGATGACGCCGTCGGAGCACGCCAGCGCCGTCAGCAAGCTCTGTCAAGATGTTAACAAAATGCATCGCGTACACTAACCCCACAGACAGCAAGGTAGATATGGGCTCCTTTGGGTATCTCAGGGTCGTAGGTGCTCTTAAGGGTGACTGTGCTTATATCCCACACTCGGATGGAGCGATCCTAAGAACGTTAGCCGTTAATAGACCCCAACATACCTCGCTGGAGTTCGATACTGAAACCAGTTGCGTGCCTCCAAGCAGCGATAGCATTATCACGCGTGCTGGGTGCGCTTGCGAACGGGCGCCGTTCGCTTTAACGACGAATTCGTCCTCATGGTTTGTGCTCTGAAACATTTATGAGATCTAAACTTGCGCTGCGTACCTGTAGGTTGAATAGGTGCATGCATCCATTGTCGTATCCCACTGCGACGTAGTTTCCACAGCTGCTGATGCACACTGCCGTTGCGGGTACCGATACATTCGGCGCCCGCAACACAGCCTCCACCAGGGCACGACGATGTCCACTCCAAATATGCACCGCCGTTGTGTTTTGGTGGCATGTTGCGATGTTAGGCCAGTCGTAGTGCCTCTGGTAGCACGTTGCGATTGCGGTGATCGGCCTCAGTTTATGCTTCGAAGCGCTGGTGGAGAACGTGCTGCAGCGTAACTGCTGGATGGTCGACGCCTTTCCCAGGTATCCTACGCCATCAGCGCTGCTGCACACCAGCAAGTCAAGCTCGTCAGCGTCGTACGTCTTCATCAGCCCTATTTCGCCGATGAGACCTCGACGGTTCTTGAGTTCTCTAAGAAGGTGCTTGTCGGAGTCCATAGCCCACAGCACCAACGCGTTGTCGGTACCGGAAGTGATTATATGGTTGGCGTTTTCGACGTACATTATGTGTCGCACCGGCCCGGCATGAGCATGCTCAACCACGCCGAAGGTCCTGAATTCCGTCAGGTCGAAAATCACAATGTCACCGTTTGCGGCACCCACAAGCAACGCTTCTCTAGCAATGGCACTTTTCTCGCCACGTTGCATCATGCCCATGGCGTCGTAGACGAACACCATTGACGTCGCATATTGCTGCTGCTTAGACAGCCGGAATGTGCCCAGAGACTGGTCACTCTTAATGTCCACTACAACCACCTCACCGCTACGGTACGCCACCGCGACAATAGCGTTTGACTTCAGCATTGATTGGACCATTGACGTGACTCCCTGCCCACCCTCCTTAACTTGGTGCAGCAGCACCGGGTCGGGGAATCGGAACGTGTATATAAGACTCCCCGTGGAAACGTTACAAAGATGCACCTGGCCGTTGCTAGACGCTAACAACACCTTATTCTTAAATCCGACCAGTGGAATAAGCATTTCGAGGGATATCCCATCCGGCATCGGTATCGTCTTGCAAGGTATCCATTGCTGGCTTTTGTTCTCACCACCCTTATTACCAGCGCCATCAGCACTACTTGCGGTGCTATTCCCTACGGCTTCATCCTTTCCATCAGTCGTAGTGCCACTCGTATGTTCAATTGACGGTCGTCTCACACCCCCGTGGCGGGCACCTTTGCCCACTGCGGGAGTTTGGTTCGGCTTCACCAGTTCGTACGTGATCACTTCCTTGCTGCTGAAGGTCACAAGATGGCCATCGACGATTTCAATGCCCAACACAGCCGACGAATGCTTATTTTCGATACGGCGTTGGTCGTATCGGTGGAATGAATAGAGTCCTCCGTCGCCAAGTACGACGAACACATTTTCCATGAGGGTTGCGATATGCCGGATCTCATACTGTAGCGGCAGCGACACGAAGGCGATACGCATCGCAAACGCGTCGTAGACCGTGAACTGGCGCAGCGTCGACGTCACCACGAACGCGGTCGTGCCGATCACGTTCAGGCAAGCGGCGCGGCCGTCGCAGACGAGGCCTACCTGCCCGGAAGGCCGGAAAACCGAGGTCCTTCCGCGCTTCGCGTTGGCATCGTCCCACATCCTGGCGGATTCCGTATTCAGTAGCTCTCTAAAGCTGGCACGCTACGCGAAAGTTGCGAGCCTAGCGCAGTGCGCTACCGCAGTAACCCACAGCGTACTTAAGTACGCGGGGTTTTGCCGTACATTTTATAACATTACAGCTGCATCGATGCTGGAGCAGCCAAAAAAGTACGAGTCACGTAAGGGGCAGGCACCTAGCAGCCGTAACGAGAGGGAGCAGGAAAGTAGGGCATAAATCGACGTTAAATCAGCTTCGTCTAATTCGACAGCCGGTAACGTATTCGTATCGTAGTGTACTGCTGAGAAGGTCAGGTTAAGTGACAAAATCGTGTCGTGTGCTGGATGGGTGTTTGTGCTAACGCAACCCTGCGAGACAGCTACTTTGACAAAGCACGTTAAACACACTCTGGCGGAAGACGTCGTAATATAGGCATACAATCGCTAATGGCGCGCTTACGGTAGAAGAAGGCGGCTAGTATGCCGCGAAACGCCGCGACTCTGTATACACCCTGTAAGACGACAACGCCGTAGAGTGTACGGTTAGACCGGAGCGATCTACGGCAGACCCTAAGGAGACAAAACAAATACACTTTTAGCGTGCTAGATGCTGCCATAGACAATTTGTTAGTGAGCCGTCATTACGCTGCACAGTACTCGCTCTCTGTGTGGTGCGACGCGCAATCAACGGCCGATCATGGCGGAGCGACGTGCCGTTTTACATCACATTTTGCGTTCCACCGCATTGAAGTCTCGACATACAGTCATACCTGTACTTTCGTTTGCCGTAGCATAGGGCCTGGCTCAGCGGAAGGCAACGGAGTGAACGAGTAGCACTTCAATTCTCCCGGCGGCGTAACGCAACCGCTGAAAGACATCGCCGAGACATCGGTTTAGGCTACAACGCCACTCGTGTGTCTACGCTAGAGCCGTCAGGCCACGCTGCAGACCGCGACGATGTCGAAGGTCGCCGCTGAGGCCCCGGCGCCTGCCGCCAAGAGCGGTGTGTGGAACCGCAACGAGAAACAGACCGACGTACGCAAGCAGAACATCATTGCTGCACGAGGTGGGTGTACCGCCGGTGTCTCAGTTCCTCATGTCACGCAGCCGTCGCCGACATGATCCGCACCTCCATGGGCCCGAGGGGCATGGACAAGATGATCCAGGACGGCAAGGCCGGTGTTGTTGTTACCAATGACGGAGCTACGATACTGAAGGAGCTCCGTTTGGCTCACCCGACGGCCAAAATGGTACGTTACTAGCTTTTAGATTTACCGTTTGGTGATTTGATAAGTGAAAATACCCATGTAAATGACCTTGTTGGACGGAAGGCGGTTGCTACTATTGCAACCGGTGGATTCCACACTGATGCAGTTATACACTCTATGAAAGCGTGAACACCTATATTATATTTGACAACTGCTTTTCTGGGATGGTCAATTTTGCAGTTGCGTAGTTGCTGTTGGTGTGCTGCCAGGGTGATTGACTTGATATGGGCGTTGTCATGGATTTGCTTGCGGAATAATTGTTCATGTAGTGATGTCACGTTCCATTTATAACAACGTGTTGACACCAATTACGCGCCTGTTAATCTGTCATGCAGATGGTTGAGCTGAGCAAGTCACAGGATGTGGAGGCCGGTGACGGCACCACCACCGTCATCGTCGTCTGCGGAGCTCTGCTCGAGATGGCTGACAACCTGCTGAATCAGGGTATTCACCCGCAGACGGTAGCTAACAGCTTCAAGATGGCTGTGGAGAAGTGCGAAGAGCTGATGGAAGAGATCGCCCAGCCCATCAGCCTGGACGACAAGGACACTCTGACCAACATCGCTGCCATCTCTCTTCACTCGAAGGTGGTATCTACTAACGCCTCCCTGCTGGCCCCAATTGCCGTGGACAGTGTGCTGGCAGTTATGGACGAGAAGGACTCGACCAACGTCGACCTCAACAACATCCGCGTGGTCAAGAGCATCGGTGGCACCGTCGAGGACACTGAAATGGTCAACGGTCTCGTGCTTACACAGCAGAAGATCATTCGCGTCGCAAGCGGACCCACACGCGTGGCGAACGCTAAGGTCGGACTCATTCAATTCTGCCTCTCACCGCCAAAGACCGACATGGAGAACACCGTGGTCGTCAAGGACTACCAGTCGATCGACCGTATCATGCGCGAGGAAAGGCTCATCACCGCACGTATGGTCAAGCAGATTGCAGCGACCGGTTGCAACGTTCTGCTCATCCAGAAATCCATTTTGAGGGACGCCGTCACCGACCTGTCTCTCGACTACTTGGCCAAGGCCAAAATCATGGTCATCAAGGACATCGAGCGCGAGGACATCGAGTTCATCACCCGCGCCATAGGATGCGAAGAGGTTGCGAGCCTCGACCACTTCACCAAGGAAAAGTTAGGAACGGCAGAACTTGTCGAGTCGGAGTTCGAGGGCGGCCAGCAGATCGTCAAGATCACCGGCGTCAACATGAAGAAAACTGCCTCAGTCCTCGTTCGCGCGTCCAACAGCTTGATGTTAGACGAGGCTGAACGTTCGCTACACGACGCCCTTTGTGTCGTGAGGTGTCTCGTAAAGAAGCGTGCCATCGTAGCCGGTGGTGGCGCCACGGAGATGGCACTCTCCAACAGGCTCGGCGCCTGGGCCCGCACGCTGTATGGCGTGGAGCAGGTCTGCATCAAGGCATTCGCAGAGGCGCTTGAGGTGGTGCCGTACACCCTCGCGGAGAACGCGGGTCTGCACCCACTCAAGGTCATCACCGAGCTGCGCAACAGGCACCTCGAGAAGGACGGCGCACAGTTCGGGATAAACTCTAAGAAGGGAGCGGTGTCCAACATGATGGAAGACAAGGTGATCCAGCCCATGTTGGTGACCCTCTCCGCGCTCAAGCTGGCCACTGAGACCGTCATGATGATCCTTAAAATTGACGACATTGTGCTCTGCCGCTAAATTCGGCTTGCCCACGACCGATTCGCGGTTTAAGAGCGATTTAATAGACATTGGTGATTATCGGATGAACCAACTATCAAGTTGCTAATGTTTTACCATTTAGACTGTTCTGCACATGGGCCACTATCAGTGGCTGTTACTTACCTCAGCATACTCAATGTCATCGGTGCGACACGGCTTAAGTTGGCGAAATAACCGCATTTGTGGCCAATCGAAGAACACAAAACGCCTATGTATGCAGATACGGTAGTGTATACTGGCAACGGGACTCGCATACAGTTACAGATTAACATTAAGGCACGTGCCGATATCAGATTAGTGTGGCGACCAACGGAGACATTGCAACCGTTGCATCCGGCCAGACAGTAGTGCTAGTTTGTGATTGGGCGATGACGCCCCTGAATCCAGTTTCATGCGGTCCTTGCATGGCTATCTTTTCAGCATTACAAGCGATCTTTGCCGCTATGATTACTCCACAGGCGGTGATACAGGCCCATTCCGGATCACTCATGGCCCCGGGCCCGCGTTGTTGGTGTACCGGAATATCTGCAGATGTCCATCGTATCCCGCAGTGACGAACAGCCCTCCGCCCAAAGACGTGATGGCGGAGATCCCAGGCCACTTGCTAGTGCGCGACCCGTCAGCGTTGCAGTTCAACGTGCCTTCGAGGTTGAAAGTGGGGATCTGGTACATGTTCAGCACGCCAGACTTTTTGCCCAGAAGCAAAACGTCCCCACGCTCGCTTTGCATCCCGTCCATGGCCGTGAGAGCGACGCCATCTCCCGGGACGCGATAGACCATCTCCACGTTTCCATCTAGCACCACGCAATCACCAGAGTGCAGCGCTATGATGACGTGCTGTCCGTATCGCACCATCGCCTTTGCGAAGTCGTTGGGGATCGGCGTCGTCCGGACCACGCTCAACGTGGTCAGGTCTATGATTGTGACCGAATTCCCCGCCGCCCACAGCTTCCGATTAACCCCGTCGTTGACCTCCAGGAGGCACGATATGGTGGTGTGCGTAGCGATGGTGTTCACGCACTTGAAGCCGTTCGTTGCGCTGTCGAAGCTCCAGATGCATATCTTCCCATCCTCGCAGGCCGTCAAGACGGCCGTGTCCACCAGAATGGCGGTGGTCACGGGCGCGGAGTGCCCGTATATGAGCGTGGAAGTGCCAGTTGGGATGTGGTACACGGATATGTGTCCCGTGCGCAGCCCTGCAAACAGGCAGTCGTTGATGCAGCGCATGCTGAATATGACCTGATCCGACGAGCGCCTGCCCCTCGGTTGGAACGAGTTCTTGTCCACGTATTGCACGTTCAGCGTGAACGAAGTCTGCTCCATCAGAGACACGCCGCCATTCATGTCGCCTGCCAGCGACAGCCTCTTGACGCTCGTCCCCTGGCCCGTGGCGAACAGATCCAGCCTAGTGTCACTCACACGGCACACAGCGAGCGTGCAGACTCCCTTGTGGCAGACATCTTGCAGGTAGCACACTCTCTTCAGGGTGTGGCGGTAGAGGCACTTGGCGCCGAACCGACATTGATCTGTACACGGTCAATTTCTCTCTCCTCCCGCAACCTACCGTTCAGTGCATGATGCCTGCAGATCGTATTCTCCGAATCCGGCCTCGCTCCACGCCTGCTAGAGTTAACGCCCGGAAAGATGCGCGTGCGCGCCGTAGACACTTACCTCGATGGATTATTGTTGCGATAGTTACCGCCAGGGTTCCCCTGTCCGCGCATTGTGTAGTCCTCCCGGGGACCACTGTTGCGCGGCCCGTACCAGACGTCTGAGCACTTTGTCGGAAGGACGCGATGAGCCTACCACCCGTGTAGCCGCTGTTACCGGGGCCATCGCCATGAAATTGCCCGCCCCGGCCACCGTACATTTTCACGGATATACATGGAAATACTACGAGTGATTAGGTGAGTCGGTCGCCCCTGCGGCGCGTCAGTACAGGTCGCTGTCTGTGATGTCGCAGCACCACCTCACAAAGTGGTTCAGTGCAGCCGGAACTTGCACCTGCACATAATGAGCTTATATTACCGTTAAACACACCTCTCCGAGCGCTAGCGGCCGACCTCGTTCGCGGTACCCGGCGGGCGAGTTCTGGTACTCCGCCGCGGCCCTGTCGCGCTGCGTCTGCCTGTGCTGTTGCAGGCTTGTGTCGTACTCTGGCATCCGGTTCGCACGGTACTGGAAGTCCATCTGCCTGCGAGCGGCTGAAACGCGCAGTGCCTCGTCCTGAGCATCCCTCAGCTCGTCGTGGGTCATGTGGCCGACGCTGAACTCCAGGATGGCGCTACCGGCCAGGCGGTTGTCGTCGCTGATGATGTTCACACGCAACGGGTGATGCCTCACGAGCGACTCGATGTGCAACTTCATGCGGCCGACGACGCTCTGTATCTGGTTGACGTGCTCCAACACCTTCAGAAAGACGTAGACCTCGCCTTGCCACGGGATCTTTATCACATCGCTACGCAGGTCACAGTTAGCGGTGTTGGGACGATCGGTCGGTATTCCCCATCGCGGTTTCGACCGGTACGCGCCATAGTTCTCCGTCGTGGGGTCGAAATATGCCACCAGGCTGTACGCAACCTTGTTCACTGAATTCGTGGAAGCAGGCACATTTTCCAACCGTTGCAACTTGAAAATAGCAGCCTTCATGAAATTCGTAGCTACGGGATGCAGCATACGTTGCACTCCGGCGACTGCGGGGTTTGCAGCCATATCATCAAAGCTGCGGAACATGCCGGCAGCCGCGTTGTATGTACGTCCCATCGACGACGCGAACGCCTGCGCTGAACTTACGGGTGGGGGCGTTGGATTTCCAGCGAACGGCTCGTAAACTGGAGCCGGTGATCCTTGGAAGGTGGGAACATAGCCGTCGAAGGTAAACTGGTTCCTCAATACAGCCGGGGCGGGCTGCGCCACGGGTGGTGGGCTGACCTGAGCTGGAGGCACCTGGCTTGGAGCGCCATACGGTAACAACGGCGAACTGTACGTGTAGCCTCGGGGTATCATGGGGTTCACCACGTAGGACGCGCCAGTGTCAACCTGCATTGGGGGTGGTGAGTAAAACCGCGGCGGGTGTTGCGGGGCTTGGAACTGCGTAGTTGCTTGCGACTCATTGTCGGTATTCAAGTTTCTGGAGATCTGCGATATGTGAGTCGTATATGACTGCGCCGATGGACTTGTGGCGGGCACCACCCTGATGGTGCTCCTCGGCTCAACGAACGGTCCCTTCATCGGTGTCGACGGCACGGAAGGTATGGTCGAGGCAGCAACAGTGTTCATTACACTCGATGAGGGCACGCCCAACGAAGTGGGCAACGCGTTACCATCTTGAGGCAGCTTGATCCAGTTTCCGGTTTCTCGGTCATAGGTGTAGTGGATCGGCGGGAGGTAGACAGCCGGCAGCTCCGAAACTCCGGCGATGTGTGTCCTGATGGGCGTTCCGACCGAGCTTGTAGCCGTGCATGGAGTCGTCACCGAGTGCACATCGCTTGAATTCGGAGACACAGCCGTGTAGATAGGGCGTGGGTCGCTCCCACTCGCGGCGACATCCGGTCTTACCGCCTCCTCAGATGCTGCCCTTGAACCAGGCGTACTAGGCGAACCCGGAGCAGCATCACTCATTGTTTCATGTACGCAAAATTAACGGAACACATGCGATTCCGGGATAACACGGAACGGTACGTCTCAGCGACGACTACTTCCAATGGCCAGCGGACCAATAGAGATAGCACTGTCGTTCTTGGAGCGTACCAAATTGCGTGCCAAAGTATTAGTTGTCAGAAGTCCCGATCCGTCAAGTGCCCACGGATAAATACGTACGTTGCTCGACACACCTTGGGTGACGCCGTTCGACTCCGCAACGACCAGGGTGCACAGGTGTGCAAGGACACACACTTCACGTTGAGTCTTTGCAAACAGATAACAGCTGTCTGGCAAATGTGCCAGCCTCCCTGCCCGGCGGATGCCGTTAACCCAGCAAGTCCAGTGGTACCCAGACGCGACCCTCGGATTGTATTTTTCACAATCCCTTCGTCTAGTGTTGAATACCGACAAATGTGTGTATTCCCTGTACGTTTCTATCGAGAACGTCTGCTTTCACGGTGGCGATCGCGTCTGTCACTGCGGTGCTCGCGCCGGGAGCGCTCTCGGCTCCTGCTGCGCCGCCTCTCCCGATCCTCCCTCTTCCTATGTCTTTCACGTGACCTTTCGCGGTGGCGGTGTCTACTAGGCGATGGCGACCGCCGGTCACTTTTTTCCGCCTCCTCGGTGGACGTATCCTCCTTCCGTAACGAGGCCTCGAATTCCTGAGCCCATCGTTCATCCTCGTCCAAATTGTCCTGCCGATTGCTTTGAGTGTTTGGACGGTTGCGATATATGTCGCGTAGCATCGCTTCGCTCTCCGTCACGTAGTACTTTCCAATGCCCTGGCCTTCGGCACCGGTGGGAACATATTCCTTGCGAATCTTGTTTCCCTCGTCATCCTCCTGCGAACATCAGTGAGCAGTGGAGATGAAACGGTTTGCTGTACCAGAGGCTGGTACATGGGACGACAAGCAGGGTAACGCACCTCGTCCTCATATTCCACGGGGGGTTTGTAGTCCAGCACGTGGTCCACGCGTATGCGCCTTCCCAGCAGCGTGCTGCCGTTGAAGTTGTCGACGGCCAAGATGGTGCTGCGTTGGTCCTTGTAACCCAGGAAGCAGTACCCGAGCGATGCGCCTGTATGCATGTGATACAATGACACCGCGATAAAATACCCACCTGTCTTCCGATCTCGCTTTAGATGTACGTCTATGGGCTCGCCGAACTGCGAGAACACGATGACGATATCACCTTCCGTCATGCGTCTGTCTAAACCGCCTGAAAGCCGTTATAAGTGGTAATGGAATGGAACGCCATTTCCGGCTCCGTCTACATATATCGCCATGTACTACCTACCGATGTAGATGTAGCAGGAATCCTTGTACTGGTGGTGCCACGAGGACGGTCCGGTGATTCCCTGCTGCAGCTCGAGCTCCGAGAGGCGCTCGATGGCCGTTATGTTCGCCGAAGGACCGGTGACAGACATCGTGGAACTAAGTGGCGTAATGGAGTCAAGGTGTAGTCGACAGCAGTTGTCCCAGCGTTGTCACGCTGCAGTGCCGTAGGAAGGTTGCTCTCTCAGAGCCGTGACGGAATCTATTTCAACCACCCTCCACAGGGCACGACAGGACAATTTGTACGCATTGTGGTATTATATTAACGCACTAAAAATCCATATGTCGTATATGGAGGTGTTGCCACGTCACCCGCTGTGGAAGGCTACGCTCCTACACACTGCTAGAACAACGGTGCTGCCGCACAGGAAGGCTCTGCGAAGGGCAACGTCTCGCAACTATTATAGATGTACACGGTACCTTAAAGTGCGTAGCGATTAAAAACTTAGGCGCGCATCGAGTTCAGGGATTGCCGTGTATTGGCAGCCTTCAGTTACATGGTCTGTTAAAAATAGGCGCGGCAGCTTCAATGGCACTGTCCAATAGCCCAGATGTGGACTTTTGCGATACTTAATTACTATAGCGATTATTCTTGAGGCTTCAGCTTCGCCTCCATGTGCTCCACATACTCCAATGCCTTTTGCTGAACCACCGCCTTCGACTTATCGTCGCCGTGGTTGCATTCGAACTCCAGCCACCTACACATCATCAGATGAACGGCTGGTCGGCGGTGAACTCACTTCTGGAAGATGACCTTCATCTTCTTTGGTTTCAGGTCCAGCGTGATGATCCGCAGGAAGAGGTTGCGCACCGCACGGAGCGCCTCAGAGCGCTTCTTACCCGAGCCCTCCAGCTGGAACTTTATGTACGCACAGATATACTGCATCCACACGTCCATACGACGTGGATTGTCCAGCAACAAGTTCTCAAACAACATCTGGCCGCTGCAGGAGTATGAAATTTCGAAGCGACAGGAACACACCGGTCGGCGGATGCATGCTTGAACTCGAGCAAAGCAGTCGACGTGATCATGTATACTTTCTTGTGGCTCGGTATACGGACGAGGCACCTCTCGTAGACCTCTCTTGCCTTGTCGAAGTCACCGACATGCTCATACAGCAGTCGCAGATAGGTGTTCCATATCTGCATCAAATGTGCCATCGGTGGAAGCGAGGCGCCAACCTTTTTGGATTTGCCGAACTTCTTCAGCGCCGATTCACATATTTCGACCGCATCCTCGAATCGTCTGTTTTTAACAAAAATGTTCACCAGTTTGAGGTGCATAGTCTTGGGGTGGTTGAAACGCAGTGACTCCTTGAACACCTCTTTTACCCGGTCACCGAATAGGCATTCCATATTGATGTAGGCGACCCACAGCGTCTGACGCTCCTGCAACGCACGGAAATCGATCCGCTCAAGCCCACGACGGACTACTTCGCGTGCACCCTCTAGGCTGCCGTTCTTCAGGTGGAAGGCCATGTACTCCATCCATAGTGCCGCTGAGTTGCCGCCTGTAGCTATGCGCTTCTCGAACCCAATAACGCTGTCGGGGGTCGCCGACAGCTCTTCCTCTGCTATACGTCGCTCAGTTTCACGAATGTTGGATTCCTTAGCCAGCTGAACACAATGTAGCGACTCAGAACACTAGCTCACCTCGGTGGAGTGGTCGAATTTAGGCGCTTCTACACGAGAGCGCTTACGTTTGGGCTTGGTGGCTTCGCCATCCGCAGAAGCGGCTGGCTGCTGCCGGCTGGCGGCCACTTGCGATAGGATGTCATCGGCGAGGTCCCAAGACACCGGCTCATACTCGGATTCCACCGGCTGCTTGGCAGATTTATCTTTCTTCTCAGACTTCCGCTTGACAGATTTGTCAGCGGCGCGCCGCTTGGCGCCCTTGCCGAGCGAGCTCATGCTCGCAACCACCAAGGAACGAGGTACTGATGTGCCCGAAGCAAATTTACGCCAAAGGCTTACACATCGACTAAAACAAGTTGTGAGTTGCGAAGACTTTAATTACTGTCGCTGGGGTGGCCAAATGGCGCCCGCAGGTGTTAGCGGGCCTACCACCATCAGAAGAAGGCAATGCTCTCTTCGCATCGCCACTCCCTCAGGATTCGGCCTTTCTACGCTTGCGTGAGCTCACGTAGTTAGTAAAAACCTTCTTGCACTCCGCACGGCGAATTTCACGCTGGCGTTTTGACCGGGCACGTGCCAATGCCTTAAGCGATCCCATCTTGTCGTGCCGCACCGTCACGTAGAAGGCACGCCGGCGAGCATCAGTGCGCGTGACCACAGCACGAACCACGGCCCCGTGGCTCAGGTCCAGACCCTGGCGATCCGCTTCACGTAACTCGCTCTGATCAAGCGTTGTCTGCAGCTCGTTGTAGAATCGGACGTAGACGGTCTCGTCGGAGCTATCCTTGGACTTCGTATCCTTCTCACCCGAACGTTTAACGCGCCAAATGTAACCCAGAAATTCCTTGCCCACCGCCGTCTGGTCAAACGAAGTTAAAGGAGTAGGATCCTTGCGCATGCTGCGCTTCGCCGTCAGCAGCAAAACGCTGTGAACGTGGTCGTATCGCAGCACACGCAACTTCAACGTGCCTCCTACGACCAGATTGTCTGGTACCTGTGGCAACGGGACGTCCTTCAGGTGCTCCAGCTGGACCTTTCCGTGAACCAGCTTCGACAGGCGGACGGTGACACCGGCGTTTGAAACCTTGGTTATCACACCCTTTACGGACGTGCCTCCCCGGAGCTGAAATGGCGAAAGCGTGGTTTCACTGAGCAGTGACTGTCGCATGCTCACGCGAACAAATCGCGTCAGGTAATCGAATTCCAGCTCTGCCGCAGCGTGCACGCTGCCCGAGCTGAACGCCAGAGCGATTTGAGGTGCAGACGTTCCTTTTGCACCCTTGGATTTGTCAGCGTCATCTTTACCTTCGTCACAAAGATTCGACGGATCGCAGTAGCCGAGGTCACCATACGTGTAATTTAGTGCTTCGGGTCCTCCTTTACGAGCAAGCTGTCCCTCGTTTCTCACCCTACATAGTGCGAATACCACACCGTGCCCGGGTATACTTCTCAACACCTTGCCGTACGTCTTACGGCCACTATATATAAGCTGGTGAGGATGACCCTTCGGGCCCTTCCAGTCAACGATGTCGGACAGCAGCGATACGTACACCGTTTTCTGCCAGTGATTCACGTACAACACGCGCCCCACAACATTATCCTCTAATCCCAACGGAGGATCCGATTCTGCCACTGGAGGCAAATGCACCTTTGACTTCCTCTTCAGCTCCTTCGCTTTACCGTCAGCACTGGTCGTCTCAGGCTCATCATCTTTGTCATCCATCGATTCCAGTTCCTCGTTATCCGTTTCACTTCCAGGACGATTGGGTGAATATCTCACCACTGAATGAATGGCCGGTACAGTCGCAGTCAGGCCATTCAGGCACTTGACATCGAAACCGTAGTTAACCTTGAAATCCGCGTTACCACTTAGTGCGGACGCTGGATAGTGAATATCCGATATCTCGCCCACCAGCAGCAGTCCTGGACGCACGCAGAGTATGGGCAGCTTGCAGTCCATAGAGACCGGTGTGTCACATTGCCACGGCCACTTGCACGAAACCAGTTTGCGTGCGGCGTTAACAGAGTCAACGACGACGTAAACGGTGGAACTCAATGGCAAGCTGCGCAAAGAGTCGAAACCGCGTCCCTTTTTGGCAGCTTGCTTGCCACCGGTAGCCTTTACACTTTTGCCTGATTTGGCATTCTTCCCTGCTGCCTCATCCTTAGCAGCACTCTCATCCGTTTTACCGCTCTCCCCGATGTCAACATCTTCACTCGCCGCGTCAGGTTTACTAGCCTGATGCTCATCGTCGTACTTCGCAAAGCCCCGAACATCGTCCGTTCCCGCTAGGTTGAAGGAGAGCAGTATGCCGTGATCTTCATGGGCAACCACCGAAGCCGGAAGCAGCATTCCGGATGTGATAGTGGCCAGTGATAAACCCTTGTTGATGACAGAAGGCCGCATACTGAGGTACGCGAATCCATTCTTCACCTCTAGCACGGAGCATACCACGTGCGAGCCTACGCTGAAGGAGCCCTGGGTGACATGGTCCAGACGGTTCTTCGCCGACTGCGCACCGTCTACCACGTCAGAAGAGCGCACGAAACCGCTGAGGCCCCCAGGAAGGTGGATCCTCAACCCGGTAGGTGCGACGATGGCGACGCTACCGAGGAGCAACGACCCGGCTTCGAGGCTGTCGAGCGTGGGAAGCCGGCCCCGCTGATCGGCTAACTTCGCGGAACGTTTAGGCTGCGGCCGGGCGAATAGGCTCGGTGCCTGAGCCTGCTGCGCCGCGGTACGACTGCGCCGCCTAGGCTCCCCTAGCGGCTGCAGCACCACCTCGCTTGAACGAGGGAAGTCTTCCTCAGCTTCCATTCGTTAGCGAACCGTGGAAACTACTTGCGATTAATGGTGATGCTTGCACATCACTAACAATATATGTGTTAGATTATCTCTGAAATATGCGCCTTCCCTCCCCGGCCGCCCTCTGGCCGCGCGCCTTCCAAGAACACCGGGATAACGCAAACACCCCTATTCGCGGTCAGATCGCGAAATCCACCCAACATGAGCTATCTACGTCAGTTATGTGACGCCATTGAAGCGGAAAGAGGCGTCAGTTAGGCTAAAACCGATACAACTAATGGTGTCTGGAACGGGAGGCGCTGCGCCTCCCGCAGCTGACCTTGGCGACAGATATGCGACGTAGGATTAGTACAGTAGTAAAAACATGAGAACCACTTGATCATCAGAGTTTATGACCCATTTCAAATGTCTGAGTGTATATAAACCACGGCCAGTGTCCAACGCCGGTGAACGATTGTCAACATAATCACACACCTCCAAACATACGCTACAGCTCCTTCATAAACATTGAATTAAATAGACGCAATCACGATGGTTGGCCTGAAGGGGGTACACTTTTGGTTACTGTTATGTGTAAGGCGGCCACAGGCATATGGACACTTGCGAGAACACGCCGGCTACTAGCAGGCCTAGAGATCACTCCATGCGCTATTTAGTAAACGGCTTCTGCCACGAACACTGCCAGAACCAACTCCCACGCCGGAGGTCTACCGCCGCCCGAGGCAACGGCCTCCCCATTTAGTGACCCAACCGCACGTTACTACAGGCCGTGGATGCCAGGATTCCACTAACCCGTTACGTCGTAGTTCGACGTTAAAACGTATTGCGCTGGGCCTAATCGGCTTACCTGTCACGTGTAGCGCCCGTTTACACCGAGGCTCAGCCTTCGGCCGCGCGGCGTAGGCTCCTCCTGGGACACGGAAATCTCACACGGCGGCAAGAGGCGCTACTGCGGTGAACACATCGCACCAAACCCGTGAGGCGGGGTGTCAAACACCGTCGCCATTCGTCCGCAACATCGCTGAGCTCTCCATACGGAGCGCAGCGCCCAATTGATTGCGGCGGCCAACTACCGAAAGGGCGTCGCTCTAGCAGGACCCCAACGGACCTTTTAAAATTGCAAGATGCATAACTTTCAGAAGCCGGAGAACGCCCTCAAGAGGGCGGCCGAGCTTCGCGCCATCGGCCAGAATGACGAGGCGCTGCAGATTCTCCACTCGGCCATCGGGCACCGCTCCTTCAGGATTCAAGGATGGGACATGGTACAGGAGCAGATCATGTTGGAGTATGTTGCCCTGTGTATTGCGCAGGACAAGCTCCGCATGGCGAGGGATGGGCTTCACCAGTACCGCCTCGTCGCCCAGCACGCTAATGTCACCTCGCTCGGCAAGGTCGTCGTTGAACTCCTCGACCACGCCGAGGAGCGGCTCAGGCGCATAAAGGCGGAGATCGCGGCTGACAAGACCAAGGCCGAGGATTTGGAAAAGGCCAAACTTAGTGCAGGTCTCGACGCTGAGTACAGCGAATCCCCTGAGGAGATCATGGTATTCACGCTTCAGCTGGAAGTCCGCGATGCCACCGCCAGGTCGCTGCACAGTGTCTTCAGGTTCCTGTGGGAAACTTACAAAATGATCCTGGATATTATGCGTGCAACGCCCAAGCTCGAAAAGGTCTACCATGACACTGCCCGCAAAGCCATCCAGTTCTGCAAGGAGAATGAAAGACTCTCCGAGTTCAAGAGACTGTGCGAGGTGCTCCGTGCGCACAACACCTTCCTGATGAAGGTGAAGCACAAGCCGGAGATGGAATGCATGCTCAAGCCAGAGCTGCACATTGAGACGCGCATCAACCAGCTGGTAGCTGCCTGCGACATGTCGTTGTGGAAGGAGGCCTTCAACACCGTTGAGGACCTGTACACCCTGGGTATTCGCGATTACATCACCAAAACCTTCCAGGGATCTGTTTCCGTCCTGGGCCAGCAGAAGGAAAAGCTGCTCAAGTGGCTCGCCATCTTCTACGAGAAGCTGGCCATCATCTTCATGGTCTCCGACCTGCACCTCTTCCACGCGCTAGCGGTGCTTAGATATGTCATGCACATCCGTATGTACAAGAAGAAAGTCGCTCCGGAGGACGTGCAGTACATGTGCTCGAAGGCTGTCCTCGCGGTTCTTGCCGTCCCTGACAACAACAAGAACGGCTCGGACTCCGGCGAGTTGATCACTCCGATGCCCACTGCAGCGTACGAAATGCACAAGAGGATGGCCGCACTGCTGGGCTACAACAGCATCCCCACCAGGGAGTCGCTGCACTACGCGCTCACCGTGAAGAACATCCTTCCCATGGCCGACGACAATACGAAAAGGCTGTACGAGCTCATGCAAGGCAGCAGCAACATGTCCCTGCAGCTCTGCAAGCAGGTGTTGCCTCTGCTTACTGAAACTGAGGAACCACAATGTGCAACTGCGCCGGCACCCCCGTGTGCCACGTACATCAAGGCCGAGAGGCAGGTGCCCAACACCCTGAAAATCAAATTCTTCGACAAGTTGTCGAATTACTACCCGAAGGTTAAGGCTGTGGTGTTCCGCAAGGTCCTGAACAATATCTCGAAGGTCTACGCAAACATGACCATCGACTTCTTCGTCAAGTCCATCTGCCCCAGCGAATTCTACGCATGGAACGACGCGGAAAAGCACATTGTAGACCTCGTACAACGCGGGTTCTGCCACATCCGCCTGGACTACTCCAGCAAGGTGCTCTACTTCAACGCATCTAAGGGTACCGCGGACTCCATTGCTGCGGTCAGGCACCAGCTCACCAACTTGGGACGCAACCTGTATTATGCCATGCGTATCCTCGAACCTGGGCACGCTAAGCAGGCCGAGGACCGTCACCTACAGCTGGTAGCGATGAAGAACAACATCGAGAAGGAACGCACCAAGCTCATGAAGCGCACCAGCGAAATCTACCAGCGCAGACAGGAACACCAAGAGGAGTTGATGCGCGTCGAGGAGGAGCGCAAGAAGATGGAAATTGAGCAGAAGCTGCAGGAGGAACGCGCCGAAAAGGAACGCCGTGAGGAGGCGCTCAGGCAGATGGAGAAGCAGCGTAAGAAGGACGAAAAGATGAAGATGAAGCTGGAGACGGCGCAGCAAATGCTTAAGGCCATTCGCAAGCTCGGAGGATCTCAGGGCACCAAAATCATCATCAAGGGCAAAACGCTTGACGAGATTAACGTTGAGGATGTCATGGACGGCTTCGTCAACTTCGACGATGTCGAGAAGGCGCAGGAAGAACTGAAGCTGCGCGAGCGCCAGGAGATCGCAAAGCAAAGGCGCGCAGAGGTGAAGCGTATAGACCACTTAGTTCGTGCTCTGCGGGAACACCAGCAGCAGCTGTACGCCGACTGGCAGAAACGCGTGCTCGAGGAGGATACTCGTCAGCTAATGGAGGTGCAAAAGAAACGCGAAGCCATGTGGAAGGAAGATGCCGAGGCTATGCAATTGCAGAAGGACGCGCTCAAGGAGGTGGCCGCTGTTAAGGAGAAGTGGGTCAACGATAACGTGAAGACCATGAAGGAGGCTTACGACGCCGCCATTGAGGAGCAACGCACGCGGTTCCAGAAGAAGATGATCGCCGAGAAGATTCAGCGCGCCAGGGAAAGGCGTATCACCGAGCTCCAGAGACAGAAGGAGCTCGAAGAGGAGCGCCGATTGGAGGAGGAACGCATGAGGCGTGAGGAAGAGGAAAGACAAAGGCAGGAAGCTGAAGCTGAGAGGCAGCGTAAGCTGCAGGAGATCGCAGAAAAGCAGCGTCAGAAGGAGCTGGAAATTCAGCGCAGGCTCGACGAGCAGGCAGCTCGTGCGTCACACACCGCTGCTGCTCCAGACATCAGACGTTCTGAGACCTGGACGAAACCGCGGGTGAGAGAAGAGCCGGAGGTCTGGCGGTCGGATTCCCGTCGCGTCGATGCTTCCCCGCAACGTGGCACAGGTGCCGAACCGGAAAAGCCCCGCAAGTTTAAATCCTTCTCGCAACGTGCGAGGGAACCCGCCGCACGGCGGGCCGACGACGCAGACACGTGGCGGCGATGAACCGCCTCGTGGCAACACACATCTAATCAACAAAAGATACAAATAGCGTTCTATCTCTTTGTTGCCTGTTGTGTCTTTTTTTGGCGAGTGGTGTGGCGGTACTCGTTACACACTATAGCCTAGGAGTCGTTCCTGCCCACACATCTCGGCCTGTGCAAACGTTCGACATAGGCCGCTTCTGTAACCACAAACGAAGCCGCAGCGCCAATGATAGACAACGAAATCGCCACGGGCCTCCGCCCGGAGACCGTTGTGAAGCACGTCGACATGGACGAGCCCACACGCAAGTTCGCCATCGACCTCGCCACGGAGGCCATCGAGAAGTTCAAGATCGAGAAGGACATCGCGGCCTACATTAAGAAGGAGTTCGACAAGCGCTTCGAGCCCACGTGGCACTGCGTGGTCGGCAGGAACTTCGGTTCCTACGTCACACATGAAAAGCACAGCTTCATCTACTTCTACGTCGGCAACATGGCCGTGCTCCTGTTCAAGAACGGGTAGACTTGTGTGTTAATCTGCTACGCACAGTTGCACGGCTATCGCGCTGCGGTGATGCGGCGTGCCATGAGGTATATGCGCATGTCCAGCTCCAGGTCGGCAACCACCTGCTTGTCTGCAGTGAGCGACATCAGCAGCCCGCCAAACGATGCGTAGATGGTCCTGCAGGGTATGTTAAATCGTCTGAAGCCACCCACCTGCTCTCCGATGACACATCTTCGAACTTGAAAATCTTTCCGTACATCGCGTATTCGTAGTCACGCATCAACGAAGGGAGCTCGTTGAAGTCGCTGAGGTTGACGTCCGAGCCGCTTGGCAGAAGGTTGTTGGTGATGAGGATGTGTAGCAGCTGCACATTAGCGTTAAAAGACAAATCCAAAGAGACAAAGACTCATGAAAATGTTTTAAAGTGGTACATATATTGCACATTGAGACGCTTAACTCACCGATTTGACATTTACCGGGAAGATGTCGCTGTTGATGTCCAGCAGCAACTCTGCGTCGAAACCCGTACTCTTTGCGCTGATTCGCGACACGCGCTCGAATTTAGAGTTGTCGATGGACCTGACCACGAAACGGTCCTCGAAGACGCACGTCACGGACGACATCGTGACGCTCCGCACCGGCCGGGCGCGACGGTTTTAAATGCGATAGCGTTCGGTCTAACAAAAGACCGAAACGATTAATGGGTTATATGAAAATGTGCCGATGAAGACAACAAATAGGCTGTTGCTGATACAAGGTTTACGCGTCACTGGATGACCCGCGCGCCCCCTCGGCCATCCTTCGCCACCCTTGCCAGTGGGACTGTGCCACGTCACTAACAGCATACGAAATGAAATGTCGATATAACATTACTACCGTTTATGCCAATATGGCTTTATTCGTGAATACGCCGGACAAACGAGTCTGGGTTAGGGGTACTGGATAATTAATCCGTACTCCTTCGCTTAGATCATATCAGCCTCTCCCTCGGCATCCTCCTCGGCCTCATCGAGGCTCATGTCGATGTTGTCATCGTACTTGTCCCACAACTTCGAGGTAGGCAAGTTGAACTTGTGGTAGAGCTGGTCGAAGATGCTCTTGCCGATGGGCTTGATGAGGGCGGTGTAGACCATGGCGGAGGTGACCGGGGGCTTGATGGCCTCAACGATCCAGCGCTCGAACACGGGAACCATGTGCTTGATGATGGAGATGACACCGGTCTTGATCATCTTCTTCGCGTTTTCCTTCAAAGCGTTCTCGAGGAAGACTGGGCGAACCATGTCGTTTTCCTCAATAAGCTTCTCGACATCCTTAACAATGAGGCCGATGAGCTCGTCAGTCTTGTCAGCGATGTCCTTCCTCACTATGTCACGGAACTCTGTACAAACGTCATGTTGAAAGTAAGGTGGATGTGCATCACCATCTCACATACGACTCATGCACATCACTCAACACATTTGTCGTGAAATCATTACACATCCATTACACACGCGACGTAAGTCATATAGCTAACACAGGGAACGCATACTAACTCTCGATGTCGGCATCGTGGATGTTGATGCTCTTGGAAGGCTGGTTGCGCCTGAGGCTGCGGAATGTAGCGCTGAGCGCAGAAGCAGAGTTGAAAAGGAAAAGAGAAAACAACACAAGAAACTTCATTTTGATGTGTATGTATGAAACTTCGTTGACACCTACTGAGATGAAGAACCACAACAGTAGCAACCGTGAAATGTGCTTACTGCAATTTAAACCAAAACCACAAACACCTTTCAATACCGAAGTATTGGATCATTGTATAACATCAACAAAACTTGTTTAGTGTGTAAGGAGTGATGCACTGTTGCAGGGAATGAAGCCTCTGACAGCACCCATCTATGACCGTTGTGATGTCGGAATCCAGGTGCACAGCGAAATTCGACAGCTGGGTGCGGAAGGGTGTGTACCGGAGATACCGGCGTTGCACACACACTTGTAGCAAAATTGGATGGAATTAACGGCGTTGTTGCTTTATATGGTTACACCTCTAAGTGCACCAACAGCGGCAATCGACCTTCGCGTTCATATTCGCTGCCAATGAAATACTTGCCAATGGTCGTCGGCAAAGTCATATATTGGCTACACATTACTCAAAATTACAACGGTGTTAGCACAGTATAGAGTGACTGCCTCGTCGGCGACGCGACAGTCCGGCGATCCACATGACTTGTGCTGAGGCACCGAATGTCCATAACATATCGCAATTTAGCAGGAATTGTATGCTGCTAATTTACCGCACTACGTTAGGATCATATATTTCTGGCATCTCGTTGCCTTTTACGTTGATCCTGACATTGTCTTTTGCTCATTTGGCTCGCTATATACGGCCGAATTGATAAATATTACACACGATGAGCTTTTATTAAAACTTTTGAACAATGAAGCTAAATGTTTTGCATCGCAGAGATGCAGACTACGTGGCCCAGGGTCCTCACGACCGGCCCAAGCCAATGCGCAATCTGGACCCCGCACTGCATCCACTTCCAAGGGTAAGATAAGGCCTTTGGGGCTTTATGATGCCCATAACATGCTTCATGAGCTTGCAGCAACGGGAGTATGTTCGGGCAGTGGTGGCAGCCAAACTCAAGCGAATGCATGCCAAGCCTTTCATCGCAGCTCTAGAAGGTCATACCGACTCTGTTGACTCTATGTCTATGAGCAGGAGCAGTTTGGTGAGTGTATGATGCGCGTTAGGCCATGTTTTCGCAGTGCGATTTATTCACGGGCAGCTGCAATGGAGAGATCATGATGTGGAATATGCTCACGAAGCGCAAAGGGAACATCATAGGAACACACGACGGCTTTGTAAAAGGTGATTGTTCTGTCCTTTTAGTTTTTCACTGCCAACCAGGCCTGTGCACAAATGCTGATGGGACGCTTTTGTATTCGTGCGGGCATGACAAGTACCTCAAGTGTTGGAAGGTGCCTACAAATGGACCTATAGAGGATGAGGATATGGATGAACAGGATGATGATGCTGGGAAGTCACAAAGTGTTCATTTGCAGGGGGCAGTTAGTGACGTGAAGCTTCGCACTTCCCCGCCGCCGGAGGTAGGAGAGACGTGAGATGTGCAGCCTTATAATTTGTCACAGCCAGTGGGCTCATACCTCACCAATTCAAGTCTCAATGGGCTGGATCACCACTGGACTGAAGGTTTGCTAGGTATGCCGTGATAGTGCCGCAATCAATCTGCGCAGCTACAGCAGGGGACACACTGGAGGTTTGGGATGGCCAGAGGAGCGCGCCCATCATGAAATTCGACTGGGATTCTGAGGCGCTGTACTGCGTCAGGTTTAATGCTTCAGATGTGAGAAATACCATGAAGACTTTCATGTATTAATAGGTTAACCTCCTGGCTGCGGCCGCAGCGGACAACTCGGTCGGCCTATACGACATAAGAGCGAACTCGCCGCTACGCAAGCTCGTCCTCCAGCAACGAACCAACGCTATTTGCTGGAATCCACAGAATCCACTGCATTTCACAATAGCCAATGAAGACTCCAACCTCTACACCTTCGACATGCGCAGACTGCAGAGGGCACTCTTGGTGCACAAGGGTTTCACTAACGCAGTGTAGGTTCAGTCGTCGTTAAAACTGTGTCACTATGGCGCGTAGAACGGATGTGGACTACAATCCAGCTGGGACCGAGTTTGTAGCCGCATCTTTCGACAAGGGAGTGCGGCTCTTCAACCTCGAGGGCAAGAGTAGAGACGCGTACTACAACCGGAGGATGCAGAACGTCTTGTCCTGTAGATACTCTTTGGACGGCAAGTTCGTGTGCACGGGCAGCTCGGATATGTGCGTGCGCATCTGGAAGGCAGAGGCCTCGCTCAAGCTCGGGCCGATGAGCCACCGCGAGAAGGCCGCGTACAACTACCGAAATGCGCTGCAAGAAAAATTCGCCGAACTGCCAGAGGTCAAGAGGATACTAAAACCGAGGCACCAGCCTGCCTTGGTGGTGAAGCAGAGCAAGATACGGGAAGCAAAGGCCGCCGCGAAACGCAGAAAGGTATGTCAGCTAGCGATGGGGGGTTGTGGTGCATTACGGCTCAGGACGTCAACCGAGCGCTACACTCACGCGACGCAGAGATTACCCAAGAGAAGCGAAAGCCCATCATACGGCAAGTCGAATAATATGGCACATAATTATTATGAACGTGAAATAATGTCGTATGTCTATGCACAGAAGCGATTCGACGCCCAACGGCGGCAGTGGCTAATTCATATCGGCTGATTTCAGCATCGAAGCTTTGCCTGGGTTTGTCTGACACCTTTTATTGCAACAATACATCTCGCGTGTCCGGTCACCCGGAGGCCGCAGCGGTCCAATAGCACCGCAACCATTGGGAGACCTCGAAGCCGCAACCTTCGGCTAGGCGGAGGCGCCAATATTATGCGTATGGATGTTATATGTTTGGAACCTGTGGATATTTTTTTTAATTCCAGGCGCCTGATTGTAGACGACGGTCACAAAACCACACCGCAGACCCGGACATCGGAGTCATCACGCGTTAAACTGGTACGGCAGCAAGCAGGAACGATACTACGCGTTGTAGACGCGCAAGTAGTAGACAAAGCTGCTGTGTGATCTGCGCGTGCCACCCAACGCCGGGCTAAACCGTTACCCGCTGGCGACATGCCAAACTGTCAGCACAGAAAGCGCAGTCAATTTCTAGTAAATTGAAGCCATTCACTACCGCTGATAACGGGCAGTAATGCGCAGTATAATCCGGCATAGAGAAGGCAACGATACCCCGTGCAAGTGTGAACCGGATCCCGCTGACTCTGAATGCACCCTCAACTCGGCACCACGCAAGGTCACTGAGAGCTGCGTCAATCCCTCACTTTGTGACTGCAGCCATTATAAATTTTCAACGTGAAAGCAGGAATTTGGCTTGATTTGTCAGCCGAATAACCTGCAACCCATATATAAATACTACCAACTACCGATGAGCTAGGCGCAGCCGGAAAATGTCAAACATGGATGCGCCAGCTCCCGCTGTGTCCAATGGCGACGCCCAACGCAAGGACACGCACTACAGCGGAGAAAAAAACCAGCACGATTTCTTCGAGGACCTGGCTACCTACATTATCGTGAACAATAACGAGAAAAATTGCGATGTGGCAACGAGCCAGACCCAAGCAGAGCACGGCTGGGCCAAAAATTCAACTCAAGCGGATACGAAGCACACGCCGGTTGGAAACGACAACACGCCGCCAAACAAGCGGCAGCAGAGCGAAGAAGACGTGAACACTGAAGATGGGGAGGAGGGGGACAAGTACAAGTGGAAACCCGGGTTCTGCCTCCAGCTCGGCTCGCAGGGTAGAAAGGCGATGCTGCAGCTTCTCAGGAACGTTTACAAAACCAACAAAAAGTTTAAGCACATCTTCGAAAAAATGGATCCGCCGACCACCATCAGCAACCTTCCCTTCTTCAAGGTCTCGATGCTCTGGGAGCTTGCACACGAGCTCGACGTCTTCGACCAGGCGATAGCCATACACAAAATATACGGGAAGGTGAGGAACAAGATGGGGAAGAACGGCGTGGCGCAAGGGGTGCAGTACTACGACGGGTACTCCCCCAGAACTACCGTATCCCGGAGCCCCAAAATGCGGCGCATACCGAACTCGATGTACGGGGCGCCGTACTACAACACGACGAACGATGACGAAAGGCGCTACTACCTCGAGCACAGGAACAACATGAACCAAATCAAGCGCAAGGTGGACCACCTCGTGGCGCTGAACAAGTCCAATCCCGAACAGTACATGAATGGCATGGTTCCGTACAAGCAAAGGAAGTGTGTTATGGGAATGCAGCCCAACCACGTGGATAACAACCTGCACGCGATGCAGATGCAATCCAACAACATGTACGACTACATCCCCAGAATGAGCAACCAGGTGTACCCCTGCGCGACGCTGGACTGTGGTCTGATCCCACAATAAAGGAGGCCTGCGGGCACCGCAAATATGCATACCACGCGTAGTCTGACACGCAGGAGAGGTGGAACCACAGTGCTGGGAACTGGACCGCAAAAAGGTCAGCGTGCCGAGCCAGCTGTGGCCCATGACATACAAGCAACACTACAGAAAACGCCATCCGACGAGCAGAGCTGCGTAAGAGGCGCAACCACCTACAGCCAACTGGCAGTGTAGAAACTTAATTTTAATGTTTACGCGCTCAAATAAAGCCGAACCCCTCCTTGCCCTCCAAAATGGCCTGCAGCATTTTCTGCTTCAGCGTCTCGCGACTGGAGTAGGCCGGAAGGTTCAGCTGGTTGAAGCACGTGTGCGCCGACGGGAGGTGCTCGCTGTTACACGCGCGATGGATTGTTATGCGCTGCGGCCCGCGCATACCCATGAGGTTCTTGAAACCACCGATTGGCACGCGGCTGGTGCCGGTGACGAACTGCAAAAAGGCGGCCAAATTGCTTTGGTCGAGGTCCTCCAAAAACTCCCAGAGCCATATGATCTGTTCGCTGTCCTTCGTGTAGTTCCGGTATTCCACATTCTCCCGCAAGTTCGCCAGGTCGATAGACGGGGTCCCGCTAATCAGCAACTCGAGTTCCTTGTGGTCGAAAATGGAAATCAAGTCAGGCGATATCAGTTCGCGGAAACCCGACATAAAAGCGTCGAGCTGGTCCTTTATGCCGTTGGTCACCTTGTGACGGCATAACAATTCGATGTACTTCTGCTTGTTATCGTCGGTGACTGGGATGTTGCGTCCGTCCGGGATCAGGTCGATCACCTTGACCTTGCCAAACTCATCAATCTCCGTGGAGAAGAACAACTCGAGGCCGAGGTCCTCGAGGCGGCAGTTGTTGATGGAGGTGAGGTTCTGGTAAAATTGTGGGTCCACGGACTCCGCATCGACAGGGGTTATCTTGCGGTTCAGCATGTGCTTGTAAAACGACCGGCAGAAGTAGGCGTCAATATGTTGGCTGTCGTGTAAGGCCTTGCCGATCACTCGGCCGATGAACTTGAAGAAGTTCAAGTGATCGGGGTTGATGCCACTCAGGGGGTTGGGGTGGTTGAACTCCTGCTTGCGACCCTCGCGGCAGAACAGACCATAATTAGGGTTGAACATTTCCTTGGCCAGCATGCTGAACCACTCGCGGGTTAAGCCGCCGGCGTCGACACCCTCCTCGCCGGAAAACGTAACAACAAGTTTGCCCTTCATGTCGTCGCCGCTACGCAGGCGCAGCTGGTGATAAGAGTCCATAAAGACGTGCTCGCGCCGTACATTTATCCTCAGTGTATTTAGGTGCAATCCCTGCCGAACTTCCTTCAATTTCTGCCGGAAGTAGTTGCGCTTGATGTCGAAGTTCAAGCAGTTAGGGGCAAGACGAAGAAGGGGAGCGAAACTACTATACAGCAGCGACGGGATACGTTTTATCAAGCAGTTTAGCACGCGACAATGTTTCTCCGCGAAGTAAATCAAACTCAGATGGTTCGGAGACATCTCAACACTGTTCTCATCGCAGTCCCAGGGTTCTTTCTTGGGAGGACGCTTCTGACGAGATACGGCGATGAAATCCAAGTTACCATCCGGAAGATCGTAATCGAAGTTGACGAACGACATGGTGTTATTCAGCTCGGAAACGTCATCCAGCATATAGTCCAAGGCCACACGAATTTGGGTGATGTCCATAAACGCACCAATGATGGGCACCAACGTCAACAGCTGCTCGGAATGACGCGAATTATCCAGCAAACCGTCGCCGCTGCTTGACAACTGCGTTGAGCGGGCTTCCTTAGGGTCGACCTTAGTATGCGGCTTCGGCGCCTTGGCGAGGCCGGTCAACGTAGAATCAACAGCACGCCAAAGTTCATCGAAGTTCACATTGCTGTAAAAATCGACAATTCTTTTCGGTTTCCTCCCTTTATCTGGGGTCACAGACGTGCCAGACCTGTGAACTTCCGTAAACGTCTCTTTGACGAAAGTCACGATGCGCATCATGGTAGAGATTAGGCGCTGCAACGCGGGTGTGGAGGCGCCTTCCGCCACGCGCCCAGTTTTTTGTGTTTGGTTGTCGAGCAACGATCTACACAACACACCGATTAGTTCATTCAACCTTGCGACAAGGAATTCCTGCACGTTGGACGCATGCCTCTCACTCAACAGCAGCGCAGACATAATCGTGGCCACAAGCTGCAGATGAACACTGGAAGAACCATCCCGAGTGGTGGTGCAACACAGCAACCAGTGGCTCTGGTGACGCCACGACGTATGGACTTCCAAAAATACGTTGACAGCATCTTTGTCCAATTTGTTGAGGATATCCTGCTTGACACGCAATATGCTATCATGATGGCTGCTAGACGAATTCGAAGCCTGGGATGATTCGCCAGAAGCATTCGTCGCGTCGTCTTCACGAGCAGCAACACCCTCGTCGTTACCAGCCGCCACTTCGACAGATTCCGAATTCTCAGGAGGTGTAGCAACAACGGCAGGGCTTGTGGTGGGAGGGTCATCAATTGAAACGGGGGCCACCAAAGCGCCGTGGGCGTCTAACGTCTTGGGACTCACCACTAGGTGCTGTATCACCATCATAAGGTGGTTCATCAGCTTCGGTGACGACTGGAACAACTTCGTTGCCGTCGCCATGAAGAGGAACCCTATGGGATACAGATGGCGATGAGCCGATCGCTTCTCGGACTTAGCACCCGAGACCTTCGTGCGCTTGTTGCGAGAATCGGAACGCGAAGAACCCTCTTCAGAAGCCGGCGCTGCGATTGGGAGTCCGAATAATTGTATGGCGCCAGGCAAGGCAATCAGCAGGCTGCGTAACTGCTCCAGCACACGTTCACAAGAAACGTAACTAGAATATCCAACGCTCATATTTATGCATTCCATACTGTACTCCTGCGATAGCGCAGTTATGATGAACGAATCACATTGATTGTCTGCATCCACACGGCCATCAAGAGATACGTGCCTATATGGCAGCTTGCCATACAAATGGGCAGGAGGGAAGTCATTTCTTCTAGAATTGCATAAACGCGGCAAGCCGTGGAAGAACTTGTCGGTCTTTACGTTCGGCACGGAACTGTTGCTTAATCCCAAAATTGATGTATGCATGATGTGCAAGAAACATCTCAGCAGAGTATGACCGATTTGCTCGTTCATAAGAATCAAATTGCGGAATATCTTGAAGTACACCCTTCTGTTTAGCTCGTATTTTAGGTATATCAACCTACATATGCCCACGATGTCCGACTCTACAAAACCGTACCTAACACCCCCACACGTATCGAGCAGTTGCTTAACCACAGCCCCAGACGGTTCTTCGCGTTGTGCACAAAGTGAAATCGGAATTTTGTCATCAAAAAACTCAATCACACGTTCAAGTTGCCTAAGCGAATTGACGTTAATGCGATCACGAGGCTCGGACGATGATGCCGGCAGTTGGGAAGCCGTAGGCGCGGTGGAGATTAGAAAACGTCCTGCCGAGTGAAGCATGTTCAATACTTGCGGGTTGAGCGTGTTGAAGAGTTGAGGGATGGTCTGCAAGATCCTGGAATCGATCCCACTCCTGCCTCTGTCACGAATGACTATGGGCTCGAATGTAGCAGCTGGGGTACCTGCACGATCAGCGGCGCCTTGCGTCGGTGCTCCCAAATCGCCAGTCTCACCCACAGCTGAACGGATGACACGCGGTACGCGATCTTCGCGCATCATAAAGTTGCCAAAGTTCATACCACGTGCGTTTGTGTCCACACGACGTCGGATACGTGTATGACCCATCCTGCGTGACCCTGGTGTATGGCGACTGCGGTGGCCAGAAGTGGCGCGAATACGGGGGTTATCGTCGTCACGGAATTCGCCAATAATAAGCCCAAAGGTCAGGCCCGGCAGTTGCGGTTGATTGGGGCCGGTCCGTGTACGCACAGGTATCTCGGTAACACTTGGCCGCAGAGCCTGAGCGTTGGATGGTGGCTCCGCTGCATCTCTATGCCGTTCGTTGCGCATACGCTGAACGCGATAACGACCAATCCGGTTTCCAGCCAATTCGTGCTGCAATAAACTCTCGACTAAATTCCGCGTTGCACCCGCCAAAATCTGGTTGGTCAATGAAGGCATCGAGGCAGGCAACACGTTGTTATCCCCTATCAGCACACGTGATGGCTGGTTCGGATCTGATCGTGACGAAGAAGTGCCGTGTGCTGACCGCATCACCTGTTGACTTTCCGCACGCGGAAGAGATTGTATGTTACGCAGATCCTCGTTTCTAGTAGTAGAGGCCGACTGTGATGACTCCGGCATCGGCGCGTTGTGGTGGAGGGCAAGAAGCGTGTCGATATCAAACGCACGTAAGTGCTGCATGATAATCTCATCACGCACATCCTCGGGTAACTCAGCAAGCACAGAAGGGTCCATATTAGTCAGAGCTATAAGGTCGCTTTGCCTGATGCGTATGTCAGATGGAATATGTTCCAAAGGTTGGTTCGTGTGCACTTGGCGTGCATCCGATGAATTTGGTTGAGGTGATGAATCCAGTTGGACAGCGTCATTGTGGTCGGAAGCGTGAGACGCGGTAGCCGTGTTCTCGTCAGATGGACCGTCGTTCAATTGCATTGGTGCTGAATGCTCTGTACTTGCTTCAGCTGAGCCCGCCGAAGATGATTTAGGCAACTGTATCCGCGGAAGCCCCATGGCAATCATACTCATCAACACTATATTTGAGTTTCCGCGCTTCTCTGATGACTCCTTTGTGAAATTCAACGTCGCTTCCCCGGTAGGAGACGCCAACTGGTCGGAGGATGATGGATTTTCATTCCTCTCCGTGATGCTGTCATTATCACTAGTAGCGTCCGGTGCAGCACGCACCACACGGGGAAGACGTTGTGCGACATTTAACTGCGGCAGGCTAGAATCCGTATAATTCACATCTCCCTGACCGCCAAAATCGATCTGGATCCGAATGCCACTGTTTCCAGTTACTGGTGCCGTGGCAGAGGGGTCTGGAATGCTGACGGAGACATCGTTGCCCTGCTCATCCGACGTGGAAGCTGCTGGCAGCATAGAATCACCGTTTTCAAACTCGTCCTCGTCGCTAAAAGAATAGTATTCAGGGGAGAGATCGTCATGGCGATCCTCGTCCATGTTAATATGTGGGCGCGTCTCCTCCATGACGCCGGTGATTGCGTCCTCATGGTACTCCCCATCAAGTTCACCCACGACGCGAATCCGAGGTGCGTCATCATCGTCATCCTCCTCATCTTCGTCAACCTCTTCCATGCTCGAATTACTCTCACTGTCCGAATTAGCAATCTCCTCGTAAGTCTCTTCAACCTGGTGAGGCAATGCCATATCGACATCATCGTTACCAACGGAGCCCTCATCGGTATCCATATCGTCACTGTCGCTAGAATCGTCGCTGCTCTCATCGTCACTTTCGGAGTCGTATTGGGACTCAACCTCCAAAAAGACGTCTGACCCATCAGACTCGGTGCCGCTGCTATCAGTTGCAACGTCCTCATCCATAGCGTCCTCCATATATTCCTCAAGCTCCTCGCTGTCGGAGTCGGAGATGTCCTCCTCAGATTGCAGTTCCATATCATCAAGTTCGCTGGAAGACGACGATACCTCAATCACCTCCATGTCATCTTCACCCTGGTAACTGTAATCGTTGCCCACTTTATCCTGCCTGTCAACCGCCAACGTAGCATTCTTCTCCGGCGCGGTTAGGGACACAAGAGCCCTGATTATTACCCCGCACAGCAAGTTGCTGTCATCTCTGTTCAAATCAAGCTTGTGGAACATGCTAACCAAACACTTGCTCATTTGAGAAACGGAATCTGTCGAAAGTTCGGCAAGATCCCCATCACCGTATCGCAGTTGGAGCAGTTGGTGGAGCATGTCGCACGACGTGTACAAGGCCAGAGAAAATGGGTAGGTACTGTAATCACTGGTTTTGAGGCCCACCAGATATTGCAACAGCATCTTGATCTCCTCCAGCACCAATATGTTCATCTTCATGCTGGTCGAACAAATCAAAACAATGGCGCTCGAGAAGCCTCTCATAGCAGTCATTATGGCCCTATTCATGCGAGGAATATCCTGGATGCCCTCCTTGCTGGAGCGCCCCTTTTGTGACGATGCCGCTAACGCACAGAGCATCGATAAGATGCGACGGAACATATGAATGACAACCAAATGGCCGTCCTTGGCATCAATCACGTTTACCTCCAAAGGCAATTGCTTGTAAATTAGGTCGTCCTCAGCCTGGGGCAACCGATTACCGTTCGCTACGATGGGGAAGTTGTAACAGAAGGAGCTCAATATGGAACAGATAGCATCCATCGTGAATGCCAACGGATACAACGGCTTAGAATTGTCATCCGACTCATCTGGGGGGAGTGTGAAGCCTTGGATGTTGCCAAGTATCTGTATGTGGACCTCTAGAATCCGCAAAAAACTGCACAACAGCACGTCATAATCCGCCACCGCCGTGTGATCTTTGTTTGAGTTTTCCAAAATCGAGATGTCACCTGGAGATAGCAAGTCCCTGTTGGATTCAAGCAATTCAGATATACGCGAGGACTGTTGCGACGTAACACGAGCTTTGCCCAAATCGACATCCGAGTCATCCTCCTCCACAGTCAAGACGCACTGTTTCTGCAAAATTTCCATCAACATGGCGGGGTCCTTCTTGGCGAAGGGGGCCACCTCGTCAACAAGGGTGGACAGCGCAACAGGTTCGCAACTATTTGCAGTTAAGAGGTGTGTCACACGTTTCTCAATGGCGTTGCGCAGCATATAAGGGTTCTCCATGCAATTCAGGAGAATCTTAGACACAATTCCCTTCATACCTTTACAATAGCCAGTTCTAGGGATCATAAGCAGAATCGAGATCGCATCAGCTCCAATCACACCGTCAAATTCCAGTTTGCTGTTGAAATGAGCGGGATAGTTCTCCTGAGGCGGTAGACGCTTGTAATTCAAGAATTCGCCCACATTGGAGTATATCTCAGTCAGCCCTTGAAGTATGAATAATACGGAGCCCGTAACATGTCCGCATAAAGATGGGAAACACTCCAATATGTTCAGACACAAGCGAACCAATTTCTTCTGTGAACTTTTAGGGACAAACGTCAGGGTTTTGGTTGTGTCCAGCAGTTCGACATTATTGCTCAGGGCTATTGACGATAGAAGGTCGAAGAACCCAAGTGGACTGTTCGTTTTCAACAACGCCGCAATAGCCACGAGTGCATACTTGAAGAACGGAGGGGGGGAGCTCATTTGCGGCTCTGGGTAATTTCGCAGGAACCCATTCGTAATCATGACATAGTCCGCCTTGTACTGTCCTTTAGCTTTGCTCGAAGTTCCCTGATCTTTAGCAACCTCGTTGCGCAGGCACCATTCCGGGACTGATATGGGAATACCTGACAACGACGGTTTCATGCCAATGGCAGCGAAAGTCAATACGCCAGAATAGTGCGCATCGTAGCGCCACTTCTGGAAGTATTCCAATAGATTCAACATCACGTCTATGGGGCGATCTATGCTACTCAAATACGCAGAGCACAATTTCCTTCGCCTATCTATCAGCTGTGCCAAAACGAAAAACATGCCCAGCAACTGTTCGTGTGCCAATACGAGATCGTTGTGGTACGCCTCTGCTACCATTGGTTTGCCGGCCAATACCGTGCACTCTAGCGCTGCATCTTTTGTGCATTCGTCAAAAAAGAACACGGGACAGAACGCGGCAGGAAATAGTCGTTTATCCATGGGGAATTTCACCGCATTAAGACAACCCAATATGCCATTCAGGGAACCGTAGATACTTTGTAACAGCAGCCAGATGGTGCCCTTGGTATATTCGCGAGGGGAGGGAGCATACTTGCCACCAACCATGAAAGCCAATGGAGCCGACAACGAGCGAATGATGCACTCAGCGATCGTACGCAGTGAAGAAGGCATCTTAGTGCTCAGATACAGTAGGGTATCCAGGAAGCTATTAGCCATAAGTTTCCTAACTTGTGCGGGATCGGGTGCAGTGAACGTAGGATACTTCTCTATAGGATCAAAAATCCACGGATCATTATCAGGGGTAGCCGTGGAGTCAAAACAATTGAAAATCGGCAGGTTTTTAACCGCCAGACGATAGCCAGTGAGATTTTCACCACCTGAAGGCAAATCGCTGCTAGTATCAACCGTCATAGCGTTCCCATCCGTCGCACTAGCGCCCTGAGGCTCATCATTCGCACGATTTACTAACCAGTCGGCAATCGAAGTGATATCGTTGCGGCCAGATTCGGCTATTGCTCGCTCAATGTCGGATTCACTGAAACCCATTTCAAGTAAAATCGAACGAGACGCATCAGAGGTGTGCCCGCGCGAATCATCACCACCGGCTTCGCCAGAGATTGGCGTCTGTTGAACATGACTACCGCTGCCTGCGCTAGGCTGATTTAACGGTGTTGCATCACCAGCAGCGTCCGTTTCATGTTGTTCATCGTCTTTGGACGGCTTCTTTGGATCCAGATGCTTTTTTAAGAGCTCCTGACGCGCCTTCGCCAAGAATCCCAACATAGATAGCTGCACCTCCAAAAGTGGAGATAATACTGTGGAAGAAATGTAGAAGTACAAGCTGGCCGTGGTGTTACTGGGTGCGTTCGACCGCACGGAAGCAATAATCTGTAACCATTCCCAACACAGCGACCCAGCCGTAGTCACAGCCGCGGTTATCAACTCTGAAATCTTTCGATCACGACCAATGACGTTTCCAAACGCTGGTGAGGCCATGAATTGCCAAATTGCAGCGACATTCTTCGTGTTAAGTATTGCCTTGGAGTTGCCTATGTTGTAAAATAAACTCAGACATTGTTGAACTGATCGTCCCCACAGTTCCATGGTGTCCTTTATCTTTCTCAGATCGAAGGACTCCACTAGGTCAACAACCGCCAACAGGCGTGACCTATCTCCGGTGTAATTTGTACTCAGCACCTCATCAACGGTCAATTCCTTATGCACGCGTAGGGCAAAAGCCAATGCGCAACCCAGGTACATTGTCATCAGGTAATTGAAAACGTCATTTAAGTACGCCATGCCATTCATTTCACAAAATACCACGAAAGGAAGGATGTAAATACCACCCATTTCGCGGTCGTCCGCCAACAACTTGCAAGCCACCTCCACACTCTCCGAAACGTAACGCGCAGTGCTCAGACAATCCATGCCATCCAACACCAAACCCGAGCCAGAAGTAACGTGGGGCGAAGGAGTGTTACTCAGCATCTTGAGGCACAGCAGTGTCAACGCTAGCGTATGGTGAGCAATGGAATTCCGTAAACACGTGTTGTCGGCATTCGATGTTGTGATCGCCTTGTTGATTATCCGATTCATTCCGTACAACAGCCCCTTACACGTAGCTAGAGAAAGGCGGCACACCTCGACGTACATCTTGAATTTGTCATCGGAGAGATAGGGAGAGGGACTGCCATTGTATGCCGGATTGTGATTGCTGTAGGCATACGCAAACTGGCTGTGCCAAAACAGATCATTCGATGAAAATGAATTCTCAGAGGTCTGCGCGATCTTCTTATCACGGTTAAACATCTTGTAAGCCCTAACCTGAGGATGTCCGTGAGACTTATGTTTCCCGTCCAAGATGGAGAGCGTATCTACATCGCCTACGTTAGTACTGACGCAGAACGTCCTCATCAAGTGTGGAAATACGGTTATGAGTTTTCTGAGATGCGCGCTCACGGTCATGTGCAGGTCGCAACGTGAGATTGTTGAGGCACCCATCTGAAACCGTCCGCTGCAACAGGTCTCATACATGTTGTTACCCTCGAGGTGGGTAAAATAAATGGTCTCGGTAATCGCATGGAAACTCCCCAAATATTTCAGGTTGAACATGACCTCCTCATCCGTCCGGGGGATGTCGAGATTGGGGTGCTGCGTGCTATATGGTCTGCATAAACCATACAGATACGAGATGCATGGCGCTGGCGCGTGGGACAGAATGTACTTCAACAGCAGTGTTATCGGATGTCGCGAGTATATCGTTGTCGACATGGGTGGCAAGCAGGGTAACGTGCACAGCTGATACAGCAATTTCAAACCATCGCACGACACAAAGAGGGACAGCGCCTGACGAGAACGTAGGAAGGAAGACAGGCATTTTCCCAAATGAGCTATCCTGTCCGCGATAAAGTCGTGACTTGCCAGATTATCCAAGGAAGCCAACATGTCAACCGTTATTTCTGCCGGGTGGGTGCGAAATTCGTTCATATATGTGTCTAACTCCTTGGCGCATTGCGCCGAATCCTTCGGATTGAAAGGTGGAAAATTCAATGCCTCTTGTAACAGCACGTACATGGCCTTGATGAAGCGGTCGACGATCACCACATTAAGGGAATCCTTTTTCTGCGCAAGGTTGTCCAAAGACATCCCGATGGTAGTAGCAACCTCGCCGAAGCGGTCGAATAGCACGAAATCCCTTTGCGTTACGATGTCAATCAACTTCAAAACCGGAGCGTATTGGACCTTTTTCATGTAATCGCGGCCACTACGATGCGACAACACATCACAGATAATGTTCGGCACTACATTTAAGCAGTCCTCCGACTTCAGGTTCTCTTCGCATATGGAGCTCAACAGGGCCGGCATTATGCCCACGGTGTGCAAGTCCTCTTGCAACAAGGGGTCTTCGTTCAGTGCATCGGATATAAGGTTTATAGCCGAGCTGTAAACGCCCAGGCCGTACGTCTGCGGTTGAGTGAACACCGCATGTAGCATTGGAACCACAGCACCTTCATCAGAAAACACGTCATAAACCAATGTATCATTCCTATCAACCATGGGACGGGAGGCCGCGTCAATGTGGTGGATCAGCGTCTTAAGCAAAAAGCGCCGCGCGCTCATGTCAGACATGGACATCCAGTAGCTTCGAAGAGTCACCAAGTCATTCGTTTGAGGCATCTTCCACCCGTTCGGCCAAGGGGTGGACTCCGCCTCCCAGTTTTCAAAAGGCGCGCCATGCTTAATCTGGTACATGTCAAACTGCATACGAGAGATGAAGATGTGAAAAACCTTGAGGTCGTTCCTGAGTATGCGAGACACAGTTTGGTTGTAGTCCAACAGCGTCTCGATAACCTGGACCACGTATATAACAACGGGCAGATAAATAGGGTCGCGGTTCCTGACGAAATGGGCCACGCCCTCGAGGACCGACGTGCATGTCAGCGCATTGTTGCAACCGTGAGAGGAAATAAACGTGTAGAACACGATTAGCAACTGCAGCAATATACGCATCGAGTCCTCTTCATCCCGGACTTTGGCGCGACCCTTCTCCGATGCCAGACGAACGGTATATTTCCATTCATTTAAGTACACGTCTGCGGGGACGACGGCACCCTGTAACTGTACGCTGGTGCAGCAGTCCTCATTCATCGCATGATTCTCGTTTGGATGGTAATGAGCCCACATCTCACTAGCGGATGCAAATTGCTTTGTTTCAGCGGGACTTTTGAAACTCATCAATGGGGGAAGCGGAACCATTTCGTGCGCGTGGCGGAGGTAATGCCGCAGTACCTTGAAAAAAATGCCATGCGCTGTGTTCAACCCCAGCAAGGTTGCCAAAGTTTTGGCGTGGCTTCCATCGTGAACCATGGCAGACAGTAGTTCCGTGACGATCACCATCGTGGAACGATCCAGCTCTCTATGGCGCTCGACCATGTGGGTTAGCTCCAGAAGGAAAGAGGGGTTGCAATTCAAAAAGTCCGCGTATGAACCATTCTTCATAAACAACATGCTGATCAAAGCGCATATGCGAATCTCTACCGTCTTCCGCTGCCAGGCGGGGAAGTGAAGGGCGAATACCTTGCAGACCTTGTATTTCAGCTCCACAAAGTAACACTCCTCTATCTTATACTTCCTTATGAGTTGCCTCAACGACGCCACCACATGTTTGTAAATATCCAGTTCCGAGGCAAGAGAGCCCTTCCAGGCCGACACCGCCGCTGCAAACATTTTGTTGCCCTCCGTAGTTTTCGGATACTCGGCAGCCTCGGCCGCGCCCACGTAGCGCTGCACATTCAGAATATCAGTAACCGGAATGCTCAGCGTGGATGAGCCGGATCCACCAACACCTTGCGCGATTTCGATATACGAATCCACCGTCAAAAAATTCTCGCTTTTGCTTGCGTAGAATTCCATAACGTCGGTAAATGACACATTGACGGGGGTTTCAGACTCGGCAGAGTCAGAGCTCTCCTTCTGCGATGATTGAGCTGGAGTGGGCTGCTTAGCCATGTGGACGCGGCACGTAGAATCCGCCAGTGGTGTTTGCGATAGGACGCCCATGCGAACCGAGACTTCCCACGTAGCCTTGGGAATCGCATTTTTGCGATACCGGCTAAAGTAGACACATATTAGCTTCGTGGCCTGGAAGACAATCTCCGGGTGCACATCGTCCAAAAACGAGGTCAGCAGCTCCAGGGAGTTGTATATGCACTTCGACGTGCAGTTCTCAACGATCATCACAGAGGCCTTCAGCGCGTTACAGACCAGCCGTATCATCCCATCGTTGTAGAAATCAGAGACGGAATCATGCTGTCCCTTGACATAGCCCCTGTATGCATCCAGGTAGCAGCTGAAAATGTCGTCAAAGCGGTTAAGAACTGGCGCCCAGCATGACAAATCGCTCTTCTCCCAAACCCACTGCGTAAATGACTCCAAATGCAGGGTCAAGTCCTTGTAACCGCAGGTCGCCAGCAGCTCGATGAAGTTCCGCTGGCTGGGCTGGAGGCAGGCCACGGACATTAGGTGGTTTTCTCCTCTGGGCTTCCAGATCTTCATCTTGAACGCCTTGGAGGTTACACGACAACTTCAATATATCCAGCACTGAAGATGCGGACGCATGGTCCCGCGCCAATGTCTGGCGCCGAAATGCCGAAGGAGCTTCGCCTCTTTCTCTATCGTTAAGTATCCCTGCACTTGACAAGTGGATAGGCACCTATCTGGCGCCAGTTCCTTTAGCGCAAGGCTGAGCGAACCGGGTAACGCTGTATCGCCCGGCACCAGCCATACGCTGCGTTAAACCTACCTTTCGAATCCTCACGTGACTCCCTAATCACAGCACAGCTAGAAACAGTTTACCATGGGCCTAATTGGCATCCACTGACGTTCGATCAATAAACAAGACGCGTTGCGGGCGTAAATCGACAGGGTATGGCGGCAAGGTGTGTATATGAACTCCTGCCGACCAACAGGAGTACGTATGAACAATGCCGCCAGAGAAACAAATCGGGCAGTGAGTGAGTAAAATGACTTCTTTTGTACACACTCAATTAAAGTAAATAAAGTTAAAAGGCCGTGGGCTGAGGTCCCACGAAACGAGTGCGCTGGAGCGTCTCTGAGCCACGGCCCCAGGAAGACCAGAGAGTAAGGGCTGCATTAGACATTCAAACTCAACCATGCATTGTGTACAGCATGGTTCATATGATATGTTGTAGAGTATCCTTAATTTGTTGGTTGGGATCGAAAGAGCGTGGCTATCAGTGTCCATAGGGTTGTCTAAGCATTCGTTACCTTGTCTAACGTTTAAAAGTCAAGCTGTTAACTAGCTCAGTTGTGTGGCTCACTGTTTCGATTTGATTTAGTAGCTGTGCGACTTTGGTCTGGGCTAAACAGGCACATTATAACGCGAGTGACCTGAGTCGGCAAGAATCAGATCACTCGCGGTCTCACATTCTGGGATATACAGGCATGCCGTAGAGCACAAATATTGTAGCCTATGGCAGCGGTGTATTTGGCGCACTGCTCTTCGAAGGATGCGGGGTACGCCACTCATTCACGACACAGTATAACGCGGATTACTAAGCAGATCGCGATCTAAATTGTTGTAAACAAATTATTACAGTACCACTGAGGTGCGCCGCCATCTGGTGTGCGACTTTTTGTCGCGGCACACATCGGCGACGTTGATTCCAACGGAGAAGTTGCAATAAACGCTGCTCTTCTAACATCACTGTAGTGCCATAGTATTTGTAAATAATGACGACGTCAAATAGTAATTTTAATGTTGGATAAATGGCATATTGTACGGGGTATTATAGTGCGCGTTCCCATGGTGTGTGATTCCTGTCCGGTGACAACAGGAATATTGATAAGGCAGCCGGTAAAATCTGGGATTCTCCGCCAATCTCGTTGTATTTTGTTATCTCTTATCGCACAATGCGGCTGTATTTCGCGTTGCAATAAGTCTATAGTCCATTACCAATTGTGTGTCTATTGCTGGAAACCATGTATTCCAGACACGATATAGGCCATAACACGCCCAGCAAAGTTGGGGGCGGGGTCATATTTCGTAGAGGCAGATCGGAGGTCAGAGAAGACCACCTTAGGGAAATATCGGCAGCCTTCAGCCTTCTCGACTCGGCCAATACTGGGAAAATCGACTACCACGAGCTGAAGGTTAGTGGATGATTCCATAACATACGTAGTGTGAAAATAAGGGTTCTAATGATATTCTAGGTTGCTATGCGTGCTCTGGGCTTCGATGTTAAGAAGCAGGAAGTACTGCAGCTCATGGCGAAATATGACACCATGGAAACCGGATACATTGATTTCGAAGCTTTTAAAGAAATAAGTACGTTTAAAACATTTTGGATCCATCTATCTTATTGCAGTGGTCAAGAAAATATCGGAAAGGGACCCTATGGAAGAGATTAATCGTGCATTCGAACTCTTTGACGAGGACAACAAAGGTCGGTATTTAGAAAAGCAATGCGGATTAAAAATTTGCAGGCAAAATATCGTTTAAGGACCTCAAACGTGTATCAAAGGAGCTTGGTCACAACCTTTCCGATGAGGAGCTTAGGGCCATGATCGACGAGTTCGACAACGACAGGGACGGGGCCATCTCAAAGGATGATTTCATCGGTATTATGCGTCAAACCACTATCTACTAGGTATTAAGGTCCGCAGACGCTTTAATCCCCTGTAACATAGACACAGCTTTAATTTTGGTTAATTGATACATTTGCTTGTACCATCGAAGGGCGGCATCGAAATAGATACCCTATCTGACCACGTGGAAAGGTAGTGCAATTGCGCTTAATGTTGGATGTGGGAAGGTAATACAATTACACCGAATGTCAGCTATAGAAATGGTTGTGGCAAATCATAAGACAGGGTTGTCCAGGGCGACGAAAAACGATTAACGGAACATCGTCTCAAAATGCTACCGCAGGTGGCACGAGGACGCTGTTCGGAGAAGAGTATCAAACGTTCAGAAGCGGCCTTGATACGCAACAGCCAAGAATAAACACTATATTGATTGTGAGACGTTGCGATATAGGACCCGCATGTGTCGCGGCTAAAAGACGCTACGTGAACTAGGTTCGATTAGATGTCAATGCAGTTGGTGGGAGTATGCGATGGTAGGATTGGATCAGAATATACAACAGATCAGTTTCTTGATACAGCGTAACGGACCCCGTAATACCTTTTTATATATGATGACGAGAATTATTATGAGGATGACAATAATGATATAAACGCAACCGCTTGTGCATCTCTTTTTAGCATCATCAGCACCTTGATGACTATCACCAATATTACATAAACAATTCTTCGGTAACAGATACGAGAAGTACTCTTTCAATTGATCCCAAATATCACCCCCACCAGGTTGACTCATCTCTGCGCAACGATGAACAACTTACTCAAGGTTGTAATAGTTGGGGGGTTGCGGTACCGAGATTACCGGGGCATAGATATGTAGTAATGTAGGTTTCTATGGATTCTGCTGTCTAATCGCAAACATAATCTAAAATGCCTCCTCGCAGCCCGTTTTGACGACGCATTGCACGGTGGGTAAGCATTGGTCCACCGCACACTGTGTTGCATTCATTGCGTAACACAGTTATTTGTTCCACAATTGTCGACGTCATGTTGTCTTCTTATGAAAACCCGAAATCGTAGCTTCCGTTGCGCAACTTCCTATGCTGGACGCGAGGTGTAGAAGGTACCCTTTGCATGATTGAATTAGCGATGGAGTTACTTCATCGAACCCTGTTATTATAGCAGTACGCACTTGCAGAATAATCATACTTGTCTCTTGTTGCTGCATTGAGCAATGTGTGATCCCCTTCCCGGGTAAAACATCACATGTTTTCCCGGCATTTGCGAAGCTTCGTTTCCTAGTAACGGCTTCTCTATCAGTCTATATATCGCATATCATCATCTCATTTCCACTTGGTAGCCTTCGAGAGGTTAAATATATAGTATTTTGATTTACCGTCACGTTTGCTTCCCCGCTTTCCACCAACTGGTTTCCGCTGTCGCAGTCTCCGGAGAGTACATTAGCAATGGAGCTCGACGTGTATGGGAGCGCTGAACAACAAAATATTTATCGTGTTTGAAACCCCTTTGACGCACTAGTGAAGCCCTGTAAGCAATTACCTCAATCGGTATTCTAGAGTTGCCATTGGATCAAAAATTCCGCGGATCCGAAACTCCGTGACAATTCTCCATTCTGAGACTTTTATGAGACCATGCCGTTTATTGTCTTCAATGTATTAGTCTGCCAGCATCAATCTCAACATACGTTTTTCCACTTCGGTGGCAGCAGCAAAGCATAAAGTGACACACACGAGCACTTTAACAGATTTGAAATATAATGTAACTGCAAGGTCGGATTATAAAACAGAGGAAGCATAATCACAAATGAAGCCTGTACGTGAGATCGAACCACGCAGCTTGAGGTTTTGTTTTTTTTAATAAGTAACGCTGCAGACATTAAAAGGACGGCGTGATAGCTGGCTTAGCATGAGATAAAACACAAACCATCTCTCTGTGAAGTGGATTGTCGACCACCGTAACGACTACATATCATTTCCAGTAACGAAGTACATGAACTGGTATTTTGTGCCATGCTGAACTGGAGCATGTAAGGCCAGGTCGAGTTAGGGAAGATGGTTGGGTTTTAAAATTCGACGATCTACCATTACGGTTGATTCGAACGACCCGCCGCGGTTGTCGTGATCTATGATATTTAAGGGAGCACGTGGTAATATTGAATTTGCAGGTGCTTAAACCTCAACTGGCATCGACGGATCACCATAGATTCTGTACTCGCTGATGACCGATGAAATGGATTGCGTGGCGAAAGCAGCGTAGATCCCAGTTTGAAAAGTGGAAGTGTTAACGTTTAGCGCATATGTTGAGTTGACACGTACGAAGGTGGCGCATCATTTCATACAATGTTTAGGCTCATAGGATCATTTGGGTAGAGAAGGTTAGGAGTATGGGCCTCCCCTGGTGATATATGGATATAATGCTGATCTATGTAGTGAAGTCAGCCCTTCGGTACATTTGGATACAGTGGAGCATGCGGTTACATGCTACCATGGTAGCGCCACTGTAGTAAAGGTGGCTGTGAAGGCGGTGCAACCTGATCCGGGTAGATATGGGACTGGGTTCTATATAACATATAGTTGAATGTAATGTAATCGTCATTGTGTTAGCAACTTGACTGGCCAGTGCATATAGTGGTGGTGAACGCTCGTGGTGTGTCATAGTTGCGGGATATTCGACCGTTATGACCAGGAATAAATTCTACGGCGCCTTGCATGCGTAGACGTAAGCTCCATATGGCTATATGCTTTTAGAAATGGTATATTCTTGAGGTACGCTGTTCATCTATGTGCAGGGTTTATAAAAATGGGTAATCTTCCGTCGCTTGATTGGATTCCGTTACCGAAGCCTTGCCTGTTGTGTGGTAGCGATAGTAGCAATAGTGAGCAGCGGAAATGCCAATATTATTGCCCGTATGTCATCGTTGCCGTCTTGATAATACTTCTCATCGTATTATATAAAAAAGTATTACGGGGGCCGTTGTGCTGTATCAAGAAAATGATCTGTTGTATATTCTGATCCAATCCTACCATCGCAGATTTCTCCACCAGCTGCATTAGCATTGAGTCTAAACTCATCAACATAGCCTTCTTAAGCCACGTCACATCCACGTTGTGTGGTTGCGTTTTCTTAGCTTCACTCCCTATCGCAGCTACTCACCGCACAGACGCCAGATGTAGCTTTAGCGTGGTGTATCGCCACTTTGGGGCGCCACGGACACGTGGATCCGCCGATCTCTAGCACCCAGGCCTACCCGGACAGGCGCCACGAAACATCAATTGATCTGTCTGCACTTGCTGCGATAGTGATGGTCGCGGATGAGTCTATTATGCACAGCGTTGGTTTCATAGACGATCACCCTTCCGCTGCACTGCTTGTTGGCCACTAGGTTTTGTTGAACTGCAGATGGGTCGACGCAGGCACCCTAGGAACCGTTGCCATATGGGCTTAGAATTACTGTTTTAGTTCACCGCATCACTATGAGATGACGTTTCCTGAGGCGCCTGAAAAATTATCTGAAGTATTCGTCCCTATCCGAAATGCAATTGTCCTATTGCATAGCCGTCTGCACAGAGTAGTAGGACAATGTGTCGTCCTGCTGTTCGACGGTTGATCTGCTCACGTTCGAATGTCGATTCGGCCTGACGTTGGCATTGGAAAATGCGGCAATTCCACTCAGCTTACCGGTTTCACGTGAATATACCGATGGTTCGGGCTTCCACGCACCCAACAACCAACACCAATAGCGGACGATTCATAAGCCTACAGGGCGTCACATGCCAAAATAATCATATATCACACTATACAACTTGACAGACAGATAATAAAGTTAGAAATCATTAGCGTCGCATAGCATATCACTGGTCAATAAGTGGCACTATCAATGTCAATCGTTGGATCTACAGTGTCATGGGTGAGGAGTGGGTGGAGACCACCCCAGCGAGCAACATGGAGTAACGCGTGCTTACGTGGACGTGAGTGCAAGTGAATTAGGGTATGAACTAGTGGAACAACGAGGCTATTGTCGTTCGTCTGCAAGGCGTCTTGTCGTCAGTGTTTGTAGGAACCAGAAGTCGAAACGCGGTGTGGGCAGATGGGGCCGAGAGGCAGACTAGGGTAAAAGGGAAATTGAAAAATGTTTTGTAAGGTAACTCCTCAAGAGGTACGCCAAAATATGATAGCCGAGAGCCGCTACTATTTTAACATCCGATGTGACACGTCTACGTGGGCTAGATGAGGCTACTGGACTGGCGGCTAGGATATGCTGGGCAAGTATCGGAGAACAGTCACGAACCGCATTTCCTGGATCCCGAAGTGGAAAAATGACATGGTGATGAAGCATGCCGCCACGTCAACGCTGCATAATTGCTGTAATATTGGAATTTCACGTGGCCATTTTGTTCGCAGTATCTATTAAATGATTAATCAATGTTAATTGATTATTGAAGCTACTTGAAATAATCACGTAGTGTATTAATGTTCGGCATCTGTTGCCAATTTTTGAAATAGATGATGAGGCAAACGATAAGTAAAGCTAGAAGGATTAAGGAGAGAACGGCAAAGGCAACAGTGCCGGGATGCTTTTTGGTTTTACAACACTCACAGTCGCAATTCCCCCAACGTTTCTCTTTGCACTGTTTACATTTGTAAATATTGCAGTAGTACTTTGCATTGTGCTGACTGCATATTGAGCAACTTGCGCCCTTACATTTATCACAACACCGGGAACAACACTTACATTTTTCAGAACTACATTTCTTGTTCGCAAAGGTACATTCACACTGTGCCGCCGTCATCCTCCCCTCACCCTCTTAACAACAAACCCTGCACAGCGATGAAGAACGTATTTCAGCCCGAACATCTCAATGTCACTAGCCAACAGACCATACAAGAAATGACCAGGGATACCACAATCTACATGCGTTGCACGACTAACGTTCTTCACTTCGAATTACGGACAGCACACGCACTTTATCTATGCTACTATATTGGTGCGCCAATGAGTGCTTAGCTGAGTCACCATACCTGTTTGCCGTATTAGTGATCGTAATAATGATGCCCATGAACGCCACCTAACTAGGACGTCCACTGGGCATCACGTCGGAAAGTTTCAGCGACATCCATTGCCTGGCAGAGCACATGATAGCTGAGATGCTAACCACTCATCTAGCAGACAAGCCACTGGCTCACGTGGTATGGCATCGTCACCTGCCTATGTTGAGGGTCACGCACTCAGCTTCACAATACACTGATACCGTCGCATGGCACAGGCACGTCTCACTAATAACCCGAGACTCGGCATTCCGTACAACAAGTGCCGCAACTCGTCAACTATATCAAGTAATATTTCGAGGTGGTATCCTCGAGGTTATAGACAAGTCAATTTCATGAATGCATGAAACACCGCTAACGGTCACGCATATCTGGCATACCTCTGCACAGGACAAAATCACATGAGAAATGTACATGTAATTTCGATAATTGTTACTTGCTGTAAAGTAACTCAGAAGGGTCATCATCAAACTAATATACGTCGTTGTATATTGAGAGCATTGTGCTGCTGGTGGAGAGGAGCGCCTTGACGTCTATGAGGTGAGAGGCCTTGGAGCATACGAAGTGAGAGCATATGTGCAAAACGTCCAGGCAGTATAGCGTCGTGCGTTCTATATAGAGGGCTGCGATAGACCACTGTGTAAGCAGGGTAAAGAGGAAGGGCATACGGACATAGTAGAGGAAATCATCCATGCAGACCATAAGATTTGCGATATGCCCCCCGGCGACGTGAACCCGTGAGTGTAGAGGAGGGGCAGCGCCTTGTCACACTGTTGGATGGGTTTGAAGTCGTGACATTGAAGGCCCTCGAGATCGTATAGCAGCTTGAGCAGCGAGTCCCACAGTCTGTCGGGTAGGTAGACCGTCCAGCTGAGGTAGTGGTGTACGAAGCTGGAAGAGTACAGGGCGTAGGCCCGGTAGGTGATGGCCGTCATATGCTGTGGGCAATTGGCATTATCGATGCCACAGCCAAGCAGCGTTTACAGGGTCTTGGGATGCCCATTGTCGTGGTTGGAGCTTGGAGGGGCGGAGCCCCGGATGCCCTGGAGGGCTTGGAGGTCGTCGGCAGCAAGGATGTCCCAGTCGGGGCAGTGAGGATGTGCATTGCAGAGGGCGGAGCCCAGTGGAGACAATCCTGAAGGAGGATTGTGAAGAGCATTACCGAAATTGTGGAAGAAAGAAACAAGCCCCACGGTGATGTGTGGCGTCCGCCGTGTGAGGCACTTGAGGTACGAGGACAATGTCAGCAGGGGATCATTACCGCCGCAGCTGAGAGAGAGGATGGTGGAAATATGCTTTCCATCTTTGGAGTCCTTAGAAAAACCATCCTTTTTGAATCCCATCCTGACACGGCTCTTGAGGCAGATGTTGTACGGGTCGAAGAGGTCAGTCTTGAACTTGGAGGCGGAATAGAGGATGTTGATCAGGAAGGCATAGAAGCGGAATCAGGGACAGCCTGATCACTTATGACGTGCTATCACAGAGGTGTTGAAGCACACCTCATATTCAAGCCAATTGTTGCCCAGATAACAGTTGTCTTAAGGTGCAATAATTTGGTGGGCATCGGGATGTACATTTGTATCGATCTTGCAAAGGCAGTAAGCTAGCGTTGAATCGAGAACTAGTATACGTCCTAGACATATATTTTTTATAAATATAGTTAAACAGATTTTAAATATTCATGATGAACGATTTCTTTGATGTCCTTGTGTCACTTTTCTCTATATGAGCTGGCCCATTATTCTGGGGTAAAACGGATTACGGATGAAGGTCCTGTCGTAAGTAGCGCTTGTTTTATCCTGCACATTAGATGCATTATATGTACTATAATTAATCGTCATTTGATCGCAATGGATGTCATGAAGCATGGTACCGCATAAGATACCTAAACGTGATGTTCCTCCTCTGATGCCTATCTTGTGAGCTTCCGCTAACAGTTGATTAAAAAGGTCATTTGAAGACGATCACAGCGAAATCAATACGGTCAAAATGGCAGTGTTGCAGGCAGCGACCCCGACTTCAACAAAAAAAGTTGAGTACGGCGCGTTGGCACAAGCACTCTGCAGCCTTGTGTCTTTCATGGAAGGATACGACCAGCAGGTGTTGTCCATGTGTATGAGGGCTTTCGAGTTGACATTGGGGTTTTCTCAGTCGCAGTTGTCTACCCTGGCGACCGTGTCTACTATGTCGCGCATGGGTTGCTGTTTAATTTGGGGGTTGCTGGCAGATAAGTACAAATCAAATCATGTCCTCGCAGCAGGTCTGTTAGTGATGGGTATGGCTTCGATTATTCTAAGTTCGGCGTCGCAGTATAGATCGGTAAGTTACAATTTTGACTGATAATGCTTCCTCAGATTGTATTCCTGCGCTTCTTACACGGCTTTGGCTTTGCTTGCGTCTATCCCGTGCAACAGAAAATCGTTGCGGATTCAAAGGAAACAAAGAAACCAGAGGGAGCACCGGGAAAACCAGGATCAGCGGGGTCATCAGGTTCAGACGGATCCACCGAAACAAATGATTCGAGAGAATCAACGGATGGAAAAAGTATGTTCACGATTTTTCAGGCTCTAAATTGCATTGGACGGCTGTTATGCGCAGTCATAACTACGCTTATTGCGCGCAAAGTATTATTGGGATATTATGGCTGGCGAACTTCTTACGTTGTTATAGGGTACGTATGGATATTGTTCGGTATTTCCATTGTATTCGGAATGGAAGGTCAGAAATGCTCATCTTCTAATGCTACACAGGATGTTCCACAGACGGGTGGTGGTGGTGAAAACAAACCATTTTACGACTTACTAGCAGATGCAGCCAATGCGGTTTTTACGGGGGCAACAACATGCCTATTAATATTTACTTTGTTCATCGCAGAAGCTCCAATGTGTGCATTTAATTATATGACCATATACCTCCAATATTTGGGAGTATCCGACACAATGGCAGGAGTTGCCATTGCGATTACATTGATTGGCGGCGCAGTGGGAAGCGCAGCTGGTGGGAAAATTATAAAGATAATTGGAAAATCATTTGACGGCTATGGTGAACTCATTTCCGGAGGTGTAGTCATGGTCGTCCGAATAGTTGTGTCTCTATTATTCTTCTTAGGTGAGGCACCATGTGGGAGGTTACTTTGGTATCATTACATAGAGTTGGCAACGCTTGGTGGAACCTTGGTAACGATAGGTGGTGTAGATAGGGAACTTATGAAGAAAGCAATCAAAGATGAGTACCAGGGTACAGCGGCTGCCATGATTCGAACCATATCCGGCATCGCAAGTAGTGTGATTCTCTTCCAGGTTTCTGCATATTTGACCGAGAAGGTGTTTGGCTACGTTCCCTCTAGGGAGTCTTTTGAAACCATGGCTGCAGAAGTTAAAGAACGCAACGCCGAAGCGCTGAGGAAATCAATGATGTACATTATTTTGGCTGGCACATTACTCAACGTGGTTTGCTATATTGCGTTGGTTTTTACGTTTCCGGGAGATAGGGATAAAATTAAGAACGGAAATGGTCAGGCACAATAGGAATCAATACACTGATTTTCGTGGAGTATTGCTGCTTGTAATCCAGGAATAGCGGAAGTTATTCGAGCAATTGCAATTTGAGGTCTTTCATATTTTCGTTGCACAGATGTGGTAAGGGTATTGGGACCAAAGCAGTTTTATGAGACTGCACCCCAGCTGCGATTGGTATTTGCCATGATCGTGCAAAGGGTAGTTGGTAGAAGATTTATAGTTCATAACCTCAGAAAGAAGTGTATTCATGGTGGACCGAATGTAAATGATTTGCTATTCACTGCTTTCTACACAATGAGGTTGCCAATCAGCAAGTACGTGTGTTCCTAAAGAAGGATTAAAAACGTCCTCAACCACAATACTAGCTACCGCACCGGTCGTTAATAACAAGACGGCAACGTATAGAGGTGTTCTGCGAGCGTCTCTTCTCAAACACTAGTGTGCATTTGGAGGTCCTAACATTCCACGTTAATTGACGCAGTATATTAATGCAAAGATCAAACTTTACTGATTAGAAAAAGCCTGAATAGTAGATGCCACATCCTTGATACTCGGATCCCACATGGTAGGATCATTGTGCCATTTACCCAGCGGCACCTCTCATCTCAGTCGACTACCTCTCCCATTTGCTCCGAACAATCCCTCATAGGATATGTGTTTCATGGTGTAAACAAAGAATTAGTTAATCTAATGTAAGGCGTCAGATTGTATCCATAATGATATCAGACCACTTATTGGGATGCGTATTGTCAAACGTGGATTATTCACCGTTGGCAGCCACTACACTTCGGAACCTTTTATCATAATGCACTATATCTATGACCTTATTATGAAGTCGTTACTTGCTTGTTTATCAACAACACCCATTCAGCTGCACTAGGATCACGGCATCTCGTGTTGTTTGTGAATTTTATGCCAAAAAAGTCGGGATTCCGAGGGTATTCAAATTGTCGATCGACTTCACCAGGAAGCAGTGATGTGTCCAGGAGCATTCCCTCATGACGTCGATGAATGCTGGAAATAAATTGCAGCTTCGCTTCTCCTTGAGCACTATGCTCAGATAACACCGTTTGGCATCAAAACGCCCATAAATCGGCACCAATATAAAATTTTCAATCAGTAATGGGTGGCAGCGTCTTGATTATTTCAAGCACCCTTGATGCAGATTGAACGGCCGGGACACTTCGTTCCAGTGCCAAAATCTTGCCATCACGCCTAATGACCACATGTGACCTGTTAATCAAAAAATGCATCCAGGTGCACTTCAAGTGTTTAATAACGGTCCAATCCGGATCCATCAGGACGGTGAAGTTTAGTTTATGCTTCTTCACCCAATCCTCGGTAGAACGTCCTGACACTCGCGTCATACCGTAGACTTGGTACCCAAGAGAGTGAAACGATTCGGTCGATGAGCTGAAATCGCATGCCTGTGCGGTGCAGAATGGTGTATCGATGCTAGGGAATAAAAACATCACCACACCCTTGCGATCGCTGGGCATGTTTGATAAAATCGAGCGAAGAGTCGCCTCCCCCCCGTCATCCTTTAGCAGCTTTGAATCTAATACTTCACTTGGAAGCGTACTACCGATCATCTTGTCTACACTCTTTGGCAACTGTGGACTGAGGTGAGGACCCAACAAATGCCTTATTATCTGGGAATATGCTCGTGTTGAAGCGGTCGGTAAACACACTAGGAAAAGAATCGGGGACAAAAAACGATTTCTCAAGACGCACGAAAACATAACAAAGCTGTGCTACAACGCAAACTAAACACGAAGGTGGACTTATAATAGAATCATGGTACCTATGTACACCTTCAAAGATACAAAGTGTAATTCGGACGTATCCAAAGCAAGGCTTTTGGGCCTTATCTCGCAGCACTAGCGGTATGTAGTGCGTTCAGTGTAGACAAGTGTTACGCCGAAGCAGCGAAATGTGTAAGTCTCGGACACCCACCTTACACGACGGTGTGCCTACCAGCAAGAATTCCCGACAGAAACGCTTAAAGAACTCTATTTGCCTAAAATATAATATGAATCTGTAGCACTAAATTATGTTGTAACTTTATGTGGCAAAACTAAGGTGTCTTCACGCCGCGACGAAGTTGGGAAGAATCAGCCGCAGGTCCATCACACATTAGAGTAATTCTCAAACGCTCCCAAGTAATCCGCATTAACCGTGGCGATGGCGAACATGTTAGAATTGTCGTAGCGTATACCCTGAATCCGCATACGAACTTCCGTTTGCGGCTTTATGCTAATCGTGCCGTCAGAGTAGCATGGATTCGCGGCATCGTTGTCATATACAAAGCTCGGTTGAATGGCAGTGCGCGATACGAATGCCTTCAAAGGGCCAGCTTGAGCAAAAAACCCGAGTTTGTTCACGTCCGTCACTATAGCGTCAAGTACCTGTGACACAATGAGGTTACTCTATCTCACGCAGCCAATCAATCAGCAGCGGGTGTTTATTTGGCACAACAAAATATTATACCACTAGAAACTAATGAACGACATACCTCATCGTTAAAAGGCTTGAAAACTATGGCCTGGTATTTCACGTTCACCACGATCATGCCAGTGCCATCCTGGACGCGGCCAATTTCGTTCTTAATTATACGGATGACACATACAACATAACCATATTTCGAACTACAGTGGCCCTCGACCTGGTTCCGCAGCATCTCCTCGATGTTCTGCTGGTAGCTCGGACCTAATTGCGACGGCTTCACATTTATAATCTTCCATTGTTCCACGACAAAGTACATCTTATACTATATTATAGAATGCCATAGTATGTCTAGTTAAGTGGTTTCTTAACGCAACAACGAAAAGACAGGCAACGACTTTACTCCCCTACACATCCCAATAATAACGTCTGTAGCTCGCACATAACAAGTAAAATCATCAATGAACCCTAGCAAAGGAAAGCTTGTAGCGTTGCTGCGTAAATATTTCAGATCTAACCGTCCAAGTGCCACTGTACCTACATCCAAGAAACCTAAGAGGCCATGCCACCTTTCACCCATGCTCACCAAGAATTACGACATCTCTACGATTAGACCGGAGTTATACAACAAGTAGGTGGCCTAACATAGGCATATCTATTGTTATATGGCAAAGTATGTGTGATAATGCAATGCATTCGTCCGTATGCACCTGTTAGACCTGCCACAGGTATATACAAGACGAAAGACGGCCAGTCAACCCGCGAGGCGCATTGCGTTCTCCATGAATATGTATGAGGAACTGCAGGGCAATCACACATGCCACACTGTTCAGAGTATACCGAAAAACAACTCCTGGTTATCTTCGGAGTGACACATTCTTGTTTTTAAAACCGCCGGCACATTGGCGCCAAATGAAGCGTGAATACAGCGAGTCTATCTGAGATTCCTAGAGTTTGTAGTTGTGTGCCATGGTAGGCCCATATCAGCAGAAACAGCAAAACAAGCCTTTGAAAAATCTTAACGGGCTCCGTAATACGTAACATAATAAGCCGATAAGCATCACGAGGAGGCCAGAGACAATATACACGCAATAGTATTTGCATTCTTCATTACCGGTACCAGCACCAGCTTTACAGAACGGACAGGACTTACGATTCAGAACCAGCAAAACCTGCTTCCAAAACTCTTGCAGACTTGTCTTAATATGATCCCAGATACTTGTCGCTGCTCCCGACACCATCTCTCCATATCGATGAACAACATACCGAGATGGTGGTGACAGTTGAGGGATGGGATAATCTAGTTACCACACCATGGATATATATAACAAGTTGCCTTCTCTTAATGTACGTTATGTGGCGTTGGGCAGAATCTAAAATGTTTGGCAGGAGCCCATTATTAGGACGCATTGCGCCGTGGTCTAGCACGGTCTACCACATACTGTCTTGCATTCAATGTGTAACCGAGTCATTTATCACACACAATGATTAATGTCATAATGTGTTTCAATGACAACCCCAAACCGTTGCTTCCGTTGTGCAATTTCCCACTCTGGACGCGAGGTGTGGTAGGTACATTTGCATGACATAAATAACGGAAGTGTTACTCCATTGAAACCTGCAATTATAGCAGCATTAGCTTGATAAGTAATCATAGTTCTATGTGTTTGCTGCGTTGATCAATGTGTAATCGTCTTCCAAACCGTAACAATACAACAGTTCCTGAAGGACTTTACCTTCACGGGTGGCCGTCAAGCTTTGTTCTTAAATAACGAATTCTTTGTCGTATAATGACGCACGTTTTGGCCATATCACAGTTACTTCCCTTTGAGGGATTCATCGTAATATTTTCTCGATATGATCTATGAATCATTTCCATCGCGTTGTCTATTGCTCGCAGGATGCGACGAGTGAGTAACAGAGCTAGACAGCCTAATGAGGCACTTAGCAATCACGCATTGATCGGATTCCGAACTTTATTTAAACAGTAGTATCCGAAACCCCGTAAACAATTACCTTCAACCGGCTCCAGTGGCCGTAGGTGAAACATTGTTTCAACCAAGTCAGAAACATCTCACGGTTTCCCTTTCTAAAACATCCATAGTTTCATAAGATTAGCTGCCTTAGACTGCTTACTCTGTCATCAGTTCCCCCAAATCCGGGTTTTACACATCTATGGTAACAGCAAGGCTTCGAGGAATGTCCACTAGACCACATCGCATCCAGCATAATGAACACCCGCGATTTGACACAATTACTGTCGTACTATATGTTGCTAGCTAGTATAGAATTATACATCTATTCAAATGGTGCTGAGCGGGGCCACAGTTCACAGATATGCTCATATGAGGTGGTACCCAGCCCTATACCGTAACAACCCTAAACCTAGATGTTATCTCACGTAAACCACTGTCGCCATCGCCAATGTGGCAACTTCGTCAGCATCCACGAAACAACTCAGCCACACTAGAAACGGATACCCCGTGCTGCAACCAACCGGCACCGATCTGTCGGAGAGGTGACTAGTACGATCTCCCCGATTTAAAGCCGATATTAACATAAGGATTGTGAACAATGACTGCCATGGTGCATAATGAAATCTAAAAGTGAAGTGTATCCGCACAATGCGGGGTTTCCTTTTTTATGAACGATTGATCTCATACGTGAATAGCGTGGCATTTACCCAGCTCAACATTAGGGTAGGAGGACAAACTAACGCTACGAAACGCCATGTATAAAACGACAATAATGACAACCGTTGAAGAGAATGCCGTCAGTGAGACTGCTATCAAAGGTCGTATTCAATGGACGCTAGCCACGTCAGGCCGAGTTGGGAAAGGTTAAGGGATTGGATGGCATCAATGGCCAAAGTTGGATATAGACCGGAATGCTGCATTGGCGCATGCTGCTACATGTCAACATGGTAGTGCCACAGTAGGGGCAGTGGCAGGGTGGCGCGAGATGAGATGTGGATGTTTTCTTGGCTATGATGTGTCTTAATGAAATATTATGATCACAATGTGAAATATTTAATGCGTCAGTGCACGATGTAAACATGTATCTTCGTGGTGTGTCATTGACTGGAGAACTGTGACTGCTCTTCGCGAAGCTCCGGTCCCACATTGCGTTGCATGCGTCAAGATAAGCTCTCAATACCACTGCTTCGTTAATAATGGCAGAGATTTCGGGTGGGCATGATTCTAGTGCTAAAGGTTTGTTTAGTGACGCAGTTGTTTAGCCAGGCGTGTTCGTGGCCCACTCCCCCTTTTCGGTCATGTTGCTCATAGTTGTGCAGAGCAGACTATATGGCAACAGGTCTTGGCGATTCTGACGCTGGAAAAATGTGCATTTGGGCAGCATGGTGGTAAGGAATGCAATACCTATTGCGTTTATTTTTTCTCCGTCTTCCTCGCAATGCTTATCGGTGTAGCGTGTTACATATTACGTCACCCGATGTTCTTTCTGAGGGGGATATTTTGTTGTCTGTACTGGTTGTAGCCAACCGCTCTAAACTTCTACAAATGCCGATGCTATCCCAGGTCCACATGATCACCATAGCCTTACGCAGTCGCGGCGCTGTCAATGTATTTGGTTGCGCATTCCAGTCGCTAGTGTCTATTGCGGCCAATAAGCGTACTCCAGACACGTGCGGTTATGTCGTTGTGTCGCAGCAGGCGTGCGCTTTATACACGTAAATCTACCGCGTAGTACCACCAGCAAATCAGGCGTTGCACACGTGTCTGTAATTGATGCGATGGCATTGATCGCAGGATAGTATATTATTCACAGGGTTGGCTACGCAAACGACTGTCGCCCTTGCGCTGCACTGCTTGTTGACCGCTAGATTTTTTTGAACTGCAGATGGGTCGACGCAGGCACCTTAGGAACCGTTGCCATATGGGCTTAGAATTACTGTTTTAGTTCACCGCATCACTATGAGATGACGTTTCCTGAGGCGCCTGAAAAATTATCTGAAGTATTCGTCCCAATTCGAACCGCCGTCCTCGATACCCCTTCATACGGAGTAGTGTGACAGCGTCTCGTCATCCTCTGCGGGGATGAATTAACCAATACTCGTGTGTCGATACAGCTCTACGTCGGCCTTGTTCAATTCGTCACTCTCACCAGACGCACATGATTCTTGTAAAAATCCCGATGATTCGGATATCCATGGACCCGATAACCAAAACCAACAACTCGCGATTCATAAGCCTACAACGCGGCCCATTGCAAAACATAATCACGTACAACACGACACATCGTGAGAACACATTAACTAAGTGTAGCAGACATTACACAACACAAATCATAACAAGGTAACAAATGAATACGTGAATGCGATAATTGCTACGACACATCAAGTTGGCCAACAGTATCGTCGTCGGAGTAATCGACATCGTGGTATAGCGAGAGCATTTTCCGGCCTTTAGTGAGTGAGCCCTTGTCGTCAATGAGGTGGGAGCGGATACGGATACTACATTGAGCCGTGTTTATGCCGTTCTTTTTAACTAATGCGCTGCTACGATGTAATTCATGAACGCGTTCGCAGTACCTGCCGATGCATTGTTTTAAACTTTAAATAGGACGTTATTAGTTGGCATCGTGCCTTTACTGTCTAAACCTGTGCGATAATAATAAATATCGGGAGTGATTAAAGAATGCGACATACAACTTTCACTTGCGGACGAAATAATCACGGACTTTGTGGAACGGTCGAATGCGAAAGAAGCTCGTAACGCATACGACGATGAGGATGAGAATGAAGACGACAGTGATTGGAGCGGCGACACTGGTGGTTGAACTGTCACTGGGGGGATCCATGGTAGCGGCGGCAGGGCGCGGACGTTTCTTTTGACAACATGTACAATCACAGGTACGACTTTCACATTTGGTCTGACAGTTCTCCGTCGTGCAAGCGTAATCTTTCTCGGGTCTGATGCCCAAGTCCTTTGCCAGTTTGCATTGAACGCAACTCTCATTCTTATATCCTTCACAACAACAGGGACAGCACTCACAACTAGATGGTCCATCACATTTAGCACCACAGTCGCACTGCGTAACACTCATCTTCCCGCATCTCACCTGTCATTAGCCTGCACAGCCATGAAACACGTACCTTGAGCTTCGAACAGTAGAACCGCCAGGCCGATCCCTCTCACCGTTTCATGACCTACCAAAAACTACCACGCGGTCCACCACAGGGATGCGACAGCCGTGCTCTGCGCACCATCAACATATTGCTTCCGGCACGATGCATGTGAACAGTAACGTTTACATGGAAATAATGAATTCGAAGTTTCCACAATCCATGTTGCGCAACGGAAGTCTACTTTACATAATCAATCATAGTATCGTTAATGTGCGCTAGGTGAAGCTGCCGTCTCATAATGCAACCCATGCGTACTACCCCTACACGCCTTCCACATCATAACTCAGGAGAATAAACCTATGCACTCCACGACATCTCAAAAGTCACACATACTTATCCCATTTGCCATCATGTAGTATTTTCATTTTGTATAGGCTTAATCGAAGCGTTCAAACGTTTTCTCGTTTGTTTGCCGCCTCACCGTCACAGAATTGGCAACTATGACCTATTTAACGTATATTACAAAATGGAGAAAACTATACAGCACAACAGAACCTTATATTTTACAATAAGTATAGGTGACGTTAATTGTAGTGGAATATATATAAATTTTGCCTATTTGTTCTAACGGCAGATTTTCCCCCAGCAGGGTTAGCACAAAAATATCTAGAGGCGAGGCAAAAGCTTCTTTGGCCTCATAAATGAGATTAACAGCGATGACCAAACCAGTACAGATGCGACATATTATTGATACGATCTATTTAATATTTGTTTTATCGCTGCTTAGATTGAAGGCGTGAGGCTCACTCGTTACCTTTGTTTGCTCAGCATCATTCGTAGCACTAACTTTAGGTTTTCCGAGAAACCGTTGCTTAATCTTATCTGGCATGTAGGATCTCGCAATCGGCCGCTGGTCCCGATGTGGGAACCTCCAGAGGTCTCCCCACATAGCATCCCGTGCGCATCTGAATCGCATTCTCCTCAGTGGCAGATTGCTTACTTGTATCCACTGCTCTCTGGGGTGTTCTTGGGTACAACCTGGTAATAGTAATGATGTGTGTTTCGATTTTTTGTTTGACGATGATTTTCCAACACTTACTATCCTTTTGAAGTTATTTGGAGCCGAACATAGGTCCATTATGACCCTTCTACCAAGCTTTAGTGGTGGCTGCATATAATTACTGGGAAGTGAATAACAACGTTACCATTACGATGCGTGGCCAAAAGAATGACTGTTCTTGCGCATTTTTAGCGTCCGCCTCACCGCTCAATTTTTGTCTGCACGTTGTCTCGAAGGTCGGTTGTTGGCATACCGTGGTCCTGCGGACTTCCCAACCACCAAGTACGAATACTTTTCGTTGTCTATAGATCTAGCGATTGAACCCTACAAAATTTAACGACTACTATATACAAACTACCTTTTGATATAGATAGTGTGGAATTCTGTAGATGCGTTGGGAGAAGTGACACCAGTCCTTTCCCGTCAAAGCCAGTGGACAGAGTCCTTCATGTGGGCACTGCATCGTTATTATGCACACCCAATACAGATTCCGACTCACAGGAGCCATAAAGTGGAAACGATCCTTTTCCAGTTGCGATATGAATACTTCACGGATGGAATGTAGAATTCTGAACCCAGTTGGCGTTCCAGGCTCAACTATAGCCTGCACATGAAATTTCCACTGGCGACAACAACAATGCGTACCATGTATCCTCCCACTTTGATTCGATTCCAAAGGTTCTTGACAAGCAGTGATCTTGCCTGAATGACCGTCATGATGCCGCTGTTAATATTGCTACCTCGTATCCTCGTATGTTTGTCAAGCTATATGGGATAACAACACAATCAAAGAGATCGGTGCTGTCATATACGTCGCTTTGGAAGCGCATGTTTTTGAACGCTGTGAGCAATGCCTTGTCATCATAAACTCCTACCTGGTATGAGATATTCGCATATTTTGAGAAGATTTGTCGACGGTTCAACGATCAGTATATCTTCGAAAGTGTTTAGATCCCATATGGCATGTGCCGCCCTGATCGTGTTGGGATGAAGCGTTGGTTATAACCTACGCCACCGACGCCCCAGCTCCTGCATTGTAAAACATGATTCGCGTCGGTTTAAGTTGCGGCGCCCTTAGCTTCATCTGTGAACGCGTGTTATGGATCTGTGATATTGTAACTACTTCGTTGAATATGCGGAGGCACACTGCGTAGTGGCCGAAGAAAGTGTGCGCCGTATGCGCAACTGCGATGTTGGGTGAGAAATGTATGGTTGAGTTCTACAACGGTGATGATATGTTTGGAGTGCAAACCCACTTTGTGCCGAGCGTCTTCTGCCTCGGCAAGTTCGATTTGCGCCTGCTCATTCACCCCTAGTTTATTTTGTTGGAACAGCGTTTTGAGATGAGCGAATTCCGGCTCGTTGGAAAGTTGTTTCATCCCCTCAACGTACTCCGCGTTAACAGAGTCAGAATCTAACAGGACTGATTCGAAGGTGAGACGCAATAAAAACTGGCAACGTACTCGACGGCAGCACCCGCGGGACCTCCACGGATCTCCTGGCGGCTAGCCTTTTGGCGATGTACGATCCGGAGGCATCGATGTCCTTCTTCTTTCCAGCAGCCTTGATGAGCTGAAACAGTTTGTCTTTGATCAAGCTGGGGAACGGTAGGGTCTTGATGGAGATTCTGCTGACATCGTCCAGCTCGTTTGATGGGATGGAATTTGCCGGTTTATACGGCAATATACGATCAAACTGGAAGCCATGGTGAATATAACGCGCATGTACACCGCCACACATCACAGATCCGCCAATGTGTTGTATGTGCGATATATATCCTCCACATATGCTCTCCGCTCTGCATATTTGTGTCTGGACCATATGTTTGCTGGCCTTCAGTCCACAACATTGATAGTACCGGAACTTAGACATGGTTAGCTTGCTATATTAAGCATTTATGGAACCGACAATTGTACACCCATGTCGGCATCTATTGCTGTCTGGTGACTGCAAGTATTGGCACCCGGTTGACAACCGAGCCGAGCTTACACCTTTGAACGCACATGCTTCGGCATTTAACTAATAACAATACACATATGTTGATAGTGTCTGATTGGGCATATTTGTGGAATCTCAGTTAATCGTGGGCAGTACTGCCATCCTCCGTAGCCAGTCCGGTTTGATCTACACATTTCGCCCAAAGACATCAAAGGTCACAGTTCCATCTACGTGATTTTTAGCAGGTGATAATCTAGCGTTTCTACCGTCGAATAACGAAGGTTGATCACGTGTGTCGTCTCCTGTATTAAAGGTGATTGTCCACTTGGTGTCGCGCTGTGGAGCTTTAAAGCATAGATTTCGACTGCCGGTCTTCACTAACATGGCTAAGATGACCCCTTATATAAGGAGACGTTCAACTCATAGTTCTGTCGTTCGATTGTTTGGTATATGAATATCTGATAGAGGCAGGTCAAGATGCAGCTCACTACCACTGATTTTCGGGTCTTCAACTTCTACATGTTCATAAAATGGCTGACCACGGTGATTATCCGCACGTTCTTCATGAAGGTGACGGTTATAAACGAGGAGCGTCTCCCACTGTTCGGCCCCGTCATACTGGTAGGTAACCACAACAACCAGTTCATCGATGCCGCCACGCTTATCTACGCGGTTCCGCGCCAGATTAGTTTCCTGGTTGCGATGAAATCCCTCGGACGCCGTGTAATTGGTTGTTTGGCTCGTTTCGCCGGATGCATTCCCGTTCACCGTCAGGAGGACCTCAAGTACATGGGAGTGGGCAAGATATTTTGGAAGCACAATGATAAAACAGTACGCGGGATAGATACCCAGTTCACCATGGACCTCAATGTGGGCGACAAGCTCTTTTTTACAACTGAGAAGCTGAGCATCGAGACCGTGCACTCCGACACCGAGCTGGCCCTGCAACGCCCTGTTTCACGGCCTTGCAAAGACCAGGAGGGCGGCGAAGAGTTTTGGGTAGGTCCATAAGTTGCATTGTTTAACATGTGGTTCAGATTCTGCCGAAGGTCGACCTTTCAGATACTTATGAGGCGGTGTCTACCGCTCTGAGGTTTGGAAACTCCATCGCAATTTTCCCAGAGGGCGGTTCTCACGACCGCACTAATCTCTTGCCGTTGAAGCCCGGTGTGGTATTGATGGCAATATTCTCCCTACTTGAGGGAGCCGAAGACGTTGTCATTTTGCCAGTTGGCCTAGCTTATGGTGACAGCCACGGCATCCAGTCCAACGCCACCGTGTACTACGGCACCGGTATTACCATCTCAAAGAGGGACGTCGAGGAGTTCCAGGTCGACCGTTACACCGTCGTCAATCGCATTTTGGGCATTATTGAGAAGGGCTTGAATGATTGCATGATCACGGCCCCGGATAAGAACATCAAGGGGTGGATCGATCTGTGTGGCAGTTTATATCCTCCCGAGCGCAGCATGATTCCTACGAACAAAAAATTCGAGTTGCGCAAGATCCTGTCTAACATTTTCTGGCGTCACGGTGAGGACCCGAACACTACCGCACTGATTGCGCAACTGGCCAGATACAAGGCGATGTTGAAGAGCAGCTTCCTGCACGACGACGAGGTGTGGCTACTCAGGCAGTCCATGCACTCCGCCACGCTGCTCTTTTTGGAGCAGCTGCTCACGTTCGCTTGCTACAGCATCTTAGGATTGTCTTGCTTCGTTCTGTGGTTCCCGTTGTACGTCATATCGTGGGTATTGGCCGAGAACCACCGCAAGCAGGCCCTCAAAAACTCCGTGGTGAAGCTGGAGGGCGCAGATGTGGTGGCAAGCTACAAGATTTTGGTTCTTATGGTGATCACGCCCCTGTTCAACCTGTTTTACGGTTTAATGCTGGGACTTTACCTCAGCCGCAAGCCCAAGGAGATTGCCATCACAGTCGGTTGTTGCATGGCAATTCTGCCGATACTATACTACATAAATCTCCGTTACTTCAACGAGCTACCGCTTCTGCTGCGCCAACTTCGCGTCTTCTATGTAATCGTGATGGGCAAGATCAACGTCTGGCGTGAGCATGAACGTGAGCTGATCACCACGCGAGCGGAACTACAACTACTGGTTTGTGCGACTCTATTTGGCGTCATGACTGTCAGGTGCGGGAATTTGTACACGACGTCGGCCCCAAGGTGTCCGACACCTTCATGGATGAGCTGAACGCCATTATGCCTAAGGTGGGTGCACAAGATTGCCTCGTAACGGTGATTCAGGTTATGATCGATGCGGATACCAGCAGGTTGATGAGGAGCAAGAGCGACTGGGTACCTATTTTCGCCAGGACGTACTATTCGGAGACCAACGAGGAGATCCTCTGAGGTTCCCTAACATGTCAACAGCGGGGCGTTTCATAACGGCTCGCCACTACACTAACGCAAACGTAAAAATAGATATAGAGTTATACACTACATGCGGTTCATAGATTTTGTGCCGCCTTGAACGGGTTAACGACAAAATCGATTAACACCGCCTTCACGTATCGGCCCAGCAGTCTCAACACTGGGTACGCCACCTTCCATGCGATACCGGCTGCCTTCGATAGCACCTTGGAGACCAGGGACTCCTTAGGGCCGGACAATGATCGTGGATCCTGCTCGATCTTCTGAAAAATACCCTTCATGATATGCTTCTGGCTCCGGTCGTGCGCAGCCGCCTGCGCAAGGACCTTCTTCTTCAGCATTTTGAGCTCTGCGTTATCCGGGTGAATCTTGAGAGCATCATTACAATGTTGAACGGCCTTGCTGAATTGGCCAAGTTCTGCATTCGCCTGCGTGATTCTGAGGAATGCCTTCAGGTTGGTCTTGTCATACTGCAGCGCATCGTTGCAGTACTTTATGCACCCGGAATAGTCCCCCTTTTTCAGCAGCGCCAGCGACATGTTGGAGGAGAGCTGAACGTACGAGTTCACGAAGAAGCTCCATTTTTGCTGCATGTCCTCCTTGGACGGTGCGTCGCGGTGGAACTCCTCCTTTTTGTTGAGTATGAACTGTAAGGCTCTGATTCCCTGGAACCACGCATCAATCGCTCCATCCAGATCGCCTTTCTTATAGAGTTCGGCACCCTTAAGCTTGGCGCTCATATGGGGCTCCGCGGAGCTGCTCGCCGGCGCGCTGGCAGCGGGCTGTTTTACTTCGACGTCCTCAACGATCTCCATCGGACACGGCAAATCACGACCTGACAACCTTATACTTACGTTTCAGCTTCTCGGCCCTCTTAGAGCTTGCTTCAACCTCGGGTTCGGGGGTCAGAGCCCATCCGACCACGAAAGCACCCGCCTTGTACAAGCAGTAAAGCGGGATGATATAGAACAGCCTAAACGCCCAATCGACGAAGAAGCTGAGCACGCAGGCGACAGTAGTGAGGCAGAAGAGATCGTTTGATATGCTAAAAGACAGCCCAAGCTTGAGGCTGTCGTAGATGACGTAAACACTGAATAAGTAGGAGCCAGTTAAGAGCGCAGCCCTCCACGCGAGCGTCCTGAACTCCGTCTTCACTCCATCTGCTGGGTATATCACGTTGCGCATGGTCCACAGACCCTGAAATAGCGATATTAGTGGGTATAGACAGTGTGTGTAGCGCCGAGCGCTGCTTACCCGTAGGCTAACGACTAACTTACCACGCAAACGATGGCCACAAGGGAATAGACAAAACCAACGGTTTTTTGCCTATAAGAGCGCTTCTTCTCGGATCGTCCTGCCATGTCTATGAATGGCGCGAGCGGCCCCGGCCGGCGCTGTGGTGTAGTCCGCCAGCTCTTGGGCAGTGAACACTAATATTACAAATCGCATTTTCGCGAATTTATTGCGTGTTGATGGTATATTGTGGGTGGAAGGACTCCAGGAAGTCGTTGTACATGATCATCCCCTCGTCGTTGGTGTCGATGCACTCGACGAGAATCTCAGTTTGCTCGAACGTGAAAGGCGCCCTGAGAACTGTGTACGAATCCCACTGGGAACCTACTCTGTGTAGCCGAGCGTATCGTACATTGCGTATAGTACCTCCTTGAACTCGTGAATGTAGACACTGCCGTTGTGTGACGTGTCGTAGGAGTGGAAGGCATGCCTGAGGCTGCTCCTGTGCTTGTACAGCGTGCTGCATATGTGGTCCCACATCTGAACATGTGTGTACGGCGTTAGACGGCGCCTACCTCGTTCACAACAGAGTACTTGTTCTGGTCCACCACGTAGAAGGCCTGGAGGAACTCGAGGTAGTTGATCTTGTTGGTGTTGGTGACGTCGATCATGTGGGCGATTTCGAACAGGTGCTGGTCGGTGATCTTGAAGCCCAGCTCTTGCTCAGCCTTGCTGAGGTCGAGCTTCTTGATAGCCTCGGCGAAGTCCGAGTACGAAAGCAGCCCACCACCGATTTTGTCGTAGTCCTGGAACTTCTGGAATAGCGCCACCGCCCTGATCGCGGACGACCGTCTTCTAGAAGTCTCGTCTCTGCTAGCACTTGCAGCAGCCGCATTTGGGTCGTAGTTGGGGTTGTAGTACCTGGCGGCCGCCTCCGTCCTGTCGGAGAGGATCACCCTACCGATAGCGGGCAGCGCAGCTTCCATCCAGTCAGCCTTAACCTTGTACCTGGTAGACGCCGAGTAGATGACCTTGAGTTTGCTGAGGAATTCCACGATATCGGCCCTCCCGCCCTCGTTGTCTATGCAACTACTCAGAATCGTCCGCATGAGAATCTTGATCTGCGGGTTTGAGAGTCCAACATTGAGCTTCCTAATCGCCTCGTCCAGCTCGGCGTACGACACCACACCGTCGAGGTTGCGGTCGAACACCATGAGGATCTCCTTCAGGCTGAGGTCCGACTTAATCATGGTGTCAAAGATGTGGGCAATGCACTCCCTCTCTATGTTCTTGTGGCTGTGCCCAACGGGATCGAATCCGATGTGGAACCTCTTAAGCACATCGTTGTACGGCACTTTACCGGTGGTCTTGTCCAGGGCCTTCAGCAGCCATATGGAGAATAGCCGCGGTATTTTGATGCCCACTAGCTCTGACAGACCGTCCGTCCACGGTTGCGGATCCACCATTCCGTTCTTGGCCGTATCGTACTTGTAACAATGCAGCCACAGCGCCTGCTTCTTTTCACAGACAATATCGGCGATTTTGATGAGAATGTCGTTGAGCATTTTCTCGGATCTGTGCCTGTTGAGGTACTGCGTTTCCTTTTCCATTTCTACGGAAAGGGCGGCGTCTATGACCTTGTTGGTGACAGTGTTGGTGTTGTTGGCGAGCGTGTTTATGGCTTCCAGCGACGGCGACATGTACTCCTTGACCTCGAAGTGCAGCCCCTTGGTGAATATAAGCTGTTGCGGAATGAGTGGTCATGCGTTGAAAACTCACGATTGCGCCGGTATTTCCGGTCGTTTGACAGTAGTTTGATGCCGAGAACAACGTAACACATCTTCCGTTGTGCGAGGTCTCTATACCCTTAAGGGTGCTAGGCACCTGGTGCGACCTGATGCAGACCTCCAGCTTGTTCAGGTCTAGGAAGGCAGCCGTCACATCCGGTCCGAACCTGATGCAGTCCGCGCCTCTGGTGCTAGATGACCTGCCCTCCTTGTCCTGCGGGTCTGACCAAAGCATGTCGAAGACAATACTGTCATCAAACGTGTCCGGGGATGCCGGACACATTCTTTTGCGGTTAACCTTGCTGATTACATCCAGAGTGACTCCGTCGTACCTGAAGAGGCCTCCGTGGATCACAATTATGCGCTTTTCTATAACAATAGTCAGGGGCAGCTCCCAGAAAATCCTCTGGAACAGGTTGTAGATGTGTCCGTCGTATTTCTGGCGGACCTCCCTGGCAAACCCGTATGCCTCATTCATGTCCTCCGATTCATGGTTCCCGCGGTTGATGATAACCGACCCCGGATCGGCCAGTTTGAACGCGAACAACAGCAGGAAGATGCTTGTGGCGTTCATCCCACGGTCGGCAATGTCACCGTTGAACACATAGACATTCCTGCTTGACGGGGGTCCGAATTTGTACAGGATCCACAGGAAGTCGTTCAGCTGCCCGTGTAAGTCCCCGACAACGATGAGGTTCCCATTCTCGTGCGAAGGTACCTCCACATGGTTGACGGCACCCTTGTCATTGCTGCGGTACCAGTTCAGCATGTCAACCAGGATACGCTGAGCGTAGTCGATCGGTAGTTTCGTCTGTAACATTATGGTATATGTCCAATTTCCGGCTTACCACTTGGCCGGACTTATACGCGTCCAACAGCTCGTTGGCGAATTTGGTGGTCACCTGTTTTCCGAGTTTTGGTCCATTGTAGGTGCTCTCCTTGTACTCCTGGCACTTGATCTCCTCGAACCCGTTTGAGAAGCGTTTCTTCTGAGCACTAGGCTTCTCCTCGCCCGTCGCCTGGTGCTTGTTCTTGATGTGATTCAGAATGGGTATGTACACATCTCTGCGGGCGGATGTCTGGCTCTGATCGCGCATGCTACCTTTTGCTGGCCAGAGTACGCTGTTCCTGTAGGTTTTCCATGTGGTCCCAGAAAAGGAAGGCTGATTCCTGCACATACTTCACCCTGCACATCGCCATCCTGAGGAACGCCTGGATACGCGTTGCGGCCGCCTCCTTCACTACGCAGATTATTAGAACATAAAACGGCGATTCTCACCATCGTAAGGCTTCACCGACCCCGCGGGAACGCAGGCTACGTATTCATCATCGCCGGCTTTGAGCTGCTCCTCGTGATTCGTCGTAACCCGGAGCGGTTTGTCGGTCTTCACCGTGATTATCTGGCGAAGCACCTCTCCATCCCCCTTGTTGACGTATTCCCGCGGTCCGACGTGCTGGACTGTGCCCCGAACGCCGTATACCATGACGACGTCGCCGACGTTGAGTGTGTTCTCCGTCGCCGCCGCCATCTTCAGGGCTCTACAGCAAAGGATAAATACGGAATTTCAGGTGCAAACTGGCCCCTGAATATGTCGCTGGTGCCAGGATTCTTGATTGCCGCTGAATGCGCGCGCGTTTATCTTGAGGGAGTGCATGGAATCCTTGTGGTGCCTCCAGGCATTATTTAGCTGTTTTAGGGTGCTGTATTTGCGTCATGTAAAAGATTGAATGGTTAATAACTTCTCGGCCAATATTTGGCGTCCGCTGTAATGTCTGGACCGCGCAGCTGTGTGAGCGCTCTCGGTGTCGTCTACGGATGAAGATCCCGTGAACATTTCCCTTTTCAACTATGACAACCGGAATTTTATAGTATTATTGAGAACTCAGATGTTGGGTATGCGGGCATGAATTGTATAAAAGCGCCGGTATACCATACCGTCTTACTTCGTTTTTATGTGTGACCGCTGTGAACACATAGACGCATAAAGGCCGCACCATTGTTGCTTAAGACGGCAGTTCGCAGAATCACTTGTCGTGCACATTTTTCGCGCACTGCTCATGCATGAGCATCTGTTGCTTGCTAGCCTGCTGCTGCGTAGCGTCGTTCTGGTTTGGCGGCGGTATAGCGATAGACATTCCCAGCTTGATTGGTTCCTGGCAAATGGTGCACGTCGAGGTTGCGTCAATGGTGATTGGCGGGACACACGTAAGCTTGTATAGGTTTTTCGCTGTTTGTGAATGCAGCGACCTCGTCAATCCGCGTTTCATGGCCATAGTCCGCTGTTCATGCAATGCCTTGAGCTGTAGTTGCGTGAACACGTCGGCGAATACCGCGAAATTCCAGCTGTCTGGTATGAGTTCCACGATGCTTGATGCATTTAGCACGGAGTTGTGGGTGCATAGTGGGATGTACTTCGCCAGCAGGTCTCGCACCAAAACTATGCACCCCTCGTCGCGGTGGGAGTGCTCCACGATGATTTTCAGTAGCAGTAAGAGTAGCCGGTCGATTGAAGTGTCTGACATATTGATATTGTATATGTGGTGCCCAGCAAGCGGCCACTCACTAGCCCTGCGCATCCAGTAGTCGATGTTGCTGAAATACCGTTTAAACGGGACTTCCTTCTCCACAGCACTATAAACGGTCGCAACGTCTCCGAAGCACATGCAGTATGCCTCACATCGCTTTGTCCGCTCTTCGGACTGATCCCACTCGAACAATGTTCTCAGCGCGTCCTCATGTCGGTTGAACATGCTGTGCACTAGCACCTTTGTCTCGACGAGATTCAGCTTCGCTAGCAGGGGCTCAAGTTCCACCATGTCGAAATTGTTGTTAGATTCCAGGAGCTCCAGCAGCGTTTTCTTGATGGCGGTGATACTGTCTTTTGCATTTTTGTTCTTGCCGTGTAAAATCACTGCACATGTTAGGTCACCAGTGCCAATCACTCACGTTCGTTTATGTAGTGTTTCGCCAGCAGCGTGTTTTCGTGCACAGTTCCGTGTTTCTTCGTGATGACCAGGTCCTCAAGGTACTTGATACGCATCGCTATGTTGGACGTGTAATACCCCTACAGCAAGAGTTACCACCGCGCTGCACTTGCTCACCTTTTGCGCATATAAGTCTATCATCGAAACTATTTGGTCCGTGCTGAACGGTATCATGGCGTGATTCTTTGTGAGCACGTCGAGGGCTGAGCGTGATGAGGCTAATTTTGATTCACACCCACCTGCATTGGGGTAGCTGGAAAGTAGTACGGGCAGGTACGTGTTGAGAATGTCCCGTATTTCTTCCTCTGGTTTGACATCTGTCTTATTGTCTGCGACATATGACATTCATGACATGCCTTATAACCTGTGTATTCGTTGTGGCTGTTTTCGATGAGCATGTTGAGGCACGATGCGAGTTCGGAGCAGACGGACTTTATATCCATCGTGACGTCTTCGGTTGCCACCTCGCCGACCTCGTCCCTGATATACTTGGCCATGATATCCATCGCCTCTCTGTATCGCTCCTGTTTGATGAGCAGTTTGGCGAATACTTCGCTCTTGTTCATCTTCACGAGGTGTTTGCCGCATGCGTCCGGGTCCAGGAAGGTTTCTTCCCTGGGTCTGTTGATGATAATGCTGCATTTAGGATCGTCGCACTCAGCCAGCAACAGCAGATTTGTTTTTTCTACTGTGCCCACGAGCGCCTGGTTGAATTCGTCCAGTGCCTCCCCGTTCCTGCTCAAGAACGTCTTGGGGTTGAAGTGCTTTAGCAGGAAAGCGGCAAAAGAGACATTGGCCATTTCCAAGAGTTTGGTTACCGTCGTGTTCTCTGGCAGAACGTCCTTTAGTTCGCCGAAGCGCTTGACGACGAACTGATCTATTCCCGTGGCATTGGGTATGAATTTGCGCAGAATCGCCGGCACCTGCTGGTTGCGGACATACAACTCCGGAACTTCGAGTTCGGCATAGTGGTTCCAAAACGAGATCAGGTGAACAATGTCCACATCCCCCAACGTGAAATGCTGGAAAGCGAGGGGAAAGTTGACATCAGAGAACCTAACCCAACCCGCCACCGTATGTGCCACTTTCGTTTCCACGGCTCGCATCGGGTCGTCCGGTGCAAAATATACATCTGCCAGATGGAGTGCCTGCTTTATATCCTTTCGTTCGATGCAGTCAGCAAGGCACTGATGGTATGATTTGGGTTTCATCACAGTGACGACATTGGGGGTGGCAGTGAGGACGCAGGACCTATCTGGCATGTAGTGGACAAAGTTCGCGTTCGTTTGGTCGATGGTTTGGTACAGCAGCTGGTCCCTGACCCCATACACTTCCACCAGGCGATCCACAGTTACACCTATGACATACGGCGGAGCACAACCCAAGGCCTCCAGTCGGTTCCTCCACTGTATTGTGTTTTTCTTCGACAGGTTCATGGTCTCGGTGCTGTAGAAAATGCCGATGTTTTGACACACAACCATAACATCCCCGTCAACGCAGGCAGTAGTTAGCGCGGGCGCTCCCACATCCTTCTCGTCCACCTGCAGGTTGCTGCACAGCTCATGGCACACAGTCCCCTCTGCATCAAGGAGGTAGTAAGCCTCCCTGGTGCCTATAACGATGACGTTTTTGAACCATGAAACGCTATGGACGATCCCATCTACCGTTATAGCGCGTTGCTGCTCTATCTGACCCTCCGCCGAATACAGGTACAGCTTGTTGTCGGTTCCGACGCAGAATTGGTTGAGGTTGACTAGCGCGTTCAAAGGTCCACTCGTTGCATCCTGATCGTACGCCGGTTCTGCCAGCCTTCTGCCCACTGCCGTGACCCTTTTTAAGAGCATGGATGGATTCCCTTTGAAGAATGCGTCGAGAAGGTAGAGGTCTCCATCGGCGTTCAGCACCAAAATCCACTCCTTCGGCTCCAGCGGGCATATACGCGCTATGCTCCTGCTGCTAACCTTCGAGAACTTGTATATGTGCGATTCCACGGGGCTCTGCAAGGGCATGGATGACCTTCCATAACTGGGATCCGCTGACAGCGGCACACACCTACCTCCACGGCCGCCGCCTGGAAGGCGTAGAGCTCGCCGGCGTCGTTGCCTATGATCAGGTTGTTATAACACCATGCCACCGCCGTGATTTTGGAGCTCTCCATCCAGCGGAGGACCACTCCCCTGGAGAATATCTCCATTGCGCGGCAGCGTGGGTGTGTCTAGTGTAGTTGCACGTATTAGATTACATTTTCTGCGTGTCCCGGTTTTACTTTTTGATGAGTGCGCTGCGATTGCCGACGGAGAAGTTGTAGGCGTACTTGTTCCCGAGCGGGTAGAGGTCTTCGCCTGCGACGCGTTATGGGCCGATGTGTGTCACATACCGCTGCTTTCACCCAGCACCGCCTCCCAGTTCTCGTTCTGCTCGTAGTCCGCAACGCCCTTTTCGGTGCGGTTGATTTTGTTGAGAACGATTGTCTCGATGTCGCCTAGAATCTCCACGGCACATTGCACCTTGCCGACGTCGACCGGCCCGAGAGAGCCTGTTACGAGTTAGAATCACATTGATAGGCCACCTACCGTAGTTCAGCTTGCTCCGCTTCATAAACGGATGCTTCAGCAAGTCTTCTACGGACGGCCGCTTCAGTATATTCTCGTTTAAGCACAGCTTGAGGAAGTCCCGGGCGTCTGCATCTTCGCAGAGCTCGATTTTGCTGTAATCCAGCGCCGACCTTGAGATGGTAGTATCGCAGGTCACTTCGTACAGTATCTTTCCGATCATCCATATGTGCGCCTTAGTGATGGCCGATGGATCTCGGGTAAAACCTGGATCATTCTTTGCCTCCGGCGGGAGGTACCAGTCGATGTGCTTCCCCCAAAGCAGTGTTGCGATAGTATGCTTCTCGTGTTTTTTAAGGAGGGCTCTTGTGTCGGCGGAGAGGAAAGCGAGGGGGATGCCCACCGAGATCTTGGCTCCAGCCGGCGAGAGGTACAGTCTGCTTGACTTGAGTGGCAAGACGAAATCTATCCCCTGCAACTGCCGTACCAGTTTTGTGATTTCTCTGACTATGACCTGCGCATGAGCAAAACGTTCCGTTGGTGTCATTTGCGTTGTCTTTTCGAAGAGGTCCGACACTGGCACATCTGAGCGGCATAGTGACATGAGGCTTATTCACCTACCCCTGATGAACTCCATGCGTTCCACAATACATTCAGCCCTGACTTCGAATCCGGTGGCGAAAATGATTTGTTTATTGTTCGCGAACTTCTTTTGACACTCCTGTAGGTCCTCGAACGCCTGTTCGAATCCGGTTTGCAACGTCGCTACCGTATTCGCATCAAGGCCACTCGTCAGCCGTTGCTTGTATACCACGGGTGCACACTTCACAGTGTTATACATCTGCAACGTAATTTAGTAAGCTTCCCGCATCCATTCACCTTCCAAACAACTGATTTGCATGAGACGCCTACCACCCTCCAAGCAAGACAGTCGTGCGGCTTGAATGGGGGTTCAATAAACTACAGACGGTGAACGAACATTTATTTGGGTCGCTTACCGAGTACTCCGCCAAGGCCTGCGTGCGGTCACGCGCAAGCTGTTCTCGCAGTTCATCGCGTTCACAGTCTTCCATATCCTGAAGGAGCTTCATGTAGTATATGTATTTGGCCTCGTCCACCGACGACTCGGAAGAGACGTTTGAGTACTCTCCGAAAACCTCCTGCATTTGTTGGAGCGTTTTCATCTTGTCCTTTGAAGCCCTGTCATGGGAGAACCCCTTCTCCCTGATGATGGGGTCGCCAGTTTTCCACGTTGTCATGTTTTTGATAGAGCCGTACTGGAGGTATGTGTCTCCCGCTGCAAGTCTGAGGTCCTGCCTGGTAGTTTGCAGCAGATCCTCTACCTGGTTGTTGAAGTTGTCCGTCATCTTGGCCAGTATTTTGGAGTATATATCCTCCTCGTTGAGTAGCCTCTTGTGCACTTTGTTGAGTTTGGTCAGCTCCTTGAAGGTCTCGTTTTCCGCATCTATCACATACCCCATGGCGTTGGTGTTGACCACGCTGAACTTGTGAATCCTCTCCGTACATTCCTCAATGTTATGCGTCTCTATAAGCTCAAGAAACTCCTGGGGATCCATCCCGACTGGTTTGATGCAAAATAGGTAGAATATCTCCGGCGGCATCCACAGCGGCCTCATCGCCTCAAGTTGAGAGATAACAGACCCGGTATTGACAAGCGTATTACCGCACAATTCCACCCTGTCAGTGAGGTTTTCGATGAAGTTTTCTATGGTGTATAGCCAGTGTTCGGCAAAGTTGTCACCACGTTGGTTATCCGTTTCTGTGTTCGCATCACCCACCACCCTGAGGAGAACCTTGTTCGACGATTTATCGTCGACATCCAAGGGCTTATACGCCGCCTTGGGTACAGTTATCCTTTTCTTCTTTATTCCGTTCACAACTTCGTCGTTTGACACCAACGTTACCACACGTTCCGGCTGCTTCCCACCCTCTGCTTGCGGTGGTTTTTCTTCTGTTTCCTCATCGGGTTCGTAGTCTTCTCCACCGTGCTTTATGCGGAGTCCCGTCAACGGAGCACGAGGTTTAACGGGTGGAACTTCTGTCTTGTGTAGCGATACGGGTTCCGCTGGAAACGCCTGCTGTGCACTTGAGCTGGAGGAGTGCCCCTCGCTCTCTCTTGGCGTTTCGCGGCTCCGTTTTTGCGTCAACGTTTCACCAAGATCGCTCTCTGGGGGCTTTTGGCCTTCCTTGCTTGTGAATCTTCCCGGTTCAACCAGTCGTTGCAAAGCCTCTAGTTTGGGCGTGAATAGTTTGCTGTAAAGGGACTTCTCTGACAGGTGCATCAATTCACTTTTGCGTTTAAGTCCTTCTATGTCCTTGAAGTTGTTGTCGAATGTCTTCGTCTTCAGCGAAGCAAAGCCGGAAAGTCTGTCGGCGTACGGATTTATTCGCCTGGGCGACTCCATTGGATCGCCAGTGTGGACTTGCCTCAGCATATTCGAATACGGCAAATCACCCCGTGACACATTTACAAACTCATCGCTGTAGCCAAACGACATTGTGTTGATGGAAGGCGATTTGCGGGACCTCATCGGCGGCGTCGCGCATCTGATTACCCGGCGGGGCGACCGATCGCTGGCAAATACTGTCTTCTCCTCCATCCCTACTATCCACGGGTAACCTTCCACCTAATGAGCATCCAGTGTTGTATTGACGACGCGCAAAGCACACATTCGCGCCTTAAATTCCGCAGTGTAGCCGTTGAATCTACATCAATGCGTACTCATCACTGGCATTATTGCAGCAATTAACTGGATTCCAAACTATGACGGTTAAAATATCCACAAATATATGGAAGAAATGCGTATGCAGTCTCCACGTCTAACTGGCCGTGGATAAAGTATCCTACAACGTTTTGGTGACGGTGGTAGACACGTTGCTGTCTTCCACCCCTAAACCTCGTAAAAATGCTAGAATATGCCTATTTATAGCTAGAAAGTATTCGCTGGAAATTAAACTTAGTGTGTCTTTGTCTGGTTACCGGGCTGGTGGCAGCTCTCAGTTGTGTCGCACTGCCACACTCTACTGGTTGCTGCGTCAACTTTACGCAAACGTTTCTGCGATTTTCCGCACAATGTTCTTGAACTTGCCGATAGGCACACAGATGAACATCATCGCTTCCGGTACAACGCGCGTTTTCGAGGGTTTGCTTTCATCGCCGTCTTCGTAGAAGTCAACCTTGTTCGACTCCCCTGTGTTCCACATGAACTTGACGGTGGCTTCCTCGCAGTAGAACCTTTCCTCCGGCTTGGTATACACCATGTGCTTCGCCTGGAAATCCTTGGCGTTGTCCGTGAAAACACGGCTGATGGAGATGAGATGCGTGAACTTGTAGAACTTGCGCTCTTCTTCATCATCGGCGTTCTCCACCGACCAGTTGAGGTCGTCATATAAGCACTGATGCAGGCTGCCTATAAGTTGCGTGGGTATGTTTCCCATGCGCTCGTTGACCAGCAGCCCTACCTGGTTGCGTTCACTACCCAGTATCTTAGTCACGGCTTCCAAGTCTTGCTGCGACCCATGTTGTTTAGTCAGTGCGATGATGGCGTCCTGCAGCGTCTCGAGCTCCTTGTACATTTTGAGGTTTAGCAACGAGAGCACTGCCATGACGAAAGCCTGCTCGTCTTCATCGTCGCCAGTTTTCACCAGCGTGCCCAGGTTCGGCTGGTTCGCTATCAGGCTCGCCATTATGCCGTACGTAGAGTCCATGGCATCCTTGGGAGGCTCCCACGGCACTTTCTTGAGGTAGCCCTGAATGATGGCCAGTATCCCATCGCTGTCTTCCGGTGCGGGGTCGTTGAAGAGGAAGTCCGCCTCCAATGGGCCATCCGAGTCCTGCGCAGAACATGTATCACTTGTCAACGTGACTAAATAGACAAACTATACATATAACAAGTACAAAGACCGTCGTTTCCACGCCATTCCACTGGAAGGAGACAGCAATGTTCAACGCTGTGAAATAGAGGTTTTACACGACGGCACCGTAATAAGTAAACACAAACACACCTCATCGCTGTCCACACGCTCGGGTTTGTGTTTTTTTGCGGCCCTCTCGGGAGAATCCGCCTTGTTGTTGGCCATGTTGGCGTGTCCTTTCCGTTATCGCCGGTTAGGAGTTATCCTGACCCATAAACCTTTTTGGCAACCCTAACTATTAATTTCATATAAGCCACGACAGTGTTGTGGTCAGCGTGGCGAGTTTACTGCTGAGCGTTGTTGTGCGCGCCGTACCTCCAAATGTGCACATCCACAAGGCCCTAAATCAAATACCAGAGGATTCTCGTCGTCAGACACGCCTCCTACAACCAGAAAGATAATTTTAAATTGCCATCAGGTCGTATGTGCAAGCATTAAAGGGGTATAAATTGGTGTCTGGTATGGAATCTTCGCTGCAATGCTGCGGTGACAAAATTTAGTGTCCTTCCGCTATTACGCCAACTTACGGCTTCGACTTATGAGAGCATTGCTATTGCCGCTTTTGCTTCACATTTTATCGGTCAATTTGGTTGCTTCGTTGGTTCGACGCCAATTTCATCGTGATTCTACTCCTTGGGGATTCCTGTGTTCAGTCAAAGGTGCTTACCGATTGCCTTCGTATCATTCCATACGTTATAAACATCAAGACAAGGATCTTGGCGACCCATTTTCATCACTCAAGACGTATCTGGGTGTTCTTAAACAGGAGTTTTGCATAGCTGCGCATGAGGAGGGCGCAGCTGTATCGCCTCAAAACTCTCTGCCCGAAAGGTCGGCCGAGGATGATACATTGGCTCAGCTGCGTCGTGAGCTTCGTGAGAGGCACGGTACCGAATTCCCGCTGCGAGAGCACTACATCAAGGGCACGGGCCCTGGTGGGCAGAAGGTCAACAAGTCTGCCAACTGCGTGCAGTTGATCCAGTTTTCTGCTGCACTGGGTACCAACGTAGTAGTGAAGTGTCACATGCATCGTTCGCTGCTGGACAACCGTATCGAAGCCACTAGGATTCTGTTGCGCAAGCTGGACGAGGCCGAGGAGCAGCAGTCACGCGCCTTACGCCGTTTAGCCGAGAAGGAGAAACGCCGCATCCTGAAGCTCACCCCTGCAGAGAAGGCTCGTAAGAAGTTCGAAAAGCAGCTGCGGGCAGAAAAGAAGGCGACACGGCGCCGGTGGAAGGTTGACGAGGATTGGTAGCGGCCTCGTCAACTTGTATTGCAGGTGTCTGCACCTGCATATATAATGCTGCTGCGCACTGCGTTCCTGTTGGGACTAGGTTTAAATTTGCTTGTTAATCCCAGAGCAAAATGGACTGCAGCTGTCGCCCCTGGTTGTCGGCTGTCACATTTGGGATGCAGCTCATTGCATGTTCTTGGCGGAAGCAGTAACGTTTCCGGCACTGCCTTTAACCACACCCAAATTTTCAAAATCAACCAATCGCAATGTTTTGTGGGCCCCAGTTGTAGCCGCGGATCAGCCGTGCCAATTGCAGTAGGGGCATATCGCAAAGGCACCTCCAATGGAGTCGACGGTGGGAGGCAGTCCAAAAAGGGGCAACCTCCACAGAAAGACAAATTAGCTAATGCAGTTAAAAATGAACGGAGATATGGCAAGGGGACGAATGGAGATGGTGTAGGTGGATTTGGCCGACATTACCCGGATGACCACGGTTACGGTGATGGTGGCGGCTCCACCTATCGAAGCCAAGGCGGCCGTCCTAATTCGTACGGAAACAGCAAGACAGATTATGGAAACCATAAAGGCAAATATGGATCAACAATTGGTAGTTACATGCCGGAAATTAATCCCAGAGTGGACACTAGAAGCACCGATGGAAGGGGGCAAAATAAAGCCGAAAATGCAAAGGGACGTTACAACACACGTAATGCTAATACACGCCAGAAGTACAACGGAAAAGGTGACATAAACGGCAAATTCAGCCCTATGAGATACGAGCCTCTTGGGCCAGGTAGATGGAATCAAGGTCGAAAATCAGGCAACAATGGGGAGGATCGGTGGCTGATCAAGGAAAATGCGGGCAGCCAAGGTAATAAGGGTTATGAGGAGCAGCCTTATGGCAACCGTGACCGTTTTCTGGAACCGCACGTATACGAGAGCGCTGCAGGTAAGAAACCGTATAAGGACGCAAGAGGGGTCAAGCGTGTTCCATACGATGAGGAGGGGACACGTCATGGCGGCATCAATAACAACTCCACAGGCCGCCAGTATGGCCAGCAAAAGCGTGGCAAAAACATGCTTGCTGGAGATGGAAGGCCGACAGTAGACATAAATGAGGCGATATCGAAGTTCAATCGCCGCCTGGCGCAGGAACACCAGCAGATGTTACGCGCCTCTACGGAACGCCTCAATCCGCTTCTGAGCCACGTAGCGCATAGCAACCAAAAGAATCAGAAGCTTCACCTCTCTTCCGATGCGCAACAAAAAATTGCTGCTCTCAGCAAGAAAATAAAGGACGTAACCGACCTGGAGGGGTCAAAGCACACCACATCCGCGGGGAATGTAGGTAAGAAAGGGGCAAAAAACGCCATGAAAGTCGTTCGATCTTTACCTGACAACAAGGTCCAATCACCTGTTGCAGCAACAAATCAGCAGAAAAACCCAACTCCTGCTCACAGGTCCAAACGGTCGGTTGCTGCTAGTCACTACAATGTTGGCGCAGCAAATAAGGTTCCTCAACGTGATGATGTAGATCGTAGCGATACACCTCAGCGTCTCAATACGTTGGACATCAGCGCTGCTGACTTCAATTCATTGCCACTGGATGTACCTGGAATACGACTTGCACAATGCAATAAAGGCGCAGCAACTATTGCAGTACAAACCACGAAGGACACGCCAAGGCGAATTAGCTTGCAGGAAAAGGTACAGCATATGAAAGAATCTGGATATGACGGCATTGTCGACATTAATTCGCTATTTTCAGTGTCTAACCAGATTTTCCATGACGATGACAGCATCTCGTTCAACACGGCTGGCGCCGACTTCTCTTCGTTGGGCATTCACAACACGGGGCTCATACAAGCGTTGGCTAAAAAGGGTATAACTAAAGCGACATCCACACAGAGCAAGTATATCCCGGATATATCGTCATTCTTGTCTACTAACGAAGGTGAATATGCGCCACTTCGCTGCATGTCTATCCATGCGCCGACGGGTTCAGGGAAAACGTTGGCTTATTTGTTGCCGCTTTTGCAGCGCGTTTTGCATCTGGAAACTACACTTCCACCACCTTCATCTGACGGCGCCGTTAATGTGGACGATGTGATACGTTCGGTGGGTTCGTTGTTGAGTGAGAATATCTTTGTTCTCGCCCCATCCGTAGAGCTCTCCGTTCAGAGCCACATGGTTTGTAAGGAACTGTACAAAGCCTATGACAACAACCCCGGTGATGATATAATTACGGATTCAGCTGCACCAAAGAAGGCGTCATCGGCGCCTATTTCACGAAACCTGTTTAGTGTAATTGGTGCCAAGATCCTCGGCAAAATTACAGGTGCAAAGCCAGGTCAGCCCAATCTTGAACATGCTGCAGATTCAAGCGATCAAGCTGCAACAGAAGACTCAAAGGATGCTGTTGAAAATGGCGCCATGGAGATTTCAACTGGCAGCAGCGGACCAAAGCTTATCTTGGATGCTGAAATAAGGCCCATCCTGCTGATTGGCAACGCCAACGTCGCAAACCAGAAACGTGCGCTAAAGGAACTGCGTAGCAAGCAGCAGGCTATGCGTAGTGAGGCTATTGCTGCCATAAGGGCATTATATAGTCCGGGGGCATCGGCTGCTGCCGGGGACCAGTCGCAACCGCTAAAGCTACGCCGTTTGGTTGGAGTCATGTTCGCCACTCCAGGTCGTGCCCATTCGCTTATGAATCAGCACAAGTCTATTGACCTGCAACGCACCAAGTACTGCGTGCTGGACGAGTACGACAGCTTCCTGCATGTTAAGCGGCCATCCGGGTCAGCATCAGTGGCGTCACCCACCGAAATCGAAAACCCGAATGTGAAGGCGGTAATAGATGCGATTCTCTCTGGCCACCAAGGAAAGCAGCCACCTGCAGAAAGTAGTCCCGTAAAAGACCAAACTGGTAAATATGTACTGTGCCTCTCGGCCTCAAGGCTGAAGGATGCACCGTCATCTTTTGGCAAGCTTTCTACGTTGACTACGGAAGGTGTTGTAGGAGATGCCGCAGATAAAGAGACAGACACCCTCGAAGGTAGCGCTTCGGACGACATTCAGGCTGACTTAGAGGACGTCGACACCGAGGCCAATGCGACTCCTCCTCGGAACATCCTGCACACTATGGCGTTATACAGCGTCCCAGATGCGAAGCTAGCGCTGCTACGTAAGATTCTGCAAGCACATCCGTATGACAAGTCGGCGCTGGTGTTCTGCGACTCGAACGTAGGTTGCACGCTTACACATTCCGGCCAGTTGTTGTGATTCTGTCTTTCACCATCCCATACTTCTGTGGCTTTCGTGGCGTCTTTGTGATTGTTTAAAAATCTTCTTATTCTGTTGCCGTCCGTTTAATACTAATTGCTTCAGGGAACGGCTCAGTTTTTGGAATCCTACTTGCGGGGAAAGTTCCAGGCGGCGGACATCACTGTGTTGAACTGTCGGCAGGGAAAACTCGCGAGGAAGCTTTCATTTCATAGCGTGCTGCAGTCCAACGCCGCCGGCGCCTTAGGGGCAGCAGGAAAACGCCGGAAGGGTGGTGGCACGCCCTTGCGAAGCGTGGTGATATCGAACCAGCTGAATTCGCGCGGGATTGACTTCAGCGGGTTCAGCCACGTGATCCACTACGATCTGCCGCACGGTTTGTTCATGTAGTTCGTCTTCTCATGATATCGCAGACGTGACGTCCTATGTGCACCGCAGCGGTCGCATTGGTAGAGCTGGCAATCCTGGAATAAGCATATCGCTGGTGGAATCTCGGCACCTTCCGGTGTTCCGTCGTGTTATCTGCAATCGGCTGGGTGCTGCTGTGCACAACGTGGAGGTGTTCAAGGGCCATTTGTGCCGTCACCCACTGGTGTAGTATGCAGTGACGGGCTTTGGCACAATGGATGTGTTTCCGAGCGGCGCCTCCTTCTTCCGTAGCGCTGACTACTGGAAAAGCTTCTATAGCAACCCTAAGCTGAAGGACTTTGACTGGTATGGCACTCTGGACGACTACCTGTCCAGCTTCAACCGCAGTCTGTCCAGCAAGGTGCCCTTCGATAATGCTTCCGGGTTCACCCACAAACCCGGAGAGTGCGTCGTCCTCAACGTGGGATGCGGTAACTCGATGCTGCCCTTCAGGCTCTACGAGCTTGGCTACCGCACGATATACAACCTAGACTTCTGTCCCGACATGTTGGATGAAATGCGTCTTAAGGATGAGAACCTGTCGATGCACTGGCTTGAAATCGATGTGTCGACAGACTCTTATGGTGTATTTGGTCGCGACATAAGCAACATATATGCGGGGCAGCAGAAGGTTATCATCGACAAGGCCTTCCTCGACGCCTACATTTCCGTCGGGGAGGGTGAATCTCTGTCGGTTGCACGTGACCGTGCTAAGGACTACATAAGTGCAACACTCTCATTCATGGAGGCAGATGATGTCTTTCTGGTCTTTTCGTTGGCGCAAGACTACGTCGTCGCGGAGCTGATGCGTAACCTGCTGATGAAGGACGTATACGTTGACGTTTACCCCCTGTACGGCGCCGATCCAACCAAGGCGCACATGATCCAGTTCTTGTTCGCCATCTACAAGAGCGCTCCTGGTAAGACCGGCCAGCGCCAGCAGTGCATGATGGCAGAAGTCCCCCACGTGCCGATGGAAGAGTTTGCGCTCGGCATGCTAATGAAGCATTTACGCACGATAAAGGGTGCGCTATTCCTAGGTTCCAATGTCCAGGACTACAAACCTGGGAGGAGGTTGACTTTCGACATCTACCCCAAGGACATGAACAACGAGGTGTGCTTCACGGCTGCCGTCTACGATTGCGTTAATTGCTCGAAAGCATCTATGCCTTCCGCCGCTATAATCGTACCATCCGGTCAGGAGCACTTCTGGCAGTATTCGTGCTCCGACGGCAACGAGGAACTGGCCTGCGAAGCTGGCGCCCGGCGTGTGATTGTGCTGTGGCTGAAGTTCAGCAGCAGCGCCAAGAAAGGATCGGCGCCTGCAAAGCCGTTCGTGAACCCCTTCGACGCCCGCTTCGGCGACGATGTGTTAATGCAGTATATTCAGGACAACATGAGCGACATCCTGCTGAAGCTGTCCTTGCGTGGCACCAAGCGCGTCACCATCCTCAAGGCCGGCGAGTCGTGCGCCGTCCGCGCACCATGCCGTTTGGCATCCTCAATATATGCCGGTGACATCGTGGTCCACGAGATCATGGCCCAGGGTGAACCGAAGGATCAGAATGACCATGAAGTGCTGACCCGCCAAATGGTGTTCTCGTGCGGCCCGCAGACCGTTCAGTCGGAGGTGAAATACTACGTGGATGCCGCCGGAGTCGAACACTTTTTCGATGACAGCGCCCCCAGCGAGTACATTGCCGCCATACTTCTCGCCATGGCATTCCTGCCAGATGGCGACGGCGTCATATCGGTGTTAGGCGGCGGTTCCGGCACCCTCCCCCGGCTGCTGCGCCGAACATGCGGTGGTCGCACGCTTCACTCGGTTGAAGTGGATGACACTGTGGTCGATGTTGCGCGGTCACACTTCGGCTACAAGCCCGACGCTGTGGCGAGCATCTCGAAGCATCAGCTGGTGCCACCGCCAGGTGACGATGTCGGCCTCCTCCACGTCTCTGGAGACGCTTTGGATTACGTCGACGTTGCGGTTGCCGGAAACGTGGATGTTGCGTGTTTCATCCTGGATATCAACAACGTGCTGGATGAGCCCGCCTATGGCGAGACCTCTGTGGACCTTCTGGGAAAGAACACACTGATGTCGCCTCACCCCAAATTCCTTAATGAGGATTGGTTATCGTCAGTTGCAGACGTTCTCTCGCAAACCGATGGAATGCTTGTCGTCAACGTGCTCACGAGATCCTCTAGCGTTCTGGACAGCGTGCTTGGCCGGCTGTCAGAGTCCTTTGACTGGGTCGGCACTCTGCATATGCCATCGGTAGGTCGCTTCATACATTCATTAAAGATACTCAGGACACCAACACCGTGGCAATCTGCATGACAAGCACACCTGCGGACGTCACCGAGAAGTTTTGCAGCTACGTGAGTTTCACATATCTGTGTTTTACATGGCGCTCAGGTAAATCGCCTATCGGAAGAGCTGAAACTCGGTTTATGCGCCTCTTCCGACGCATGGCGTAGCTGTCTGTCGGTTTTCACCGGTTCCAGCTAAATGTGCTCCTCGAGAGTCAATCCCCTCGGGCCGCGCGGGCAGCGCCGCGCGCCAGTATCCCGGCACTTTATATGTCATCCAAACTCACTTAGGATGCCATGGCGTCATATAATTATGGCCTTCTACGGCGCTGTGCCGCCAGATTTTCACCCCGTGAGATAACTTTCTCGGTGTTCCGCTATGGGCCGGAGCGGTACCAGCGGCCGCGTATGCAGACGTATAGCGTCGACACCTCCAGCTGCGGCCCAATGATACTGGACGCGCTGATCAAAATCAAGAATGAACAGGTGTGTTGACCGCGCCGATAGGTGTCGCAGCGGCGTTGGTGTATGCCAAGCTCCGCCTCGACCTTTCTCCCATTTGCACTCATTTTTGCGCAGGACAGCACTCTAACCTTCAGGAGAAGCTGCCGTGAGGGCATCTGCGGGAGCTGCGCGATGAACGTGAACGGCGAAAACTGCCTTGCGTGCCTCAGGTCGATAGACTCCTGCGCGAAGCCCGGGGGCCAGGTGGAGGTGCAGCCTCTGCCCGGGATGTTCGTGCTCCGCGACCTCGTGCCGGATATGACCAACTTCTACGAGCAATACCGCACGGTGCAACCGTGGCTGAAGCGGAAGACGCCGAAGGTAGGTGCCCCGCATGCTCCGCTAACTGTTGCAGCCTGGTGAGGCCGAGTTCCTGCAATCGAAGGAAGACCGTGCACGCCTCGACGGCATGTACGAGGTACGTTACATCAGCCGCTAAGTGACCCTGCGCAGTGTATTTTGTGCGCTTGCTGCACCACGTCGTGCCCATCGTACTGGTGGAACCCGGAGCACTACATCGGACCGGCCGCGCTCATGCAGGCGTACCGCTGGATCGCGGACAGCCGTGACGAATACACGGTGGAGCGCATGGTGGACGTCAGCGACAGCATGAAGCTCTACCGCTGCCACGGCATCCTCAACTGCACCAGCGTCTGCCCGAAGGGGCTCGACCCCGCCGGCGCCATTCGCAAGCTGAAGGCCGAGGTCGAGGCCTCCGCCGACGAAAGTGGGTTACCAATGCTTATCATGTAACGAATCGCAGGCTGGACGGCAATAGCTGCATCGGAAATAGAGAAACGCAATGCCAAGCTGCTAGAGAGCGGCAGGGCCCCCTCCACCGGAAGTGTGGCGTAGCACATATTATACACTAATTTTGTGCATTTGTTTATATTCGGGCGTCGAACGACTCCGCGATCTTCTCGTCGACGCTGAGCGGCTCGACGCCGTTCTCCTGCGCGACGGTACCGTGGTGGATGGCCTGACCCTTCCACTCCATCCACGCGCTCTTCTTGCCCTGTTGCCCCTGGGAGCCGTCTTCGTTTAGCGGGGGCGACTCGACGTGGGTGAAGAAGTCCGCGTGGTCTCCCATGATCCCGCGTGTAAGCTGCACCTTCTCCGACTTCTGCTCGTCCACCGGCGTGTACTCCGGCAGCGGGGCGTCGTTGGACGCGGGTTTCTCCGACTTGCCGTTGGCGCTGACTGGTTCGTCGTCCGACGAGTCGAAGAAGTCATCGGAACTCAAGAAGTTCGACGCCACGTCCGAGATGGACGAGCTGCTGCTGGAGGCGTCGAAGATCTCCGACGGGTTGGGCCTGGAAATCTCATTGGCATCGTGAACAGGGACATCCTTTTGCGGCTTCGGCTTCTTTTTGCGCGTAAACGTGGCCTGCATGTCCTCGAGGTTGCGTTTCACCATAGCGCTGACGTAAATGAACACCCGCCTCTGCTTGTCCACTGGGAGCAGACTGGGATCGAAGGTGAACGTGCGATCGTACATGAACGTCTCCCCTACAATACCGAGGTCGTCCTCGATCAGTTCAAGCGCCGCCTTGCGCTGATTCGGCGCCAGCCTCGAGAGGTTGACGTTGAGAGTGCGTGTTTGAATCAAAGTGATGCCCTTCTCTAGTGGGGACGCCTTATGCATGGATGGTACTGGCGGCGGGGGCGGTAGTACGCGTCCGACATCGGGTACTGGGAATTCTCCCTCGAACTTTAACCGTGACCCTGAGTCGCTTTCCTCCGATAAGTTATCAAACTTATTCTTCGGATTGACATTGTACTTCTTCCAATAGGGGACCTTACTCTTAGTTTTCTTGGGTCGGCTCCTGCCGGCGTTCACGGGCAACGCGAAGTCGTCAGCGGAGGCTACGGAGGAGAGCTCGTTGAAGCTGTCGTCATCATCGTCGATGGCGTACATGTACTCGTCAATGATGTCCTTGCTGCGGTGGTTTTGCGCGGCCTTGCGCTTTTCGAGCGGTTTCATGGCCTCAGCGTAGTCCAGGCCTAGCGATGCAGCGTTCCATTTGGCCTTGCGCAGGAATGTTGTCTGGTTGTACTCAAGCAACGTAGCTCGCATTGCGTCCTCCCCCTTCTGCAGCAGCGTGTGGAACTCGTCGGGGTGCAGATAGCGCGTGCTCTGCAGCTTCTCCTCCAGTGCCTTGGCGAGATGCTCCGCTGCCTGCCAGATCACGTTGTTTGGCTGGTAGAACAGGAACGCGTTGAAAAATATCTGCCTGCAGTCGCACTGGAAGGCGAACGGGTTGGAGTACTGCCTCATGTGCAGCCGTTCGATGATCGTATGGAAGTCCATGGGAGTGTGCACCACCTTTGGGTAGTCCGGCACGCCGTCGGCCACCGGGTCCACGGGGTACCAGAACCACTTGTCATTGTCCATGTACTTGATGGCCTGCAGCGTGCGATATGCGGTGTACTCCCACGTGTCCTTGGGCAGTTTCGGCAGATTTCTGCTGAGGATCGGCACAGCACGGTAGAGCTGTTGCGCCGGCTGCCGCTCGTAGCTGCCCGACTGCTGCTTCCTGGGTGCGTCCTTTTGCGATTTATGCGACTTTTCGTGACTAATTTCCTGATAGTTGCTTTCCGTGAAGTCCGGCACGAACTCGTCGTAGTATCGTACGCGCTGCTTGCGCTTGCGAAGCGACCGTTTCTCTGCGTTGTCGATGGATGAGACGGTCCGCGCATCGTCCTCCCGGCTGTCCCCCGATTTGAGCGAAAACTGCGACTTGCTGCGGCGGCTTTCAAACGATCCGCTGGCTCCGCCTCTGTCGCTGAGAGTGTGAATGGATTCGTAATCGGCTGGCTTCCTCCACATCTTGCTGGATTCCGGCGGCGGGGTGTAGACAAGGAATCTGTAATTTTCTTGCGATAACAGCTGGTTTATTTTTTCAGCTTCTTCCGGTGTCAGTGTAAGCTCACCGCGGCACTTGCTTACAACAGCCGTGGATTTGGCCACCGTCGAACCCGGGTTCAGGTCACGCGCACTGGGCTCGACGGTGGCGGCGGCCGTGGCTTCGCCTTCCGGCGAATTTATCGGGTCGATCGCTTCCATTTTAGAGCGTGGACACGCCGTTTTTTCGGCGCTGCTGGACCCTCCGTGACCGCGTCGCTGGGTTCGCACTCCGTCGTGAATGCCCCGTCAAATGTCGGGGCGAAGAAGTCCGCACACCGAATGGTCCGCACTGCCCAGACCTTTAAAATTAGCGTCTTAGATCGCTGTCTTGGATCTTCTTGCCTTGTCGAGAGGCCACAAACGGCGAACGCGCTATTGCCTGCGCTCACGAGGCCGCCATCATCCGTGCCTGTACCTAATGCATTCTCCGAGAGCGTAATCCGTCCTACGGCTACTGAGTTGTATGTTCCGTCGTGAGTTATTTTTTGGTAATAGGCATCGCCTGGCGCCTGCTCTGTATGCCGTTGAGCGTGTCTAGGCTTCTGTAGTACGTGAGGAAGGCGTGGTTGCTATTTTTATCTCGCGGCGTCGTTAACGTCACATTAAGACATTACTGCACACGGATATATACCTCTGGTGTCCAGCTGGTGCGAGGCTACGTTTTACGACGTTGCCATTATGGGCCGCTTGTGACCTTGCCACAGCTACCGCATTAGGCTGTAGCTTTTAACGATATTAGTGGTACAGCGTTTTGTACTAGATTACAAATTCTGCTGTTCGCTCACATGTGACGTCCGGCGTCGTCGGCGTCCACTCGCGCGCCGCTGCCTAGGTCGCAGTCTCTGGAGTTATGTGACGCGAATTCTACCTCACACTTTGTGGATGTTGCGGCACAGTGCCGCAGGTTAATTGCAGCCATTAGAAGATAACACATTTGAGCGATGTTACAAGCCGTGTAGTTGACGTTGCCCACACGCCGTGTTTTATGATTCCCTACCTGGCGGCCGATGAACTCGGCGGCAAGCGCTCAGGCGCACCGCCGCCCGATAGCGATTCGGAAGCGGAATTGGATGCCTTCTACAATGAATGTATCTCCGTAGCGAACGGGGAGACTCAAGCCCAGCCGCCGAAGAAACGGTACGAGTACGTTGTATGTGGAATCTTCAGGGACCCGAGCGTTACAGCCAACCCAAATCCAGAAGCTGAACCGGCAAAGGAGCAGGCGCAGACACCTGGCCAGACCACACCACCCTTACGCATGTCGGACCCTATATATCAGAGCCCATTGTGCCGGGAGTTCCTAGACACACTATCGCATCTTACGGAGACGCAGCGAGTTGAGGCTATACACATCCTTACGTTCCAGCGCGTGGGCGACCTTGCCTCTGGGGTGGCTATGAATTTCACGAAAAACGCCGAGAGCGTGAGATCAAGCACCGTTAAGGTCAGCGTTCACAAAAAACCCAGCCCCCTGGCTGGCAAGTGCCTCATAATAGATGCCGACGACGAGAAGCCATTCTCATCAAGTGCGGACATAATAGTGCGACCTATCGGCGATGCAGTGTCTTCCGAGATCCTGTTAGTGCTGCCGCTGTGCGGCTACCAGGTGCTCAACCGCGTCTTCATCTCCGGGCACGTGTTCACCAACAACTCCGGCAACCCGTCGCAGGTGGAGGTGGCAGTGCTGCGCCACTACCTTGACTGCAACCCTACGACTCCGGTGTCACAAGATTCGCTGCTCGTAGAGGTGCGCTGCGTCGGTGACGGCGACCCCGAGACCTACAAGGCACGCATGAGGGAATACACGCAACTGTTGTACAAGTACGTGGACTTCGCGCTCCAATGACAGGGCAGAAGCCGTAACACGATCGCAAAAGTGCGGTCACCGATTTGTTTTAGTTAATTTAAGCTTAACATTGAAGTTGCAATTTTAGCGATAAGTCTGCACTCCACCGGTCACAGCAGACCTTGTGGGTGGCTACGTTTAAGCGCACTGTGCTGTGGCAGGGAGTTGCGTCAGAAGTCCGTGACTCGGCCCATGTGGCTCCAGTCGCCGAACATGGTGGGCTCGTGCTTCTCGTAGACGTTCCCGTACTCCTTGAACCCGTTCTTACAGGCCCCGTCGGAGAGATCCTCATTCTCGGCGGCGGCCACATGGGCCTGTGTGATGCCTGTGTCGTCATCTGTCGGTGGTGGGTCGCCATCTTTGCCGCGGCGTGCGACCCTACCGCTTTCTGTTCCCTCGGTGTCATCCTCATCGCCCGAGCATGCGACTGCCCCGTCCGAACCGCCGTCGCTGCCGCTTAAGGCCGTAGCCTGCTCGGAGTTTGCCGGGCAGGTGCCACTGTGCAGCTGCGCAGCCCTGAGGTCTGCAACTCGGGTGAACAACGGCGGCGGGGCGACGCTGCCGAGCATCGCCGAGGCCGCCATGTGCCGGCGGGCGTTGGTGTCTAAGCCGGCAGTGTAAAAGCGATACGTCGCAGATACAGGCCTTTGTAGCCTCCTTATCATCCTGGGGGTGACGTATAGCTGTCTAAAGAGACCCATCCTCGTAATATTTTAGGGTATGGGCGTACGATCCTTGTCTAACCAACTTGCGATGTAGCCGTCGTTATCGGCTGCACATGACGAGTCGAAGTCTACACCTAATTTAGGAAACTTATTTGCGATCACCGTGATTACGTTTGTCGATATTATATTGGAGATCTCGGAACGCGTTGCTACACGCAGATCGACCCCTCGACCCCAGCCCCTACCGGGTCGCGACGCTTGCCCGCACGTCCCGGCTACACATATGATATTTGACGCTTGCGGGCGTCAAGGTGGTCAACAAACAGCGGTGAAACGATGTCGTCGTCGCCGTCCTCGGATGCGTCCTCCAGCTCGGACGAGGGAGCGCCATGGAGCGCTACGGACGACGAGAGGCAGGAGTCCGACCCTGCGGCGGCCGACGCACCGTACTTCGACGTGGAGGAGCTAGACGAGGAGGAGCAGAACCTGCTGGTGTTCATGTGTTTCTGCTCCTTCCTAGACTGGCAGGACCGCTTCCTGGACGCGTACAAGGAGGTGCTCGTAAACCGAGGTGTTGAGACCCGTTCGACCGCTCCTTCCGAGAGCTACGCGCTGTACACGTCGCTGCGGGAGACTGTGTTGCGCCAGCGCGGCTTTTTGAAGGGAGAGGGGGAGAACACCGAGGACGGCGCCATCAGCGACGACGAATCGGTTGTGGAGGAGTCATCGGTTTTCAGGACATGGATGAGAGCCTACCGGCTGGAGTTCTACTTGAAGATCATGATGCTGATTTTCCTGCTCAAGCTACCCGCAACGTGCTATCTGGTGGTTACAGGGTTGTACGTGGTCTACATTTTCACAAGTAACAGGTTGGCCAGCGTGATGCAGTGGCCCATATTCAACGGGCGGCTTTCCACGCAGGTCAGGGGGATAACAGGGCGCATATATCGCACTACTCGTCGCCTTTTGCCGTTCGTCAATCGCACAGACTCCCCGCGCCCCGCTGCCACTACCAGCACTAGCACAACGGCTGCCTCCCGTAGGGATGACCCCGTCTCCACGCCGTCACCCCAGCCTTCGAGCGCGGAACTGGTACCTACTGAGACCCGAAGCACGACCACACGCCGACGAGGACCGTCGTATCTTACGAAAGTGTGCTACCAGTTGGTGGCGGCTTACGTGCTAAGCCTCATGCCCTGGTGGGAACCAAACCCGCGGTACCTCCAGGAGAGTGATTAGGTATCAGGTCATTTCAGAAGCCGCATCTCCCCGTGGTTCGCGTTCACCGTTGAAAAGGCTATTTTCCAGGCCGATGAGCCTGAGGTCGTTCAGTTTATTTCAAAATATACATACCCGCGCAGTGCTTGGCAGTTCGACTCCTTGGAATTGCGTGCCATTTTGAACATCTATAATATATTTTCTATTTCAACTCAAACTTTGGCACCCACCTCCTTGAACCTGTTTACAAACTCCCTCCACGCCTCCTGGGCGTCGGCGTCCTGTTGCCGCAGCTGGGCTTGTGCTTCCGCGACTTCCGCCTCAACAGCCTCCAATTCGCGCTTCCTCAATTCCTGCTCATCAATTAGACTGTTCGAGTTACAGTTGTTGACTCACCAGCTCATCGTTGGCAGCTGCCCGTATTACTGCTGCGAGCTCGCTCGCCTCCAGTTGCACGTGGGTCTCCTTCTCCTCCACAAGCTGGTTCTTGATCAATGACGAGGTTTCGCGGAGTATTTCAGAGGTCTCGCGCGTGATCTCGTTGCCGAGCGATTCCAGATGTTGGTTTGCCTGTTCCAGCTCCGTTCGTGTTTCGCTGCTCTCATGCGTTACTTCCCTGTCCTTGTTGATGATCTCCTGGAGCACCCCGTTGTACGTTGAGGGCTCCACTCCCAGTATCTCGCTCTCGTTAATGCCGTGAGTGTTGATGCGCAACTGCCCGAGGCTGCGCCACGAGTCGGCATGCCGACCGTTGTTCATCAGGAAGTTCTTGATAGATTCATGCGTGCTAGCGAGCGCCTTCTGCATCCTGACCAGTTGTGACTCCATAGTTTGTGCCTGATCAGATTAGTTTTATCAAGAAATTGGCTTACGGTTGTTTTGCTTGTTGCGATATCATGTTCGAGCTCCTTGATTTTGCGATTGCCATCGGTGATGCGAACTTTGAGTGTTCGGATGGTATTATTGAGTTCGCGCACGACATTCTTGTTGATGTCTTGCTGCTCGATCAGTTTTTCTATATCGGCGTTTTGCTCTTCTTGAGCGGCCAGCGCAGCCTCCTCATCCCGTAGCGTCTGTTTGTGCCTTTTCAGCGACTCAGCCTAGACACATCATTACCGGCGCAATTTAATGAACATACCGCCTGAATGCATGTGCCACGTACAGATGCGGCGAGCTCCTCTATGCGCTGCAGCTCCACTGTGGCCTTTTCGATCCATTCCTTCGTGCGGGCGAAAGCCTCCAACTCTTCTTGCAATTCCAGAGTTTGTTCGCGCAGCTCCTCAAGCTGCCGAATTTTTGCATCAACGCTCTCTTGCACTACCACCAGCAGATCCGAAACCTCCTGATGAAACTGCTCCACCAGTTGTACGCTGTTTTCCTCTCCCCTCAGGTAGAGTTGGAAGTGCTTGGTCGCCTGCTCTGTGACAAAGTGCGCCACCATCGTGTTAGATATCGTTGCTTTTCCCTGTGCGCCGAAATCGATCCCCATGTAAGGCAAGCTTTGCCTTTTGGAGGTGACTTCAAATTGCTTGTCGGAGCACTGCGGCGCGATGTTGGTTTTATATGCAGAATGCTCAACTCACCTCCTGCTCATACAAAAGCAGCTTGCAAAGCCATGACAGAGCCACCAGATTGGCCTCCCACTGGTGGTCTGCCGTCGGGGTCCTCAGGTGCGATGTCTTCATTATGTGAGGGTATCCGAATTCCTTGAAAAACTTGGGTACCTCGACCGCCATGTTCTCCTTTGTAATGTACGCATTGGGGTCGATATATCTGGAAATTGTAAATCCGCAGCGTATTTGGCCTACCTGAAGAGGAAGTTCCATATGTCCAGCAGCGTCTGAAGCGGAGGAGACCGCAGGAGCTCCTTCGCAGTGCAAGGGTGGAAGTCACGCGAGGCCAGAAAGGCCAGAATACACTGTACGCACTCCCTCTTGTTGGTCAGCGCTGTCTTCGTAGTGGCAGATTGCGTAAGATGTCTTGCCGAGCTGGATGTTTGGCTCTCAAGAGCCGTCCTCAAGTTCCTCAGATTAGACATCGTGGAATCCGTAATGTGCATCCACCGTTACAGTGCCCAGAGTGAACCTTCCGCCGGTATTTATGCACAGCGCGATGTCATAGCTGCCTTGAAGGCCATTTTAGCCCCTTCGACGCTGTCTACCAGCTGTTTTTATCCGTAGAAGGCTGCTGTTCGACTCTTGGTTATACAGCGGCAAAATCAGCTTCCAAGCTGCAGTACTGCGTTATTTAACAAACAATGCGATAAGTAGTAATATGGAGCGCATACTGTCTCCCTATATTTGCAATCCGCCGATGTGTCAGCATCGAGTATTTCCACACACCCACTCGCGGAGGAGCAGCATATTGCGCCGCCCAGCCGCCATGCAGTCAATTTGGTTACCGTTACCACTTGTAAGATGACCTTTTAGCTACATTGTTCAACTATAGTTGAATTCTACTGCGTTTATGATGGCGCCCAGAGGTCACCGATCTGTGTCTGCCTTCCACCGGGAAGGCTCAGGGATAAAGGATCTTGATGGTCCCGTCCAGTGCCCACGTTGCTACTACAGCGTGCTGCGGGTGATGTGCGATACCGATAACGTCCTTCTCGTGGACCTTGAAGCTGTGTTCCAGGGCTCCTGTCTTGTTGAAGCAATACAACCAGTTGCCCTCTCCGACGGAGTACACCCAGTTCAGTTTCCTGGACACTACAAAGCCATGGGTAACGCGCATAACTTAACATACCTGCTACGTCGAGGAAGTTGTTGCCGGCAGCTTCTTCCACAGAAAAGTGTTTGACGCATATTCCGTTCAGCTTGTATATAGACAGCGATGAGGAGCGGGTGCAGACGATGATGAGTTCGTCGCTACCCGTGTACGGCAGGCTTAAAATGCTGTTCACCGGCCTCGGGGTCTCGGGCTTCAATCCGCTGCTTGGGTCATGGCCTGTGAAGGCGAGGAACGACTTCAACAGGTCTGTGGTACGACTGTCCCAGATCTTGACGTAGCCATCGCTCGATCCCGTGATCACTTTAGTCCCATCGTAGGAATAGATTGCAGCATTTACTATCGAGTGGTGACCCTTGAACGTCCTTATGGGTTTGCCCGATTTGAGTCCATGAACCCTGCACCGCCATGTTATTTTTCCCGCGCCAGGGCACTTACTTAGCCGTCTTGTCGAAAGAGCCCGCGAGGAGGTTGGTAGAATCACGACTGAATGTCATGCACGTGACAGCACCGTCATGGGCGTTGTTCATCTTGCGCACGCACTCCCCAGTTGCTATCTTCCAGATCCTGATGTGGCCGTCCTTGTCCCCGCTCGCCAGGATCTCGGAGTCACGGCTGACGGCGAGGCTCACTATCAAGGTCTCGTGCAGCATGAACTGGTCCTTGTTCTGGTATTCGAGATCAGGGTCCAGCTTCCCCAGGTGCCAGTTCCAGACCTCGATGAATCCGTCGGATGACCTGCAGCCTTTGATAAGTGCGGGGTCATAAACATACCCAGAGATTAGGTACTGGCCATTCGGCGTGAAGATGGCGCATTCAGGGTGCACATTATCTGCGAATCTTATTATCTTGGCGACCTCCTTGACACACGGCTCATCGCCCTTCGTGGCCGTGGTGGAGGTGTTGCGGAACACGTCGAACTGGTCGCCGCTGGATATAATCCCCACGTTGTGCTGCCATTTCATCGCCATTCCTAGAAGAGCGGTGAGCCTGGACGGCGGTACGCTGTCAATTTCGCTTTTCAGTGCTTCCGCAACGATAGCCCGTCGCTTGTCTTTAGTAAGTGGCTGCTGTCCGGGGGCGTCGTGCGAACTTGCGTATATTTCACGGGACTCTGCAGGCCGCTTCTTACACAGGTCGGCCAAAATGCGATATTTCTCGGGATGTTCACGTTCCATCTCGCGCAAAGGCATGGCATTCTCCAGGACGGCATTTGCCAGCGTGCTCTCCCTGAGGTCAACCAGCTCTCTGATGATCTAAGGACATCGTTTAAGCCTAGAGGACTCCATCATACCTGATCATACAGCTTGAATAGCGTTTCCTGCGAGAGCGACATGGTGTCGACAGCGTCGAGCACCTGGTTCCACCGGCCCATCTGTGCGTCAGCAACGAGCGAGTCAACGCTCGGCACGCTATTCAGCGACACCCCAGCCTCCTCCTGCAGCATCATCAGCGACTTCGAGAGCCTGTTCTCCTTGAGGTACTGGAGGATGAGCTTAATCACGCTGCATGATCATTAGTGAAGCTATCACTTCGGTCGGTTCTGACATCCGTTGGCATTCAACGTGGCCAAGTTGCCACGATATGAAGCAAAAACTTACTCTTCCGACGCTACTTTGACAGTCTTGTCCATCTTGTCCCTCCAAGGAGTCTAAAATCCGTCAACCAGACCCTTTTCGGTAGACAGCGCCTCAACGGCGGCGGAATCCTACGGTTGCCGCCTGCCCTCGCTGAAGCACAGCGGAGCCTGTCCTGACAGCCGTAGGTGTAGCACTTGTGTATTCGTGCTCTAGTGGCGCGAATGCCGTGTCTAGGCACTGTTCCTGCGGGATTACTGGGTGTGTCGCGCCCCCATCCTGGTCAATACTCTACACCCTCGACGGCGCTTTATGGATACCCACTTTCACTCCGCGCTACACATACAAAATTTACTTATCCTCCCGTAGCGTCGGCGACATACTGCCGAGTGATGTGCCGGTAGGACGGTGTCCTTCGTCGAACTCCGGCGACCCTGCGCGCGGCTCTAAAGCCCCTGGCGCACGTATACGGGCGGTTTTAACACAGCGCCAGCCCGTAATCACCGCTTCTAACGCGGTATTTCAACATCGACACCCATATACCATGGCGCTGCTGCCACGCTTGCGGTTCGGCTCGTCTGCCGCTTCGCTTTTGCGTGGCGATGCGGGCGTTGCTCCGGTGCAGCGGAGATGCTTCGGCAGTGGCGATATGCAGGCAGTAGCCATCCGCATCAAGTCTGTCAAGTCCATCCAGAAGGTACGTGCCCGCTGTTTTCGTTGCTAACGACCGAGCTCAGATTACCAAGGCCATGAAGATGGTTGCAGCTTCGAAACTCAAGGCTGACCAGCGCCGATTAGAGGCTGGTCTTCCATTCAGCACACCTACACAGGTATGTTGTGATTTCGGTGTTGTTCCCTAACTCCCTGCAGAACGTGATGAACCTGCTTCCCATATCTACCACCGAGCCGGCCGGAAAGAACACCGCACTCGTCGTGCTCGCATCGGGTTAGTGCAAAACTGCAATGTAACGTGTTCACGTTGTGCAGACAAGGGTCTTTGTGGCGGTATCAACTCTGCCGTGGCCAAGATGACCAAGGGTTTGGTTGCCAGTGGCGAGACTGGCGGCGCGGCCTTCTCCTTGTATTGCGTTGGCGAGAAGGTGCGCAGCGCCCTCGAGAGCACGTACGGAAAGTACTTCAAGAGCGTTTTCACGGAAGTATCGAGGACACCCTTCAACTACGCGAAGGCCGCCATGATCAGCGAGGCACTACGCCAGGTGGGTTGCCATATGTACTGTATAACTTTGGCCCAGGGAAACCATGACCGCATTCGTATCGTGTACAACCACTTTAAGAGCGCTATCAGCTACGAGACCAGGACGCTCGACGTGCTCTCCCTGCCGCAGTTCAAGGCGATGCACAAGAGGGAGCTCAACGTGTACGAGAGCGAGCCCGAGATGGCGGAGTTCTTCCCCGATTTCTACGAGTTCTACCTGACCTGCTGTGTCTACGGCTGCATGCTGGATTCGCTGGCAGCTGAACAGTCGGCGCGTATGTCCGCGATGGACAATGCCTCGACCAACGCGTCGGACATGTTGCAGAACCTGACGCTGAAGTTCAACCGAGCTCGCCAGTCGAAGATTACGCTAGAGCTCATTGAGATTATTGGAGGTGCTAATGCGCTATAGTTTGGCGCCTGCCAACCTCTATCACGCCAACACAGTGTAAATATTGCTATTCCACCACTTCACCTAATGGCGTCCGAGCTGTCATTTCGCCACCTATTTACAGATTACTACACCTTGCCGCTGATTCGTCATTTACAAGGCGTGTTAAGCAAACTTTGGTATCGCACGGTGGAGCTAAACAGTTCACAACACGACAGCACCGCACGTACAGCTATAGTTCCAACAAGATTAGAAGCGCAAGTTGCATAGCGCCATGCACGCTGGCAGAGCGATCAACGGTACGACTTCTGGTAGCGCGCACGGGCACCTGGACCACCGAACTTCTTGGGCTCGCAGCGGCGGGGGTCGGCGATAAGAAGGGACCTGTCGTAGCCGACAAGCTCGTCCACAATCTTCTTCTTGGAGGCCTCGTCCACGTACTTCTGGTAGTAGGCTACAACGCCCTTGGAGATGGCCTGCCTGATGGCGTAGACCTGGGCGGTGAAACCACCACCGCGGACGCGGATCCTGATGTCGACGCCAGAGATGCGCTTGGCGCCCATGACGTACAGGGGCTCAAGCACCTTGGTCCTGAGGGCCTCAGGGCGGATGTGGTCGAGGGGGCGGCCGTTGACGCGGATCATGCCGGAGCCCCTGGTGCAGAGGGCGACGGCAACGGCGCGCTTCTTCCTGCCGAAGGTCTGGACACGCTGTCCCTTGCCCTTTGTAATCTCGTCTGCCATCTGGAACTTAATGAGCAAAATCATCAAAAATACACCGTGTAAACACCACAAGAATGGCCACAAAACTTGTCGTAAGACGAATTAACATACACCACTAGGATACACAACAGCGGACACTGGACAAGAGCGGCTACCTCGACTACAGGCGCTGCCACAACGTTGCCAGAATATGTCACACCGGAAATATTATATGGAACACTAGTGTACAGGGGGTGAGATGGGCGCCAATGCTTAGAAGCCGCAACCAGACTGGCCGGGGAGTGTCCAACCCGACGCGGCAACGTTGGTCACGGAAAGCGGCCCCTCACCTCCTCACGAACATAAACGGTCAATAAAACAGCTGCGCTGGCCGCTGCCGCCCTCTGACTTCCCTGCTGGTTAGCCGAGAGTCGCAAGAGGCCCGCGCCAGCGACGATGCCACATATCACGACACACAGAATATACACTTACTTTGGATTGCCTGGATTGTATAAGGAACTTATATCCAAAATCCGACGTTTGTTTTCATGTGCTTCGGCGCCGCGGCGGGAGCTTTCGACGGCCAGAGTTCGGCCACCCCACCGTCGGGAGCGGGTGGCCGTGCGTGAGATGGGCGGCGTTTTAAAAGCATTTCCCAGGCGTGGACCTTCTGCCTAAACATCTGTGGAAGCGTTCGCAAGGTGGGTTGCGTTCTGTGTCGGCTAGGTTCCCGCAACGCGTTTCTGCACGTGTGCCCCGAGGGCTTCACGTCTTGAGCGGCGGCTTACGGGCGTGGTGATACGGCTGTGGTGCGCCGAGTGAACATTATAATTTGCCAGTGTTTATGCGTGTGTTAGACGGCTCTAATTTTGGCTCAGGCGTTAACGCTCTAGTACCCCCTGGATTCCTTATCGCGTTGTTGTCAAGGTAGGTGACCGACTGCCGGCACTAAATTCCGTTCAGATGAAGCACAACAATGTTATACATAACGTGCACCGCGTGAAGTGCAGCGGCAAGTACATCAAGGCCGAACTCGACCAGGCCGGCCGCAAGAAGACGCGCCTGCTCGCCCGCAGGAAGAAGGCCGCCAAGGCTGGCATCACGCCGGTCGGCTACCTGCGTCCGCTCGTGCACATGCCCAGCCGCCGCTACAACTACAAGGTCCGCCTGGGCCGCGGCTTCACCCTGCAGGAGCTCCAGGCCGCTGGCGTCAGCAAGAAGGTTGCCATGAGTATCGGTATCGCGGTTGACCACCGCAGGACTAATCGCTGTGCCGAGAGCCTCAACCTGAACGTTCAGCGCCTGAAGACCTACCTTTCCAAGCTTGTCATGATCCCGCGCAAGAAGACCGCCAACAAGGGCTTCTGCGGCATCCCCGATGACACCCCACGCGAGAAGTTGGCCACCATGGTCCTGACCCAGCAGAAGATCAAGGACGTCATGCCGGTCGTTCAGCCCTTCACTGCGGAGGCTCCGCGCCCCGTGACCTCCGAGGAGGCTGCGGCGCTCAGCTACAAGAAGCTCCGCCAGGCCAGGAAGGCCGCCAAGGCAAAGAAGACCGCCGAGGAATAAGTAGCTGGTTCCAACCAAATCTCACATGGGTCGTAATGCTCAAACCTAGTTCTATTGTGCATGGTTCATGTAACCTGGCCGGGTACCGTCTGTAACATACCGACCGGGTCAGTTGCTAACCACATGTCGTTGTATGTATGGATCGACTTAGTTGTACTATCATTAATTTGCTACGTTCCGCATGTTATGCGCTGTTGGGTTATGGCGAAGTGTCTATTGGCGGGTCGTTTGGTAAGACTTTAGGCGAAATGCTCCGGCGAGTCGCGTATTTCGAAGTCATCCATTGGGGACGCAATGTAATCGGGAAAGGGGGTGGTGTGCTCATCGGTGGTGTCCAGTGGATCCTTAGCTTCATCGAGGGGGACGTCTACGACGTCCGTGGTGACTGGGTGTTCTTCCTCTGTCGTCGTGATCGGGCATCCATCCACCTTGCCGGTGATTGGGCATCCATCCACTTCCGTCGTAACTGGGGATCCATCCACTTTCGTCGTAACGGTACATCCATCCACTTTGGCGGTGAAGGGACATCCACCCTCTTTTCTGGTGACTGGAGATTCACCCTCTTTTATGGCGGCCGCTTTTTCTGCAGCAGCCTTTTCAGCGGCAGCCGCGAAGGGGCACTTCCCAGCCATCTCTTTGTTTTCGGCTAGCATCCTAGCCCGCCTCATTGGGCAACCGCCACCTTCCGCTTCATTTACTGGGGGAGCATCTTTGGCAGATCCATCTGCAAAATGTTAGATCGGTCGGACAGGTTGCTACGTTGGAAACGGCATCGGCGCATTCATTACCATTGATACGCACGGCACGAAATGCACTCGCTATTCAATAAAACAAACTAACCGTATACGGATATCGCTTCATATCCGGAAAGAATCTCCTCCAGCTCCTTGGGGTCCGGTAGGGCCTCCGAGACGGTGGAATGCGGAGGGTGGTGCGTGGTACGAGCGCCCCCTGCCGGCTCTTCCATAGGAGTGCTCATGCAACACCCCATTGTGCTCAAAAGATGTTCCTGGTACTTGGTAATCGTGTACTAACTTCTGGTGTCCGAAGTGGCCAGCGGCGTGGTAACCGTCTTAAGATAAGGCTTCGTGGCAGGCAAATCACACCTACCAACCGTTCGACAAAAAAAATTTTTTAAAGTCTCGTAAATCAATTCACGGACTTGGATGTTCGGTTTTGGATGGTATGCAATGGCATCGGCCACGCCGATACTTCCTCATCAGATCTGCTACCCCGCGTGGCAGATTCCTAACGTCGCCCGTATGACGGCGAAACGTCATTTTCTGCGCAAAAAGAAGACTATTGAGACCTTCCGGCGAAAGATCGCTGCAATACAATTGTAGGGGAGCTGTATTGAGGCCGGCAGTCCTAAAATGCCGACACCGTTGACATGATACGGTACCGCGCGGAGACACCACTTCCCCCAATCCTGCACCACCATCCCTCACGCCACAGAATACACAAGTATATATTAAATGAAAGTTGCAACAGTGGCCCACTAGGGCAACCCACCACACCAGTCCACCGCTAAGCGTTGCACGTGTCGCATACGCCATCAAAGCGGCGGCGACGATACCTACATTATGTTGACATTGAATTGCGCGTGCTGACGCATACTTCAATGTGACGCATTCATAATCAGCGTGGCTGGAATTAAATATTACAACGGGCGAACCTGCCCGGTAGCGCCGATAACCGCCTGAGCGAGCGCGTATTCACAGAACACTCACTGGTGCTCCTCAACGTCCTTGCGCACCTCAGCCTCGACGTTGTTCTTGCCGGCGGCGAACTTCTGCTCGAGGAGCTTGAAGTGCTCGTCGAACTGCTCCAAGGTCAGCTCCTTGTAGACCTCGTCCTTGGCGTGGAAGAGGGCCTCCTTCATTCCGTCAACGTCGTGGTAGATGAGGGCAACAAGCTTCTCGTCACCGTTGACGTAGACGCTGGCACCGGCGAAGCGCTGGTGGCAGCCAACACCATTCCAGACGGGGACACTGCCAGCCACAACCCTGTCGGAGAAGAAGCAGGTGGAGGGGACAATGTTGTACCACATGATGCCGTAGGCGTTGTTGGTCTCGTAGGTCAAGTACTTGTTGTCGTTGATGTCGTTAATGTCAACAACGACGGTCTTGGTCATCTCGCGGAGCGCCTCCTGGTACTTGTGCTCAGAGATGAACTCGAACTCGCCATCACGGCCCAAGTAGTGAACCTTGGTGGTGGGAAGAGCAACCTCAATAAGGGTCTCGTGGCAGTGGGTGTGGACGGTGACCTTCTCGATGCTCTCATCGTCGTCGTCACCGACGCCGTGGATCACGGTGTCGCTCCAGACCAGGTGCCTCAACTTGTTCGGGCTGACAGGGGAGTAGACGACGGGAGTGCGGGGGGCACAGCCATCAGCCTGCTTCTGGATCATCCTGTTGCTCTCGGTGGGCGTGGAGAGGTCCAAGACCATGTCACCGGACTCACCGTACTCCTGGAAGGTGTGCTCAACAACGGTCTCGAAACCGCGTACGGCCGTCAGGCCGAAAATGCAGGCAACGATTGCGGTAGAAATGGCTACCATTGTGCCTGACTGCTTTGAGTTGTTCGAAGAGGGCTCTGCAAGCAAATGTCAGTACCAACGGCGCCGACTATGGAATCCCGGTAATCGAAAATCCACAAATATTAAAATCAAATATGCGATTACAAATCAGCGAGACTCCCGCCGGGTATGCTATGACAGTAAGGCATACCCGTCGGAGTCGGATCTGCCGATTGCTGCATGCCATCCCCATTGCAGCATTCAGACTCGCAACCGCGGCGAAATTGAACCAACGGATTCTTGTTTTGTTATGCAAATTGCATTAGCTGTGTTCGCGATATTTTGAGCGTAATATTCGTGCGTTGGGCGGCCCTTGGCGACGGGAGTTGCGTATTGGTTTCTTTCCCTGCTGTTGCCGCGGATTCTTTTGTTTATGTTCATATTCGTAATTATTACGGCTATTACGCTCTATATTGTGCCGATGTGCGCAGTTTTCGAATTATATTGGCAGGCATGCGTGGTCATTCCACATTCCGCTGCCTCTATCCGTGTTACGCGGCTTCTTTTGGCTCGCTTTATACCGATATTTGTGCTTATAGTGGTTGCTTTTTCATATATCATGGTATGCAAGTAGATTTGACGGCCGTGGCCGATGTAGTCTAGAGGTCGACGCATACCGCGGTTTGTCAGTCGTCTCAAACGGTTCACTGAGTCGCCTCGTTTATAGGCACCGCTGTGTAGCCACAAGGTACCATTGTGAACGTAGCGTTCCCTGCGTTCTTTAGCGTTCTGGCGTTTACTCGCTTACCGTTTGTGAGGGCGCGGAGGGCCTTGGTGTATCCCAACGCGTGCTTCATCGGCACCTGCTGCTTATAGTTTGCTGCTGCTGATAACTCACGTTAGCGACTATGGTTGACATCACGTTGCTGCCGTTGCCTTCAGTTGCGATGGTCGCTATGTTGGCGTTCCTATGCCTGCGCTTCGCAACGTCACATGGATGCGGGTGGGCTTACCAGATCTGTAGTGACGTTTCCGACATATTCGTTGGGGACGACGATATTGAGCGAGACGACTGGCTGGTGCAATTCAATCGACACCTTGCTGTAGATGCTTTTCAGCGCCCTAGATGCCGTGGCTTTAGCACCTGAGCGCATTGTCCTACTGACGGCTAGGCATTACCGGCGACAGTTGAACTTGGCAGTAACTTCATTTTCGCAATCCTTATCTGCAACAGCATGAAGATACCCGACGCTGCGTCTTACCCTTGTATTGATCATTGACCCTCCAATTAGAGGTCCAGCGGCAAGAACGTTGTGGAGCATTTGCTTCACACTGGCGAGAATCTCCCTTGTTTTGGTGGATGCCAATATGGCATCCGTCTGGGCCATTACCGAGCCGTTTGGGTTGAGGAATACTACATTTTTGTCGTCAACCTGTAGTTGATGTAACCAAGTGCCGCTGAGGCAGGTACCTTGTTAATTGGTGCATTCGCATCGGTCGGTGCAGACGACTCCATTGACGATGCTGTTGGATCGCCTAATACACATATTTATTAGATAAAACGCCACACGTCTTACTTATTGTGGTTTCCATCGGCTCCATGATGAGATGTATCCCAACATGCGTTTTGTCTGCAGCGCATGTTGCCATGAGCAAGGACAAGCACCCACCCTCAGGTAGTGTGGCGTCTGTGTACAGCGACGTCTCCACGATGTCTGTTGGAGTTTCCTATTATCGTTCATAGCCAAAAATTCCGGGTTACCTTAAGGGCCACTGTGAGCTTGCCAATTTGGACCGGTATCCCTGTGGGAGGTGATAAAATTCAGGCATCTGCGGTGTCTTACCGTAATCATCCTTGAGCATTTCAGCGAGTATTTCCAAGTGGAATTCGCCGTAGCCGCCCACCACAAGGCCATCTATGGCGTCTGGGTCGTATTTGTAATAGACGCTGGGGTCTTCGATTTTCATCTTTGCCATGGCATCGACAACGTCATCGATTGAATGATCTGTGACAAATCTTTGCTGCTTATTTGCACGTCCACCATACCGTTCTTTGGAGTGAAGGTTGCAAAGCAGACGCACCTGGTCGCCGCGGAAACGGTCGACAGTGGTGTGCTGTATTCACTTGGCAGAGTCTTCTTGGGATCAGTTGAAAGCAGATGCCCTGTCCTGGCATGTTGCATGCCGCTAATCATCAGTATATCGCCTATTATGGTGTCACATCAGGATATTGAAAAGGTACCTTCGACCACGCGATTGCGCTCCTGGTAAGTATTTCCATGTATCTTGAATATTTTTCCGGCTTGCTCTGTCTTACCCAACTCGAGGTTGTGCAGACGCATCCCGGGCGTTGCAATGCCTATAATGTTATGGATTCATGTATGTGTTGTACCAACCCTTGAGCACTTTGCAGAATGCATGTATCTGGGACGCGCCTCCGTGGACCGTCTTAAAAGTGTGTACCAGTGTGTATCCCTGCAAACGTATGACTGTAACGTGTCCACCTTACCTTATTAGAGCTCTGCAAATCGTTCAAAGTGGTAGGCGGCGGGAAAAGCCTACATACGGCATTCAGCAGCTGGTCCACGCCAGCCATGGTAAGGGCAGAGCCACACAAAACCGGAGTTACTATTCGAGCATGTTTCACAAAATATCATTAAACCAACATTTTCCTTCGCCTACATGTTTTTGTAGCTGTGTTATAAGCTGCTCTGTTGACACGTGACCATCAGTCAAGTATACGTCTGCGATTTGCTCGTCGATGTCACACAAGCAGTCTGTAAGTGCGTCACGCATCCGTGCGCGCTCTTCGTGGCATTCATCACCTTCTTCCAGCACTGATACAATCCTTTTTCCAGTCGTCATGCTTCTCGGATCGCCCACGGGTTGATTAACCAGGACTGTATTAAGTCTGAGGTGCTGCCGTATAGACTGCAGGTTTTCTTCTATTGAAACGCCGGGTCTGTCTGTTTTGTTGATGAATAAGATTTTGGGCATGTGGCGCGGTAGCGCAGCATTCAGGTGCCTGGTTTGCGCCTGCACTCCTTTGATGCCATCAATGACAATGATGCAACCGCCGATGACGCTCATTGCGTTGAAGACCTCTCCACTGAAGTCGGTGTGCCTGTGGTGTTATATGTGCGTTGTGCGATAAAATAATGACACCACCATTCACCAACAAAACACATAATCGTTGTTCAACGTGCAACAGTTCAATCGATCATGACATACCCGGGCGTGTCTATGATGTTGATGTGGTGGCGACCCCAATTGAAACTGGAGCAGGCAGCTCTTATAGTAATACCCCTTTTGATCTCCTATCGAAACATCAGTTATTCTGGCGAGGAAGATTGTAGCGAAATCAATTTTCGCATTACGCGTCATTGCTCATGCAGCAAGACATCAGCCCACCTGCTCCATAAAATCCAACTGCACGGGATTCTGTTGCATTCTACCGTGTCTGTTTTGTTCCATTCCTCGTGAAAGTAACGCTTCAGCAAGAGTCGTCTTGCCCGCATCTATGTGCGCCACTATCCCGATATTCCTGATATCATTGGCTGCACGGTTATAATGCCGAATGCGCATCAAGATATTATACAAATTCCACAGAATACGCTACATGGCGCACGTATACCTACTTGAATACGCATCTCCGCTAGTTGGCCGGTGGTCGGTGGAGAAAGACCTCCCGATACGCCATCCTCCCAGTGGCAAACTCCTCCGGATACACGCCCATAGCTTCGGTGTCACGCTCAGCGCCGCCGATGTGCCCATTATCGCTTATATGCATTCAGACGGTCGTTAATGTGGATTCTATTCGCAACTATGATACACAGGTTGGAGTATGGCTCGCTAATTGGTTGATGTCAAGCTACACGTGCACCTACACATAGCCTTCCACCAAAGCGGGGGCTGTGGTGAACAGCGAACGGAATATGCACTTATTTTGATTAGCCAGTGTATATTGTCTCTGTATCACAATGATAAATATGACACATTTCCGTAAAATAAGTACTATGTGCCTTCCTCTATCTGCTCACTAGTAGCTCTCACGAGGGCTCAAATTATTACCTAGCACCGGCGTTATCGACATATATGTATACTTAAAACACTGTTTACACCGCTGTATAACTGTTTTGGTACATGTGTAGCGGCACCGTTGAATTAGTAGCCCCGTTGTTGATGTGTATCTCTTAAATCGCAATGTCTACATTATCATTTGTCACGTTCTAACCAAGCAGGACGATAATAGTTGGTAGTTACTTGTAAGGTACGCAACCTTACTAGGTGAGCGATGAATGCCTGCTACAGAGCTCAAGTTCTTCGAACTCCTGCGGCGACACTGGCGCTAGCCCCTTTAGCGTCAATTTGTTATTGAATACATGCAACTCTGACTTGAAGTGTGCCCTGTAGTCTTTTGCGTTGTCGAAATGCATCTTGCAGTTTGTGCACTTAAACGCGGGCTTCTTGGTTGCTGCGCTGTCACACGTTGACGCTGTTGACTTGCCTTCCCTGGAATCTAGGCTCAAACTTTTCAACGCATCAGCTACGCCTTCTTGTGTAGTTTTCACAGCGTTATCCTGGGCCGAATGGCTGCTTTTGTTGGTTTCGGAAGCTGCCTGCGTCGAAACATTTGGCACGGGCGACAGGCCTATGTTCCCAGCATCCTTCACGTTTAGCGCGACAAGCTGCAACGATCCTGGGGGTTGAAGCATGTTCGAGACAAAGTTGTCAATTTCGCGATATATTTTCGTGCAGCATAGGAACCGGATGTTTACTACTGCGCCGTGCACTCGGGTCTCCCCGCTACTGCTTCCGTCCTTATCGCGAACTGCAGAACGACCTTCCTTGCTTGAATGTGCCTTGTTTTGAGTACCTGCAACAGAACTTTGAGATTCCACAGGTGTCGTGGCCTCGGAATGGTCACTGTCCACGGAACTGGATCTTGATCGGGCGTTGCTATTGCGTTTGCCACCAGGTGCCCCGTCGTTCTCGATGTATGCATTGTTCCCCCTCAAAAAATCGAGCACTTCATACCTCTGTCCAACTGTGCAGGTGATTTTGAGTCGCATTTGCGACCGAGCAATTTCATTGGGGTACAGCTGCTGCAGGTGGGCGAGTGCCTTGAGCGCCTGCTTCTTCGCGGGCTCTCGCAGGTTGACGCTGAACGCGCTTGATTTTAGCGTATTTTCGATGAGGGTGCTCGTGAGAGGGTGACCGGTCTTGGGGTTGATGGCCACCTCGCTGAGAATGGTAACGATATCCTTGAACGTAGCCTGCAGTTGCTGGTTTCGCTCCTCCTTGCTGACTTGAATTTCACCCTTGTCGAGGATCTGCTTGCAGATCACATCGATCTCCTTCGTCCCGAATGCCTTCATTAGCTGGTCGTTCTTCGCCAGCTTCCCTTTGGATATGCTGGTGAAGATGTATGGACTCTGCAGCACCTCCTGGATGTCGGTTTCAACTCCTGCAAACGTTTATAGCGCATTCTTTGAGTTTTGTCACATAAATGATACCCACAATGCATGTCACTTACCTGACCGCCAATTGAGCACTTTGTTTTTGTAGCAGGCTATCTCAAACCTGCAACCTCCCACCTTGAGACGCACGGTGGCGACATTCGTCAGCCGAACCTGTCCGATCGGCTGAAATAGACCACACATGGCTCTTTAAACTGTTCTATGCAAGATTCCAGGTTCCTTCTACAGATATGTAGGCCTATTAGTGGCTTATAGACAGCGTTGCCTTCTGTACGTAGGAAGCAGTAGGGGTAGGCATAAGCCATAATCCCGCCTTTAGCGGACACATATTTGCATTATTTTCGTTTCGAATATATTTCCTTCTGCGTTTGGCGTAGTATAGAGTGGTAGCGTTAATACCCGTCGTCGGTTGCTACCCTCGTGGAAGCGACCCAGCTTCTTGCGTTGTGTCTTTCGGGCACATGGTGAGTTCATCATTGGCCGCAGATCGGGGAATCGTGCACACCTCCGTCGTGTGTCGTAGCGGCCCACGTCGAGGTTTTTAGCCGCGGCATTGGCGCTAGCCTGGGAGCCCACCTCACGGCCTCGACAGGAGGCTATACCAGGACTCATGTTGAGAAATATCGCACGTCGTTGGCACAATGGACGCCTCTGATGATGTCACGGATGACCTGCTCGGCTTGCCGGGCTTCATCCGGCGAAACCTTCTGCTGATGCGGGAGCTGGATGCGAAGTTTGTCTCCCTTCTAGACGATGCTAGGACTAAGGAGCAAGACGTATTAAGCAAGCTGCAAACGCAGACTCCAACAACACCTGCTTCTGAGGAAAAAACGCCGTCTAAGCGCGAAGCATCTACAAGTCCCATTAAGAAGCAGGCTTCAGACGAAAAGGGCTCTGGCCCTGCAAAGGGCCGCGGCTCCAAGCAGAAGCAAGCCGCCGAGTCCAAAGGGAAGTCTTCAGGTGGGGATTCTAAGCGCCATTGTAAAGGAAATGCACCAGCTGCTACAGAGAGCGGGACCACACTGACGACCATCGCACCAAGCGCCCCTCCCCCCGATCGCGCTACACGGCAAGAAATGGATGCCATTCAGCAGACGCGTATGGAGGCTATCTATCTAATGCAGGAGAAGTTGGCCATTAACGACCAGGTGACGTACATGCTAAAACACGAGTACGAGAATCTCAAGGTCCTGTTCGACAACATGTACCACGAGATGGAGACGTCGGGTCAGATGACGGAGAAGTTGCGGATGTCGTTCACCGTGAATCGGTCCAAACCGCCGCAACTGGAAACTATTCTGTCGGGCACGGAACAAGAATTGCTGGGCAATGCGCCGGCGGCTGCTGCTGCAGGCAGCACAGACACAACTGCCGCTCGTACACCTGCGTGGATCAGCGTTGTACCTGAAGCGGTCGCATCCGGCATTCCGACTTTAACGACGAAATCTGAGTCAAAGGATGCTACGTAATCATCGCTGATGCAACGTCCCCTACCGCTGCTGCCTGCGGAGGGGTCTTTGCTTCATACTTTGCACCTCCTTTGTGGCGTGCGCAGTGCATAACTAATGGGTTTTGCTACTCGCACGGTCAGGCAGCGTTTAACTGTTTATAGACATTCTAAAATGTTATTAGTTTTAGTTACGAAAACGTAGCCCGGCGCCGTCCGGGTATGCGGGTGGGCGTTCTTCTGCATTCAGCCGAGTCAAAGGCTAATAATTTCACCATCAAAAGTAATACATATGACATTACACATAGACGCATAACATCTATGGCGTCTGTAGCCACTTAACGAACGTCAGCAGCGTCAGACATCGACCGTGTCTACGTGCACATTGTGTAACTGTTCAATTTACCGCCGGAGAAACAACACGATGTTCACTGTAATTTAATGAAACGACTATATTATATTGTATTAGGACTACTTCCGTCTACTATAAAAGGATTCTTTATCTTCTGTACCTTCAGATGTGTAGAATCCCGTGTCGCACACCCACGTATTGCCGGCAAACGAAGGCATGTAATGAGGCCGCAATTTGATTTTGCTGGTTTAATACCCATGTGGACGTTACATTTGTGTAGAAGACTGCTTGGTTCGGGTGTTATAAGGTGCGAATCATCTCGTACATCATCGAGTTCGGTTCGGCCTTCCGCAATTGAATCTAAGCGCACGAACGCACCTTTGAAAAACTGCGCCACGTCACAGTCGTGCTCCAGTTCATCTCTCGATAGCCGTATACGCGGGGCAAAATCTCTGCAGAAGCTTCTTTCGCTTTGTGCGTCTACTGCGCAGCCTCCTGGTGCGTGGTACCTGTAATACCTCACAGTTTTTACAGCCAGCGCGTTGTCCAACCCTCGTCTGTCAGCTGTAGGACGGTTATATGCGTTGCGGATAATAGACTCCTCTGGAGTGCTCCGGCAGCCCTTATGCGATGCGACGAGTAGTTCCGTGGAGTTTGCCGAATCTGCCACATGGCAGCTGCTTGATCAAATCGAGCGTTACACGACCGCAGGTGCAGTTTTAGTTCCCCGTAGCAAGCATTTGGTCGGCCTCTTATGGCATTCGATGAAAATTGCCAGCAGCCTGGTTGATAGTTTCAAGGGAAGTGATCTGATACATGCGGCGAACAAAGGTATCACTTCAAGCCAGTCTATAACATCTTCATGCCCTGACGATGCGCTTAGCAGGCGCATTCGGAGCCGATGGTCACTGGTACGTCGTTGTTTGGCTGTGGTTCAACTGGTCGTCGACGGCATCGTTGCAGGTTTGGCTCGCCCAAATGGGAAGGACATTCAACAATTACTTATGTTAGCCGCTGAGCCTATCTTCACCGAAATTACAACCAATATGCCGAACAAAGGCAGAGAGTTACTCACTTCAGATGAACTTGATCAAGGCATTGAGGAAGCGCGTAATGCCGCTCTACGATCCATCGAGGTTTTGGCCGAACAATACGCCCACATGATGAACGACTCGGAGTTGATAAGCGTCTTTGTATCTTGTTGCAGTAAGGATGTGAGCCCAAGGTTGATTTCATTTTTAGCCCAATCGATGAGGGATCGGGCAGCAAGGGGGTTCATTAACCTTGCGCTGCAGGACTGCGTGACTCTGTTCAACACCAGCAAGATCCATAAAGTTCCAAATGAAGTTATATCGGTTATACTGTCCCAGTTAGAGACAGTTCCTTTCTGCGACCATGAGCCTTCGTCATCCCCCAAAGGTGATCAGTCGCCACCCGAACATTCTAACCGTCCGTTACTGGTTGGTTGCGACTCTGACGCATTGGAGGTATGGTATTCTAGTGTGCGCAAAGCCACTTTTGCGGACGTTGGGAAACTATCCAGGTCGTTGTATCACCAGGATTGCGGCATCGAGTTACTGCGTAACATCGACAAAGCGTTGTGCCATTCGTTGAGCTCAGCATCGCTTTGTAGCCGCCTGGCTTCACAGTCACGACGTGACTCTAACGGTGTCAATTCTGATCTGTTGTCGCTGTCGTCAATGATTCACCTGTTTGCCAAGAACAATTTCCGGGAGTGCCAGGCGTTGGAGAAAATTATGCAAATGTTAGTTTAACTGCAGCCAATCGAAGCAATTTCCCGCAGGTTGCCTAATATCCCGCTTGGCGACAATTCTAAGGATGAATTGGTGGTTCTCGGAGATCTGTGCTGGAGCATGCTCACCCTGCAAGTGGACGTGAGACGCTTGGGCTTCCTGTTGGACCATTTGATTCCTCGGCTCAAAGGGGTGCCCATTAAGAACACCGTCAAGCTAATGGGAGGTTTGCACAATTCCCTAAGTCGTGATTCTGATCGCATATTGGATGAGTCGGATCCTGTGTTTTCATTGGACCGTGTCCCCATGGATGACTTACTTTCTTATACACTGAACGATGAAGACTTCTCCGCCGCCAGTTCTTCTGTAATTCATTCACTGTCTGCTTCGGGTGAGCGTAGCGGCGATGGGAGACGTGATGAGGTGGTAAAAAGGATGGAAGTGTTGAGATCGCTTTTCATGGATCGCCTTGAGGTTGGTCTTGCACTGTGCTCTTCCATATTTATGCAGGAGGTGACAGACTCGCAGAACATGTCAAATTTCATGTTCTACGCCACTGCAACACTTAAAGACATAAGCGAGAGTGACTACAATGCACTCTGCCTCAGGTGGCTTGCCAATTCGCGAAACCCCGGCTTCAGTGTTAAGGTTGAGGCGCTGAGTCAGCTGCTTTGGGCACTTCAGAAAAACCGTATCTACCACGATGGCATGCTCAGGCGCATTCGCGACATCGTTAGTTATCTAAGAAGTCGTAGTAAAGTTGTTCAGCTCTCTGAGAAACTTCAACACTGCTCGATGGGACAGCTGGCGCTGATGTCACATACCCTGATGTCGTTCAACATCATCACGCCAGACTTCACGGACGCATTGTTAACCAGGCTTGAGGTACTCCTAGATGGCCACCGAGCCGACTATCCGTCTGCCAGAGGCCGCATGGAAGTAGGCGATTGGGACGTGAAGCTGACGTCGGTGATTTGGTCGATCGTGCTCTCTGACTTCACGTCACTGGGTTTTGAATCATTGGATCGCCTGATTAGATTGATTGGCCGCGTAAACTGGGAACGCTTTATGAAGGCGTGCCGGCATCAGGACCTTCGCAAGGTAGGGCGCCATTCTTGCCTTTCCAATACTTCTCAGGTCTTGCAAATATACACTAGCTTGGAGGTGGAACTTCCTAAACTGTCAGGATATCTGCCCCTGTGGCCGCTTCACAGCCTTATTCCGGAGGATGTCATATCTGCAGCTATCCGGGACACTATTTCAGCCAGAAACAGCGTGCCCGTCTCGGTGTCGCAGGACAGGGTACGTAGATCGCTATCACTTTCCGGGGTACGCTTCAAGGGCGAATACGCAATATACCGAGGCATTACCGTGGACTTTGCCATATGCCGGAATCAGGACTCCGAGGAGTTTTTGCCTGATCTTGTGATCGAGATGGATGGCCCCTGTCATTATAATGTGATATGGTACAGTTTTATGTAGTTGTTTAAACGCCTTTCAGCGGTGAGTGTTCTTTGCCACACTTGAATATTGGCACTCTGCGGTTGCTTCCGACTGGGAAGACCTTGTACCGCAACAGGTGAGTAGGGTTTTATGCTTTGTTACAGTTATGCTCAGAATCATCAGTAAACTCGGCTATACCGTAGAGAGCATCTTGTGGACAGATGCGCATCGTCGTGCGATCCACCTGGCCTTGGGCAATATTTTGGCCCGCCACGAAGTCACAATCAAACGAAAGTGATATTGTAGTAACGCAGTTGTTCTAGTTCACTCGATGCTACAACTATTTTTGTTGTTTGTTTCAGTACTTACCAAACTCTTCAGTGACGGTGTGCGCTGCGTTGTATTATATTAGTTGCCACAGTCACTTACTGAGTTTGTCCAGATGCTGCAGCACTTCGTCCAGAGGGAGTGTTCGTTTGCGCGTGTCCTGCTGATTGTAGATGAACGTTGCCACCTCCCTCTTGCGATAATTCGCCGCGAATTCAGTGTATATCAGCAGCTGCATGTCTTCAACCTTAGCCGTAACCAGGGGTGCCATGCGGGCTAGCTCGCAGCCCTTGGAGACAGACAATTCGACAAGCGCTCGTGGCTTGTGCTCCCCCTCGAGGAGCTGCACAACCATTCTCTCCCAGATGCTGTCACTCTTGTCCCACACGATTTCGAAAAAGGCGTTGATGCATTCAACGACAATAGCTGCGTGTCATTCACGAGCTGGCATGGACACTAACTTTTTTTGCTCGGATTGCTGCGGAACTTGCGAACCAAGAAATTCAAAAATGGATTGCCGTACTGCACAGAATGACCCAAACTTAAACATACACAACGTACCGCTCCCGCGCTTATTGCGTCTTTCACGGCCTTTTGATGCGGCGGGTCTATGTTAGTCAGGTCGATCAGTTCCTGCATATGTATATGTCGGCACATCGATAAGCACGTACCCATTTTAGGGCGTTTCTAATCGATTCAAGCGACTTTTCGTCGACAGCATGCCTGAAGTCGCGGCCGTTTGATATTTGACGGATGTATTCCCTCAGCATGTTGGTGACAGTTTTCTGGGTTGGGATTCCGTCGTTTTCATACATGTTTAGCATAGCCAAAATGAAAATGCCAAGATCACCGCCTGCATATTCATCAGTGCTTTACGTTTATTGTTGTATGAATTTTTAGGCGTCGTCGCGAAGAATTTTAACGGGCCCAACTTTAACCATGAAATCCCACGAAACATGCGGATTTTCCCACAACACGAAGGATGTAACACACCGTGTACTTGCATCATGCGAACCCCAATTTCGGCATATCGGCATAAATACCGCAATTCTGTTTCATGCCATACCTGGAGCATAGAAGGCCTTCCCTTTGAGTCTACCGTCCATCGCTGAAAGGGGGTGTTGGTGGACACTTGTGAAGTCCTCGTGCGGTATCAGGTGCATACCATCAACCAACATCTTGTATTCGTCTGGGTCGTGAGCTCCGTGGGTTCTGACCTTTACCTTGGAAGGATAGCTGTAAGGCGATTATATGGCATAGACTGCAACTTACCAGAGGCCCCTGCTGATGTATATCATGTTCTCCAGAGATTTAACATCTAACGTCTAGTTATTCTCCAAGCATCCAAACTTACGGGCTGGACAGTTGCATGTGGCTCGGTAGGTCTTATCCTTGATGACCACCAGCCCGGTGACGGTGATGTCATCTTGCTGTTGCTTCTTATTGCCTGGAGCGGCAATTGCGATTTGCGATAATATAACGAGTGCGAACACTATTATGTTGCGCATTAGCACTTGCACGATGTGTGCCTTCCTGAATCCTCAATGCCCTTGTTGATGTCTTCTGTTTTCGACACGGCCCATAGCGTGATGCGACCTTTTTGGATATCCCAATTTGACATAAGGGGTAATATTCCAATGGAAGACGCTATTTACATATATGAGAAAGGCTGTAGAAGTGTCAAGATGTGGTATATAATACCATTACTACCGTAGCAACCTCCTTCCAGTTGCAAATACGGCGATACACACTGCCTGTATTTGGCGATTCAATCACCTTCTACCGGGTCATTGTAATATTAAGAGCATATCTGTGTGTATTCTTCGGTAATTGCTTATAAGGAATGGGTACAGCGGTCACCCACGCCCCTGATACATACGCTGGAGGACAACCGCGCTGAGTGACGCTCTTGGGGACTCGGTCATTCATAAACCGACAAAACGCACATACACAGCAGTAAGAGTGTACGGTATAACAGACTGTCGCATATAATGCGACGTTTGATCACACAGGCAGCTCAAAAGGCTAACGATATTGACCATGTGTATGCGTTAAGTAGGGAGGAACCCCCAAATACTGTAGGCGCTCACTTCTTCTTTGCAACACCCACGGTCCTGCCGTGACGGCCGGTGGTCTTGGTGTGCTGACCACGGGTCCTGAGTCCCCAGTAGTGCCTGAGACCCCTGTGGAGGCGCATCTTCTTCATGCGTTCGAGGTCCTCACGAAGGCAGGTGTCGAGCATGTTTGCGGTGTTGTGCATGTTCTTTCCCTCCTTGTAGTCCTTCTGCCTGTTGAGGAACCAGGCGGGGATCATGACGTCGGCCGGGGAGCCGATGATGGTCACCACCTTGTTGATCTCATCGTTGGTGAGCTCGCCAGCCCTCTTGGTCACGTCGATGCCAGCAACCTTGCAAACCACAGTGGCCATACGGCGTCCGATACCCCTGATTGCGGTCAGGGCGACTGTGATCTTCTCCCGTCCATCAACGTTGGTGTTGAGGATACGAAGGATGTGCTGGAACTGGTCGGAAGCAGTGATCTGGATCGCCATCTTTATATGACCTGCACAAAATATTAAACCTCTGATTTTGATACATGAAAGCGTGGAAGGTAGCTGCAAAGGCCACAGGCCCTGAAACGCCGCCGCCTGTATCAACACCACAATGATGTATGGACCGAATTTGCCGCTAATCCACCGGTGTAACTATCCCGCCGATTAAACCGCGCAAATGAAACGTTTTAAAACGTTCAATTTGGTGCTGGTAAAGCCCGTCAGCAAAAGCCAACGCCCCAACGGGTCAGTCGACCTGGCAGACCTCCGAAGCATATGCCAACACTTCCGGCGCAGCGTGAGCCCATTGTTTCATAAACACCATTTCATTATACGAAGACGTACCTATGACCCGGATTTGACGGAAATCAATGCTATTGCCTCGGTTCGCGTGTAGTGCCCTCGGGCCGCGGTGCTGGGGGGCAGTCACGCTCTGCTCGAGGGGTCGCAAGGCGGAGATAAGGCGTCCAATTTAAAACCCTAAAAGCAAATTACACAGCTCTGTGCTATAGTTAAAGCTTATGTCGGGGGCTGTGTTCGTTACTCTTTCCAAATGTCTACCGATGACCAAACCGGCCACACCGTGTGTGCGAGCTCGTTGCCATTTTTGGCCTACAGACGCACAACACGTGCCAAACTTTAGTGCTAGCTGTATTTTAAACTACTTCCGTGCAAAATTTACACAAAAGGTGTTTTGCGGTGAGCGTACGATAGAACCTAGTTGAAGATAATACCGTCGAACTTCTCCTGGAACCACTTCATGGCGTCTTCCTTGGTGATCTTGTGGTTCTTACCGATCCTAGCCCTGCACTTTCTGCGCTTGGTGACACGGTAGCCGGGCCTGATCAGCTGCACGTAGAAGTCCATACCGTAAATACCTGCACGCCATGAAGACCTATATAACCTCACTAACCGGTTGAGGGATCGTATTTCAACCCCAAATCAATGTGCTCCTGGATACCGAACCCGAAGTTGCCGGTGTCTGAGAAGTTCTCCTTCTTAAGCTCGTACTCCTTGACCTTGAGGCCACGCTCAAGCAGTTCCAGGGCCTTCTTGCCGCGCACAGTCACGTGGCAGGCGATTTTCTCGTTCCTCCTAACACCAAGCGAACGAATGGTGAAGCGGCATTTGGAGAAGACGGGCTTCTGATCGGTCAGCTGCTCGAGCACCTTGCCGGCGCGGGTGAGACGATCGCCAGACTGAACTCATATGGACCAAAATTTACGTCACACATACCTCTCCCACACCGATGTTCAGCACGAGCTTGCTGATGCGGATGTTGCGCATCACATTCTCTTCCGTCATTTTCTGCAAGCGGATGAGCGATGTTATAGCCTCGCACAACTCGATATATGCCACACAAAGGTTATTGTAAAGCGCTGAGGCCGCTTGGGCTTATCGCAAAATGCCTCGCCTGATGCTGCCGAGCAGCTGCAACGACAGCGTGGCGGGCTTGGCTCATCTGCGGCTGAAACATACCTCTGAGTCACGTGTTTGGGGCTCAAATATAGAGTAAAGGTATGCGCTACCTTATACAATTGTAGCTTATGCTGTACCTCGCTTTTTTCCACTAGAGGTGGCCCTCCCAACATTCCCCGACGCGCGGCCGGACCCCTGGTGATGTGGAAGACAACACACAACTACCTATTGTTTGCACCTCAGTAAACTGTGTATCCCATTTTTAACCTTATATTTGTCGGTATCGTATATTTTGTCCATATGTTCTAGGTCGCCGTCAATACGGTGCTGCAAGCAAGGCTGTGGTACCACGGCGAAGGTTACTCCTAGCACGGGTATAAATGCTGGCAATTATACGTTTACAACTGTATTGGCGGTGTGTTTGGAATTCGCTGGTAAACCTTTCAATCATGGTTCGCTTCAACGGTACCCTGTGTTCCCCCTAGGAGGCCAGCTCGGTACACTTTCCTTTGAAAGCCCTCAACAATATGGCATTTACACGTTTTATTTGACATTTATGGTCGTGGATGATCGTAAAATCAGACCAACATTTGTCGATCAGTCGATATAATAGAGAGCGACACAGTTACGACGATGAAGGGCATATTGCATCTTGTAGTGATGCCGCTATAAAACATGGCTATCGCACTATAGGTGGGGCTTAGAATGTATGGCATTAAAAATGTGTTATACGTTTTAAATTAATGTCGGCATGAATCGAAAGTCATACCTTTTATGCGGTGCGATACTTGGCCTTAGAAAGCGCAACCCGGCTATTTCGGCGGTCAACAACTATAGCTCTGATGTTATAATAAGGTTATATAACATAATAGCAAAAATAACTTATACTACGCAAAACCATAGAACGTCAAAAGCGTTTATGCTCTAATACTATCATTGCAAATTCGGAGTGTCTCGCTGATGTCCAACATAATCGGTGACGACTATAAAGCGGGGTAGAGATCTGTCAGTTAACCTAACCGTTATCTTCTACTGCAATTTCAATACGTTTCGTCTGCTAATTGCCCTGACCTACAAGCCTGTAACACTATTAAATTATCAACTCAAGAAAGTTGACCGGTGCTAGTGGAAACTTTGCTTCAACATCTCGATGAACGCCTGAGACAGGTGGGCATCTGGAGATGCGCGATCTAACACTTGTCAATCGCTATATCACGCCCTTGGACTGAGCATTCATCGCCCATTGGCTGTGGCATAATTTAGACATATCTTTACCATTAGACATATCACGATACCAGAATATAATGACATCAAAAGTTGACTCGATACTTTTGTCTTTAAACGCGTTAAGCAGCGATAGTGTACCAAGGTTTCGTATGCCCCAAAAGCAGCACATCAGATGATTCCTGGAGTACAATCATAAATGGGTCGAAACGTTATTTAGTCACTTCTGTTTGTGTCTGACCACTTTCATTCTTATTTTTCTTATCCTCCGGATATCTGAAAAACATCGCAATATAACAAAGAGTATTGAGTATTGTGCCAGCTATTATAATGTACATCATAGATTTCCTAAGGGCTTCGGCATTTTTTTCTTTTACAGCTGCATCCATGGTTTCAAATGACTCCCTGGAGGGAACGTATCCAAACACCTTCTCGGTCAAATATGCGGAAACCTGGAAAAGAATTACACTACTTGCGATCCCGGATATGGTTCGAATCATGGCAGATGTTGTTGCCTGGAAATTTTTTTCTATTGCACTTTTTAAAAGGGCTCTATCCACACCACCAACCGTTACTAACGTTGCACCAAGTGTTGCCAACTCTACATAATGATACCAAAGCAACTTACCACATGGTGGCTTACCTAGGAAGAACAACAGACATACAACTAGTCGGATGGCCATCACTACCATTCCAGAGCTAAGTTCACCGAAGTCTTCATATTGTTTCGCAATTTCCTTTATAACAACTCCACCTGCTCCACTTCCCGCTGCGCCGCCAATCAACGTAACTGCAATCGCAACGCCTGCCATTGTGTCAGATACCCCCAAATATTGCAGGTATATGGTCATATAATTAAACGCGGACATTGGGGCTTCTGCGATGAATAATGTCAATATTAATAGCCAAGTTGTTGACCTCTTAAAAGGTCCTGTGAAGGCGCCCTCTATAAGCTCCTTAAAACCTTTTTTGGAACCAGATGAATGACCACCACCAGAATTACCATCTGTACTATCGCCTCCATTGCTTGGTTTGCTTTCCATTCCGAATATAATGCCAATACCAAACAATATCCATACGTATCCTATAATAACGTAAGACGTGCGCCAACCATAATATCCCAATAATACTTTGCGTGCTATAATCGTAGTTATGACTGCGCATAGCAATCGTCCAATGCAATTTAGAGCCTGGAAAATTGTGAACATACTACTAGCTGCCTTTGATTCCTCTTCTTCCTTGCCCTGATTTTGATTCCCCTCAGCCTTCTTGCCCTGGTTCTGCGCTCCCTCAGTCTTCTTGCCCTGGTTTTGTGCACCTTCCGCTTTCTTACCTTGATTTGGGGTTCCTTCTACTTTCTTAGTTTCTTTTGAACTAGTTGAATCTGCAACAATCTTTTGTTGCACGGGGTATACGCAGGCAAATCCAAACCCATGTAAGAAGCGCAAAAACAGAATCTGCGAAAGAATTAACAGCAGAAATTTCAACTTACTGATCTGTACTGCGATGCGGAACTTAGAACAATCGAAGCCATACCCATCACTAACAGACCTGCTGCGAGGACATGATTTGATTTGTACTTATCTGCCAGCAACCCCCAAATTAAACAGCAACCCATGCGGGACATAGTAGACACGGTTGCCAACGTAGACAACTGAGACTGAGAAAAACCCAAAGTCAACTCAAAAGCCCTCATACACATGGACAACACCTGCTGGTCGTAGCCTTCTATAAAAGACACAAGGTTGTACAGTGCTTTTCCTACAAACCCATACGGATCGCTTTTATTTGCGGATGCGTGTGTAGGTTCTGCCATTGTTGATGACTTACTATAGTATCAGTGTGCTCTAAATGACGTTTTAACCAACTGTTATAGGGTGCTCATAAAATAGGCATCAGAAGAGGAACATCGAAATTAGGTATCATATATGGAAAGATGTCATGGCAATCATTGCGATCTAATCGACTTGAACAAAACAATAGATTAGATGTGCGCAACAATACAAGCTTTATCGACCACGGGACCGTCATACGTAATTCGTTTCACCCCAGAATGATGGGCTTGCTCATCTAGAGGAAAGTGACACAAAGACATCAAAGAAATCTTTCTTCATGAAAAAGTAAAATCTGATCAGGTATATTTTTAAAAAATATATATCCAGGAGATATATAAATTCCCGATTCAGCGCTAGCTAACTGCCTTCACAAGGTCGCTACAAACGTGCTTCAGGAGACCCACCAAATCATCGTGCCGTAAAACAACCGTCATATTGGCAACAATTGACGTGGGTACTACTTGTCCATCAACACACCAATAAGACTTTGCCATAGGTTGTTACGCCGCTCCTGATTCCCCCTCCAGGCCTTCCTGGTCCACATCCACCACTCCGCCATCTAGGCCCATCTCTTTGACCCATGTGACATCTGCATCAATAGCCGCGTCAGGGTGGCATTCACAAAGGAGGATTTGCCTGAAAAATCACAACCGGGACGTGACCTTTCCACCATCCTCTCTCCCGCCTGTTGAGGCGCGGATCCCCTGCTGACATTGTCCTCTTACCTCAGCTGCCTCACCAAGCGGACGCCGCGCACCACCGGGGAGCTTGTCTCCTTCTTCCACCACCTGGCAATTCTATCTACAATCCTCCTTCACAGTTGTCTGACCTGGGCTCCGCCCTCTCCAAGCCACATGACGACTGCCCTGACTGGGACTGTCTTGGGGAGGACGACCTCCAAGCCGTACGGCGCATCCGGGGCTCCGCCCCTCCAACTCCAACCACGACAGTGCCCATCCCAAGACCCTGTCCACGCTGCTTGGCTGCGGCATCGATAATGCCCAGTGCCCTCCACGTCTCTCGCCCATCACCTACCGGGCCTACGCCCTCTACTCACCAAGCATGGTCCACCACTACCTCAGCTGGGCGGTGTACCTGACCGACAGGCTGTGGGAGTCACTGCTCAAGCTTCACTCCGATCTCGAGAGACTTCAATGTTCCAAGGCCAAGCCCCTCCACCAGTGTGCCGACGCCCCGCCGCTCCTCTACCGTAACGGGTTCACGCCAACGGACGGGACTCTGCAGCCGCCACTCACGTGTTCCAAGGTCATCGCCAAGCTGAAGGCAGTAGTCGCCGGACAGCCTATCGCAAACCTTATGACTGCCATGGACCTTTTCCTCTACAATATCAGGACGCCCTTCTTCTATACCCTGCTCACACTGTGGTCCATCGCAACCCTCCTCCTGGCCCACACGGTGTTGTACCACCTGGACATTCTGCTCATACGATCTCACTTCGTGCGCTCCAAGGCGTCACATCTCATCGACGCCAAGGCACTACTCACGCACGGGAGGAAGATGCTGTCACTATACAAAGACGTCGACTACTTCGACGACGATCTTTATTAGCTACTTGACACTTTATTGTAATTATGGTAGTTACATGTACATTTCAAGTGTTGTCATGTTTCATCGTGAGGTGTAACTTGTGTCTCACCTACCACCTTACCTAGCACGCAACCTGATGCATGTGTCACTACCTAACTACAAGCGTGACGTAATGAATAACTCACTGCCTTACAAAGTGGCTAGCTTATTTCCAACCTAATGATAAACCTAACATCTAACCCATAATTTAGTCGATGCGTTGGGATGTTAGTTGTTTGGTATGTTGCTTACTCGTGGGGCGTGTCCATGCTTTCCCACTTTATCAGTGACGTGAAGCCGGGTGGCTGGCCATCAACTTAGGCAGCGGACCACCGCTGTGCCAGGTGAGCCACTTGGTCGTCTGCTAGATGGGTGGTTGATACGTTGGTTACAATGTGCGTTGCTAGGCATTGCGTGTCGCCGATTAGTCCAACGTGATGGAGACTGTACAGCTTAGTTAAGAGGCATTCATGGACAACTTTGTGGCGGTCACTAATATGGTAAATATTCACCGTACGTCAGCTGGGCAATCATTAGCGCACTATCAGCGTGACAAGTATACAATACGTATTCTGCTGTAATATGAAGCAAAGATAGTCCGTCGTGTCCGCATGTACATTTTGGTATCCCCGGCGGCGAGTCGGTGGCGGTTTTCCGAAGCGCGCATCGGAAGGGACTTGGCGGTCCTACTATTTGGGGGTCAAGGTATCTGTTTCATTCTTATGCAGGTCAATGACAAGTGAACAAGGCGAAGATGTCGAACACGTGTAATTGTTATAATAAGGGTGGACCGTGTAGAGTTGGTACTTGTAGATGTTGTCCATGGTGTTGTGAGTGGTGTAAACCCGGCAAAGCGTGCGATGTATGCGAAGATTACAGAAACGAATTAGGGATATATCATCGCTATGATTGCCCAAAATGTAGAGATGAAGATTCGTGTAATTGTCCATGTTGTATACGTGAACGTATATGCCTTCCCATCGGTCTCACTGCTTCCTTCATCGCAATCATCCTCATCGTCATGTGCATAATGATCATGAAACGCATTCGGCCGTTCCACAAGGTCCGCGATTGTTTCGTCTGCAAGTGAAAGCTTTGTATCGCATTTTAAAATCACATCCGGCATTTTTACAATCGCAAATATCGCACAGGTTTAGACAGTAATGGCACACCGCCAATCTAATAAGGGCTAATTTAATCTTTCATAATCGGTCACTGGCAGGCGCCCCGTAAACGCGTTCATGAATTGTATCTTAGCAGCGCATTAGTAAAAGGAACGGTATTAACACAGATCAATGTAGTAACAACATCTGCTCCCATCTCAGGCTCTTGGCATTGCACAAGATGGTCGCTTGGTCGCTCGTGGCAGCGGTCCTTGTCGGCAAGCTCAGCAAGTTGGTCTACCTGCAACCGTGACACGCCACCTCAGACACTCACCTAACTCACCAAACAACAACCTAGCACGTGACATAACACGTAATCTACTCTTTGCGTTAAGATGTCGGTTGCTTTGTGCGTTACCGGCGGGCGTGTCTACATCATCCCTTAGCGCCGATGCAATGCTAAGCTGTGTGGGATGGCCATCAAAGCAGGTAGCTGATTAGTGGCACACTAGGTGAACGACTGATACTCACATTAGGTGATTCGATGGCATATAATGGCATTTGTATCTGCGGAAAAGCGGTGTGTCACCACTGATGAGCGTGCAAGCGGGTGATACCTGGTGGGCGATGTGACCACGGGACGGCGTAGTTAAACGGGGGGTATATCTGTTGGCAGCGTTCAGTTAACCGTATGATCGTCATAGAGCACTACATCTCACTTGAGAAGTACGTACGGCCACCGTAGTCTGGCGCAAAGAGTATGATGGATGGAGCTACGACTGTGTTCTCAGAACTTGCGTAGGTGACTGCCATGTAACCTTAATTACAAGGCGAGACACCCAGTTACATAGTACACCGTGAAGGGGGGATGAAGTAGACACCTCCCATGAGTAACGCACAAAGCAACCGACATCTTAACGCAAAGAGTAGATTACGTGTTATGTCACGTGCTAGGTTGTTGTTTGGTGAGTTAGGTGAGTGTCTGAGGTGGCGTGTCACGGTTGCAGGTAGACCAACTTGCTGAGCTTGCCGACAAGGACCGCTGCCACGAGCGACCAAGCGACCATCTTGTGCAATGCCAAGAGCCTGAGATGGGAGCAGATGTTGTTACTACATTGATCTGTGTTAATACCGTTCCTTTTACTAATGCGCTGCTAAGATACAATTCATGAACGCGTTTACGGGGCGCCTGCCAGTGACCGATTATGAAAGATTAAATTAGCCCTTATTAGATTGGCGGTGTGCCATTACTGTCTAAACCTGTGCGATATTTGCGATTGTAAAAATGCCGGATGTGATTTTAAAATGCGATACAAAGCTTTCACTTGCAGACGAAACAATCGCGGACCTTGTGGAACGGCCGAATGCGTTTCATGATCATTATGCACATGACGATGAGGATGAGTGCGATGAAGATGGCGATGACGGGAGTGACGACATCGGTGGTGGAATTGTTGTCACTGGGGGAACCCATGGCAGCTGCGGCAGGCCGTGAACGTTTCTCTTGACAACATGTACAGCCACATGAATCATCATCTGCACAATTCGAACAGCACATACCAGCGGGTTTCCTGGCATCTCTTCTAGAATGTTCGCATGCTGAGCACCTGTATCCTGCAGTACACCCTGGACAACATTTGGCACAACATCTACAAGGTGACCCTCTGCACACTCCGCCCCTATGAATGCAATCACACTGCAACCCCATCTCCCCTAGCTCACTTGTAAGTAACCTGCACAAGCATGAATAATGTACCTTGAGCTTCGACCAGTGACACCGCAAGGGATACCACAATGGACATGCAGCTCACCACAGACGTTCTTCACTTCGAATTACGCACACAATACGTGTTATATACTTGTCATATTCGTGCGCTAATGAGTGCCATGCTGAGCTACGGTTCGTGTCCACCATGTCAGCAATCGCCGCAATGCTGTCCATAAGTGCCCGTAACAACAGCGTTCACTGTCCATTACGTCAGAGATTTTCGGAGACACCCATTTGATAGCCTCCCATATAATCAGTAACCTGGAATTCATCCACCTTACAGGTAACCCATTACATCGCATATGATAGAACTCGGCACTTGCCTGAGGAAATGAACGCTCACGTTAACTCTCCACTGGCAAGATGGGATGAAGCCATTTGACTCTTACTACGCAACAGAGACGATAGACCAGAGTACTATGGACACTGTGATGCTCATGTGTCTGCAGCTGTACGTGCAATGTTCTACTAAAACTCTAAAAATGGCTACGAACAACACATCCTATGGCCATCAGGGAGGAAGCAGCGTCATCACTGTACATAGCATTCACGGTGGCAATAACGACAACGGCAGCAACGAGGCAACGGTTAGCAGTGATTGCATGGATCACATCAGTGAAGTGCCATCTTCAAATTCGGCAAACACCACAACCGTCTCACCACGTATTTTATCATCGTTAGGAGCGTGTAAGCCCTATCCATCGGGGTCTTCAAAAGTAGTGTGGGCGTCCGGTGAGATTGCCGCAAGGTCTGACGATGACAAGAGGCTGCATCTGACTTCGCCTGAATTAGGCACCGCATAATAGGACGACAAGCTATCCTACTACCCTGATCAAAGTGAGGTAGGTGAGGAGAGTGATTCAGACTGAGACGAATACTTCGCAAGGTTTATGCAGCGGTTCGGGAAATCGACAGCGGACAGCGAGGCGGAGAATGAGATCAGTCATTCTCAATCGAGATGACAACGCTACCCAAAGCGTCTATGCGGAATTACGTGCATCCCACTAACATCCACTAGTCAATGAGATACACCCGCGCCCGTCTAAGCAAGCGTGTGCATGAGGCACTAACGTGACTAACACCATCGCATGAAGTAAAAGTAGACAAGGTGATAGCGTGATTCCTATTTGGGTGACCCGCTGATGGTGCTACGTAATGAATTTACGCTTCGATAGAACACATCTGTCGCGATATACCATGTTGAGCTTCTATATAGCATCCACGTGGTGAGAGGCGAAAGTGGATCTTGTTCTTAAAAACGCTCTCATTGGCGTTAGACATAGCGTGACTACGGCAAGGCTGTGCGATATTATTGGCGTTGGTAGACGAGTGTGCGATGATATGCTGGCATCAGCAGAAACAACAAAACAATCCCTTGAAAAATCTCAACGGGCTCCGTAATATGTAATATAGTACGGCGATAAGTAGTACCAGGCCAGGGATAACATACAAACAGTAATACTCGCATTCCTGACCTTGTTTACCACTACGCCACTCACACAACGCACAGTACTTCAGTGTTACAACCTTTAACAACGTTTCCCCAACATTTTCCAGTGTTTCCGAAAACTGGTTCCAAGCCTTTTTAAAGGGTGCCAAAATCCGATCCCCCAAACTGCCCAATTGTTCCGAAACCTGATTCCGAGCCTCTTCCACTTTATGCAAAATACTCTGCCGTTCTTCGTCCGTTACACTCACCCCTGCAGAACGATGAACGAATTAAGCGAACGCGGAGACGGTACCATCTAACACTCTTGTCGACGAGAGGCTATCAATAGAGAAACCCTGCAAAGGTGGGCCCATCATACCTTAATGGCATGCCACGTCTCAACAAAGAAAAGTATTCCATAGCTTATTCCCACACATAGATGGCGCTGTGCATCCAGTAATTTGCCAGGAGTGATCGCACATCCCACATCTCTGAAACACCACTACATGCATTAACGAGTCAAGATGCTCCCACAGTAGCGATAACGGTACGCTTAATCATCTAAGATCCACGAGCTCGGTCACATCTCCAGTCAGCTTACGTCACCTTCACAGCCACCTTTACTACTGTGGCACCACCGTGGTGGCGTGTAACCGCATGCACCATGGCATCCAACAGTATCGGCTAAATTCGTTGAATATCCATATCTCATCTCCATATGTTGCCAAAGGAGGCCCGCTTTACATATGTTTCCAGCCAAATATTTGTATTGTTCCGCACGTGAAATGGTGCGCAACGTTCGTGGGTGTAAACTCAATATCCGCGCTGAATCACAAAACTTTGATATTACTGCATACCATACACGGGTTACTAGTCTCCACAATCCTGTTCATAGCCACACTACTATGCACCAATCTACAATAGATCCCGGCTTGTCAGGCTCCACTCACCTGGATGTCAATCGCGGCCATGATAGCCCACTAACATATTCAGGCCCAATACTCACTAACATACATAATACCTGCCAACGCAACATGCCTATCAGTCGCCAGTTTGCTGCATCTATCTTACTAATGACTGTGAGCTTCCCCACCTGAACCTATCAAAACATGCATCAGTTTATGGAGACACGCAAAATAGTGATATATACGCGTTTGTTTCTCGCAATGCGTGATCTCATCACTCTGTTGTTTGACATTACACTTCATAGGGTCATATTATGATACCCATTCGATGTTAACATAGTTGCTTTGCAACACTGTTAATATCTGTACCTCATCATGCTTCCTAAAGAGATATCTTGGCACTTTTTCGATGCATCTCACTTTTATGCTCCACTTAACAGTACATTACATATATTTACGAATTTAACGTTCTACATACATGTATCACCTGCCGAATCTGCTACCATGTTTGCCACCACGTCGACGGTGCTGGGTGGCTATATGGCCATTAAGGCTAATTCCACTGACTGAATTAATTCACATAGCGTTGATAAGTTGGCATTGTATTAATGATAGAGAAGTTTGACATACAATAAGTGAATACATTACGTCTCTGTCTCAAGTTTTGTGGTTTGTTATGTGTGGCTGCATACGGCTAGTGTCTCACGATTATTTATGCCTCGCCTTATATCGGTATTAGATTTTGGTTACACACCGTATAGTTACTGGTTGTGTTGATGCCATACTGTCTAGGCCCCGTTCATTGTCGTCCAGAGTATACTTGGGATTTCAAGCACATGGTTCATGACGTCCGTAAACGCGAAATAAATCTCGAAACAAATCACCGCCATATTTGCATCTATGGGACAAAGAAGTAGCGTTCATATTCAGGAGAGTTTGTACAACCACGGATCTGGTTGTTAAGTGATGCTCAGTATTGGCGTTAATACGCCATGCGCCAAGCAGGTGCCCTGCATTTAAGCAACAGCTATAACGCCGACTTTTGACAAGGCGGCAGAGATGTCTCATTCACCTGAGGAGGCATGAAGGGCTGAAATATTGCTTTAAATGTCGCAGTTCTTCACAATGCCCGCCGGGCATACAGTCATTGAAGTATGCGACTCAGAAGCAAATCTTTAAATTGCATCGTGAATACTATTCAAGAGACATAACTGTGTTTGCCTTAATTCTACGGCATACGTACCGTGGATTATCGGTGGCTACAGAAATACGGCATAAATAACATTTCATAAACTAGAAATGTTTTTAGTGTGAATACCTATGCCGGCCGACTAGGTGCCCGGATGCAAAAGCGTTATTTGTCAAGATAGTTTCAGTGTTCATATGCGATACCCAATCAATAGAAAGCCCAGAATCCAGAGAGGTCGTACAGTGTGACCAACATTTGGAATTTCACATTTTCCAACGCCTTGAAGACATATGAACCACTCATGTTAGGGCGGCGTTCTGGCTCTTTATAACCCAAGGCTTTCAACACCTCTCCCAAATTCTTCTTTGCAAAAGGTACCCATTTAAAGCTTTCACCATGGCTCACCTTCCTCAAAGAACGTAGGCCCGTGTATAACATTGGCGCAATTCCCACGAAAATCACCGCGCAAGCCTCTGGGTCTTTGGCGCATGACGCATCCCACGTCGCTTCCGAACTGTAGGTGGGTACGTACTTATTGGGGTTTTTAATTTTTTCTAAGAACTTCTCACAACCATCCACAACTTTACCTAGATCCTTTGCGATTTCTTCAGGTTTTACACCTCTGGCCTGCACGACGTTCTCATAATCGCTTTCGTCAACAGTGCCAAAGAACTTGAAGTGAACCGATTTATCCATCGGCGTATTGAATCTCTCCAGCATCACGTTTGCCGGCCACAGGCCTTCAAGGGCCTTCTGCGTCATGAGGTCCCTAAAAAAGATCCTTGCATTCTTGAGAGCCGGCAAATTCAGGTTTCCAACAGGCTTATCTGCTAGAAATGTGTGAACTGCTGCGCCCAAAGCCTTCAAGTTCTTTTCAGGGTCAGTTCCCTTCAGCGCTAGCAACCAGTCAATAGCATCCTTGACGTTGCGAGGAATCCTAGTCAACGAATCGAATTGCATTCTGTATAGGCTTATTTAGGTCGAAAAATGCTGTAAATGCGTGAATTATTGGTCTGCTTACGGGCCAGTTTGCGAACAGTTATGTATTAATGGCGCATCAGCACGAAACAAGCGCACTTGCCTTCTAACCTACACGTGTCTTATTGAAATACGCAAAATCGCTGATATACAAAACGTGCGCACGATATAGGGCGCGACAGCGACCTAGATGCCCCACCGCAGACATGTCTATACCATTGGAGTGGCATGCAGGGCGCTGCACGCATGTCATTGTGGCGCGAAAGTTCCGGTGGAGAATAGGATATACTGATCTGGGATGTGTTGGAACAATTTGAGAATGCGCATAAACGGTCTTAAGGTTACAATGTATAGCGGATAGTGTATTACAGACTCTACGGCCTCCAGTGGCTGTCACGTAGATGTCCCAGCATAGCCCATCATCTCGCCAATAAGCATATCGTAAAACATCTCCTAACCAATCGTCCAAGCAGAAGTGTCGCATATGACATACTGTCACATGAAGAGTGGCACTTCATAGACGCTGCCGTCAATGAACACCCACTCAGATCGGCAACCCTTTTGCCACCATGCTACTGCCAATTATAGCCTCATGATGCAGTCACGTTTGTTATTTGCCAATCATGTGACTATTTGCAACACCACATCGATTGTAGGAGTTAGCTTTGAAGGCGTCAAACTCTTGCGCTTCTGACTTATTTCGCAGATAACAGTGAAGTTGCTAGCAATATCGAAGCGTATTGTGTATCTTGGAGAAGCAGACACGACTGTTATTTGTGTAACAAAGCTTCACAACAGTTGCACCGAGCCAAAATTTATCGCCGCTCCACCTAAGCGATGCGTAATTAAAAAAATGACGCGTATTTCATCAGTGGAGAATTACTATGGGAGTTATATGGTGAAATAGATGCGTTTAAAGCGTCCACGCAGTCTGCATGAATAAATACCACTTCAATAACGGCCGTCATCACCGGTTTTGTGGAACACAAATTGTGAAACAACCGGTTCAACACTTGAAGGTAGCGAAGGGCACGGCGTTTTAGACGTTTCAACGTAGGAAATAACGGTGCACTGCAACGTCCCACTTAACACGATGAAGGGGTATGTCTGCCGGTATGATAAGAACGCCCATAACATTTGAATTGTATGATCGTTCGCTCGGAGCTCAATGAAATATTCGAGCGCAACGCCTAATTTTGAGTCCGTCGACGTGCCAGCCGAAACCCTTTTAGGGCTGGCGGGCAAAAAGATTCTGACACATCGGAAATATGAAATCGACATCTAAGAAGGTAACAGATGAATTCTGTGCAAAAGGCGTGCTGTATAGTATGATGAGCATGTAGTATTCGAACAACAAAGCGCCAGAATGGCCTGTAAGCGTATACTTTAAGTGGGATAGTGGTCTTTGGCCCATGGAAGGCACATTAGACACACGCACACACAACGCAACTATTGGAAGAATACATAATTTCGCGCGCTCACCGTTATAACAATAGATAGGCTAATGCCTTCTGGCACATATATCACGCAAATAGTTGCTTATGGATCATAGTCACGCACACACAACGGAGCGATGCTGACCGTTGCAGGCTACGACATAGGACAATGACACAGCACATTATGGCAATACCCATTGCGTGAAACGGGAATGCTGATTAAAAAAACACACAAAGTTGTGTGTGTGTGTGGTGGATCTACGCTTACTAGTGTGTGATACAGATTACACACACGTTAGTGGCGGGCATATTGGATTCTGCAGGAAGCCGCACAGCTGGTACATAAGTCAATATATCTGTTGCAGCATCTGAGGCATTGTATCCTCAACTGCTTCTACCGTTCGGGACGTTGATTGTGTCCAGGGTTGTGTGTTGAGCGACGTGTGTAGGAAAATGAAGATCAGCGTAGGCGCCGTCTTTTACACCCTTTTCTTCTTCCTTTTCTCTATCGTCCTGCATGTTCAGGCCGATGAAGAGCCATTGGCAGTGGTCAACGCCCCCGCAGAAGTCTCTGAGGAATCGGAATCTCAGCTGATCCCAGAGGTTAACAATGAGGTTGAAGCAGAGGAGTCAACCGCCAAAGAGGAGGTGAAACCTGCTGAGGAAACCACCGAGAAGCCCGCTGAAAAAGCTCCCGAGCAACCTGCTAAGCCCGCCGAAACCAAATCGAAGAGTGCGGGCGGCTTCTTCGGGAAATTGTTCAACAAAGTCAAGAATGACATTACAGTAAAGCGTGTGTTGGGGTTCATCACTAAGGCAGGCACCAAGGCGCCCGCTAAGGCCCCTGTTGAGGTGCCCGCTAAAGCACCTGTTGAAGAACCCGCTAAGGAATCTGTTGAGGTGCCCGCTAAAGCACCTGTTGAAGAACCCGCTAAGGAATCTGTTGAGGAGTCCGTTGAGACCCCTGTTGAAGAATCCGCTAAGGAATCTGTTGAGGAGTCCATTGAGACCCCTGTTGAAGAATCCGCTAAGGAATCTGTTGAGGAGTCCGTTGAGACCCCTGTTGAAGAACCCGCTAAGGAATCTGTTGAGGAGTCCATTGAGACCCCTGTTGAAGAATCCGCTAAGGAGTCTATTGAGGAGCCCGTTGAGGCCCCTGTTGAGAAGCCCGCTAAGAAGTCGTCTAAGGCAGGCAAGAGGCCCTCCAAGAGACGCTCTAAGAAGTCGTCTAAGGCAGGCGCTAAGAAGTCCGAGTAACTCGACTACATACATGTTAAATTTTAATGCGTATCTAGCAGTCCACCAGTGTCCCTCCTCGACAGCGCCGTAGAACCACCGTTTTGCCGGGCTCACGTACATATGTCGTTGGCAAATCGCCAAGCCTACAAACATTGAAGCTATGATTCGCGCATTGTGCTCTGTTTAAGGTTGGACACTGGGGTAAATGGCTACATATGGCCTACATGGTTGTCGGACGACTGAATTATTTCTTACTGAAGGGATCACTCACTGGTTATTTTGAATAACTTGTTGTACTGGTAATATTTTACCTAGTTTATGTTCTCATCAGATAGCGTATTAGCTTGAGCAGCGTTTCCTGGCAGATGTCTGTTCCTTTGAACTTCCTCACTGTGGCTTGATACGCCCTTCTCTCCTATGTCTTCGTATCTGTCGCTCTGTCTTGGTTGTTTATCTGGATCTCATAGTGGTGTTATTGTTCTTTTGGCATCCCCGACGATCTTGTCTGGTCGGTTGTGAGCTGTGACATTCTATAATTACGTCTTCGTTTTTGTTTCCTCGTAATGGCTGGAGTGCGCGTCCGAACGTTTAAGCGTATCCCCATATACTATCACACTCTGAACTGCTGGGACGTGTACTAGAAGTCTTGTCTGCGGCAACTTGAGTGGAGCTGTTCCGTTATATTGTAACTGGCAAGCATATATGCAGAGTAGTAATACGTACGATCATTACGAGTTATTTAAATGTCTGTTTTTTCAAAAGAGAAGCCGAATGAACACCTTTTGGATAGTGCTGTGGACGATGGCATGCAGGCGCCATCATAGGTTAAATATTGTGATGCCACTCTCAGAGCTGCTCAACTGTAATATAGCACGCCACACATATCCATTTGTGCGTATAATTTCCCGCATTGTTATAGTTCATATGGGTTATGCACCTAGGCTATTTGCCTAGCACCGTCATGCTCCCCGCTTTTAACGTGCAAAACACCTCTACCGCAATACGATAATATATTACACAAGAAATGTGCGTGATTCGTCTTGCTAATTCATCACGCCCCTCCCCAATTTCTTGTTACGCTTCGATGGTTTCTTTTCTCTTTTCTTCTTACGAACGGGAGCGTCGGCTTTGGCGGCCTTGAGCTCGTTGAGTTGTTCCTTTGACATAGCTCGTCTCCTCATACGGCGCTCTTGCATATCCGCCAGTAGGTTGAAGTATCCTGTGAGTCGTCGACGCTCGTACTGCTTGTAGAACTCTGGTGTGGGCACCTTGTACATGCTTCGGATCTCTTCAAGGTAGGCGGAGGTTAAAATTTTGTACCGCTGCCTCAGTGCTGTTCACAGTATAGGAATTATGCGGATCAATTACCCTTATTGTTGCTGAGCACCTTCTGCCGCAAACTTTGTTCGTGGATCTTGCGCAGCTGCTGCCGCTGTGCGAGCATTTTTCGTTTCAAGTTTGGCACCTACCGCAAACGCCTCCTTGTCGAACTTAGCGAGATATTCGCGTGCAGGATCGATGAATATTTTGTAGAAATTGTCCGGAGAAATACCCTCGCCTGGGTCCAGGTCGGGTAGGCGGTCGACCACCCAATTTAGTTTGGCCGTTACTTCATCACGCTTGATCTCCGAGCTGTTCTCCGTGAAGAAGTCCCACAACATGTCCAGCAGCGCTGGATGTACCCCCTGCCGATTCACTTCGTAGTTGACACTTAACATTGCCGCGCTCAGGGGCACCTCATCCTTCGGGCGTGCGATCTATTGGTAAAACGTCAGTTTATGAGGCATGCTGGGCCACCTTACCTGGTGTATGCTGTGATAGGTCGGGAGGTCTTCTCTTCCCTCCTTCAACCCCCGGAATAGGAACCACGCTGCAAGACGTTGCCCTATGACAGAATCGTTCACCAACCTCTCCAACATCGCACTTTGTCCATTAAGAATATGTCGCCATACCCAGGTGCGTAGAAACGCATCTTGTACTCGATGTTGTAGTTGAACTCATCCCTGGTGATTTGCTCATGCTTGCCGAAGAGCCGCTGGGTGAATTGCTTCGGCGTCATTGACTGTGAACTGATCACAGGCAACGGGTCGCATACATGTCCACAGAGTTTCCAAAGCTCATATCGGTCGGGTGGCACCTATATAGTGTGATCCACATTCTCATGAACATACCAATCCGAAAGGCAGGTCGATGCCAATTAGATCATCTCTCGTCAGCGCCTCCGATTCGAACAGGGTGAGGTATGGACTCGACTCCTGCACCGCATTGTTATACACGCTCGAGCATGCCATACCTCTGAGTAAGTGTTCAGCTTAAGTTTTTGGATGTAAGAGGGTGTATCTGTCACTTCAATATGCGCTTTAGCCAGTGCGTCGATCTGTTGCTTCTGCTCATCTGTTAAGGTAACCTTGTTCTTTCCCATGGAAGGCGGCTTCTTAGCACCTCCCTTTTGGGTTCGCGCGCCTTTTGCACTGTGTCTAGACGCCGCGGCGCACGAGACTGTAGACCGCCTTCCACGCGAGGCATGAAGGAAGGCATGGTCATCATGGCACTGTGTTGAGTGGAATCTTGCTACTAACCCTTCATGGCGACATTGTCTGTGCACGTGTGTAAAATTGGCGCTAAGGATCGAGGCTACTTCGCCGGTATAGACATATGCCGCAACTTACCGCGACCTAACCCCTTCACCGTGCGATAAGCCATAGATCACCGCAATGGAGATCCAGAGGCCCCAAAACATGATATGCAGTGCGACTATCCGCGCAGCATTTTCACGCGGACTACATTATAGAATGTGTTACAGCCTTCCTGCTGCTGGTCGCTTACACACCAAAGGCGCGTATGTTGGCGGCACAAAATTGTTTACCTATACTGGCGACTACACCCTCTACCGACGCGGAAAGATGCCGCCATGTTCGAGGTAGAAGTTGCGCGTGACTGCAGTTTCCAGGAAGGCGCTGTCATCGCGTGCAAACAACCTTGCGCCGTAGAAGGCTGTTAGGGCCCTATCTTCGGCAGAGTATATTTGCAGATGCCAATCAGCTGGCAGCATCGCCCTGAGTTCGCTGTAGAATCTCTCTGTGAACCCTGGAAATTTGGTGCTTCCACCTGTAAGCAGCACGTTCTCGGCGAGATGTCGTTGCAGGCAGGTTGGAGCAAGGGCGATGCTCCGCAGCGCGAGCTCTGCAATTCCACATTCATTCAACCGTAGGTCCTGGGGGCTGAACAAGACTTCCGGTATTGCAAAACGTTCGTTGAAGAGCCCAACTACATGGTTGGTAGCTTTCTTCTCCTCCTTAGTCGCTTGCTCCGTAATTATATTTGCGGCTTCCAATGCATTCTGCGCATGCCCATTCGTTTGCGCACCAGATGCCTGGTCTTCTGCCGTTTCATCGCCGTTTATCTCCTCTTCCTCTGGCGGTGGTACGATCGCTTCAAGGTCCTCCGAGGTCAAAGTAGCCCCCCTGGCAAGTTTTTCTACAATAGGGCGCCTTTCAGGAGTCAACAACGGCGGAGCGCTGACGCTGTGATTGTTGAAATGCCTGTGCAAATGCGTTTTGCTCTTTCCGCCGTATGTAGGGAGCACGTATTCATGAGTGAGCCACGTGTTCCCCTTGATTCGCCGCAGCTGCCGCGCCGCCCTCATCTCCATGTTGAAATCTGCCGAAACGTAACATGCTTCTTCCTTCATGTGTTGTACGAGGAGCTCGTTGAACTCGAGGTTGATTGTGCGTATAGCCGATACGTTTTTGAGGTACGCGTTGAGGTGGGATCCCGCCAGTCCGCTGCGCAGTGCCGCTCTCTGTATAGGTTTTCCACTCGCGAAGGGCACACAATGTGAGCTGCCGAATCCGCAGTCCACAACAAGGCAACACGCCGTATCCGGCGGCTGCGACACGGGAGCGCTCTTGATGGGTGGGTAAGACGTCACCTTGGCATCGCTTGATGTACTAGAGCCAGACTTCTTCGCAACCGAATAGTACCAGTTGCTGGCAGCCTGCGATGACATGATGGCTGCCAGTGAGAACCCCAGGTCCTCAAATATGAGCTCCGCCAAGGTCTGCCGGCACATTCCCGGCGACATGTTTGGCTCCGTAATGCACAGTGCAGCATTCGCTGGCGCGATGGAGAGCATGTTCGCCGGCACTCCATTTATCTTTATATGCGGTCTCCCCATGATCTTGTTCCATATGGTCCGTTGGCGATTAGGCTCGTACAGCAGCCCGTCGGCCCAGGGCCTTAGACAGAAGTACTCCCACAGAGTGTGGCATACATCTCCGATAGCTTCTCCGTGATCCAAATGTGAGTAAGGATCACTGGAACTGCTGTGCGATGATTCGGAGTTGAAGGACTGTGACGTGAACCTGCGTTTCGGCTGACCGATGCAGTTCGGTATAACCGTCGGAGGCTTCTTGCTCGAAGCTAGGGAGAACTTCAGGCTGCCGGAGCCGTTGTCGAGCACCACTCTCGGCAGCGCGGCGTAAGCTACGGCATCCATGGCTTCTCGAACGGTTCACTGGTCGGTTGAAGCCGGTGCGATAAGCCGTCCTGCCATACCGCAGAATGGTCTATACGGCAGCCAGCGAGCGCCGATTTTCAAATTGCGATAATACCGGATTTAAACATCCAGTTTTTTACAACCAGCAGAACGGCTGATGTCACCTCGGGACCGCGCCGTCGCCAGTAACACGGCGCACATCGGGTCGCACACTCGTGCTGTGACTCGCACCCTTATTCCCCCGGATATCCGGTGTAACAATCACACCTAATCTCGCCTTTTCCTTCGGTGTCGGTTGTACGGGTGTAGGCAAACGAGGTCGCTACTCCCAATCCTGCACATCCTGTCGGTGTTGTATGTCGTACCTGCACCAAGCCACATCTTCCACGTCTTTGTCTGTTTTCCACGTTTGAGCCATTCTGGAGCGACTATATGGGCCTTCCGTGACGCTTAAATGACACTGTGCGGGTCTCTAGAGGTGTAGAGTGCCGTGAAGACGTTGATACGTAGTTGCGTTGTTTTACGACCGTCTCTGTCGGCGCTGTGAGGATTTGAGCCCGTTTAGCGAGGTGTATTCATAAGATGAAGCCTTTTGTAGTCGCTATAACCCCCAAGGGGGCGATTGGATTTTTGACAGCTGGCGGTCTCACCCTTTTGGTGCTGGGTAGGTGTCGTAATCAAAAATGTAACATGCCTTCAGGTATCGCCTTAATACTGGGATGCGGTAATATGCCGCGTTGCGAGATCCCTTACAAACTCAACGAAAGCGGCCAAACCGTGGTTGAATTCAACGCGGCGGCATGCCCGAAGCTTGCCTCTCCGCTTAAGGGCGACTACGGTTTCTACTACAAGCTGGACGGCTACTACCAGAACCACAAAGATTATCGTCGCAGCATAGACTACAACCAGCTCTTCGTATGTCTACGCTTTATCTCTAACATTGTTGCGTAGGGTCACGTGACGGACCGTGTTGCCGAGCTGTCAAGCTGCGGTACCTACATGAGCGACATCGACGGCAAGATCTTCTATCCGTGTGGCGCGGTAGCTCGCACCGTGTTCACGGATCGCTTTGAGTTGTACTCCGACGAAACATTGCAGACGGCGATAGAGCTGGACGAGAGCCGTGACACCATTTGCAACAGACGCGGCGTACACACGTTGTTCCGGAACCCGCCGATTTCCCTTGTGCGCCACTACCACTCCACCGTCTCCTTTTGGCTCCAGAAGCCGAGCATGCGCCGTGCGTTGAACATGGACAAGCCCAGTAAGCAACCGCGCCTTTCCCCGTAACACCCTGCAGATGTCGGTGAGGGAGTCGAGAACTCTCACTTCATCAACTGGATCGAGCCCGCGGCTACTTCAACTGTGCGAAAACTCTACGGTATTTTCAAGGCAGACGATCTTAAGTTGCCCATCTACGTCAATATCGAGGTGATACAGCGCATCGCCGCAGTCGGTATGTTTGAATGGACCGGAAACGATACTGTCGCAGTGCGTAAGAGTGTGGTCATCGAGAAGTACTCAACGCTGTCTAGCGTTGGGTACAAGATGGGTGTCTGCTACGTGATGGTGGGAGTGCTTATATTGGCGATGGCGGGCATTTCTGTGAGCTACACCTACATCAAGAAGTGGCTGAACCCACCCCCTCCTCCTCACAGGTGCTGCGGCCACGATCACGAAACAGCAACTGAGGAAGAAGGTGGCAGCAGCAGTTCTCACGAGCTTCTCAAAGGAAACGAGAATGGCGACGGTCACGGTCATGACCACGGTCACGATCACGGCCATAGTCACGATGATGGTCATGGGCATGATCATGGTGATGGCCACGGGCATGAACACTCTGAGGGGCATAGTCACGGCGACGACCACGGTCACGATCATGGTGACAACGATGATGATGGTTGCGACAGCCACGATGACGGTCACGGCCATGGCCACGATCATGAAGATGACGACCATCATGACCACGACGGCCATGACCATGGCGACCACGACCATGATCATCACGATGCCCGTGTAGCACGCATAGAAGAGATCATAGATGAGCCGAGCGAGGACCTGCCTCGACTGCGTGCCTCATGAAACCATAACAACCGTGTACAATAATCGATGTGTCTTACACACCTTCGTGTCTAGGGTGCGATGTCGCATCAGTAGCTATCAAGATGTGCGCGTTCATCGCACCCGTAGCCGATGACGCCGTCACCAAGCTACAGAATCTCATGCAAAATACCCTTTACAGTATTGCGGTGAGTTTTTTCGCGGTACCTTAGCCGTTGACCGTTGTGGCAAAACAGCTCCCTTTATATCCTTTCCTAAAGCATGCCTCTAATCGCAACATATTCCCATACATTTGCAGGATATAACGTTCACATTAGCACCTGAGAAGGCGCGGGAGTTCCAGGAGGAATGCGCTCGGCAGGGTGTCGAACTGCCGGCAGAAGGCGCGGCGCCGCCGGCCGCCGCTGAAGCAGCTTCTGAGAGCACACCAGCTGAAGAGACATACGACAATGCAGCACCTGGGTCCATCATGGATCGCGTCAACCGCCTAGGGTTGTTGAACGATCACTTCCAAGCCACCATCGATGAGCTTCCTGACCTTCGAACCACTAGGGTAGGTATAATAGACTTTATTTAACATTCGCGCAGGAACAGGTCGTAAACGACGTGAAGCTACTTCATGAAGAGTGCGAGCGCGCCGGCGAGGAGCTAAAATCGCTCTACGCCGAGTTCGATTCGGCCTTCCGTCTGCTGCGTACACAAATTGACAACGACATGCAGCCTCAACAACAACAAGATTAGCTCTGTCTGAGGTGGCGAACCGTCGCCACGTGCAGGAGACGGTTCAGCACGATATTTGGTGGCGGTAGCGCACAGGTAGGGCACCCAGCGTCGACCAGAGCACCCAGGACGCTCTTCGGCATAGGGTGCCGAACCCGATGTTGCCACTCGGTAGACTTGCATAGTTGCTCCGCCATATTGTGTTTGGCACGCTTTTTGGACGCTGCGGCGTCGGAGCGCAGCGATGCCAACAGCGAGCTGACAACATCGAAATGCGGTGTCCTTTGGATCGACGGAACCCTCCGAAGACTTGGCAACGTCGTTGGAGCTCGTTTGATGCCTTGAACACGTGGTTTTTCTTGGCTGAATGGATCCAACACGATGCTCACGGTCTCTAGGTTGAAGTTGGATGTCAGGAGCACTAGTGTCGACGCATGGGCATTGCGATCAAACGCAGGAACCGCCGTCTCGCCCTTCTGTACTTTCCTACCGGCAGACCCTAAAACGTGCGGTGCAGGTGCCAGGCACATGTTAAGCACGATTTTCGATATTTCACGGTGGTCGACATAGAACCGCTCCATCTCAAGACCGTTACCTTCGGTCTGGTTGAGCCAGAACATTTCTAGCGCTCCTGAACACTCGTTGGACGTAATGTCAATGGTGCTTGTAGCAACTGCCAGCAGATTCGGCAATTGTGGGGAATAGATGACCTGATCAACCACCTGGCCTTCTGCCAGTGGGTACGACCATACAATTACCCCTGATGCCACGTCCACAATAATCAATCGTGACCGCTTGGAGTATAGTATCAGCCTTGGCTGATCGGGGTGGATGAACGCCAGCATATGGTGTCCCCCTAACCCCTGTAGATCCTCTTGCTCCAGTGTGGGCTGCATAAAAATGAAGACGTTGGCGATAAAACACACCTCAGTTTCATCGACGATGGGAACAGCACCAAGCAGCTTTACAGAGCTGCATTGCGCATCCGTCCGCCAGAATGTGACCACGATATCGTGCGACACAGCAATGAGACCACCAGACATCGCCAATGAACTGGAGAAGCAGGGAAGGTTCTTGTAAGAACCAACCGCCACGCATAGCCACATACATCTGCCGGGTTCGTCGAGGTTCACGTTCCTGTCGGCTTCCCCAATCTCCAGCGTCTTATAAGTGGCGAAGGCGTCATCGCTCTTCACGACGCGCTTGCGGATCAGATGCCATAACTTAAATTCTGAATCCAGGGAGGTCGTGAGGAACGCGTAGTCGCTGTTCAGTTGCCGTATGGATGTAGTGCGATGCGCATGCGGGTTGGAGATTTTGGTATTCTCTTCGTAGTGTCCCATATCCTGGTCAGTGCCCTCGTTGGCAGCTTGTCTTACCCAGAATTTAAGCAACCCCTTTTTGTTGTTTCGCAGCACATCGTGCTCGAACTCTGGTAGCATTCCCGGATCCCCCTCAGTATCAGCAGCCGCTGACGAGTTCATCACGCTTCGGGACTGGACAGTGACCACCACCCGCCCATCTGTGCTGATGGCTAGTCCCTCGAGCTCCCAGTCCTGACCAAATTCGTCATCCTGTCGACTCAATATATTGACGTTTTTCAACGTGAGCGACCCAACTTCGCGGTCATGAACATAATTGTAGATCTGCAGCTTGTTGGACCGTGAGTAGACGGCAACATTGCCTCCCACAACCTCTGGAGGAGGCCTGTCGCCAGCCGGCGATATCCAGTCTGCGACTGTCATCGGCCAGTGCTCAATAAGTGGTGTCGTAGGACAGTCACCTATCGTTAGCGATACATTTGCCCGGTTGATGTCGACATGGACGCCGCCTGCCAAAGCGGCTGAAGAGGCTCCGTGAGGCATTGAGGTAAGGCTGACATCCTTGTTCACCTTCATTCCCACGTACACCGGTACCGCCACACCAGCTATTCTGCCACGTATGCACAGCGCAAAAGGGTCGATGAAGAGTATCTCGTTGGCTTCGCAGCAGAGTATATACCATCCGTGGTCCGGCTGGCACAATATGTGAAATATCGCGGAGCCCAGGCGCGTGACGAATTTCTTGGCGCCGGAATTGAGGTGCCACACCACCAAAACGCCTTCCTCCCCACCCGACAGAAGCATCGTACTGTTGGAATTGAAGGCCAGACAGTTAACTCCATGGGCATGCCATATGAGCGTGTTGACAGACACAGTAACCTTTTTAAAGTTTTCAAAAGCCCCCATGTCCGATCCATCCCGGATGACCGCATACGACGAGTGGAATGCCAGCAGCACTTTTCTGAACTGCTTGGCATTGAGCTCGAACGTATCGTTCGGTAGGTTGCAGGTCATCACAAGGTTGTCGGTGGCGGGCGTTTCCTTCGTTGGGTCGATGCTGTATACAGTAATCCTGCCCCTCGAGTCACCCACAGCGAATGTATTGGCATCCGAGAATGCGATGCAGCTGATGCTTGCGAAGCACTCGAAGAACACTATCTTGCGCGCCGCCATATTCAGTATCATGGCGGTTTTCCCAACTGCGAACGCGATGGCGTCGACCTCCGCATCTGTCGCAAAGACATCCACTCTTGATGGCAGTACACATAGAGTCCGGCGGGATCTGACGAATTTCTTGTGTAATGTGCGATGTAAATCGACATTGTCTCCAGAATCATCTGATCTCCTCGCTGTTCCATCGTGTTGGCCATTACTCATATTTTCCGATCCATCACCTCCGGTTGTGTCATATGAAAACCCACTGTCATCGACTGCACTTTTGGCAACAACCCCATTTATCGCCTCTTTCACAGCTAATTTTCGCTTAGAGGCACCCGCATTCATCGGGCTTTCGGTGTTAACGAAGCCCTCATGATCTCCGCTGTCGCTACCCACGCCACTGCCATAGATCGGTATCGGTTCATCGAGTGGAAACTGGATATCCGGATCCAGCAGTGCCGCATAATCCAGTTCAATGAGGCCGACATGTGTTTCTTCCGTATTCTCGCCACTAGAGTATACGCCGATCAGCTGTCCGCTTGATTTCGCAGGCCTAACGCTGAGCAGCCCCCCGTCCGAGATGCGGAACGTCGCCAGCAGGGCTCGCTCCTCTCCACCGCCATCCTGCAGCACCACCGCTAGAATCTTCAATATTCCATCGTTGGACGCCGTAAAAACAAGATGTATGTTGTCTGCATATGCGAAGGTGTCGCAGGAAACGATCTGCATGATCCATGTCAAGGTTGTAAGTAATGGGCGACATGAAATACAATTATACCGTAGCGAAAACCAACAACGAACACGAAGATGCATCGTATATAATCAACACAAGCATATAAAAGTGGACACATGGTTTTAATTTAGCACGAAAAGACAGCCACAATAACCACCCAGTAGACGCTGAACCACCATTGCACAAAGCTATATTGCCACCACCGCCATAAGAAACTGGCATATTTTGTGCTAAGACGTACCATATCATCGTGAAGCGTACAATCCGCCACTTTCTGACCTCGTTTGCAGTCGTAGATAGTGGACTTCTGGTTGTTCACCACCGCTAGGGAGCGACCGCCGTTCAAAAGGGCCGGACGCTCGCCCACAATGTAACCACCTGCAACCACAGGCGGTACTGCCCCAATTGCATCGCCATCGGATCCACGATACACGGATTGAGCATCCGGCGGCTGGGCCTCTGCGATATGGGCGCCAGGCGACCGGCGCTTCGGGCTATTCTCCATGCTATAGGCACATCCGTGTGACCTTCCGCATTTCAAATATATATTTCTCTGTAATACAGTTGCGATAACACGTTTCTACTGGCGAAATGCTGATTCGTTTTCGGGCGCGGGCCGACCCCCGCATAGCACGTGCAATTGTATTATGGTCAAAATATATAGAGCCAATCTTGAAGATGTGGCTACGTTTGGCAATTTAATGGCATTCTACGTGTCAGATGGTCGTGTCTATTATACTGGTGATGTGTCGATCGGAGCAGCTAGAATGCACGAAAAAAAATTCACATCGTCGCACCTTCCGCTATGTATTACGTCATTATGTGAACACACAACAGTGTACGCACATAATAATCCTAGTAGACAACCACATAATGGAAATGTGTACAGTCTGTAGAGTGGCCAGGGACGATCGATCACAGACCCAGCATGTCTCGAGTGTTATTCGCCTTAAGAGAAAACCGTAAATGGCTAACAGAATATGCGCGCAGACGCGTATGCGCTACGGCTCGTTTTGATGTGTCACATGTCTGGACTCGAAATGTGCCACGGATGCGCCGCAATGGGTCCATTCCGGGCTCCGTTGCAAGGCCAACGTGTGTGCCAATCGTCTCGGAGGCAACATAGACACGTGTGAACTAGAATATATTGAAGTACAGCGCCACCCGCCAGTTGCGCGTTGAGTCGCAGAGCACTGCCTTGCAGGCGACACACCCTCTTCACCGCAATGTGCCGTACTCACGCATCGCGCACTGCGTGTTACACCCTCCGTGTGAAGGTGCGCTTCGCTTCCATGTGTGCGGAAACTGGATGCCAGTGAGGTGTGCAGGCCGGAATACTTCCATTTTTTGTGTTTGCGGGTTGTGTGTCGCGTCTACCAGTTTCCTGGGCAATGCCTCGGGAGCTCTAGACACCCCTGTCTAATCGCCCGGGGTAACAGTATAGACGCTTACGAGGCCAATGGCGCCTCTTTGCGGCCAGAATATGACTGCCGTTGAGCCGCGCTCCGAGCTCAAGCAGCACCGTCTGCGCGATGTCTCGAGGGCGGATTCCCGCAACCTTTACTATATGAGCATGAAGTCTGACCTTCCTGGTTACCAGGATTCCGCGGATATGGCTGGTGAGAAGGTGAAGAAATCGCAGGGACCCCTTATCGCACGTCGTTTGAGTTCTGCCGACACAGAGGTCTCCTCGACGCTATTCCGACGCATGTCGAGTGTCGGCAAGCAATATGTTCCGCATTCAGCCGACGGAACGCACGGTGGCGTGGCTTTGCCGCCTACTAATATGACAAAAGGAATAAGTGTGTCCGCGCGCGACCCCCCCAGGAATCCCTTTGGGGAAACCAACTTCAAGTCGAGCTGCCCCGTTACGGAACACAGGCGCCAGCAGCCGGCGCCTGCACCTACGCGTACCAAGGGTCACTCGTCTAAGCAAAATCTCGTCGCTGGCAACACGGTGTGGGAGTTGCCTGAAAAATATAAAGTGATTGATATCGTCGGGTCGGGCTCGTACGGACAGGTGTGTCGTGCGTTCGACATTGAGAATCAGCGTTACGTGGCCATCAAGCGTATCCACAAGGTTTTCGAGGATCTGATAGACTGCAAGCGTATCTTGCGCGAGATTGCTATCCTCAACAGGTTGGACCACCCCAACGTGGTGAAGGTGTTGGATATTGTGATTCCAAGTGACCTGGAGAATTTCAACGTGCTCTACGTGGTGTTGGAGATTGCGGCGTCTGACATCAAGCTTCTAGTGCGTTCACCAGCCTTCCTGAACGACAACCACATCCGGCTTCTGATATACAATTTGCTCTGCGGCGTCAACTACTTGCACGCGGTTGGCATCTACCACCGCGACCTCAAACCGGCCAACTGCCTCGTCAACCGCGACTGCAGCGTGAAGATCTGCGACTTCGGGCTGGCCAGGACGGTCTCACACCGCCGCGACTCGACGCCGCTCTCAGTGCACGGTTCCTACACCGCCCGTGAAGTGGAGGATGAGGTCTTCCGCGGAGACAGCACCGTCAGGACGATGCCTGACTCTGCACGGCTACTTGACTACAACGAAGAGCTCGCTCACTTCCAGCGCAAGAAGATGAACGAGACGTTCGCCCGCCAGCTGACCGGCCATGTGGTCACCCGCTGGTATCGGGCACCCGAGCTCATTCTGCTGCAAGAAAACTACACATCGGCGATAGACGTGTGGTCTATAGGGTGCATTTTCGCGGAGCTATTGAATATGGTTAAGATGAACGTGCCGGATGCATCCGCACGTTCACCCCTGTTCCCGGGATCGTCGTGCTTCCCGCTTTCGCCAGACAACAAAAACTCTACCGATCGAGCTAAGGATAACGACCAGCTCAACATTATTTTCAACGTCATCGGAACACCCAGTGAGGAGGACATCGCAGCGATCGCAAAACCCGACGTGCGCCGCTACGTGCGCATGTTCCACAAGCGCAACGGCGTTGACCTGTACAAGCGTTTCAGGGCGACCCCGCCTCTGGCCGTCGACCTCCTGCAGCGCATGCTGGTATTCAACCCGGAAAAACGCATCAAGGTTAGCGAAGCACTACAACATGAGTACTTCCGCGACCTCTACAACCCGCGTCACGCGGAGGTCCCATCGCACCCGGTGGTTGTGCCCTTCAACGACTGGATTAACATGTCGGAAGGCCAACTGCGCTACGCATTCCTGCGTGAGATTCAGCGTCACCACCCAGAGTTCAAAATCCCACTCAAGATCATTTACAAGCCCTAGAATTATTGTATGTTGCAATTGCTCGGCTCCCCCGGCGTTTGTAGCGAACGTAGGACGTCTCGCAGAACTGTGTTGCTAATAAAGCGTTAGTGTACATGCTGTAAAATTCTTACGTGATATCTGAGATTGTAAGTGGCGATCCCAGTATGTGCCTGTTGTAGCATGCCTGCGCTTTGGCGACAGACTCCTCAACTTCGGTCTCCTGAAAAGTGGCATGACCAACCGTAGTTTTGCTTTCGCACTTACCGTAATGCCATTAAAATCTCCCGACGGTCGCCAAACTTGGATGTAGTGGTCGATTCCGCTCGTTGCCAAGAGCGTGCCCTGCTGGTTCACTTGCACGCAGTTGACGTTCTCGCCGTGGCCGTTAAGAATGTCAAGGATGCGTCCTGCGGCACGTTACTGGCACCATTTCGCCACTCACCTGACTTAACGTCGTAGAGGTAGACCGCTCCGTCGGCGCTTCCGCTGACTATCACGTCGTTCCCCCAGAAGTTGACCTCTGCGATGTCAGTCCCGAAGTTGCAGTGGCCACAAAGCCTCCTGCAATTTCCCGCCGGTCGCCATCTCGGGTTTTCGATGGCGCGGTATAGGTCGTGCTCCGGCACATATGGGATGGGATACGCCTCATACGGATATGCGGGTCGATGTGGGTGATACCCGCCATCCTCCGCGTCGAAGCACATGTAGTGGTGCATGTTCCACCTGCGGTCTCTGGGCGAGAAGTCCGCCAAAGCGCGCAATTGGTAGACCATCCTGTGTTCTGCATCGATGTCAACCTCATTCTGGTACTCCACATCAGCCGTATCCCCCTCAGACTCTGCCTCCGATTGACTGCCGCTGTCTTCAAACTCGACGCCCTCTGCATAATCGCGGAGATGCTCCTCCAGGCGGCTGCAGGTATCGGGATGCGGCCACCTGCGCCATCCCGATATTGAATAGCGGAAGCTGGCACCGATGGAGACGTGCATGTCATCATCGCTTTCGCCGCCCTCGTTCGCGATGTTCTCAATCGGATGCTGCGCGTAGATATCAGCGTTCGGGGAAGTGATCTCCCGAGACGTGCAAATCGATTTGAGCAGCGAGATGATCTCCTCCGAAGCAACCTCTCGTATTTTCTCGTTGAACAGAAGCAGGCAGAGCCGTCTTATCTTGTTGAAGTGCACTGAGTGTTCCGGGAACAGCCGTGAGCCGCGGAAGCAGAGCCTGCGCGCCATGTAGTAATTGTCCAGCAGCAAAAACGCCTGGATGCGCCGGAACAGCACCAGCGGATTAGTAGGGTCTGCCACGAAGGCCTCCTTGGCTATGGTCTCGCACAGTGCGGCGTCGCCGACGTGGTTTCGGTACAGCAACAGATACAGCAGCTGAGAGACGTTGCGCTGCGCGCACGCTTTGTCGCGGCAGACAGCGTAATGGGATTCGAGCTCCCTGATCCGTGCTGTTGCCCGGTCATTGCCGCTTGTATCTGTAAAATCGCAGGTGCCCGAATGCCCGGTGTTAATCGCCCCTACGCTGGTGAAGTTGCGATCGAACAGGTAGACGTGCTCGCTTTCGTAAGTCACAGCCAGCCGCTCTCCGTCAGGCGACCATGCCAGGTACGTTGCGAAGAGGCGCGTTTCGTCGTTCCTGAAGTGCTTTGGCATGTATATCTCTTCGAGGATCGGCATGGTGTAGTTGACCGATATGCCGTCATTGTACGCATGTCCCATCGAAAGCTTGCGCCTATCGAAAATGCGAACCATACTGTCTGACGCTGCAACGGCCAGTTGCTCGGACTGAACTGGGTTGATGGCAATCGCTTTGACTTCGGTGCCGTCGTACGACTGGTTCGCCCACGTGGCCTCTGCATACGCGAGGTCCACCCAATTCTGCATCCCCGACCGATCCATTTGCGAAATAGCATCCGCCCACGAACACTTTCTGCGTCGCACTCCTTGAATTTGATGGTCGATACCTCGTCCCAATCCGATGATGACGTTGCGGCAGTGGCCGTCGCATGAGTGCGGCTCCCGGATGTCAAACTGCCGCACAGTCCCATCGTAGCTACCGGAGTAGAACACGAAGTCCGTGAGCCCGTCGTTGATGATGTGCTTGACGCTTCCAGAGTGGCAGCGGTAGCAGTGCACGGTCTGGCGTTCGACTACGTCCGAGATGCATACCCGTGAGTCCCTGGCTCCAGTTGCAATGCGCCTCCCTCCTGCTAGGAAGCTGACGCCAAATATGTTTCCCACGTGCTGCGTCGGTATAACCGATGTGCGGAACGCCCTCAACCCTCCGTCGCCCTCGGAATCCGGGTCGACGTCATGGACGTTCGTGAGCGCAATGGTCAGGTCGTCGCTGACCGATGCCAGCGTTTTCCCGTCGTTGTGCCACCTCAAACGGTTGACACATCCGCCGTGCACGTGTAGGCGTGAGTAAGGCTTGAGCTTCTTGGCTATAAACGACGCCAGCGGCACACCCGGTTCGTCGAGAGACACCGGCACGACTCGCCGGCCGCAGCCGACGCCGAAGGCACGGCGTCGGTCTTCTAAGGCGTTTAAAATATTCATTAAAATGTGACTACTTTTTTTGAGATGTGCTATATATCGCCGGACAAACTGCCCTGCTTTATTATGCGGGCCGCCTCCAACCTCATCGCCTGTATATCACTCCGCCTAAACGCAGACAGGTGGTAGAAGGCGACTTTAAGAAACTCGTCATGCTGAACTATGCCGTTTCCCATAGACTTGAGGAACATGAGCAGGTCTTTGTCGCTGTCTAGTTGCAGCAGCCGCTTCTCGTGGACCTTGAACAGGGCGAAGCCGACGCGGAACAGGACCTTCTCCCCCTCGTAAAATAGCACGTCCCACACCCTGAAAACGGTGTGGATCTGCAAGGCATGAGAACCAGGAAAATAATATTTACCGGCAGCGATATAGAGAAGTGGCAGAGGAGCCACTCGACGCAGACGCATGTGAAGTCGACTCCGTTGGCTCTGAGTGTGTGTAAGCACGTTAAAAAATCGATTTTAGCGGTTTAAAGGCGAAAACTCACTTTAGGTGGTTGTACAACTTCTTGAGCCTCTTGCGAAGTATCATCTCAAGTACTAGCACGTCGCGTTTCAAAGCGAGCATGCGGTCCTTGTAGTATCCCAGCACGCTTAGACCCTTGTTGTCGATGCGTGAATCGATCATCTGGACGAGGGTGAGGAAGGCGTTCTCCTCCTCCATGAACATCAACAGGATGGCCGCCAAGAAGTTAAAACTCTGGCAGTATCCAGCAGACGGCACGAAGTTTGCAAACGCAGTCAACACGTTTCGCAACCGCAGTGTGCCCTCTGAGTGCCGCTGGTAATTCAGATTGGTGGGGAAGGTACGACAGACATCCATCTCGATTTGGTTGACGATGCTCGGGTCAAGTGGCTGGGTGACGAGCCTGGCATAAGTTGAGCGTTAACAAAAGGACATGACACAATGATAACGTAAAATCCGACAAAACTGCGATTTCCGAGCGGCAAAAGTGTTTTTATAAATCTTGCTCGACATCGGCACGGCTGATGTAGCACATAACATTAAGCGAGAGAGCAACAAATTAGTGCGAAAAGCATTTTTCTAAATCCACATAATACTCACCTCGGGTAGAGTCCCTTGATTTGGGCACCCAACTCTTCCGCTCCAGATAGTTGGAACCACATTTTTGCCCTGCCAAGGATGACATAAAACTGGCACAAACGCACCTGTAGTGATCAGGTATGCCCTTCCTTATGAGGACTTTGAGGGGAAATGGGTCCTTGGTGACCCATTCACCCTTTAGCTCCATTTCGTCCCATCTGCAACATTGATGATCGTCAGCTTTGGGAGTGGAAACATGAGAGCGCCCAAAGATTCATCGCGGCATACGAAAACATCATGCATTCCGCAATAAAAAGCATACAACTTCTCACGCAGTGCACATAACACTGGCCTTGCAAAGCAAAGCCGTCTGCCATGACTCCCCGTATACGGTGCATTAACAAAAGATATCACGAAACGGCAGATTGTATTGGTGCTCATTACATTAAATAATCATGCACGGCAAATATCTTATTCACCTACCTTTTCAAACGCCGTTCTCGCTTTTCATTAAAGGAATCCTCGTACGCGTTGATTCCGTTTGCGAAGGCGTTGTCTGACACGGAGAAGCCGTAGGAGTCGTAGGCTTGATCCGTCGAAGTGCTCGTCGCCGGTTCTTCCGGCTGAACCCGAGACAGGTTGCGCTGCATTACACGCTTGGATAGGCCGAAAAGGCCGAAGCTGATCCGTTCCATGAGGCTATGCTGCGCAGACACAAGGGGCCGTTCCTCCATGATATTACCAATGATTTCTCGCTAGCCGGCCATCAGCCGGCTACGGAAGGCCCGCTGTGGACAAATACTGCGTTATGCCCGCTTTTTTTGCGGAGAAGCATATACAAATGTTCAACTTCAGTTGAAGGGCACGGTAATAATACAAAGCAATTGCCTTATGTGCTTATTTACAGCCGGAATTTCCGGCAAAATTTTGCGATTCAGCACATATTACGTCTGAGATGGCGGGGACCTGCAGATGCGTTGATTGCTGGTCGAATACCAGTACAAAAATTCCTTTGGAATTTTACCGCCGTATTCCACAGTTCCCGCCGATTCTCAACGACGTACACTTTTATTGCAAAACTTTTAAAGACTCATACAGCCATTATACTAACTTTTTATGTGTGGCAGGCAGAGCGCATCCAGGAGCCGCTTCGGTAGTTGACGCACATTCATTGTTATATTTGTTTCTAATTCGATATTTGCACGAAATTCGCGGCACATACTGCGTTGCGTTCTGTCTGATCTGCCGTCAGCTGTGTTACTGTTTGACAACCCCTGTCTCTGTCGCTATGCACATCGCCGTGGAATCCAGATGCAACGGTGATGAGCTAAAACCTCAACAGGTTGAATTATACTTCCCTATATGCCGAGTTTATAGGTGTATTATCTACTTCAAATTACATTAATGTGGTGGTCATACGCTGCGTTTGAGCCATACCTCCTTTGTATAAGCCAGCCTTCCATCAGGGTTCATACTTGATGTAGTTCGACACGTGCATTTGGTCCTGGCGCGAAGCGTTCCACCACACGTACGGTAGGCTCCATCCGGCGTACCTGTGGTCGTATTCCCTGCGCTGATTGAATTGGCACATCGAGCTGCTCACCGTTGGTCGTGCAGAGCGTAGTAACGGGCCATGCGCAGGTAGGCGAATCGCGTCCTCTTGGCCTTCAGTCTGCCCCACTGGTAGTAGTTAATCGGGCAAGTTTTGAACCCGAATGCTCTGATCAGGCGTTCCATGGCCTTGCTCTCCGCCGTGGGATCGAAGCTGGCTGCATAGAAGCGGTGGTATGAGTTGCACAACCAGACAACATTGCGATCCTTCTCCATTATATCCAGCAGCACGCCGTTGGCATATATGCCCGTTTCATGGCGTATTCGTAGCTTCGTCAAATGCTCAGACACCTGTTGATTATGTGGAAGGTAAGGCGTTAATCCTACCTTTTCCACGAACTTAGTTGTGCGGAACTTCTTGTATCCACCATCGGCGCAAATAGCCTCGTTCAGTGCATCTATATCCTTTTCTGCGGTCGAAGATAAGGCAATATAGGACGCATCTTACCGTCTAGGGTCGAATAGCACGGTTCGCTGAGGCACTTGAGAAAGGCCATCAAAGTTGTCAACTTCCTGCACTCGTTAAATACAACTCCATTACTATCATACCTCTTGTTGCTAGCTGTTAGGGAGGCGGTACTGCTTGGAAGCTTGTCAGCAACGCTAACAACCGATTGGTGGTGTACACTATGGAAACTCACGTCTGTAGAACGCCTCGGATGAACCAGAATGCGTCCTGCTCAACACTGCCTTGTATAAGCTTGGAGTAGCCAACGTTCACCAGTTGGTTGACGTCGATTTCATCGTGGAATTTGAAGCATATCTCGTTCCCATTGTCGCTGCGCTGACATAGCCGAGGTTCCAGGGATGAGCACAGCGCTGGTGACATTAATTCCATTTTTGAAAGGCTTCGATATACGCTGAGCACAGTCCCGATTCCCATGCTTTCCAGCTCTGCCTGCACAACTTTTGGCAGAAGGCAAGTGTAAACGGTCGTGTGAAGTTATCGGTTGTCACCCACCTCAACCTTGCGAACGAGGGCATTAACGATCTCATGATCCCTGTAATTCTGCGATGCATACGTGCGTAACAGCAGCTCTGCTTCATCTGTTGATATGTCTGCAAGTATTAGGCTTTTTAATGTGCACAATTACCTTCAGAGTGCTCCAACAGCAGGTCGCCTATGGTGGCGAACAGCGGGTCGTGTAGTATCCTTAGCTCGTTGAAAATGACGCAGGTGGCTGAAACACAAATGATTGCAAACGCAAGCATAACCTACCTTTGACAGCGTCTTTCAGAGCAGGTGCTCTGGACGTATTAATCTGGAATTCGCGGGGAGGCACGGGTCTAGCAGTATGATCAGCAGAGGTGCTTGTATCAGCATCCTTTGATGCCGATACCCTGCCGCGTCTCCTTTTCGCTGGCTTAGCGTACAGTTTCACGAATGCGAGTCGCACGTCTTCCGATAGTGAAGAGAGGAGATCAAGATCCTGGAGCTCCAGCTGCTTGCAAAGCTGGGAACACATGCGCTGCCCGTTGCACCACCTACCTGTAAAATCACAAGGTAGTCGTCGATACTGAGTCTCTGACTTCTTCCTCCATCCTTGGCACCCTCTGACGCGAAGAATCCATGCAGTCTGGACGCGTCATATCCGCCGTCAACGAACTGCGACAGCAGCCGCGCAGCGGTGTCGTGAGACACGCCCTTAGAACACGCTTCCGCCCGTTCTAATATCTCTTTATGGTATTGTGTCGCTGTTACAAGGCCTCTTCGGGCACCTATGCGAGTCGGCAACTCTGCCGCTAGGCGGCGTACCCGGGTGTAAGAGCGGCTACATGGCGACAACGAAACGCTGCAACAGCGACCGAAGTGCCTTAAAAGCCACATATTGCGATAAATGATGCAGCCGCTAGGCGCACCGAGTGATGTTTGCTCGCCTCTCAGGCTCCTTCAGCCGGCACATATTGGGGCTGCGTATGCGAATGCTATAAGATGTGAGAAAAAGGCTTCGAGCTTCCGATGGAAGGACGATTCTTTAGTTAAAATGCACATCGTACACAAATAACTATGTGTGTATTGTCTGTCTTCCATTGGCGAATTTTTACTGTTGCCGTGTCGTCGTTGTCGTCGGGCGGTGTGAAAAAAGGCGTGCACACACTGCAGCATTCTAGGACACCTAGTTTTCAAATCGTGACGTCTTAACGTAATTGCTCAAGTACACAGTTAGCTTCGTCAGACAGGTCCCTCGGCGCCGCCATGTCCGCCTAATTCGTAGCCCGGCGGACAGACAACATTCGCATCAGAACAAACTGAACTGACCGGTAAATCGTCTCAGTAGCCCGTTAGGAATCGCACCTTCCGTGTCTATTGGAATATTGATTGCTTTGGACTTTGAAATGGAAATCTTTGACTTCGAGGATGTCATGCTGGTACCCCGCAAGGGTGTGCTGGAGAGCCGCGCCATGGCCGACGTGTCGGCTCAGCTGGGAAAACGCAGGTTCCGCATCCCGCTCATGGCTGCCAACATGCCTGCGGTCATTGACGAGAACATCGCCATCGAGCTTGCGAAACGCGACTACTTCTACGTCATGCACAGGTTCAACATCGACACCGTGGAGTTCGCCCGCAAGATGCGCGAGCTCGAGCTCTTCGTCTCCATCTCCATCGGGGTCCAGCCGGACTCCTACAAGGTGGTTGAGGAGCTCAAGGCAGCGAACCTGGTCCCCGAGTACCTCACCATTGACGTCGCCCACGGCCACGTCGAGGCCATGCGCAAGATGATCGCCTTCGTGCGCACCAACTTCGGAGACGAGACCTTTATCATTGCTGGAAATGTAGCCACTGCGCAGGGCGTGCGTGACCTGGAGAGCTGGGGTGCCGACGCCACGAAAGTGGGCCTTGGTCCTGGTTACGTCTGTAGCACCTCTACTCGCACCGGCTTCGGCACGCGCAACTGGCAGCTGTCCGCTATCCGGGAGTGCGCCCGCGCAGCTCACAAGGTAGTAATCGCTGATGGTGGCTGCCGTATGAGCGGTGACATCGTGAAGGCCATCCACATGGGCGCCGACTGGGTGATGTCGGGGTACTTCTACACCGGGTTCATTCAGACCCCCGGCGAAACCCAGGTGAAGGACGGCATCAAGGTCAAGAGCTACTACGGAAACGCTTCGGCTGTGAACAAGCAGAACGCCCACCGCGTGGAGGGCATCGAGGTGTTCGTGCCCTGCGGCGGCTCACTTTACGAGAAGATGGTGGAGATCGAGCAGGACCTGCAGTCTGCCGTGTCATTTGCTGGAGGCGTTTGCATTAATGACGTCCGCAACTGCGAGCACGTCATTATCCCCAGGCGCAGGTAGAGACACAATCGCTACGTGCAACCGTTGTCACCTCCCATCCCGTTAGTCGCAAGGAAGTAATCCAACCCAACATGACTGGATACTAACATCAACTATTGGCCTGGAATGAAGCCATCACATATTCATTATTATTGCGTAAAGGAAGTCCAAGGCACCAGGCTTTTAAGGAGAGCGTCATTCACCGTGTTTACATCAATATTTTTACCTAAGGCCAACTACAAGACACCCAGGTACCCTTTTGCCGCTGGCGAAATGGCCAATGAAATAGGGTAGCCACTGAACGTTGTTAAAGACGACTAATGTATATAGCCTGTATTCTACCTGTATATTGTGCGGCAGCTAAGCCCAGCCAACGATAAAAACATTGACGTGTTACGCCGGCATCGTCGTCGGCTATCCCTAATCACACAGACCGTTAAATCGGCAGAAACAGCACCATTAATGCGGTGTGTTACAACACTAGACTTGTAAATAGGCGTTTTTTCGGCGCTGCGTTGGCTTCTGCGAGTACACCACCAAGCCGTCTATGCCTAGCGGGGTGTAACGCGACACCACGCCGAAGGTGGGCTAAGCCGCGTCATCATTCTCCTCGTCAATCCCAGTCATCCTCCACTTCTGGTCGAGTTTTTCCACATTTCTACAACCAATTAGCCCCCTAAAACCAACACGCCGGTGCTCAACAACGGTAGGTTGCCGCCCACATAGTGGATTCGTCCGCCCATTGTCGCCTCTCCATGATGCTTCGGCCGGGATTGCCGATCTACGTGTGTGACTAATTGGCAGGAGTTATATTTCAGGGTGGCAGCTGTACATGTGCTTCGTAATTTCGTATTTTCCCCAGGTGTAACTGCATCATCGTTTGAACGTGTCCTGTGTTGGTCATACTGGTCCTAATTGAGCGCAGACAATGGCGTCCGCGGGTGCAGCAAATAACGGCGCCGATGTGAAGGTGGAAGGCAACGAAAATGATTTGTCTAACTCCGACATCGTTACCAAGTATCGCACGGCGTCCAGCATCGCCAATGCCACGCTCCAGAAAGTAATTGCGGAGATCAAAACAGGTTAGTTGCGAATGCCACTGGCGTGTGGTCAAACCTCTCAGGTGCTTCCTTAAAGGCTCTCTGTAAGCTTGGCGATGACATGCTGCTCCAGGAGACCGCTAAGGTCTACAACAAGAAGGAGAACGGCCGCAAGGTGAGCCACCGTCATTGCCAACGTTAACATCTGCAGATCGAGAAGGGCATCGCCTTCCCCACTTGTATTGCCATCAACGAGCTCTGCGACTACTTCTCGCCCGTCGAAGACGGTGCTTGCATCGCGGATGGCGACATGGTGAAAATCACCCTTGGTTGCCACGTAGACGGCTACGTCGGCATTGTTTCGCACACCGTGTTCAACGGCGATGCCATAACGGGCAAGGCCGCCAATGTGCTCGCTGCCGCGTGGACCTGCTGCGAGGCCGCGCTGCGTGAGATGAAGGTCGGCAACTCCAGCCAAAAGGTCACCAAGGTGATCGAGCAGGTTGCCTCCGAGTTCAAGTGCACACCGTTGATGGGCTACGTGAACCACGAGATGAAGCGCCACGTCCTCGACGGCAGCCGCTACTTCCCCAGCAGCACCAGGCTAGAGGAGAAGAGCGAGCCGTTCACCTTCGCGCTAAACGAGGCGTACGCTCTCAACGTCCTGGTCAGCACCGGCGAGGGCAAACCCAAGCCCACTGACCACAAGACCACGATTTACCGCGTGGACGTGCAGAACCGCTACACGCTGAAGACCACTCTGGGCAGGGCCTTTATATCCCAGGTCAACTCCCGTAAGTGATTCGCATGTGCCAGAACATGCGCTTTCAGGCTTCCCCGTGTTCCCCTTCCACGTCAGCTCCTTTGAGGACGAGCGCGTTCTCAAGGTGGGCCTCCCCGAGGCTGTGCGCCACAAGTTGGTGATGCCCTACGTCGTGGAGACCGAGAAGGCGGGCGAGCTGGTGGCTCACTTCCGCTTCGTAGTGCTGCTGCTGGCCGGCGGCACCAAGAAGATCACCGGCGTACCATTCGCTCAACAGGCTATCTGCAGCCCTGAGCACTCCGTCCAGGACGAGACACTCAAGAAGCTGCTTGCGGTAAGTGGTGTGACAGCTGAGTCAAAAAGTGCAGATGGCCCTGAACCCGAAGGTCAAGAAGTCCAAGGCCACGCAGGACGGCGAAAACTCTGCCGAGAAGGAGGCAGACAAGCCCGCAGCGTAGGCTGGATTAACGGAAAAGGTGCTGAAGCGGCCTGCACAACAGCCGCTGAATGCATACGCGTATCCGACGATGGTGAAAGTGGTCCACAAGCGCACATCACATGCCCATAAACCGTTTATGTGTATATGCATTTGCGACGGCCTGCATATGGTTGGAGTTTCCAGATCCGGGCGCGACGGACGACACCCGTGCGGCCCGACACGGCAGTCACACATCAGGCTCTATCGCCGCAATCACAGCCAATTCTGCCATCTGTTACAACTCTTACAACAAACTGTACAACGACCAGCGGCTCCGAGTGTTGGACCTGGTCCGCTGTCGGCAGTCGCGCGGGGTTCAAGTGCCGAGTGTGCGCCGCCGTGACACGGTGTATGCGGGGTTTGGACGCGCTGCCGGCATCACGGCATGTGCTACTAGCACGGCTACCACTGCATTTTACCGGCGCGTAGAGCCGCGATGTCAATTGCTGCCTGAAACAGGGAAACACTAATTAGTCGCGATGCATCACAAGGGCGTGTCCAGCAAGAAGTCCTCCCTCAGGAGTTCCGCCGTTTCTTCGACTCAGGAGGGCGAACAGGGTACAAGTGTGCCGATGTGTTTCACCGGTAGCGGCGTGGAGGCTTCACCCGAGGAAATGCAATCACACACTCCCGGCCACGTTCCGCTGAGCACCGTCGAGAGCGGGAGCTTTCAAACGATCTACGACAACACCGACGCCGCCCACGAGCACGAACAACGTGCCGGCAGTGCCGGAAGCTGGTTGCAGCGCAAGATAGACAAGGCGAAGGCGATGCCTCAATCGTTGCCAATGTACAAGACCTACATCGAGCATGAGATAATCTCGAAGGACCCGAATGTGGTTCGCGGCCGTTCCTCGCGCCCAAAGCTCAACAGGCGCGCACGCCGCTTGGTGACTGTGCTCTTCTGCATTGTGGTGGCCGTCGCCGCCATCTACGGCTCCAACAGGCTGATCAACTGGGTTGAGGACCGCCGTCACGCGAGCAGCGACGACTCCACCATGCGCGAGGTCGAGGTGATGCGCCTGAAGCAGACCATGGAAGCCATGCGCATCGAGATGAACAAACTCAAGGAGGCTGCCTACGCCAACTCAGTTGCGATCAACGGCATCACCAACGGCGTGTTCCGTCTTCCCGGCACCGACGATGCCGCGGCCAAGAAGCTCAAGTTCGGCAAGGGTAACTCGCCGATCAGCCAGGGGCCAGCTCCACAGAACTTCGACACACGCCACTTCGCAAACGCAATGACCGTGCAGGGCAACGAGATAGTACCCGAGGTCGACCTCAACCCTATAAAGCACGAGGCGGACATCCGCTAAGCGTCTCCGTCCGATGTAAACTCAGACATGAACTTAGGTCTAAGATATTGTACTGATAGCCAGCAGGATGCACAGCTGCGTGCGCTGTCGCTCTGGGCAGAGCAGCGCTTTGAGTCGTCTGCGCGCTCAGGCGGAAAAGAACGCCGCCGGAAGGTCGTTTTCAACTTATGTTGTTAATGTGTAACAGGTAGTGGAAAAGGAGTGCGCTGTGTGGCGTGATAAGGTGTTCGTGCTTGCCCTGCTGGGCCGCCTCCGACTGCTGAATTCCTTAATAGATGGCGCATTCGTGAAGGTTAGCTTCTCTACGCTCACTTAACTCGCTCTAGGCATTGGTTTTTTCCTATTTTGAGAACCATTACTCCGGTCCGGCGGAGCCTTTGCCAATTTTCATGTACATCCAGGAGTATTTCGCTGTATGTCTAATGTCTCTACGAACTTACGTGATGCAGATTCTGCCTGAATTGCGTGCTCCCACTACTCAAAATGGCCACGGGAAGGTGCTACTTAGACTATTAAGGTGTGATAAGCTCTGAATGCACGTTAAGTCACAACCTCTCAGGTGCCTCCACCTCCACAAGGGTAACAGCGACACGCTCACCCTGGTGAGTTATACGCACTTAAGATTTCATGTGTATCAGTTGTACGTCTGCGCATGCAGATGTTACGGTGTTTCTGCACGTTTAGTGGAGGCTGTACACGGTCCGGCGAATGCCGTCATCCTGCTTGCGGAGTCGTTCGACCCTGACAGCGGGTCGTGGAAACGAGTCGATTTTTCGCGTCTAACATACGGCGGAGTGGCGTACGAGCCTACGAAAAGTGCGAAGCCCTACAACCGCGAGAAGGTGGTGACATATAGCCCCGACTCTGATAGCTGTGAGTATGGAGGTCACCTCTACGTCCAGCGTGACAACAAGCTGTTCGTTTACAAACGAGGGCCAAATCTCAGCATTGTGGCTATTATTGTCTCACGCAGCAAGCAGCCCTCGCAAGTGGTCCTGAACGTGTCAGAATTCCGCTTCGAGGAGGAGGAGTTTAGGCAGCGGCTGGTCCGCGACAAGCAGAAGCCCGGTGCGAAAGAGGCGCGGCAGGAGTACCATTACGTGTTTGGCTGCAACAAATATGGATGGACATCGGAAATAACGCCTAAATACGTTGAGAGGTACGCGACTTTAACATTAGGGGTAAAACTGCGCAGGTACAATGACGTTTGTGTAAAGCGTGGCAAGGATATCCAGGCGTGGCTCATGCAGACTATCGAACATCTGAACGAACCGGTGAAACACGTCACAGGAGCCAGCATAGTCTCCATGTTGGAGCGTGCAGAGGCGAAATGGATGGACACGCGGGTTAGCAACGACCCCCTGCCGGATTCCAAAGCCCGGCTGAAGAACCACCCAGTCTATGTGCTGGCATCTCAGGTGGGTTACTTGGGTCGTTTGACGTGCGCTAAATCTGGTTCAGATTGGCAGCAACCACATCCTGAAAAAGGACGCGGCGCCAATAGCGTTCCTAAAGGGAGAAGAGGTCTACCTACGTTGCGACTTGGAGGCGCTGAAGACGCGTGGTGCCTGGCGTAAGGCCAATAGGCGCGTGATAGATGATGTACAGCCGATTACTACCCGCAAGATGTATAACAGGAACACGCGTATGCACGTGAACACCAGCCTGTTCAGTGAGAGTCAGACCGAGCTGATACCACAGGAGGTGCCAACGGACGGTGCCATTCCAACGACGGAGTATGACAACGTGGACGTTACTGGTCAACGATTCGTCCCTCAAGGTACCATATACCTCCGAACCAAACGCGTGGACCTCTTGCTGAAGGCTGCGAAAGCCCTGCAGCTCCATCACAAGCGGGCGTTCTCGTCTTACCAGAAGACTGACACCTTCAAGCCTGAAATCGACGGAATCGTCGTACAAAAGTCTCATCTTCCTGCGCTGCTGCAAAAATACGAGGGTAACATTCATTTCCGAACGGCACATGTCTTGCAGAGCTTGCCATGGAGGCTGCAACCAAGGCGTTGGAGGAGAAAAAGGAGTCATATCGCAATTTCTGGCGCAGCGTATTCAAGGCTATGCTCGCCGATCCGCCATCGGTGGCGCAAGAGCACCACAGCAAGATTAGAAGGGAACTCAACGAGCACGTTACCCATTTCCTGAACCGGATGGAACACCTCACCTGATGTCGGCGAAACTGCCACAACATTGTATTCTAAACGAAAAATTCAGTGTTAATTATAAATATAGTCGGATGTAGATGCTATACAATGTATTCATGTTTGTAGCTCCTTCTTTTTCCATGTGATGCGGGTCCAGGTGACAGAACATGTACCCATACAAACAGCGCAAGCAAGACACGGCTTCAATGCCGTACAAAATAAAAATGGCTGCAATCAACGTAAAAATGCATTTACGCATGATTAACTCCGTCAAAATGGAGATAACAGATGTTTCGGCCTCCTCGACTATGCGTTCGTAAAACGTCACAGCGAGTAGTGCGCAAAGAACTGCGATAGGCAAATGGTGAGCGCCTCCTCCGTACGAATTGTGCGTGAGCGCTGGTTGTAGCAGAAGTTTACGTATGCGTCGACGTCCGCCTGCGGGTTCTCGGTGATGCTCTCGAGCCCGTTCACCGGCCCCAGCACCATGAGCATGTGCTGGAAGTTTGGCACGCGCACCTCTTTGGGGTACACGTCGCCTCTTTCGCTGGTGCCCATCTTGTAGTCATAGATGCCGCTTTCGTTAAACGGACAGCCCGTGAAGACCGCCGAATAATCCTCCGCTTCTCGGACGACGTAACCCCAGTAGAGCCCTGGGAAGGTATGAATAGTTGTGTCCACGGAACGTACCTGCGGAGCTCTGCGGCTCGTCTGGCGGCACTATCTTCCCTGCAAGCTCGGTGCCCGAGGAAACAGACGTTCCGGCCTTCTGCTCCTTCCAGCGGCGCTTGCACTCACCCATGGATCCTGAGTCCAAGAGGATGGTGACACGCTGATACACCTCTTCGTCATCGTCGTCTTCCAGGCAAAACCACTCCACCCCGTATATCTCCATGAGCGCATCGGGGTTCATCACCTTTATGCGTCCGAAAAGGCTGCACTCCGCGTACATGCTCAAAGAGCTCGCATGCTTTGCCATCCCCTTGGGCTCTAGCTTGATGACTCCCTCCCTGTAAAACTGTGAATACCCACAACAATCCACTGAGAAACAAACCTGTATGGCAGCCACTCGTTGGTTCGGAGGTGGTGCGGGGCGTCCAGAGGGTTCTGCAGGCCGGCGTGGCGCAGGTGATTCGTGATGGGGAACATGTATTTCCTCAGATACTGCGGCGTCTCGAGGTATCGCATATTAAGAGCGAAGTACTCCTGCCACTCGACTCCCTCGGGGCCTAACAATCATGTTAGGGTGTTAGGCGGTGAAGCAAACTAACCAATGTCGTTGTAGAGTACCACCTCGTGAACGCCATAAATGGTGAGTGCGCGGGCTATGTGGCCAATAACATACGCCCGCAGCTCGTCAGTCAGGATGTTATACACCAGCGATACTGGTAGTGCCACTGAAACAGTCCTCTTGGTTGGCTTCCCTCGGAATGGAACGCGCTGCGGGATCTCGCGGAACAGCTGTATCATAGAGACATCGTTCGACCGTTTAGGAGCCTCCACTGGCTCCACTTGTGCTGCTGCAGCTCTATTCTCTGCATATGTGTAAGATTCTACCGAATATAGCTAACTTTTGCGAGCTTCCTTGGCCTCTGCCGTCCACCGCTCTTTGACGCGCTTCTTAGAGCGCACGATGTTGAACGTCAGCTCATCGTCCATCGTGCGAATGTAAAGTCCGATATGCGATAATGCAGCCGGGTATGCTGCGTGATGTGCAATGCCTGTGGCGGATTAGACAACGCGCCAATGGAAGGCTGCACTCCAAATTGGCAATTCGGAGCCCCAAAACTATTTAGTTGCCACAAATTTTCACACTTTACCGATATTATATAGCTCAAGTATGGGTTACATTATGTTGCTGTAGTGAGCATAACGACGTTCAACCGGTGTTTAGATCGGACGGCTACTAGTGCCCCGTACATTACTACGAATTTTGTAGTAGACCTGCTAGCATCAGCACTCGAATCATATTGCCGGAGTGACTGCTACAAAGTACAATGGAGGTTGTGGCAGTGTTTAAGCCATTTCAAAGGGGTCCAACTCCGGGAAATCACCAACCATCACCTGCTCGTATGGGCGGAAAATCCCGTAACTAGGTCCCCTGGCGGTGAAATAGCGTACACCATCTACGCTACCGTCACTGTCTCCAACAGGTTCATCCAATTCGATCCCTGAAAGCAATTCATGGGTGTATCGTTGCACTTACCTATGAGAAGGTCGCGCTTCACGTTGCCAACGTAGCGCACAACTCCGCGAACGTCAGCAGGGCTAATTGAGCACCTTGATCCCAGCGGGTATTCCTGCCTCAACACCTCTATAGACTTGGGTGCCTCCTGCTCAAGGGCGGCATCACGAGCACGGCTCTGTTCACGCATGCGGGCTATGAACTCTCTAAGCCCTTTCCCACGTTTCTCGTACTCCTCCTCACTCATGCGATATGCCTCGAAGTTAGATTCATCACCAGTTTCGCGGTAGCGCTCCATCTGCTCCGCGTAGTGCTGATGGAGCCGAGGGTTGGTCACCTTGAGAGGGGTGTCTGAGAGACTGCCAGTATCAGGGGCCGATGTCGCGGGGTGAGAGTGTTCGGAAGCCAGTATGTAGATCACGTAACCATCATCCACACCGTACTGGTGCAGCTCGCAGGAGTCGTTGTCTAAGTGGATTTGGGTACGCTTCATGTCGCCAGGCATATACGCGTAGAGTGCCATGTTGGCGGGTTGCGTACCCGTGTTGGTGTAGAGCTTTTCCTTCAGCGCACCGACCGTCATGCAGTTGTCTATCCTGATCTCCGGCCATCGACGGTCCTTGATGGCCGAGTGGTAGAGCTCCACCTTTATGATCTTGTGTCGGAATTCCATGTCGTGGAGCCGCTTCATTGAATTATCGGAGCTAGAAGAAACACGGGGGCAACGGAAGCCCAATCAACAATACATCCAGGGGCCTGACGACGTCGCAATCAGGGATGGCAACAGCGTTACACACTACCATCAACAATCCTTGATGGAAGTTTAGAATGCACACATTGCATAAAAGACAATTAAACAGCAGACGGTATGCGATCTATTACACGATACCCCGAAGCGAGGCGGCGGAACCGTCTCCTCCATCCGCCTCTCCAGGCCGCGGCGACAGATGCCGAGCTCTACGCGGGGTATAGGGTGTAACACCCGAAGGCACCTCCCTGAGCTTTGTCTGGGCGGTGGTGTACCAAATCAGTGACAGAAGGATCTCCAGTTGGCTTCGGTGTGACCAGTTTACTGGGACTAGTGTCGGCGTCCGATCCGGACTGCGACACTGGTACTACCACCTGCGGAATGTCCCAGTGCGGGTGAATCGCGCCGCCGTACACAAACAGACGTCTGCAGACTATATACAACAACTCATTCCAATCTGACCTGTACCACAGTGGCCTCAATTTGTTCCGCGGGAGCATGCGCTTAACGGCCATGTTGATCTGCAAAAGGTCAGGTGGCTCGGGGAGCGAAACTAACAATCATCCCGGGGTTGCGCGCCATAACAGTCTTTGCGGTGATTATCTTGGGACCCTTGGGGTGCGCTGAGAGCTATTGTGGACTTAAAGTTGCCTGGCGTACCCTTTCGGTCGAACTTGTAAACCTTGGTGTCCCAGCTGTGGCCGTTCATCACCACGCGCACTGCGTTCACGACGATAACGTTATCGCCGCTAACTCGCGTAGAGTCGTATGTCGGCAGGTGCTTTCCTTGTAACAGAACTGCGATGTGCGATGCCACTCCTCCCACTGTCTAATGCATTGTGAGCCTCTTGCATTGGAGGAAAGGAAACACATGATAAACTGAAACCGCCAGGGGCACTTTATGCCCATAGACATCTCACCAAACGTTGACTTACCTTTCCATCTGCGTCTATGACGTGCCAGTGGCCTGTAGGAGTGTCCATTACAGTCACGACTCCGAGGCTCCGGTGCGGCGTTGCCAGCGGCGACACTGTGGGCATATTCTTCTTCAAAAACGGCTTGGACACCCTGTTATGTGAGTCAGAATCTACGCCGTGTGTGTCCGTACCATTGCACTTTGGCGAAGGGGTCCACGGGGCTCTCATGGAAGCCCTGGCGCAGCGACCGCGCCAGCAGCCATGAGGAGAGCCGCATTGCTGCTCATCCGCTGCTAATAGCGCCAGCACAATCACACATTCAAATGAAACACCTAGTTGGGCAGAATTAGTGGGCTGCGATGTCCATATGGCATGTGTCACTTTAGCCGGAGGTACTTCACGCCATTCACTATGTCGTAGGAGCCGACGGCCGACTTTTCCGCGGCCTTCTTCTTGGCGTTCTTCAGCGCCTCCTTGTTTTCCTTCTTCATGCGCGTGATCATCGCCTTGGCCTGCTTAACGGCTGCCTTACGAGCGCGCTTTTCCTCCGCTGTCTCATCGCGGCGCCGAGTGGTGACCACTTCCGGAAGCTCAACGTACTCGACGTCAGGGATGGTCTTTGCTGTAGGCTCTTCAGCGCCTTCTACACGTTCACGTGGCCGCGTAGGCCGAATAACGGTGCTGAGGATGCGCTGTGGGTGGTTTGTGGCGTTGGTGTACTTGGTCAGCACGGTTTCGACATCCCTGTGAAACGGTCAAATATGCGACTGTAATGCCTTACCATTGTTCCGATTCGTCTGAAGAGAGCTCGAATTCCACCGTATCGCCGCTTTCGCTGTCATCCGGCTGCTCCACCAGCTGCAGGATACGCTCGCTCAGTGCGCCGTCCGGATCCATGGCGTCCATGGTCTCCTTCTCGTCGCTTCTCGCGCCCCATGGGCTTCCTATCATATCCATCATTGATGCGTTTATGTTTTTTGCGCGTATAGCATCCAACTCGGCCTGGGCACGTTGTGCAAGTGACTCTACGGTGTCGTAATGGGCATCGAAGTCCGCGTCATCCGCCTCACCATATTCGACTTCGTCACCGTCTTCATCATCGTTAACAAAATCATCGTCCGATAGAATTGGCTTGTCGCCAAAGACAGCACCGGAGCCGAGGTCTGGTTTCGGGATCCCAAGGTCCTCGAACGTCACCCTGCGCAGTGGCTTGTATCCACCCCAGAGCAACTCGTTCTCGTCGATAAATGTCTCGGGGTCTTCGTTGTCCATTGCTTTGGCAACAAAATCATCATCCATCACCTCTTCGTCAGTACCGGACTCGTCGAGCGCCTTCAGAACCTCCGCGACTGCATCGCTGTGAGTTACCATGTTGGTGCCACCTACGTTCTGGGTCGTCTGGCGTTTCTTCCACAGTGTCGTTAAGCCCGGGGAAGTCGACATCGCTACTTAGTTCCGCTGCGTTACGTGATGTTTTGAGGTGTTGTATGTCACCCACCCTGCAGATTAGTCACGGCGGCCTCTACACGGGGAGCCGGTATGAAGTTCTGGGGGTTGATGGTCGCCAGGTGCTGGCTGTAGTCGTAACCATCCTTGGGGAAGTAGCAGTCGTCATCCAGGTCCTCAGCCTTGGGCTTGGCCGGAGCTGGTGCGTCCGCGAATTTAGCTGCGATTCTCTCATACTCTTCGTGCGATCCGTAAACCTCTGCGATGAGGGCATCCTGGCAGACTATATGGACGAGATAAGCAATCCGAACCCACCCTCTGAGGACCCGTCAGGTTCTCATGGATGCCGAAGTCTGCCGGGTTAATGAGCGATAAAAATTCTTTCGGGATGGCTGACTTGTCGCCCTTCTGAACACCATTCGTAGCAGCATCAGCTTAACGCACCTTCAGAGCGGCATTGGAGGCATTCTTCAGCACTAGCGTACGCTGCCAGGGGTTGGAAGCTACACGTGGGTCGGCAGAAGACGCCGAGACTAGCTTGAAGGTAACGCGTTTGCGCGACTTGGCCGAGGAGGCGCGGCCGCCTTCCATGGCAGTATCGCACGCGGCACAACTGGCAACAAAAACTGTAGTTGCTACTGTTAAATTAATACCTTTGGGTATCAAAAGTTAAAATTAGTGTTTGCGCAGCATTAGACGGCATCGCCCATGTCTAGTGCCTGTCATCGGCAGGGGCGCTACAAGCGGAGCCGCTGCCATCCAGTTATGGGCGCCACAGGCGCCTCAGACCATGGATTGACGCTCTAGTGCGTCGAAGTTTTCGAAATGCTCCAAGTAGCGTCGTGTCTGCGACAGCTTAGGCCCCTCCGATCACGACTAACCTCAGCGATGAAAAGGAAGAGCGCGTCTGCCCAGACGTCGCGGTTACGGTCGACTGCCTTCAGGATCACATCGTGGCTGCGTTCGCGGGTGTAGTACTTCACGTAGAAGGAGGTGTAGTCAGTAGGGTGCCGGATGACGGTGCTGATCGCCAGGATGGCAGCGGAGCCCTGCGGGCGCCGACCGGCCCGGCAGTCGGTCTTCGAGCTCCAGAAGCACCAACGCCACGCTCCGTCCACCAGCATTGCCTTGTAGTAGCGCATCTCGGATGCGCATTCCTCCTTTGCGATAAGCGGGCCCTCAAGGGCAAACGAGAACAGGTAGATCTTCTCGTGGTCCAGCAACACCCCGTCGTTGCTTAACTGCACAGCCGTCAGTTGGTTTGATGCGTGACTTACATCGGTTTGGAGCTGCTTGCCTTCGTCCCGGTAGTCCTGCATGCACAGCAGCGACTGCTGGAGGACCAGGCAGTCCACGACGCTCTTGTGCGCATCAACTGTGATCGAGTTAAGCACAGTGTGGTTATACTCACTCCGGTGGAAAGAGAGTTTGACGCGTCCAATAGCACGATTCTCCACGCGAAGAATGAACCTGAGGTCGTGTGAAACAATCGGAATGATCCAAGTGAACCCACCATTTGCTCTTCGGGAAGCCCGCAGACAGTATGTCACGATCGACATTGAAGTTCAATGAAGCTATATGCTTCTTGGTCACCAGGTGCTTGCGGTGGAATGCGAGTTCCACCTCGGAGTCACGCTGGCTGACGAATACGGAGCCGCGGCTTCCGACGCTTTCTATCACTCCCTTGGGGCTGGTGGGCACAGCTGACAAGAGTTGTCACATTATCTTACAGCAACATACCTGTCATAGCCACTCTTTGGCTGCCAACTACAAGCTCTACAACCATCTGCTGGCGGACGAACGCTCCCTCGATGGCGCAGATCTCGACCAGGAGGTGAAAGGCACGGTGGCTATGTATGCCACTGTAGAAGTATAGGGACGCTGCATCATCATTAATACATCGAGAACAAGGTTGCCAGCTCGTGTCTAACGCTCGTGCTAGACACATGCTGAAATGTGTAGCCATAATACAGGCGCGCTTTTACACATTGCGCTATACACGTCTATATACGGACAAAGGTCATATAATGACGCAGTAAAACTCACCGAGAGGCTCATAGTCGACGACTTTCGTGATGAACGAGCCAACGCGGCCGACGTAGTCGCAGACACACCGCTCGGTGCCGCGACAGCAGGCGCGGGTTAAGCCCCGCGCAGCCAACCTAAGCATGCTCCCTTAGTGATGAAAATACACACAAAATTAACTGACGGCGGCGCGCCATGTGACAGCGAAGTGCACCCGCTCAGCCGACCCGGCTCTCCATGAGATGCTTAATCTGCCGGTGCATCGAAACCAAAAAGTCTTCGTAGCCCGACTCGCCGTAAGCCTCGTCCTCGAGCATGAGTAGCTTGAGGATGCGGCGGTGACGCGAGCAGTACGGCATAATCTTGAGGCTCAAAAACTGGCCTCCGTTGTGTAGAGCGCGCACGCGGCTGACGACGTCTAGAAGGTCGCGGCCCGTTTCAGTGTCGTTGGAGATGCTCAGTTTGTCTGCGGTAGCCTCGTTCAGCAGCAGATCCTTGCCGAACAGCTCCTGCAGAAGTCCCCAGCGCACGTGAGGTCCGAAGAAGAGCACCAGCTTCTGGCCGTCGTCGATCAGGTACATACCATCACTATAAATTTCCGTGGCGGACGACGGCACCGCGAGACACGCAAACTTCCAGCCGCCTTCAGGCACTCCCTCTTTGTGCTCGTCGTACACGCTGCGATGCAGGCAGTAGCACTGGGGGTACGTGTACATGCTCTCGCCGATGGGCGCGAGCAGCGTACGCAGCATCTTCTGGAGGTAGTCGTATATGAATTCGTCGCTGTTGTACATCTTGAACAGTGCATTGAGCGCCGCCGGCATGTTCTTCATGTTCTCGGGCAGAATCAGCTGGTTGTCAGGCGTGGAGGGGGCGCAGAGCTGACGGTAGCTGCACAGTATGTTGACAAATTCCTCCTTGATAGACTTCCTCGCATCCGTGCCGGAACGTATCATGTTATAAGCCATCTTGCGCGCGTAGTAGTTAACCAGGGTGTCGGAGCGGGCGCCCTTCATTATGATGTTCACGCGCGTAGATACGGTCATAGACTGCGTATGCACCCGCACCAGCTTCCGGCCGTCCACGCTGGAGTTATACATGCACGCAAACTGCACAAACAGCTTTTCCTTGTCGCGGATGAGGTCGTCCATGCCCAGAGCGAAGCATATGGCGGTGTCGGGTGAGAGTCTGGGCACTCGCAGGGTCGCCTTGTCAATGAACGCGCGGGTGTTGTGGAACGGACAGTAACTCTCCTCCACCTCGATGGGCTTGCTGCAGCGCAGCTTCAACTCGCAGTTGTACGCGTGGGGCACGGTGAACAGTCGAGCCAGGTTCTTGGCAATCTTCTGGCCGTCGGACGTGGCGTCGAACGCGGGGAAGCTGCAACCGAGACCGGCCGTCTGCTGGCTCACATACTGCAAGCATACATCCCCTGCCATGCGTTCGTAAGACGCGCAGAGGTATACGTCCACTGCGATGCCGTTCTCGTAGCACTGCTGTATAATCCCGTCGTAAAACATCTTCAACGACTCCTCAATGCTGAAGTCAGAGGATGGCACTGGGTTGTAGAAGTAACCCAGGCCCATCTCTGGGGGCTGAGCGTAGAAGATGCAGACAGTTCCTGGCGTGTTGGCATCGGCGAGCAGCGATACACCCACGGATAGCGCAAAATTACCACACGATGACGAGGCGCTCGCAGCCACGTCGACACGTGAAATCTTGTCCAAATAGCTGGTAACATCCTCTAGGTTGGTGCCATCAAACTCGACAAAAAGCTCGTCTGCACAGCTGGGCGAAAAGTTATCCCACACCTCAGAAACAATGTTCACTTGGAAGAATCCGCGGCGCCGGGAGTACAGGTGCACAACGGAGTCGAATGTGATGACGCAGAACCTCACAGGGGAGCGGGAGGCGGCGCATTCCTCGAACACAGAACGCATGCCTTGCAACACGCAGTTGCGCAGATCCATCTTGACCGATGTGGCTGTGCCATCCACAACAATCACGTAAGCGGGCTTGCGCACAATTCGCTTCTTCCACGCCGGTTGGGATGGCACGCTGGCCGGGTTTTGTAGCACCGAAACGGTGGGAGCCTCCGCTGGCATTTCGGAGGAGGGCTCATCGGCAGCCATCCCTTCTCCCAGATGGTCACGGTGCGGGTGGGCTGTATGACCTAATCCTTCGAACTGCTGACTCAAATCTTTGACATCGTAGGCCGAATACACGAGATCGTTCTTCGGGGATAAGGGATTGTTCAGCAATGGGATCATCGATTTGAGCTCACTGGCACGTGACAGCAGAGATGTCAGCTGCTCGGTTATCGTCACATCCTCGGTGAGGTCGGGTACGTAGTAGCGCAGAGGTGCCACGAAATCGACGCTGCCGTGCATTATCGGAGCGGCACGGGCTTTGTCCGTGTCTTTGCCCTTCAACTGGGCCAATGCGGCAGACTCCGCTTCGTTCAGCATGAACCCGCTGTAGCAGAAGTTGCAAATCCGGTAGTTCAGCCTGTAGTCGTCCTCCATTGCCGGGTTGAAGTAGGCCTGGCAACGCGGGCAGCGGATCAAATTCTGCTTCGTAAGGCTCTCCTCACCGATGGCAGCGACAAGGTCCACCACAGGAACCTTACCGTCTATTTCCTCAGCGAACGGCTGTACCACAGCGGCCAACGGGATTTTGATGCGGGTCAACGTCTCGCCGTATAACGGAATCTCTTGCAGCGTTGTGCTCAAAAAGCGCTCCGAGCACACGCTGACGTCCGACGCCTGCTGTCCCAAAAATAACTTCATGGGCGAGATCTGGTCGTCGCCAAGCTCGTCATTGACGTCCGTAATGTGGCTCGCAGGGCGCGGCAGTTTGGCGTAATCTGTCTTCTTGGGCGTATGCGGCCCGTAGGGGAACACCTGCTTCTCGAGCTCACGGTCGATGTAGTAGCTTTCAGAGCCTGACCTTATACGCGAGGCCATGCTGTCCGCACTGGCAGTTCGGCGCCTAGTCACCTCCGGGGAGTTTAACACGACGGGTTCGGCGCTGGGAGGAGCTTGGGTGTTCTCGTCTATGACCGGCGACCGAGGCGGAGGTGGCGGCGCCGACGGCTTACGCGCATGATGCTGGTGGTGACCGGGGTGTTTACCGACGCCACCGACAGCCGCCGTGGCCACATCCTGTACGGCAACTCGCACCGATACCACATCCGACGTCGGGATCTTGCGAACCACCTGCGGGGGCTGCGGTTTCTCGGACGACTTGTGCGACTTGGCGTCTGTTGCGCCCATCGGAGGCGGCCCGTCAAATCTAGAGCTCTTGGTATGCATTCTGATCGTCAACTACGCTGACAGTTTGCGGCGCAAGTGCGCCTCTCACGATTATGGTAGTCCAAGGCGATGTGCGTGACGGTTACCAGGCACGTAACCCCGTTCGCCGCAGTCTAAAATTGGACCACAACAAACTTACCAATTCCGACGCAGCAGCGGTACCTCCCGACTCAGCATCCTGTAGACGATCAACCACGTCTACGCAACACACATCAACCGGCTAAACCGCATAGGAACACACAGCGACGGTGCCAACGGCACGCGTTTGAAAAATACTGCTGCGCCACGCACGGATACCGACGAATGCTCGGGCCGCAGTTTTTGCGGGAACGTGGCGGTAACGACTGACCTACACGTAACGACGTGCCCAGCGTCGGCAAAATAAACCTAAAGTAGATACCTTAGTTGTGATTGTGAAGTAAGATTGCCACGTAGCATTTCACACCACAAGGGCGTAATGTGTTGCCTGTGATGTGGGCGACGCCAATCGGCGGGTGCCCGCGGTATGCCCACCGAGGAGGGCCGCCGCTGTCCCATTTTCACAGCGGCGGCTGCGCGAAGATGGTTTTACGGACCATTACAAACACTCTTACACGTCCGTAACCGCTCGGCGACTTGCCGAGGTGTGTGTCTTATCGGTGACGTTGTACCGCGTCGCCCGTGGTTGCCGTAGACGCTGGGCAAGGCACCAGTGAGGGTGACTAGACATACGCACGACCATGGCATCGCAACTATCGCAAGGTGGCGCGGCCGAATCGGCGCCGCTATGGGTGAATCGCATCAGGACCCTCGGGCCGCAGTCGTCCGGGCGCCCCGCCAGGGAGCTGCTGGAGCAGTGGAAGGTCCACCCACACCTAGTACACCTGCTAGAGGCGCACAACATCACGCAGCTGTTTGCAGGTGGGTGCCTAGTCGCGTGACCACATCGCCTCAGTGCAGGAGAAAGTCATTCCCATGCTCTTGCGCGGGGATGCGCTCGATGGCCTCTCCGCAGCGGCGTCCGACCTCGTGATCACCGCGCCCACTGGGCAAGGCAAAACTCTGTGCTACCTGCTGCCCATCGTTAATAGCATAGTACAAACCAATAGTGAGTCGGAACATAGTCTAGCGCCGCAAAGCACGCAGGGGTCGGATTCGCTGCGATGGTACTCGCTCCCACGAGAGAGCTAGTGAAACAGATTCATGACATTTGCGCGTGGTTTGTCGACGACGATCCCGCTACGTATGATTTGAGAGGCGGTGAGCTGTTGAGGGTGCACTCCTGTCACGGTAACACGTCGTTCATCGAGGACCACACTTACCTACTGGACAAGAGGCCGCAGATCGTCGTGTTCACGCCGGGGAGGTTCGTGGAGCACTACATGCACCGGGAAACTGCCTACGACAAAACTTTGGATTTCATGACGCTTAAGTGGATAATCATCGACGAAGTCGATCTGCTGCTTTCCCAGAGCTTCTACAACTGGACTGCGGCTGTCGTGGCCATATCGAAGCAGTGCCAAATGCAGGACCAGAGTGCTTCGGAGAATGCGTTTACGCGGCACAGGCCGCAAAAGATTCGTATGTTTATCTATTCCTACCTTTCTGATCCCGTGCAGTTGTGTCTGCCACCATCCCCAGCAAATCCGCAGAAATCGACCTGCTGCAACTGCACAGGCCGCTGTTGCTGAAGGGCGCAGAAACGCTCTTCAGTTTGCCACCAAATCTCACGCAAAAGTTCATGAAGACCACTAGGAGCAAGAAGGAGTTGGTGCTGGTCGCCCTGGTGCACTACCTGCTGAGCAACGCAGTGCCCGGGGAGAAGACCATTGTGTTCTGCTCGTTTAAGGAAACGGCACACGCCACCGCGCGCTTGCTCGAAGTCTTCTCGCTATACACGTTGGTCAAACGCTATTGTTTTTCCAACATCTATGCAGGCAGTCGAACCTGAAGATTTTGGAGCTTAGCGCCAGGCAGTCACAGAAGCAAAGGGAAACGGTGCTGCAGCGCTTCCAGGGCAACGACACTATGTGCCTCGTGTGCTCTGACGTGGGTTCACGTGGCATGAACTTCGCAAATACGCGAAACATCATCAACTACGACTTTCCGAAATCGGTCACTACGTATGTCCACCGCATCGGACGTACCGCACGGTAGGTGGTACAGCGTACGAGGGAAGGCTAATCTGTGCAGCGCCAACGACAGCGGAACTTCTTATGTCATCATTTCTGGCAAGGACGACGAAAAGTTCAGCGAATTCAAAGCGGCGCTCAGGCTGGCTGACGAGGAAATCGAGCAGGTGTCCCCTAGCGATCTTTGGGACGACGAGCTTAAAGAGGTGCTGCAGGAAGTTAAACCGATGGTTGACAAGTGCCTGGAACTGGAAGACTCCGGAAGCCTGGCGCAAGACGCGCCGTTGCCATCGACGTGGATGTCGCTGCTGAGACCAGCACCCGAAGAAACAACCTAGGCGTATATAGTCTTAAGCATAAAATTGCATCTGAAGTACACGTAAAAGATGACGTGAAGCCCATATGGGCTTACACATATCAAATGTGTGCCTGGAACTAGATCGAATCCTCACGCGTCGACCACTTGACGGTAGCACCATAAGACACCGCAGCGCGTGACAATTGTGACCATCAGGCTGTGCTATGTGAATGTATCGTAAATTCAATCAACTTGACGCCTGTATACGGATGCACCCTGTCTAAGCAAACAGCACAGAGGAATCCTGTGGCGCCTGCTTGTATCGGCCCATCGACGGCAGATTCCTGCCATAAAAAAGACACCTCATATTATCGGAGAATTACACATGTTCTGTAACCGCAAGTGAACACCTGTCATAGGCGAAGATCGCAGGAATCCAACCGGGCACGGCGGACCACCCCAAAGGGCACCGCCTTCTAACCCTAAAAAAACTTCAAACGTGCAGAAAATGGCCACGTTCTACATTATAGCGCCCATTGTGGCGCTGATGTTGTCTACAGTCTCGGTAAGAAGGTGGTTGAATGCCGCGACCTAATTGCGCCTTAGGCAGCACACGTATCGCCGAAGACAGTGTGCAAATCCATGACTTCCGCGGGTATGAACCACAAATGCAAGTTTGGGATTGCTGCGAACGCCTTGAACAATAACGTGGGAAGGAAGCTGAGCATATCGAAGTCTTTCCGCCTCGGCGATGTCGACCTCACGTGCTCCCTGCGCAGTCCTGATGTTGACCCTTACAGCGGATGCGGCACGCAGCTTGTGCCAATCAATGTGAGGCGCCATGAGCCGCTTGCGAGGATCGAGGACGCTAAGTTGGAGCAACTCGTTGACGAGTTCAAAGTTGAGGGAACTGTAAGTTATAACGTTTCGTAAAAACAAATATTGCAGATTGTACTTGACGGGGCAAACTCGCTGATGGGAAGTGTATGTGTTGACATACCGAAAGCGTGCCATTACACTGTGACCTCGAAGGGTAGGACCGTTAGTCAGGGCATCCTGGACTTGGCTGATACGCTGCGACGCGTGGACTTTGCCTATCAGCACGCGGATATGGTGCTGCATGCTACCCACAACAACCGCTCTCACGAGTCATCCGTTGAGCTGCTCAAACGGATGGAGGATCTGTATATCTTGCATGGCAAGTACGTTCACATCACGCCCAAGGTCGAGCTGGTCTTCGATCCGCGCCTGAGTCCGAAGTCAAACTTCTGCCTTGGCATCCACCGCGGCAAGGACACCATCACCCCTATATTCTACCCTATGGAAAAGTAGGTTCCTTTCGTACTGGTGTTCACCCTGCGCAGGAAGGTCGAGGTGCTGGTCGAGAAAACCATCACTGAGGGACTCAAGGCGGGGGTATTCTGGAGCAAGGATAACCGCCTTTACCTGAATCTCAGCCTCAGCATGCCATGGGGAAAGAACGGCTGGCAAAACATCGCATTCAGGTTCGTCTTCCCGGAGGTAGCCAGGTCGCACGTACACATGCTAAACGAAGTCAAATTTTGACCGTAATGAGAGATTCACTTTGTAGCTCACAACAGACACCGTTTATACACTTAACATGTCTATTTCGTTTCTTGGCGATTAGCGAAGATTGTAACGATGTTCGGGTAATGGCGTCGTAATATACTGAAGCTGGCTTCTGCATGAATCGGACCCCAAATCCTAAAACGGAACACCAAAGTAGTAGGAAATCGGTGTTTCAGCTTTAGGACAACGTTTTTCGTGACAGACTACTTTTCTAACATTTAGGCACAAGTTACGAGAACACCATTCTGCGGATGCCGCGGTGGCGACTGAGACTTTTGTGCGATCGCAGATATATTAAGGCGCTTCTATGTTAACATGACCCTAATTGTATCTTCATGTGTCGATTTGTGTGACTTGTAACTGTTCCGATGATGACTCCACTCGGTTCACCCATAACCGCGACAAAACGCGAACTCCAGCAGTTCTCGTGATTTCGGATGTCACAGAGTCTGTCAGTATCAACAAAATCACATTTAAGCGCTGGTATGGTCGGCGGCTCTGATGTAGAGCATGTTGTTGCAGCTGAGCAACGTCAATAAACGCAGTCAGTAACCTACCGGATCAGGATGTTGCCGCCCAACTTCCCCTTCAACACGCCGTTCTCCCACTCCTCAGCGCCATCGAGCTCGATGTTCATGTAGCTGTCGAACGACTTGAGAATGCCTGACGCGGATGAAAACGTCGTAACTGCCACCAACCCTTGTATTCCATTCCCCATTTCAGCTTTACCATGACACTCTGCCCCGCCAGTTTGGTGAGGAAAGGCTTGGGGTTGAGCGGTGGACCAACCTGAGCGCATTGTTGGTAGAACTTTCCGACGTTACCTGGGATCGATCCATGTTGGCGCGACGTGACGGTGCGATCTGCCGCGATTCCGTGGCAAAAGTAATTCCGAAACCGCCGTGACAGTAAAATATAAAACAGTACGCTCTCTTAAGCCCGAATTTATGTGCTATGTGGTTGAGGTGCCGCGGCGGTCTGAGCAGCAGTGTCTAGTGCGTCCCCAGAAGGCTACGTGGATCGAAGGATGGGTGACGTCTGATAAGGAAGTGTACTTCAGCAGCTATTATATATGTCTAAGCAAGCCAGTGAAGCCCACTGGTGCGTAGAAATTGTGATAGACAAGCAGCGGCATTGACTTTGCTGACTCGCACACCGTGAAGCGGTAAAAAGGGTAGCGACAGCAACAGCTAGCAGATAAGACAGCAAGTATAGCCTAATTCACAACGTATTGAGTGCACTGAATTCTACGGCGTTAAAGTAGAGAGGACATGCAATGACGAGCTCTTACTAGTAGTCACACAGCCAGCTTGAGGTCAGCTATGCCTCACAACTACACACCAGCTCGCTACACGCCGTAACGTGCGCACATGATTCTAGGCAGCCTTTCCATAAGACCTCTTCGCAGCTGTTTTAAATTACGAGGACACAGAATGATGCACATCAAGCTGCTCCCGATGGGAGCCGACGTCAACGCCATGTACGCCGACCACAAGACCTTCTACCCGGGTGACTGCGGGCTCGACCTCTTTTGCCCCGAGACCGTCACCGTTCCCCCGCACACGACGCAGTCCGTCGGCCTCAAGGTTAAGATTGCGGCATACAAGAAGACAAGCCCGGAAGACCGCGACACCGACAGCATGAAGAACGTTGGCTGGCTGCTGATGCCCCGCAGCAGCATCGCGAAGACTCCGCTGAGGCTTGCGAACTCAGGTGGGTGAACATGTTGAGTGAAGTTCACAACATCGCAGTTGGTGTCATCGACGCTGCATACCGCGGAGAGATCATCCTCGCACTCGACAACATCCGCGACGAGCCTTACACCATACAGAAGGGAGACCGTCTATCCCAGGTGGTGTCCTACGATGGAGAGGAGATATCCTACGAGGTAGGTGGAAGTCCATTTCCATGTTGCGTGTCGTTACGTGATGCATGGCTCCCCATTTTGTGTACCACCCCTCCGGATGATCTGAACCAGCCAGCGCACAAAGATGCAACATCCCGCTCGAAAATTAGTTCGGAGTATGCTATGAAGTGTGTTAGCCCGCTAGAAAGAGGCAGGATGTATAGAGCGCGACGTAGTGTCTGCGCAGCGGGTTGCGGCACTGCCGCCACCGGGTAACTGCATTTGGATTGACTTGCTAGTGACGTATGCAACGGAAAACATGTACATGTATGCATTCAAATTGACGCCACCATACGCTATAATTAACGCGGTTTGGGTCAACAGTGCGGTATTCTGTAGTCCGTTGTACGATACATTTTTTTGTTATTTTTACAAATTTTCGCGATAATTTCGACGCGGCGCTGCAAATGTACCTTCTGATTGTAGTTGGATCTTGGAAGCAGTTGGAGGTCTTCTTCTCATTTGTGTGTTGAGACTTACGATGCAGCGAAGTGGAGATGGAGCTCGGCATATCTGCCGGGCGACAAGGTTTTTTCCGATTTGAAGTTTTTCGTGTCGATGTTGAACTCTTTTACGGCTGCGAAACGCGCCTTGTGTTTATATTTTCTTTTTTGTTTTTTGGCGTGTTCTGCCGCGGAGGGGGATGTCCGGATGTTGCCGCGTCGAATGGCACCTTTAATGAAGTGATATCCGGAGGTGGCTTGTTTTGAAATCAGAAGTATCCAATAGTCTCCATGATCGTGTTTATCCGGGAGAATCTGGTTTTTATATTTTTTGTCGCTGTAAGAACTTTTTCTTCTTTTTGCGTGATAGATGCCTTTTGCATTATTGTTTTGTCGCGTCCCATTGCAAACGATCCTATCCGCTCGTGCATCCTTTCACAGATTGTCAACGAGCTTGACGAGACAAAACGCGGTGAGAGAGGATTCGGCTCCACTGGACGGTAGATTAACTCGAGACTGGGAGTACGCTCACGCTTGACTCACAAGCTGCGCACGACGCTTACGGCGTTCTTCCCGCTCATCCAACATTGGGATGGGCTGCTGAAAGCAAGGCTTCGGCAAGACGGGTTGCTCCTTGATGGGTTTAAGTGCGCCCGGCTTCACTCGACTCTTCCAGCGGCTGCCGTACAGGTACATCAGCATATCCTGAAGACAATTAGTTTGCGTTGCAAAGAGAAACGTAATTCAATAATGATGTAACCGTGGAACATAAAACGGAACAAACTTGAAACGACAGGCAATTTGAGGAGCAATTCAAGTAACGGACGTCTACTGAGGAAGGCGGTGCAGTCACGGCACGAAAACTCATGATGAATCACTTGTGCGTTTCGAACGCATAAGCCGGGAAAGAAAGAACAACGTTATACATGTATGGACAATAAACGTTAATCATAGCACGTATGACATACCCTGATCTGTAGGGGAGACAGCCCGGCGTATTCGGCTTCGCGGATTGCAGCGGCGGACTCCTTCGCCTTGGTGCAGTTGTAGGACACGGATTCTGGGAGCACTATTCGCTCCAAGTCGTCCAACAAATCGGGCAAGGCGCGCTCGGGGACAAGCTTAACCCATTGCGGTAACGCACTGTACATGAGCTGCTCCGTACAAGACACGATGACGTGGTTAGCGTCATTCCAGTTGGCCCCGCGGTAGCAATAACATTCGTCCCCCGAAACACCCGCGTCTATGTGGCTTAAATTCGAAGCGTAGTGATGCGCGTGGCCTATAGATCCACCGGCGGCATCCCGCGCATTATCTAGGGCATCATGGTGCTTGATGAGGCCGAAACGATCGGGGCTCGTCAAAAGTACCATAGCCTGACGCGGAAAGGTGTCGAAATCACTTAACCACGCGCAAAACGTTTTCACTGGATAGCGTTCGTCAATCGCACCCGGAGACACCATCATGCTTGCAACCATGGAGTATGGCAGCAGAGCACTCAGTAAGGCCGTCGTGGCCGGTGCCGAGATGGCAGAGTGAACCCATAAACTACGTAGGCAGCGCTCGTTGCTGGTCAGGAGCTCAATCATAGCCCACGCTACCGTCTTGGTGCGCCGCACACGACCGAATTCGCTCTCACTGACAAATGCCTTCGTGCTGACCGACACGAAGATACCGGTGAACTCCGGATCGCACAGGTCATCGCGCAAATTCTCAATATGCTGTACAGTACCATCGCGCAGCTCAATCAGGGAGAAAGGGGACAAAGCATTGCGCATCTCGTCGCTGCTGTTATAGCGGGTGTTCAGAAAAGAGCGGGAACGCATCAACTGCTCTACCATGTGCGCTCGCTGGCGAGATATAACGTGATATGCCGGGTAGCACAATTCTTCCTTGGCATTGCAGTCGGCATTTCCGTTGACGCGGCGCCTAACACTGCCCTCGGCAGGCAATTTGCGGACCTTCACCACCAGACCGTGGTGATCAAAGAATTTCTCACATTTTTCCTTTAGAGCATTCATAGGGCTATGCAAAGAGGCGGGGCACGCAGCGTCTGGTACTGTGGGCTTCAGGTCCTCTACGTCACTTGGGAAATCACTCCCTACAGATTCCGCGTAGCCAGGAGACAAACGCTCAAAATCTTCAAGCGTGGTCGTCGAATACTGCGAATTCACACCTGAACGATCCTCCGATAGCAACGACCCGTCAAGCGAAGATTTCAACCCAGGACTAGAACAGCCATCGTCGAAGTTGAACAGGTGACTTTTCGAGTTAGATTTCCCAAACAGACGCTCAAGACCCATACCCACTGGTTCTCCAGAAGCATTTTTCACAGCCATAAGGTTGGACGCGCACCCGGATGCCCTTGCAGCCTTGCACGACCGCTCACGTGACCTAGTATTAGACGCTGGGGACGAACCCTGATCCCCTGCCGTCCTGTTCCCAGAACCCGACACGCAGTTTGCGGGGACATCATTATTAGGCTGAATGTAGGCCCATAGATTAGAGGAGAAAACGGACGCCATGTCTGCCATAACGTTGCGAGCCTTTTTGGCGGAGCGGCCGCTCGGAACCGCGACGCGCTCGAGTCGCTTCCAGTCAGTAGCGACGGCGGCGTTTATGAGATCGATCGCAGGGATGCTTTTGTCCTTCCTAGGCGTGCCGCCCACATTGGAGGCACCGGAAACCGCGCACACCGGACCACCTTCCATAGTCCGTAAACTGTCCTACAAGACCACCCTAAGCCGAAGCAGATGCCGATCTAAGCAAAGGCCACAGCGGTTGTAAGATCTATTTTATACACATATTAAAGAGTCGTTTTACGCGCATTGTTTTACACGAGATCATCGTGTCACGAATAACGGTGGGCACAACCCATAACCCTACAAGGAGTACGCTCAACCTGACACACCTTTAATCGGTCGGGATCAGGAACAACGCGAACATCGAACCGATCGGCAGCAGCAGAAGCGTGAACGAACAAAAAAAATCCACCAGTAGACTGCTCAAACCGCAGCAACGGCCAATGCGAAGTCGCCCATTTATCATTGTCCCCAGGCAGAAACCCGCTAATGCGGACAAAAGATGGGTCACGACGAGTATCCGGCTTGGAGCGTCAATAGTTTTCGCAAATAGTAGGCATAGCAGACTCACGAATACGTTTATGATGTGCTGGTGCTCGCGATCCAGCAGATACGGAAACACGCAGTAGCGACTTAGTAGCGCACCAGCAACTCCCCAGTCTCCCGCGAATCCGTTAGCTTGTAAGACGTCCAGATTGAACCAGCACGTGCTCAACATGCCGTAGGCCGATGCCAGGAAGTAGACGGCCAGGGTCGTGGTGGCGCCGTGGATGCTCTCGAAGACCGAACTAAAGCGAAAATGCATGATCGTACTAATGATCAGATGGCCTCCAGAATTGTGCAGAAACGTAGAGCTTAGCAGACGATGCACAGCCAGGTCTTTCTTCAGTAGAGATCCGCTGAAAGCACCAAACAATTCCGCTCCCTCATCTAAATGCGTATTAGACGCTGTGAATAGCACTAGTTTCGTGTATTAATGAAGGTATTGACGCTAAATATAGGGCGACGCCGTCACACTTCATGCTTCCATGTCATCGCACGTTGCCATGACCTGCTGCGTGAGCAACGTCGGAGACAGGAATCCAGCATATGCGACAGATATATAATAGGCTCACAGACATGGCATAAGTATGCGCTAAACGGACTATAACACGATTACAACGCTACGCATATATTTCCATTAAAATCAAACGTACCATCTATGCCCTCCGGGTAGCGATGACAGTAGACAAGCCGAATGATAAACAGCAGCCATTGTACAAAGGTAATCAAAATGGAAATCCTAAAGATTCGCAAAATAGGGTATAAATTGTAACGCAGGAAGGATGCCACCTCGTAAACTGTTTCCCTGAGACTCCCGAAGAAAGGTTTATCTTCAACGCGACCCTTTACCATGTAGACGATGTAGTCTGAAAAGGAGTTGGCGGTATCCATTTCCATATACTGCGCGTCTGAACGCACCAATGTGGTCAACGTGCACCGTTCCCGGAACCTCCGGATTATGTTATTGGTCGGGTAGACGAAGATGTCATGCACCGAGCCATCGGGATGCGTGTCCGGGTGTAGGAAGCTGCGGAGCTCCCTCCTACGCGCCTGCTCTGCCGCATCCCGGGAGTCATCTGGAGCCTCAGCATTTTCCGCGGAATCGGAGGGGGCTTCAGCTCTAGTCACACGGCAATGCAAGACCGAGTTACAGGAACTGCAAGTCGCATAGTCCTTGCGAAGCGATTCTAGGCGATCCACTGTCAGCGATAGGTTGTAGGCGCTGTTTGCACAGCGCATCACACAGTTCTTGCGATTAAAGCGATTCAGCACATTGTTGAACTGCTCCACACAGATGGCCAGGGTGCGCTCGAACTCCACGGTGTATCTCCGATGGCGGCTCACCACATTCTCGTAGTCGATCTTCTCATTCCGGGACACATCCACGGGTCCTCCTGCCCTCCCGCTTGCGGGATCGTCGCGATCGGGAACGTTGATGGTCACAAGCATTCCCGTTAAATGTCATTTCCCCGAAACCGGGGTAGTGGCCAACCTAGCATTTCACAGGCATCTCAAGACCGCACAGCACAGATAAGGCGCTGTTTTACAATACAATGTAGCGTTCAATAAACGCACATCACGTTTCCCAAGTATACAGCCGCGTTGAAAGAACCAACACGTGTCGCCGCAAAAGAACGGTGCAAATCCTCAACCGAATATACGAATACAGCCGCACAGCGGCTGTCTAATGTACACAGACGCAAAAAAACTTAAAATAAAACAACCAGGTAACGATGTGTGTCCGCATATGAAAAAATCGCGCGGTAGTGGGTGAGGGGCGACGGAAAATCCCACCCTCGGATTCAGAAGATACCAATCAATACGTTACAACGGATTAGCTCATGAAGTCCTGTACAAGCTACGTTGGCATGCTAGCTTGCGTTGGCGGCTAACCACTTTACCGTCAAGGCCACTGCACGTGCTGCACCCTGTAAACGCGGCGGCCGTAGCCTGTCACGAGTTCTACTGATAACACATCGCTTATATTTCGCGAAATAAAACAGGTGTGTACAATCGCGTTCAGTGTTTTGCTCTGAAAGCCGGAACCTTCTCGTTCTATCGTGATTCAACCGTTGAGGCACGAGAAGGCTAAGCACGGCGCAATTTGCGAATCACGACACAACGCTGCGCAACACATAGATTCAACGGTACTAACATCTTCATCTCGTTTGACCGTTTTCGGCCGGCACCGCTTCCAGGCTACGGAAGGATGGGAAGCCAGTAGCGTTGCCGAGGTGTAAGCCAACCCTCGGATATCACCTCGTCACAGCGGATGGGATCTATGCGGCATCAAGGTCACCTATGACCACAATGTGTTGACTATCTTGGCCTGTTTGCGTGGATTCGAGTCTAGTGAGCGATGGAAGATTACTTTGCTGAATTCAGCGATGTACTACGTTCAGCGGACTCTCTGCGCTCCCTAGATAACACTTGGTCGGGACAAAAAGCGGAAGTTACCAGCAAATTACCCTATCCGATATACAAACCTGAATGTAATACAGATGAACAGGCAGGGTCAAAGGCTGTATACGGAAGCTTTGAGCAGAGTGACTCCAACCCAAATTTGGAGGAATCGGAATGCGAAGATGAGACGGGCAACCACGTCTTCGACCCATTTGTGACACTGGATGCACAGGTCGACTTGCTAAACGAGCTATTAGGAAGCCTTGGCATTGCGACGACACCAAACGTTGACCGTACAGGTGCAAAATCACCTCATTCCAAAGAGGAGGCGTTCAGTCCGGCACATCGTATCCAAAGCGTAGATTCGGAAGGTAGCGTCGATTTCTTTGGCGAATTGGGTGATGATGCAACAATGTTCCAGGATGTTGACCCATTTAAACCCATCGATGTAAATGATCGTGAGCGAAATGCCGACTCATCGGATTTTAGCGGCAGCACCACGGACTTGACAGAAGCACCTTGTCAGAAAATTGCAGGTGACACCAAGCAGTGGGACAATGCATCGTCGGTGGATCCAGCTAAGGTTGTCAGCCGCCTGAGCGGTGGCGGTGGCGACGCCAACGAAGATAAGGATCCCCAGGGCCCCTTGGCACACGCGAACAACCAACAAGATGATCCGTTCAGCGATTTATGGTTGAATGCGGGTTCCAAGATTCACCTTAAGAAGCACGAAAGCAACGCAGATGATGGAATGCATAACAAAATCACTCAAGAATCGGACAGCCGCGATAAACAGTTTATGTCCTCCGATTCGTTTGCGGAACTAGAACGCATCATCTTCCAACCCAGCACCAACCGCTCGAAAAATAGAGCAAAGCAGGAAGACTGGGACCGCTGGTTTGACGACTTGACACCTGTGTCCCCTACCGGTAATAGATCCATGCCTGAAGAACCAGGTGTGGATGTGGAGTCGCAGGATGGCGTTGTGGACGAATTCGATTCGTTAATGGACGAATCGTTCCCTGCTTGGTCAAGAGTCAGAGAGACGGACAAAAGTGATGCGGTAGATGTGACCGGAAACGAGAATGGTGATGCAGTTACTGGCCCAAAGGCGTCTGAACACACAGGTAGGCTTAACTGTTAATGCAATAACCGACTGCAGATCATGAAGAACTGCTCATCAGGAGGGAAATTGATGAATGGGCTCGTACAGGTAATGGGGAGCTGAAGGACATCCGGACGCTATTATTCACGCTGAAACAGGTGAGGAAGCAATGCTGAGATTTTAGACGTGCGTGCAGGTACTCTGGCGAGGCATCACGTGGAATGCCATGGATATCACTTCTTGTGTATCCGACAAAGCTGCCATAAAGAGGCACTACAGAAGGGCGTTGCTAGCGTGCCATCCGGATAAGCACAACAAGTCCGACTGGCGAACCGCTCTCAGGGCGCAGATGATTACACAGGCATTGCAGGAGGCCTGGTGCACGCTAACCTAATATATTGTCGCAACCGCGAAACACTGCGGTCGCAGTACTACGCGTGAAATGTAAAACGCAATTGTACACAACATTCATCTTAACAAAAATTGTTAAGCCATGTACATGCGTACGAACGGCGAATCATAATGTACAGCATCATTAAAGTGAAATCACTTGTCCGCCCAACTGCTGCCCACAGAGCCCACGGCTTCGCAGGGCACGTAGCGCAGGAACTTGTTACCAGCCGCCTCCATAGTATCGACTAGCACGCGCAACGCCTGCAAAAACATGATTGAAACGCAAAATCAGAACCAACCTCGTCGGTGTGCTCGTCCGGCACCTCCAGTATGATCTCATCGTGTATACAGAGCACCATACGGCCGCCAAACGCTTCGACGCGGTCGACCAGTAGCGCCATGGCCTCCTTTGTGATGTCAGCCGATGTGCCCTAAGAGAATAATGCAGATTTAATCTTCAAAACGTACCTGGACGGGGTAGTTCAGCGAGCGAGTGAAAGAGAACTGGTCAAATATGGACAAACGATTGCTCAGAGTACGCACTGACATCGGCTTGGTGTTCTTCATGCGCTCGTGCCAATTGGCAATGCCGCTGTAGTTGCGGAAGAACGAATCGTAGATTTCACGAGCCTCGTTCATGCCCAGGCGCACGCCGTAACCAACTTCAGCGTAGTTGCGGAAGCCGGCCAGCGACATCCCGAAGATCAAACCGAAGTTCACAGCCTTCGCCAGCTGGCGCTCGTCCTTGGTCACCTCGGCTATGGGTTTGCCCTTAACCAGACTTGCAGTTAGTGCGTGCAGATCCTGCCCACTGTTGTACGCCTCTATCATCTTTTTGTCCTCGGCAATATCAGCCGCAATACGCAACTCGATTTGCGAGAAGTCCGCAATGACGAACTTGTGACCGGGGTCGGCAACGAAGCATTCGCGGAATCTGTGGTCACGCGGAATCTGCTGCAGGTTGGGGTTATCGCAACTGAAACGGCCACTTTCCGCGCCTATCTGGTTGATGTTCGGGTATATCCTGCCAGTGGTGGCGTCGATGTGGTTCGGAATCTTCTCGGTGAACGCCGTGACAGCCTTGTTGGCCTTGCGATATTCCCGTAATGCCTCTATTGCGGGATGGTAGGTGTTGCGTGCAAGAGTTCGCTCAGAGGTGTCCTGTATCAACATACGACGCGACTTGTCCATCACATTAAGGTTCTGTAGTGCCTGCAATATCTGGCGCTGTGAGTTGTAGTTAAAGTTGGCGTTACTGGACACGCCCAACGTCTCGCCCAGTCGCTTCATTGCAACTTCATTCTCGCTATTAAGCTCCTGCTGCAGCGACTCCAGCCTTTGCCTGTCTACCCTTATGCCATTCTGCTCCATTTGGCAGACCGCCAACACGCACTTGTTCTCAATCGACGCGATGGAGTCCAAACGCTCGCTTTTCAGCTTCTCCTGCAGCACGAAGTACAGCGGGAGCAGAACAGCCGCATCGCGAGATGCATATATCAACTGCTCCTCGAAAAGTGGCTCCAGTGTCCAGTCGGAAAATTGCTGGGACTTGTCCAACGCAATGTTTAGGTAGCGCTCAGCAACATGACCCAACTTGCAACTCCAGTTGAAACGCGTCGCACTAAGCAACTTCGCCGCGATCATCGTATCGAAGACGGCGCCCTTTACAGGCAAGCCGTTGAAGGACAAAAAGTTGATGTCGAACTTCCCGTTGTGCAGAACCTTTACGGCGGAAGAGCTCAGTAACGAACGCAGCCATTTGCACTCACGTAAAGCCTCCAAAGATACCTTGAACACGTCGATAATCACCGCAGGCTGATCAGGGGTAGATATCTGCAGCAGACGGATGTTGTCGCCGCGGTGGCTCAGGCCTGTGGTCTCAATATCCAGCGCGCACAACTTCGTGTTTTCGAACAGTGGGGCCAAACGTTCCAATAACTCAACATCCCGCACGTAGATTATGCCTTTGGATAGCAGCTCGTCTTGGTCCTCGACTAAAGTGTGGACTGGAAGCTTTACAGTGCCGACTGGTTTTACACCAGCTTTCGATAGCAAAGCCCCAGGCCCTGTGCGCCGCAGCATGCGTGAACGGAAATCGTCGATATCGTCAAAAATATCCACATCAACTTCCTTCTGAGTCAGCAAAGGTTCCACAGTTGACACGCCGAAATCCAGGGAGCTTGTGTTAGATACTGGGGCCGAACTTGGGGCAGCTTGCTGAGCGCTGTTCGAAATGCTAGACGGCGGAACGTGTTGCTTGATCTTGTCGTAGATGTCGGTTTTCACAATGCCCTTTCCAGCGGTCTTGATCATTTCGCCCAAACCGTTGGCCTTGATGAACTCCCGATATTCCTTAATGGAGGAAGAACGCGTCACAGACTTGCCACGCATGGTTATAGTTTCCTCGTCTACCGCAACCGTCGTTTCGGTCGTTTTAGGCTTTCTTCCGCGTTTCGGCACCTCTGCTGTGCTGCTATTAACGGGAGGATTATCCGCTGTTGATTCAGAAGAGCCGGTGGTAGAGACGGTTGAACCTTCGGAGACTACGGAAGACGAACTCGACTCTGTGGGATTGGGGCTGTCACTGGGTGACACAAAAAGATCTCCCAATGCGAAGCAGCCTTGATTCTGGTTTTCCTCTAGGTCAGAATCGTGAACGAAGCCCGTTTGGTTACGTTCCTCGTGCATCACACTGTTCAGACGGTACGTGGTCATCGGACGCGAACTTGAGGGTGATACATTGCTTGAAACAAGCTGCGAAGTGGCAAATACGGGAGCAGCGCTCGAGTAGGCAAAAGGATGGGTGGAACGGTCGATGGTAACTGCCACCTTGGCAGTGGAACGGCGAGGCTCGGGAGGGCGCAGCTTGTCGAATGCCTTGGCAGAAGTTTTAACCTCAGTGGGAGTAGTCTTTGACGCCTCCAACACGAACTCCGTGACCTTCAGCTCCTCAGCCGTTAGGCTCAAAGGGTCAAAGCGGAATGTTACCCGGCCAAGGTTACCAGCAAACCTGTTCTTCTTTACATCGATGCATCGATTCTCTCCCACAACATTCTGCAGAATCAACACATTGTCTGCCTCCTGAGTGGATTTTACAGATCCGAAGACGCTCGACATGCCCAGGGCGGTGCCATCAGCCTCCTTACGCGGGTGCACCACCAAAGAAACATGCACGTTTTTGTTGGTCGCGAAGCGCCTGAACTTTTCAATCGCTTTATTCTGGATCTCCCATATCTCACCAACGCGTGAGTTCTGCCCACTCAACATGAACTGGAGATTGTCGATGATGATGTGGCGTACGTCATGCACATAAACCGCATAGTCCATTGCGTCGATGACCTGGTCGATGGAAGTTGATCCGTGGAACTTCATAAAGCGCAGAGGAAGCTCGGAAAACTTGTCGGCGTAGTAGTTGAAATCCTCCAGCGAGGTCTCAAGGTTGCGGCCGCTGAACTGGCGCAACATCGTCTTCGCCAAACGTACATTGTTTATCTCAAAAGAGCCCCAAAGCGTGCTTACGCCCTGCATGCAATAGTCTAGAGAGAGCTGGGACAATATGGTAGTCTTCCCAGAACCTGTTGCACCAGTCCATACGGACAACTCGCCGCGCCGGTGGCCCTTCAGCAGTTGGGACAACCCGGGTAGCGTTATGGAAGTTATCCCGGACGTTGCACAAGGGTTAGAGAGTTCCTCAAATACATTCTGGCGAATGTCATTGAAGTTCAAAATCTGGGAATGGGACATCGGCGCTGCAGCGTCCACGTAGCTCTGCACGCTGAGGCCACGCAGGAATATCTCATTGGCATCCTTTGGCGGGCGGCTGGAGCTATTATCCCTCGGCACCTCGAAAACATCGCGTATCACTCGAGTGCGCTGGATTCCCAGCTTGCTGGCGAAGTGGTCGACGCTGCCCTGGCCGGCAGCATCAAAGTCCATCCAGAGGTAAATCTGGTCAACCTTCTCCAACCGAGGCAGCAGCGCTACTGGCAGCGAGTTCGAGCCGTTGGGGAGCGACACGGCTACCCGGCCGGTGGTTTGGTTCACAACCATTGCGTCAAATTCACCCTCAGTCAGTACCACAGAGGACGGGCCTTCACCCGACTTGGCCAACTCGGACGCCAGCAGGTGCTCACCAAACATGCCCCAACCGCCTCCACGAGGCACAAGTTTCATACGCGACTTGTCTTGAATGGAACGCACTTTTATGCGATTGACAACGAGCTCGGAATTGCCGCTGTTGGCCTTGCCCATCAGCCAAGGGAACACGACACAAAGCTCACTTTCACCCTTGCCAACCCCAAGGGTAAAACTGAACTCACCTGCACCCACGCGATACCGCTTTAGTGTCTCAATGGAAATGCCGCGAGTCTCCGTCAGGTAGTCCAGCACCGGTTTGTACCTCTCGCCGTGGAAGAGGTTGTGCTCGTACTGGGTGATGTTGGTTAAAGTCACTGCCGGCTCAGGGGTCATGGGTAGGCTGAATGGGTTGCCACTGAACGATGGGTTCATAGCCTCCTCTATCATGCCACCGGGAAGGTCGCCCATGGCCGCCTTGAAGTCGTATAGGCTGCCCCTGTAGCCGCAACGATGGCAGTATGAGTTGCCGGAGTTCTTGAAGATCTCGTGCTTGTACAAGTTGTCGCTCTTGTATTTGTGAGGAGGGCAAAACGGGCAGAATTTAAGCGTTAGCTTTACCGGGCTCTCCACGTACTCCATACGCTTCCGTCGCAGGTACTCCACGATGTCACCCGTTAAAATGCGATAGTGGTGTGACACGAAGGTCGTGTATTCGCTTGGCTCGGGCATAACCTGCACCCCACGCGAATTGTACGCGCTGTTATCGTAGTCACTCCGCGGGTAGCCGTAGTCTGTGCCGTAAGCAAACAAACTCGACCACTGCCCATCTCCGCGGGCAGATGCTGTCTCGACTTCATTGAGTTGCGATAATTTTCCGGTGCGTGAAATGTCACCGGAGACAACATTTGCGATAGATACAGCTGCTTTTATAGTTGGATCTGACGAACAACCTCTAGAGCTGCCGCATATGAAAGCGGGAGCCCCGTGACTGCTGATAGCACGCAATGCAGTTCTGCCTTTTAGGCCCGTTCCGCGCGCCAAAGATGTTGCTCTATCGTATAGGCCGCCACCAAATCCCAGCAGCGTCGCCAACGCCCCTTGGCGCGGCAGCCGCGGTAGTGGTCCTTGCATAATCCCAGAGCTGTCTGCATACCCAGCACTGGCAGTTGCCGTAGGAGAACTGCACAGAAGATTTCCGCTCAGCTGCTTCAACGAGTTTGTATTGAAAAATTTTCGAGGTAAGGTGTGAACACCATTGTGGGCGCCCAAACAGTTGACGGAAGACACCGACACACCTAAACAGAACCAACAGAAGAGAAAAGGCAGTACAGCCAACCTTCGTGTTTTGCGGCCAACTTTAAATGTATCTTCGGTACTGCAGGCAGATATACTGGTCACTCCATCCTCAAATTGCGATTTTAAACTGCTGTTGCTGTCAGATTCCATGGAATCCAACGCCTTCAGACGATCAATACCTCCCTGTCAGCGCAATCGTGCAGACGAATGCGCAATTCATGGGCCATCGAGCCGCCATCTGCTTCACGTACCTGTGCAGCCGAGCAGCGCGACAGCTTATCACTGGGAGCCGAAACTAACAAACTACGTGTAATGGTAACTTCAACTGTCGCATCTCTGTTGAACCAAACTCGTGTAATATAACTAATATTCAACTTAAACTTAATTATAACGCAGAAGGCGCCATTTTCGTTCGCACAACGGTGTTTTACGCAGGATTCCATGGGGGCAGAGGTGTCCCTCCATTCGGTGTCTTACGCTCTAAGCATCCGGTGCAGTTTCAACTCTGGTCGATTTGTTTATTATATGTGAAATATATTTAAAATCCATATGGCAATGACCTAAATTGGTGCGTACAAAGGTACTCTCGTGAGAAGCTAGTGTGTCCAAAGATAAGTAATACCGTGAAACGGGTTCAATACCGAACCCTAACCTTCCTATGATAAACACATGTTGGAATAATTATTAGCGGGCATATTCAAGTTCATGTGTGCATCATTGGTGGCAACTTAAACGAGTACTGCTCTACCGCGGTCACGGGCGAATTGCAATCCCGTTGAAATGAAGCCACACATCACAAAAATCACGTAATAATTGAGATGAGAAATATTCCGTTGTTAGTGATTCCAGCCATCACGACCTCGGTAATCGGCAGCATAACCTGATAAGCTACTTTAGCATCCCATCTAGGGCAACCTTATTATTTATCGCAGCCGCGTTGCGGGAATCGTACTCATTTAACTACATATATAATAACAATGTCGTTTAGTGGTTTTGGTAAATGTCTATAGAAGGAAGGCGCAACCTTCATTCCAGGGTGTCGAGCAAGGCAGCGTACTCGTTGAGCCTTCAATACCGAATATTTGTCAGTTACGGACACTTATAGCATACGAATATGGTGCCCCGAAGTAGGAAGAGTGATCCTATCGATGATCCTCGTTTCAAAACCCAAAAACGTAAGTCCGAATAGGTGGTTTAAAACGGCGTAGAAAAATCGAGGAAATCTTTGCGTAAAGCGCAACGGAAGGCAGACAAGCAGAGGCATCACCAAAACATGATACAATGGAAGCAAAGGCGAAGCAACAAGCCATCACCTCAAGAGACCGCATCGCATCAAGAAGCAAAGGTGAAACCGCAGAAACGCAAAATGGACCAGAACAATGAAGTGGCGCCACCCACCAACCAGCCAGTGGAAAAGTCATACGATGAACTCGAAATCGAGTACCTGGAACGCAAACTGAGGAAGAATAGGAAGAGTTCCGCCAAGGCGGGCGATTTGTTCCAATCACTCAAAAAGGAGTTCGTAAATGATGGATTCGACGAAGAATTCCTGGATTTCCTCTCAGAGATAAGCAACATGGCGGAGAAGGGTAAAAAATCCAAGGAAGGTACTAGCATAGATAAGGCGCAAACTAAAAGGAACGCTGGCAAATCTAAAACCCGGGATCACGATGAAGAATTTGAAGATGACGATGATGAAGAGGGCGACGAAGGCGAAGGTGAGGACGAAGAGGCGGATGGAAGTGAGGAGGATGAGGATGAAGACAGTGAAGGTGAGGATGAAGAGGAGGACGACGAAGATGGTGAGGATGAAGAGGATGCAGAGGAAGACGAAGACGAAGACATTGAAGGCAGTGATGACAGTGACGGAGATATAGATGGCAACCACAATGGTGAAGATGAGTTGCCGCCTAAAAAGAAAGTAAGATTCGACTTACCTCCAAGAGAAATGAAGGGTGAGTGCGCCAGGCGTTAAGTATATGTGCTTGCAGAGAAATCCAAACAAAAATCGGAGATCCGCAAAAGGCCGATTAAAACGGTCCCAATCGATGAAAAGTTAGTGGAAGAGACGAAGAAAAAACAGCGAGGGCTACTCAACAGGATATCGGAAGGAAACTTTACGATAGTTGTAAAGGAAATAATCAAACTTTATAACCACGTGCTATCGTCGGAGTCTAATGACGAAGGGAAAGAGCACCTTCTCGCCGTCGATGAACTCATAGAAGACTTATGTGATTGCACCGTAAAAATGGTGATCGAGAATGAAAGCAGTGTGATCAGCCTGGTGGCCATGCACACAGCGCTCATATGCGCATTGTGCAATACTGTTGGAATAAACGTTGGATACGTGTATTGCCACAAACTGCTCAAAACCCTAGAGGCGGCTCTACCTGTACTGTTTGAGAACCAGGACGGGAAGGAACTTTCATACGCTAAGCTCGTGACGAGAAACAGTGTCATGTCATTCGCCGTCATATCGCACCTGGACATGTTGGATCTGGAAATCATATTCTTTCTCATCAAAAACATATCGAGGGAGAATATCACAGAGCATGTCGCCCAAATCCTAATGGTTCTACTTCGGTACACAGGTAACGATTTACATTGGTATCATGTCATACTCACGCAGGACACAAAATGAAAGTTGAAAACCCTACCTCATTCCATAACGTAATTGGGCACCTTAAAAAGTTGCTCGATAAATACAAGGAAACTCACGGCGACATCACACAGAGTAAGCAACCTTAGTGGATACAGATTTCCCCTATAACCTATTGCAGGTAGGCTGCGCTTTTTCGAACAAGAAATTGAGTCTTTCAAACTATCGAAGGAGAAGAAGCCGCTCGAAACCTTTGACTTTCTCAAGTAAGCATAACGCCCTTACTCTATTCATGTCATTGCAGGAACATTATTAAGGGGGAGTTCAGACACAGTGCCGGAACTACTAACCCTCAAATAAGCCTTCAGACACTCCTCAAGTTTACAAAGGAATCTGATGGGCCCACCTTGCCATCCCATGTGATACTACACAACCTAGACACCGCATCACTGATGGCCGTAAAGTCCTCAAAGATAAAAGGTGACAATTCTACGGAATCACTCCTGCAAAAGGCGGCGGCGTTGCGGTAAGGGCATGTATGTAGAGTCGACATGATGCAGATTGTATTCTAACTGCCAGAAGTCGACCTTCGTCGCCATTATGGGTGCGATAAGCCCCCAACATGCCGTGGAAAGGATCATGGCACTGGGGATAAAACCAGTGCAATACACTGAGGTTGTGTACACAGTGGTACATTCGTTGATGAGCGAAAAGCTGTACAACGAGTACTACACAGAAGTCAACAAGAATCTGGCCAGGCTGCCGGCAGCTACAGGAAAAAGATTCACGAGGGCCTGTGTATGCACTCTCATCGCCGTCATCGAACACTTACATGAGAAGAAACCGAGGAAATGTGCGCACGTGGGGCGGTTATTTGCAGCAATGGTTGCTGGGAATGTGCTGGAACTCAAGCTACTGAAGTTTGTCAAGAAGGAGCACATCGACTCGGATTCGGTAGAGGCGTTCCTTAAGAGCCTATTTGGGAACTTGGTGACGCTTACTCCGGCAAGCAGTGAGGAGCACGTTATAGCACAGCTTATGTCATTGGCCAACGTGGTAAGTGTATTGTCGAATAAATATCATATGCCTTCCAGGAGATGTTCGACATACTTTGCGAACTATGGCTTGAGTACATTCAGGACCACTGCATGGACAAGGTGTTGAGTGCTGGTTCTGGAAACGTCTTGATGGAAGCGTGTAGACGAATATTCGGTGCAAAAAACCTAGAACGCTAACTTATCAGGTCCATGATCTCACTACTATAATAAATCCCCAAACTCAATAATGATGCATCACGCCTCTTAACCTACTTGCATACGTTATGCATATTGTGTCACAACACTCCTCCTATTATGTTCCGGTTGTCGATGCTGTCATAAGTGGATACCCCAGCATGGTCGGTTATCGTGATCCGCTGAAATCACTACAGCAACACCTTTTTCACACGAATACAGAAATCTTATGCGGGTGTGTGAGGCTGCGAGAGAGACTATTGGTCTGGTGGCCTGGAGACGTTGATACAACGTTGGGGAACCCTGCGTTTGGCGCCTACAGAACCCCAAATTAGAAACATGAAATGTAGACGGACTGCAGAACACAACTTAAGCAATAGACACGTCAAGCTACATTATTTGCTGTTTCTAGTTAGGTAACGCTAGTAGGTGAGGAGGGGAAGGCTTCGAATCCATAGCAATCCAATCCCTGATTACAGGCACAAACTCCGGTCCCGGCAGGGATAAATGAGGCAGATGATGTCAGTTTGTGTGACTATGAGAATCCCTACGAAGCAACACAATCCAGCACTTTCGAATCACAAGTTACATTCATCCGCACATTGTTGAAAATGTTGAATGAACGGTATTATAAAAGGTTAGTAATTGGCAGCAGAAAATGTCGAAGACGATTTTGAGAAACCACTGAACATGCTGCGTAATTTGTCAGTTAAGTAGGGGTACGACTGTATCATGATGTGTGCGCAGGCGACAGCCACGAGGAAGAAAATAACAACACCCGCAAGAGCGTAGCCAAAGCCTTTTAATACTTGCATCGTGCTATCCCCCATCTTCCTCACAGCTCACTTGAGTTGTATAACCATGAATTATGACAAGAAGCCTGCCTATAGCCTTGAACACTCGGCCAACTGACGACGTACAATTGTTGGATCCACACATGCGCTTGGCTGTCCACCTAATGCCTGGGTGCGAGCGGTCGAAGATCTCATAGAGCTGACATACCAAGAAGCTGCACAACCAACGCATGCACTTATAAGGCACATCTCCGACACGGTTATTATTACTACACTCAAATATGTATGTTAGAAAATCGCAGTTTCAACTACGGGGACCTTGAGCCAGGTACCTACACGTGGCAGGCCATTGGTACACTCATGGGTGCAGATGAGTTACACTTCTGAACGCTGTTAATGATTACGAAACAGCTTACCATCGAAACGGAATACTAAACAACCCTGTGGCATCACGTCGACAATATGACGGGGTCACTCGGCATTTCACATTTTCCATGAGCGCGTCTACATACGTCATCTGGCCAGCCACGGAATTAGAAACGTGGCATCAACTGACCTAACGTATAAATCAACGCGCCACGAGGAATGGCATTCATAATCTGCCAACACTTATGGCAACGTACTCAACTTAATTTTAGAACGCCCCGATTATATGGCTGCATTGACTATTACAACTCAGCCACTACGAGGTTGGCTAAACATTTATCAAACAATGACCATGTTGATTATATCAACATGCTAGAGTCTTTGGGGCATTCAAATTATACGTGTTCTAGTTGAAGCTACAAGATGCCCTCGGACGGGAAGGCAGAGTAGCGATCAACGTACATGATTTCGGAAATTCTGTCGCCAATAAGATTATTTGCAGATGCGACGGAACGTTCTGGTGACGCAACAAATGCGTCACGCATCACATAAATCGCGTGCCGTGATTTGTCAGTAAACATGTTTCAGGTTACTCGGGTGGCGAGCAAAAGCACACCTATTGGTATATATAGACATGTGTAGGGTGCACCCGCAAGTTGGGGCTGATGGACGAGCCATGTAGGAATGATTAAAACCCTGTCGCGTATCGCCACCGGAAGCAATAAAAAGGGGCAGCTGCGAGAGATACATCACCCGCTAAGAAGTCTGCATTACACGGCAACCAACCAGAGACTCCATGGCTTTAGAGTTGTTGCCACACAGACATCTAAGTCGACATGACTAAAGGAGGCTATGTGTACTGGCTGCGATTGAGTATGTTAACAGAGTTGGTAGGGAAGTATGCGATGGCAGGCATGGATCAGAAGATACAGCAGAGGACTTTCTTGATACAGCATAACGGACCCCTTAGCATTTTGTATAAGATGAAGAGAAGTATTATCAAGACGCCGCCGATAATATACACGCAATAACTCGTGCATTGTTCACCTTCCTTATTACACAACCAACATTTCGCCGGTAACATTCCCTGTAGAGTTTGACCCATTTTAACACCCGTGCACAACGACAAAGAACATACCTTAAGCCTCTACCGTCCTTGACGAAGCAATGTTGGAGAGATTATTTACATACATGCACAGTGGCATCCACCCGGGTACACATGCAGATACGAAATACAATCCCGGGACGTAAACATAACACAGAGCTCCACTAAGAGCATGAAATAATCGGGTGTGTCACCTCGTAATTAAGGTTACGGGATAGTGAGCTAGACAAGTTCTGAGAACACGGTTGCAACGCTACCATAATATTCTTTATGCCAAGCTATGGTAGCTATGCGAGATTATCGAGTTAGCCATATTGCTCTGTGACGATTTTACGGTTGCTGTCATGTTAACTACAAATACACCCCAGTAACTACGCCACCCCGTGATTGTCACATCGGCGTCCAGTTATTGCCCGACAGCAGACCCATGAGGAATAACTCAACGCCTTTCCACAGATAATAGTGCTATCCTGTACCGTTGAATTACCTAACGTAGCAGTAATTAGCTGGCGACTTGGATGGCCAACTGCCCAGCTTCGCAATCCACTGGCACATAGGATGGCGTAGACACCTATCACGGGTAACCCTGAACTAGAAGTTCTGAATAAGCGTCTCGACGCGTCGACTCTATGGTTGGCGCATTGCTCGTTAGGTGCTACGTCGCTATTTAGCTGATTTAGTCGATCGTCACGTCATGAGCAGACATACGTTTACTCGGCTAGGATGGTGATCCTGTGTGCCACTGACAGCCTGACGTTCAAGCGGATGTGGATGCTACATTGAGCCGTATTAAGCCTGTTCTTTTAACTAATGCGCTGCTACGATGTAATTCATGAGCGCGTTCACCGGCTACCTGCCTGTGCACAATATTAAAAAAATAAATAAGACGATATTACGTTGCCACTGTGCTGTTAATGCCGAAAACGGTGCGATATTTGCGATTATAACAAATGCCGGAAGTAATCAAATAATGCGATACAAAACGTTCACTTGTGGACTAAAAAATCGCGAACCTTGTGGAATGGGCGAATACGAAAGACGCTCATAGCGCCTACGACGATGAGGATTATTGTGGTGACAATGACGGCAGCGATGATGTAAGGGATGACGGTGGTGGAATCGGCGATATCGGTGGAATAGGAGAAACTGGCGGAACGCTGTCCCCGTTCACAACATGGACAATCACAAGCGTACTTTTTCGTACACACGGTCTGACAGTTAAAAGGCGGGCATTCATAACTTGTCCCGATGCTGCGCTTCCGGTATGTCTTGAGACATGTGTAGCAACTACTACCTTTACAATTCTTACAACACCCGGGGCAGCACTTACAATATGCTTCCCCACATTTGGCATCACAGTTACAACCTGTCCTTTTCGCCATTTTCCCCTCACCCACTTGTCATTAACCTACACAACGATGAAACACGTACCTTGAGTCCCGTGCAGTAGGACCGCCAAGCCGTCCCAGACGACCGCCAGGGATACCACAATGTACATGCGGGCACGACAGGCGTACGTCACTTCAAATTACTGGCGGAATACTTCATCAATACTTGCCACGCTACAGTTGAGCGATTGGCCGCCTAGCTGATCAGCAGTACGTGTTTACTACATTAGTTACTGCCACAATATTGTCATAGATGCCACGTAACTAGGACGTTCACTGGCCATCACGTCGGAGAGTTTCGAAGACTTGGATTTCCTAGACACCAAACTAATAACTGACCTGTCAACCACTCACCTAGCACAGCAGTTGTCAGCTGCCTAAGGAGATGAACACTCACGCCCACTCTCCACTAGCAGGATGGTAAGAGACCATTTGACTCTTACGGAGTGACCGTGCCTATAGAGAAGCGTACTGTTGACAACTTTACGCTCATGTGCCTGCAGCTGTACGTGAAATGATTGCACGTCTCACATCGGTAAGCTGCCATCTTCAAGATCGGCAAAGACTATAACCGCCACATCACGTATTGTAGCGTCGTTAGGAGCGTGGAAGCCTGATACAGATGTGTAATCGGACGATGAGAACGGGTTGAGTGAGAAATAATGCATCGTCCAGTGATGACAGCAGCACCGACATTCGAGTGCCAGGAGGTCAAGCCTCTAACAGCAGGACGACACATTGCCCTGCGCTGTGCAAACAGATACAAATGAAGACACTGGCAATTCGGATCGGAAAGAATACTTCACATCATTTCTGAAGCGGCTAAGAAAATCCCCGGAGGATAGTGAGGCGGCAAATGAAGGTGACAATTTTCAATCCAAACGGCAAAGGTTCATAAAGTGCCTCCATATGCTTATGTGCGTACCACCTGGATGCAGTACTCCACGAGCAGAACAGTGGTAGACGCCAGCGTATACAACTGCGTATAACGAACTGTTCTGTGGTCGTCAAAAACGCATCAGGCGGAGCTAGAGATAACTTAATGTTATCTAGTGTCTGTGTACATCCGTGGTGCTACCACGCAGTGAATTTGAGTTTTGGCGGCGCCCATCGGTTGCGACATACTATTTTACACTGCTATCTGGGGTCCGTGTGCTGAGCAGCTGGTGTAGACTTTGTTCCTATAAACGCTAGCACGTTAGCGATGCATCTGGCGTGGATTCAGGTGGAATATGCGATATTCTTGGCGTTGGTAGGCTTGTATCAGCAGAAGCAACAAAATAAGCCCTTGAAAAATCTTAAAGGGCTACGTATTATGTAATATAGTACAGCAATAAGTAGTACCAGGCCAGGGAGAACGTAAACGCAAGCAAATTTACATTTAGTATCATCACCACTTATCTGATGACACAAAGCACAGTACTTTAGTGTCACAATCTTATAAAGCCAATCCCAAACAGACTGCAGTGATTTCGAAATCTGCTTCCAAACCCTTTTAAAGGGTGCGAAAATCCCTTCCCCCAAATTGTTCAGTTGTTCCGAAAACTGCTGTCGGGTCTTTTCCAGTTGATTAGCGATCTGCTGCGGATCCGCATTCGGTATACTCAACCCTGCACAACGATGAATTACCCGAACGCGAAGACAGTACCATTTAACCCTGACGGCACGACGCCACTAGATGGCAAGTGTTCCATAGCAATGGACTACATACCTGGAATGTCTACCACAACTGCCATTTTAAGTCACATTGAGTTTAATGTATTACATGTAAGACCCCGTCAACCCAGCGCCCCGGCAAGTGACTGCAGATCTCTGAATGCCAACACACCACGAACATTCATAACCACTACATGCAGGAACAAGCATCTTTGGCAACAGGATGACGATTACATTACAGGCAAATATACGTTGTTTAAAAACACAGTCCCATCCCTACCGAGCTCATGTCTCTCCACCTCACCCCTGCCTCTGTTATAGCACCATGGTAGCATATTGCTACATGTGGCCACGCATCTAATTGTACCGAAATTCGAGTTCATTAAATCCCCCTGTTATCTTCACGTGTCTACAACGATGTTAAACTTTTCAAGCCTTTGACAGCCAAATGTCCCCAGTACTCTTAGCATTGTATGATGATGCGCAGCTATCACAAGTGTCAGCTCAATATCTGCGCTGAATGCTATTACTCCAATATTGCCAATCTCCATAAACAGGTTGCTAACCTCAATTTTCGCATTCATTGCCTGTCTAATCTGCATCATCGTACAAAGTGTAATGGGTAACTGCAGGCGCCAGCAAGTAACGTAAAGTTTATGACGTGAGCTTCATCCTTCTTGCCTATCATCAATTGTTCTGCTATGCTTTGTAGCTGCATCGTTTAAACTCACAATTAGGATTGGTTGCAAACTTGCGATACTTATTTCATACCTGTAGGCCAACTTCCTCGATTCGACCTAATCGACGCCCAGCAGTTGGTGGATGAGCAGTAAATCGCGGCCTATCTGCCGATTATATTGCTTAATGTAACACGCCTTCATTAGGTTCTCAATTACGCTCCATAGCGCGAAGTTGGCATCTCCCCAGACGTTATTTTATATGCAACGATACACTTCTGACATGAGTGCTGCAACGCTCATCCAAAAGTCAGCCCTCACACTATGAGGATACATCTCACTTAAAGCCTCGATTGATCACCTGACCACCACCATCTATAAACTTAATGTTTTACTTGTACACGCATTTTGCAAAACGGGCTACCGTTTCTACTATAACCATAAATGCCAGTGGGTGATCATTTGGGCGAAAGGATCTACCGTGGCCAAATTAGTTTGGACAACATTTTAGAGTCCTGTACATATTTAAGACACATACATGTTGTTTACGAGACGATATGAGTATAATGTTGTTTGGATATTAATATTGCCCACTAATCGGGCTAAGGACACCTCGAGATAGCCACACAGCCAGGGATAATCAATTCGAACATATAAGACATGTTTCAGCAGTATATAGCACATAGTCTGGTAGCGATTATGTCATCAGTGAGAAATGTGTTCACCGTTGTCTATCTTATACGTTCGGGTAAACGGTGATCCGAGCATTGATGCTGTTATGTTTGTGAAAAAACATTGAGAGTGACATTGATGTTTTAGAACCCCTGATGATAATACAGCATATAAGCAGTATTGTATCCGCAAATGGCGTATTATAAGTCTTCGTAACTTCGTTAAAATTATGGTACACTTACGGCCCTTCAGCCCCGAATATCTATTTGATTGCAACCACTTGAAAACCGAAAGCAATACCGCCTTTTGTTTCCTATGTAGCTGTTTTTCTACGATCTTCTAATTGCATTGCAGACTTTTCCGCGTCTATTGCAACGGTTTGAAGCCTTTGGAGATGCGGGGCGACATCGTACGAATGACAACTGCGTAAAATCACACAAAAGAGTTGGTGTTAAGCAATAAATTAGAATAATATTTAAGCATGCATTCTATAATGATACTGACGTCTTTCTTTTAGAGCAACGCTTCGCAACCGCTTGTGTAGGTATAGTTCTGTGGGACCATTTACTACGGGCTTATGGAAGAAGCATTAGACACATGCCGACACATTAAAAGAAGCCTGAATTATAAATCAATGAAATGTAGCTCTATAATTGCCATCACAAAAATAATAATGGCGTGGGTTACTTCAATTCCGCACGCTGTACCGTTCTCACCCCTCGTTATTTGAAGTATGTGATGAAGTAGGCCAGAATACTACACGATTTATTACATCTGCATAACATAATATGATACTACAGATGCAGAGAAGATGGCTAACCCAGTTACACATCGGGGGCAGTAGAAATGAGGTAGTGGTGTTGATGTTTAGCCCACACAAACATTGGCAAGCACAGATAAGGGTGCACATTTTATCGTAGACAGAACACCAACACAGGGCGACACTATTTTACAACGCACCTTTGCGATTGAGGCTTTTGGAAGGGCATCCATAGGACTACACACTTCAGACACGACTCGGGTAATTACATGAGATTCCTCCTCCAGCACACAGAATCACCGAGGAGTAAAACGGAATGAGGTGTAACAACAATAAAGTTCGGGAGGAAGCCTATCGGAAGATGCTGTTAAGCAACATAATTGCAATTGGGTATTGAGGTTGTGGCTTAGTTTGTTGTTATTTGTACCAGGAGATATATTGTCGCCGATGCTTCCTAGATCAATGTCGGCAATGAAAGTATTAAGGATGTCGATGTGTAGCAGACTCCTGAGGATGATCACAATATCTGTGAGTTGGAGAGACTTAAGACGCAAAAAACAGGAACTTCTATGGCAACTTGTATTTGTCAATCCATAGAATTCATTATGAGGTGACGTAGTGATTACTTGTTTAATTCCGTTGCGTGATTCGTTGATCAAGATGGCTGCTGACATCCCCCAGCTCAATACACTGAGCGAAATTCTTCAGTTCCTGGAGTGGCTGCAAGGTAGGCGGGGAAAGATAAATCAGGTTGCCAGCGCTCTGGCTCGTGATATTGAAAAATATTTCAACATTCCGAAAAGAGCAATACAAAGTATAATGATTATCTCTTTGAACAACTTACGTGACAAAATGACGAAATTACGTGATAAATTGTTAATTAATGAGATTACCAAACTGTACGGCTATAATCGTTACGGAGCACCTGCACTTCTCGATGCGCTCTTAAAATGTGTCCCTCAGCTTTACGCCGCACTTTCATTCCTGTTGTATAACGTTTCCGATAATTACGAGAGCGTTGGTGGTGGGCAGTGGGCAGAGCAGGATACGATTTCCCCTAATTCCGATCTTCATAAGTATCTCACATCTTCTACAGCAGGTTACTACAATGGTATTATTCCTGGGGGATTCTATGTTGTGGAGTTGAAATCGCTGAGAGGCAGCAGCTTGGTCGAACCTTTAAAAGGAGCCGTCAGTCGTGGTGAGGATACTGCTCAAACACGCGGAACAACGAGACCAATTTTTCGCGATCATTTTACCAACGTCCTTGCCACTACTCTGAATAGACCTTGGCAAGACGTCAACACTGGAAACGCTTTGCTTCTGTTGCGTGCTTTTCAAGAGATTGTTGTCGAAGAGGTAGATCGAAAAAACGGCGGCGAGACAAAAAAGGCTTTGGATAAAGGCATTAAGCCGCATCAAGTATGCTGGGCCGATTTGTATAAACATTTTGCCAAATTCCAAGCTACTTTTGCCAAGGTGTTTAACGATGGGGGATTTGGATTTACTGGGCAGGTGTCAAAGATTCAAAAGAAGAAGGAATTTGTCGAAGCATTTTCGAAGTGGTTTAGAGATAATTACCAGCATATTAAACAAAGTGTGTCGATAATGAGTGGAGAGATCGACCGTTCTGACCTACATTCATTTGCCAGAAAGAGATTGTATCCCTACGGCCTTATTTTCAGATATGGAGGAACTAACCAGTGGGAACGCACGCTAGAAACCCATTGGGACAGTGTCATCTCTATGTTTGATGCTAAGGGTCACGAATTGGAAAGGCTTAAAGACATTTTGGAGGGATCGACTGCAGTTTTATGTCCCGAGACAAGGGAAAGTAAAACCAAGGCTGCAAAGCCTGTTGTCACAAAAGCCAAAACAGCGAAGCCTAAAACATCTGAGTTGCCTCCGGCCAAGGTTCCCGAAGTTCCTAAAAGCCGCTTGACCCCAACGAAATCCGAGGGTGCACTGAACCAGAGTAAGAGAAGCGAAGGGAAGCCAAATCAGGGTAGGAAATCTGGCACAACTCTGGTGTCTCCAAATCAGAATAATGGTCAAAGTGAAGGAAAGCCACCGCCTTCACAAGTTGTAAACTTTACTGCTTCAACTCCTACTTCCGGTAACGATGGACCTACAGGCCCGCAAGGGGCTAAAGGGGCTCCAGGCCCGCCAGGGCCTCCTGGTCCAGTGCCGCCGGTGTCTTCTCATCCCCCGGACTCATCGAGCAATCAAGGTGTTCATGTTCAACAACCTGTTCTCGGCCCTTCAGTTCTTCCCCCTCCAAGCTTTCCTTCCAGTCCTGCTGTAGTCTCGGGCCCCGGTGATCCACTCGGCGGAAAGGGTGCGGGTTCAGTAGACATTGTTACCCCAAGTCAACTTCCCGATGGATCTTTGCAAAATGGGCCTACCAAACATCCAAGTCTTTCAAGTCGGGACCCTGGGCCTTCTGATGTTTCTCTTCCCGATGGTGATCAGAGCAGGGATGACCATACGCCTTCTCAAAATAATCCCCAAAATCTTGGAAGCTCCACGTCCTTGCCTTCTAGCCCAGGTAGCGGTGGAATTGGGGTGGGAGGGGTATCAGGAGACGGAAGGATGCCCGTAGGTTCACAATCTGAGTTTCAACCCCGCGGCATTACAGGAAGTGCACGTGAGAAAGGCTCTCCAGAGCATAGAAGTCAGTCAAGCCGAAAAGATGTTTTGATTCCCAGTGGTACTGCAAAGCACGACCATGGTGGATCATCCCTTCCCACCAGTCATCCTGGAGTCGCTGGCTCCCCTGCTGGTGTCGGTGCAACTGATCAGCGTGTAACGTCAGATACGTCTCCAAGTCCACCGTCTGGTATCTCTACAACTGTTGTGATGTCTCAGCCTACAACCGTATCAAATCTGGATTCTGTGTCATCTAGTGTCCCTGGCCCCATCGGTGGATCTAGTCATTGTGCCGATTCGCCTAAGGCTATAAATCACCGTGAACAGATTTCTCCCTCGCATGTTGCGTCTGTCGCTAATAGGCCCTCCCATGATATGGATCCAGGGTCTGTTTCCCAACCCCCCAAAACTCACAGCCCTCAATCACCTCCGATCTCTACAGCCCAGGTTGATCATTCCTCCAACGCTGATCATAGTGCCGAATCGGAATCCGCTACTACTGTGCCCTTCAGCCCATCCTCTGATCCCAGTGGCAGCGCAGCTCCAGGAGGAGGTGGGGTGGGAGATGCCGAAGGTGAAACATCGCCCGGCAGTCCAGAGACTAAACCATGCACTGGAAACGCATCGCATATGAGCTTCGGTGGTGTCACGTGGTGTCATCATAAACATAGGACGTTTGCTCGGAGCCTGTATGGTGGCCAAAAGACTCCTCATACACTATGGGAAGAGCATGAAAAAAGGGAGGAAGAAAACCGTAGACAACTCCGAACCCCTTATCTCTCAAGACGTCCAAATCAGAGTGTATATACTAATCCAGGGCGTTTCGGTGATCTAACTAGCTACCCCTATGACAATCGGTTTCGGGCATACCTGCAAAAGGGCAATCTTAGTGGCAAGGAAACATACGTTCCACCGCCAAGAATACCGCTTTACGACGCTTATCGGCACGGGTTGCCCCTAATTGGATACGAAGGGCCCGATATATTGAACGAAGGAGATCCCGGCGAAGAATGGATTAAAAGTCATATTACGCTTCAGCAACAAGAATTTCGGAATCAGAATGAAAAAATAATAACTGATCTCATAACGAAAGTCCTCCAACATCCTTCGATTCAGCTGTCCAATACCGGTATTGCGGTCGGTAAAGCGTTGAAGCAGCCGAAACCTAAGACGAAACCCTCACCTTTACCACATACGTCAAAACTTGAGGGCCAGTCTACCTTGAATTCTAATGCGGATCCTTCCATGATTGCCCAAGAAGAACTACCCCCTTCGCTCTCGCCTCCCACCGTTCTGGAAATCCAAAGGCCACCTACCCAAGAAAATGATACAATGGTATTGGCTAGCGCTGGGCCGCTTCAAAGCGCTAGGATCGAACCTAAAGTTCCTGTTAAAGACTTTCCCGATCAGTTGCCGAACTTGTATGAACCAGGTGAGGGAATCCAACATATCGATGAAGAAGCTGATGAGCAATATGCGCCATACTACAGTGTCCATGTTATGCCGAACATTGACATCTGCCGTGACCCCTGGCACGTTTCCCCGTATTATCCTGACCCTGACCAACTAACCCCGTCCCCTCCCCCAGAGTCCGACCATCTGCCCCCTCCCACCACTGTCCGTGGGATACTTTACTGGCTAGTCGGCATCGTCGCATTGGAATATATTGGGATTCTTAAAAAGCATGTTGAAGGCATTTTTGAAGATGTTGATAAGGATGATGGATTTACCACCAAACCTTCCTATGCCATTGATATCATCATGTCACATCCACCTCTGACCGCTTCCCTTGTCACGCGGACCATGACCGAGGCGTGCTACTACGCTGCCAGCGTACTCTGTAGGCTTAAGCACATACAGATTTCGGATGTTATAAAGGACTTTGACTTCAGTTCAGAATATCAGAAGTATCATTATTCCTCCGACCCCGACGACCTACTCTGCCAGGTGCGGGATTATGTTTACGCTGCTCACCACCAAGTGGCGTTCTTGCGTTTGCAGTGTTATAGAGAGGAGTTCCAGGGTGGTTGGAAGGATTTTAAATATGGCAGTAATGTCAACGTTTCCTCCTCGATCCTTCAGGCCTTCCTAACTGACGACTGGAACTCCGCCTGCGACACTTATTTCTTCAACCCATGTAACGCGTGCCTCAAGAGCCGTGTCAGGATGGGATTCAGTGACGTGGATTTGCCTAAACAGCAGCAAACTGGGAGTACTCTTTTAGGTATCCTCTCTCCTAATTGCGACCCGTACGACCCCTTGCTGACATTGTCATCCTACCTTGTCTGCATCACCAGGCAGACTCCGAGCACTACCGGGGAGCTTGTCTCTTTCTTCCATCATTTTGGGAATGTGCTGTACGAATATGACCCGGATACATTTTCCGACCTGGGAGCCGCCCTCATTGACAATCCTCTCGACTATTTCTTCTGGGCTCATCTCGAGGACGGCGACCTCGAAGCCGTCCGAAATCTCCGTGGTTGCGACCCTTCTATCCAGTGCCATGACCATTACAACACCCTGTCTACACTGATTGGCTGTGACATTTACCCGATCCCCTGCCCTCAACTTTTCCTGCCCATTACCTACCCAACCTACGCCCTCTACTCTCCTATCTTCGTCCACACCTATCTAAGCTGGATGTTATACCTACCGGACAGACTCCATGACTCATTGGATAGACTGAGAAGGGATTTGAAGGAGAATAAATGTTCCGGGATCAAGCCCCTCCATAACTGTAACAATGCCATGTCAACCCTCTACTTACACGGTTTCGCGCCACCGTATGGTTATGCAAAGCCCCCACCCAATTGTTCGGATGTCATCGTCAAGTTGAGCTCTGTAGTTTCAGGCGGGCCCGTGGCCAAGCTTTTGACTTGTGCGGATGATTTCCTCTATCGAGCACGCAAGCCTTTCGTCGTCTTTGTGTTCACGCTGTGGTTCATCGCGATAATCTGCTTCGCTCACACACAGCTATACCGCCTGGACGTTCTGCGCATACGATCTCACATCATGCTCTCCAAGGCTTCGCACCTCATCAATGTCAAGGCGCTGCTGAGTCTCAGCAAAAAAATGCCCTCACTGTATCGCGTCGATTACTTCGACGACGAAATCATTTAGCAACTCGACTTCAAAACATAATTATCACATTAGTGTGGTCATTTGTTGCATTATGTTGGACCGCAGTAGAAAATCGATACGTTATGTCAGCCCAAGTCCAATAAATCGCGACAAAATCCTTCAGCGCCAAAAGTCGAACAGCCTTTTGTAGATTTGACCACACAATGTCACCGTGGTAGATTTTTCTATTTCTGAAAATTTTCGCCGAGTACGTGTACCCGTTTACCACAGTAAAGCAAATCAAAATGTCTCATTCCTTAAAACTATTATCCTGTTCTTGACCAGATACCCCAGCAATATCGTTCATGTTGTTGTCAATCTATTCCATGTAACATAGCATCATCCTTCAGCATGTGCTAACTAGTGTTGTCTGGGTACATATCAGCCATCCGCTCAGTGAATTCTGCTTCGGCAGAAATGGCTTCGCAGCGTTCAACACCCGCTGCAATGTCGTGAATCCCCGGTCGGAAGGTGTTTGCAACATCTACAAACTGGTCGGTGAGCTCGCGTATTCGCGGCATTGCGATATCCAGTTGCAGGGCTCGTTGCACCACAACTCTGTTGTCCAAGAACAACTTGAAGGCCTTGTTTGTGTTTTTATGGTCCTTTGATCCGATTTCACCTGCCAAAGATTGGTACAAGAATTCCAGAGTCCGTTTATCGTTCTCGTCGATGTGGATACGGTTAAGTATAAAATGAAGATCGTATCTTTGGCTTAACATGTGGCCATTACGGCTATCCAGCTCACGGTAACAGGCACTATCACGAGTAGCCGATGAAGCTAGAGGTATAGATGCCACAGTATCTAGAGCCCGTCTCGCTTTTGTCGCCGTTTCAATGAATGCGGCAAGGTTCTCGTCTGCCAATAGGAAAGCGCGAAGAGTGGAATCCGTCACGTCGGGCAGAATACTTTGGACTACGGTCGAATAATCCGCATCAGAACCCTCCGATTCATCGGGGCATAATAACACGAGGTAGTCGATAATCAAAGTTCTCATTGCCGCATATGTTGAACGTAGGCCATGCAAATTAGCCTCCAATGTTTTTTGATTCTGACTGTATGCGTCGTCGCTGCTGTCGTATGTTGCTGCGCGATCAGTGGAAAATTGCATTATAAAATGCATTTCACGCATATGAGCATCGATATTCTCACTCAGCATTTCTATACGGTCGTACAGCCTGTTTGCCCTTAATCTTCGCATTTCTTCGTCGGAGTTGGGTAGTCGGGGGAATTTTCGTATTTTCCTAGCGTACATAAACTTCAAAATGGCAATACTGCGCGAGTATTCCTCGAACGACTTCAATTCAGAGTAATAATGTATCATCAACAAATGAAAGATCGGATCCTTATTGAACGTGTTGTCGACGAAATACTTCTTGTGCACCTTCACTGCAATATCGAAACTAGGATAATTATCAAGCTCATTTTTCTTGGCAATCATATCCTGAAATTCTCTCTGAATCTCGTTGATTTGTAATTCGAATCTCCCCATTTCTTTATCGCTCCATATGAACTGCGGTATTACAGCATTGAGCGTCTCACCCAGCATCATGTATATGCGAGACACCTCCGGATTCATATTTTCCATTCTTAACCAATTCAATACTGCCTGCATAACTTGCGTTGCTATTTCCATCTGCAGGTTGTGTGAGTGAAGGGCAGTGTACAGCCGGTGCCACCTCGAAATTCCAGCTCTAAATTCCTCGTAGTGAGAAAACGTAGGATCGTAAAACCTTCCATAATCTCCTGAATTGTGATTGTTGCAAAGCCTATCAGCTAAATTGGATAGGACATGTATATGGAATATGCTCCATGCTGCGTCATTTTCTATGGTTGATATGGTCTCTTCCAACTTTGTCCGCATGTCTTGCTCTGTAAAATGTAGTGCATCAGGTAGTGAGTTGTCTGATTTGAATAGTGCTTGTAGGAGTTTCTTTGTTTCATTAGAATTCAGCTCTTCGCAGCCCATGGTGGTCATTAATCGAATCTTCAAGCTCGCGTACCGTTCCAAAGTTATCCATGGGGATAGATCCGTAATATAGTCCTGCAAGAATTTGTTAATTATCCAAATGTCCTTCATTCCAGCAACGGTTTCCGAACGCAATGCACCGTCTGGTGTGTCCTTGTAATAAGCAAAAAATAACCACCACGTTGTCTGCTTCAGGCTGTTTATTGATGCATCTACCGATATGGCGTTATTCAATTCTTCATTCACAACATTGCTGTGTCTAACAGTAGCGTCAATGGGATAAGCCCGACCGATATACTTGAGAAAAATCAAATCATCAGACACCCTAAAATCGTATCCATACATACGTCCCAATAAAATAGCCATGTTTCTCATATCATCCAAATACTGTTTAATATCTGGAACAGTGTTTGCACCATGCGTGTAAGGCTGCATCAGGCCACAGGGACCAGAGTCGGCCTTCGGTGCTTCCGTACCAGCATCTCCACGCATTCCCCCAGTAGGAGCACCAAGGGCCACATCATGACCTATCAGTGTGAAGATGCCGAATAGAAGTGCTACGCGGAGCATGACGCAATTAATAATGCGAGACATTTTGTTGCAGGTCAGTCAACAAAACTTAGACAACAAAAATTTGGACCCAGCCACCTCCTATTGCACTTTAGAGAGAATTCATTCACAATGTTGATAAACACCCACAATGAAAACTACACAGTTTATATATCAAAAAAATGTGGCTGTCAACTTAAACAGCTTCTGGACAAACAAGGAAAAAAAGCTAACGCACAAATCATGATGCACCAAATTTTTACGATGCATAGGTGTTGAATACGGACTGCGCTGTAGTGTTGCAATAAAAATATATTTGTCTGACTAGCGCCATACAACGGATGCGCAGAAAATTCTTACTGCGCAGAGAATTCATAGCAATGGAGAAAAATATGTCACATATACAACCACGGTTTTCACGGTTTACATTTAGACAGTCTGGTGTAAGTGGCTAAGGATGGCTAATGACGCGTTCTCTGCTCAATAAAAGGGTTACGCCCCGCACGCCCTTTGTGTAGGTTGCGGGTTAAATATCTTCTGATTTGCGCTCATATAAGGTGCCATTGTGGCGTCATTCCTTCTGTCTGTGTCTAAAAGTGATTGACTGTCGTGTTTTTTTTCGTGTCTAACATTCCTCATAACACATGGTGCCACCTTGAACGGCGTCTCCCGGCTGGTCGATCTCAATTTGATTGCTTTCAGCAGGTCTTGATTATTCCTCTTCTTGTCTCCATGTCTACCGAGTTGCGTTCATTAGTTATTCCCGTTTCCATTGCGGTGATGGTGCTCTTCCATGGTTATGCAACGATGACATGCCGCCGGTTGTTCCCGTCGTCGGTGAAATTTTACCAAGGATCCACAGTACCAGCAGTTATGTAGAATCCACAGCACACAACTGAGCAACACACTGGGTATGGTATTAAGTAGTATTAGCGAACATGTTCAAACTTTGAATGCGCATATTGCACGCTTTGTGCTAAGAGAGCGGGGAGACCCCCTTCGGGATCCGAAGAATGGGCACAAGGAAACAGAACATAATACGTGTGCAGTCCAATGGTGAAGGTTTAGGCACCAAGTAACGGTTTAAAGCGTCTACTTTGTCCTGTTCATTTCGGCCGCCTTCTCCTTGGCTTCCTGAATTCCTCCCACCATGTAGAACGCCATTTCGGGCATGTCGTCGCACTCGCCTTCCAAAATCTCCTTGACACCGCTGATAGTGTCCTGAAGCTCGACGAAACGTCCAGGCTTGCCCGTGAATACCTCTGCAACCTGGAAGGGTTGAGACAGGAAACGCTGGACCTTGCGCGCTCTAGCGACTACGAACTTGTCCTGCTCAGACAGCTCGTCCATACCCAGGATAGCGATGATATCCTGCAGCGACTTGTAGTCCTGCAAAATCTTCTGCACGCCACGCGCAACGTTGTACTGCTCCTCACCAACAATGTTCGCAGACAACATACGCGAGGTGGAGTCGAGCGGGTCGACGGCGGGGTAAATACCCAACTCGGCGATAGAACGGGAAAGCACAGTGGTAGCATCCAGATGGGTGAAGGTGGTTGCGGGCGCCGGATCCGTGATATCGTCGGCTGGCACGTACACCGCCTGCACGGACGTAATGGAACCCTTGTTGGTCGTCGTGATACGCTCCTGCAGCGCTCCAAGGTCAGTAGCAAGGGTCGGCTGGTAACCGACAGCAGACGGAATGCGCCCCAAAAGCGCGCTCACTTCAGAACCGGCCTGGGTGAAACGGTAAATGTTGTCGATGAAGAGCAGCACATCCTGACCGTCCTCGTCACGGAAGTACTCGGCCACGGTCAGACCAGTAAGGGCAACACGTGCCCTGGCACCTGGAGGTTCGTTCATCTGGCCGTACACCAATGCGGCCTTGGATCCGGAGAAGTCAAAAGTGCCGTCCTCCAGCTGGCGGCGCTTGATAACGCCGGTCTCCATCATCTCGTGGTAAAGCTCATTACCCTCCCTGGTGCGTTCTCCGACACCGGCAAACACGGAGAAACCACCGTGCTTCTTGGCGACGTTGTTAATCAGTTCCATAATCAGCACTGTTTTACCGACACCGGCACCACCGAACAGACCGATCTTACCACCCTTAGCGTAAGGAGCCAACAAATCGACGACCTTAATACCGGTGACCAGAAGCGCTTCGTCGGTGCGCTGGTCGCTGAAAGACACGGCCTCGCGGTGAATAGACAGACGCTTGGAGTCGGAGATGGGTCCGCAACCGTCCAGGGCGTCACCCGTGACGTTCATGATACGGCCCAGGGTGGCCTCGCCGACGGGCACAGTGATTGGACTACCACTGTCTACAACTTCCTGCCCGCGAGTGAGACCCTCCGTGGCGCTCATTGCGATCGTGCGGGCCACGCCGTTGCCCAGGTGCTGCGCGACCTCCAGACTCAAACGACCCTCCGGGGTCTTCACCCACAACGCGTTAAGGATTGGCGGCGGCGCGCCATCGAACTTGACATCCACAACAGCTCCGATGACTTGCGAGATGCTGCCTTTCTGCAGCAGGCCTGCCGCGGCAGGTTGCGCGGAGAAGGCGCGGCAGCATGGCGACAACGTGCGGCTGAACGAGCGGCCTACACGAGCGCCGAATGACCGCAGCAAAGAACTCATCTTCCCCGAATACCGCTACGGCCAAAGGTCAGAATACACTACGACGCAGCCCACTGGTACACACAGCACGGCCACGGTCGTAGCGCCAGGATACTGCACCCCGAAAAGGAAATACGTCAACGGCAAACAGTGATGCCGCTTTTTTATGACGGATGAAGCCGGAAGATGCGTCACGCCTGCTCTGACTACATATGGGGAGTCTGACGGTGTCCATCGGACACGCGTGATGGAGGCGGCCAGAAAACAAAGCTACAACCAGAACGGATATTATACAGTGCGTGTGACATGACAATCCAGGGGGTTATGCGGCCCGGATGGCCGATAATTTAACCGACAATCGGGAACTTGCGAATCCACTCCGTGACCTTGCGGCGTAGCTCGGCAATGCGCGCGTCGCCAACGGCTCCGGCCTTGAAAGCGTCAAGTTTGGCGCCGTGAACCTCTGAGAAACACATATATACGACGGCTTCCACACTCACCTTGCAGCGATTGAGCGATACGTGTAGCCTCGAGGATGAACTCGGCGATGACAGCCATGTCTTCGGGGGTGGCGCCACGAGATGTCATGGCGGGGCTTCCCAAGCGCACGCCGGAAGGGTTCAACATCGTCGTGTCTCCGGGCACGGTGGCCGTGTTCAGCGTGATATTCGCGGCGTTGCAAACATGCTCAACCTTGTTTCCGTTCACGCCGAAGGGCTTAATGTTCACGATCACGGTGTGGTTGTCGGTACCGCCAGTGACAATCCCGAAGCCGCGTTTCTCGCACTCGGCAGCCAAGGCGCGTGCGTTTTCGACGACCTTCTTCACGTACTCCCTCCACTCAGGGGACATCACCTAACAAACATGTAAAAGTGCCAAAGAAGCAAATGCAATATCGGCATAACAAGCCATGAGATATCATGGTGTTACCGTGTGCACGCAACGGCAGGTGCCGCGATTCAGTTCAGAACATACAACAATTGACAACATTTCGGATCACGGACCACGTCTAACACAGAGCACAGAACAATTTACAGCACGCCACTCGTGATAAAAACGATTGCTTCGCAAACTTACAGTTTTCAGCTGAACGGCCAGACCGGCAATGGTGTTGTTGTGAGGGCCACCCTGCATCGCGGGGAAGACCGCAGCGTTGATCTTGTCGCCAATGGTGGGGTCCCATTTCTTGTTGTAGAAAATCAAACCGGAACGAGGACCCTTCAGCGTTTTGTGGGTAGTCGAAGTTACGACGTGGCAGTATTCGAACGGCGACGGGTGCTCCTCACCGGCAATGATGCCCGCAATGTGAGCGATGTCGGCCATCAGGTAGGCGCCAACGCTGTCGGCGATCTCACGGCATCGCTTGTAGTCCCAGTAACGGGTGTAGCAGGAAGCACCCGCAATGATCAAACGGGGGCAGTATGCCTTCGCAAGCGCCTCGAGCTGGTCGTAGTCCAATAGGCCAGTCTCCTTGTCCACGTCGTACAGCAAGGACGAGTACAGCATCGACGATGCAGAGATCTTTCTCTTTCCGACGTAGAAACCGTGGGTCAAGTGACCACCAGAAGCTAGACGAAGACCCATAATCTTGTCGTGGGGCTCAAGAAGGGCCATGTAGACCTCCATGTTGGCCGGGCTTCCTGACAGGGGCTGTACATTCACTCCCCACTCCTCCTCGTTCAGGTGGAAGGCTTTCAGCGCGCGCTCCATGCACAGGGTTTCCATCTTGTCAATCACTTCACAACCGCCGTAGTAGCGACGTCCAGGGTAACCCTCGGCGTACTTGTTGGTGAAGGCGGAACCGGTGGCCTCCATACATGCAATACTGGCGTAGTTCTGAAGGCAGATGAATGAAGCCGTCAAAACACAGCACAACGCAACTACATATGAATACGTAACCGTAACATCACGCTGCTACAACCCCGAAAGGTGTGGCGAATATTATGCACACATGGATTAGCTTCCACCAAGGTAGACATGTTAGGTGTCACAACCACAGAGACGCATATAATCTCAACCTTCTTCGGAAAAATACAACGCACACAATAACAGTATTTCTAATATATCACGTTGGACCGACAACACACCTCCGATGCAATCAAGTTGATGGAATCTCGCTGACGCTGGCGCTCCTCCTGGAGGAGCTCGTAAATTTCGGGGTCGGCATCCTTCAGCGACAGACGGTCGCCCGGGAGCGCAATTTCGCGTTCTGCAGGCATGGCGAAAGATTTAGCGTTGTTTAAACGGCCAGCGATAGTAACAAATGCCCGGCGATGTGCGTAGCAACAACCCGGCTGCGAGTAGAGAATTAAGCGAAATAATACGCAAAACGCGCCAACTAGAAAAAGCAGTTGACACGCCAATTTTATAAAATGGTTACAACCGACGGGCTGTTAGCTTGAGCGATAAAATACCCAGACATGTGTGGGGTCACGGAAGTGTGTAATGTACGAGGAAGGACATAGAAAAGCGGTTCTGCGACACCTAACCAGCGAGCAAAATCTCATTTAGCACTGCATTATAGCGTCACAGTACATCACATGTGCCGTAGCGGCGGTGTGGTCGGCGACTCTCACACAATAGCGTCACGCAGCTCACTCGCTTCCTTCCCTGCCAGCTTCGCTGGCGATTTCGGCCGCAAGTTCTCTATTTCTTCCGAAGTTCCCATTAAACGGCCTCCACGGTAGTCCTGAACCTGTGGCCAGCAACCGCTGCCTGTAGTCCACTTCAGGAACTCATCGGGGTTGTAGTTTGTCTTAGTCACCGCGGGGCCCACAGTGACCCAACCGTTACGAATAGAGGCGTCGCTGCCGAACAGCTCGATCTTGCGGCGACCCAGGCAGAACCTGTCGATGATGTCGAAAATCTCGTGAGGCTTGGGGTTCAGATTAGTGAGATACGTGTCCATTTGCATCTGCATGTCCTCACCTTCGTCCAGCCGCAGTTCGAGCTCCATGCGCAGCCGCTCGCGCGGGTCGCGATCTTCCGATATAATCACATCAGTGTCCAGGTTGGAGTGCACGAAATAGTCGTCCTCGTTACGACGGACAGGGCCGCGAAGGCCAACCAGACAACGCTCGGTCGTCTTGTGCAGCAGTGCTGGGGGGTAGATGGAATCCAGGTCGCGGATCTTTGTCGTGGTGTCGCCGTACGGGTCAAGGCTGCTCCAATTCGCGTTGGTCTTCAGCCAACAAATGTCCTCGCATTTCCGGAAGCCCCAGTGGCGGAGCGCGTTTCTCGCGTCGTCTAAAGTGTACGAGTCGCACCAAATGAAGCAGAACGACATCGCATCCACGATCTTGTCCACCGGCACGTGCTCTATCAGGTCGTCGAGCGTCCAGCCGAAGTTCTGATTCAGCTCCCGCATTTTGAATGTGCGCCACGGGGGGTTTATGAGAACGACATCGAACAGCACCTTCAGGCTGTCGAAGTCAAACGTTCGCAAGTCGGCGCGTATGTGGCGCGCAGGCGTTGCACGCTTAGTGATGATCTCGCGCTTTAGATTAGACAGGCGGTCTAGTTTCGGGTACTCACCGAACCGCTTACCCTCGCCTACATCCCGAACAAAGTTCTGCGGGCGTTCACCCGTCTCCACGAAACGCTGGTTGTAGTCGTTCTGGATACGTTCTCGACCTCGAGTTGAGATGAACGAGCGCTTTTCACTGCGTTTACTGTCTTGGCGGCCTTCTTCATGGTCCTTGGCGCCGCTAGTGCTGTCGCCGGCGCGGCGGCCGAAGGCCTCGTTCTTGCGGCGGGACCGGCCGCGCTTCTTGACTCCGACCGGAACGGCTCCTGGCATCATAGCTCCGGGAAAGGGGACACCCATTGGGAACGGCGGCATCATCGCGCCTGGCATCATGTTCATCATCATCGGCGCGAACGGCATCACCGGCGGCAAATTGCCGGCTGCGTCCTTCCCGTCGCCGTCCGCCATAAGACAGCCTAGAGACACACAAAACGCCGCTACTAAGGATAAAAAGGAATTGTTCCGCGTAACACGAGTCCGATCGGTCCACTGGACCGCAGCGTGCGATTCCACGGCTAAAAGCAGCCCAAATGGCTAACAAAGCATCGCCATGAATGATTAATTACACCCAAATTATATGCCGATTTTAATATTTAACTTACAATGTGTCTTAGCTGCCAGGAATGGCAACGCTCTGCGGCATTGACCGCCATAACAGAGAAGCGAATGACGCGAAATGTGGCTACTTCCACGGAGGCACGCACACTGGAGGAATGGAACCACTTTCGGCGGTGGCCGCGGCACCGAAGGGGAAGCTTGAGGGGGGCGGAGGCGGAGCCGCCGGGCGCGGGGAGTCGGTGCCAGCGGCCACCCCGTTCATATGCGTAATGTTATTGCTCGATACACTTAAGCCGGTTTGATCGCCACTGTGAGAAGCCGAAGACGAGGCATTAGGTAATGGAGGCACGGGAGCGTCGGATGAATCACTCTGCGGGGTCTCTCCGGAGCTCTGGGTAGGAGCGATTTGGGGCTTGAAGCTCTTGAAAAAGTTCATTAGCGACTGCAGCTCCTTACGGCTCTCAGCCGCCTTGTCATCGCCGCCACTGCTGCCACCCTCCACAGCCGGTGGATTGGACGTCGCTGCTTCAGGCTTCCCACTGGTCGCGGGTTGAGCCTCTTCCTGCCTTGGAGTACCTTCCGACTCACTGACTCTCGAGATCTTAAACAGCCCGTTCCGTTGAGCCTCCTTCATAGCTAGCTTGCGCTTCCGCTCTTTCTCACGCTGCTCAACCATACTGTCCAAAATGTTCAACACGAACGACCCCGGCGCGGCGGCGGGTGCGGGCGCAGGCGCGGGACGGCGCGATGCCGGCGCATCGGCCCGACGCTCAGCAGTAGATATAACTTGTATCTGTCTTGCTTGATTCGGCACAGCCGGAGTAGCCTGCGATGGTGATGTCCTACGAACCTGACGACGTGGATCGGGTTCCACCTTCATGGGTTGGGATGCATCACGGATGGCCTTCCACTTCTTTATCAAGTCCGTGGCCTTAAGCTTCACAGTGTCGTTTTCGCACTCGTAGTCGATGCCCATCTTGACGTTCTTACCGCCGGTGGCAATCCCGTTAATCGGGATTCCGATGCGCGACGTCTGCAACGTGCGGAAAGATATGTCGAGCTTGTTCAGGAGTGCCAAGGCCTTCAGCAGGTAGTTGGTGCTCGAACGCAGTTTCCCGCTGGAAGCCAAGTAGTCCAGAGTAGACTTCAGGTACACCACGCCCTCAAAACGGACGAAGGATTCCAGCGCGGCGGGGAAGGCTTGCAGCAGAATGTCCAGCAAGCAAGTGTTGGCGAACTCGTCGCGCATGTACCGGTGGCAAGCCCACACGAAATTGCTCATAACTATCGGAGAGTTCAGCGCAGCGGCGTTCTCGCGAGCGGTGTAGTAGTACCGCTGGAAAAACTTGTTCTTAGACACGTCACTCGACGGACTCGAGTCGCTCCTCAGACCGTAGTACAGCAGCGCCATCGCGCGAAGAAAAGATTCCACATTTTCCGCAGTCAGAGAAGGCGAGGAGCGTGCCGCAAAGTACCGCTTCAGGCTGTCGGCCAGCTGCGGGCATATGACGAAGCGCGACGCGTGTACCACCCGCCACTCCTCCTGGTACCAGTTGTTCAAGCCTTCCAACACGGAATCACTAAGACCATCAACCTTAGACAGCGTTGCTGCCCGCGAAAATATTCTACCGGCAACGGGACGCAAGCGCGAAGGCGCGACCACCGCGCCGCCGACCTCCACCAAATCGTCCGGCGGCGCCGGTGTAGACAGAGACGTATCGTCCGAAGACATTTTATTTATGAACTCCGACAATGCGTCGGGACTGAAGGCGCAGCGGTCGGCGACAGACGCGGGCCGCGCGCAACGGACACCCCATTTACGCACCAATATTAATGTACTGCGTTACTTAAGGGAGCAGGTGCGCCATACGGCGCTGCCTAAAGGCTGCACATGGCGCTGCTGTGGTTGTTGTCACGGTTATCGCCCTAGCATCGGGTACCGGTGGAGCAGTCTACTGGTGATGATGTTTGGCGACGTACTCTCTGATCTTCTTCGCCACATTCCCCGTCCTGTGGGCAAATCTGGATGCGCTCCTTTTGGCTGCTTCTGTGGCTTTTTTCAGGCCCTTCTTCGCGTACTCAGCTCCCATGCGTGACACGGCCTTTATTACACGGCCGGCTTTCTTGAAGTTGTGGAATTTGCTTGGGGGATCGAACTTGCGGCCAACCAGACGGAGATGTGAGTGGTCGGGAGATTTCGTTGCTACATTTGAGTTCTCCTCCAGGTATGAGTCGGCGAGAGAGGCATCGTCGGCACCATCAGTTTCGTTCAGAGCGGCCATCTCGTCGCTGTCGTTCTTTCCGTTGTTGTCGTCCCCTGCGTCACCTTCTGTAGTTTCAGAGTCGTCGGTGTCGAGTGCTTTTTCAGCGGTGAAATCTGTTTCACCGAGCGTATCCTTGTCGCCATCACCGTTGTCCTCAGCGTCGTCAAGAGGAATGCTCTGCATGGAATCCTCAGTTTGCATACGATCATCCACGGCAGCGGCGGCCTCCTCATCTTCGTCATCCTGCTTTTCGCGCGCCTCATCAGCCTTGTATTTGTTGACGGTGGTGGCGGCAGCTTCCTCCTCTAGCTTTCCCTCGGCCAGAGCATCGACCGGGTATGTTTCGTCGGACCTCGGCACAACGATAGAGTGGTGCCCAGTAGGGTGTGCTCTGGTCGCATGCAAAAGCGCGTGTCTCAGAGTGAGGCAATCCGCGACGCTCGAGAAGGAGATAAGTGACAAAACCAAGGTGGCCAACCCGATGGCACGGGAGAACAACCTGGATCCTGCCCAGCCTCCTTTCCTCATACCAGCCATGGTGAATGACGAAGTAGTAATACGGCCCGCTATTAACCGGGTGAATGTTATGGCAGGGTTAGTCCCGATGCCAATCGAAGCGCGTAAGAATGCGCTAAAAGCGTAAGCACATGCAAAACGCAAATATTACTAGTCTGCTAAAATGCGGAACTAATTCACACACCCACAACAATTACAGCCAAGGTTACTTATTGACTGAACGCTACAGTGTTAGTGCCAGGCACGGCTCAGCCGATCCACTGATTCAGCGCACGACGGTGTTCCGTTGCAGTGGCATGTGTACCAACGGAGCATCGTGGAACCGAGGAAGAGACATCACACATCTTCTTCTCTACAAAGCCGTATTCATGAGGTAGTATGAGTATAGAATACAACTAAGGGTGAAGACATTAAAAAAGCCACGGTTCTGTGTGAAAGCAATCGGCAACACACCAATCATCATTTTCCTGCCACACACTTGACATAAATCGTAACTATATGTACCTCAGACTTGTTAATAGGCATAAATCGGCGAGGAAGGTCGGCAAAACTTAAAGGACGCACCAGCAGATGGGGGATCGCAAGTGCACGCTGCACGGCACTGTATATTTCCAAAATGAGACCACTTGTCTAAACTAGTTTACACGATGCACACCTATCGCAACGGCGGTGATGCGGAGCCTTCCTTTTCTAATGGCGGCTTCGATACTCGTCGCACAGCATCAGTTTGGAACGACCGCCGACGCTTATCGCAATTCTGAGCATAATATGCGCACAGACATCACACGCTCTGCCTATATTATTTCGCCAGGCTCATGTGAACCCAGGAAGACGACGAGAAATGCGCCACTGTTTTCACGAAGACCGCACAAGCTGAAGCTCACGGCAGGCGGCCAATTCAGGATCAAGCCGAAAACAAACAAGTCAGTCGCCAAAAGGTTCAAAATAACGGGAACTGGCAAGATCATGTACAAACGAGCTGGCAGGAGCCACCTTCAGAGGAAGAAGAATCAGGGAGCAAAACGGCGGTTGAGGAGAGCAGTCCAGCTCACAAACCCTAAGATGATTAGAAAGATTCTCAGCGTCCTACACAACAGATGAGCTAATATTTAGTCTCTTTTAGACGTTTGAACAGTAGTCATCCTCCACTGATGGCGGTTTAATCTGCCGTTTTGAGTTAGACACTGCAGTGGTCCGTGCAGCAAAGCCAAGCATAGCTGCGTCGACCACTTGGCACAAAACCGAAATATATACAACACTAGCACGCTGTACAGTACATGTGAAACAGTTCATTAGCAATGTTTATATGCCGGCATGCCAGCTGGAGCTCAGTGCACTTTTGTCCACGCTGTCGTCTTCGCGGCCGAAGTCGACGTGAACGGCCTCCTTCAGATTGGGGTACTCGTTCGCAGCGGGGAACCCGATGTTTAAGCGCTCTGCCAACAGTGATTCGATCTCCAAGGCGGCGGGATCCTCTTCCGGTTCACCGAGGGTAGGGAACTTCGGATTGTGCGAGCTCTTCCACTTCGCGAAGCAATCAGCGACTGCCGACGGCTTGTATGTGCGGGCCATTATGGTGGCTTCGCTGTGGCGGTTGGAACGCTGCAACAGCTCGATGCACTGCGAGACGTTGTTCAGCATGTAGTGGCAGGTGAACGCCACGTTGGAGTCCCCGTCCTTTGTTGCCAACTCTGCGATCTTTGCAATTCCATCCCGGTCACCCATGGCGACGTAAATCAGCATCGCTGACGAATACTCGCAGCAACGCACCAGGCAGTCAACGGCCTTCTCGTAGTCGCCCTGCTCGAGGCAGTAGGTGCCCAGGCGCTTCCACTTGGAGCGCATGTTATCCTCGCGAGACTTCTCCACGTGCTTGGCTTGCAGTTCGTGCAGTACGCGCATGCAGTCGTCCAATCTGCCCAATTTCAGGTAGAGCTCGAAGTGGTGCTCCTGCTCTCCGGAGGTGCTGAGCGCCAACTCGAAGTCACCAACAGACTCCAAGAATTTACTCGCCCGTTCCCTCATACTGCCTTCAAAGCCCGCAATGAGTGCCTCCAACTTCTCCTCGTCTGCGAACTCCCTGCTCTGTGCCAACGCGTCAGCTTTGGACGCAACAAAGGAGTGGAAGCTCAGGTAGTCCACCGGTAACGGGATGGCAACAACATCCTGCTGACATAGGTACAAGCATCCGTTCTGGGCCGAGTAGCCAACCATGTGCAGCGGACGGTCGAGGTAGTGGAAGATTTCGCTGGCGCCTGCCGTCCACAGGTTCAAGTGCAGGCCGGCGGTGATGTACACAAAAGTGTCCATAGCCCATGTCGCGCTGTTCACGCGCTCTATGATCTCGCCTTCAAGTTCAAACGCAGTGGCAACGCCGTTGGACGCATCGTACTCATTGCTTTCGAGGGCAGATGCAAGCGCGTCGCTGTCGTACTTGAGGATGTAGCAATTACCCATACAGCCGAGGGCGACCTTGGTGCCAGTCACATTCCACCAGATGTCCGACACGTGTGCATCAATGGTGCGGACTAGGTAGCCGGTTTTCCAGTCGTAGAACCGGACACTGTTGTTCGATGTAACGCCGAGCAGCCTGCCGCCGTGAAGACCATTCACGGTCACATTGGGCTGTATGGTATGCGTCGGGGCGAACTCATAGTGAACCGTAATGGTGTTACCGTCCCAGGTTGCATAGTGGCCTTCAAACGACCACACCACGTGCATAGCCTTGCCAAAAGTCTTCGAGCGCATGCCCTGCGCTGTGTAGATTACGTACTCCGAATCGCCGCATAAACAAATGAAACGGCCATTCGGATGGTGCGATACAGACTGCGGGAAGAACTCGCAGCGGCCGATGTTGCGGAAGTCAAGGGCCAGCGGCTTGCCCACGCTGTCCTCGTCGACGACAGTGGCGGAACTCAGGTTGCAGCTCACAATGTCAAAAGAATTCACCATCACAAGCTTGTTCGCGTGCATGGACACAAGGGGGCGTTCGCCGCCGAACTGAACCACCAACGTGCCCTCGTCGCTGCCCAGGGCCAAGTTGGTGTTGTCACTCGTGACGCTCCATATCTTACCCATGGAAAAGTTCATGCTCCGCTTAATCTTGTACAAGCTGCTGTGCCACAGATTCAGGTCGCCGTCCTCACCAGCAGTCACGATCAACGGCAACCTAGGGTGATGTAGCACACATGTCACGGGTTGGGTGTGGTGGCTCAGCACCTGCAGACACAACTTTGTCTGGTAATCCCATACCCGAATCGTGGTGTCCTCTCCTCCCGATATGATGTAAGGGTTCGACATGATGGTCGAAAACTCGATGCAGTTCACTCCACGGGTGTGTCCCTTCAGCGTGAATGAGGGCTTCGGTGACGGCTGGTTGCTGTGACGGCGGTCCATAGCATCCGGGGATACGCCCCAAAACTTGATGGTGTGGTCCAGCGAACAAGACGCAAACGTGTACACGTCCTTTGGACTCCACCTCGCCATCATAACGTAGTGCTGGTGGCCCTCGTAGACGCACAAGCGTTCCCAGCCGCGCTCGAAGTCCCACAGTGAAACAGTCATGTCGTCGGAGCAGCTCAGCACGTAAGGCAGCGTAGGGTGGACATCCAGATAGCGCACATAGTCAGTGTGGCCCTCTACTGCGGCTACCTTCTCCAGGGAATTGTAGTTGTACACCCAAATACACATCTCGTCGCCGGCGGCGATCAGCCATTGCTTCCGCGCGATGAACTTGCAGCATCGCACAGGGGAGTTGCACACCTCCAATCGCTTCACCAAGGACTGCTTCTGGAAGTTGTAGATCGTGCAGGTGCCGCTGTACAGGCCGGAAACGACCCAGGGCTCTGAAGGGTGGAGATCGACGCATTTTACTTTCTCTTTGCGGATCTCCAGCTTCTTCACGAAGCCCATTTGGAGCGACATTTTGGAACCACGCAATTAGCCTGGACTAATACCTACTACACCTCGCCACAGATGCGGCCCGAACGGGTGTTCAACGCGCTCCGTGCGTCGGCACCAAGTCCCCAGAGAGCGACGCCCAGCCAGTTAAACACAACACATAAAACTGCTTCAGCTCAACTACACACGACGATAAAAAGATAAAGGGTGTGCAATAAGAGTCACTTAGTAATTCTGTCGGCGTCGCTCCGACTTGTCACGGCCCCTCGGATCGCGTTGGCGCTCTCCAGCATTCCGCCGACGTCCAGTGCGTGCTCATCTGCGACCTTGCTAATCAAGGTGTCCACGTCATGCTGCGGAGCCAAATGGGCGGTGCTTGAGCTGATAGTCTGGTCGGTGTACGCTTCCCTCACTTCCTACAAAAAGGTTATACGAAATCTCGTAGAAATTAGCATGAAACATATATATGCGGTCAAATGCAGTCTTTTTGGCGCTTATAACCTTAGGAGCGGCAAATCCAGCGAGATTTGACGCATAGTTGGCGTCTGTCGAACAGTGACCAGGAACACAGCCCAGTATACTCGACAAAAATTGCAGTGGAAGTGCACTAAAACTTACCAGATCATCGAATACCTTCTCGAATTCTGTGAACAAAGTGGCGCTGTCCATCGAGGTGTTATTGGTCAATTTTGTCAGCTGCGGCAGGGCCTTGCGCAGCTCGGTGGAGACCTGAGACAAAACTTATCATGGCATAGAACAGACGCATGGACCAAATTGAGCGGGGATTTATTGATATCGCGACCGAAAAGCAATCCCACGCGATAGAGACGGGCATAACGGATGACGACACGTATACCATAGCCAGAGTTTAAGTATAAATTGACTTCAATAACGGCACATATGGCATTTACACGCCATCATACGACAACTGATCGACACACAAACTCACCGTGTTCGATCTCTCTGCCGTTTCAACCTGGTGGCGCAGAATCTCGAGTTTGGCATGGTACTGCAGATATCGCAGTGCTTCGTTATGCTTGCGGATCGAATTCGCGGCATGGATTCGCGCAGCGTCGATGTTACCCTTTTCTAGAGCATATTTTACCTTCGACTTCTCAGATTCCTCCTCGCGCTCACACTGAGCGTGGAGCTTAAGCTGAACGTCACAGTAATAAAAGGCAATAAGACACACACATGGTCACACATACACGTTACAGATGAACACAACAAAGCAACGCGTTGACACAAGCCTGATTTGTCGTATCTTACCACTTCTCTGGCCTGCAGACGAAGGTTGAAGCTCGTCGACATCAACGAGTGGTTGTTACCCATTTGGGAACACCAAAGGTCCCGGCAGACACCGAGAAACGATGGATATAATAGCTTTACATCGCAAGGTGTATCGATGTGGTTAATTGCGAGCGCTTAATCCACCGATATCGCGGGTATCGGGGACTAGCGGCGTCGTGCCTGCAACGGCGCAGCAAGCGACATCAAAATTGTCCAGATGTGTAACACATACGTCGTAATAGGGATAGAAGGAAGGTAATAAATGGCGCTGGCCACGCTGCCGGCGAGAATCGCTCTCTCGGCGTACGCAAGGTATCTGTCATTTGCCCAGTACAGACACAGATGTGTCAACGCCATCGCAATACATCGATGTTGGAAAGCCGATAGCAGGCTAACAAGCGATAATCCGCGTGTTAAAAGACGAGAGAGCCAAAAACGGAGCTCCGATGCGAAGACCGATGCAGATACAAAGCGACGGGATATCACAGTCCCGCCTAATCCCCCTAAAAGCGTATCACAGGCCAAATCTGCATCAATCGCATATGAAACCTATTGGGAGGAAAGTAGCATTCGGGAACTAGAAGCTAAGCATCCAGAATTGGTAGTTCGGGGCACTGTTGTGATCCCGGCCTTCGCCACCAATGAAGCCAAGGTTGTTAGATACACGAAAATAACCAACAGTGATGGCGATTTGGATCCAAATCTAAATTCAACTTCTGCGGATAGTGATTCCTCAAGTAGTGGCGATGCGAAAAGGCAGCGCGTTGACAACTTGCATCGCTCTTGCGAAGATGGTGGGCATGCAGCCATTTCAGAGTCGCAAGACAACCCGCCGGACGCGTGTAATGCAACTGGCGCTGTAGACCATCCTCCCGATGATGTTGGAACTGGGAATGCGGCAGACACTGCTGACGTTCGCATTTTCGGATTCATTGCGCGAAACAGGGCATTTCATGGCGATGAAGTGGTGGCCTTACGTCAACGGCGTCTCAGGCAACAACCAACTGCCCATGATGATACTCAGCCTATAGAACAACAATGCAGAGTTGTGAGAATCGTCAAGAGATCTCCAGCTCTGGAAAGCTTTGTGGGAGTGATGGACGCCAATGCTTGTCTCAATGCAACCAACGCGACGTTCAAGTGCCAGCCACAGGACACAAGGTGGCCGGCGTTTAACGTCAGTAGGGATCAAATGGATCCAGAAATGTTGGAACAGGTACATCAACTACGTGAAAAGGGCAAGATTTTCTGCCTGATGCAGTTTAACGAGTGGCAGGAAAACAGTATGGAACCAAGCGGCAGGGTGGTGAGGATTATAGGAAACACCACGGACCCCTCAGCAAGGATGGAGGCGACCATGATATTCCATGGGCTAAACCCGAGTGGCTTTTCCGACAATGTTCTCGAAAATTTAAGAGAACTGATAAAAAGCGGCGAGGGGATGAAGGAAGAAAATCGAGTTGATAAACGTGACGTAACAGTCTTTACAATTGACCCTCAAGATGCCAAGGATCTAGATGACGCCCTTTCCGTTGAAACTGTAAGGGATAAAAAGGGAAACTACACGTATAAAATCGGTGTACACATTGCAGACGTAAGTCACTATGTCAAGGAAGGCTCAGCCGTCGACATGGATGCTAGACAAAGGGCTACTTCAGTGTACCTGGAACACAAGGTTTTCCCTATGCTGCCGCAAATTCTGAGTGAAAATATGTGTTCGCTCCTGCCTCACAGCGAAAAGCTGTGCTTCTCCATGTTTGCAGAACTTTCGGAGGACCCCAATAGCGGCGAAATGGTTGGCAACAATCTTTATATTCGTAATCAGGAATTCATTTTGACTCGAATCATCAGCTGTGAAAGATTGAGCTATCAAACTGCTAAAGAAATAATCGACAGTCAAATACGAAATAAGGCCTCCGCCACCGATGCAAACCTGGGGTCGATGACTATCGCTCAGTTCCAAAAAAGTTACATCGAGGGCAAAGCACTCAATGATATTTCGGTGGTCAGTGATGACCTGGCCATCAACGGTGACGAGGCACAAGTAGACTGCCGTGACGATAACAGTCAGGAGTCGCCGCAGGCATGTGTCACCCCAAATAGCCTCTCGAACATCAACAGAGATGTGTTCAAACCGTTGATGACGCTTTACTTTATATCGAGGAAGCTTAGGCATTTTAGGCTCAAGCAGCGGGGGGCGGTCATGGTGGACACCAATGGCAGTTGCAAGTGTCACATACCCAAGGTGGGAGAAAACACGGGGAGACTGTGGGTGGAACAAATACCAAAAGAAAGCCACGAATTGGTGGAGGAGATGATGTTACTTGCCAACACGCAGGCAGCCCAGTTGCTGGCCAAAAGTTTTGATAACTATTTCCTGAGGGTGCACGAGAACACCTCAAGGGCCATTAAACAACTGGTGGTATCAGTGATGCCGCAGGATCTTAAAAGCGTATTAAATCCTGAGATATTGCCCATACCAGAGCTGCTGAGGAAGTGCGCCAAGCACATGGAACCCACTGCCTTCCAATCGCTAAGCTTTGCTGCCTTGCAGCAATTCAAAGAAGCCGTATACTCCCCCGTTAACAAAGATGGCACAACGACGCAAGGCGTCACCGGTCACTGGGGTTTAGCTTTACCGATGTACCTCCACTTCACCTCTCCAATCAGGCGGTATTCAGACCTTTATACCCACCGAATGCTAAAAACGGTGATTGACGGAACGTACACCGAACAATCGCTAAAGGTCCTAGATGAGATATGCAAACAATGCAACCTGCAGAAGCGAAAGGCATTCGACGTGCAAAAGGAATACAAGAATTTTGCATTCAACCAATATCTCCAGTGGGCATGTACAAGCGAGGGTACCGCACCGCCGTACGCTGCGACCGACTCAATGTTTGCGAGGGCTTTCCCGCCGGACGGCAGTGATGTCTGGGGCATGCTGTATGACCAGGCTTGCGTCTTTTCCATTGTGATAAATGATGCAACGAGTGAAGATGCCAAGAAAAAAACGAGCATTGTCTTCTACATACCCCTACTTAACGAGCAGCGCAGCGTGAGCTGTGACTCACTCAATGTTACGCCCATAGAGGCGGTTGTTTGCGGTGAGACTGTAAATCTAGAAGCCACCCAAAACACTGGGGACTCAGACAGTATGGTGGACGGCTACTTCAAGGAGGTACAGAATGCGGGAACGGAGCGAAAGGTTGATGATGCACGGGTGGAAAGCCTGACGGTTCTTAAGGGCGATTACAAAGTGAGAATGGCACAGTACGACAAGGTTCAAGTGGTGCTAGTCCCCGGATCCGCAATGTGGACTGTACGCTTGCCCCGTGACCAACCAGGCGGCGCTTAAGTGACAGCAAAGCAACAGAAAGTAGCGCAACAAACCTAAAGCCTAACTGATAGTAATCCATCACACATGTTACTTAAGTGAACTTATGGAGCATTGAACCCACATTCTGCCGCCGAAGCGCGCTATTCGAACCAGGCGCCAGGGCAACATCTCGAGAAATCGCCACTCACGACGAGCGTACTCCATCCCACATCGATCACGGCGGTTATTTCCACAAAACAGAGCGGCACTGTGAATACGGCGAAGTACATTTTGACGAGGATGAGGACGCTCGCCCGGCGGCAATCAAAATGAGGAGAGGGAGGATTCCTCAGCGTACTGTACACCAGTACGAGCTATCACGTCCATCTACACGACACGTTAATACCACACAGCAGAACGCTCAATTATCTATGCTAAGTCACCACAGACTGACCGCGGTCCTGAGGCAATCGCCGCACTCACGACGGAACCGGAGGCAATGCCGCCGCATGATACACAAAAACGTTTTTAATAATTATGAATGGCGCACACAAACGAATGACGATGTTGTGACGTGGGAAGACAACGCCTCCTCACCGAAGACGGGAGGAGCGCAACCTTTCCCCGCAGCTCCACAAAAAAAATTGGACCCATGTTGCTACGATGTTGTGGAATTTGTGAAATAAATCAAATTGCGAAACACGCCCATAGCGTAAAGGATTTCGGCTGCCAAACCGATCTTACACGGCTTGACGCGCCACATCTATACACCCATTTCACCGTCTGCGCTGCCTTCCATATTACAGAGAATTAAATTACCTGCATTGACGCATTTTTCGTCGCTTTTAGGGACTTTCCCGCGGGATCGGGACCATGCACGCCACATTATGAGATCTACGTACAACATGTCTGTATTGTTGCATGCTGCATAGGCTCGTGGAAGGCGGGGAGGCGATCATCCTTCTACGTGTGTCTGTTTGTTGGCGTCTGCGTGGTCCGTGTCTTGTACACTATTTTACCATTTTTTTGGCATAGTAGTCGGCGCTGCGTCGAGAGCTTTGCCCGTGTCTACTGGTCGTGATTTGCGGCATTTCTCTTCCCGTATTTTGCGACGCGTGTTTTGCGTTGTGACACCGATCTAATTGGTTTCATAGTTATTTAAAATTTGTCAGGATGCAGCACGAATGCTTGTTGATCCCCCCTACCAACTTCAAGGAGGCCGTGGACTGGCTCGAGGCCGTCCGCTCCACCGCTGGTATTAAGCCGCTGGGTGAGGCCGTTTACGCCCTCCTTCGCGAAACCGCAGTGAGCAATGTGAAGTTTGACTCCTTCACCACCATCAAGTCCCACGTCCGCAACTTCCTGAGGTTTGATGGTTTCACTGGCTTCCCTTCATTCAGGGTCATGCTTGACAGTGTGACCGGTTACCCCTCACCTATGCACGCCATCTGCCTTAACGGCGACAAGCACGACCCAGAGGCTGTTAAGATGAATGTTAAGGGCTTCTGTGATGCTACCGAGTTCAACTCTGTCCAGTACGAGGACGTACACCGTGTGGTATACGAAACCATTCAGACCGCCCACTACCTGGTTGACGGTATCAAGAAGACCGAGACTTACGAGGAAACCTACGTTAGCAAGCCCCTGTGGGATGTATCTTGCAAGGAAAACCCTCAGAAGTGCGCTACCATGTTCATTGGTATTATTCCCATGATATACCCTACGCTGTACGAGTTGTACCAGTACACTCAGAAGTACTACAACTTTGATCTGCACATCAAGACCAAGAAGAATGACACCCTCGGTTGGCTGTTTGAGGGTAGCGGTTTCACCTTCTACAAGGACCTTAAGGGCAAGGTGACCGCTGAGGACATTGAAATCTTGATTCCGTACGTCGACAGGGACTACCTCAAGAAGTTGTACTACATGTGTGGTTTCTGGAAGTTCTACCCTCAGTCCCACGTCTACCCGCAGGCTCACCCTATTGGTGACGGAAAGGAACACACCGTCGGCGAGAACCACGACCCATACGAGAGGAAGTACAGGGCTCGCAGGATGAGGAGGTAGATTAACATGGGCTCAATACTGCCTTCACATTAGGATATTGATTGCGGCGGAGGTGAACGCTTTAAAAGATGCTTCCACCCCGGTCATATGAACGTGGCGAGTCACCGCGTGACACGTATTGTTTTAATTGAAAATGAACTGAGGCTTTCCGTATTACTTCTCCTTACGGGATGTCCTTTAATGCAGTGATGGATGAAAATTCGATCTCTACGCATAAGGGAACGCTCTGTCTAGGGTACCCTTCAGAAGCTGTCTTGGTGCATCTGACCTGCCGTAATCTAACGAAGCATATTGGGTTATTCCCATTATTTTTCGTGCGATACGGTTATTCAGTATGCAGACGCTAGTAGCGATATAAGCCAAGGCAGTAAGATGTCTCTTAGATTCATTATCGCCCGGAATTACTGACCTGAATATTTCACGTCAACCAGGCATGCGGTTGGACCGCTTTAACGATAACTTTTATTAACATGTTAGGTGGTTGCTGTGTAATTGCGTGTAGTTCTATTAGTTGCGAACTTAACTGGTGGTTCGCTTTTATTTTTTGTCTACGCGTGGTCGGTGCTAGTACGGCGTGCCGCGCCGTAGCTTGGCGAATATGCGTGGTCTATTTTGTTTGAATCTGGCTTCTGCCGAGGGCGGTGCTTATGGATTCTGGGCTGGCGTGTCATTCCGTTCTGCAGTTGCATGTCCTCGGTAACGTTCCTGGCGTTACGTTGGCCAACGTGGCGAATAGTTGATCCAGAGTTGTCTTGATTTCCATGATTGTAAATGATACTTATTTCGAATGAAATCGTTGTATAAGTGAACGAACACTATCCAAACTCCGCGTCACTATACGTTCCAATTGGAGGAGAACATGGTATGGAGTGTCAGTCTGAGATTTTATAGCAAGATTGAATGATGTGAGCAACGGTAATTCCTGAAGGTAACTAAACTACGTGACATGGCAGTCATTACCAAATTATTGCCGGCTTTGACATGGCAGCCAGATCTACACCGTTAATGTGACATACAGCATCCAGAACGCATGTCATTGGCGTAGGCTCTTTTCAGCCACAATGGCGGATACCGTACCTTATGATATTAGTAGATTTGGAACGACACATAGAAGTTCAAAATGTTACCACGGGTTGTTAGTAGTAGATTAGAGGGTCGACCTGCTCCCTTGGTTAACACGGAGGACAATGTCCCAGATTCACTCATTGCCTAGTCGCTCACCTAATAACTAGCACGTCATTCATTCACCTACACAATTGTTAGTGTCGCGACCAATAAGGTGCTTTTCAGCCCCTGACACAGGATGCCACCCACCCAACTCCACTGGTACCATAAGATGACGTCATTGTCTCTTCATATGCGGCCACGACAACACCAACTAAACATTAATCGAGAAATGAACGTGTAGACTACATTTACATGAGAGTCTTACGACAGCAAGATTCTGCGTGGGCTTTGTGAAGCCACAATACGCCTTCTGATTGGAAGCTGGAGTATTTCTCCATCTTCTCGAGAGTCCCTCGGCGTTTCCGCCGTCGCCCGTGTCTTATAACATCCTGCATTGCAGGTGGATTTACAACTCATCTTATGAGTCGCTTCCCGCGCTTTGTCAGGAGGCATTCCAGACAACTACGTTGATGTGAAGAAAATAGTCGCAGCAGTGATGTACATACCACGCATAATCTTCAGCCGACTTTGCATTGGTTCCTCTCCGCTTTCACCGATGAGGTCGCCGTCGCAACTCTGTTCTGCATTTTGCACAAAACAACTACACCAGTCACGAAGTGCACAACTACATTTACAGCTACAATTAAACGTGTAAGTCGTATCACTTTTGCATTTCATCGCAGCAAAGGCAATCGGCCTCACAGCACATGTCGCCTAACATACAAAATATATCTGTGCACAATACACAGTCTTCGCCTTCTCTCGAAACGCTTGAGTGATCCGAACAAGGTCGACCAGGCTTCCAAGACGAAGATGGGTGACGAAAGCCAGTCGCCATGTCACGTCAACTGAAATCGACGTGACCTACAAGCCTGTGACAATAGTAATGCATCGCCATCCATAAACTCACCGGCGCGGTAGAAGCTCTGCTTCAAGAAGTCTCAGCGCCTGCGACAGGTGGGCATGTGACGATGCGCCCCAACACGGGCATGGTTAACGCAAAGCCACGCCCTTGCACTGCGCATTGATAATATATTTGTGGTACACAGCAGGGGTGACTGCCGAATTCCAACTTCATTTATAACGTGGATAGGACAGCGAATACTCTTCAGTCAAGTGAATTAAAGCACTTCTGCAGACCATGATTGCTTGTCGACTGTGGCTTCGCTTACACATGCCTCCAACATTGGACGCATCACAAGTACCCGAAGATATGAATATAAGTAACCGCCTTGTCACCCGTGTGCTTAACATCGTTGAGCACCGATTGTGTGCCAAGGTTGCTGATGCTCAAAACGCGGGTAGCTTGGAAGATTCATTTGCGAAAACTCCTTGGCGTTATTCGCAAAAAGTCTCGTACACCTCCTGGTGCCACCATATCATCGTCTGTCCTGCTCAGGGCTCTATCAGAGTCCACTGGAACTTCAATTCCCATTGCGTCCTGTGGCACTGCCAACTCCCTTGCTTTTATCTCTTCTTCTGTCACAAACCTTTCCCCTAAAGTTCCCTTACTATACACCCTTTCTGCCCTTTTTTCCCTTTCTTTCTTGTTTTCCTGTTCAACAACCTCCTTATCCTCCTTGTATGTGCCAAACAATGCTCCATAGCAAGCGATGTTGAGCAATGAGCCTATCACGATGATGTACATGGTCGACCTCCTCAGGGCCTCGGTGTTTCTATCTTTCAGACCGTCGTCCATGGCTTCGAGTGGTTGCTTGGATGGCACGTATCCGTGCAGCTTCTCTGACACCCACGCGAAAATCTCGACGAAGCTGACGCTAATCGAGATGCCGGATATGCACTGGATTATAGCCGATGCGGTGGCCTGGTACTTTTCCTCTATCGCTTTCTTCATAATAGGCCTATCCACGCCGCCAACCGTAACCAACGTTGCGCCCATAATCGCAAACTCTATGTAGTGGTACCAATGCAAACGTCCGTCTGGTGCGGGGGAGATGAAGAACAAGAGGCACACTATTAATCGGACGCCCATCACTACGATGCCGGCAATCAGCTCACCATACTCCTTATGCAAGTTCGTAATTTTGTCTATAACTATTCCTCCGGCCGCAGTTCCTGCTGCGCCGCCGATCGTCGTGACCACAATCGCAACGCCCACCTTCAGGTCAGACACACCCAAATACTCCAGGTACGTGATCATGTACGGAAGCGTGCACATCGGAGCCTCCGCGATCAACATCGTAAAGATAGACAAAAATGCTGACCAATTCGAAAAAACCGCTTTAAAGGCCCCGGATATCTGGTTGATGAATTCGGTCATGGATTGATAGGGAGAGGTGTGTACCGGATTTGTTTTAATTGCAAATATAATCCCTATGCCAACCGAAATCCACACATAACCCAACACAACGTACGATACGCGCCAGCCAATATATCCCAGCAAGATGTTCTGGGCAGCCTCTGTAGTCAAGACGGCGCACAGCATGCGGCCGATGGTATTAAGAGCGTGAAGTCGGGTGAATGTGCTGCTGTTCTGCTCGTCATCTGAATCCGAGATCATTTTCTGCTGAACTGGGTACACGCAACCGAACGCGGCGCCGTGTAAGAAGCGCAAGAAGAGGATCTGCAGGTGCGTCAACAATGCAACACTTCAAACCTACCGCCGAGTAGTGCGACGTCCAGCTGAGCAAAATCGAGGCGATGCCCATGAACAACAACCCCGCAGCCAACACCAGATTAGTCTCGAAGGCGTCCGCCAGCAACCCCCAAACCAGTGAGCAGCACAGGCGCGACATGATGGACACAGTCATCAGCATCGTCAGCTGCCGCTTGGAGAAACCCAACGTCGACTCGAACGCCCTCATGCACATGTACAACACCTGCTGCTCGTAACCCTCAGTGAAAGACACCAGGTGGTACAAGACCTGACCGAAGACGCCATAGTCCGCATTTTGTTTCTCTCCCTTAAAGTTTGAGGTTTTCTCGGCGGGTCTCCCAGCAGCCCCCTTTACAGGCTTCCCAGCAGCCCCGTCCCCCGACATTGTGACGAAGCCGTCTCTGCTATTCCCATTAAAGAACTGTCCCAGTCAACTACTTGAGAAGCATAGTATGTTCGACGTCAAAGCGACGCAATAAATCCAATTACGCGAACTGTCTTGAATTACTGAATCAGACATTACACACGCGGCCGTCAAACCGTGATTTAGGTGCCGCTTAGCGTCCCTGAAATGGTATAACCACAAAATAGCCGCGTATGTCGCTGCACCGGAACCACTCCCCCAAAGAGGGAAGGGCAAGGCGTCGCACCGAACGCAAGCTGCCTAAACCTGCGGAGTCCAAATGGCAACTCGGCAGCAGAAATTGCCAATTCCGACACCAAATCCGGGACCTTGCCGACGCAGACGGCGCTTCTGACGACCCCGAGTAGGAATGTGTACCTGAAGGTGTAGGTGTGTGCCACTCTGTGCAGTCTGCAGCAGTAGACACGGGGCTGGATATCTACACATCAGCACTCATACCTAATAACAGTCTTTTCCGTATTAATAAAATTATATGGAACATATCTGTTAGAGTTTTGAGCAAGTTAGTGCCAACCATGCATAATCTGCCGTGGCAGCGCCCAGAGGTGCCACTGACCTTCTGGTCACTGAGGCCGTTCCGATAACACGGGCACCAATAACAGACGCTACTCACGTAGAGTAAGGAAGTAAGAGTTGGCATATGTCGTGCAGTGAGCGTATCTGAATGCCTAACGTAATGAGCCTCACCGAACCATGTCTACAATGGTCGCATTAGGTCTCTATGCCGTGTTAGGCGGCGATGCGTAGCCCCTACTATATGTATACTAAGCAGCGATTGCCTGAAAGTTCTCAGGGCAAGGAAAAAGTTAGTCTATTTCGTGGACAACCTTATGAGCATAGACTCCCTGGAATGCCCAGAATATAACAATACGATACATAGAACCAAGGTTTTATCGCCATTGATTGTGGCATACAGTGCAGCCACTGCTGGATCCACATATTGAGTCTTTGCACTGACCAAGTGCTTGAATAAGGATAGTGCCGTGTTAAATGCGATGCGGCACTGTGTGACGTTAGGAGAGATTTTTGCTGCCAAGGCCGGCGTATGTGGAGGAGTACCCCGTCCACTCGGAGAACAATTGGCCTATGGTGTAAGCCGATGACTTCGTCTTATAGAGGTAAACCGCAAAGCCGAATAATATTGCGAAGACTATGAAGGCAACGACGAAAAGGATTATTGGCGTGATATTTGACTTCTGGTGCCCCTTACAACGTTCACATGGACAAACAATTTTCACATTTGCAGCTGCTGTGGCTGCAGGGTGTTCTTGAACATCGCCACGTCGTCTCCCCCTCACTTAACAACATGCCTGCATGGCTATAAACAGCGTGCCTCAAGCGTCTAACACTGAGAAGCAAAGATATAGAATTCCCACACCTAATCAATAACATGTCATCTACTCACCTAATGGATGATTCACCAACATGCTCATCGCTCAACATACGCTTCAGATCGGTGTCCAAGTTATGGACACATCAAATTAGATTATCTCCTAGTTTGTAGTTAGGTTGGATGGAGATGGGCGGGCCTGCCGAGATTACCGAGACAAATCTTGGCGAGCAGTGACTGATTGGCAATCTTGTGGGATGCCGACATCCTGAGGTGCGCACATGATGCCCTGATACGACGTAATTCACGAACGCGTTCACCGGGCACCTGCCGATGCACGATTGTGAAAAATTATGTAAGACGTTATCAGATTGGCGTTGTGCCATTACTGTCTAGTACAATGCGATAAGTGCGATTATAATAAATGCGGGAAGTGGTTAAAGGATGCGATACAAAACGTTCACTTGCGGCAGAAAAAATCGCGGACCTTGTGGAACGGCCGAATGCTAAAGATGATCATGACGCATACGACGATGAGGATGATGAAGATGACGATGGCACAACATATTCCGATTCTGCGGGGTGCACAACGTTGACATTTACACGAGCAGTCTAAATATTGACATTCTTTACAATTGTTGTCACAGTTCTGATAGTCTTGTTGCCTACACTTACAATGTCTGTCATCTATCGTCTCCATTGCCATCTTCCTACAGCTAACTTCTCATTAACTTGCACACGCATGAACTGCGTAACTCCAGCCCCGAACGCCCCGCCGCCACTCGTCATCAACCTGCACAGCGATGAAACACGTCCCCAGGCTGTAGCAGATGGGATATGCGAAGCCTTGGTTACCGCATCGATAATATATGGCAGTGTGTCTCTCTTAGCGTTTGATGTGTAAAATTGTGAACGAAATAGTTTTATTATCAGTAGCCGGTGTTGAACATGCATGGCACTATGACTACGCATAGGACTTCACCAATTATATTATGCTTCCAACGCAAAATGTTATTCATTTCAAATGATATTTAGTTTCATTATGTTTCTGATTAAAACTACAAAATTTAAGTTGCACAAGCATACATCTCTATATCTTGCGAGTGGCGCGAGGTAAAGATTATACAAGATGGATGAGGTAACGAACATAATTTCTGTGCTAACTATTGCAATGATGTGAGCAATAATCCGAGGCGTAATCACAATTCCGTGTTGCCAGCTGGTAGAAAGGCCCCAAATACGTCTCTCAGGGGGCACAAAATAAAATGCCCCAGTTAACGTCAGCATTTAAAACTAGTTGCGAAGGTTGTTTTCTCCTATAAACAACTGAATGGATATCATTTAATACCGGACACTTCGAAATAACTATCATGTATTACGCTTAAAGGGTCATTTAAAAATTGATTTCTCATCCGAAGCATTTCGCCGCACATCTCAACCAGGCTTGGTCTGTTTCAAATAGCGCAGATTGATGGCATCGCTGTCTCCTAATATGTTACAAAGCGTTAAATAAGAGACGGATTATAGGGTTGATAAATTATTTTTTAAGGTTTCTCTTCTAATCCTTGTGTGATGTTTCCCGAATCGAGGCATTACCATCGCCGGTGCAAAATTGTAAACAGGAGGGTGCAAATGTCGCACGACTGCCCATCCGGTGACATACAAAGCCTCATTCTCCGCTGCCGTCATCAGCTTAACAGCTCGTCATCATTCGCAATATGGGTTTCCCCACAAGCTGTAATGACAGCATTGATTGATGTAATGTTCACTCTAGATTGTCACCCTGGATAGTTCCAACGCATCTCTCATTTGCGCTATTGTGATTGTTAGATTAACCGTTCTCCACTTATACTGAATTGTGTCTCACGTTCTTAAGTTGGGAAATACTGACTTGGCGCCGCCGTCTATCACTGCACAGTGCAGCTGGTATGCAATACCAATATCATGATGACAAAAGTGCCCGCAGCGCTCCCACGCAACTTCTAATGGTCTTAAATTTGATAAAGACATAGCAATGTGCAGATTACCAAGCCTGTAACACTCAAAAGTTAACTTTGACCCCAGACGGGCACCCGTCACCCTCTAATGGTGGTACGAGTATCAGGGTCAGCAGTTGCGACATGTTGCGTTGACATCACCGTTGTGAACGACTTCAATTGCGTATCGCTATGATTCAAATAAGGTTTTGCTGGAATGTCGTGAGACATAACATTGATTCATAGTCAATAGAGGAGATTACCAGAGTGCCATATGAAGTAGGCTACAACAGGGTGAGACGTAAGGTTCACTTTGCGACGAGGTACGCACATCTGTAAAACGATGGCATCCCACCATGTCAATGGAGAGTGAAGGTGAGTGTCCATTTCCTCAGGCATGTGATGGGCGCCATCATAGATGAACTACTTGGTCGTCTGTTAAGTGAGTGGTTGACACGTCAGTTATCGTGTGCGATTCTAGGCAATGAATTTCGCTGGAACTCGCCGAAGCAATTGCCAGTGCACGGCCTGGTAGAGTGGCATTTGTGGACAGCATCGTTGCGATCACTAACATAATAGACACGCATCGTAGCTCAGCTACGCGGTCATTAGTGCACCAATATAGTGGCAAGTATGCAATACGTCTTATGCCCGCAATTCAAAGTGAAGAGCGTGCATCGCAACTGCATGTCCATTGTGGTATCCCTGGTTACGGATCGGTGGCGATTAGCTGGGCTTTTCCGGTGACAGCTTTGAGGACCTACTCTTCGGGGCTTGAGGTACGTTCTTCATGGTTGTGCAGGTTAACGACAAGGAAGGGAGTGAAAGATGGCGGATGACTGTCGATGTGGTTCGACATGTGCATACTTGGATTGTCAGTGCTGTCGCTGGTGCTGTGAAGGATATAAGAGTGAGAGTTGCGCACAATGTGTCCTGGCAAAGCCACTCGGCGGAAGCAAACATCAATGTTTGACTGAAAATTGCAGGATCGATTGTATAGATTCGCTAAAATGTACTTGTACATGTAAAAGTAAACGTAGAGCTATTTCCACCAGTGCCCTTCACTCCACCGCTGCCAATAATTCCACCAGTGTCATCCCTTCCATCGTCATTGTTATCATAATAGTAATCATCGTATGCGTCATGAGCGCCTTTCGCATTCGGCCGTTCCACAAGGTCCGCGATTTTTTCTGCCGCAAGTGAACGTTTTGTATCGCATTCTTTAGTCACGCCCGGCACTTAGCATGATCGCATTTATCGCACAGGTTTAAGACAGTAATGGTGCAACGCCAACGTAATAACGTCTTATTTATTTTTTGAATATTGTGCATAGGCAGGTGCCCGGTGAACGCGTTCGTGAATTACGTCGTATCAGGGCATCATGTGCGCACCTCAGGATGTCGGCACCGCTCAAGATCGCGGAGTAAACGTATGACGACGCATTGGGCGACGCTCGGCAAAATAACATAAGTAGCAACCTATTGCCTAACGAGCTATGTGCCAACAATAGACTCGAAGCATTGAGACGCTTATTCTAAATGTGCAGTTTAGCGTTACTTGTGATACTTGTCTACGCCATCTAATGTGCCAGTGTACTGTACCAGCCGGGTGGTTGGCCATAAACCCAGGCAGCTCACAACTGCCGTGCTATAGGAAAGTGAGCCGTCTATTAGGTAATCCTATGGCATCTAGTGACGTCTGTAACCGTGTAAATACGGTTACTGATTACTGATGGGCGTTCCTGCGGGCGATGCCTGGACGCCGTTGTGACAACCACGGGACACCTTGGCCGTATAATATGCTACTCGTAACCCATCGTAATATCTCAAAGCCAATAGCGTCGCTGTAGATCCACTAATATCGCAACTTCGTAATACGCCACTCCTGTCTGAAAAGAGCCTACGCCAATGACATGCGTGCTGCATGTGCCGTTGATTGTGTAGATCTGGATGTTGTCCGCTGTTAATCCAGCATCGCAACTGCATCACTTGCCTATTGTGTGGAGTCTGGACTTCATGTTCTGATAAGGGGTCTACATATTAGAAGGCCACAGCGCTGTTGTTGATCTGCTATTAAGACACAGCTATTTGCGCATCGGCTTGTAAATATACTCTAAATTCCGACGATTTTACAATCGCATAGTTTAACAACTCATTACAAAATGGCCTACACTTCGTTGACTGACGTTCCTCACAACCTCAAGGAGGGTATTGACTGGTTGATAGCGCTGAGGGGAACTGACGCTGAAAAGAACTTGAAGGCTATGGGCGAGGCACTTTACAAATTCCTCGCAGACAAGCCTATTGGCAAGACACAGGTGCCAGCTCTCGAGAAGATTAAACATATTTCTAAGCAGTTCATTGCGAACCCGGAGCTTAAGGAGATGTGGCCCGCCAACGAGCTGTTGAGGAGATTTAAGGGGCCTATGAGTAAGAAAGGACCCGGTTGTCTCGCTAGCTGCTTTGGAGCTTCACTCGAAAGCGACTATAAGAACGTCGTGCGGACCAAGGGTCTCACTGCTGAAACTATCGCAAAGAAATTACGTAAACTCGTGAATGGCTGTGAGAAGTTCTTAGAAAAGATAAAAAGTCCTGACCAGTACAAGCCTTCTTACACTTCAGAAGCTACGTGGGACGTGTCGTGCTCAAACAACCCGGAGGCCTGCGCAGTGGTCCTGGTGGGGATCGCGCCAATGCTATACACGGGTTTACGTTGTTTGCGCGAGGCAAGTCATGATGATACCTTGCCGGTGTCACCGTTTGCGCCGTGTACTATCCTCGGAAATGTATTGAAAGCTGTGGGTTACGAGAGGTCGGAATGCTGCGCTAAAATTAGTGGTTCTTATGTCTTCAAGGCGTTGGGCAATGTGAAATTCCAAATGTTGGTGACGCTATACGACCTCGCTGGATTCTGGGCTTTCTATTGAGTGGTTATCGCAGGTGCATTTTCAGAGCAGCTGGACAAACGACGATTATGAGTCCCGATCACCAGCGGGCTGACATTCGAACTCTCACGAAACATTCATACATTATGAGATGCAGTTATCGCCATTATGATGTACATAATCTCTATCAACTGCACTGTCTATGGAAAAAAAGCCAAAGGCGGTTCTCAGCGTCTGCTTAATTACATTAATGCCACATTGACGTCGATTGGTGGCATGGCAGTTTAGGAATGCGGGCTTCTGCCGAGTGCAAGGCGTGTTGACACCTATACCTGGTATCACTCAACAAAATAATCTTTTAAGGTAGTACCTCTCCTGAACATACATCCCATAACTTAGCTCCACCATGGTGACGTATGGTACCCTTTATTGTTGCCGGTTGCCCATATGTAGCTCTTATGAATCGCCTATTATGCCCCGCGAGGCGGAGTCGGACGGCATCCTCGGCGTCAACCATGTCTCCAATGCACAGCCACCAGTGGTGGACACGAACGGAAATCGTGACAACGTCGTTGTGCTTCTACCAATCATCTTCATTTTGTGGGGTATGTTTACTGACATATTCCGTACGATGATGATTACAATGCGTGCTGCCTTTGCCATCTCGCCTAGGACGGCTCATCCACGTATAATCTTGTCGGTGACGGAATCCCCGAGGAAATCGACATTGACAAATACTCCCTCTTCCTGTATAAAGACACAATATAGCTTCACGTAGCGCACGTATAATTTAAATATCGCACTAACAACATATTAGGGTAGTAGCATTAGTCGCGGGACGACCTGGGTCTATTACCATGGAGATGCCTACAACAGAATAGCAGAATATATTTTAAGACCATTATGGTATAAATGTTTCCATACAACACAGTATTAGGGGGGTTACTATATAAGAGGTTTTGAGCAGTGTAGATGCACCGCTTCCGCTGAGTCAGCGTTCAGCTGCATTGCACCATGGTTCGATACAACATTGTCGAGCATTTGTGAACTCATGACAGCAGATGTTAAGATTGTATATTGGCTACCGTTATGATTCAGAGTTGCGTTTGGTACTCAGTGGTGAGTAGGGTTTATCAGCTGCAAGTCAAATGGATTGCGATGGCCGCAGCATGACTGTTGGAGAGGTCTCTGGTTTGATATTTTTGCGCACCATTGTGATTTTTAGGCCGTAGTGGTCAGACAGTGTCACCAGCATGACCTTTTTCATGCTAGTGAACGCTGAGCACAAACAGTTGTACGCAGACCCCACCTTGTCTATCATGACAATGGGCTCCCTGAACAGTATTTCCCCGGCAGAAGGCACGAAACCTTGCAGTATTCCGGCAATATGTTGCGGGGGCAGGAAGATGTAGTCGCACCTGAGCCCACTGCAGCCGGCGTGTGGGCCGCGCATGTTGAGAGGGTTTTTGGGGTCCCACGTGACGTCCATAAAATTCCGTCTCCTGTACCACCAGTAAAACCGTCTGACACGAGGCCGTTTGAGCTGTTTTGACGGATTCTTGACCAGGAAGTACACTGAGGACGGGTCAATTGCGGTACGTGAACGCGCAGTGGTGAAGGTGACCGCTTGCGTTGTTGGTTTTGATTCCCCCATCCACAAGCTTCTTGATCTGCGGAACAGCGCAGTACATCGCTCTCTGAAAGTTCTAGCCGATTTCTCCGCTCTGCGCTCCAGGCATGGCGCCTTGACGCGAATGCGAAGTTTGTTTTTAAGCAACCTCTTGTGCAGTTTTGCCAACTTTGGGGATTTTGGGACGCGTCGTCGGTTGGCCGCATGGACCACACGTAGACGCATCGAATTCGCACGGGGGCGATTCGCCTTAAAATTCCTCCAGGTAGTCGCGGCTCTACGCAAACGATCGCCCTTCTGTAGTGAAAGATATTCCACAAATCTGCTCCATCGCGACCCCACTCGTGTTCCTGTATAGGTGTGCCGCATATTCCCTCCCGATCGACTCCTTGGCATGTTCGACATGATCGTGACCTTTTCCAGGTGCGGTTTTTGCGACTTGTTATCGCCAAACACGTTTTCCACCCCGATGGACTCCTCGCTTACGATTGGGCTCTCGAACGTGAAGTCATTTTGCTTTAGACGTCGATCCTTAAACCCCAACCATCGCTTTTGCTTGGCCTTTTGCCGCGAGAGCACGTACGAGTCCGTCCAACCGCTGTGCAGGAACGACATGTAGTTGCTTGCGCAATTGTTGGGTGCCGCGTTTAGATCCCCTATGATGATGGGTGCGAAACCCAGTCTACATGCCTTCTCCGTCCGTTTCAGGATTTGTTTAACTTCCTCGTTTCTGACGTTTTCGATATGTGCGGACTCCGGATTGACGCTTGCACTGGCCATGTGCATGTTATAGAAGGCGATTTTCCCGACGGAGGGAATATCTACAAATATCTCCATATAACCTTTGTTCGCTAACATGGCTTCCAGATGCGTCACGACGTCCCATGCGTGAAATTTCGCGCACAGTATGGGGAACTTGCTGAGAAAAAGCAGCCCGCTGTGGAACATCCCGATACCCCGTTTCTTCTTTTTTTTGTTCCTTTCATAAAGTTTCTCGAAGTCCTCTGACACCGGCAGGCAGTCATCCCTGGCGGCGTAGGGGTAGAGATCTTGCAGCTCTCGTATTATGTACCTTGCATGGTGGTTGCTGTAAACCTCCTGGAAAGCAACGACATCCGCGTTTGCCTTTCGGATTTCGCTAGGCACACATTTGAGTCTCTTTTCCGTGTATCCTGGGTTTTGGTACATTTGTATGCCAAACATGCGCACCTCCAGCAACCCGACGTTGAAGGTGAGCATTGAGAACGAGTGAGGTCGTTGGGTCGAATTCCTGAAACTCGGGAGCGTAGATTTCCTGAACGATTCGATTGCTATGGAAGCATTGGCCGCGTCCGAAGATGCAGCTTCCGCTTTATTTCGTCCGGTTGTGTCTTGCAGCTCTTTTACTACGCTAATACGTTCATCATCGGGCATGCGCAATTTGCATTCCAAATCGCGCACTCGTGGCGGTAACGCCGTTCTCCCACCGCTAGAGCGGCGTACATTCTTATCGGCATCTAGATTCAGGGGAAGGGATATGGTTGGCACCACGTCCCCTACATTGCCACTCCTTCGCGCAACCGTCGACTTGATGTACTGACTCTGGCGTGCTGCGGTCTTTCCCTTCCGCTGGCTATTATTCCAGTCGGGCGGTTGCGAATCCGACGAAGAATCGTGACTGCCAGAATCCGACGTTTCCACGTAGGAAGTGCTGCCATCATTGCAGAGCGACTGACACGAACGGGTGGATAGCAGGGGCCGCAGCACCGTTGATGAAGCTAATGTCCTTTCATTTTCTCGTAGTTTCCTGAGTTTTGTCTCATGCGTCTTCGAGAGTTTGGTATAAGCCGATCCCTTCCTAGGGTCATAGAGCTTTGATCGAGCATGGTGTAACCGGTTGGAATGCGTCTTGGAACGTTGGGATCTTTGAAACCCATCATCGTTCTCCATGGCTCGCGCTTCGTTGCAAAGACACAATCACCTCTTGAACCAGCCGGTTCGGGTGATAGCTTTGCACCTGTCTCCGCGTTGCTTTCCCGGTGCCGCTAGTTAGTAGCAGCGGATGCTGTGACCGGGCCACACCCATCGGATGGGTTATACGGGCTTCCCGCAGGTTGGTACCTATTCTCCGGGGGCCTTGACTAGATAAAAGTTATGCCTGCAACGAATAACCGTTGGCAATGCTACAATACAGCATTAAATTGTTACACACTTCCTACGTCTGTAGATATGCACCGCTTAGACAACTCTCTGGAGAAGCCGCCGACTCTTTACAACACAGATTACCGCCAGCGTAAATCTACCAGGAGATTGTACCTGATATGAGTTTTCCTTGAAGCGAGTTGAAACGATATTTCATCTCCGCTGGCGCGCCGCTTGCGATATGCCCCCGTAACCTCCACGCGCGACAGCGTTGCAGGTGTAAGCTCCTAGTGTTGATTTAGCACAGAATATTTCTTGACGGGTGTGTCTTGCGGCACTTTCGCCTTGCGTGTGTTGGGTGTATCCCGCCAGCTTTACATTAAGCGATGGTTCACGTTCAGTCTGCAATTACCAAATATTTCATACGGTCAGAGATATTTGTTTGTATGTGTACAGCTGAGTATGTTGCTAGCACTGGCGGCATTGCGAGGAATGCATTACGGCTCTATGGTCAACTTCGCCGACTCTGCGCGTTCACTACATTTGCGCTCCTACACGATCAGCTACGTCGCACGGCCGCAACTGTGAATGTATATGGTCGGCACGTACGTGATTTGCCGATTTTACGGTTGGCGAACGGTGTGATGCGGTAAAGTAGCCTATGTGTACGCCACCCCTCCACCGAATTACCACTCCATGGATCATTCGCCATGCAGGCACAGTGTAGGTAGCGCTCCACCGGTTACATGGCGTTTACATGTGAGCGAGGGTTGCCATATGTGCAGCGAAACACGTCCGCCCTCACGGCATATATAGGCGCCGTATTCAGCACCGCGCGACGGCATATATCGAGTTCACTTCAATAGCTGACTTTCGTGGTCATGCGCCTTGCAGTTCCCACGTACGGCTACGTTTTGTAGTGCCTCATCACTGTCGAGAGTGAACGTGCACTAAGTATTAATGGTAACTTGTAATGCCCCCATTCTAGTACTGATTGCGACCGTTATTGCGTCGTCATTATTTGCGTGGCTGGAAGTCACCGGCATCTCGTGCCCGGGCCACAGTGTAGCGGGGTACACATATGCGACCCCAGTAAGTGCTATGTTTCGCCTCGCTTTCGCAGCTCGTGACGTACGTAGGAGGCCCGCCAGTGCTGCAAATTTCTTGTTTCTCAAAAATTCTGGTGCTGTACGTAGTGCCGTCGAATCTAACCGTCTATCTGGTTGCATCAGGTCCTTGCGGAACTTATCGTCTGCGCAGGACGTACAGCCACGCGTTTGTTCGGCGCTGGGATTTTTGACCCGTAGAAGTCGCATAAATCTTCGAAACTCGCCACCAAATCGCTTATTTTCGACCAGAATGGCTAGCACTTCCGCAACATCCACTGCCACTGAGACGGTTACTGCTGTCCAGGGTGTGCAGAGCATCCCACTAAAGGCGCCTAAGGAGCACGTGGAGATTTTCCGCAAGGATTACAAACCGACCATATACGACATTGACAGCGTATATCTCGACTTTGACCTTCATGAGACCGCAACAGTTGTCAAGGCGGAGTTGGTGATGCACCGTAAGGAAGGCACCGCTGCCGCCGACCTGGTCCTGCACGGAGAAGACCTGGACTGCAAGAAGGTCTCCGTTGACGGCCAGGAGTTGGAAAACCGGGCCATCTCGGGTTACAGCATTGACGACGGTAATCTGACGATCCCTGTCTCATTTTTGCCGTCCGAGGCTGGCAAGGTTTTCAAGGTGAACACCGAGGTTATCATCAACCCTGAGGCTAACTTGCAGCTGTCTGGATTGTACAAGAACAGCAACTTGTTCACCACCCAGTGTGAATCGCACGGTTTCCGCCGCATCACCTTCTTCCTGGATCGCCCGGATGTGCTCTCCAGTTTCCGCGTGCGCATGCAGGCGGACAAGGAGAAGTACCCAGTGCTGCTATCGAATGGTAACAAGGTTGCGAGCGGCGAAGACGGCGCGAAGCACTTTGCCGAATTCGTTGATCCCTATCGCAAGCCTTCATACCTTTTTGCGCTTGTTGCGGGCAATTTGAAGTCAATTAATGGCACCTTCCGCACAATGAGCGGGCGTGATGTATTGGTTGAGGTGTCCTCTGAACCCGAGGACTCCACGAAGCTGCAATGGGCTTTTGAAAGTGTATTGAAGGCCATGAAGTGGGACGAGGAAACGTACGGACGTGAGTACGATCTTGACGAGTTCCACGTCGTTTGTACCCGCGCTTTTAATTTTGGAGCCATGGAAAACAAGGGTCTCAACATTTTTAATTCATCGCTGCTTCTAGCTGATGTGAACACGACCACGGATTCCGAATTCATAACCATCATGAGCGTGGTTGGGCACGAGTACTTCCACAACTGGACCGGTAACCGTGTGACATGCCGTGACTGGTTCCAATTAACTTTGAAGGAAGGTTTGACCGTCTTCCGTGAGTCCGAATTTGCGGGAGACATGTCGTCTCACTTGCTTACCAGGATCACCGACGTGCGGAACTTGATCACCTACCAGTTCACCGAGGACGCGGGCCCCATGGCGCATCCGATTCGCCCTGAGAGTTACATATCCATGGACAACTTCTACACCACTACAGTTTACGACAAAGGTGCTGAGGTAATTGGCATGTACAAGACCCTACTCGGTAAGGAGGGCTTCCGTAAAGGCATGGATCTTTACTTCAAGCGCCATGACTTACAGGCTGTCACATGCGACGACTTCCGCGCTGCCATGGCTGATGCGAATGGCGTTGATCTCACCCAGTTCGAGCGCTGGTATTACCAGGCTGGTACTCCCCAGGTTGAGGTTGTCGAGGCTGTACGTGAAGGTGATGAGTTCCGTTTGCGTTTGAGGCAGCACACCGATCCGACACCGCGTCAGGAAATAAAGCTGCCATTCCACATCCCTATCAAATTGGGCCTGTTGGGAAAAGCTTCCAAGCGGGACTTGAAGGGCACGGTCGTTGTAGAACTCCGTAAGGACGAAGAAACTTTCACCTTCACCGGTATCAACGAGGATTGCGTGCTATCGTTCAATCGCGGATTTTCGGCTCCAATTAAGGTGAAGTATGAGCAGAGCGACGAGGATCTTCTGTTTTTGATGGCCCACGACACTGACGGATTAAACCGCTGGGAGGCGGGCCAGCGTATGCGCACCAATGTTATTCTTTCAAACATCGAGCAGCCTTCTGCCATTAACGAGGCCATTTTTGACTCTATCAAATCCATACTGGCGTCTGATTTGGACAACAACGAGAAGGCCTTGTGCATAATGCTTCCGGACATTCAGGCTGTGGTTGCGGAGCTCCAAACCTACGACCCGTACAAACTCTGGGAGGCCACACGCCGTGTGCGCAGATCCATTCTTGAAAAGTGTGAAACCGACTTCCTTCGCCACTACGAGAGCCTCTGCTCGGAGGTGGACACTTTGGAGAAGGACGACATGTCCCGCCGGTACTTGCGCAACACGTTATTGGGCTACCTGGTGTGCCGTGGAGACGAGGCAGCGGTTGAGCTTGCGCTAAAGCACTACCGTTCTGCGCGCACCATGACGGACCGTTTCAGCGCATTCGTCCAGCTGATGAACATGGATTTTGCAGAAAAGGACGTGATTGTCGCCGACTTCTACGAAAGAGCCAACGGCTTTGCATTGGTGATCGACAAGTGGTTTACTGCTCAAGCCATAAGCGACGCAGCGGACTGTTTGGAACGCGTTAAGGCCCTGGCTTCCAGTAAAGATTTTACCAACACCAACCCCAATCGCGCAAACTCCCTGGTCCGCGCTTTCACGCGCAGCGTGCGTTTCCACGACCCTTCTGGCGCGGGTTACAAGTTTTTAGCCGACCAAATTCTCGGCGTAGACCCAATTAACGCCCATGTGTCGTCGCACCAGGCGATTCATCTAACGAAGTTCAAGAAGCTGGACGAGTCGCGCCGTTCCCTCATGATAGCCCAGTTGCAGCGCATCATCAACACCGCCAGCATTTCTAAGAACCTCTACGAGGTCGTCCAGAAATCATTGGTATACGCCAAAGAACAGGGGTTTACAAATTAGGGGCACTGCAAACGCATACCCGATAACTGCACTGACGTAAATTATAGGCATTATTATATATGCTGCATAGTTATCCATCGCGTAGTAGGAACATGTGTTGTATCAGATACTCGGGCAGGTGGGATGTTACGTTATTGCAAGGCTACGACAAAACTATCTGCGCTCGGTGAGGCTGCGTGAAATTGTTGGAGGAAGTCGAGGAGCAGTTTGCGACTATAAGAGACTTTTTAGTATGTTGTGCTAAGGAAGATTGTCGGAGATGGATTACAACGCACCGAATGGTATTTAGGAGGGGTATTGTCTGCAGATGTTCAATGCTGTTAATCCGTGTGCCCACTTCAGCTGGCTATGCGCAGTTGTGGCTGTTATACGTTCTTGGTAAAGGATCATCCCCTTCATCAATTGGCAAAAACGGGACGATGCGGGTGAGCAAAGGTCGAACACGTCCAAATACCAATCAATCCCCCTACCTAGTTTGTGGCGAAATAACAATGCGTTATGCTGCAGGTTGCACTAATCGCAGTCGTGGTCATAGGATTGCTGGAGGGAAGAAGAACAAGCGAACAACATCAGAGAAGGATTCATGAGTAAATTAATCTGTGTCGACACGTGAGGCAAGCGCAGTGAATGCATGAGTGGATTTCGCGAACCATTGCCCACATCAACGCATGCTATCGTCACATAATACTGCTCTTTCATCACCTCATCCGTCCTAGAACCACCTACATAGACGTAGGAACATGAGGAACCGTTGCCATCCGGAAGGGGGATCACTGGATTCAGTTGTCTCAATGATCGACGGTATTTCTGCCGGGGATTTCCTGAGCCGCTGCAGAAATGAAGCGAAATATTCGTCCCAATCTGGATCATCATCTTCTGCAGCTGTATCATATTGCGTAGAGAAATCTGACGAGCTGTCGTCATGCTGCGCGGGGCTTGACGTGCTCGCATCGGGATGTGGATGCAGCTGTCCGTTGGCATTGGACGATTCATACATCTCATCGGAAGTATCAGAACCGTGTATAGACAACGCTGGTTCTGGTGTCCATGCACCCAATGACCCTACAATACGAGCTGAGGCAGCCATATCGTGTGCGGGACTTGAAGATGGTAATTCGCCAATGCCAGACCTGCTATCACCATTCGCCGTTGTTTCATTGCTATAGCTGACATAATCACTGTCTCGGCGATTAGAGGTCGTATTGGTAGCGCTTCCTTCTTGTCGATTATTTGGTAGGTTTTCTTTCTTAAGAGCATCTAACCTAGCCGAACAGAGGGCATAAATACGCCGAAGCATAAGCATCCATTTGGTCATTATATGCCTCTTTATGCTCATAGGGGCATTTCTAAACTGTGGTATGCTCTTTATTAACTCGTGAAGGCGAAAGCCGTGTGTTTGTGATGGTATCTCTTCGTCAGTGATACCATTAAAATGTTGAACGTAATAGAGACATATTTCAACAGGTTCACATCTTATACATGGTTCTCCTTTTGCTGCATCTAGCTTGTGTTGAAAGTAGTCAACAATCTTTTCTAAATAGGGTTTAACAGGATGTGGGCTTTCGTAAAGCGCAATGGCATCCTTTAAATAGTACACGTTTCTTTCCACATATACAGAGCTTAGCACATATTTGTACTGATCCCATGGTGGTGCTGGTATTTGTACGGCTTCAAATTTCACTTGTTGGCCATTTACGTATATCAGTGCAACCTCGTGCAAAAAATATGGCTCCCACTTTTCATTGATCTGCGCAGTGATTCCCCACGCCACAGTGAGTAAAGTCACTGCTATGCCGATGAATCTCTTTCGTATCATCATAGATGAGTTTGCCATCGTTGTTGTGTGCCGCGAATACGGACAAATTTTCCGCTTCAATGACTGTTAAAAGTACGAGTACGTCCAGCAGTATCGCAGCGTAACACGTGATGCGTACTATCAATCCACATTCGCCCAATACGTGTATAAAGTTGGGTAAATCGTTAGACACGCAGCTGTCGATGAAATTTCGTGCAACCCAGCTACATGAAAAGATGACGCTAGGGAGGCACGGATAGGTGGTAGCACATCAGATCAACAATATACTCTTCTGGTTTATTCCTGTGTGTTCAGACGGTATGCATGACTTGAGTACACTTTCGCGTTCAGCGGGTTATCGCTTCATGCTGCTAGTGTAGGCTGCGGGCTCCGGGTCCTGTTGCTGCACGCTACTGGATGTCGTACATTTGACGTTGGGATTGTCGTCTAGAGCCTATTCACAGGGCATATCAAGCAAAAGATGCATAATGCCCGCAAATCCAGAACACACGTGAATGAACAATGACATAATGTTTGCCCTTTTGTGGCGCAGTAATACTGGAGGTCCTCAAAGGACTAACTACGTTAAAAGATTATGTTGTTGAGTGATACTGGGTATAGGGGTAAACACGCCTTGCACTCGGCAGAAGCCCGCATTCCTAAACTGCCATGCCACCAATCGACGTCAATGTGGCATTAATGTAATTAAGCAGACGCTGAGAACCGTCTTTGGCCTCTTTGCATACACAGTGCAGTGGATAATGATTGTCTAAATCAAAATGGCGATGGGTACATCTCATAATGTATGAATGCTTCGTGAGAATACTCATGTCAACTTACATGGTATCCGGAGTCAATCGTCGTTTGTCCAGGTGCATTTGATCGTCACCCGTGGTCCTCACTCAATAGAAAGCCCAGAATCCAGCGAGGTCGTATATTATGCCCAATAATCCTTTATCCACGCCTTTCAACGCCTTTAATACATAAGAACCACTAATTTTAGCGCAGCATTCCGACCCATCGTAACCCGCAGCTCTCAATACATATCCTAGACCGGTACACGGCGCAAACGGTGACACCGGCAAGGTATCATCATGACTTGCCTCGCGCAAACAACGTAAACCCGTGTATAGCATTGGCGCGATTCCCACCAGGACCACTGCGCAGGCTTCCGGGTCCTTCGCGCATGATCTATCCCACGTCGCTTTTGAACTGTAAGCAGACTTGTACTCATCAGGACTTTTTATCTTTTCCAAGAACTTCTCACAGCCATCCACAACGTCACTTAGGTTCTCTGCGACAGTCTCAGCAGTGAGACCCTTGGTCTGTAGGACGTTATCGTAATCACTTTCACGGACAGTGCTAATGTACCTTGCGTAACCACTGAGGTTTTTATTCATAGGCGTATTGAATCTCTTCACCATCATGTTTGCGGGCACCATGTTCTTAAGTTCCGGGTTCTTTACGAACTCTTTAGAAATACGTTTAACTTTCTCGAGAGCTGGCAGCTCCATCTTGCCAACGGGTTTGTCTGCGAGGAATTTGTAAACTGCAGCACCCATAGCCTTCAAGTTGCTTTCAGCATCAGTTCCCCTCAGCGCTATCAACCAGTCAATACCCTCCTTGAGGTTGTGAGGAACGTCAGTCAACGACTTGTACACCATTTTGTGAGGATGAGCTCAATTAGATTACCATGAATGCGTCTGTTTTCATCTACTTATAGGTCAGTGTGCAAACAGCTGTGTCTTAATGGCGGATCAGCAGAACAGTGCTGCTGCCTATAATACACACGCGCCTGATCGTAATCTACAAATCCGCCTACACACAATAGGCAAGTGATGATGTTGCGGTGCTGGCATAACAGCGGCTCGCATCCAGATCTACACAATCAACGGCACATGCAGCACGCATGTCATTGGCGTAGGCTCCTTTCAGACAGGAATGTCGTATTACGAAGTTGCGATATTAGTGTATCTGCAGCGACGCGATTGGCTTCGAAATATTACGATGGGTTACGAGTAGCATATTATACGGCCAAGGTGTCCCGTGGTTGTCACGTCGGCGTCCAGGCATCGCCCGCAGGAACGCCCATCAGTAATCAGTAACCGTATTTACACGGTTACAGACGTCATTCTATGCCATAGGATTACCTATTACATGGCTCACTTTCCTATAGCACGGCAGTTGTCAGCTGCCTGGGTTTATGGCCAACCACCTGGCTGGTACAGTACACTGACAATAAGCGATGGCTTAGAGACTTATCACGGGTAACACTAAACTACGCATTTCGAATAAGCGTCTCAAAGCTTCGAGTCTATTGTTGGCACATAGCTCGTTAGGCAATAGGTTGCTACTTATGTTATTTTGCCGAGCGTCGCCCAATGCGTCGTCATACGTTTACTCCGCGATCTTGAGCGGTGCCGGCGTCCTGAGGTGCGCACGTGATGCCCTGATACGACGTAATTCATGAACCAGTTCACCGGGTACCTGCGATTTTGAAAATTTTTATAATACGTCATTAGATTGGCGTTGTGCCATTGCTGTCTAGTACAATGCGATTAGGGCGATCACGAAAAATGCCGGCGGTGATTAACGAGCGCAATACAAAATGTTCACTTGCGGTCGAAACAATCGCGGACCTTGTGGAACGGCCGAATGCGAAAGAAGCTCATGACGCATACGACGATAAGGAGGAGAGTGAAGATTACACCCATGGCAATGTACATACGTTTACAGAAGCAGTTTCCACATAATTTGTCTTTACACTGAATACTACATGTTTCGCAACTTGAACAGTCCGGACAGCACCAGGGACAGCGTTTGCATGTTATATTACAATCCTCATCATTGCAACACTCACATGTGTCCAACGACCGCATCTCCGTTACCATTATCCTGCATAGCAATGTAACACGTACCTCAAGCCTCGAACTGTCGAACCGCTAAGCCGTCTCCGAGGAGCGTCATACGGCACATCGCCAGGGATACCACGGCCTAGCGCTCCGCACCACACAGATACTACACCCATCAGGTCATCTACTGTATTGCCAACGCTACCCCACATCTCTATGGGCAAATGTCTAGGAGGTTCCAAAGCTCCGACTTAATTTATGCGTTTTATTAATGGGGAAGAATGTTACAGCTGTTCTCAATCTTCAAAGTGTCACAATACTACTGGAGCCATTCCTGTTACCCACCTCCCACCATGTAATGCCCTTGTGCCATACACCCAAGAAGACTTTACCTGAGTTGACATTTTAAAATTCTTAACTTACGCATATACTACCATGCATAATACCCATTTCCCATGGCATCACAATCCTAAAACGGAACCATGTAATCTGACCACGTCTCACAACTCAACCCATGAGGTCGGTATCCTCACTGAGCTGAGGGCTGTCAAGCGCAATTCACTCATTTGTGACATTAACAAATTTACGACACCTTAATAATCTCCCGAAAGATCACCATCGTACTGTGGCCCTATTGAGTGGTGCATCATACCCGTTCCGCAAAGCTGTAAGCTAAGTCGCTGAGTCATGTAACACCTGAAAACCTGCACCTCGCAATTAACATGACTCACTGTAGCATTACATAACATCTTATTAAGAGTGCTATAAAGATATTATAGGCAATTAATGCCATCCCAGTACGCCCCCCGACGGTGGGCTAAGGCGACTATACAGTGACACGGTAGACTTGCATATCACGATTAGTGGAGTAAGCGATGTTCCCCAGTAAACGCCAAGCATCATCAATGGTTAAGTGTTAAGGGCATTGGCGAATGCTGAACTTATGAGCGTAGACACAAAGGACAACATCACACATGCCCCATTCCGCTATTACGAGGTGCCTACCAAAGGTGTTCTGAGACGGCATCCCACGCCACACCATTAATTTGGATCATTGCCACCTACACAAGCTGTACACAACTATTATAGCATTGGACTAAGCTGATGAGCTTCACTAGCGCATTTACAAAGTTCTAACCGAGATCGATACTGCCAATGGAACACAAAAATCAACAAAACCAACACCAACAGTGAAGGCAAATTCATTGCTGCAATTCACCGAAAAGTTAACACATATGAGCTTATCATTACTTGGCGTAGTAGTTCTCTATCTGTATGGTTGAGAGAACGATACCCTTGGTGGTCACGCAGCGGCACTCCAACGGAGGCGTTTGGCGCAACGTCTCACCAGGTCCTACCAGAGAACCATCAAAACTCAGAATTACGAAGTGGTTAGACCAAGACGATACCAATGACTCGCTGATGTCGTTTATGTCTTTGACAGCACCGCCCACAGAGACCTGGCTGAAGCAGTTGGGTGGGTCCAGGACGTACGGTGCTGGGCAGTAGAACGCCGCTTCCTTAGCAGCTTGGAGGTCTATCTTGCAACCGAACTGAGGTTGCCCATCACCGTCGTAGAGTTGGGGCGTCTCTGGCTTGAATAACGCATCTGAAGAGTACGTAACGCCGCAGCCCTGCATATACGGGTCCGTGGTCTCGACGTTAACCTCAACAACGTGCCACGTGTATTGCGCCGAGGATCCAATGGTCTGAAGATTGGATAGGGCAGATGCTCCTGAAGCTAATGCATCACCGGTGATGATGGACAAATCCGATGGTTCGAGTACTCTGCCGCATACGAACGTAATAGGCACGTTTTCATTGAGCAGTGGGTCTTTGGAAACCAAGATGGCCCCTTGGTGCGACTCTATCGTTAACTGTTGATATATTTCCAAGTGTGAGTCATTGTATTCAACTCTAAAGCCATCCGGGGTAGTACCTATTGAATGTTCGTATTTTTCACGAATAAGCTCAGGCCCATTTGGCGTATCTTTGATGGTATAATAGAATTCTTCAGGATTGTCTGGCATCCATGTCGTTGGGATCATGCCATATTTTGCAAAGCTCTGCAAGTCGGGATCAAGAGCGCAACTAATCGACATCGTGCTCCCTAGCGGTAGTTTCACGGACCTTTTGGATATGTTATTTAGCAGAAACGACTTTGATGGGGCCAGTCCTTCATCTAATACTCCGGCGTCACGCCAAGGTAGCAAAACGTAAGGAAGCAACGTACCAGACTCCGCTTCTAGAGACACTTTGTAGATATAAGTTGCTGTATGGATGTGCTCCAAAATAAGCCTAGAAGTCTCGTACCCCCTTTCGTCGACACAGATACAGGCATAACTAACAGGGATTTTTTGCACACCGAAATCGAACACCTGAAACCCTCTAATGGGGTAAGGCGATGCATTATTCACAGATTCAGGGAGTGGTTTAATCTTATTGGAGGAGAGGTCGTATCCTTCAGACTGACAGTTACCCGGTAACAGCTGCTCATCGGGCCTGCAGTTAATACCAGCCCAACCAAGAGATGAGTTTATTGGATATGTGCATTCGTACGTTAGTCCAATACCATTTCCCATCCGTTCGGTTGGACAATATTCGTCGCTGATATATTGATCAAACACACTTTGTGGCCCTCGGTCGAAACCAATGATTTCGAAGTCGTGGGTAAACGCAAAGGCGACATTAACAACGGCGTGCATCACATCCGGAATATTTTCGTCCCTAGATTTCAATGTCCAATGATAAAAGAATGAGTTTGATCCACCTTTTAACGCGAGAGGTTTGTCCAGATTATACCTCAGTATAACCTCTCCCTGTGACATTCTAGAAGCATCCAATTCAAGGGCATCGCCAGCAATCGCTTTGAGGTATGGTACTTCGTCGTAAAGATCAAATCCCTCGTATGTTCTCAGTTGTCGCAGGATGGTCAAGTCCTTCGGCAGGAATTCGGTTTCGTATTCATAGATATGCGATTTTTGCGAGCGTAGGGTAGACGGGATGCGCTTATCGGAGTTCTCTTCAACACCATCTGTTGGGAACCTTATGGTCAAGGTGCTGCCCGGATGGAGTACGACCGAACACCAAGTACCACTGATAGGACTTGCACGGTTGCGTTCTATCAGGCTGGAAATGTCACATACGTGGTCGGTTTTCGAATGGATTTCCATCCTGGCCTTTACCTGACCTGTCTGCGCGTCTATGCATCTGCATTCGCCGCTGAAGGGCGGCAATGCCAAGTCATTAAAGTACCGCGCTACTACCCAAGGGTTATAGTTGTCATTATCACTGTAAGAATAGGGTTCGGGGGTGGTCACAACTTTTCCATTATGGCCAATGAGTGATCTCATGCAATCATTAGGTTCAATTCTTCCTTCGCAAACAAATCCGATACGTGATTTAGACATAGGATCCGCCACGCATGAACGGGTCCCTGTGACGGGGTCCACTGTCACCTCATTATCCACAGCAAAAAGTGGTGAGGGACGGCTTCCACAGCCTTGAAGAGGTAGGTACATGCCTCTTCTGTTCAAGAAAAACACACCCAATCCATGCCCTATCTTAGCTATTTCTTGCGTCAACGGAGTTGTTGGAGTCCATGGAAGAGCTTGCATTTGGTCAAGGTCATTGAGGTTGTCAAGGTGACGTTGTAGCGTGTCATTCAGAACCAAATCTCGGGGCCCGCAGATGAATATCAGACGGTTTTCAGTAATGGCGTATATATCGTCAGGTGTTAGATCGAGATTCAGATTAGTATGTAATTCACTCGACTCCATCGAAAATAGCGGAAGCGGTGTTTCCGTAACAATTACATCCGACAGAACAGCGGAACGAAACGCGCCATTAACATTCACGTACGTGTTAATACTAGATTGCCCATCAGACGTTGGTTGAGGATGCCAGACATATTCGATGCCATTGACTTGGCGTGGACATACAACAGTTCCGGTGCCAAAAATGTCGATGTCCATGTGGCAGCTAACTAGAGCACTGCCGCTACTTAATCCATCTGGGCCATCAAAATTACAATCAATTGCATTAATGCATGTGATCAAATGCCACACAATTGCGCAAAATGCCAACAGGTACATCCTGATAGCGAATTCGCCCATGGTCATGTATTTTGCGTTATACTATCTTCAAAGTTTATACCACATCACAATTGTTCATAATCAAGGCAGTTCTTATGGACGGGAAATTACAAAAAAATTTATAACTGCTTATTGTTTGCTGCCAGGAAGGACGGCGAACACCCCATCTCCCCAGCTAGCTGTCAGGCTACCGGGGAATTTTCTCACTGCCGCAACCGGAATATTAGGTAAATAAATGGTAGAGATGATAATAGACACACTTGTTCAATTGCCATAAAATGTTCATAAGTAATGTAACACAATCTAAAAAGCTTGACGCATCGGTCTTTAGCCGAAGATTAGTTCACTACATAAGCCAACAAACACGACCGATGGGCTACAATAGGCAAGACACCGTCGCCGTGGAAATAGAAATGACTAATAAAGATAACCCGGTGGAGACAAGCTTAAAAAAGGAGGAAGCATGAGTGCCTAGTGAAGGAGCTCAGAGGGGCAGCATTCATATAGCGTACACGTTTGGAGGTTGACCGCGAAGTGAAGAGCGACATGAACCGTAGGGACGAATACGGCTTTGTCAACGACGCTCGGCATAGTAGACGAACATCGATCCATGCCTCATATCCGGTTCGATCAGGATACGACGCCAACATATCCTGGGAAGCAATTCATATGCAACCTCTTATTGAGGAATTTCCTGGAAAGAAGACAAATGGTTTTTATGAGCGATATTATTTTGTAACACCAAGCTAATGCGATACCGCGAATAATTTCCGCCTGCAGTGCCGCACCTTGAGCACTATGAGTAAGCAGAAAAACCCCAGTATGTGGGCTAGGAAGAGCAGCATTGTAAGGCAATCCATGGGCTTTTCGTGTATTCTCTCCATAAAGTGTTGCGGGGTCCACCTATAACCTGGAGGGGCCGCAACCCTTTGGACGTTCCTCATTGCGATATAAACAGTCCAGTAGCTCGAGTTAGTTCAGACGTGCACAGCGCTGTTGAGTTCTAGATAATCGCGAGCGTACTTTTTGAGCTTGGTCTTCGCCAGGATGCTGAACTGCTTGGAAGCTTGTATAGTGTTCAGAATGATTTCTTCGACTGACTTAATAGCGTGTTTCGACTTAAGATCGATATATATGATCTGTAATCGCTTGAGCTCAATGCGTGCTGGCTCACCTCTTCCTTGGACACGGAAGTAGCAAGGGTTAGTTCCATAATAGACGCATTCAATTCCAGCTGATTGGGATCTGCAGCAAGTTTATTACACATCAATTCTACTACCTATTAGCAGCTGTCTATTGAGCATGGCTGCCGTGCAGGCTACAATGAGATCCCTCATCGCTATTCCCGCGTGTACCAGCGCGACTAGCACGGCGTTGATGACAGTCGCTTTAACGCCTAAACAGCTTACACATATGAAATTTGGCACTCACCACCATCGTTTTCTAGTACGTTGACGAAGATGTGTATGACCGAGTTTTTGTAGAAGTGTGATAAGACGATCCTTTCAAAAGTTGCAATCACAGTTTGTGCGATATCGGCAGATTGGTGATCCATTTTATTGCCCGTGGCCCTTTTTTCGCAGGGCATTACCACCTCGCATTGTATTTCCACCGGGCTGTCTGATGTTTCGAGTTGACTCCGTTGTTTGTTCCGTCCTACCTGTACATCCCTTGTGCAATCTGGACGCATTAACTTACATCAGTCGGTCCTTTAACGAACGCTTGAGCCTTAGTCAGTCCCTGCGTAACCTGGGAGACTCCGTCGTAGTTGCCGACGTCCACTCCGCATTCCGGGCCGCAGAGTATTTCGATGTTGCGCACCTCCGCGGGTCTTCTCCCGTCAACCCTCAGTCCTTCTACACTTATATACTCTATTTTTACCATTTTGAGGCATATAGTGTGCACGGCGCAAAGTCAGCGGCCCTAGGTGATGCCTATGGTATTGTCGCGCGTTCGATATCTCCTTCGACCTTTGCTGCTATTTAACCTGACGCACAACATTAGGTTTAAAAGTTGTCTATCCTGATTTTGACTATTTTAAACACGTGATGACAATGTGCATTCTCTAAGGCTGGAATAGGAAACTTCGGATCAAATTTTTTAGGATGATCGATTGCTGCGAACCAACCTTCCACATGTTGTATTGCTATACGCAAAGTGTATATAATAAAAGTATTAATATGTTGTTTGGCTAGTTCCATAGCTCTGCGATTTCAATGTGGTCGCTTGTGTGTCAAAGGTGCTGCATATTTCACAGTTCAAAATTCTTCTGGCTTCCTGACTAAGAAGCCTAGGACATCAATGTTTCCCTATAGCGATATGTCCATGTGGACTTTTGCTGGAGTCTTCTGCGCCATTCCCCTTATCCCCTTTTATTAATTTGCAGCGTTTATACTTTGGAGCGTTGCCAACATTTTTAAAAGTTCCAAATATCCTCACGTTAAAAAGCGTAAAACTGTGTCTACTAAATAAGGCAAACACCTTTTTACATATGACAAAAAAGCGATTTCATATGAATATAATGTCCGCCATTTTCGAGGCACTTCTGTAATTACCCCTTTGCTAGTTTCCAGCGTAATTGTATGGCACGCATTCATATTAAGGGGTCGGGTGTTATAGGCAGACTCTCACTGATCGGTTTCGTTTCCTCATTCGGTTTCTTCATTTCACTATCCGGCTTGGTTTCCTCGTTGTTCGGCTTTACGTCCTCATTCGGTTTCTTCATTTCATTATCAGGTTTCTTTACTTTCTTGTTAGGCTTCTTCACATTCTTCTTAGGCTTGCCCATTTCTTTTTTCACCTTCCTAATTTTCTTTACTGTCTTCTTCACTTCCTTTTTAGGCTTCGGTTTTTCCACGTCTGTAGGGGTATCGTCACCTTCATCCTCTGTTTCTACTTTTGCCTTTTCTTTAGCTTTTCTTTCCTTTTCCTTCTCTTTCCTTGCCATTTCCTTCTCCTTCTTTGCCAATGCTTTAGCCTTTCTTTCCTTTTCTTTAGCTTTTCTTTCCTTTTCCTTAGCCTTTCTTTCTTTTTCTCTGGCCTTCCTTGCCTTTTCCTTAGCCTTCAGCTTATTTTTGCGAATCGAACCCGATATAGCATCAACGATTTTTTCACCCAGATTAATTATGACGGTTGACATCCATCCTCCTACAAACTCCCCCACTTTCGCTGCATTCTTAACGTCTGCTGGTGCAGTTCCACTTGCATTTGCGGTTGCGGCGACAATTCCATTGACAATTGCGTCGGCCACTGTAACTCCAGCGGCACTTGAGTCAGCCGGCGCAACTACATTGGTGCTTGTGTTCGCTGCCACAGCGTTATTCGCATTTGCGTTCGCTGCTGCAACATCATCGGCTCTTGCGTTAGCTACCGCAGCGTTGTTGGCATTATTTGGGGATGTATTTCCCAAATCATTACAGTGCACAGATGTAATGCATGTATGCCCAAGGGCAATCAATGCGATGAGTGATAACGTATTGACTTTCATTTCCTGTTGGAGGGTTGGTTAGACTCTAGTGATATGGGGTCGTCTATACATACGTGTTCGGACTTATTGTCTACACGTTTCAGTTGAGCTATCTCGTTACTTAATGGGTGTTGGTAGGCGTGGCATAGGTGTACATTACAACCCTGGTTGTACAGATGGCGGATGCCTCCGCCTGCCAAGTACTCATTGAAGCATTACGTGGCACTCATCAGCGTCGTAACTACGCTATTATCCGGAGTTACTTTGTCTACTCCATGGGGAGTTTCTTACATCGAGACGGTCTGAACTCATCTCTCGTTTTGGGTTAGGGCGGAAGTCACACATTTACGTATATGTGTACTTCCCTGTTTGGCGCCTCTTGTACTTCAGGACGCACCTTTTTAATGGCTGTACATCGTGTTTTGTACGCTAGGCGAACGTAATGATGACACGGTGTGCATCCGAGAAACGTTTTTTAGATACACATTGCAATGGTATTTTACAGAGTCACACATACACGAGCCGTACTCCGGCGCCGCTCCTTCCACGTTCATCTATAATGCTGTGTAAATAATTCATGGTTGTGCTTAACTCTGTGATGAGGGTTAATGCGCCACATTTGTGTTTGGCAGACAGCGTCCTTGCCGGGACAGAACGTCTCGTAGTGAAGCATTTTCGTTCTTCGCCACTAGTTTACTATTGTTTGACTGTAAACGTCGGCATATATTTGATCTTGCGGTTCTATCGCTATTGTACTCCGGTGTGTCTATTACACACGTCCTACCCCGTGCAGGCGACGTCACGTTTCACGGCGAAGATACGTTGATTCATCACCAACCAAGATCAGCATATGCGTCGTTAATAGTTCATAAAACGATTAAAAGCGTTTGGACAGTTTATAGTGACCTCGCTTCATGGTTTGTTGGCCAGATTTGTGTTTAGAGGTTTACTGTGCGACCTTCTTGTGATTGGCCTCATCATCTGATTCTTCGCGCATTCTTTTACTGCTCGAAGACGAAGTTCCGTTTCCATTTTCGGCATACTCGTCATCGTCTCCTTCTTCCACTTCCTCCTCTTCGTCCTCGTAGAAATCTTCCTCCTCCTCTTGTCCATCGTCCGGTACGAATTCCTCGTCATTTTGGTCGTCGTCACTGTTGTAGTCAGCCTCGTAGAACTTTTTAAGTACGTCATCTCCCTCCTCTTCGTCATCGTCATCATCGTCGTAGTACTCTGCGTCGGAATCCACGTGGCGCTCTGCTCCTGAGTGGTCAACTTGGTCAAGGCTCTGGAGATTGGGCAGGGCAGAAAAGATTGTCTCCCTGTAGTTTTCGGCCGACGCCAGAGGGTTCATTGCGAGACCCAATGCCACCAGGTGCTTCATTGGGCGTAGCATGTGCACGTCCTCGATTGTTTTGAGGTGATTTCCGCCAAGGTGCAGCATACTCAGATTGGGGAAAAGGTTCGGTATCATCGAGAATATGACGGTGTCGGAGAGGTAGTTGTCTGTCATCTCGAGGACCTTCAGCGAACGCATCTCAGGGAAGTTGGTAAGCGAGGTGAGCCCTGTGCCGTTGAGTGAGAGTTTGGCGAGGTTCTTGAACTTTGCGAGGAGGTCGCCATCCTGAGGCGTCAGTGTCTTTATTACGGTCCCGTCGAGGATGAGTTCACGAAGGTGAGTGTACACCGACTCGTCTCCTTCCTCCAGATTGAGTTCCTCTCTGAGCGCCTTGAGGCGATTGTTAACGGCTACGTCCATTTTAAAATCCTGTATGCAAATACAAGTCTTCTTGAATTACCCCTGATATTGTCTACAGGGTCGGGTTTGCAGGCTGCAGGTAGAGTGGATTCGGGTGCAGTCTCGTTGGCAAAATTTGCGGTTGCGTGCTACGTTTTGCAGTATAAACTCAACTATAGCTTTCCACTGTTCCGCAAAATTTCTGTGTGCGTCCACGGAGTTATCTAGTCCACCCTTTTTGCGTGGCGTTACGCGCTCCTCAGAATCTTGTGTCAAATGCTGCCTGTAGAGCCTATACAACAGGCTTCTCACAGAAAAATTACTTTTCACCCCTACTTAAGAAGCGTGGTGTGAGACACCGTTAACAATGACGTTTAGAATGACACGCGGCCGTCGTATGTTATGTGTGGAATCCTTGTGTGGTACTACGGTGCGCGCTAAAATAACGTCTTATGCGCGACCTACGCGTTTAACGGAAGCTTTTGATATATATTAGTCCTACATGGTTCTTACGAACCCAGAAAAGTATGTCACGCGGTGCATTGTTGTGTGTCTCTGGTGGGTGTCACTCGACGAACCTCCGTGGCACACGATTACCATCTTCTCAGCTTTTTGTTTATAATTTTAGTAACAATATTCGCGGTTCAGTACCACAATGGATTCCGGTGATTTGTGCATAATAATAACATTCATGACATGTGTTGGTCCATTCAGAAATAATCGCGGTGTAGTTTAAAATACGTTGTTTTTCGACGGCAGCACTGGCTATGTAATTCGACACTCTATCAAAGTGTATGCATACGGCTTGGTGTGATCGCTTCGATACGCCGGAGAATCTTTCCACAATCAAGCTGAGAGGCGAACAATGCGTGATGCGCAGGACCTTGCAGGGTTGAGCCTCCATTTCCAGTGTAAAAGTTGCTTCTGCGTACCACAATAATGTTAAGGCATATAATTGACTAAAAAGTCACCATCCTCTCAGCCACCATCACTGTCACGATAGTAGACAGCGGCTGAGGGTTGCATTGGTCAGCTTCAGCTGCAAAGGAAAGCTGGTCTGACATCGCCCATTGTTTCAGCAGTCGCCAATAAGAACGTTACAAATCTATACCACGTACGCGTCGTTTATTTTTCCGATCTAGGTTGCAACCCAACTTTATGCCTTGCTTAGGAGTTACCGCTAAGGAAACTATTATGCATCACAATACTCGCAGAATAAGATGCTAAAGATATATTATAAAGTCTCATTGTGAATCGAATGCCCAACATGTTGCGCACCTCATCCATATTTGTTAACTGATTTCCAAAACAGTGGTAAGCATATTCAATTCCTCTTAACTCTAAGTTGGTTCGGAACGAAGTATGAGCTTAGAGGCGGCGCTGCCTTTGGGGTTTCTACCTTTGGGGGGATTTGTATTGCGATAGGTTTTTTCGGTGGAGCACTTGGAGGCGGCGGGGGTGGCGGTGGAGGCGCTGCTGCATGATTCATGCCTCGGTTGACATCGATATACTTTGGTGGGTTTACTTCAAGCCTCCTCTTCGCATGATTCACGTGCATATCTCGTTGTGCAAACGTGGCTCCACGCTTATTTTGTGCAGCTGCCTGCTCGTAATATCATAAACGTGTTTATAAATATGCAACCCACCTGACTCGTAGAGTCTTCCTTGGGTGGGAGTGGTGGCGCGTTTTGTAGCAGCTCCAGTGCAAAGTCATCCGGTAGTTTTTCCTTCTTCACCTTGCGTTTCGGGTTGGGGCTAATTACAGCGCCTCCTGCGATTTCAATGACGCATTTGGGCTTGTCCTCGTCGGAGTCGCTATCATCTTCCGATGAGCTTGCGTCTGAGCTCGACTTGTCGCTAGATTCGCCTACACAAAAATTTGATTTGGTCACTCAGTGTGCTGTATGACGCAACAGGTGTACGCCAGCAGACTCGCCGTTGGCGGACGAATGATGCGGGTATTTCATTATACCTTATCACACAAGATCGTTATTTGCACGAATCCATCACCGGATCTGTTGTAGTCATCTGTGCAGTGTGACTTACTGGGTGGACTAATGTTTTGTGCTGATGCGGCGATTGTGGTCTCATGTTTTGCCCATAGTTTCTCTAGTTTAGCCTTACGCTCAGATGCAGTATCATCGATTCTCCCGATTATACCTGGAAGTGTCATAAACGTTGGTAGGAGCCTTACTCTTATGCGAGAGTTCATCGAGTTCCTTCTTAAGCCTGTCTGGGTCCTGGACTAACTTCGCTGCCTCCCTCGCCTCCTGTCTATCTTTCCTATGCTAACAGAATGATATAAGTTAAACGAAGGCGCTCACCTTTTCCTTCTCGCGCTTCTTTTGAAGCTTCCTATAAGCTTCGACGGGATTAGGCATGATGACGACTCGTCAGCCTACACCTTGCAGCCTATTTTATTACTTAATTATATATGACATGATACGTTGTCAGGCTTTTGGGCAAGTTGGCTTCTGCTTCCTGGCTGTCGGATCAGCACCCTGCTCCAACATCAGTACTGCCTTCCCCCTTTAAATCAGCCACTATGCAGTTCATTTACTTCTCATACGCAAATTCAAACAAATGTGTATCCACAAATCTATTATATAACACAAGGAAGCGTTTAAAAGCAACCATAGGACGCCGTTGCACTGCTACTACTCATCGCCCTTTTGGTCGCCTTCTTTGGCAACTTCGGCAGCTGCCTCTTCCCGATTGAGCTGCATCTGTTTCATCTGCTCGAGTATCTCTTCCAGTCTGTCTCTGGGTGCCTTTTTGAGAATGTTGAGTTGCTTGAGTTTAGACCTGAGGCTGTCCCTAACGTACCGGAGCCTGTCTAACGAGTTTTGCATTGTGAGAGCATCGTAACGTTCGTCGGCCGTGAGGTGATAATCAAATGCCGTGTATGCTGCGATTTGAGCGAATGCCTGCGGCCCCGTGGCGAGGTCAATGTTGAAGTGGTCCAGTCTCTCGTCGATGAGATCGTGAAGTTCCGGCCTGCTTTTGATGCGTGCCACGGCGTAGTGCTGTCCCAGAAGCTCCATCATTTCGCATTCCACCTTGTTGCACATATCGTGCAAGCTTGTTATTTCGTCTACCAGCTTCGGCACCTCATCTAATTCGGTGAACTTGGGGTCGTCCTCTATTGGAATGATTTTGGCTTTGATGAAGGGCTCCTCCATCACCACCTGATGCAGCAGCACCCTTCCAAGCACTCTGCCTTTGACCTTGAGCCTTTCTCCGCCTCCGTCTACGAACGCCTCCCTCGACAGGAGTTCCGCGTATACGGCAAGGGGCGCCAGCTGGCCGGAGTTGGGATTAATAAAACACATGCCGTATATCTGCTTGGTGCTACCGTCGGGCATGGTGACGTCATCTATCAGAGAGTTGAACGTCATGTCCACATATTTCCCCCTGAAGACAACAGGGTCCTCGAATCCCAGCTGTAGCGGCGACGGCAGCAGCGAGTACTGATCGATGAGTATTGGAAAGAAGGACATCACTTTCTCCCCCGGTTGCCAGCTCGGCACCCACTCGTTTAGACGCCCCGTATCAACGTTTGTCGGGAATTCTTCGATGTTGAGCCGCATGTCTGTGCCGCTTCCAGACAGCATCGGTCGCTGCCCTTTCTCCAGTTCCCGTATCCCTGTAGAGTCCACCGACTTCACCACTTCATCGCTGGTCATATTCCTGTTATCCCTCACTCTGTCCCAGTTGAAGTATTTCTCCTTATCAGCCCCCTGTTCTCCAGCTTCTCCATTGTCTGCTGTTTGCTCCGCCGACTGTTGTAGCATTTGTTTGTCGATATACTCAATGCTTTTGCGTTCGTACTCCTCGTGAATGGTGGTGTGATCCTCCCGGTCATCGTGTACCCTGCCGTGCTCGCTGGCTGTGTTGCATTGCGCTTCTTCACCTTCCTTGTCTTGGTCCGTGTCTAGAGCGAATCGTGCGACAGGGCGCCTGTTTTGCACGACAGTTCTCGAGCCTACACCCGTAGGGAGGAGAAAAGCCTCTGATGCTCTATGGAAGGCACATGTAGGCGCATTGTGATGGCGCGGTTGGAGCGCTTCCGCGCGCTGGATTCCTGCGATAGCCACTGCGATAAGTTTTGCTGCGCGGCGGAAGCCCATTTTAGGTGCTCATTATGCGTATGTGTGGATGTATTTTGCAGTTACAGTGCCTTCTACATCGTCTTACGGCCGATTAATGGGTGTTAGTGTCGGTTACTGCCACACATGGCGGCAATCGCGGGGGCCGCAAATCCTCACTTGCATCAATGCCATCAGCCCTTACGCAGCCAACATAACCAAATAAACGTGCCCATGTCGTTGCAGAACCTGGTGAACGTGCTTTCACGTGTCAAAATAGCTGCGGAGTCGTTCCGCAACCCGGTTTTCCGCAACTACTTCGTTGGGAAGGTAGTTACATCGTGTTCACTTGAGCTTTTGTGCTTGTAACACCGTGCTTATGCTTGATTTGTTGACGTTATTGTAGGCTGAGGAGGAGCTGAGTCTGTTGCGCGAGCGCGGAGCATCGATGCCTTCCTCTGAGCTGGAAGCGCGATTGCATTCGAGCACTGAGTTGGAGGCGATACTTTTACGCCAGACCGCGGTACACAACCTGTACTACGTGTCCGATGCGCGTGTGGACAAGTGAGCACTGCGTGCAACGTGTCCGGAGTCGTCCATAAATCTCCTCTCGCAGTAGAACAGTTCGCTCGAATTTTATAAACTAATATTACTATTTTTCATTTCATTGTTCCATTTTTTGTGGCGATTGTGCCATTAGGCGCCGGCATACTAGCGTCTGTTCTACGCAGCTCGGAAACTTCGTCGCACAGTGAGCGATATTTTCGCGCTTTGTCGACCGTGAGTTCTACTGACGTAGTTGCGACAGGGCTGTTTTTATTATCGCCGTGGTTAGATGCGTTCGTGCCCTCGTTGAATCTGGTTGCATCCCTTAGTCGGTATTGCCGCCTAGCGGCTACGTAGCCTTGCTTTATGGACGCGCCACGGAGCGACAGATGCGATGCGGGTGTGTCCGGTTACGTGAGTGACTATGCCGGCTGCAACCGCGGGCAAATACGATCCACCCGACCACAATGCTGTTGATGTCGAGTTAGCTGTTGGCAGCACGTTTGGTGCCGGATACAATGAACCCGCTTCATCAAGATTCGGGTATCCGTCGCCTGCGTCGGACGATCCGACAATATCGCTGGCAGGATCAGCCCGTTCTGTCAGCGCCAGAGCGGAGTTGCCCACGGATGCGTTGAGTAGTGCTCGCGAGGACGTGTATGACAGCAGCAATATAACATCTCCAAACGTCACAGATGTCGAGTATATAGACATATCGCTTGGTTCGCTGGATAAGCCACTCAGGAGTGCTGGTGATCTAGAGGCTGGCCCATCGGAGCTCGATAACACGCCCAGCAATGCATCGGTGTTGGGGGAGCATCCCGCTGACGGAGGCGATAAGCCTAACCTCTCTCGATCGGCGGGCGGATACGACTTGAAGCGCGTGCTGTTCGCATTTTCATTCTGCTGGTTGAGCACTTTCGTGGGTCAGGTGCTGCGGATGCCGCTGTCATCGTCGAAGGTTAACTTGCAACGGAGCCTGGGGCTAACTACGCTTGATCTGACTCATCTCGACACGGCGTTTTCCGTTTGTCATGTCTTCGGCCAGATAAGTTCGCCGGCGCTATCGTCCAAGACGAATAGTGTTGCCCTGGTTGCGATATACCAGTTTATGATGGGCTTTGCGATGACACTGCTATTCGCTCCGGACAGCATGGGCTACTTCGTAGTGGTGTACGCTTTCGCAGGCTTTGTCAGCGGACCCGTCTGGGCGGTGTTGTTCTCACATCTGTCGGAGTGGTTACCCAAGGAATACAGTTTCCCGCTAATTACGGTGTGGTTCACGGGATCCGACCTGGGGGCTATTGCTGGGACGTTGATCTGCATTTACGCTCATGAGATCTGGGGTTGGCGCAGCTCATACGTCGTGAGTGGTTTGTTGAACATGCTGGTGGCGGTTTTGCTATTCTGCCTGTACGACAACTCCAAGGAGCCCACGTCTGACGGCCGGATCGTGGACCCTCGTGCCATCGTCCGCAGCAATATTCGGCATTTTGAGCGTTATGCGCGTCGCATTCGCCACCGCCGCAACTGCGTGGAATCCTTTATCGCCACTGCGAGTGAACCTCCCGCGCCCGCCCCCGACTCTCGGCGAGAGTTCATTCTGTCTGGTTTAAGCAACATACAGCAGGAGGTGAAGGAGACTGCGGCAGGATCCGTCAGCTTCTCTTCGTTCACATTTTTCATGCGAACCAGGGCGACTGGTCTGTATTCTAAGGCACGCCGAATAAGCGTGGATTACGTGTCTGTCCTTTTTCGCGTGAGCTATATTGGTCGCATTGCGGTTGCGTCCTTCATTTTGAAGCTGGTGAGGAACTGTTTCAGCTCGTGGGTAAACTACTATGTGTCCACCATGTATGCCTTTACGGTGGCACAGGGCAACTACGTCTCGCTGACGTTTAGTGTGGGTAACTGCGTGGGCAACATGCTGGTTGCTGTCGTGTGCCATGTATTCTGGAAGGGACGGCCGTTGACTGCGTGCACGTACTTCTGCGGCACCACCGCTGTAGCGGTGTTGGTGTTCAGTCTGATGAATTTCAGCTGGCCGCTTCTCTCGTACTTCTTCTGTTTCATAACCGGGGTTGTTATGTCGGCCACTGAGGCTATACTGATGGCTCGTGGGATAAAATCCCTATGCGATCGTTCTGGTTAGTTTTTTGCGTGTTGCTATTCACATTGTTTCAGAGTTGACTCAGCAGGAGTCGCTCGTTGTCTACGGTTTCCTGCTGGCTGCTTCCACCGTCGGTTCTGTTTGCCAAGGTTTCTTGGTGGCATTCGTGGTTGACTGGTATGTTGTTTTTGCCCTTGGACTCTAATAATCTCAGGTACGGCTGGGCCACCTTGTACGGTATGTTCGTGTTGGCGCTGGTGATCGCAACGGCGCTGTTGAGGAAGCCATCACGGACAGAAATATAATATAATTTTTTCTGTATTATATGTGTCTATTGCGGTGTGCAAGCTGTAAGTTGTGCTTGTCGCCATGTCGTCGTCGCTGCGTGCGTTGATGCGCCGCGAGAAGGCGGCAAGGCGTGGCGCCAATTCTGAAGATTCCGAGGCACCTGCCAAGGTTCAGGCAGTGGCGCCGCGCGCAGATTCCACATCGCAAAAGCCGCAGGTCGTGGAGCCGCGGCGTCCTTCTCCAGAGGCTGCGCCGAAAGTATTAGAGGAATCGTTTGAGCTTGTTTCTGACTCTGAGGACTCACATGGCGCATCTTCACCGTCAAAATCGGCTGAAGATCGCCCTCTGGGATCCCGTCGCGACACTGGCGACGATTTGGGGGCATCATCTGATTACAACTATTTATCGCATTCGTCCCTATTCCGTGACCTGTCTGATGGCGATACCGGTGCATCTATGAGTGTCATTGAGGGTGGAAATCGTCTGTATGATGATATCAACGGCTCCAATGTTCAAAGTGGAAATGAAGTCGGTGTGAAGCCTTTGCCAGATGGAGATCAACAGCCAACTACAACGGCCGCCCGGACATTATATCCATCCACAGATGGGACTGAACTGAACCCCGATCAGTTAAAAATGTCAGATGACGTGCACATCTACGATCAATTGAACACTGCCTTCAGCAGCCGCATAGAGTATGAGAGGCAGCGCATCCTGGGGAACGTCGACGATTCCGCTAGCACGTTGGACTACGGTGTAGTGGGTGACTCCAGCAGTACGATAACGTCCGCCAACTTTGGCAAGTCGAATATGCATTTGAGCACAGATGTTAACCTGCCTGATGGTTTCTTCGACAACAAGAGGTCCGATGCGCAGGCTCGCGGCAAGATGACTGGTCGTGAGGCAAGCGAGAAGCTCTCAGAGCTTGAACGTAGTCAAGCTGAGCTGCTGAACGAGGCTCGTTACGTCCAAGAGAAGTACGTGGAGAGCTGGCAGGAGCGGCACCGTCTGATGCGTTACGAGCAGGAACACCAAGAGGCCGTGCGTGAGCTGTCCGCTAAGGTCGACGCCATCAAGAGCGACATTGCCGATGCAGGCTCGGAAGAGGTCCTGACTTCAACCACTGTTCATACATTAGGGACTCCTGCTTCGGAAGACTTGAAATACACTCCTAACGACGAGGATTCTGATGACTTTTCGTGGCGCATGAAAGCGTTTACGTGACAGTGATATAATTACTTGTTATAACTATTTACGTGCAGTATTCAATTAAAATTTGGCATTGGCGTCATACCATTCATGGCCATGTTGGCGAATATGTTGTGGAATTGGGTGCAATAGATCACGGTACTATCCGAAATCAGTCAGAGACCCGGATAAAAACGTGTCCCAATTGGAAATCGCTCTGAATTGATGATACTTATAACCACCGCATCAATTGATTACCGGTTCTATACAACGGATAGTGGGAAAACCATCCAAGGGGAGAGATAACGAGGAACTGGTGCAAGATCTCAGGGTTAAACTCTTCTGCTAGCAGAGAACTATCGAGGTGGTAGTATGTGTAATGATGACATAAAACCCAAAGAAGATTATGACTCTGTGAATGACCCTCTCGCCCAAACAGGATGGATGCCACAATGGATGGTACCTGTAGTGTACGACAATTCGACATGGATCCCGCAACCGACACCAGCAGCCTAAGGCGCTTGCCTGGTAAACACGAAAATCGGACCTAAGCCACGTAGCCACATAGCGCACTAAATAAAACCAAAACAAAGATAACAACTGCTTTGGATTTTATAATGACAAATCAATGAGCGGCAAAGTAGGCCATTCACATTCACACTAATAACTTTGACTTGAATCCATGACAGCCGTCTCCATCTCTAGCAGTATCGACATCATCAGGGTCAGCAGTTGCGACATGTTGCGTTGACATCACCGTTGTGAACGACTTCAATTGCGTATCGCTATGATTCAAATAAGGTTTTGCTGGAATGTCGTGAGACATAACATTGATTCATAGTCAATAGAGGAGATTACCAGAGTGCCATATGAAGTAGGCTACAACAGGGTGAGACGTAAGGTTCACTTTGCGACGAGGTACGCACATCTGTAAAACGATGGCATCCCACCATGTCAATGGAGAGTGAAGGTGAGTGTCCATTTCCTCAGGCATGTGATGGGCGCCATCATAGATGAACTACTTGGTCGTCTGTTAAGTGAGTGGTTGACACGTCAGTTATCGTGTGCGATTCTAGGCAATGAATTTCGCTGGAACTCGCCGAAGCAATTGCCAGTGCACGGCCTGGTAGAGTGGCATTTGTGGACAGCATCGTTGCGATCACTAACATAATAGACACGCATCGTAGCTCAGCTACGCGGTCATTAGTGCACCAATATAGTGGCAAGTATGCAATACGTCTTATGCCCGCAATTCAAAGTGAAGAGCGTGCATCGCAACTGCATGTACGTTGTGGTATCCCTGGCGGTTTGTCGCGTGGCGTTTAGTTGGCGGTGAGGGGAGGAGGCTTGGCGGTTGTGCTGTTCGGGGCTCAGGATACGTGTTTCTTGGATGTGAAGGTTTATGATAGAGGGGATACGGGAAGATGTCGGAAGCGGGGTGTCATTGTGGTAGAAAGGGTGGAACGTGTCATGGAAGTTGCCGGTGCTGTAACTGGTGTTGTCCGGGGTGTACTGGAGTCAACAAGTGCAACGCGTGCGAAGACAATCGTTCCGGGAAATACGGTCATTCTAACTGTTCGAAATGCGCAGATGAATACCTGTGGAGTTGTGACTGTGATTGTTGTAAAACTAAATTTATAAGCATCGTCATCGTTACCATCATCATAATCTTCATCATCATCACTGTCGTATGCGTTATGACCATCTTTCGCATTCGACCGTTCCACAAGGTCCGCGATTGTTTCGTACGCAAGTGAAGGCTTAGTATCGCATTCTTAAATAAACTTCGGCATTCATTATAATCGCACTTATCGCACCATCTTAGACAGTAGTGGCACACCGCCAACCTAATAACGTCTTTTTTAATGACTCAAAATCGTGCATCGGTAGGTGCCCGGTGAACGCGTTCATAAGCTAGATCGTAACAGCGGATTAGTTAGAAAACGCGAGTAACACAGCTCAAGGTTGTATCCGCATCCGCTCACACCTGAGGACGCCATCGTCACACCGCATAGATGTGCAATCTCTCATGGCGGCGGCAGGCTCTTCCAACTCACCTACCTGTAACCACAATCGTCCCTTCATGTCACTCAATAACACACTCACCTGACTCACTACCTGACCACCTACCGCATGACTCACAGCGTAATCAAATTCCTCACCCAGCACCTAATCTAACATGTCATCTAGTCGTTGCGCCACCATGTTCGCTGTATGTGATGTTGCCTTCTTTGTTACCCGTAATACGCGTCTGAGCCATCCCACTTTGTTAGTGTAATGTGAAGCCGGGCGGCCGTTCACCGGGCTGTCAGGCAACTAACGCCGCGGTGAGTGAAGGATGGAACCATATGTTAGGCAATAATATGGCGCGCGATGACATTAGTATGTGTGTAAAGTCGTTGAGTTATGAGTAATGGGTGTGCCTGCGGGTAATACGTGGTCGCCAATGTGAGAACCACGGGACGGCTACAGTTACGGGGGAGTATCTGTAGGCAACATTACCGCAACCGCAAAATTGTCATAGGACATTATATCTCAGCTAGTGATTCATTAACATACTCGTAGTGCGTCACAAAGAACATGATGGGTGGTATTGCGGCTGTGCCTCCAGAACTTGCATAGCTGACGATCCTGTAACCTTGATTATGAGGTGAAGCTACTTGTAATGTAGCGCTCGTGGTGGAGCTTTCTTGTACGTGGAGGCTCTGGGATTGTGTTTTTTGTCTGCATGCGCAGCCGGGTGGATGCCACTGTGCATGTAAGTAATTAAACTGGCATTGCTTTGCAACGGATGGCAGAGGCTTACGGTAGGTTGTTCATCGCTGTGCAGGGTTGATTAAAATGGGCAATGTTTTGAAAGGTATATTACCAACGAATTGTCTGCTGTGTAGTAGTGGTGAGGGCACGGAATGCAAAAATGGTTGCGTGTATATCATCGGCGCCATCTTAATTATACTTATATTTATCGTATATAAGCTATTACGTGGTCCGTTATGCTGTATCAAGAAGGTGCTCTGCTGTATCTTCTGATCCATGCCTGCAATCGCATACTTCCCAACCAACTCTGTTAACATACTCAATCGCACCCAGTACACACAGCCTCCTTTAGCCATGTCGACTTAGATATCTGTCTGCCAATGTCTGACGGGCTACGTAGCGTTTCTGGTTGGCGGTTATGTAGCGCAGCCTCCTCTGAGCGTCTGATGCAGCTCTCGTAACGGCTTTTTCGTGTAACTCGCATTCGCGATCAGCGACATGACCGTGATGGTCTGCGCCCACTATTCCCCCTTATCGATGTGTGGTTTCGCTGCGTTTTGACTTCCCGGGGGTCTGACATGTCTTGTTAACAACTATCCCTACCAAAGTTTTTCGTCGCGGTCCCTCTCCTTTTCGTCAGATGGAGCATCACTTAAACATCTTTCGTGAGTTTGGATCTCTGCCTCCAAGATGGTTCTTATAATGCTTCTAGTCCCGATTCTATTACAGCTTGAAACTAGGTTAGGAGTAACCGCTCAATTCATTTTAGCATCCCCACGCAACTAACTCAATGCATAAAAGTTACAGTATAGAGGCTTATGGGCTATCATGTAACAGACTTTGTCACCGCAGAATGCAAACACAGATTCCACAGAAATCGTGCACCGCGCTAAAGTTAACAGCTATTAGACATTATCTCGCAGTTTCAGCATCAAAATATGAGGAGCGATGACATCTCATGTATCGCCGGACTCGCACAGCGACCTGAGCAATTTGCTAGACTGGCGGACGGCTTCCTGTAGGCGTGGTTCGACGGTAGACTTGCAGTAGGCGCCACGCAAGTAGTCCCGCAACATGCCAACGTATGTCGAGTGGCTCTTATACAGTTCCGAGCGAGTCACTGGGCTCATGCACTTCTTGTAGTGCATACGAGTCATCACTTGTACCTGGAGTATCTTGGTGAGACGCAGCATAGCCAGCAAGATGCGTCCGCCGTCGCCCCGACGAAGCGATTGCACGCTGAGCTCCACACATATCACCAGCAGACGCGATAACACGTCCACCCCTTGCTCCAACGCGTTAACAGATATAAGCCTGCTCAGACCGTTGTACAGCTTCAGGTTGCGGTGGAAGCATTCCTTGGGCAACGCGAGGCAGTGGATCACAACAGCACAGTACTGCAACAGGGAACGGCCATCCAGCTGCCCGGAGGCGATAGTGAACAGTTCGACCAGAGCAACAATCGCCTCCACCACCTTGTCAGTAGACACGCCTACTCGAGAAAAATCCTCAACTTCCTTACACAATCGAAGAATCGAGATGTGGCAAGCGTCGACTAACACCGGAGAAAGAGCGGAGACGACCTGCTGATCAGGAAACGCGGCAAGGTTCTCCAGTATGCGATTCGCTCTTTCAAGGCAACTCTCAATTATGCCCTCGTCGTAAAAGGAAGGCACAAGACCGTGGTAATCCTGGTAGTTGGAGAGCAGGCAAAAGTTGGCGATGTACGAACAGTCCGACAAGATGGACTCAACCATCTTCATGTATCGTCTCAGCAGCACGGAAGATTCACAGTCAGACTCAACACTCTCGCAGCGCAAGTGACGCGAAAGGATGCGGGAAACCGAGCTACGTGCCGATTCCACTGCGGCCGATGAGGCGGAGGACACAACAGCTGGGTACATAGAACCGTTCACAGCATCGGAAACGTGAGTGCCATAGGTAGCAGCGGATTTTGTTGTGTTAGATCCCATGTCAGACCCATTTGCACCATCTGCGACTCCGGAAGTCGTAGTGGCATTCGTCACATCCACAGCCGTTGCTGCCCCAAAAGCCGGAGGCACGTCTTCAGCGTCATTTCCGATTACATCGGCAGGCAACATACACTCGTCGGTGCCCTGAGCGACCACGTTTACCGACGGGGTCGTTTGGATGCCGATTTCACAGGCTTCACGCTTGTTCCGTACGGGTGAGGACACACCCATGTCAGACACAGCATCGGCATGAAGAGATACACCTCTGACGGGGTCTTTGCCCGTGTGACGTTGGTAAACACCTTTTTGCAGCACATCTGCTGGGAAGGATCCGTAATCCTCGTCATGATCCTCCTGACCAAGATCCAGTGGCACTGGCGATACGCGGTCTAAAACGGGTGATGCAGTGCTATGCACGACCTTTTCTCCAACACCACTCGCCGGTCCATCTCCACTCACGTTCTCAGAAACGTGGTTATCGAAAATCATCGCACCCGGCTCGGTAGAAGCATCGGAAGGAGGAGAAATTTCTGCAGTGGGCGTACAACGCACACTGCCTTCCAAAGCAAACGTAACGCTGCGTCTGCCTTCTGTGCCAGATTCACGAGATTTTGTGGTGGCCATGGGAATTGGAGACAGATTGGTCACGTGACTTGGGCTCATCTGACCAGTGTCCACAACCAAGTGATCCGTTCTCACGTCACAAACAACCTTATCAGGAGCTTCCACAACTTCTGTTGAAGGCGCATCGGGTAACTTTGACAGCTTTGGAGTCAAAGGCTCTGATATCCTTGGCTGTTTCGCAACGGGCAACCGTGCGGATACGCATGGCGATTCCCCGTTACAACCCTGTTGTGCCGTTTGTGATAACCGAGGAGTTTTGGGGGAGAGAGGTGACCCACCAACAACCACAGAGATACGCTGCCTTGTATTAGATGCGGAATTGGTGCCGAATGATGGCGGCGCCGATGCTGAGCTTAGCAGAATCGATTTAGACGAAGCAGTCGCTGATTTCGACGGTGATGTGGCATCAAGTGTTGATGCCACCGCAACTGTGCCGACGGAATGTCTCCCAATGCTAACCTCACCATTCATCTTGACCAACTGTTCCGCCTTGTTAGATGGACTGAGCGCTTTATTGCCGATGACAGCGCTTGCTGCTAGAACTGGAGATGGACCACACGGTGTTTTGTGGCCAGTTTCTGTAGACGTCCGAACTGATGAAATGCGGAATTTCGTCACCGAGTTACGCCCTGTTATCTCCTGCTCTTCCGAAATAGATGATACAGACGATTTATCAGAGCGAATTGCCTCCCCATCCATCGGCGATTTCCCCGAAACCTCAGCGCACCCTGGGACATCCACATTGGATGTAGCCACAGGGCTGGTGCAAGCCATGTCACGTAGACTGGAGGTCTTTGGCACCTCCTCAGACCTCACTACGGTAGATACCCGTTGTGGAGACACTGGAGACGCTGGTTGCGAAATTGGCATAGAACCGGGAACAATGGGGGATGCCATACGCTCACAGAGGGCGGCTTGCCATACACAGGGAGAGCTGCATGCCGACAACAATTCGGTGGTTACGTTGGTCACCTGCATGAGGTGATCGAACAATAGCAGTGCATTGCCCTGATTTCTCTCCCGATAAATGGCAAGTGCATCTAGCACCCTGGCGCTCTCATCAACAGACAGCTTCAGACCCATCTCCTTCACCTTAGCGAACAAACGGTCAAAGCAGCGGTAAACTTGATTTTCACACAAACCACGAAGCAGAGTGCAGCACAACCATGTCAGCAGCTCCAATCGCACATTATTCTCGGCGAACAGCATGCCACTCAGCAAATCCCGGGGCTGCTGCAAAAATGTCTCCCAAAACGTGCACGCACGCATCAAGCCGCTTTCGCCGTTGCTCTCGAACATACAGCAATACAGGTCACGATAAAGCTTCTCCTTCATACGCATGGACGCGAACAAAAGCGCATTGCTGAACTTATCAGGGAGGTCAAGCGCATTGTGACGAGAACTAGACGAGCCTTCGCTGTGTCCTGCTGGCGGTGACGGGGTGGCGATAACTTTAGTGGAATCTCGAACGGCAGATGGCAGGCATATTTCGAAAGCAGCGGCGAGGACACCATCATTAATGGGCGACGTGCCTGACGAAGCAGTAGAAGTTGCTCGGTAACCTGGAGCTGGTACGGGAGATGAATCAACCTGTGAAGCAGTAGGGACGTCTGGTTTTGGCGATCGAGAAACTGCCTCAACCTCAGCGGCCGGCGACACATGCTCATCCACATCCGGTGTTGGAGCTGAATCTATCGCATCCAAAACCTTAGCGGCTAGAAGGGATACGTTCCCCCCGTCCGAAGATGATAAACGTGCACAATATGACACGATAATGCCGACAGTGGTCCCACTCAAATTGCCGACCAATTCGGGTGTGAGTAGTGTTAATATGAGCTCCAACATTGCTGAAGACTCGCACGAATCGGCTGAACTTTTCCCATCAACCAACAACGCGGCGAAAAATGCGTTGCTATCGCAACTCGCAGAAAGCTGCTTCATCAGGGATGCAACCTTCGGGTTACGCACATCAGTAGACATAGCAGCAATTAGCATCGCAGCACTCTCCGACGTTACACCGCATGCGATGAAATCTTCCATAAAAGAATACAAAGCAGCTTTGCCCGTCTTGGACTGCTCACTGAAATTGTGGGTGCATTCACCTAGAAAACGCAAGATGGATTGCTCCAACGCACTCGCTAGATCCGAATGACCTTTTAACCACATTGAGAGCTCATATAGCCCCTCAGCCAAACTGCGACGAGAAGAGCCACGCCGAGAGATCTTATTCAGGATACTGGAATCGACGTGATTCAACAGCGTACTCTCAGCTTCAGATGGAACGAACAACGTAGAAACGTCATCTGCTGTAATTCCCTCGGAGAGTCTTGGTTCGGGAGGCACAGGGCGCACCCTAGCCTCTTTGGCTGCAGGCATGACTCGGCGGACCACCGATGCCAATGGGGGTGTGGCCACACCGCCTTTTGCATCCACGGCCAACCTCTTTGTCGAATCGTCCATATCCTCGAGATTAGACCCCTCCACAACACTAGACGATACGTGATCTTCAGCAGGCGGAGCAGTGAGGGCGCTGGGCATTGACATGCCATCAGGTACAGTTTCATCCAAATCAATGTCCGCAGACGTCGAAGCTATCGGGAGGTCCACCTCCATCGCATTCGACGGTACAGAAGCATAAGATGCTTCTGTTGGTGCGGTTTCACAACTAGATGTTGCAGTGGCGCAAGGAGCAGAAACGCTTACGCCGGCACCGTTGCCATGTTTCCGCAAGCTTTTCTTCAAAAACCGTCTTACCAACTTACGTTTCGCGGGCGCCGCCGCTGATGGTGCTGACGCTGGAGTTGTCGACGGCGCAGCACTGGTAGTGTCCATTTCAACATCATCAACAGGTGGCGCGCCTCCAGGTGGTACCCTAGATCCAGCAGGAGGACCCGCGTTTCCCACCTTAGGACGTAGGCTGGATGCCGGACGGCCACCGCCATCCGTTACACGTGGACCATTTATAGGAGGAACAGGCCTAATAACAGCGGATGGAACCGCTGTTTGTCTTGCAGATGGCTTCGTACAAGAAGGGTCTTCCAATGCACGCCTGCTTTCTATAGCGGCAGATCGGACCTTGGCGTTTTTGTCCAACGTGAGAGAACTCAAAACTGGTATCAATTGCGATTTGTGGCTTTGTAGCTCTTGCGATATGTTGTCCAAAGAATCTGGCAGAACTGCAGTTCCGGAAATGATGTTGCACATGGCAATGCGTGCAAGGGGAGACTTGTGGCACAATGACTTCTTTACGGCTTCAAACACCATGGTACCATCCCCGTACTTTATCATCCACGCAACGCAATGCACTGCCGCACCCTGCACCTTGCCGTTGCTGTCCTTCAAACGGTCAAACACCAAATCTGCTAAGCATGGAGTTTTGACCTGGCGCATAAAACCCTCGCCACACTTATCCAGCAAAATGCCCAAGAACTGTAACGCTCCTAGCACTATTGGAATCGCAGACTCGAATCTGAGTATGCCCTCCAAAATGCCAACCACTTGTGTGCCGCTGGGTCCCATGTTCAACCTACACGGAACCCGTTGCACTTGGTCCACTACGGACATGAGAACATCGCGCTTGGCTTTCCATGCCTCTCTGTCATAATTACCAGACTTTGTGTCCTGTCCTGAGTACGTAAACTGCGACGACAAACGCTTAATCCACTCAGATTTGAACAGCTCCACCGACGAAGACTGCGACTCTGCGGATGGAGCTTGGTCCACGTGATTCGAAGTCGGAAGTGGACGTTGAGATGTAGGTGCCGCCGTCGAATTAGCAGAGGAGTTGCGATTAAAGGGCGGCCTGTTGCTAGCTCGGAAGACTCCTCTGGTGGTTGCAGTGACAGTTGTAACAACGGTACTGTTCGCACTGGTGTTACCGGCAGATTCATTCAGCGCATCAGCGGCGTTGTTACGACGCACCGGAAGAGGAGTAGCAGCAGCCGCCACTGCATGCGCCGTGTCCGTCATAGCGCTGGACATGAGGTGTGTAGGCAGCGCGGGCGACGAATGCTTCTCGGCCACCGTAGGCTTCAGCGGAGTTGCTGGCAACTGCTGAATGGCGGCAGGTACGGCAGACGTCTCAGCCACAGTCTCGGATGATACAACTGCCGTCGCGGTCTCGACATTGCGAGGTGACGCTGACGAAGCTGGTGCTTGCAGCGGTGAGGCTGCCGGGGCACGAGGTTTGCGCTGGAATGACCACGAAGTAGTGTCCCCGAGATGGTTCGCCTCCTTCAACAGTGTTAGGACTCGCCGCAACTGCGACGCGCTCAAATCAGGCAAAGCGGCTTTGATCTCGTCCTCGCTCGTGGTGTTGCGCAACAAAAACGCAAGCACGTTGTAACTATACAGCCGGCATAGATGGGTTCGAGTTCCTGTTATGACACTGGATGCAATCCCACAGAGCGCTTCAGACGGAATCGTGGGGGCGCCGAAAGCCTTCGTCAAAAACAGCAATGTCTTCATGATCCCAATCACGCGCCTGGCATTGTCAACAGACAGCTCAGGCGCAGTACCGCCGGAGCTGTTGCTGGGTAAAAGCAAACGCACGCTAGTCCCAAACATGTCTACTATCGCCCCAAATACCTTGTGAGAGGAACATATGGATAGCAAGTTGCAGATAAACAAAGCACACTGATCACCCGCCTTGACATTGGGGAGTGCATACTCAACCATGTCGTCGTGCAGCAGCCGGTAGAACGACAAAAGCGATTCCGCCGACCGTATACCTTCATCGTTGTCGACCAAATCGTTATCCACTTGGGCAGCCTTCAAGTAAGCAACCAGCAACTCGCACACCTTCGCCTGAAGAGGAGTGCTTGCAGTCCGTAGCAGCGTGCAAAACACAGCGCCGTCAGACTGGAAATCGAAGCGCTCCGACTGATGGCAGCGCGACAGCTGCAGTGTCAAAAGCTGTGTCTTCTCAGCACGCTCGGCGTCGGAACCTTCCAGCAAGTGTTGCAGCGACAGGGAAGGACACGACATCAGCTTGTTGCACATCAACGCCGCAGGATCCGGCAACCGCGTCGGGAAGGACTCCGACACTGGCTCCAGCTTCACCCGCACAGGCGCCTCCATTCGCGCGAATCAAACGAAGAAACACGCTACTTGACTAGCGCGCTCAGTGGCTTAGACAGACGGGGCTCCAAGCATCGCACGAAGGCCCGCAACAGCCACGAAATACGGCATATTGGCCGTAACGATCACAGATAATAATATAATTACGTGTCCTTAGAAAACACGACTCGTTAAGCTTTACACATCCCGCGCGGCCGATGTAGACATGGAGATACGACACACCATCGACACACGACCACCAGCAAAGCCGTATTTGTGCAGCGGTATATCGTAATTTACAACAAACACGTAACACACTTCGGTTGTAAGTTTGTCTGTCGGCAGATGTTAGATACCCAACATGACACGGGACGGTACGGACGTGATATGCGGAACAAGCATCAAGAAGACCTAACTCACTAGACACGCATTTATTGCAATGAGATGGTAATGCAGTGATTAACGGACACCTTAGAATCCACAGATGCGGTACTGAAGAAGTGATACGTCGCCGACATGTGATGACAAGGACTTGGTAGAGAAGGTCGGCCCAGCGCGCCTGCTGGGGAACTTTGAGGTGTTATATCACACCCATATCGCACAAATATGGCGCACATACGCCACATAAGGCTCGTGGTTAGGCCACTTGTGGAGAATCTCAACGTGCATGACATCGATTTGGCGCTGAAGAAATGCAATGCAACTGGGCTGGTGGAAAACGAGGAATACGATATCGGAGCTCGCTTAACAACCAATGGCAGTGTCAATGGTGGTTGTGTTGATAGCGAAGGCAGCGTTGGAAACCCCGTTGCTGACTCAGCACGCCATGAATGCAGAAGCGTGGCAACAGACGATACAACACCGGCAAAATTACACCGCGAAACTATGGTATGGACAAACCATGATGGCATGACGCAGGTTAAGTTTCGTTCTGATCGGGCGCAATTCGAACTGACGGGGACGGACGTGCAGATGGTGGACGAATACACCATTGTGGCGTTGTACGGTTCCATGGAGCGAGGATGTAAGGACGTATTAAAGCAACACTTCGTTTCGCATGAGAGCACCATAGAAGCCCTAATGGGACTCACAGGTTCATTCAGCATCGTATATGTGTCTTTCAGAAGCAATGCAATTTACGTATTCAAGGACGAGATCGGCACCAGGTCTCTGCTATGGGGGCACCACGGTGGAGTGATCACGATAACAGATGTGGCCCTCGGAACGCACGCAGAATGGTATGAAATACCGCCGGAATTTATGATAACCATACGAGATGGAATAAAAGTGGTCAATAGAGGGCAAACAATGCTGCGGAAACTGTGCAACCAAACCAAGATCGCATATTCTAGACTGACAATCGCTGATGTTAACAACGCGATACAGCTTGTATACGACGGTATCTCCCGGGCTGTAACGGAGCTATGCAACAGCAGGACTGTCCGTGATCGTGTAACTATTCTCTTCTCGGGCGGGCTCGACTCGAGCTTATTGGCCTGCATGGTGGCCCAACACGTAAAAGATATCGAATGCATAGAACTTGTTAATGTAGCTTTCAAACCCAAAGTGGCTCCGGATAGAATCACAGCCATATGTACGTTCGAGGACCTGACAAGAATCTACCCGGAGGTGAACTTCAAGCTAATCCTCGTCGACGTGGAAACCGAAGAGTACAAAAAAGTTGAACCAGAACTAATGAAAAGAATTATGCCAAACAACACCCACATGGATTTAAACATCGCAGCTGCGCTGTACTATGCAGTGGCACTCAGAGGAACTGTCATGCGGCCGCAACTCATCCACACGCAAGAGTGGCAGGAGATTAAGCAGAATATTGCCCTGATGAAATCCATTAATCTCAGGGTCACAATTTCAAAAGGTTATGAGTCGAAAACAAGCAACGAAGAGCTAGATTGTGGTCAAGCTGAACAACATGATAACGAGAACTCAACGGAGAATGCCAGGAAGCACGACCGCCAAGCCAAATCCGCATCTGACGAATGCGATGTTGTGGACGTACTATGGGAACAGTGAGTTACGAAACCGCCGCCTAAACTAGTTTTGCAGACTCGTCAAGCTTCATGATAACGTCAATACGGGAGTCGAAGAGTACACGTCACCCTCAAAACATGTGATCATTGGAAGTGGTGCTGACGAACTGTTTGGAGGTTATGGTAGGCACGCTGTCGCACCGCAAACAGGAGACGTTTCTTTTCCAAACGAGGTCAACAAGTATGTTTCTATAAAGATTAAGACTCTATAACCGTTCACAGGGATATACGTAGGCTCTGGAAACGCAACCTGGGAAGGGACGATCGTGTGGTCAACGCCCAGGGAGTCACGGCTCTCTATCCGTTTTTGCAGCCAGCGGTCATCCAAGTGCTTACAGATCTCACACTCAACGCTGCTACTGTTGTAGATGCGTTAGAATGCCCAGAATGGGCAAAAAGTCTAGGGGTGTATCAGTCCTTGCAGTACAGTACCTTCAAGAATTGCGAATTCCTAGATGATCGCCGCAACAGAGAAGTCGCAATATACATCAACAAGTGGATATTGCGTGAAATTGCAGTGCGGATTGGACTCAAGCACTGCGTACATTTCAAAAAAAGGGCTATACAGTTCGGCACGAGAAGTGCGAAGACGTTCAACAGGCTGCGAGGGATGTCAAACAGGGTTGCAAGCGACAAAGGTGCAGCCAAAATCAACAACAACGATCTGTGACGAAATTACATTCCCTATTAAGAAACCAATGTTGAGAGGCATCTGTGCAAATCGTTATTAACCCCGTGTTTCTGGTTGTGCAGAGTACCATGTGGCTTAGAGCCGATTTTCGTGTTTACCAGGCAAGTGCCTCTCATCTGTAGGTACGGACTGAGGCCTCCATGTCGGGTCTCCGAACGCAGTTGGCATCACTTATATGGATTCTGTGCACTGCTATATAGATCTCCCTCTCTGGGTGCAGCAAGTAGCCTATTCATAAGACCTGTAACTCAACAATCCGCTCCAACATATAACACCACTGCCATGCGTTATGTTTACGGTGAAATAATGGCATGTGCGTTCATAAGCGTAACTATTTTTTATCATTGTTTTGGTTTTATTTAGTGTGCTATGTCGCTACGTGGCTTAGGGCCGATTTTCGTGTTTACCAGGCAAGCGCCTTAGGCTGCTGGTGTCGGTTGCGGGATCCATGTCGAATTGTCGTACACTACAGGTACCATCCATTGTGGCATCCATCCCGTTTGGGCGAGAGGGTCATTCAGATTCGTAAGCGTCATATTTCAACTATGTCAACTGTTTTGCTGTTTCCAATTTTCACGATGGTGATGATGTGTTTCGGGGGGGGGTTCGTGACGATTATGTCTGGTATACTGTGCTCAGTGGTTAGCTGCGCCAGACGCCTCCGTTGGAGTGCCGCTGCGTCACCGCCAAGGGCATCGTTCGCTCCACCATACAGATCGAGAAATACTACTCCAAGTGATAAGTATCTGAGACCCGATAATATGTTGATGAATTGTACTAATTAGTTTGCGTTAATTGTTTATGGTGGTCCCATGTTGATTTAGGTATTTCTGTGGCAGGCTACACTCAGATATAAATTATTAATTTTGATGGTACAACATACCGTCGTGTTCTAGTGTTACGCTAGCTATTTATTACTTGTGTGGATGGCCTTAAACTTGAGTAAAGGATGTGGAATGTAATCGCGGCCGCCCATGCCTTTATTTTGCCTTCGGCACCGCCGCGATGAAGAAGGTGAAATACGATCATTGGCATTCCACGTCCCATGTTAAAAGAGAGGCAATGGCTCTAAGACACAATAATCGACAACATTTAGTGCCTCTTATCGTAATTAACTCAATCCACTAACATTGTTAAGGCTTTCGGGTGTGATGCCAGGCATTGTCAGTCCACCGGTGACTGCGACAACAGACGTGATTTCGTGTGAGAATTTTATATTCACAGCGCATTATAGATGATGCTACAGTGGGTTATACTGGAAGTTTCCAACTACGGGTTTCGAGATCTCACCGTACGCAGCCTCATGGCTTACAGATTGATGGGACGCGTAAGGGATAACCAATGCAGTGCCTCATGCTGTGATGTTTTGAACCAGAGGATGACAAAGAGATGAGAAGCTGGAGCAATGATGAATGTCAGTGGACCAGGTTAGACAAGGGCCTATTTAATGATGGGGCCGATGTCATAAGGGTTGAGATGTAAGGCGTTGCATCAGTTAAAGCATTACCGTGTTTACGACATAATGACAAGGGAAACGAGGATGTATACATGATATCATGTATAGATCGAGTGAGTTAGATAGTCAACTGAAGGGAGGGGCATCATCGATATCATGGCGCCGTGCTGCTATAAGGTGAGTGACAAGGGTACGGCAGGCGAGGCTGCCGCTACGATCATATTATGCAGAGATGTGGAGCTGTAGAAACTGAACACCGTGCTTCAATGAATACAAAGATTCAGAACTTGCAACTTGTTCGGTCAGCGAAGCGTGGGGTAAGGTTCGCAATCTCGAGTGGTACTACAGGGGCTTTGGCATAGTGAGAGGCATGTGTCTGTAGTTTTAGTGGCGGAGTGTTGGGTGGTGGTTGCTTGACCCTTTCCAGAATGCTAATAGGAGACGGCTTGGCGATGCTACAGTTGGGACTTCAAAGTACGTGTTTCACGTTTGTGCAGGTCAATGAGAAGTGAGCTTGGGGAATATGTCGGGAGCGGGGTGTCATTGTGGTAGAAAGGGTGGAACGTGTCATGGAAGTTGCCGGTGCTGTAACTGGTGTTGTCCGGGGTGTACTGGAGTCAACAAGTGCAACGCGTGCGAAGACAATCGTTCCGGGAAATACGGTCATTCTAACTGTTCGAAATGCGCAGATGAATACCTGTGGAGTTGTGACTGTGATTGTTGTAAAACTAAATTTATAAGCATCGTCATCGTTACCATCATCATAATCTTCATCATCATCACTGTCGTATGCGTTATGACCATCTTTCGCATTCGGCCATTCCACAAGGTCCGTGATTGTTTCGTCCGCAATTAAACATTTTGTATCGCATCCTTTAACCACTTCCCGCATTTATTATAATCGCACTTATCGCATTGTACTAGACAGTAATGGCACAACGCCAATCTGATAACGTCTTACATAATTTTTCACAATCGTGCATCGGCGGGTACTCGGCGAACGCGTTCATGAGTTACATCGTATTGATGCATTAGTTAAAATGACGGGATTAACACAGCTCAATGTGGTAACCACGTCCGATCGCACTTCCTACGCTCCAAGGCTTTCCATCTCATCGACGTCAAGGCGCTCCTCACTCACGGGAGGAAGATGCTCTCGCTCTACCACGGCGTAGATTACTTCGACGACGACCCAATGTGGTAGCTTGACGTGTCACAGGAACTATAGCATTTGTGTAATTTTATGTTACCGTGTGATGGGTTGTCTTGCAGTAGTGTAGATTTGTAAAATGGCCTCATAAACAATGCCGTGGCGTGTCGGCAAACTTGAGAAGCCGATATTGATAGAAGCCGTGCTATTCTATCGACGGGCCATTACACGGTCATCTAACGAGCAACATACGACGCACACCAGCTTACGTGTTAAGACGTTTATTGTTTTAGATGAGCCGTGCTTTGCCCGCGTGACGTGTTCTCGCCACACCTGGTTGAGAGCGGGCCGAAGCCGAGCGGTCATCCATCTCGACAGCTGCGGAGTACCATACTCATTAAGACAGTGACATTAATTAGGCGCGTAGATGGCATGTTGATATTGATATCGATGACTATACGATTTTCGAAGGAGGGCCCACGGGAGAGATTCTGGATTATTCCGGGACATTGTACGGCGTGAGGACCATGGGACGACGTAAAAGGTAATATGGTAATCTCAACCCGTGGTAACTTTTCAAATCCTGAAGCGTCGCCGCATAAATACTTATATCGCAAGACTTGGTATGTGTCGCTCGTCTCTGGAATTTGACGGTGATGATGACATGCGTTGTGGATACTGCATGCCAGGTTAATCGTGTGGATCCGGCTGCGATTGGGCATCTTGGTCGTCATTGCGCCTCTGAGGCCCGAATGTTCTGTCTTATCTACAACGTTGTAGATCTCAATCAAACGCTTATTTATTAGTTGTAAAAAGTACTGTTACTTGTAAATATTAGGACAAAAGCCTCTTAAGGGCTCGGCCCGTAACAGCACAAAATTAAGACCTTTATCAATCCCTTAACCCAACCTCTTCTACCAAAATGGCGTACAATTCGCTGACTGAGGCTCCTCACAACCTCAAGGAGGGCATTGACTGGCTTATGGCAGTGAAGGGAACTGACGCTGAAAAGAACTTGAAGGCTGTGGGCGAGGCAATTCACCATCTACTCAAACGCCATCCTGTTGGTTTGACGGTCTTGCCATCTTTGGAGAATGTAAAATACTTTTCTCAGAGGTTCATGAAGAAACAAGAGTTTAGGGACTTGCCATTCGTAAAGGAGCTGCTCGAACGATATAAGGCACCTATGAATAAAAATCCTAAAAGGCTACCTACAATCTCTATGGGTAAAAATGAGAGCGATTATAAAAACGTCGTAAGGGCCTGGGGTCTCACTGCCAAAAAAGTCGCAGATAAAGTAAGTAGAGCTGTGGATGCTTGTGAGAAGTTCTTGGAAGATGTCAAACTCCCTGACCAGTATAAGTCGGCTTACAGTTCGGAAGCGACTTGGGATGCATCATGCGCGCAGGACCCAGAAGCTTGCGCGGTGGTCTTCGTGGGGATTGCGCCTATGTTATACGCAGGCCTACGTTCTTTGAAGGAAGCGAGCAAAGCTGCGACTGCCTATGTGGCAGATCCTATGGAAGAGACGCGCTTGAGAGATGTGCTGAAGTCGGCGGGTTACAAAGAGCCTGAATGTAGTGAAAGGATGACAGGTTCAGATATTCACAAGGCGTTGAGCGGCGTGCATAAAGACGTGTTGGACATAATCTACAATTTCGCTGGATTCTGGGCGTTCTATTGATTATGATTTGCAGGTGATCTGTACGAGCAATTCGAAAAACGCGATGCTTACTCTACTTCACCAGTCAGCAGCCGTCAATGAGTTCTCACGAGACGCTCCCAATTTGTTAAACGTAGTTCACTTCAATATACAAAACATTCATCCACTACACTGTGTCCGTCAAACTAGAACCAACACGGTTATCAGTGTCTCTTTGATTGACATCACGACCCTATTTGGCGTGCCGTGTCATCTTCACGCCCATTCATATTCGTGTGACGATCAGGCGCAGTATACACACCCGCGGCTTATTAATCACGTTATAAACTGTCTTATGCCTTGGCAGGTCTGAGTTGCCCTTGCCGCATCGGTGTAGCTCAATAGCATGGCGGTTGACGGAATTCGGGCGCCGTTGAGTGGAAGGGGTTTAAACACCGGTGGATTGTGTCTCTTAACATCGCGTTCTTTAATTAGTTATCCCTCTGAATGTACGTGCTATTGTTTCGCCCAGAAGATAGAGCATGGAGCTGTTGTTTTTTGCGCGTGTTGCGCAATAATGGCGGTTTTGAATGGTTGACTTTTTCTGTCTCGAGAAGCGGCGCTAGACGGCAGTCATCAGCGCCTAAGGTGTGATGCCCAACGTTCCTGTTAACAAGAAGGCATGTAATCTGCAGTATGGCTATAGTTTGCGGGGTGAGGAATGCTTGATAAGCATGAAAATCGGCCGCAAGCCGAACATAGATATGAAGAACACTAAACAAAGCCAAAGCAAAGGTAAGATAAGACATGTCTTGTAACTTAAAAGTGGGACGTACTGGAATGGCGCGAGAGTTGCTTTCAGGGTGAGTGATGCAGCCTATACATGCCCTATTTGGCATTGACCATCTCAATAATAGATGACACGTGCAGATTAACGCTATGACGTTTTTTCTAACACAACCATAGTTGCATCACAATTGGCGAAAGCGGTGCTTACCAACTGCTACCTGATGTTCCTCCATCAACTGATGCTTGCTAGGTTGGGTCGATGTGTTGGATCACCTCATAGGCCAGTGAAGGATGTTGCTGATTGAGTATGTGGGTTGGAAATGAATGCCGCCGGGACTCTTCGACGTGATGGCCAGTGTGAGGCCTAGTTAAGTTGCATTTATGGGCAACTTGGTGGTAGGCATTGAAGTCTTACCCCTGGCCTGTACCCCAGCAGCCACTTTGCGGGGCGCCCCGCAAACATAGTTACCCGCTTATGTGTCCCCTCGAGATCATTGCAGCGAGCGTGCACACAGTGGTAATCTGCGTAGAATCTAGACCTTCTTCTCGCTCCGAATACAGGCGAGAGTAACTTGATCCAAATGTTGGCAACTAACTCATAAACACGTGTTAACGGTGGATAATAACGGTGTGTCAGCGTTGCAAGATCTGGAAACACGCTCACTAGAGCGCAGCTGGACGGTAGTATGGGAATGTGTGTCTATTTCAAGAGGCATTATCAAGCTAAAGGTACATTGCTCACTAGTTTGCAAGATGGCTTCTCAAAAGCAAAAGGGACAGATGCACTCGCCTGGCGGGGAGAAACGGCCAACCAATCTGGCAAGGCCTACTTCTACCGGTGCGGACAAGGATAGACAGAAGTCGAAGAAGCCGTCGTGCAAGTTACCAAAAAGTTTGTGTGCTTTCAGTCATTCTTTTTTTCATGCCGGTGGTTGTTGACTACGTGGATTTTAGTGTTCTACAGGGAATGTTACTGCTCGTTGATGTCAGCAGAGCTCTTCTAATTGCCGATTTCGTCTATGAAGTTATCATACATTTCGTCGCTACTGCCCTCGCAATCGTCCCCGTGGCTATCTTCTGCGAAGCTTTCATGCGTATATATGGTATCGAAGATGATGATGATTCAGACGCTTACGATGGTAGAGATCAGTTTCCGCCTCAAGACGTACACGATTCCAAGGATGACTGAATGGCTGTTCTAAGGAGCTTCAGTGCCACGGAAATTGTTGCGTCAAGGTGGTAGTGTGGGCACTCCATGTGTCACAGCCCGGCCAAAGGTATCGCCACTGTACCACGTTAATTAATTGTATCTTAACACCTGAGTGCCATCAACCCTTGCTCTACGCTTCCTTACAGTAACCACTCACGTAGCACACCTACTGATGGCAACTCTAAGGTAATGTAGCAGGATTGCATTGCATAATATATTCGGCAGTATCCGGGTGATCACCCAGACCGGCAGCGTTGGAGTGCCATGCTAGGTTGGGCAGTGATCCAGCCACCTAGGGCGTGTACGGGATGCGTTGTGATTGTTTGGGCACGCAGAGTGTGTGAAGTGGGTGTCAATGGGTGACATTCTATGATTCTTTAGCATCATACGCCAGAGGCGTAGCCATCTCAGGCATTTGTTAGCCCACTTGCGTCGCAGCCGAATGCGGTGGGAAGGTGGTGGCCTGATCTGGCGGAATTACCTTCCATTTAAATTCACAACAGTGTAAACTGGTATAAGGCATGGCTCAGAGAATGCGGGCAACTGTAGTTCAGGAACCCCGATGTTGATTCCACAGGCCAAAATTCAGGATCCCCCTAGGCTGTCTGACAAGCGGTCTCGGAGTCGCCGCTTGTGAGACAAAACAACTGCAGAGTAACGCTGTACAATAGGTGCATAGACCAGCAAATTAGCCCAAGAAGCCTGCATATCGTAGGGGCAGACCTACACACGACAGCGCCGGCATACACACAGTGGTATCAATCACGGCTGCCAGCTGGATTCCACGGAAAGCGATGATCACAGCTGATAACATTGGTATTTTGCGGGAATAGTGAATCAATGTGTCGTAATGTGTAGTTGTTACGAGCCGAGAAGCGCTCGAAAAAGCGCAACCGCTAACAGATCACCATGGAACAAACGTTGCCAAGGCCCATCCACTTAAAGGCGCGAAACGAAAATTGCGGCATACACTGAGAGCAAAAAGAATTAGGCTGATCGTAGAAGATAGTGCAATGACTGGCCGCATTCTTTATTATGTAACAGCCATGTTCAAAACGAGCAGGCCCAGAAAGACGCAACGCTCTCTGTAAAACACTTTTGGTGACCCATCGCAACACTTTAAACCTCTACGCACCGCCTGAAATTACACTAACACATGTTGGCCCATAATCCGCCACTCTTGCCTGAAATTTGTGTACACCGACGACTCGCGGTTTGCATACTCTCTGCCAGGTTAATTTTGTGGAGCTGGCCGCGATGCGTCATATTGGCCATTATTGCGTCTCCGGAGTCGGTTTATTTGGTTTATGACCACCTTTATAGAACCGAATTAGTTGCATACACATTGGAAGGCTACGGCGCTGGTGTCGTGCTCATCCGGCATTCAGACGTAGCTGGCCTTCACGGTGCTGTTTACATACGCGGATCGTTGTAATGACGCCCTGAAATTAGACCCAACATCTCCTCCACGTATAGAGCTTGCAGGATATAACGAATTTTTACACAATGCAATTCGACTCGTTGACTATGGTTCCTCGGAACCTAAAGGAGGCCATTGACTGGTTGCTCGCCACGGAGGTCAATGAGGATTCAAAAATCTGGTGGTCAATGGGTCAGGCACTTACCAGTCTGTTCGAACGCCAGCCTGCTGGCGTGAAGGTGTTGCCAGCCCTTGAGGTCATAAAACAGGTTAGTAAGGACTTCCTGGAGCAGAAAGAGCTCAGGAGCCTGCCATTCGTTAAAAGTTTGCTGCAAAAATTCTATCAGCCCAAGAGTAATACTACCGGCGATGGCCCTGAAATTCAAAAGAAGCACGTCGGATCGGCCAGGGGTGTCGGTCCGAGAACCATGGCAAGGAGCGTATGCAGAACTTTGTATGTTTGCGATTTGTTCTTGGATGATATAAAACATCCCGACCAGTACACTTCTGCTTACGATTCCGAAGTGACGTGGTTTGGATCGTGCAAGGATAACCCGGAGGCTTGCGCAGTGGTCTTCGTGGGGATTGCGCCTATGTTATACGCAGGCCTACGTTCTTTAAAGGAAGCGAGCAAAGCTGCATTGGAAGAAGGGCCGGGCTCTAAGGCAGAATTACGTTTGGCAGAGTTGTTGAAAGCCGTGGGTTACGACGAGCCGGAATGCAAAGAGGACTTAACTGCTCCAGATGTCCACAAGGCTTTGAGAGGTGTAGATATGCCAATGTTGTACACAATCTACGACTTCGCTGGAGTCTGGGGCTTCTATTGAATATATATTGCAGGCGAGTTAACATTTGACTCGATAAATGAATATTTCGAATCCAGGCCCACAGCGAGTCGCCATCGTACTAATTTTCATGAAAAAAATTTTTATTTCGAAATGTAGTTAGCTCCAGCTCAAGCTGTACAATCTTCAGTAACTATACTGCGCCCATTAAATGAGGCGGAAGAGAGTTCTAGGTGTTCGCACAATCGCATTGAGGACGAGGTTTGGCGTGCTGTTGGTTCACCGTCACACGCTTTCATTTTCGCACGCCCTGCAGAGGTTGAATGGAGACTCGCAGTTCATAAAACACGCTCTACACTGCTTCAAACCTCCTCAGTCGGATAGGCGAGAAATGCCGCTAGGCAGACCTCGAAATCACACCCGTTACTGAAACGCAGAATGTCTCTCCAATGAAATGCGTATTAACGCGTATAGATCATGTCATTTAGCAACGGTTTCTTTTATCGTAGAAACTCTCCTTAATGTATATTATATTGTTTCGCCCCGGGGATGCAAATATGATAGTGAGCTGTATTGGGCTGAATTAGTCGGCGCTGAGTCTCGTGGATGCTTTAGTCGTTGCGCCACTTAAAGCGGATATAGATGACACCACATAGAGTGTAAGGACGGTCAAATCTCCCTCCGGAAGCGGTACAGACGTGCGAATACGGTGGCAACATCGTGCTTCTACTACGCATCCTCATTTTCTGGCCTGTTTCCTGACAATGCGCTGCAAGTAATGTTTATATTACCTACTGCACTTGGTAGGTCATACAGGTGTTAAGGCATATCAGACAATGACCGTATAAGTGATGGACTCTCCGTGACGACGGACATTGAGAAACACTACGCCTCCACGTCAAGGGACATACTCTAGCTCCACATGGCCCACGTAGAATCTTAATAGTGCAATAAGCCATGTCAATGTAGTCTATATGATCAATGCTTGATTAGTGCTTTGTCACTGTCGCGGTGGTGCATATTAAGAGTCGGCGTCATCTGATGATGGCACTGGACTGCGAAGCTGGGTGGGTGGCAACGGATGATCGCGTCTGAAACGCGGCATTACAGGAGATATAGAGATCCATCTATTACGCGTTGATTCCACTCTAACATTTGCGTGGCTGACCAGACGGCTAGGTTATATGTTGAGACGTGCCCATGGTAATGGCGGTTGGTGATGCCGATTAATCGCCACAGCGACGGTCAGCGGATTGACTAGTGCGGGTATTTGACGGCAAACGTTGTTGCAACCATCCATATTGTGTTTTCTCAGTGTCACCCAGATATGCAGTAATGGGTGTACCAATGGCATGTCACGTGTAGGCAGGTGGCTTGAGGTTGACAAATTGGGAACTGCGTTTCTGGATCACACATATTTGAGTGTCGTAATAAAAATCTTGATGTCGGCAATGTGCCGTAGCGGTGCATGCATTTGCTCTGCAGCTTCATGGTATGTCAGCGCTGTGAGATCTAGGACCAATAAAACCCCTGTATAAGGTGAATGGCCGCTTGCATGTATCGATGTAGGGATTGTACGTTGTCAGTTGACCAAAGGTGTTGGGGTTTTAGGTAACTTGTTATCGCTTTACATTGTTGGTTAAAATGTCGGAGGCTAAAAACGGCGATAGCAGCTGGGAAACGTGGTTACCTAAAGTTGGCTACGCCGTTGCCGGTATAGTTGGCGTATTCTTATTGGGGGTGGCCTGCGCACACATCGCGATCCAGACGCATCCACATCTAATTAACAAATTGCGCGCTATGTACTCCTACATCACAGGATCGTCCGCCAAATTCTCTGCCACCAACTCCCCTAACTTTTACGACCCAGGTCAACCGGCATTGTCGATGTAAGGATAAATGTAAGCTACGCCTCAAACGTGCTGGATTGTGTTGCTTCGTAGGGATTTTCAGCGTCACGTCAATCGACGCCTGCCTCATTCGTCCCTACCGAGGCCGGAGTTTGTGTTTGTAATCAGGAATGGATTTGCTTGTTATTCGAAGCCTTCCTCTCCTCACCTACTAGCATTACCTAATTAGAAACAGCAGATAATGTAGCTTGATCTGTGTAGTGCTGGAGTTGTGTGGGTCGTAAATTTTATGTTTGCATCGTGTAAATGCCGTAGAAGCGTGCACGCCTACACATCCCTGGTGTTTCCGAGACTTCATTCCTATAGTCTCTCATAGATGCACTTAATACACATAGACTTCCTGTGGTAACAACACCGGAGTGGGGATGCCGCACGTCTGTTTCCCCCAAACTAGGCTGATACAGTTATCTATTCATTGTGGAACATTGACAAAACAGTACCGCACGATAGAGCGATTGAGTGCCACATTGATATGAGTTTAAGGTGGTGATGTCCTCTTGCCTATTTGCTCCGTTTTAGTATTTTTTGGAGTCTCGACAACGTGTGTTCGGACGGTTTTACCGGTATATTGCCCTTGATGTTATAAAAGGTCGTTCTGAGCCTCGATTCCGAGATTCCCCAAAAGAGTTCAGCATCTGGTGACTCCGCCAACCTGTGGCATCTGCAGAAGTTTGAGCTTGAATCCTCGTGCGACCCTCCGTTCTGCTGCGTTTCGAAGTGTTTGCCGAACTTGAGCCCGTTGATGAGGAAGGTGTACGCAGCGTTCGGGAAGAGTATTCCATGCACATTTAGCACCGAAGCATGCTTGAGTTTGTTGTTTAAGGGTGCCCCTGGGAACCCGTAGTCGAAGAGGTGCCCTAGCACCCTGATAGCGAGTATTTTCTCGAACTCTGGATCGTCTTTTTTGATAAGCTTCGGATCGCACCAGAGACACCTGATGCAGTGCTCTTCAGCGTCCAGTATTTCCACAAGAGCCCCTGCCAGTGGCAGAAGTTGGCCGTTGTCTGCATGTGATTTGATCTTTTGCGTATAAGCTTGGTTCATCTCATGGAACATATACCGAACTGTTATAATTTGGAAACCACATTTAGATTTCATCTGTGAAAAACTATTTGTGAGGCAAATCGTTCCTATATATCTGATCGCCAGGATTCACGTATGATCTGTCGCTGAGCACCTTCTAGACAGACCTGTGACACAACTAGCATAGTGCAGCGCCTACACATAATACACGCAATACATTATTACATCGCTTAATACCACTACACATAGTTACTCTACATATAGATCGTTACATCCACAGATGGATTTGGGTTGAACTAACCTTCACTAGCTGCATTGTCTGTATTCCTTTCGGCTGCGATAATTAGGACGAATCCTACTGTGTCACTTTGCGATATTTGGCAGAGAGCTTCATCTATTTTTTGTGCGATTTTTGCGGGTTCATGCATGGAAGAAAGCTCTACCATGAGCTTTTCGCTCATGGCGGTGGTCGAGGGCCTCAAAGTGCTTCGTATTCCGCTTTGAGGTGGCTGTACCTTACGCACACTTCGCGTAGGCAGATGCCTCGCCCCCACAGTGTCGTACGCTCGTGAGAACTCATCGAATTTGGATCGTGGCTTGCGTTCATCTCCAGCGAGGGCATGTACGACGTCAAACAATTGCTCCTTGGAGAGACATGAGGCGTTTCCTAGCACCTTGACCATAAGGGAGCTCCTGTCGAGTATCGTCTCATCGCAGAACGGCAGCGGCAGGACAAAACTCTTGAGATTGCAGGCGTGTAAGTACCTTCCGGTAACGTCCAGCAGCTCGGCCGCGAGGTGGCCGCTATACGTCTCCATGGGCACTCATTTCATCTCTACAGTGCACTATGGGTTTAAATGGCACAATTATAGGTCTTATATAGGTGCCAGTGGCGATTACTCTCCCCACGTTGATGCCAGGAGGACGAGCTCTTACAGTAGGAATTTGACCTCATTTTGCTATAATTAACCGTCAAAACTTGTTAATTTCATTATCAGTACTGTGAACTCATAGCGACCGTCGGTGGCTGTCCTTGTAGCGACCTAGGCAGCGCGGCTGTCTGCTTCGCGTTAGCACCGCAGCAGGATGGGCGTCCTCAGCTCCGTCGCCTACGTGTTCGTCGCGCCTTTCCGCGCGTTGCGTTACCGCAGCGCTAGTCCGGAGATGCGTGCTCGCATGATAAAGCTCGGCGTGATTTGCCGGAAGTCGTGGATACTCTTCCCGCCGCTGATGATGTACCAGTACATTCGCGAGGTAGGTTACAGTGGATTATTGTGCTAATATTTCTGTGCTTGCTGCGGCTTAAATATTGAGCCGTTTAGTCTTCAGGGCGCCCTTTTGTCGCCACGTAGATTACTATTTGGAAATATTCGTTCGTTATTGTCTTACATATGTCACATCGGCCTCATTTTGCATCAGAAGGATAAGGAGATGTACACCGCTGAGTTGTTCTACAAGAATTCGCATAGCGATGACCCGGCGTCCTTCTACGACCCATCCAAGCCCAGCGGCACTCGCCACTGGAAGATTCAGCACGACATGGCGCTGTTATCGGCTGCAGCAAACGACACACTTAGCTAAACAGTCTCAAATATAAAATGTGTAAACGATTTTCACCCTTACAGTCGTCAGAAGCCCTACACACCTCAGCGATGTTGTGTGTCTTATCGGCACGAGCTTCCATTCCCTACACTCGCAACCACGATGTATATATAGCGAGTATAATGATATGCACATAGGTTTCACCGGGCATGCTGAATGTGTGAGCGTAGGCTCTATGAGCAGCCTGTACCGATGTCGTTACACCCTGTACGCTTGCTCCATATCGCAATATTCTGCACGCTTTTAGCGTCGTCACTATGGTCAGTTCACGGACTAGGGAACACAATCGCCCACAAACCGTCTTCTGTGGAAAGCAAGGTTGGCACGCTGTCGAGCTCGATCTTCGGTGAAGACTGTAAGTGATCCTCTTTCCGACATCGGCTTGACTCTATGCAGATCTTCGTGAGGTCGAGTCGTTGCTGCGCGACACATATGGTGGTATGTTAGCAATGTCTAGAACTCATTCTGACTCATTTTGTGCAGTGCGCGAGGTCGAGTTCTTCCGGTAGGTGTTATTTATTACCCTTTAATATCGCTGCAGTCGCATGATCTCTGACTTCGATCATCGGTAGGAATCTAGTGGTCCTATTGCAGTTAGTGCAGCCATGCGGACGATGAAGCTTTGTTCCTCGACGACGCCGAGCTGGAGGTGAGTTCCTTACGTTGCTGATAGCATCATCGCCGCAGTCCCACGTATCCGGGGACACCGGAAAGGACTTCGCGCTTCACTATAGAGAGAGTGACGCCAACGAGGTAATTATCGAAGTATAAAGACATCACAGCGTCATAGACGGATTACAATCGGCGGAAGGCGCGGGCGCTTGTATTGCTGATAAAGGAGCAATTCCGTGCGGTGGGTTGATACTGATATTTTCTCATAAAGCGCAGCTTGACGAAGTACACACGACCTACGTAAAGCCGCATTTGACCCGTTTTAGTCAAATTCGCGAGCTTTCAAAGCAGGAGTCCATTTATACGGACACCCCATGCTCCACGCAAGCTGGCTGCGACCGCCTCGAAATGCTGGTCAACTTGTGCACCGCTATACGTGGCGGTTCGCATTTTGCCTACGAGATATTCGTGGTGATGGTACACGTGCTGGCTACCATGATGGCGGTGCTGTGCGGCTGTCTGTTCACGGGGCCCGTACGGATCTGCTTTCTGCAGAACTTCCCCTATACGTGCCGCATACCGTACCCCGTTTTCAGTGGTCTGTTTCAAGCCACAACGTCTGTATGGCAGGTGGTGAAGGTGGTTACCAATATCTGCCGAATCTATGGCGACCCTGGGTTTGGATCGATCTTTGCTTAGGTGCACAACCTGGCCGGGCTCCGACCCATCCGCCTCACAAGGAGACCACTGTGTAGCCGCCACATATACAACTAACAGAAGTCAATATACTACATATCGCAGCACCGCCCTGCATTACGGTTCAGCCACAACCACACCGGCACCGTCCGCATCTTCCGCGGTCGATGCAGCCCGTTCGACGGTGACGGGGGTAAAAAGCAGAGCTTCAGTGCATATGAATACGACACCCGCAACATGCATTTGCCACTGATGAAGAATTTAGAAAAGCAGTTAAAGCTCCTGGTCAACAAGGCCTTTCTCGCTGACGTAGATACCGTCGAGGAACTGCCTGATGTCCTTGTTCCTGACCAGGGCGCACTGGTGGATGAGCGCAGCCGACCTGCCGACGCTCTCTACGTCCACACCGGTGAGGATGATCTCATCCTTGACGGCGTCGGACTTCTCGATTTTAACGCCTGGCAGCACCTTGACAACCCTGACGCGCTTCTCTCCCAAGAAGTTCCTGATTTCAATCGACTTTCCGTCATCAGCGATGTTAGAGTTGATGGGAAAGTGCGCGTGTACAAGCCTCATCTTGTACTGGTACTTCTTGGTGACACCCGTGATCATGTTGTTGATGTGTGTCATGACGGTCCTGATGGTGGCGATCATGGACTTAGTCCCGAACCACTGCATCAAGATGACGGTCCTCCCGTCCTTGGAGAGCCTGATCTCGATGGGGACGTGCGAGAAGTCGCGGGTGAGGTCGCCATACTTGCCCTGGACGGTGACCTTGCGCGACTTGACAGCGATGGTGACTGCGTGCTGTGTTAGGGATAGAGTGCTACTGGCTTACCTCCGTCGGGGATCTTGAGGATATCAGATGATAGTCTGGTCTTCATCTTGGCAGATATCTGCGCGTAATTAGCGTCTGTTACGGCAATGGATGTCGCGCCTCCAGGGCGCCCTATCACACGCTGTCGGCCTGGCGCGTTGCCGGGCAACCACGGCTCCCTGCTTACCTATATAATTTACTTCCTTGCCTTGTATTTATCCTCCGCCGGATACAAATATTTTAATGCGTGTTCTGGGCCCCGTGGCAGCCGACCCCTATTTCGTCCCCACTAGTCGAGTCGCAAGTCCGATGTCAGATGGACCGTCGGCTTAAGGCAAACTATACACAGCTGGTTATACTCACACATCTATTAGTAAGCTAGTTTGTAGGTGGGAACTTATTACAAAATTCCGCAACCTCTAGTATTCCGGCTCTGGGATTCCACCTCCGTTCCGGGGGTGTTGCTGCCTCGCTAGAATAGGATGGGCACCGGACAGTAGCCCGCTCCAGGTGCAGTAGGGTTGTATATGATGTATTTGCCTGCGATTCGTTGTGGCGACACGCCGTAGGGCCAGGCTGGAGACAGCTGGTCCTTATGCACCTTGGGTTCTGCGCGTTGCTGGGCCACGGTGTCAACTAGAGCAACTAACTGTTGAGATCCGCTGGAGGTGGCTCCATCGGATGTCTGGTGTATGCGATCTTTTTCCCAGACGGCAGCGCTATCGGCCGCGGCCTGAACCTGCCTGAGGTGGCATGAGCAGCGTTACATAAATCGGCCACGCATATGGCCTGACACTAACCCCACCAAAGCTTTTGCCTAATAAGGAACTTGCAAATGTCGCCGTCTACGCCTATGGTGTTAATCGCCTGCACGTCTTGACGCGATCTGGCTGAACGGTACCTTCGCCCTGTTCCTGGAGTCCGGCACCGAGAAAAGCACGCACTTCAGCTCTGCGCGTCAATTAGTTAGAGTGGCCGTTAAAACGTACTTAGCACCTTGCATACGTGCTGGTATAGCTGGAAGTCTTCGTTGTACAGTCGCTTCATTAGCTTATGCCGCCTGCTTAGCAGTATGGCCATGGCACGCTTCCTGCAATTGTCTCGCGGATGCCGGATGAGGTGCGCCCTGAGGTTCAGAATCTTCTCGGAAACACAAGCAACTGCGACGGTGTGAGTCGGACGAATTTTGCAAAATTGGCGGCGGCTGGGTGGGGACGCAAGTGATTACAGAATGCACCTTTTTATGTAGTGCCCAGTACTAAAGCGAACGACCAAGTCATTAATGCGTTACGCACTACACAACAAGACATACTATCCTCGATATAGTGTGTCTGTTATAATGCCGTCACCTTCCGCTACTGTTCACAGTGACTTACGCTGCACTGGTGCACTTCCCGTGTCAAACGGCTCCTTCTGTAGGTGTTTCATGAGTATCAACGTGCGCGCCCGTCTGATCTCCCTGCCATTAGCGCACTTGAGGCTGAGAGCTTGCGATACACGGGGATCCAACCCCGAGAGGTCCTCAGGTTGCCATCTTCCAACCAGTCCATGCGGCACCCTAGCACGTTCTGCGAGGAATGCCGCCTCCGCGCGCTTGTACCATTCAGTCTTTGGCGCTCTGGTCTTCTCGAATGGGTATCCCTTGATTCTGAACGCCTTAACGTGCGATACGTGTCTACTTTGCGGCGGCGCTGAGCTATGGCATGCTCGGGGAGCTTGCGCGTACGTAAACCCCCGTATGAGGCTCCGTAAAGCAAACATATTACGTTGCTTATAACATAATTCTTACACGGTGCCTTAGAATAGGTCGTTGCCAGCACCTTCGACGCGGCCTTCCCCCAGCGGTATCGGGTCTTTAATGTGCTCGTTGAAGTAGTCTCATCCGCTGTATTTTACGATATCGCAAATATACTAAACAGACGAGATAATGCAGCCAGATTCAGCGGTTGCCGTTGAGTTATTGCCTCGGCTGGAGAGCCTTTTGCTGACGCCTTCCACGGAATCTAGGTCACGCATAGAGGATGAAATTCGCGCCACGTCAGCTTCCAAGTGGTTAGAGGAGGTTCTAAATGTCATCAGATACGCGGTTGAGTGCGATGTGTACAGGGGAATGACCCTGGTGGATCGTTGCCTTGGAGGATCGGTGTTTTACGACGTGTCTGATGTGTCGGCAGCGAGTTCCTGCAAGTCGCTGTACGATCACCTGGTAACCCGCGTTGCCCAATTTGTCAAATCAGGGGAGAGAGATGGCCTGGAAGACATCTACGTGCTCGCCAGCGCGGTGCTGCTGCTCAACATTTTCGTACGAGTGAATTGGATGGGTCCTCCATGCGGAATTTTGAGCCCATCTATGCAGCATCTGGCGGCACAATACCGTGACAAGGTGGTATCTGATGACCGCGACAGTTGTTTAACTCTCGATTCTATGGATTCGTTTGAGAACGACGGCACATCGTTCTCGGCTTTTGCATTGGAAAAGGTCGCATCAGAGTTCAACCAACGTTGCTTGTTGGGTTCTCCAGATACACGTGGCATAGATGTGGAGTCTGAGTCAACCGCCTATGCGGGGTTAGTTCGTAGCGTTTTGGACGCGCTGCAAATCGACGGCGAATCCGTCTACACTGGTATCGCTGGTGCCCCGTACTTTGTAGCAGCTCTGGCGTTACTGTCAACACTCGGTGGAGTTGATGACATTAAAAAGGACGGACCATCAGCATCACGCGGTGGTGCCAGCATTACTGGGATGAATAAGGCAACCGAGAATCGGAATGCTGTGCGCAATAGCGCATTGACCACCGTTGGTGTATGGCGCGGTCGTGCCGCTTTCATATGGCAACGAATAGTGCGCAACTCCATGGTCAACCCATGTCCTCACCTGTTCCGAAGCGCAGTGTCCGATTTTTGTTCGACCCTGAAATCGTGGAGAATCCTTCCCGAGGACTTTACGCTGTCAATATGTGACCCCGTCCTGATGAGTTCCGTAATTGACGCATCCAAGGTCGATACCCAACTTACGGAACACCCGTTATCACCCGATTCAACTACCGGTGGCACTTTTTTGCAGGAGGCCATCAGGGGGTTCAACGGGTCGCCGCTGGAATGTTCGCAGGAGATGGGGTCACTGTTGATATTGGAACTGGCCCTACGCTTACCTTACTATAATTTAGGAAAGCTGTTTGAGCCTTTGTTGGATCTGGCATCATCGTTGATTGGGTTCACATTCTCCTTCACGGGCCGTTTGGGAATACGCAGGAAGCATCAAGTTAATGTAATACCGCAGCTTGTTGTGGTTGCTGAAGGGTCGAACAATGGCGAATCGCGATCAGGTAGGGTAACTAGATCAGCTGGAGATCCACCTGCTGACTCCACTGATCCCGCACCCGCCTCTGGTACACCTTCGGCAGCAGCAACCGGTGATACGCTTGAAAAACCGCCGTCTTCAAATGGCGACTCGCAGGAGAATGAATCACCGTCATTCACAACTTCCGACCGTCCCGACAATATCGCTCTCAGCGCTGTGAACGAGGATACTGACATCTTAGAGCGTCCCAAGCTATCGGAGGCGTCGGATGATGCCCCCTTGACCTCTGCGGAGCAATGCATCCTGCTTTCCAAGGCACTGCATATGCTACAGACAGTGCCAGAAGGTGACGAGCTGAATTTGGAATTCTTGAACGCAATAGTGGTTCGCTGCCTGGGATCCACCGAAGGCATAACGTCGTGGCTGCTGTCGTCGGTCGCACTCTGGGTGCGGTGCAAAACGGAATACCACCGAACTAAGACAGTTGAACGCGCCAGTTTGCAGCTGCACAAATTAAGTGACTCGTACTACGAATCTGAGGCATCGGCCGCCAGTCGACTCGAGTTCGTCTGGCACGTGTGGTCACCCAGCAGTTGGGGCATTAAACGAGAGATTGCGAGGCGCCTGTGCTCCATCGGATCTTTCCTGAGCGCCTTCGAGATATTCAAGAAGCTGCATATGTGGGAAGACGCCATCCAGTGTCTGATCATCGTGGGTCGGAAGAACGACGCCCGTGAGCTGGTTGGTTCCTACGAGTTAGCCACCACACACAATCTCAGGTCATGAACCATATCAAGAGCGCCCCTACACCGCTGCTTTGGTGTTTCCTTGGCGACATAGAGGGCAACATATCGCATTACAACACAGCTTGGTGGGTTGTAGCTTTTGTAATCTTGACAGTCCTGCAGGGAGCTGTCGAAAGGCCGTTGCGCCCGCGCACAGCGCACCTTAGGCTCCTACTACTTCAACAAAGGCGATCTGGAGGCTGCGATTAACGCCCTCGAGTTGGCGCTTGCGATAAACCCCATGCGGGAGTCGAGCGTATTCATGCTAGGCTGCTGCTACCTGAAAACGGGTAAACTAGAGCGGGCGGTGGGCGTGTTTTCTCGTGTCATCGCGTTGAATCCTTCGTCACCCGACGCGTGGGCTAATATGTGCAGCGCACACTTGAATGTGGGTGGCATTGTGCTTTGCAGCAGTTGACATTACCCTGCAGATCGGCAACCTCCGCGAAGCCAATTTGTGCATAGACCAAGCCGTTAAGCATCAACCCGGCAAATGGGAGTTCTGGGACATACGTATGCGCATATCACTACGGGTGGGTTGTTTGGGACACTTCTCATACACAACAATGCGCAGTCTCGCGATCTGCAAAGCGTCTGCCTGTCAATTGAGAAGCTGATCAACCTTGGCAAAGTGAGTTTCCCCACTTAATTCACCCCTTTATTTCGCCTCAGAAATCGCTGATCGAGCCTGCCATAGTGGCATTCTTGGTCGATGCATCTTCCCGTTTTCCATCCAACCATGCCAATCAGCGCATGCTGGCGCGCACTTTGGACTGCGTCACCAAGCACATCACCGACAATGCAGATATCTGGAAGTTGTGCGCCCGCTACTTTGCATGTCAGAAGTTCTACGTGGAGGCACTGGAATGCACGTTCCGCGAATACCGCGCCATAGAGAGCTCGATTGTGAGCAGTCTAAGCGAGGCGAAGGCCGACGCCGAACAGCAGCGCGAGCATGACGTGGCACAGTTGAGGCGTCTGATGGACTGTTTCGGGACCATGATCACGCTGTTGAAGCGCATGCCTGCGTCGGAGCGCAAGGCTAAGCGTGACACCGTGATTCAAACACTGCTGAGTGTTCGCGAGCGTGTGCACTCCCGCATCGCGGAGGTGAATTCGCAGTGGCAGTCGGAGTTGGACAGTTTGCTGGAGAGTGCAGAGGTCGAAGACGTGATATGCGTGTACGACGAGGAGTAGAGTCTAGGTGTGCTCATGTGCGCACAGTTGCGTTCACTGGCGCGCTCCTCCTCGAGTACAACTCACTTCATATATAACAGTAGAATATCTGTAACAATGGTAGAACCGAAGTCTCAGGAGACCTACTCTAGCGGGCCTGCCCGTGGACGCATAGACCCGCACAGTCGGATGTTTATCATGGGAATCCCTACGCATGTAGATACGGTAGGTGGTGTACAGCTCCACTAAAAGTTTTTGTCGCCTATTTCGATAAATTTTGCTCTGTGTGCCCTGAATGCGCCGGTGAATCTTTATAGACAAAATTGGCTTGTTACTCAGTGGCCGATACATTCCCGTTTTATTCCCACCCCTGTTTATGTTCGATGCCGTGGCGTCAAGGTCACTCCATGAATCTCTACATCGTGTGTACGTCTCGGTGTTCTGTTTAACGTGGGCTTTGGACGTTTTTCCAGCGATATACATATCATAATCTTTGTATTGTCTACCCTGTACGGTCATTGTTGGTCTCCATTATTCGTTGTATGATTGTGTTATTCATGTGGTTCCAGTGGCCGTAGAAGCGAATACAGCACCATGTTATGTGAACTGAGGTGGAATTAGCATCTGTATCTATATCGACCAATTTACATATACATTTCTGTGTGTCCATCACCATGAAGTGGCACATGAATAGGTTGCTTGCATACTATTTCCTTGCATATTTTGTTGTATCTCCGTGTTGTTCGGGTTCATAAGCTCCCAATTCGGTTATACATTCGACTCACATTGCAATGCAGAGTTCCTTGCGTTCTGAGATTGAAAATTACGGCGACGTCGAGGTTTATCTATGTGAGAACTGCCCGAACGATGCCGGCTGGGCATTTGTTGGTTTCACCACTCGCGAGGCCGTGAACAGGGTCTGTCGCGGAGTCAAAGCTTATCCAATGCCTGTTGGATCTTAAGGTTGCTGTCGTCAGTTTCGCTATCTCATCTGAAGGGCGTCAGGCAATGTACTACAAACTCTATGAATGTTATATCGTGCATAATATGCGCTACGCAGCTGTGAACGTTGGTGCTGATTGTTACATGGTCACCTCTGTAGTTGTATCTCTTCACATATGGTTGTGAACATCTACCTGGTTCATTCCGGCAGACTTCGTGTGCTTTGTACACAGCATTTTGTCAACACTGTCGACGAAACAGTGCTTCAATCGGCGTGGACAGAACGAAGAGATACAGTTGATTATTCAACCGGCATGCTGCCGCCGCTCCTGACCCAACAGTTGATTCCACCCATTGGAGGGAGGCAGCACGCCTCATCCAGACCGCAACGAACTCAGGTATACGTTACGCATACAATTAACCGCACTGGCGCTCATGTTATTGGCTACACTCTATGGTGATAATGCCGACACTGGGCGGCTTGAACTTGCAGGGCTTAGGCGGCGCAGTCTTGCTCTTTTCGACTGCGTTCGACAGGTGCTCCACGTTGGTGCGCTTGACAAGGGGGAGGAACTTGTCCAGGCACCTGATGAAGCAACAGTGCACCCTCGATCCCGAAGGCGACGTGAAAAAGCGATGACAGACCGCCAGCGAGGAGAACAGCGTTTCGTTTGGGAACTGAAGCGACATAATCTTCGAGGGCTTGTGGTACATGCACCGAATTCCGATTTTGGCGAGTGCATTTGCGATTTCGTTGGCGTCCTCTGGGTTCGAGACGTAGGGCGACACGAAGGTTAGTTGTGGTAGAGGCTTTTGCTTCGGCGCAGCCTCATCCTGTGACTTGTTCGTGAGCACGGGCAGCAGGTCATCGTTCTGCTTGTCCTTCGTCACGTTGTTCTGCGCCTGCGGTGCCGGTACCTGCCCCATAGCCTCTCCGTTGAACCAGAGTGCGATTGCCTCAGTGTATATGCGCCACCCCGACGGGTCTGGGGCCACCACGATTGTGGAGGGGTACGCCTTGATGCAGTTAGACGCCATAGCCGCCCAAAACTGCATCGCGTGTGTTTCCGATTCGAAGACGAGGAGTGCCATGGCATCTGGCTGCTCATTGGCCGTATGCGTCCTGCTTTGCGCGCCGGCGGTTGCGGCATTGCTGGTTTCAGGTGTCCTGCGGAACTGCATCGGTATTTCGTTGACCGCGATCCCTTGGTGCCCAAATAGCAGGATAAACTTCCTGAGCCCTATTTGTTTGCACCATTCGACGTGATCGCGTCGCGCGGTTCCGGCGCCGAGGGGGACATCGCCGTTACTGTTGCTTTCGTCGAGGATGTCGTCCCAATCAAGCAGCCGGTCGTACGCGTCCATGATGTAGGAGAGTACCTCTTGGGGCTGCCACTGCCTCGGTATGCCCATCATGAGCAGCGACAGGGTGCCTGAGCGCCGTTATTCGGAGAGCTGCTGAACCTACCCTTAAGCCACCACTCCTTGAAGACTTGCGTCTTTGGGGCGCACATGTAATTATTAATGCGCTCAATAGGCGTCGAGAAACCGTTCGCCGCGGGCTTGAGCGTTCTCCACTCCACGCGCATGTCGAACGGTGGCGACGCGAGCGAGGCGTCAGCCGGAGCCACTCGCGGCAGCGTGACCAGGTCGAACGTCGTGACCATCCTTGCGTCGTAGAGTTCCATATTCCCCCTCGGATCAACGACTTTGACATCGCCCTTATGAACGCCATCGGACTTTTTATTATCATCCCGGGACTTGGTTGCCGCCTGGTCACCGTGTGCCGTTGACGAGACGCTAGTGGAGCCTGAGTTCCCAGGACCCGTGTTAGTCCGCTGATTGGACCTCGCCGCAGACGGCTCAGCCGTAGGCGGCATCTCCGGAGGCATGAATGCGTCAGCCGGCGGTGATGGCGGGGGCGAGTAGTAGCCCTTGCGCACGTTCGGGCTCCGCCTGTCCGAGAACGGCGTTTGCGGCGAGTAGCTGCGCCCGGACCTGTGGTACCGATCGTACCGGTCATACCTGTCGTCGTACTGGTCCCTATCATCGTAGTGGCCGCCTGATCTGCGATATCGATGGTGGTCGTCATAGCGGCCTCCACGGTAGTACCTGGAGTCCTGGTAGTGGTCCCGCTCGTCCTCGAAAGTCCTGCGGTCGTAGCGTGAGTTGCGATAGACTCGGGGTTCAGCGTACTGGTTGCGGTCGCCGTAGCGGTGGTGCCTGCCGTGGTCTCCGGCGTCGTACTGCCGACGGTAGCCGTCCGAGGGGCCATCGTCGTACCTGCGGCGCGAGGAGCCACCGTAGTAATCGCCCTGCCTGTAATCCATATGGTCGTGCCCTTTGACTTCCTGATTGCGTAATTCGCTGCTGGGCGGGAGCGCGGCGTCGCGCTCGTTCTCGTCCCTGTCGTAGCTACCGTGTTTGCTGGCGACTCTTTTCTGCCTCCACCCCTGAGTCTTCATGTGTGCATCATTCCACGGGGAGGGAATGTGCAGTGACCGCGTTCTACCGCCCACTTCATCTCACCGCGCACACGCTTGGGCACGGGCGTGACATAACACTGGTTCAGTCAGGTATAAATGATTAAGCTGCTTTGTTTCATGAGTTATTTGGCTAAACCGGGACATTCAGGGCGTAGTACCGAGTGGCGGCCACCGGATGCGCGTGACCGGAGCCCCGGCGTCAGAGGTTATAGCAAAAACAGTGGATCGCGGCGCGGGTATAGCGTGAGATTCTGCGCCAAACTACACTTAAAGCGATACATATCGCGGGTTGAGGTCGCCTATTTATTCCTTAGCTTCCTTAACAGGCTTCCATGGAATCTGATGGCGGCCGTACATAGGCCACGCTGGCGTGCAGACCTGAAAACGTTGATCACTTGAACAGTTCACCTACGACAGCACACAGCACGCCTGTACCGATGACAATCTTCATTGTGAGCACGAAGTCCTGCTTCACCTGGCCGACGATCACTGCCGTAATGGTCCCGATGGCGAGGAGCACGTTCAGGATGTGCCAGCCGAGATTCTGCCCGTGGAAATCCTGCACACCAGTGAGAGCCGTTACAACAAATCAGTGGCAGTTAGAGATCAGCGACATCGCCAAACGTCGTGGCAAACACCGGTAGACATTGCGCGACTTACCACGACGCACTTCTGCAGCGATGCCTTGATGCCGGATATCCACGACATCTTGCTGCACCTTAAGCTTAAATCAGTACGTGTGTATGGCAATTGAGGACTGGTTGTCACTATTGTCACTGGTACAACATGTCTGCAGGGCTGCGTGGAACACGCCCCCAAGTTCGTTGTTGCGTCTGTCTCTGCTTCAGGTGTTGTTCCAGACCGCCCAGTGCGCGGTTTGCGTGTATCGATCGCACCGTTCTGAGAAGGTGAAGCGCCTTGTCGCGGGTCGTGATGGCGGATGCCGAGTCCTCGACCAACTTCGTTACCGCGTCATCCGTTAGCTGCTTCTCCACAGCGTTGTACCTCTCTACCATCTCTAGACCGATCCTGACCAGCTCCAATGTTGCGTTCGGTAAGAAGCTGGCGGCTTCCATGCGCGATGGAAGCATCTCCGCTTCGTTGCCTTTCTCGTCCGTCATGACGAGGTACCTCAGCCTGTCGACCATCGCGTCTTGTGGCACACCTTCCTTAGGGTTCAACACAACCGCTGCGGGCTTAGACGCACGGATGGCGCCTCCGACCAATTTTCCGGTGGCTGGCATTTCGCATATGTCCTTGATGAACACGGAGGGGACGCACAGGTACCCACCGTTTTCCGCCTTCAGCACCGCGAAATACGTATGGTGGCTGTTCTCGGCAAACAGTTTGCGCATAGAGTGCCACACCTGCTGGGACAGGTTGTGATTAGGTACGGTGCACTTGGTGGGAATGCCTATCCACACGACGGTGTAGTGTTTGCCGTCCATCCCAAGGACGTCAGCACCGTGTAACGGTGTCGCGAAATTAAGCATGAAAAATGCCTTGCTCTTGTGCAGCAGCAAGCCTCTGATGTGGTTGCGAAGGTATGAGCGGAATTGAGCCACCCCTTTCCACTTTTGGTCCAGCGCGTAAAAGGGACGCATGACAACACCTGATTGCAGCAGCCTTCCCTCGAGGGTTTTGAGATGCACCTGCCGATCAAGCATGCTCCGCATCAATGGCCCATTTTGCGATCGTCCGTTTCGCACCACCTGATCACCCTTGTAGGACGGTAATGGCGTCTGGGCACCCGCTCTGGGGGCAGGTTGGTATGACTGATCGTACGTATATTGCCTCCGTTCCGAGTGTACCGCCGACTTCTGAACATCTCCACGTGATTCGTCACTCTCAGTTGTACCGTAGTACTTTGTGTTTTGCTCCCACTTATGAGATGGCACTGTCTCCAGCGCGTTAGTAGGGGATGGGCTGTCACTACTGTAATACGACTCAGTGCAGCAATCCACCCTTTCACTATCACCAGTAGTCGTGTGTAATATCGCACCGTTCCGGGCTAAATACGCGTCGGAGCATTCTGTCATGAACTTGGCGAAGGTTCCTTTTTCCAAGCTGCTGGCAAGTTGGGAATTTGCCTTAACCTCCTGCGGTATCTCCGCCATAGTGTGCTTCAAGGCTTCCAGCGGCTTAAACCACCTGAAATCAATCGGTATACTCGAAAGGAAGCTCGATAACACATTCAGCGTCGAACTCGGCGGCATGGCGTAAAATGAGACGCGCTCTGCGCCGAGGACCGTGTTTAGAAGTGAAGTCGGATACCGCAACGTATGGTTGATGGCGGATCTAGCATCCAGTGGATACTGACAAACGTAATGACGAGCACCCCTCATCTGTAAGTATGTCACCACCACCTTGAACAGATGGAGGTGTTTCTTCACAAACTCCGCAGTTAGAGGGTTGAAATTTCGCCCCAAACATATTACACCTCGTTTTACGTATTCCACATCCGCCATGTCAACAACGTACTCCTCAAGTAGGCTTTCTATTTCTGGGATAGGCTCGAACTTTTCTAGTACAACCGGCTTGTATGCCTCGACGTCACTCGGCCTGGCCATAATGACGGTAGGATAAATCCCGTCCTTTATTACTCGGTCAATAATCGATACAGCTGCTTTATCAGACATCGATTTAATAGCCGAATCGAGGTCCAACTTCTGCATCATTTTAACGGCCCTGTGCCGTCTCCCCAAATCAATGACCTGATCCAGGAAATCGTCAATCGTCATTGGCTCAGCATCGCCCGATTGTTCCGTTGTCTGTGACACTTCGTCTGTCATACCGTTATCCACTTCATCCTGCTTTCCAGTCTTCTCAGCCGGCTTGTACTCCCTTCCGCCGGGAAGGTATTGCTTCACGTAGTCGTAGGTGCTCCTGCTGTGGTGCTTGAGTTTATGCAGGGTGTCTACCCCCTTTATCAGCATCGCCTGCTTCAGAATGTCCTTCAACATGACGGCAAATTGCTTGTTTAGTGGCCAGTTTGAAGGGGTTGCCTCTTTATTGGGTTTGTGGAACAACGTCCGCGGACACATGTGGTTCTCCGTGAGCACCTTTTGGAGGAAATTAACATCCGCGATGCCATACGTTGGTGTTTCGTTATTCTCGAAAGGATCGAAATGCCAATCATCCTTGAACACTCTGCACTCTGGAAATTTAGACGCGACCACGAAGTCAGTGGGTCCGACGTTTCTCCTCAGCCATTGCACCAAATTATGGGGGTTGAACAGCTGGTACGATATTGCCGCCATCTGACACTCATTGCGCATTGCAATCATTAGCAAATCGAATAGCGCTGTACCACGACTTCGTTCACTGGGCATGTGCCGTGGCGCAAATCCATCCACCACCACTATACGTTTGCTCGGCTCGTTTATTTGTAACCTGTCAGCCAACTGTGTGGTACTATGGTATGAGTTTTGAAACAACTTCCGTATCGAGAGCAACGTTTCTTTCTGCGGCACGAATATGTCACGCTCATTCCAATTTCGATTGGCCACCTCATCGTGAGATCGGAAAAAGGAATCAATGAGTGATCGCAGCACGCCAACAAACTCCTCTTGGTTTGAGTCATCAACTGGATCCCCTTTGAAAAACAATTCAGTTACTGTACTTCCGGCGCTTTGCGGAGTGTCCGCACTAGCTTCATCCGTGGGCGTTTCTTCACCGCTTATGGACGAGTCCACACTAGCTTCATCCGTGGGCGTTTCTTCACCGCTTGTGCCAGAGTTCGCATTCTTATCGTACAGTTTCATGTTGCGCAAGTATTCCACTAGTTCCCCGGCCTGCTCTTGGTTGTGCATGTTTATGGCGTGGTATATACGTGAGAGTCTCGTCAGTTCCGCCACGGTGAGTAGGTTATTGGGAGCGACACTGATTTGCTCATCTGATATGATGTTTACCTTACCGAAGCTTTCGTTTTCTTCTTGGCAAAGCTCATATAGTTTTTCAATGGTACGAGAGTGCCGGGCCACGTAAAGCACGTGTGGAGCATTCTTCGTTTTGCGTTTGTGCTCGGCTAGGCGCCTTACGAGCTCTACGAAGAATTCATCTCTATGTTGCGGAGTGTATCCCAATACGCAAAAATTGTCGGCCATTTTTTGATCCTTGAATGCATCCTCCACCAAATCATCTAGGTTAACACTCTTAACAGACGAAGCATATTGTGAACGTGACTGTTCCCCTGAATTTTGCGCGTTCCTTGCCCTTTTGTTTCTTTGTCGAGGAGCATAGTTCCAGTTATACGCCGCCGAATAACTGTTGTTGGCGTTTCCCAGCTTATCGGCGACTGCACCTTTTGTCTCATTGTTAGGGTTTTTACTAGAGGCCGACGGAAACGCTCCATTGTGATCAACTTGATCGGCATTATCTGCACCAGACAATCTACCGATGTATTCGTAGCGATTCCGATCTTCTGGCAATAAAATTATCTGCTCAGTTTGCTGGTCCTGTGACGATTCATCCTCAAAGACTGGATACTCAGTGGGCTCTGCAGAGCCCGCGATTTCACGGTCCACTTCATTTATGTCGCCAACAGTGACCTCATGAGTGATGGCGACATTTGATTCCTCATCCCTGCTTTCTTCAGGGGTCCAACTATTTGGATCTACATCTTCGTTGACACATTCATCACCATCTGTCACCTTTACCCTGGAAAGCGTCCTTCTGATGATAGAATCGTTACTGGACGTTCGTAAGACACCGATGTACGCGTGTATCCGCGCGGAAGACTGCAAAGTGCCGATACACGGATCACGAAGCAACCTCCGCTCTCCATTGCAGCTGTGCAGAACTGAGAACAGCAATACCAGCAGTTTTAGCCCGCCCATCCGACACACATAGTTTCCACAGCGACCCATGGATGATGTGCGACCGGCCGGCCATGCTTCCAGCAATGGAAGGCTACTCAACGTCGTCCATAAGCAAGATTCCTTTCGTGAATCGCGCACCGACGCATAAATCAAGCAAAATATTAGCAGATTACACCAATGTGTAACCGTATAATGTGTGACAGAATATGTGATGAGTTATTGTGCCAAACGGTCATACGTCTGTTCGAGAAGCTCCGAACGGTGTAGACTATACACAGGAATGGACATTGTCGTCGAAACATTGGCTCCCCGTTCGGAGCCTGCATAGCTCAGTAGGTTAGAGCATTCGCTTAGTAAGCGAAAGGTCGTCGGTTCGAATCCGGCTGTAGGCTGTGTTTTTTGCAAATTCAGCATATCGTTATATGTAAAACTAGTTACTGAACGACAGATATACCACATCTAATGGTTGGCATTGTCTTATAATGATTGTAATTTCCCTTCTCCGTTGTCTGATGTTGGCGGACGAAGGCCAATTCGGCGATGCTCTTTGTTTGCACATCTGCATTGATAAATGGCAACTTCCGTTAGACATAATGTGTCTTCGTATCTTTCTAATCGATTAGAGATAATAGATGTGTTGCGGCCGTAGTTTGTTACGCCGCCCTCCACGACGTCTCGAACGTACCTCGTCTGTATTTGTTGTGGACCAATGGAGGATGTGCCACCTCTGACAGACATTTTAGTGCTCGTATTTCATAATACGTGCCATATGTAGGTGTAATCGATTTTTTCGGGGTGGCCAGTTATTACTCTCACTGTCGCTTTCGATTCCAGACGTCGTCGTTGTAGCCGCCGTGTCCTATGCACACATCGCGGCTCATAGATATTGCTGTTGGCATCTTGTGTATATTAAACCTATCGCCATAGAATTGCAGCTACACATTGTATGTGGAAGAGCGTTTAGGCATTACATCGCCTCGCCGGAGCTGCCGTTGTGAGCTTCACGATTCTTCTTGATTGGAGCTTCTGATAATATAAGGTTGAGTTACAGCGTCACTTGGGCTCATTAACAACTCGGATGGTACGCCGATGAGTGGCGTTTTGGCGCAGCCATGGCTGAGTCGCTGCCAGGGAATCTGCAGGCACAGCTAGACGAAATCCACGCGCTGCATTACATCTTCTTCCCTGCAACGGTACTATGTCAAGGCGGAATCGACCAATCCCTCTTCGCGGAGGACCTCATGCCTCTGGAGGAGTACCGGGAGCTGCTGTCGCGCATTACCGTGCGCACCCGCGTCGAACTCTACCCCGAGTTGTCGGAAGAGGCGGCGCCCGACTCGCTGCTGAAGGTCGCGTTCCGCCTCTCTCCATACACAGGAGACAGCTCTCGCAACGTAGAAATCGCGCAAAGCTTCGTGGAGGTGACATTTCCGACGGATTACCCTGGCGCGCTGCCCAGCATAGTGGTGATGATGAACATGTCGTTGTCGCCCGCCAGCCATCACAGCGTAGTATCGCATTTGGACCGTGTAGTGAAGGACACGGAGGATGGCGTTTGCGTCTTCAACGCGGCCATGAGCCTCAACGAGCTGCTGGGAGATATTCACGCCAATCAATACCAGCTATGGGATGAGACGACGGGTGTGGCGCTTGACGTCGACCACACGCAAATTGGAGACGCCACGCTGCCACTACCTGCGTCTATGAGAACATTTGCTGGGGACTCTTTTCCACCGGGCATGGGCATGTTGGACGCCCCAATAGAGTTCGCCGAACAGAAGGCGCGGATTTACTTGAATTCATCGGATGCATCTGACAGCGATTCACCTACTATGTCGGCTCCTTACAGTCGTCTGACATTGTCTTACAACGAAAGTTCAACTGTTGACCGTGAGATGTACGCATCGAGCTTCGACATAGGTGGGTGGTCCCTGCAGTCCTTAGTTCAGTCGCCACTCTGGTACGAAACCGGCCGAAGAACCGTCGACGACAGCTCAAACGAACCTTCCAGCCGCTACAGGCTGCACCTAAACAGCACTTCACGAGAAGAAGACCGCAATTGGCATCCATTCACGCTCAATGACTCGTTGAACTTTGTGGCTCCCACCAGGTCGCAGAGGACGTGGTCAAACGAGAACGAATGGGTGATCGATGCAATCGCTGAAAAGACACCAGTTATGTTCACCACGTTTCCTCAGACGCCATCGGAAGCTGATCTGCCCCACGAGGCACGACTGGAAGGCCGGAGTGATGCGGCACCGCTCGACCCGGAGACTATGCTGGCAGTCAGCCGTTCCAAGGCTCTGCTCGATTCACTGGCCTGTGCCAACCCCGTAGAGCGGTATTGCGAGGACTTCACGGAGACAATGACGATCCTGAACAACGGCTTTTCTAGTTTCGTCAAGGCGCAGCACATGCTGGACCAGAACCTCTACATGGTCCGCACCTACGTGCTGCCCAGCTATTGCATCCTCGACACGCAGCGAAGCAACTTCGACGTGAACGACGACATCGAAAGGTTCAGCATGCGCAGGAAGGTGCTAATACAGCAACTCGTGTCATCAGTGGCGCTGCTCGCACGTCTGCAGCACAACAGCATTGCCCGCTACTACCAATGCTGGGTAGAGAAGGTGCAGCTGTTCGAAGTAATATCGCAGTTAATGAGGCGTGCCGAGGCTCTGCTTGAGGGCCGTTTGTCCTTGAACAGCGTCGACAAGGGTGACGACCGCAGGTCACTTCGCCAAACGATGCAGCAGCTGCTGCTCAACAACACCATCAGGCGTGGTGATGACGGAGTGGCCGATTTTGTGCTGAGCGAGGCGGTGACTCGGCGGCGCATGTATATCCAGATGGAGCACTGCGACGGCACAAGCCTGGATCAGGTAATACAACACGATGCACTCTACCAGAACTCTCAACGGATATGGACTTTCACTCGCCACCTGCTGGATGTCTTGGCGTACCTTCACAGCAATAATGCCTACCACCAGGCACTGTCGTTGCAGAACATCATCGTCTACACCGACGCCTCTGGTACGGGCTTAAAGGTCTGCGAATTCGGCATAGCACGCCTGCTGCGCGAGTTCTGCTACTCAGGATTCTTCTGCCAACATCAGCAATGCACCTGCCGGGATTATGCCAGGCAGCTCCGCAAGGAGTTGTTCGCGTACCACCCATCGACGTTCGGTGTTGGCCCGCCTGTGAATTTTGACGACCTGTCAGCTTTGCAAGGAACATCGGATTATGACGCACAGCAGGAAGACATGTTTGCTCTAGGAGTACTCATTTTCCGGATGTGGCATCCGCCAATCGAGGAAAGGCTTTTCAAGGACGTGTTCACCAACATCATAACCACCCAAAAGTTCCCCAAGTACTTCCTGCACTCCACGCCGCCTATCATCGTCAGCACCATCATGCGGCTTGTGAGTGCAGACCGGCGTCCGACTGCCGTGGAGCTTCTGAGGGAGACGCTGGTTCCCCCGGTCATGGACGGAGACCTCTATAGGCAGTACCTGCGTCGCCTGCAGAACCCCTTGTCGGACGAAGCGGTGGATGCCCTCAAATTCTTCTTCCGCCGGGGATGGAAAAGCGATTTGACCATGTTACGTACGGATGTGCCTCTAGGCTCACTGTCCACACTGTCGTTCGTGATTGACGGACTGGAGTCTTTCATGCGCCGTCGCTCCGTCGTGGTCGGCCCAACGTCGATACTATACCCGCTGACTCCAGAGACAAAAGGCGACGCTAGTGTAGTTGTGCTCGACGACAGCAACACCGTGCTCAGTCTGCCTCGCAGTTTGGTGCGCTCGTTGCAGGAGACGCTGCGTCGCGCCCCTCGCAACGAACACAGCCTGTATCTCAAGAGGTTCACTGTTGGCGAGGTGTTTGACGGCACCACCTGCAAGTTGTCTGCAGTCTTCAGCTGCAGTCTCACCTTCGATGTGGACATGATGCCGTATCAGCCCTCCCGTGTTACGAAGCGCTCGGCTGTGCAGCCGAATGCCTTAGGGCTGTCCGAGTTGCGGCTGGTGTCGGTGGAATGCGACTTGCTGCGCAACACTGTTGACTCTCTGGAGTCGCTGGGGCTCTGGTCGTCAGTTGTACTGGCACTGCATTTCCCGCCGCTGGTCATCGACTTCCTGGCGTTTGTGTTCGGTACGAATGTCGAGGTGGCGCACGACATCTACACGGGCATTTCCACGGTGGACGTCAACCAATACACGCTGTGGAAGCTGTTCGTCCAGTGCAGTGGGTCAGATGCACCTGATCGGAACGACGAGGAGCTTTTGGAACGTATCGCAAGTCTGCTTCGGCAACGGTGGCCGGTACCCGTTGCTCTGAAACGTATGCACGCTCTGGTGAGAGACGCTATACGGGGCAGTGTTAGCCCGTACGAGCGGACATTCAGGAAGCTTGAAGCTGACATTACACGGCTGCAACCGGTTAATGATGACAAGTCAGACGAAGATGCGGCTGTGGAAAGCAGTAGGGAGCTCAAAAGTTCAGATTCTCTATATAGTGATATTTCTGAGCCTTCCGGAGCACAACACCAGCTGCAGGAGCAGTACTTGCGTCGCATGTCGCACATGGTAGAAATGGCTAAGTTGCTGAACAGTCTGGGCAAGCTGGACCCCTTTTGCATGGAGTTCATTCCCGCGTCTAACGTCATGGAGCTTTGTGAAGGCGCCATTGATTTCCCGTCATTCGGATGTTATGTGGTGTCGGAGGGGTCTGAGGTGTTGGCGGTTGTAGGAGGCACCGTCGTAGGTGAGTCGGGCGCCGTACAATGCTACGCGGAGTACCTTATGCAAGCCCTGTGGTCTTCTGTCGACACAAAGACGGTAAACACGAAGCACATGGAATCGATTTACCCCGATCATCTGGACGTCGTGATTACTTGCCAGAGCCTCCGGTTGTTACCAGCCGCGTGCTCAATTGCATGTCGGTTGATAGACGCCGGCATCAGCTGCGAGTGCCGCGCACTGCCACTGATCCATACAGACCACTTCCACGAACGCCTGCGGCAGACTGGCGCCGTGAAGTTCCGGATCCACTTGCAGCGCACCGGGTCGGCCTCACCGTCAGCGTTGGAGTCGTGCGGCCTCACCAGCCGATCGGACGCTGCCATAACAGAACGGTCTGCCGACGACGAAGATACCAGCGACACATTTGCAGAACAGAAGATTCTGGAGTCATCGCTATCACACGCGCGCGGCTGGAACAAGTCAGAGACCCACGCCACCGGCCGCCGCAGTGATCGGCTCGCATTGGCTCCAACACCGGAAGCTGATTCTACTCTGGAGTCTGATGCAGGTTCCCGTAAGCTGATGACATCCACCTCGTCAGACAACGACGATGAGCGCCATTTCGTGGGAGTCTCATTCCAGGTCGAGCCGCTGAGGGACTGCTACGGCCAGCCGCGTAAAATCGACAGCAGCGCAGCGCTGGTTCGTTACGTGAAATCGCTGCTGTCTCGAGAACACTAGCTGTGGATCCGGAGGAAAATGTCTGTACCATACCAGCGCCGTTCGCACAACGGTATATTCGCGCCGGACTGGCTGGCGCATCAGACGCGACCGACATTATTAACTTATGTAAATGCGTCTTCTTTCATTTTTCTTATCGCTGCTGCAATGTGTAACAGTGGTGTCACTTTTGTCCCCGTCTACGGGAAGGTATAATAAATTGTTTCGGGCCGTGCCTTGCGTAGCCTTCTTAGGCGCGGTTGGCTTGTTTAATGCCTCTATCGCGTTTGTTGGCCCGGCAACGGCCCTGTCGCATGGATTCCGAACTAGAGCGCCTATTAAACTTCTGTTCATATCGAATGGCAAGCCGTCATTCCACCGCCGCTATGCGCCTCTACAAGCACACAATTCCAGCGTCGCCATTGAGGTTCGCCCGGGTGTAGGAGGCACAGAGGCGTCTATCTGGGCCCAGGAGCTGGCCAAGGTAGGTGACGTGCACCATACTGCCAATGATGCCCAGACATTCAAAAAGTTCTGCGTATCCAGGGGATGCACTGTACGAGAAGAACTTGTAGGTTATAAACGCTCACATACACTTATACTCAGAACGGTACAACAACTGTGTTGCGAATAACCGGTGACGATACTAAATTCCGGGAGAATGGGTAGGTCGCACCTCCTCTGATCCCTGAACGCCCCCAGCTGTAGCGGATTGGAGGAGCGTTTCTTGCGAGAGGCTGGCATACACCAGGTGAAACGCGTCCCTACAAGTGAGAAATCGGTGGGTTGCATCGTTGCGCGACTTCGTTAAAGTTGCCGAATAGGGGCGCATGCACTCATCGACCGCCACGGTGGCAGTACTGCCGACAGAACTCACGGAGACCCAATTCGACTCTATACTGAGCCATGTGGCCATCGACCCGCGCGACATTGAGTGGAAAACGTGCCGTTCTAGTGGCGCAGGGGGCCAGAACGTGAACAAGGTACGCCATCACGAGAGCGCAACAGCCCTCATATAAGACAGGTGGAAACAGCCGCCGCGTTACTGCACAAGCCGACCGGAATACGCATAGAATGCCAGGAGGAAAGGTATATTCGCCCTATGTAAACTGCCGTCAACGCAAGTTCAGGACCCAGAGTAAGAACAAGGAGATAGCATTGGAGCGTCTGCGGTTGCAGCTGGCGCGGGAGAGGGAGTCTGACGCCCGAGAAGACGCCCAAAGTCGGCGTCTATCGCAGGTAGCAGCTAGCATGTAAGCCGTTACGTGGTTCGCAGATAAAGCGCGCGAAGCGTTCGGAGCGTCTGAAGACGTATTTTTTCAACACGCACCAGATCATCAACGACCGCTGCGGGTGTAAATACAACCTCAACGATTTCCTGCGGTGCCGCCTGGATAACGTCGACTGCGACCACTTTTAATTCACACCGCATCAGGTGTGTGACGCCGGCGCCGCTACCAACAAGCACCTCTAATCCCCGCGCAGTGCCGCACAGACACGCTACGGCAACGTCGTCCAGTGGAAATGTAGTGATGGAGGATGTGTACGGCGACGAACCGCCTGAAGGCATCCCCCAGTCGATCGGAGATGAGTACAACACGGTCGACGTCAACAACGGCATTCAACGCAATGCCATCCTCGTTTATAACATTTCAGGCTTCTCTAATTTCGGAGTGAACCTCGACCTGAGGAAGTTGGCGCGGGCACTTGGTAATGCGGTGTACTTTCCGGGGGAATTCAGCTGCGTGAGGGTGGACGTTCGGGTTAACAGGAACCTCGAATCGGATGCGCCGACACATAGCTCCGAAAGGTTTCCGGGGATAGAACACATACCGGTAGTGTGGGCTACACGCAGATACGAGCTTCAGACGCAGTTGCATAGGCAATTTATATACAACGACTCGGTCTCTCTGGGCAAGCGCATATGCAACGGTTGGTATGCGTAACGTAGGCGCCAGGCTCATCTTTCGCAGACAAATACACCTATTTAAAGGTTTCTATCTTCGCCAATGGCAAAGTTTCGTTTACAGGCGCCAGGAACTTGCTGACCGTTGCGGTGGCGCTCTGGAAGGTCTGCCGTGCCATCCGCCAGCGCGTCGACAGTAAAGCGGCGGTGCGGTTCATGGTTCCCGCCAACATTATGGCCGTATATCGCTTCCCTTCGCGAATAGTCCTGCAGACATTCGTGAAACGTCATAAGGACAGCATGTACGACCCCATCCGTTTCGCCGGGGTGCAGCTGCGAGTGAGCATCAAACCCTACGACAACCAATACGACGTCCGCAAGGTGATCCTGGAGGGATTAGGCAAGAGCGTGCCCGATACAAAGCCTGAGTACCCGCTGCAGAACGACGCCGGCGACGACTATAGTGACAGCGACGAGTTCGACGACGATCCTGAATCAACCTCCTCGATGCCGGCATTCACACAGCCGACTGCCGCTCCAGTGCCAGCGCCAAGAATAGATCCACCACTTCCTGTGTCTCCTATCGCCAGCACAGGCGTGGCAGGACCGCGGCAGCGACTGCTCAAGGGCAACCTCAGGAGGATCATCAGCGAAGCGCTACCGGCCAACAAGCGCCAGGTAAGACCTCCAGAAGGCCACACAAACGCTCGCAGATACACCAGGGAACTGCGTTAACGCCGCAGGCTGTGGATTCCACTGCAAAGTTGCAGAAAATTGTGGACACCGGAGCTGGCAAACGTGTATGGTCGGCCGAAAACGTCATGAGAGACCCAAACGTATTTCATTGGAAGAAGGAAGCGGTAGCAGTGACTGTGTTCACTAGCGGGAATGTGAGCATTACGGGCGCCCGGTCGATCGCGAGTATACAACACGCACTATCGTTCATCTACGACTCCCTAAAGGCGTCCGCCGCGCCGCAAGTACCACAATAATTTTTATAGCCGATGGCTGACGACGTAAACACAAGTGCGGACGCCCGCTTGGCGGCGGAAGCGACACACTCTCCCTCGACTGACGGGATTCCGCTCTGCGTCACCAAGGCTGGCCCCGTGGACGGCGCTGCCGCCTGGGAGAACAGGCTCAACGAGGAGTTTGCGGCGCTGATACACTACGTCGAGGAGAACAAGGCCAATGACACTGAGTGGTTTCAAATTGACTGCGATGATCAAGGCACCAAGTGGGTACAGAATCGACAACATCATGACGTGTTACAGGTGGTTCGGGGAATGCTGGCACGTGCACAAGATGAAGACGTATCGTTTTCGTTTGGAAATCAACGTAGGCGGCGCCCCCAACGGGATCATGACACGCAGATACCTGCCGCCTATCCCAACGCACCGCCGGATATCGTGCTGCCAGACCTAGATGGCAAAACGGCCAAGATGTATCGTGGTGGCAGCATATGCCTGGATGCCCATTTTGCGCCTCTGTGGCAGAGAAACTCGCCCAAGTACGGTATCGCTCATGCCCTGGCTCTGGGGGTAAGTGCATCCAGCGTACATAGCCGCCAATGACGTTGCAGCTTGCGCCCTGGCTCGCTAGCGAGGTGCCACAACTCATAGCTACCAATGTGCTGGCGCCGTAGAAGAATGCAAATATGCGGCATTGGATGGCATACGAGATATTAAACTATACTGTCCAGCTGGCGCTGCAGAATGCTGATGCGCACTCCCAGGATATTGTGCGCATGCTGCAACTCGGATAGGCTGTTTTCCGCCTCTCCAGCTGTTCTGCAATGTTCAGAACATGTATCGTCAGTGTCACCAAGCGTTGTCTGCGCTGCCGCTGAAGACACGCCGAATTGCGTACTATTGTCTTTCGAAACCGCAGCGGTTTCGGTGAAATTGCGATCTGGCATTAACGTCCCGACATAATATTTGTTGGCATTCTTATGTCCGTTTTGCGATGATTGGAAGTTGACTCCCGCATTGTTATCCGTGTGGCGTACAGCCCGTCTGCGCGATGCCGTTGCAGACGTTTTATTACTGGGTGATGATTCGCTCTGTATGGCTGCACCAAACGTCGCCTGCAGCTTCGAGAGATTTGCGATGAATCCGCCTAATATGCCTTCCTGGTGCGATGGAACTCCGAACCGCTTTTCAAGCAATGTTGACAATGACGACGTGGAGTCGACGTCTTCGGTGTCCGTGATGTTCAGCAGTCGAACCTCATCCAGCTGGCCCAGCCAACGATACATTCGGGATGCACCATTTAATTCATCGCTGTGCGGCGATGAAACCGTGGAAGGCGCTTCGTCTACCGTGCCGATCACAGCACCCGACTCCGGAACCGTTCCTGTGTTGCTCTCTGACATATCCAGCGATAGATCTGATAAATATCTCGACACCGTATCACAAGCTCGGCTCAGACACTCAATGTTGCCAGCATTTTGACCCTTTGGTGAGTTCAAAAGCGCCGACATATAGACCACCCAAAAAGGCAACCAGTTGGGATGCTGTAGCCAGCGGTGCGGAACCAATAACAGCAGGTCTTCCATACGGCATTGACTTTGCGAAATGCAGCTTGAAACGTAGGGTATCAACAGCAATTTCAAATGATCGTTTAGCATCTCCCTTTCAATCAGTGCCAGAAGACAGTCGGTCAAGCTCGTCAGGGGAGGGGTCTCAAGACAGACTGCAAACAACTTGGTCACGCACTGATCCACATGATCAGGCAGTGGAAACTCGCCATCCTCCTTTGGAATCACCATATATGAGTCTATGTTTAGTTCAGCCAGCTTTTTTGCGAGCACATGGACCTGCTCGGAATCCAAATGTACAGCGTCGTGGTTCATCGAAGCGTTACGGTGCAACAGCGCCACGAAATCCATCGTGCTCTGGAGTGAAAACAGTTCCGCGTTCCGAAGTAACTGCTTTACGTTCGAGCATAAAGCGTTATATTGCTCCCATTGAAACGATGCACAAGACGAATGCTGGCGTTGGATGCAAGCCGCGGCGTCGACAAGGTGCGCAGTGTTAGCTCTGCTTGTGCCAAGACGAATATTCACAGCTTCAAAATAGGGGTACACCCGACGGTACACGCGTTGCACCTTACTGCTAAGCTTGCGGACGGCAGTTTCAGATGAACCATTACCCGGCGGTGGTGGTTCGCGCAACGAATTATTTGTAGGCTGATCAACTGACGACATGGCGCAGAGCCTATCTATTGCCATCTGCTGAAAACGCCCGTATTCGAGTCTGAAAACCGGATAACGTGTCGCCATGACCTCAAACAAGACAACGCAGCAGTGCAGCTGCTCGGCGGTCATGGTGGCCATATTTGCCAACAGGTACCGGTGGCACGTCGTCATCAACACCGTCATCTCCGCACAGTTTACCCGGAACCACGTGGAATAGGACACCACATGACTGGCCAACACGTGGCACAGCAACATCACCTCGTTAACGTTGAAGCTCCGTATGTTCTACACGTCATGACAATGGTATAAACAGAACCTACGCTGGTTATGAAATCCACACGACGAAATAAATCTTGTATGTTAGCTTTGCCTTCCGATATCTGGTAACACAGTGCGCACGCTGCACGAGAGCTGCCATCTTCGGTGCTGGAGCAGGATTCACGTATTACCCTGGAACGCCAGGCAGGTGACGGCGGTGCTGCCTTCGCAAAGTGGCCAGCAACCTCCAGGGAAACACTCGTAGCGCTCTCGTGTGCATGTTTCCATACATCCAGTGGTCTAATGAGCCCGGCACGTTGAAGCAACGACGGCATCAGGGCTCTGAGCCTCGATGTCGCCATCTAGGATCCCGATCACACTTCTACGATGCCAAATTAAACATTCCTGATAACGGATGCCAGCAGTAGCAGATCTAAACTATACACAAGGCCCCATATCTTGACATATACGAAGCAAAACCACGGATATGTAGCATACGTCTGATTCCTGCGGTCTACATGCAACTGGGTGTTGAAAAAACTTCAAGACACCAACTCACTACCGCTTCGTACCGAAAGCATTATTCCGTATCACAATGCGGTTAATGTCGAAGCCGTAGGCGCCGGATCCGCGCGGATAGGGCACTGGACGCTTCAAGGTAATGTACTTCACCCCCTTGTACTGCTGTGGAAACTCGATGTGGCCCATCTTCTGCCGGTCGGATTGTACGCCAGCCACATTGCGAGGGTATGGAGCTAACGTAACGTTAACATTCGGCGGGTAAGGCGCTCGCAAACGGAAGCCTCCGTTAGCACAGGCCGCCAACCTGAACTCCCTAGGTCGTAACTTGCGGTTAGGCAGCCGCCTTCTATTCGCCAGGATATCGCCAGGTACTACCTGCCGGTAGAGCGCGGAATCTGCGTCTCCGATGCTGTAATGTGTACTTTGAACGTGACGCTTCTTAGCCCAGTGTCGGACCCACCTGCGGGCAACGCAAAACAGCGACGGTGTAAACGGCGCAGTCAGCAATGAGGCTCGCATTATACTCACATCCTGATGATATCGTCGACTAATTGATGCGCCTTGAGGCGCCGGCCCAATCCGTGCCGACGACTGTAACCGCAGATCCGATCATCACTCTAAGACAGGACGGTGTTTTACACATTCGTCAAAAAATAGTACAATCCAGCTTTTTACAGTATATACTTACTCTGAAGGCTCGATCTTCTCACTCCGCTCAAGGAAAATGGCGCGGTATCAAGCAGAGGCTCAGCGTCCGGAAAAGGACGCTCGCACTGAAGAGGAGGCCGCCAAAACGACACCTACCGGCCACTGCAACCATTCTAAACTGTGCGCTTTGCTATGTGCAGTCACCAAGCCTCTGCGGGGCCTGTTTGTCGACCATGAGCACGAGGAAGAGAACGTATCTGCTGGCAAACGCGATAAGAAGAGGCGCTCCGAGAGAAATGTGTTCTCCAGGCGCTTCATCACCTGGGCGTGTGTCTTCGGTAGGTGTTTTCGCAATCTTTCCGAATGTGCGCAGGTTCGCTCATTCTCTCCCTCTTCATTGCCGGTTCCCTCAAGGTAGGTAGACATACAGTAGGAGCGACCTAGCGCGTTCAGATTTTTGGCCTGCTGCCGGCTCCCAAACTCCCTGGTTTCACCTACCTCAACGTTAGCAATATCAGCCAGCTCAAAGGTGAGACCCCTTAACAACTGCACAATCGCTGCAGATGCGATGGCGCAAAGCGGTCCTAGGCTTGTGTACTGCAGCAACGTCAAGCTGACCCCCGAACAAAACAGAGTAGCCTCCTTAGCTGTGAAGGCTGTGCCTAGCTGGATCAACAAGTTCGCCATGGACTGCAGCGCTGTGCTCCCGTCAGGAAAAACGGGCTACCAGCGTTTCGAGGTCGACCCCGCCACCACCGTCATGTTCGTCCAGGCGCACGGAAAGAAGGCCCTGGCAATAACTAATTACCTCATTGGAAATCCGCAGTACTTCCTGCAGACGGTAGTAAACACCGCCGCTCACACCGTCAGACGCGTTGACAACGTACGTCCCAATGAATGCAATGCACATCGCGCAGGCTGACAACTTTAACACGCGGCTTGGTACGCGCGCCAACCGCGTGCTGCTAGTGGTTACGGATGACCGCAAGTTCGGAGTATATAGCGAGGAGCACACCACTGCGCTGTCCCGGATAATCGACATCAACCGCCTCTACGGCTACAGCACCCTGATCGTCAACACGACCATATTCGACGTGAGTTAACGCTAGTGCCATCGGCGATATAGCGCGCAGCTGGCTTTCGATGAGGATGACGACGTGCCACTTGGCGACGGCTTCGGCATGTACTGCCTCATCCCCTACGAAGAAAGCTTCCTGCTGGGATACTACGTCGGAGCGCCTTTCGGCAAGGCCATGGAGCCGTTCATGCGCCTCTGCGCCACCGTATCGCAGCGTTAGTACACAACCATGCAACGCAAATGAATGCAGCCAACCGCGACTTCAAGTACATAAATAACAGGCCCACTATGTCGGTAAAGCCACCAAGGGCACCCAAGAAAGCACCAGTGGTAGAAGAGACCACTGGCGATGCAGCCAACACGAAAAACGGTGAGGAACCTATAACTAAGTTTATACGCTGTCCAGGGGACCACCCAGAGGAGGAAGTGCTCGAACTCTAGGGTTACTGCGCCCCCGACACCAATGCGGAAGGCTCCAAATCCTCGTCCCACTTGACCACCGACACTAACTTGTACCTAATCTCCTTGTCGGTGAACTCGCAGTACTCGTTGTCGGCCATGCGTGACAACTTGTTTGTTCGGCGCGGCTTCTTGTTGCGGTCAGCGGCATCTTGGGAAACGGGCGCTGGGGCGGCATCCTCATGCGGAGATTCTCCCCTAGGAGGCCTTGTTCGTTTTTCCTCTCGCGGCTTGCGCCGCTGTGCGGCGTTCGATGCGCCGGGAATTCCCCCATCCGCACGGTCTGCCGGGGGCATGGCGTTCAATAACATCGGATCCAATTTACCCATGGCGGCAACGACCCTGGGGTCGGCCATATTGGGCACCATTCGCGGATGATGCTGTCCCGGAGCACCGGCAGCGCGCGCTGCGTTGACATTCTTCGGGCCTCCGGGGGTGGCTGACCCGCGAGCTGCAGACTGTGCCTTGTTCGCCGCGAGGTTGGCGCTTTGCCCCAATATAAACGCTCCCCAACCGCGCAATAACACTGACTCTACGCTACGCGGATTGAAATGCTCGCGAGCAGCGGAGTATGCGCCTCGATATAGTTCGTTGTCGATTTTCGTCTCACGTGCACGCCGGGCAGAAGAGAGAAACAGCGCCAACTTGTTGATGAATTCACTCTTGCCGCCGTACAAACGCGATGCAGGGTTTGTGAAGGCATGCTGCTGGTTCCTCACCGGCGCTGGTAGCACATCGTCGTCGACTGTGTATGACGCAAGGCATTCGCGTGTCAAACGCCAACGGCCACTCGCCAGGCTCTGGAATCGCCGAATAACCTCTTCCGTAGTCTCGAGGTCGTTGAATATAGGCATTTCACGCATGTTAAGAGCCGCATCAGGCCGTGCAGCTGGCCCAGTGATTACGGGTCGACCAGCAACTCGAGTGGGCGTACCGCTGGTCGGGCCTGGTTGTGTTTCAGTGGCAGGCACTGATGGCAGCTCTTCAACGCTACGCAGTGAATTCGGGGTTGTTGTGCCTGAGCCTTTATTGGAAGCTGCATTTGTATTGGTAGCTGCGCTTGATGTGGCAGATCCTTCACCCATCGATGCTCCGGACGCTTTCACGGTTTCCTCAGTTGCACGATCTGGTGAAGCAACTGTGGCTCCGGTTGTTTCAGCACCTACGTCACTAGCGGCATTATTACTGTTTAATTGCGTCAAAAGCAGAGGCGGGTTCTCGGGTAGTATCTTCATTATGTCGTCTCGAGCATATACAGCTCCGCCACACGAGGAGCATGTCGGCTTGGGGGGAATGATGATGGACAGTGTCAGATTATCCTTAGATACGTTATCCAAATCCATACCCTCCAAAGCAATCCACAAGCTTATGACCGTTGTGCAGCCGAACAGACGCCGCACAAGGGAGAGATGGCAACGCACCACTCCTGAGCACGCCTCGTTCACGATATCGTTTACAGTAAGCTCCCGTGTAGCAGCCTTTTGACTACGCGTCAGAGAAATGGGTTCGGCACGCCCGGTTGGCGCTTCTGTTGTATTACCCGATTCAGCTTGCGTGTGGGTAACTTCGCCTAAGGTGCGACCTGCACCCCTTACGCTCCAAATACCGGCGCAGAGCGCCATGTAGTTCAACTCGGGATGCAAGAATGACACAACGCGCGGCGCCTCCTGCAACACGTCTATACTCCTGCTGTACGGAAGCATCACCAAACAACGCTGGGGCTCGAAGAACCACTGGCTGCCGGTCTTACCTACTGACAGCACATCATGCGGGACCTCGCTGAACGGCAGGGTACGTGGCACCACCCAAACGCAATGCTGGAACTGGCCGAAAGGCGCGCCTGCAGCATGCGCGTTGGTTGAGGTGGGAGCATGGTCTGGTTGACTGTCGAAGTGCGATTGTAGATCATAGTTTAGCTTGTATGCCCGTAATCCTTCGACACCGACGACGATATCTCGACGATCATAGAGTGAGCTCAGGACCACGCGCTTCGGCCTCCTGGCCGGGTCCGTGGCACCACGGCCTTCAAAAACACGGAGGGTGTGGCCGTTGCAATGACAGGTTGGATTAGAACCCACAGATGCAGATGTAACTGCGGTGCAGACTTCGGGTTTAGATGTATTTTCTGAAGATGTGGATTCGCTTACATTCATTGTGGCATCGGAAGTGGTAGCCGATGATGACTCAATTTTATCCTCGTTTTGTCGTTGTCCTACATTCAACTCTCTATTGTGTTCTTCTCCGGTACCGCTAGCATAATCAACGTGGACTTTGGCTAACATGTTTTCTCTAGCATCGTCTGGCAGTGAAGCGGTGTTTACGCGTGACGTATTATCATCCTGAACCGTGGTGGGGTTCACAGTGCCATCCACCGGTGCGCCCTCGGGAACTACAGTGGCACCTTCCTCCGCTAGTGATATTTCGGAACTAGCCTGCTTTGTGAGTGTAGCAGGCGCCGAACCTTCCGCAGTTGAGTGAGCATGAGCAGCGTTGCTCTGACTGCTGGGCTGCAGAGGACAGGTCGATTTCCCGAACAAAGTGTCGTCATTCGGTGATTTCACAGGTGCAATACCGCGCTCATAACTATCGCCAAATAGCACGTTGACAATTACACGGTCGGTGTAGCCGCCAAGGATAGGGTCAAACACGCTGAGGCATGAACCGACGTAAATGTCACGCTCTGGATCAAACTCGCGTGGCAACAGTCGCCACTGTGCTTTCTCTAGGCGAGATGTTGGGACGTTTGGCGGTACGAAATTGCGCATCATGTACATGCGATCAGTTGACGACCCGCGACCAGCCTCCTTGGCAGATGTTGAGTCAATTGCCACCATAAGCACACCAGACGAAATTGAAGTCACCCTTCCCAAAATCCAATGCATCACCGCTTGCTGTTTAGTTGGCAGTACCTGGATGCGCATACCCTCAGTTATGGTTTGTGGAATGAAGGTTGTTCCCGGCCAGTAGCCAGTGTACGACCGATTGAGACGCTCGAATTGAACGTGCAGGCTGCGGCGATCGCCTTTGTCAAAGGGGATGCTCAGCGTATCCGAAACATCGACGCATCTACGATCCACGCCCCCGCAGACGTACCGCGGAAAGTGCGGCTCGCCACCAGGCAAGTACAACCCCGATAAATCATCAAGCACGGCTAACAACTGGCGGCTTGTTTGCATGTTAATCGAACTCGAACTGGTGCCACTGCCGCCCTTACCGGATGTGAAATTTGAGGAGTAATTGAAGGCTTTACCGTAACTTGGATCCCAGTCGGAACCGCTGAATTTGCTGCGATCAAGATGTGCCATGAGTTCAGCTATAGCAGCCAAACCAGCCTTGTCGTTCATTTGGCCGCTTGCGACGGATTCGGAGATGTTAATGACCTTCTTTATGGCGCCCTCATCGTTGTAGCGCATGACCTGGCGGATGACAGCCATCTCGGGATGGCGATACAGTGCGGAGAGCTGCGACATGTAGCGGCGCAGCGCAGACAAATTTATAAATGCCAACAAACGACCGTACGCGGTCAATTTGCCAAAGTCACTATCCGGCTGCATTAGCTCTAGCATAAATTTCTCGATGGTGCCGAGACTAGCCATCTCCGACGTGGTGTATAGGGATTCGTGCACTCGGCGGAGCAGCCTTATCCTGTTGTTTATGTCGTTCCTACCGTCGGGGATGTCGGTAACAAAAAACGGGTCGCTGAACTCGTCGTACTCGGTGACGCCAGCACAATCCTTGAAAAGTGAAATATTATCGTCATTGCAAGCCGTTGGGTCCGAAGGTGTGATGGGTGGTGACGGTTCCTCTGGGAACCACTCCATTAGCGGTGATACGGCGTGTAAATCGTCAGACGAACCGCCGGTCGCACGCTCTGCAGAGCTTGATGGGAAATCGGAATCCGGTGATTTGGCATCGGTGAACACTTTGCGCAATTGCGTAAAAACATCATGGTCCTCCGCGAAATGTGAGGCGTAATCTGGTTGTTTAATCACATGACGAAAGGGTTTAACGCGTTTTGCTGCGGAAGTGGCATCCGCAGCAAGCAGACTTGATTGCGATTGTGACGGAATGTGCGGCGAATGATTAAGCGGTACCTCATGATCCGAAATTAACGTTTCTACTCCGGATGATGATGCAGCAATCGATCCGACACGAGAACGGTTGACACGTGGATTTAGCCCGGTTACATCATCGACGGAGTACGCCCTCGAGACTTGCAGAGACTGGATTGTTGGTGATCGCAAGAAATTCAGTAAATCGTCGTCAAACTTCCCCTTGACACTATGCGACGCACGTTTCACTTCTTTTGGTCTGTTTTGTGTCGCTCCTGTTGTATGAGCGTGATTGCTGTCACCATGGCCAGCACCCCTACTGTCGCTTGCTGCGGAGGGTGCAGCGCTGCGATCACATTCCGATAACATCTTCAAGGCTTCTTCCGGAGTTAGGCTGCAAGCGGTGGTACTCATTTTTGACATGCCGTAACGTGCTGGCAATAAACCAGGCAAAGTCGATGCAGCCGGACCACTACGAACATCGGCAACCCCGCGACGGGGCGCCCCTGGCATTTGGGCCGGGTCGATCTTGACCTTTTCACCGTTTGTCTCATCCTCAGCCGTCTCGGTGGAGACTAATTCCCCATCTGACATGCTGCGCCCGATGGAGCTTGCAGCTGAGGATTCCTCGTTGGCGGAGAATCCCGCGCTGTGTGTGCGCTGCGATTTCGCCGTTCGCGCCTTGTCAGGCGAATCGGAGAGCGCGTATGCGCACATTTTAGGTTCCCGATTGCTCAATTCAGACGGCGGGGAGGCATGCGTGCTATGGGGCGAAGAGACGCGGCACGCGTCAAGCGAAGCCGTCTCCAACTTCGCCGCCGAAGACGGACGCGACAGTCCAGGCAAACCACCCGGCGATTCACTCCCATCGGATACGGAGGGGCGACGCAGCTCCAACACAGATTCTGAATCCAGCATGCTCTCCACCGGGTGGCCAACCTCCAACGATGGGCCACGGCGGTCCCCCCTTTTCCAAAACTCACAAGGACCTCACGACAAGGCTGCCGAAACTTCTCGCACACATCGAAGTCAGAAACGCCAGAGGCGGCGCCTTCCGCATCACAACACCGAGGTGATAGACAGCAACAAACTCGGCCCCAACCTAACCTTGGACGCCTTCCGGGGACCACAAAAGCGTACGATCCTGCATTCAAAAACAATCAAAAAGCCGGAAACGGCCTAATACACGTGCTACGATTACCTGAGGTGACGTCGAGAGTCTCATGCGTTGCGACACGAGGTGGCGCTTGAACGCGACAGCCGTCAAATCCGCCTCCGAGACGTAGCACTCCACAGAGCCGTTAGAATTAGGCGCGGAAAATATCTGGGAAGCCGGGCGGGGAAAGGTGTCCGGCCGCTGTCGCAAGAGGGCTAGTTCATCAACGCGGCGACGGCAGCCAAAATTCACGCCCGTCACCGCACCCGTACGGAATATTACTACTTATAAGAAGCAGTAAAGCGACACACAAGCGGGGCGATGCTTATTGTTACATCGCCTCAACCCAAGGACAATGCAACACTACAATCCCTGTGCCGCACGCGACTGAAGGGCCGCATAGCAGAAGAATTTTCTGTTGCAGCGACGAAAAAGTACGGCACTTTCGCGCTCGCATGGGTGCAGCGTGCTACATTAGTAGGATATTTGTGTTTTTCGCAGGGTGGACGGCCGCGTTGGCCTAAACAATCCCACGTTCTCCGGGCTGCTGCGAACTTCGAAACCACGCGTCACGGGCATATTTGCAATACACTCCTCAAGGATTTAAACATCGGCGGCGATGCACTGCTGTAGATGAAGCTCCAGCGCCTCCTGCGGACCCGAGGCTTCTACATGCTTAATCGAGGTTGCATCCGAAAACGCTACCCTTGACGACCGCCGCCAGAGACCTGGCCGCGGCAAGCGAAACTCAACCGCTGGGCTCCACGCAACGCGCTTAGTTTCAACCGAAGCTCCCAGACGCACGCCACGACGCTGACGTCCCCGTATGCACGGAACCCCGCATCCGCCAAACCCCTATCTGCATGGGCCGACACACCCAACGCAACCTCCACGAAGCGCTAGGTGGAACACATGCGACGGTGAATCATGCAGTAACATCGCAACAGTCGTATTATATGGCGCGAGAAACGCGGCTATAGAGATCGAGATGGGACGATCGAGAGTGACGTGGGACCACGGCGATGGGAGTTGTCGCGCCGCTGGCGACGGCATAAAACCCGCAACTCACACATGCGCCGCACTCACGCCGTAACCGATCTGATGCAAAAGGGGTGGCTTCAGCGCGGCAGCCTGAGTAGACACGCGCGGGGACTCCCGCCACCGGGGAGAGCGCATATAAGACAATTGTACGAAACTGAGCTGCACATGAAACCAACAGTGTTTTTTATCCGGTCGGAGGGAAATACTGTGAAATGCTGTCTGATTATGTCAGCTGACACATGGGGAAGTCGAGCTGACCTCTCTTGCATAGGAGACCCGCACAACCATACATAATGCGCGACTTCGGTCACACATGACATATAAATCGAGACTGCAGTTTGAATCCCAAAGCTGAGCTTGCGATCGCAAAACGTCGACGCGCGCAGCCAGTGATACGCTGGTTTCCGTCACGGGTATAGTCGGCGACAATACTCTATAGAGGGACGTCATAACGACTCCCTTTCGGTAACTTTTGCACGACTAAAAAGCATTTGTAAAGATGGATCCGATTGATGTAGATATTGACGACATGGGCGACGCCCTTGATAACAACGAACAATGGAATCAGCAGCACAAGGATGAGCAAGAAAAGCAGTCCCGCGAACAGCTTAGTCCCTCTGATGACGTTATAGGCGGTAACACGGCTAATGACAATGACGTAGACATAGGGGAGGACAATTACGTGGTAGGCGACGATGCGTCTATGAAGGAAGAAACCCGTGATATCTCTCCAAACGCCTCAAAACGCAGACGTTCCACATCTCCAGACGTCGCTGAAGGGGATGGTGAAGTGAAAGGCGGTGAAACTGTTTCAAAGGAGCGTGGTAAACAGGGGTACGGAAGAGGTAGGCGCTGGAACAAGTTCAGACGGACCCACAACGAATCGGAGAATGGAGGGCCGGAGGGCACAGATCAGACGCATCAACGCCGTCGTTCCAAATTTAGCCCTGAAATTAGCAAGACAAAGCAGTGGGACACAGTACTCATCACGGCACTCGATGTATATGACTACGCGAAAGAGGATATCATGGATGCCGCAAACACTTTAGAAGAGGTTGACGACACCAGTAAACCCTCCATAGCCACTTTTGAGCGCTGTGTCGAGGCCTTTCCGATCAAAACCGGGGCTTACGCCAGCGTGGTTGGCATACTGAAGGCTAAGGGGAAGGCAACATTGGCTGAGCATATCGTGCAGCGCGTGCTCCACAACCTGGTGTCCAGCATTTCATCGGGAAATAGGATAGCAGCCATCCACAATATGCGCTTTCTTATTGGAACTCACTGCGCAGGGTTTGAGTCGTGCCAGACCATGCAAATCATAGAGGCGCTGATCAAAATCGCTAAGAACATCGAAGAGGCGGAATTCGAGAGCCACCGCAAGTACGTCAACGCAGTAGTGGCGGCAGACAATCTCATGTACATCGTCATGGCCAGTTTACCGTGGTTCAGCTGCGATGAGTACGCGAAGAATAAGAAGCAAATACACTCGTTCTGCGATGAAATCGCTGCCTACAGTGACCGAAGGAATTACAAGATGGAAAAGGTCGCCAGCGACTTAAAGAGAACGGATATTGACCCGTCTAACGATGACCACTTGCACAACCCGTATGCGTACATAGCCGCTTACAATGCCTACACGGACGATATACGGTTCGAGGACAGACTGACGACAGGAGTCGAGTGCCTTAGGTCGCTGAGAGAACACGATTGGATCTCCAGCACCGCGTTCAGGTTCTACCAGAGCAAGGGGGTTGTGGAGCACATCTTCGCAAAGCCCGCGGAAACTGAAGTTGCCGATGAGGTGGCAAAGGTTACACAGGAGATATTGCAAGCAATATTGAAAATCGAACACGACAAAACGTGGAACTTCAAACCAGTTCCATTCATGCCGTTGAATTTCGCACTGCGCAGCGACAAATACGAAAAAGAAAGAGTGCATGACAAGTGGTTATTCCAAGAACACGTGATTCACACGATTCACGTCTTCATGGATGATACCGATCTCTGCGCGAGGCAGCTCATCAAGATTCCGTTCAACCACTATTATGGTGACAGGGCAATCCTGGAGATCCTATTCAACATGATGCTCTCGCCGATATATAGGCAGCATTTCAGCATGTTCGGCATACTGGTGATTCACAACCTGTGCAACATCGAGCACAAGATGGAAGGCTACTTTCACGACCTGTACTCTCAGCTTACGGATTATATTCCACGCTTGGATCCGACCGTCGTCTCAGATCTTATCACGGTTGGAGCGTATTGGTTCAGCGTGGAATTCTGTAAAGTAAGGAAGCTGCTGGCCTCCACTAAACTATACAAATTGAGACAGAAGGCGGAAGCCTGTGGCATGGACATTGAAGCCGATCGGAAAGAGCAGGCAGAAATCGAGGAGCAGGTCAAGGAGGCCATTAAGGTGAAGAACAAGGAGTTGTTCAGCGCGATGTTCGAGCACAACGTGAGGTCTCCACTTAACTTCAATCAAAGGTTGCTGGACAAAATATCCAGGCTTGTTTACATGGACAAGTTGTTGAACTATGCACCAGAGAGCTTGAAGGATAGCATCCGGGCAGCCGTGCAAGTGGCACCCCTGAATGTGCAACAGGCGTTCCGCGACAAACCCATCGAGCACAGAGTGTTCCTTAACCTCCTTCACTTTAACAAGCTCACTGCGGAGGAGAACGAGCTCAGGAACCGGCGCATTGAGAGCTTCATCAACAACCTTGTCGGGAAGGAGCCACTCAAGGAGTTGCCTCCCAACGTCTTTGCGGAAAGCAAGATACCGGATGTGGAAATGACGGACGAGGCCGAGGTCACTGCGGATCCAACAGTGAAACGCTGGAGCAGGGAGGAACTCATCCTTATCTTCTGGGAGTCCCTTGTCATCTTCGGCAACAAGTCGTTGACACACCTCATGAGGCTCCTGGAATTCCACGGGGAGGTCCTTAAAAGATTCATTGCCAATGATCAGGAGGGCGCGTTCCAAGATTCCATCGCATTCAAGGCTCTGCGACTGACGCATCAGACGCTCAAAAACACCAAGAAATTCGAGCTGGTTATGGGAGAGCTACTCAAGTTGAATGTAATATCCCCCGCGGATGCGTGCAGGTTGGTGTTTCACCACTTCCCAACTTCCGAATTCTTCTCGAACCACTCATTGACCATCATTGACTGTGCATTCGACATTGCGCGGGATCGCGTGGAACATGCACGTACCCGCTTGTCGGACCCTTCGGGGAATGCTGAGCTGCACCGCACTGCATTGGAGGAGCGCGAAGGCTGGATGCGCCAGCTGACGCTCACTCTGCTCGAACTGGCCAACAACTTCATGATGCAAAGGATGGGCGACTCCTTGGAGTCGAGCCTAACCAACATTGTCAAGAATGTGCTACTTAGGAATGCCACCCATTCCTATGCCTTGTCGTACGCTCGCATCGAGGCCGTGGAACGCGGGTTCCACCGCAGACTTGTTGCTGCCGTGGACCTGGCGCTGCTCGTGCAAAGCGTACAGACGCCGTTCTGACGACGTCCAGTAATCGCAACGTTAATGTTCTATTAATAGCTAAACTGTTAAAGGTCATGGGTTGAGGTAGCGGTAGACGACCGGCACGGGCTGTGCGTCAATGTACTGCCGCAAGTTTAGTTTGTATAGCACCTCTAGCGTGGACAGGAAAGGTTCGAGGCGTTCCACGTCCGACGGTTCGGGCGCCTCGCCCTTTTCGAAAGGCTTTAGCAGTCTCCGGAAGTCGCTGTGCAGGCTCGGGTCAACTTCGCCCAAAATTTCATCGACGCTGGGCGGTTTGGATAGGTCAGCCAATCCACGAATCCCACCTAGGCAGGTGAAATCCGACGGAATGGCAAGATGGCCAGCTTTTCGCAACGTCGGCAGTCCGTACAGAACCTTTCGCGCGATCTCAAAGGGGTCGGGTCTATAGAAACGTGCACTTTGGCTGAACGGCAACGCTCTATGACTCTTCCGTGCAAACACCGGCGGTATTTCATCCAACGGATTCGTACACTTGTACAAACATATCAGCGGCATGTCCTTATACATCACTCCCATATTCAACAGCAGCCGCATGGCAATTTCATTGAAGTGCATTTCCTTCTCGTGCCCTTTGGCGCCACTACGCATACGCTGAAGGCCGCGGCGCGAATTCGACAGCATCAACGAATTCGCTAGCCGCACCATGATAAGGTTAACGCGAGTCACATTTTGCGCACCACCCCGTTCCGATCCGCGGTCGGTGTTGGACACCGGGTCCGAGTCCCGACGGCCAGTGTCACTCAACTTGTATTTCAGACGCGAAGTCTCGGAACGCACTTTCTTGTAGCTAGTATTGTACAGCTCGTTATATGCGCGGCAGAACACCTTGTTGTACTTCAGTTTGCCGACGTGCGGCATCCACCAGCGGTAGCTGTAACGGTTGTGCAGCACCTCCAAAATTCGCGATATCTCGGTGGCGTTATGCGATCGCATAGTCAGAGTCACGCGCTCGTGCTCAACTAGCGGAGGAGCCGGAGGGTCAGGCAGACCCTTGGAACGGGCCTCTGCAATCAGCTCATCGTGGCGCTGCTTCACTTCGTCCAGTCGAGCGAGCAGATCCTCCAGACGCTCCTGTGGTTTCTTGCCGTGAACCACGGGAGGATCACGCGCAAATGTGAACCTTCCAGCAAGCTGGTGTATTGCCCGCTTTAGCGCAATGGATTCGCGCTGCCATGCGCAGTAGAAGACCACAGCGTAGTAGCTGCCCGTGCTCAGCGGGTTATAGAGTGACAGGTCTAACAAACCATCGCCGCTGGGGTTAAAAGCCTCCGTCCATTCACGAAAGTTACTCAGCAGTGTTACCAGCTTGTTGCTGTAGCAAGAAACCACCTCGTCGACGCCGCGGAACGGAATAAGGGACCCCTTGTCTTGGTAGCGCACCTCGGTGAACGGAAGGCATGCTAAATGGCGCGTCACTGAGCCGTGCTGGGCGAAGTTGGCGAAGCGATACGCCGATAGCGCATCATCCAGCACATACTGCGCCGGTTCACGCGGAGGTGGCAGCGGAGCGGGAGGGTTGACCTTCCGCACCTCCTCCTCGTCAAATGGGGACGCTGGGCGGGCGAAACCACCGCGATTCCTCACATAAACAGCAGGTAGAAATGCTGCATCCTTAGGACCCGTGTAGAGGCGTAGAGAGCGGCCGTACCGTACTACATCGAAGACCAAGTACGCGCACAAAAATAGGAGCCTCATGCGCGCCCATTTGACGCATAGCTGCTATAAAACAATACACACTTTGCGCAGCAACATGTATCCACTGAGTCAGTACGGCAGACAGTCAGGAATCCGCCGCGGGAAACACCACAGCGACTGCCCCGGGGCTCGGCGACGTTAGTATAGAATCGCACTACATTAAAGCGAAGGTAATCGTTTCTGTCTGTGTGTGTGACCGATAGCACTACGCATTTGTAGCCTGGCATCGGCTGAACCGATAAGCGTGACTATATTGCGGATGGAACACCTGACTCGGTCTGCATCAGCCGCTTCTCGAGCTCCAGCAAAGAGCCGACATCAGTCGTCTTCTCCATCATAGCCAGCACATCTGCGCGCTCCTTCACGCCTCCGAGCGATGCAAACGGGTCGTAACCTAACGCAGAGTCAGACATACAACGTCGTAGCGAAACCTACCTTGCTCTCTTAGCAAAGAAAGGCCCTCTTCCGTGCGGAAAAACTCGGCAGCTGCAAGCCGATCCTTCTGCGCGATCTTGCAAAAGTTCAGATAGCGCAGGGAAGGCAAACGGAACACCATGTACTCCGTGAAGTGTGGCACTGCGATGACTGGATTATCCAGCAGCGAAAGCCGCTCCAGCTTTGTCAACTTGAAAAGCGGCGTCAAGTCGGCGAGTTGTGCGATGTTGTTCCCTGCCAGCACCAAAGAAGTTAAATTAGGCACAGAATCACTGAGCGTGTCGGAGATCTTGCTAATACGATTGCCAGCAACTACCTGAGAGCAAGTGATACACTAATATAGTCACACAATCACATAAATACACCTTGAATACACGATAAAAGCGCGTTATGGTGGCTATGTACCGACAAAAAGACGCAATAGAAAGAAGGATAGGAACGTACCAGGGTTCGCAAACGCGGCAGCAACGGTATATTGTCCAGCTTACGAATCTCGTTGTTGCTCAAATCGATACAATCGTAACCATCCCTGGTCACACCGAGATTGGCGATGGCTGTCACACGCAAATCTGAGAACGCTGTGTATTACCGACACGCAAAACTACCGCGAAGGGATATCGTGCGATCGCCTTCAGGACTGAGAGACTGCCTGCCTTGAGCAATCTGCTCGGATTTTAGCTCCATAGCAACACCGGACGCAAATGTTAGTGACGCGCAGTATGACGTTGATCTACAAGCGCGCTAAAACTACAAATCTTAAGCTAAAATAGAGCGCTGTTCGCAAGGGCTTGTGGCGCAACGGTAGCGCGTCCGACTCCAGATCGGAAGGTTGGGGGTTCAAATCCCTTCGGGCTCACTTTTGTAAAATTTACAGTTTTGATGAGTTATTTCTTAACGTTGGCTAAAACGTGTTGTTGACGTTGGAGAGCCGCGATCTTCTCCAAAATTTCTTCGTTTGTCAGCGGTGCGTCTTCCAGGTTTTCCAGGGCCTCGCCCATTTGCTGCACCGCCATCGTGACCCGTTGTCCCTCACGTGCGTTGCGTAGATGAGTCGAGAGTTCGACCTGTAGTCGCATTGTACGGGAGCGGAGTGTGTCTAGCTCGTGGACATCTCTGATCATCGTGGGCACACCTGATCTATTGCTGTCGAGGGTGTTAGTGGCACCGGAGCACAACTCCTCGTATCGGCACTGCAGCTCATGCAGGGCACCAAGCTTTCCTTTTTCGAAGTCCTTATAGCTTGATACTAGTGTTGAAAGAGGCACATTGAGGATTGCAATGCTGAGCTGCCACGGGTTGATGGGGCCAGCGTTGAAAAGCTCAGGCTGAAACATGTCGGTCACGCGCAGGTTGGCGCTGACCACGTTACTGTTGCGCAACCGACGGTTCAAACACTTGTACGCAAAGGAGTAACGGACCAGGAATTCTTCCCAGTACAGAGGCACCCGGAAGTTTTTCTGTTCCATCACGTATCGGCTTACGGACTGCTCGATGCACAGGCACAGCGCTCGACGGCCTTGACCCGAAACCTTATGGCGACGCTCTCCTCCGCACATCGCAGTCTTGGCTGGCGACGCGTGGCCGCTGAACGGCCTCTCAACGACCATATATCCCTGGTCATAGTCAAACGTGATCTGAGAGTGGCAGTGCCACGTCAACAGGTGACGACATAAGCTCCAAAAGTTGGGCAAACAGCCCAGGCGACGACGCAGAGCAGGTCTCAAATCGGAAATGAACCCGCACTCCACTAAGCTGTACCACAGCAGCACACAGGTGTAGAACAAGCCAGCAAACAACGGGATCATTCCGCTGTAGTTAAAATCGTAGCTGAAGCTTCCGAGGATCAAAAAGCCGGTGAAGCAGTTCAAAATCAAAGATATGAGCTCCATACGGTTGAACAGGTTGTCGTCGCGCATCTGGAACGGCGGCATAGACATATGCGCTATGAGCAGGATCGACGTGATAAGCACGCTCCCTATCATCCTCATCTTCTCTGAAGATCCCGTAGACGTCGTGAGAGGCTGGAAAATCGTAATCATAGCGACACAAAGCCGACGTAAAAACAAAAGGCAGTCCCAATACAGCGTATGCTTCTGACGTCCACTGCTGTATATGCGCCTCGACCTGTACAGGCGACCGGAGGTAATTACAGCACCCAAGTGAGCGAAAAGTACTATCCCCAGCAACACGGACGATGTAATCGCAGGATAGAAAAAGAGGGGATCCTTCGTGTCACAGACATGCGTTGGAAGGTAGAGCAAAACGCTAATCTCTGGCTCCGACTTGTACTGAACAGGGACGCACCACAATGGTTGGATGAGATCCTGGCAGATGAATTGGAAACTCAAGTAATACAACGCCGAGAGGCAATGCATAAATAGGGAACACGGCCAACAGCGTCTCGACCGTCGACGTTGGGCAGCCGCAGCGGCGTCGTATGTGCTCACGCTGCTTGTGGAACTCGAGATGCTGGTGTAACGGCGCAGCAAACGGCGGCGTAAACTGTGTATGGGTGCGTAGACAATGTAGAACGCCAGTAGAACGAGGTAGAGCGCCAACCCGTCAATGAAGGGCTGCACAACCGACATAAAGCGTTGTATGTACCAGCTTTCCACGTTGCTGAATCGGACGTTGCTGTAAGCGTGGACCCAGCAGCGAATGCGGAACGCGCTGAACAGCTGCTGCTGATACCCGAAGATCTTGTTGTAGTATACCGCGAAACGGCTGATACTGGACAAGGAGTTGAGCGGGATCATGCTGTATGGTACCATGGAGAAGCAGAACTCAAGCCATATCTTCACAAGCACGAACTGATAAAACATTTTCTTCTGCAGCAATAATACCATCAAACCCGCTATGACCCAAAGCGGCCACTTAGTTGAGATGTATCTCACAGCGGATCCCGAGACGTTGTCGCACCGCACGCATCGGCTGCGGAAGTGAATACGCTCGTAACCCTCAACGCAGCCCATGCACAGGTAACCACTGGAGCCTTCAACGCAAGCGGCACCATCCATACCGGCGCACGTGTACTCCAAAGGGCAAGCGTGGTAATCCAGCAGTTCCGTGGAGATCCCGTGCAGGGATGTTTTCGAATGCAGCGTGGGGGACCACCGCTCTACTCCCTGGTCTTTAAATGCACCAAAATATCCGAAGCGGGCCATAGGCCTCCTGTGATCTCGTAATTGGATGTCGGTGTAGTCCCTTTTGCCTTTCAGGCTATTGACAACCTCTGTAGACAGGCCACCAGGACACACCGCACCCTTCATACAAGGTGCACATGTCAGTTGCATGGAACCTAGTGTATCCTCGAACATCATGTAACGACCGTAGTTGCAGAAGCACTGCCTCTGTGACACCGCACCACCGTATGTTGTAGCGTATTGCATACAACGGCCACTGCAGGACGAGTTCTCCTGCCCTTCCTTGTACATACCCGCCTCGCACATCACGCATTGCACGTGTACCGTAGTGTTCGATGCGTTGTTCGAAATAGAACCGTCAGACACGGATGGATGGCTACTACCGATCCATGACGTGCTGGCGTCCACGCCTCTACCTCTGCCTAATTTTGCTGTGTCCTCAGGCAACCCTGAAGGCCCCGTGTCGTCCGAGTAATCCAATGCATCCTCTTCTGGGTACTCATTCATATACAAACCGGCCGACTTTTCATGAACTTCGGTGTTCAGCCTATAACCCGGCAGACATAAGCACTGTGTGACAGACGTCGCATTCGTCGCTTCAGCCGGTACGTTCGAACCGTGAGGGCATCGATAGGGAATGTTGTGAATCACTTTTTCAGGCAGCATTGATATCCAGCCACCGGGGCAGTAGTGGTAATCTTTGCAGCGCTCGCAATCAAAGGTTTCATATTGACCTTGGAACGAGCTTACGATAGACTGACCAGCGTGGGGCAGCAGTAGCACGGCATTTGACAAATGGATGAAGGACTCTATCTGGTACCGCGGGTCGGACTCGTCGACAGGTAAATCAAGAACGTGAGGTTTACCGCTATGGCTGATTGAAGCTAGCCGTGTTTGCTCCTCTTGTGCACGGAATTGGTAGTAGTTGAGTTCCTCCAGATACGAACTACGCAAGATTGTGCGATCTCGCATACGCTTGTACGTAGCCTCAGAAATCAGCTTGCTGGGGTCCTTCGTTACCTTAGCGAAATGGCCCGGACTACAGGCGCAGTCTGTGATGTACTTAGATCCCCTGTGAAAAGTCCTGAACTTTTCGGGACATCGGCGGCAGCCAACGTTGCCAATTTCCTGCTTGTAGGATCCGAGCTCGCACGCAACGCAAACACCAGTGCTTGTGTTCGACATTTCGTAACCAGCGAGACACAGGCAATGGCTCAGCGCAGAAGCGCCTTCTTCTATGGTTGTTGAATTATCCGGACATCGTGTATAGTCAATTCCGCCGTGACAGTAGTGTCCAACGGGGCATGGTTTGGTGGCGAAGATGTATTCGGAGTCTTCATCGAAAACCCGGCATACGGAAATCACATCTGCGGCCGAGATCCCGGTTGAGACTATACCCGTTAGGTCTTGGAACTTCAGGTCGAAAAAGTACAACGTACATGTGCCGTAAGAGCGCTTTAGGAAGCGCAGACCGTTGAAAACGATTGTTTGGTTGGCATTGAACGGGGTCATGTCACTCTCCATAATGTGAGTTGTGTTTTCAAAAGAATAACCGTGGCAATAGACATTCTCCACGCAACTCGCTTTGCAGCTGGCGGAGGAATCCCTCAACATCGTTGCTCTGTGAGTTGCTGTGATGTCGGTTCGCAGCGCATTGGAGCACTTGGTGCGCATCTTACGACGGTTGGAAGCAACAGAAGCCTCCACGTTTTTACCTTCCTCCACCAAAATGCTTGATACCTCTCCGGTAGCACGGTCAACTTTAGTAACCGAGAGAAAGTAACCGGGCTCAGGAGCGCAATCCACAATGCTCTGAGCACCAACGTCCATTGTCGAAGAATTATCCGGACAGGGCAAACAGCCGTAGTCGACGTATTCCAGATGCTGAAAATACCCAGCAACGCAGTGGCGACACCAAATCGCTCCGGATGTGGGATGGCGCCCCTGAAACAGGTTCCCGTAGCCACGTGCACAGAAGCAGTCCATGGCAGTCACGCTGCCCTCATTGCGAGTTATACCGTTGCTCCCACAGGATGATGGCTGGGCGTCACCTCCAGGACAATAGCGACCAAGTGGACAATCGAGGCATATTTTCAGGTTTATGTCAAAGAACTTGCCAGCCACGCAATACTTGCAGTCGTCGCTGCGTCCGGCATTTTCGGTATCCGCGAAAAGGGTAGACGACTTCAAAAGCGACAAGAGAGTTCTGTGTTCCACAGGGTGCATCTTCTTATAAGCCTGCAATTCGTGATTCCATTCGGATTCGGTGACGATGCGAATGGGGCCTGGGGAGGGAAGTGGTGGTAAAAGATTGGAAACGTTTTCCCCGCTGTGACAAGCCTTGCAATGCGCATTGCCTATGGTATCCTTGTAGCCGAAACCTGTGCAAGCTATACAGCCTTTATATGCGCAGTATCCATAACCTGCGTCGCAAACGCAGCTTTCGCGGCTACTGCTTAGAGAATCCTGCGTGGTGCTTCCCTCTTTACAACGTTGAGGCAAGGTTTCCTCACCGCGACAATAGTAGCCAACAGGACACGG